TTCGGACCCAGCCCATGGTGTCAACGTTGTGCTGAAAACATTTACAATTGGGGTCTCCACGTAGTAAACGGTTTCGATGGTTTGCTTGCCATCAGACCCAGTGAACGTTGTGACCTCTGTCGAGTAAGTGGAGGTTTCAGAGCTACTCCAAGGCGTGAAGCTCGTACTCAACTCATTCACGATCGGAGTTTCCACATAATAAACAGTTTCTACGGTCTCCATACCATCGGCTCCAGTAGAGGTAGCCAGACTTGTAGAGTAGGTAGAAGTCTCGGAACCACTGAACGGAGTCATTGTCGTGCTAACAACATTGACGATTGGAGTTTCCACATAGTACACCGTCTCCACGGTCTCCTTACCATCGGCTCCTGTGGAAGTAGCCAAACCTGTAGAGTAAGTGGACGTTTCAGAACCACTCCATGGCGTGAATGTCGTGCTGACAACATTGACGATAGGTGTCTCCACGTAGTAAACAGTTTCCACGGTCTCCATACCATCGGCTCCTGTGGAAGTAGCCAAACTAGTATAGTAAGTGACAGTTTCGGAACCAATCCAAGGTGTGAACGTCGTGCTGACAACATTGACGATAGGTGTCTCCACGTAGTACACCGTCTCCACGGTCTCCATACCATCGGCTCCTGTAGAGGTAGCCAGACTTGTAGAGTAAGTGGACGTTTCAGAACCACTCCATGGCGTGAATGTCGTGCTGACAACATTGACGATAGGTGTCTCCACGTAGTAAACAGTTTCCACGGTCTCCATACCATCGGCTCCTGTGGAAGTAGCCAAACTTGTTGAGTAGGTGGACGTTTCAGAACCACTCCATGGCGTGAATGTCGTGCTGACAACATTGACGATAGGTGTCTCCACGTAGTACACCGTCTCCACGGTCTCCATACCATCGGCTCCTGTAGAGGTAGCCAGACTTGTAGAGTAAGTGGACGTTTCAGAACCACTCCATGGCGTGAATGCCGTGCTGACAACATTGACGATAGGTGTTTCCACGTAGTACACCGTCTCCACGGTCTCCTTACCATCGGCTCCTGTAGAGGTAGCCAGACTTGTAGAGTAGGTAGAAGTCTCGGAACCACTGTACGGAGTCATTGTCGTGCTAACAACATTGACGATAGGTGTCTCCACGTAGTAAACAGTTTCCACGGTCTCCATACCATCGGCTCCTGTAGAGGTAGCCAGACTTGTAGAGTAAGTGGACGTTTCAGAACCACTCCATGGCGTGAATGTCGTGCTGACAACATTGACGATAGGTGTCTCCACGTAGTAAACTGTTTCCACGGTCTCCATACCATCGGCTCCTGTGGAAGTAGCGAAACTTGTTGAGTAGGTAGACGTCTCGGAACCACTGTACGGGGTCATGGTAGTGCTAACAACGTTGACAATAGGAGTTTCTACGTAGAACACAGTCTGTACTGTTTCTTTGCCGTCACTTCCGGTAAAGGTGCTCAAGCTGGTGGAATACGTTGACGTTTCGGATCCGCTCCATGGGGACATGGTCGTACTGACAACATTCACGATTGGAGTCTCCACGTAATAAACAGTTTCGACCGTTTCTTTGCCATCGGCCCCAGTAAGAGTCGCCAAACTGGTGAAGTAAGTAGACGTTTCGGAACCAACCCATGGTGTGAAGGTGGTACTAACGACGTTCACAATCGGTGTCTCCACGTAGTACACGGTTTCTACCGTTTCCTTTCCATCAGATCCAGTAGAGGTAGCAAAGCTCGTCGCGTAGGTAGTTGTTCCAGAGCCACTCCAAGGAGTGAAGCTTGTGCTAACAACATTCACTATTGGCGTTTCCACGTAGTACACAGTCTCGATGGTTTCTTTGTCGTCTGGGCCGGTGAAAGTTGTGACGCTAGTGGAGTAAGTAGACGTTTCAGATCCGCTCCATTGAGACGTAGTAGTACTGACAATATTCACAATTGGAGTCTCAACAAAATATACAGTCTGGATCGTCTCTTTGCCATCTGGTCCCGTAACCGTCGTCATGCTTGTTGAGTAAGTTGACGTTTCGGACCCAGCCCATGGTGTCAACGTTGTGCTGAACACATCTACAATTGGAGTTTCAACGTAATAAACTGTTTCGATGGTTTGCTTGCCATCAGACCCAGTGAACGTTGTGAACTCCGTCGAGTAAGTGGACGTTTCGGAGTTACTCCAAGGCGTGAAGCTCGTACTCAACTCATTAACGATCGGAGTTTCCACATAGTACACGGTTTCCACGGTCTCCATACCATCGGCTCCAGTAGAGGTAGCCAAGCTAGTTGAGTAAGTGGACGTTTCGGAACCACTCCATGGCGTGAACGTCGTACTGACAACATTCACGATTGGAGTCTCCACGTAGTACACAGTTTCCACGGTCTCCTTACCATCTGTCCCAGTGGAAGTAGCCAAGCTTGTCGAGTAAGTAGACGTTTCGGAACCACTGTACGGGGTCATTGTCGTGCTAACAACATTGACAATAGGAGTTTCCACGTAATAAACAGTTTCCACGGTCTCCTTGCCGTCGGCCCCAGTAAAAGTCGCTATACTAGTGAAGTAAGTGACGGTTTCGGAACCAATCCAAGGTGTGAACGTCGTGCTGACAACATTCACGATAGGTGTCTCCACGTAGTAAACAGTTTCCACGGTCTCCTTACCATCAGCTCCGGTAAACGTAGAGAATTGAGTAGAATACGTGGATGTCACCGCGCCATTCCATGGCCGTATGGTCGTGCTAACAATGTTGACAATAGGAGTTTCCACGTAGTAAACAGTTTCAATTGTCTCCTTACCATCGGCTCCTGTGGAAGTAGCCAAACTAGTTGAGTAAGTGGACGTTACGGAACCACTCCATGGCGTGAACGTCGTGCTGACAACATTCACGATAGGTGTCTCCACGTAGTAAACAGTTTCCACGGTCTCCTTACCATCAGCTCCGGTAAACGTAGAGAATTGAGTAGAATACGTGGATGTCACCGCGCCATTCCATGGCCGTATGGTCGTGCTAACAATGTTGACAATAGGAGTTTCCACGTAGTAAACAGTTTCCACGGTCTCCTTACCATCAGCTCCGGTAAACGTAGAGAATTGAGTAGAATACGTGGATGTCACCGCGCCATTCCATGGCCGCGTAGTCGTGCTAACAATGTTGACAATTGGGGTACCAACGTAGTAGATTGTTTCCACTGTTGGCTTGGAATCAGCACCTGTGGTAGTGAAAACTTGGGTTGAGAAAGTTGTTGAGCTTGCCACACTTTGTGGAACTATTGTCGTACTTGTTGCATATGCTTGGGGCGTTTCAATGTAGTAGATGGTTTCAACGGTGATTATTCCGTCTTTACCCATGGATGAGGTTAATGAAGTGCTGTAAGTTGAAGTTTCGGTACCAGTCCAAACACTCATGGAGGTGGACGTGGTGCCTGAGGTAGGAACTTCGACGATGACAACCTGCTGCGGAACTAGGTCACCGGCAGTGTTGGTGCCAGCGGCGGTAATGGTGGTACTGGTAGTAAACTTACCAGTCCAACCGGAAGTTGTGGTAGTAGGGGATAAATATGAAGCAGAACCACCACCACTAGCACTTCCAACAATGAAATTGATACGTTTGGCGTATGATGTTGATGTGGTTGACGCACCGCAGACCAAACTTTCGTAGTATCTGTTGTAAAATGACATACTGCCCGGATCATCTCTGTCAATGATTTGGTAACCATTGACAAAAATATGATATCCTGCTGGAATACTAGTTGCTGTAACAGCAATAGTGTTTGAATTACAGGTCACTTTGTAGCCAGCAGGTAAAGCAGTAGCACTCTCGGGCATGTTCCACGCATTGAAGCTTTTAGCCATGGACACCTGCACACGGCTACAATCAGCCACGTTACCAATACCAGCGGGATAGCCCGACCAAATCAATGACATGACTTCATTGTACGCCTGCGTGCTACAAGCGCGGCCAACGTAGTAACCGAACTGCAGGTTTGTCGAATCAGGAAGCTCGATATCATAACCAGTAAAGGACGAAGCGGTCACCGGAATTAAGCCAGGTGAGGTTGCCATGTTGACTACTGCATAGAGCGAGCCCCATTGAACCGTGTTCAGACCCACCTGCCACTCATTGGCAGCCGACAGAGAGCCAGAGGACGTTGAGCCACCGTCGGCAAAAACAAAATTGAAAGTAAGAGACCCTGTGACAAGTCCAATGTTGCTTTTACTGAGAGTACACGTTAAGGAGGACGTCGACGAATCAACAAAACCGTTAGTAATAAGACAGTTAGCAAAGGTGCTGCCACTTGTGTCAGCCAGCGAAATATAACTGTTTTGGCCAATCGTTTGGGACCCGTAAATTTTCAGAACGTCGGGCATGGTGATGCTGAAAGTGTCGCCCGACGTAGCACCAGTGAGCACAGAACTGATCGAGTAGGTTAAACGAGCGGTCCATAGAGCCGAAGGATAGGGATACGTTGGGGGCGTTATAACAAGGGCAGTGAACACATTGCTCAGGGTTTTCGCCTGCGCAACAACTAAGAGCCGACAAAAGGCCAGTAAAAAAAACAACGGTCTGAGCATCACGCCGACTTTATCTTCTTCTGCTTACTGTCTCTCTTTCGCTCTCCCCGGTGCTGCTTGAGTCGCTGTGTCCGAAAACTCGGGTAGTTTTGATAGCAGCTGAAGCTCTTTTTCCTCAGCAAAAACCTGGTCCAACAGCAGTGGCGGGCCTATAGTCTCGCTGAGAAACAAGCTCGATAGTTTTCTTGTGCTTTTGAAGTTGAACGACCTGGGAAGTCACAGAATCAAAGTAGATGTTTGCAGGAAGGGCGCAAAATTGTGCTTGCAATATTGTGCTTGCAATATTGTGCTCGCAAAACAGCCTCTTCTTACAACTAGCGAACGTAGATGTGACCAAGTTTATTCTCAATTCTTAGAATTAGTCAAGTAGTAAAGGTCAACCGAGACCTTACCTACCAACTCACGTTGGTACCATTCTGTCAATGCGCGGTTGGTTATATAGTCAAGGTGCCACTCTCGAGCCAGGAACCACAGCTCACCAGCGAAAGAAGAAAGAAAACTATGACCGCAGGCAATAGCAGCGCTGTCCGGAGCGCCGGGGCTGCGCACGTCATGTAGAACCATATGCGCAAATGCGAGTCGCTACCGCCTCTGGCACTGCTTTCGTAATCTGAACCTGAGATCTGGAAATCTCCATTGGCAGCACGTGCATAAGTCCGCTGTGTGTTAAAGTTCGGTGCATGCCCATGCATATCCGTGCATCGGGATACAGCGAGGACCCTTGTACGTGGTGTTGACACTGGTAGCGTGGCAAAATACCACACTGTACGTCCAAGGTGATGGGCCGGTTGGAAGGGGCCATAACAGCGAAGATACGCAGCCGAGACGCGGTAAGAACAAGATCGAGGGTGATCCAGAACAATGCTTTGAGCCAAACAGCCTTGCTGAGCTTGCACGGCGTTCGATTCTGAACATGGACGACGGTCCTTTGCTCTTTCCCAACCGAATTCGCCGTGCATCTATGCGTTGACTTCGGGCTCAAGGGTAGACTGTTAACAGAAAAAGCTGGCATGATACGGTATCGAACGCTTATCTGACGTGGGTAGAGACGGTCATGCAGACGGGAACTGTCTTCCGCGTGTAATCGGAGCTGGGACGGTGCCCTGCAAAGATCGAGGAGTAGATCTGTGAAGGAAAATTTTTATTTTGGAGCGCCGGCTGCGAAGACGGGCACGGGACGCGATGATGCAGAGAACGCAGAACAAAGCGTCTAGATTGTCCATTTTCAGACGGACGGACGGACAGACTCCGAACGACGGTGTCAGTGAAAGGTAGCTCAACACCAAGGCACCTGTGTCCAACGGATGCGGGCGTGAAAGGCTAATAACTGGGATGCGCCGGACGGGCTCGTTGGGGCCCAAGTGTTGATGTAATGAATGTTGCGTGTGGAACGTTCTCAGGACCGGCACTTGGGGAAATGGCCGCAAGGGAACTCCGGGACAGCGACTGGAAAATGCACCAGTGGGCCCGAAAATGGCGCGGATGAGGGTTGTGGTCTGCTCTTTGGTGTGTAGTGGGTTGTGGCGGCCAGTCAGCTGGCATCGAGATCGCGCGCTCGGGCATGAGATCGTGGTTGGCGACTGATGGTTGGTGTTCTGTGAGCTGTAGGGCGAACACGGCAGCGTGAGGGTTCGCTTTGGACTTGTCCATTGGAAGTCTGCTTTGTCCAGCCTGATGTAACTTGATCATTGATTTAGTTATCCCCCACTGTGAAAAACCGTGATGCCCAATCTATGCGGTATTTACTTGTTAATTCCAACGCATCTAGGCCAACGCCCAAACCCTAATGAACTTCTAAAATCTTGGCAGTATATTGCCAATAGTATTGGCGGTGCATACGCTGGATTCCAGTTGCGAATGTGGCCGGATGTAGCTACCGCTGGAAATATGTCTTTAATCGCGTAGTGTCGTAAGCTAGTTTCAGAGGAGTTAACATACACATATATGCGAAATCTACACTGCCAACGCGAGTTGGGATTGGGCCATCGTCACTTGCTTAACGGAACGCTGCACAATAAAAAACTTTATTCTCTTTGGGCTAAGAGCTCTTCTCCTAGACCATGCCTTGTGCTACGTTCATGAACAAGCACCAACGCGATATAATAAGCATTGAGAGCCTGGGCCTTCGATCGCCTAGTAAATGAGATGTCAAGCGACTGAGGAGCGACTCAAAAAGATACGGTGATCATGACTAAATGCCCTCGGCACCATCTTTCTGTATCATGACACACCCGTTGACACTCTAGCAAGTATTTTAGAGCCTTCTTAAGTCCACAGTCAAAATGTCCAATTTTAGGCATTAAACTACTATGGTTCCTCCATGGCAATTTGGTTAACACTTTGGTGCTCAATTTTTTTGTTTATATTTTGGTGTCAACCATCGCCTTTGACACAATTTATTTTAATGACTTTTACCACCTAAAGTGCTTTTGGATTTAACACAGTTCATACAACGTACACGATCCACGCTACAGAGCATAAGGGCTAACCATTATTAAGAATAGTGCCATAGGCCCGAATTGCAGAAAACTAAATTTCTGTAGCAAGTCTGACTAGAGCGAGACTAGACTAGCTACACTATGTTACTGTATTTGTTGGACAAGGTAGCCTACACTCTGATTACCTACTAGTGTGTCTGGCGCTTCATGTTGACTCCTAACCATTCCCCATAAAATTTTACCTCCTGGATCCCGCCCCCAAAAATTTGAAATGAACGATCGGCCTTTGTAGGGCTCTGGTAAACAAGTGGTCTTCCGTCATTTACCCTTGACTTTCGAAGACCGCACGTTAATTCATTTACATTGAATTTCCAATCACCTGGTTCGCAACGATGTGCCATTCACCAAGCGCATTCTTGTGTTAAGCAACGTCGCGATCACCGACCCAGTGCTCTTTTGACGTTACTTAACGATTGTTCGATGCCAGCCCAAGAAGTACCATCCGGCCAGCGTCTACTCTAAGCCGCATACCAAATGTTCTTTCAACTTCGATACATACGATCCGAACTAGACAATCAGCGTGTTTTTTACCGACGCAACTATGTTTCTCTGTTGACCATCGGAAGACTCTCAAACGCAGGTCAAGTAGTCATTCCCTACAATGCGACGGCCATCCCGCTAGTCTATGTCGTCGACCGCGTATCGTTTGAAAATCCTGAACATGGTAAACGGGAGGACACCGTATTGTTGCCAACATTCAAGACAAGGATTTTCACCACACGCGCCCTCCCCCATCATTATCACCTACTATCACATCGTCTTTAACCGTACAGGAAATGCGTTATAGCTTCTTCGCACAAGTCCGCTTTCGCGAAGGTTCCTGCCCACTGACGTCTCTCTACCAATAGCGCTTAATCCCTAGCGGCCGTGATCAATGAATGCATGTGAATAATTTTGACGTCGACCCGAAAGCTATAGCGTTACCACAGCTTCTGCCATGGCCCAGAGCACAAGCCAGATCGCCTAGAGCACAATCCAGATCGCCTAGAACACAATCCGGATCGCCCTTCTGAGCTAAGAACCTCCTACCGTCCCATTTGGCGCAGAGAAGCATGAAAAGAAAAAAAATTGGCATACAGTCACCGAACTCATGCAGCGAACTGTTCTATTTTAGTTCTTATTCCTTGCTACTCACATCCAGACGTGCAGATGCATGGAATATTCTTACAGGCTATTCCATTGTCCGAAATTATGACTAAATATTTCGAAAAATGCAGTAACAATGCATGAAAAAATGATGTTGCATGACCCACGCATCTGCATGACGCAAAGACCATGCTGAGTAAGACGCATGGAATGCAGAGAGATTTGCTTGCCGCAGATGGACTGGCAAGTGGTGCCAAATCGTCCACACGGGCGATGGGCACTTCTAGTGTACACAATGAGGTCAGTATTCGATAAACTCGCTGACATTCTTGTTCGAGCGTGAATGGTGTATTTTGGAGCCTTACGTGGGTGAGGTGCTGCGATTCATCGGTTTGCGGGGTCACCGAAGTTGATCTGCGCCTATTTCCGGCCATTATTTAGTAGTGACGTGTGATTGGCGTCCAGGCTCCGAAGCATCGAAGCACCACCGGGTGCGATTATCGAGCTTCACATATCTTGTCTGACTTGCTGTAATCATCAGGAAGGCTCGCATGCTCCAACGTGTATTCCTCATTATGACGACACAGGTCAGCGTACAGTCGCTTCACATCCGTCCGAACAGCGTCTCGTCCCCGCCACAGTGAAGAAAGCACTATGCATAGAGCAGCGAGCGTCAACCACACTAACATCACCGCCATGGAAGCTGTGAAAGAGCCGTTGTTGAGATCGCCGCCCCCTCCATACAAAGCACATGCCAAGATAATTTACACTCCAATCAACAAAAATAGGTTCATCCACAAGCTTAGCCAGGTTTGGCGGTGTAAACGATTTTCGTCATTTTTTTTCAGGTAAAGTGCATTCTGCTCGTCAGGACCGATGCCGTCTGCGGGATGCACTTGCCAGTTCAGCTGGTGTAGATCGTAAGAACCACTGGGTCGGATCACGGAGATCGCCACGATGTAGATCGCACTTGAAAACAGGCTCACGATAATCCCAATGAACGTGGCCTCCGTAGTCATCAATGGGTCCCTGTTGATAGCGCCCCAAGCATACCGGTATGTAGCTCCGATCCAACAAACGACGCCTGAGACGGTCCCCAGCGGAACGCCGATCAATGAGTAGAGACGGGTGCTCTTGGACCAAAAGAGCGACAAAGTGACCGCGAAAACTTCTGGGTTGAGGATAACGCCTACAAAACTCAAGAGCCAGCTCACTGTTATTTTACACCAATGTCGTTGAACACTACGGCTAACGCTGCCATACGCAGGCCGAAGCACACTACGCTAACGTGTCACGCTCTCATTAGCTTAGCGCCGGACTCTCCAGGATTGATGTATGTGCGATACAGGTCGTAAGTGGTAATTGACGAAAATGCGATTAGTTCTGCTGACGTTGCAGATGTCACAGACATCCCCAGCATTACCAGACCCGCGGCTGACCCTTCCTGCCGAAGATCGCAGCCAAGCCGTAAATGAATGATAAGCTGGCACCCTCTTCGTGGTCGCTAAGTAGGGTCGGATATGTTACCGACACTGGATTCGTCAGTAGGGCCCCACATGCGAGCCCAGCCGATGACCCAAGCGCGAATGGGATAATCTTGCAACAAATCCCACCGACCATGTAGCCCATAAAAACGCTTCTCGAATCAGAAGCAATTGCTCTTTGCGAGTATCCTAGGTCCCCAAACACTGATGAGAGCCCTCCCAACATTACGGACCACGTCAACAAGATCATGTTTTTATCTTTAAACGATAGATAGCTGGTATTCGACGCATTAGAGAAAACCTCCTGTACCTCTTTAAGAATTTCCCACATCTTACCTGCCGAACCTATCAACGCGGAGCTGCAGAAAACGATATAAGAGGTGACAAGCAGGATCACATATATTATCACAGTGTGAATCCAGGCTGATATGAGAGTGGCCTTCAACCCTCCAAGGGCGGTGTAAACCACAACCGTTGGTGGTAGCAGGAAAATAGCAGCGACCGTGTGCATTCCTGTGCTGGCCGCGAAAGCCTGGGAACCGCCGAGCAGCAGCAGTGAAGAAACCATCGCATTGATAGCCACGCAGTAGCTAAGTTAAAGAAGATGCCAAGCTTTACCGAACCGAATATTGATAAGTTCATAGACGGACTGAGCTTTCGGTGCACGGCGCTTTAGCTGCAGTGCTAAAAAAGCAAACAACGTTATTTGGACAGTACCGTCCACTGCATATAGCCATGCACCGCTAATGCCATGGATGTAGGGCCAATTACCCGCCAGAAGCAAGGTGGCTGGCCACGTCCAAGCAGAAACTGTTGAAGAAGCAATAAGGCGGGAACCGACACTTCGAGAAGCAGTAGAAAACCTCTCTGAATTGTGAACTTGGCTCATATATTTGGATAACAATTTAGAGATGAAAACCATCACAATCGCAAACCCGAATCCAACGCCTATGCTAAACCCATAACCATAGCCTTGCGTTAATAGTAGTTCCCCCCATTCCCGCCTGACAATCTCTTGCTAGGGTGTTCACCTCTGAAACTGACAAATCGCCGGCGTACCAGTGTACATCTATCCACACTTATACTGAATTTACAAGATAGAGCATCCGATCAACCTCGTCGCCATTATGCGCCGCAGCGAATATCGCTTTAGCTAAGCGGGCCAGGGTCCGAAGAATGGAAAAAAAGAATTTTCTATAAAGCATTGTATCTAGCATCATGCCACTAATGGGCTGATTCATGAGCCTGGAACAAATACCGCCAGCTTCTTAGGCAAGCCAAAGATCTGGTTTTTGAACGAGCTTGATTTCCGTCGTACACCATCGACCTACTCGAATTTATTATGTATTGCAATGTCACAGACGTTAGTGATGATACAATGGCCCATAATTGCAAGCGGTATGCTATGTTTGTTCGAAACCGCTGTGATGGCCCTACAGGCAGATTAGATTAATGACAAAGCGGTGTCATATATATTCAAACAACGTAGCTCGTTTTGACGAAGTAAGTGATCCAGTGATGGCTTCTCTTTACGTCGTCAGATGAGCGGATAATGCAAGCTCAATACTGCCAATAATTCCTTAAGAAAGACTTCCTTGTTGCATTTCATAATGAGATTGAAAGTCCAAAAGTATCACAGCTTTTGGGTGAGAAGCCAACTGCAGGGCGCGTATCAACCAATTTTGACAATCAGAAGAGACTACTTCGTATATAAGGATCTCACATTTCTATTTCATTCGAATAATATCCCCAGCTGTGAAGTACTTGAAGGCCATCATCACAGAAGTGGCCCACTATGGTATCGACCACCGAGGGGGTAACCCCGGATATGACCCTGGAATTTTATCGCAAAGCGCTGAATTACAATGTGATTGGTCGCTATGACCCCAAGATCAAGCAATTATTATTTCACACACCGCACGCTTCGGTCTACAAATGGGACTTCGGTAAAGACGAATGGGAACGCTTGGAATATCAAGGAGTTCTGGCTATTTATCTAAGAGACATCTCACACGGTGAACACATGCTACTGGAAGAGACAGATGATGAAAGGTCGATATTGGCACTGTCAAGTCGACCAAATGGACCAGAACACAACGTTGAGATTCTACGAGGCCGTGACATATACAACTATGGGCTTATTTTGCTCAACCGTATGAATCCCGAGAATTTCTCAATTGGCATAGCACCTAACAGTGTGATAAACAAACGTAAGTTGTTTGCCACTGAGGAGGATTCTCAACAGCCCTTGGAAACTATGAAAGTAGAGGTCAAAGATGATTTGGTGATTATCAAAAATCTTCGACACGAAGTTTTTGGTATATGGATCCATACTGTACCCGATCGGAAAAATGTTTACGAGCTGATCAAATATTTGCTCGAAAACGAGCCCAAAAGTTCGTTTACCTGATGACGTTCAAGACTCTTAATGATCCCTACGTAAGTAAAAAGTTAATTTCATTTATTCAGCGTGGAAGTCCACTATTATTTCTTAGTCTTAGCTGTCTTCTTTTTCTTGGAAGAGTCTGTTGTAGCTGCTGGTGTGCTTTTCTTCACAGTTTTCCGTGGCTTCTTAACTTTCGCTTTATCATCATCAACTGGTCCTTTGGCGTTTGCTTTTTGCTGCTCTAAAGACTGTTGCTGCTGTTTTATTTGCTGCGCACTTAGAGGAGCGGACATCGAGATGCGCTGATTATAACTTGCAGGCGCTATGTTTGCATTCATCGCCTGTTGTTTTCTCTTCTCTTTATTGGCACGCCACTGCTCCACAAATTTTAGCCTGCTAAATTGGTTATTGTCGTTACTGCTTGAACCAACAGCAGCCGCAGCAGCAACAGCGGCAGCGGCTACCGAATTACTGGTGTTTCCCCTCCCGGGAGTACTTGAAGTAGTAGGAGAATTCTTTCCGCCACTATTTTTCAAAGAACTATTTGTTAGATCTGCGGCTCCTTTTGCTAAGGAAGCGGCAATTGTGGACATCGTTGTAGTTGACGTTCTTTCACTCATAATTAGCATCATCTGTTCATAACTAGAACTATGTTGTGGTGACTCCTCATGGAGGTCAATGTGTCCAACTTGACCTTTTGTGCCCTTTCGCGTGGACAGCTCACGGTGCAGTTGTTTGTCGAATGGTAGAAAATCAACGTCATCCAGCTTTTCTCGATGCTCGTAAGGATTCAGGGGCACATCAAGATCCAGGTTTCGTTTCGTAAGCGTGAGAATTTCTGACTCTAGTTGTTGGTATATATTATCAGAGAATCTGGTGTGATCTGCGTAAGAGAGCATATCGTAGTAGTGGGTCAGACCATTGGGTCGCAGTAGCGTGCGGTAGACCCTAGGACGTTTAAACGTTGCAACAATCTCCTTTGCGGACTTTGCATCTCCTGACTCCCCAAATTCACTGGCAGAACCAATAGTTTCTCCATTCGAGGGTGCCTTCTTCAGCGATCCTGAAGTTGCCGCCACATCATTAACATTATCGACTGGCCTACTTGAAGGTTGGCCATGTAAATCTGGCCGTACGCCTTGATTAGAGGCAGTAGGTGTCGCTCCCGTCGATTCAGAAGTTGGCGCGCTACTAGAAGTTACTGTAGGATTTTGGACGCCTGCGCCATTGGTGGGTGTTGGTTCTGGAGTCTTCTTTTGAGTCTGTTTAACATCAACAGTATTGGTATGGTCGTAGACTTGTAAAATTAGGTTCCCCTCATAAAACTGAATGTTGCAATCTTTAAGGACCTCCATTATGGCTTCGGGAATGCAGCCCCTGGCCACGTATTCCAGGAATTCTTTCAAGGTAGAGTTGTTCTTGTTCAAAATGAGACCGTCGCTCGTTGCTTGTGGTGTTCTTTGTTGCTGCTGAACTCTGGTGTTTGCGGGTGCACAGATCTTATAATTGTTCTCATAGATGTGGAATTCGAAGCTGGGACGAAACTGCTCGTATTTCTTTAATATGGCATCTGGGTCTTCTGCGAAATTATAGAGCCGCTTAGGCTTCTTGTTAACCGTCATGAGAAATTGATAAAATTGGTTTTCATAGTTTTGCATAGCTTGCTGCTGCTGCTGCTGTTGTTGTCGTAGCTTCTGCTGCATCAGCAAACGTTGTTGTTGCTGTTGCTGCTGCTGTATATGCGCTTTTTGCTGGAGGGGTGTCATATTGCCAGAATTCCCCACCGATGGTGGGCGGTTTCTGTCGCTAGTGGCTTGACCAAGGTTGTGAGGAACAGCACCTGTAGTATCTCCATTGCTGTTGATCGAGCTTCCAAAAGCCGTGTCATTCATGTTACTTGCTAATTGAACTCCTAAAAATAGAATGAATATGGTCCTTGGGTTCAATAGCTGGCTAAATAGCTAAGCTATGTGTCAGGCTCTATTCCTGTTCGTTATAATTGGAATTGAGCTCATCTCTTCTTTTCTCGCTAGACGTCAACACGTATAACGTTACCTCAAGCCTAACAGTTCCAAACATGGGACGCTCTCAGTGTTTGTTCCTATGAGGCAGCCGTTTGAAATTGATCAAAGAGCCTGAATTTCCATTCAAGTGATAGTCATTGTGAGCAGGCGGAAGTGATTTGATGAATCTTTTTAAGCCTCTTACCTGTAAAATTTATAGCTAGAGAAACGGCTATGCAATAGCAGTACATAAAAGAGCCATCAACTTTTAGATAATCATAAAATAACCCAGATGTTTGATTGGAGCGATCGGGAAAGATGCTGCATGTTAGCACATATATGGGCGAGTTTCCAACCTTCAGAGGTTGCTTCCGTCGTCCCTGGAACAAGACGTCTCAGGCGGCCTCCCAGACACCCTGAAGACCGAATAGCGAGGTTGCTACCCCGGCCAAACCAATTGAGCCGTCGGGCGAGTCGATAAATTTCAAGTTGTTCATCACAATGAATGTGTCCAGGGAATCCCATAGCAGCCTCTTGAGTGCAGCAGAGCGATCCGAATAATGAGAAGCCACTTCCACGGCAGTGGAATGCTTCTCATCTACCGAATGGTCTCCCTTTGCCGTAAGAGCTCGTATTCTGTCTTGAGAAACCTGGAGCTTGCGCAGGTCTAAGGCGAGACCACTGACGAGCCCCGCGAGCCAGCACCAATTAGCCCACTTGGGAACCTTCACTCCCGTAATTTTGGTAGCTGGTACGAGCCGTAGAATGCGCAGCAAGTTAATTTGGTCGAGGGTCAAGTAACCGGCGTAAGCTAGGTTTTTCAGCACATTGCACCAACGGACAACGTTGTCATTTGTGATTTTGTTATCATAGAATTTTGAAGCTGCCTGCAGATGATTCAAAGGTTTCAGGAATCTCAAGATCTTGCGAACAGTGGTGAACTCCGCTTGTAGCTTTTTGGCCAAGATCGATGAGTATTGGTATCCTAAAAACCGGCACAAATACTGTAGCAATCTAAGGACTTTCTCCCGGCCAGCAGTAGAGTCCAAAAGACTTACTAGCCTGAAAACAGAAGGATGGTAGATTAGAGTATCACACACCATTGTTCTTTTGACGAAATTATTGACTAATTTTTTTTTAGCACTGCTATCCTTTAGCAAAAACCTCCTAATGTCTTCTTTGAGCTTTTTATGATGCTTAAATAGGTGTCCAAAAGGTGCCACAAGCTCTTTTTCTCACGATAGGACGATATGGCCAAAGTAATGACATCTTCGAGTTTCCCCACCTTACCTTCCGTATTAATAAATATTGACTTCAAGTCGTGAAAAATACACAGCTTTAAGCAGACTACTCCGATTGGCTTGGTAGAAATAAACCTCCCTGGTCAGAGAGGTTTAGTCTGGAAAGCACTTGTTAGAACTTGATAGAACACTGTTGATTCAATCATTAACATAAGAACGATTAGGGCGGGTCGAGGGTCCATTTTGTCTTTTTGAGTGTGTTAGGCTTTTTTCAAAAGTCTTGTGTATACTTTCAAAGTGGTCGAATAAAGCCTTCAGCAAACAGCGATGAGCTACTACGATATTGACGACATTTTAGCGGATGCCTCAAAGTTTCCATGCCGGTTCAACTATGACATTCCGGGTCTTGGATACTTGGAGGGAAACGCGGGGAAAGAGATTCGGAAAAACGCGAAAGTAGAGCTTCCGCTGTGGTTGGCCCGAATTCTAGCTATTGTGGGAGGAGACGCTGGTCTCAATGACGAGGATGCGCTTCCTTTTGTGGAACTGATGCAGCCTGAAATGTTTTCGCCAAAAGTCCTAAATGCCATTAAATCCGGCCCCGTAACGCTCGACGTACATTCTATCAACTCTCATTTCTATGCATTAGCCATCAAATGGGCCACCTTGTTTAATGACCGTGACCTAATAGAAGTCCTCAACTACATGCTACTCGAAAGATGTCAAGAAATAAATAATCATGCATCTAGTGTTCAATTGGAGAATGTAGGCCGTGGAGGTAGCCAAGGCACTTTCATGTTAACTCTTGACGAGTTCGAGAAAGTCCTTTATAAAGACAGTCATGAAAGCTGTAAGGACACAAAAAAATGGGTAATCAGAAAATAAGGGACACAAGTACATATATATGTCGGAGTTTTTTTATAACGGTTTTAACTGGTCTTAACTAGCTTTTAGATCTGCAGTATGAGGCTTCCTTTGCCTATCAAAAGAGTTCCTCATCTTGGTCCTCCGCACCACTATTGTTTGGAGTGGGCTGCGCCGATTTCTCCTCTTGCTCCTTTGAGGATTGGCCGTCTTCGTCTTCACTGTCGTCGATGAACTCTTTGGAAAGATAGGATTTCTTAGGCTTACCTGGTTTCTTCAGCTCGCCCTCGTCTTTACTAGCCTCCTCATTTTCGTCCATGTTTTCATCCTCTTCATCAATTACTGCTCTCTTCGTGCGTCTCTTTTTCTTTTGAGTGGGTTTACTATCTTCTGACTTCTTACTACGCTTGGCTCTTTTCGGCTTTTTAGGCTCGCCATTTTCCAAAAATTCTTCGTCTCCACTTAATGGGGGGTTGGACCCCTTGGCTTCTTCTATAGCATCCAGTTCAGTCCTTTCTTCCATTAGCTTACGAGTCTCTTCCTGCAGCTTCTTGTATTCCTCAACTTGCTTTGCCATCCGTATGCGTTCCTGTTCTTCCTGCGCCTCACGACGTTCGCGCTCTCTGATCTCACCCTCTTCAAATGTCTTTCTGGCTTTGGCTAACTTATCAGCGGCCTCGTTCTCGTAGTCTTGCTGTTCGCTAATACATCTTTCCAAAGCGCTTTTCATTGTAGTCTCACCCAATTGTAAACGTTGATCAAGTTCGTCAATAGGCATGATACTAGTTTTTTGTTCGATCAGCTCTTTAAACAGAGTTAATGCGACTTCCAAACCCAAGCGGGCACTCTCAAGTTTGGACAAGGTCCTCTGCTTGGGTGCTGCTCTGCGCAATGTTTCTGCAATTTGAAAGTGCAACAAAGCAACGTTGAATTTGACGCTTTGTAGCATACCAGAGTTCTCCTTTTCCAATTCTGCTGCTAATGCTTCCTGAGCATATTCTAAGGACCTCTCAAAGCACTCTAAAGATTTCTCCCGCACACCTCGAGAGTACCATGCACGTCCAAGCAGATTGAAAAGTAGTGGCTTACTAGTTTCGTTGCTGAATTGTTTCAAGGCGATCTCATAATTTTCGATAGCTTTGGCATGTTCTTGCATTTCTAGCAAGCAATGGCCCAGATTGATGTGTACCGATTCATTGTTTAACGAGTCTCTCACCTTTCTTAGAATTTCAAGAGCTGGCCCGTATCGTTTGTTCTCCGCGTAAATGATAGCCAAGCCTTGGGCAGCGAAAATATTGAACGGATCTACTTGCAATACTTTCTGCAGAAGTTGAATGGCTTTGACGAACGACTGCTTTGATTTTTCTTGCTCCTTTGGTGATGACAATTTTTTAGACTCTCGTGCGATGGTCACATATAAGTTGGCCAAAGATATGAGGGCATAAGCATCGTGTGAATCGTATTTGGTAAGGGTGTCACGGTTTTGTGTGATTTCCAATTTCTCTGTCTTTTCAGTTTTCTTTTCGGTTGAACCGTTTTTCAGATACCAGTTGTAAAAGGAACGTGTATCAAGGTCGGATGGGTGTGATTCTAATAATTCGTCAACCTGTTTGTCTAAGTCCGCACTCTTCTCCTTCATAATCATCAAATACAGGTAGCGTATTTTAGCATGAATGTAGTTAGGGTGTGTGGCTAGTAAGCTCTGGTATCCGTGAAGTGCTGTATCGGGATCATCAGATTCAGAAACTCGCGACTTGTTGAATTCAATAGTAATAGATTCAGCGGGGTTTCCAGAGGAACTTTCATCTAAAGATAGCTTGGAAGCAAGGGTAAAGTATTTGCTGGCTTCTGACCTGTCGCCATTGATGAAATGGAAGCAGCCCAAGTTGTTATAGACTTCAAGCGGAGTAGAACTGGCATCACTATTCTCAAGTTGGTCGACTGCGCGAGAAAGCGTTTCCAGTGACTGCTTGTACGAATTCTGCAGTTGATATAATTCAGAAAGTACCAAATAAGCCTTCAAGATGACAGCTTGATTCTTTTTAGCTTTAGTCATTTTGATATATTTTTCAACGAAGTTCACCGATTTCTCCAGCAGTTTGGTTCTCTCGGCAGGAGGCATGGCATTGTGAGCTTTGGAGTCCAGACATTTGGCACTATACAGCAAGCCTAGAACATAGTTGATCTCCTGTATATTCTCATTGGCTGCGTAAAGATTTTCAAAAGTCAAAATACTTTCTTCTATCAGATTGTTTTGAATCTGTGTTTGACCTAGCCCAAAGCGTGCTAGCAGGTTATCCTCGTTTGATTTTAAGCTTTCTTGGAAAAATTGGAAAGCCCGACGAGGTTCGTCCAACGCATAACACGCCCTCCCACACCAAAATGCAGATTCCGAGAGAACCATATCTGAAATACGAGATGCAAAAGGGGCGATTTGCTTCTCATGAATGCCTATAACTTTGTTGTAGTCTGCCTTGAGATAGCAATAAGATTGATACAATACCAGCAGTGTAGGGTTATGTTTATCCGTTGACATTATCTCACCCAATTGACTCAATGCAGCATGATATTTAAGTTTGAATGCCTCGTCATCTTCTGACTGTGTCAAAGCAGAGTGGAATTCACCTAGTAAGAGCAATATCTTGACATTTAGGTTGTTAGGCGCTAATTGAAGACTGCGTCTCCAAGAACGAATAGCCATCTTGTGATCCTTTAGTTGCCAGAAGCACATACCAATGCCAATTCTCGGATCTGGCCGTAGCACAGGATTTAAAACCAATAGTTCCTGGAACAGCCTCAAGCTCACAGGGTAGTTTTTCTTCTGGTAAAATAGCTTGGCTCTTACCAGCAAGAACAACACGTTGGGCTTCGATGTACGTCCAAGCCGTTGGTCCTCGGCATGTATGCCCCGTACGAATAGTTCCGACATTTCTAAAGCCTTGTCGTACAGTTGGCGTTGGTAATATAGGTCAATTGTAGCCAGCATATTGCCGACCCCAGAAGGATCATATCCTATGGCTTCCTTGAGGTGGTGTTCGGCTTGCATCAAGTTACGTTCCCAATTCTCCTTTTCCATACTGTATTGTTTCGCCTGCTTCAAAAAGGCCCATGTTAAACACGTATGAAGGGGTCCAGATTGAGGTCCCTGGAACACCTCCAAAGCCATTTGAACTAGGCTGATACACTCACTCAGCGAGCCACGTTGGCTGTACGCAATAGCAATTGTTATCCAGTGTTCCTTGTCTGAATTTTCCTCCACCAGCAATGTCTTCAGATCGGCAGGGTCCTCAGGAAGGTCGTTAACCAGATCGATGCTCACCACTTCTTCCGAGTCCTTTAGCGGAATATCCAAAGTGGTACTCCACTCAGCACTAGGATATGCTCCTATTTCATTGCCTTGATCCATTGTGAGCAGTGGCACCGCTACTAATCGGCTGTTGCTGCTCTGCTATCTGCAAATACTGATCTTCATCCAGTACCTATTCTATGGCGTTCAGCCTGTGTTGTTGAATAATTACAACCGCGCGGTGAAAATTCACTTTCTCCGGGTAACCTCAAAGACCCAAATACACGGAAACTCAGTTCTAATTGATCCAACGAGCGTCCTGAAACCGTCAGCGAGGACTAACTACTCATCTTAGATATCTGTGTGTAAACCCGTCATGGTCCCATGGACTTTCGCCGGTAAAGCGGAGTAGAATCCATTTACTTATTCAAGTATCACTGTTCACGTGAACGAGCTTAGCACCTTGGCAGGACGAGGCACCGTAGGATACCGAGAGATGAGTCCGTTAGCCTCCAAACTTCACCGCTGCTATGAATCCTGTCGACTTAATCATCAAAACTTCTGCAGGTACATCATATTGTCTCAGGAGAAGTGGTCAAACATTGTGGACCAGTCGAGTGGAGAGCTGATTCTTCTGACATACGAATACCAATACCTGCTCAAACACTTCGACTCACTAAGGTTGACAGCAGTAAGCCTAGCGTCGTCCACCACAGCGACAATCATCCCATCGTATATCACGTGATTAAAGAAGATACTCTCGAGTGTAGAAGGGCCTGATAAGCCATTTCCCGGTAATTGTCCTCTCCTGTATGAAGCCTCTACCAATGGATATACTTTACATCTCGGTTTCACTAGTGACGGAGGAGTCTGCCGTCGATTAACGGCTGTCACAAGTGACATTTGCTCGTACATGGTGCTATACGGTACTAACAGTTTTCCAATTTGTGAAAAATAATAGTAAATGTACAGGCGATGAGCTAGGTTCACCAGCAGCCTAAAGAGCCGAGGAGCTTGAAATGGCAGTTTCCAAAAGAGTATACGTTGGAAATGTTGTCCACGAGCATGATGATAGTTTATTTGAGCTCAAACCTCGGTTTGAGCGGTTCGGACGCTGTTTGTCCGATCAGTTCGAAAGCCACGGCCATTTTGCATATATGAACATGGAATTTGAAGACGAGGCCCGATTTGCTAAGCTTAAACAAAGCTTAAACGGCGTAAGGTTCAAGGGCAATAAGCTGAAGATTGATCAGGCCAAGTTGAGCTGGCAAGATCGTTGGGAGAGCGAGCGGGAACTGGAGGGGCAATTGGAGGAAGCGAAGCAGAAACAGCTTCTCAAGCAACAATGGGAGCACAACAAGAAGATTCAGAACATCCAAATGAGCTGGATGGATCGCCAGCAGATCCTACGAGGTAGAATGCGGACAGCACCACGGAATAGGGCTCAGCTCAGGAACGTCACTTTCCGTGTACTGTGCGACGGCCGTTTAAAAGTGTACAAAAGCTACAAAAACAAGCTGTGGGGCTACGAGCGTCACAAGCAACCGCGTGATCTTACGGCTCGATTCACTGACAGTCGTTATTGGAGAGATGGTAATGACCACATCGTGGACAAGCTCGACTACTCCCACTCTTCGCTATGGGGCACTCGACAAGGATCGGAGAAAACGCAGGGAACCACTGCCACTTTTGTCACTGAAGATTTGGAGGGCGCTGTTGACAAGACCCGCGACGTTTTGGCTGATTTGTTGGGTGACTATGATTTTGAAAAACCAATTGCTCTCGAAGACAACGATGACGAAAATGCTTCTTCAGATTACGAGTATACTGCCTTATATCGCGATCAAGAGGCTGAGCAAAAGCCCTCCTCCAAAAGCTCAGAAGCGGAGGTACCGAAACATGTCAAAGCAAGTAATGGACAAGAAATAGTCGAGCAAGAAGTTGAGCAAGATTCAGATGATGAGTTCATACCCACATTTGGTGCTCAGCCGGAAACCCCCGCTGTCACAAATCCTACTGAGGAACTGAGGTCTTTATTGAACCCAGATGAGAACGACACGACTTCGTTCAAACTTACAAATATCTCTAATGAGGACATCGATGAAAGCAAAGTAGCGCCAGAGGTTCACGATACAGAAACTACTACTTACGATCTTGAAAGACCAAGTACGGATTCTGACAGGGGGTTATTTTTCCCACACTTTTCATCGCCTTTCTTGCATTCTCAATCGCAGTTGGCCAAACTCAAATCTTCGAAGGACCAAGCTAGCTTGTATGCTGACTGGGAAAGTAACTTCTGGGAAAATCGTGCTGCTTGGACCCAAGAAATGAAACGAAAGAAGAGAGATGCCTTGAGGCAATATCGTAAAAAGAACTCGAGATCAAGAGGTGAGGGGATACTGCTGTAGTGCAGCTTATATTGGGCATATATACTTTCCTTAGTTTATTTGCATTGAGATAAATCGGTTAACTTTGAAATTTAGCTCCAAACTTGACAGCCATTTCAATAGCTGCTGCACCCCAATCTTCGCCGTGGTTATGCATTGATTTTGCTTCGTCCAAACCTGCTCGAGCCAGAGCCTGTTCTTCCGTTAAACAAGTTAGCAATCCAAATATGACGGGAATGTTGATATCTTCTTGAAGACGCATCAAAGCGTGGGTAGTAGAGTCGGAAATGTACTCAAAATGCATCGTGCTCCCCTTTATAAGCACACCAATTGGGATGACAACATCAAGATTGACCATTTTTGTAAATCTTTTAGTGGCGTATGGAAGCTCAAAAGAGCCAGGAACAGTCTCTACAACAATATTTTCTTCTTTGACACCCAGGCTCAGCATTTTTTTAATGGCACCATCCACCAGTGCGTCAATAACTTTTTTGTTCCAGCGGGCGTGAATTATACCCACCTTAACATTCGAGCCGTCATATTTGCGGTCAGATTGGCCCAGACCCTTCACAGCCATTTTATGATGGGAGAGATATGGTAGAGTGTCCAGTTCTTGATTTTCAACTATTTCACACAGCAAAGTTTACTTATAGGCCCATACAGCTCTCAAATTTCCATTACCAATAATTACGTACAACAGCATAGTCAAATGAATAATGAAAGAAACATATCTATTGCCTATATAATACACGCTATTGTGAGCTTTTTGGTTCAAAATTCATCATCCCTCTCGATAGTTATGTCTCTGGCATATTGAGAGCCACCCCTAGTGTCCTTTGCAGCTGCTGTATCTTCTTCCACATCTCCTAAATCCTCCTGATCGCGTGGGACATTATTAATTTGTACACTAGGTGCATACTTGGTGTGTTCAAGATTCGCAAAAATGCCCTGAAGAATCTTGTCAAGATATTCAGGCGTGTTAACGTTGAACATGTTAGACGGTCTCACGTCAAGTTGGTAGTCTGGCCCATAATATTCATAATAGTCATTGTAAGGTAGTTCCTCATCCAAAATCACGTTGTTAAGTAGACCTGTTTCAAAGGCCCAAGTTCTAGCCACGTTCCGCATGGTGTAGCCTCCACCACCAACCACAAGCATGGGTATGCCGAAGGATTTCACATAGTTCACACAATTGGCATGACCGCGCATCGACAAGTTGAAACAACCCAGACGGTCTCCGGAGAGCGAGTCACCACCACACTGTAGCACGACGGCTGATGGCTGGTACCACTCCATGATTTTGCCGATAACCGGCTCAAAAACGGACTTGTAGGTGGCGTCGTCGATACCATCCCGCAGAGGTACGTTAACCGAATAGTACTTACCTTTTGAGACACCTGTGTCTCGCAGTTCACCTGTACCCGGGAAAAATTCACCATACTTGTGGAACGAACATGTCATGACCCTATCTGTAGTGTAAAATGCTTCCTCTACACCATCGCCGTGGTGAACGTCAATGTCGATGTACAAAACTCTCGGATGGTATCTTAGAAGCTCTATTATACCCAGAACAATATCATTGAGATAGCAAAAGCCAGACGCTTCTGATTTCTTCGCGTGGTGTAAGCCTCCGGCGTAGTTGATCGCGACATCGCATTTGCCTCGATTCAACCTAGCAGCACCTTCCATAGAACCTCCTCCCGATATGCTGCAATATTCGTAGAGCCCATCGAAAACAGGGCAGTCATCACCAACGTTAAACTTCACACTGTCTTTTTGGAACAATTCTAAATTATCCGGTGTTACTCGCGACAAAAAGTCGATATACTCGTCAGAATGAAATTGGCACATCTCTTGCTTAGTGGCTGGTTTGGCCCTGTATATTTCCATCTTTTTGTAGAGTCCGTAGTTCATAATCAGTGAGTGTGTCATTCTAATTCGGTGTGGTTTCATGGGGTGAGATGAGCCGTAACTGAAAGAACCAACATCAGCATCGTAGAAATAAGCAACCCTTTCCTTCCCGGTGGATTTCACCTTGATAGGATCAAAAGGAAGAGCCTCGTAGACCATCTTCTGAATATTTCTGTCAACGCCTTCTCTTCTCCTAAAAGCAGTGATTTACAAACAATGAGCAAAGTAGAATTCCAAAGGGACGAATACTCCAAAGAGCTCTTAAATCAAATCGCAGGAAGTTGAAATGATCTCGGAATGTCACAATTATCTAATCGATAGAGTTAGCAGCACTATCGCGATAGTCGAAGGTCTACTTTTCTACTGTGCAACTTGTATGTAAGGCGGTTTTCTCGAACTGGAAGACCAACAAACCGTACCAAAAGCGAATTTCAACGACTGTAAATACTAAAACGATTTCACCAGGAAACAATCAGGCCGTATGGTAGGTAGAGTGCTTTGACCAATATTACTACCTAACCACTATTTATCAAAGCTGGTGAAAGTAGCCTGGTTACCTTTATATACACACGGCGATCTTCTATCAAAAATCTTCAAAGTTTGATTTGACCTTTAAGTAATGTGCAAGTTCTTCTTGCGAAACGCTTGGTGTGAGATTTGCTTGTGCGTTTAAAAAGTCTTCCATCTTGACCGCCACATCAGAGTCTTCTTCTGTTGCAATCTTGTCAAACCAATAGCGTGTTGAAACATTTCTACCGACTTTCTGAGAATAAGACAGTACTTTTTTGTCTACATCTTTTGAAACTCTTGTCATGGCGTTTAACATTGCATCTGAACAAAGCGCGTAAAAATCAGCTCCTGTGTAGTTGAATGGACATATATCTGCAATTTTCGCCAGATCAACGTCCTGATCCAACGTAAATTTCCTGCTCAGGGCTCTCAAAACATTTTCTTGCTTCTCATTTGTGTCCGAAATTCCTAGATACAATAATTTGTCGAACCTGCCTGGTCTTAATAGGGCCTCGTCAAGCAAATCTGGCCTATTGGTTGCTCCAATAACAAACACGCCGTCGCAATCCGTACTCATACCATCCAACTCTGCTAAAAGTTGGGACACAATACGGTCCATCACACCACCTGAATCACCTTGATTTCCTCTTTTAGGTGCCACGGAATCCAATTCGTCGAAAAAAATGACACAGGGCTTGGCATCTCGCGCTTTTTGAAACACACGCCGAACATTTGCTTCAGATTCTCCAATGTACATGTTCAATAGTTCAGGGCCCTTTACGCTAAAGAAGTTCAAAGAAAAATTGGTAGCGATGGCTTTGGCTAACAGTGTCTTACCTGTTCCTGGTGGCCCGTAGAACAATATACCACTTCTCTTTTTCAATTCCGACGAGAACAGCTCTGGGTGTTTGAGTGGCAAATCGATCGTATCCATAATCTCACCCTTTACCATGTCCATACCACCGATGTCGGCCCACGATACATTTGGAATTTTTGGGGCTCCAATAGAATCTGAAAACTCATCTCTTGCCTTTTCTATAGACGAAAGCAGTTCTTGCTCTTCGATTGCAATAAAGCCGCCGTTTGAAATATAAGCGTCCTGCAAGTGATCATTGGAAAGAGCTTTACTCAACGAAGTCGACATTGCATTTTGAACTATCGATTTTATATCATAGGGAGAGAGGCCCGCCGATCTCTGGGCAAGCTTGGAAATTGATAATAGCGGGCTCTTAGCAAAATTTAGATGATTTCCATTGTTGTGATTAAGAACTTGTTTCCGTAGGCTCCACTCAAAAATATGCTGTCGTTGCAGCTCATTGGGCACAGGAATATCTAGGGTGAAGTGGATTTTCGATCGTAGGGCATCTGGTAAATTGTCAACATCTTCTACAGAGCCTACGAATATGGCACCCTGCGAGTTACAATAATCAACCACGGATGCTAATTCTAACGCTAGAGACCTGTTTAATCTGGCACTGCCCAAATCCTGGAGTTCATCCGCTTTTTCGGCTGCAGAATCCAAATGAGACAAATAGACGATCGAAGGAGCCACGAAGGCGAGTAGTGGTTCCAGCTTAGCTCTCAGGTAGCCTACAGTCTTATTCATGGCATCTATGGACCCTTGTGCTGATGTAATTGACATGCAATCAATTTCTATCAGATTTACTCCCAGCTCGCGTGCGACAAACCTTACCAAGGTACTCTTTCCGACGCCTGGGGTTGACGATTGTAGAATGACGGAAGTCAGAGATGGAGCGCCAGCATCGTATAACTTAAAGGCTACCTTGGCAATCTCCTGAAAACGTTTGGCGTAGTCAAAAACTGTGAGATCATAGCGGAAAATGGAAGGCAGCCCATAATAGGATACGTAGTCACATCTAGGCAGTAAAACTGGTGAGCCAGCCACTAAACTTTGAGTTAGAAGCGTCGTTTTTTTGCTGTCAATCTTCACCTCGTTACGGTAGGCGATTTTATCCTCAACTTCGACAGTTTCCACCCTGAACCAAGCAATGGAGTCATCTTGTCCATTGATGTCGAGCTCGGTAAAGTCTTTGGAATAGAAAGGTGCCAGATTTGAGTCAAACGTTATGGGCAGCTGGTCACCAACCTTCAACAGGCGATTTTTTTGTGTCAGAAAGGCGATCAAGTTGCTTGATATAATATTCTCGAATATTTTCTGGCAGTTATTCCAAGAACCAATCCTAGCTAAGGATACCATAGATGCGACAGGGGGATGCCTTGTAGCGAGCGTAATTTTCTCAATTTGTACCTCATTACAATTCCGGAAAATCGCCATAAGACGTGGAGATACGTAGAGGAAGCCAGGCTCCAAATCATTAGGGGAAAGCAAAACCATGAGCTTCGCCATTTTTGATACACCCTCCGAGACCAATGTAACATACGTCCCACTGCTCATGCCCAACTCGAGAAACAAGGAGCAACTGGCAAAGACAAATAGTGAATCGTCCTCTCCATCTAATGAATGCGGGCGTAAAAGCTCAGGCTTTACGGGAGAGTTCAAACATTTCAAAGGGAGTCTTTTAGAAGGGTTGTGGATCAATCTTAAATCGGCCATAGGGTCTGCAATATGCTGCATTTGACTCTTGCCATCTCTAATGAAGAACACATTTGTGACGTTGCTTTTGATCAAACCTTGATGTTGTGGCGAGCAATCTGCAACATGGCACCATTGATCTAACAGAATATCCCCCGCATGCAAAATGGCACTGGTATCCATAGATGCCTTCAGTTTCACAAAGTTAAATCTGTCTCCAGCATCGGGTAATTCCATTAGACGATCATATAATATGGGTTGTGTGGCGATAGCGATAGAATCTAAAACCGGGATTGAGCCTTCATAGGGCCATAGCTCGCCCCAGTCAACTGCTGGCTGACCTTTGAGGACCCCAAAGAGTTGAGCAGGTAGCAGCACAGACTCAGCATCAAGCTCTGGATTTTGTCTACAGTATACCAGCTTCGACCTGGAGTAGGACCTGTAGCTGCCCAAGAGGACACTTACTAGCACCGTATCGGTTGCCTCTTTTCCATCTTGTAAACTTGTATTCGCGTTTACAAAATGATTGAAAAGATCGCTAGAAATGAAACACCCTAGCCCAAATTCATAATTGAAACTAACCCGGGCCTTGAGAGGTTCAGTAAATGGAATTTCGTCCATTGTAGCGCGTCCTTTTTGTTGTAAGAGCTGAGAACACTAGCCGTATAGCGAAAATACCGTGCCTTCATACGGGCCGCTACAAACATCAACTGCAAGTATTTGCTGAGACTTGACTTACAATCTCTAACACAATCGCTGTTGGTTTAAGAGTCTAGCCACAGTCATTTTTTCAACATAATACTATGACTCAATACGTCTCTTGCTTCATTTATCTTCATAGCTAGGAATGGGCTGCCTCCACGATCAGGATGGTTTTGGACCATGGCTCTGCGATGCTTGCTTTTCAGTAGTGGTACATCTAGCGATTCAATTTCCCGTCCGACAATACCTAGGATAAGTAGCGCTTCTGACTCAGTCATTTTCGTCGAGAAGCCGCCGCCGTATTGGTGTAATTGCGCCTTCAGCTGCGGAGACAGGTCGCGGTAGCGACTCGAACTGTGCTTCTCGAAGGACGAGGGTGTAGGAGAAACTCGAACACCGTTCAACTTTGCAATCATTAGTGGCGTGAGCCTTTTGTAGATTTGCCAAGCTCTCAGGCCAGATCGTACTGTCAGGGCTACAGCCGAAACTCCCAATCCGATCACTATTGGCAATACCATCGCTCAACAGCAACCAGCTACAAACGAAGTACTTGTCTATCTAAATCCAACTAACGTTCAGAGCCTTTCTTGAAGGTCGGTTAGTGGGTTTGTGGTGCGCGTGTTCCTGTCTTTTTCTCTGGATTTAAGAACTGACGAGGTAGATCTCATTTATGACAGTGAAATACATATCTCTCTGTTTATAGGATGGCGACGTGGGAGAACAGAAAGGCTATCAACAAGTGCTGGTGAGGTTGCCAAATTCGAAGGAAGTGTCGTAGGAAGAAAAAGCTGGGATGTACTAGAGTGAGCCGACTAGAAACATGTTGTCCAAGGAAGAAAGTTCAATTCTTGAGAAATTATTCCAAGGTGACAGACAAACTTAAATAAAAAAAGGAAACTATCGCTCGTCGTGTCACTGTACTTATAATCTCAGGGGGTGGCATCTAGCTGTTGAGACTCTTGGTCGTTCGGTACACAAAACCATCCGCAAATTCCGTCAGTCTTTCATGTTGTATGGATCACGCTCAGTGTTGCATATATAGCTAAAAAAGGCGGAAGGGTATAGATATCACCCCCAACTATGGAAGCCTAAATACTTTAGTGCCAAAAGAGCTTCATTAACCACAATGCATTTCAAAGAGTAGAGATTCACCTTCCTGACGCTGATGCTCATAATAATAGCAGCACCCGGTACACATGACGGACTTTTTGAAGGGCATAAGCTCCCAATCTGGTCAGATCAAATCACAAAATCCTACCCCAGGGTATGCTTAAATGGTGTTTAGCGTGGGTTAGTAAACCACCATTGTGGGCGATGACTATCTCTTTGGACGAATATGACCAGCCTGCCCTCTATTAAAGTAAATTAAGTGGGCATTTACTTAGATGGCTGGTCGGTGGAAATGACAGATGCCAGACTTTGATAGATCATTGTGTCCGCTGGCTAGGGAAGTATCTAGATTGTATTTCCCTTGCATCAATTAATATGGCGCTCTTTGCGATGGCAGCTCCTAGTGTAGTATGCTGAATCAAATATCATGCATTAGTGGATCAGGAAAGAGAGACTGGCTGGCTCCAGTGTAAATTGATCCAGTGTCACTACAGGCTATCTGTGGAAGATATTATGCTACAAGCCTTAATAGGGTCAACTGGATCAAATATCTACCAAATCGGATACCATGATGAGCCCCCATATTCACTTGTATAAAAGGGTAGCGATTAAGGTAAAAGACCCAACTGTTTCGATAGTAACTGAATCAGTCATTGTATAACAATTGGAGCACTCGATATTCCGTTCCTCTTTGAGTAGCCATGGTATCGCTAACTGAAGCGTTTCTGTCACTTCTGTGCCTCACAGGCACAGTTGTGGCCAGGTACTCTAACATAAGTTCTACCACTGTTTCCGCTGTGCCCAAGACCACACCAACCGCTTTTTTTTCGTCGGTACACTTACTAGACTCGTATACAGGAACCACTGTGTCGAATGACAAGGAACACTGGTTTGTGATCGAGGCAGAACTTTACATATCAGCCGACTTCGATGGCGAGCTTCATTTGACTGCGCCTGAGAGCTTTCAAGGGTTTCCAATAGATTCTTTTGACCTTTTAGACAATACAACCACTGTGGGAACAGTCTCTTGGAATTCGTCCAACGTCCTTACAATTAGACCCGACCGTTCGAGTACTGACCATTCTGCTGTATTCAATGTGCTCACAAAGCTCTCCAGTGAAATCAAAGAATCTATCACTGGTCCTGCCGTTAAATCCTTTGAGTTTCAGCAGTCACCCGGGGGCTCCGTTATCGAAACAATTGACTTTATCGCCCAGGATTTGTCCGAATCTAACACAAACGCTTTGGTCGACGGAGACAATCGAATCACTTATTCTGTCAATATCCCATTTAGCGAATATCCAGGTGCTTTGAACTTTGCTGCAACCTTCTCCGGTGCTGAATCCCACTCATTTGACCCTTCCTTAACTATGGTTAGAGTCGTCGTTGATGTCGATGAATTCAATAAACCTACAAAAGTGGTGAACGTAACAGCCTTCCAAGACTTTTCTGATGCGAACTCGATCAACTTGCAATTGAATTCTCAAATAAGTGGTGGGGAGTACCTTCAGATTATATATGCCACTACTTCCAGAATCAAATCAACTTCAGTGGACACTGTAGCCACGCTGAACTATCCATCTCTCTCAACCTACAAGAGGGATATATCTATCATGTTTGAGGATCACGTTGCTCTCAGATCTGCCTCAAACGTTGAAGACTTTGGAGAAGATGTCACAGTGGTGACTGGTTCCAGTTCCAGTGCGTTTCCCACTATTACCGCCGTCAATACAACAACCTCATCTAATGAAGGAACAACGATTGCATTGACCCAAACTTCGTCAGATGTTGGCACTGTGGCAAATACCACACATAACGTCGCTGGTAGCACCTCCGAACATTTCACCGTTGTTCCAGCCTCAAGCGCAATCAGTTCAGAGCAGCAATCAATGGCCACGATTCCAGCTAATAGTTCAATGATTCCATCCCAATCAGTCGCCAGCAGCACGTCCTCTTCGCAGAGCACCATCATAACAGGAGGGCCATCCTCGAACTTGCCAACTTCAAATTCCCCTCTGAATTCCAGCTCCACGGTAAGGAGCACTCCCTCCAATAACAATGGCGTAGTTCTGACTTACACAGTTGTCACACGTACCGATAATGGAGAATATGAGGTGTACACGAGCTTCTTCCCTATAACAACTCTATCATCATCGCCTAGCGCAGACCCTATGAGCAATGGAACCAAAGTTCATTATACAGTCAACTCAACCTCAACCGCAACTAATTCAATACCTACACACACAGTGTTGACTAAAACTGTTAGTGGCGAGGTTACTGTTTACACCTCCCTCGTGCCCATTGCGACATTGAGTAATAGCACCATGAGCAAAAAGTCGATGGTGACTAAGACCAGTGATGAAGAAGCTTCTGAGTCAACCACTTCAACTACTGATGTCGATGGGACCACTACAACTCTCGCCAGTGTCAAAGGCCACAGCACTTCTTCTAAAAGCACCGGCGCTCACCACTCCAGCGAAAATGAGATGACAGGTAAGACGGACGCCACCGAGGTCAGTTCTCAAAGTGAATCTAGTAGCCAATCTTCTCCTACTGTATCAGTTTCTGATTTGAGCAAGACAGAAACTAAGGAAAGCAAGGTTACCGGGTATCAAACTAAGGTCTACGAAACAAATGCCGTTTTTACTACGACCAGGGATGGAAGAGTTATCGAATATACAAAATGGTATCCAGTTACGACTCTAGCAGCCGACAACAGAGGCTCTGTTGAGTCATCTACTGGAATTGAATCGACTAGGCCAACATCTCCAACTGAATCATATCCCGTCTCAAGCAAGACAGGAACTGAATCTGCCAAGGTTACTGAATACGAGACAAGGGTCTTTAAAACTAGTACCGTCGTTACTACTACTAGTGATGGTATAGTTCTTCAGTATACTACATGGTTCCCAATCACAACCCTCGCCCCGATTTCCAACACTAGTGTTCGTAACCACTTTACTTACTCGAATGATTCGCTTTACGTTACTAGTCAAGACACACCTTTTTCGGCAGTTTCGGGAAGTAAAAGTGGCAAGCTTACTCAAGCCACGAGCCCTACCTCTATGGCGTCCCATGGGGCCGAACACGTCAAATATTCGGGTCTGGGTGCAAAGGTTCACAACAGTACACTCACTAGAGGAGCTCAAATAACTGCTGCCCTAAGCAAGTCGCATCATTCGAAATCACAGAATTTTGAGAGCTCCACCTTTACTTCCTTGAGCCCAAGCTCGAAGTATCAAAACGAAACTGATAGCACGCGCACCAAATACTCATCTACCGTCACCATTGGCACTGCTGGCTATTATCCCTCTTCTTCTTTCGTAGTTATGAACACTACGACAGTATCACTTTCGACCAAGGTCAGGTCCTCAGCCATGGTACTAGCTTCTGTGCAGGGTGAAGTTGTTTCTACTTCTGAGCGTTTCCTAGGCTCTTCTCGTGTGTCAGAACCCTCTGCTGACGCTAGAGCTGTTACGTCTTCCGTGGCTAGCTCGTATTCCGGAATTGCCAGTCAAGTGTCTGCTGAGCTAAACTCCGAGACTTCAGTAGATTTTGCGACTCGTACGAGTGTCAAATATTCACAAGCCAATGCACCCTCTTCCAAGGTACTAACATACTCGGAAGCATCAGTATACTCACAAGCCAGTGCTCCTTCCTCGAAGGTAGTAGCATTTTCACAAGTCAGTGCGTCAAGAGTATTGTTGAACCCAAGCGGATCCGTGGTCACCGAGGTTCCAATTGCATCAGCTTCGAAAACAACTTTAGGACATTCAGCGCTTGCAGTTTCTTCAAGTCAGGTCATGCAAGCTCAATCTAGCGCTGTTGTTTCATCGTCGTCACTGGCTCTTTATGTATTTGACGGCGGCGCCCGTCAAATGCAAAGTGGCATACTTGGGCTATTATTAGGTATGCTCGCGTGTTTGGTATGAGTACAAGATCCTTCAGTAATGCTTTTGAGGGACTTCGGGATTATTTGGTGTTAATATTAATGAGATAAGGAACTGTAATATATATATGCATATGTAACGTAAATTTTATTCGATGTTCATGATGAATGCAATGTTGGCCACTTGAATCAGTTCCCTCTTGTCAGTCACCTAGCGCAAAGGGGCGTGAGTTGTTGTGATCATACGAAGACCTTGGCGTCAAACGCCTCATCAGTTGCTCTTGTAAAGTCATACTTTCCGAAACCTCATTGCGCCAGTCTCTATTGACTTCGAAATAGAGGCCACTTTCATCCAGCGTATGCCTGGATCTAAGTTGCGATTGGGTAGGTATGGGGAAGACCCATTCGAAACAACTTTGTCCCATCACGCACTGCCAATTGCGGGAAGCTGAACCCAAATCAAACAAATTTGTGCTCTCCCGAGTCTGAGTTCCACGTACTTCGTCTAGTAAGTTCGATTGTAAATTGTGTTCTGACCATTCATACGTCTCAATAGTTGTCCTATTCTGAGTTACAAGGTAAACAGTATAGCCAGTAAAAGCCGCCATGGATATCGTGATGATGACAGACAGAATCCACACTATTAGTAGTTGCAAGTTTATGACCTCATCCTTGTAGCGCTCATTGCGAAACCATAGCAAGAAATGGGTACCTGCAATGAAAAACACGACCAAAGAGTAAGTTGTGGCCTGTATGAGGAATTGAACGAAATATTTCTGATTTCGAAATCCCACGCAACTAGCAAACCATGGACAATGGTGATCCAACTTTAAGTAGCACACATTGCATGACGAGCAATGGTGACATCGATCTGGTTTCCAAACATTGCATATGCGACAAAATCGGAACCGACCGTTTCTCTTTAAAGTGACAGATCTTTTGGTGAGAAACTCGGGCGGAAACTCTAAACCTTGATCCGCTGCACTCACATCTGTAATACGAAGCTCAGAAAACTCTAGTGGACTCCCAGCACCCACTTTTATGACCGTAAAGTACGTATATATACTAAGCACAAATATCGGTCCGAGCAACGTCAATGTTAAGCCTCGAGGAATAGCATCCACATACACTAAAGTTGTAAAGCCAGTGTAGCAAAATAGAAATATGGTTAAAACCTTTGGGAATGCACTAGCAATGCTAGAACAGGCCAGCATCTCCTGCTGGATTTTGAACACTCATTTTCAGGCTTTGAATGTTGACTTGGCTGACGATGCTCTGGTTAATTAGTACAAAATGATGATTCATTGATGTGGATTAATTGAATGTTGACCGAAGAAAATAGCGAAAGATATCTGCTAGTACCACCGAGTGATGATGAGTGGTAGTATTTGAATAACATCGAGTTGGGTAATAGTAATAGTTAAACTAGCGTCCGCATAGTACGAGATGATACTAACGATGTCAGTAAAACAAGAATGGAAAAGGTTAACAATCAACAAATGGGATTCAGAAGAGTAGCGCTGATATAGAAATTCCTTGGCCAGCCATTTCAATTATCCAACAGCCCAGGGATCCGTTTGATCGCTGCAATTGTTGGATTTGCCAGCCCTAACCGCACCAAGAATACTCTCGCTAGAGGTTCGTTAAAATGCCAGCTATAGGTTGGGAATATAGGCCAAAATTACGGCCCGAATAATTACGGAGAGACAATCGGAAGCAGCTTTAATACTCCAGATCTAGCATCAGGTATCCTGACTGTAATACGCGATGGCCATGCCCAAATTGCACGAATGACCCAGCAAGTTGGCTACTACCGCTGCTGACTTGCTCCAGTAGAATTCGCCCTCAACGGAAGGGGCAAGGTGGCTACCTTTTGGAAGGTATTCTTTGCTTTTTTTCTGATTTTTGTAGTAAGCCTGGGCGCTTTAGAAGTCCCAGGACGATCGAATGGCGCGGCCAATCAATTTTATTTGACAACTTAAAATGATTCTTCCACGGTTCGCCAATTCGACCAAAACACCTTGCTTTTTGTCGACTTTTTGTTTGCGGGAAGCGGAGCTTGACACAGCAACAATATTAGACTTTTGAATGTATTGAATGATTCTCTTCCAAGATATTCGAGGACAATATCACATAAATTAAGAAATTCACAATCAGACACAGGCTTCAGGTGTCGTCGGGCAGCTCTGATAGGACTATATTCAGTTTATGTATTTTCATGACAGAAAGGTAGAAAGTGATATGACACGAAGGATGGGAGATTGCAAAGTTTACTACTTGGGCCCCTCTGGCCAAAGCATAAGGATAATTTACGTACGGTTCTGAGGTTGGAGAAATCGCTTGCGAATTTTGTTATCTGTTAGGTGGACGTCTTATAGGTATCACCACTATCTTGATGGATATTCTTGAAGCTGCCTGGGATTTTTCGTATCTAAATACCAAGAAAAAATATGCGATGAGCTTCTCTCACTGCCATCACACTTGAAAGTGCCATTTTGAATAGTAGGAAAGTTCTCAATCGCTCCACGAGCTTTAAAGCTGCCTACTTTTTTAGGATACTTCTAGTGAATTGATGAGTGTTTTCATTGCACCAGGCGATGACTTTCATCTCGAAAGTCGAGACAACGTCATCTTGGGTCCAGGAGCCTATTGTGATCCGAGAAGCCAGGCCTTCACTCCTGTAAATGCTGGCTTTGAAGTGATAACGGAATCGAAGAAAGGTATCTGCGCTCATGTTGAATACAATTCTAAACGCTACGTGCCGGCGGTTGGCGATCTGGTTGTGGGGTTAATAACTGGCTCCTTCTCTGATAGCTACAGAGTATCGTTGGCAAGTTTCTCCACACCCGTTACATTATCCTATATGGCCTTCCCTAATGCTTCGAAGAAAAATCGACCTACTTTGAAGGTTGGTGACTTAGTATACGCACGAGTGTGCAAAGCAGACAAAGAACTGGAGGCTGAAATTGAGTGCGTAGACTCAACAACCGGAAAGGATGATGGATTTGGTCACTTAGAACATGGTACTCTGGTGCAAGCCTCACTGGCATTTTGCAGGGAATTGACCTTCAACGCAGAGTATCCACTTCTTTCGTTGCTTGCTAAGCACGCCCAATTTGAAGTGGCCATTGGTATCAACGGAAGAATATGGATCAAGTCTGAAGAAATCAGGCATACTCTAGCCTTTAGTAGATCTTTGCTGGAATGTCAGGATCACCCTGTATCAGAACATAAGCACATCATTTCTAAGCATTTTAAGAACGTACTCAATGCGTCATCTTAAATAAACCCCATGATTAAAAAGGCACAACGAACAGGTTTCGGCAATGATTACATAAAACTACTATTCTCCTTCGTGAAAGACATATAAATCTCAGCTTCTTCCGTTGTGACGTGAGTATCCCAGTGTTCCTGTGAAGCATATTGGTCCAGAACGGTATACTCTGATATTTTACAATGTTCCTCGTAAAAATTCTTTTCACCAAGCAGAGTTAAACCTGCAGATGAGTATGGAGGGGGCATGTTGTCTGATGAAAACACAGTTCCCGACTCCAGCGCATAATCCTTGTCTACTTTTACGTTATTCCCGCCACTTTTTATTAAAGAAAATCCGTCAAGCTGCTCTTTCAGTGCTCCTAGTTCTGCGGCCTGCTTTTGCAAAACAACATGATAAAGCTCATTTTCGTCTTTCATGGTAAAATCATGTGTATCGGAACTCGATGTATCAATACGTTCCGGCTTTTTCAATACGAAGTCGCGCAGCTTTTTGTTTAAAAAGCTTTGTTTCCGGGAATGAAATGGTGAAAGCGCGCTACCCCTCTTTTCGCCTGTACTATAACGTCTAGTTGAATTCATGCGGAAGGCAAACAAATCTCGGAAGGAGGAAAGCAGACGAGGTGCATAATACTCATTCCAATAATTATCGAAGGCACCTGGGTAACCTCGTATATTCTTGTATGTCTTTACCTTGGTCATGTCGTTGTCTTTACCAAGAATTTCGCGTTGAATCGTGTCTCGCAAGCTTCTAATGTGGTAAATGTTCCACCACTTGGTATAACTTCTTTTAGGCGAATCCAGATCTGGGCCCATGTGAAGGTAAAAATCGGTGTTCATCTCCCAAAGTGCAGGTATACCTTCCTGCCAGACATAATGTCCCAGGAATAAGTTTATAGCATCCTGCCTTTGGGCGTCCACAAACGAATTGCTATAGAACCTCTTTATACTTTCAATCATATCCCTTGAGTGAGAACTCCACTGATTAATCTTCCGGTAGGTTTCCATGGTGTTGACCAGATGTGATCCACCATATTGTAATGCGATTGTGTCCCCGTGATCATGGAAAAGTTCGGTGAGAATGTGCACGATGTCGGAATCGTATTCAAGAAACGAATTATCTCCAATCCCTAGAACCTCAAGCTGCACGCCCAGGGCCCTCTTCCCAATAACAAATTGGGCAGCATTGGTTCTATCAAGACAATCGATGCAGTTGGTCCTGCAGATGCCTTCTTGAATACGCGTACTCTTGAAATCACGCCCGTTGTGGAATATTCCTGTTGTTTCAACAGTGTTTAGGGCATATCGTTCAAGAAATTCTATCACCACCTGGCCGTGCGACTTCGAAGCCCTGCTCATGTCCCAAGATGTATATTGTATCTTCTTGCTGTCGGGGAGAAAAGTATTTAAGTAGTTGATACATTCCTCGAACTCATTCAACAAATTAACCTCGCGCGGATTCTTTTCTTTTGTTTTAATGAGATTAAGTACCTGAATAGGTCCACCTCCGTAACGTTGGAACAGTCTATCGAAATGTATTGCCGCAGAGCTGAAAAAAGGATCTTTGACGTTTACCTGAATAGGTGGTTTGGCAGTGAGGTTCGATACTTCTTGTGACCAGCACAATGGGATAGAACCTCGATGCTGCACAAAAGAGGTATATCGATCACTATCAAAATAACCATTATCGGGGCAGTGAAATGGAGTCAGTATCATATCAGAGACAATTTGCTCCGTTTCTACTTCGTTTGCAACGAACCCCTGTTTGTTAACGCCTCTTTTCAGGTACCTAGCACCAGCGAAGTGATGGGACCTTCGAGCAATTAGAGTAACATAGACGCTCCTCCCCCAAATCAAGACGTTAACTTGATCAATAAAGCCATGGACCATAGCTTGGAACCAATCGTAAACAGTGTCAATGCACGGAAATACGGGTTTCAATAGATTGCTATTCCACATGAACATATCGTTGTAATCTGGTATTCCGCTCGGGACGGAAAGATCTGGGCGGCCTACGGCCTTCATTTTTTCTCTGAGTACGTTCGTTTGCAAAGTATTGGTGATATCGTAAGTGTAACTGAAGTAGAACGTCTTGCTGAGATCCAAATTCAAGAAAGTACTGAGAAAGCGTGCCTCTATCGAGTACTTATCAGGTCTCTTGTAAGAGTTCGACAAGGGCACCAGTTCTGTCTCATCTATGTGGTATATGCAATGACCGCCCAGCACAGCCACCTGGCTCGTTTTGGTAATGACGATGAGATAATAGCAGTCCGTGAATCGAATGAATCCAAGCAAGCCATAACCTGTCAGTCTTTTGTTCAAACCCTCATCGTTTGCATCTTCTAGCGCTGCAAGGACGTTCATGATCTCCGATCGAGTGAAAAACACATTATCTTCGAGTACTGAAAGATTATCCGTCGGTACAGAGAGGTCAATTTCCAGAATTCTGAACATTGTTTCCCGCTTATTACTTCCAACCACGTACATTCGGTCCTTCGTTTCATATATGGTATATTTCGAAAGCGTAAACTTTCGCGTTTTCCGCTGTTTTGATGCGCTTATGGGCGGCATCGGCTTTGCAGACACAGAACTGGCATCTGTTTCGTGAGTTGCAGGTTCTTGTTCCATTGTTCGTATTATTCAGCTGCGTAACTCCCACCAAGCTTTCTTGATAATTATATTGTAGGGCCAATGTGCAGGGATCCTGTGTATCAGACTGTGAAACGCATCAGTGGTGCGAGGAGGTCCCCTTCACCTACCACAAGCTTCAAAGTGTATAAATTATGGGTATTTGTTTGCTCATTAAGATATCATTTCAAACGCATTCTTACTCGGCTCTGCCATGAACCTGGCCAGACACAATGCCCTGCACTAGTTCTGATTGTGTTCCATTCTTTACGAGCATGGATTGTTTCGTTGGTGGGAGAAGTGGGTTGCGGAATGGGCCAGCGAAGTAAACAAGCGGTGTTTGAAAAATGAGATCGGTATGTTTGAGTAATAGATATTTTATATAGTCCTAGGTACAACTGCTACTTCCCATAAGATCTCTGTTGAGAGCATTGTACTTAGTAGGTTGAATGTTAATATTCCGAGTATCATTTTTGAGAAAGTCTGAATTGAAATGTTAACTTGGATGACCAAAACTTCAAAATTCTCTCCTCTTTAAACAGGTCCTCAGGCAAGCCGCAACAGTTGAAATGTCAGCAATGAACGAGGCCTAAACACGTCAAACGGTAATTTATCATTGGGTGCTAAAGGTACTATGCCTACTAATTTATATATCTGGTTTACCATTATTGAAAACACAAGCAAAGCGAAAGACTTCAAATTATTCGCACGGTGTTCATATAGGTTCTTCCGTTTTACGGTGAACTCCTCCCAGGCTTATGTCTAAATGTTACTGAGTGACAAGCGTGCCGATCATTGATTGAGTGCCTTAATTATTGGTTACGGAAATGATAACAATCCCAAAATTTTTGAAATATATTGGGAAAACACCGAAGAGCTGGAGGATAGCGGAGTTCACGAATGAACTGGCGCCAAAAACCAATCGTCATAAGCATAGCGCCTAGGAATTCGATAAGACTATCGCACTGTCTCTGAAAGGAGGGCATCGTTACTTTATACTTGAGAAACTTTGCGAAGATAGAAAAATGGACTCACCGAGAATGGACGCACGTAGATCAACTGAAAGTGACACTGGATCATCGTATGCCGAACACAAAGCATTCAACAATGCTGCAGAAGCTTTGGCCAATAACAAGAGCAGCGGAGAGGATGTAGAAGAGGGTGCGGCCCTGGAACAGGATCCCGAGGAGGAACTCCCACCCGAGCTGGAGGCCACAGGAGCGGGACTTGAAAGAACTACCACTGGTTTCTTGTCACCACGCATAAAGGATTTGAGGAAAAAACTAGCTGTCGAGTTTTTTACCAACCATGCCGTGCTTGCTATCTTGATGCTGGGAGTCTTCTCCCTGTATTGGGGTGCTCTTTACAATAGATCCCACTACTATTACAAAGTCAACATATTAGCAGTTATTCAAGATGATGGTGTTCTTGGCGACCCAATACCCCAACTGGTAGAACAGGCGTCAGGCACATGGCACATTTACAACTCTTCTCATTTCCAAGAAAGATTTAAAGTTTCTGAGTCGGAAATTGACTCTCACATCACCAAACTTGTCCATGACCAACATTACTGGATGTCTTTGAATGTAAAGCCGAATACAACCAATGCACTTTTGAGCTCTCTTGAAGACTCAGACGCCCAGCCATTCAACTCTTCACAATACTTCGAGACTGTTTACGAAAGTGGCAGAGACCCGCAGAATATGCATTCTAGTATCCTTCCATTGATGACAGCAGTTGAAGAGCTGTATCAATACTACTATTCTACCACTCTCCTCCCAAACATTTTGTCAAGGCTATCGCAGTCGATAAGCAATGCCCCGAGTGCTAATTTAGCTCAAGCAGGCGTCATCACTTTCAACCAAGTAGATCACAGACCATTTACTGACTTTACTTTGCTTGGCCCTCTTCAAGTTGGTCTCATCTACACAATCATGTTCACTTTCTTCCAGCTTCTACTTTTCAGCCCAATGCACGTTCTGTTTGCTCAAAAATTGAATAAGACGCATGTTTTACTGTACCGCTATCTGATTGCCTTTATCAACTACTTTATCCTAGCGCTCTTCTTCTGTTTGGTTTCATTGGCATTCCAGGTTGATTTTTCCAAAGCATTCGGTAGGTCTGGTTTTGTGGTTGCTTGGATGTCGTCTTGGCTATACATGACCGCAGTGGGTGGTGCAAACGAAAACATGCTGTCCTTGCTTGTTGCCTACGCTCCTCGTTTCCCTGGTTTTTGGATGGTCTTCTGGGTTGTTATGAATATTTCTCCTACATTCTTCCCCATGGACCTCACGGCGGACTTTTATCGGTATGGTTACTTTATGCCTGTTTTCAACGGTGTCGCTATATTTAGAGTCATCTTCTTGGATGTTTATCCGGGAAATCTTGGACGAAACTATGGCATCTTGTGTGCATGGGTTGTGGTTAACATGTCACTATTCCCTTTTGTCATGAAGCTATTTGTGGCTAGGAAGAAAAAGGATGCCCTGAAAGCTGCGGCTCATAACGCAGAAAAAACTAAGTAAGTCAGTGCAACGCTTCCAGCGCTAAAAATGTCTTGTAAGCAGCTAGACAGTAAGTAATAGATCACTTGCTTCAATGAGAGGCTATTTGAAAGTGGAGCCCTGAATTCCAAACCGAACCAAATCCGTAACAAACTGCACCTCCGCCAAGGATGTAGTATTTGTCTTGTGAAGTGCGTTGTACTTCAAATCCCACTAACATAGGAAGGCCAGTGTCCCATACTGACTTCGGAACTTCTATTAGAGTAATTTGACCGCTGTCAAGACATACCTCGATTATTGACGTTTTTTGTCCAAGTAAGACTTCTGGGCCCGATCCTCCAATTATCAGCACTCTTCCTTTGCAGGTGAAAATACATTTAGAGCCGTATCTTTTGAATAGAGGATGAAAATGAACGTTTTCGATTATGATAGTTCTGGTACGGCCGTCGTACTTGAAAGTGATCATTTTGTCTTGGACTTCATCATTTTGGGTAGATCCTCCTACGATGACTCCAACCTGATCGTCCTTATTGAAAGCTAACGCTGCTGATTTCAGCAAAGGAACATTGCCTTGTACAGCAGGGGAGAGAATAGTGTTATTGAGGCTGTCATAGATCAAAAATTTACCACCGTCTGTACGACCACCGAATATTAAAACTTCAGAGGCATTCAGGGCACAAGCAGCGTGCCTATAGCGAGGCTCAGGTAATGATAAACCTTTTTGAAAGTGCCAGTCGCTTTCGCCGTCACCTTTTCCCGCCCTTTTAAGAAGCCAAGTATCAGAGAAAGCTTGATTTGGGCCACCTCTGCCACCAGCCATCAGGCAGAGATCCCCATCTATGTGGGTCAATGTGTGGCACATGCGGCCCTGGGGACCACCTGCCGATGCGTTGATATCTAAGTTTTTGACCGTATGCAATACTGGGTTGATTATCAAAACGTCGTCCAGTCTGCTGTTGAAACATCCTTGGGCGTAAATAATCTCCCCTGATGGAAGCATTGCGGACGCACCGAACTTTCTTTCGAGCACTCCATCCGCTAACGAATTAGGTAGAACACTCATCGTACGAGTGCTGAAATCTTGCTTGTCATCTTGGCCATTGAGAAGAAATTTTGGTTGGAACAGAAAATCGGATACGTTAGTAGAGTGCCCAATAACGTAGTGGTGACAGAACAAGAAAAACTCCTCCAATTCGTCGAAAGCTTCGATGGACTCGATTTGATCCTTCACGTTATCAGCAATAGTCTCCCATAATTGGTACATATTTCCAATATTCGTATACGGAAATCCACACTCTTGGAACCGCGCTTGTTGTGCAATTTTAGTTGGGATATTCTCGACTGACTGCAATGGCGAGTCATTTTTCCTGAAATGTTTGAGCATCTGCTTAGAGAAAGGCTCAGAAGGACCGACGGGCAACAGCTGCTCCAGTATGATAAAATGGGAATTATCCAATTGACCACAAGCTGTGATGATTTCGTTTGCTTTCGAAGTCTTCATGTAGGCCAATGACACTTCAGCTACGAAGATCTTTATGACAGAAGGATCTTCAAGTTCAAGCGAACTCATCAACGCCTGGAATCCACTTGCCAAATTGAGGTCACAAGCCGCAAGTATATACTTTTCAGCCTCATAAATCCCATTTCCGCGATTGCTCTTTTTCCAATCACCCACGATTGCAGTAAGCTCAGGAGAGCTCTCGATAATTTTCTTCTTGTTTTGGAGAAGGTCTGGATAATCCAGATCAACGAAAGATAGTCGATTTTGATATTGCTTGTTTTGCTTGTTGAGAGGATCCAGGAGTTGAAATGGCAGGGGATCAAATCCACAGCCCAGATTGATGACTACAATCCTTTGGTCCATGGTAGCCGCAGCAATTGCATCAATTTTGGACTTCACCGCATATATTCTAAGCCAGTAACCTCGATTAATGCACGGGGATCGTCTTAGAGGTTTGGGCACAAAGAACTTGAAATATTCCCTTGATAAACCCGGTTCATCTACACTTTCATTGACTCCCATTTTTGATAAATATAGACGTTCCACAGACCTTTTGGAAGCGATGGAAGAGTTATTGGTGCCCTGGATGGCTAGGTCAGCATACTTTCGCCTCCTTTCTTGTTTTGCCAGCTGCCTCAATTGCTTGGGAGTGAGCTCGGTAGAGCCTCCACCGGAATGCGTATTTTTCAAGCTTTGCATCGCTGTTCCTAGGACTAACTGGCGTGGTAAATTAACTCTGTTACAACGCATTAGATGGTGGTGTTATATTTGCTAGCTCATCGCTTTCTGGCCATTGTCCAATTTTCCAGCCATCCGTGGTTCGCGACCTGGAAAGATTAGTACACAAGACCTCTAATGCCGCCTTAGGTTTGAATGGCTATGTTATGTTGACAATATAAACCACTTGACTTATAAGAATTGTTAGGCGGTGGTGGTCTAGTGCTCTTTGAGGGTAATTAGCTGAATGATAATGAGGATCACCGGAATGACAAAATAGTACAAAGTGATACTGGCCACATCAGTCAAAAGAGACCATGAAAGGTGCATCGCCAGCGAGGGGCTCCATATGGCCAGCCATAATACAAAGGCGACAATCCCAAGTAGTTAATGTCATTCAAGTGCACCACTCAACGGGCTTGGAAATTACGAGAGGCACCTATGTAATAATATACTTGCAGAGCCTTCATTGAATATTCAAAGATAATTCACGGCAATCTAGCAAAGTATTGAACAAAATGTCAAGCAAGATGACTAGCGCCGAAGCCGATTTACTTGAATGAATAAAGCGTTTGGTTTCCCCAAACTTTGAATACTCGTGTGCCAAGATTCTTCCGTTCATGATGCTATTAGAGCAAGCTTAACCGAAATAGATAAACTATTAGGCAGCGAAAGGTTCACCGGAATTGATCAACACACCCATCGTATAATAGCGGCATCCCAGTTGAGACTATGGCTCATGTTTCATTAAAGACCGTGGGAAATGTTTTCAAGAAGAAAGATAAGGATTTGGATGTGAAGGACGAGGATGAGGATTTAGACGCTTCGGAATTTGAGGACGATGAAGAGAAGAGACCAAAACCGCAGAAGAACAGGCGACCCAAGGAAACCCCCTTCACTCAACAGCGGCTTGCGTCTCTGAATCCTGTGGTGACACCGCGAGGTGTGGTGTGCCTGTATATAATTCTAGCGGCAATATTTGTTATCTTCGGGGCCGTCCTACTAAAAGTGTCTATGAAGGTGGATCAAGTGCTGATATACTACCAAGACTGCCCCAACGCAGCTCCTCAGGGATCATGGGGAGATATGTCGCCAGAACAGTACGACTGGCAATTCCACAAAAATCTGTCATACAGTAAGGCCCCTCAATGGAGATACGTCCCTCCATCGAGTTCCGATACCAATAATGGAACGTGCGAGATCAGGTTCACCACTCCGCATGACTTGCCGCACACGGTCTTTTTTAGCTATTGGGTAGAGAACTTCTACGGTAACCATAGGCGGTATGTGCTGTCTTTCAGCGAAGAACAGCTCAACGGCGATGATACGTCGATATCGACCGTGAGGAATAATCCAGGTATCAACTGTAAGCCAATGGTATCCAACCATGAAGGAAAACAGTACTACCCATGTGGATTGATAGCGAATTCCATGTTCAACGACACTTTCCCCATGGAACTCATTGGCGTGGGGTCCACGGGAAATTATTCCTTGACGAATAAAGGTATAACGTGGTCTACCAATCGTAATCGCTTCAAGACAACTAAGCTGAATCACTCCAGGATTGCCCCTCCTCCCAACTGGGTCAAACAATATCCCGATGGCTACAACTCTACGAACGTTCCAGACATACACAACTGGGAAGAATTCCAAAACTGGATGGCGGCCCCTGCTTTCTCAAAGTTTCAGCGACTCGTTCGCAGAAACGACAATGACACTCTCGTTGCAGGAGAATATCAAGTGAACATTGGGCTCAACTGGCCGGTAACGGAATTTAACGGCAAGAAAGGTATCTTCTTGACCCACGGTTCTAGCATTGGTGGCAGAAACAACTTTTTAGGAATTGTTTACATTGTTGGGGGGGCCCTTTGCATTGGATTAGCTGTGCTGTTATTCGTGGCCAGCATGATTACGGGCCGGAGTATTGGCGACTTACGAAACCTTTCTTGGAACAGAGAGATAGAAAGTGAACGCTAAAACCTAAAAGAAAACCCGACATTTTCATGTAGTTATATATGAGCTAAATTCAAGACCCAGTCACCAACGGTGTTCGTTTCTAGTGTTTTTGTCACCACCAATTACACATAGTACTTTTCATTTTATAATCAGTCACAGAATTTGAAGCTTTAATATAAATAACGTAGGTAGGAGTCACTCCGATCGAACTTCAAGGTACTTCAAGGTCATTAGACACAAAACTGCAGATGTTGAAACTGAGAAGTTCTCCCGCACTTGGTTCAAACCTCTATAAGGAAGCGCTCAACAGTAGTGGATTCCAGGTCACAACGTATGCGAGACCTCATGATCTTTTGATCACTAGGGGCCAAGGGTCGAAGCTGTTCGACGATTTGCACAACAAGAGTTATGTCGATTTCACTGCAGGTATTGCAGTTACATCTCTTGGACATTCTAATGAAAAAGTGTCACAAATTCTGTGTGACCAATCCAAGAAGCTAATTCACTCGAGTAATCTGTACTACAACGCTGAGTGTTTGGAATTGAGTAAGAAAATCGTGGAAAAGACGAAAAGCCTGGGTGGTCAGCATGATTGCAGCAAGGTCTTCTTGTGCAGTACGGGGACCGAAGCTAACGAGGCTGCGTTGAAATTCGCGAAAAAGCACGGATCTTTGTTGGGTCCAAAAAAACATGGCATAATTGCCTTTGAAAACTCATTCCACGGCCGTACTATGGGTGCTTTGTCTGTAACAAGCAATCCTAAGTACAGAACTCCATTTGGGGATTTGGTTCCGGGGACTACATTCATGAACATTCACGATGAGCTGAACGTTTTTTCGGATTTTGTCAAAGCCAACAAGGATACGATTGCAGGGCTAATCGTTGAACCGGTTCAAGGTGAAGGTGGTGTCTTTCCCGTTCCTACAGAAAAACTCGCTGGTTTGAAGAAAATATGTTCTGACAACGACGTTGTTGTAATCCACGATGAAATTCAATGTGGTATGGGGAGGACCGGAAAATTGTGGGCTCACGCCTACCTGCCCAAGGAAGCTCATCCTGACATTTTTACATCTGCCAAGGCTCTCGGAAATGGTTTCCCGATTGCTGCCACAATGGTGAACGAAAAGATCAATAATGCGCTTAAGGTCGGCGATCATGGTACAACTTATGGTGGTAATCCATTAGGCGGTGCGATCGGCAGCTATGTCATGGACACAATCGGGGATGAAGCATTTCTCCAAAAGGTTATTACCAAGGGGCAGAAATTTGAGGAGCGCCTTCAAGAGATCCGCGCCAGATATCCACAGCACATTACAGATTTAAGAGGCAGGGGTCTCATGATTGGTCTTGAATTTGCAGAAGCTCCCAAGGACCTCATCAGTAAGTGCAAAGACTTGGGACTGTTGGTTATAACTGCTGGTAAGTCTACAGTTAGGTTTGTACCACCATTGACAATCAGTGATTCTGAAATCGAGGAAGGCCTTGACATTTTTGAAAAGGCTGTGAATGAAGTTTACACTTAGTCTTGATCCTCTATAGTAAATTTATAATTTTTTTGATTCCATTTTGAAGATATACTTACTCTTATTTCGCCTGTTTCATTTAATAACCATTAGAACTTTAACCAGATGTGCCTGAGCAGTATCAAGTTTACAAGATCCATGAGAGCAAAGCCAGGAGGCCCCCTGCTAAAGAAAATGAAGCTGCCATAGCTTGAGCCCCGTTAGAGAGCGTTACGACATTGTTCGATCTTACCTGCCCAATTTCTCCGCTCAGAGACCCCATCCCGATTGACCCGGAAGTAGGATCAGCTACTGAGGTATATCTCGTGGGGTAAATTTGTACAAATGTGGTAGAAGTTGTCACGGTGTGGCCGTTGGTAGTTAAGGTAACCCAAACATAGGTTGGGGCTCTTGTGGTGGTGTAGGTCGTGGATTTTTCCGTCATGGTTATGAGCGATTGAATCGACAATGTTGTGACAGCAGATGCAGGCAGTGGGGTGGCGTCAGTGGTGGGATCAGGTCTGGTTCCTGCCGCTTTAGAACCTGACGATGAGGAAGACGAAGAAGAAGCAGAGGAGGAGGATGATGCGGATGTTTTGGTCGTTTTACCAGTTGTAGTGGACGAGGACGAGGATGATGCGGATGTTTTGGTCGTTTTACCAGTTGTAGCGGTGTCTGTCCCCGTAGCCGTGGTGCTGACGACGGTGGTAACTACTTCTCCAGCAGCGTTCGTGCTAGTGATAGTTTTCTTCGTTGCAGCTGCAGTGTTAGCGGCACCACCTCCCAATGTTGTGACAATATAGTTGGTGACCCCATTCTGAATAGTCGTGATTGTGCTGATTTCCGCAGCAGCAGCAGAAGGTGCGAGCGAAATCAGAGCAAATAACGCGCAAAACAAGCGAAAAAAGATCATCTCGATAACGGTTGAAGGTAGCGAGCGGGACTTGCGGAGCGGTGGTAGATATCTATGTTCGTTCGTGATTTCTCTAGCTCTACAGTGATAGTTTGTTGTCTGCAAGAATATAGCGGAAAAGACGAAACTTTCCAAGCCTGGATAGCATTGCATACGAAGGACGACACACACGTAGACAGTGACTGATATTTTATGGCCTCAGACGTAGCATACTACAAGGAACTGACACAGCATTTGCGCCCAGCGCGCCTCAGTTCTGCTGCTATAATTGAGGTGTAGTGCGGGAGGTACTGGTATGAGTGACGCAAGTGCGAGTTGCTGTTGTTGAAATGTGATAGTGATTTTTGGTATTTGATCATAGCATGCTAAACATGCTTGGAGTAGGTGGAAAGTAGTCTCAACTGTCTTCCATTATCCGCTTTTAATTTTTTTGGTAAGCTCTCTTTTCTGTCTTGACTCTGCCACGTCTTAGAGCCAGGAGTAGTTGCTAGTGTCAGTATTGTATAAAATGATCGCGCTGGTTGTGGTGGATTGGCAGCGGGCATTTGAACAGGGCTAAGGAGCCATATAGGCCCCATTGACCAGCAGTTCAAGGACCTAATATTTGATTTTACACTTTACAGAAGATGCTTTGTTGCTTGTTAGGCGGCGTTTATGCAATCTACTAGCTTTCTAATTTCTGAGTATCGAAGTTTTTGCTAAGATCTCGCAGACACACTTTCCCTACTGTATAGCCCTACCAAGCCAAACTGGCTTCATGACATACGTGGCGTCCTCGCTTATTGTTAAATTCCTACATTACATTGCGTCCCGCTAATCTCTAATAGTCAACACCGCGGAGCCGTACATGAAACTCAATCTTCTTCAAGTTCTGTGATGGCCACTATGGCCATTGATGAACTCTCTTGCTTGCTAAAGACCTTGTCGAATCCAAGAAGGCATGCTCCAAAAGCTGAAATATAGAAGTATTCATCTGGTGTTCATCGTGATGACAGTTTTTATCAATATAAACAAATCGCATTTACAATAATAAACTTGAAAACTCCTTCATCTTCGAGACCGTCGACAAGCAGCACTGAGAGGTCTCGTAACTGCTGCCGAGACCCTTTGAAATGCCAAAGGATAGGTCTCTTCATACTGTGAACAGCAACACTGAACCTTTGAAGCGGGTTTTCAGTGTTGACGACGATATACATGAAATCGAACATGATATCCGATATCTGGAAGGGCTCCAGGAAGGTCTAAAGCAGAGTGCGTCTAGTAAACGATATGCAGGAAACATGGGGAACTCTCCCCCACCTGCTTCATCTGTAAGGCCTTCGTCGGTGAGGAACAAGAGCTCTGCAATGTCCGTTATTGACTCATCGGACAACAATAACGGTGGTCCAAGCCAGAATGCTGCCAACATACGTTCAGATGTGCTGGATGAGGAAGACCAAGGATCCATCGCATCTTTTGAGTCCTATACCCTGAGAAACCGTCAAGATGCGATCAACGAGACACATCCCTTTGGTATAAGAATCTGGAAACCAGCCCTCTACAAGAAAAATAGATCCGTCCAAAAAGCAGCTGAGGAAGATATTCATGAAACTAAATATAAAAAGATTTCGTGGAAGGTGCATTTGGCGAATAATGTGTGGGCAGCTACTGTGGGACTCTTCTTCTTGATATTCCTGAGCGTTGCGGGTGTTATCGTTTTTATTCTCGGGCTGTTCACGCCGAATTGTGCCGAGTATGCATTGGTGATGTTCAGACTTGGGAGATATTTATTCTGGCCCTTCGGCAAAATTGTTCTTATGGTAAGTGATCAACAGTACTTACACGAGGATCAGGACGAAGGTATTCCAGCTCAGCAATTTTATGGATGGGCTACCAATCACAGCAACAGGCTATATTTCCATAGGCCATCGCAAAGTGGTAGGGAGTCATACGGTGCAACAGGCGGCATTAATGCTCCTGGAGACAGACAACTAAGGCTATTTGGGAGAGGAGAGTGGACTCTAGGACGTTTGAGCTTTTATATTACTTTCTACATCGTGGTTCAACCGGCAGTCTTGCTCATATCATTTTTGACATGGCTAGCGGTTTTCACTATCCCAATGAGCAATATTCTTTGGGACTTAATGTATCATTGCCGCAGACATCCATTAGCCCTAGAGTTCAAGACATTAACACACAGCGTTAACGGTATGAGGGACAAAAATGTTTTGCTCTGTACGTTTAGAAGTGCCGGATCACACTACTATAAATATACTGTGGATGGTACCAATGTCATCGTTATGAATCTAGGTGCAGTAGTGGCTTTCACCATACTTCAGTTTTACGTGTTCCAGAAGCATATCTTTCAAATTAGCGAGTCTCTCATTTTTTGCCTATGTTTACTCTCGATTATTCCGTTGGCCTTTTATATTGGACAAGCCGTTGCATCGATCTCTGCGCAGACCTCGATGGGCGTTGGCGCTGTAATCAATGCTTTTTTCTCCACGGTTGTGGAAGTGTTTCTGTACTGCGTTGCTCTGCAGCAAGAGAAGGGCCTTCTTGTTGAGGGTTCCATGATCGGCTCGATTTTAGGGGCGGTTCTACTTCTGCCCGGTTTGAGTATGTGTGGTGGAGCACTCAAGAGAAAGACGCAGAGGTATAATCCCGCGAGCGCTGGCGTCTCGTCGGCAATGTTAATATTTTCGATGATTGTCATTTTTGTTCCCTCAATAATATACCAGATATACGGAGGATTTTTGGTTGAATGCCCACAACAGCAAGATGATCCTACAAGATGTTACTATCGCCAGCCACCTTTGAAGTTCGATAGACTTTATTCATTTGTCATCAAGCCAATGTCGCTATTTTGCGCATTGATTCTTTTCATGGCCTACATAATTGGATTATGGTTCACATTGCGCACGCATGCCGCAGCTATTTGGCAGACTCCAGAGAAGCCGCCGGGTCCCAACAACAACAGTCAGTTAGGGTTCATTCCTGACGAGGAGGAAAATGAAGGAGGTCACGATGGACCAAACTGGTCACGTAAAAAATCTACCATTATTTTGCTTGCTGCTACAGTTCTTTACGCGATCATCGCTGAGATTTTAGTAGACTGCGTGGATAATGTTTTGCAACAATTTCCCTCGTTAGACCCGAAGTTTTTGGGCCTCACCGTTTTCGCTCTGGTCCCAAATTCCACAGAATTTTTAAATGCCATATCCTTCGCAATGCATGGCAATGTGGCTCTTTCCATGGAAATTGGTAGTGCCTATGCTTTACAAGTCTGCCTGTTGCAAATTCCCGCACTGGTTGTCTTTTCCATTTTGTACACCATTAACTTACCCAACGACACTGTGGTCATCAGAGACCAAATGTTTTCGCTTATCTTCCCACGCTGGGACTTACTTGCATGCATGGTGAGCGTTTTCCTTTTCACCTATTTGTATGCAGAAGGGAAATCAAACTACTTCAAAGGCTCCATATTGATACTTCTTTACAGCGTTGTCGTTCTTGGTTTCTACTTCCAAGGCGCCATAGACCAAAATCGGTGGGACAGTTGAAAGGGTTTATATAAGCGGGTTCGTATCTAGCAAACATTAGGATGAGACCAGTTTATGTTATTGAAACTAGTGCACTTGGCTATTTAGGTGAGATTCGTTTAATTTACAAAACTAGAGATGGTTGGGGGTGTTTTTCAGAGGCAGTAGAGTGTGGCAAGAATTCCAACTGGGAGTCCTCGCCCAGCTTCAAAACGGTCTTGAACTTGGAACCGATGTTGGTCAAAGCTTCTTTATTGTCTGCACTCTTGGTCCAGATGGCAATCTTGTACGCGCTTTTTCTTATGTTGATGACGACACCGTTGATCTCGGAATCATCCTCATCAATGGTTTCTCCGATGACCGCTAGAAGAGCGCGCATCCACAAGTCGTCAATGTCAGGAGTCTTACCCCAAAATTGGTGCGTCCACTTACCCCCTTGGGCGTTAGTTGGGTCTTCCCATTCGGGTCTGATGTCGTTACGGAACAAATGGTAGTCTGATTTGAATGGCAAATAGCGAGGCTTAGGGATAGCATTGTGAATGGCCCAAAATTCTTCCACGGTTTCAAACGATGTGACTGGACGCAGCAAGTCCGACCACGATTCAGATTTATCCACAGGTGGCTTGGTGTACCATAGCGTCCACTTTGAGTTCAACGGGTGCTTCAATTGAAACTCCTTCTCGTTAGAGAGCACAGTTGAAGGCTGCTCGATGCTCAAATCCTGCGCTTTTTGGGTAACTTCTTCCACAGACATCTAAGCAAAACCTGGAATGTTAGTATATCATCATAATGTCAAAACGGGGCAGTATTGAAAACCTTGAAATGAGCCCTAAACCCAACATTTTGAACCCTGATATTTTGGTTGTTGCTCAATTTCACATCCCCAATACAAGAAGGCTTAAGAAGACCCTTGACACCTTCCTAAGGTAACATACTTTCGACCTTTCTTTCTGGAGCTTCGAAATGGAATCTGATATTATAGTGTAACTTTTGAAAATTTTTATAAATTGAGTCCCGAATAATGTAGTCGTATACCATGATAATGACTTTTGAGAACTTATCGATCTCCAGTTATGAGAAATACAAGCATGGCACACATAGACCGGCATCTTGCTTATAGTCCAAGGTTCCGTTTAGGTTCTTACGCAATTCATGAAGCATAGTTCTAAATGTTATTTAGATCATTTGCTACGTCAAAGGGCAAGGGAGAGCGTTATAGCATCCTCCGTTCATCTCTACAAGGCAAGTCCAGTATATTTGGACGGATGCAGCGTACCAGTTAGCTTCTGGACTATGGCGTTTATTCGAAGAAGAAGAAGAAGAAGATGAAGATGATGATCATTTTGTACTATACTGACACTCTGATCACAAGTGTCTTATTATGAGTGCCAGAGCATTTGAACCTTCTTCTATATAGTGTTTGAGCAATTATGGAGAAGCTCCCACCAATATTATATCTTTGAAGCCGATTCGGGACTCATTGTAAGGTCATATACCCTGTTCATGAAAGTTGAGCGAACCGACACCCTCTCCGTTGCGCTTTTCCTTTATTGAAGCCCGTATTACTGTGATTGGAAGCAAGGAAATGCAGGAACAAACAAATTCCACCTAGTCAAGGTTGTCATATCAGATTGAAGCGCATTCAATCTCATCCAGAAGTAAATGTTCATATTGAATCAGAGACGCACTCGGACCCTCTATAAACCGATACTAAATTATCATCAACGTCTCAGGTCATGAAGAATCTTGTTACAATGTTTTTTTCAAACGGCTTCTGCTACTTTACTTCTCTAGTGCATTTACTGTCGTCGTTGATGGCTCACATAATTAATACATGGCAATAATCTAAATTTACTAACGATTATCGTTATCAGTCGAATCAGGAACGTACGTGGAGCCGTCATCTTCGACCACCATCCTCCCTCCTTTGTCCCCTCAAGCCATTCTAAATTAGGCTATGCTACTGCGTGTACTTCGGGTAGTCTTAGGTGGTGCAACTGTAACTGCTGGCGCAGCATTAGTTGCGTTGTATATTTACCAAAACAAGCTCATCTATCCTTCGTGGGCCCAGGGGGCTCGAGATTTCGTCGATACCCCAGACAACTATGGATTGCCCTATACAGAGCACCACTTAGAAACAGCGGATGGGGTCGAAATCAGAGCTTATGACATTCGAAAAGAAAACTCTGCAGTTACATGGCTCATCCTATGCCCAAATGCTGGAAATATGGGGTATTTTCTGTCTGCGGTGGAATTGATCTATCGCAAATTCAACGCTAGCGTGTTCATATACTCGTATCGTGGGTATGGCTTTTCACAAGGTCGACCTTCAGAACAGGGCCTCAAGCGTGATGCAGACGCGGTTTTGAGCTTTCTTCAGAAGGATTCGTTTTTCAAAACCCAAAAACTGGTTCTTTACGGCAGATCACTGGGGGGTGCAAATGCCATTTATATTGCTAGACACTATTCACACCTATGCGATGCCGTTATCCTGGAAAATACGTTTTTGAGCATCCCAAAGGTCATCCCTCATGTATTTCCCTGGTTGAGCCACTTTTCTTGGCTCTGCCACGAAAAGTGGAACTCAGAAAATGATATTCAGCGTGTTGATCCAACGCTTCCGTGGCTATTTTTATCGGGAAAGAAAGACGAGATTGTGCCACCAACTCATATGGAGAAGCTTCACCAGCTCTGCAAGAGCGAACGAAAAACCATTGTGGAGTTTCCTCGTGGCCACCACAATGACACCATTGTGCAAGCCTCATACTGGGAGCACATAGAGAAGTTTCTATCAGAAAACCTATGATTAGATGCCTAATGCTATATAAGGGTTCCCGCACACCCGCTTGGACAGGTGCTCATTTCCTCGTGCATGAACCACTTTTGCAAGCATTCAACATGGCCTACGTGGCCACAGTTCAAGACACATAGCGTTAATTTTTTCATTGGTTGCTCGCAAAGTATACAGAGGGTGTTTCGCTTAAGGCATTTATCGCAGTACCAATATCCGAACCGTTGCATTGTTTCAGAATTTCCGGTCTGCTGCCATTCCTCAGTGAACATTTCTTTGGACTTTTCATTGACTAACAGTTTTTTGCAGTTCTCACAAAACATTCTTATAACACTCTGCCCAGAGCCCATTCCTAAAATGTCATCCCACGGACAATATTTGAGAAGATCAGCAGCTATCTCAAATAACTCATATTTGTGCAATACGTTGACGAACTCGGCTAGGGCGTCTTTGACTACCACTGTAGTAGTGACATGAAACGTTGTTTGAAACAGCAAGATGATGGTAATCGTTAGAAGAATATTCCCCGTCTGGACAGACTGCTCAAAGATTTTTGTAATAAGCCTTGGAGCATCCCAAGGTGGGGCAGCAGCAGTCTTCCTTTGAAATTTTAACATTTGACTTATTTTGGAATTTGGTCTGCCTAAAGAAGGGCTATCGTCAGTTCTAATTCCGAGCAGATTCTCCAGCCCTACTGTTATAGAATTTTCAGACACACCCCTTAAACTGGTTGAGTTACTTCTTGCTCTTGCTGGATGATCCAATGTTTTTTTGATATGAGTCCTGCAAAGGAAGAACCGTGGCTAAGATGCGATGATCTTTTTGTGCTCATAGAATTCGAAGTCCTGCTTGTTTCCGGATCACCCTCATACATTCCTCCCCTGGGAGACCTCAAGTTTGTCATGAAGTTGTCGATAAAGGATATTTTCCTCCCGGATTGTGGAACAATCGGCATACTACTTGTAGAATTATTGCGAGAGTCGCCCTCGCAGTCCGATGACAATTCATCGTCTTCTATGGCACTTTCAGAGCTCTCTTCATTTGCCGATTTCTGCCTTCGCAGCTCATCTAACTCAGCAGCGGTTGTTGTAAAACGAGCTAGGGATGGCGCTCGACCTTTATGCCCTCCTACACTTGTAGGCTCTTCATTGGTCAGACTCGCTCCCATTTCAACACTTAGACTGGAGCTCGAAGCCTGTTTAGAGGGAGGCGCTGACTGATTAGGTTCCTGATGCTTTGATAAGCCATGAGGAGCTATCGAACTTGCTTCGCTAGCACTGAAGCTACTGTACTCAGAACCAGCTGAGTTTTTCCGTACCATCTGTGGCCCCATTCCATTTTTGTTTTCATAAACAGTTTCGAACGGACTACCAGTAGCTTCAAGCTTGAATTTTTCAGCTACTTGTTTCAGGTCCCAAACGAGAGCATCCCTCATCATCACCCAAATCTTAAAATTATTCAGATCTTCGACAAATAAGTACGTCTCAGCATTATGATCACACATAGAAATGAGTTCAATGTAGTGCTCAATCTTCTTTTTGAGCTTGAGTTCCTCTGTAAAAACTTCGTTTCGCGAACGTGCAGGTTCATTTGGAATTGAACTGCTCTCCGAGCTCTCAGTTGTCCTAAGAAAAGAAGACTCGCTATCCTCAGAAATTTTTACACTATAACCTTGGTTTGAGATTGGTTCTTTTTCTTGAGATGTATTATCGCTCCTGATGAATTTTGTCCACGTATTATCTTCAGCTAGACCAAACTGATTTATAAGATGTGTCTTTAGATCTATGTCATCTTCGACTTTTGTATTATTCTCGTCTGATAGACTTTCGCCACTCTTGACTTCAAATTTAGTATTCAGTCTCTCCTGCATGTAGGAAAATTTCAGTTCCTTTGCTAAAAACTTGAAAACCTCTACTGGTGACTCTTTCAAGGTTGATACATCAGCGGAACCAAACCTCGCTCTAGTATCTCTTGATTTGGGGCCGATGATGCTATTTAGAATCTGCGGTAGATCAAGCGCCATTAAACGGGGTGAGATATATTCCTCGCTCGGCAACTCTGCTGTGGTGGATGACGAACTCGCTGAAACTATCGAATTGTGATGGGGACCATTTTGGCTGGAAAGAGATCCAAATGCCTGAGTATTGATGCTTTTGCTATTATGGGATGTTCCATTTCGGGGAAAGGATGGTCGTTCTCCAAAAGTAGCACTAGAGCCATGGCGCGAAGCCAGAGCAGGAAAAGAGGAGGTACTTGAGTTATGTCGAATTCCACTATTGGCGAATAGGTTGTGGACAGAACTTGTACTCATTTTGCTCTGCAAAGAAGTACGGTGATTCTCATGCGAAGCTTCAACATTCTTTTCAGGCATCGTATATGTACCTTTCTCTTGCGCTAAGAACAACATACCATCCCCTTCAATATCCCTCCATCCCACGACATTTTTGGTAAGATTATCCAAAACAGTAGGCTCTCTACTGAGATCCCAGCCCGTTATTGTATTTTGCTTGTCAATGTTAAAGACGAGATTTTCGTCCCACCAAACAAATCCACAGGATGGAGTTCTCGTCGTTAGCACGTTTCGAGGTATGAACTCTCTGGACAGCGAGTATAAAGAAATGTCTGAGTTTTCTCCCAACGAAGAGAGGGCAATCACTGAATTGAAGATATTGTCTACTGCGGCAGGCTGAAATTTTAGTTTCGTCAAAGGGTGTGCCGTATTGACAATAACCTCAGGGGCAGTCACCAGAGAGTTCAAAGAGTAACCAGGGGTAAGAATACTGCTGTTATTCGTCGGGTTGAGGAAGCTGCTAAGGTGAGGATTTCCCGTGTTAGCATTAGCGTACTTCCCGCTCACATTCCACAAGCAGCACTTCCCATCTCTCCCTCCTGTCATGATGTACTCGTGAAGGGGGTGCCAACTGAGGCAGAGTCCCGGTCCGGAATGCGCGTTTATCCTTTTTTCAGCTTGGGTGGGTTGTCGCAAGTCGTATGTTAACAATTGACCCGAATCATGTATTGAAGCAAGCCTGTGGCCCCTACTGGCTAACCCTGGAGTAGAATCATAATTAATAAAATCGTAGCTGGGCATCCACTTAACATCTCTTACGGAGTCAGATCCACCGTTTATACTTAAGTCGCTGCTGCCTTTGTTGCCTCGACTAGAGCGAAGATCCCAAATTTTGAGACAGCCATCTTGTCCCCCGCTAACGATGAGACTACTTTGCGACATATTAAAGTCAACACTATTGATTGACCTGGAGTGTTTTGACAAGACTGTGTTCAGAGGGCTGTCTGAGGAGTTTACCTTCGTAATGTCATAAATGGATACTGAGGTCGAAGTGCCACAAATGGCAACATAGTGATTATAGTTTTGAAAGCCTGCTTTAACATCAGATATGGTGCTTATCTTCTTAGGGGCCCTCACGCTCATAGACACACGATCATTCTTGTTCGATAGGAAGTCGTGGACACAAGACAGGTCATTATTATCTGTGGTGAATCTATAAAGCCCCAAGTGATTTTTCCCCGCGACTACCACTGCCTTGCTTTGAGGATCGTTAATTTTATCTATACTAGACAATTCTTTGGGTGCCTGATGTGTATATTTGAGACCGGATGACCGAATCTGTCCAGGATTCACGTAGTTTCTATGACCGTCCCCCCTTTTACTTTCAGATACATGGTCTTCTTTTAAACTATCCATAGATGGCGGGAAGCCTCCAACAGGATATCTAGAGGGCACTTTAGGCGATGTCCCATGAAAGGATCCACTTCCGCCGAATTGTTGCAGCTGCTTGTGAAATGAAAAACGGGTCAAAGAGCTGGGTAGCCTGCTACCGCTTGAAGCTGACCCATCATTGGTAGTTGCTGAGCTACCGCGGTGCATGTAGAGTTGGAGAGTTTCCTTACTTCTAAATTATTCTTCATTACAATGCGATTCATTGCACTTGTCTATCTGAAATTGGATGGCATTCTTGAAAAACGTGATTTTTATAAGATCTATCTAATAAGGCCTACCATTATCTAAATAAATTTAGGGAAAGAAATCAGACGTCCATAGCTCTCACTTATGGGTCTCCAATGTTCCACGTTCTTACTTGACTCGCATCTGGCGATTCAAGAAGAGTAGATGCATTAAAGGTAGGTCTTGGTGTCAGCAACTATTCCATGCAACAATAGTATTTTCAGATATATTCAACCAACGTATAAAAGAAGGTGAGCGCCAGATAAGCAGGTAAGTAAAAGCTTGTCTTCGAATTAGGCGATTGTTCATTTTAATCGAACCACTTTATGATCTTTGATCGTTATTTCAGAAAACCTGAGATAAACGTGAGCTGAATGATCAGATGCTGGTTAAAAATTCGAGAATATATCCGAATTTCAAGCCATGAGGACCACTTTGGCAATAGAATGATAATATACAACTCTATTCCCCAGCTGACATGCCCGACAAAAGTTTCAACAAAACCAGCTTTTAATACACGCGTGAGTGTCTTCCACAATATGCAGGTGCGAAATGACACAGAAACCAGCCACAGAACATATCGTTCTAGTAAAAAGATAACGTCACTGATGAACATTGATCAAGGCTTGGAATTAGCGCTCTGCTCCCATAATTTGAGGGTTACAGTTGCTAAAAATGAAGGCATCTGTCCTTGATCAAAGACATGCTGTTTTAGTAGTGTGTCCCAATCTTCTATATCTGATTGTAAGTTGGATTTCAGTGAATTGTTATTCAGATCCGCTAACAGATACTTTTCTGGTTTATAGCAAGAGTTCAATTTTACTTTACCATCAGATTGAAACTCCACTTTAAAACCTAAAAGAGAATTGACGACCTCAATAAATTCAAGGGATTTCTTATTAAACACCTCGCGTAGCCTGGTAATTTTCTTGTTCAGTCTAAAAATCTCATGTTCGAGATGGTCAGAATCGAACTTGATTCTCTCGTACATGGAGCGAGGAACCGCATCTTGACTTGTTGCACTCCCATTCTGCTTCAAATCCTCATTTTCTTTGAGTAGTAGCTGGAGCCTTTCTTGCTTAACAAATTGATCTTTGATAAACGGACTGTTCCGTAGTTGCAAAATACGAATCCTTCTCTCATCTAAAGTGTTTATCTTGGCAAGTTTAGACTCTAACATAGAAATCGTTTCGTGCTCATTAGTGAGCTCTCGCTTCAGTTCTAAGTTTTCGATATGCAACTCGTTCAAGCGTTGCGAGTATTTGAGAGCTACATCGTCACCTGTCTTTCGCCGTTTATGTGACGAAGAAGTTTCGTTCTTTTCCATCAATTCGTCGTTCAATTTCTTCAATTCATTGGTTAAATCTTGAGTTTTGTTCCTGTAATTATCCACCAGCTCCTCTAACGTGCCATTGTCTTCCAGTCTTTCACTCTGTTTGTCGTCGACAAGCGGTATCAATTCGTTCAATTGGCGCCTCAAGATTTTACACTCTTCGAAGGATAAAAGCTTTTGCTGGTCAATTTCGTAATTAAGTTTCTTCAAATTCAGGATGCTTGTCTCGTAATTTTTGTTTAAGTCCAGAAGCTGATTGCGCTCTAGAGCCATCTCGTCATTGAGTACGCGGACGTTATTGATATCGAGCTGTAGCCTTGAGTTATCATTCACAAGCCTTATGTTCTCACGTTTCAAAAGTGACCATTCCTTAACTACTTCATCTGGCTTCTTTTGGGATGTCCCGTCCTGAGAGGTAAACTCATTCCAAAAGGATAGTTGTGATTGTAAGTTAACGTTCTCAAGCTGAAAATCCTGTATTTGGACCTCCATATCTTTTAGCTGAGCAGTTTTCCTTCTGAGTTTTTCATTTTCAGATTGAAGGAACTTTTGTGCCTCTTGCGAAAGTCGCAGTTTTTTCAATTCATTGGCCTGCTCGAGATTTGCGCGCTCCAAATTCTGGGAGAATAACATTTGCTCTTTTAGCAAACTGTTGAGGGTGCTCAGTTCCGTGAGTTCCTCTGTGGAATAATTATGATGGGCCATCACCACACGTGAAGCTTTCAGACTGGCAACTTCATCGTTCCGCTGTGCGAGCTGCGCCTGCAATTGTCTGAGCTCCTGGCTCTGGCTATGAACCTCGCTTTCGTAACGCTTCAGCAACGTTTTTGAGCCATCTGCTTCGATCTGCGCATTTTTAAATTTGTTTTCCAGTAGTGATATCTCTGATTGTGACGACGTACGCAACTCATTCAATTCCCGATCTTGCCGCGAAATTCTTCTTGAAAGCTCCGTGATCTGAGCGTCACGGTCGCCCGTCACTGCCAGCAGCTCTTGCTCTGTAGTTCGCACGCGAGTTTCTAATTCCCCATTGGTCGTGTATAAATACTTGGTATCGTCAATCGCCTTTTCCAGTTCATCCAATGTTCCTCGGTATTTCTTATCTAGCAATGTAACTTCCCTCTGTAGTGCCAACTTCTCAATTTCGAATTCATTTTGCATGGAACTCATCTTGTACTTGAACGAGAGTACTTGTGTTCGTGCACTTTCCGGCGAGGCAGGGCGTTCTACGAATGGCGAAGAGCCAGTAGAATCCATCATCAAACCACTTGTCTCTAGCTCTATATCAGATGATTAAGCTATGCAATACAACCGGTTGTGTTATAAAGTATTGTATATGCGAGTCAGCTGTAATATTATTTCAACTATATTGATAAACTCTTGAGACAATTTGAAGAGCCTTCGAGCCCAACCATAGTTCCGATACAAAAATAACAGAGACGATGTCTAAGATGTACGTTTAGCTATCTTCCAATACAGTTGGCGAATATGGTCCTTCTCATGTACTAACTTTGGGATTTTTCGAATGTGTGAAGTCCCCGGAGTTTCAGACTGCTTGAAGAACTTGAAAAGGGCGAAAAGGGGATGGGGCCCGAGTCGTGCAGCTACGGGCTGGCTGATAATGACGATATTACAATGACGCACTGGAATGGCACGATTCTGGGTCCACCTCACAGTAACCACGAGAACCGGATATATTTCGTGGCTCTGGTGTGCGGTGAGGAGTATCCCGACCAGCCTCCCCAGATTAGGTTTCTGTCCAAAATCAATCTTCCCTGCGTCAACCAGACCACTGGCGATGTCCAGGCCAGTAGTTTCAATACACTAAAGAACTGGAAGCGTTCTTACACCATGGAGACGCTGCTTCTTGATCTGCGGAAAGAAATGGCCCTCCCTGCTAATAAGAAATTACCCCAGCCCGCTGAGGGAACCACGTTTTAAAAGAGGGCCCAATGGGACAATGATCTTTGCTGTGGTAACAGACGAGTTCTCTTCCTGTCAGACCAGAGATACGTATGACTATATATGCGTGTATACCGATTCAATTCAACTAGCACAGCTCAACAGAGGGCAAACTCTTTTAACGCAAGGATAAGGCACATTCAATTGCTATTTGCCAACAGTGTGGACAGTGTCAGGCCGTCTTTGTTATTGGGTTTTCGGCCAATTTAAGGTGTAAGGATTTACAGTGATCACTTTTATCATTCAATAAGCATTAGCACTAGCTAAAAAGTACTTGCTGTCTGGCTCTTCTAGAAAGTACCTTACAACCTAGGGCCATTAGTGTTAGCTTCTGCGACACAGCTCACAATGATACATTTAATTGGACCGAGGCTGAGCATTTGCAGTGCGTCGCAATGGACTCGCTTTCGCAAATCACTCTGGATCACAAGAAACCTGCATTCAAGACTACGAGACACATCCCAATTCGTGAGTTTGAAATCGGCCAGCAAATTAAGACCTATATCGTCACCCGACTATATTGCGTCCCCGAACTCAAAGCTGAAATCGCTCATATGGCATAGGCCCTTGCAAAACGTTCTAATTACCAAGAAGCCATGGGCGGACAGTACTCGACAAGCCATGGTTGACTTCATCACCTATCTACATGATTCCTATCCAGAAATCAATGTGCTAGTGCAGCCGGACGTTGCAGAGGAAATCGCCCAGGAGTTTGTCAAAAACCCACAATCCAATCCGAGCGAACCACACGTTTTGTATACGGGCGAGATCGAGGATATTGTGGACAAAGTAGATCTTTTGGTTACGTTAGGCGGTGACGGAACTATATTGCGGGCAGTGTCCCTGTTTGGAAACATGCCAGTGCCACCGGTGTTGGCGTTTTCCTTGGGCACATTGGGGTTTCTACTGCCGTTTAACTTTAAAGAACACCAACAAGTCTTCGAGCAAGTGATCAGTTCCCGCGCCAAATGCTTGCACCGAACACGTCTTGAATGCCACGTCATTCGACGTGGGCCTAAAGGTACAACCTACGAGAGCGTGGCCCATCATGCCATGAATGATATCTTTCTACATAGAGGCAATTCGCCCCACTTGACCAACTTGGACATTTTTATCGATGGAGAGTACCTAACAAGAACTACTGCGGACGGGGTCACTTTGGCGACGCCTACGGGCTCCACCGCTTATTCTTTATCTGCTGGCGGAAGTATAGTGTCTCCATTGGTGCCCTCAATTTTATTGACTCCGATATGTCCTCGTTCTCTTTCTTTTAGACCGCTAATCTTACCACAGTCCTCCCATATAAAGGTCAAAGTCTGCTCCAAGCCTCTGCAGGGGCCAGATAATAAAGTTGTCAAACTTTCGATCGATGGGGTGCCACTAGAAGACCTCAACGTAGGTGACGAAATTCACGTTGTGAATGAAATCGGGACAATCTACGTGAACGGCTCGCAACTGCCTAGTTCTAAAGACAGCGACTCCACCAAGCAACGCCATGCAAGTAAAGAGAATTTTGGAATACATTGCATTGCCAAGACAGAAAACGACTGGACTCGTGGCATCAACGAGCTATTGGGTTTCAATTCCAGCTTCAGGTTTACGTCTCACAAGAACAGCTGATGTGGCACATCATAAGCGATTTTCCGACCTTTTCGCGAGGCAACACCTAGCTCTCTACATACAATACAAGAATGTCCCAGCAATCATTGCAACAACTCCCATTCGGGCGCACGAAGGCAAAACCCTTAGATCTGTCACGAAGACAAACAACTGATGAGTCGTCGCACCCAAGATCACTGGATTTTTTCTCCAGTCCAAGCTACAATCTTTATAGAAAAGGCAGCACATTATCTACACTTGTCATGGGCCAAGAACGTCCCGGGGGAGTTCGACCTCAAGGAGACGCTGTTACGCACTGCGAATGGCTGTGAATTTGCGTTACTTTTCTAAAATTCACAAAGTGAGAATTGGAAGTTGGAAAACTTTGGGCCTTTATATACGCTAATTTTTCAATCGTAGTTACCCGCACGTGAAGAAATACCAAGCATCGGCGTGCCAGGGCAAGACTCCAGCGACAGGATATTATTGACAGTGAGCACAATGCCGTGTGCCTAACGCTCACGGTAGTGGAAAGAAGAATGGTGGTAACCTTGAATGAAAATGTTATGTTTTAGTAGCTAGAAAACCACTTTCTTTTCGGTTCCCCTAAAAGTAGAGAACTCTTTTGGCTAAAAATGCAAAAAGACGGCGATGGAGCTATATGTCGCTAGTCGTGTCCGTGTCGGTATCACTTATATCATTGGCAGCATGTACTTGCTCCAACTTTTGCAGTAATGGATTAAACACCAATTCTGTCACGTTGTCGGCCCACAGGGTGTCCATGTGCTCGTATCCTGGAAGCTCGACCAGCGTCAGATCTTTCAGATTGCGTACGAGATTTTGTTTCGTTGTTTCCATGTCGATGAGAATATCCTGGTCGCCATATAGCAGCATCATGGGCATGTTTTCGATGACTTGAACCGGAAAAGGTGCGCAGCGGTGTAATTTACTGTGCAGGGACGGCACGGAGGAGTAGATCTTGGAGATGTCCTCTTGGAACATTTGGAATCGTTTGTTATTGATGATCTGGAACCAGTGGGCTACACTTTTCACGCTGGAGGGCGAAAACATGTGGGTGTAACCCACCTGTTTCTGCGTCAGACTTATGTGCTCGCTTTTCCAGTTGAACAGATAAACCAACGACCAATCTACAACCTTCATGTAATTTATCGGACCCAGAAGCCGCTGCCAGAATACTGTCGAAGGCAGGATGGCCCTGGTTCCGAAGATAAAGTACAGAAGCTCCGAAGGGCACGTCACGAGAAACTTAGCGATTGGATGGCTCAGAGATCGTGGAATCATTGCTGGCGACAGTCCCACAAACAGCTTTATCTTGTCTCGCAGCTGTGGGTTGATAGAGAAGGCAGCAAATGCCTGGGAGGAGCCTTGGCTGAAGCCTATGTACGTCAGTTTCGACAACTTGGTTAGGTCCAGAATGTAGGTCAGAGTGTCGGGGATATCGAAAATCGCATATTCGTCCAGCGAGAAATCCCAAAACTTTGCGCTTTTCGACGACAGGTTGATGTGCTTTCTGCTGTATTTGTTACCGCGGTTGTTGCCGAGCCAAACATCGTATCCACGCTCGACCAGCAAAAATGGCAAACACTTCTCTGTGCGCTGGCCTAACAAGAATAGTTCACTATTGGTCAACAATCCGTGGTGAAAGTACACTACAGGTCGTTTAAGCTTTAATTCATGGAGAGATGCATGTCTGCTCACAATGCGATGCACCGTTAATAAATAACCATCCTGCGTCTTGACAACATGTTCGTGGACCTCAAACCCATGAGCAGCGCAGATGTCCAACACATCATTAGCGTTTACTACTTCTTCCACCAGTTTGCTTGGGTAAACGTAATTTTCGGTCTTGTACGATTGCAGGATGGGCAAAAGGTATACCAATGGCAGGATGTATTCACCATATATCCACAGTGGTATTCTCACAAAAAGACTCGCCAGAAAAACAGACAAGCTGTGTAGACGGTCCAGCATATTTAACTAACAGGTCTGGGCCCATAAACGACACGCGTTGAAAGGTTATTGCCGGTCTGAAGTTTTAGAAGGCTAATTCAGTTTGATATGTAAAGTACATTAATATGGCGAAATTTGGCCCAACTCATCGACCTCATCACGTATAACCATTTAGAAAAGTGAAGTATAGGCAGCGGTAGGATCTTTTACAGAAACTAGTTATGTTGTGGAGATATTTCGGACAACTGGTTAGAAAGTGAGAGGAATAGGCAGAGGTTTGGACATCTTGAGGGGGATTTTTGGCTATTTCCTGCTCAACGGGTTTATGAACTATAACAACTGTTGGGTGGCCCTGTGAGCTGAAATTTGGTGCTAGCACGAGTAACTGATGAGGTTTGGGTCTGTTTGGGGCTATTTGAACTTGCTCTTAGGCTTATCCTCTTTGGTAACGCTGCGGTTTGTCGTTTGGCCATACCTTCTTGAAGTACTATACCTCAACGAAAAACACCGTTCAATGGGCTGCCAGCTGCTCCTCATGGACGCTCTTTATCGGTGTTATAATTGAGCTAGGCTAGCACTGGTTTGCCGTAAGTCTGCAACGAGCTAGAGAGGTACGACGAAGATTTCATTTTATGGTGGTGATGGGGCCCAAATGCGTGGAAAAAACGGTCCCCAGGGTCCTATAACCGAGATGAGGAAAGCTCTTAGAGAACCCGATATGGAAACTTTGGATGCTTGAATTGTGCTAGTTTTTGGGCCGTGTCAACGACAGCCTTCCGCATTGGGATGATAATGAGTGGAAAGATGTGCATTGCGAGAACCACTAAACAGTCAAGCGGTGTGAGGAGTAAGTGGTCAAGGATCCAATACGGGCAGATTAGCAGCGTGGTTTGTGGTTTTAAACTTGTTTTGAAGGTGCGGTGTATGGTCAAACGTTTTGGCTGCTAGGACCAAACTCCGACAGATGCGAGAGAAACATCCAAAGCATAATTATAAAAGGATCGCTTGCAGAGAACTGAAAAATGGTACAGTTTGCAAGTCGTTGTACTTTACTTCCCCCTACATTATCGAAGATAACTTCTTGAACAATCCACGAGTATCGCGGACACCAACATGTTCAGAGAATTTTCAGCATATTTGACACTCGCTTTAGCCATGTCTAGGGCGTGGGCAGCTCCCGTAAATCTCTCGTCATCGTTATCAATGAATGAAGGGCAAAGTCTCCCGGCGGAAAGCATAGTGGGGTTTTTGGATTTGACTGGCGCAGATGATTTGGCCCTCTTTCCGGTGTCTAATGCTACCAACACCGGAGTCCTTATTGTGAACACCACCGTGTTGGACAGTGCTACGGAGAGTAAAAAGCGTGGGAAGAGAAACGCCAACGCGGAGGCCGAACCATGGCAGTGGCTCCGTCTTGGCCGTGGCCAGCCCATGTACAAGCGTGAAGCTAACGCAGAGGCAGAGGCCTGGAGCTGGTTACGTCTTGGGAGAGGACAGCCCATGTATAAGCGAGACGCGAATGCAGAGCCGGAACCTTGGAAGTGGCTACGTTTGGGTCGCGGCCAGCCAATGTACAAGAGAGACGCTAGTGCGGACGCCAATGCGAATGCCGAACCTTGGAGGTGGCTACGCCTAGGACGCGGCCAGCCTATGTATAAGAGAGATGCCAGCGCCGCGCCAGGCGCACAACCGTGGCGTTGGTTGCGGCTCGACAGGGGCCAGCCCATGTACTAACGACAGGGCCCCACCCTTGAATCACCACCTATGCTTTAACTACTATATCCGCCAGGCAGCGGTCTCGAATATTGTACTGTTTCCAACAGTCTAGCACTCCTTCTGCAGTTAATATTATAATAGGAGACATAGCTAAGAGACACCTAAATTCCAAACTGACATTTCTACATCCACCTTGACCAGCAAGCGGTGCACGGTGCGTAGCCAACGTCCCGCGGGGGTTTGCTGCAACTGTGCACGAGGTACTAATTCACTGGTGTTCTCGCTTTCCTACGCCGAACCATCGGTAGAATAGGCTGCGGAAGAAAAAGATTATGCTGTGAAGCAGGTTATTGTAGTCCTTAGGATCACCCTTGGTAGAAACGTCCGTTTCTGCGGATCCCTGTCTGCTTCTACTCACAGGCCCATCGTAGCGGTTCTGCTCCAAACTCTGCTCCTGGGTTTCGTGGTAGTTGTCCTCCAAGTCCGATTCGTTGATGACAACTGGCGTTTCTTGCGAGGCCACAGGATTCATCGGAGTTGGATCGGGACTCGAAGGCTCGTTTTCGCGGCCTATAAGCTCTTCCTCATCGTAGTCGTCGCCGTTTTCATCGTAAACTTCTTCGTCTGCCACTCCTACGCTGGTTTCTACTCCCCCTCCTTCTCCTCCTCCTAAGACACTCTCCTCCTGCTGCTGCGGTGCCATCTCTTCGAGTGTCATATACATCGCGTTGTTTTCGTTTCCAACCTCATCTGACTCCTTCGCAAAGTTGTCGTCTGTAAACCACGTACCTGAGTCGTCGATGAACTTGAAAAGGGTCACAGCCTTTCCACCCTTGACTTCGCATTTGGCCAATAAATCCTGGTCTAATTGGAACTCCCATTGTTGATCTTGGTCATTGAAAACCATAGGTTTGATATCCCATTGAGTAAAATTGCCCGCAATGCTGAGAGAACTCAGTTTTGTCTGGCTGTGTTTAAACACTATCGTGTTCATAACAACCATGGACTCGAATTCAAGATCGGTACGCCAACTTCAAGGTACTCTACCTTGCAATCAGAATTTTGATAGTATTTAAACCAAAATTGATAAACAATATCCTATCGATGTGATCCTAGCTATATATTCTATTTGCGACAAAGGGATCGGACTTGCTGTCATTATTATCTCACCAGGGCTGCCACGAAAACTTCGATGCCTGACAACTCCCAATTCCCTGGCTGTCACATGAGCCCAGCGACGGTGAAAAATAGTCAGAGACGTCTGGCCGTGATGGTAACCTGGTACTTATCTGCTGGGTTCCTTAGCCACTTCTTTGATGGCCATCTTATGGAGTCCTGGTATAGTGTTTAGATTTTCTACTTGTTGTTAGGTACAATGTCAGTGGTGCGATAATATGTACACATTGCTGCTATCGTTTCAAGCATGTCATTTTATGGAAAAACATTGATTAAAATATACTTAAATCATGAACTGAATGAAATGAATGGCCGCCCATTTCGGGAGCCGTAATTTTTCTCTGTGTTTCACAATAGAATTGCGACTTCGTCTCCTTTTAGCGATATTGACGGGGGATATTGCCACAGCGATCCTTGCCGAAATTGATCTTGAGATTCTGAAAATGCGGGTAGGCCTTAATCTTGTCGATTGCCAAGATGGCATTACTGATGTTGGTGAAGTTGACGAAACAGCAGTTGCGTTCCGGGAGAAAGTTGATTTGCTCCACTTCGCCAAACTCCTCGAAAATGGCACGAAGACCGTCTTGTGTGAAAATGGGGGAGTCACGGTTGCGGTCCTCGTCGAAATCGATGTTGCCCATGTATATGTTCCGTGAAGCTCCATGGCTCACGGCAAGAGCCAAGGCGTTTGAGAGGGCACCCGAGTGCTTCCCCCACCCGATCTTGCATCGCTTGTTGTGTATTGTGAGGCCGTGAAGAGAGGTCATGGCATAAAGCTGCGCCGCTGCAGTTGGATCGATGAATGTCACGAAGCAAACGTGGCGGTCCGAAAGCAGCTTGATGTTCTGTAAGAGGCCACCGCGCACTGCGTTGCAAATTTCCTCGATTTTTACGTCCTTGGGGAGATTGCCCAGGTAGATGGTACGGTTGCCCAGATTATTGGCGCCCCCAGCAGCGGTCGCGATAGCCGCAGCAGCGGCAGACTGCTGCAGTAAAGTTGAGGAAATAAAGTCTCTATCGGTGTACTGAACCAGATGTTCCATGCCCGGCTGTAACCCGAGAAACTGGGCTGCGTTATGCTGTTGCGTCTTGGTGATGAATGCACATCTATCTTTTCCGTAAAATATCTTTTTGTTGGCATAATATGGATTGACGGAAGTAAGGCTCGAAACCACTTTGATAGCGCTGTAAATTGACGTGAAATGCACGAAGGCAATGCCTTTCTCCGCGATTATCTTGACTGATTCGATCTCGCCAAAAATGCCCAAATCTTCGCGCAGTTTCTCTTCTGTCACCAAGGCGCCGTCCTCGGACGTCTCATTTTGAGAGACCACTTTTTCAGCGGTATTCAAGCGCCCAAGATAAACATTTCTAGTGGCACCATCATTGGACACTGCCGCCGCAACCATTGGGTCCATGGGGATTGGCTTACCCCATCCTATTTTGATGTCACGACCGTCTATATTTAACCGCTTGAGGATGGCATCTGAGTGGAAGAGGAGTGCGGAGCCCTCATCAAAGAATGAAATGAAGGCACACATTTTCTCCCGCAGAATTCTAACGTTTTCCACCACTCCACTGCGAACATGATCCAGTAGCTGTCTCACTTCAATATTAGGAGGGACATTCCCTAGGTAAACAGTTCGGCTGGGAGCACTGGTGAAGTCTCTTGAATTGTTGGACTGCATGTGGCCATGAGAGAGAGGTGAATTGGCAGCAGCAGCAGCGGCAGCACTTGCAGCAGCCGAATACTTGGAGTTTCGGGATGCACCGACATGGCCCGAAGAATCTGTCGAAAGATGGCTAGAACTATTGTCTACTTCTTGAGAGGCGATTCCAAAAGTAGGCTGATCGTGGTCGCTTGGTTGATGCAAAGGAAACCCGCCCATTTGGCGGTGTTGTACAAAACCGATATTGCCATTGTTGCCATAACCTTGGTTAGGCCAACCCACCGAACGCTGTTCACTTTGATATGCGAGCTGGGAGTTCGGTGACAGAGACCGATACATGAGGCTTTCAGCAGAAGGGTTATGTGCGGAAAACCTGTCATATGCATACACGGGAGAGTTGACAAATTGTTGGTGGTAGAAAGACGACATCATTAAATCAGCGCCCAAAACTTCAAGTTAACGGTGATTGCAAGGAAATGACGAACGAAATGGATAACGCGGTAAGCTTCGTCAGAGAATCGAAGATTCTTCCTCTCTGGAGTGAGCGATTGATAGCAAAGGTCTATATTTTAAAAGATTGAGACGACAACTGTGAATTGGCAATGGCTCCACAATGTTTAGGATTTCTTTTCTGAGAAAGTTACCTCGTTAGCTTAGGGCAATCCAATTTCAAATAGCGGCTAACCGATCTAGAGGGTGCCAGATATACTCTATCGGAGAGAATTGAAAGAACAAAAAACACAAAACAATGGGGGGAGACAAAAACGCCGGCCAAGTCGAGGTTAATCGCCAGGAAGAGACACTTTTTGCAAACTTTTGAATTTCGATATGATCGTATTGATCTTGATTGATGAACTCAATTCCGCTGCTAGGATTTTGACGTGTTTGGTACGTGATGAGGTACGCTGTTAATCGTGTACAAGTTGATCTCGACTGGCTCTCGCCTAAGGTCTAAAAAAAATTTGAGAAAGTATCGCTTTGTACGCGACATCGATCTTAGATGCCCGTCGGGGCCATCAGCGGAGCTGTCATCGGCGATTGAGGAGCAACAGAGTCACCTAGGACTTCCATGAATGTTAGAGAGCTTGAAATGAGTTCCAGTATTAGTATTGTGGGACTTTTGACACCCGTTCTACAAGGTCAGCATTCCAAACTATGCTAAAATGAAGATATGGGTCCGGTAATACATTCAGGCCAGGCCGTAGAAGCATGAAGTCTTCCGGTGTCCATGGAGGGTTCTGTATCCTTTCTTCTTCCTTTGGTGTGTCAGTCGGTTGCAGGAAGGTCTGTAGATGCAAGGAAACGACGTTACAGTTCGGGGTCGGTCTCCGCTTCAGTGTCAACGTCGCTCTCCGCGTCGCTTTGAGTGTCATTACTGAATTCTCGACCTTCTTCAGTGCTTGTGCTTGAACAACTACGCACGTCGAGATTTTCGTCGGCCCCACCCGCGAGACCGGAGCCGGTAGTTGTATGCTCTAAGACACTGCCTGTGCCCGTCGGGGAACCAGTTTGGACGCCATCAGAGCTCTTCTCTAGAGAGGAGTTTCTGCGAAGGTGTGCCGCTCCAAGTGGGCCCGATGGGTCCCTTGCCGGGGTCCTTTCGCGATTGATGCCACGAATTTCAAAGCCTTTGTCGGCGAAATCGTCCCACGAATTTTCGTGCTTCACTAAGGGTTTGGGCCTTTTCTTTGAGGGTGACGGCGTGGATGAAACTCTCGCCGGGGCCCTTTTGCGTGGCGACGTCATGCGGGAAACCGGCTGGCTGACAAAGCGGTTCATTAGAGCCTCGTCCGGCAAATCCAGAGGTCCTCGGTTTTGTTCCAAATTCTCCTCCAGTTTCCGTATCATATCCTTTTTCTCGTTTAGCAATGCAACGACCACCGCTCTGGTCTTGTCGTCCCTCCTCCGTATCAGTAGATCATTTTCTCGTTCCTCCTGCTGCATCTGAAGCTTTTCCTTTTCCAAATGAAAGCATTTGAGCTCCAACGCATGGATACGCTCGGTAGCTCGGCGAAGATTCTTATACATCGTTAGACCAAGGCCAAAAAGATCAAGTTCTAGGTCCTGGGAAGCCGAATCGAGCGGCAATTCGCAGAACCGCTGGGCAAACCCGCGATGTTGTGTTTCAAACACTAGCTTCCACTTTTCATATGCGTAGTAGAACGTCCATTGGCCATTGTACGCCCAACTTCGGTCGATACCCTCCATGACAAACCACCCACCAGAGAGAAAAATTACAAGCTCGAGCCAAGACTTCAAGCGGTCTGCACCTGCAAAGCAGATCAAACAGCTCATGTCCAAATTCCTTCCAGTAATAACGTCGCTTCCCTCACTGGCTATCAGGTCCAATATTTTAAAGGATGGTAGTTCCGCTGGCGTCTTGAAACCATCGCTAGAAAACCGTGTTTGGCACATCATGACACCAGTATCTTCCTGATCAGCACTGACCGAAGCACAGCTGACAAACTCAGAGCACTTATCCATCATCTGACTTCATCTTACGCTGGTTATGCCGGGTTCAGACCAAAGTGATGATCGCTATACCGAGGAAGTAATATAACTTGGATTTATAATAATATAACTAAGTAACATAGTAGAACAAACGATCACTGGTTAACCCAGTTTCTATAGCTTCATATGACAGCGGAAGTATCACAAATAGTACCACCAGATTACCACTTGAAAGAAGCAGAGCCAGAACATTGTCCTGGCCCGGAATCCGAGAACGCAGGCCAAGGCGATGCGTGCCAAGGTTGTGCAAACAAAGATATCTGCGAAAGTCTGCCCAAGGGACCCGATCCAGACCTTCCGTTGATCACCGAAAACCTTTCTCAAATAAAGCACAAAGTACTTGTGCTTTCGGGCAAGGGAGGCGTGGGCAAATCGACTTTCACGTCATTGCTATGCTGGGCTTTGTCATCGGACGAAGATCTACAAGTGGGAGCGATGGACCTTGATATCTGCGGTCCGTCGCTGCCTAGGATGCTCGGATGCCAGAAGGAGAGCGTTCATGAATCAAATTTGGGCTGGACGCCCGTTTACGTCGCGGACAATCTCGCAACCATGTCTATCCAGTACATGCTGCCGGAAGACGATTCAGCGATAATATGGCGAGGTTCTAAAAAAAACGCTCTGATTAAGAAATTTCTCAAGGATGTTGACTGGGATATGCTAGACTACCTAATCGTGGACACACCGCCTGGTACCTCGGATGAACACATTTCTATCAACAAGTTTATGAAAGAGTCCGGAATCGATGGTGCTTTGGTCGTGACTACCCCTCAGGAGGTAGCACTGCTAGATGTACGAAAAGAAATCGATTTCTGTCGAAAAGCAGGGATCAAAATACTGGGTCTTGTTGAAAACATGAGTGGTTTTGTGTGCCCCAGTTGTAAAGGACAATCTCAAATTTTCAAGCCCACCACCGGCGGGGGACGAAGACTGTGTGAAGAGCTGAATATCCCTTTTTTCGGCTCTGTTCCGCTAGACCCCAGGGTAGGTAAAGCATGTGATGAAGGCTTAAGTTTCCTAGACCAACACCCCGAGAGTCCAGCATCTTTGGCAATACTTAATGTCGTCGAGGGTCTCCGCGACGCAGTAGGCGATATTTAGGCAGGTGCAAGGTACGCTGAATTACAAAATGCATTTAGAGTAAGTACAGTATATAAATTTAGAACAAAGTAGGGCAAATCTATGTTGTCGAGTAGCTTCTCTTTATCCTTTTCATCATTGTTCGCCTTTCTGGTTCTCCAATCGGTAGCTCGGCTAGCCGTTCCTCCATCACATAGTGCGTAATACTTCCCTTTTTGTGTTCCATATAAGCCATCGCTACCCTACTAGACATTACTGAACAGCAGATTGAAACCAACTTCAGATGACTATGCGCTTTGTAGTATGTCGGTAATGCATGCAAAATTTTCTCAAGGTTAGGTGTGTTTACTTCCCCATCTAAAATGAGATGCGTGTAGTCTTGAAAAAGGTTCAAGGTACGGTCTAGCTTGAGCGGCGAGCTGTCAAGAGTCCGCTTCAACATAGTTCGCAAAACGTCCAGTTTTGAAATATCCTGAGAGCTCTGCAAAATTAGTTCAGGTCCAACATTCAGGTACAAACACTTCGCGGCCTCCTCCATAAACCCTCCCTTTAATAAATTGTCCATCTCTGCGAGATGGTCTCCAATATTCTTGTAATATAGTGCCATCGCCTTAAATAATAAGCCTTCTGGAACTTTGAACTTCTTCAGTTTTTCTTTGCTAAATTCTCTGTAGAAGAATTGAGCATGTCTTGATACCAAAATATCAATTTCACGTTTAGCCAACTCGTCATTCTTCAAGAAAATTAGGGTGAACAACGCTTCTACGTAAAAACTGTTCGACACAAGTTGTTCGAAAAATTGCAAAGTTATTCTGTCCATCTTCTCAGCTGAGAAAGAAAGATCACTTTTGTAATGCAGAGTTTGCATAATGAACCACATGTTGCGGCATTTGGAAGCCTCGTTCGAAATTTCAATCTTTTCTAACAGTTCCTCCATTCCATTTTCTGAGCTGTAAAAATTCAAAATATCATTTATGATACTCTCAGCTTTTGTTTTCTTCTCCAGAGGACAAGTATCAAAAAATTCAAGTACGGATTCTTCAAGTGTCTGCGCCCGTCTCTTACCATAAAGAAGGTGAATTGCCAAGCATTCAAGCCACGAGTAGTGGTTTTTAAAGTCGATTAGAGCTTCATTATCAAACACCATACCAGCTAGTAATTGATAGGTTTTTATAACAAAAGGCTCTACCTTTCTATTGAGACTTTTCCATTTCTGTAATTGTTGCTTGGCCAAAGAAGTAACATTATTATCTTCGCCTCCTAGAAGAGTCAGGATGGGGGCTAGGTGCAGGTTTCTAGATTTTATAGCTAGCTTAGTAGCGCTCTCAATATTTCCAGACATTAAATGCAAGAATATCTGTTCATTCGAGCTAGTAGATAGCGACATGCGATCCGAGATTGCCTTTTCGTTACTTTTTACAACCCAATCACACAGCTTTTGGTATCTTACCTGCTCACTGGAAATACTGTCCTCAAATATTTCATCAAACAAAATTGAGATTAAGGACCACAGCTGGCGATCCTCCTCTCGATTACTGAGAAGGTTTCCAATTTCCTCAATAGTTACCGCCCAGTTTGTGACCGAAGGGTATGCATTTTTGTGGCGTGCCTCGATTTCAGCAAGATGAAAAGAGGATTCAAAAGCATTGCTCCCTTTTGAGAGAGCATCGCCAGCGTAGGTCAAAACTGAACGCTCTACACACCCACTATACTTGTGTGCAGAAGTCATGAGAAGTCTCGAGTCTCCCGAAAATTTAGCGAAAGGTGGTACCTTCGTAATTCGAAGTCTCCTTTTAATGTCCTTGCGCTGCTCCAGATCGACTTCTAATGAAGCGAATAGATTTCCGGAACCTTTCTTCTCCTTCTCCAATGCAAAAATAGACCGATGATTTTGACCGGCGAGCTTCAGCTGCAAAATCCAATCGCTAGAGACACTCAAGTTTGTCTGAACTTCGATACCCTTTATATCTGCTGGCCCGACATCTAAAGGTTCGTATTGTTTTTCATCTATTAGGTTTAACATATCTGTGTCTTGAGTTTCAGCAGTGCCCGGATGTACAATGTTTTGGATAGGTAGACGTCCTGCCGTGGCGTTTTCCACTTTACTAATTGGTTTTGAGTTAGAAAATGCTAATTTACCGGAGTGCTGGCCTTCCTCTAGATTCTGGGAGGTTTCATCGTCCTCCTCTATTAGGCCCCATATACTAAAGTGTTGAACTCGGAAAGTCCAAAGTCCCTCTGTTGGATTGTAAGAAACAAATGCCATGCCCTTCTGAGCGCGAAGTTTTCTTATCAACAATTGTACTTCCGGAGCAGAGAATTCCTTGATTAGCTCAAGAGATTGGCCCTTCGTAGGGTATATTTTTTCCAACGAGATAGTTGCAGGGACATTAAGACCATAACCAAAAGCTGGCTTCAATAATCCTTCTGGATAAACCTCGACAGTTCTGTTTCCATGGAAGATAACTACCTTACCGAACAAATTCCCCTCTAAATCATCAACGAAAGAACTCAAATCTACGTCGCTGTCAAAAGAAATTGCGCCAAAACCTCTGCGACCGATAATGAAGTTAGGCACACTACAGAGCTGCTTAACCGGAGATTTAGTAAGTTGTTCGATAGAAGGGGAGCACCAGTATCCGTGGTCCACACGGCTCTTCTCGGTTATTGTGTCAACGGTGCGGTTGCCATAACTTACGGCCTGCGAATCATTTGCCTGTCTCTTGGATTGCCCAGCTCCTTCCTCACCTTTAGAGTCAAAATTTGTCTCGTCTAAAACTTTCACGCTGGTTGCTCGACTGGCACCATTAAGTAATTTGATTTTTTTTTCTGCAATCCTCCCAGTATCAATTTTCAACTTACGCAGATCTTTAGTCCCGTTTCTTCCTAGCTGGGGCATTGTATTGTTGATAAGCTGCTTGTTTGGCTGCTCTAAAATGTTATTCTCATCATTCTTTGAAATTTTACCATCCAAGTTGAACAACGGTTTCCTAGAAGGAGAGAATAGACCGCGCGTAGGATCGATACTTCGAGCATTCTTTAATCTCGAGCTCAGCTTCCCTATTAATGTGGCGCTCGTCTTGTAATTTGACGAAGGTAGGTGATTTGTTGACGAGACCGAAAAATTTTGGGGTTTCTCATACGCTTTTTGATCAGCATCCTGTGGTTTTTTCCTTAGTAAGGACGAGGTAATCGATTCCGGCATGTTGACAACATTACTTGGTAAATTACTGACTTGGATGCCGTATGGGTTAGTAGCCTGGGTTTGACTTGACTGAGAAGCTGGCGTTGAAAGTGTGCCTCCGATGGTACTGCTACCAGCGCTCCCCATGCCGGTCGAGGGCTTATTTGAAAATAAACCACCATAATTAGAAGTAGCCATTCCTGAATTATTGATTCCGGTAGCCGTGGAGTTGTTAGAGTTTCCGAACAATCCAGTTGAAGAAACCGTATTCTGATTGGAGTCCTGACTATTACCAAATAGCGACCCACCCGTATTGCTATTGCCATTAGTTGAGCCAAAAAGACCTCCCGGAGCCAGTGCTGGAGTTTTTTGAGGGGCCTTAGAACCAAAAAGTCCACCAGGCGTTATGCCACCGCCCCCATTTCCACCAAATAGCGTGCCTGACGTCGTGTTCGGTTTGCTTCCGGTGCCAAACAAGTCTTTGGCACTGGATTGGGCAGCGTTTCCGTTGCTTTTATTTCCAAATAAGCCCTCCGAAGGACTGGGCGTTGACACGCCATTGGCTGCCACACCACCTATTCCGCCAAAAAGACCACCGGAGGCCGACTTATGCCTAGGCTGGAACGCATTGTCTGTATTGACCACTTTCGATGCCGGAGTTGAAGTGTTGATTGCCCCTCCAAATAGTGACGTTCCTCCACTGTTGGTTCCAAACATCAACGAATGTATATCCCAGAGTAGCGTTTGAAATTCTTGATACAGAAAATCCAAAAATAAATGAATGAAGAAATTGGGCTGGGATGATCCGCGAGTGTAATGAGGTTTACCAATTTCACTTTGGATATAAACGGTTCTGAGCACTTCAACTTGGATGTATAAACTAAACATACATGCAAAATATTTCGAGAAGGTCGTTGTATACGAAATTAGAAGCTAGCAACGACGGCATCAGCACGATGCTTAACGCGGATATCTGGTATTCAACCTTGACCTTGCTTGATATGTGGCCTCGCATTACTTTCAATAGTTTTTCCTTAAGGATTTGAAGGTGGGGCTGCTGATGATTTAATAGTTAGCGGTAGTAGAGTTCCCGAACAAGCTAACAGGCTGGAGAATTGCAGGTTTACGCTTGGGACCCCCGATTAACATCTGTTGTATATGGAGCAGAGCTCAAAAAACGTCAATATAATACTGCATCTTTGAGCCACGGTAAAACGGCAGATGCTTTTATCCTAAAACGTAGCATTAAATCCTTCAAACTGTATGATTCAACTTTCAACGATTTCAATTGTAGTTTCGGGGTCTTGTTCAATTCCCCTTTCGCCGCTGAAATAAACTCGCTAAGGGAAAGATGAAGCAGAACATTGTTTCTCGTTAAAAAATCGAAAAACGTTAACTCTATTACCAGCCCGCCACCTGATTTCATAACGTGGCATGGGAATACTAGTTGCAAACGTCTGTATTCATCCTGAAGATATTGCAAGGTTTCATTACTTTGGAGAATGGCCCTCACAAAATGACCAGCATCCTGTGATGAGTGACGAGCTGAATGAACGGTCCTCTCATATATTTCTCTAGAAAAGGAATCGATAGATTTGGGGAACGAGACAACCGACTCATCAATCATTGCGAGCCGTTTAACGTCAAATTCTAATGTGATATATGAGCCACAAAGCTGGACATTTAGCTTCGTGCCCGTATAACCCTTGAGCAACACTCCAGAAATAAGCTGCAGCTGATGAAATGTTGACTGCAATTTGGGCACTTCGCGTATCGCAAAGTGGGCCTTTTTCTTCACTTCAGAACTTAAAATTGAAATCTGCTTTTGGGTTTTGTTTGCTTTAGATTGAAGCTCTTCAATCTCTTTCTTAAGGCTCTTCGCGCGGGATATCAGGTGTGTGCACTCATTCAAATTTTCCACCTCACCGGCCAAATCAACTCTGAGCTTTTCAATCTTGAGCCGATCGGGTATTTTCGAATGAACATTCTTGAACTTTGACGATTCCCTATAAAGATGAATTTCCCTGCTTAAGTTCAGCTTTATTTCATTGACTCTTTTATTGATGCCAGTGATGTTATCGATTCGAGCCGAAAGGGTTTCGAGTTCGTCTCTCAATATCATAAGGTTCTCTTGTAACACGTTTTGGATTCCTTTCAAATGTCTAGACCTCCATTCGTACCAAACTTTTGCCGCTTGTAATTGCGAATATCTTCTGATTAATTCAATTTGATTTTTCATAGCTTCTCTATCTTCTGGTGTGGCCGAGAGGTATTTGTGAAATATAGCAGGTGGCGGGCTAGCGGCAACCTGTTCTTCCACAGCTTTGAATACTTGTTTAGACTTGGCAATTCTTTGCAAAAGTTCCTTGCAACAAAATGCATAGATCTCTAGTATGGGCATGTTCGCATACAACGTGTTATAGGTCCCTGAAGCTGACAGATGTGCCCCCTCGGGCAGGTGGTTAAACTCCAGTTTTGATATATCTTTACTGACATCGTTGGACAGTGTAGAAATCCCAACAGCATCGAGGAATGTACGTAGGGTAATACCGTTCTCAGCGGATGTTTGAGACGATGAACCTTTGTCAATAGATTGTGTGTCATGCGTGCGTTGATTAGCAAGTTCAGCTTCGGCAGCTTTGCTGTTATCCTCTTGGTCGACATGAACCGCAATTGGAGACAATTTTTCCATCATTGTGAGTTCCATCTCATCTTCGACAACTGAACTGTTGGAAGAAGAGCTGTGTGGCTCATTCTCCTTGGCCTGCACCTTTCTCCGCTTGAATAGCGTTTGTGAATGAAGGCGATCGTTGCCTGTCGCTGTGGGGGCTGTCAATTGAGATTGGCGTTCGGCCTGCTTCTGAGTCGACGTTACCACTTGCGACGAACGTATGTCAGTTATCTCCCGATCTTGTTGGCTGTGCTTAGGATGACCAAAGATAAATGGCTCCTCTTGACTCTCAATCCTTTGGGAGTCTTCGCGTAGACTATTAGTTGTCTTCCTGTAAGGGACGTGTACGGGCTCAGTGGTCTCCATATCAGATAGATCATGATCAAACTTCTCGAATGATAGGGAGCCATCCCCATCATCGGACTGTCCTTTTTTACCTCCCAAAAGTCGAGAGCCTCCCCTCTTTAAAGCAACGTCATGAGGCTCGGTGAGCTCCATTTCCTGCTCGAGTTTATTTGAGCTCACATCAATATTATTAGGTTCGACAGAGAGAGGCCTTGTAGTGTCCATATCCTCTTGACCATCAACGCCTTCCAAAGCCGGGGCTGGTTTGGCACTATATTTTGAAAATAACTGCGTGATTTCCATGGACACTTCTTTGTCAAATACAGGTTTGTAAGGTTGGGTGCTTTCGTGGCCCATTGTTGAAACGTCATTTCCACTCTCGCCCCCCACAACTCGGGTTATCTCCATTGTATCTTCTGGTACTGGGTTGTCACTAGGAGGAATTCTCTTTGGAGTCCATTTCCGTCTGGGCTCTCTAAAACTCTGGGGTTGCTGCAGTACGAAGTCCACACGATGTAGCGTAACGTCCGGAGCAAAAGACACCCTTCGATCTGTTTTCGAGTGCATCTTTGACGTGCTGATCCGCGAAGTTGTATTATTTTCACCTAAGGGGTCTTGCAGTTCCTGAGAGTTCACTGGGATGCTAGATATTGTCAGGTTTCCGGACTGATCATCTTCTTGTGATAGTCTTTGTTTCAATATACTTCTTCCGGGTGCTATGAATTTTCGGCTTTCTGATTCTCTGCTTGGAGCACTCTCGGCAGAACGCTCCGTTTCTCTCCTCTCGTCAGCCATCCTTGGCCCAATCTCGGGTTGATCTGTTTACATTTCGGTCCTTCTACAAATTGATATATTGATGTGATGACCCGTTTATGATGAGTTACAGATGGTGAAAAAATTCATTGATTAACGACATCCACAATGGTGCTTAACGGCCCACGCTAGGGAGTCATTGAGCAGTCTTAGCAAGCCTTTTGGAATGTTTTCACAATTGATTCGTTGGGGGACAAGCAGAACTATTAGTCAAGGCGGCCCTCGTCTTTTGAGCGGCAGCTTGGGGATTTCAAATCCATTTTTAACCCGAGGTTTCAAAGTCAGAACTGCCATCAAGAAGTTCTGCAGCGATTGTTATGTATGTACACCACTTGGACAATTACGGGTGGCGAATTTCTGACTTCATTTACTAACACTTTTTGATATAGATGGTTAGGCGCAAAGGCAGAGTCTACGTGTATTGCAAATCTAACAAAAAACATAAACAACGCCAAGGTTAGGCTGTAGTCTTCCCCAGGTAGTATGAAATTCATAGGGGAGCATGTCATGGTTCTTGTAAATAGATTTTGCAAAATTAGGAGTTGCGCTGGAGCTGCTCACACCCTAAATTAGTGTATATAGGCAAAGCCAAAACATATTTTGAGCATTTTGATTCTATCATTATTATTACAATATCGCGCCGTCTTTTGAACAGGATAATTTGGTGCTGTCAGCTATCCTCATGATCTAGATGCCATGCAGAAAAGCCAACTCCCGCAACCAATACAATGGAGCCGTTAGTCGCACTTGGCGTAACATCTACACACCCGGTATCGGCGTTCGTGGTATACAACACATCCTTCAGAGCCAAACTGTTACCACTCACATTGTAATACCTCAGCTTTTGATCGACAGAGGCCGTTATTAAGTTGGCACCATTGTTGAGCAGATTTACGGAGGTTATTGTTGATGCGGCACCCGCGGTCTGGCAGTCCAGGACGCGGCCCACGATGCCTGACTTACCTCTTTGTGTCACAAATTCAGAAATGGCCACCGCATTATCATCGCCGCCAGTATAAACTAAAAAGGCGTTTGCAGATAATACCCGTACCTGGAGAGTTTTGATGCCAGCGCTGTGCACATGTAACCTCATTAGGTAAAATGGTAGCTGCAGTGGTGTCGAAAAATCAGTTGGTTTCCAATAAACTTTTTGGTCCTTCACATAAACTGGTGTGGAGTCCGTTAAATCCCAGATAACCAAGTGGCCATCCGTAGGAGACACAACTATGACCAACCGATCTGCTAAAACCACTAAAGAGATATTCAGAAGACAGCAGGTTTCGTATTTTCCCTCCCCCAACAGTGTAAACTTTTCTGATTTTTGTCCATAAAACCAAACCTTGATAGCAGAATCAGAATATACTGTTACTAGTAAAAAGTCGTTCGTTCCTTCAATGAATTTGACGTCAAAGTCCATTATACGTAAGTCGGGGATTTCTGTTGAGGGGGGTAATGTTGCCAGAATTTTGATATACGGGTTGGAGTCATACATTGTGGACACCTTCCACAGATACAGTTCCTCGCGTGCAGCTGATGAAATCATGTACTCGTCACTCACGAACTTGCACCGCTGCAGCCCCGATGTATGCTTCCTGAGGGTCCAAACGGTTTTCGTCATGCCCGTCACGCCCTCTAGACGGTTCAATTTGATCGTTGTGTCCTCAGCACCAGAACAGAAAATGTGATCGTTATCTCCGTATTTATTAGGACAGATTGTGAGATCTCTTATTTCCCTTCCGTGTAACCCATTGCGCAAGGCAATAGATGTCACCGATTTGTGGAACCTTCGCAGATTAATGCAAGAAGCTTTGACGTAAATTAGCACAAACTCTTCAGATCCGAAATTTGGCAAAAATTTCCACTGACGATGAGAGCCTCCACATAAAACACTTGTGATGTCAAATTGCTTTGTTTCGTTGTAAATACCGAAAGTGTTTGACCTGAAGCCGTAAGTAATGTAATCACCTCTTTCATCGTAGTAAGCTCCTTCCAAGAAACCCTTCGAAGTTTTGTTCACGAGTACGATATCGCTTCCCATGCCACCCAACTCAAGTGATACAAAACAATAGTATCCATCCCTGTCTGTAACAGAGAAAAGTGAATGCCCATCAATGGTAGCTTCCACGAATCTTATTGACGTAATTGCGTCCCCTGGGAGGATTCTATTCAAAATCATGGGAGGAGAATTGCTGTGTTGCAAGTCAAAAACTACAAGAGTGCTGTACCTTGAACCCAAAATTAGAAAGTTGCGGTGATATAGTATGCTGCTAGAGTTGAAATTTGCGGGCTTTGCAAAACAAAAATGTGCTTCTTCTTCTAAGGACTCGCCATTGAACTTAACGCAGTACAAAGGCTCCCTTTCGTTGGGAGATTGAAGGGCAACTATAAAGTTTTCGCCTTCGTGATCAACCAAACACATTGTGCTCTTCGAAAGTGCTTCGACGTGGGAACTTTTGCGCTTTAGGAGTTCGCCATCTTTGGAAAACTTCAAAATGAGGAGATCGCAATCGCCACCTGCAAAAATGACAATTTCAAACTCTTGGACACCCGATGTCGTAGAGTAGCGGGCAAATTTCCTATCGATAAGCAGAGACGACCACTTAAGGGTCTCCTGGTTATACTGGAGAACCCGACCTTCGGATGTCATTACCACGAGCCCAAATTCTAGCCAGTAAAACCCTTTGACGATTTCATTTGACTGCAGATCAATACCGTGGCTCCTTATATCGTCCATTGAAAACAGCTCGCTTTCGTCTCCACTCCTACTCTTCAACAGCAGATCTGTCAATTTAATGCGCCCATCATTACCAGATGTGACGGCAATCATCCTTTCAGAATCCACATCCACTCCCCACACATTTTTACTTAAATGGACTTCAAAGATATCCATCTGTTGGAGATCCTCTCCTTGTTGGCAGACGTCCCACACTCGGCAAGTGCAGTCCTCGGATACACTGATAAGTTTGTCACAGTTCTCGCCGAAAAATTGCAAGTTCCAGATTCTAGCAGCATGTCCCCAGCCTGTAGAGACTAATTTGCCCGATGATAAATCCCAAAGTTTTATAGATCTATCATCGGAGCAGCTTGCCAAAAATTTTCCATCATCACTAGCGGTGACATAAAAAATGGAGCCTTCATGATCAGTGAAGTGATGCTGGGTTTGCTCTGAAAACAAATCCCATACGAATATACCGTCCATCACAGTACCCGCGTTTACCATTACCTTGTCATCATTATGCACCGTTATGGTGCCCGAATACAAAATTGCCCTCTCGCCAAATACAGCCTTGGTACTCTTAACGGTGAGCTCCAGATCGCAGCACAAAACTTTGTTATAACTTGTCAGTAAAAATACCGAAGAGCGGTTGAAACTGAATTCTGCGCTGATGATCCACTCTGGACACATTTTTTCGAGTCCGCAGTTGTCTGAGTACTTCAAGACTCTTTCCCACGGAACTATGCTGACAGAACGCGCGCCGTAAGCTAATATCAGTCCCTTTTGAATCGCAAGTCCGTGAACCTTATTTTTATGGAAAATTTGTGATTGATTAACAAGCTTGCCGCTTTTTACCTCGTAGACATGAATGTACACACCGTAGCCCGCCACAACATAATCTCCGTGGAATTTTACACATATGGATGGACCATAGTGCGAGAGCTCTTCAGCTTTCATTGCTCAACGGTTTCACTGAATATCAATATTGTCGTGATGGAAAAGTGTAAAGTCCATATATATAAAATATATATGGACCGTAATTTATTCACCCAAGTAAAGTCCCCAAACATCTTGTCAAACTTAAAGAGAGGAGCCATAAATATTCAAAAGAGCAATCTACCATCAATTAGGGCACTTGATATTTGTTGAAGAACCAAGACTTTGTATCAGAGGGCCTGGAGCTTTTTTTGGTGAAAGGTTGAGGTGGTCTTGTTAGGTGTTAGTAAAGTACTGATTTCAACATGAACAACTGGCAACTGACGTTTCAAGCACCCGTAAATCTGGCGGAGCACCTTCAAAAACCATACCTACTGTACGACGAACATGAAAAGAATGTTACTAGGGTGATCTTTGATGATCATGCAAACTTACTCTGGGCCGGAGATACGTATGGGCGAGTCTCGTCGTATGACCCATCGTATTCTCTCTATACCAGGCACGCAGGTCACATAGGAGCCACGCCGGTTGTGGATCTACTGAGTCATCCTGGCGGAATTCTCTCCCTTAGAGCAGACTCTTTGAATTTCGCAAGCAGACAGAGCGTTACGCGGTTGAATCTAACCAGTGCGAACATCGCACAACTGTGCGACATGAAGGCGATGTGCATTGGATCAAGTTTAGCTAACCAAGTCTATTGTGCTGGGGGTAACATTGGCAGTGGCATCATAAATATTGATCTACAAAAGGGGGCCATGACCAGCAATATTGACTACGCTTCCAAAGTGAAGCTGCTGCGGTCCGACAACAAGACTTTACTCATCGGTAAACAATCTGGCTCCATTGACTTACTGGACCAAAATTCTAATCAATTAATAAGGTCGTTTGCAGGTCACTCTGCAGCTATTTCGGACATGGATCTTCGAGACAACACGCTGGTGACAGCGGGCAAGTCCAGACGATTCAATCAGCTTTGTTCTGACCCTTTTGTCAATATATATGATTTGCGGATGATGCGGCAATTGACACCCGTCGCTTTTTCCCATAACCAGTCGTTGGGAAGTTCAGGAAGCCAGGGGGCCGATTTCGTCAAGCTACACCCTGTGCTACCAACAGTATTAACGGTAGCCTCTACGTCTGGGGCTTTTGATTTCATAGATCTTGCCAATCCGGCGTTGAGATCTCAGTATTGTCATCCATGTCACTCAATCACTCAATTTCAACTTTCTTCGAGTGGGGATTATATAGCCCTCTTGGAGCATGATAATACGATCAATACGTGGAGCCGATCGAGTGGTATGTCTGGGTTCTCAAGCTCTCCTGCGGTTTTAGAATACCCCGATATTCCGGACGACGGGTCCACTGGAGATCTTATATCGCCCCATAATGAAAATTATCCTCTCAGCTCGATAGGTATGCCCTACTATTCCGAAAAGTTGCTTTCCGCGTGGGCCCATGTAATATTTCGAAGTAGTGGCACACTTCCTCGCCGCTTCAATGAACCCTTGACAACCACCCGGCAAGCATCATCCCGAATATTTCAATCATCAAGCTCTGCCTTGCCACATCCTTTAATCCCATACAATGCAGCTAAATTCGGAAGACGAAATGTCGCTCGTCCTTATAAGTCCTTACGAGAAAGGAAGAAAAAACTTTTGATCACTGATGAGGATGGTACAGATAAGAAAGAGCTTATGAGATCCAGAGCCGTGAATGACTTCGAGGTTCCGCCAGCCTATTCAAAGCTGCAAATGGTTTATGGCAAGTACGGCGTTGAAGACTTTGATTTTAAGGCTTTCAACAGAACAACTTTTTCCGGCCTGGAATCTGACATTGAGACATCCTATATGAATGCCATTTTACAGATGTACAGATTCGTGCCAGAATTCTACAATTTTGTGGTGAGTTGCCTGAAGGATGACTTATGGTCAGAAAACTCCTTGTTATCGGAGCTGGCTTATTTGTTTGATATGATGGATAAAGCCAACGGGATAGTTTGTCGAGCATCTAACTTTCAAAGTACTTTATCTTCTTCCCCTGAGGTTCAAGCTATGGGCCTTTTAAAAAATTCTTTAATGGCCGATCTTCGAGAATCGTTTGCTGGATTGGAATTTGAGGATCAAAAAAACTTAAAGGGTCAAAAGGATAGCTTCGCCAGCTCGGAAACCAACATTCCCCAGCGATTTAATTATTTTTTGATCAGTAAATTGATCTCAGAAGAAGTCCAAATGAAAATAAATACAACAAACGTTATTGCACTGGAGGAGCTGCTTGGAATCCAATTAGGGATTGACATACACACCATTTCAACATGTGGGAACTACGAGAGAAGAACCTCTGTAATTCCGACGCTTACAATAACAAGTCCTGTTACTAACAATGCAAAGTACTCTAATAAGAAATTGACAAATCAAACTGTTTTGCCTTATATCGAATCGTCAATGAACAGGTTGAAGCATCGGAGGTCAATGTGCAACAAATGCAATAAGCTTGAAAATATTGAAGTTGAAAATACTGTGAGAAACTTGCCTCCTTTGCTTTCTCTCAACGTAAGCCTTTCGAATGATGAATGGGCAGTCGCCAAATCGGTTAAAAATTGGTTGGTAAAAGATTTCTTTGCCACTTTATCTAAAGAGAGACCCATACTGAAAATACAACCGACTGACCTCAAGACTACAAATGCAATCTTCAAATATGAATTGAATTCGTATGTCGCTAGAATTGCCGACGATCTCTCCGAACCTCATTTGGTGACATACGTAAAGGTTTGTGATATGAAGAGCAAGGGTGGTAAGTGGTTAATGATCAACGACTATTTGGTGACTGAAGTGGACGAAGATGAAGCTCTGGATATCTCACCTTGGTGGAAAACTCCAGAAATTTTATTATACTCTGATGCTGAGGAGCTGCGCAAACCTTTTGTCCCTTCTTCGCACTTTCGCATTGATGACAGCGTGCTATATCGAGATTATTTTGCAAATGGAATTAGAGAAGGCGTGAAAAAAGAGTATCATCTCTTAACAAAATCTGAAGCCCCTGTCCCTGGGTCGCTCATTGCGATGGATGCAGAATTTGTTGTTCTGGCAGATGAGCAAGTGGAAATTAATTCAAGAGGCCAAAGAACATTGATTTATCCAAAAAAAACAGCTCTTGCTAGGATTTCTGTGTTAAGGGGTAATGATGGTGAGGGCTTCGGTGTTCCTTTCATAGATGATTACGTTGTGAATACCAATCACATTGAAAATTATCTCACACGTTACAGCGGTATTGAGCCCGGGGACCTTGACCCGCGCACGAGTAATAAAACCCTCGTTCCGCCTCAAATTGTATATCGGAAAGTTTGGTTGCTACTACAAATGGGATGCATATTTGTGGGACACGGACTTCAAAATGACTTCCGCAATATCAACATTCATGTACCCTCCGAGCAGATTCGCGACACGGCTCTATACTTCTTGCAAGGAAAACGATACCTGGCATTGAGGTATCTAGCACATGTTCTATTGGGTTCAGATGTTCAGAGTGGTAATCACGATTCGATCGAAGACGCCTACACAGCACTCCTCCTTTACAAAAAGTACCTCGAATTAGTCCAATCGGGTACGTTTGATGACACCTTAGACCAACTTTACGAAGATGGCAGAGCTTGTGGCTTCAAAGTCCCTGGCGATCGAATCAATATGATGTAAAGTAGACATTACGCTTGAGGTTCCTGATATCGTAATGAAGATAGAATGTAACATATATGAATAGTTAATGACGTTTAATGTTGTGTGTTTTAGTACTTACCAAAACTGCATGCGGTGGTTTTTTTTAGGGTTGCAAAGTAGGGAAAGAGACTTGCTGCTGGTTACCGAGGTCACATTCGGTGTTGTTGACTCAGGGCACTTTCCATGCGCCTATGAACTGCTCTGGTAGTGGGTTGTACAGATCCTACAGTTCGCTGATGACTGAAGCCATTACTTTGACCTCCATATTGTGACCTCAAATTGCTACGAGTTTGAGATCTGCGCGATCCATACGACAAAGAGCTGTTCTCAGAATCGTTGTCAGAAGGAGAGTCGGGGCCCTTGCTAAATTCGGCACTGTCTTCATTCCAAATTTTGGTCAAAACCCAGTTAATGTCTACGCTGTGATTCAAGTTTTGCTGACAAAATTCCTGGAACGTCTTCCTAGTCCTAGAGTTATCTCCTCTGAACACTTTTGAAAGCTCATCACTTTGTGGAATGGTTGCTCGATGCTTTTTTACATCAAGTTTATTTTTTGGAACTACTCTAAGCAACGAAGCTGTAACTGGATTGCTGAACCGACGGACATTCGTGAACTCTCTCGATATTCTTTCAAATTCTCTTTTCACCTCGATGTTAGAGGCCAAAAACATGGAATCAGAACTCGAACTATGCGACGATAAGTCCAATATTGAACTTTCACGCTGCAACCAAAGCTTCTGCTGCGTTCTGGACTCCGTTCCGCTGCTTTCTGCTTGTAGAAATTTGGAAAAGTTGTTAAAGTTAGACAACGAGTCTGGCTGTCTATTGTGTGATATTTTTGAGTCCAGCGCTGGTCTCCCAGTTGACTTCAAGCCTGGAGTGCTCAAAGGAGCACGTTGATGTAAAAAGGTATTAGGATTTTTTTCAGCCGCTTGGCTAGGTCTAGCAAGGTGACTTGATAAGCTTGATATTGAAGTAGAAAAGTTAGGCTTCACTGAACTGCTGCTAGGACGTTGTGTATTAGTATTCGAATTGAAGGAAGATGCAAAATCGTTATTAATATAATTGAATTTGTCCTTGGAATGATCAAATGTGGGAATACGGTCGTTATCATCATTAAAGAGTCCTTGGGCCGAAGCTTCTGAAGCTTCTACAAAATCGGACGAGCCGTCAAATCGTTTTTCAACTCCTGTCGACTGTGACAAAATCATCACGGGGCTGAACCGAGATAGCTCTTTACCTCCTTGTTCGCGAGGAATGGACTCAGAATACTTTTCATCATTATCTCCATACGCAGGATCGGATCGTGTAGCGCCAGGGCCTTGTCTTCTCAAACTATTCGCTATAGGCTCGATGTTGTTGTGAGCGAGGATAATATCGTCATCGTTACTTGTTTGGTCAATTCGATCACCCGAGGGCCTATTGCCACCATTCACTAGATTAGAGCTACCATTCACTTGGCCATATTCTACGTCAGCATTAATAGGAATGTGGTCAACGCTGATGTGATCTCCAGCAGAATTGCGAATATTTGAGGGGACACCGTAGCTGGGCTGGGCCCTCAGAGTCTTATTGCTGTCAGTTCTCCTATCCTGACCAAGTATACTATCCTCATGACAAAGTTGTGGCGTATCCCCTCTGTCCTCTTCCATGAGCGTTTTACCCTCTTCCAGAAGGTTTTGAGATGAGGCTTCTTGGCTATTAGATGTTTGGCTCAAATCTTGTGGTTTCCCTTCGTGAGATTCAAGTTTCGGTTTCTGATGGAGCCCCCGAGAGGCTACAGGTTCCTGTTCGTTCAAAAATCCATTTTTCTCTCTTGTTGTTGCATCTTTGTCATCGTCGGTGAAATATTCAACTTCGTCGTCTGTTGTGGAGTGATCTTGATACAATTCATCACCATCTCGTAATTCCAAGACCAATTTCCTGCTGCCACTGCGTACCGGTTTGATACCACCTAGTAATGCAGAGGAATTGCTTGAATTATCCTGATATAGATTTCCTGGATGGGACGCAACTTTTTCAAGTGTTGTCATATTAAGGGCACTGATAGCTCGCCTTCGATGTAGCGAGTCACTACTTTTTGATTTTTTCATCGGCAGTTTCTCCCGAGAGTCGCTATCGGTGCTGTAGCTTCCATCATGGCTCAGTACTCTTCTTAGCTTGTTCAAGCCTTTAAAACTGGCGGAACTCTTGCTTCTCGATCTGGTACTGAACTGTTTCAATTTTTTACTGCTAATTGTACCAGTGTTCTTGTTGTTCATGGCTTAAACAGCTCGGTACTAGCAAAGGCTGTGGTAACTGTTCTGTCCTTCTCACTATCAGTACACTTCGCATAGCCGTCGATACACACGCTTATTACATACATATTGGTGATGATGTGAATCGTTGAATACGGGTCATCTTTCACAAGGTGAGAGAACCTTGAATGAATATGGACCACAACGTTAAGACATTCTCACCAATGGCTGTGGCGAACGCGTAATAACCTACTCAAACTGATTTTCAGCATATAATTGAGATTATATAGTGTCATTTAGTATTTTCGATTCAAAAATGCGGGCTCTTATTCTTAGAAAGTTTTTGATCAAGCTACTGCACTTGAAGAGATGGCAGCCATGGGTTTAGCAGTAGCTAGCAAGCGCATCATCAGGAATAATATCAAAGCGCTTTGATAACCTTAAGTTTGCAGCAGCAACTCGGCCCTATTGGCGAACTCAAAGTTGGGAGGTGAATTTCACATAAAGGGGCGCCAAAGAGCCACTTGGCATAAACCCGCCTGAAAGCGGTAAGTGACAAAGCCTGGCATATCCTCATATAGCGAATTGTAAGCTTGAAGGCCGTGAAGCTGCAATTCAAGAGGAGTTCATACCAGCTAGAGAGGTATGTTTTCGTACAGAATAGCACGGTGGTGAGATAGCGAAGGCTACATACAGCCTGGACGTAGACACAGCGACCGAAAAAATGAAGTCGCCAAAAAGCTTAGCCCCATGATATCAGCGGTCCGCTTTACTCTCGTCCGTTATTTGCTCAACGTTGAACATTCCATGCCGAGCACAGTCTTTGAGCCGCCACCGAGAGATAGAGGCATTGAGATCCATTTGTTGCGTGCCTTTCGAAACAACCAAGTACTAAAATTTCACATCGTGGGCCTAGTTATGATGCGAAGGTAAACAAAATGAGGGTCAAAATGCTGGTACGTGATTGAGAACTGATCCAATATCGAATTGTATGTAACGGGCCCTATCTGAGCCAGAGAGACCCAGTCCATTTTTGCGTAAAGCTCTTTTTTTCACCTGGCACAAACACCCAATGATGGGCGCTGCTACTACTCCTGCTGCTGCTGCTACTGCTGCTGACCTCGCACCGCGCAGAAACAAGTCATTTGACGCATGGCGTTATTCGAATGCCTAGCTGAACTCGTCAATCGTCTCAACCACCGTTTTGATGCTCTCAATCACGCTGCTGACGCCAACACGCAGTACGCGGTCGTCCACACTCTCGAAGTCAATGCACAGCAGGGATCCCTTCGTGGAGTAGCGAACGTGGAAATCTTGGGGTTTCAAGATTGGATCGGGACTAAGTGCTTTCACAGCCGTTTCTGCGTGGACGGACGTCTCGAAAGGCACTTCCAAGTGGCTGAATGGGCCTAGAGTTAGACTATGGTTAAAAGAGTGGGAAAGTCTCTCGAACTTTGATAGCAAGCAAACTTACAGTGAGTGGGTCAAGGGCGAAGGATGAATTTGTTGCATGAGTCGTATCCGGGAAGCTCAACAAACAACCCATCTTCGACCTCTAATCTGTTATTCTTGTTCAAACGATCTCGAGAAGTAACGAGAACAAGGGATCATTCTATACGCTAGGCGTCGCTAGGGTACAGCAAACGGCTGCGTTCAAGGTCGAAGAACTCCCCGCTTAAGACGAGCCAGCGTCTTAAGTGGATACCTTGCAGGATTCGTAGTTCAGCATATCAATGGATATTGCCCTTAGGCCCAAATCAAATACCTTACGTTCGAGTTATCACCCCGTGATCTATTAAATGGGTCAAGTGGTGCGCTACAAAAACTAAAGCCAGGTGCCAACCTTTCTTCAGAGCTCCCACAGTAATCCACCATATTGAAGGAGGGGTATGAGACATGGGAACGCATTTGGAGTGTCACCGATTCCTCGGTTCGCTATTGCTACACCTTTCATGGTCGCTTACCATTTATTATAACTCGCATCTGGGATCACTTTGTACAATACTGTCAGATGATTGGTATATAATTAGGCAATTGAGCGTTATTAAACCACATAGAAGTGCCCTGGGGCCGTTGCAACAATGTTTGATCTGGAGCCTATAAAGGGGCTTCTGGTTCTCTCTCTGTGATTATCTGGGCAGATGTGGTCCGTATCTGGGACGTACCACAGTCGGTATTTATACAGATGGCCGGCGGGAAAAATCTGGATGCAGCTAGGGCTGGGTGGACCAACACTTCTCCCCAACAGACGCGTTCTTAGGCCATTGGATAACAGAAACGGCTAACCGGGGCATTTGTGCGTCATCGCTGTTCTTCTGGACGCGGTTTTAATGGTATTGATATCACTTTGTACTAAATTGACACTAATTAGATGGTGTGTTTCTTGGACGCAGCTCGAAGCCACTCAAGCTACCTTGGATCACCAGCATTCGGCAAATTGAAGAAGAAAGCTTCTTCAATTTGGCGTAGCAGTGTTACGTTGGCCCTACAGTTGGCCTAGACTCTTTTTGTAGATCGTTGCAATCTCCAGAGAACAAGTATTGACATTGGTGGGCAATCTTGAGCTTGACAGTTGTGCAGTTTGGGTGATCACGGTGCACGTTTGGAGTCGTTCATCGTTCTTATTAGCTTACTTATCAGATCCCGGGGTTGTGTGGCCCTTTATATGTTTACAGAGACTGTGATCGCTTGAAACACTCAATCATGAGCCAAAAAACCTCGATTCCGCTCTTTTCTGTTGCTGGGAAACAATACAGAGTTGTCGTTGAGGCCCGAGATGATCGTGTGCTATCCTACAATTTGGAGTCGGACAGCACCGCTGTCAGCGATGATGTGGACAAAAATGGCCTCCTTTTTGGGGCCGACATCGTGGTATTGGATTCGGTGAACTCCGGAACTGGCCGCACAAAACTGGGGGATTTCTGTCGCAATATCATTGAGCCGGTTTTCAAGGAGCTGCATCTTGAATCGCGTACGATACGCACCCAAAGCCCTGACTCTGTCACGCAGCTTGCTCGGACGTTTAAAACCACGGCCAAAACCACAATTGTCCTTTTTCTTTCGGGAGACACCACAATTTCCGAGTTTTTGAACAATCTGCCTCAAGGGTCTGCAGGCGGACTCACTGGTAAATCTTCTGTCGTCCTTCTTCCTTTACCATTTGGCTCCGGAAATGCTTGGGCCACATCATTGCAGATCCTTTGTCCGGTCACTGCCTTCCGTAATTTGCTTCACAACAACTTGAAGCCGACGCGGTTCCCGCTATACAGGGCAACTTTCCCCAATTCATACGAAATTGTCTTCTTCATCATATTCTCGGTGGGATTCCACGCCAATCTGCTGCATTTGTGCCAAGAACCTCGGTTTGATAATTTGGGTGTGGAAAAGTTCCAACTAGCAGCTCAGGAAATACTGGATACGTACAGGCTGGACTATTCTTTTCATATCCCAACAAAAACAACACCTGTGCAGTTGGCTTATTTCGCTCTTATTAACACGCCTAACCTGGAAAAGACTTACAAACCATCACCAATGTCGGACCCCTTGAAACAGCAATTACACCTTCTGGGGTATTCTGCCACCTTAAAACAGCCAGACCTGGTTGCAAGGATAATGAAAGGCTACGAAAATAAAACAGGTGACGATATTTCCGGCGATGGTGTCCTGTACGAAGCCCTCGAAAGTGATTTTTCAATAACTTTGAGGGACACTCCAGAAAGCAGTTCACGTACCGCTTTTGATATTTGTTGTGATGGTCACCTATTAAATATGTTACAACTACAGGTCAAAGGGGCGCCCTTCGATGGCAAGATTTCCATCAAGTTCATCAATGACTATTCTGACCTCGACCTTCAAGTCTTGGTCCCTTCGTCTTGAATCAGACAATTTCAAGCTCGCTTTCGCTGTCGCTTTTTTCCGCAACATTGCTAGATAAATCCTCTGTATTTCTGTTATTGACCTCTCGGAAGTGCTCCCGCCATATTTTTTCCCTTCTCTGAAGCCGCTTCATATTATCAGCCTTAGATGGAGCCAAATCAATATTTGTCTTCTTCATTTTCATCAGCTCTTTGACTTGAGAAGACCTATTGTCGATCGCTTGATTCGAATTTCGATTATCAGCCAAGAATCCCCGCATTTTGCCTCGGGTGGGATCGAATCCTATACTTTTCACCAAACCACTATTGAGCGCCTGCTCGGTTGTTTGCCACATGTGCTTTTGTTCCTGGGCATTTTTATCTTTGAAGCCTTCAACCTCTGTTTTACCGACTGCTTTATCTAGCTGCTTTCGTAGTAATTTTTCTTTCTCTGTCTCTTTGAACTTTCGTCGCTTGCCTTCCAAGTTATTCAACAAGTCTGGATTTTGATAAGAATCGTCGAAAAACGCTCTTGCGTAATTGGGATTGCTAAAGTAAAGCGTATTGGATGTCTCTCGATCTTGAGATTTGGGCGCATGCTTGTCGGGCAATAGCTCGAACTTCCTTTTCGCTGCAGCTCTACCGTACAGGGCTTGCTTCTTACCGTTTTTTGTTGGAGACCTCATTGGAGTACTTCCATTAAGCTCAACTCTTTGTGCATTAATTTGCCGGAATCGTACTTCTTGGTGATATTCACACCTGTCTGTGATAGCGCTATTAATGGGAACCCCGCATACCTTACCGGTGGACTTATTATATGCTGAGCAAAAAGCGAGACTCTTACTGGCTCCTATTTCGAGCAGACAGTCAAATTCGTTCCTGATCGACAGATTAAAGGACTTGACTACGGCACCTGAGAACTCGTCGTCGTTTACCTGTGACGGTCTCCAGGGCAATATATCTGGGTTCAGAACTGCAACAACATCACCTAACCTCAAGTTGTAGTATTTCTCAACATTCTTATTGCCAAAAACATAAGTGTCCAAGTTGTGCTGAAAGTCAGTCAAAGTAAATTTGAAATATTTGGAAGGCCTTTGTGCGGAGGTCATTTTAACAGCCGACTTGGCACTGATGATGCCAACAGCGACCCAGTTGGCGTAATCTGGTTCGCTGAACTTTGGAGGTCGTACCTTGCTAAACAGCTTAGGTAGCCGAAGAATTTTGACGTCTTTAAATATTTGGTTGAGGTCGATCTCCGGCAAATATCGTCTGGTTAACCACATACCAGAAAAAGGCTCTTTTTCATCTACGACTAGAGGCTCCTTCAATTTGGCATCCTCCAAGCCTCTGAAAGTGTGAACACGGCAGTTCATCAAGTCATTCCTGCGCTGAACTTTTTGTTCCGCTGTTTTGCGAACATTCGCAAACTTTTCGACAAAGTACGATGTTGAATGAGCCAGGTCCGGGCCTTTATTATGCACAATGAGCTCGGCTTCTTCGAGCCGATCTGCAGGACTCTCATCCTTTGATTTTGAGAGGTTGGCCACTGCTTGCTTTTCATTTCTGCCTTTACGCGGCGAAGCAGGAATCTCCACTTGATGGTTTTGGAGCCGACTGAGGTTCTTCCTTCTTTCAGCCTTCGACCTTAGCCGCTCTTCTAGATCCTTTCTCTGCTGTTCCAACTTTTCTAATTGGTTTTGAACTTTGTTGCGGCGTTAATTATACATGGCCAGAGAGGATGGATCAAACTCGCAGATTATATTGAGAATTGAACCACTAAAACATACTTTTGAAATCATCGTCTTCTTCCGAGGTCACCACTTCATAGAGGTCTAAGCTATAAGCATGCCTTGGATCCTCATTCGCTCTACTCATGTTTGTTATAGTATGGTACTAAAGCTTCGTTTTCAAAAGTTCGAAACTAAATTGATGCAAAGGCACATTAATGTCGTTCTATATTATAGTACAATTATAAACGCCTGAGTGTGATCTACATCCTTAACCTCAAGGTTGCTGCTCAGACTTGCTTCTCTTGTTATATATCTCGTCGTTCTCATTTTGTTCTGCGTTACTTGATGATCTCTTGATGGGACTCGAGTTTTGCTGCGAAGAAACAGCGTCTGGAGCTGGGCTAGCATCTATTTGCCCTTGGCTGGGGATAGAAAATGCAAACGGTTGAGTTTTTATAGGAGCCAGGGGTCCCTCTTTGGCCCGACCGGTGATATTATCAACATCTGATACCTGGGACGGAGACACCGCCGCGATAGCGCCAGGTTTCTCGGCATTCGGGTCTCCACCCACATTATTAGGCGGAGCCAGATCGCTCCCAGCGCTGTTGTTGCTGCTGACACTCACGCTAGGATTATTCGCCTTAACTTGAGCTTCCAGTTTCGCTATTTTCTTTTCCAGAAAGATGGATTTCATACCTGCTTGTTGTTTTCCTTCGTCGAAAGCCTTCTTTTTTGCCTGAGCAATCTCACCTTCCATTTCCTTTTTGAGAGATTCCTTTAAATCCTCAATCTCTTTCTGATACTTTTCGGTGATGTCGTCTAATTTGGGAACTGTCGGATCTTGCCTTGAAATTTCCGTTGCTCGGCGCTCAACCTTAGAATCAAATGCTTGCTCTAGCTCTGCTCTCCTGTTTTCTATGATTTTATTGATCCTTTCTTCTGTGGGGAGTCTAATCCGCTTTCGCAGCAGTTCGTTTGCCTCCTCAATCCGTTTTTGGGTCTTCTTTTCAAAGTCGGCCTCCCACTCTTTCTTCAAAGCATCAATATCCTCGGTGGTGGTGGGAGGCATTTCTGCTAACTTCTGTTCAAACATTTTTTCTTGCTCTGCTTGCATCTCTTGATATTTTGCTTTGAGTTCAAATTCCCTTTCTTGTAAAATCTTGTCGCTATGCTCTGCCAATTCCCGTCTGATATTTTCCTTGATATCTTCAATGTCGGACGCAGATGATCTAGTGGCTTCTTGATTGATAGCTTCCTTTCGTGCATTGTCGAGAAGATCTTCGAGCCCCTTCACCTGCTCTCTTAGGCTGTCTAATTCTGAGATCGATTGGCTATCGCTGTTGGTGATTTGCTGTTCAAGATCTTGTATTCTTGCATCGGATGTGGTCAACTTTTGGAGTGCATTATTTAATTCTTCTTGAAGATGTGGATCTTGAGTGGCATTTTCGTTTTGAAGGGTACTAATAACTTCTTCCAGCTGCTTAATTGTCTCTCTCTCCTTTTGAAGACTCAACTCTGTGGACTTCTTCTCCTCGCGTAGTTCATTGACTTCAGCATTCAACGCAGTCTGAGCGGCTCTTGAGGTGTCGAGACGCTCACGTGCTTGTTTCTTTAACCTTTGGAAGCGGTCTTCAAGTTCTGCGTTTTGATCGTTCTTTGCAAGTAGTTCGGCTTTCACCTTTGTCAGCTCGTCAATCATGCCCCTGTGTTCCTCAGGATCAACACGCTCGTACGTATGTAAGATATCCTGCGACCTCTGTTTCCAACGCTTCACCTCTTCCTCCAGAAGAATCAATTGTTGATCTCTGTTGGCCAAAGTTCCAGAAAATTTTTGGTTCTCAACCCTGAGAGGCTCTAACAAAGATTCTAAATCCTTTATTTTGGCCTCGAGGTCTTGGTTAACTTTGGATTTTTCTTGCAGCTCATTTCTCAAGGTTATATTACTCTCTCTCAATAAGTTAAGCTGATCCAACTGTCTCAAAATCTCCTTATGATCTTCTGCACTTGTTGAATGCTTATTCTCGGTTGATTCGTAGCTCTTCACTTTTTCTTGAGCCAACAGTAAGTCGTTTTCCATAAGCTTTAACCTCTTTCTGAGCAAACTCTCGTCATTCTTTGTAACCTCGAGTTTAGTTTGGTATATTTCGCACTCTCTTCTTAGCGTCAGAATTAGATCGTCGATTGGCCTTTGTCCGTCTCCAGTATCACTGTGAGCAGGCGATTTTGGATCATGTAAACTGATCTGCTCGAAAAGCAGTCTATTTTGAGTCAAGAGATCTTCAACACGATCGCTAAATGCAGCAAGCTGAGTCTCGTATTCTTCCTTTTCGAGTGCCCAAGATTTTTCGCTGTCTTCTAAAGATTTGTTCAGCTCAAGGCAAGTGGCCTCTAGACTCTTGATCTGGTGTACAAAAGATTGGGATTCCTCCCTCAAGATGCTCAAACTCCTCGAGTCGTCGGCATGTCGTTGCAGCACTTGCTCGAAATCCCTCTGGGCCTTGTTGGCATATGAAGCCTGTGTGTGCAAATCGGCTGTCAGTTGATCCACCTGTGCTTGGAAGTGATTTTTGATGTCGTCAATCGACTTCTTGTCTAATTCTATTGCGCTCAATTGATTATCATACTCGGTCTTTGACAAATGAGCACGGTCTTTTTCTTTTCTGAGCTCCTCTGTAATAGTAGCAAGATCCGCCTTAGCTTTTGAAATCTCATCCTTCAAAGATTCCTCTTGCTTTTGTAGGCTCAAAATTTCGTTGGAATGCTCACTCTTGAGAGCTTCAAGGGCGGTTGTCATTTTGGAAAGGGCCTCCCCAGTAGTGTTGTATAAGTTTCTGTACTCCTCAACCTGTGAATAAGCATCCTTCAAGCTTATTTGCGTCAATTCCAGCTCTTTTCTCATATTCTCACCATGAGTCAAAGAATCACCTGCGTCAGAAGCAACGCGATAAGTGTGCACCTTAGTTTCAGATTCCTTTAGACTGTCCTTGAGCACCTTGCATTGACCTTCAAGTTCATGAGCTATTTGGGTTTGCGTAGTTAGCTTTTCAGTCAATTCGCTTAAAGCAGTATTCAAAGAATCAATTTTTTCTTGATACCAGTGGCTTTTCGAGTCACTGCCGGCAAGGAAAGTACTTAACTCGTCAGTTTTTGCGGACAATTGAGAACGGAGCATAGAGACTTCCTGGTCTAAAAAGGAGATTTTCTCTTGAAAGCTCTTTTCAGCATTCGTCAACATGGCCGTCCTTTCATTCTGCAAAGTCTGTAGCTGGGATACCAGTATAGAGAGATCATTACGCTCCTTAATTATTCTGTCATTGTCTTTCTTGGCTTCTTCGTGAGATATTTTGAGGACATCGAACCTAGACGTGGAGTTTTTTAGCTCAATATTCAAAGTTGCTACCTGAGATTTGCATTTGATTAACTCGCTTATCGTTTCCTGTGTTCTGGTGTCTTGTTGCAGAATGTTTTCCTGGAGTCTGTGATACCTTTCGCTCAACTGGTTATTTTCTTGTTTAGTGTAATTCAACGATTCTTGGGATATTCTTAATCTTTCTTCTGCCAAAACCTTTGACGACTTTTGTTTTTCAACTTCTACGAGTAGTTCTGTTCTAGATTTCAACAGCCCTTGTAATTCAGTGTTAAGCATTTTCATGTTAGTTTCAGCTTCCTGCTTAGCTACCTTCAAGTGAGTAGCAAATTCCTCGATCTTGTCATGAGACCTATCGTCGCTCGTCCCATTTGCAGCGGCATGTGGCGATTTGGATTGAGGTGTTTGATGAATTGTTTTAAATGCGTCGCGTTCTTTGGTAATCACTTCGAGCTTCATTTCCAATTCCTTTATATGCTCTTGAAGGGTGGTAATAGCTTCCTTTGCTTCCTTGATGACATCGCCATCAATCTTTTGGCTTCTGGCTTTGGCCTGTTTCTCTTCTGCCTCTAATTTGTCAGCTAAATTTCTGATAGTTACCAGTAACTCCGCATTTTTCGATTGTAATCCAACAATATTTTCAAACTCTACTAATCTCTGAGAAATCACTTTTTGAGTGTCATGTACCACTTCGAAGTCCTCCGAATCTAATATTTTTTTCACAAAAGCAGTTTCCTCAACAGTAAGCGGGCCGTTAGAATCGTTTTTGACACTCACTTGAACTAGTAAGAACTGAACCTGATGCGCGAGGTCAGTGCGCTGCCGTGTGAGGTTGAGAATCTGATTTTCGTAGTCACGGGACTGGGCTAAAATTCTTTCCAGTTTAAATTTCATATCGTCTTTATTCTTCGAGACTGATTCCAGCATATACGCGGTCTCGCGAAGCTCTTTTTCAAGCATTTCGTTCCGATCTTTGAAGGAGGTAAGCATGGGAACTTTGGCTTCCAATTCCACCACAAACGCTTCAACTTGATTTTGTAAATGCTCTTTTTGACGCCTCTCGTGTATGAGCTCCTTCTTCAGGACACTAATATCGCCATATAGCTGAGGAATTGAAGTGGGGTTACTGGCCACAGACAAAGTGCTCCTTTCGGGACTTTCGTCAGTACCTTTCATGGACAGAAGCTCCTGGACCGTATCCTGCAACTTTTCGATTTCAACCTCCTTTTCAGACAGTAGTCGCGTAGACTGATTTAACTGCTCCATTATTTTTGATGGGTCTACAGTCGTCTGATGAGCTGGCCCATGTAATTCCAGATCGTCCTTCAGGGATTGTACTTGCCTTTCTAATAGATCAATCAACCGTTGCTTTAAATCTATCTCGCGTGCAAACTCATGCTTCTCAGAATTCAACTCGTCAGTAAGACGCTTGACTTTGTCCAGCTGGAAACGCAGGTCGTTAGCTATTTTGCTGTTTTCTTCTTTCAGCAGAGCTATGTTCTGACGAGAGCCCTGTAGTTCTATGTCGTATTTCTCTGCTTTTTGACGGACCGCCAAAATTTCCTGTTCTGATCGTTGCTTGTATTCATAAAGGTTGGAGTTCAATTGTGAAAGCTGGGACTCCTGCCATGAGATATTGGAATTCGCAAGCTCGAGCTCTTGAGACAGGCGATAAAACTCGGCTTTACCGTTTAGTTGCTGGGACTTCGCCTCGCGTAGATCGGTCTCTAACTCAAGGCATCTGCTGCGCAGCTGGCGACTATCCGTGAGTAGCGATTCTGTTTCGCGCTTCAGCGCAGCGTTATCCTGGATCTTCTCCTTCAGCAAGTCGCCGACTTCTTTCTTGCCACCTTCGAGTATCTCACGCTGCTCTACCAGGGTTTTATTCTGAAGTAGAATAGTCTGCAATTCTGCTTGGGCGTTTTGGAGTTCGGATTCAAGTCGACTCTTTACCGTCCCAGACTCCCGACCCTCCGAGCGAGCTGTCTCTAATTCCTGTAGTATATTCTGGATTTGGGTCTTGAGAGCACTCGTCTTGCGATCCGAAGTGGATCTCAGCTCGTCCGCAACAACGCTATACTCAAGGTTTTGAGCTTGTAGTTGGTGGAATTCGTGGGCTTTCGCACAGATGGCTGATATGAGACTGCTCTCAGCGGCAGCTATGGATTGAGGCTCGACGCCGAGAAACCCTGCCGCGTCGTCGAAGTCGGGGCGTACGCTATCGGCGGTGGTCGTGGTCATAGAGTTGCTGGGCCGCCAATGACGTTACCAAGTAAGTGTCCACAACAAATGAATACAGCTATGTGCCGAAAAATCGACTGGGTCTTTGATTCAGTGAACTGCTTGTTGCCGAGTTGGCCCTCAGTTTTGACTTTGGTTGACACTAAAGTTGGTAACCATAAATTATGGATAGTCCCGAGTACCCAAGTACTCGACAGATCCAAATAGTCGTCACATGATCAAAAGCCCGGGTAATATCTCCGTCGGGCGTGATAATTTAGTCGTGACTGTTTTTGTTTAACATCCGTACATTTCCAATCTTTGGGTTGCAGTTTTAAAAAAACTGGCGAAAAATAATTGCGTGGGTACCCTCAGGAGGTCGACAGCAATGCCGGCTGGGACGCGCGGGTTCCCAGCCTAGCCTTCCTCTCAGGCAGCGACGCTCACTCCGCCTAGCCGTTCCCAGAATCCCTTCTACAGCCTTCTACCACTCAGCGCTCTCTGCCTAACCTCGTAGGCGCATTCTGTCTGGGTCGTAGGCCGGATTGGCGATCGGTTGTAGTGACCTGCTGTTGCATTCTTCGATTTTGTCAGTATTATCGAAGATTATCAATACCATTATACTTTCATACAGTTAATACCAGAAGACAGCTCAAGACTCAAAGATGCAAATGTATGCTAATATGATACCAAGAAGAGGGAGATAGCCATGAATGATTAAAGGAGATAGGAGAGGAAGTTGTCAGGCAAAGTACGGAGCGATTTGAACTGGGAATGAAGCGGAGCTGAACTTGACATTGAAGTTATCAGAGGAGGAAACTGCGGATTGATACTGGCGACAGGCGTCAGCGAATTTGAGTCTATTCAGAAAAGTCTTTCCCAGGCCGCGAAGAACACCAGACAGACGTGTACTCTTTCCCTCAAAAATGGCTCCCTCGTGTTATTCGTTTTGATTACTAACTTTCGTTACTCAGTTTTGTCAAGACCTTGACTGGTAAGACCATCACTTTGGAAGTCGAATCTTCGGACACCATTGACAATGTCAAGTCCAAGATTCAAGACAAGGAGGGTATCCCACCTGACCAGCAAAGATTAATCTTTGCTGGTAAGCAACTAGAAGACGGTAGAACTTTGTCTGACTACAACATTCAAAAGGAATCCACTTTGCACTTGGTGTTGAGATTGAGAGGTGGTATCATTGAGCCATCCTTGAAGGCCTTGGCTTCCAAGTTCAACTGTGACAAGTCTGTGTGCCGTAAGTGTTACGCTAGATTGCCACCAAGAGCTACCAACTGCAGAAAGAGAAAGTGTGGCCACACCAACCAATTGCGTCCAAAGAAGAAGTTGAAATAGTCGGTTTCGCCCTCAGTTTCGAAACTTTTCCTTCCATGCGTGTGGGGTTGCCGTATCCATATACGAATCTCCTTCCAACATTTTTACGCCTTGTATTTCGCTTAAGTACGTAATTCTAAACTCTTCGGTTTTAGTCAATTTCGCCTGCCGCTTTTGTGTGTGAGTTGTATAACAAGTAACGTAAATCCAATTGACCGATTGCATGCCTCTTTGAAGCAACATCTATTGTTTCTATAATATACAAAAATTGCCCTTAGTCCCTATTGCCATGTCATTTGTCTTCTGGGATCCCATTAAACTGCTGACAGTATTCTGTTAAAATAGCCCTGATCTTGGGTCTTCTAATCGGCTTTGATAAAAACCCATTCATGCCTGCGTCTAGACACTCTTTTATGTTCTTGTCATCCGCGTATGCTGTCAATGCCACTATAGGATGTGAGTACTTCAATTCACCACGAATCATTTGCGTAGCGGTCAATCCATCTACGCGAGGCATTTGAACATCCATAAAAATCAAATCGTAGTGCCCGCCTGCTTCTGCCGCAATTTTGACCTTATCAAAGGCATCTTGGCCATCCCTTGCCAAATCAATATCTGTGAGCCCCTCTAGATTCAACATTCGCTTTATAACCTCCTGATTGACATTATTATCTTCAGCGACTAAAATTTTGCAGTCGTTAGTTGTCGCACCGACTTGGCCACCTTTAGTAGAAAGTGCAGTCCCTGTGCTCTGTAGAAAAGGTCGGTCGACCCGAACGCTCCCCACGCTCACCTCACTCTCGGACAAGATCGGTGTTCCGATGGAACTCTCAGTCGTAGATTGTGCCGAGTCTGTGTTCACCGACTTAGTTGATTTGGCTACGTCGAACTTGACCTTTCTGTTCTTCTTACTGTGTGGATTGAACTCGTCTTCAAATGGGTTCGCGTCGTCATCAAATGAAAGCACCTTGGTCTGCGTCAACGGAACCACGAAGCTAAACTTACTACCGATCCCTACCTTAGACTCAACAGTCATCGTCCCATTCATCATAGTGGCCAACTGTCTGCAGATAGACAGGCCAAGCCCAGTTCCACCATATTGTCTCGACAGCGTTTGATCACCTTGTACAAAGGGCTCAAAAACGCTTTCTTGTAATGATGGGTCAATACCTGGGCCCGTATCCGTAACCTCCATTGCAATGACCCATTTTTTGGGACTTTCTAAGTCTTGAGCATCCTTAAGCTCACCTTCCTCTCCTAATTTCGAGCTCTTTTCTAAATGTGAATGGAAACGTGCCTCATTATACGAGCGACTACTCACGGTTTCAATAGACTTGAGTTCGTGAGCGTCCTCCGTGTCTTCCGTTTCACCACCTCCTAGTTTTAACTTCTCGTCCCCATCGTCCTTGCTGGAAGTTCTTGCACTAGAAGGCGAGGTAGTGAAGCTATCAGTTTGGTCACAATCTTCAACTCCCTTCTCAGTCGTATAATTGGCAATGACGCTCTGCGTGAGAGTGCTTGGAACTGGCGGAATTGTGAACAGTTCCTTGTAGTCTTCGGCCTTACTTCTCTCCTCATCATATTCGCCCCTTAGCGTGAATTTGACGTCAACTTTACCATCAATAGGTGTGAACTTGAGTGCGTTGGACACGAGATTCATGACGATTTGAACGATACGATTTGAATCGCCCCATAGCACCATCGTTCTCATTAAATTCGGTAAGATTGATATCGTTAAATTGACGTGTTGGTCTTTGGCCAGTTTACCAAAAATGGAGTCCACTTGCAAGGCCAGATCGTAAACTGTAAAATCTCTCTCCTCCAGCTTGGTTCGCTGCAGCACATTCTTAGAAAATGTTAGAAGCTCGGTCATAATGTGCAGCAATAATTCACCAGACCTGAAAATAAGTTTCAAGCTACTCTTGACTTTAGGCATTTCCTCTTCAGCCATTGCAATGGCAGTCATCCCCAAAATACCATTCAGCGGTGTTCTAAGTTCGTGGGAGATATTAGCAATGAACACAGTTTTAGCCTCATTAGCACCTTCTGCCTCGATTTTGGCAGCCTCTAACTGCCTTGTCCTTGCTCTTACTCTATCTTCAAGAAGAGTGTAATGGAGGTCAAGTTCGTCAGTCATGGCATTGAAGGTTTCAGTTAGTTCAGACAGCTCATCAGAAAATACTCTATTGTAGACCGGTACTCTGGCCTCAATCAGGTTAGAAGACGTTATAAATCGGTCAGATTTCGTGCCTTTGGGGTCACTTATTAAAGAGTTTATGTTACTGGAGTGAACTTTTTGCAGATTAGCATTGATGGCAGGGTCTGCCGATTTTTCTCGTCCGTCGCTGCCTTCTTTAGCATGCCCCTCATCAAACGTAAAGGCATTAAGATCATTGAATGCCACTGATCCGGACCCCCTCGTAGACCCTGACCGGAAAACTGACGTAGAAGACCCTACCGTGCTGCCTCTCTTGTGGCTGTTTAAAGTACTTCCGTCAGATCTCAAACCTCTGCCCGCCGTAATTATTTCTGTGGCTTTCTGTAAGCGTACTATAGGCTGCACAGCCCAATGCGAGAGAGGAAATGTTATTATGCACATCACAACAGCTATCCCGATAACTGTTCCCACAATAATTTTAGTGAGTTTGGTGGCGGGAGAAAGGAAAACACTTTCTGGTTGGGAAATTACAGCTGCCCAAGATACCAGCTCGAAGGAACAAGGAGAGTATCCAATCGCTACTGTTTTAGGGAACAAAAACTTCGTCTTTTTGATGGAGCCACTCTTGCCCTCCAACAACGCGCCTTTCAGAAATGTGTTGTCCTCCAATGAAAACACTTGATTGACCACATCGGGATACAATCCAGAGGCTGGAAAGACCAAGTGATAACCAGCAAGCATCCCGCGCTCGTAGACAGTTGAAACCACTACGACGTCTGAGTTCTCTAACGCCGCGGTGTCGTCGTACACTGACTTCAACCCGTCAGCAGACATAATGACCGTAAGGTAGCCGTAGACTTTGGAAGTGGATAAGATGATTGAGGGATTGGCAAAAATAGGCAGTGACATGGACATCACATACTCGCTGGTGCCATTTAAAACTGGATCAGTCAAAATACCTATTTCTTGCAAAGATGACGGAAGCGATTGATTTGACGATAATGGTAGTAGTTGACTTAAAACATTATCCGGAAGTAGGTTACCGGACCCGTTGTTTGTGGCATTCAGAACACTTTGGAAGCTTGAATCGTAAACTCGGGCGACACTAAAGAGATCCGAAGACCCCAGAAACTTATCCAATGTCTCCGACGCTTCTACCCAGTTTTCAGTACTGGTATTTCCGGCGAGGTATTGTGTCAGAGCGTTCTGGAGAATATCCCTCGTAGACATCCAATAACATTGATAGTACAGATAGTTCAAATTTTGATCTATTTGAGAAGATTTTAGCTGAGATGCGAGTTGGAGCCTCTCGGCCCTTAGAGACTTGTAAGTTGAAGTGAAATATACGCCCGTGATAACTGCCAGGATTATGAGTGACAGTATTGCAACCAGGCATACTAAAGCTGTCAGCTGTGTTCTGATGCTTACCAGGAATGGTGGTGTAAACTTTCTGCGCAGAAAGTCCCGCAGATCGAGTCTTGGACCTGGTCGCATAGTTTGAGAGCTATGCAAAACTCTTTTAGTGGGCTTCAAGCGTGAGATTTCAACTTGTCGTTTTACTGTCAAAGTGAGTTTGAAGTTAAGTGTTCCTTGAATTTTTTAAACCTACCATACCATACCATACTTAATGTAAAAATAAAAACATACTGATTTATAACTTCCCAGAGCTTCAGAGCTGTTACCCCATGTACTTCTCCTGCCCACACCCGCCAAATGCTAAATTAATACCAAATCCAAGGCGGCTACTCCAGGCAGTGATGTCTCAGGGTCCTCAGACATCCACTCTTTCCCCATGCGCTGCATCCACAAAACTAGTAGCGACTGACCGTTGAGATACTGTTTGAAAGACGAATTAGCCTGCTTCAATGCCTTTTTGAAAGCCACGACAAATTGGCAGATTTGGCTGTTGAGAAAGTTTTCGTGAGACGACACTGGAACATCGTCCACAAATTTGAGGTTCTCCGTTGCATGAAGTGGCAGACTGCTGTCTCGGATTGACACAGCGGAGGACAGGACGCAAGAAATGCAATAGCCAATTCCCACACCCACTGTCAGCGAGATGCTCCATAAAACCCAGCGGTTAACATTTGCAGGTCTTTTCCTTTGGGACCTGCGACGCTTCCGGATCTTTCGAGAACCAACTTCGGTCTCGTATCCCGAATCTACCTCGGAGCTCAGACTGTTTAAGTACCTGAGTAGTTTGTGCATGTCTTGATGATCTGACATCACGGTCAAGTGGTAAATGAGGCGCAGCGAATGCAGTTTCGAGTACCCATTCAGCAAACTAGAAATTTGCTGTTGCTGGCCTCTTTGACAAACCGCGATAATATTGGTGTTATGGGGTACCACTTTGTCAAGTAATGATTGGCTGTTCTTGCAGTCACTGAAGATTAACATTATAGCGCTGTATTGGGTCAATTTGCGCGGATTTAACGTATCTACATCGCAAACATCGAAGAGCTTTTGATATGTCTTTGGGATGCCGTGATAAAACCTTGAGGCAGGTTTCCCCACAATCAGAATGCAAAACTTTTGAGATTGTTGTAAAACTGAGAGCTTCGGCATCACGAACGAATTTGACGAGTTCATCAGACTCATCGTGACAGTCTCGTTGTCGTTGTCAATGCCGTTTTCGAATTCGCTATTGCTGTTGTTCATTTTGCCACTCTCCTCATTTGTAGCTGCCTGCTCAATACCCTTCACCAACTGTAGCCCGGAATTTCGGTACGCGGATACCGCAGGGCCTTCAAAAGCATGCGGAGGATCTGAAAAGATGGGGTTTCCCGGTGGCCCAAACGCGTAATGGTTAGGTGAAGGCGAGAGGAAAATGTCTGGCTCGTCCTCGGACGTGTCTGACGAGGATAAGATGCCCACCTGCTGTTGCTGTCCCGAAATGTCATTCAGTATATTAAGAATTGAATAGTCGGTTCGCCTGATAGAGTGCCAGGACTCTGATATACTTCTGTTCATCACCTCCGACCCGCCCATCTTGGGCGGCGACGGTGATCGTATAAGCTCTTGTGCTCCGTGGGGAGTAAGCTCAGACTGAGCGGACCGGGTGTTAGGGTCGCCGCGCTCCAAGAGCTGTAAAACAGATAGATGTGGGTCCAAGATGCTGTTTCGTTGGTTTAAGGGTGCCGACGCCGCGGCGGGCGATGGTTGAAGCTCCGATTTCTGCTGCTCGCCACGCGGAGACGAGTGAATGGAGTACTGACTCATCTTTCGACTAATTGGTGAGCTATGCTTTATCGATGATGCTCAATGTTGTGCTCCAGCTACCTCGTCAAAACGACAATGGAGAAAAGCGACCGGAAATTCTTGAATAGAGACTCCTCACTTTGCCACCTTTGACCTGTGCACGCTGTAGTCGGGAACTAGAACCTTATGGTTACACTATGTCAGCTAGTAGTAACGGGAGACCAAACCACTTCTCGGGCCAATGCCAAGCAGTATAATTAGAAATAGCTCTGTTCGGCTTTCAATCAAAGATGATCCTAACACCAAGCGATTCGCTGCGGACCTATTGTTTTGCCCTTTCTATCGTGAAGGGAGTTGTAGGGGGGTGTTCGTGTTTTAGAAAATGGCACTATGTAATAATTACATACATTATATTTATTTATATGAAGTATGACCGACATACCTAAACAAGATACTGGTATTGAACTTATCCAGTGACATGTTGAACTAAGAAGCGATTCAACTTGCGTTTCAATCAGAGTAAATGCCCTACATCAATGTGTAAACTTATGGCGATATAATTTGATACCCGTCTCCTTAAACACAGAATTGACAGTGGAGGTGCCTTGCCCGTTGCGGCTACTAACTCCGTCACTAACATAATTATTTGAAGTGTTCTTACTATCTAAAGCTCAAAATATTAATTGCTGTCCTATGGTATACCCTCCTCTTAAACCATCCTATCCTTGACAATATCATTGTCATGAGAGATCATGGCATCGATTACATCTTCACCAACGTATTCGCGGAACTCTTCGTCGGACAAGTTCGACTTTGGTCCCTTGTAAAACTTGCGCTGCCACACGAAGTAGTATATTAGAGAAAGTACCCAGAATCCAGGTCCGATAACTACAGTATAGTTCATGCTGGAGGGGTCGACCTCCTTGTCGTAAGGGAACATCATCATGATAATGACAAAGGCTTGAAAGAAGACGGAAATCCAATTGATCACAGGAGACCAGAAATCGCCCAAGTAGAAAGGACCTGGTCTGAAATCATTTTTACCGTAAGTAAGTCTTAAGGTAATGGGGAAGATTAATGCCATGTACATGCCGGCCACGGACAAACTGAAAAGAGCATTGGCGGCGGTGTCCCCGGCAAAACACAAACATCCGAGAGCAAGAGCCAACGCGCTGGACCCCCAGACGGCACGGATGGGAACCGCGCTAAATTTGTTCACCTTCTTGAAGAAATTGCTGAATGGCATGGCGTCGTCTCTGGCAAATGCCCAGAACTGTCTTGAATTGGCAATCACGGTAGAGGCACCCATCAAGAACTGGCAAATAATCAGCAGCGACAAAAAGGCTAGAGTCCATCTCTTACCCAGTGCGTCGTAGAAAATCTGAGTAATTCCTTGGCCATACGCAGAGTTGACAATGTTGTTCACGTCAGAGTCCATGCAGGCCAGTAAGACAATACAGACGACCCAGCCGAGAATCCAACACACAGTAATAGAGCCCACAATACCGAAAGGTACGGATTTGGGCGCATCGCGGGCCTCTTCCGCCATGTGGAGACACGAATCGTAGGCCCCAATCGTCCAGATAGCAGGCATCATCCCTTCAATACACCAGTTCCAGCCGGCGTTCAGGTCACTGAGATTGTCCAGTTTTCCGAAAATGAATTTGGCATCGTTGAAACTGTGGTTGAGCTTAGCGGAGCGTTTGACACCAATCGGCAACACGATGAACAGTAGTATGATCACAAAACAGTTGGCAACGATCGAAATCGTTTGTAGTTTCGCGGTGAATTTGGAGGTCAGCGAAGTGAGCAGAGCCATCACCACGATGCACGCGGCAAACACACCGTAGCTGATGGCGTTGGTTACCACGAAATCAGGATTTGTCACCACCACGGCCGAGGTGATCTGCTCCGAAAGACCATATACAATCGAACACACCGAGGCACTCAACGCCAGTGTGTCCAGAAAACCGACAGAGTACGAAATACACTTGCGAACTCTCTTGGGCGCCCACTGGTAGCACGAGATATACACGGCACCGGCGGTGGGAATCGACGACGATAATTCGGCCAGCGCGATACCGATGGTCAAAATCAGCCCACCGGCTACAAACCACCCCCAGTTCAAGCCCACCGGTCCTGCGTAAAGGCCGCCGTCCAAGGTTGACGCAATCGACGGTAGCAGACCCATGATCGAAAACGCCACACCGAAAATTTGGATCGCCGAGAACTCTCTTTTAAGCTCTTCCTTGTAACCGATTTCGGCCAGCACTTGCTTGTCCGAAGTCGCGCTTCTGGCGTCCACGTACCGGATCGGAATGCCGTGTGACGATGTCACCGCTCTAATCTCGTGCACCCGTCCCTCTTGGACGTCGTGGGACCTTTTACGGTTCAATGCCGTATTTTTTGTGCTGCTAGAAGTCGACATGTAGTCCGTTACAGTCATGAAAAGCCAGCTAGTGCTGTTGCGAGTATCGTTCCTTCGATTTTCGTCCTAGCCCCTCTGCAATTTTTTACGCACACTATATATACTACCAATGCCCACTATCAGAATCTCTTAGTAGTGTTCTCAGATCTTTCAGGTACCCTCCAGCGGCACCTGTGGATTGAGTGTCAAGTTCGCTCATCCCGGTGGAAACGCTCGCTGTATCTAAGCGCTGAGTGGACAATTTTTTTGTTATCGGTGTGCATCACGCTCGGCATTTCGTTGCTATCTTATCGACATTATCGAGAAGAAAGGCAAGCTACTGGGCACTGCCGTAGTGAAAAGTTTCGGAAAAAGCGCTGTGGGAATAAAGCATGACCACAGCTTACCATACGACTCTTTGTTGGCGCTCGAAGTACCGAAGGTAGTTAAATTATACGTCGGCAGATGGTCGGCAGATGCCGTTAGGTTGATGTTCAAGAGAAAGCGCCATCTGCTTGCTTGACGGATTCGTAGAGATAGAAACAAGCGTGAGATAGATAGTCTTGGCGGGGAAATGCGACGTCGTATGCTTATATGGGCATTTTGATGCTGCAGCAATCGCCAGGGACGATGATGGCACGCTGATAGCCCTGACTGTTGTGAAAAGATACGGGTCGCTTAGTTAGAAGCGTCGCATGAGAAAACCCCAGCACCCCTGCGATGGACAATTCTTAGGAGAAGACTGCACGTCGCGTCAAGAGATTGTAGGCCATACTTTCTGTTCATGAGTGAACTGCCGGTAACCAGCCGGTACATTTATAAACTTTCTATTGATTATTCTCATTTTATGTCTTGGTTATACTTTTTGTTTTTCAGTGTTATTTACAAGCTTTCTACTGATTTAACAAAATGTTGTCTATCAGGCGCACAACCGTAGAGGAGTTTTCCCTGTCTTTGACAAAAACAGCACAGCTGATCACCACAGCTGTGCTGCCAGAGACTGATTCCAGTTCCATTAGCGTGCGAGGATCAGCCACGGAAACGTAATCCACCTCGAAATCACCGGAGGTCACGTGAGGGACCCAGTGCTGGAGTATCTTGTCCACCAGGTCGCTACGCTGTACCTCTTCATTGGTGTCTAGGTTCTGTAGACATGCGGCCGCCATCTGCAAAGCTTGGTAGACGGCAGTTGAAAGATGACGAGATTCCTGGCACAGATACCGGTTTCTGCTGCTCAGCGCCAGGCCGTCTGCGTCACGCACGATAGGCATCATTTTGAGCTTCGTGTTCATGAATAGTTCTTCGGCCATGACTTTGAGAACGGTGAACTGTTGGAAGTCCTTCTGGCCGAAATATGCATGCGTGGACAGGACCACGTTCAGCAACTTTGTCACAATAGTCGCTACCCCACGAAAGAAATTGGGCCTCGTGCGTCCTTCTAGCTGTTCGCTGACGCCAATGACTGTCACAAAGGGTCCTTTCTGCGCCTCGACCTCTAAAGGAATGCCCTGTGGGTACATTTCTGCTGCGTTGGGAACAAAACATAGATCGACACCCGCCTTCTCCAGCAGCGCCAGGTCCGCTTGCAACGTCCTAGGATATTTGTCCAAGTCCTCGGATGGCGCAAACTGCGAAGGGTTGACAAAAATGCTGACAATGGTAAAATTGTTCTCAAGTCTTGACTTTCTTATAAGCGAGAGATGGCCATCGTGCAAACAGCCCATTGTGGGGACAAACCCGCTGGTTTGAGTTCTGCGGTCGATGTTTTCATTTCGCCACGAAATCACGTCCTGTACAGTATGCAGAACAAGCATGGAAGCTTCAGGTATGTCTGTCGCCCACGTCCTGGTAGTACGATGAATCAACGAAGACAAGTTGATTCAAAATAATCTCGTAATTTTCCAAACGAATATGATGACAGTGAAACAAGAAAATGACCCAGTGATGACTGAAAGGCGAAGATTAAGAAGGCAGGGGCTCTATGGAAAGCATTTTGCTGAACGAAGCTTATTAATTCCAGGCCTTAAGTGTTCTTGTCGGGTTGGCACCGCGGATTAAAGCGGAAGGCCCGATCTTTTTCTTTTTTTTAAAGATAATAATAGAGAAGCATTTGGGATCCTCGAATTTGGATCGTGATACTCACACAGCACACTCAATGTAGCGGACCCGCGGACTCTGCTGACCGCTTGCCATGGTCTGATTTGTTATTTGAGATACAGAATACATCTATGTCATCATACACGAATAATATATACGGGAGATCAACACAAAACAAACAATCATAAGGAATGATCGAAACATCGTGTTCTGTTTGGTAGGCTGCCCTCATTGTATCGTTCAAGGGTCTCTACCACTGTTCGAGGACCTAACACAATGGATGAGGTTCGCAATCGGTATTCTGCGGAGCCGAACGGCGTTCTGAATAGTCTCGATCCGCAGCGTTTCTCGTCCCAGATCCCAGCTCCAATCAACGGTCGCAGACGAAACAGTACAGCCTCTGCAATAGGAGGCGCCGGTTTGACGGATATAATAAACAAAAGTCTGGCCAAAACCAAGCCCGAAATTACGCGAAGACCTTACACGGACTCTCGAAAGAGTTTACTATCTGACTCGCGAAAAACGCTACGATCTTCACAGCGGACCTCTCTCTTACCAGGTACCAGCAACATCACCAATAACAGTAGTGGAACGACCAGCAATACAAGTAACAAGGATCCCCGACCGCTGAGAGACAAAAATTTCCAAACCATAATCCAACAGGAAATCTACGATTATCTGCACGCCCAGAAGTTTGACGTTCAAGCGAATCATCCCATATCTCTCAAGTCCTTACGACAGCCAACTCAAAAGGATTTTGTCTTTATGTTCAGGTGGCTCTATCAGAGAATGGACCCCGGATACAAATTCAGCAGATCTATTGAGCATGAAGTTTATGTCATCCTAAGAACGATACAGTACCCGTACCTCGAAACTATCAACAAGTCCCAAATCTCGGCTGTGGGGGGTTCAAGCTGGCCCAAGTTTCTCGGAATGCTTCATTGGCTCGTCAATACTAACAAACGACTGGACGCGTACTTGCAAAAAGTTGATCTCTCCTTAAACAGTCAGAACACTCAAGATATAACCGTTTTACGGCAACCAATAGGAACCTTAGATGAACAAGAAGATAAACAGGAAAAATATGAACTTATTGTAGAACGTTTGTTCATTGATTATATTGTTCAGGCTTACAAAAGCTTCCTGCGATTGGATGATGATTATGATGACTACATGAAAGAGTTAATCATCGGCTTTGAAAGGTTTGCACAGGTCATTAGAAATGACATAAGTAACATAGCGATGAGCAATAATGATTTATCGGTCAAGTATGAGGAACTAATGGAAAAGGGACAGGAGGTCAAGGTGGCTAAGGATAAATTCACGGCCTTGCAAAGTGATTTAACCAAGTTTCAAAACTATGTGAGTGCCATGCAGCATAAAAGCCAGGAGTGGCCCCGAAAGCTGGAAAAGATGGAGACCGAAAGGGAATCGAAGGATCGCCAGTTAAAGCAGACCGAAATCGAGATAAACGAACTGCGAAATTTGATCAAAAGTAAAGATATGGAAATTCCCGAAATTGACAAGCTCAATACTGAACGCGAAAAGCTTTCCAAGACCCTAGAAATCGTGTCAGATCAAGTGGATCAAGCGGTAAGTGCTCTAAAAGGGCAAAGAATGGAAACTGAAGGAGCCTACAGAACTTTGGTTGAAGTTGCCGGACAATATGGAAACGCTAGCGAGAGCTTGATATTAGCACGCTCTTCTATCGGGCATCAAATAAATCTGGACCAAAAAAACATCTCTCTGCCTCAGGGCATCATACAAAATTATGATGCCAGACAAGATGATATCGAATTCCAGATACCTGGTGGGGTAAGTGTTCGGGAAACCATAAAGCCAACTTTACTAGAACTAAACGAAATCATACAACAGCGTGTTCAGGGCCTTCAGCAAGACAACGCTGCCGGCGACTTACGGCTGGAGCATCTGAGACAAGAGATTAGCGAAAAGACAAGATCATTGGAATTATTAGAGCATGAACTATCTTCTGCTAAATCTCACTATGATGAGTTTAAGCAAGAAAGTCACAGTCGATTGCTCTCTCAGCGCATTGAAATAGAGAAGATGGAAAGAAGGCTTCAAAACGTCAAATATTCATCTCACCAAAGAATTGCAGAAGCAGAGCAGCAAGTTCAAAATAGCAAGCTGCAGTACGAAGAGTTGAAATTATCTGTTAACCGGGAAAGAAATGTTTTACATGCCAAAGTGATTCATTTGATTGACTACGTTAGCAATTTTAAAATCAATGTCCAATCATCGGTTGAGGACTTGGAACTTCTGACGGCAGAAGAACTCGAAAAGGTTAAATAGGAAAGGTTTGTACTTTTAATGTAACATATGGGAATCCCACCAGAGAGCTCCAAGGCATCGACTGGTAAGTAATTAACGTCTCTAAACCTACCTAAAAAATCCTATTTCTTCAAATTTCTATAATACATTTTCCTAATCAATGGATGATGATCTCTAAGGTCTTTGTTCCTGTTAGAGGAGTACTCAAGATATGCCATATCTTCACCACCAGCCAAGCCTGAAAGCGACCCCTCACCTCTCACCGCCTTTGACTTGGCCTTTTTGTTGGCCTGGGAGCCTCGTCCTATGCTATTTTCGGCATCATCACCAATTTCTATGCCCGCAGCTTCCTCATTTTTCAGGAGTACCTCTTGCAAAAGTTCCCTCCGTTCACGAGCGGTGGAATATGCTAAGTTAGGAAGTGTTTCCATCCCATGTAAATGAGTTATAACCTTGAAAGCATAGCCTTGGTCAACCAAGAAAGCTTGGCGTTTAGTAGAGTAGTACATCTCTTGTGTATCTTTGGACACCAGGGAATAAAAAAAAGCATTGAAACCCTCGTCATTACGTCTCTTGGCTCTCAAGATCCTTCCCAACCTTTGTGCCTCTTGACGACGAGAGCCGTAATGTGAGGATATCTGGATCAGGCATGTTGCTTCTGGTAAGTCAATAGAAGTGTCGCCAACCTTTGATAAAAAGATCGTGTTGATCTGGTCATTAAACTGAAAATTTTGCAAAATGTTCATACGCTCCTGCTGTGGGGTTGAGCCGTAGATGAATGGCTTGCCTAACTTCAAGGCATACTCTTGTAATGCATAAACATTATCGGAGAAGACAATTATCTTGTCTCCTCTCTTCTCATGATATTGAATTAAAAACTGGCAGGCCTGAAATTTTGTGGGGTTCATGATGTAAAGCAGCATTCTTTTCCTAGCACTTTCTCTCAGATATTCCTGATAAAACTCAGCTGTCATTGGGCACCAAACCTCGGCGCATTGAACGTTCGCAATGTGACCTTTCTGAGACAATTCCATCCAATTAGCCTCGTACAACTTTGGACCTATCAAAAAGTTTAAATCACTGATTTTGTCATCCTCACGTACTAATGTCGCGGTTAATCCCAATTTGGCGTGAGCTGCAATTGTCGTAACAACCCTTCTGAACATGGCGGCAGGCACAACATGCACCTCATCCAAAATAATAAAGCCCCATTCTCTTCCCGTCAAAAAGTCCATGACCTTCTGAGAATCGTGCGACCTATTTCTGGTATTTGCCACCATGGAGTAAGTCGAAACGACGAGACCAGATTCGGTTTGAAACATCTCCTTGTTGTCAGATGTGAATACGGCGACATTCTCTGGTTGCAAAGTACACCACTGAAGAAACTGCTGTCTCCACTGCATTACCGAGACGGAAGATGTGCACAAAACAATCACTGACTTTTTAATAGTGCAGGCAGCTGTGATACCGACCAATGTTTTCCCTGCCCCACACGGCAAGACAATGATACCACTTCGGGCACGTCCATTACCAAACATTTTACTCAATGACTTTTCTTGGTATGGTCTGATTTGAGTGGATGGCTTGAGATCGATATCCAGATCAGGATTTCTGTGATCGTTTCTAAAATCGTACTCTTCTAGCACTGGATAGTCAATCTCCTGACACCTCTTCTTCACAATTTCTACTGATTCGTTGGCGATTTCAAATGCATGAACCGCGTCAATATCTTCATTGTCATCGTCCAACTGAATTTCGCCAACCACGGAAGAGAAGACAGCCTCAACATCATTTTGATCAACTTTAGAATCTTGTGCCTTGATACTGGCGTCTTCTGCTTTTGGAGGTTGTACAGAGGCCGATGAATGGTCTGAATCGATCCTGAGCGCACCTATAACAGGATCCTTGAGTAACATCTGCAGAATTTCAGCTTGCGACGTTTCGACAAAATATCTGTTGTGTTTGATAACTAATTTAACCTTACCATAAGACACGGTCGCACTCTTGATAAAGTCCGTGATAGATGTAGCCACAGGTACTTTCGAGAGTCTATCAAGTACAGCAATAATGTCATCGGTTTCCAGCCCCACAGAAACGGCTGCGTACAGCGAGTAAGCAGTGATCTTGTACTCGTGGATGTGGGACGGTCTACTGATCGGCTCGGCAATCGTCACCAAAAAATCCTGAGCCTGCTCCGCAAGTGGGGAAAAACTCTCTAAAATAACCCTACCATCGGCAGGGGAAATCCATAGCGGCCTGGAGGCATGATCAGGCTTCAGCTTCAAATAGCTGAAATCTGATGTCCTGAAAAGCCCTGACACCACGTCTGGTACAAAATCTGCTGGAGCATCCCTCTGGAAGTCGTGCAAGAAAGTTTGGTCTTTTGCCGCAAGTTTATTAAGCGTTTCATTTGTCGTGGAAACTTTCCCAGCTTTTGAACCCCTGGCAGCTTTTTTCGGCTGTTTTCGGGGCGCACGTTGTTTTCCACTCGCACTAATGCCATATTCATCTTCTTCACCGTCTATAAACCCATCGTCATAGTCCGAATTGTTAGTGGCTACTGAATCATCCGAGAAATAGTCCAAATTCTGATCTCCTAATGTGCTCCCCTTGCTTCTCGTTTGATACTGGTGATCTGCCATGAAGCTTTGGGTAGATATCCTAGGTCCAGAACAGAGTAAGAGTGCTGAGTAGCCCTGAAGAATTGAACACCTTGGGAGGAAATGAGTAAGCCAACGTTGCCATCTAAATACTTATTGAGTAGGTCTTCACTGTCCGTATAAAGTTATCACATTGTGTCAGCCACTCGTTCCTCCAGTCACTTATCCACTCGATACAATAGTCTCGCTCTAGGCGCTTCCTGTGGGTGTGGGAAGGTATCTTCGTTCCTATAGAGGTGAGAGTATCTTTAGACTCTACAGAGTGCCCGCTCTGTACCATCGCAACTCGCATTATAAGTACTCAATATGGGTGAACAATCGTAAGCTTCTCAAGCGGTCCAACAATTACCGGAGATAGATTCTGGGTATTTAAAGCAAAGCGGCTCTCTCGGTAAGCTAACTAATCCCTCCTTTTCAAATTCTACGGATGGCAGACGGTAAGTTAAAGTAACTTGGTGCTTTAGACAAATAAGTCATCACTTTGTACTAATGAGCTCATCTTAAAACTTTTCAGCAGAAGATGGGCAAACTGTCATCGGTTTTACCAAGACCTTCAGACATTGGAATATCGAAAGCCTCGAGCGCGTCGCTTCAGAACCATGGGATCGAAGAAGCAGACCAAACTTGCGAAAAGCGAGGCTCCTAAGCTTTCTACGAAAGCAAAACAAGCCGAATTGAGTACGAGTGGTAGCTCTAGTTCCAGCTCCAGCTCCAGCTCCAGTTCCAGTTCCAGTTCCAGCTCCAGCTCCAGCTCCAGTTCCAGTTCCAGCTCCAGCTCCAGTTCCAGTGAGCTAAGCACTTCTTCGGACGAAGAGGAAGATACTAAAAAACGTTCGAAGAAAGCCAAGTCCCAGAAGGTGGTGAAGAAACAAAAGAGGAAAGCATCTCAAAGTTCAGGTTCGAGTTCTTCTAGTTCATCCGAAAGCTCCTCTAGCTCGTCCGAAGATTCTTCCAGCTCCTCCAGCTCATCAAGCTCCTCCAGCTCATCAAGCTCATCAAGCTCGTCCAGCTCGTCCAGCTCATCAAGCTCATCAAGCTCATCAAGCTCGTCTAGTGGATCTGAATCGTCATCCAGTGAATCTGAACAGGAAGAAGACGCTAAAAATGTCGAGAAGACGTCAACGAAGCCTAAGAGCGACCCTTCCAGTGGTTCTGACAGCTCCTCTGGCTCATCATCTGACGAATCCACCAGCGAATCATCGGGTAGTTCCAGCTCTTCCGATTCTTCAAGCTCCTCAGACAGTAGTTCGTCGAGCGAATCTAGCTCTTCTGATAGTGGATCAGCTTCTTCCGATGACTCCAGCGGCTCCAGCGACTCCAGCGACTCCAGCGACTCCAGCGACTCCAGCGACTCCAGCGACTCCAGCGACTCTAGCGACTCCAGCGACTCCAGCGACTCCAGCGACTCCAGCGACTCCAGCGACTCTAGCGATTCCAGTGATTCCAGTGATTCCAGTGATTCCGGCTCCTCTGGATCTGGCAAAGAAAGTGCTAACGTAAAGCCTAGTGCGAAAGTAGTTACTTCTAGTTCTTCTGAGCAGTCCTACTCTTCCAAAACTGCTTCTCCAGAAGTGCCATCTGTACCCCAGAAGGAACATATATCCGCTGGCGAAGACCTTCTTCAACCCGGCCAACGCAAACACTTTTCCAGAATTAACAGATCAACAATCTCATTCGAAAATCATGCCCTCACGGACAACACTTATAAAGGTGCTGCTGGTACTTGGGGCGAACTGGCCAATGATAAGCTTGGGAGAGTGAGAGGAAAGGACTTCACCAAAAATAAAAATAAAATGAAAAGAGGTTCTTACAGAGGGGGAAGTATTAACATGGGTACAGGCTCCTATAAGTTCACCGATTAAGAAGAGCATTGCTTTGTGCATATGCGCATGAATTCTTTAGACAATAGCCCTCTGAGGCTTTAATACAGTATTGTATAATATAAATGGCGTTAGGGCCAACAGGTAAAGAAATTTTCAGAAATTCAAAGCTTTGGCGTTCCTTGCCATACCCTATTACTGATCAATTCCCTATATTGTTCGGAAAACCTAGCTTTTCTGGCGTTTTCATCAAGTGCTTGTGAAGCCTCGCCATCGTCATCAGGGAGCAGCTCCTTGATGTAACTTGTTAACTTTGCAATTACGCTATCTGGATCTTCCAGGTTTACCAGATGTCTTCCACCTATGATTTCGTCTTCACAATAATGTGGAATGTGTTCGCGCAGATAAATACGGTTTTCTGGTGGACACCATCGGGATTTTTCACCATAGAGACATAAGACGGGACAGTTTATGGAGCTCAAACACTTCATAAGCCATGTTGCGGTCGGGTTCAAAGTGAGGTAGGCAACCATGTGTTGCTCAGTGCTGATCTTTGTCCTAAATAATTCGCTTGATATTTTCCGAAGTTCAAAACCCTCCACTTCTTGTAGGATGGAAGGATGTGCTTTGCTATAGAGACTTTGAGTCTCCATGAACTTTTTGTACTGCTGGATGCTAGAGAACTCATCCGTCATAGTGGCATGCATTGCGTGATAAAATGTGGGGGGTATTATTGTTATGTCCTCGTCACTTTCTTTGCGAACCCTTTTCATCCAAACGACTGGCTCGATGCACACCACAGATTGGAACAACCCAGGAAACAGTATGGGACAACATAATGCCTGGAATCCACCCATCGAGTGGCCAACAACAATATTAAATACGCTCCTCCCGTTTTGCTGGAAAAACTCGTCCATGCAGATTTTACAAATGTCTCTAGCACCATCACTCCAGTCGTAAAACGAACCCAACAAACGCTCATTTACCACTGCTGAATCGCCGTGGGTCACTTGATCGACAAGGATAACCTTGCCTATTTTCCAATTCCGAACTGGGTCCGCCAGTTTGTCCAAGTAGTAGCACCAAATCCTCCTGTTCATCCCGCTTCCGTGCAGAAACACGTAGTTCACAACTGAAGTTGTAGTATCATCTCCTTTATCTCTCGGTTCATAAACATCGTATACTACCTTCAACACGTCTCGCGAGGGGTCCAAAGTGCAGCGTGTGGAGCTGCGGGGGGTGACGGCTTCGACCGTCTTGGTAGTTTTGATGAAGCTGGTACCAGAAGTCATGGCGCAAACACTGATATTACACGGTGATCAAGCCTAACTCGCTATTCGGTTAAGGGTTGGCGCGCTTGATGAATTCTTTCAAATTGTTGGACCTGCAATACTCCACATTTTGGCGTCAAGTTCCTGATCATGGGGTTACTGACTTCATAATGTGTCAAATAGTAATATTACAACAAATCATATATACTTCACGTTCATATATATGTCAAATTAAAGTTCCTTATCACCCTGGTAGCTATTGTTCCATTAATCGTCGATCTAGTCTCCGTTGCTCTCTTCAACATCTGTTTCCACATCCAGCAAAACTTGGTGGCCCGGCCCCGGCCCGACTTCATTTTTCAGCAAAAAAGGTTTGGCGAGTGTGTTGGGCACGGAGGAGGTGGAAGACGAGGACCGCGAGGACAGCGCCATCACCGTTTGATCGAGTTGAACCGGAGAGTTGCGTGGTAATGAAAGTGGCGGAGGGGGGTCCGGTAACGAGGATTCTCTACTTTTCCTATGAGATGGTTTTTTGGGCGACGACAATGACATGAGAGTCTCTATAGCTTCGACCTCAGACGGCTGGTCCTTGGACCGGGACTTGGGCTGGTCTACGACGTTTGTGTGTATCGGAGGAGGAACTGGAGCTCTCCTGGGGCTGCCGTTCCAGGCTTTGGGCCCAAGCCGAGGCCCGGACCCGGATATCGCTGACGATGTCCTTCGCTTCTGTTTTCGAGGGCTAGTGAGGGCGTGCATGAAGGCGGCGTGAGCCGAATTATTGCCGGAATCCTCGTCTTCCAGAAGCCGGTTGCTGTAGGTCGTGTTCTGCAGGCTCAGGGCCGGCGCAGTCCCCGCCAGGTCGATGCCAGGCTCCAGCTCGTTGAGACTCTTGTCAACCCAGCCGTTTTGGAGTTTGACAAATGCATAATTGAGCCTTGTTTTTAAATTGCTCGACAGCTCGCGAATGGGTCTTTCCGTGTCTTTTTGGACACCAGGCGACTTGAGTTTAGGCGATGGCGACAAAAACATCTCCGCGTTCCTGGTCTTGGGCGTCGTGGGAGGGAGCAGTCGAGTGCGCATGCCGGGCGACTCCTGAATCGCGAAATCCGAGCCACTGTGCCGTTTGGGGTTGCTACCGGGCAGCGGCGACGCCAAGAACCCGTGCGACACCGACGACCTTCGAAGCTTGATGCTGTCACCTGTGTTAGTAGGAGGAGACGGTGTCTGAGGAGACCTCGGACTCACTGTTTGGAACACCTCATCTTCCCCTGCCAACGACGATCGTTGCGCTCTCTCCTGTTTCGGAGTTCTCTCCAGGTGAGATGCCTCCTCTCTGACACCAGTATTGTCAATCATCTGGTGGATCTAATGAATTTTTTATATCTATCCGACCTTTCTTCCCTCGCTCAAGAAGAGAAACAACCTGCCGTATGTGCTCCCTTACTAGCCGGCTTTTTTGAACAGAAACCGCAAATCCACCCCCAGTTTTCCAATCTTTTTTGTCTGAAGGTTTGTTCTCAGCACAACCTCGAATACTGCGAGGTTTGTCACAAAAACTACCCAGATCCTTGCTTGCCCGCTTACCAAAGTTTCCTTTGAGACGTTTAGTTTATAACGCTCCTTGTTTTGATTTTCAGGTTTGTTTGCCAAAAAAATTTCGCAATTTGGGTCTTTCGCGATGATCACCTAATTACATGTCATCGCCAAAATAACAAATCAGAGAGCCGTAGACAAGGTCAGGAAGCGGACTTTGGTTACGTTTGAGACTGCTCTGGATAGAGCGAGTTCCATAGTTTCTGCAGAAATTTGCAGAAACAAAATTGGAGTTTTACTTGTAGAGATATTAGGGGAAGTAATTGGCCAGCCGGATGACCGCGTTCAAGCTTGGAATACCACCGTAGACCACCGTAGGGTACGCAGCATAGCTTTGATGCCTCAATTGAAGTTCAAAAGTCTGGTTCTCCGCTTGGAGATTGTCGTAGAACGGCCCAGCTTGTCCACAACCTCTTTTTTCAGCTCCTCTGTATCGTGGTTATGGCATAATGGTAGGTCGTTGTTGAAGAGGTAGTAGTCTTCGCGAATGTAGTCGCCACACCGGAAGCAGGTGAGACATCTTAGGTGATACCGCTCTTGGCGGTCGTTTTCGAGACACTCGCCTTCGATGAAACCTTGGCAAATCCCACATATGCTGTTGTTGGTAATGTGGTAATGCAGCTGGCAGTAGGGCTGGTCGTTCAGGATGTAGCACGGAGTGTGCTTTGAGAATTTTAGGTCGCACTTGATGCACTTAAAGCAAGGACGGTGCCACTGGCCGGACAGTTCGTTGTCCTTCTTCGAATATATGCTCTTAGAGGTCACCGCTAGGCCACAGGCGCGGCAGGGGCCCTGACCGGGCGGGTGTTGGAACTCTAGCGCGTGGGCCAAGGCATTCGAGGGCTGGTGGTCATGGCTGTCGCCGGTCGGGGTGTCGCTCACAGGTTTAGGGTCTCCGCTGGTAGGAGATGATATGCGATGCATCTGCAGGGGCTCGATGACCGGTGATCTCAAGGCGTCGAGCAATCGATTCGAGGGCTTAGTCGCATCCAAAATGTCAGAACTCTGGGGCTCCGGTGTGAATCTCTGATCATCGGATGCCTCAGGATTAACATTTTCACGAAATTTGTAAAACCTGGGCGTACTGTCGGAGTCCGGAGACAGCTCTCCTGCGCGGCCCGCTCTGTCTTCATCTTTCACCTGCAACGTTTGAGACTGGAAATGCATGTCGGAAACGACCTCTGGTAGAGCTTCATGCCTTTGCGTGTCTGGGGGGATAAACCCTGAGAGATAGGCGCTTGATTTTTTGAATCGGCCGTCTGAGGGGGTGAAAGGATCCCGCTTCCCAACAGTAAGGTTTCGGTTTAGACTGACATCATTCAATTGCGCCAGTAACCTTTCTACTTGGTGCGATGACGTTAAAGTGGACGACGGGTCGAACTCTTCTTCTTCTTCTTCTTCTTCTTCTTCGCCCTGTTCTTGTGGTTTATGCTCCCCGACCTTCTCCTGCGTCCCACTTGTCATTGTAAGCTCTGGGCGGTCGGGTAGCTCGCGAAATGTTTCCTCTTGGAGATGGAGGCTATTGTCGAGGCCCTTGACGCTGCTAGAATCGAATGGGACCGCGTCAGGTATGTCACCATCGATATCGGATGATTCTAGTTTAACTTGGCCCTCTTCATATCCTGCCACACTCACAGCGCTCCTGCGGGAGTCAACGCCCCATGATTTTCTGTCAGCAGAGGAATCGGAGACGTTGGGTGCTTTGCTAGATACGCTGATACGTGGAACGGATGTAGGATGTTCTGGCTGCTTCCTGGGAGAAAAATTCACATGTAGCTCTGCCACTGGGGAAAAGCTTATACTGGAGTTGGATATCCTACTGCTGTTGGGGCCCGCGCCAAGGTCAGATCTTTCGGACCTTGGCAAGTCTGCCTGTTGTGTTTGCAACCCAAGTACGTCTGGCCCGCCACTTAGGCGCATGAAAGAGTTCCATTTCTCAGCGTTACCAGCCTTCTCGGGACTTTCGTACTGGCTCTGTGCGTCTTCAAAATTGTCATTGCTCATGTTGGTAGACGCATGTGAGCCACCCAAGTATGGCGATACTTCACGTTCGGCCTGAGAAGAGAAGCTTTCATTGGAGTTTTGCGTTAACTGCAGGAAACTCTTCTCCACGGGATCGAAATCTGCCGCGCTAGTTCGCTCAGGTGCCGGAACCGCGCTCACTTTGTTCTCAAAATCGAACCCTGACGATACCCTGTTAACAAACAGATTTGAGCCCGATGGAACAGAAAGCCTTGCGCCGCCTTTGGAGACAAGGCTCGAGCCGGATGCGCTCTTCGGATGTGAGTCCGATCTGCCCTCTCCCTGTGTCTGGGCCTGTGATACCCCCATGCGATGGTCCCACTGCGCATGTGCTTGCGGGGTATGCTCTGCGGACGAGTTGGGGCTCGAAAGAGGCTCGTGTATCAGAGTTGGGTGCTCTGATGAACCATTGGGTGCCTTATACACATGCCCACTGACGGATCTCTGGCTATTGTTGCCCAACTGGTGGGCTGAAATACCGCCCCAGTTCTTCCCAGATTCGGCCCTACCCCCTTCACTCACATGTCTCCCACTCTGCAGAGGCTGGCGATACTTTCCGGCCTTCCCATCTTTATCGAAGTTCACATCAAAGCCTGCTCTTTCCAGTGCCGTTCTATACCTGACCCGTGGATTTATTGCGGGAAACGGTGAGCTGTAAATCGATCCTTGCATTGCCCTATTGGTTGTAGTATTTAGATATCCCAGAATATGGAGTCAACCTTTGTGGATTCTGCTGGTGTTGATATTTTCGGGATTGATCGGCTACCTCGCAATGCGTTCATTTTTCAAAGTTTTCTTTCTCATTGTCTAAAGAGACGCGACAACGACGCGAAAACATAATGTAAACACTGACACCAGTAAAGTATTGGAAAGAAAGAGTTCAGATCAATTCTTGGGATGGAAATGCGTGTAACTTGTGGCCCAGGGCGTTGAAAACGCCTTTAGAAACTATATAAAACTATAGATCAAACTTTGGTTGTCACTGGAGTTGCGAGCCTATTTAATGAGTTCTAGGTAGTTTGTTGCAAACGGCTTCCTGGTGTCGGCCCAAAGATAAGCCTAATCTTTTTTCTGCTCGCTCACATAGTCTAGAGCATTCAATCTTTCGGGTAAGGTTGGGTGCGAGTAATGGTAGCTCGAGAAAATAGGATCCACGTTCATTGTCGACAGGTTTTTCACTTGCAGGTTGATCAATGCATGACACAGATCTTTTCTGTATCCCAGCTTCTTGGCATAGGCGTCAGCTTGGTATTCGTGGAATCTGGAAAGTAGATTGACACCAAAATTCATACCACACTCGAGCGGCTGAAGCAGATCGTTGAATAGCATGAAGCCGATGAGGACCGGCAATTGGGGCGTGACGACGACGGCCCGGCTGGGAGAGGCTCCATTGCCCACGAAGAACCCAAACGCCGAGTATAGCGACTGGTTCTGGTATGCAGCAGTGAAAAGGGAAAAAATGAAGCCGATGTGGATTTCGCTGAAAGCGAGCATGCGTAGAATGTGGTTCTCTTGCCAGTGGCCTATTTCGTGTGCGAGAACGGCAGTGATCTCGTCGACGGACGCATCCTTAACGAGGGTATCGTACAGCACAATGCGCTTGCTGGTGAAGGGGAGGCCCGTGAAGTAAGCATTGGAGTGCGAAGAGCGCTTGGAACCGTCCACCACAAAAATCTTGTCAAGAGGGAAGTTGACGCGCTTGGCAAGAGCATGGATGGATGTCTTGAGTTCACCGTCTTCCAAAGGAGTGAATTTGTTGAACAAAGGCATGATGTAAACAGGGATCAAAGTCATGGCCAAGATTTGGACCACTAGGATAAAGCCACAAATGTAGGCCAAAAAGTTTGTGGGGAACGCTTCGAAAATCTTCAAAAAGGCATACATGACCGGCATGCCAATCACGGCACTTAGTAGCGAGCCCTTGACCTTGTCAGTGATCCACAGTCCCACAGTCAACTTGTTGAATCCATATTTTTCTTCCAGCACGAAGTGTTGGTAGTAGGACAGCGGAAGTTCCAGAATAGTGGAGATGTTAGACAGAACGGTGAAAAACCACAAGCTTTGTCCGATGGTAGAGGTGGCAATCAGCTTCGATGGTAACTTGTTGGCCACAGCCACGCCTAGGTGCCATAGGCGAGGCAACAGGTCCAATTTGATCACGCACAGATTTTGTACCAGACTGAACACGCTGGAAAACATGTTGAACTTCATCTTCGAACGAGAATAATCCTCAGATTTTTGGAACGTCTCTGCATCAACCGCACCTTCCAGCACTTCAGGAAGCTTCTTGCTGGCAAGGGTACGATATTGACGATAACTTAAGTACGTCTCGAACCCGAACTGACCCAGCGTGAAAGCAGTTATGACTGCTTTCCATGGGATATTGGAATTGTCGAAAAATGCTTGAATGCTATCTACAAAAGACATCTTCCTTGTGCTCTACAGAGGATGCAATGGCAAGTTGTATGAAGTTTAGATAAAGGCTTTGAACATACAGCTAATTTTGCTAAGGCGAAACGCTCAAGTAGGCCTGAAAGTAACTTGATACGTAGGTGAGAGCTGCTCTGAGCATGGATTACAGGATGTGTGAGGCGGGTGTCCATCCGTGGCTTCAAATCCAGCAGCGCATTATCACAAGCGATATTCGACAAGACACTGGAGGCTCTTTACTGCGTGTTCTAAAAATCAGCCAGATCAAAAGATCAAAGGTGTGGATGGAGAGGAAAAAAATAGAGGTGAGATGAGGCCAGTGTGCACATTCATCCGAGGTTTGTGCGGGCCCTGAAAATATCACAATTTAACCCAGCACCAGGCCAGCCCGTCTTTAAGTTCAACCCATCTTACTATCCTTCTTGGATCCACGGGCCATTTTTTTGGCGATGCGCATCATTTTGTTTAGCCACAGTACATTCAAGGCATCCAAACCTACATTCAGTGGCATGACTGTCAACGGAAGCCACATTGGCACAACGTGTCTCTCCATCCAAAATTGACGAATGAGGATAAACACCGCGGAGAATCCCCACAGTATGCGTACCACAAAGAACGTGAGTATCAACAGGGCCCCATTGAGGGCGTTAAACCACAGAGGAACGACAGGTTTTGTCGCGGAGCGCGACAACTGGCTAATGTACCAGTTGACATTCACAAACGGCGTCGAAGCCTCGAAGATCAGGAACTTTCCAATCCAGGACTGGCAGAACGGGGTCAGGGACACGGCAAACACATACAGCGAGGCCAGAGCGTGGCCCAAAAACCCGACTCCAAACATCGAAAAGTGCTCGACGCACACAACCAGGTCCCATACGAAGTACCCGCACGTCACAGCAGCGACCATCGAGTTGTAGGAGCTTTGGTAAGCCACCACACTGGTGGATAATGGTTCCAGCAAGATGGGCCACGCCAATGCCAGGCTGATGACGCATTGCACCATGGAAACCGTGTGGATGTCAAAATTCAGCTTTACCTTCTTGTCCTCGAGCTGGGTGTAGTGCTTCCCGAATACCAGCCGGTTCGCCAGTGGTGCAAACCACAGGCCCACCACAAAGTGGTATATCAGAAACGAAATCAAGATTTCATGCGAATGCCGCAAGATGAGATTATCACTACCAGCAAACGGCGAGTATGCCAAAAAGGGGTCCTCCATTCACAAGTGCTGAGCTTGGCGTAAGACGGAGTTCGATACAATTGACGTGAGTCCAGGTAAATAACGTGCTGGAGAGACAATGGTCGAGCCTTGATTCCAGGGGAAAGGCATACGAGGGCCTGATTCCCGCGTGCAATTTATAAGAGCGAGGGAACTACTGCACTGTATACGAGTGCCTCAGAGTTGTGAGTCTAACTTGTTCCATTGAAGCCAGACGGCACTACCCTTGCGGTGTGGTGAATCGTGGGCGTGGGTTTGGGTGGCTTTGAACCCGGGAAATAGAAAAATGGTCAGTTTACGGAGATAAAAACGTTACGGCCTGTGTGTAGGTAGTTTACATGTTTTGAAAAGTGCGGAAGACTTCGAGACAAACGTGTACAATCATATATGTGACTTCTTCGCGGGTTCTGCAAATATGCAATATTGAGTATCATACCTTGGAAGGGTTTGAGCGGGCTGTGGATTACCATCCGACGTCCAACACTTGTTGTGAAAGACCTTAAACGAGCAGCGGAAAGTCTGGCCAGCTCGGAACGGAAGTAGAACTTTCTGGCGTTGAACGACTCCCCCGCCAGCTTTCGTAAAGTCCAGGTATCCTCCGTGGGGCCCGAAGTGACGCATCTACACCACCAATGACAGGCTATTGCTCATCATCATTATATACCTTTTTGTCACCGGTGACAGAATTAATGAAACTTCCGGACCAGTTCACTGACGAACGAGTGTGAAGCCCGCAAGGAACAAGAGTTTTCGAAAATTGTCACAAGGCCCATACCGCACATGGTCAAAGAAATTCGGATCGTACTACTGGGACGTGAGGTGCGCTTTTCACCACTCGGGTTGTCGCGCACGAAAACTAGCACCATGGAAGGAAGAGTTGCTTCCCACAGCCGCAGCTCAATAATTGCTACATCAATGAATCAAGGTCTCAAGTCTTTGCACCATTCTTTACTAAGAACCCCTTCTCGCGGCCGAGACGCGAACACAAATTGGTGTTCTACCTGACTCAGACTTAAAGATAGTCAAACACCGGCATACAAATCAACTGGAAGAAGCGCAGCTGCTAAGCTCCGGATACCAGATTGAATACTGTGCCGGACTGGATTGTTGGAATTGCGTCTCAAATCGATAAAGCCACTTTTTGACTCGAGAAACTCCACGTGAAATACCAGCTGCATGTGAATTGGATCGACGATTTTAACGTAAAATTTGACACGGTTCGGTTGGAATAACCTTCGGATTTGGCTGTTGGACCACGGTCTATCATACCATCAAACTCGTCCCGTTGATTCGTGAGTTGAAATTGGTTTTGCTTAGATATCTTTAAACTCGTCTTTCCCGCCTTTTCTTCAACTGCAATTATGAGCTCTACAACTGGTCCCAAGTTGGTGTGTCTTGGAAATCCATTGCTGGACATCCAGGCCACTGTTTCGGATGAATATCTGGCTAAATATGAATTGAAGGCTAACGATGCCATCCTTGTGGACGCCAGCTCGAACGAGCCCAAAATGGCGATTTTTGATGAGCTTTTGCAGGTCCCAGATGTCAAGTTCATCGCGGGCGGGGCTGCTCAAAACACCGCTAGAGGCGCTGCCTACATCCTAGGTAAGGGCAAAGTCGGATACTTCGGATCTGTTGGCCAAGATAAGTTTTCTGCCAAGCTTTTGGCCGAGAACGAAGCTGCAGGTGTGGTCTCTTACTACCAGGAACAGTCGGACGTCGGCACCGGTAAGTGTGCCGCTTTGATCACCGGCCACAACAGGTCTTTGGTTACCGATTTAGGGGCTGCTAACCACTTCACTCCTGCCCAACTTGAAAGACACTGGTCTGTCGTTGAGCAAGCTGACTTGTTTTATGTCGGTGGCTTCCACTTGACCGTGTCGCCAGACGCGATTGTCAAGCTTGGGAAACACGCTCAGGAAACCGGCAAGCCTTTCGCGTTGAACTTGAGCGCCCCTTTCATTCCACAATTTTTCAAGTCTGCGTTGGAACAGGTCTTACCATACACCACTTACGTTATCGCCAACGAGTCTGAGGCCGCCTCCTACGCCGAAGCCTTTGGTGTCGATGCCAAGGCTGACGACTTGGTTGCGATTGCCAAGCACATTGTTGGGGACTCCAAGACCAGAACTGTGATTTTCACCCACGGTTTGGAACCTACCGTGATTGTTTCTTTCCAAGGTGAGCAAGCTATTCCTGTCAAGGCCTTGCAAGAAGAGAGCATCGTCGACACCAATGGTGCCGGTGACGCTTTTGCTGCTGGTTTCATGGCTGGATTGACTGAAGGTAAGACTCTCAACGAATCCGTTGACATGGGTCAATGGTTGGCTGCTCTCTCTATCCAAGAGATCGGTGCCACTTACCCAAGCGAGAAGTTGACCTACCAAAACTAGAGTATATGATTTGTATCAAAACTAGATAGCTTAGAAATATAGATTGAATTGGTTTACTGGGATGCATTGATATGTAAGCACGGTTGATGCGAGATGTGTCTTCCGTTTTAATATGTAATTGAAGCATTGGCTGTTAATTACAAAGATTAGTTAACAAACAGAGGATGAATTCTAACCAGGCCAGCTACTTTCACACACTGGCCCACCCATTGTCTCTCTACGAAAATGCACGATTGAACATTCAGTTTGTGGTGTTGAGCATCCTGTACTTAGCCATTTGCTTCGTACTACTGGGTATATGTGCATCGGATTTCCTATGCCCCACGGTATCGAACATTTCGAAGGACAAACGCTACAGAGGTATATTAACGGGTATCCTGTTGTCATGGTGTAATTCTTCACCAGACCTGTTCACCAACTTTATGAGCTGGACCTCATCAAATGCGGCCCCACTGTCTGTGGGCGAAGTGTTAGGCTCGTGCGGATTCATTTTATGTGTGGTTCAAGGGGCGGTGTTTATAGTAATGGGACGAGCTAATGTTCAGTTGGAGCGCGAGCAGCTGCATCACATCCAAAGGGACCTGTTGTTTATCCTGGCCGCGATGTTGATGATGTTTTACGTGTGTCTGCGAAACGAGATAACTTTACTCAACTGCACACTCATGGTGGTGTTGTATCTCATTTATGTTGGCTACAAAGCAGGATTTTGGTCAAAACACCATCACTTACGTCCAGAAATCGGAACAGGTTCAGGTCCAGAGATGGAAGAGCAAGAGTTTTCATCTGAGTCCGATCAAACTTGGAAATTTAGCATTTTGAGCGCAATGGATGACGGTGCTTTGTATTCAGAGCTGCAAAAATCGTTAGGGGCTAATGATGAAACCATAACACTGAGAACGCTCCGATCAGATACCTCATGTGCTGCATACCCGTCCCCTAGGCCCTTGACAGCACCTGGCCCAATATCTATCGACAGGCCAGATGCGAGCCGAACTGCTGTTCATTCATCTCCGCCTTCTTTTGAAGCATACCATGATGTCGAAGATATCGAGCAGGTATCGCACATAGAAGGTGCTTCAAGAACGAGCCCTATTATTTATGAGCAATTGCTGAGGAAGAACCTAGAACGTTGGAAAAACGGACTGGTATATCTTTTGGCGCCCCAACTTAAAGATTTTAGACAGAAGTCCAACGTTACAAGGATTATTGCTATTGTCATGGTGCCGTTTACAGCTCTCCTACGGCTCACTTGTCCACAACATGACAAATTATTAGAGGAGACCAGCGTATCACCAAAAAAAGAGGCTGTTGGAGCCAAAACTCTGTTTCTTTTGATAATGCAAGCTATATGCACGCCATTCTGCATCCTTTCGCTCCTGTCGGTTCTTGTGGATTTTCAAATTAATAGGTACCAGCTGTTGACAAGTTCAGTTGTTTCTTGCGCAATGTGCGCCTGTGTATTGACCTTTTTATGGCAAGTCAAAGTGGAGGCGAGGTTTTCCCTCAACGACACTTCATTTCAAGATGACCGCGGCTTTTTCCGCCTTCGAAGTTTAGAACAGTACCTGGTTCTTCTACTGAACTCATTCGGCATCTTTAGTTGCATTTTATGGATATCGACGCTTGCAAATGCTTTAGTGGAAGTGATGGTTCTTTATCAAAGACTTACAGGTGTCTCTGATGGGGTTTTAGGGTTAACCATTTTTTCATGGGGGAACTCGATCAGTGATTTGATGTCTAACGTTGCGATGTGCAAGTTGCACCTGAGGGTAAATGCTCACACAAATGAACAGAGAGAAGAGCTCGCATCCAGGTACTTTTTCATCTCCTTAAGCGCCTGTTTTGGAGGCGTACTCCTCAACTCCTTAATCGGCATCGGTCTCAGTGGTTTTGTGGCTAATGCCATGGGAGCGGAAGGGGTAGATGTAAACCATCTTTGGATTCTCAGGACTGTCCACCTAGGTCACAGCGGTATTGATTTTGAGTTTATCCTTTCAGGGGCATTCATCTTAGTTCAAGTATTGTTGTTACTTGTTGTATTCTCTGGGATCCGGCCGGTAGCGGAATACCTCTCATCAAATTTGAGAAATGTGGGCATCATTTTATGTTGCTGGTGGGGCCTAGCTACTCTGGGTAATATAGTCATCGAAACTTCCGGCTTTTCAAGTGCCAATTGACCATTTTCTGTGAACTGTGATCTTGGCAATTTTTTAGTGACACTCAACTGTCATTATTCTTGGCAATATGTTTCGCATATAACACGCACATTTTGAACTCGAAGAGGACTATAAGACAGACTCTGACGAGCTTGAAGAATTGGCAAACTCACGGCTTGATAATTGCTAGTGGGTATCGCATCGTCTCCGATTTCCTTCTCTACTCAAACAACTCATATCTAGAGCTTAGCGTCAGGCGCATAAATGAAAGTGGCACAAAGAATGATAGTCGGTGCATTTTTTGGACTCTTAGGTATCTGCGAAAGGGTCGATATTGCGAATAAAGCAGAAAATCATTCTCTGTCTCAATTTCCTCGTTTTGGTGATATTGATATGACTGGGGCAACAGCGGGAAAAGACAGAAATTCTCACACCCAGGATAATCTGGATGGTACAATCTCAATAATTCCTGCGGCTTCCGAACATTACGTCGGCGTTAGGATTTCAGATGAGCTTTACGAGAGACTGGTTTATTTTAGCAAGATGTGCGCGCTGACCTACTGTATCACGTCTAATGAGATCATTGATGGTTCCACTTTTACAGATGGCGGATGCCCCGCTCGTCTCAATTTCTGCTCCGACAAGCAATCAAATCCCACCGCCGCAGATACCAAAATCGAGCTCGTCCTTTTGGCTCAAGGTAAGGAGTTAGGAACGGGTTTTCTCGCGGTGGACCATGAAAAGGAAGTAGTTATCCTCTCCTTCAGGGGCTCTTCAACAAATCAAGATTGGCTCAGCGACTTTGCGATATACCCTACTCCTTATGAACCTGCTTCAAAGGAGTTTTATGACGAATGGGTTGCCTCCGGAAGAATTGGACCTTGCGAAGATTGCATGCTCCATAGAGGCTTCAACGTTTTCCTTAATACATTGAGTTCAAAGTTCTTTGAAAAGATTGAAAGTATTTTCGAAACACATCCTGGCTATGAGCTCGTTGTCATTGGCCACTCGTTGGGAGCCGCTGTGGCAAGTTTGGCTGGAATTGAACTACGCTTAAGAGGGTATGAACCGCTTGTCTTAACGTATGCATCACCTAAAATATTCAGCAGCAAGCTAAGGGCCTGGGTCGATGAGTTGTTTGAGACCGATGAAATTCATGAGCGATCTTTACGCGAAGAGAAGGTCATGTTTCGTCAAGGTTTTTTCAGAGTTGTCCATGACGAAGACTACATTACCATGGTTCCACCTTTTTACGAACCTGCGGGTCTGGAAATATTCATCAACTATCCTCATCTGCCACCAAGGCGCGAACACTTGGAATATCACGGCCCATCAAATAACTTGGTCTCGGTAGACACACAATCTCTTTTCAGCACAACAGGACGGGGGCAAGGCCATAGATTACTGGGACCACTTGAGACGTGGCTTCATATGTACGAGCATCGTGCTTACTTTATCTTGATAAACACTTGTGATGGTTTCTAATGTCAACATCTGCACTTAAAAGTTTAAGCTACATAGGAGTTAAAAAAGGGAGGAAACAGCTTTGAGCTTAGGAAGCACTTTTTTGAGCTTAGGAAGCACTTTTTTTATTTTCCAAGTCCAGTATTAAATCATCAGGCCACTAACGCGGCAGTAACGTTCTGTGTTTATATTAAGGGATTTAGATGGATCCAGTCCATGTATTAATGAGTTGTCGTGAAAGAGGTAGAATAGACACATTATTCTTCTTTCTATCCCGTGATTTTGATATCTTTGGTTCTCCTCTGTATGTGATGCGAACATATTGATTTCACAAAACCCCAGAATCTTTCAGGCTATTTTCCAAGATAGTTTCCTTGATAGCTGCGAAAACTAGTTTTATATTGGAAGTATCGGTGGCCTGCGTGACATGAGGGTAGATATTCAGATGCGCTCTATTCAACTGAACAAATCTCCACAAAATATACTTGGCGGCCTTATTGATATCCTGGCCGCCAGTGTAATCTGAGAAATAATTCTCTAATGGTACGTGTTGAACTTTTTCAGCAAAAATGTCGATCTTATTCAAAAACAAAACGACAGAGGCTCTTGCAAACCATCTACTGTTGACAACAGAGTCGAAAAGAATGAGAGATTCCTCAAGTCTATTTTGGTTCTTATCTTCAAGCAGAGTTTGATCGTATTCAGACAGAGAAACGCAAAATATGATCAATGTCACATTGTCAAAGCAATGAATCCATTTTTTACGCTCACTTCTCTGCCCACCAACATCATATATATGCAACTTTAGATTCGCATCCATTTCGACAATGGTGTCGAATATGCCCGACGTTTTCTTTCTTGATAAAAGGACATCTCTAACGGTAGGAGTATACTGGAGGCTGGCAACTCTTTTTAGTTCGGTCATAAAGTAGCGAGCAGAATCCATCAGGTAAAAAGAGGATCTATGCTCTCCTGTGAGCATTTCCTGTGTGGACGATAATGACCATAATCTGACCAAAATTTCCTTCATGTTTGAAGGAAACTCTACAAGTTGGGTAGCTTGTGGTTGAAAATTGAGAACCTCTTGCAAATCATCATCGTTCAGCTCTGAGTCATCTTCCAGAGGCACCTCAAAGCGTAGACGAGCTTTCACAATGTCTTTACCAGTCTCAAGAATATTGTCATAGATAAAGGGACGATATTCCATTAGCTCCTCGTTTGAAAACCCATTCTGATGTAAGATTTTTAGTTGTTGTAGCACAGTCGACTTACCCGACTCACCAGATCCTAATAGCAGTACTTTGAGAGCTTTACCCGTGTCAGAGGATCCACTACCAGGTTTAGATAAAGAGCCCATGGATGGCCCCGTTGACTGTGCACTATTAGAAGAAACTACGGACTGCTGTCGCTTGCCAGCAACGACCGTGCTCGAAGTTGGTTTTCCGGAGGAATTGATAGCAGTATCAGTAGCGGTAGTTTTTGGAGATTCGGGTTTTTCCTTCTTTACTGCAGGTTTATCGCTTGAACTCTTTTCATTATTGCCATTGGAGCTCTTAACGGTTTGACCAGTTCTTTTTTGAACCAGACCGGATTTAGAATCGTGAATTTCCTCCCGTTCTGTCTTAGAAACACAGCCACCCATTTCCGAGAGTAAGTGCTGAAATGGAACGCGCACACCCCCACGCTGGACGAGGAAGAAAGTAACTAAGACCCAGAAAAAAATGAGCCAGAACCAGCTTTTCTTCTATATTCCGGTTCCTCGCAGACTTTGTAACTTTTCACAGTAGCTTGATACCAATCCAAGAAGGTTTCACAGCCACCGCAAATCGCTGTAGAGATGAGAAAAAGGGATGAACTTCTTTTAAAGGAAGTGATCACGCTGAAAAAGATAACCCAATCAAACAATGCACCTGAAATCAAATTGCCTACTGCTTGGCGAGAAGCACCAGACGAAGTGATGGGTGTACAGTGGGTTTTGCAGGACAGAAACAAAAAGATGAATCGGATCCCCGTTATCTGAACTAGTTTTCAGCTTATCGAGGCGACTTACGACCAACCCGGTGTATGCGTAACACGAGAGAAGTCTCTGCGTGTGCTCAATTGATCTCTGGCTTTCTGGCTATAATTGTCAAGGACCAGTCGAATTAGCGAAACCAAATTTTCTTTCCCCTTAAGAGGTGTGAGAGTGACACTCCGGGTAACTTTACGTCACGAGACAGCATCATCGGCGGCTAATCCACCTCCGGTTCCGAAATGAGGACAACACTTCTCTTCCTTTGGTCTTTCTGGAGACTCGGTCTTGCGGTTCATCAAAAACAAGTCCCTGTAGAGTCAGCAGCAACAGGGCTCGGGAAAAACCCGGGTCAAAATGGCACAGGAAACCTTCTAGTTTGAGCACGAATTGCCGCCCTGTGTCTTCAACAGCTTAGTATATCTGGACGAGCATTATCAAGAGGTGGGCTTGATGGTGGGGGTTTTGCGTGGGAAAACGGCTAACTTTCACAGTGCCTAGTCGTCCATCAACTCCCATCATAGAACCGCTCAATCTGCGGCCCTGGGTCGTTTTGGTGCGTGGTGAGAGCATATCTTTCCTTCCTCCATTTCGCTTTGATCTCTTTTGTTGAGAGAGTCTTGTACTGACGGGTCCGCCAGGGGGGCTAATCGTGGTAATACATCCATTTGCTTACTTCGTTCAAAAACAGCATCATTTAAAGCCTGGATCTCCTCAGTAGAACCCACCATATCGCTAACTGAGCTTTCTGATTGATCTAATGCCCACTCGAATGGGTCATTGTCGTTCATTATTCTTGTGGTGAGCCGCGGAGCTAAAGTTGCCGGTGATTTTTGATACGGTTATCGAATCCCAGCACATTTTGGAATTACTACGTCTCAGATGATAGCTCTCTCGATCTGCGCCAGGAAATCGAGCAGAGCTCTGAGAGTTTTGAGGGTCATACTCTTGAGGCCACATAGGTCTCACTGGGATGAGGCCACACTATATTTTAATGCTATTTATGTTTCGTTGTGCTATGTAGCCCTCGAAATTGTCTCCTTAGAAAGAGAATTCCCTCCATTGATTAGAGACACCTTGTCACTCAAGGTTTGACTGTGCTCGCCGTTGCCATCGAAATGAGTTATCATGCCTGAAGTAAACATTGTTCTTATTTTTCCTGTATGTTATAACATAGCCAAGGCTAAGATATATCAAGAAACTATCAAGTGCCATACTTGTTCCACGCCTGTTCTAATATACATGCTATATCTCAGACGTTACTAGGAGGCCAACTTGCCTTTATCCAGAAACTACCCTAAATGAAGGTCCAGTCGCATCATCTAGTTTCATTAAGAGATATTTGTGATTGGCCGACGACAGTGGATTGAACAATGAAAACGGAGGCTGGGCTCAAGTTTCTTCTACTCAGTGATACTCGATTCCAAGAGACGCTTCTTTAAAATTATCGCGGCATCCGTTCCATTGGCATTGGGCCTGTATAGTGGAATGTAGCTCCAATGTCGCAAAAAATACCAGTGTCTTGGTCTAAATGTTCAAGTCACAAAAAGCGACCGCGCATCCCCTTTTAAGGCGAAAACAAGATCTACCAACAATGTATATATGTAAACCTTGGATTTGTTCCGGCGCACAACGCGCTTGTCTTTTTACTCATAATTTCTCATTAAAATGTCAATAGCATATACAGGTATAGATATTAGGTACAGCCAAGCCGATCAACAGCGTGTCACCATTAGACCTTTTCGATAGCCACAACAATAGCTTTGTCGAGGTCTGGGGAGTTGGCTTGTTCGTGGGCAGCAAAACCTTCGGAGGGAACAAAGCCCTTGGAGTGACGAGCACTTGGGCAAGTGTCGAACAATTCGTCGATTTGCTCCAAAGTAAGACCCTTAGTTTCGTAGATGTAGAAGTAGACGAACAGGAAGCACAAGAAAGTGCAACCACCCCAGATAAAGAACACCTTAGACTGTAGGTTGGCATGATCAACGTCAACTAGATATGGGGTAGCGTAGGCGATGGCAAAATTGAACAACCAGTTGGATGCGGCGCATACAGCGACAGACTTGGCTCTCACTCTTAGAGGGAAAATCTCCCCGACGACAACCCAGGCCAAGGGACCCCAAGTAGCAGCAAATGAGGCAATGAAAGTACACGAGAAGGCGATTAAGGTCTTGTTAGCAGAGAAGCTGTCTGGTAGTGCGGTACCAACGGCGGCAACAATCAATTCACTGACACACATTCCGACGGCACCCCATAGCAGCAAGTTTCTTCTACCAGCGATTTCAACCAAAGCAATGCCCGGGATGGACATCACCACGTTGACAATGTTCATAATCAATTGGATGATGAATGGGTTCTTGATACCGGAGTTCTGGAAAAATTGAGTACCGTAGTAGAAGATGAAGTTAATACCAGTCAATTGCTGCAGAGCTTGAATGGCAATACCAGTGGTGATACGTTTCAATTGGTGGTTTGCAGGCTTGAAACAGTCCCAAATAGAAGTGGAGCCAAAAGACCTCTCGTAGTTGTAGTTGGCGACGATTTCTTCAAGTTCAGCCTCGACAAAGCTGTGGTCTCCGGAAAGGCCTCTCAATTTTGAAAGTGCTCTGCGGGCCTCTGGGACTTTGTTCTTCATAACGTAGAATCTGGGCGACTCAGGCAAAATGACCATACCGGTAAACATGATGATTGCCCAAAGCAGTTGAATTGCGATTGGGATTCTGTAGGAGCCACTATCGCTTCTGGAGTGAGTCCCCTGGTTGACACACGCAGCGAGCAGTAAACCGATGGTGATTGCCCATTGGTAGCACGATGTGACAGCACCTCTAATCCACTTAGGAGACGCTTCAGCCTGGTATAGGGGAACGATAGCAGATAGAACACCGACACCGAGACCGGCAATGACTCTGCCCACAATCAGCAGATTTTGTTCGGTGGCGGCCACTTGTAGAATGACACCAACGGTAAAAATGACAGTCGAAATCAGCAAGCCCAGTCTACGGCCCAGAGTGTCAGAGGCCAAAGGGGCCAACATTGCACCACAAAATGTACCAGCCGACAGAATAGCCGTGATCAGCGACGTTTGGTTGGCACTGAAATGTCCGTCCGATGTGAATTGTTGCTTGACGTAGTCCATAGCCAGCACACCGGAGATTGTTCCTGTGTCATAACCAAATAGAATACCGCCAAACGCGACGAAAAGACCGACGAAGACGGCGCGGAATTTGGACCCTTGAATGTCGTCTTCCGCCTTGAAAAGAGTTTGTAGAATACCCATTGTTTGTAGTGGAAAGTGGTAGTTAGGATTATGCGACGAATAGTATTTTTTCGATGCAAAGAAAAATCCTCGAAGACCCTCTGTCAAAGATGTAGATGTGAATCTGATGGTTTAAGAAAAGATTTAGAGAAAGTGTGTGGAAAATTAAAATTATCCATTGGGTGACAACTGTTCTTATACTTTTCCTCTGGCTCTTGGAATACACACCAAGTACATACATTTCGCCAGCCAGATGGTATTTTTTCCGAGACTCCAGCTATGCCCCCGCACTTTTACAGACATCTTCCTAGCAACTGCCGGCGGTATCATCTCGACTAGTATATAAGCTTTGATTGCTCCTGACAACCGGCTTTGTCCCTTTGACGTGAAATCTTTCTTGACCGGAAAAATTTTTTGGCCAAGACCAGTTAGTAGGTTTTTCCGAGAGACTAATGTTTAATAATCCGGGGCACCGCATGAGGCACAGGAAGTTAGCTCGAATTTCGTCCTAACAGTCAGTTAAAGCGGCCAGCGGGTTGCATCCGCAATCGCTAAAATGCGGGGAGATATTGAAACCTACAGAACTAGATTTTCACAGAAACTTGGGCCGTACGGTATTTACAAGGGACTCAGTATTATGCAAATGAGGAAGCGCGGGGAAGGACCAGCGCTGAATCTTTAGGTTGCGGCTTACGGGGAAAGTTAGCGACTGCATTCGAGGGAGCAAAGCAGCGTTTTTTTCTGTCCGAAACCTTGGCTCCGATCGTCAAATCTGCCAAACAGGGCCCCAAAAAGTCCAATTCTCTTGATATTTCCAGTTTGTTTCTCATATGTTGCCAGTATCAATGTTTCCAGCCACTGCCGACGAAACGGCGATGCGGCCTCCTTCCGAAAAATTCAGAAAGCCTTCCTGATGTAGCTCACTACGTACGACGGAATGCTACTGCTCTTGTCTTCACTACGTGCCACACACACCCACATACAAGCTACTAAAAACAAATAAAACAAATACGAACTCCATTAATCATTACAAACCCGCTGCTACAAAAACCACCCCATTGGTGTCTGTAGGTCTTTAAATATCTTAAATATTTATCGTAGTGTACAAGTATTTAGTCCACTCGTGTTCACATAGGTCTTTGGCCAATCCATTCGTGCCACGTACGAACCTCCGGAGGAACAACCACATCGCTGGACTCCAAAATCTTCAACTTCTCGCCAACCTTGGCACTGAGAGCTTTGGCGAACAACAGAGCTGTTTGAGGCTCGTTGAACAATGGTAAGGCAAAATCGATGGCGTTTCTTCTCATGACGTAATCCACATCGTCCAAAGACTCGGCTCTCTTGGCGGCCAAGTTGAAAACAGCCTTGATGTCGTACCTTTGGAACAGTTCGCGCAGTTTACGCTTGTCGTTCTTTGGAAACTCGATGATGGAAACGGCGCGGTTGTCCGCGACATACGACTCCAAGTACGCCTTGGTCTCGTCGCTGGTGGTGTAAACCTTATATCCAAGAGCACTGACTAATTGGGCAACACGTCCCAAGTAGTCCTTGCTGATGTCACCGCCAAATAAAATACCGCTTGGGGGCAGAGGAACGTGGAAGTTGTTAGTGCTCTGCGTAGCAGTCCAGTAACTTTCCAAAGCGTCCTTACCAAAAGACGCCACTTCTCCGGTGGAGGCCATTTCCACACCCAAAAATGGATCGGCACCCGCCAATCTGGTGAAGGAGAACTGTGGAACCTTGGTCGCAACGTAGGGATACTCTTCGTCCATTAAGTTCACAGGCTTGGGAACGTCTTCGCCAATGAAAGCCTTAACGGCAGCATCAATGAAGTTGCGACCCAATACCTTGGAGACGAATGGGAAGGATCTAGAGGCTCTGATGTTACACTCAATGACCTTCAACGTGGTACCGGCGTTTCTGTCGTCCTTGATAATTTGCATGTTGAAAGGACCGGTGATCTTCCAAGCTTCGGCAACCTTCTGAGCAATTTCGTAAAGTCTGTCTTTGATGCCTTGGCTCAAGGATTGGGGTGGGAGGATCAATGTGGCATCGCCGGAATGAACACCTGCGTTTTCAACGTGTTCAGAAATGGCGTGCACCAAAACCTGACCGTTGTACGCGACGGCATCGACATCGATTTCCTGAGCGCCCTCAATGAACTTAGAAATGACCACTGGATGGTCAGGAGAAACGTCAGAGGCATTAGTTAGTTTGGTCTCTAGTTCATCTTCCGAATTCACGACGCTCATAGCGGCACCTGAAAGGACATAAGACGGACGAATCAAAACTGGATAGCCTACACTGCGAGAAAATTCCTTAGCCTCGCTAACAGAAGAAAGCTCACTCCATTCCGGCTGATCGACACCAATAGAGTCCAGAATGGAAGAAAATTTGTGTCTGTTTTCAGCCCTGTCAATGTCGACTGGACTAGTACCCAAGATGTTGGCACCATCGTTTAACAACTTCAAGGCGATGTTTTGAGGCAATTGACCACCAACCGAAATAATGCAGCCTTCTGAGTGCTCCAACTCGTAGATATCCATTACTCTTTCGAAAGATAGTTCTTCGAAGTAGAGTCTGTCAACTTCATCGAAGTCGGTGGACACAGTCTCTGGGTTGTAATTTATCATGACAGTCTTTTTGCCCGACTCTCTTAGAGCTCTCGCGGTGTTGACGGCACACCAATCGAACTCGACCGAGGAACCAATACGGTAGACACCAGAACCCAAAACCAGCATACCCTTGTCGTTAAACTCCACGTCACTCTTGGTAGCATTGTACGTGGTGTAAAGGTAGTTAGTGTTGGCAGGGAATTCGGCTGCCAAAGTGTCAATTTTCTTGACAAATGGGGTAATACCAAAAGACTTTCTGTATTTTCTGACCTCCAGTTCTTGGACGTTCGCCTCGGTGTTCTTGTTGATGGAGACGGCAATTTGCTTATCAGAGAATCCCATTTTCTTGGCTCTAATCAAAAGATCCTTGTCCAATGCGTCCAGAGAAGAAACAGCATCTAGCTCTTTGTACATCTCAACCATGTTCATACACTTGTGCAAGAACCAGGAGTCGACGTTAGATAGCTTGTGAACTTTCTCGACAGAGTAACCTTCGTAAATTAGTGCCTGACCGATAGCCAACCATCTTCTGTCGGTTGGATTGGCTAGAACCTCGTCCAAGTCGTCACCAAACTCATCAGAGCCCTGAAAACCCAAAAAGGATGGGTCAATCTGTCTAATAGCCTTTTGGAACGCTTCTTCAAAGTTTCTGCCAATGGCCATGACCTCACCGACAGACTTCATGGCGGAGCCAACGTTTCTGTTGACGTGTTGAAACTTGGCCAAATCCCAGCGAGGGATTTTGGCAACAATGTAGTCCAACGAAGGCTCGAAGTTGGCCACTGTGGTCTTGGTGACTGGGTTTGGAAGCTCTGGCAAAGTGTATCCTAGAGCAATTTTGGCGGCGGTGTAGGCCAATGGATAACCAGTAGCCTTGGAGGCTAGAGCTGAAGAACGAGACAAACGAGCGTTAACTTCAATGACTCTGTAGTCCAAACCATCCGGTTGTAGAGCATACTGGACGTTACATTCACCAACGACACCCAAATGTCTAATAATCTTTATGGCGGCAGTTCTCAACATGTGGTACTCTTCGTCCGATAAGGTTTGAGAGGGAGCAAAAACAATAGAGTCACCAGTGTGAACACCTAGTGGATCAAAGTTTTCCATGTTACAAACAGTGATACAGTTGTCGACTCTGTCACGGACGACCTCATATTCGACTTCTTTCCAGCCTTTCAAAGATTTCTCGACCAGGATTTGTGGGGACAACGATAGAGCCTGAGCAGAAAGTTCTTTCATTTCAGCCTCGTCGTTGGCAAAACCGGAGCCCAAACCACCAAGAGCGTAGGCGGATCTCACGATCACCGGGTAGCCAACTTTTTCAGCGGCAGTGAGAGCTTCGTCAATCGTCTCACACGCAAAGGACTCGGCTGTAGGGATGTTGATCTCCTTCAATGCCTGAGCAAAAAGATCTCTGTCCTCAGACGTCTCCAAAGTTTTGATGGGCGTCCCTAGTACCTTGATGTTGTACTTCTTTAGGATTCCCATCTTGTCGAGCGCCACACCACAGTTCAGACCAGTCTGGCCTCCGAAGGTCAGTAAAATCGCATCTGGTCTTTCACGCTCGATGATGTAGGTGATGTATTCCGGCGTCACAGGCAGGTAGTAGATTTCGTCCGCTAGCGAATGGGATGTTTGGTTGGTGGCGATATTGGGGTTGATGAGAATGGTCTTCTTGTTGGCCTCCTTTAGGGCCTTAATCGCCTGCGAACCCGAGTAATCAAACTCACCGGCCTGTCCAATGGACAAACCACCGGACCCGATGACTAGCACGGATTCCACACCTTTCACAAGCTGTGGGTTGTAGTGCTCGGTGTTGAAAGCCGACGTTGTGGGAACGACGGACTCGTAGATCGACATGGGAGAAAACTTTCCAGAAACTATCGCTTACCGTCTGTCGTCGAAAATTCGCTAGCTGTAGCTTATCTTCGCACAACTATTGTCGACTGTCGCAATCTTTTTTCAGGTAGATGAAACTTGAAATTTCTCACAACTCAATGGCTTTATATTTTATACTAACCGCTACCCGAGCCGATGCGATGAGATACATCGTTTTTTTCCCTGAGTCAGGTTTTCATCATTCATTCATTGTACCATGAAAAAAAATTTCAAAATCGTAGAGATGGATATTTGGCCTGTTTTCCAAGAATTCGGGCTCTCACGCTCTTAGAGAGTCTCCTAGCCTGTGCTATCAGTCGAAAAATACCATCGTGATTTCGCCTGTGTAAAAGTTTTCAGCCAGAAAGCGAAGGGAAAACTGAAGTGATGTCACGGTGCCGTAACGCCTCGAAACGTCGGAGGTGCAAGTTCACCTTGCTTGGCCGGTCTCGTCCACACAATGTATTGAGTCATGATAGATGATGACTCGGTCCTGTCCAGAGACGCTGAAGTCATTATCGACGTGCTTCTGTACTCGAGTAGTGGTGGTTTGACCGAGAGGTTTCCAGCATGGAGAATGGACACTGTGTGCCGGGCGGGCCGTTCAGCACACACCACGTTACTTCGATTTCGAGCCAAGATACTGGGTTTTAGAGATTGGTGAACTGGTGAACTTGTGACGTGTTGAAACCCCTGAGATTTATCATCCATCCAACTTTTGGCCCCTGATCTTCACCGTTTCTGCTTGGTACCATCTATAATACGGCGACTCGTGATCTCCTGCTGCGACGATCTCTTTTAGTGCGTCCTCTGCAGATTTGCTATATGTAGCGACAAATGCAAATTAACCGCCAATAAGGGATGTATTGATCTAGGATCAAGCCCGTGGAATCTTGAACCCGGTCATTCGTGAAGCGTAAGCAGTCAAGCCGTAACAGCATTTCGATGAATGCAGTCTTTCGATATCGCATCACAAAAGCCGTTGGTGATTCGTCTGGTTTTCATTTATTAAAAGTCCTTGCCGCCTAATGGTTTCATTGTGTACTAGTTAGTACTAATCCAAAGGCTCTGAGCTCAACCTCTTTCAGCGTTTTGAAAGGTTTTCACTTTCAATCTCAACCGTGTCCCACAAACATATGCAGCATTCACAGAAATTTACTCCGAGTGTTAACGAAAACTAAAAGATTGTGGTTGATTACTAGTTTATATCTATATAACTTGACAAATTAAAGGACGGCCTAAGTTCAATAAATATCAAAATGTTATCCAGCGCGTTTTTCAAAAAGGGAAGAAAGATCACCATTCGGTCAAACCGAAAGACTCACCCTCTGCCACAAACTGCTGAATAGCAACACCATTGTATTCTGCGGTGTTGATAACATTGTTACCCCACCAGCTTGGTGCAACTGCGTTGGTCAGACCTAGACAGCAGAAAACCATCAAGGAAGACCAAGCTAGCGAGATGTCTAGAGCCGCGGAGAGCGAATAGTTGTACTTACTCCACCAGGCGAAGAACCGCTTCTTGATGTAGTAGCCGAAAAAGATACCCACCATACAGTAAGAACCGTAGTTGTATGGTGTGGCAGGAGGGATTAGACCAGTTCCCGAGAAGAAAACAGGCCAATGAATGTACTTCACGAAGGACTTTGGCCACTTCTTCAAGATGAGCCAGTTGACCAGAGGTAGGAGGGCACCGAGGATAAAGAAATACATCAGTTTGTTGTAAAACTTACCGGGAGAGAACATTCTTTGAGGGCCGATAACACCCCAAATAATGGAGGCATTGAAGAAGACTCTTGATCCTGGACAAGTGAAGTGGGAAGCCTGTTCTGGAGTGCAAATATTCTCAATATTTCCTTGGGCCCATTTCATGACGCAAATTTGAACCAATGCACCCCACAAGGTGGCAGCCAATTGGGCTGCAAACAAAACTTTTGGAGCACACTTCATGTAGTGACCCAACTTCATGTCCTGCACGAAGTAGGTTGCTTGGTAATTGGTGATGTAACCAAATGTCTTGAAAAACATCATAGCGATGGGCTTACCTGGGGTCATGTATCCAATGATGAATTCAGTCATGACATTAAGACCGACAGAAATGTTGGTAATGGCAAGCACGATACCAATAGGCAATAGGAAGAAGAAGGCAATGATCAAGGCAATGATCAGAGTGTAAACAGGCATTTCGGTGGGCCAGGCTCTAATAGTAGCGACAGACAGAGCAAAAAACACCAAGAATACAATACCGTACCACCACTCTGGAACGTCTTCGTAGTTTCTCATCAATCTGGCATGGACGTCATCCTTTTCGGCTTTTCTGCGTCTAAGAACATTCAAAATCTGGTTTCCGTGGAATAATGCGGCATGAACGATGGTCGCAGTCATAGAAGCAAAAGATAAACCATAGGAAATTGCGAATGTGGCGGACAAATACAGAGGAGAGTATTTCTGGTATCCTTCAAGGTTGAAAGATAAATCAGCGTTGACCACCTTGGAAACATTGTATGAATTTTGGAATCTGTCGAACGAGCTGGAATCGGAGATTGGAAGAAATTTTCCATACCAGACATTCGAGTAGTGGATTGCTGGAACAATAATCCAGAAGATGCTGACCATAGACAGCAAAATTGTGAAAATAGTACCGGCAGGTGGGATCAAAGGCGAACCCACGTAACCGGCAATTTGGTTCCAATCAAATGTGAGGGGAATTAAACCTAAACCGGTACTAGCACCAAAGACCTGGTTCACAATCACATTGTTTGGCTTGATCCAAGTGACCCACGCGAAGTAAGATAGAGCTTGGAAAATGAAACCAGGGAACCAATAGTAAACGAAACCACAGGTAAAGACGATCAAGAAGAATTTGAGTCTTGACATGGACCATCCGTTAGCGATGTGGTTTTCGTTAACATGCATGTTTGTTAAGAAGGTACTTGTGACCAAGTTGGCAGGCCATATCATAGAGGCAGGAGTGACTAGGAGCTTTCTTGTGAGACCGGCCATGGCAAACCCAATACATTGGGTAGAGAAGATCGCCAACAGGTTAAAACCCCAACCAAAGTCTTTTCCATAAAAGTTGTTCATTGACAAAAGAATATCGGTTGCATAAGCATTACCACCACCAAAAGAAACGTTACCCATCACACAGATCAAAGCATGTTCTTTTAGGTTAAAGGGAGCAGGGTTTAATTGAGGACCCCATTTGCCGAACAGACGCTTGTTTGGCATCACTTTGTCCCAGGCCCTACCTAGGGGCCATGCCAAAATGGCAGTAACGTAACTGTTCAAGACAATAGAAGGGGAGTGCATCGAGAACAACATATTCAGACCACACCCAATGGTGGTCATCAACATACCGAGAACCCACATACGCAGAGTGTTTTGGCAGAGATTGGGGTCATCGGTAGAGGGAACAGCAGCACGAACCTCAGGGTAAGGCGAATCATCTTCTACTGTGATACCCGCATATTCATCATCCAGAGCTACCTGTGAAAGCTTAGCTGCAAGAGGGTCGGCAGAACTGTCAACACCGCCAAGTCCAGACTTTTGGTGTTCGAGATCGCCGCCTTCAGACGAGTTTTCTTCGGTCACAACAATAGTGTCGATACCCTTACCCTTGTTGTCCCCGGGGTGCACACGATGGTGAAGTTCAGCATCCCCGGTAGCCTGAGAATTTGTAGAATAAAGCAGGTGCTTCTCGGTGACGGGAGCGTCGTCTGTCAAAGCGGCTTTCAAAAAGTTCTTCATAGTATCCGATGTATACAACAAAGAAAGTTTGTTTACCGTTATCTCACTGTTAAAGAAAGTTAAGAACCGAATAAATGATCCATTCTTTCGTCTCGCTTCTTTTGGGTTTAAATATGAGCACTAGAGAGTAGAGACATTAGCTTCTCCAATCCAATCTTTGCCGTGTCCCTGGCGGATCACGTATTTGCATATCTATCACACACACTCTGAGATAAGCCATGTCAACTCCGTTAGGATAAAGCTTTCATCGCCGGTAAATGTGTCGTTTGCATGAACGGTATGTCAAATAACTGCAGAGAAGCGATAGGCCACAGGTAGTTCTGGAAAGCTATCTAGAGCGCATGCGTATCACAGGGCCTTTTTGGCACACGGCGAGAATCTCCGTGCTCGTAACCCATGGCATTCCGAAAGTATCGTCTTTATTGCCGATCCGGCGTACGGCAAAAAGATAAGATTGGACTTGGATATCAGATAAGATTGGACTTGGATATCAGATAACAGGGCTTGCAAGTCAGTCGGATGAAGAGACGCAGGGATCGCTGGAAGCGAAACGTATGGGTCCTTTGCCATGTGGACGTGTGGTCAGTTTGAGCAGATAGCGACTAGTGACTACAGCATGTGCCAACGAAGGCCGTTAAAAGTAACACACCGTAGAACAACAACGGATCCTATCATCCGCAGGTGTTAGTGAATACTATCTTTCAACCTTGACAGCGTCGTAAGGTGTAGAAACAAAAAGTGTCCTGGCCACCTATTGTCACTTCCCCATGTTAGTTTTAGTTTAGCCGTTCCTTCAAGAGTAATCCATTGTGTGCTCTCCAAGTGCGGCAAACAAAGAGGTGAAAAGAGGCATTGATACATCAGGGATGGTGGTAGATTGCCTGTTTTGTGGATAAGCGTTTGAATCTTAGCATTGCTTGCACAGTTACTACCGAATTGGGAAAGTGGCACTTTGAATGCAGATAAGTAAACTAGCATTTTTTTGTGTCTACATAGCGAAAATGCTGGTGTCCTGAGAAACTACTGTTGCTGATGGCCTTAACGTGCCCATCCTTTCAGAGACACGCAAATAGGAGCCTGTATTGCGACAGTATGGTAGAAAATGATGTTAAAGGATCGGAAGTAAGTCTCAGTTACGAAAAGGGGTACTGTGAACTGTAAGTATGACCTCTTTAAGGAGAATATTGGCGCTAGTGAGGCCTATTGTTAAAATAGCTATGACACTGTTAGAACTACCGAGTGGTAGTTATCTGTACTGTTTGAATAGCTTGAGCTGCATAATGGTAATCACAATTCTAGTGCCATTATAGTACAAAGTGATGATAGCCAAGTCAGTACAAGAAGAACGTACAGGACCGATAAACAAACCAATGGGGTTCAGAGAAACAGCGATTGCACAGAAATGCTCTGGTCAGCTACTTCAATTATCCAACAGTTCAAAATTTTATCTGTTATATTCAATTGTTGGATTATCCAGCCCTAACTGCTCCTAGATCATTCCCGCCAGGCTTTTGTAGGAATACATACAATGACCTAGATGTGGACCTAATTTATAGACCGAATAATGGTCAAGAGACAATCAGAAGCTGCTTTAGAAGCTTCTGATTTAGTATCAAGTACTCAGAATGTTAGACATGATATCTACCAACAAATTGAAAGAACAATTTACCACATTAACTACTGCCGACGCTGACTAGCTCCAATAAGAACAGAGCAATACCATTCAATAGGTCATAAGTTGATTATTTTTATTTACACACGCGACATCTCAAACTTCAACTTGCTTGGTTTCAACTCCAAGCAAAGATCAGGAGAACTGTTCAAAACATTAAATTACCCTGTAGAAAAAATAAGTCAGTCAGACGTTAAATACAGGCCTCTATCTTTTTCTGAGATATGAACCGTGAACCATTTGTGGAACGTTAGGATACGCTCGCCCCAATGTCTCTAGTGTCGTCCACAATGTCCAGCCTTTTTTTCAATTTCAATTTTAATAGGAAAGGATAACAGATGATACCCTATTTATTATGAGCCTGATATATGATATGCAAGTTCACTTGACCAAATTCAGTCCTAAGTGACCAGGCCATGCTATTGTCTATACATATCAAGAATATGTCCAAACTTCGAGTCTCTGAAGTAATATCACTATACACGAGAATATTTTCCACTGAATAATCAGATCATCGCGCTCCTGCTCAAGGGAGGGAACATGAATGGGATGGATATCAACTTCAAGTTAGAGCTTTTAAAAAGAAACTGATGGCGGACCCACAGCTATTGATACAAAAGGTAAGTCCCATCTATGGTAATGTAGCAACATGCGCACATAACTAACTTTTCATGAAGGCTCAAAAGAAGGCTCAACCTTCGTCGGGATTTTTCAAGCTCTTTGGGGCTTCTGACTCTTACAGATATGAAGAAGCTGCAGATCTATATGTAGAGGCTGCTAACCTTTACAAGCTACGCCGGGAGCTGGAAACAGCTGGCGATTTATTTCTGGAGGCCGCAGCATGTCAATCGAAGGCCCAAAGCGACGATGAAGCTGGAAACACATTTGTCGAGGCTTTCAAAGCTTTCAAGGCTGGGTCGTCGCCTACAAAGGCATGCAACGCTCTTAATAAGGCGATAGACATCTTCACTCGCCGGGGGCAGTTTAGAAGGGGAGCAAACTTCAAATTCGAACTTGCAGAGATTTTGGAGGCAGACCTCCGCGACTACCCTGGTGCAATTTCTGCATACGAAGTAGCAGCGGACTGGTACTCCCAAGACCAGGCACTAGCACTTGCTAACAAGGCTTACCTCAAGTGTGCCGACATTCAGGCGTTGGAAGGTCGCTACATCGAAGCATGCGATGTGTACCGCAAAGTCATTGCCAATTCCGTGGGTAACAGGCTCAGTCAATGGTCTTTAAAGGACTACTTTTTAAAAACTGCACTTTGCTACTTGGCTGCAGACGATCAAGTCGCGGCTCAAAAGACCTTGACAGAGGCTCAAGAACAGGATTCAAACTTTGCCGGTTCGCGTGAGTACGAACTAGCCAATGCTCTACTTGAGGCGTGTGCCGAGGGTGATCCTGAGAAGCTCAGTGCCAAAGTATATGAATTTGATCGCTTTTCCAAACTTGACAAGTGGAAGACTACTATTTTGCTGAAGATTAAGGACTCCATCGCCTCTGCCGAAGATGATCTGCTTTAAGATATCTGGATGCTGTACGGCTTAACGTGCTCAAAGGATATCTAGCGGCCTAAGATCGCCTTTATCAGTATAAGTTTTGGACTAAGTAATGGCAGCACGTGTGTGCCAAGGAAGATTAATTGGCATGGCACCATCGCTATTTAAGAAATTCGACAGGTACGACCGCTAGGAGGTGAACGATAGTACAGTTCAACTACCGTGTCCGTGTCTGGTGCGCTTTTTGTTTGTTAGGCTAGCACCAAAGTATAGCCCGATTGCAGTGTGTATGAATCAAAAATGCTATAGCTGATATAGACATGAGAGGCCAGTCTGCAATTGCAAGAGCCAATGGCCTTCTCCGTGGTATAAAGGAATTGCCAGAACTAGTATAGGATGCTTTGAAATGCTATAAGTCCCCATGCTGGTCAACGAGGTTGGATTCAGGCCAATTTGACCTCGGTTTAGTTAACATGAAAAAAACCAAGCTACCGTACGTTACGCTGAGTAAAGATATAAGGAGCACAAGGCATTCTTTTTTAGCAAATACCTCACGGTACCCATAAGTTTCCGCTCTCGTCGCTTGTTGGTCGGTAGGATATCCTGCGTGAGCGAGCACAATTCGATTCTTCCAACTTTGCGCGAGATCCTTGATTGCCTGCACAGCTGGCAGCGGTCGCCTTGTTCAAGAGCACGATCCTTTTGTAACTATAATCCCCGTCATTCCGAAGTCTCACGGGGCCCATGTTGCTGTAAAAGAGTCAATTGTTTAAGGGCTTTCCAGCGTATGGATGAGACACACGAAACAAAATTGACCAATTTCCGCAGTCAAGGTTTCGCTTTCTCAGAAAAAGAGCTGCCTTCTCAAATGCTTAACATGCGAGTTAGGTTGGTTTGGAGCTGTCGGCCCCTGTTTTACGTGGTAGGATTGTGATGTCGGAAACCTTGGCAACGAACACACTCTGGGTTAAAAATATGGGTGCGAATCCTAAGTGCGAAACTTGGGTGCGAAAAAAAAGTATTTGCTAACAGGGTACACTGGCCAAATGTTTCAGATGGTTATCTCTACGGGCCCTGTTCTTTAGTGAATCTTAACTAATATCCAGCTCGCCGACTTGTTTGAGCTATCGTTATGATTTTTTTCGTCCCAGTTGTTCTAAGACGTCAGCTGAAAAAAACCAAAATATTGCACCCGGAAAGATCGCTCTCAAGAATTTGGCGGTTCTTGGCCCTGCAGCCAAGTATCTAGGCCTCTTTGACGCGAGCACTGATCCACCGGCGCCTCTTTCTCTGACCAATCAAACCAAGTATCACCTAAGGAACCAAGAGCTTGGTTCATTTGATCACTGGACGAAGGAGGTGCAGTTGAGGCAATCGTAGTGATTACTGCAGTATCGTGCTGAAAGTTCGAGGTCATAAATCGAGCCCTCCCAGTCTATGCAGTAGGGTTGCCTCAACGTTGCTGAAGGGACATTCGGTCTTTTGACCGCACCTGAAAGACACCCCAAAATATAACGTTGCACCTTTTCGAGTACCAAGCCAAGCGATATTTTAGTATAAAGTGTACCGAGTTTCGGTTGGAGCCAAGCCGATAGCGAGAGCCCAGATAGTTATCCACCACAATTGAAAGAAAGTAAGGCCCTCACCTTGCGAGATCCCCTCAGTTTCATGAGATTATTATTTACGGCCATCTTCGCGCACCTGGTAGCTACCTGCGCCGCTGCAGGTCGCGGGTTCGAGTTCACGACCATTGATTATGTGGGACTGTCTTGCAAAATGGCACTTTCATCCACAGCTCTATTTTGTAAAAAAGACACCGCCAAGTCTTACGACTGCTATTGTGACAATAGTAATGCCATTGGCTCCTTCTTCTACTGTGGTCATGAGCATTTAGAATCGAATAAAGACATTGAAGGTTTAGAGGATTTTTTTCAAAGTCATTGCCCCAATACTACTGTTGAGGATATGAGAAGCGCCTACAAAAATGCTTCCAACCATATGGTAAACACTACCCAACTCAGCGACTTCAATGCTTCTAAACCCGTTGATTTTCCAGTTTACGTAAGCCCCTCACTTTATGACTTGTCGTACCGCTCTTACAGTGCCAAATACACAAATTACGATCACGGTTACAGATGGGGAGCAGCTCTTGTGGGCTATTGGGGTATCATTATTCTTGGCGGCATGATTTCGTCCTTCTCACATAGACTGGCACCCACATTAACAATTTCCATGAACAAGCAGGCTTCCCAACTCTGGCCCGTGCGGTGGTACAGAAAGTACATTTCTTTACCTGCTGCTTTTAATGGCCGTCACACTAACCGCATGTTTTTCGAGGGCTTGCTACCGACTCGTTTGGAATCTCTCATCATCTTTGGTTTCTGCACACTGTGTATTATCTTTCACTCCGTGGGTTACCAACACGTCGAAAACAATGTACTCTACGCGACCAAAATGATGGAAGTTTCACGACTAGTAGCTGACAGAGCTGCAATGCTTTGTATGTTTTTAATGACAATAACTTACCTCTTTGCGGGACGTAATCAAATTTTTATCTGGTTGACAGGCTGGAAGCAGGCTACATTTGTCACATACCACAAGTGGGCAGGACGCATGCTCTTTGCAAGTGTTTTAACCCACACCATTTCCATGTTGATAACCACATTGGCCAAAGAAGGGATGTATCAAAAAAGAGTACTCACTGGCTGGTGGCGGTACGGTGCTGTTGCAGTAGTTGCTGGCGGGATCATAATGATCCAAGCCTTCAGCTGGCTTCGTGCCAAGAATTATGAGCTCTTCTTGTACGTTCATATTGGCATGGCATTGTGTTTTCTAATCGGAGCCTGGAGGCACATCGAAGAGTTTGATTATGGTGAATGGGCCTACGCAACTGCTGCATTTTGGTGCTTCGACAGATTTATCAGGTTGGTGCGCATCTTTTCCTTTGGTGTGAAAACTGCCCGGGTCAGTATTGTCTCGAATGAAACTTTGCAGATCACGGTTCCGAGAGGTTCTTGGTGGCCATTTTTCCCAGGTGCATTCGGCTATTTGCATATTTTGAAGACCTCAGTATTTTGGCAGTCACATCCATTTACAGTGGTCAAGACCGACAATGATGAGCTTCGCTTTTATGTAAAGATCAAGAGAGGTGTCACCGAAACTTTGTACAAAGAACTTCTGAACAAACCAGAATACACCGGGGAAGTGAAAATTGCTGTAGAGGGGCCATATGGCGATAAGAAGCCTGTTAATTCATACGATCAAGTTCTGCTATACACTGGTGGTAACGGAATCCCTGGTCCATTTGCATATGCTAAAGAGCTCGGCGAAACCAGCAAGGAGGGAAATACTAAATTTGTGAAGCTTTACTGGGTCATTAGACATTGGCACTCTATGGACTGGTTCCTGGAAGAGTTGCAGCTTTTACAAAGATATGCAAATATTCAAACAGTCATATTCGTAACCAGAGCCCACGAGGGCCTGTTTGGTGATAAGCTAGCGGCGCATTTGGATTCCTCTAGTGATACACCTTCAGCTCACTCAGAGAAAGTCTCAAGGGATGGCACCACCACCTCAACAGCACATATCGAATTAGTACAAAGAGTTCTTCCTCATATCGAGTTCCGCGAAGGCAGACCCAACGTTGAGGAGCTTGTAACTAACGACATTGATGAGTGCCCAAACCAAAATGTCGCAGTTGTCACATGTGCTCATGGCCAAATGTGTGACGAGATAAGACGCACCGTTGCAGACAAAGTTGGCAAACACCAGACAAGCAGGATCGACTTGTTCGAGGAATTACAGACATGGTAACATACTCTACCGCCTGATTCGGTATGTTCTTCCGTCCAATTGTTACTACTCATTATTATAATTAACTTTATTATTGTCATTATCGTACTTATTATTATAGCTGGATAGAAAATGATACTACAATCATATATTATGCTAGACACTAGAATGAAGACCCGATGCCAAAGTCTGTTCTCTCGATAGAGCAATTTTAAACAAAACTGCAGGGTTCTTGATCCAAATGATATAATAATCATTGGTCACGCTTGTGTCGCTGAAATGACAGAGGCGATGAGAAGCCATCTTTGCTTAAGGAACTAGCTAATACGGGCCACATATGTTCCGCAACGTATTTTCACCAGTAGATTGCGGCGATATTTTACATTCCAGGAGCAGAGTTCAATGTAAAGAGAACGCTTTCCGTCCACGAATAATGACAGTTCACCTGTCCGTACCATATTACCCCGCTGTGTCACAATATATATAAATTATATACATACATATATTAAATATTACGCTAAGGGTTTTACATCTCATCCCCTAGCATCGAACCAACACTATATAAAAAACAGCGCAATCAAACTGTTGAAGCTTAATCCGGAAACTTCAACAAGCTCCCATAGTTTGAAACTTTGGAAATACCGCGGACGCGGAGACTGCTAGACGCTTTCTGTGGGTGACAGGATCAACACACTGCGTCCTGGTTGTGTGGTCAGTTCATAGTTTTAGATACATATTTTGTTCGTGTGGATTTGCACATATTATCCCTTAGTTGAGCTTTTCAGAGCTTGCAGTTTAGGCAGGGAGTTATGGGCTTGAGGTATACTTCCTATATTGACCATCCCAAGAACAAGCATGCGAAGTTTGTCACGTATGGGTGCTGTAATTGTCGAACCCATCTATCATCTTCAGCGCAAATAATGTCGAAGGACTACCGTGGAACTACTGGTGATGCGTACCTGATGAACCGCGTTGTGAATGTCTTGGAGGGCGATCGAGAGACACGATGTATGTTAACCGGCTGTTACGTGGTATGCGATATCAAGTGTCATATGTGCAAGAATTTGGTGGGTTGGAAGTATGTGGAAAGTGAACGAAAGGACCAAAGGTATAAGGAGGGCAAGTTTATTTTGGAGCTCCAGACGATTTGCAAAGTACATTAACAGAAAACCCCCCAGTGCTCGAAAAACAAACATATGTGATTGTTGAACACTTGACCGTTTTCTCATATGCGGCACATTTTTAGAATCTTCAATTTGGCACACCGTCCATCAGAAACTGCGAGAAGACAGTTATAGTTCTTGGGGGTGAATTGGATGTTATTTGCGCTTGGCCAATCTAATACTCACTGTGTTTTACAGTGCCTTGAAATAGTTTGGATGACTTGCATTTGGGCGGATTGTGTAATTGATTTCCAGGTCACTTATATGCAGGGTTTATCCCAGGTACTATACATTTGACCTTCAAGTATTCATCAAAGCTTTTTGAATCAACATAATTCTCAATGATTGGGTCCATAGTATCACCAGTTGATTATCAGTTTTAATAAATAGATACATACATACATACATACATACATACATACATACACACATACATTTTAAAGTCAAATACTTCCTAAAAAGCGTACTAATTTACACATTGGTGTACAGTAGCATATAAGAAAGATATCACAAAACTTCCAGTAACACCATCAAATTCAGGCTCGCATTTGTTTTGAGTTGCAAGATATACGGGGCCAACCTGCGCATTTATGTATGTACGTGGATAGCGATCACTATTCCTGAGATCGTTAATCACCTCGTGTGGATGACTTTACGTACTACTGAATATACCCTTCACCGCTCAGCACAGAGTTTCCTTCTGCTCGCCGAAAGCGTTGAATCATTGTCGATGGAATATATCAAAGTTGCAAAGGTATGTGGTTTCAAAATTTGCGGCCTCATTGCCATAAAGTTACTAAACTGAAAAGTATCATTTTGTTAGGTCGATGATGTTATCATGCACAAAAAAGGCACGTCCGCTTGTGGTGTTTTACATTTAACAACTCACCACCTCATTTTCACGTCAAAGCTATTTTCCCGAGAATTTTGGTTCGCATATCCCACAATCAGCGCTGTTTTCAAAAACAGAGGGAGCGCTTTAATCTCTAAATTCAAAGATCATACCGAGTGCCAGGATCCCTTATACTACGGCAAAGACATATGGCTGTTCTGGAATATCAAAATCATTGGTAAGGATTTTACAGTGTTCTCCCTGGATTTCGAAGAGGAACATGTGGCGCAGGACGTTTACGATTCTATCCTCAAACTCACGGTCCTTCATGAAGAACAACAACTTTACGCATTCATATACACTCCAAATAAGGCAGAAGCATGTCTTAATAGTTGGGATATTTATGATCCGCTAAAGGAGTTTCATCGCCAGGGGCTAGCTCTGAACAATGACTGCCCATGGAGGATATCAAGAATCAATGAAAATTTCACTTTTTGCAAAACGTATCCTCGCTTACTGGTTGTACCAAAATCTACATCTGACACCCTAATCACACACTCGACCAAATACAGGTCTCAGAATCGCATTCCTGTACTAACATATTACCACAAGAAAACTCATTCTTCGATCACAAGATGCGCACAACCGTTACCAGGGTTGATTCAACAGCGGTCCATACAGGATGAAAAGCTTGTGAACGAGATTTTCAACTGCTCATTACAATCCCATAGTCAAATTCCCGAGACGGTCAAGAATATTATAGTAGACGCTAGGCCAACGACTAACGCCATGGCTCAAACTGCCTTAGGGGGCGGGACTGAAAACATGGATAACTACAACTTTAGTGGGACGGTAAACCGAATGTTTCTAGGAATCGACAACATCCATGTCATGAGGGACTTACTTAATAATGTGGTAGATCACTATCTGGTAGATGGTGACTTAAACCTACCTTTCGATGCTCACGCGTTAAATGAGGGCAAGTCTGCGCAGTGGTTGAAATATATCAAAATGCTTCTCTCTTCAACGGAGACGTTGACAAAATCTATTTTATTCAACAGGTCTAATGTACTCATCCATTGTTCTGATGGCTGGGACAGAACTACGCAAGTCAGCTCACTGATACAGATATGTCTGGATCCCCATTTCAGAACTTTCGAGGGATTCATGATATTGATTGAAAAAGACTGGCTCTCTTTCGGCCACCGTTTTGCGGAAAGGACTGGCCACTTGAATTCAGAAGGTTCCTTTCACGATAATTCTACTAGAATGAGTATCTCAGGAGCCGCAACAAATATGACCCAAGGCATGGATTTGAACTCTTCTATCTTCGGGTTTTCGAACAGCACCTACGCCAGTACAAATGACAAACCAGATACGTCGACCGGGGAATTAGCCGATCTCCATTTTTCATCACATTTGCATTCTTCGGACTTTGTAAACAAGGTATCTAAAAGATTGGTAACCAAAAAAAAAGCCTCAAAATTCACATCTCCCGTTTTCCAACAATTCCTAGACTGCGTGTATCAACTGCATAGGCAAAACCCTACGAAGTTTGAATTCAATGAGCGCTTTTTGAGACGATTAGTATACCACCTGTATTCCTGCCAGTATGGGACATTCCTTTTCAACTCTGAAATGGAGCGTCTCTCGCACGGCGCTCAACAAAGCACGAGAAGCGTGTGGGACTATTTTAGATCGCGGAAGGGCGAGTTCACGAACCCATGTTACAAAACGTTGGACATCAGCGAAGATGATTGGATATTGCCTGATCTGAAGAACATAAAGTGGTGGTGGCAGCTATTTGGCAAGAGGGACGACGAAATGAATACTGCGTTTTCCTCATCAACAGAGCGTCCTTGCTCGGCGGAGGAGAATAAAAGAGCTGGTCTCAAATTCCCGTCATTAAACCTCGATATTTTTGGAAGGAGATGAGGGCTCAAAGCACTGCGTCATGAGGGACCTGAAGCCAGAGGATCACAACTATTGCGTATAGGCACTACAGTCCCCACTCAAAGCTAGATAGAGTAAGTAGTTTGCATTTCTTTGATAGTAACGCCAATCTGCTTGGCGCGATAGACTGTGGTGATTACTATTCACTTTGAAGCCGGGTCAACAGGACGAAGGCCTTTTAGTCAACGGCTCTTGGCTCAACAGCACAACAAAGTAATTGGATTGTGTAGAACAAAATCCTCCAGATTAACAGGGTAAAGGAGCTGATACAATAATGAGCTGACCGCTACTTTATTCACAACTTAACCACGTCCGCTTTCCATTTAACTTCACACCATTGGGCTATGACAATACTGAGATTTTCAGCGGCACTAACAGTCTCTTGATCGCAACCCACATTTAAAGCGCCTTTCAAGTGGCCCCACAATTGTAAATTCAAATCTTGGGGAACTAGCGATGCAATTACAACTAAGCTAGTCTCTTGGGCATCCAGTATTTCGTCGAACGACAACAGTGGACCGTACACGTTGCAGAGAATATATTGCCAAAGATCGGGATACGAAGAATTAAGATTGTTTACTACTTTGTTTGAAACTTTGTTGTAGATCATGTTCCAATGCGCAATGCCATGTTTGTTGCCCTGTTCAATCGATGAACCTGTCGGCCTCATTGTCCCCACCAGAAGTCTATCGCTGTTGGCATCAATGTCCTCTGTGACGGGCTTTAAACTATTTGGAGTGACCAACTTTAGCGCCTGTAAGCCATTGATTGCCTTAGGAATTCCGGCAAGAGCACTGCTCTTCAACAAGGCTTCCCTAAACTTTTGAGTCATCCTGCGCTGAGACAAAGTGGGTTGAGCATACCTATTATTGATGAGCTCCTCCACCTCGTCAAAGCCGGATTCAAAAAGCTCTATGGTCTTGTGTGCACTCTTCAAGCTGTCTCCAGGTGTTGTATCATTCAGCATTGCAAAATGATACAGTTTCTTTAGTTCTTGTGGTTCATTGCAGACGCTAAATGTTGTGGCAGCTACCAGATACCACAAGTTCTTGAGATTTGGGTGAAATGCGGCCAACTGAACCAATCTTTGGGAATTGAGAATTTGGCCAACCATTCGCAAATAGTTAGATTACTTCAGTTGACTCAGCTTCGCTGAAATGCCCCAGAGTTTATGATAAAGGTAATGGAACGATTAATATATTGCAAGATTATTAATGCTGGTAATTACTTGGACCTTATAGTCAAAAGGAGGCACCACAGGACCTTGAAGAGCAGACGTAGCTTAGAACTAAATTGCACATACAAATATGAAGCGAGCTCGTTTCCCAATTCAATGGTTCAATTCGGTTTTACGATAGTTGGGCCTCTGTTTCATTGGACCATTCGATCAGATCTCGTTGCCCGTATTTGAAAGCAACGACCACCATCACTAAGTCAAGCGCCGTAAGCGGCTCAATGAGCGTTTGGGGCCCATCCATATCTCTCGGAACATGCAAGAATTTGGTGTCATCATTGGATTGCAAACCAGTTTTCTTAAGCTTCAATGAGCGGGCCTTTTTGCCCAGATCACGTAGGACACTGACTTCGGGCGACGGCAGCTTGCCATCCAAATACACCAGAATGAACAGTGTCCACTGTGAAAGCTTCTCGACATGTTTGCCCTTGGATATATCACCTAGCCACTGATTCAAATAGCTGGCAAGGCGGAAAACCTGCTCTGGTGAAAGCGTTCGCAGCAGGGCGTTGGTAGGCTCTGTCGTGGTGATGTAGTAGTGCCAGGAATTGAAATTCGAAGGCAAGGGAGCCGGCTTGCTGATGAACCGACGTAGGTCATCCAAACTGCGCACAGTTTTTCCGCGTTTAGACTTCAGTTGCTCAGCAAGGCTACAAGCCCATTCGTCATCCATTTCAAGAGTCTCATCTTGCGTATCAATATGCAATGGCTCCAAGATGTTTAGGATATTCAGTAACTGTAGGCCACCTTCGTCCTCATTCTCCTTCAATATGTGCTGTGCTTGCAGAAAATTTTTGAAGTAAAACATTAACAGGTCCAATGTCTCCGGCGTATAATCCGGTAAACTAAATGACCCCTCATGCGCTTGACCCTCTAATTCCCGAAACCACTTCAGCCAACTTTGACAGTTTTTGTTAAAATAGGCCAAACTTTGATCCAGGAGGGGTTCGTCATCGTAAAGGCTAGTATCATGATTGCGCTTCTCGATTTTATGTGTTGTGTACGTTGGATCGGCTCCAAGAGTACAAAGAGCTTGACGTCTAACTTGATCCAAGTACTTTCTAACTTGAGGATTGACAAGATTACCTTCAAGTGCAAAAGCACGACTCTGACCAAAAAGAGGATCCAAATTCTGAGATTCGATCACACCACTTCTCACATTTCTGTAGCCTTTTGAGGCTACTTTCTTGGCCATACCCAAATGATTTTCGGACGAGTTCTTCATGTTCATATCAACGCACCAATTTAATATATACTGAGATTATATCAAATCACCATGAAACGAAGGCTCGAAAGGCAAGATGGGCCTCAAACAACTGCTAAACCTCGCAAAAATGGAGTTGTATGTAATGAGCCGCCTTGTGCCAATGACTATGTAAGCCTTGAGTTGTATTCTTCACACGTCAGCCAATTTCATGATAATGTGTGCTGTGCATGTGGGAAGAACTTCGTTTATCAACGTATCCTCGATCTACACTTGGAAGAATGCCATGATCCATTCAGAGATTCCGACAGCCAGCTCAAGTGCTGGCACGCCAAGTGCAGAGATCAATTTCCAACTCATGCACTAAGGATCGAGCATCTTCAGCGAACTCATCATTATCCTAGTAGTTATGACTTTGATATAATATACAAGGGTTACGTAACGACATGAGCATCAATACGCGGAATCATCACTCGTTTGGTTTTTTCTTTTTCATACTGGCAATAGTCCCAGAAACAAGCGGCTTGCGCTTGAGTCTGGCAGAAACATGCTCGTCAAATTCGGAGTCACACGCCGGGCATCTGTTCCCTGGTGGAATGATCGACAAAACGCACAGACACACACTGCAGACAAACCCTACAGCAACTACTTTACCCGTTAGAAAGCACGAGGTCCGAAAATCTACTGAACCCTGATTCGGCTTCACTATTATTGGCCTTAATGAGGGGTCTATGAACATTGCTGTTGTGAGATATTGGATCAAGCCCTCTGTTGAAGGGACATGCAGATAGACGCCGTTAGTTGCGTCGGTGGCTTGTTGCAAAAAGGTAGACTCTTGTGAACCGCCAATTTTGACAACATCGATAGGGCACTTGATTTTGGTGGCTGTAAAAATGCAATTCATGATAGGAATGTACTGGAACACTTCATCTTTCCCACCGCTGGAACCACAAGTTAGAACCATGAGCCGTGCCTTGAGAGTGGTGCTACTTTGTTCCTTAACGGCCCGATTAATGTAAGTGAAGCCAGCTGACATAGCTCCAGATAGTGTACTTTTTTGCGGCCTGCTAGGTTGCTTTCGAGTTCTTTCTTCTTGCATTAGCTTGTACAGTTCTTCCAGGACCGTTTCGTCAACATTTCGAAACTGTCGATACATATCGCTGCTGACAATCTTCAGGTCTGCAGCTGACTTTTTGACAGCCCCATCCTCCTGGCCATCAGATGTCGTGGTTGGATACAGATATTTGATGCCACTGGAGTGCGCTGCGATCACGCAGACCCGGTTGGCACTGTTGAAGGTCAAATGTGCATTCAAAAAAACAATCAGAGATTGCAGGGCATTAATAAGACTCTTATCGCACCCGCTTTCTTGGTCCAATTCTGCCCAAACTTTTGGTGTAGTATCGACAATGACGGTTAGAAGAGACGGTAGTTCTTCTGCTGCAGTTTTTAGTGACTTGGTATTTTGAAACGCTGGATCCGATATTGCCTCCATCAAAGATCCAGGTCGCACCAATGTTTCTTATTGCTGACAGATTGCCAATTAGCACGATTGTTCAGTAATGTTAGCGTTTCTCACTCATTTCAATTTCAGCCTTTACTCTCCACTGTAATAAATTGATAAAATATCCAGTCATCGTACACGAGTATGTCTTCCCGCTTGATAAAGCTGGCAACTTCTCCTCAGGCGCCAACGCCTTCCTTCCACTACCATCCATATTTGACGCCTTATCTCAATCCCAAGTTTGCAATACCAAGTTTGAGGCCAACCACTTTAGTTTCGAACGTCTTTACCTCATTTAGAAGTAAGCTACTCTGTCAACATTCATTTGAGTGTTGTGTGAAAAAAGTCCGCAGTGATAGTAGATCAGCCCACGTATATCAAAGCCGCATTGCTTGCCGAATAGCAAATTGAGAGGTACGTACTGGAGGCATCCCATGCCAAATCGGTGATGTAGTTCTCCTCAGCATTAGACTGATAATCACCGTATACTGGGATTGAAGTTGGCGAGTGAGTAACCGGGGCCCCTCCATCGTCTAATGTTTTCAGCAACATTTCAACATTATATAGGCTAATCTCGCCGTCCATTTTTGCCACAGCAAACTTTTTTCTGTCTGCAGATAGAACCCCACAAAAGATCGGCACCCCGTCAAGCATTGAGAGCGCTACCAGGGAGTTAGACGAGTGAGACCACACTCGCACTGATCCGTCTAGTGAAGTTGATATTATTCTATCATGGTCTATCCAAGCTGCGCTTGTAATACCCTGCGAATTCCCCATAAAACAGTTCGAGGAATTGGACGTGCCGCTGCGCCATACCCGCAGGGTTTTATCGTCTGATGCAGTCACTAGCAATTTTGTGTCCGAGTTGTAATCAAATGCGGTAAGTGTCTTTGTGTGCCCTTGCAGTTTACCAAGAGGGCGACTTTCACCTATCTCACACAGAAGCAAGCTGCCTTGAGAACCGGGAATAATGAATTTATCAAGGCCAATCCACGTTGCATCAATACCCAATGATTCTGCTACGCCTGGCTCTTTTGGCGACAGTTGTTGTAGAGCAGTACCTGTAAGTGAGTTCCAGACAACTACTACATTGTCAACGTCGCATGTAAAGAAATGTATAGAGTCCTGGTTCCACTTGATTGATGTGATACAGGACTTGTGAAGCTCAAAGACATTTTGTAACTTTCCTTCGGCCGACCACAACCGTACCTCTCCATTTTCCAATCCAACTGCAAGACTTTGTCCTGTAGGGCACCACTCGATTGTGGTTACAGATTCAGATCTTCCCTCTACAGACATTAACGGAAGTCGACATTGGCATTCAACTAGTTGAGTTAGAATCCCTGGTTCCGGTTGCGAGAATTTAGTGATAGTTACTGTTGATTCGCTGCTGCCATGAGCTATCGTCAAAGGTCCCTGTGGATTCCATCGGCTAACCAGGCTCTGCTGTAATTTAGTGGTCTCGTGCAAAGTCTTGATGAACCTAGAAGTGTCAGTGTTGGTACCTCCGTTGGGGTGTGTTTGTTCTACTGCCTCCTGGGTGTCTCTATCATCCTGCGTGGATGTCTTGGTTTCGTCAGCGAGTTCGAACTTCTGCGTTTCCTCAACCTGAGGGACGCGGCCCCTATTGATCTCTAATGCTTGGACCAGATTGAAATCCTTCGAGCTGTGTTCAACGTCAACAGGAGTTACCTCACGATCATACCGCACCATAAGCTCTGATTCTGTGTAAAGTATTCCCTTCTGTAAAAAATCGACCAATGCTCCGATCGGAATATGTTCCCCAAACTGGCGATCAAACTCTAGTACTCGTGATTCTTCTTGTAGTGCTAGAGCTGTCACTTCCTTTCCTGCCTCTTGAAGGTATCTCCAGATCATATAATTCACCTCTTCACTGGTCACACTCATGTCTTGTTATGGTTTTCCAGAGTTAAAAGAAAGTCTGCGAAGACTAAATCCAAACAACCAAGTTCTTCTGCGAGTACGTTAGCAGTTGAACAAAGAAGATATTTTAGCAAGCTAATAAGTACAGAACGCTGGAGGGACGTCCTTAGATTTGGGCTTCATATCTTTGTTACTCTCTTTTGGACAGTTAACTGTTTGAAATTAATAGTATTAGGTCACTTCGTACTATTCTGTCAGTGAAAGGATCATTTCCGATGGAAGAAATGATTCGCATCCCCAGATGTACGCTTCATGTCTCTGGACAAAGCACCAAATACTTTATATTTAGATCAAATACCACCCTGGCTTATGCTGACCATTAACTTAAGAGCTCCTCCATCAAGCCTTCCAACATGCGTGAGGACGCTTTGTCAACCCTGAACAACAACATGCCAAAGACAGTTTATTGTCGAGTATCAATTTGAAAAAGAGATTAAAAGCTTTATAACTGAGGAGGTTGGGTGGGGGGGGGGGGGGGGTGGTAACTTGTTTCGCTGTTAAGATATTGCCCAGAGAAGGTCAAAAAGGTCGATAAGGTCGCATGAAAGAGTTCCAGAAAAAGAAGACATCCTTATAGAAGGCAGCCCCAAATATAAAACACTATATTGAGAGTATTGACTATCATGGGTAAAATAATAAGCCACTTTTGTGCGCATCTACAACTATTTCCCAGACAGCTTCCCAGTCGTGTGTAGTGCTTTTTGAGATGAAGCCAATAACACCTTTTAAATCAACTTTAGATGGATGGACAGCGATCAGCTGTAGCAGGTGCATGTTCCAATTGGGGCTCCTAGACGCTGGAAAATGGTAGAATTATCTCTGAGGAAAGCGAGGACCAATTGGAAACAACTCTCATCTCCTACAAAGGCAAAAAATCGCCATTCTAATGACGGGCATTCACAATTTAAGGCTAATCCGTACAAGGATCTTAAGCAGAGCGCAAACTACTCTGAGCTTCCCACAATTGGGTCAAAGGAGCGTAACAAGGTTGGGACTTCAATGCAGAGGCGGTTGTCATTCCATGCACCAAAACAAGCGCCTTTAGATTACACCTCCGTTCCACTACCCCAAAATTTGGACATAGACCACCAATCCAAACAATACCTAGTGGTGCCTAATAATTCAAGACAGAGATCAAACTCTAGTATTGGTATGCCTAGAACAACTAATAAAACCAAGCCAATTGAAACACAAACAGATGAGGTTCCGCTGCGTCAAGCGTTGAGCGATCCAAAATTCCAGGCCAAGGACTATGTCACATCTACCTTAGGAAATGCAAGCGCTCTTCAAATCGACAATTTTACATCTGAACTAAATGACCTTGTACTTGAAGTGACCGATGAAGTTAAAGAGAATATCACCAAGTCTTATTCTCAAGTCTTGCGGGTCAATAGGGACCTGAGTAGCGCTTCTACGGAATTGAAACACCTCAGGAGTAGTGTGAAGGAATTGCAACTAGTGATGGGAGAATTTGAGGGAATGGCTGATAAGCGGTTACAATTAGAACGTCAACCTTCTCTGAGAACCCAACGTTCTGAACAACCTGCTTCCCTTTTACCTCCAGTCAAAGCAAACAAGAGACGAGATAGAACAAGTGTTTATATGCTTGAGAGAATGTGGAAAAGTGAATTATCAACCTTGTTCAAAGCAGTGGAAGGTGCACAAAAATTCATTTCTCCTGTACCTGGTAGGCATATACTTCTGGAGACGAGCGATTGGTACGAAGTGAATGCCGCCACTCTAAAGCCTCTTAAAGCGGTTCACGTATTTTTGCTGAATGACTTAATAATGGTGGCCACAAAAAATCGAGATAATCGACAACATGATTTGATTGCTTGCCACTGCCACTTGCTAAGGGAGACTGTTGTGGATCCACAGGTGGAGAACAGAATTCTGTTTACGTTTGGCAATAGGGGCCAGTTTTTAATTCAAACCAACAAGACCCGAGAGTATGATCGATTCGTAGCTACTGTTAGAGGTGCAAAGGACGATTTGAATGTCATTTCACAGGCCGAGGAGGAAAATACTCGTAAAATAAGGGACTCTTTTACTTATATGCATGCAACACAGCAGACTCCATCACGAGATCTCACTCTGAGTCCAGCAAAGGGCCATGTCCGCAATTCGAGCTTAGGGAACGCTCAATCAGGTCACATTAATGTCTCTGATGAGCCGTTTCTGCTTCAGACTCTGAGTTCATCGATGACATATCCATCGCAGGCGGGAGGTGGACGAAACAACTCAAATGCAATTTCACAATTAGAGGATCAACTGGAGAACTTTGATATGGTTTTCGCTAGACATAATTACCAAGAGGCTATTATTCTGTTAGTACAGCTGGAAAAATCTATGGAAACCCTAGAAGACGAAATAAGTCAGGAGAATCAAGCATTTACAAACCTCGTTCGGTTGAAGATTACTCACCGCAAGCAATTGATCTCAGGGCAATTGACACAATTAATTTCGTCAGAGTTTACAGACTCTTCTACTTTGACAAAATACGTCGAGAATCTCGTGTCCCTAGATTATGACCATGACGCTTTGGAGCTCTTTTTACAAAACAGGTCAAAATATATTCATGATCTCATCTTAAAGGTGGGTTCATTCCAGAATCCTGCTTTCTACTTAACTCAAATTGCTGTCATACGTTTTCAAACACTTAAAAGAGTAGTTATAAGCGTGAACGAATTATTCAAACGTGCAAAGGACAGCTTTTCTTCAACAATAGTGAGCTGGTGCAGCAGCGAAGTTGATAAGCACTTTGACCTGATCAGCAAGCAATTTCAAAATGCAGAGATGGTCCCTCCTTCTTCCATCAAGTCGTCACGGCGGCAGATCGACGAACTAAAGTCGGTTGGGCTAGATTTTGTGTATAAACTAGACGACTTCATTCGTGAAAACAGCGAAAGAATTGGCTAGTACTAAGCTGGCCTGCCAGAGCCTGGAACAGAAGTGCCTGAGGTGGAATTGAATCGAATTGAAATTATATACATTTCGTGATGTTGAGCTTCACCTAGGCAAAAAGCAGTTTTTTCTCCCCCTGCAGATTGTAAATCTAACCAACTAAGGGAGAATGTTACTGGGCCCATAATGGATTAAGGGTCGTCTGTATGCAGCCTTAACTGGACCAACTGATTTCAGTTTTGTTTCTAATTTGCTGGAGGTCTCAACACACAGCAAGAAACTATGAGCAAGAAAACAGAAGCGCTTAGACTAAAATCATTGGCACCAACTTGCTCCCTTCATCAATAACCGTTGAATACCGAGTGGTAAACGTGGAGCGAACCTTTCACGTTGTTGAAGTCAGGCAAGTAACTCCGTCACAAATGATCAAAGGAATTACAATAGTCTAATAAGCTTTCTAGAGCTTTCTAGTGTCAAACTTTTGAAGTAATGAACGATTGGCTTACGCAGATATAACCCAACAACTTTCTAGAGGTGATTTACATTTGATTGAAACTAAAAGCCAATTTCGCAGATAGCCTGAGATGGACAAACTATTACACTGGTCCGTAGCAAACTCGCAAGGCGACAAAGAGTCTATTGAAAAAGTTGGCCAACCCGATCCCAAGCTACTTCAACAGCTGTTTGGAGGTGGCCCCGACGAGCCTGCGTTAATGAAGCAAGCTGTTGTGGTCATCACGAATCCAGAAGCGGAGCTGGAGGCTAAACTGATAGCTTTTGACAATTTCGAAATGCTCATCGAAAACTTAGACAACGCAAACAACATTGAGAATATGAAGCTTTGGGAGCCGCTAATTGGAGTACTCAAGTCACCCGAATCAGAGCTTAGGGCATTTACCCTATCGGTTATTGGTACCGCCGTTCAGAACAACACTAAATCGCAAGAAAGCTTTCTAGCATACAATGACGGCTTAGCTCAGGTTATCGGAATCGCAAAAGATCCAAATGAAAAGACGGATGTTCGGACCAAAGCATTTTATGCGTTGTCAAACCTTGTTAAGCACAATAGAGACTCTTTCGAAAAAATCAGGAAATTAGGAGGTCTTGCTGTGATCGAAGCTGTGCTGCGTGATTCAAGCCTTACGGACAAGCTTAAGTTACGTGCACTGGCTCTGGTTACCGCCCTCATGACAAGCACAACCGTCGATCTCACATTTTTGCAGACACTGAGAGATTCGCAAATACTATGGAGAGCCATGACATATTTGAACGCGGACAGTAATATATATGTCATTGACAAGGTCCTCAACATTTTCTCGCATCTTATAAATGCTGGTCTGCGATTCAATGATTCAGAACTCGCACAGCTAAAATCTGGCCTACTTGAAATTGAAAGCGTCGGAGAACGTCTCAATGAAGACGATTATGAAGTAGTTAAGAGCATACTGTGAGGCTCATTGATACAGTAGACTAAACAAATATTTAATTCAGATTGTTGAAAACATTATTTTTGTTTCACCAGTTTTTTTTTGGCAACAGAAGCACTAACTTGCTTAGGATAAGTAGACAAGATCATCCGGATTTTCGGCCGTCAGTAAAGATACAACAGCTGATTCAGCTGCTCCTGGCATTAGCGCATTTCCATCCTCCCCGCTGGTCAAAAAACCATTTTGCACGTCCTCAAAGAGTTGCTGATAACTTTTGTAGACCGCAACTACTCGTTGGGCCCTTAGTCGTGTCATTTGGTCCAATTGCTCGATGGCCTTCGCTAACGCATCTCGTGAATCTTGTGCCGACCTCAAATTGATATGAGACCACTGCTGATGCCGTATAATAGGATCATATCTCTTGCGGCTAACAACGCTTATCAAGTTGGTAATCCAAGTGACGGCATCTCGTTTGGTCTCTGCGGTGAAAAATTGAACACCTAAACATATCGCTATTTTATCAGTGGTGACATCAATTTGGTTTGCTGGCATTGCCAACTCCTCCAATATTTCAGTCTGTCTGCTCTTAGCCCGGCTTCGATTGACCTTTGTTCCGTGGAGCTCTTCATCTACTTGATCTCTAAACCGTTTATTCTCTACCATCTGTAGACCCTTGAAAAGACGATCTCGACCACTCAGAATTACAATAACTTGCTGCTTAGTTTCTTTCAGTGTGTTGACCAGCCCTACCAAGCGTGAGGCTTGAGTCTTGTACTGATGAAAGAAATCCAACGCGTCAAAATAGAGCAATGACACTGTCTCGGTTACCATAGACCTGTTTTCGGGATAGAAAATTCCATGTTTGTAGTCGTACACTGAATCGCAACATCTTCGTATCTTAATCAGTGGTGTAGTCGTATGTGTGTGAATGACTGTTGTAGGTTTTATCTCTTCTCGGAAATCAATACCATCTTCTTTGAACTCTTCACAAAGAGACTCATCCATATCTAAAAAAATCTCCGCCCTTAAGGCCACCACATCCTTTATGAGCTTGTTGACGGTATTAAATCTTTTCTTGGCTGCTGAAGAAGCTAGATGTTTCGATACTTCGTGTCGGGAGTCCTCATCCGTAAAATATTTCTCATTGACGATGAATCTGCTGAACTTACCATGCAGCTTGTCATCTTTTTCATTCGGCAATGAATTGGCTTTGAGGCTATCTAGAGAGTTTACACCGCGAGGTCTAGACATTTGGAGCTCTGGTTTCCAAATTAAATTCTTTTGATCTGATTTTTCGAATAGCACAAAGTCGGAAGAGTCTTCAATGGTGTCAACTTCATTATTTTTATCAGCTGGGCTACGAATAGGACTACCTTCAATACAGCTTTCAAGATTCACCTCTCGTAAACGTTTCAAGGGTGATCCCGCAACAGAAGATTCCTTAGGTATTTCTGCAATTTGTAGTCCTGTTCCTGATGTACCGAAATCCAGAGAAGAAGAGCTGACGAACAGTTTTTTATCACAAGGTGGGCTGTTAACTTGTTCTCGAGGTCTAGGAGGGCTACTTAACACATTCTCTTCGAGCTTCCCAATATCTTGCTTTTGAGACCACTTAGCCGTAAGAGCAGCTATGCTCAAACATTTTTGAGCACTTTGTGGTGAAGAGATATGCCCATCTGTGAAATCTGTAGAAGAAGGAATGTCATCGCCTACAAGCTGATCCAAGTTAATTCCCTTGCACACAGATAGGCGTGATAATTTCGGGCTTGAGCCATGGAGGAGTTCAGTAGAATTAGCACACGATTCATCCAAATTAATGATTTTCCTCATCTTAGAGCGGGAAGCTGAGTTGGTTATGCCATTCTCCAAATGAGTGTCGTTTTGAAAGGTACACGACAGTTCCACAGATCGGTCTTTGGGATTTTTCTGACTAGACCTGGGTGTAACACAATTGGCATTATGTGATCTTGGTGAAGAAGGACATCCTAGTGTAGAGGATTGAACTACCAGCGGAGCAAGATCATCAAATTCAGATGTCAGCTCTATAACATCGTTGCTGCGCTTTCGAGACAGAGTTTCAATAATTTCAATTGATGAGTCGACCGGCACCATACTCACGTCATTTCAAGATCACTGCTCGCTGGTGGTTTATCTCTCAGCGGCCACGTCTCTCATCTGTTTATAAGAGGTATTCAAAGTATTGATCATTATATAGTAAATCATTACCAACGAGTAAGATGACTTGGGTCACTCGCCGTGTCCCATGGGCTGAAGCCTATTAACAGCATCCGATAAGCGTTTGTTGGCCGATAACGACGCAGTTCTCCCTACTCCAGACTCACGTTTCATTTGACGTTGTAGTTCTTCGCTTAGTTGTAGCCTCAGAATATTCTTTATGTCGACAAGGGAAAATTGTTGCAGACCACCGTCATTGGCACGTTCAATGACACTATATTCGCTCGCTCCACACATGGTGAAGTAATCAAACGCCGGAGCCAGGGTCACTTTTAGAGGCGTATTGCTAACATTCCTACAAGCTTGCTGCAAAATATTAATATTCCTCTGCATCTTTCTGATACCATTGTGGTTAAGCGCCACAATGCCACGAGACCCAACAGTTAGCACTACATTGAGAAAATTTGCAAGGCCCCCAAAAATAAGCTCCTTTTGATTAGGTTCAATAGTTTCTCGCAGACGGCTTTCAAACATCGCAAGCTCCCTAGTGAAAGCAGATATATTTTGGTCCATTTCAAAACTTGCCACTTCGGGACACCATGGAGACTCTTGCAAAAACTTGGTTAGGTAAAAAATGGATCTTGCCCTTACATCATAGCGGAGAGATGCCCACAACCTGTTTTCCATGGTTTCAAACTTGCTTATATTATTTTGGAAAACTTGGGCGCTTTCTTTATTGAGAACAAGCTTTAACCCACTTATGTTAGGGATACTCTCAATGTCTGAAATCTCAAATAAAGACCACTCCCACCTTAAAAAATTCGAGCCCAAAGAACTTCCCAACACATCGTTTTCCGCATACTCAGATACGTTCGCTAGCCCCATCAGCCACACCTTCACATCCTTCACTGTGTTCAAAAATAAAGCTATCGTTTCTAATGTTAATGGGTTGAACAAATCCTGTTTCTTCAGATTTCTGTCACGCTGATAAAAATTTGGACACGCCTTCAGGAGTTGATCGATCTCATCCCTTAAGCAATCTGCATCGCCTTCATATATCCTTCTTGTAAAATCCCTCAGTTTGGTATCCTCTGTCCATATACTATTGATTTTCTTGTCCAACCTCTTATTTACCGAGGTTCCTAAAAGTTCCGTCTGAACTTGTAGACAATATGAATGAAACCTGTCGAGCAATTTCAGTACAATTTTCACAACTTTCGGCTTGTAGGCATAAGACGTGTTGAATAAACACATAACCATGTGAACTAAATTTTTGAAATTGATAGCCGCCGTGAAAACTGGTCGATACCCTAGCTGTTGCTCTACTGCGTAAGGATTTATCGATTCCACACTTGCCTTGAACTGGTAGGTCAATGTTAGGTCTAGCTGAGGAAGAAATTCGTTATCCATAAATTTGGTGAAAAATGTGAAAGGGCTTATTGAAGCTGTAGAACCTTCAGAAGAAACGACGCCCTCGCTTCCTTTAATGAAGAGATACAGTGACTCGAGGATGAAGGTAAAGTTGAAAATTCTAGGCGGTACCAAGGTTTCTTCTTGCTCGAAAACTTCCTCTTCAAGATATATCGACTTCAGCTCTAAATTGGAAGAAGCCGAAAATCCCGGAAACATGTCCTTTAGTAGATCTTTAAGGTCCTTAGTATGATCCCTGGTGGATGATCCGTTATCTAGATTATGCTGTAGAGAATAAGTTAGGGGCTTTTTAACTTCGCTTAAATTATTGTTGGAATAGCGTGAATTAGAAAGTTTAGTCCTAGGAAGGTCGCGTAACTTAGAGTCATTCGTGTAACTTTTAATAAGGTGCTCAACTTCGCTTAGAAGTTTCTTCCATATTTCATCGAATTGATACTCCTCTCCAACAACAGAAGATGGCTGCAAAGCTTTGGAGATTTCATATATTGCCCGGTGGGCTTGTAACGCAAACAGAAGTTTTGAAAATATCTCCCAAAATACGTTCCTCAAGAGCAGTGGAAGAATCTCAAAGCCAGGAAAACCAAAGTCATTTTCATTTTCTAACGATACAGTGAATTTTATCAAAGAAGGATGTTTTGTTCGCATTGCATCCGTTGCCTGAGTAATAACGTTATGAATTTCCTCTTTGGCGCGACTAGCAATACTTAGAAGAGCAAGATGAAGATCGCCTAAGTCATTCAGTATGTTTAATAGATCGAAAAGTCTCTCGAATATTGCTTCCCGAGCATAGTTCTGAATCATCGGTTCATTTACTGCCGAAGATGTCATAATTTTCAGTTTTTCCAAAAAGTTGTCCAGCTCCACGTTCGAAGTAATGGATTTTTCGTCTATTTCAAGATCAACAGTATTAGTCAAGTAGCTCTCCACATTACTATAGTTTCCATCCGAATTTTGGGGAATCTTCACTTCATACCTAGGACTCACAGCAGATCTTTTGGAGTAAATCAGGTCGTTGATGTCTTCAATCAGTGTCTCGAAGAGAGTGTGCTTTTGTGATTCCAAGATTTGTTTTGTGGTTTGAAGTGCAGGAATTTGCCAAAGCCCATATGTATGCGCCAGGGAAAAGCCGCGTGTTAAGGCTTCTTTGGCCTGAAAATAGGTTTTCTGCCTCAAAAAATCTTCGGCAGTATCAGGGATACCCAGCAAAAAGTCCACCGCTTCGAGAATAGCAACCATTTTATTGATTCCCTGCGAATTCTCGTTTAGCTCTTCTAGGTACGTCGAGGATCCTAGGAGATCGGCACCAGAGCCTGCAATATTGTGTTTTATATCCTGAATATTTTCCTGAGACTCATTGATGAGCTCCACAGTTTGCTCATAGGATGCGATGTTGGTATTAAATGCCTGATAGTGCTCGTTCACCGCATATTGAAGGTTATTAGCCAGCCGTATGCTCAAATTTTGGAATTCTTTATGTCTGTATCCGAGGCCAACCGATGTGTCATCCAAAAATGCCAATGCGAGTTCCAATGGGTTGGCATCCGCAGTAATAACCTTATTCCATTCGGAAGATATTAGATTCAAGTCATTTTGAAGATCGTTCAGCGCGCTGTTCATGGCGGCCTTTTCTGATTGACTAGCATTGTTTACCGACAGTGCTCTCTTTCGTTGAGAGGGAATGGAAAGGTGGCTCATTGGCCTGCTACAATTTGGCCTATGCGGGTTCACGTTTTCAATACCGGTTACACTTTCACTTAAGGAATCTACTTAGCTTATGTGTTCGAATAGGTGCTTCGTCAAAAAAGATCTCCTAATGATTCCCTTTGAAATACTTGGTCTCGCCGCGTGTGTGTTGAAGTGTATATAGGTCTACAAATCCCGATATCGTTTTTGGTTTGGGCCTGAAGTTCCCCGGAAGTTTCTACATATTTCCTATTATGAAGTTTCCTCTAAAATTCTCTAGCACTTGCATTTATATATTAGTCCGCTCAAGCATGTACTCGTGCCTCTCGTGAACATGGTTTCGTATCACCGAAAGAAGTATCGCAAAGGTTATCATTGCAACGCCGTTACACTCTAGTTACTATAGAAAACCAATGTGCAAGGTTTAAGATGGTGGCGACACTGTTTATATTTGGTTTTGGTAAAAACCAATTTTGTGACAAGCATTTAACTTGGGAATATAGAAGACTTGCGGCCAATGATGAGCTTAGGTGGTAATTGATTGTGAGTGCTGTTACTTGTAAATATTGATTACACCAGAGCGATCAGCGGAAATGACAATGTGATTGGCTTTGACTTTCACAATGGCAATAGAACTAACAGTGGCATTATGCAAATTAGATTCGCTTTTAGTTTGTTCTGTTCTGGAGGAAGTCCTCTGCTTGATTAGTACTGTAGTACTGGCTGTCAATTGAATGGGCTTAAATTTTGTGTCCTTGACAGCATTTCCAGTTGCCAGTTGGGTACCAGTTTTCTCTTTGGGATTAAAACACATGATGCTGTTACCTTCTAGTGCTGAGACCAAAACGTTCTGACCTTGAACAACCATTGAGCCAATTGGACTGCAGGCAAATTGTTCAAATGAAGTTTTTAATTTGTCACACTTAATGGTGTTTGCAATGTAATCTCCAATTGGCGGAATCATATCGGTTTGCAACACAATCTGTTTACATTGACGTCTTGAATAATCCCACAGTGTGAAATAGGTCGACGCTGAGCCCCCGACCACCAGCACGCATCTCTCTTCCCGCTTGCCAAGGGGCGAATACGGAACGATGCTAGTGATAGGTAAGCCATCCGAAAAAGTCCAGCTTTGTATCAAATTCCCAAATCTCGAATCCCAAACATCAATCACACCTCTAGAAGAGCCCATAATAATCGAAGCCTTATCCGGACCTACAGCAAAACAAAGAACAGCCCCATGGAGGGGATCATTTTCGACTCTTCTGACAATAGACATGAAACGAGGATCCACGATCAAAACTGCCGAGGTGTTAGTTAACACAACAATGAGAGGATCATCATCAGAGGGAATCAGGGAAAGTTGAATGGGATACTCTGTGGACCGTAATTTCAACTTTCTGATGACTTGCAAGCTCGTGAAAATTCTGACCCCTTTCATTTCTTCGGTGTTCACTTTGACAACAAGAACAGTACCGCCTCTACTGGCTACCGCGAATAAATCAAAGCCTTGTATAGGTTTTATGTCAACAACAGAAGATCCTGTATCTAAGATCAACGAGGGCCCATGTGTTTCTCCCGCTAAGACTTTAGGTATATTCCAGAGCTTAACATAGCCTTCCTCTGAGCCACTAAGGACGTAAGAATCGTGTGGGCTTGCGGCTAGTACATTTATTGTTGACGATTTCCCCTCAGTGACTTGAAACAAAAATTGAAGTCGTGAATAAGCCGCGGTCGTTGCTTTGGGCGTAACATTGCTCCTCACACTGGAGAAGTGGCTGAATTCGGGAAAACTTCTGAATGACGGCTTTACATCCAAGCTCCGAAGGAAGCAATGTATGTTTTTATCATGTCCTTCGTAACTGTTCTTTACAGTGTAAACCGAAGGAGACATAGAGCTTTCTTTGGTTGTTGACTCTCTTATAATTTGGGGCTTGAATTTTGAGCCTTCCAACTGGACGTAAACATTATCCAAATTTGACGTCAATGTCGCAGAAGCTTTTGCGTTCATTTGAATGGATTTTGTGAGATCGACTGAGCTGTTGAGAGCAAGTTTGTGAAAGTTACTTCTGTAAGATTGTTGTGGATTTCCCTTGTTTTTCACAATCATATGGGAGCTTTCCTTTAGCTGAGCTCCGTTATTAAGAAATAAAATATCAAAGAAGACGTTTCTTGGTGATCTGCTGTATGACAGAGATCCTTTTTTTTTTGGCGACAAAGCTTCATGAAGTGGATTGTTTGAAATGATAGCATCCGGCTTGCGAGCAATCATTTTTGCAACGCGAAACACATAAGATCTCATTGACGTGATTTTCCAAATATCATTGTTCTTTAGCCCAACCGCTTTTATCTTCTCCAACCAGCCTTTATCCTCATTTGTAACCATAATCTCACGATTGTCTGCTAGTATGATCGAGGCTTCAGATAGCTTATAACCGCTCGCAAGGCCGTAATTCTTGGCCGTGAAATCTTTATTGATGAAAACTGCACTAGTGTTACCAAATGAATCCTTTTGTTTGCTTGGGATCTGCTTCCAAAAGAGACTACTACTTGATCGAAGAGACCAAGTGCAAATCAGGTTATAAACCGTTCTCGTTAAGGGCTTTTTGCAACTGGATATCATAGACTCTAAAGTTAGCTGGACGTCAAACTCGAAATAAGGTTTGATAATTGGATAAAGTAGGCAGTAAACTTCAGCCCGTGAGAGCTTATCGGAGATCTCAACTAGCTGAGATAGAGCAAATCTTCTAATCCAAACGTTAGGATGAAGCAATAGAGCTGAAACAATGTTAGAAATGTCGAAGAAAAACTTTTTATGCACAAGTCCAATTGAGCAAAGAGTTTTCAGGCTCTTGAGTACCATCACTACGACTAGCTCTTCAGAATCTGTGATGGTTTGAATAAGTAAAGGCAGGATGTACTGTTCTAAGGTTATTGGACCTAGAAGAATGGCAATACCTGTGATCGATTTCATTAGGCTAATCCTTAGTGAAGCGTTCTTATCATTCAGATAGGTGATTAAATGGCTGAGAACCACATCATTGGCCTTCTCCCTACCAAAAAGAGTACAAAGTGGAAGGATGTTGGATAGTAATGCAATCTTCACACTAGCTTGATTGTCTGTTAACAACGCGACGGTGATTTCCTCAAAGTTATGAATTAGTTTACGTTTCTGCTTGCGTATAACATCCATATACTCATTGTTTGAGTATTCATCTTTGTTAATAGAGAAAGAATATTCATGGAACCTGTTAGCTGATTCAGCTATTTCGCCCAATTCCTCTGCTAGAGCCATTCTGACATACTCATTGTGTTTAGTTACCTGCGTAAGCTTTTTGAGCCGCGGTAATAAGTAGTCAGTGAACAAGGACTCATTGATTCGATTAATCTTAGTCGTTAGTGTTAGAAGCTGAGATAGGGCGTGGACCGAAAGTGCTTGAACGCCAGGGCAATCGTCGAAAAACATCCAAACAATAAAGGGAATTATCCGATCAAGTTTATTGTTATCTGAAACGTATTGAGAAAATGCAAGGACAAGTTCTATGCATCGTAACTTAACAATGTTAGACTTTATAGCCCTTAAAGCAGGCAAGAGGATGGACAATAATAGTAGAGAAGATTGATCCGCAACAGAAGGATTTTTTGTGCTGTAGGGCTGGAGCTCAATTTTACCCACATTAGGCAGGCTTAATTGTAGGTGATGCTTCTCCCCCATTTTCTGGGCAGGCTCAGCTACTTTTTTCAGCGGATAGCCCAAAGATGAGCAAATCTTAGGAAAGTCTCTGTAAATCCTCTCCACTTGTTCGTCTATCTTGAAGGATAGATCGCATAGTTGCACGCTACTGAAAATCTTGTCTGTCATCGGCGTCGGTTCGTCCGTGGAAGATAGCACCCTAAAGTAGTCGTAGTAGAAGGTATAGAAATGTTCGGGAAAAAAGTTTCCCCGAAACTTTTGTAAGGTATCTTTGACACTGATTCTTTCAGCAGGATTTCGTTTTATCAGGCCCATTATTAAATCTTTGATATCTCCATCATCCAGATGGTTGTCCAGAAACTCCCGTGGGTCATATTCTCCATTCTGATATCTGAACAATTGAGAAAGATTGAAAATACAATATCCCTCTGTGAAAATTTCGGCAATACAACAACCGGCACTGAAAAGATCCATTTCGCATGTTAGCTCGTGTTTCTGTTCATCTTTATACTTGACTGAGTCAAACCTCTCTGGGGCGATGTAGCAGCTTCGTCTTTGCGAAGTGTCAAAATAAAAAGCATACTCGCCCGGATTGTCTTCAGGTAGATATGTAGGTTTCAGGTGGTTTGAAAAATCTGCTAGTACAAGCCAGTTCCAGCTGGTTAGCAACAAATTTTCCAATTTTAGGTCACCGTGGCATATCCCATGAGAGTGAATGTCATCTAGGGCTCGCAGAAACTGGAATACAATAAACTTGAGCTCAATGGGTTCTAAAAAGGGTCTTGTACTCAGTCGATCATAGGCACTAGATTTCAAATGTTGTCTAATCAGATAACCAGCTCTGTCAGATTCAACAATCTTGCTATAATTCAAAGTGTTTGGTAGCTGTGCCAAAACCAGAGCTTCTCGTTGCAACTTCTTTTGAATTGTTGCTAACTCGTAATCATCGCTGGGCTTTAGGAATACTTTGATCACTATTTCGCCATTAGGGTCTACAGCCTTGCATGTTTTCAAAAATCGCGATGAGTTGAGCTGCGAAAGATAGTGAACTTCATCCAACACATCGATATATGATGAGATTGCAATGGAAGGGGCTGTATGGGCAGCAAGGGACAATTGCACCCCCATTGGAAGCAGCGTTTCTATCAATTTCACTTTAAGGTTTATTCTTTATACAAATTGGTAGTAAAACGATTCATTGAAGGTCCGTTACGTTCATCGTTACTTTATGTCATTTAAAAGTTTCATGACACCATTATCGTACATGCCGTGATAAGATTGGGCCTTATATTTATATATAATAAATAGATCAACTCACGCTTAGTTTTCTCTACCTATTACTAGCTACCAGATTATAGGTAGTTGCATTAAGTTCCACTTATACTTGAAGTCTGTCTCAGGGGCTAAACCTAAACTGTTCTTGAAACACCATCTGAAAACGATTACTGACATTATCCTGTCATCTTGAGCTTTCCTATCTTGGTCCTACAGCACAGGCCATACAAAACAACCATGGAAGACCAGGCAAACTATGACTGCAGTATATGAGAAATAAAGCCCTATGTTATTATTTGATTTTTTTTTATTTTTACGTTTGCTCGAATGATATTCTACAATCCGTCAAGTAGATACTTGCTCTTTGAAGGCTTGCACTTCCTCGTAAATAGCACACCTCAACTTGTGCATTGACGTGAGTTGAATTTCATAAGAGTAGTCAAATGGTCCTCTCGGGCAGCCAGGTTCGTCATCGGGATTCCTGACATCTTCGAGAAAAGGATGTTCTACGATTTCATCAACTTTCAATCGCCTGTCCGGATCCCAGGTAAGTAAGCAATCGAGCAAATGTTGAGCATCCGGGCCAAGATCAGGATATATTAAGGGCCACGGGCGCCTTTTGACCTCTATTCCAGAGGCAAAGATATCATAGCACCTAGCTGAACAGTATTTAGCAATCGTGTCTGGATTTGGCGTTCCTAAAACTTTCTGTATTTCAGAAACCTGATGCAATGAGTCTTGTCCCATAAAGAGGGGCTTTCTTCCGTAGAGTTCTGCTAAAATACAGCCGACTGCCCAGATATCGATGGATTTTGAGTATGGCTTATGGGAGAGAATCAGTTCGGGGGCTCGATACCACCGAGTAGCCACGTAATTTGTAATGTGGATATCCCCTCGTTTAGAGTTTGAAAAATGAGGTGAGATTCCCCGGGCCAAGCCAAAGTCGCATATTTTTAGCTGTCCGCTTATTGAGCATAAAACATTGCCCGGTTTCAAATCTCTATGAATAACATCTGCGCTATGAATATATTTTAGCCCACACACAATTTGGTACAGAAAGTGCTTAATGTGGAATTCAGAGAATTGAACCGTCGAATGAATCACCCGAGCCAGGTCATAATCCACTAGCTCCTGATAGCAATAAAGTCCATCAAAAGGCTTCTCTGTCACAATCTCCAAATCGAGAAGACTGACAATATTCTTATGGCCCTTAAAGAAATTCAAGAACTTCAACTCCCTAATGGCTCTTTTCATCAATATTTCTCTGTGAAAAATATTGGTGACTTTTTTGATCGCCAAGGGACAGGGTTTACCTACCTCCCTCTTGTCAATTGCGGATACTACCACACCATAGGAGCCCTTTCCTAAAATCTGGACGACCTCATAGTTTCCTGGGGTCGAAAAGCTAGCTTTTTGGTATATATTTCTGATCGCAGCTGCTGCGGTTGGATTTGCAGCAAGGGAATTATCAATGTTGTCGATGCTGTTTAAGGGCCTTCCAGGTTTGTTAAGCAAAGAGTCGCGCGAGATAGTATTTGTTTGATTCAATATCTTTTGATTTGACTGGAGAGCAATAAAGGAAGCCATTTTCGAAGACTAGGAATGTAGGGCTTTAACTCCAAGTGCTCATTGAGACCGGGATTCTTTACTAGACTTGTGTTTGTTTCCCATGGCCTTTTATTACACTGACGCTGACGCTACACGGGCTTCTTCATATCATGCTTGACGTCCGTAGGTTCAACAAAGCTAGAGTCTTCTCTACGCCCTCAGCTTACTCGTATGGCTTAGTGGACATTCAACAAGATCATTTTGAGCTTAACGATATATTTAGGCGCACGAGAATTGACTGGTCTAGATAATCTACCGTAGTCTAATAACAGAGCATCAAAACTGCGATTTTTGTTAAACGGCATGGCTAGCATACTTCTGGGCAGAATTGGTATGTAAGCATCAATCATCTGCTGAAATAATCCTGACGATAAATATTTCGCTTTTGTTATAATATTCGTAAAAGGGTGCGCGATCGGTTGAGATATATGAGTAGAGTTAACCTTGAACAATATCATGCTTCTTTTGCTACCAATCAAATCTGGTTGAACTCATGCTCAATCTTTTCCAGTGGGCTGGTTTCATGAAAGCCGCAATGAGTTGACAATAACTGCAGGTTGCGGCTGGCAATTTGACTGACTTCTGGGTTGTACAGGCCACAAAATTCCAAAGCATCCTTAGGGGGTATCGTTTTCCTACCATCTTTCAAAACATACTTTGTAATCGAAATTGATGCCAGCTGCAAGCCACCGTTGATTAAGAAGCGGCTTAGTACATATATCCACTTTTCGTCCCAACATAAAATGCAGCTACGTATCTCGTATGGTTGGAAAGGCTTAATCTCCTTTAAAAAGTTTGTAAACACATTGGCCACCGGAACATAAGGATACTGCTTAGAGTTGAGAAATAGTTTTTGAAATACCTTTGTCATCAAGTCAGTTCTTGCGATGTCGAGTTCTTCGAAATATGTACTATTGCTCTTGTGCATGTAGAAGTCGCACTCAAACGGCGAAGCGTACGTCTTAAGACTAGTATACGAGAAGCAACCATTGTCATCTTTCTGTAAACTCTCTATGTTCTTAGTATGTGTGCCTTTAAACTGAGGAATGATGAGATTGCGGAAGACAGGGATGTAGAATCGCACAAAATAGGCGCCAGGAAGACTTTTATATGTGGAAAGAAGAATAAGGATGAGCAGGTACTTTGCAGCAAGTAATTTCAGCCCCATTTCGATTGGCCTTCCTGATTTGCTAGTGCGTGGTAGTTACCTACTTTTTCTGAAGCACATATATAGATAATAATAATACCTTAATATAATTTATGTAAATAAATTTAAGAACCTCGAGCGAGGATGATGAAAGCGTCGGCGCAATCAAAAACCTCACTGATCTGCAAACATAAGTTTATGTCTAATTTGGATAGGAGGAGACATACTGATGACCACGCCTCCTGAGTGCAATGACTTCATGGAACCTGATTGCTACGGAATGAATCTGTTCTAGTCAATAAGAGAAGTTTGAAGTTAAACATGCTTTACTTTACTAATGCGATTATTTTCTTCATAAGGGACGAAGTTTTGTCATATTTTGCTACCTCACAACCTAATGAAAGCCTGACCTTTATACCGACGCCTACCCAAGCAGAAGGTTAACCATTCATAGTTAGGTGGTATCTTGGTTGAATGTTTCGTACTTCGGAGCGGGTCTGAGTCATTAGTGTGCATCTCGCTAAACTGTATCTCCAAATCTTTTTTTTTTAGAAATCATAAACCATCTTGATAGGCGAAGAAATATGGAAGTTTAAAGTGACTTTTTATATCTTTTATTGACATTGCAAACTAGTGATACCGTTCATCAAAGCAGTCGAAAGTTCAAAATTTTTATACAGGTATTTGAAAAGGATAATCTGAGCGCTGTTTGAGCTAAGCAAGTGAAATGCCCCACCCAGCAGGGCAGCTGCGACGTGATTTAATAACTTAAATGGCCGACGTGACTTTGCTGTGCGATCGCTCAACCTCTGAGTTCGTTGTCGGTTATTCACCTCCTTAAGCCTTATTTTACTGACTTCTCCGTCATCGCTCCATTTTGTACTGACACCTTACTGAAGTTTACTGTTCAACAGCTGGACGCTATTCAACAGGTACTAAACGAGAATCGCTTTGTAGCCCTGACACAAGAGAATATGGTGTGGTTAAAATTGCAAACTTTAAGTGTCACAGTATTCCAATATTTACTTACAGGGAAAGATATGAAAATATTCTTGGTAAAACCTACAAATCAACTCTAATGTTGTCGCGAATATCACAGATATAGCTATTATAAATCGCAAAACAAGAGCACAACTCTAATTTTCCCAGTCTCTCTGAAATGCGAAAAATTTACCTCCAACCATTTTAACAGCCGTCTATTCGTTGGCATTTTTTTGGTGACGCTCTCTGGCGCCTGGTCACCTTTCTCAATGTGATTCCTCAACAAACACACTGTTGCATAAGATGAATTATGCAAAAATCTCTACGGAATTTGGCATAATGGACCCAATCTCCTACCTGGGAGCTCGTGTCTACTTATTGTTATGGCCTCTGTAAGAAACTCAAAGAGAAGTGTTCTTACAATAAGAGAGGCTCGTATCATGTGCTTAATGAAATCGTTATTTATCTATCCCAAAGCATATAAGGACTTATCCTATAGATGAAGAGACTATTCGCTACTTGAGCGCCCCAGATTGCAGGAAGTGTATCGTATGACGACTTCTCCTGTGCTCGAAGGTGACACCCAAAATCAATTGAAGTCCTTCTCAGAGGCGATTTTGCGGCACAAAAGTGGCAACTATCCTTCGTTGAGGGCCTCAAACGATGGCCACTTTTTCCCCTCTACCAATGGTGCAACGTCCAACAGGGGTAATAAACTCTTACAAAAGTCGGATGGTGTTAGTCGCACAACGCTCAGAAACTTAGCTGACAGTAAGGAAGAGCAAGTTTTTTACAATGGGTCCTTCCATAAATTACTGGCAAGGAAACGACATCACGAAGACAGTGATGACGAGGACTCCACCGTCAATCTTCATAACTTAGTTGATTTACGACAAGTGTTAGCCCCAGTCTCATCTTTAAAGGATATAGCTGTGCATCCGGCAGTCTCCAAGACATACAAGAACGAGGTTTTGGGTGAGCTGGCGCTGCAGACGGTGTTAATGATTGAAAAGGAACAAAAAAACGTTGTCGCACTGTCGAAGCTGTTGGAAGCCTTTTTGGGAGACTACCCTGGGGCATTATTGGAGCAAAATTTAAGGCTGAAAGAGTACAATCACAATTTGAAGTTAGGGGAAGATGCAGAAGATCATAGTTCCACCCAACCACCGCTTGACATAAAACCCGATGGATATCCCCAGGATGATGAAGATCCTTTCTTTGCACTACCGCAATTTGATCCATACTCTTTCCTACCGTCAGTCGTTTCGCAAAATCTTGGTCAGAGCACCGAAGAAGTGGAGGCTGGTCGACAGCTAACCCAAATTGCTCTACAGCGAAATCAAGAATTTATCAGAAATTTACAGAAAATAAGAAACTGCATCGTGAAGGCTCAGCGCATAAAGGAACGTATACATCTATGGGGTCGCGAGTATGCGGGCATTCAAGAAGAAGATGTGACCGTCCCCACTGCATTGCACGCTGTTAAGCGGGGCTTGATTAGTGCCACGACAAATAGAACTGTGACCGAAGAGAATATAGAGCCAGAAGTGGAAGATGAGGAAGTGTAACGAAATTGGCATGGTATTTAAAATTCAAAAGTTTACAATAAAATTGTTCTCACCAATCATGAGACTGGTGGTCGAGTACTTTTACGAAATTTGAATCTTCACAAGTATCCTTTTGACCTCGGAATAAGGGAACAATGCAGTTCTTCGTGACTTCGTCGAATAGCTCGTCAATTAATCCTTTCAGTTCCGACCCTGTTTGCTTGAAATCTGGATAAGCGTTGACCTCCAACACTTTGACATTCAAGCGAGAATCAACCAAAAAGTCCAATCCATAGGTCTCGAATGCATTTGGCAAGGGTTGGAAATTCATTCTGTTAATCGTCACAGCGGCCAGGAAAAGTTCTCTTGTGATATCATGAATTTGACACTTGATTTTCAATTTTTCCGCTGGTGCGAGCCCTTCGAGCATGTCAAGTTCTTTAACGGCGTTGTCTTTGACATAACCTCCTTTTTGTATGCATGTATTTGTCAAGTGACAGGCGAGATCCTGAGAGTCGATAGCATTGAAGTTTTCTGCAGGTTTCTTGAATGGCTCTGGCGCGAATAACGCCAGCATTCGATCGTAGACGTACACTTCCAAGTCACCCATACACGTGACATAACAGCGAATGTGGAACTTACGAGAATTGACCGAAGGCAGTAGCAGCGGGTTTGGCATGTATTCCTGAACAATAAAGTGGCGCAGCTGGGATGTCACTATACTATTCTCGTTCACATCCTCCTCATTTTCTGGTGGCTCTTCGTCAAAGGAGTCAAAGATGGCTTGCAAATCTTGGATGGTCCTAAAAACTCTTATACCTTGCGCTTTGTCGCTCATGCTCGGTTTCAGAATCCACCACCTGTTCTCCAACTCTAGCTCTTGCCGTAGCTCCCAGTTCTCGTCCAAGGCGTCGTCCAAAAATTCTGCGTAATCCACATCGATGGTGAAAGTTTCCAAAAAGGCCTTTGCCAAAGGAGACTCCGGGTTTTTGACGACGTAGGAGTGTATGGTATGAGCAAGGAAGTGTTTGCGGATGAGAGCCTTGCGATAAACATAGGTATTTGCAAAGTATGTGTTGTCAGACACCAATTTATCAATATCGATATGCTCGTAGTCACCATAGTGTAAAACCTTCAAGTTATCGGCCGTCTTTGGGTGAGAATGAACTATCTGTACGTTAGGCAGGCGGCTTTTGATGGCTGCAGTCAAAGGGTCGTAGATGTACTCCCGGGCCGGGACTGTGAGTAACAGGTATCCATGCACTTCACTCGTAATTCTTTCAAAACCCACTTCTGGGGCTGCAAGTGCACCGCTGTCGCGATTCTTAAGTGTCAACTCTCCAAGTAGCCCCTGGACCTGGTGGAAAACGGCACGAAGGGGGGTGACGCTTATGTGGCCTGCCTCTATCGTACGGCCGTCATTACAGTCATCCTCGGGGCTTTTGAAGATTTCTTCGCGCTGTTTCGCAAAATTCGGCTGCCATTTGAAGGTGATGCCCTTGTTTTCCGCACTCACATCCGCGAATTGCTGGCTAGCCGCAACGCTACTGTCGGCAGCTTCGGCGTCAAAACCGGGGCTGTAAACCGAACACCATTGGTTTTCCAAAACGTGTGTGTAGATGGCCTTTGTTTCCGGGGAAAGCGAATCTAACAGTGGCACATTGACATTGTACAGCTGTGTATCCGGATGCCAGTTCTCCAACAAGTGTTCGATGACGCGGCAGCTCTGTTCTGATGCCCTGCTCATAATGCCATCATCAACGTATTTGAGACCATCGAAATACGCCCACGACAGCGCAACAGAGCGCATCCCAGTGGAAATGACAGCTTCCATCGCCGCCCCGATAGTGCCGCTGGACGTCATATACGCGGCTGAAGAATTGCGGCCCACATTGGGGCCCGAGACGACCAGATCAAACTGGTGAGTGGTCAAATGGTGGAGCCCGATGTCTGTAGCGGTGGCAGGTGTTCCGTCCACCAGGCAGAACTCAACCGCGTCAGAAGTGATATTCTTGTTCGATACGCAAGGAAGACGCGCGCCATGCATGGAACGTTGGGGCTGCAGATACGGGCCCAACAGAACGTCGTCGGACGCGTCCCGGCCCATGTACGCAAATCGGACGTGAGCGTCCTGGCCAACAAAGATGGCTTTCCCAATCCACGACCGCTGCTGGTCGGGCACGCACACGGTGAGGTGCCAGTCGGGTCTGGTTTTCAGGATGTGCTGGATAAAATGGCGAATGTACGGCGAAGACCTGGCATCTGGCGGACCGTCATCGTTGGTGAGCTGGACATATGCTGTTAGAACAAACTGAGAGTGGGGTGGGTTTCACAGAGCACCGGGCGCGGCCAGGCCCCGACGTTGTTGTGAGTTGTGCTGTGTCTTCCCCTTAATGAAAACGAGGACGTCTCAAATGACCCGTCCTGGAACAGGAAGAGGGCGAACGAGGCACCTGAGGCCGTTGAGACATACGAAGATGTGCATTGCGGTGGAAGGAGCGGGAAGTAACCACTGTAAGCCCGCGATGTGTTGCTTGCTTGCTTGGACGGAAAAGGTATGTTGAAATTGGACCTTTGATTTTCGTCCTGGGCCTCCATCATCACCGGCACGACGATCATCTGCTCGCATCCTCGTCACCTGGTGAAAAATTTTGGCCGGCCAAAGTAACAAATAACCAATGTACATTGGCCAGGGCATCGATCCACACTTACGTGCACTTACGTGGCAGCACCCAGCGAGGAAACCCGGGTCCCAGCGTGTGCATGTTTACGTGAACCATGTCGATGTTTATGAACCCATATGCTTCGCAAGAAGTCAACGAACAAAGACTGGAGATGGCGCAGGTCCAGTTTGACGCGATGTCCATCTCCTTCAACACCATGCTCCGCGGGTGCATGCAGAAGTGCATACCGCACGAGTACGGCGAGGCAGACCTGAACAAGGGCGAGATGAGCTGCGTCGACAGGTGTGTGGCCAAGATACACATGGCGAACCGGCTGGTGGGCGGCCTGGCCCAAGCCCGCAATGTGGGTCCCGACCACCTGCGACACTACGACCAGTTCAAGCGGTAGCCCCGGCCGCGACTGTCCCACGACAGCGCACCTGGCGGCGCCACGTGACGAGTACCCCGAGCGCCTCCTCCGCGAGTACTCTTTCCCTCTCCCGTTTTCGGTGACCGCTCTCGTGGTTACCCGGTCGCTGGTTTTGCGCACTTTTCCCCGTGGCTGTCTTTCCAGGCGGCCTTAGATATTTTTTCTCTATGTAGGACCATACAAAAGCTCAACACATAGTAAAGTTGGAACCCCCCTCCCATATAAGGAACTACTCACTACTATAGTGTATCGCCCATAGAAAAACCCTACACAGTACAAAGTTACAAAGTTTAGGTGATTTAATTTTTTTCTAGTATGTTACAGAACACACACACACACACAGACAAAAAGGCGCGCTATGAGCAGTTTCTCGAGCCGACACACGCTGTAAAGACCAGGACCCAACGCCACCGGTGCTCGTCGAGCTGGGAGGGGTACCAGAAAAAAAGGAGCTAGCGCAAAAAGCGGGCCTCCCGAAAATGCGGGCGGTCACGAGACATCCACGTGACCGGGGCGAGGGGGCGTTACCCTCCCGACGCGACCGCAGTCCCGCAGTCCCGCTGGACCACGTGCGGACCACGTGGCATGCGCGGGGCCGGGCCCGGGGCCCGAGGCCCGAGGCCCGGGTTCGAGGCTCGCGGGCGGCGGATACTGCGCCCGTCCTTAATTTTTTTTCGCGACGCGCTCCTGCTCTCACACGACAACAAAACAACAAATAAATAGCCACGCTCGCTACGTTGTGGTTTGGCCTCTTTTCCTCTCCTGCCAAGCACCGCCTTTGTCAAGCAAGACACCGTTGTACTAACAAGTTCTCACCTTTGCTTGAGCAGGTCTCACTTATATCCAGCGCCCGCAATGTCAGCCCCCAGAGAAACCAGAAAGAAGACCACTAGAAGAAAGAAGGACCCAAACGCCCCTAAGAGAGCCCTTTCCGCGTACATGTTCTTTGCCAACGAAAACAGAGACATTGTGCGCGCGGAGAACCCGGGCGTGACGTTTGGCCAAGTCGGCCGCATTCTGGGCGAAAAATGGAAGGCCCTGACGGACGACGAAAAGGTCCCTTACGAATCCAAGGCCGAGGCCGACAAGAAGAGATACGAGTCCGAGAAGGAACTGTACAATGCCACCAAGGCCTAGCGGGCTCGGCTTGACGTCGCGCCCAGCAGACCCTCGAGAAGTCTGGTTGTACTATTTTCCCCCCAACTAACAAAAAACCCGTCTCCCCAAAATTAAAAAAAAAAACACAGAAAGAATGAAAAATTCCTGACGACTCTTCTTTATTGTATACTTCCCCCCGGCTTCCCCCTCCCACGATTCGTCGTTTTTCTCGTCTGGGACCGACTCTTATGGCTATGGTTTCTTGGGCCGCCTAAACCCGCAGGCCCCGGTTTGTAAGATTACTAAAAAGATGGTAGATTTGGCACCCACCAGTCGGTGGGCTTTTAGTCCCTGTAGTACGCATCTACATATACATATATTTGCACATACGTGTGTGTACGTTTGCCCATACAATAGCTACCACTTCTTACCGGTCTGCGCTGAGGCTCCCGTGGCCATCGGCCACTCGAAGCGAGGTCTTGGACCACGTGATCCGGAAGTGTTTCCGTATGAGGCGAGCAACGCGTGAACTGGTTTCATTTTTTTTTATATTATTTTTTCCCCTCCACTTGACGCGTCGCGGACGCGACATCCTATAAGAGTCGTTCGTTCCCAGAAATTGGAAGTGGTTCCTTTGACACTTGCACCATTCTTCAACGCAAGGTTAACCTGAACAAAAGCCCCCACTGGACTAGTACTTAGCCCGCAGTAGCGCCCATCTTTGCTGAAAGTTTGATATCAGCACCACCAATCCCCGCAATCTCCAAAAATGCTAGAAGGTAAGTTCGAAGAAGCCAGCTTGTTCAAAAAAATCATCGACTCCTTTAAAGACTGTGTCCAGTTGGTCAACTTCAACTGTAACGAACACGGAATCGCGGCCCAGGCCGTGGACGACTCGCGTGTGCTTCTGGTGTCGCTGTCCATTGGCACAGAGTCGTTCCAGGAATTCAGATGCGACAGAGGCGTCACTCTGGGCGTGGACTTGTCGTCACTTTCCAAGATCCTGCGGTGCGGGAACAACAACGACAACCTGACTTTGATTGCCGATGACACCCCAGACTCCGTTCTGCTGCTGTTTGAAGACACCAAGAAGGATCGCATCAGCGAGTACTCGCTGAAGCTTATGGATATCGACGCTGATTTCTTGGACATCGAGGGCATGCAGTACGACACAACCATCACCATGCCGTCGGCCGAATTTGCCAAGGTCGTTCGCGATCTGAACCAATTGAGCGATTCCCTCAACATCTTGGTCACCAAGGACACCGTCAAATTTGTCGCAGAAGGCGACATCGGTTCCGGATCCGTTATTGTCAAGCCTCACACCGATATGGACAAGCCTCTCGAGAGCGTAAAAGTCGAGCTCGACAAGCCTGTGGACCTCACGTTCGGCTCTAAGTATCTGCTGGACATCATCAAAGGTGCTGGTCTCGCCGAACAGATCACCATAAAGCTTTCGGCGGAGACGCCTGCTTTGTTTGAATTTGGCCTGCAGAGCGGGTACTTGCAGTTCTTTCTAGCTCCGAAATTCAACGAAGAAGAGTGAAGAGGCCGAAAAACCCGCTTTATGCTCTCCTAAGAGCTCCTCCAATTGTACATTAAGTTTTACACACCTCTACTTTACATAGATAAGGATCTATTCGCATTTTCCATCCTTTTTCACCCCAGCCCCAAAGCTGTTTCCGGCTGCAACAGAAACGTCGAGCGCGTGCAGCTCTTCTCTGTGAGGGGTAAGATCAACTTAAAAGCGTCGCCTTGGTTCAAATAATACCGGAACATCCTTTTCAACCTAATAAATCCGAACCCTTCGTAAAGGCTCAATGCCGTGGTATTTTCCACCTCCGTCTCCAGCATAACCTCGTCACACCCTAACGTCTGCATCTTCTCGATGGCAATAGCCACCAACTCTTTGGCAATTCCGCGCCTACGGAATTGCTGTGCAACGGCCAACATACCGATATATCCTCGCAGTCTTGCACCTCGATGTTCCTCGTATTTGCACACTACGCATCCAACCGGGTCTCTTTCATTCTCCTCAAAAGCCAAATAGCATAACTGCGGCCACTGGTTCAGGAAATATCGATACACGTACACGGAATATGGCTCACTCAGATCGGCGTCTATGAGCCGTTGTACATGTTTCAGTTCTTCCACGCTTGAAGAATCAAGTAGTCTATAGGAAAGACTCATGCGGAAAACTTGCAACCTAAATGATACACTGATAAAATCCAGTTCAAATACCTCCACCGGGTCGTTACTATTGGTACATCAAGAACTGTATATTGGTAATTGAAATGACCTTTAACGTGAATGTAACTCGATGTTCAAAGCGGGTAACCTTTTTTCAAGAATTAGTGTCAAAGTTCCCTGCTCATTAAGGCATGTAATCAAGCATTCATTAGTTAGCTCATCTGATAGCTAATTCAAGACAAAAAGTTCAAAAGTCCACCCTCATCTCTGGCGTTTTCCACTTCCCAGGCGAAGGCGAAACGAACCCAAACGTTTACGTTTCATCAGGGTCTCAGGTAGGCTCTACCTATACTATTCAGGGTCTTTTGAAAGTATAGCATCGGCATCATGACAGACCACGCTGCAACTGTTTATAATGCTATTACAGGTGGTTGTTTAGAAACTAACTTGCGACTTTTTGTGACGGTAGAAGACTTCAAAAGGTTTGTGGCACAGCAGCTTGCTATTCCCTTAGAACACATCTTCATATTGTTGCCGTATGGGGCGAAGCTGAAAAAGACCACTTTTCTCAATTGCGTGCGAGAAGGTACCAAGTGCGAATTCTACGTTTTTGATCGAAGGCTATTCTCCTTCGCTCAAGATTTAGACGCAGCAGAGTTAACCCATCAGTCGGAAGAAATTCGAGAACTCCTCACTAGGGTAACGCAAGGTGGCCCTGGTGGGCAGGTCACGCTCATAAAGCCGGTTACTTCACCTCTTCTAGAGATCAATAACATTTCGGCAAGCTTCAATTACCGGAAGGCTGTCACCATGCTCACCACCAACATGGGCTGGCTCAGCGCCCTCGAAATCGACGCACATTATTTTCACTCGATAATTCACAAAACCCTGCGCGAAATCCAGATAATATTCCAATGTTTTACGATATGTTCTCAATACTTGAAACTATACTGCTATGACATCGAAAAGCTTTACAACTCTAATTTAGAGTTTCTCAATCAACTTACCAATGAAAGCAATGCACATCAATGGCAGACTGTGTATGACACTGTGCTCAGCAGGCTGAGTACTGTGAATAACGAGAAGGAGACCAACTTGAGCCAGTTCCTGCGAAAAGAGGATCTCGAACATGATTATGACAACCTAATGAACGTTAACAAGTCAGTTACTGCCAAACTGCGGCTGGTGAAAGATGAAATCAACGATAACTATCAGAAAAGGCAAAATCTTTCTAAAAAGGTACAAGAGTTAAAAAGTCTATTTGATCAGTCGCCAACTAAGTATGACATGGAAAACAACATGATCCAAAAGTTCAAAGAAATGACATCTGAACTCAAGAAGGCTACACACGAGACGCTAGCATTAACTTCAGATGAGTTCACGGAAGACATGTTATTGCAACTCTCTCAAAAAATTTCCCACGACAAGAACTCAACAATTTCTAACCTTTTCACCATAGCACAATCCCTTTTTTCACAGGCCGAGCAATCCTTAGAGAAAAAGAGGGAGCTACAGGAACAGATCGTAAATCTTCTGGGCCAGACGGCAATAGTACAAGTGCAGATCCTGGAAGTGAAGAAAGTGCTGCTTAAAGATTGCAACCAACAGTTAGAGAGTCTACAGGCGTCTGAACTTAAATTATCTCAGGTAGAAGATCTGCCTCTTCTCTACGGCCTGTACCTGATCGAGAAACTGAGGAGAAAAAATTGGTTTTTGCAAGTGACAAGGCTGGACAACAAATTAACCGAAGAGTTCAAAATGGTAAGAGATGCTGAGGAGATCCACAGGGAAAAATGGAGTAGCAGCTTCAATCAAATAGCAACGTGGTTAGAAATTCCGAACGATGATATGAAGGAAATACAAAAATACCAAACATTCGATTCCAAAAAACTTCCAGAATCTGAGCATCTCAACATAACCAGCGAGAAAATCAATCTGTACTTGTCCAAACTTTCTTCACAAAAATTTGGTTCTGATGTAGTTTCTTTGCTTCAAAAAAATTTGGAATCTGCTAAATCCATGAAAGTTACGCTAAGGTCTTCCTCGGGCTCCGCACGAACTCCCAATTTTGATTCCGACGTTGTTAAGGGCTATCAACAAAGAATTAAAAAACTGGAATCTCTACTTCATGACGCAAAATATTCAAACATCAACTCTTGGCCCTCTGGCATTTTGAAACAAACAAAGTGGACAGCTTTTGAGAATAATGTTCCTCCTGTTAATGTGCGAATGTCAACCTTTTTTGATGAAAAAAGAGAGTTTATTGAGTCGTCACATGTAGATTCGCTTGGGATTGGTACCGCTGATTTTGTCAAGCTACAAAAAGAACTAGAAGACCGCGAGGCCGAGCTTAAATCAGCCCAAGACGAATGCAAAAGGCTGCGATCACAGGCCTTCGACTTTGAAGATGAGCAAAATGCGTATCGTGAGACCTTGTCCGCTTTAAATAATGAGCTTTCGAAGCTCACCTCCGAAAATGAAGGACGTTGCCACAAACAAGAATCAGATTTTGCAGAATTGAAGGCCCATCTTGCTACTGTAACAAATATCAATTCTTCTTTGGTAAATGAGAACGACGATTGGAAAGGGAAGTTCAGCACCGAAAAACTCACAAAGGAGGAATTACTCTCTAATATAACTAGGCTCGAGAGTAATTTTGAAGGCGAGAGGATCCAGTTTCTAAGAGACATAAGTGAATTGCAAAAAGAAGTCTCCGCATTGAAACTTTCCAACGAAGAGCTGGTAACGAAAAATGAAACAATGGTAACTGACAATAGGAAGTCAATGGAAAACTCAAATTCGCACGATCTTCTTAAGGTAAGTTGGGACATGATGTCAAAACTTTTTGACGTTTTCAGAAGCGATATATTCATTCTGGAGAATATAGGTCTTCTTCTAACAAGTGATGAACACAAGCAGTTTCAGATCACTCGAGTAAAAGGGCTTCGCAAAGGAATGGCACAAAGTGATATTTTGGAAAGTGCAGTTGAATTAAAAAGTCCGACCAGCATAAAAAGTACTGTTTTCCAAGAAGTAAAGTCGATTTTTGAAGCGTCTCACACTTTTGATGATCCCAGCGCATTAATAAACCTCCTTGCTACCATAGGGAAGCTTTCCGGAAGTAACCTTTATCAAACGTCGGTTATAAAAAGATTTAAAGATATCGAGGCGCTCGCTAAGAAGTTGACCAAAGAAAACAAGCTTAAGCGAGGGGTGCTCGACTCCTATCAAAGAGAAAAAATCACCATCAAGAACTTCCAAATCGGAGACATGGCACTCTTTTTGCCCACAAGAGATGTCCCTGAATCGATCTCTTCTTCAGTATCTTCGCTGGCTTCTTCGTTCTCCTCCGTTGACCTCTCGACTCCGCCGCCCCCAGGGTTTTCTATCTCCCATCAAGGAGATAAGGACTATGGTCAGGGGAAAGGCAAACGAGATTTGAATGGAGCATACAAAGTCACTCCTTGGGCCGCTTTTACTGCCTTTGATGAATCTACTAGATATTTTTTGAAGGACAATCAAAAATTCACAGTTGATAGGGACTGGTTTGTGGGAAAGATCACTTCTGTTGAGAAAAAAATTGCCAGCGACTCAGCTTCAAATCCATTCAAACTACCGAAGGGCACAGTTTGGGTCCAGGTTACAGCCGACTTTGTGACGGGAAAGAATGTATAAACAATGCAGTTGCGAGGTAAATAAGACTAAGGGTACACAGAATTACAAATTCAATTTTGATCCTCCATTGCACATAATTGGTGATCGTATTGGGCAACAAGAATTCTGTTAGCTGGTCCTTGTTGAATACTTGAGTTCATGAACTACTTAGTAAAACTTTTAAATTGTAAGATGAATATATCAAACATTAATTGGCAAATGCAACTCGGATTACTAAAGGAGGCTCACCATGTCTCTTGCAAATACCTCCCCACGCGTTCCATATTTTTAAGATAAATTTCGGCCTCCTCTTCCTCAAGGCCGCCCCACTTCTTCATTATTTCGAGAATTGTAATCCTCACCTGAACTGGCATTTTGCCAGAGGACCCACATAAATAAATTATAGCATTCTTCTTCATAATTAATTCAGCCAAAACGTCCCCTTTCTGCCACATCAAATCTTGAACGTACTTAGCATCTGGGGAATTCAGAGGGTCTCGAGAGAAACATGAGTAAAGGTTTATTTTTCTGGATTCATCCCAATTCTCTAATTCATGCCTGTACAAAAAGTCTCTGCTTTTCATTCGATTACCAAAGAATAATGTGACATTCTTGAACAGTTCGGACTTCAACAAACACATCATTGGTGCGATGCCAACACCAGGCGCGATTAAAATAATTGGAGAAGCTCGCATGTACGGTTTGATTACCTTATTTGACTGCAGCTTATATCTGATAACATCGGCGGGCTGAAGAGTTTGCAAGTAGTCAGTACAAAGCCCTCGTCTCATCTGTCTCAAAATCGTCTTATATTTGACAATGGCCACGGTGAGTTGAATCTCCTTGCTAGATGGTTTGCTGGAAATTGAAAACAACCGTGGTTTTATCAAAGGAAGATAACTCAACATATACTCCCAAGGTAATTTCAGCGAGGGGAAATCTCGAAGCACTTCTAATAACGACCGACGAGGCCTATTGCAATAATCATGCAAATCGTCCATGTCTTCCTCAACAGCAAATTGACGAAGTTTTTCACGCTGTTGCTCAAGCTGCTCATCGCCACCTTCCAATTTATCCTTCTGGGTAGCAAACATCCAAGTCTTCATGAAAAAGATCTTTCTTGGGCAACTGGTTAGCTCGCAGTGATACTTCAAGATATTGCGAAGAGTTAGGGGCGATATCAGACCACCGTCATACTGGCTCAAGAACCCTTCCACCTTTAGGGGCCTATCGGCGAAGGGTATCCAGTGGGGTTGCGTGTCTAAAAACGCTGCGACATCGGAATCTCTGTTATGTGGATATAAGGCTACTGTATCGCCCGCTTCGTATGACTCTCCATTGCATTCAAAAGAAAATTGTCGCACATCCTGGAAATGATCAGTGTGGGTTATTCTCTTGTTTCCTATGACCTTTGCGTGTTTTACTAAGGGATCGCCTTCGAAAGTGGGGGAAATATTTACCGTCACCTCTTCATCAAAGTTAAGACTGACCTCGGGTTCCATGAACACGTCGTCAGGAACCATTTTTCTTTCGACAACAACGCCTTCTATCCTGCGATTGGGAAATTTGCTTAGTAAAGATTTGATGGCACGCTTTTCAAATTCGAAATATACAGCCTCAATCCCTGTTCCAGTTCCTCCGTTACTTCCGGTCATGCCCAATTCGTCAGCTTCTAATCTTGGGAAAGTTTCTTGAGCGCCTAGCTGATCTACAATGCGCTTGTGCAGCTTTCGAATGGCAAAATTAAAGTGAGGATACGAGGAGTCTCCTAGACCCAACATGGAGACCTGTATATGGCTAAGAAAATCACTAGGAAGACTTTTTTTCTTCAAAAAACTCCATAACGTATCTTTGGATTCACCCGTTGTTTTCTCACTTACGTTTCTGGGCATCTCGCCTTGTCCCGTGGTAGAGCAGATGATGAAAAGATGTTTACATTGCAACAGATCTCGAGCGGCGTAGTCCCCTAAAGATGCAAGTGTATGAGCAAAGTGGAATCTGTGAAGCTGGTAGGAAAAGACATGAGCAAACTCATGAGCATTGCCAGTTTCCGAACCATACAAGACCACAATTTTTTTGGATCCCATCTGAGAAGCTAAAGTATAGGGTATTGTAGTGGTAGAAACACCTAGCCGGTTATCTCCATTAGATCGTGGTTCATTCAAAATTTCCTGGGTGTAAAGCACAGAAATCTTTATTATCAAGCCAATTCGACAGCTAGTTAACTGGGCATTCTGTACGTGTAGTTGTCTTAAGAGCCGGGACCGGCTCTTTATCATATGCTAACGAAAGACCGTCACATCAGCATCTTCTCAAAGATTGTAGTACCCAGCTGGGTAATGAAGGTCAGCGCAATGTAACTCCATACTTATTGACAAGTTCCTCACGAACATTTTCTTGAATTTGATTTATTTCATCGTTCGTCAAGTTCCGATCCATGGACTGGTAATTAATTCTGTAGCAAAGGGACTTCTTGTTGGTCTTAGGATGTGTGAATTTGTCTACCAGTTTGACACTTTCGACAAGGTCGCCGGCTTTTTCACGAACTATTTCCATGAGATCATTTTCGTGGATCGCTTTTTGACGCTGATCTTGCGGCAACCAGAAGGCGACATCTCTAATGGTACCTGGATATTTTGAATAAGGCTTGAATTTTGTGATCTGTCCCTCGTGAAACTGAGAATGAAATCTGTCGTCCATTGTCCAAAATAAACGGATATCTGGAACTTCGAAGAGAAGCATGGCAATTCTATCCAATCCCAAGCCAAAAGCCCAGCCGATTTGGTTGTCGGGCTTGTACCCGGCATTAAGGAGCACTTGTTCACGGACGAGACCGCACCCACATAGTTCTAGCCATTCGCCTTGCCAGAAAACTTCAATTTCCCAGGAAGGGGCAGTCCATGGAAAGTAAGCTTTGATCCAACGAACCTGCAGTTGGGTGTTAGACCCTGCTGCCCTCATGGATGCTAACTTTTTGTTGAATACTTGAGCTACTAATAGTTCAATGCTGCGCTTCAAATGTTGAGAACACAAGCTGACTTCGAGATCGCTCATATAGTCCTGTTTGGGGTTCTGTTCAAGTGAAATATCATCGTGTACTACCAAGTTGGTGTTTTCCTGATGTAATTGTTCTTCTAGTGTCTGTAAATCGAAGCGCAGCTGCTGAATATGTAGAGGCTCGGTTCCCTGTGGCACTGGCTCTTGCGATCTCTTCCAAACACGGGCACCTTCCATCTGATGGAAGACGGGGTAATGTGTTCTGTCGATTTCATCTCTTCTATACACATCAGCAGAAATTAAAAAACCAGGTTTATCGGTAGGCGCCCTTGGGGATTCGCGGGTAGTGAATCCTTTGATGTTCCCAAAGCATTCCATTTCGTGAGCAGAAGTGTGTGTACGAAATAAGTGCTTGTCATTGACGTAGTAAGTATCACTTTTAGATCTGCCCGGATGATCTGAGGGGAAGCCCAAAGAATCAAAATTCTCCTCAACGGTTACCACAGGGCGGAAATTGTTGTACACACAGTATGAATCGGAAGTTGAGTTCAGCTTATCTTCTATCTGCTTTCTTAGAATTCCTATTGGGTGGGCAGCCTTCAAGTGCAAGGCACGATCGCTCAGACTCAAAACTGTACCCGAAATATTTGTGAATTCAGGGTGTGTATCATAATGGGTACCATTAATTTTCAACTGCGATTTACCTTGAGAGTAGCATCTCAGCAAAAGTTTGTGGCACGCTACAAGCGTCTTGGAGCGGTTCATGGATGTCTTAGCTGCGTTTGTTGGTGGATGAGTACCGAGCACCAGTTCCAAATTCATCATCTGATCTCGAAAATTGTTTTCCCAACGACAGATTACTACAATAGTGATGATGTCGACAAAACTAAGACAAACTGAGAGGAAGGATCACTACCATACAATAGTCAGGATATATAAAGATTTCTCACTATAGTAGTCTCTTGAGGGTGCACTCGTTTCCGCTCAATACCTGTTACTTTGAGTCTGTAGTTTATATGTTACTCATTTATGGCAGGCGGGCAATAGAGCACAGGATATCAAAAATGACTTCTCTGAGCTGTATCAGATAGCGATAACATGTCAAATTTCTTGTGAAGATGCATTTTCTCAAGTAAAAGATGGTCAAGAAGGTCAAACAAGTTTCGTTGTTCGTGTAGCGTGATGTATAATAAATTTAGTAGTAGGTTCAAAAATTTAGCGATGCTGTAAAAGAAGCACATAAGGACCTCCCATAGTTCTCGAGCAACCAGCACTTAGGATAATGTTCGGCTGCTCTGTTAAATCCACGGGGTCAAATTTCAAGTCTTTCCAAGTGCTGAAACGTTTCACACACGAGTATGCACCTCGTTTCAAGCACATAAGTAAGAAGCAAAAAGGTAGAGTACCTGTGCGTGTTGGTGGTTCAACAAAAGGGTCCACACTCCAGTTTGGAAGATTTGGGCTACGGTTAAAAACTGAGGGGGTAAGGTTATCGGCTCAACAGCTAAAAGAAGCTGATAATGCCGTCATGAGGTATGTGAGGCCGTTGACCAATGGTCAGCTGTGGAAAAGACTGTGTACAAACATTGCTGTTTGCATCAAAGGTAATGAAACTCGTATGGGTAAAGGTAAGGGCGGATTCGATCACTGGATGGTTCGTGTTCCTACCGGCAAGATTATCTTTGAAATGGATGGTGACGACCTTCACGAAAAAGTAGCTCGCGAGGCCTTCAGGAAGGCCGGTTCAAAGCTTCCTGGCGTTTATGAGTTTGTCTCCAAGGAATCACTGGTGAGAGTTGGACTCAAGAGTTTCAAGGACCCCGAACATGATCCAAAAATCGACTACATGGAGAAGCTACGCAAGAATCCTACAAAGGAGTTTTTAAACTCAGAAAGGGCTAAGCTGCCTCAATATCGCATGTTCAGAGGTCGTTAAGTAGCACCTTTACGCTTGTAAATAGTTTATCTGGCCTCCTGCAGAGCCATCTTATTTGCCAATTCGATACACAACGTTAAGTACTCTGCGGATTTAGATTCAGGGCACAATGATGTTTGCTTAATATCAACTCTCCAGTTCGCACATTACCCTCGCAATAAAGCCTTCCAAATGGTAGATAGGCTTGTTGCCCAAACATAATCTTTCATCAAAAATGCTAGCCCAATATATCACACCCTTTTTGTGTTCGTCTTTTGGCACACCTTGCACTAATGCAAATGCCAATTCTTGTATAATTACTTTTGCCGGAATGCAATGGGCCAGTAAGTCGTAAAGAATTGAACGACATTCGACTATGGACGACACCGTTCGGTCCTTTATCACACGGTTTGCCATCTTTAAAATCACCACAACCCAATCGGGTCTGATCAGTGGCGAAGTGATTTTGAGAGCCATTTCATTATTAAGGGCCATCGACTCTAAAGTAAGAATGGCTTTTCTTAAATTGCCACCGCAATTCTCAGAAATGGCATGCAAAATAGAATCATTTTCAACAGACACGCGCTCGTTCTTTGCCACTTTTGAAAGAATTTCAACAGTTTCTTGAGCGCTGGGGGCCGGAGTTCTTACTAAAAGGCACCTAGATTTTATGGGAGCAATTATGTTTGACATAGATTCACACAGTAAAATAAATCTGATGTTCCTTGAATATTTCTCCATGGTCCTTCTCAATGCTGCTTGTGCGTCTCTCGTGAGTGAATCTGCTTCATTTATAATAACACATTTGTATCGATGCGCCAATCCACCAGTCTCGGCAGCTGGCCCAGTCTGAAAATCGACTTGTTCCATCTGAGCAACTTCTTTTAATAACTCTTGAATGACGATCCTGTCGTTGTTTCCCATGTCACTTGGTGTTAACTCTAAATGGGACGGGCTCGAAACAACGTTTAATTCCAACTTTCGGTTGGAGGGCGTAGTAAACTGCCTGACATCAATCTTCAGCTTGTACACATTACTTCCAAAGATGGAGTTTAACAATGACATGCATCGCGTCTTTTTTCCCGCTCCATTGGGCCCATAGAATAGTAAGTGAGGCAAATCTCTTGGTTCAACTGCAAGAGATTGCAATAGGTGAGTCAATCTTTCATTATGCGAGAGTGTCTCTAGTGATTTTGGACGATACTTATCCACCCACAGAGACATATTGAAGAGTAATTGGGAGCTTGACTATTCATTTCGCGACTGTTGTCTTTCTGATCTTATGTTGGATTTAATAAATGACTATAGGCTCACTATAAACGTATCGAGGAATTAATACGCTTATCGCACAAAACATGTCTGCGCCAGTCTTCACCTCTATTCCTAGTACATAAAAGTATCAAGCTATGTGTTAAAAGCTATATGCATCGGATTATACTTATACCTACTATAAAATGAACCCTTCTTCGGGAATTTTTCAATAGCAGATGCTTGTAGTTCGCCGGGCCCCCGTCTGAATAGAAATCATGGTAACCCAGCCACCCAGGCGTCCAATATCCAGCCTTCCTGAATTGCTAAATGGTCAAGAATTTGGAATTTCTCAAGAAATCGCTTTATACCAAATAACGATTGTAGTTTATATGACGAGCTTATCGGTGCTTTTTTTGAGAGAACTCTCGCCAAAGTGATGGATATGCGTGCTGTTCAAGCGACAATTAGCCAATCCTTAACTTTTGGGGAATTGTGCTGGCGAGGGTCCTTCGTATTTAAAAAAAAAAATACAATCCTACAGTTTCATTACAGCGAATTGCTCGTTGACAATCAAAAATGAATTCGAAGAGCCAGTGCTTGATGCGTTCGTAGCCAATTGAACTCAGGAAGAGATTTCAGGACTTGGGCCAATTCCATACCCATTACTGCGTTCCCGACAAGTAATCTTTCGTATGGAGGTATTTGAGATATTTGAAATGTGTAAATATCAACCTTCACTGCCAAGCCCAAGTGGGTTTTTGGTGACACCATTTCGTGGAAATACAAGCGCCACTTGATGAACGATCTCCATGGTCGGAAATACAAACTACAATAGCATGAAGGGGCTTCAGCTTTTCATTGCCGACCTCCGGGGCTCTTTGCACGCTGAGGATCGAGAAAAGAGGATACAGTCTGAAATGGTTAATATCCGTAAGCAATTTGGGGCTGGAAATAGCACAGATAGCGTGAATGGATATCCAGGTACTGCAAGCACACTTAATGGTTACCAGCGTAAAAAATATGTTGCTAAACTGGCATATATATTCATTGCCACTAATACCACGCGAATTTCGGATGTCATGTTCGGATTGGACCAGTGCTGCGAGCTTATGGCCTCAAACGTGTATTCGGAAAAGTATATCGCGTACATGACACTTGAACTTCTGTATAGTAATCCGAGTGTCTGCCAGCAGGTCGGGGACCGTGTCATTGCGCAGTTAAAGAAGGACTTGGCCTCCATGACCGAAAATCATGTGGCGCTCGCGCTAAATTTCCTTGGGGTGACTGGAAAATGTGATCCCAATTTAACCCACGAGCTGATACATGAAGTTTTTCAGGTGCTGCGATCCCCTACTTCGGCTCAGATACTTCAAAAAAAATCATCATTGGCGTTTTTGGCTTTGTTGCGCAATGACTCGACAATATTGACGCAAGATGCCCGCCGCAAGCAATTATGGATACAGCGTATAATGGGTCTGCTGGATGATAGCACCAATTATAGACTGATGGTGTCTGTGTTGCCCCTCGTCGAATATATTGCTCGTGAAGTGGATGGCGCAGCGTGTGTAAAGCTAGTTCCTCAACTATCAGAAATACTCCACAATTGCATCGTCCACGAAAGAGGAAGCGGTAGAGCCGGTGGCCTGCCCGACTCCACGTACAAAAATATACCTAGCCCATGGATCGTTACAAAGATCGTTTCAATTCTCAACATCCTCATTGGATCTCCTTCGAGTTCTAATGGGGAGATTACATTTACTAATATCGATCAAGGGACGCTGCGGAAACTTAGGATGTGCGTTACTAGGGCCATTGACATAGGTACTCAGCCTACTGCTGACATGCTTACCCGTACAATTCAAAACACCATATTGTTCTCTCTCATCAACTTTGCATCTAAATTAGATCCGTCTGCAGACGCCATAAGAAATTCAGTGAATGCACTTACTTCCTTGCTGTCCTCTAATGAGATCAACACACGATACTTGGCATTAGACTGCCTTATAAAACTCTGCTCCGTTAGCGGGAAAGGGGCGCAAGACGAAGTACGTTCGGGTCATATGGACCAATTATTTCATATATTGCTAGTGGAACGGGACACTTCAGTTGTGAGGAAGATTGTCGATCTTTTATACACATTAACTGACGCCGGTAACGTTGAATCAAATGTCAATACATTACTCAAGTATATGACGGACTCCAAACAGAATGACTATCAACTGAGATCTGATATTGCTGTGAAAGTCGCCATTTTAACGGAAAAATTTGCCACTGACACAACCTGGTATGTCATTGTATCTCTGCGTCTGCTATCCTTATCAAATGCCTCTTTTAACAATAACGAAATCTGGCAAAGGCTCTGTCAGATTATTGTTAATAATGAAAGCCTGCAGAAGCTCTCCTGTGATCATCTCCTGCAGTATTTGCCTCAGCCCAATATCTCAGAAGCCATCGTTAAGGCAGGCGCTTTTGTTTTGGGGGAGTATGCGGAAGTAGCAAGCTCGAAAATTTCCTATGGAGAAATCTTCAACATGTTTGCCGACAAATATTTTTCGGTATCGAACCTTTGTCGCGCAATGATTCTGACCACTCTCATGAAGCTTTATCGGCGGGATCCAAGTCTTGTATCAGCTGTAATAAAGTTCTTTCAACTTGAGCTGAACTCTCTTGATTTGGAATTACAAACCAGATCCTACGAATACTTGAAGATTATCCAACTTGAAAAAATTAGTGGAGTGAAGTTGGTAGACATTTTGTTTGAACCTATGGTCCCTTTCAGTAGAAAAAAGAATCCCCTCCTTAGTCGTCTGGAAGGGGCCTCGTTGAGTGCCTTTGATCTGACCGATTCTTTGCCCTCCGTCAAGGGCATCTCAAATGCTCCGACCCCACCTCCAACGCGAAAAGTAAAGCCCACTGCCCACAACAGCGCGAATAATAGTCAGCCATTATCTCCTGGTTGGCGAGACGGTTTCAAAAGGATGTTGATACATAGACAAGGTGTCTTCTACTCATCTACTTTCCTCAAAATATTTTTCCGGACAGCCGCTATACCCCATCAATCTGAGCTGCTCGAAGTTACGTTGACTTATGTCAACACTTCTGAACTTCCGATTACTTCATTGCTGACGGAAATTGTACCCTATAAAACTGAGGAAGACCCGCCTTATATTATCAAAGTTATCAGCGTTCCCTCGGCGGGCATTGCAAAAGGGGAGCGAACTGCGCACATTTTCGAGATTCTCACTCGGCAGGGAAGCCCACTAGGGCAAAGCCCAATATTGAACATCAACTTTAAATGTGGTGGTAGCGTTGATGGTCTAAAAGTAAAAATTCCTGCTGGAATTACTAATACGATAACCTCGGGACGACTTGAGAATAGAACAGGTGTGACACTGGCCCAATTCATTCAAAGATGGAAAGCTTTAGGCCAGGCCCTGGGTAAAGAAGGTGAAAATCACGCAATCGTGCTTGCTAAACAGAGCAGTCTGGAGCAAGTTCAAAGCTGTGTTGAGAGAATGGGGTTCGATATTGTCGAACAAAAAATGGTGGAAAACACGATCTTTGCGGCCGGAATTGTGAGGACAAAAAATGATGGAAATTCTGGGTGCCTAATGAAGTTGAGGTGCAAATCGGGGGAACTTGAAGTTACCTGTAAGACTACACAGGGACATTTTGTTTCGGAGCTAATTGTAGGCTGTGTGCTAGAGTCAGTTTCCTAGCGGATTGGGAGTGTTGATAATTTTGAAAATCGGGAATGTGTATATACGTCGTAGTTAATATTACCGGTGGAGCGATGAATTGTTTTGCATTCTAAACAGTGGCCTCGGTTCTCGACGGCCTGGCACCAAAAATGTCAGTCCCAATTCTGACTTGCGAGGAACCTTGATTAATGGCCTGTTTAAAGTCCGAACTCATACCCATGGATAGTTTCAATGCCAAATTGAACTTGGCATCCAAAATACCTTTCCACTTGACCAATTCCGCGAATTCTTGATTTTCTTCCGCTTCTGAGTGCGAGATATCCCACGAACCTATGGTCATTAGACCTGCGAGTTCGACGTGGGTTGCGGAAGGAGATAGGAAAAACTCAACAGCTTCCAAAATTTCCTTCTCTGTAGAGAGCCCAGACTTTTGGGATTCACCGGATGTGTTGATCTGAAGGTTGCACTTAATTTTGTTGGCATCAGGCTGAAACTTGGCGCGAGCTTCGTTGAGTTTGACGGCCTTTTTCAGCGAATCAATTGTTTCTACATAGCATAAGTTCGGGACCTTTGCAAGATCTTTGCATTTGTTTGTCTGTAAGCCACCAATGAAATGCCATTTGATGTCCTGCGGCAAAATTGAAGCCTTGTGAATAAGTTCCTGTACGTAATTTTCCCCAAAACTGCGTACACCGTGGTCGTATAGAATTTGCACGTCGCTAGCAGGTTTGAGTTTCGACACAGGGAGCAATACTACGCCTTTCTTTCCGGCTTCTCGAGCGTAGAGCTCTACATCCTTCCTTACAGCCTCGTAGGATGTAATGAGTTCGTTCTTTCTCAAGTCTGGCATCGTACGTTTGAATATCCTCCCTAGCATACACTGCTAAGACAGCGCTTGTTTCAATTGGACTGTATCTCGCGATTTCTCGCCAACAATGGATAAGGCATGCCTTGGTACTTAAATCTACTCTTTACAGCGTATTCGTGTACAGTGACTGGGATGAACATCTAGCACAACTTTCGGGCAGGGACATAGCTGAATGACAGCGGTCACTTTCACGAGGAAGATGCTTCAATAGCATCTAGCGTCCCTAGGTTAAATGATTGAAGTGAACTACTTGCTCTTGTGTGCTGTAGGTTTTATTTTGCCCTTATTTTCCAGACCTCGTTATATATTTGGCCCGTCAAGACCATGTAATATCTGTTATGCGTTCTCCAGCGAGAACAGCAGATAGTCCGCCGGGTTACCACATACCGTTTGAATATGCTGAGATATAGTTGCCATTTCTTTTTTTTTTTATGGCGTCCTTCATCCGATTCTCTACTCGAATATCATCTCGGCCCTCTAAGTAATATCAAGCCTGGAAACAAGGCTCCTTTCCAAGAAAAACGAGACTTGCGATTAAAGCTCTCCTCCTCCTTGAGATTGGCTACTAGATCGTTCTCTCGGCATGCTGTGCTTTCCCTAATCGCTAACACGCTGATCGGTTTTCTAGTCGCCATTATCATTTTGTCATTTGTCAAACTTAGTAAGAACAAAGTAGGATCCATATATACGACGGAGAGTCATTGGTAATAATTATATCACCAGAAGGTATAATATATCTTAACAAGTTTAACTTTCCGTTCGTATTATGTTCAAACTGTATCCGTTGATTCAGAGCAACAGGTTCACATCTGCTATACATCCATGACTCTTTCAGAATCTGCTAACGAAGATTTGCCTCTAGTTACTTGCGTGGCAAGGGCTAGAATCCCCACCACAACAGGTCCAGATATTTTTCTACATCTATATGCAAACAACCGAGACAACAAGGAACACCTGGCGATTGTCTTTGGTGAAGACATACGGTCCAGGACACTGTTTCGTCGTAGGAGGGGCGAGACGCAACAGGAAAGGATGGTTAGAGGCGCATATGTCGGACGGCTATTTCCTGGCCGAACTTTAGCAGATACAGACGAAAATTTGGGTCTAAGTCTGCAGTTCGACGAGGCAACCGGGGCTTTAAAAGCAGACCATGCGACAACTTGGCACAAACAGGACACGTTAGTGCGTATCCACTCAGAATGTTACACTGGGGAGACGGCGTGGAGTGCACGGTGCGACTGCGGAGAACAATTCGACCACGCGGGGAGACTTATGGGTTTGAACCGCGAAGGAGATATCATTGGCGGTGCCGGTCACGGCGTGATAGTTTATCTCAGACAAGAGGGCCGTGGGATCGGGCTGGGGGAGAAATTGAAAGCATATAACCTCCAGGACCTGGGCGCAGACACTGTACAGGCGAATCTGATGCTGAAGCATCCCGCGGATGGCCGCGACTTTTCCCTTGGCCGTGCCATTTTGATCGATCTGGGTATCGAAAGCGTACGTTTGTTGACAAATAACCCCGACAAAATGGCTCAGGTCGAATATCCACCACATTTGCACTGCGTTGAAAGGGTACCCATGATTCCGCTGTCGTGGGTCAACGATCATGAGGGTATTCATTCCTTTGAAATCGAGGGATATCTGAGGACGAAAGTGGAACGGATGGGACACTTATTACAGAAGCCTCTCAAGCTTCATTCCGCTTCCAAGCAAAACAACTCTACAACAGTGACCACACACACCATTGTGTAAGCCTTCCGGCTACAAGAGTGCTTATCGGTCCTGGGATGCGGCTCACTATCAAGAACATGTTGATACAATGGGAAAATAATGACAGTTTAGACAATATTAGAAGTATGGAATACAAAATAGTTTTCACAATAATGTATATGGGTTTTTTTAACGTTTGGGCCCGTTCATTATCTACCAGCACGACTGATGTAGTAAGGATTTTAATCTGGGTCAAGGAACTGTATAACAATCTATCTATAGACCTGGAAAACAAACGGTTATTTCGCAAGTACAAGCAACCCAGAAAGAGTGAGCGGGACAAGATACACTGCACAGACTCTGCCGGCAGCCATACAGTGAAAACGGAGTATTATGCCTCCTTGCGCCATTTATCAAAATTCTCATCGGATCTCCGTGTTCTGATCTGACCTCCCTCACATCATCGAGAGTAAGTGCTCCAAAGCTCCTCCCCCGACAGTGGCAACAACCTCACTGCCCTTCATAACGTAGGCACAGCTTTTGTCCTCGCTCATGACCGTAGCGACATCCACGTTTAGCCTCTTCTGCTTGGCTAGGAAATCATCGTAGCCCTTGACGGTTAGCAATTCCACTGGGGCGGAAGCTAGAAAAGAGCCCGAAGATTGCGTAACTTCGGCGGATTGTTGATATAGACTGCTCATTGTTGGAAGTGTGTTCTTTAGTAATTGAGAAACTGAAGGTGGAGTAAGTTAACAGCTAGGGGATCAAATTGTGGAAGTGGATCAAATGCTTTTATATAAAGGCGTTTTCTTGCTGTGAGATACTATGATCGTTCGGTACGTGTGTGACAAGCAATCCGACTTACTATGGTTTCCGTAGTATAGTCCGGATGAAAGTGATCTGAGAGTTGGTATTGAGAATTGAACAGGCGCAGATAACAGGGAATGGGTTTTTGGCTTCAATTTTTTGTAACTTTCGCTTCCTTGTATGTGTGATGATTGATGTTTTTTTCAATCACGGGCCAGTTATAACGGATGTCCGCCCCAGTCACCGAACATCCGATCAATGATCAACTTAGCCCCTCAATGGCATTGGTGTTCAAATTATTGATGTGGTAGCGAGCTTTTTTCGAGATTGCCGTTTTTCATCAGCCTAGACATTTGGCCAAATTACTGTCAAGTTTGAACATTTTAGCTTTCGAGTGTTGAATAATTAACAATTTTGCAAAACGCGCCTGCTTGATATCCAAAGTCTGATAGGAAGACCCAGTTCGAGGAATAGCTTTTTGCAAAGCTGCAGTTGCTCACTAAATTGGTGAACTCAGACCTTGTGTGTTTCTGACGTTTACGCGAGCATGTTGTAATCGCGTGTCTAGTGATCTTTAATTTAGCTAACATCATCCTGGCACAAAGTTACCAACCAACTTTGAGCGTCAAACCAGGCCAGCTCAAGACCCATTTCTAGGCCGCTGTCGCTTTGCTGAAATGGTTAATGCACGATCGTTTACTCTGAATGAGGTTCTTGCGTCCGATACAGTTCCAGAGGATCAAAAACTACAACTATTAGGTGAGTTCAAAGGTCACGTCAAGAAAGAGCTAGTTGACGAGACATCCATTCATGAATATTTTGCATCGCTATGTGAGCAGATGGGTAGCTCTGTGAATTCAGAGAAGATTTATCTGTTATGCCATTCATCACTTTGTTATCTAGTGAAGAGAGTTGCAATGCAATCTCCCGCATCATTTGATAAAGACACAGTCCGCAACCTGATCATTCCCTTACTAAGAACTGTCCACTCAGGGAGTAAAGTGTGGCTAGGCTCAGTCAAGGCGCTAGAAGCGGTGTACTTGGCACAACCTACTCTTCTGGAAGAAACCCTTGAAACTTTGCAGTTGCAAGAAGGTGATCGTGTTGCTACTTTACTCTTCATTGATGAGCTCGTGCAATTGCATCAAAAAAATAACCGAAATCCACTCGAGCTACTCAATAAGTTTACTTATTTATTTCTCGGCATTCTGAATGAGCCCGAAGGAACCAGGTTTCAGGACTACGAGCTTATTCGCGACATATTATCCAAATATTATACCGCTCAGTCCATGAGTGATCTGGCTCGCAGGATTAGGAACCCTGAGATAAGATCTTTGTTAGATGTAAAGCCAGCTTTACCACTGGATCAAATATCTGTCGATACTGATAGAGCCCTATCCCCGTCCGCGTCAGATTTTGACATTAAAGCGGAATTAGATATTCTGCTAAAAGACCAAACCCCAATAGCATTACCTACTCCCCCAAAATATTATAGTGACCAGGAAGCACTCCAAAAAGATCTAGAACAAATAGCCATTCCTTTCAATTCGCACAAGGAAACCGAACACAACTGGCGACAAAGACAAAATAGCATTGTCTTACTGCGAGGAATTGTCGCAGGTAACGCTTGTACTGAATATGCAGAGGACTTTGTGGGGTTTTTTAAGGAGTTCCAGCTGATGGACTGCGTTGCGAAAGCCGTGTCTTCACTCAGAACATCGCTTTCAATGCATGGCTGCCATTTGGTCAAAGAAATGGCAACTCGTTTACAAGAAAAGATAAACCCCATAGGTGATGGATTGTTTCAAAGCTTAAAAGCAGTGTTATCTGCCACCAAAAAAATTGCTTCTCAGAATGCGTTCTACGCTGCTTGCGTATTGTTGGCTTCGATGCATTTTCACAGTAAAACGTTCCAGTCATGTTTTATGCTTTCAAAGGACAAAAACGTATCTCCGAGGTACTTCTCATCGATATTCCTGAGGCTTTTTTTGGTCAGATTTCATTCCAAGCTCGATCACAGTCTTGTGTATATCGAAGAGTGGATCAATCGTGGCTCGACGGATGCGCAAACAAAGGTTAGAGAATCTATGAGGGTGACTTTTTGGTATTACTTCCGTAGTTATCCCAGGAACGCCAGAAAACTACTGGATGGCTTCCAACCTCAGATAAGACGTGCAACTGAAACATCGATACCTAAACACTTGGATATTCATTATACAATCAGTCATGCCAACTCCTCGGAATCTTCGCGAAGATCAAGTTTGGCACCATCTAGGACCCCAAGTTACGCAGAACCAACGCATTCCTCGCACGTACAGAGACTCGGTGCTCTCCGATCTTCCAGTGACTATCATTTTTCAGGTCGCCATAGATCGATGCATTCAGATTCAAGGAAAGCCAGCAACTTAAGTGACACCACTTCAAAAATAACTGCCAAGAATAACAATTTATCGAATAACATACCAAAATCCTCAATGGAGCATGAGCAACAGATTGATCTCACTGGTGAGATAACACAGGGCCATTCTAATACTCTGATTAAAAAATACATGCAGGATACGCATGTGCAGGTTCTACCCTCGAAACATTCTAAAAAAGAACTTGATGAAATAATCCGCAATCTTTCTTCAGATAATCCGACAGACATTACCTATGGAGCACAGGTGCTGCACAATATTTGGCTCATCGAAGCTCCCAAAGATGTTCAAAAGCTTCAATCGGCAGTCAGTTTCGCGCTAAAGCGCAATCCTTTTTCGCTTGCTGATTTATTGCGGTTGCCGACTTTTTTGAACATCATGAATAAGCCTGAGATGATAGAGGCATGTGGCATAAATCAATTACCAGTCGACATCATATTGAAACATTTCAAGGGTTGTGACTTGTTGCTACCGCTGAATGAACTATTTGATAATCTTTTTCCATCTGAAGAACAGTTATCCTTATACTATGCCAAATATCGGCGCAGAATACTGGATTTTTCTTTCACGCTTCTCAAAACTATTCTCAAAGGCTCTATGAGTTGGGTCGATCTAGCTGGAAGGCACAAGGAGACCATTGCTGGTAAGCTTTTAAACCTATATGGAAATGATTTTGATCTAGTAGAGTACTTCGACCTCCTCTTTGTATTATTCACTTGCAGTCGGGAAGAGTTCAAAAAGCAGTTGGATAGTTCGCCCGTTTATTTTCAACTAAAGGTCGCCCGTGAATTTGAAAAGAGAGATCCTCAACTTGACTTCAATCTAGGCGCCTCACAAAAATCTACGGTGTTTCTAAATCCGGACCAAGAAAGACATTACATGGAGCTTACTATGGTAAATCCCCTGATTACCCGTCAAAGGTCATCCAGCGGCAGCAGCGTGCTCGTCCATGATCTTGAGAACTGCCGCGATGGAAGTTTGGAGACTTCAGAAGCTGCCTCTGAAAATGATCAACTTGAGGATGCTCAAGGCTTTACAAAATTTGGCGGCCTATCCAAGCTTACAGAAATGACCAGGGTAGTAAGCCTTTATGAGCATTCCAAAGAAAACTGTGAATCTGCCAATAGTCCTTTGAACAGCCCTTCGCTTGATACTGAAGGAGACTACAGGATGGAGATTGGCCTCGCGGGCATAAAAAATAGGGCCACGGGCGTTGATCTTAGTGATATCTTCAATCCAGAAGGTCAAAAGCACAAAGACCATACCGTAAAGTTCGTTGACAATCCATTGATTATTCAGCGGCCACTGACGTCATCTAGCGATGAAAACTCAAGACCCGAAAATCGAGAAGCCTTGCAGAGCAGTTTATCGATGAGCAACACTGCCACAACGGACACCGATGGGGCCGAGCGCTTTGATGAGAGGGCGACAGCCTACTCGCCTGTACTCGAGCCAGCTCAAGGTGCGGAATCGTTGTCAGAGACTACAGCTAACGGACAAGACGATGCTGGCTATCTGCAAAATGGAGGCAACAAAGAGACGGCCTACAATATTCTCGAGGCATTTTCTGAGAGCACCGCTCTAGAATTTGAACTGACCGTAGCGGCTCTCAGTCAAGGAGTTCCGTATAGTCTCAAAAATGTTTTGACGATTATAGGGAAGATTAAGGAAGGTTCCTTCAAGATAAAGGACTTAAGCTTGTTACTTCATTTCTTGATTGCTGGCGGGAATGATCAATCTCTCGTCGAATGGCTTCAACATGAAGGAGGCTTGCAGGACCTCCTTGATATCCAATCTATTCTTTTACATTCAATAGTTGATGCTGCTGACTTCCCGAGAGCTTTGGCCATTAGATCTCTTCTTCTCTTTTCTTCTCTCACGGAAATTGAATTGACAATCCACGGCGAAGGGCAATCTTGCCAGAGCGCCGAGTATACCTGGGGCTGCCTTCTTGCTGTTGTCTATCAGATGGAGACGTTCGACAACGACGGGTTTCTGCTATGTGAAGAACTAGGGGTATACATGGTCTCGAAAGGACTATCTGATGAGCCTCTCTTGAAAACCCTACTAACCGGACTAGAAATGGCAGAACATGACCACAAGCTGGTCAAAAACACGTTCCTTCTATCTTCGGTCAGACAAATCTGTTCATTGCCAGTTCCCTATATGAATAGTACCCTTTTAGAGCATATCTGCACTCAAGCACTAAAATTCATTTCCTACGAGCCTACAGAATTGCGTAAAGAGGCTACAGAACTTTTGGGAATTCTGAGCATACATCCAGTCTGGACAAAAGGGCTTCCCTCCAGAATTGTTGATCAAATGTCTCGAGAACGTTATAGCCTCGTTATTTCGTTTGGTGCGACAAATAACGCGTAAATTGTTTTCGTGTTTTCAGGGAAATTGATTCTATAAAATTGAGCAAGTGAATTAATTGATGGAGTGATTATGTGGGACTAGTGTCCTTGAAGCAAAATACTCCTCGGTTACAGTGGTGCTAATGACTCAAAGGAATGAATTAGTGGCGAAATTTGGAACTGGGGCAGATGAGCCTAAAGTTTTGGCCGCTTTAGAGGATTTGAACAAAATTTACCTATTAGATGCGGAAGACCTATACATTAAGTGGGAACAGTTCGCTTATCAGAGGTCTGGAAAGACTACAGAATTGGATTTGGATACTATAGCCATATTCAAGCAGAATATTCAGCAGCAGATCGAGAAAAAGGCAAGGGCCATGGGGACTACGGGAGCTCTCGGACCCACGTCTGGTGGCCCTCCATCAGCTACAAAAGGTCATAAAGTGCTGAAACCAAGTGGATCCAGTCCTTCTTTATTTGGGTTTGGAATTCCCAAAACACCAAGTTTAAAAAAAAGACGTATTGATGTCACACCCACGAAAGAAAACGTTGCTGGACACGTTCCTCCATCGACGGATGAGAAGAGTGGCAAATTTTTCACACCATCTCAGGCGCTTGGGGTTCATGGGGGCATTGGATCTGCTGTCCCTTCGCCGATCTTGAAGGATGTTGAACCAGGAAAAACCCTCGATACATTGAACTTAGCAGAAATCACAGTTGCTGAGGGGGTTGATCTGGAAAGTGAGAACAGTTTGAAACCGGTTCGATTCTTTGATGCCGAGAAATTTAAATTCAGGACAATGCGACAGAACTTACTGGATGCTGCGGATGTTCTTGATGATCAGCTTGAAACTTTTAGCCGCATAGTTCAAGAGCATTATAAGCTATCTGCGGGTGACCTAGGCGATCCAACGATCCAATCTCAATCAGAAATAACAACTGTGGGACGAATAGTTGTGGATTCACCATTAACTGAGGGCATTCTGAATGCGGAATCACTAGCACTGGAAACGTCCAGGCTAGCAGGGATAGGACGGCGTATTCCACTCGACCTCAAAAAGGTGGATGAAATGTCATTATTTCCGGGCCAGATTGTGGCTCTTCGGGGTAAAAATGCAAGTGGTGAATTCTTCGTCGTCGAAGAGCTTCTCAGTATTCCACATCTGAACTTCCCTGTTTCGACAGGTGATGATTTGCAATTATCTCACCAATCGATGACGGGTGAAAGCACAAAAATTGCCGTGCTAAACGGTCCATATTCGGCTTCAAACTGCCTCGACTTCAGTAATTTGGCTGCATTCGTTGAAAGAATCAACATCAGCATAAAACCCCATCTGGTAATCATGTTTGGTCCTTTTTTGGATATCTCTCATCCCTTAGTATCAAGTGGGGACATTCCCGATTTTCCAGATCTCAAATTGCAGCCAAAGACACTTGACGAGGTTTTCACCAAAGTAATAACTCCCATTTTGAAGCAGATTGACCCGAAGATTCAAGTGATATTAATCCCTTCAACGCTTGACTCGGCTTCTAACCACGCTGCTTACCCTCAGGATTCTTTTGACCGCAAAGATCTACAATTGCCTAAAAACTTTCGATGCTACACTAACCCATCCACTTTCCAACTGAACGAAATGTTCATAGCATGCTCAAACGTTGACGCTTTTAAGGATACTAAAGAAATTGTTAAAGGTGGCGCTACAAGTTCTAGAAATAGGTTCGACAGAATAGCCGAACACGTTCTTACTCAGCGCAGATTTTATCCTTTATTTCCTGGCGGAATAAGAAGACGTAAGGTACGAAACGAAAGTGGCACAGATATATGGGAACACGTAAGTGGTGCCGACCTAGATATTCCCTTCTTGGGACTTACCGAATTCGTGGGCAATCTCACTCCGGAGTTGATTATCATCCCAAGTGAGCTTACACATTTTGCCCGAGTTGTGCAAAATGTAGTTTTTGTCAATCCAGGGACCTTCATAAAACCGTCTGGTGTACGAGGCTCATTTGCTCAACTATCTATTGCTCCACCAGATCTAACTGGTGGCAAGCTTGTCAAGGTGGAAGGAGAAGAAGACCTTTACCTGCATAACGTTTGGAAAAGATGTAGAGTTGATATAATTACAACGTAAATACCCACACAGTACCACGATACCTAGAGCTAACGAAAGACAATCGGAACAAAGGCGGTTCAATTATTAGTCTGACGTGATAGTATCTGTATAATAAGTAATCCCTTTGTTGGTAAAGTCCAAATCCTCATTGCACACTTCAAGGAAACTTCTTCTTCAGTTTGCCAAGGGGAGATAGAACACCCTTCATCTTTTTCTTCGAAGAATGGGTACGAACAGATGAAGCCTTTTCTGGCACCTTGCGTGGCGTTTGAATTGTTTGTGATTCATTACCTGAAGGTGCAGAAGACGACGCCTCTGAGAGGTGGTCGGAGTTCTTTTCGACAACGGCGTCATTGGGAATAGGTGAATCTGTATGACCGTGACCACCCTTTGGAAGACCGTTCATGATGTTGGCGACGTGACCCTTGGATGTATCGGCAAGTTGGGCAGGGACGAACTGATTACTCGTGATAGCCTCGTCAGATGGAGATGTTGCTACCACCTTAGGTACGGAATTTTTTAAAGAAGAGGTATCGTTGGATGATGTGAGCTCCAATTTTTCTTTTCCACTGGAATCGATACTTTGAATAGCCTGCGAAGTTGAAGATGACGAATTGGGGTGGTTGCGCCTCAAGTGGTAGTTCTTTGATGTAGGAATAGTGTCAGGAACAGTGGCGCCAGCTACAGGCGAAGTCAAAGAGCCTGAGGATTCATTGTGGTTCTTAACTTGGCTAGAAGAGCTGGATGTTTGGCTAGCTGGTGAGGCAACGTCCTTAGTTGCTTGAATCGTAGATGTTTTGACGGGCTGGGAAGGAGACGCGGCCTCTTTGGCCCTTGAAAACCCCGAGGTGCTCGCAGTTGCTACATCAGCAATTGGGGCTTGTGAAGCGCTGTCGCTGGTTTTTTGAGGGGCCTTCGAGGCAGCTATGGTTTCACCTTCTGGAGGGGCATCCATGAAGGTTGCTGTTTCCTTAACAACTTTAGTCAGGTCCACATGAGGTGGTTCCTCCAGCTTTTCAGCAGAGACAAACCTTTGGGCACGGTCCTCATCTGAACGGCCCACAAGCTCGCCCAGTATCAAATAGCAAAAGAATGTCAAATGCTCAAAAACAAAAGCACCGATGACGACTGCTCTCCAATCAACCTTGACCACCGACTCCAAGTGCCATAGGTCACGTTTCTCCAGAGCAGATGTCGTTCCAGCATTCAGAGGACTCTTATACATGATAACAAGAGCTGGTGCGACAAGAGCAGATATCCATAGAATGACATTTAGTACGTTATCCCAAATCGATCCGCTCTTATTTGGGGCAAGGGATCGAGGAGAAATCTTGGCAACGTTTGAGTTAGAAGAGCACTTCACAACGCACTTGTTCAAGCATCTCCAAATTTCCAATTTCAAGCTCAGCAAATTGAATACCACACAACATAGGGCAGCCAATGGCCAAATACAAGAAAACATAGAGACGTATCCAAATTGTATGATTAACTTATTTGACGTGGCGTTGACGTCAAACTCGCCCCAGGTACTCAGACAAGACCCAGATGCCTGTTTCCAGATACTGAGGTCTTCAGGATATTCTTTTGCCATTTTAGTTTCGGCCAAATTGACGGGCGAGTTAGGCTTATCGAACCCCTTAAGTTTGGGTATGGCCTTGCTCATAGCCAACGGAACTAGATTTTCGACACATAGGGCGATTACCTGCCCAGTAACCATGAAGAAAAAGTATTGTGCTTGGTAGCGACCAGTATTAACCTTAAACCCGCTCTTCAAGACCGGTACATTGTAATTGGAGCAGAAGAGGGCAATAGTCTCTAACTGAGCATTGACATGATGACCAAGGGGTAAGTAAACGAAGAGAGTGATAAACAAGGGCATGTAGCTCGTTAAAAAAGTTAAAATGAACTTCTTTTCCAATTTCGACTGAACTGGGTCGGCTGGATTTTCCCAGGACACCAGTTTCTGCAACACTAGGTCGTAAACCATAGTCAGGATTGGTACATATGCAGCCATCAATACCGTAGGAGTTAGTGCTAGAACACTTGCCAGTGGACCCTGATAAATTTGAGTCATAAAAATCTCTAGCAGAAAGCAAACGAATTGAAATGCGATGAGGCATGCAGCAAACTGAAGAGCCACTGGGATGAACAGCAGCTTTTTGATAAAAACTGACCTAGAAACAGGCTTCAATTGGTCAAGGGAGGGAGAGTATTGTACCAATGTTGAAAACTCCGCTCTTTTCTTAAGCTTCCAAGAGCAAACGAAACAGGTCGCCCAGAGCATCACGATGATTGTATAACTTACGTTAAACTCCCAACCGGAAGGATTGCTGACGAAAAAGCGAAAGGCAACACCCACGAGCGCCAACACCATCAACCAGCGCGTGTAATATTTGGCATACGCGAAGTACAGTGCCGTTTCGGGCGATCCTGTGACTCGGCTCAATTCTTGTAAATCGGCATCAGAAACCATCAGTGGTTTCTTGACCAATCTCTTAGCTAAGTTTTCTCTTTGTGATTTCGTCTCGAAATCTACAACTTGGACTACATCAGTAACATATTTGAGTTGAGAGGCAATCAGTGGTACTCGATTTGTTTGGTCATTAACAAACACGTACACTAGTTCGGAGCTGTGTCCAGGTCTAGTCAAAGCATGCAAACCCTTAGCTGAGAGCTCCGTGAGAAATTCAGCAAGATTTTCCTTGGTATATTGAATGGAAACACACCAATTGGCGCCCAATGACGATACCGACGACATCTCAATGCCTCGATCAATATCCACTTGAATTTGATGTTGCGTTCAATGTATGTTATGTACTATACACTCGGGATTATTGAATTGATTATTGCTTGCGCATCTGATACGATTTTAAAGGCTGAAGTACCAGAACGAACATGCAAGAATCTTAACCTAGGCTTCAACCCTCTCCAGATATCCAGTCTGATGGTGTCATCGAATTCCTCAAGTAAGTTCTGAAAGCATTCACGTACTAAATAGTTATTAAATACATCGTCGACCCATCAGGAGAGATCAAAGCTTACTATCCTGGCACCGGACTGTAAAAGAGACAATTGCTTTGTACAGTTCAAAGCCCATGCTTCCATGTCATTAAGACCTCAAATAGCGAGTCTGGAGATACTTTCGAGCGGACTCTACTTGTACTATTGTCTTATTAGGAGAGTATATATGAATTACCATCTGTGTCGCACACATGCCAAAGCTACGGAGGCCGTTTTGACTCAAGTGGTAAACGATTTAAAGGAGCCAACTAGGAATCCGGGGTAGTCTGTCTCTTAAATGTTCAAAGTATTACGTCAGATGCTAACTAGCAAATTCCTCACAAAAACTTGCCACGCTGGCGAGGGGATTCATTGCTGACTCTCTTCCATAGGTTTTCCAACGTCATAACAAAGGTGGTTTAAGCGACAAGTGTTAACTTCTAAAACGATGAGAAAATGCTTCCTATGTGTAATGCTAATTAGGTTATGTTAAAATTACATCAGGTTACAATTGACTTCCCGAGTGTAGAAGTAGCGAAGTGCTAACACTAGCAGGTTTGAAGGACACAAGATTTCACGCTCAATAGGGCATTCCTGCCACAGTTCCCGTGAAACTCATGCTCCTCAAATACTTTCAGACGCCCGATTGATATCGCGCATCTTCAACTCTTCTCCTCCCGTCTCTGCTTTTCAGTTTCGAGATTTTTGAGCAGCATTGTTTCGGCCAATTTCACGCTATTTTGATTGTTGCCCGTAATAGTAAAGACACGATTATTGTCCTCATTGGGCTCGTCGCTTACAATGACTTTGGTCTTTGTATATTTGCGTAGACTGGATACTCGGTTGCCACCACGGCCCAGAAGAGCTCCTACGAACTCGACGGGGATAGTTACTTCTTTGCTAACTGAGCCTTCTTCTTGGCTCTTGGTGTGCGGGTAGTACTGTTTCTCATGAGCTGGCTTCGTTTCCTGAGAGAGAATTTCACTGATATCCACGAGACACGAGGTAATTGAACCCGGAAAGCCCTGAATCTCCACCACCCTGTCCTGGGAATCGGGTAGAAAATTCTTGGATGCCACCACCTTGACTCCATGGGTCTCTATCAACGACTTGATACGCGAGCCCTGTGTGCCAATTATAGAGGAAACTTGTGAATTCGATACAATCAATCTGATATTACCGATCCTTTTGATGGAATCTGGGTCCTGGATCTCTGACGACGTAGGAAGAGGAAGAATGAAGTTCAAAGGCTTGTACGTGTGCACCTCTGGCTCACTATCATCTTGATTCAATATTTCTACCACATCTCCAATTGCATTGGCCACAGCCTGTGTGGAACCCGTGCAACTAAGAATGCGGTCTGAACATCCCCTTTCATGAGGCGAAATTCCGATCTTTACTTTGTTCGACTCCCGGATATTTTGAATACTTACTCCCTGTGCGCCTATGATGCGAGCAGCCTCTTTGAGAGACACTAGGACCCTGTGAGTACTTAGGCCTGGGGCTTCGAGTTCTGTCATTGGTGGTGTTTGTAGTTGTTGAAGGTCAGTTAGGAGCGACAAGCTATCGTTATAGGTGAGTGTAATTTACATACCATCTTGTTTCGTATCTAATTATATATTCTCAGCTTGAAGGAAATCTCAAGGTAGTGCAGCAAATTCATCTCTAAGTAATCCGCAAGCGTTTAGGCTTCCCTAACTGCTTAAACGCTCAGTACGCCTCTAGCCCTTATTCGAAAATTTGTGTCTCTTTTTTTTGTCTGCAAACCAAATGATATTTTAGGGCATTGCTTCTCGAGGTCAAATAAAAACGCGAGCCCAAGAATTTATTCGACTTAGTATTTGACAACAACATGCCGCTATTCCTCAAACAGTTCACTGGTTGGGAATTATCATAAACGTTGGTATTGTTTTCACAATTCAACACATACGTCACAAATGATGTTTTGTTTTTAAAGCATGATGAACTTCAAAAGGTAAACAAGAGCAGCATCGACAGCTCACTGAGGTACGCTAGCCGGAATGGCGTACCATGACCAAGTTATTGATGAATTGGGAGTGTCAAAAATTCTAGGTCACTCAGTGCTCACAGAGCTGGACCTGAGAGCCACCAACAAAGCCACTAATCTAGGTGTCGATGCATCGCCTAAAGTGGGGGGTTTTAGCGGACTAGAAGCGAACAGATACGAGTCTACTCATACCAACGACTTTCAACGTATGGAGTCTATTCAAAGCCATTACGCTGCTCAAAAAACACCGGTGGCTTACCCACAACCCGGAAAGCCTGCTGCTGGGACCAGTGTAGGCGAACCTACGATGGTGGACACCCTGGAAACTCCGAAGCGGGTGCACGAAGGGTCTTCGAAAAGTACCAGCAAGCGTAGACGTGACCTAAATGGTGGGGCTCGAGACAATGATTCAGCCGTTTATAGTCCAGTGTCAGATGTCACCCGCAGAATACGAAGACTACGAGTAAGAAGTCAACAGCAGACCCCACGCGAGAACCAAGCTAAGATCAACGCCGTACGAAATACTCCTCTTTCTGGCCCACCCCCTTCACAACTGGTATTTGACGGAAAGCCACAGGCGACTTTTGCAAAACCGACGTTCACATCCATTAATCGAGAAAGCAAGCCTGGCGCCATTTTTTCGCGGCTTAAGAAAACAGAAGAGTCGGATAAAACAAGGGCATTCCGACGTGGAACAGCAAGGAACCAACTGTTGCAAAATGCGGCGTCCGCGACCCAATCCACTACGAACATGGCTCCAAGTTCTGTTTTCCAGCGGCTGTATACCCAAAGTACAATTTCCAGATCCAATTCAAGCAACACTATTAGCCATACTCTGGATTCTCAAAAATTGATTCCGAATAGTAAGGCTACCTTACCCAAAAAACGAACGTCATACCGAAATCCCAGACAATGAAAAGTCTGCGGATAGATGAAGTGAATCCAAAGCGCTCCATCCTAAGGTCCCGATCCAGTTATTCTATTGCGGTAAACGAATCTAAAACTGATTTCAAGCAATCTAAAACATCTCAAACAACCGCAAGCAAACCATCCTGGCGATAATAACGAAGAGACGAAACAATTCACTTCACACAATATTAGATTTGTGCGAGCTTGAAAGCGGTAAATATAATAATAGTGATAGCGACCACAAATCACCATTTTTAAAGCAAAGCGCCCCACAGACAATTAATTTGATTTAAAATCTTAGTCTTGAATTGATCAAAAACTATATACGATATCCAAGAATAGTATTACTTACAAAATTTGCACAACTCCGTTTTAATGTGAATTTATGCTCTAGTACATGGAGTGTGCGGGATGTGTATTATCGAAATTTAAAGCTTATGGTATTTGTGATTTTATCAGCAAGCTTAGAATTTCTTACCGAACAAGATCATTTGCAATTGGTCGTACATGGAAATGACACCGGCACCGGCAACACCTCTTAGAATGTTGGCACCGCAACCCTTGAACAAAGAGGCAACACCTTCAGCGGCAACAATCTTGGTGAAAGCGTCGAAAGCACCCTTGTACTTGATGGCTTGACCAGAAGTCATCATCATTCTTCTTCTAACAGTGTCCAATGGGTAAGAAGCAGTGGAAGCACCGGTGGTGACGGCCCAACCCAATAGGAAAGAAGCCAAGAAAGAACCTTCCAAGTTACCAGTCAACAACAAAGGCTTTAGGGAGTCGTAACCACCGAAGTACAAACCTCTGTAGACAACAATACCAACAACAGAAGGCAAGAAACCTCTGTACAAACCAGCAATACCGTCGGAAGCCAAAGTCTTCTTGTAGACATCGACTAGACCGTTGAATTGACGTTCACCACCCTTCTTGGCACCCTTGGAGTCAGCGGCCAATCTGGTTCTGGCGTAATCCAAAGAGTAAACGAACATCAAAGACAAACCACCAGCGGCACCACCGGAAGCCAAGTTACCGGCAAACCACTTGGCGTAACCTTCCTCCTTCTTGAAACCGAACAAGGACTTGATCTTGTCCTTGAAAGCAAAGTTCAAAGCTTGGGTTGGGAAGTAACGGATAACGTTGGCGGTGTTACCTCTCCAGAAAGAAGCGACACCTTCGTTGGCAGCGGTTCTGGTGAAACATTCACCAATACCGGTGTAACGTCTGTCCAAAGAACCTTGCTTGATCATCTCGTCTTGGTTTTGGATCAAAAGCTTGACTCTCTCGATTGGAGCAGCGGCAGTCTTGGAGACGGCGGCGGAAACACCGCCCATGAGGAAGTCAACGGCAAAGTTGGATTGCTTCTTAGTTTCAGACATATTTGGTATTAATGACAGATCTGGGAGTAAAAACTGTGGCAAGAAGCACTTAAAATAACTCTGAAACAGTTTAGAAGATGGTTCCAAATCGCTGCTGTTTCGTCCTTCTTTTATATTATTTTCGCATTGACCGGGGAATCTAAGAAAGAAATGTGAAAAAATTTGATGTCGATTAAAATTTTCGTGCGGGTAACGGTAGAAACGAAATGGAGCAATCCTATTGGCTGGAAGTGCATAAATCGCGTCAGTCTGGCGCGAACGTTTTGCCAGTGCGTATTTGGGGCCCTCGCGACTGTGTTTATGCGGAAGATGGAGACGTGGAGTGTTCGGACAATTACTGAGCATACTTGCTAGTCTACGTTTGGCTTTATGGAAATTTGAGTGTGTGGACAAGTTAGTCTTTAGTTTTGTGTATCTATATGTTTATTCCTTTCGAAACTGTTTACGCTATCCACTGCAGCCTTCATGTACGGCACGTCAGTACTGGCAAAGCTTTGTTTGGGACTGTTTTCTGGTGTTTTTACATTGATCTTTTCAGCGAGACCTAACGTCCCTAGCGTCGATGTGGTACCCGGTTGAAATTTTGGTAGTTTGCGATCAGCACGCGACTGGGTTTTTGGGTTGAGCGGTGTCTGTTCCATATGTGACACTTTATTCTCTTGTCGATTTCTGATGAAACCAAATATCATCATTTACTAATGTGTCGCGACGCGTTGGTACAAAGTGAGCATCTGCCACAGCTCACAGACAGATGACAGAGAAACTATTGAGGCGAATCTGATTCATTAGTAGAAAGCTTACTAAATTTGTCTTGTAAGTCGGACAGTCATTATAAGATGAGTAACTTGGGTCTAGGGAATTCTATTTATCTCTCCGTAATCATTTTAGGCATTAGAGTTGAACAAGAGCCTGGCATTTATATAATTCTCACTCGGTGACTCGGGTCAACACAATGATTGATCACCCATTCTAGATCATTCTATTGCCCAAGGTTTATGGCTTCAATGCCATACGCTACCGATAACTTATCAATGGCTAATCCCATGGGACAACAGTTGTTCTCTTCGGTTTGTCTTAGCTTCTAACTCGATTTGTATGGCTCTGTTGTGTACTATCATTCTGTACCACTGTGTCACATATTTACTGACCCTGATTATGCGATTAGGCGCACTTCACCATCAGTTTCTCACATTATTATTGAGGCGAATCTGATTCATCAGTAGAAAGCTTACTAAATTTGTCTTGTAAGTCGAACATAGTCATTGTAAGATGAGTAACTTGGATCTAGGGAATTCTACTTATCTCTCCGTGATTATTTTAGGCATTAGAGTTGGTTCAGTTACCTGAACAAAAGCCTGGTATTTATACAATTCTCACTCGGTGACTCTGGTCAACATATTTATTAATCACCAATTCTAGATCATTCTATTGCCCAAGGATTACGGCTTCAATGCCGTACACTACCGATAACTTATCAATGGCCAATCCTATTGGACAATAGTTGTTCTCTTCGGTTTGTCTTAGCTTGTAGCTCTATTTGTATGGCCTTGATTGTGTACTATCATTCTGTACCACTGTGTCACATATTCACTGACGCTGATTATGCGATTAGACGCACATCACCATCAGTTTATTCATATTATTCCCAACAATTATTCCCAACAGAAGCGTATAGGACCGAGTATGCGGCCTCCAAGCTGTTTGGTGCTATATAACATGGTCATGTAGATTAACGATGAAATCAGTAGTTATGTTGGCGGGGTTCACTGCAATGCCGATGACGGTGTAGTGTAAAGCGATGTGGTATCTGGATGGTGTCAAATTCAAACGGCAACGGACGTGTGAATCGGGTGGGCGTCAAGTTGGTGTTACTTAGGCATACCTTATCAAGCTCAATGTCAAATTCCATTCATACAGCGGTTAGTGGTGAGCAATTTCAAAAAACCCCAGATTCGATTCCCTGTGGTCCGTGAAGTAGCTATGATTTTTCATTCTCCATGTGTACATGACCGTCAAACTATAAAGTGTAATATTATATGCTGTCTATGAAACCTTCCGTGATAGGATTGAAAGACCTCCGTCATTTTTTTACGTCTTAACAATTTTCTTTTAACAATTATTGTCCATTTACCAACATTCGCCAATAACGGCAGGTTTACCACAGGGTTTCATAAGGGCAGCCAAGTCGGTGAAGCCACATAACTTAAAGCACTCAGTTCTCAGTTCAGTAACACCACCAATCTATCTCCCGGGTGGTCAGCAGTGAGAACACTTTACAGAAGCTTGTTGTGAGCGAATAGTATCTCTTAGTACGGATCAATAAGATCATCTCAGAACCTAAGGGCATCATATCTATCTGTTATCAACCCCGGCTTGAAAGCTAAGCGTCAAAGCCCTTGACTTCAGGCAACTTCCCACCTTCCGCCCCATATTTGGTACAGTAATACGCAGAGTCTATGAATGAGGATCAGCAGCGTAAGAGGGTGTCCAAAGCCTGCGACGCATGTCGCTCAAAAAAAATCAAATGTGATGGCACAGAACCTTGCTTCCACTGTATTAAAGTGGGCTGTGCTTGTACGTACTCCCATGTGGTAAAGAAAAGGTTGAAACCTCCGACCCGTATCTCGAATCGAAAAATAATGTCGGACTTATCGGATCGTTTAACTAGGTTGGAAGATATTTTAACGCAAATTCGAGATGGATCTGCTAGCTCCGAATCAAGCAGTGCGACATTGGTAGATGAATCAGCGTTGCTCAATGTAGAAAGTCAACATGTGAGCGCGGAAAGTCTATCGGCGTCTGAGAGCGATAGCGGTACCGACACAATAGAGTCCGATGGCACACTTTCTACCCGCGTCCCTGGCCGAACTTCGGAGGTCGACCTATGTGGTGGCTGGGATACTGGTACATGCTGCGCCCCTAAAGGCAGTGCTGGTATAGGACCTGGATCAGTCTCCTCGACTGTGAAAGACGGCGAAGATATGGCTCATTCTTCGCTGGATCCAAACAAATGCGAACACTATCTAAATGCTTATTCTGCCTTTTCTCTTTTCACACGCAGGGGTCTGTACTGGGTCCACCAAAAATTGAATGGTGGCTCGGACCTGATGGGCAGTCTCATTCAAGTCAAGGCAGCTATTTGTTCCAATAATTTTATCAACTTCGACCTCTACTTTGATAGAATCGGACTCATAGATACGTATGATTTCCCTTCCACCGACACATGTGAAACCCTTTTCCAAAATTTTTTAACATACGCGGTTCCCGTTGCACCTTTGGACATTGAGAGTGAAATTCCTGCGATCAAAGAGAAATTCGACTTGTCACCAAGAACTCTGAATTACTCGGAACTTTTTTTGGTCAACACAGTGCTATTGATCGGATCCACCATTGAGTGTCAAAAGCTCTCCATAAAGAATGAAAACAACGCTAGATGGCTTATGATTCAGACGCAGATGATGCTTAAAACCCTTCAACTGTACCAACAGACGAGTCTGACATTCGCAAATGACACCCTTTTGTATATAAAAGGCGTCTTTTTGTTTTGCTGGCAAGTTGAAAACTCCCCCACTCCCCAACTGGCCTATCTATTTTTGTCCACAGCCGTTCGTTTAGCACAAGAAATAGGCTTACATTTGAGAGAGTCATACCAAGCACTTACTGATTCGAAGGAGGCTTCAGCTCGACATAGCTTGTGGCAAAGTCTGTACCGTTATGATATTTATATTTCCATTCGCACCGGTAAACCAACTTCGATTCACGACGAAGACACTAGTGTACTGGATGATTGGGATTATTATCGGTATATGAATGCTAACCTCAAGGGGACTAAGTTGGATCTACAATCCACTTCAGATCCTTACGATTCTAAGAATTGGCTAAGTGAGCTGGATTCCAACCTTAGGGTTTCTTGTTTCAAATCGAGGGAAAGCTTGAATTTTGCCCTGAAGTATTATGAATTAAAATTGGGCCAGAATTCTAGTAAGAGCTACAAGTTTTTACTCACTTGCCGAGCATTGGCAGAATCTAATTACAAAAGACGGGCCGCGTTAGTTGAAAAACTGAATCGCGGCTTAGATGAATGGCGTTCGACCGTTCCATCATTTTTAAAGGTTGCGAACTGCTTAGACGATATGAGTAAGCTGGATAATATACTCGAAAACATGCCTGAAAGGTCTCCAGAGAGTGGCCCTTGGACCTCTGTTAAGTCATCGGTGGCCTCTCTAAAATTAAGGATACTTAACTTGGAGACAGAATATTATTTGAGCATGTTGTACACTAATTGTGTTCTATATCGAACACCATGGAATAAAGATAGTCTATTTCATTCATCAGGCAGAGACCTCCGGCCCACTAAAGATGACAGGTGTGCGTTTGCCGCTAGAATGATGTTGAAGTTGGCTCAAGCCACCATTGAGACACAGAATCCCAGCACAACCCTTCGAGGAAACATCCTTTATTCTTTTTTCAGTGGTTTTTTGAACTTATTTTATCGTTGCATCGAAAATTGTACAGCAGCGAAGGAAGACCTGCGTCTTTTGTACGATACCACTTTATTGGTGAACGAAACCGCCAAGAGCCAGAGAAACATACACTCCCTGAAGTGGACTGTAGTTGTGTTTACATGCTTGAGTTTCTTGAAGCTGGGGGTGCTGAACTTCCAGGCAGAGACCAATGATGAATCGCTAACGATCGATCCTGATGTTATACAAAACGAACTGAAAGCTCTGCTGGCGATTTTGGCCGTACAGCCTCAGGAGACATTGTTGCAATTACGAATTATCGACGAGTTCCACAATAATTTGAGAAGCGTAATTCCCGAACAAATTAGCAGAACTGATCTCGAAAATGGTGCACCTCGATCCCTCAGTAGCTGGGTGGATGGTGATTTGCAAGCCTCTCCATTGATCAGCAAAATGGACGCGGGCCTTGCTCCCGAAGAGTCATTAGGAACGTTGCTGAACGACATTTATGGTCTGGCGCCCAATCAAGTCGGCAACGAAGAGGTCGGTGCCGGAGGCCAGGATTTTGACTTCACCCAGTTTTTTGCCGCAGATGACCTACCTTTCGAGCGCCGCTCAATGTTTCATTTCTAGCGCTCGCCTTGACACGTGAATATAATTACAGTTATAAATGTTACTATAAGAAATGGGCCGCCACCTTCCAACAAACCTCGCTTCTTATCCATTTCTTCAGGTCTATGAGCCCACCTTGCCCTGCTGTATGTTTGCTTGTTCTCGAACAACTTTTTGGAGCTGTTCCTCGTTCTTGAAATCTTGTCGCCAATTGCAGACAGGGCACACCAGTTGCTTACCGAAGAAGATTGGAAAGAGCGGGATAAACCAGAAAGCAATGAACTCGCGTCTTTTCACTGGGCGTACGCTGTAGTTGTGACAGTTCGGGCAATACAACGAATTGTACTGAGCAGATTGCTCATATTCCTTGTCCCAGTCCTTTTTCCCGAAAACAATAGGCACAAACGACATTTTATGAGAGAGCGAGTGAGATGTATCTATCGAGTACTGTGAGTGGAAGGTACCTGGCGATACGCTCTCTAGGCGGTGCTCAGCTGTTTATATAGTAGGGTAGTAGCACTTAAGGGTTTACCTTTTTGCTATAGCTTCGTTGGTAATGATAATTATCGAAGGTATTATCCACTGGCGGAGTAGATCGCAAGACACATATTTCAGACGTTATGCCCATACATTTTCCACTTGGTCCACTGCCACATAAACTGGCGCGTGTATCCAGTGACAGTGGTTACTTTCGAACCAACCTGGAATCGCGTGCAGTTTTATGCTGACATCTATTGAGCTATCGCTTCGAGTCATCACTGTTTTAAAATTTCCTCCCAGGAGAATACCTTCTTATTCGGCCCAGTGTGCGCTTTGGTCTATCTACGTATTTCGATCAATTTTTTTGGCTGGACTGTCTGAGGGTCCTTCTCCCCGACGCCTATTTTAAAGGTCACAGTGCGTACATGGCGTGCCAGTATTGTACAAAATGATAAAGAACAATTGTGGTTCAGCAACAAGGTGCTTGTGAAAGAGTAGGAGCCAGACTAGACTGGGTTAGATAATTGCTGTAAAGTCTAACAAGATGAGCTCTCTGGAGTGCACACCCATTACAGCGGGGCAAAAGGATAGTCTGGGTCGTAAAAAAATAAATAAATATGGAAGATATCATAGGAGCAGCCACGGCGTACTGACATAGCATATCTACCACGTGACCATAGGCCGATGGGCCAGTCATCCACTGGTGGCAGGGTCGATTTCGATATTGGGTCTAGCAAAGTTAAGGTGAAGCGTCTGGCCAGGATGTATCCAAGCACTACGACGTACGAGCGGGCGAAAAGCCCAAGCTCTTCATCAACCAGGTATGTGGAAGTTGCAACGTGGCGCCAGCTAACTCATCGGTAAACTCGGCGACGTCCGCGAATCGATATGGTGTCTATTCTCTACACCCTATAACCGTGCTGTTCATCTTCTATGAACTTCACTTTCCTAAGACCCTGGCACCAAGCATCTTCACTTTAGTGCGGGGCATATTGGCCAAGAGAGTGGTATTGGAGCGAGTCAGAGTCGGCAATAGTTGGCTTCCTAAGCTGTTCGTGGTGATAGATTATAGTGACTCGACGTTGACGGGGTTAGCTTGCCGAACTGTTCGTTCGGATCGTTTGTTAGACATTGAAATGACTGGTCAGAGTCTTTCCCTGTGCTGGTCCTCTGGAAACCAATGACTGCCCTATTCACCTTATACATTGTTTTACTGACGCTCTCAGTATCACTTCTTACTATACTGACACTGAGTAGATGATCGCTCCTATGCAACTCGCCGCTACTCACGCGGCACTAGACAGCTACCCCTCGGTAGTTTTAACAATCTCTCCCAAAATATCTCTGAAATCGCGTACCGGGGGACCCCTGCCATTTAGCAGCAAGCTATTACACTGTATGTTATCAACCTTCCGCGTGGAACACTCTAAGTAATACCATACGTAGCAGTCTGAACTACATGGACTGACAAACCGCTGGCTGCTGATGAAAAGAGTACCCGGCTATCAAACTGATGGCTAAATTGTTGTCTCTCACTGCCTTGACCAACCTTGTTTAAAGATGTCCATTGTCAACCAGTCGCTGGCACTGGTCGACCCGAATATCCCTTTATACGTGTTAAGCTTTCTAGGGAGCTTATCTATCATATGTATATTATGTATATATATGTATATGAGGTCATAACAAATACGTTCCCCGTGAGCCAACAAGAGCGAAACACGACGTGTGCAAAGGCATCTATCAACGTGCCAGGTTATTATTGATCGTCGACAGTGTAGTTGAAATACTGCGGAGCCGTAAAGCTGGTTCTTTTTACAGCGGTTTTCCCCATCGTACGGTGTAAACTACCTTTCAGCGGGATAGATAAGGCTTGACGTCTTCGCATCTAAAACTGTTCATCCGGTGTCCTTACCGGCTCAATAACTCTTTGCCGCGATACTGAGCAAAGTAACGCTTCTGGCGATCATACCCATTTTCAACTCGAGATTCTCAATTTTGTCCGTGGTCGGGTGCTGGCGTTGCAGTTGAATCATCCAGAAATCAGAACTCAAACTCCTTCACCACGACGACTCTGGACCCGCACGTTTTGGTTCAAGCCAAAATGCTCTACTCGGGCTCCGAAGAGTATACTGCCTTCGACAGGAGGCCGTCGTCGCTCCAGAGAAAACGTTCAGCCCCCAGTTTTGCTGCAACGCGGGAAGGTAAGGCCGCCGATGTCCCGTTCTCTGGCGACGGCCATTTCAGCAGCGCTAAGTCTTCGGTCCGCCCGCCGGAAACGGTTGAAACAAGGGAGAGTGACACTGCGATCAGTATGAACTACCCTATGGCGACCGCCAACTCCGAGCCGTATCAATATGTGGGAGATCCTTATCCAGGCTGCTTTCCACTTGCTACAAGTTCAACCGGCTCTTTTTTCGATCTAGATTTTTATTCTCCAGGAGCAAGCCATTCTGACACTTCTCACACCCTGATGAACCAAGGAGCTGTCCCGCTCACGGCCATCAATTCTTCACCCTCGCACATTCAAGCACCAAAGGACATGGGCCTATATCATAACTCTTCAAAGCTAGACAGTGTACCGAGTGGCCGCGTAGTTAATGATTCGCACGACTCGAGCCCCAGGATGCCAGCTAACTCATTTACTCCAAATGGCTTTGATTCGGCAGGTAACTATCTTCATGGCCCTCCGTCGGTTTCGAATCGATCGCTGAAGGACTGGGACTTCCCGCAGGCGGGCTACCCAGACGTGAACACCAACTTAAACATCAATTTCCAGGGAGGAAAGGAACACATGGAGGAGGAAGACAAAGGCGGTCATGAAGACGAAAACGGTGACGATGATCCGGAAAATAGTGATCTAGAACGGAATTCGTCTTTTCCACTTCATCGAGGATTTTCGTCGCGAACACCTTCTTCAAGTGCTTTAGCTGCACAGATACCCCACAGCTCATACTCCAATTTCAACACTAATATGGGTAATGTTGGTAGTATTAATAATAATAATAATAATAGGAAGGTTTCTGACTCTCGGCTTTCAGCTCAGGGCTTGGCCGAGGTACTGAATTTGAACTCGGCAGGGGAAGCCTTGCGCCGAGAACGGTTTATATTGGACATTTTTGAAAGGGAGCTCCATTACCCGTTGGGATACAAAACGTGGGTTCGTGACACTTCCAAGGAGTACCGTACGCGATTGCTGGACCAATTGCACCGCAGGGTGATTCAGACCTATCCCGAATACGACAAGCCCGTCCTTGAGACAATAATTAGGAGAGCAACATATTACATGATGCAGAGCCGGTTGAGAAGAGAAAGAAGAGCACGGGCAAAGATGAGCAGGGATCAAGGGAGGGGTATTATGGAGTCAGCGGACGCTAACGATATTGGCAATGCTGACGTGCGGTTCACGTCACATCCGAGTTCGTTGAGTTTTAGTTTCACAATGTGATATTTGGGCCAATATGTAGATCATATTAATTTTATGTAAAATGCTTTAAATTGGGATTCGAAAGCACGGGACCGGCAAGGTTTCGGGCGTGGCCATGAGATAGGAGGATGGGGGGTCGTAGGAGCTTTGAGGACGTGCAGCTAGCTGCCGAACGTCTTAAAAGGAACCGCTACAGGACGCCGCTGGGGAAGACAGCGGGCATATGGTCGGTTCTGGGATGTCAACATCATTTTCGTGCGAGTGTGACGCGCCGGTCTGCACTCGAGGTTCCTATATTGAGCGTCTATCTAATGTACAAATGGCTGGAACCAAAGTGGCTGAGGCAGTGAGTTTCCGGCCCTCGAGGTGTCCCCACAGAACAAGCAACAATCCCCAGGCCCCCAAGCTCAAGGTTCCCATTCGAGCTTCATGTAAACGGCAAAAGTTGCCCTCTTCGGCTCCGCCGTCCGACCCGCGCCTAAAACTTGGTGAAAGAGCCCTTCTTGCGGCTCTTGTTGAGCTTCTTGTTGCGCTTGTAGTTGTGGTGTCTAGCGTCCCGCCACCCCGACGTGCTCACTTTCTTGTCGTCCTGTTCCATATCGTCCGCTTGCACGGCCTCCCTAGCTTCCTCGGCCGACTTCACATCTGGGTTCTTACGCTGAAGCTCCTCCATCTTCTGCTTTATTAGGTCCTCCTTCATCTTGTGCGAGATCCGGTTGGCACGGGCGTCTGCGTCCACTTGGAAAACGTTCTTACGCTTTATAGACTTGGCCTTCATGTGGCACTTAGCACGCAGAGACTTAGCCATTGCTTCCTTATTGAGTGGTCAAAAGTCAGTTGTCCAGGACTAAAGTGGAGAAGCTGAGCACTGTGATGAGATGAGATGAGATGAGATGAGCTTAGAGGAGCATTAAAATTTTCCGCTACCATGGGCCACCCCTCGTTAACTATGACACTTTGTCCTCATTCATTTTTCGTGTATCATGCTATGAGCAGTCACATCTTGGCATTTACACCCGTGCATTTCTTCTTGGACTTTGAAAAATTCTTGTTGAGTCATTTTTATTTTTTGCGTGGGTGTCGAAGTTGCGTGGGTAGGTGGTGCCCGATGGTGTGTGATGGCCCTAGCTCGGCGGAGAGTCCCCTTCCAGGAGGCATCGCATTCCGCCTGGCCTGTCCTGCCGTGCCCTGATCCGCTCTGTCTACGGTTCCAACCACCCTGCCGGCTGCCGACTCTCTCCCTCTACGCTCTAGGCAGAGACGGCCCTGGTCTGGCATCATCGGGCAAAGTTTGTGGCAGTGTACAATCTCCTGGAACTTGGATAGGGCCTTTGATTTCTGGAAAATCTTGAAATTGTTGGAATACCTCTCATATACAGCGAAGAACCAAAGACAAAATGTATGTTGCAGGGCGTATTAAGTGGATTTGATGAAGTGACGATGGATGTGTTTGCAATGAGTACCGAACAGAGAACAGCCGTGAGATTGGGGAGCACTGCAGAGGCGATGGTGACAAATTGATAAAAGACTATTAGGATGGAAAACACGGTCAGGTTTTGGAATGCAGCGCGAGCCGAGTGCGAGGATTATGGGGTTTCGTATCGTAACAAGCGCAACCTTGACAGGAAGCTCGGAATCGACATTGGCCCACATCACCACACCACGTATATCGTTTCTAATAACACGGTTACTAACATTCTTTCCACAGGGCTAACCTACGTACTCAAAAGAGACTTGCCGCTTCTGTTGCCGGTGTCGGTAAGAGAAAGATCTGGATGGACCCATCTGAGACCTCCGAGATCGCTCAAGCCAACTCCAGAAACGCCATCAGAAAGTTGGTCAAGAACGGTACCATCGTCAAGAAGCCAACCAGAATGCACTCTAGATCCAGAACAAGAATGATGGCTGAATCCAAGAGAAACGGTCGTCACGGTGGTTACGGTAAGAGAAAGGGTACCAAGGAAGCCCGTTTGCCATCTCAGGTTGTCTGGATTAGAAGATTGCGTGTCTTGAGAAGACTCTTGGCCAAGTACCGTGACGCTGGCAAGATCGACAAGCACCTATACCACTCTTTGTACAAGGCTGCCAAGGGTAACACTTTCAAGCACAAGAGAGCCCTTGTCGAACACATCATCCAAGCCAAGGCCGATGCTCAACGTGAGAAGGCTTTGAAGGAAGAGGCCGACGCCAGAAGATTGAGAAACAGAGCCGCTCGTGAGAGAAGAGCCCAAAGAATCAACGAGAAGAGAGAAGCTTTGTTGAAGGAAGATGCCTAAATAACTTTTAACATCTACAACGTAAGTCGCCAACCTCTGAAGATCTAATTGGAAACAAGACCATTTGCTATACAGTCTTGACCATAAACTCTTTCCACAGTTTGAACCTTTTTTTAAAATTGTATTAGAAAATTTAAACTAACTTTGTCATTCAATCTGGAAGATGATCTGTTGCCATCAACCTGTAGAATACCAAGTTATCTGTCCCTAACTTGAGAATGTGTTTAATGAACGTAGCTTTGCCATTACGGCTAGGCTCGCCAGCCCGAGCTTCCATCGCGAATCACTTATCTCTTGACTTACATATTCTATCAAGGACTACCTACCTGTTCAAAACAAGCCATCAATTTCACCGTCCTCGTTAATCTCGACGTTCATGTATCCCGCATATGTTGAGAGGCCTGGGATTGTTTGGATCTCGGCCGCTAGAGCGTATAGATAACCCGCGCCGATGGATGCTCTGACATCGCGGATGGGGAAGGTAAAGCCCGTAGGAACATTTTTCAATGAAGCATCGTGGGACAAGGAATATTGTGTTTTGGCAATACAAATCGGCAATTTGCCAAATCCTTGCTCTCTGTACATGTCAATCTTTTTCTGAGCCAATGGAGAGATCTCTACACCTGCACCGCCGTACATTTTCTGCACAATAGTTGTTAATTTGTCTTCTACGGGTTGATCCACATCGTAGAGAAATTTGAAGTCCGACGGCTGCTCAGTAGCTTGAACAACAGCTTCGGCTAAGTCGACGGCACCCTTACCACCTTCGGCCCAGTGGTTCGTGGCAACAGCATCGTAAGCGCCGGCTCCTTTGGCAGCCTTTCTGATTGCCTCGACCTCGGCATCACTATCTGTTTCGAACTTATTTATCGCCACAACAACTGGAACACCGAATTGCTTGGCATTCGAGATTTGCTTGCACAAGTTCGCCGCACCTTTAGTAACAAGTTCGACATTTTCTTGAGTGTACTCTGCTGGCAGCGATTGGCCGGGCTTGACGTCTGGAGCGCCTCCATGAAGTTTGAGCGCTCTCACCGTTGCAACTAACACAACTGCATTGGGAGATAAGCCTGAAGAGCGGCATTTAATGTTAAAGAAACGCTCTCCGCCCATCGTGAAGTCAAAACCAGCTTCGGTGACAACGTAACCGCTCTCAATTTCAGGACCAGCAGCTTTTGGTTTGCCGACCAATTTTAGAGCTACTCTATCCGCAATGACGGACGAAGCGCCAATTGATATGTTGGCAAACGGTCCTGCGTGAACCATAACAGGAGTTCCTTCCAAAGATTGCATCAGATTCGGTTTTATAGCGTCTTTGAGCAGAGCAGTGACGGCCCCTGCACAACCAACGTCCTCGACGGTGACGGGGTCCTCATTCTGGTTAGCACCGACTACAATACGGCCTACTCTCTGTCTCATATCCTTGAGATCTCTTGAAAGCGCAAGGATCGCCATAAGTTCGGAGGCAACAGTGATGTCAAAACCTGTTGACCTGGTAAATCCTTTTTCAGTTGGAGCTTCCCCAATAGTAATTTGACGCAACATCCGATCATTAACATCGACCACCCTCTTGATCGTAATCGTCTCCGGGTCGATGTCTAAACGGGCGAACTTTTTGATCTCGTCTGGAGTCAGCTCATCAGGATTAGTTTTTTCAATACCGAGCTTTTCTAAGCGTTTTAGCATGGACTTGGTGAAAGTACGTTTTCCCTTCTTTTTTGGTACAAGTCTGTTATAAAAAGTTGCGTCCTTCTTCTGAGTACTCTCGTGGAACATACGGGTGTCGATAGCAGCAGCTAGAAGGTTGTTTGCAGCGGATATCGCGTGTATATCACCAGTCAAGTGCATGTTGAACTCATCCATCGGTATCACTTGAGCGTAACCACCACCAGCTGCCCCGCCCTTGACACCAAACGTAGGACCCATTGAGGGTTGGCGTACGTTGGCAACGGAGGGCTTGCCAAGGTGAGCAGTTAGAGCTTGAACCAAACCCATGGTAGTTGTGGACTTACCTTCACCCAATGGGGTCGGAGTAATACCTGCTACCAAAACATACTTACCGTTCTCGTTCTTTTCCAATCTCTCCAAGATAGATGGAGAGATTTTTGCCTTGTAGTGACCAAAAAGTTCAAGCTCACTGCTGTGGATACCGAGTTCTTCCGCGACGACGCTTATGTTCTTAGGGGTTTGTGCTCTGGATATAGCAATGTCAGAAGGTACAGGATCTAGAAGCTTTACTGGAAGAGGAGATATGTTTGGCAGTTTGTTTGACTCTGAGAGCTGTCTTTTGGCAGCTAGCAGAACATTTTGAACCAACATCGCAACAGTCATAGGACCGACTCCTCCAGGCACGGGAGTGATAAAGGAAGCCTTGTTTTTAGCCGATTCGAAGTCCACATCACCAACCAATTTTTGACCAGATTTCTTGGAAGAGTCAGGAATGTAGTTAATACCTACGTCGATAACAACGGCACCTTCCTTTAGCCATTCACCCTTAACGTAGTTGGCTCTCCCACAGGCGGCCACCACCACGTCGGCCTGAGACAAGATGTCGGGTAAGTTGGCGGTGTGACTATGGCACACAGTGACTGTAGCATCCAAGTTTTTCAACAAAGATGACACCGGGGTCCCCACGATGTCAGAACGACCCAGTACAACGGCGTTCTTACCCCGCATGTTAATACCTGCCTCTTTCAGTAGTCTTATGCATCCATTGGGAGTGCAGGGGATAAACATAGGCTCTCCTCCCTTTTTGGAAAGTTCGCCAGCGTTATAGCGGTGAAAACCGTCCACATCTTTGGTGTGAAGTACGGAGTTGGTGATTTTTGTCTCGTCCAAGTGTTTTGGCAGTGGCAGCTGGATTAACAGCCCATGAATCGCGTCATTGTTATTGACCTCTTCAATCTTGTTGAGAAGCTCAACTTCTGTGATGTTCTCAGGGAGTTTCTCCACGTCACAATAGACACCACTCTCTTTGGAGGCCTTCAGCTTCATACGCACGTATGCGGACGAGTCAGGTCTGGCGCCAACTTGATAAATCTTCAAAGTTGGTGTGAAAGTAGGGACACTCAATCTTATTTGTTGAATCTCGCGAAATGCTTCATCTCTAATGGTTTTGGCGACTTTTGTGCCAGACAGGGTGTGATAAAGAGACTTTGAACTGGGCCTGAGGGCCCAGCTGGAGGTCAGTTTAACAACCCTTAGCTGAGATGCATAAAAGCGTCTAAGAGGTGCTCTCTTCACAGCGCGAGAAAGCATTCTGGGCCAATCGTTAAGGGCACACCCGTGGACGAGAGCAGCGGTTGTTCTCACATTGTGACTCTTCCTATATAGTCAAATTATACCAAATAGCTGATGTAATTGGATAGAAAAAACAGTGGCATTTAGTACGGAGGAAACGATAGGCAAAACAACCAACTCTAAGGCTTCTACTAGGTGACGACTTTGTGAGCTTCCTATCGGTACCGTCTAATGCCTTTTACCGCTGTCAAATTGCAGGAGGAAGGTGGTTGGCGTCGGTCCTCTGACATTATTGTATAAAGTGATGTATACTGGCGTCTGTAAAATCAGAATGGGCAATGGGGATTCTGAACCGGAGTCAGCAAAACTTTGAACTAATCCAGTCTGTAACCAATATTGTAGGAGCAGGTGTGCCCATGTATCAGTATTTTCGTTACTCGTATAAGGAGCCTTGTCAAGTAGGTCACAATTAAAGGCCGATTTTTCTAATTTGTGCTAACACTTCCGGCCTTTTACTAGAGCCAACGAGCAACAATGTCCGTCGAAGTCTGGTCTCTATCTCCTCTATTACTCTCTGTACTGTCCGTGAAAACACGTTTTCCTGACATCTTTTCTATGATGACCTGTTTTATGCAGTGCCTAGTAGACTGGAAAATGCCAGTTTAATAACAATTGACTTTATCCCGGCACCTCGGCCGGAACAAGCTTGACCCCCCTCCCAATCCTGCGATCAGTACCTGCTGCCTTCCGTATTCTCTATTATGCTATCTCATTCAGTGTCTCTATATGATACTTTTTTAATGTAAGATATTTCGAATCGAGCTTGAGTTTGATGGTTCTTTCAACCCCGAATCATTTTCGAGAATTAGCGTGAAAGGAGGTGTCGGAACCGTCAGTCCTCGAAGGGTGATATATGGTCAACCCCGGCGGAGAGCTGTCGCCGGCCGGCTCCGGTGGTCGAGTTGCCATGATAGGCACGATAGCGTGCAGATCGAAATGGTGAGACTTCACATTATCAGGCTCCAAGCCCTCGAAATGCTGCGTCGCATAGCTTTGTTCAGCATGAATACTATCGATGAGTTGGCGCTGCTGAGCCGCAACCTGTTGGGCAGCCAGCATTGTTTGTTGATCGGCACTGCCGGCCTGGTGTGTCTCAGGATGCTGGTAGGTGTAGTCGTGCATGTTGACGGGCACGCATTTGTAGGAACGTAGATTCCCGTACACCTTGCGGGCGTAGTCCAGAGGAGTGATGGGCTCCGGCCCACCGACGCCTACCACCTCGGGGTGGCCGTATAAAAATGGCGGAGCTCCCAAACTCGCGCCGGCGCCGACCGGGAGGTCGAAAGCTGGATGGACGGGCACGTCCACGTGACCGGGTGCGGTGCCAACGACGGGGCCGTTTGTAATGATCGATTCTCGGGCACCCAGGCCAGTAAGTGACGAGTCCGAGGTCGAGGCTGAAAGAGTGGAGTCGAGCGTGCGGGACGCCTCGGGCCCATTCAGAATATCGGTGAAGGTGGCCAGAAACTCCGTCTCCTTTTCCGGCGTCTGGGGCGCGCCGTTCTCGATCAAGGTCAGAAGCTCCTCCTCGTACGGGGTGTTTTGCAGGCGGTTCTGAGCCTTGTTCATGATGGACTTCTTCCAGACTTGGATGTGCGAGGAGATCTGTTTCTTGGAGCGGTACTCGCCGATGGAGTGCTGGATGAATAAGGAGATGAGCTCGTTCCGCCCGTAGTTGCGTTTTTGGAATTTGATCTTGGCGGTGCCTTTCTTGGGAATGATCCGCAGGGCCGCGAGAAACGCATCTTCCACAGCGGCGGACCAGATGTCGGTGTTGGTGAGTGCTGCCGCGGTGGTCGCGGTGGAAGAGACCGTGGAGACGCTGGGGGCCATGGCGTCCTCCACACGCGGCCCCAGATCCAGCCTGGCGGGCCGTCCGCCGGCCGCCAGGCTGCCGGAGCGATACCGGTACCGCGGGTTCGAGACGTGCGTGTGCAGGCGCCCCGGCTGGAGCGGATGGTGTGGAGGCAGAGCCTGGTCATTGTGCACGGCTGTGTCGCGGCCTCGCAGATCCACTTTCTGGCCAAGCCCGGTGTTCACCAGCGCGGCCGCGGTGTGCGGGTCGACGTTCCAGACGGTGTGGCGGCGCTGGACCGGCCGCGCGTCCCGCAGCGGGCGTTCGCCGGGGACACCAGCCAGCAGAAACGCCTCGCGGTCCTCGTGCTCGTCCTCGCCGTCGCCCTCCCCGTCCCCATCCTCGTCCTCGTCCTCGCCCTCGCTCGCCTCGACGCTGGCGGGGCCATACAGACCCTGGTCCGCACGCTGCCCGGCGTGTTCGTGCGACATGATGTCCACCGCTTCGCACGGGATCTGCGCGCTCCCGTCGTACACGTCGAAGATGCGCGTGCTGTGGGCGCTGGCCGGGGCGCTGGCGTGGGCGGTGTACCTGGCGAAGCTCCCGCTGCGGTCCCCGTGGAGCCCGCCGCCGCTGTCCATGCTAGTGTCAGGCCTGCTGCTGTGTTTTCCCTGTCCTGGTCCCTGTCCTTGTCCGCCGTCCAATATCTCGCCCGTCGTCGCTGTCGTCCTGTCCCGTGTCCCAGCTGTAACGGCCAATGCGTAATTATCTCTGTGGCCGCTGTTCGTGCCAAGTGAACTATCGTGAACTATAGTGAACTATGGTGAACTATAGTGAACCACCGTGAATTATCGTGCGCTCCACAAGCTCTGCCCTTAAACTGGTCTTTGGCCGCGTCTGATATCTATCGCCTGCGATCCGCACCGCCTGTCCCAGTATGTATCGTCCTCGCATCCTTCCCACTCTCTATATACCTTTTTCGAAGCTGGCAAACGGGCCCAAGGCTAATTTGGGACCTCTGGCTCCGCTATTGTGCTTGCCCGGGGGTCTGCATCCCGATTAGTTGTGCATAAGCTATTGCGTAAGGCGTCCTTTCTCGTATCTCCTGCTCGCTCAGCCAACCGTTCGGGCGTGGAGCTCTACCACAAACACTGTACCACTCACCACCAACACACACGCACACACGCACGCACGCACACGCACAGCTCTGGTAGGGAAAAGCTAGCTCAACCCTACGCCTGGTGTTATCCTGCTAACGATGTGAAATGACATAAGGGAATACAGCCCAGGCAGTCGCACCGGCCAATTACGTGTGCCGCGCAGCCTTGAAGCGGGCCGCGCAGCCTGCCAGCGGCGAGGGTTACCCAAAGGGGAAGCGGTGTTTCAGCTGGGAAAATGTGAAACAGCACGTGACGGGGCGCCCGCAGAGGCGGCGCGGGTGCGCGGAAGGCGGAAACAAGCAACAGCGGAGGGTAAGAAAAAAAACAAAAACAACAGACGCGCATACGTAGTGGGGGTGTTTCGGATTGCGTCGGCGGTGGGGGGTGGGGGGTTCTAGACCAGGCGCGGGAGCGGGGCACGTGGGGGGAGGGAGTACGTGCGCCCAGCAGTCCATCACATGATGGTATGTCTCGCGCACGTGCCTCTCACGTGGGTATGTGCGCCCAGCTGCCCGTCACCTGACAATATTTCTCGCGCAGGTGCCTCTCACGTGAGAAGAACACTCAGCTGTCCATCACATGATGATATGTCTTGCACACGTGCCTCTCACGTGAGAGGAACACCACTGGTAAAGCACCCGAGTGCCACGTGAATGGTCTAATAGTATGTGAATCGTCCGCTACACGGTCTACGTACTCTACTCGCTCATGTACTCGGCGTACTCGTCCACCGACGCAAATACCGGAAGGCTCTTGAGCTTCTTGCGCGACAGGCGGTGGCCGGGCTGGGCCGCGTCCTGGGCCGGGCCGCCCTCGTCGTCGCTGGGCTCCGACTCGCTCTGGAACGCCTGTGCCAGCGCTTCGTCGTCCGCACCGTCGCTCTCGCCGTCGCTCTCGTCACGGGACCGCTTCCCAGCACCCGGCACGTGACCCGCGTCGTCCGCAAAGCTGTAGAACACATCCTCGTCGCCGTTGCTCGCGTCCGAGTCGGAGCCCACACCGCCCTGCTGTTCGTCGCTGCTGTCGTCCGGGCCGCTCGACATGTCCTCGAGCCCGTCCATGGAGAGGTCGTCCTCGCTGTCGTCCTCCACCTCCGGCCGCGACTTCACCAAGGCGTCCCAGACCTCGTCCTCGTCCAGCTCGCTTGCGTCCTCATCCTCGCCTCCACCGCGCCCGCCCTTCTTGTCCCTGGCGGCCCGCTTGATGGCGCTCTGCTTCGTCGTGAAATACTGGTGGAAGAAACGCTCGTCTGGGGTCACCTGATCCGCCCGCTTCACCAGCCAGTCCTGCGTGTTGGCCGGCACCGCGTCCGCACCTTGGGCCTGCGCGTCCGACGCCCGCACGATCAGCGCCCCCGTGTGTGAGCCGCCCAACGGTTGCATGATAGACGAACCACGGGTGGTGGGTTTTTGCTTGGCGTTCCGGTACACGAACCGATCCAAAAAGTGGGCCAGCGTGTACAGCCCTAGATCGGGTTTCGAGATGTCCTCGGTGCTGTTCACAAACGCCTCCGCGTAGCTCTGGACTGTTGGGTGGTAGTGGTTCAAAAAATTCCGGATCTCCCAAAGCGAAGTCTTGTCCGCATGCGCAAACTTCGGGTCTCTCTTGCGGCTGTCGTAAACCGGCTTGGCGTTATCCTTCACGTCGGATTCCTCCTCTGAAGCGTATTCGTCGTCCGCTGGCGTGTTCGTGAACAGGTTTTTGATCTGCGGCACAGATTTGGCCAATTGTAGCAGGAGAAACAGCATCCCCGAAAGGGCTCCCACATTCAGCCAGCTCGAGCACACTTGCAGGATTCTCTTCACAAAGGCTTCTACGCGCGCCACGTTCTTGTCGTTTTTCAGCGATTTGTACAGCAAGTTCATGTAAATGCCCTGCTTCGAAGAAGTCACAAGCCGGCCATCCAACAAACTCTCGTAAAGGGTACGGTAATATCTATCATTGTTCAAGCCTGCCTTCAGAGTGACTTGGTGTATCAGCACCAGCGCTTGAACCGCAGTGTTGAAATTAGAAGAATGCGTGATTTGGAACAAAGTATCCAAATGCGTTTCGTAGACGCTGGCCGGCATGTTGGAAAACGGCAAAGCACGGTTTAGACCCGTGAGGATAGCAGAAAACAGCTTGGAGTTTTTCTCATCGATCACTTCTTTCTCCGTTTTGTCCTCTTTCACAGACTTGCCACCCTTCTTCCCGCGCTTGAAGCTCTTTTTCCTCTTATTTTCATATGATTTATCCTTATTCTTGGGCGCATGGTCACCAGTCTCGACGTTTGAGGCGTCCGTGGACAGCAAGTATTTTTCGAAAAGTGTGAAGTATGTTTTGACCAACTGGTTGGCAACTCTGTCTTCGGACCTCTTCAAAATAGTTTGATTCAAGGTTAGCACCGAGTAGTACGTGGTGTGGTAATCGGCGCTTGGTCTTAAAGCAACGTCGACTGTAGCATCCAAGACTATGGATTTCATATTAGGGTGGGCTTGCTCCAATTTGAGCAACTGAAACGACGTCTTGGAAGAAACCTTGTTGTCGATGTCACCGAGTTTGTTGACCCCTAGCCGTAGCAGATTGAACTCCTGTTCAGGCTTGGCAGTCAGGAGGTCGAAAATGTGGGATATGATTTGCATACGCACGTAAATGATGGGATCGTGGGACAACCGCTCGATAACCTGCAGAACTTTGAAATACAGGTTTTTCAAATAGTCTTCAAAATAGAAAAGGGCCAACGTCTTCTTGTTGAGCATCATCGAAAGATTCTGGTTCTTGAAGTGTTTCAGTTTTCTGTTCGGAAGCAAGCCGTTGAGAAGTAAATCCTTCAAGGCATTCAGACTTTGCAAAGCTGAATTCCTCGACTTTTTGCTACAGTATGAGATAAGTGTATCCAAAGACTTGGTATTATGCGCTGGAGACTCCTGAATGAGCAAAGTCAGAGCCGAAATCTTATCGTTCAAAGTACCTTCGCTCAAAATTTGGGACATGAATTTCCTCTGAGAAGAATTCTTGGTGAACTCGTCATAGTACAAGGCATTGTCGGCCTCCAACGCCTCCTTACCTCTCTGGTATAACGTTTCGATCTTTTCTGTCGACAGCGGATCATTCTGTGCGTTGGCCCCGGGATCCAGAGGAATTTCATACCACGTTAGATCTGAAGGAAGTAAGAGAATATCGGAGCTGACCATCTGTGTTTGAGAAACTAGATTTTTGTCTTCCTTTTTTTCTTCAGTCTCTGCGTCTGAGTCTTGATTAAGAAACGGTCCGTCCTCTTTCCCAGAGTTTCCATCATCTGAAAGATCTGTATCATCTGAAAGATCGTCAATTGTTTTGATAAGTGCCGGTACTTCTTCCTGGCCATCCTGGTCCTCCTCTTCCTCCTCTTCCTCCTCTTCCTCTTCCTGCTCCTCCTGATCTTCCTCCTCTTCCTCTTGATCCTCTTCCTCCTCTTCTTCCTCTTCTTCTTCTAAATCTTGCGGTACAGCTCCTTCAATGCCAGAATTCTTCAAAAATTTTTGGAAATCCTGAGCAAAAGTCTTGTCACTGTCTGGTTTCGAATCCCCAAACTCTTGTTCACTGGCGTTGTCGTCGTCAGAGAGGCCGCTTATTAGATCCAAGTCCTTCTCTGAAGCGCCTAAAGCCAACGCCTCGCGGCGCAGGGCCTCCTTTTGGGAGCTGGTATCCTTGAAGCTTTCATTTTGCTGTTCCTTTGCCTTCTTATTGGCATCTTTCCCGGTCTTCTCACCAGATTCCCGCTTTTGCTCCTTCTTGGAATCCTGCTTGGAGCCTTTCTTCCCCGCTTTGGTAGGCTTTTTGTTATCGTTCAATTTCGAAGATATCTTGTCCCTCAAAGACGAAAGATTCAAGCCAGGACCACTCATTCCGAATTTCACGTCAGTAGTTGGCTTTGCTTCTTTGCTGTTGCTGTGCTAGACGTTTCTGTGCTTGAGTGATGCGATGCGATGCGATGAGATGAGCTTGGAAGGCATCGTCAATATCCAGAAAATTTTTAGAACTCCATTTCGTTCTTAATGATAATTGATGATCTTTTCGAAACCCTAACGCTTGGCAGAGTCGACGTCTGGCATCAAATTGCTCTATGACCAAATTGATTCCTAGCTCCAGGTTTCTAGCCCCCACATACTAGGTCGACCAGCTAGATTCCGGATTGCCTCCAGTAGTGATTGTGTCACTTCGTACGCAATTTGCTTCCGGGCCCGCCCGAGCAGTGACGGCGGAGATATTTATTGGGGCGAGTCAGCGTCGGTAGTAGTAGGCTGCTAAATTGCTCGTTCAATTTGTTGATGGACATCGTGTATAAGAGTCTATTGAGGCGAATCTGATTTATTTGCAGAAGGCTTACTAAATTTGTCTTGTAAGTCGGACATAGTCATTGTAAGATGAGAAACTTGGGTCTAAGGGATTCTATTTATCTCTCCGTGATTATTCTGAGCATTATAGTTGGTTCAGTTACCTGAACAAAAGCCTGCTATTTATACAATTCTCACCCGGTGACTCTGGTCAACACAATGATTAATCACCCGTTCTAGATCATTCTATTGCCCATGGATTTATGGCTTCAATGCCGTACTCTGTCGAAAACTTATCAATGGCCAATCCCACTGGACAACGGTTGTTCTCTTCGGTTTGTCTTAGCTTGTAACTCGATTTGTATGGCTCTGTGTGTGCTATCATTCTGTACCACTGTGTCACATTTTACTGACGCACATCACCATCACTTTCCTCACAATACTCCCAACATCTTCAGCTTCCAACGCTGATGCCGTACACCACTCCAAGTAGTGTTCCGATACCAGCGTCAAAATCGTACAGCAAACAAAAAGGGTCCACCCCGATTTCCCTCTTACAGGACCACTTCAAAGCGTTGTGTATGTGCTGGGGGGGTGACGAATGTTGCTGAGGTCTGCCAAGCTGTTAAATAGCATCATTTATATATCTCGATCCAGGTTCATGCTTTCAATCTCAGAGAACGGAGACGAGGCTGCTCTTTAAATATAGCACAAAAATTATGAAGTTAAGTTTCCCAACACTAGACATATTTTGAGATCCAATGGTGTAAACGATGGTCTCGAAAGCATAAAGCGCTAACGAGAGCTCAAAATGACAGACGACAGAGCTGTCATTTTCATCTCCGTCACCCCTGCGTTAATAGCGATCATAATCATTTATTACCCGGACAGTGATCTATCCAGTGCTTCCAGAGTTTCCAGAGTTTTCAGCTCACAAATATAAAAACCAACAGACCATTTTATCACCAAATCGGTGGCAATTTACTAGTGGCACCAAGTATAAAATAACCAACGAAACATGTCTCTAAAGCGTATCACAAAGGAACTAAACGATTTAGGAAGGTATGTGTCAACTTGTCTCGAATGCTTTTGAGGATTTTAGAGCGTAGGCGAAAGCCCGGGTTCCATGAGCCATCGGGAGTTTTTGCACGAATTTTGGTCTGTCGTTGAGACACAAACTCATGCTTATTACTTAGCCAGGAGTCTTACACATGCAGATCGGCTTACTTGGGGTTTTCGGTTTCTCGGCCAAGACTGTCGGTTCGCGTGAGGTAATACAATGTCTTGTACGAATCTATTTTCCCTCCATGACTAGTAATCATTCAAATGCTAACTTTTATATTGTTACAGAGATCCACCCACCTCCTGTTCTGCTGGGCCTGTGGGCGATGACCTTTACCACTGGCAGGCATCGATTATGGGGCCTCCGGACTCTCCGTACGCCGGCGGTGTTTTCTTTCTCTCCATACATTTCCCAACAGATTATCCGTTCAAACCTCCCAAGATTTCTTTCACCACTAAGATATACCACCCTAATATCAACGCTAACGGGAACATTTGTTTGGATATTCTAAAGGACCAGTGGTCTCCTGCTTTGACGATCTCGAAGGTGTTATTGTCGATCTGTTCCCTTCTAACGGATGCCAACCCAGATGACCCATTGGTCCCAGAAATTGCTCACATTTACAAGACCGATAGAGCTAAGTACGAAGCTACTGCCAAGGAGTGGACCAAGAAATACGCTGTCTAAGGCGAACTTATAAGACTTGATGAGGGCGTAACTGGTGGTGAGGTTGAGTGGTTGATGAAGCGCTCACCGCTGTGAAAGTAGGCCAAAGGTGATCCTCTATCGATATTTTTTCTTGAAAGCATCTGATATGCAAAAGTAGCATTGATCCAGAGCACAGCTTTCGCAGCATGGCAACCATCACATGAAGTAAATTACTCAGAAATATATACGCGCGTATATATTTTTTTTCTCACGTTTAAGCTTGTAGCTCGATAGGCTATTTGTATGCTTGAGTTGTTATCCTTAGGTGCTGGAGAATCATCTTCGTAGCCAGAATCTAAAATCAAAAAAAACACTCACGGTGGGGGTCGAACCCACAATCTTCTGATTAGAAGTCAGACGCGTTGCCATTACGCCACGCAAGCTTTTTCTTGATCGTCATTAACTCACTTCTGTATCACTTAGCTTGCAAAGTCATGCCTACTTCTATGACTATTGCTGAACGGTTTGTTTCAATTTATTAGCTTAAATTTTAGGCTAACACTCCCTGTTGCTCTTTGTGACATTGATTTTGACAACTTATTGACTAGCCTCATTTGTGTGTTATTTACAATTAATGATTTTGATGTAAACATTAATTTTCGAAGAAAACGCAAAATCTGGTATAAGAAGATACCCACAACAAAACAAAGTTGAAACCATTACTTAGAAAGAGACTGAAGTAATCAATCTAAGACTATTTTAACTCCATTAAATATGCATCTCTAAAGAATGTCAGAAATCTTTTGCCATTAGAGGGTATAATCCTGTAATATTGAAAGCGATCCTTAAACTAATATTAACAGAGACATCTGCTTATGAGAGGATATTCGGATTCTAGAGATGACAGTTTCTTCAACAGCACTTGTCATTGTCTTTTGTAGATTCTGTAACAAGTGGCCAAGGTCAATTCGCGCTGTCGTCGGTCAGATGACCTATCAAAATGATATATATCACGAAAATTAAAGAAGGTCGAGTTGACAGGCATCTCCGCTTGTTGGCTGAACTGAATTCATCAGACCCTATTGGGAGTAAAAGATCGGGCAATGGACAGTTTGGTGCCGATAAGAAACTACCAAAAGACGGATGCTACGCAACTACTTCGGTATACCGAGAAACTGTTCCAACATGGCAGGTTTCATCAGTTTTTAACCCCTCAACAACTCATTGTCTTGGGCAAGATCATAAGGATACAGGATCCCGCTGAAAAAGACAGGGTTTGGGGTGAACTTATATGTGGTAATATAGTATTAGAAGTGATAATAACTGCAAACGGCCGGATATCAGAAGGCGTCGGTCAACCCAATTTTAGAAATGATGCAACGGGTAGCGCCGGCTTCAATGACCAGGAAACTAGAATCGGGGAAAAAGATAACACAACCGTCAAAGGAGTAAATCAAACGGGTCAATCCAACTTAAACGCTGCATATAAAACACAGACCATCGACACGCCAAAAAATCAAGATGAAATTTCGTTAGAGACTGATTTCTCAGAGGTTGACCTGGAGAATCTGCAACAACAAATGAGTGGCGCAGACTTCATTGGAAATCTGTCATTGAAAATCAGGTATGTTCTGTGGGAGAATGCCATAGATTCTTTGTGCCACAACATCGAGCCAGGGGAAGATGATCCACCATTCCTTGGTATTACCCACAACGACGGTGGCCAGCCTGGAACCGTGACTGAGGGAGAAGAGCAAAGAGAAAAAGTTGATGTACGAAAGGTTGAAGAAGAAGAGGATTACGACGACGACTATGATGACAAAGATATCGAGGATGGTAAACCCTTTAAAGAGGTCGATCTGGAGGCCACCGAAACCCAGACGTCATACGATGACAATGGCCGTCTCATCTTTAAATTAGAGATTTCTATTGATACCCTGTCGATATTGGGCGTTACAAATACTCAAGTGATATTTGAGGGCTTCAATAGAATATATCATAACTTTGAGAATGATCGCGAAACACTTCTCAAGAGACTCAAGCTCGAAGAAAGTGACAAACTTCTGGAAACCTCCAGGAAAAGAACTTTCAATGAGACTGGGGAGTCTCCAGAGAAGGAAGGAGAAGAGAAGATGTTCGTAGACGCAGCTTCCAAAAAGGCCAAAGTGCAACAAGCCGAAAATTCGTCATTGGCTGTGAACCTCGGCTCTGCCAACCTATCTTTAAAGCACTTACTTGCTACAATTCAAGATAACAAAGCGAAATTAAACATTTCTGACTATGAGCTACGGCATTTAATCATGGACGTGAGAAAAAACAGGTCAAAATGGGCCTCGGATGACAAGATAGGTCAAGAAGAATTATACGACGCTTGTGAAAAGGTGGTGTTGGAACTTCGGAACTTTACAGAGCATTCAACTGCATTTCTCAACAAGGTCAGTAAAAGAGAGGCTCCAAATTATTATCAAGTTATCAAGAAGCCCATGGATCTTAATACAGTCTTAAAAAAGCTCAAAACATACCAGTACAACTCGAAACAAGGTTTTGCAGATGACATTATGTTGATTTGGAAAAATTGTTTAACCTACAATTCAGATCCCAAACACTTTCTTAGAACTCACGCTATCGCAATGCAAAAGAAGTCTTTATTGCTAATCCCTTTAATTCCTGATATTACTATCAGAGAGAGGTCGGAAGTAGAAAAGGAGCTCGACGACATAGACAAAGAAGATGACAAAGACGACGAAGTTGAAGAAGAGCTATCGGGAACTGGTAGAAAAGGAGGAAACGTCCGTGGAATTAAACATAACTCAGAAGAGCAGTCAGGTAAGGAAAATGACGTGAATGAGGAAGTTGAGACACTCAGCGGCGGTGGAGATGGAGAGTCAGCGGAAGGGGAAGTGCAACATAAGGTCAAGGATGCTGTCAATGGCGGCACAAAAGAAGAAGCGCACCTCAACGGAAAGGGACGGATGCCGGACCTTGAATCTGAAGGAGAAGCTCAGCATGAGCCGAAAGCTGAGAGGGACATGGACAGCAAAGTTAATCAAGCTGAAGACCCGGACGATCATTCATCTGATGTGGAGGAAAACAGTAACAATGTTAATCGGGGTGTAGAAAATGGTCAACATGATGGACGAGAGGAAAATAGCCAAAGCTTGGCGATAGCTGAGCGGGATAACGATGAAGAAGATGAGGAAGAAGATGAAGAGGAGGAGGAAGATGGTGAACTGGGATCAGATATGTATCTGGTGGAGAAAGACGACGATAAAGATGATTTGGAATTTTCAACATGGAAGAATTCAACAGCAAGTGTTCGCGCAGAGCTCTGTATTGAACGTGCGAATCTATTTAGGGGTAATGCTCTGAATACAAAGGCTCCCGCAATACTTCGAAATCCTGGAAAGATGAAGGATTTTAATCAGCTTTTGAGAGAGTATAAAGATCAACAAGAAGCCGAGCTACAGCGACGGAAGTTAGAACAGGAATCAATAATGAAAAATGGGTTTGGTACTGTCGTTAAGCAGGAGGACGAAGAAAATTCTATAATTCAGCCACAACAATCTCAACATATGCAAAGCGATTGTGATGTGGAAAAAGGCTCTTCAGAAATCGAGCTCGATGATGCAAACTTTTTGACCGAGTACAATGTCGCCAACGCCGTCCCTATTATCGGATATAAGGGTGTGGACGAGGAAAGCATGGATAAGGAAGAGGCTCGGGCCGTTGAAAAAATTTTGGCAGACGGTGTATTACAGGATAGTGCATATTTGGCGAATAAGGATAAGGGTTTGAATCCAAAAATGAACGTCAATATCCAATTGATACAGGAGATAAGACACATTTGTCATAAAATTGCATTAATACGGATGCTCCAGAATCCCCAAAATCCGTCACAACAGGGTAAAGGTGGCCCAAACAATCCTAACAATCAAATTTGGGACAGTCACAAGTATAAGTTTACATTGATAGACGAAAGTATTGATTTGGACCCCGTATCACGTCTAGCTACAAGGAATAAAAAACATGACAAACATCTGGCCCACCGCTTGATGCACAAAAACATTTCACGGATTGCCATGGCCAATGGCTTTGAAAGTACTCAGCCCATGGCCATCAATATGCTAACTGAAATTGCTGGAGAATATCTTTCAAATACTATAAAGACTATTAAGATTCATCACGAGAGTACGTCGCTAAATCCCAAGAAACCATATGAAATTCTTCAGATGTCTCTCTTCGAGAATGGGATAAAGAAACCCGATGATTTATTCTCATATATGGAAGCCGAGTTCGTCAAGAAGAACAACAAACTGAAGGACATCAAGCTCAAGCTCAATAGCTTCCTGAAAGAGCTTTTGCGTCCAACATTACAAGATCTGTCAGAAAGGAATTTTGAAGACGAGAGTCAAAGCTTTATGACTGGTGATTTCTCGAGCGAGATTACAGGTGAGGACTTTTTCGGATTTAAGGACTTGGGTCTTGATCGCGAATTTGGGGTACTGAGTAATTCTGTTCCAATGCAGCTTTTGACCTTTCAGTTCCAAGGGAAAGGGGCCGAGGACAAGATACAAGACAAAAAAATTCAACCCGAGGAGTTCAACGACGTCTCTTATGCCGACGTTACCACGAGTTCTATTCATGAAAATAAATTCTGGAATACCTTGCGGCCCCTCCTAGAAAAAGCCTACAGTCGGTTCAAAGCTCACTGTGCAAAGAACGGGAAATCGAAGCTAACAGAAGACCCTTCAGCTAAAAATTTGGATTATCAAGTTCTTGCGGAAGATGACGATTTGCCTTCGAAATCAAAATCAGGACGACCTCGATTACCGCCGACCGGGAAAATCAGCACAAATTATAGAAAGAAAAACATCTCGGATGCTTTTTTTGCACCCGATATTACCCCCTTTCCCGGACAACTTAATGAGGGAGATGCCAAAGCTGAAAACCAGCACTCACTGCCATATTCGCAGGAAAAAAGCTCAAGATCAGAGCTCAACACCGAAGGGTCTGCTCCATTTACCTTGAACCTGCCAAAAATTGTTGAAAAGTGACTTCATTGAATGCCCTCACTCTTGTGGTATGCCCTTCCCATACATAATACTTTTATTCTAGTAACGCTAATATTTCAAATGCTAAAGTTCGTCGTGTTCCACTTCGTTTTGACTGCCCCTGTCCCGCGGAGCCTTGTTTACAGGTTGTTTCTTATGGTCTGTCTGACCGCTGTTCCCACGATCCAGTATCGCAGGCCCTATATGCACTTCAAATTCCTCTTCTGAATCTCCACGGGCCATATTGAGATGCATGGCTAAATTTTTCGCAAATGCCTGCATGCTCTCTTCTTCAATTATTTTGGCATCCTTTTTGACATTTACATCAAATGTCCTATCCCGCCGAGAGCTCTCAGCGATTGTTTCAGGAAAGTCCTCCACTAGGTTCGGTTCTTGGATGGTAGCTCGCGTATATTGAATTACATTTTCGGTGATATGCGAGCTTCCGGAGGACATACGATCAAAAGTAAGCTGTGCTACAGCGTCTTCACCGACTTTCACCTTGAGGATGCAAATTGAGTTCCCCTTATTGTCAACTACCTCACTGACCCACGACAGGGTATCGCCAGGGGAAAAGGCCTGCGTACCAGGTACGGCAAGTAATCCTTTGGTCGTGAGTTCTTGAAATGCTTTGACAGCTCTTTCCAAAAACAAGTCTTCAGACGGATGCAAACCCGAATCGTCTTCTGAAAATATCACATCATCGATGTAGAGGAGCTTTGATACATTCTGACCATCCAGTACGCCACTGCCATATCTATTCTGCAAGAAATAGAAGCCTTGTCCCAGAAAGAAAGGCTGGAAGCGAGATGTTGTTAACGGATTAACCGGATTACTGTCGGCGCAAACTATGGGGTGAGCAGATTTCTTGCTTTCACCAGCAGAGAGAAGCTGAAGATGACACAAATTGGGAATTGCGATGGTCATCACATAGTGGCACAACATCACTTCTTTTACGTCTGATATAAACGCTTGGCTGGAGCCCGAGTCACACACATACTTTACTTCCACCTCACGACCCGCATGAATCTCAGTGCACATGTCTCCGTTTACCGCACGCTCACTAACGTAGTAACCTGTTACGTCGTTTAGCATTTGCGGCTCTTGTAGGCCCTCATCTGCTAATTGACCCAAGAGGAAATGCAGACCTACTTCTTGGGCCGGCATATTTTGATCCTGAGTGATACTCTGGCCGTGACAATATGTGTACCTCCAGATTCCGCTAAAGTAATTGAAACACTGGCCCTCCAAGCTCTCTTGTATAATTTTAGTGCTTTGTTGCAATTCTTCTTGAGCCAGAAGTTCTAATTGGCAAGAGTCTGAAGCAACCTCCTCCGGCCGTATATGTGGTTTATAACATGTTTTAGCGCCGCTATTTCCCAGGTCGACAAGCTCGCCATTCTCTAACATAGCATTATTATTCAATATTGTCCGTTGGAAAATCGTTGGGCTCACATACTGTATAGAGTATTTGGGCAAAGTGAATGAGTCGTCCAAGGAATTGAACCCCCAAACGAATGCTGTAAGCATTAGCACGACGGAGCCTCTAACGGCGACCATGGCTTCTTGTCGGGGCTTTAATCAATGTTAATAGCTAGTTGAGAAGATCATGCCATAACGACCTTGAATTTTTTAAGGTGAAATAATGTGACAATAATTGTTAATACACCAGAATCATCAAGGTCTCAACTATAATACTAGACAATCTCGTTGAAGCTTCACTGATCCCAACAGTTGCGCTATAAAACCTTAGACATCTACACGAAATAAAGAATCGAGGACCGTGACTACTCACCATGAGAAACTTAGGTGTCGTGGCCTTTTTGCTTGCTCTGACCGTTGGCGCAGAGGTGCGCATGCCGCTTTTTGTGCAAAAGCCGGGGGATGCTGTGAAGGCCCCACTTGCCACCCTGGTTTACGACCGAGAGTCAAATATCGTTAATGTCACCGAGGTAAATGAGTCGCTACAGGAGGACTCGTACTGTGTAGGTGCACAAATGGATGAGAACTACTACTCATGTTTCTCCTACGTCAAAGTATGTTAAAAAGAACCACAGGAACCGCCAAACATAACACCTTTACTAACCTTGGGGCCTTTATAGCTGAGGTACCCGTTGCACTATGACCTCTACCTGGATACCAGCCACAATACACACCTGTTGTATAAGCTAAGTCTAAAACCCAACCCTCGGGCTAGAGGCATAGAGAGCTGGATACGAGACCCCGAACTGGGGCCCGAGGCTCACCCAGTAAAACTTCGGAGGGTCACCAAGACCTACGATGACAAAAAAAAAGCGAGTTTGAAATCGGGCAGCGCCTCGTTCGAGGAAGATATTGACGTGGATGAACGATCGTTTTTGCAGAAAAACTGGAAGTACATCGTCATCGGACTTGTTTTGTATGCACTTTCCAGTGCCGGCCAGCAGTCGTAAGGGTCTGGTTGGAAGCTTCATAGTTGAACTTGAAAAAACTGTCATTCAACGCTACAAAATCTACAATATAGGAAAGTTCAAAAGCACGCACGACTTGTTAGAGTTGTGTCCACCCTCAGCTGAGCTCCAGATCGCATTTTGTTTTCTGGCATCGCCGCTCACGATATAACAAACATTATATATAATAAAGGACTCAAAGGCATAATAAGTATCTCGACCTCTTACAACCACACTTCGACATACAACAGGCTCTGGAAGATCCGCATCTGTTCTTAAATACGCAAATGGAAAAGTTTGGGCTTTCAGGAAAACTTCCTTCTTTTGCTAGAGCAAACCACAATGCTGCTCCAAACATGTCAGGAGTGGACATGACACCTCGTCATTTGGCGGTATCAAATTGCCCAAACAACTCATATGCGTTGGCCAATGTGGCCGCCGTATCGGCCTCCGATTTTCCGGACAATATTTATGTGCTGGTAGATAACCTGTTTGTGTTTACAACTAGGCACTCAAATGAGATAGCAGCGGGCGTGATCGGGTTCAACGGAAACCAAAGAACTTGGGGCGGTTGGTCTTTAAATCAGGCGGTGCAGGTGAAACCGTTTGACCTCTTCAAGCACAGTGGAAAACAATCATACTTGGGCACTCTTGATCTAGAAATTAGCTTCAGGTCGAGAGGGAAAGTGGTGGATACACCTTTTGACCAAGATGACCTAGCCAAGCATTTCCTTCGCAATTTCGAATCCCAGATATTCTCTCCCACACAGTGTTTGATTTTTGAGTTTAAGGGTCATATCTTTGACCTTACTGTTAAGGGCGTACAGACCATCGATCTAGGTGACGTTGAAATGGTTACTCCCATCTCGAACGGCATTCAAAGTAAAGGTATACTAATCAAGCAGACGCAGATTAATTACTACAAGGGTAGAGATGGGCTCGTGAATTTGAAATCCGCAAACTCGCTCAGACCTAGATCAGATGCCGTCATCAGACCTGATTTCAAATTCGAGGATCTAGGCGTCGGAGGGCTTGACAGAGAGTTCACGAAGATTTTCAGAAGGGCTTTTGCTAGTAGAATTTTTCCCCCATCCGTTATCGAAAAGTTGGGTATATCGCATGTGAAAGGTCTTCTGCTTCATGGACCACCTGGTACAGGTAAGACTTTAATTGCCAGGAAAATCGGGACAATGCTCAATGCCAGGGAACCAAAAATTGTAAATGGTCCTGAAATTTTGAGCAAGTATGTTGGTTCTTCGGAGGAAAACATTCGTAATCTTTTCAAGGATGCAGAAGCGGAATATAAAGCAAAAGGTGAAGAATCGTCTCTACACATCATTATTTTTGATGAGCTAGACTCTGTATTCAAGCAGAGAGGCTCACGCGGGGATGGCACTGGTGTGGGTGACAACGTGGTGAATCAGTTGCTTGCCAAGATGGACGGTGTTGACCAGTTGAACAATATTTTAGTCATTGGTATGACCAATCGTAAAGATTTAATTGATGCGGCGTTGCTTCGTCCTGGACGTTTCGAAGTACAAGTCGAGATTCAGCTGCCGGATGAAGAAGGCAGACTTCAAATTTTGGAAATACAGACCAAGAAGATGCGGGAGAACAACATGATGGCCGCAGACGTGGATCTTAAAGAATTAGCGGCCTTGACCAAGAACTTTTCGGGTGCAGAAATCGAAGGCTTGGTGAAGAGTGCTAGTTCTTTTGCCATCAACAAGACTGTCAACATTGGCAAGGGGACAACAAAGTTGAACCAAAAGGATATTGCAGCCATGAAAGTCACCATGCAAGAATTTTTGAGTGCACTAGACGACGTTACGCCTGCATTTGGTATCAATGAAGAAGATTTAAAAACTTGTGTGGAGGGGGGTATCATTAGGTATTCGTCTCGTATTGAAGAAATTTTAAAAAACGGTGAGAGATACGTCCGTCAAGTTCGGGAAAGTGACAAGTCTAGGTTAGTGTCTTTGCTGGTACATGGTCCGGCTGGTTCGGGAAAAACAGCTCTTTCAGCTGCGATTGCTTTGAAATCCGAGTTCCCTTTCATAAGACTAATTTCGGCCGACGAAATGGCAGGGATGTCCGAGAGTGCCAAGATAGCGTACATTGACAATACGTTTAGGGATGCTTATAAGTCTCCGTTGAATATCCTGGTTGTAGACTCCCTCGAAACGCTAGTTGACTGGGTACCAATTGGGCCACGGTTTTCAAATAACATTTTGCAGACGCTAAAGGTATATTTGAAGCGGAAACCACCTAAAGATCGCAGATTACTTTTGATATCAACTACTTCTACTTACTCCGTCCTTCAGCAGATGGACATGCTAAGCTGCTTCGACAATGAGATTGCCGTACCTAACATTACCAATTTGGATGAGTTTAACAATATCATGATAGAATCTAACTTTTTGGACGATGCTGGACGTGTGAGCGTGCTCAACGAATTCGCAAGGCTCAAACTGCAATTCAATGTGGGTATTAAGAGGGCGTTGACGAATATTGAGACGGCACGGTTCGACGCTGAACCTGCTAATGAAATTATTGAGCTCATGGCCCAATCGGTTTGAATTAAACGTTGTACATGTGCTGCCCCGTCGTGTCTATTTTTTAATCAAAATAAGAACCGTGTGTTTGGTATATGTACTTAAATCTATCACATAAGCAAGACTGTCGACATAATGGTTCATCGCTATCGGACTTCTCTCTCCTCTCTCTTTTTTGAGATCTTTCATCGTTCGAAGGGCTATATGTATGAAGCACATATTTTTTAAGCTTGATTTCAGTAACTGAAAATTTTAACAGTCTATTAACGTCGCATAACTCTAGACATAGATCACTAATCTGGATATAGCAAGATGGCGCCACCAGTTTTGCGTCCTGAGAATGCTCTCAAAAGAGCTGAAGAGCTGATTTCGGTTGGCGAGCCTTTAGCAGCGCTTCAATCGCTCTATTCGTATCTTTCGATGAGAAGAATCCGTTTTGCTCAACCTCAGGCTCTAGAACCAATTGTGTTCAAGTTTCTCGAACTCGGTGTGAACCAGAAGAAGGGGAAGATCATCAAGGATGGTTTACATCAGTACAAGAAGAACATGCAGATCAGCCCTGAGGGTTTGAGCTCCGTTGGTGTGGTTTCTCGTAAATTTATCGACCTTATCGAGGCCAAAATGGCCGAGGAACAGAGCAAGGCTGACGAATTGGAGGAGAATGATGCTGATGATGATCTTGAAGGTGGTGTTACCCCGGAGAATTTGCTAATTTCAGCTGCTGAGGAAGAACAATCGGTGGCCGGTTTCAATGATGAGGCCCTAACCTCGTGGTTGAGGTTCACTTGGGAGTCCTACCGTGCCGTTCTAGACCTTGTCAGAAATAACTCACAATTAGAGCTCACATATTCTGGTGTTGTGAACAGAACTATGAATTTCTGTCTGAAATACAACCGTAAGAACGAATTCAAGAGACTAGCTGAAATGCTGCGTCAACATTTAGACTCTGCTAACTATCAGCACAAGAACAGCAGCTACACTGTTGATTTGTCTGATGCGAGCACTTTACAAAGATATTTGGATCAGCGTTTCCAGCAAGTAAACGTTTCTGTCAAGTTGGAATTGTGGCATGAAGCTTTCAGATCGATTGAGGACGTTCACCATCTCATGGCTATTTCTAAGCGTTCTGCCAAGCCCCCTGTGTTGGCAAATTACTATGAAAACTTGGCTAAGATCTTCTTTGTTTCTGGTAACTTTTTGTTAAACGCTGCTGCTTGGGAGAAATTCTACAAACTCTACCTGACCAACCCCAAGGCCACTAAGGAGGACTTTCATTTCTATGCTTCGACATTCATGCTTGCAAGTTTGGCCATTCCTGCCGATGAACTACCAGTAGTAGGCTTCGATCCGTTGATTCGTCTATGCAACTTGTTGAGTTTAGAAAGCAAACCCAGCAGAAAGCAACTGATTGATGCTGCCACTGAAGAGTCTGTATTTGCAGAAGTTGACGATGAAGTCAAGCAGTTGTACTCTATTCTGGATGAAAAATTTGACCTACAAACTATCAAAAGCGAGTTCTCTAAGCTTCTACCATCTTTGGAGGCCAAGCCTTACTTCCAGCAATATGTCACTCCCTTGAGAAATGTCATCATCAGAAAGTTGATTGTGGGCATCTCCGAAGCTTACGAAACCATCAAGTTTGAAGAGTTAGTTGCTTTAGTTACTTTGCCTGGCCCCTTCGAATTGACTGCTTTGCAGATTGAGAAGTTCTTGATGCAAGCTGCAATGGAGGATTACGTTACTTTCACCATTGACCAAGAAAGTGGACTAGTCGCTTTCAGTAAGGATCCATTTGAAACTTTGACCGCTGCTGGTAGCGTGACTTCACCTACTGCTGAAGAGGAGGAAGAGGAGGAAGACGTCGAAGAGGCGGTTGAGACTCCAGAAGGGGAAGACACCGAGGTTGAAAACGAACCAGAGCCAGTGGTAACGCGTAACTCTGCCATTCGCGCACACTTGAGCGATTTGGCTAAACTTTTGAAGGAAGTCGAAGGTTTCTCGACCGGGTCTTACATGTTCAAGGTGAAGGTTGCCCGTGAAAACTTGATTCAACAATCTAACGAAACGATTGCTCGTGAGAGAAAGGCTGCGGAAGAAAGAGCCAAACAAATCGAGGAAAGAAAGCGGGCCGAGTCTGGTAAGTATATGACAGCCGAGCAAGCCACTGAAGATCGGATGAGACGTATGATGGAAGAAAAGGTTGCTGCTGACACCAGAATGGAAAGCGAGGCTAAACGCCGTGCCGAAGAAAAGTTGGAACGTGAGAAGGCCATGGTGAGAGAGGCGGAAATGGTGAAATTGATCACTGAAGTGAACGCAAAGGGTATTATTCATATCGACCTAAAGGAAGCGAAGACCTTGACTGCAGAACATGTTAGAAGGATGACAATCGAGCAGCTATCCAAGGACAAGAAAGACTTGGAAGATCGCATGAAACACGCATTTAAGAAGATGGATCACACTGAAAGAGCTTTGAGAAAGGTTGAACTACCTGCTTTGGAAAAAGACGCAGAAAAACAGGAGGCTAGGGATCTAGAGGCTTACAACAAGGTCAAGACAAAATTGACAGAAGCCGCAAGAAGGGAGCACTCTGAGAACGTAAAGCTTCACGAACGTCTATCTAAGATCAACAGCGACTACAAATCTTACAGAGATAACATCCTCTCCACAAGAGAAGCTCACTTGGCTAAGGTTCGGGCAGAGAATTTGGCTAATTTCGAGGCCGCCAAGAAAGCCCGTATTGACGAAGTTCGCCAACAACGTTACGAGAAACTTGTCGAAGAAAGGAAGGCCGAGATCAAGGCCAGAGAAGAATCTGCTCGTCTCACCAAGGAACGTGAAGAGCGTGCCAGGATTAACAAAGAAAAAGACGAGTTGTACCTCAGACAAAGAGAAAGGGAAGAGGCAATTGAGAGGCAACTTGCAGGTCAAAGGTCTGCTCCTCCGTCTGCATCGCCAGCAGCAGAACCGGCTGTTCCAACTGCACAGCTTTCTTTCGCTGAGAAGATGAGACTGAGAAGACAAGGTATCCAAGTTCCCGATGAGGCACCCGCCAAGGGGGCTCCAGCTCCAGCTCCAGCTCCAGCTCCAGCTCCAGCTCAAGCTCCAGCCTCAGCCCCAGCTCCAGCTCCAACCTCAGCTCCAATTGCTGAAACTGCACCAGCCCCACAGAAGGAGTTGTCATTTGCCGAGAAGATGAGATTGAAGAGAGCTCAAAGACAATGAAGGCCAGACCTAGCTCGACCAATCTAGTGTACATAATTTAAGCTGAAATTTTTGCGACAACTGATGTACATTCATCAAGTTCTATCATTTTATCAGGGTTTTAAATGAGGCCATCACTGATAGAGATCGGAAGATCGTCATTGACACCGTTCTGGCCAGATCTTTGATTGGGTTTAACATCATTGTGTACGCAACGCCAAAAAATCGTAAAGTAAAGGCTCGCTAGGCTTGGAAGATAACTTACCAGATCGTCAAGCCCACATTTGTTTTATATATATTTGGCTAAAACCTTCATTAGCTACCGCCATCACTTGAGTAAGCTTAAATATAGCACCGCGATACCTACCCACATCATGAGTACCTTTTTTGATGAAATGAAGACTTCTTTTGAAGCTGTTCCTGTGGAAGAGTCGAACAAAATCACCACTTTAGCTTTCTTGGATGCCTCTGAGTCGCTAGTCAAGCTATTTGATCTTCTAGGAAACTCTGCCTTTACGGTGGTCCAGAAAGATCTGACTGGTAACATCGCCAAGATTCGTAAGAGATACGCCACGGCTCCTGCGGAATCAGCTACCTTGCAAGATTTGGTGACGAACGAACGTGGCTCAGGTCACAAGAGTGCTTCTGAAGGTCTTTTATGGCTCAACAGGGGTCTACAATTCACGGCGCAGGCGTTGCGTGAAACCGTTGAGAACCCAACTGCGGAATTGACCAAGACCTTCACAGATGCTTACAACAAAACCTTGATCAAACACCACGGTATTTTAGTGAGGCCTGTTTTCAAGCTTGCCATGAAAGCCTGCCCTTACAGGAAGGACTTCTTTGCCAAGCTAGGTGCAGATCAGGAGAAGGTTAACGCGCAGCTGAAAGTGTGGTTGGAAGCTTTGGAAAATATCGTTCAAATCTTGTTGGCGTTTTTGGCCACCACTTGCAAGGACTTATAAATCTAGAAGGAAGTAGATGGAGACCTTGTAGCCCAAGTGAGCCGCATGCAAGTGTAGATTCGAAGAAAAGCTATTACATATAATGGACCATTTAATTTACAACTTATAGTTTGCGTGTATGTATCCTCGATGGGTCTTGTATGGATTACCGGCCCAAGCAGTAAATAGGTTTACACGGTAGATATTTCCACTCTCAATTATGCCATTCCAAAAACACGGACGAAACGTTCCACGCTCGAGCCACTTGCGACTTAAAAGATAATTAATTACAATTTTAGAAACTATGGAACTCATCAACAAGAAATAATCCATCCAAAGCCTTCCATTAGGCTATTGTATTAAAGCTAGTTTCAAGTTCTCGAGACCGCCGTAACTTGTTGCATGTTGATGAGTCCCAAACCATGAGAAACTGAAAGCGCCAAACCGACGGACGAGGCAGAAACAAAATTTTGGAGGACAATAACTTCTAACAATACCACCACCACCTATGTCAATGTAAGAGGGTTGGCATGTTTTAGGATACTTGTCTTATAATTTAAAGAGGAATTCAAAACATATGTTTACCTTCCGCTTACAACAAGGCAACAGCGACGGCAGCGACAGCACCCATGAAAGAAGAAGCAGGAACGATTTGACCAGCAACAGCACCGTTGGAAGATTTGGAAGCAGAAGAAGATCCAGAAGAGCCAGATGAGGTGGCAGAAGCACTACCAGAAGAAGAACCGGATGCGGTAGAAGATCCAGAAGTAGACGACAACTTGATGGAGGTAGAAGTAGCACCGTTCTTGCAAACAAAGGCATCACCTTGAATACCACCGCTCTTTTGCAGTTTCTTCAAGGAATCACAAGTGTAGTTGGAAGACTTGGTTTCAACGTCACAACCACCCTTGACGGACTTCAAGGCGCTCAACTTCAACTCGGAGAAGTTACCAACAACGTTCAAGGCAGAGCCAACGGTTTTCACGTTGTCGAAACCATCGATGTTAGACAGTCTGGTGTTGTTAGCGATGAGCAAGGCACCACCGATTTCGGTCAAGTTGGAGAAGTCGGCGTCGGTCAATTGTTCGTTGGCGACAAGGGACAAAGTACCACCGACAGAGCCCAAAGAGCTCATGTTAAGAGAGTCGAAGGAGTTGTCAATGAAACCTAGAGAGGCGTTCACTTTCTCCAAGGCGGCGAAAGACGCAGAACTGACGTTACGCAGAGTGATGTTGTTGGCCCACTCCAGGCTGTCGAACTTAACATCGGCGTCGTTACCGTTGAAACTGACTTGCAAAGATTGAGCGACCGACTTCAATTCGGAGTCGATGTGAGCAAGACCTCTGTTGTTGTTGACGTTGAATTCGTTAACTCTTTCCAACTTGTTGAAACCGTCGATAGATTCCAAGCTGGTGTCGGTGATTTCGATGGAGTTGACGCTCTTCAAGTTACTGGAGATGGAACTGATGGCTGGCAAGGTTTGGAACAAAATCGAGTCCACTTCTGACAAAGAGCCGAAAGAGGCAGATTCCAAAATGGTCAACAGCTTCATTTCCAACGATCCCGAGATCTTCTCTAGGTTGTCAGCAGAGAAAGACTCCAACTCGGTAGCGTTGTTAACAGACAGAGTACCTTGAATTTCCTTGACGTTGGCCAAAGAAGCAGACCCGGTCAACGAGTCACCGCTGATGGTCAAGTCACCAACCAAAGTCTGACATCCGGAGTACTTGTCCAAGTCAGCTTGAGCAGTGACAGTGGCACCAGACTTGACGCTACAAGAAGAAGGCACACTGGAAGTGGAGTCTGCGGGGTTAAGTTAGTATTCGGACTGCTGGTCGGGACTGGACATCGCAGTCAAGCACTCACTGGCCGTGGAGTGTGAGGCGATCACGACATTGCGACGGTTTTGACAGAAGTGATGAAGCTCGAAGCTCGAGCCTCAATATAAAAATAGTCGAGTTTGGGGATCTGGGTTTGAAATTTTTTCGTGGATGTCCAAGTTTCGAGGCTGACAACAAAAGCGGTATGTGTAACAATGGATCAATAGATCAACCCATCACTGGAAGATAACCAAAAGTCACAAACCACCCTCAGAATCTCAATAAGTCTGGCCGCACTGACTGGCATTGACCTCACGTCCAGTCCTCGTTATCAAATAAATTCATAAATATTCCACATACTGGCTGCGAGCGCAGTGGCACTTAGTAGAGCACCGGTGGCAAGTCCCGTCTTGATTTGCATAGCGAATGAATAGTTTTAGTAAAATGTGGAAAGTGGCTCAGCAAGAACAACAACAGCAATTACAACGGATCGTGTAAGTGAAAGGTTCTCGGAAAAGTCTCTTTTATTGAAAAAGTTATGAAGCTCTCAAGATATATACGCAAATTCGTCACAGTCCGGAACGGGACCAAGGAAATAGTTTCGCATCTTTAAATACTCTCTTGATTCTCTTTCCGCGCCACCCCCGCAGGCTGGTCTAGTCTGTAAAAAATTTTCTCGTACCGTGGTGGTGCGAATCAGAGATGCACATGGTTGGTGCGGCGGCTTGGATCCTCTCAACACTGACATTTCCTCGCTAATGCCGGTAAAGAAGGTCGCTGGTTGGCATGGGACGAGATAGCACGAGTGACAGATCCGACCGCAGCGATAGCGACTTTATTTGGCACTTTCCGTTTGCAGTAAAGTTGGATCTTGTTTACCTCTACCCGGACTAGTCGCCCGACCTGAAAAAAAAGGCTAGACCAGATGCGATGCCAGTGGTGGGAGAGCAGTCCACCGATGTGGTAGGTTGAAAACACTGGATCCAGAAACGATGCAATGGTAAAGGGTCTACATTACTGTTAGCGTTGAAGCGAAGAAAAAAGTTGTAAATAAAACGTAACGACAAAAGAGTTAATAGATACCTTGTTCGGGCAGGACGAATGAGACACCGGGACATGCCTGCGAGCCCTTTGGGCTTGTGTGGTTTTACTTTCTCGAGGACGATACGATCTGTATGTTGTTGTTTCTCAATTTCCGTGAAGGATTGATGTCAAAAACGCCAAGGGCGTTGCGGTGCGGGAAAGATGTTGGAAACTAGTGATTTACGCCGCTGTGCGCTGGGAAAAGGCAAAGATGAGTGTTACGAAGGAGACTGCCTGGGTTGGTATACTCTTGGACAGAAAGGTAAAGAGTGATATGACGGGTTATTGTTTTCGTCCGGGAAAATATTTCAATTCTGACACATGTTCCCAAAAGCTATCATTTTTCACAGTCTACAACCCGCTTTGGAACCCGACTATTGCAACCGGATCACAAACGTGCGATGCGGATCCACCCGCTGTACATATGCAGCGATGACTCGGGGCCTGATCGGTGCCTCCGGGATGGATCAGTTATTGGGCACAATTATGTTCGGTTTTAAAACGTTGACACTTATTTATCACTTTCTCCAATAGTGTCGCAGGCTAGTTAAGATACGCCGCAATGGGCTTAAAATGCTAACGGCAAAAAGGCTTGTAAGACGATCAAAGTTCGCTATCACTTGCATGTAGTGAATATACCTGGACGAACTGCCCCCGACTGCGACGGTGCAAAAATGTTTGGCACAGGATGTGGAGATTGGAAGGACAATGACGCCGGTAACGTCAAAGGCTGCTATTTATATACGCAGTTATGAGGCACCACAGGGAAATTGGTGGTGGAATTGACAACTTCCAGGAGCCAGCGATGGGGCACCACAAGGAAATTGGTGGTGGAACTGACAAGTTTCAAGAGCCAGCTATGGTATGTAGCATGACTCTCCAGTGTTCTTGCTGATTGTATTTTTCGAGCATTATTGTAAACGAGGTCACATTTATGCAAGGTATTTGTTGTGCTAGAGGGCGGTAGACGTTTACACCAGATCACTAAGAGCTGCAAGAGGACCTTTGCTTACATGTGTGGAGGGTTAGGATGTCGAATTACAGGAGTTGGGTTTTGGATGTTTGTGCTACGAGTCAGGTTCTCGGATTACAGGAGTTGGGTTTTGGATGTTTGTGCTACGAGTCAGGTTCTCGGATTACAGGTGTTGGTCACAGATGTTTGTGCTACGAGTCAGGTTCTCGGATTACAGGTGTTGGTCACAGATGTTCGTGCTACGAGCCAGATCAAGAGTTTGACGCCTCTTGTGTTCAAATCATATGCATCCATGATTACTTAGCTTACGTTGCCTCCACGCTGGACTCTACCCTTAAACACATCAGATACACAATTCAGCCAGATCAACTTTCGACATGGACTTGCGATCTTAAGTTTCGTATTCTGATACGAGAGCAGTAAACTGTAACGTAGTGGAGAATTGATTGGGTCTAGCTTGCATGTAGCCGCTCTTGGATCTCCATTATATCTCTGAGACTATCACATAACGTATTACAAATTATCCACCATCAAATTAGAACTGGAGCAGCCCCCCAGACTGTACGTGAGTGCACTTAAGAGTGTACATAGGTAAAAATGTCTCTATATCTCAAAACAACTGTGGTATGGCGTGTCCTTGTGAGTATGGGGTACCTCAGTTACCGCCAGTGCCGCCATCCTGAAGAGGCTCCAACGAGAAGCAGGATGGCGGCGCATGATCAAAACAACCAGGCGACAAACAGGTGACTGGATAAATATGGGTTTGAGACCCCGGGTCATTGAAGGAAGAAGAACCACGTTGGCGTGGGTTAGTGTTAGCGGCAGCGGTGCTAAGTTGTTAAGCCGTTAGGTAGTTCAGATCTATGGCGGATGTGGTAAACTTTTCTCTGAGGATGTAGTTCGGTATCTAAAGGTCTGTAATGGCCTTCGAAGGCGTTTCTGGGGCGTACAGCCGGAATGTCTTACAAAATTCTACAGGAATAGTATTTGCAAGGACCCAGAAATGGAAATGAGCTGTAACCCACTCCTTTAGATCCCTGGGTAGATCAGGCGAGAGTCCTTATTTTACTGACGTCGCCAATATCGTGTCGTACTACAATGGCCCCATGTGCATGTCCAAAGTTATCCAACCCAATGCGCGCCCAATGAGAACTAGATGACTACCGCCTGGTGTTTCTTAGGAGTCTACTTACGATGAGGTTTGCGAGGCTGGTGATCAAGTTGCCAACCAAGCGCATCACAAACTGATGTTCATATCGTCTGGGGAACTACGAGCTGAATCTCGGGATACTGTCGAGAAGAAACGAAAGTCGACTGGTGGAGAGCTCAAAAAGCACCTTTCGCCCCCGTCCAGATCCGCGAATCCGGGACAGCGTGCGTTATTTCGGCTGGCTCGCGAAAACGGGCACGAACATGGGCTTACCACGCGCTCCAAACAATTTCTCCTTTGTCTCCTGCAGGGAATTTCGTCCTGCCCCAGCACACTCGGTCCTGTATTCGATTTCATTCAACACTAGCGCCACTAACGGCGAGGCGTCCACGGGCAGAGCAGCTGCTGTGCGATCACCATGCAAACGTGCGCGGCCACGCGTGCGGGCAGCTACATCACGTGAAAGATACACCCACAACCACGTGACTCTGTCACGTGCACCCAAAAAAAAGCGAAAAAACAACGCCGCCTCGAGCGCGCATTTCGCGCCGCCCCACACGACTGCACCCCCTTGCTTGAGTCTCTCATATTACATTGTATTACTGCCATACAAAAATACACTTGCGAAAGTCGCTTTTAGATAATTAAAAAAATGTCGCGGTCTTCATGTAAGCTCCGGCACGCTTCCGCACGCTTGCGCACGCTGCGCGTTCCTCCTCCTTACATCAACAGAGCCACGGCACCAGCCACGGCGGCTCCCAAGGCGGTGTAGCCGACGGCGTTGGAGCCGGCAGCTGGGGCGGCGTTGGAAGAGCTGCTGTTGGAGCTGTTTTGGGCGCTGGCGGCAGCAAAAACAGAGGCGGCGGCGATAACAGTGGAGAATTTCATTGTTGGATAAAGGGTTGATTGGCGGTTTTTCGATGTGCTTCGTGAATAATAACCAAACTCTCTACAGCCCACTCCCCTTCCCTGAGCTCTGCTTATCCCTTTATATACTTTTTTTGGTGTCCCTTTCCGGGCAGTCTGCTCTCCCCTAATTCTTGTTGGTTGTGGGTATACTAAAAAAAGGCCACAGCAATACCGCTCCCAACACTAGCCACTTCTGGCTGGCTCCCACGGGCCTCTCTGGCTCCAACCCAGCCCTGTCGCCCAATCGGGATATAAGATGGGGTCTAGAAGCCCCGCCTTGTGTTGTGGCCGGAGAAGGCGCCACGGGCCTTTCTGAGCGGAGGCTCGACGACCGGAACAGAAAACGGAGCCTATTACGTACGACGAGCGTAACGCGGGGCACGTGCCCGCTCGTGCTCACAGCAAACGCGTCAGCGTTTGCTGTGGGACCACGCGTAAGGCAAAGAAAAAGGGGTTTATCGGACCGCGTGCGCGCAGTGTGTGGCGTGTGCGGTTTGCTACGGCGATAAGGGGCGGCCGACGAGTACGTAATGAGCAGCGTGGGGATGCGTTTGGGCTCGGCGCTAGGGGTCGGAGCTCTTTATCCCAAAGGGGTAAAGGGGCAGCCGCAGGCTAAGGGTGACGTTAAGTGCAGCGTGATGAGCGAGCGCGTGAAAGCGATGCCGCAGTAGGAGACATCGAAAGATGCGGTGGGATATCTCGTACGAAGGCCTGGGTGACAGTGGCGGTTACGCGTTGTGCGTCCACGTGACGAAGACTTTAGTGTATGTTGGGTATTATTACCTAATCTCTGTCAATAGTCCGGAGCCGGCACCATTCGCTGCGTCTTTAACAACACGACATTGCGAGCGATTCTGTAGAGCCTTGTGATTCTTGGCTGGCAGCGTCACAATGACTCCTTGGCATAATCAAAGGTTCTCGGTTGTCTAAAAGCGACCTCTCTAGAGTGCTATTCGGCACATGCTTGGTGGCACTGAGTGATGCAGACTTTTTTGACGACGTTCTCGACAAAGCCTATCTACGCATCTCGTACAGGGCGCCGGTTCCTGAGCTTCAAATCACTTGGTGGCCCCTACACTGGGTCCCAATTGTCGGGTGGGGTTGCTTGGTCCTTTGAAATACATATATACATGTATATATATATATATATATATAGCCCCCGAGTTTCTGGCTAACCTAGCGTTACCACGAATTTGCCCTCCCTGCAACATTTCACAACATGTCTAGCACGTACCTCTATAGTTTTTTCTCTTGTGGTGACTTGCTTCGTCGTCCGCGGTGCTCTCGGGAGATGCCAAGATCAGCATCATGTTGTAAATCGCATCCCTGCGCTCACCCACACTCAGACCTTCTGGAAGTGAACTGCTACATTTGATCAGTTTCTGGACCGTCCGATGGATGTGGGTTAACAACAACTGCACCAGATCCATGCTCATCTCGGATCGGAAGACGACTCTCAACACTTCCCATTTGTCAGACCCGTCGGTGGACTGGGGAAGAGGGTAGTTTGGCACTATCCAGCCCTTAGTGCGCAGGAGCGAAGAGACCATGGCCTGTGGAATATCCGGGTACGTCTCCTGGAACTTTTTCGACAGTTTGAAAGCCACCAATGGAACGCCAGGCTTGAAACTTTCTGGCTCCTTGACAAAATCTTGTAAATGGGGTTTACCATCATCTAGCCGCTCGTGAATGCTACTTATGATCTCGAAATTGCCCTGGAATTCGTCGCTCTCCAAAAGCGCCAAACTGAAGTACCTCGCAGCAAACAGAACGTAACGCCCGGCACGTGCCCCGCTCGTGCCCACAGCAAACGCTGACGCGTTTGCTGTGGGGGCCACGCGTAAAGCAAAGAAAAAGGGGTTTATCGGACTGCGTGGGCCCCGTGTGTGGCGTGTGCGGTTTGCTATGAGGGGGACAGCAGCGATAAGGGGCGAGTACGTAAGGAGCAGCGCGGGGATGTTTTTGGGCTCGGCGCTGGGGGTCGGAGCTCTTTGCCCCGAAAGGGTAGGAGTGACGATAGGCACCACGTGATTTATTTTTGAGTATATTCTGGGTATTACCTAATCTGTGTCAATAGTCCGGAGCTGGCTCCGTTCGCTGCGTCTAGCAACACGGAATGGCGAGCTGGTCCTGACTGGCACCTCCACAATGACTAGTTGACGTAATTAACAGTTCTCGGCCGCGGCCTTTGCGGAGGGTGTTGACACTGATTGAAGTTTCCATACATGAAGCCTTCACATAATCTATTCACAGTCTTACTGTGCACAAAGCATTTTCACCTGAAGCGTCGCTTTGCGTACACCCAGACACAGTCTCTCCGCGCCTCTCATCCTGAGCTTCAATTCACCTGGGCTGTGGTTTCTTAGTCCTATGATATATATATATATATATATATATATAGCCCCCGAGTTTCTGGCTAACCTAGCTTGGCCGCGAAATTGTCCCCCCCCTGCAACATGTTCAGCACGTACCTCTGTAGTTCTTTCTCTTGTGGTGGCTTGCCTCGTCGTCCACGGTACTCTCCGGAGAAGCCAAGATCAGCATCATGTTGTAAATCGCATACCTGCGCTCACCCACACTCAAACCTTCTGGAATTGAATTGCTGCATTTAATCAGCTTCTGGACCGTCAGGTGAATGTGGGTTAATAGCAACTGCACCAAGTCCATGCTCATCTCAGATCTGAAGACGACTCTCAACACTTCCCATTTGTCAGAGCCGTCGGTGGACTGCGGAAGAGGGTAGTTTGGCACTATCCATCCCTTAGTGCGCAGGAGGGAAGAGATCATGGCCTGTGGTATGTCGGGATATGTTTCCTGGAACTTTTTCGACAGGAGTCAACTTGTTTTCCAAGATCTTGAATCCAGATGGGGTTTTATGGGTATACTATATGGTTAGAAATATATGGGTTGCTCGAAGATCTGTTCTTATAACTGGACCATTGGATGACAAAATGTGCATCGTGTGCATGGAGGATTTATCCCATGCGGACCATATTACAAATAACAAATTGAAACCCAAGAGACTCCCTTGCAACCACATGTTGCATCTAGGATGTTTGAAAAGCTGAAACCTAGCTCGCAAGTAACCTCTTGGGACAACTTGGGCGGTGCTGCAAATTCTGCAAATGAGATACACACGCCAGAAGTGCATACGGATTCGCCACAGGGCAATTCTTTGCTGGCGCAGGCGTTGGCCATGAAGTCTGAAGAAAAAATTGCACCGGTGATGGCGGCAAGACTCTATTGGAAGTTTGTTGGGATGTCTCACAAATGGACAAAAGAAGTTGAGCTGCTTAGCCTGAACAGTTGAATCAGCCATGGCATTTGGTCAAATCGTAATAGGGCCCCCGGGTTCTGGGAAATCCACTTACTGTCACGGTTGCATGCAGTTTTTTAATGCGATTGGACGACATGCCCAAGTTGTTAACATGGACCCAGCAAATGACCGCTTGCCGTATCCCTGTGCCGTGGACATCCGCGACTTCATCACATTGGAGGAGATCATGGCAGATGCCGGAGTCTCGAGACTCCAGCGAGGACGACAGACACGCAGCGAGCTCGTCAATGTCGGTCTCGCCGAGCTTGCCCATGTCCTCTGTAGCGGTGCATCCCAGCGTCTGTTGCCGCGTTCGCTTTTTGGCGGCGCCGTTCGAGACAGACAGCAGCGGCCCGTACAGCACTGTGAAGTCGAGCTCTTTGTTCCAGTTGTAATTACGCCGTGGGTTGTTTTGTCACCGCGTTGGTGCTGAATAGGCTAGTGGCGATGGGCGCACTAAGATCCCCGTCTACTGTCGTGCGGCTTCCGCTGTGGTCGCGAGTTTCCCCAAGGTAGCTTGAGATAGAGGTTTCAAATTATTTTGAGCACAGCATGCAGCATATTGGGCAAAAATACGACCTCTTGGCACAAAGCTGTTTTTTTCCTCCACACAAGTGTCCAGAGGTCAAACGAATCGACTTACCACCTAAGACAAGTCGAAGAGAACGACTAGCGTCCAATGGGATTGGCGATTGATAACTTATCAACTTAGAGCCGTAATCCATTGGTCATGGAATGAATTTTTTCCAGGATAGCACGGCAACCTCATCCTTGCAGCGGAGTATACACATGGTTTTAGAGTTTGACGGCAAACTCGCCCAGGTCAAGCAAAGCTATGTGAAGGCACAAAGTTCGAGTTGCGCGGTGGAGGGGCACCGGATTGAGCCAACCTGAAGATAGACTTTGGGTTTTGATAATTTATTGTGTTTTTGGGTGCACCGCTTCAATTTTATGGGGTGTTGGGGCATATTATGAAATCCATTGGTTCGGCCTCGTATTTGGGATGGGTCTCTTAGGTGGCTGCGGAATTTTTGGAATAGCGTCCTCTGCCACGTATGTTGTTGACACATACAAGGAATTGGACACGGAGGCGATGGTTGTAGTCATTTTAATTCGAGATGGTATGCTACAATTCCTTCGTTAGGTGTCGATGCCAGTGTAGAAAACAATCTCCAGACGGAAACCAATAGAGTTTCCAAGACTTTGCAAAAATTCTGGAAAGTTGTTTCAGCACGGGAGTCAGAGATAGGTATCACGCTTGTTTTAGATAGTAAGCCAATTAGGACGCCTCTTGGAAACAATTTAACGGTTCCCAAAGTAGCAGAGCAAGTTTCTCCCCTAGGGTGGTCCGTGATTCAAATCCAAATGTCGAGTAGTTTCAAAGGCTGGGGTCTTTCGTCCCTTGACAAGGACACCAAGGAAATCAACCAGCTCGTGGAATATTTGCGGTCCCCTGAGGGTGGCTCACGCGAAAAGATTGTCCTTTTTGGACACTCCACGGGCTCTCAGGACACCATCCACTATTTGCTCAATTATGGGGACTCTGTAGAGGGTGGCATCATGCAGGGGTCGGCCTCCGACCGCGAGGGCTTCTCACAGAGTGTGGATCCTGCTCAGTGGGACAGATTAAATGCCAGGGCCAAAAGTCTCGTCGACAACGGACAAGGAGCTGAAATTTTGCCTTCGGAATACGCGAACTTGATGATGGGTACCCCTATTACTGCTTACAGATGGTGTTCACTGGCTCTGCCTGGTGGGGATGACGATTACTTCTCATCAGACTTATCGCCTGAAATTTTGAAGACTACATTCGGCAAGATACAAAAACCCTTCCTGATGGCCTACTCAGAGTTTGACCAGTTTGTTCCAGACTATGTGGACAAGCCCAAGGTTCTGGCTAAGTGGGCTGCATGCAGCAATCCCAAATTCTTCTCGCCACACTCTGGTCTGATTAAAGGTGCTAACCACCAAGTTGAGCAAGAGGATGCGAGGGAATATCTCTTTGGTATGGTCAAGAGGTTTCTACGTGAACTCGAGCTCTGATTCGGCTGGCAGATATCATCTCTAAACCCCATATAACTCATGCTGGATTGTGGGCATATCCTAGTACTTTTAATATTGGGATTAATATTCTATAGACAGCCTGAAATAGAAAGTGGATCCGCTGGAATGGGCTCGGATCCGGCGAATCCTATTGTTCATTCTAGGGTCGGATTCTTGGACCGAGGTTACCACAATTTTTTTCCCTGACTTTTGAGGCTATTACTCTAACTTAATGCACATAAATGCTTCATTGTTTGGAACTTTCTCAGTTCTCAATTACAAGTTTGGTAGGGCGACCAGAGCAGAATTCGTGATGGATTCCTTGGTCTCTAAAGCACATTGTACACACTGTTTCCATTTGCTGAACACTATGAACGAAAGTACTCGCCAGATGGGTTTCATGATTTTTCCCAGCGGTGCGGTGATGTCATATATTATCATGAACAACGGATAATCATCATCATATAAAAATCCATCAAACTTGAATCACTACTCCGAGATGTTTTCTCCTTGGTATTTATCTTACCACAGCTAGAGTAAGCAAAGCCAACCATGTACCACAGAGGTTTACTTATTTTGTTATGCTGCGTGTTCTCTACCATGCGTACAGCTAGCGCTCTAACCGTCGGAGTTGGGTCTGCTAACTTCTCGGTCTCTATCCCTGACGGATTTGACGGTGTGGATGTTATAGAGCACAATGCCCAGTTGATTCCTTTATTCCAACACAAGATTTATGCTCCCGACTTCGACGGTGTGCCAATCAGAGAAGTGGTGGCTAGTTTTTTGAGAGATGCCGAGAGCAACATTGAAACATTTATCGCTCTTGAGGACCTTCTTCCTGCAGGAGCATTACCGCTCGACGTGAGCGAAAAATTGTTATCCCACGGGCTAGCTCCGAAAATTGAAAATGCTTCTGAATCTTCGGAAAATGCCCCCTGAGCAACTAGAGAAGCGTGCTGGAACTCAAGATAGTGGATATATCCTAGGTAATTGTGTATAGATCTCCTGAAGTTTAACCAGATCGACTGCATGCAACGACGAAGGTGCGCTGTAGCTAAAAGTTCATGCTCAAGTGTGATGGTACATGGTAAGGTCGAATAATAATAATATTGAAAAACGGGCATTCCGGACAAGGAGGTGGGCTAACTCGCATTTAGTTTTGCTTACGCATGGGAACACTTTGCTTCGAGACACTGGTGGTTTCTAAGGTCAAATACTGAGTATGTCTATATATGCACATGCTTCATGCGAAGTAAGTCATGACAGATAACGGGTGACATATGACTCAAAGTCCTGCGGAAGCGTCTCAAACAACTGCTACCCAGAAGACAGCCTTTAACAATTAATCGACTGAGTACTTTCTACGTACCCACTGGTCTGAACTGGCTATTAGAGTAAGCATCGAAGCTTACAGCGCAACGTACCCCCTATCCTTATGTTTAGATTTCAAGATGTGCAATCTAGATATGAAAATCCTCTACTGCAAATATAGCGTTTCAGTATCAGGCTAGGTAGTTTTGAGTTACTTTGAATAGCATGGTCTGTAGCATAAGCTGAAAATCGAGGGACGATCCACATGGACGCGCGGGCAGACTGGTAAATCATTGCCTAGTGGTGAGAGTATCTCGGACCCGATCATAGGTTTCTGAGATAGTTACTTTTTAGATCATATCCAGGAGGGGGCGATGCTATCTCTATACATCGCTGAAGCTGGATTGGTGATTCATACTCGCCGCTTTCGAGAATCTGCCACTTATAAATGGGACATTTAACAACAGTATCTCGGGAAAATTAATGTGAATGCTCCTGGCAAGAGACCAATAGTTGTACACAAAAAAGATCAACAATGTCCCCCGAAGTTTACTGTCTTTTCTATCTTGTGTATTTACTGCCATGAGTGCAGTTAGCGCGCTGACCGTCGGAGTTGGGTCTGCCAACTTCTCGGTCTCTATCCCTGACGGGTTTGACGATGTGGATGTTATAGAGCACGATACCCAGTTGATTCCTTTATTCCAACACAAGGTTTATGCTCCCGACTTCGACGGTGTGCCAATCAGAGAAGTGGTGGCTAGTTTTTTGAGAGATGCCGAGAGCAACATTGAAACATTTATCGCTCTCGAGGACCTTCTACCTGCAGGAGCATTACCGCTCGACGTGAGCGAAGAGTTATTATCTTACGGTCTAGCCTCGAAAATCACTTATGCTTTTGGAACTTCGGATGAATCTTCAAGGGCTGTGACGCGCAGCAGACCATACTTCCAATTTGGAAAGGATGAGGGCTGTGACGAGTGTGGCACACGGGACCAAAGTGCTAATGGTGACACTTGTTATAACTTGACTAGCTGCAATTATTACAAGAGTTTCGAGGTGTCAGTAAACACAAGTTGGATATACTTCTACGCTTATCTTTCATCAAATTGCACCGGGACCGTAAAAAGCTTCTCATTCACAAGTACCTCAAGTTGTGTTGGTTTCTCAGCCGATTATTACAGTTTCGAGTACCACGTTAACTAGACAGAAGTTTCTATAAAGGACCAATGCCATGGTTTTCATACATGCTGATTTGGACAACAACTAAATACCGCATGACAATATGACAGTACTATTATGACGGAAAAAAAAACAAAAAACAAATACATTAATAAACAAATATACCTTATATATGTGTATAGATATATCTTTAAAAGAGAAAAAAATTGGCAGTCCGAAGTTGACTTCCTCGATGAGAGTCATTCCCATCAGCCAGAAAGCGTAATTGTTTCGATGCGAGTCTGATTTTTCTGTAGAATGTTAACGGCGTTAGTTTTCAAAACATATATTGTGACATGTGATGTATTTTGTAGACTTTATCAAAGAGTTGCTTGAGTACTTGATATGTGTTCACCAGGGAATCCTTATGACGAGTACGTCTTTAACTAGCTGGCTACTGTTGTGTGTGTGTGGGAGGGGGAGGTTAAGTGGTAAGATGACTCAAGTGGTTTCGCCTACTTCATGTCCACGTGCTCACTTTTGGAAAACATGAGTATCTCTATGGTTTATCATGTTGAAACAAACGAGCTCCTGACGAATATGTTCATGATGGATTATTATAGCTGTTAGGCCACCAGAACACAGTCCACATATCCTCTTAGATCTCTTCCTCTTGTAAATCACTCATGATGGGTTATGATCTTAGCAAGGATTATGTTGAGCCGAATCCGGTTTTTCAGTTGAAGGATTAGCATGTTAATCTTGTTCAGTCATAACGAGGTCTACTATTAATAGCTATGAAGGCGACCTCATTTAACTTCCTGAGATTCTTACGATCTCTCTTCGTGGTCAGCTTGCAAATGGTGTTTGAACTTGAGGCTTATAGTATGTCATTTCTCACCAAACTGTCACATCATTCGTGAGGCTAATTCTGCGATCAGCCGCATACCACGGTCACCCGCTCTCTCTCTGTACCACCTGTAGAAAACTGGTACTCTTGGAACATGTTTGGTCAATGAATAATCAACTCTTTTCCATCTTTAATGTGATGAAAATCCGTTGGAAAAATTAATCGCGAAGTTAGTCCCGTCTTGGAAATCAAAAAGACAACCTTCATCATCTATAAAAGTAGTCAGCTATGATTCGATCAATACACCTGGGTTAGCGGTTGAGGCGGGGTAGCATTGCCACATACACAAAATCATAATGATTTCTGAACTAGCTAACGGCCCAACGTTCTTCCCACCACTGCAGGATATTGAGCCACTTCAATTTAGGCTACTTGGCTCCGGAACCACAGCAACGGCTTTTCCCGTGTACTCCTCTAAAGACGTCCCGGACTCTCTTATTGACTACATGCATCAGCAGTTCAACCAGGAAGTTGAGGATGGCTTGACGTATCCTTTCCAGGATCCCATGAGCAGAGAGGAATTTGTTGGTTACTGGTTTTTGTCTTTCTGTGCGATTGTGCTGAAAACAGACAAGACAGACATCGACGCCAGCTGGACGAACTGGGAAGAGTTACTGCTAGGAACGTTTTACGTCAAGCCAAATTACACCGGAAGATGTTCCCATAATTGTAATGCTGGGTTTTTGGTAAACTCTGCCCAAAGAGGACAAAAAATAGGAATGCGCCTGGGCCAAGTATATTTGAAATGGGCTCCTTTGCTAGGCTACAAGAACTCTGTTTTCAACTTAGTTTTTGTGACCAACCCGGCCAGCTGGAGGATCTGGGACAAGTTACAGTTTGAGAGGATTGGGTATCTCCCAAAAGTGGCCGTTTTGAAGGGCCACGAGGAACTGGTGGATGCCATTATGTTCGGAAAAGATTTGACGAAGATCGATCCCAAACTAACCGAGGACTTGCATTTATAGCGCTAATCTACTAATCCCTGGAAGGGTCCTTTTGCGAAACATATCATGACGGGTCTAGAAAGGAAGATCTAATGGGCAAAGGAAAGGTTTATAAGATAGATAGAAGTCTCTACAAAGGGACGAGTATACATAAACAGACCAAACTACTTTTGACTGCTCGCGGGGAGAGTGAGGGTTGCAGGAAACGATACTCTGACATTTTTTTGAACGTTTCGGCGTCGATCTGCAAACTGGTGAAATCGGCTGGACCCTCTGACCACGAAATTTGATCAAGACTATAAAATCCAAGCGCTAGTACAGACAATGCCCAAGGCGTGAGATATGGCTCTCGGGAAGTCTTCGGAGCGGTTGAGTCGAATACCTTCGGAAGACTAGTGTTGGTCACTAACCACGTGAGCAGACTTAGGAAAGTATATAACGTCCTTTGCTTCTAGCCCATTTCTTGACACATCGGAAACCCGACGAAAAGGACGTTACTTCCGGAGTGAGCTCAATGTTCAATGCCGCAAAGTATTATACGTGGGATAAATCTACGAAATGAAATAAAGGGTTTCTCCAGCAGTGTTTTGGGGATCGGAACGGATGTAGTATATCTTCCTAGATTCCAGAGATTAATACTCAAGTATGGGTCTCCTGGGGATGGTAAACGGCTGGATAGAATCATGAGTAAGTTCATGCATGCTAGGGAACTATCGAGGTATCAGGAATTACTTCAAAACCACAAAAGCAGTTTGCCGCTGATCCACTATGCAGCAGGTGTGTGGGCTACAAAAGAGGCAATTTACAAAACCTTGGCATCTCAGGTACCTGTTAATATGATGCCTCCGGCTCAAACGATCTACACCAAACTTTGTTACAAGCTCAATGGCTCGACGGGCGCTCCTAAAATTGAGATTGATGACACACTGATGACAAAATACCCGAAATTTATGCTTGAAAACATTATAAATACAAAATTTCTTGTGAGCCTGTCTCATGATGAGAAGTATTTGGTTAGCTTTGTTTGCCAGTCGAAGATTGGTCCTCCTGAAATTGCCAAGAATTGCCCTAAGTAAATATGCCAAAGACCTACGAAATTGGAGGAAACATCCTGCAGAAAAAAAGGCCATCACAAAACTCAAATTCAATTCGACCTGAAAGCTCAAACTCAAGCTTCTGTAGTCCCAGTACTCTCAAGAAACACGGCCCCCGGTTGTTGGAAGACTTCAACCCCCTCAGGGTCTTGGGCCGCGGGGCATACGGGAAAGTACTGCTGGTCAAAGACTCCCACACTGGTCGCCTTTACGCCATGAAGCAACTTAAAAAAGCTGAAATCCTAATTCACCAGGAACCTGACATTTCCATATCTCCAGAGAAAGCCCTAGAGAAGCGTTTAGAGCGGACGTTCGCTGAGAGAACCATTTTATCTGAACTGGAGCATCCAAATATTGTAAAGCGATATTTAGTATTGCTCCGATCTGGGTTAATTTAGATTCCATGTATAATACTGTACAGCTTGAAGGGTTCTGTTGAATTTGATCTTTCGATGAGTTAGGACGTTAATACCAGATATTGTGGAAGGTTGTCGAGAATGTGAGGTGTCGGAATGCAACTGCGAAGGCGCCTGGGCAGCTATCTCAAGGACACCTTCAGAACGGCGTTCTTGCTCGCGAGAAACGTCCTCGGTCGGTGCTTCTGCTGTAGGGCCCTGATACTGGCTAGATTGGGAGCCTTGGCTTGTCACGGCGAGCAGAAGCAAACAAGTTGATGTTATTCAAGGACTGACCGACAAAAAAGGTCTTACCCGGATTAGAACCGGGGTTGTTCGGATCAAAACCGAAAGTGATAACCACTACACTATAAAACCTACTATCAAGAGCTTTATAAAACTCTAACGATTATATCCTGCTTTAGCCAACCTCGCGTGTCGTCAATTTGCCATATGAGCTTAAAACGGGCGTGATTGGGTGTCTTAGGGCCCTTAAAGAAGCCTTTATTTCACAAGCATCAGAAAAGAACCGCGTTAATACAAGCAAGACAAGAATGGTGACTTGACTTCCTAATAGCGTGCGGTGGAACCACAGATCTTCGAACACCTCTTGGTCAACAAACTGCCAATTTACGCTCCATCTGTACATGAATTGACGGCTGAAATCGAACGCATAATTCCAGAATCCATGCAAGAAGAGCTCTTACAGGAACAAAAAGAAGGATGCCCAGAGCATTATGTAGACTCGCTGCCTCGCGTAGATCGAAAAAAGATCGGTGAACAAGAGGCTTGTAGTATTTGCTGTTGCAATTATAACGAAGATAAATATCCTTTGGTCGTTGAGTTACCTCACTGCGGCCACCGCTTCGATCTCGAGTGCGTTGCCGTGTGGTTGTCCAAGAGCGTCCCCGGCTTCCTCCCGCTTCCCCCGGCTTCCCCCGGCTTCCCCTCCTTCGTCGGAAGTGCGCGCCCTCTCGTTTTTCCTCGCGCGCTCTTTTTTTCTCGCCCCACCGCCCGCCTTCGCCCCCCGTCACGCCAGGCGCCCGCCTCAAAGTGGCCCCACCGCCCTCGGTGGTCCCATTGCGTATGGCGCCCGCGCTCCCATTGCGTAAGGCCCCTCCGCGCGCACCGCAATCGCCAGCGGCGCAAAATCCTATATAAACAGCGCGCTTTCCCAGCCGTTCCCGTTTTCCCTCTGCCTCTCTCTTCTCCCCCCAAGCACACACTCCACCAACCAGCAAACCAACACCCAGAGTGATGGTATCGGTTTTCTGAAATTCTGGGAGAGTCTTCGCAATTTTTCTGAACAAGTTTTTCACATTGAAGCCAGCTTTAGTAGAAGTTTCCACGAATTCGTAATCCACTTGGTGAGGTATGCACAAACTCCTCCCGTGGCAAATATAAGGAATGCGGTAAGCACCAATACCCCTACTTCTTTGATATCTTTCGCAGAAATATTACCCACAATTTTGTTAAATGTAAGGCATGGCAGAATTGGCGAGATTGTGAGATTTGAGCTGGACGAGGTTATCGGTCAAGTTAAAGCCGAGTTTGTCACGGAAGAACTTGCGCAAAAATGCTGCAAGATGTTGCATTGTGGTGGTTCTGATTTATGTAATGATCCGGAGTCACTTAAAAACGCCTTATAGATCGTTGATCAGAACTGGGTATCGGGCACTATTTGGGGCCGACGAGAACAGGCGAACTCTCCCAAGATTTCAAAAGTACTTAGTTTAGAGCTCTTTGCAATAAATTCAAAATCAAGTCAAATTCGGTCCTGAAACTTTTCCCAGCTGGTTTTCAAACTTCAGAAAAAAACGCCAAGATAAAGCAAACGCGTGGAGCAAACCAACTTAAGGATCTTAACGACACAGCAGAGAAACTTGTTCTTAAACGAGTGGCTCATGAATCTGGATAAAATGGACCAGGTCCACAGAATCGTGGACAACAAGAAGCAACACTACTCAGATGTGACAGTAGACGCTGGCATGCGGATTTATAAACTAAGTGAGTATCTTCACGAGCGTGGATTGGCTATCCAAAACCTAGGATCGATCTCAGAGCAAAGTGTGGGAGGAATCATCTCCACGGGTACCCACGGCTCATCCCCCCACCACGGCTTGATTTCGTCGCAGTACGTGGACCTGACCATAGTGAACGGACTCGGAGAAGTGGTATTTGTGAACTCCGAGAAGCACCCAGAGATCTTTCGTGCTGCCTCATTGTCCCTGGGTAAAATTGGTATCATTGTTCGTGCGACCATTAGGGTAGTTCCAGCGTTCAAGATCAAATCAACACAGGAGGTTATCCATTTTGACACCTTACTGAACCAGTGGGATCTCATTTGGACTTCTAGCGAGTTCATCAGGTGTTGGTGGTATCCTTACAGCCAAAAATGTGTTTTGTGGAGGGGCACCAAGACCAGTGATAGGTTAGTAACAAAGACAAGGCGCTCTTGCTCCGATGGAATTTCAGGTGGGATTGGGAAACAAAACTGTTCGTGGGCACGAACGTGAGAAGCATATCCACCTTGGGAGACGTATCCGTCTGGGTAGAAGCTGCAGTAGGTGCCGACGGACTGAGCGCTGTTTTGGAGTCTTCCATAGCACTAAACAGCAGACCACAGACGTTACAGCGCAATACGTCAAAATACTCAGCCTCTCCACACTTGGGTTCTTACAACGGATAATTTCGGTCGTACTTACTACGTAGACCATAATACCCGGACAACAACCTGGAAGAGACCTACTTTAGAACAAAGTGAGAGCGAACGTGGCGATCAATTGAATGCCAATACCGAGCTCGAGCGGAGACAACATCGGGGAAGAACTTTACCAGGAGGAAGCAACTCCGAAAGCGGTTCTTCCATTGCTGTACAAAGCAATGTTAGTTCTTCAACCCCAACAGTCAATGGCTCCGCAGCCGCGGCTCTAGCTGCCACGGGTGCTACGACTTCAGAAAACTGAAGAATGCGGTGTTCTATTGTATTTCTGTCTATAGATGGTTAATCATACGTACCTACTGTGTCCCCGGAGTTTAGACTTTGCACGTAAGTTGTAGTGAGAGGACCTTTTGTCACGCTCTGGCATTTTCATGAATGCGATAGCATCGGGTCTCACTTTCTTTTCAGCAGGCTTGAACCGTTTTTTGTTCTCCTCAGCCATTTGTGAAGCATTACGCTTAGTTTCCGTCAACCGTAGCTTGCTAAATCATTTTCGAAGGGTTTTAAATCTTAACATGTCCAAAAAGCTGAATAAATAACGAAGATTGAAACTTTCTGGCTCCTGGACAAAATCTTGTAGATGGGGTTTACCATCATCAAGCCGCTCATGGATGCTACTAATGACCTCGAAATTGCCCTGGAATTCGTCGCTCTCCAAAAGCGCCAAACTGAAGTACCTCGCAGCAAACAGAACGTAACGCCCGGCACGTGCCCCGCTCGTGCCCACAGCAAACGCTGACGCGTTTGCTGTGGGGGCCACGCGTAAAGCAAAGAAAAAGGGGTTTATCGGACTGCGTGGGCCCCGTGTGTGGCGTGTGCGGATTGCTATGAGGGCGGCGGGACAGCAGCGATAAGGGGCGGGCGGCGAGTACGAAAGGGGTCGGAGCTCTTTGCCCCGAAAGGGTAAAGAAGGGGCAGCCGCGGGGCGGGAGTGACGTTAGGCACCACGTGACGAGCAACGGAACACAGGCGGTACACGTGATCTATTTTGAGTATATTCTGGGTATTACGTAATCTGTGGCAGTAGTCCGGAGCTGGCTCCGTTCGCTGCGTCTAGCAACACGGAATGGCGAGCTGGTCCTGACTGGCATCTCCACAATGACTACTTGGCGTAGTTAACAGTTCTCGGCCGCGGCCTTTGCGGAGGGTGTTGACACTGATTGAAGTTTCCATACATAGAGCCTTGGTATAATCTATTCACAGTCTTATTGTGCACTAAGCATCTTCGCCTGAAGCGTCGTTTTGCGTACATTCAGACACAGTCTCTCTAGCGCCTCTCGTCCTGGGTTGTGGTTTCTTAGTCCTATGAAATATATATATATATATATAGCCCCCGAGTTGCTGGCTAGCCTAGCTTTGCCGCGACATGTTCAGCACGTACCTCTACAGTTCTTTCTCTTGTGGTGACTTGCCTAACTTTGCCGCGACATGTTCAGCACGTACCTCTATAGTTCTTTCTCTTGTGGTGACTTGCCTCGTCGTCCGCGCTACTCTCCGGAGAAGCCAAGATCAGCATCATGTTGTAAATCGCATCCCTGCGCTCACCCACACTCAAACCTTCTGGAATGGAATTGCTGCATTTAATCAGCTTCTGGACCGCCAGGTGAATGTGGGTTAATAACAACTGCACCAAGTCCATGCTCATCTCGGATCTGAAGACGACTCTCAACACCTCCCATTTGTCAGACCCGTCGGTGGACTGCGGAAGAGGGTAGTTTGGCACTATCCATCCCTTGGTACGCAGGAGGGAAGAGATCATGGCCTGTGGTATGTCGGGATATGTTTCCTGGAACTTTTTCGACAGCTTAAAAGCCACCAATGGAACGCCAGGCTTGAAACTTTCTGGATCCTGGACAAAATCTTGTAGATGGGGTTTACCATCATCAAGCCGCTCGTGGATGCTACTAATGACCTCGAAATTGCCCTGGAATTCGTCGCTCTCCAAAAGCGCCAAACTGAAGTACCTCGCAGCAAACAGAGCTTTGTCAAACAAATCCTTGTAGCCCTTCAGGCCGAGGTTCATAAAGTTGTAGTACTGATGGATGACTTGGAATCCAGGCCTCGAGAAGTTGAGGTTGAAGGTCTCTTCCACTCCCCCCAAATACGTCAGCTTAAATCTCAATTCTGGCAGCAAATAACTGTCCTCTTTCCAAACAATCCAGCCTAGTCCAGGGGTCGTCAGTCCAAACTTGTGCCCCGATGTGTTGATACTTACAACTCTCGAATGGTTGAACCCCCACTTTGGAAGTTTGAAGTCCGCCATTTGAGCATCGCTAAATGCGAGCGGAACAATGAACCCACCAGACGCACCATCGACATGTATTGGGATGGTGGTGTTGCTCCAGTCCGGGTGTTGTTCTTCAATCTGCGACAATACATCTGCCACGGCCTCGACATTCTCCAAGTGACCGGTATATGTCGTGCCCAGTATGACGAAGCAACCAATGGTGTTCTCATCCACAAAGTCCCAGAGCTTGCTGGCATCTAAGTGGTGGTTCGAATCGTGCGAAACAGGCACCAAACGACACTCCACATCAAAATAACGAGCGAATTTTTCCAAGGCCACCTGCGCAGCACTTGACATGATGATGTTGGGTTTCGAAAAAGGCTTTTTTGCCTCCCGCATGCGTTTTTCCCATTGACGCTTCATCGCAAGCCCTCCCAGCATGATTGCTTCGCTCGAGCCCGTTGTGGCGCAGCCGAGGGGCTGTTTTTGGGGGTCTGCTTTCCACAGCCGTGCCAGCATCGAGACACACCTCTCGGTAATCTCAATCATTTGCGGGTACTCGTCATTATCCGCTAGGTTTTTATCGATATTTTCCATGATGAGTTTGCGAGCAACCTCAGTCGTCGTTGTGTTGACGAAACTGGCCAAGTTCAGATGCGGGTTCCCATCCAGAGTTAGTTCATTGCGAAGGAATGTGTATGCCAGGTGCGAAGGAAGCCCAGCCTCCGGAATCTTGTAATGCTTATTTGTCACAATGTGTTGCTGCGAGCCATCATCAAATTCGCCCTTCAGGGTCAATTCTTGCAAGTTATCCGCCAATAATTTGTAACTCTTAGAAAGGACGGTCTGATGGCCGTGTGCCGTCTTACTAGTGTCTTCCGAAATATGTTTGTGTAGCATTTTTTATTTCTTGCCAAGACTTTAATGCTGCAGATAATATGCAACCTTTAGAGGTCACAAAAACAGCCGAACAGCAGTCTCCCATCGTTCCGTTTTCTCTCTTATATAACTTGACAACACCCTTACTAGTCAAATTGCGTGGGCGGAACCGCAATCACACGCCTGGGCTAACCTGTGTGTATTGTCCGCAGCATTGCGATAACTGCTACAAATTGCTGAAGCAGAACGTCTGCGTGCTGCGGGTTGATCATCAGACCTGCTACACATATTGTGCTCAAAAAAATCTGCTTTGCTCATGTCACAAGCATACTCTCGTGGCCAAAGATATCTCTCGCCTAATCATTTTGCAATTTGGAGTCGTCTGTCTAGCGGCCAAATACAGAAACACGCCCGGAGTTACTAAACTGCGTTGATCGTCTTCAAGGTTGGTTACCAATTCTGTTCATCAGTTGCGCAAGCTTGAAAAATTGTTCTGCTCTTGATCAATACTATATACATATGCCTCGTGGCTGTCCTTTTGCATTGCTGCAGCTCAAATTCTATTTTTGACGTAGTCTCCGGAAGAACTGTAGTAAGCCCTTGATTGACAGATTAGATAACATCCTTGAGGATGCTTGAAGTTGTTGAATGTCTCTACAGTGAGCTCTGCCAGTTGGGATAATGTTCAATATATGATTTTCACACAAAATCAGCGTGGGTGAGCCCCACAGCTTATAATGCTGCTGGTCAAGTCCGAGAGAATCTGGACCTCACCAGCAACAGAGTGAACTGATCGCCCTGCCGTCGCTTTCTAACCACCATCATGCATCTTTGTTCAATGATAATTCACCACGATGCGTTGCAACTCGGGCACAAGCTCTTTTGCGGTGACCATGTGAGACAACATATATCGCCTATTACAAACTTGTATGGTGTCTTTGCATAACCGTTGAATAATCATAATACTTGTTTTCAGCCCAAGACCCATGACACAAAAAAACTTGAAGTGGGTTAGGCAAAGTCGCGCTAATTATGACAGTCGTATAGTATGCATCGCCGCCACAGTCATTCTGGTTTTCCTCCCCTGTTGAATGGCATTTATTCAGAGATACGTACATAAGAAGCTTCAAGTATTAAGTTTTACGCTCAAATCTCAGATACAGCAATTGGTAATCATCCAGATCGTAGACAATTTTATCCCTACGGATATAATTTGACAAATTTTGAGTGTGTTTGCCAAGCTTGTCAAAGTTGTCGTTAGCGAAGTCACGCGAAAAGAAGGTCAAACAGAAGTCAGATGGTTGAAAAACTCCAAGCACCCGCTCCATCACGTTCACGTTATCCTGAGTACCACAAGACATGTCTCTCACGGGCACGTTGCTCTCGAAAGAAGCGTAGGACCATCCAACTTCCGGGGTCACGTGAAGGGTATAAAAGTACTCATGATCTAACACGAGGTTGGAGGAATACCCACATGGCGTAAAGGCGAAGGCGTCTTGCTGAAACGAGACATTTTTGACGTTTTCGTAAACCTGGTCCAGCTGCGTTTGCTGTGTGACCCGAAACCCAAGATCATGGCCCTCGTCCTCCCCATCGCTCTCTACGGGTTGGCCGGGCTCCCGAGTGGTGACGAATTGCGCTGCCTTGGCAGGACCAAGGCCCGTCATTAGAATCTCCAAAGTTTCATCGTCCTCTTCTTCATTTGTTCCACCATACTGGGCCTCTAATTCCTTGTTGGTCTCAGTCACGTACAGATTCCAGTGGCTAGTTTGGCCCAAGCGTCCTACCAGGTAGCTTTTGCCTTTGCTAAAGAACTGATCCAAATAGTGCGTTTCGTCATCCCAGTTTTGGTGAATGCCTTGCTGTTTTTTGGGGAACATGAAGCAGCGTCTGGAGTAGAAGACTTTGTAAGGGTTGATTTTCCCTTGTAGGCAAAAATTCCATCCAAGATGGTCTCTCACGGTGCGGAACAGTTCTTCTAGGCAGAAGAGAGTGGTTGTTGTGCCACAAGTTTTGAGGGTGAGCTTGTGATCAAATACAAACAGGGACGACTCGCTCAATAGGAAAGCATCCATCTTTTCTGTCTGTTTCATCGACAGAACCTGGCATTTCACCAGTTGCAATAGACGCACCCAAATTTTGAACTCAATCGACCGCAACGTTTTCGACTTGGGTGGGATCGAGTTGGCATTCTTGAAAAACCATATTTCCAATAACTTTTCGGGTCCCTCAAAGGCGTCAGTTGAGTCCAAATTGGCGGAGAGCTCACGGTCGATGTAAGTATGAGAGGATTTCTCATCCATGGAAACTGTCATCTGGCAACTGCTGTGGAAAATAGACTCGTCTGGGATGCGAATATTGAAATCTGATGCGCACCTTCGCTCAGCAAAGTTCGATCAGATGTGATAAATTCAAATATAGGTTAGAGTGGTGGCAAATTCTCACGTTGGGCAACGTTATCGTGGTTTGGCTGGTCTGTTGTAGAGGAATGATATATCCCCACCTGGCATAAAGTGTTTATGGTGAAAGTGAAACTTGTTTAACCGCGACAAAAGAGCTGGAAGTTCACTTTAATAAACGGTGTGCGGATTTAGAGGTGCTTACTAGCGCCAATTGTGTAAACTATTGAAATTGATTTGTTATTCAAGTATCACTGGAAACAGTAATATTTGGTTTAGGTCTTGTTTTTGTATCTCGCTTGTAATAAGCGATGCGATGCAATTGCGAGTACACTTGTGTGAACAAAATTTTTTTTCACCGTCTGAAACAATACCCGATTGCTGATCTTATCCATTTATCCAGCCGTTATTTGGACCCGTTGACACATGTATTTCTACTTCAAATATACTCTAAATGCGCCGTACATCCTCTATGTTAATGAGCGTATAGCTCTTTCCTCAAGCCCTGGACTTGACGGTTTTCCATACTACAAATCTTTTACTACAAATCTTTTGAACTACAGCTTTTGAAAAAGTCATAAGTCAAGAAAATAAAACAAGCTACACTTCAGTGATTAGCTACACGCCACACTGAAAACATGTCCCCCGAGTATGAAACTGCAAGCTATTACGGATATTCAATAGATGAGCGATTAAACGGGTATTCGGTCTATGATTCGACCAAGACTCGAAAAATGTCAAGTCAAAAGGGATACTGCATAGAAGGAGAAGTCACACCTCTAAGCCGCGCATTACACCAAAGGTGAGGGCCATATTATGGTGGGTATAAGCAGCACAGTTCATACGACAAATCCGCTTGAAAGCGGGCCTGCATGTGGAATGGTGAGGAAAGGAAACAGGGCCAGTTGGAGAACTCCGAGACGGTCTTCGGAGAAAACATACGATGTACAAACGAGCGGATGCTGTACTCTCTCGTAGCGCGAACTCTGCTATTTGAACAAGAAAGCCGACAAGGGTCGGAGGGACAAATATCGATGTCAGATCCGTTCTCCGTTAAAAGCTGTTCCGCAACAGGGCACACGCCTTTCATCCACGATTCAAAAAGCTTAGATGCCATACTATATGGGGGTGAAACGTATGAAAACACCAGAAACTTCTCGAACCACCCGGCGATGAAATACTCATCAAGTGGGCCACGCAGGAAAAAAACGAGATATCCCCGATAACGTCCCAGTCTCGAACATTTGATAACAAATTGAACCACGACAATACCTCCCCGACGCTAACGACTGATCTGAAACCAATACAGAATCCTTACAACATACGTTCAATAAGACCGCTATATTGACCCGGCAAACATCTCAAAAGGAAGTCTCCGGAAAACCTCGTACCCTCCGACAAAATTCACAGACGCAGATCACATCTTCAAACGTTTGACTTATCAAAAAACACTTTGAGAGAGATTGCACCGGATATACCACATTTCAAATCTTCACAATGGTAAAGCCGAAAGCTACCCAAGCAATAACCTCCACAGCTCATGAAGTGTAACGTTGCGAAAATCAGAGATGAACATTCTACACCCCTTATAAGTGCCCCTTTGATGCATCTTTCAAGCTGGTCAGTGATCAATGTGTGTTTTTAAACATGTCAAAGAAGTTGCACGTTCTACCATTTCGTATCGCTTTATATAGACAAATTTTTTGATGTACGTCAAAGGTGATAATGAGCCAAACTTGGTACCGAAGTAGGGCATCTCATCGATCGATCACTCGAGTGACAGACGTTGGGTACTGCGATCATCGCCACCAAGAGCACGCCAGCAGATGAATGGCCATAACAAGATACAAGAATTCACAGTATATATAGGCAATGTGGCACCTGAGGTAACTAAAGAGGTGATTTATGAGCTTTTTCTCCAGGTGGCTCCAATTAAAAGCATCCGATATCCAAAAGATAGAGTGCTGGAAACGCACCAAGGGTTTGCTTTCGTGGAATTCTACAATGCGGCAGACACGGAGTATGCATGTAAGTGTTTTAATAACGCTGTAAAATTATTTGGTCGAATACTAAAGGTGAGAAGAGCCAATGCAGGCGGAGGGGCCTCTAACTCGAGTGCCGAAGCTAGCAACCTGAGCGGACTGCACGGCGGAGCAAAATTGTTTGTCAAAAATGTCGACAAACTTGTAGACGAACAGGCTTTAGGGAAGATTTTTGCAAAATTTGGTCCATTACTTAAGGCCCCGGAGATATTCCATCTTAAACAGAATCAGTTGAGATGCGCCTTCGTGTACTACACCACATTTGAGCACTCAGATAAAGCACTAGCAAAGCTCAATAATCAAATGGTGATGAATAGTTGCATATCGGTGGATTATGCTTTGAGGGAGGACAGTCGTACGGAGAAACACGGCGACGAAATCGAACGGCTACTAGATGCGGAGGCTTCAAGGCGCCAGGTGAAATTGGACATTTAATTTATGCATTCATGACTAATTTATAGCTGGCAAATGTACCTAGAGTCCCAGTAGTCTCGATAAACCGAGTTCCAAACTTCGCACATTTCCTTCTCCTCGTCCGCATTAGTTTCGGGGTGACATTCAAGTTGATCAAATTTAGCATAAAGCCATGGTTTGCTCACAGGCCAATCTGAGTAATGAATATATTTTGATTTTTTAACAAGTTCTTTCCATGACGATTCAGAGGAAGCTAGCCCCCCCTCATAACCTAAGAGTTCGTTAGCGAGCAACTCATGGTGCATTTTGTTCTTAATGGAACTCGAAAGAAGACCGTATTCCCTAAAGGGTAGGACCATCACCTCTGGCGTGAAAGCGGATTTGAGTTTGCGAAAAAGCAAAAACTGCTCATGAATTATCGCTTTTAGGTTGTATAGTTTATTGTTAATCAAATCAATATCGTATTGGTCCTTCTGCCTGCTTGCCACAGGAAGCAAGTATTGTACAATACTATCAAATGTGCCAGTTTTCGGAGTTATCACCATCAAATTGGATGAAAACCTCACTTTTGCTCTGCGAGTGCCACTACCTAATCTGAATAAAGGTGATGCTGAAGAAGTGGAGTCCAATATTTCCTTCCCAACATTACTAGAGTGAAATACCAAGGAAGAGGGCAGAACTGGCAAGTGATTGTAAATCTGTTGACCCTTTCTAACCCGAGTATTAACACTATTGATAATGTTCTCCAATTTTACGGTAGCCTTATCGGCAGCACGGATCTCAGCTTTAGCTTCCTCCAAGTCTGAGTCTGACAAAAACCAGTAGGTCAAAGGGGCAGCAAAAGTAACATATGAGGGAAGGAAGAATAGCTCATCCATGTTACTGTATACAGCAGCATCGCTGTCGAGATAAATTATACGGTCAAATTCAGTCTGGTTGAAAACTAGTAGCTTTGTGAGACTTTTTTTCCAGGGCGACGAATCCTCGGGTTTGACGATGTTATCAACAGTCTTAACAATCACTTGCTCAGGGGCTAGTTCACTCAATTTGGCGATGAGTTTTTCAGCAGTTTGGCGCTTGTCTTCGTTTTCTGATTCGACCAAGTCTCTAGAAATTAAAGCGACAAGTTTAGCCTTAGTCTTTAGTTCTTTGAGTCTTTTGAATTGCATGACAGTGTTACAGAGATACTCCGGCTCTGTCACATAGTTGACGTACGCATAATTGTCCCACGCAATCGTGCTTTTTCGCGAGCTGCCTTCAGCCTTTCGACTCTCATATAAAGCATTTATTGTCTCATATGGAATTTGTTTGATGCTCAATGGATCGAATATATCGTGAATGTTGTCCTTGTGCGTTTTAAAGAACGTTCTATAATGTTCAATTTCCTGTCCCAACTGGAACTGCACAACAGCTCTAGCGCTCAAAGAAACAAGCAGGCCAATCCCAAGCACAAGAGCAAGAATTCGCAGCCGCCGCTTAGAGATGAAGAGCATTATGCATTTAAGGTGAATGTTTTGTCGGCTCTGCTTATGTTGAACTCTTTTTGAAGTATGTCTAAATTAATGAAATATAACCGCTACAGCTATAAGGTTGAAAACAGCTATTAAGGTACAAGAAAATACATGGAGCTAATAAACTTATTCAAGTATATCATAGCCGTAGGCAGGACTTAATCAGTGAGATTTTCATTTATGAAAGTGTGTCCTCCCTCTTACTTATCTCCGGAAGGGAATCTCGCTACGGCAAAGGGGACAAGTATTATTGCCCGATGATCTAAACCACTTGTAAAGACAAGCGCCGTGAAACCTGTTATTACATGTAGGGCAGACCTTTGTGGGTAGCTTACGGTCGACAGCATGCAGAATAGAGTAACAAATGGCACACTCCTCGAATCCAGAGAAATGCAGGTTTACATTTTTGGTGAATAGCTCCAGCGAGTCCATAACAGAACCATTCATCCCTATTATAACTCGCTGTGCAGACAAGATCCACGATTTCCACTTTTGCTCATTGATACCGACTCGCGAAATTCCATGAACTTCGATATTGCTGAGAGGATAATTAGATGGCAATTTAAGGGAAATCTCCAGCTTCTGTTCATCGACCAGGTAGCCGGCCTTAATTTCGTTAGTGACATGATTTACTCTGATACTCAAACTGTCGTCGTGATCGGTAAGGTTTTTAGCTTTGTCCCCCACATTGTCGAGTTCCTGCTGGATCAAAACTGGCGAAATGTGGGCAGTGACGAACTTTTCGATCTTCAATTGCAAGTTTCTGTCTTTAAGGTTCAACCACCAAGAGCTAGTTAGAGAGCCCATTGTGGTGAAAAGCACGTAGAGCAAATGCAGGAGAAGAAACTTGCATTCCTGAACTATTGTACCCTTTGTCGAAGAAAACCCAAGCCCACTTATATCGTAAGTTAGTAACGAAGAGGAGTTGGAAGGGGCCCAAGATTTATCCTCGAGGTCCAATTGATCAGCGATAAAGTCGAAAAGTTTTGTGATGAGATGTTGGTCCCTCAATTGACCAATATAGTTTTGTCGCAAGTTGTAGGAAATCTTTTCGAAGTAGGTAAAGGTCAGAAAGCAATCCCAGAGATATTTCAAAAATTGGGTTTCGTTTTCATATTCCAGGTACTCTTTTGGCATGTCGTGACTGATCTTGTCAAGTAGAAGGGAGGGTAGTTGAAACTGTTGGTCTATAACATCTTCTGATCCGACTGAAGAGTTTTTCAGCTCATATTCGACTAGCAACTCTTGTTGCTTGAGAAGGATCATTTGCCTTAGCAATGATACAATTAGCCTTGATTGGTCAAGATTGAGTGAATCAGAGGCTGCGTTCGCCTCCATAAGCTTCTCCGCGTATCCTAAAAATTTGGTCTTGGGGACTGTGTGTAGAGCCGAGGACAGCGACTTGTAGAACACATATGTAAAATGGCTCTCAGCATCGTGATCTGGTCTCAAAATCAAAGTCTCAAAAATGTTATCGAAAAGCTCGTCAGCAGCTTCCGTGGTGTCCTGATCCTTCTCATGATTATTTAGTTTTTTTGCGGTAATTCTCCTGAAAAGCTCAACGGAGCGTAGTTTTAGCTCGGAGAGGTAAGATTCTTCATTCACATTGATAATGTCGACACAATCTCTCAGAATCCTGAAGGATGGCCCGATAAGTGAAGTGACTTCCAATGATGAGAAGGTCAGGAGTGCACCAAAAAACTCAAGCAAAGCCATTCTCAAAACTGCACAACAATCTTCGTACCATAAATCACTTTCGATCCACTTGCCAATTTCACTTAATATCATATTCAACCTTTGAGGGGCAATAGGAAAGTAACTTGGATCGATTACAACATTTGAATCAAGTTTCAACATATTGTTCAACAAAATTAAAATAATTGGCACGCGTGTAGTCAGTTCTGAGCCTCTAGCGCCTATTAATTCCGAGGCTAGATAATTTCTTATTTTGGATAGAGGCTCGCAATTGTTAAAGCGTACAACGGCAGCAAGAAAAGTGGCAACTTTCATGAGCCCTCCAGCATCAGACATATTCTTCCTGACTGTCGTCATGATGTATTTCTCAATATCAGCGGTGATTACGGTAGGAGCTGCACAGTCGATGGCATTGACCAACATCTGCTTTAATATGCGAAAGTTGAACAGCAAAGCAACAGCAGACAGCCCCTCGGTTTTTGTGAGTAATTGCATAATTCTAGACTCAGTATCATGATCGCTTAGTAAAGATCGAATAATAGTGTGGGCCTCAAAGTCATACTTGCGAACCTTGAATAGTACGCACTCGAAGTCTTGATACTCGTCCAATGGTTCTGGACTGAAGTAATTGAAATCAGAAGCCAACTCGCTGATGAATGTTAGGTATAATACGATGTCATCATTCAAATACTCAGGTAGACCGGTTAACAATGTGTCTAAGAATTGTGCCTCTCTAATAGCTGGTTGAACCATAGACCAATCGATGCCCTTACAAGATGGCTGAAGTAAATGAACATTGAGGTCTAGGGAACAGCTCATAGCCATTTGATAGCTCATTTCTGGGAGAACCTCATCAAGTTTAGCGTGTATATCGCCCGGAATGAGAACGTCCAGGAATGAGGTATTAGCTTCCAATTGCTTTCTTACAAAGTCTAAGATATCTCCTTTCAACGGGGCTTGCGAGAGTCTTACATGCCTGGAGACAGCTAAGCCTGCTTTTGCCGCTACTTCGTCATTATCCTTCGATAACTGAAGTACTTTCGCAATCATTTCACCATTTTCATCACTAATAAACAAAGCATTAACGATAATATCGCTGTTTAGAAGCAGATACTCAAGAAGCTCAGGTTTATGAATACTGCAATAATGACAAAGTTCGGAAAGTTTTGATGCTTTCATTGATTCTTTGTATAAATACAATACGTTATTCTCATTTATCAATTGGCTCTTGAATAACGCTTCGTCCGAAAAGTCAAAATGAACAATCAGGCCATTTTCGAAAGTCTGAAGGGACTGGGAATGTCCCATTAGTGGCGCTAGATAAGTTTGATCAAGTTGGTCGAGAAATGATAGCTTCTCGCCACGCGCGATATCCAGAGAAAGGAAAGAATCAATGAATCTCCCAAAGATATCCAGAATGCCAAGCTCGTTGCCAGGGTCGCAGGGAAATACTCTAGAAAAAGTGATGAAAACTTTCGTAGCCCCTTCAAATGTCTGTAGGGTTAGATGTTGGGACAATAAATTTAACAAAGGCAGAATCTCCAATTTACAAGCCGACTGCCTTGCTTTTATGAGACGGATAAAATAACTGTAGCCGTAATGTGAATGGCAAAACTCATGCTCTTGTAGTGACAAAATCATAGATTGCGAAATTTCATTCAAAAAGGGTTCTTCCGAAGCTTTTGCAAAAGCTATACTGATGATATTATCGATGTAACGCCTATCTTTGTGGCTTTCACTACAGCCAGTTGGCATCAACTTTTGTATTTCCTTTTTGACATCGTCGCAGTCTAGAGATGCTGCAAATAGTCTGATTGTATCATCGGGAATATTAAGGGACTTTTTGCCTAAGGTCACTAGGATGTCTTTTGTTCCAATGGCCCTTGCTTCATCTCGAAAACCTTCAGGAGCGAGAGACAAGAAGGTTAGGTAATTTTTCCATAATTCATGCAACATTAAACTGCAGTTTATAGGAACGCCACGCCTATTACATTCGTACTCTACGCCCTTTTGCCAGATTTTTAGGCAGTCTAACTTGTAGTCTAGATTCAGATTCTCACTGTTCTTCTTGAAAAAGGATAGAAGTAGACTGTAATAGGATGCATCTGCATTCCCAGCTCCTAAAGTCAGAAAATTCAGTATGATTTCGCGAGAAGATTTACTTAAGGACAGGATTTTACCGTTTTTGTATTGAATTAACCGTGAGAGCTGAGTGAGAATTGAAGGGAATAACGGAGACATCCCGAGAGCATTCTTAGGCGACAGTTGGCCCATGGATTTCAGTAGTCTCTTGGAAGGTAGCTTAATGATTTCTTTAGAGGATTCCAAAAAACCTGCATCCCAAAGTGTTCCTATTAAGTTTAAAAGTGCCCCACAGGCTTTCATATCATGTATGCTTTTCAATGACATGAGGCGCCATAGATCATCGCTAACTAGAATCCTCATGCAGGTTTGATCTTCAGAAGAAAGAGCAGCTGGGCATTCTTTAACTAAGCGGTCAATAACGCAAATAGCACTGGTAGCAATACGGGTGTATTTGAGTTCCGCATCTTGCTTTGTTACGTAGCGCACGTCGGAAAGAGATTCCGGAGTTTCCACTATTATCACCTCCTCTATAAATTTCAATATCTGACTCTGGAAAATTTTCCAGGTTGCACGCACTTTTGCTGGATCGTTACCGAAGCACTCCATCAGTTTTTGCAAACACACTTTACTCACTGCAGAATCATATTCATAAGTCCCTGACAAAAGGAGTGGGACAAAGTCTTTCAGATACCTGCCACCCTTTTTTCCCAAAAGTTTAATCAAATCTGTTGTGATTGTATGCGACAATATGCGAATATTTCTCGACTCATTGGTCAATAGCTTAGCATAAATCTGAGACCAACATAGTGCAAAACATTCATCCTCGAAAAGGCACTTATTTTGATCCACATTAGCAAGTAAATCGGAAAGATCTAGTAAGGCCTTTTCTTTTGTTGTTTCATCCCTTTTGAGCAACGATTTGAAGATCAATTGTAATTCTGCTGACCCCAACGCGCTTAGCAAGCTTTGTTCGATGATTCCGTCGAAAAAGTTCAACGAAATGCGGACTCCATTATTCCCTAAACCAAAATCAGATACGAGGGCAAATGACATTGAAGAATGAAGGTTCAGGATTCAAAAATCTGTTTTCAAACTTTCTTAGCTATGTTAGGTCTGAGCAAAGTATAGTTGTGCAATACAGACTATGGTTTTTTATGTCGAAATTGATGTTAGAATGACGGGAAAATATAAAGTGATAAAATAACGGTGACGACACAAGTATTTAAGTAAGATCGCTGTGCTTTGTGCTTTCAGCCCAAGACACGATTCAGTTGCATTGAGTTTCAACCGCTTTCTACGCAAAGAGTCATATTCGAAAGCCATGTACTTTCTTTTCTTGCCAATTCTATGCGAAACAATTGCTCTGTTTGACCATCTATCTGATCAGCAATGATAAAGCCAAATGTTTCCTGGCCTGGTCCCAACCTCTCAAAATCACGGGCCAATGACACAACTTTAACAATGAATTCATCAGCGTAGGGACCAAAAATGGAATAAATACTCTGGGCAAATTCGTACGCCTGGAGATAGTGCTTGAGTATTTCGGCATTCTTCAACGGTTGTAGAATCCTCGGAAGGGCCTTCGGAGGCAACTGTGTACATCTTGTACCGCTCACCGCATTAAGGAACACTTGCGAAAAACAAACGGTTTGTTGATAGGCCGCCAAAGGGTAAGAGCTTCCTCCTGCTTCATTGGTAGATAATACAAAGCAGTAATCCGGATGAGCAACGCCAATGCTATTATGTACGGTTCCAAGTGAGAAATCAATGGTAGTATTCAACTCACGGAGTGCGGCCGCTGTACTGCTGCTAGACCAGTCGGACCAATCGGACGAAAGTGACTGATTGCCTGCTATTGCAACATCTGCCACCATGGAACTACCATCGCGCTGCCCAGCAAATCGTAATCCAGCGCTGTGGAGAAACACCAATACTGGCTGAGCAATCTCATCACCGTCATTAAGCAGTCCATCGAATAATTTCAAAGTCAGTGCTACAATGGTAACGAATGCAGCCACTGCTGATAGAGTACATACAGGAATGCCAATTCCGGTTAGGCCGGAGATGGGAAAACATGCTGCGATGATGCCGCCAGTTTGTACAAACAGTTGGAAAAGATTCCACTTGATATCTTCCTTGTTTCCTAGCGCTTCCACATTTTCTTCCTGCGCACGAACAAAAGTCAACACAATCGTCAAAGTCAGTGCGACGTAATACTCGAACCTCATTTGCCTTTGAACAGTAGAAATGATTGGACTATTGAGTTTGCTACAGAAATAGTCACCCAGTTAACACCATAGAGATTGAAGGCATTCCTTTTATAAGGTGTGTGTCGGTAGTAGCGAATTTGTCTCTCAATTTCACTTTCTAAGAGTTTCGCCAGACCAGGTCAACTACAGCTTTGATGTTATATTGATATAGTTCGAAACATGACGAAAAAGAGCTTAAACAGTCGTGATGGTTTTTACAAAATGAGGAAACCCGTCGGTAGGTGATGTGAGCTAGACTTTACTCTTTTTTTGTGTCAGTTGATGGAGAGCTTTGATGCTTTCTGTGAAATCAAAAATTTACATGGTTTGTACGAATCCAACAACAGCAGACAACAAGAACTACCTGAACTACGAAAAGCTCATTCATCGTTGAATTTGAAGTAAGCTGAGATTGGGAAACTGATATAAATTATAAACGTAGCTCAGGGTCCTCATAAAGGCTATGATTGTCATTGTGTCTACGCTGACATATTAAAGCTAGAAGACATCTAAAAATTTGACTTATGGCGCTGGATAGAGTAAAAAATAATAGATGGCTTCCACTACTGAAGTCAGGTAGCTATCTTCTGCCGAGATGGCCTCACAAAATTAGAAGCGGGTCACTTGTCGGAGCAACCAAGAACCGTGTCGGGCCGATGTTGGAACGAAGGCCCACGCCGCCATCTGCGATTCCTCTTCAAAAGATTATCTCGAGTCTGCCTCGATTGTTCCCTAGGTCTATAGAACAATCCTGTTGCGATTATAGAGACTTCAAAGCCGATCCAAACGACTTGCAGGCACAGCTCCTTTCGTCTTTGCCTTTCTTCCCAGTGGCCAACGACGGGAAAACGGCGAAAATAGTGAAAACACCCGTTGACGACCAAGGCAATTACATCAATGAGTTCACAGTATACCCTACTCATCCTAATAGCAGTACACCAATGAAGCACTTGATTCTGGTACACGGATATGGGGCGGGTTTGGGTTTCTTTCTTAAAAATCTAGAGAAACTCAAACTTGGGAAGAATGATTGGACTGTTCACGCCATTGACCTTCCGGGATACGGGTTTTCCTCTCGCTGTAAATTTCCCTTTCGCTTTGCCCGGGATCCCGCGGAACTAGTTGAACAATGGTTCCATTCAAGGTTTCGTAGCTGGATGGAAACTAAAGGCCTTCTCAAAACTCCGCAAAATAATATGGTAGTAGCGCACTCAATGGGAGCATATTTAACAGCTCTCTATGCGAATAAATTTCCGTATGATTTCCGTAAATTGGTTATGTGCTCTCCCGCCGGAATCTGTAGTTCAGACCCCATGTTGCGCAAATCACACCCTCCTTGGTGGTTTCAAAAGTTGTGGGATAGAAATATATCCCCATTTTCGTTAGTTAGAAACGCCTTCATATTTGGCTCCATGCTTACCAGCGGTTGGTCTTACAGGCGATTTGGATCTCTACTAGGAAGCAAGAGTAGCACGGGCGCCCGTCAATTCGAAGCATTGCATAGGTATGCTTACGCTATTTTCAATCGCCCTGGATCTGGTGAATATTTGTTACCGTTTGCTTTGAAATGTGGGGGTGATCCGAGAGTCGCATTAGAAGAGAGACTTTTTAATTTCGAAGACCATTTCAAAGCAAAATGCGATTGGCTCTGGCTGTATGGTGACAACGATTGGATAGATGCCACGGGCGGCGAGAGAGTCTCCAAATTACTTGGGGAATGGAAGGGGCCAAAAAGTGCATTTAATTTGATAAAAGATGCAGGCCATCATCTTTATTTTGACAACTATGAGCAATTCAATTCTATTCTTGAAAGGGAGATGGCTAAATGGGATTCCTAACTTCACACTTCTGCAAAACTCAAAAAAAAAAGGGAATGGACGACATGCACCAGAGTCTGAGTCGCTTGCATCGCACCCTAGTGGGTACGAGATGTCCCCAATGCAAATGCTCTCTCAAGAGAGGTTGAAACTACGCATTTTCCATACACAATCCCGTCTGCATCAGTCGAATCCCAATGAGTGGCTGTAGGCGCGGTATAATCGATATCATTACTAGTGGAATCTGCCTCTTCATCTATCGGTGTCACACCCTTCCACAATAATCTTTGAATCGTTGCCAGAAAGTAGCCTCACTGATGTCGAGCAGGGGCCAGTAGTTGAAACTATGTGCCTCGGATTTCTAGGCATTTTGTTGTAGAAGATATCACCAAATTATCAGAGACTGGCACTTTTGACCCCGAGTTACGAAGATGATTCTAAAATCGTGATTGAGTGCGCGATTGCCGAGGATAGGCATATTGCTCCGAGGGATATACAACCGGAAAAGCACTATCAATACAGTGAAGCTACTCGGTTTTTGGTGCCCTAAATCCATAGTAGAAAAGTAAAGTTATTAATTAGGTCAGACCTTTTAGTACACACTGCATAATGCGGCTTCAGAAGTTTCAAGCAACGTATATTAGACTAGAGAATTACTTTATTGATCGGCATACACTTCGTCAACCTGGTCTTTAACTGCTTGTAAGATTTTCTTCCTTTGCAGTTTTTGCGCAGAAGTAACAAATCCATTTTGAGGAGTCCACTCCTCGTCAAACATGGCAACGCCTTGCAGAAATTCGATGCCTGTTAATCCTTGAGATTTACCGGTTTTGAGCAGCTCGTTTAATACAGCCCTCCGAAGTTTCTTATCATGTATGACATCCCGAACATCATCGGGACTCTTTATCAATCCCTGCTCAACCGCGAGATTCCCAACAGGGCCCTCATTAGGTACAACGACGGCCACAGGTTTCACCTTCGATTGATCGGCATAAACGCAGATATTTTGAACAAGACCATTGGATCTGTAAACACTCTCCAACTTTTCAAGGGCAATGTATTCACCGTTCATTGTTTTCACTAGGTTCTTTTTACGGTCGATGATCCTTAGCTGACCTTTATGGGTCCATTCACCAATATCTCCGGTTTGAAACCATCCGTCTTCGTTAAAAGCGCTCGAGGTTTCCTTGTCATTTTTGTAGTATTCGGGTGTTACACCGTCACCTTTAATCAAAATTTCACCTTGATTGTTCTTGGCAAAGTAACCCAATTCATCAACATCAACCAATTTAACTGTAACCGCACCATTCAAATCTCCTTGAACTTGATAATCAAAGTGCGATGGAGAAAGGATAGTACCACCAGCCATCGTCTCAGTAAGACCATAACCAAGCAACATAGGGCATATTAGAGTTGTGATGAATTCTTGAGTATCTCTACTAATGGGGCCACCTCCATTTAATGTTAGTTTTAAGCAGCCACCTGTTGCCTGACGAATTTTTTTGAAAATGATGTTTCCCAAGGTGTCACCGCCAGGAACGTGAAACCTTTTCATTTTCAATTTCATGTAGTAGGCAGTCCAGAAAATCTTCTGGCTTAGAGAGGGCAGTTTTTCAACTTGGCCCATTATACCCTTCCGAATAGATTCCCAAACAGCGGCCACACCAACCATAACTGTAGGTTTAAACTCCTTGATATCACCGCTACATTTGCGAACAGATACATCTGACAAAGTTCTAACATTTGCATACCCCAACGTTGCACCCCAGTAGAAACTTATGAGCTCAAACGCTAGTTCGAAAATGTGAGCGAGTGGCAAGAAAGCGATCACACGGTCGGCCCCATTGACAGTCTCACGGCCGATGACCACAGAAATACCACCAAGACCTGCAACAATGTTAGAGTGTTTGAGAACCACACCTTTGGGATCACCCGTGGAACCAGAGGTGTACATAATACACGACAGGTCTTCGGGCTTGGGACGGTGAATTTCGATGCTGGAATCCGAATCTTTACCCATTTGAATGACGTCATCCATCGAGAGGATTTTCAAATCTGGACGAGCTTCGCGAATCTTGTCCAAAGCGGCTTGGGCCTCCTTGTAGAATTTCCCACCGTTACGCTTATCGGAAGGATCCAAAACATCGGCGTGGATGATATACTGCAATTCCTTGGCGCTCTTCACAGGATTCACTAGACGCTGCAACAGAGCATTGTCCGTGAACACCGCTTTCGTTTCAGTTTGAACCATAGAGTGGATGAGACCTTTTTCACCCAGCGTGTCGTATGCAGTAACCACCGGGATGGCCTGCGATTGAGCGGCCAAAAACGTCTTCATCCACTTATGAGAGGTCGCAGCAAAAATGTGCAGTCTCTCGGTGTTTCCAGGGCGCAAACCCATGGCTACCAGACCCTTACCGTACGTATGCATCACCTGTTCCATTTCGTCGTACGAATTGTACTGGTAAGGACCCAGCTCGAAATAGCTCCATGTTTTGTCCACCTGCTCATTTTTGCCATCAACTTTCTTGGTCACTTTCTTGGTTTCTTCGTGTACCTCTACCGTTTCACGCCACCCTATGGCGTTACGCTTTCCTCCCTTTTTCACGCACTCCAGAAAGTAGTCGTAAACCGTGGTGGCATTGGAGCCCAGCGGACGAGTTGCTGCGGCATCCTTGACCTTTGCGTTTCTCCTTGGTGCTGTTTCGTGCTCATTAGCAGCTTTCCCAACTTCAACAGAGAGATGCATTATTTGACAACTGTGATCCTTGAATCCGAACTAGTCAATTTCCAAATCTGCAACTATAACAACGAGCTTCAGTGTACTGGGCCGTCCTCGTACTCTTGAGACTTCCAGTGATTCTAGTTCCTTTGTAGAGTTGGATAACACTACCTTATTTATACGAGTGTGAGCGCCACCTGGAAGGATGAAACTTTTCCGCAATTCTAATGTCAAATAGCGCCCCTACGTAAAGGATGCTCTACGAGATGAGCAAAACAACGCAAGGAAACTGTAAAAACAACCAATCACATGACTAACACGTGAAGAGAAACTCTGATCAAATGTAGTCACGTGCTTTTTATATACCCTACTGGTGTCTGGGTCTGGGAGCGAGCTTTCGCGGTGCACGACGTGAGCAGGCCACCTGCTTGGTCTTGAGGCCACTACACTAGGGGCCTCGGAACCGCTCACTTGCGGAATGATTGCCGCTGTGCACTCACCCAGCCCGTTAGTGTGTTGAGAACATGATATGAGACACCAAAGTGTCCTAACTGGTGGTCCCCTTCAGATTTGCCAAGCTCGGAATTGATGCCATGTTATGCATCACCGGTGTGTAACTGCACAAGTATTATGTAAAGCCACATATACACATGCACCTGCATGATGGTTGCTATGCAAAAAGTCACAGGATACATACACATAAAAGAGAGTTGGCGTCACGTTACTGAAAGAAATGAACGCTGATTGTACCTGTGGTCGTCCACAGCTCCAAGGCCGATCACAGGGTTGGCTTATTGTATCGGTTTCCTGTTCGTTTTGGCCTCGCTCCTTGTTGCAGGTGCACTCCGTGTGTTGTCTTGGCTTGACTACTCTCTTAAGCTCCAACTGCGGATGTCTACATGCGTGATGACGGAGATGAAAACGAGCCCTGACTTCCTGGAAAATCTCGCGTACTTACTTTAAATTATAACGAGCCTACCGAATGCTGCCAACTCTACCCGGCCAGCTGGCGTCTTCCCAATATCAGTAATCTATATAGTATATCAGTGCTAGCCAAGCTAATGCTATCCTTGCGTCTATCACGCGATGGCCTTTTCTGTCCCCTACGTTCCCGTGATATCCGTCCTGCTTCTTCTTCCCAATCGGTCCAATTCTCATGTTCACCAGATAAGATTGACCTGCACGGACAAATTGGTTAGTGTGCCCTTGCAATTCCCCCAAAAAAAGGCCGAACGGAAACTCAAGGAGGGGCGGGGGGCCTAGCACCGTCTTTTTGCCTATATAAGTGGACGTCTAGTTTCTGATCTACGTGTGAAGCTCTTGTTAGTTTCTTAGGGTAAATCTAATTATACCGTTTTAGTGTCGTTAATTTTAGGTACCCATCCGCCACGCCCACATCAAGCACGCAAAGTAATAACCAGCTCATCCGTGTGTATACATAGCTGCCACTAATTATATAACTCCTGTTAGTAGTCTCTGTATTTGCGATGAGCAGCCATTCTATCATTGTCTCTAACGTGCCAGCCGATGTTGGCGAGGGAACACTAATGCGTTACGTCCGTGAGATGACGGAAGAAGGGGCCTCGGTTGTGCATATGCAGCCTTTCCCGGACCAGTATCATTTCATGAACGACTCGAACAACACTAAGACGTGGCAATTGTTTTTCGCTACCTCCAGTGAAGCTGCAACGGCAAACATGTTGTTCCAGAGCGCCAATGCCGAACACGATCTATCCACGGTTCACGATACTTTCAACCATGCAGACTCCAGTTCTCACGTGCCTCGCACTATAACTCAGGTTGACACGTGGGACGACAGCGGTAAGCAGGAAGCCATGCGGAACAAGGGCCGCCGGATCAGTGTCACCATGATTTGAGAACGGACAGCCACGGCGGCAGCTCCCCTCCCTATTTTGCAATCAAATAATTTCTCTATACGTACGAGTGTGCTAGCTTAATTTAAAAACTGTATTTGCCGTTTATTGCTTCCTCACATTTACTCTTTGACCGCCGTTGCAGATTTGGTGAGACCTCTGCGGACCGCCAGCACGCTGTCGACAATCACGGCGTCAACACCGGCATTCATTTCGATCTGCGCCACCTCTGGATCGTTGTTGTCCACGCCGTACGTTACGCACACTAATCCATTGGATTTAATCACTTGGGCGAGACGTGGGGCCTTTATAATGGGTTTTGCAGCCGAAACAATTCCCAACAAATCCCAGGTACGTGCGAATCTAATTGCATTTTGGAGCGAGGCAGCACGAGCGTCAATAGTCTTCTTTGTCCCACCTTCGGTTAGATACAAAATTGGGAACGAGGGTTGTTTCAAGGACAACATGATACATATATCAGGGTGAAACGACGAAAACATGATGTCACGCCCGTTAACATTGTCGTAAACCACATTCAAAACAGTGTCACACCAGTGGTTAAGCTCCACAAAAATATGACCAATGTCATCCTCGATAGCTTCGTCCAACATGGGATATTTGCATTCAACGTTGAATCCGACATTGGAAGGGATCTTCTTGAACAGGTCCTTCAAGGTGACAAACGAGCTAGCAATCGAATGACCACGAGCGTTACCCTTGTAATTATTTTTTTTAAAGGTCTTAGTGAGACGCATTCTATCTTCGAACATCTTGGCCAGAGGCGTTTTCTTGTCTACTGAAGATTTTTCGGTGCTAGAGCCGATACCCTCTTTCTGTATATGGGATGAACGGTTAAGAAGGGCTGCGTCAGTGTCGTCCATCGAACGACCATTGCTAGTCTTGCCAGGTCTATCGGCGTCATTCAAATCCAAGAATTGTTCAAGTGTCAGTTCGTGCATTGGAATATCCACACCAGACTCTGCCACCAGAAAATCATGATAGATCACAGGAACATTGTCTTTAGTCAACTGTACATCAAACTCGATATACGAAGCACCTAGCGATGCAGCGGCGATGAAGGATTCGACGGTGTTTTCACCCAACTGTAATGATCTGTTTGTGTTCATGTTTTTGCCCAAGCCTCTGTGACCGATTACTCTAGAAGCCACCAAAGATTTCCAAAAAGTTTCTCCCCTACTCAAGGATACGTTTGGATGAACAAAAGGTTTCACAACCATAAATTCATACTTGATGGAGCCTAAAACCTCCAAAGTCTCACTTTCGATGATAGGTACAGTCCGAGTATCTGACAGCGAAATCCGATTTGGCCCAACAGACATTGTTTCCCGGTGGAGTAATGCAACCGCGCGTCCCAAAATTCTGGAGTGCTCAGTCTTCGCATGGGTTATCGAAGTGCCCGAGTGTATGCTTCGAGTTTCACCCAAATTGTTACCTTGTCCGGGTTCTGAGTAAGGGTTTGAGGACCTTTCTTGGGAGGTGTTCATAATTTTCATAGCATGATATCCATAGGTAGGTACGATGTCAAAATAAACTGTGTGCGCAGAGTCCTCTTTGAAAGGAACAGTAAAATGAACAGGATCCAGGGTATCATCAAGGGGCAAATCCAAAACCGCAGGTGTATTGTTAAGGTCACCGGGACAGGTGATCACTAACGATAGGGCGGTATCAAGTTCGGTAGAGGATACTTTGGACAGAGGGACCTTATTGAACGAAACCGCATTAGTACCTTCTTTGGACCCCAAGGATACCAATACAATGGATTGGTCCTTGTGGAGGTAATTATGGCCAAATGATTTGACTAGGGGAGGAGACTGACGAGAATTTTTGGCCAAAAAGTTCTTCGATCCGCCATTGACAGAGTGCTTCAATAAGTTATGTTTGGTAGTATTCTTGAGATTCGTATCTGAACCCCCTGAAATAAAGCTTTCAGAGCCTTCTGAGTGCTTATAAAAGCTTCCTTGGCTCGAATGAGATTCTGATGTGTTTGTTGAGCGACTAATCAAGCTCGGCCGCTTATCCGCACCTTCGTCTTCTTCACCTGAAAGCTTCGTGGCAAGTTTAGGCTTTGTGATAGCAGGGTCATCAATGGTTAGAAGCTCCGCAACATTTAAGTGCCCCCTCAGCACCGCATGTTCCATGGGGGTCCACCCGCTTTCATCGAATTTTGCGAAATCAGCACCATGATCGGCGAGAGATTTCGCTAAATCATAAAATCCTTCTGTGGCAGCAACGAAAATTGGTGTCCAACCGAAGTTGGCTTCTCCAATTTCTGTGTCAGCACCCATTTCTAGCAGGAATTCTGCAGCTTGACTTAAATTTAGCTTAGCTGCGATATACAAGGCCGTTTCAGAGGTCTCTGGGTCTGCATAGTCAATTGAAAAACCTTTCACCGAAAGGAGAGCCTTCAACAATTCGGGAGAGTCTAACTTTGTGGCTAGATGGAGCAAACGCTGAGATTGTATCGTAGTGCTTGCGTTACCATAACCTGTTAGTGATACCACAGTTCTGGGATGAAGTCCAATTACGGCTAAATGTAAAGGTGTGAATCCTTCGCCATCCCCCCAAATTTCTTCATTATCTATGGAAATGGCAGGATCCCATGCGCCCCATTCTTTCAAACTTTCGATGATCAATTTTGAGACTGCGAACAATCCGTACTGTGCCGAATAGTGCAAGGGTGTCCTCTTGTACGCATCCTTTTGCAAGAGACTTGATCTGAGGTGGGGAGGAAGGCGGTTTAAAATGTAGAGCAAAGAAACTGGTGAGTCATTGGAATTGATTCCATCCGGCCCATACGCACCAACTAATCTTGAAGTTTGATCAGGTAGAATAGCAGCCTCCACTTTTGGTAAATTAGCCAAAGAATCCCCAGAATGTGTTTTGTCGCTATCCCGATTGGAGTTTGGTTTGGCTCCGTTAGAAGCTTGTTGCTTGCGGCCCTTGCCCAATGCAATAACGTGGTGATGAAAGAAGTTACGGCCACTGATATCGGAATGGTCTCCTAAAGTAGGTATAATCTTCAAAATCTCGTCAATACATTTAAATGACTGTGACAGTGCAGCTTTATTAAGCAACGCAATCAAGGTCCTCTTGGGTATAAAAACAACTGATCTGTACATTGAGACGAGCTCATTTACGAGGCTCCTTCCGTCATCCTTTTTTATGAGATGAGCTACAACATTAAATGGAGAAGATACATCGTTAGAAGTCAGCTGTGGCTCCTCAGTATCCGGGTCCTGATTCATGGGCTCCTGTAGATTTGGAATAGAGGGAAAGAACTTGTCCAAAGTTTCGTTGATGACGTTAAGCTCTTTTGTGATTTCAGCGTCGTTGGAGATACCAAGCGGTAAGATCCGATGTTGTAGGTAGGCTTGCTGATGATGAGTACCTACTTTTTTATCAAGCTTTTTGAGTATTTTGGCAAAAGCCCGCTTGTTGAGTTCAGCAAACCACTTCAAATTCCGAAAGTCAGAGCGCAACTCGACCAGAATTGCCCAAATTTCCGCATAATCCTCAGTGGTGTCCGAAGCCAACGGAGCAGCTTCCGGATGTGGAATAGTGGTATCCAGCTCAGACCTATTCGTCTTGCTCAATCCTGTCAATTGAACGGAAGACAACAGCCTCCGTAACCTTCGGTCATACTCCAAATACTGACTGTTGTAAAACTCGCTGACCTTCTCGATATCTCTGTCTAGCGCAAAGAAAAACGTTGCCAGCCGTTTTTTTACAAGGGTATCTTCGAAAAAGCTATCATCCAAGCTAAAGTCACCTCTCACCCTTCCGGGAGTACTGGCTACACCAGTGTCTTCCTTCCTCTGCTTGCGCAAGTTCTCTTGAACGCACACAATCTCTTTGATAAGCTTTTTAAGGTTCTTGTAATTTACGTACCGATGGGACCATTCTGGGACCTGGTGATTTGGAAATGTTTTCCCGAACTTCATGAACCTGTTACTCTTGTGATTTTGGCAATTCTACCATTCGAGTGCCACATTCATTTGATCCTTTAGTATATGCGATTCTGTATCTTGATGCTGCTTTATATAAGGGCGGTTCCTATGGAACTTCATTAGACACGTGGAAAATGTATTCACATCGTGGACTACATCTAATAGCTCGGACATAACTGATCCGTCTTCACAAGATCGTGCATCTGATAAAATGATAACGTTAGTATATGTATTGGATTCCCCTGTCACCTTTATTAGAAAGAACTCACATACCTGCTTGACTGACAAATTCATGAACTGGCGAAGTTCGAGGCCAATCCATATCTTCCACATGGACAATGTATCTACCTCTTGTAAAATGCTTCTCCCTTCGCGTTTCATTCCAAATTCTCTTAGAATAGGCAATGAGCTGTTTGTTGGTTGGAGGTTAGTAAGTCATTATTTATCGAAACCGTTGATCGTGGCGAAATATACGAACCTTGCAAATAAATCCAGGTCTGGATCTAACTGTCTACCGATACCCTCCAGCAGTAAAATAGCCACCACTACTGACACAAAGTCACCCTCCATACGCACATGGTGGCCTCTTACCATACCAAGCATTTGGTCCAAGAGGTCGCCGATGGACACAGTCCCCAGCGTAAATGTTCGTTTTTTTACCTTGTTCACCAGCTTTTCAACCTTCAGCGCAAAAAGTTCCTTGTCCACCGCTGTTTCAGGGGTCCTGGAGCGCTCTATCATCAGCTCACCTGCACGGTACCCATCAAACCTTGCTAATGCGTCGAAAAGGGCAATGAAGTTCGTTCTATTGCGTTTGTTAAGCTCTGTGACAAGCCCTACATCAATGAAGCATATTTGAGGTGTGTATTGACTGACAATCTCATTTAGCTCTTGCGCAAACGAAGAATCATCGTCCTTTAACTTGGATTTTAAGCGGTGCACCAAGTCATAGCAATCGGCCTCTGTTGAAACAGATTTCGAGCCATATTTGTCGGTCTTCAAAAATCGTACCATAACGTTACCGGGATGAAGGTCTGCGTGTATGAAATCATCCAGGATAAGCATTTGCAAAAAGGCATCAATGAATGGGTCGCTGACTTTTTTACTCAAACTGGGGTCTTTTAACTTGTCCTTGGCCCGCAAGAACTCCTCCATAGGAAATCCGTAAATGTACTCTTCAAACAAGACTTGTCTGGTCGTTAGTTTTTGGAAACCACGAGGAAACTTAACTTGAAAGTTGTTTTCGAAATTGCCATTGAATCTGGTCAAGTTCAGGCACTCTATCCTGAGGTCTAGTTGAAGGCGCATTAAAATCGCAAATTGCTCCACCTCATTAGGCAAAGATAACCACTCCATGGTTGGAATCATGTCGATAGTTTCAGCGAAAAACTTCATGATTTTCAAGTCGCGACTGATTTGGCGAGCGGCGTGCGGGTGTATAATCTTTACAGCACACCATCTGTTCTCTTCTGGATCTAGCTCAAGTGCACGTTCACTAACAAAACCTGTCGACAATTTGCCCACGTAAACCTGAGCAATAGCACCTACACCCAGCGGTGTCTCATCAAATTGCTCAAACGCTTCCTCCAGGTCGGAGATATCTAGAGCCTCGCATACCTGATTCTTAGTGTACCTCAGTGAGTGTTTTTTCGCGTTACTGTGCAAGTTGCCAAGCTCCACACACAGTCCCTCTGAGAAAATGTCGGTCCTGGAACCGGCCCATTGACCCAACTTAATAAAACTGGGACCTGCCAGTTCCAACACATGCCGCAGAAGTCTGTACCACAAAAATGCTCCAAACGTGGTCTTCACTTTCTGGGTAGAATCCGAAACTTTGACGGTATGTCCGAAATATGATATGGGATACATTAGAAGCACAGGTAGAAATAGAATAGACAATTCCACCATGCGCCAACCGGTAAGAACCGGTTCTAAGATACCATCTTTGAACTTGAACCAAATTTGAGAGAGCCATCGAGTCAACCTTGATCGACATTGTGATAGCACTTTCGATCGTTTTTCGCGGATATGTCTGGCCAATTCCTTCTGTGAGGCCGTGTAGAGACCCATTTCAAACGTATCACCAGCTGGGTCGGGTTTCAGCGTGTCATTGTGGAGTTTGGACTTGGAATAAGTAGTAGTAGCAATTATTAAAGCTGACGGCCAAATGAAGGCGTGCAGAGGTCGAGAAAAGCCTGAATAATGTGGCCTAGCAAACCCAATTCGTTTGAAGAAATGCCAGCCATGGTGTAAGCGGAAAGCCCCGTTCATGAGATGGGTTTAGATTTATACTGGCTTTGCAATTGCGGCCACCGTCACGATTGTCACTTTCCTGGCCCTTGACCAATACATTGTTTGCTCGTGCTATTCCACCTTGAAATGGTAGTCATGATTTACGTATATATGCTACGGCCACTATTGATTACAATTGTTCCTCCCGAACCACATCGATCAGCCAATCGAGGCCCTCGGATATTCCGTCACCTTTGATAGCGCTGGAGGCTACTATGCTCCAACTGCGGTCCTTCAATTCGACGAGATTGAGTTGTTTGGACACTTCCGAAGCGCTCAAAGCGCCCGCCTGATCCTGCTTGTTGGCGAAGACTAGCAGCGCTGCGTCTTGCAGTTCTTCCTCTTGCAGCATCATATGCAATTCTTTAGATGCAGTAGCCATACGATCTTTGTCCGTGGAATCCACCACGAAGATAACTGCGGCAGTATTGGAGTAGTAGCATCGCCAATATGGTCTGATACTGGTCTGGCCACCAAGGTCCCACACATTCAGCTTGAGATTTTTATACACTAGTGTTTCCACATTGAATCCGATGGTAGGTTTCGTAGTTACGACCTCTCCCATCTGTAACCGATATAAGATCGTTGTCTTACCAGCGCCGTCCAACCCCAGGATCAATATACGCATTTCCTTGTTTACGCCCCAGAGGCGATCGAACATTGAGCTAAAGAAATTTCCCATGATTCTCAACTTTTTGTTCGGCGGAAAAGGGTCTTAAAATGTGTCTTGTAGTCGATTTGTAAGTGAGTTTTTGGATTTTAGGTATAATATATTATACATAACATGCCTTTTGGATATTAGAAAATTGTATATCCAAGAATATCAGACGAAACGTATACAAAATTGAGACCAACTCCATAAATCTATTCCCGACTATTGAATGTAGCTTCTGTAAAGCTTTGGGTGAGGATTGACGTTTCTTTCGCCAGGCGGTAAGTTTGCCAGGCAGCTGCGTCACAATAGTACAAAGTGACTTAGAGCTTCTGGCGATCACAAGCGTTTCACCTCAGAGTACAACCATTAGCCGTAAAGGGGAATCTAACGTCTGATTCAGATGTCAACGTATGGTGGCAGGCTCAACAAATACCAGGGCTACTTCCTTTTGATCATATGAAAAAATGGGGGACCAACAAAATCAATGAGACTTTAAACTCAAACAGACCAGCTCAAGGCTAAATACTGACTAAGCTATGTAGAAGCTGGTGCTACGACGGCGATGAAGCTGGTGCTACGACGTTGTGAGTATTTTTATCCATTACTCACATGTCGTGTTCTGTGACAGAAAATATGCTAGAATTCAAGGTTAATCAACCCTCCGCAAGTCTCATAATTACTACTGTCCATAACCTCGGCAGGTTTGGCAAGCCATCTAAGCAGCAAGAGGCACTTGGACTGAGTCAAAACTCTTGCACATCAGACACCCTTGAGCATGATTTCGCCGGTTACAAGGAGATTATTAAGAGATTGGAAACGACTTTGGCACCAACAAAATACCCGATACCACATCCGACCTCAGGACTCCAACTTGCATTTGTGGAACTTTGCACTGACATCTAAAGAAGCCGAGATCTATGGTGTCTTTTTTATCGGTGGCTCGGATACTGAGCCGATTATTGTGATGCGCGGTTTCACCCCCAACCATTGTTTTCCCGCGAATAAAAATGTTAACCTTACACATTTAGCGCCAATATTGTTGACCCAAGGTCTCTCCGGATTTTTGGATCAGCTTTACCGCATGCTTGATCACACATCTACTGTCGGAGGTATCAGATTTATGCAAACTTGGAATAGGCTGATGATCAAAGACTTCAAAGCACATTTCCCAGAGCTACATGCCAGTTTTTCACCAGAACCACAAGATTACGCGCTTGTACAACAAAGCATAAATTCAACCGCGAAGCACGATCATCCTCTCCAATCGGGCTTCAAGTTCAGGGATTTATCGCCCCTGAGCGACACCATTGCATGCGATAATGACGACAAAGGAAAGGACACCAAGAGACGGAAATTGGATGTAAGTGGTACCGCTGCTACGGAAGGCGAGAGAGAGAGCGATAGCGATACTGAACTGCATAGAAAACGGAGGGCCTGATACGGAATAATGGCCCATTTACTTGTAACATCTGCATTACCTGTTTTTCATCTTATGGAAACATAGGTATTAGTATATATATACATATATATATATATATACGTTCGTATACATAATGACAAAAGTTAAGGACAAAGGACTACCATCCTGGGTAATAGTATCTAGTCGGATGTTTCGTATGCAAACCTATGTGCTGTTTTCATCGCAATGGCGCAAAATCGTTTTGATCATTTCATTGCCAATTACGTTAGCCTCAGGTAACATTGGTTTGAAAAATTCTTGGACTTCTTCGAATTGACGTTTGTACAAATCATAGCTTTCGAAAGAAACAATAGTACTCCAGGATCTTGCTGCAATAACAAATTCAAGGTCGTCAGCTCTGAAAGCATCTCCATTTATGGCGGCATCGATGGTCGTTGCCAGCAGATCGGGCGTCATGAAGAGATATTCCGTAACGCCAAGAAATATCCTGAATAACGGGGTCGAACATATGATGTGGTCGTAAGGATTAATTTGAAGCTGATGCCAGCTGTCGACAATTGCTAGTAGTGATAAATGCGAGTTTGGAAGGGTTTTTTCACCTTCTTGTGGTTCATGTTGGCTTAGAGAGTATTTTTCCAATATCGAGTCATCCAGAAGAAGCGGCCGCTCTTGTTTACCAAAAACAAATTTCCTGGCTGCAGATAGTCTCCTCGTCAACTCATCCTTCCTGTTTTGAACGAAAAGCTCAAACAGCTCTGTGGCACTTTTCGCGTACTGCATTATTTGTTGGTGGGCGGCAGGGTTGGTAATAGCCAGTCCTGCGTAGACGTGCCATTTATTGGAAAAGATTCGCAGTGAGATATTAACCTTCACATTTTCAAAGCCGCCATACCACCGATTGACTCCGATGGTCCAAGGATATAGCTGCTTTTTGTACCAAGCCACACCCATACTTAAAAAAGCAGCGTGGGTGACCGCCTGAGTGTCTGCGGTGATTTTATCATGCTCTTCATGAGTAAGATAAACGTGTTTGCTCTTCAAAGATGACATGACTGTTTCTACAAACTCAAAAGATTCCTCACGCTGACACCTGTGTTTGATGAGCACCAAGGGCTGACCTTCAGTGTTCACTTTAGGCCCATGCAGTGAGTGCACCGATACAATGTCAACGTCTGGTGGTAAGTGTTTTTCAAAAGCTTTGATTTCGGGGCTCTTGCAACTTGTTTGGCCTCCAACAATGGCTCCAATCTTTGTGGACGCACTGTACTCGCCCACGATTTTGTCTATAAGTTTTGCTTCCACACTGTAAATAACATAATCACTAATTCTTGAAACGAAATGGCCGTTTTTTAGCACTGTGTATCGTTCGTCGAGACAGTTGTTTTGCAATTTGAGGTAGTTCTCCTCGCGATCACAGCATACTACCTTCCATCCATTTTGGGCGAATTTTCTAGCATACAACTGGCCCATATCGCCCATGCCGATGATGCCTATCGTCTTCGTACGTTTCCATTCTTCGATGAGGCCCTGCTCCACCATGGATGATCGTATGGTGAGTTCTTTTAGCCTGGGCACTTGTGTCTTACAATGTTATTCGTATATACTTAATACAGATAACCTTACGATGAGATTCTTACTACTTAAATTACATATGAGATAATCATATCAAATAAAAAACCAAGGTAGTACCACTAACCAACCCTGTACCCTGGTATGCACTAAAGTACCATTATAAATGTCTTAAGGGATTTGGAATTATGATCGGCAGCTTTGGAGCGAATATTGTTAAATGTAGTCCCTTATCCCGCATTGTATGACGCGTGCTCGCTTGCAAGAGCATAGAAGGTAGATATAGTTCTTATTAGAGTAAATTGCTTGATTCATTTTGCTCAACGCTCTGATTGATAGGTTGTTATGTCCTCCTTGCTATAACTGCTACCATTCTTTTGCTGATATGCCGGCCTCTGGTACCGCGTTGTTCTTAAACCATGATCGTTACTAATATATATCAAGTTCAAAGACCTAATATACAACTTAAAAGAGCATACATACCTGGTTCTTAAGAATCCAGGTGTTTTGATAGCCCAAAACCCTAAATCTGAGGGACTGAAGTACTAGAGATGTTGACTCTTGTGGCCGAACCTTTGACTATTGATGGTTTCAAAAACTACGGATCGATTGTGTCTCCCGATGAAGAAGTAGCCAAGCTTTCAGAGGCATCAAGGGGCGCCAATCAAGGAACCGCAATCAAAGTTGTTAAGGTCAGTGCTAACCAAAATTTGTTCCCTTCCCAATTGGGGATCAAGGCATCTCATTGGAATCTGTTCCGCTGTTTCCCACAACCACATTTGCACAGAGACTTTCTTCCGGCCCAATCAGGCGAGATGGTGATACAGCACGGCATCAAAGTGCTAGAAAAGCATCCTCATAGTTCTCAGACGTTCATTCCCATGGGCCGCGCATCTAAAGAGCTTGCGTATTTGGTTGTGGTGGCCGTGGCCGACGACCATGGAGAACCAAATCTTTCCACTTTGCGTGCTTTCACTTGCAACGGTAATCAGGCCGTTACATACGGGGCTGGTGTGTGGCATGCTCCTATGATTGTTCTCGGCTCACAAGAATACCTAGATTTTTCGGTTGCCATTTACGAGTTAGGCGACCAGACAAGACCGGAGATGGACTTGGCCGAAAGATTCTATGATGAAGACCAAATTGCTGTCAAATTGACGGCAATGAACTAACTTTCCAGTGCTATGGTATGCGATGTCCAATGCTGTGGCCTTGTAAAAGTGCGTCGAATTAAATATATATACACATACAAAACACACTTAGCTTCTGACAGCCCAGGGACTCATTGACTCATGTTATGTGAAGAAAAGGCACTTCTTTCATAAACCCACGCTTAAAAGAGTTCGTAGGTTCTTAATGGTGAGTACTAGAAGAATATTTGACCGGATTATTGAAAATCTAGAGCATCTCATCGCTCTAAGAAAATGTTAAAAAACTCAGGCCAAAAAGTCCCCAAGATGCTAGCTCAAGAGCTCGAAAAGCTGCACATAGCAGCAGCAGGTACCTTCATTCTTTCCGAGGCGCCCTCAGAGACGAAGAACGGCGCTGGAAGGCCTAATCAGGCCGTTACCAAGCCCATATCTGTCGATCCCGACACCGGAGAAGTTATAGTTCGGAAGTCTACTGGCAAAAGCAAGATACGGAAAGGCCAAAGCTCCGACGAATATGAACGGCAAAGGGATCATTTTTTTAATGTCGAGAAAGGCCCAGTGTGGACACCGGTGGGTTGGATGACCAAAGAGGATCCACTGGACAGGCTGGACAAGAATCCTGAATCTGATATCAGACTTAAACAGACGCGACAAAAGCTTATGAGCCATTGTCATCTACTTTATTATCGGAAGCAGTATGAAGATTGCGCTCAAATATGTCAGACGCTCATTACCCGCTTCGAGGTGCTGGAAAGCCGAAAGAAAATTCAGAAGGAAATCGACGAACTCGCACACATCCTTCAACGGTGCAGGGCAATTGCTCAGGCTTAAAGCGATGATACTTTCAGCCGTACTATTAACTCAACTCATATCTGTAATACTAATTTAATGCACTTATATACCACGAGACACCCGGAAGTTATGGGTAAATCCGGATCTCCACGCCAGTAACAGTTCTCTTTCGCAGAGAAGTTTCCTTATCCTCATCATCTATTCCTTCAGGTTCCTCTGTCGTGTCACCATTTTTTACGACTTCGTCCAGAACAGCAATGCTCTGAGTTATAACTTCCACTTTCTTGCCCTTTTCCTCTTGATAATGACAAGCTATTGACAATGTCTTTTCAACCGCTTTTCCCATCCCCATTATACTCACATACTCCGCTCCATGACGTTGTAATCTTCCCAAAAACTTGTTGACTCTCTTTAACGCTGATACGAATGGAGTTTGGGATTTAATGTAAATAGTTGTTTTAATTTGCTTGTGAGATAGAAGCTTGACAGAAGGGTGTTTCGTCAATATTCGTTGGTTAGACATGATACAATTAAGCTCTATGGTATGCCTAGGATCAAAAGCGATATGTAGTTTAGCCTTGTTAGGTCATCTCTGGTAATTAAATGTTTTTAACGGTCAATTACAGGAAAGCCTACTATCTAGAAAATTACAAGATAGCCAAAGCATCCATCGAGTGCCCAGTCAAGCTTAACGTTGAGCGCTCATTTTAATGCTCGCTGTTACATTACATTGATGCCAGAAAATACCATTCTCTTCCGCGCTAGACTAGTTCAGAAGCACGGGCAGCAAGAATCCTTAACCTTTACAACAGCCCCTCAGGTTTCATGGACGTTACACAAACTTTACCCCTTCTTACTAATTCTGGATGGATTTCTGAATAATTTGATGTGGTGCTGCGAGGATGTTTGCTTGCCTTTTATATATCTGGTACTAATGATCCTGGCTGTGAATCTGAGCACAACTCCTAATTGGCAGGTAGGCTTTTTAGCAACGGTTATTAATACCTGGTTTGGTCTAATGAGCCTCGCACTGCTAGTTCTGTCGAGCCTATATTTTATCGTTAGCGTACTGCGGGAACTGAGGCAAGACGAACCCCCTACTTTGGATGATATTGTGGTGACCATGGAAAATGTGAACTACAAGCTGGATAAAATACGACAGGACGTGGCTGCATTATTTGGTCTTCAGCGCAGGAATATTTCGGCACTAATACTGGTCTCAACCCCCATCCACTGGGCAGTTACAAGTTACGTTTATTCTGCTCATCGCTACATCCAGTGTTGGGTGATCGGACTGTTTGTATTTCATTCCAGCTGGTGCCAAACTACAATGCGATTGATATGGAGAAGCGTATATGCCCGGCAGCTGTGGTTCCTGGTTTGTGGGCGCCAAGGTTTTGCGCCCTACTCGGCATCAAGCGCAATAGGGGAAGGTCGTCAATACAAAATAATAAAGGAAGCTGTGTCAATCCCTGTGTCAAGAGATGTGGCGCGGCTGCCAGATTCCCAACTCGGCGTTCAGTTGAGGCTCCATATCAAAAACAGCGGAGTCGATGAATCCATCGATCCAAATTTAAAAAGTTCTGAAAGTACTGAAAGTGCCGTCACTGTCATGATTACCGGCTACGAAATTGACGAAAACCAACGCAAGTGGCCGCTGGACGGTTGGACTCACAACCTCTTGCCCTACGAAAGAACGAAATTTACACTCACAGCGGGCCCGTGCTGGCAGGAATGGGTGTCGCCATGGGAATTCCAGGAATCTTTAGAAAAGAGCTGGTTTTGGCTAGATGATGGTTGGACGCCCCATGAGTGGAAATATTGCGATGCTAACTGGGTAGGTGTAGGATCTGACGACTCTCTTGCCTGTTACACAAGAAGCAAGTGCTGGACAAGACGAGCTTTCCGCATATTAAAAAAGGTTAATTAGGCGAGCATCCGCTTTCAAATTGTTATTCAGTGAAGTTTGCTGTTGTGTGTTGGTCAATGTAGCTGATCGATGTAGCTTCTTTACCTGCCTGTATATTCAAATAAATGAATTTAAGTCCTCTCATGTTATAACGCTGAAATATCAAAAATGCAAACTTTAGATAGCCAACTTCGTTTGTAGCTGCTGGACCTGATGCTTACCCGAAACTTGTTGAGAAATGTACAGCAGCGCTACTTCCAAACCTCCCGGAGGCTTGCAATCACTTTTGAGGGAAATACCCGTGAGGACCTTGGGAGTGAAGAAGAGAGGATGACCAACGTTTTTGGAGGTAGGATCAAAGGTGACTCTCCTCGATCAACCAGCCGAATAATGAGAGGACTTCCCAGAAATATTGCCGGCGTGCTAGTACCGGAACGACCTTCGGAACCAGACAACTGCTGCATGTCAGGATGCGTTAATTGCGTTTGGGAGATATACAATGAGGATCTCAGAGACTGGAAAGACAAGCGTAAATTAGCCGCTAATAGTCTCAAGGGGTCTGATAAAACTTGGCCGGCAGATTTCCAACCGCCTTTGAATCTTTTGGAGTTACAAAACGTTCCTACAAAGTTAAAGACTGCCAAGATCAAGCTTGATAAGCAAAAGAGTCGAGGAACCGCGGCTTTGTTCCCCCCCAGGGAAGGAAATTTGCCGCAGAGCGTCATAGATGCAAAGAAGAGACGACAGGCTGAGAAGGAGAGTATGCAGGGCGGAGATGTCGACCAGGATGGAGATGAGGGGTGGGACGATATTCCGGTTTTCATAAGGGTATTCGCCGAGTTTGAAGGAAGAAAGAAACATGCTCGCGAGAGCCACACTAGCTCCTGACACTTCAGTAAAAAGCGTCCTTCAAAGGCGTGAGCATATACTTTTCCAATATTGCAAGGCATTCTTGGACACAGATTGTAGTAGGTCATTTTATAAACAGTAAAAATCATACTCCAACAAACAAGCACTGCATTTCTATTATCTTAAATGGTGCGTTTATTCAGGCTAGCAGTTTCTAGTAAGGTCATCTCTAGAATATCATGCCCAACTTATTAAATCTTCATTTGCACTGAGTTATAATATTTATCATTATGTACCGGGGTGAATGCATGAGAGGTTAGCCATTATTCCAATGTGTTCAATCCAAATCGATATCACCCTCAGCGTCAGGCTTGACTTCTTCTTGCTTCTCATTTTGCTTTTCTGCTTCTGCCTTTCTTTGAGCAGCCATCTTTTCAGCCATTTCAGCCATCTTTTCGGCTTCCTGCTTTGATCTTAAGGCTTGTCTCTTTTCTTCCTCCTTAGCAAGGTATCTGCCTCTGATCATGTTACCCAAAGAAGCCAACTCTTCGTATTTGGCAATGTACCTGGCCTTGGTAGAGTCAAAACCGTCTTCATATAGCCAATCTTCAGCCTTCGCCAGCATATCTCTTAGTTTGGTCTTCTCGTCGTCGGAGGCAAAGCTGGCATATTCTTCATCTAGCTTACCACGCAACGTGTAGATGTATTCTTCCAAAGCGTTTTTGCGATCTTCGGTTTCACCAACGAGCTTGTCTTGGGCAAAAAGTTCGTTTTCCTTTTCGATCAATTCGTTCAACTCGGTTTCCGTCAAAGCAAAAGTGTGACCAACAATCTGTAGGTCATCCTTCTTGACGGTCTTGGTAACCTTTCTGTACTCAGGTTCGGCGTCCTCTGGGGCATCGGCAGCACGAGGAACTTCTTCTTCAACCTCGATGTCCTCCACGGAATGAGCACTCTCGATTATATGCAAACCAGATGGGTCGACTCTCAACTTGAGCTTAACAGGCACAGAAGTTTGGCCAGTTGGAACTTTGACGCCGGAGATCTCCCATTTGGCAATGTGAGAAGCGACACCAGTAGGCAATTGCTCGGGATGGGTGTACTTGGCTTCCATGGTGAAGTCGCCAGTACGGTGTAGAGTGATCAACTTGGTAGATGGGAACTGAGAACCAGCGGTGAAAACTTCCAGATGATCCTCATCTTCTTCTTGCTTGTCCCAAGAGTAGGAAACGGAGTAAGCATGAACGTCCTCGAACTTGAATGGGCGCACCCTCATGGTTGGAGAGTGAATAGCGCAAATGAAAGCAGCACCCTTAGCGATAGCTTCATCTTGGTTCAAAGTTGTGGACAATGGCTTGCCGAAAGCTTCAGAGATGGCATTCTTCAAAACTGGAATACGGGTGGTACCACCGATGATTTCGACAAAGTCGACATCTTCGGTCTTCAGTTGGGCTTGAGCAAGAGCTCTGGTGACTGGCTCAGTGACACGTTCCAACAAAGGCTTCACCAAGTTTTCCAGTTCTTCACGAGTCATTTGAGAAGCAACGTCCACATCGTCCATAACAGACTCGACCGAGAAGGGAGCAGAAGTGTTAGCTGATAGCACTTTCTTCAATCTTTCGGCACCAGTGATGACTCTGTTGTAAGCCTTGGGGTTGGTTCTAATGTCGATCTTGTATTTAGTCTTGAACTCATCGGCCAAATGCTCGGTGATGGCGCGGTCAAAGTCTCTACCACCGAAATGTTTGTCGTAAGCGGTACCCAAAATCTTCATCTCACCTCTCTTGAAAGCACCAATGCTACAGGTGTAGGTAGAGTGACCGATGTCCACGAAAGCCACAATTCTTGGCTTTTGTTCGCCTTCTGGCATTTCGCTCTTGAAGACACCGTAAGTGACAGCAGCGGCAGTAACGTCGTTCACAACTCTCACGGGGTTGAGACCGGCAATTCTGGCGGCATCGGCAACGGCATAGCGCTGTTCCTCCGAGTACCAGGCTGGGACGGCGATGGCCACGTCAGTGATGTTACCCTTGGTTTCATCAATGACCGTGTTCTTGACCTTGTTGATGAACATAGCCACCAGCTGGGTAGCGGAAAATACAACTTGCTCGCCAGCAAGTCTGACTTGAGCACCGATCTTGCCGTTTTCCATCTTAACCAATTTGGAACTAAAGTACTTGTTTTCAATGTCGAAATCAGCATCGTCGTAGTTCAACCCGACAATACGTTTCAAGCTCTCTACGGTGTTTTTGATGTTGGAAGTCTGCTTGTTCTTACCAGCTTCACCCAAAAATCTGTTCTTCTGGCCGAATCCCACCAGCGAAGGTGTGGCACGGTTCGACACCTCGTTGACAACAATGTCGATACCTCTGTTTCTGGCCACAGCCAAAACACTGTTGTTGTTACCTAAATCTAAACCAAATGGAGTACTCATGATGGTGTGTCCTTAGTCGTTTATAGATTTCGTGGTAAGAGAAAGAGTGTAGTTCAGCAAGAAAGGCCACTTTCAATTTTCAGGTGAGCTTTATAAAATTTTCATGCTTCAATGACGGATTCCGCAAAAGTGATAAGCTAATTTCTAGAAAGTTCTAGCACTTTCAACAAGAACAATAATGAACCTTGAACCTAAGCAAGCTTTAGTCGTCACTCTCTGATTGCGAGTGAATGGAAAACTCAAGGTCAGGACTGGTGTTTTTGTTCTTGCACCTCGCTGGTCTTCTTCGAACGGCCAAAATCGGATTGCTTCGCGTGTAGTGTACTTTGGAAGGAAATTTACTACCCACCCGGAGTGTGTGGAGTCGTCTTTTTAGTAGAAATCAGTCTGGTGCCTTGTCAGCTCTAGGTTTGCTTACATGCACCCAACGGAGCTGAATTCAATATCGCTAAGCAGATTCTTGCAGAATCATAATCAACGTCTGCCACTCCGGGGAGTCTATTAGCTGATATAGAGCACTTTGCTCATTCATTGTTACTGCATGGCAAAGCAATCCCCACTCTTTGGTACCCAAAATTTGTAGTGAATTGATGTATAGGAGCAAGTGGAAATTGGAAAGCTTTTTGAGCAACAGATCGAAATCACCAGAGGTGGCAGCTGCGTACAGGTAAGTTTTCAACTGCGCGTAATCCTGAGATTGGCCCAACATCTGGCGATTAGTCCAAGGAAACCCGGTGGTACTAGCGAAAGTTGGTTTGGTTGGCGCATCGGCAGTAGGGAACCCGTGAGTCAATGATACCAGCAAGTAGTCCACCGGGAACGCGGGTTTGGCGTTCTCCTTCACCACAAGTCCATATTCGTTGGTCCTCATGTAGAAAAGCTCCGGTACGTAGCGATCTTTGTTTGTCTCGTTAATGAATGTCATCGAAGGGTGTGTCGATGCGCTTATCATGTCTGCCTCGACTAGAGCTTCCGCATCGGTGGAAACCTGATACGTCGAGATGTCGATTTCGCCTTGGGTATTTCCGGAGACAACACAGGTGACAAATTTTGAGGAGTAGATCCCCTGCTCGCTGAACTTGCAGATATTTGGTTTTTTCATCTGGTGCCGGGCAGCCATGATGACCTCCAACGACGACATAAAGAAAGAATCCTTATGACGCTTGCAAAAAACCGACCCGTCTCCATTTCGGGCATCCGTCAAGTCTGTGTAAATCATGCCAATGCGAGCGAGACCCAACTCGAGAGCGATCACATCAATCTTACGCATTTCCTCTTCCACCATGGCCATATCCATGGTTAGCCCATCTTGTTCATCGTGTTGAGGGGGCTCGTAAATGGCCTCTGCCTTGGCAATTATTCCAAGAGGGGTAGCGTCATAGGCCGCGTATTTGCCATAGATGTAACCAAAGCGCTGCGTTCCCGTGCTCCTCCAGCTGTCTATGAATTCGTTAATCAGATCACTTGTTTGAAATTCAACATGGTCTACCATTCTAAACTCCTGTTGCTTCAGGGTGATTGCCGAAGGTTGACATTTGGAGCAAATCCCACGCGGCCATGGCTCGTGTCCGCCCGAACAGTTTTTATTGATGCGAAAATCTGGTTGTGAAAGAGGAGGAACATAAGAGCCCGCACTTGACCTCTTGTTGGTCTGTTCGTTGAGCTGTTTGAGGTGCGCGTGGAAGGAAATATGCTTTATATTGTGTTCTTTCTGGTAGCCTCGGTCCCAAGGTGGAAGCGGGCTACAATATTCGCACATCCCCTTATCGCCATGTTTGCACAGAGAAGAACGTGTTCTGGCTATCAGCCCATTTAACTTTTCCAATTGCTCGTCGACTGGCAATTCTTTGACGTCCAAGGGCCCAGAAACATTAGCTGCTTTTATCTTCACACTCTCTCCTCGAACAGGCAGACCTGTAACCTGATCTGGCACTGATTTGGAGCTCGGTCTCTTGCTGTACGCCACATTTAAAAGCATACCATGCTTGAATCCAAGCTCTCCAACAGTTCTCTCACACATATCATTAGCGAGTTCCATCTGATTGGGCTGCACGCCCAACACTAAAGTACTGAGGTCCATCTCGGGACTCAACATGCGTGCTAACTTGCCCAAAACTATATCGAATTTGTCCACTTCAGTGCACTCAACGCGGTGCATGCCTTCCTGGGATCTGAATCTAAGAATCATTTTATTTCAAAACCTATTGCTGAAGGGTTGAGAGGCTCGGTCTTAGGTATTCACTTATGCTCAGAATGGACGCTGTGGCAATTACTTTAGTTTCAATATGTACATAAAAAATCTAGGAAGTTCAACAATACAAACGTCGAATCAAGACTTTCGAAGAAAAACTGGGCCAATGTCTTTTAATGAAAGCAATTTCAACAGCACGTTCATGGAGGACGATGCTGGAAAGATTGAAATGAAATCGGTGTCGTTTTACACCCCTTTGGTCTACGTATCCATTTTGGTGATATCGTTGGTTTTATTTGCATCTCATTATAGGAAGAAAACTGTACAAGAGCTAACCGAACTGCCTTCCATGTTCGACGAAAGTATCGCCAGAGACATATACTTTGAGTTGAAACTGATGAACGAGTCGGGAGACACCAAAGTGCATGACAAAGTCTTGAAAGCGGCTCTGCTAAATCGTGGTGCAGAGGCCATAAGAAGAACGCTAAAACTGAAGGAGTCCGAACCGCAGATTACAATGCTGTACAAGAATGGCTGTGTAGGCGAAGAGTACTGGAAACGATATCAGAATGAGGTAAAGCTGGTGGATCTGGAATTTAAAGAAACTATTCAAGAAGCTGAGTTAATCCAACCCGGCTGGCCACAGCTTTTTGTTCTTGTTTGTAAAGAGATTTGTTTCAACCAGGCTCTGAAAAGGCGTTTTCAGGCAATATTGTTGCGTAAAGACGTCTTTTCTAAGCAATGGTGTTTGAAATTCGACGACTCCGGGAAATTGATCGAGTAATAGACTATCTCGCAAGTAAAGAAAATAAATTGCAATGTAAATAAGTCTGACTGTCAGAAGGCTTATAGGACATTGAACATACAAATGGCAAGCTAAATGCAAAATATTTTTTGACTCTTTCTAAAAGGTAATAAAAGAAATACACGTATCTAGTCTCTTAGCAAGCACTACATTAGATGACAACGTTACATCTAGTGCTTTCTGTTTTTCTTCTTCCCTACAACTTGGAATTCCCAGTCATCAACGTCACCCTTTGGCATGGTGAGTGCTTCACTCCATGTTAATGAATCAGTGAGCTTACTCTCGCATTCAACACGACGCTTTATGAATTCACCCGCAAATCTCCTTCCATCCATGGACACACTATTAGAATAAATGGTATCGGCAATTATTTCCTTGGACTCAGGGCCAGCTGGTAAACTGAATAATACCTCTAGAACACCGTTTGCGTCCACTTCGGGAGATAATTTCATTTGCGATTTGCACCACTTCAAAAATTCCTGACGAAGAGACGTAGACGCATTGCCCGTATATGCGGAAGGGGTTCTGGACATAGCTTTGGCTTTTAGAGTTGGGATGCTAGTAGAGGACCCGATTTGTTTGCTCGACGTGGCGCTCATTGACCTCAACTTTTCCGGGCTTAGGAATGTTTGACTTTGGTTTAAATGCTTCGCACTGCCTGTCTTGGTTAAAGCGGGTTGCTTCTTTGTCACTGTGGTCCATTCGTTTCCGCCACTATTCAAATTAGGAGGGCTAACCTTTGCACTTTTTTGAGCTTCTTCCCAGAGTTTTTTCTGCTCCTCTAAAAACTTTTTCTGTTCTAGTTGATCTTTCTGGATTTGTTCAATGGTCTTTACAGGCGCTTTTGGCCCGTCTAAGGCGGGAGAGAGGTCTTTTTTGCTTGCCCAAGTGGCAATCGAATCAATTCTCGGCCGCTGACTCTCTTCATTCAAAACTTGCTGCTGTAATTTGGCAGCCAGTTCACGGGTTTGTTGCTCTTGAGCTTGCTTACGCTTGGCTCTTTGTGCAGCTTCCTTTTGTTGGACATCAGCTAAAGATGGAACAGCGATAGCAGATTTTGTTTTGTTGGCCCATGGCGCTGGCTTGGCCGATAACAAACTTTGACTTGAGCCGCTAGGAGTCGAGCTTTCTTTACGCAATTTCTCCACCTCTTCCCGCTTATTGAGATCCTCTACCTCTTGCTGCTCACGCGCAAGTCTGGCTTCTTCTTCTAGCAGCATATTGCGCGCCAGCTCATTAGCTTGTTTTCTGCGCTCATTATCCTCATGTAATTGTCTTTGTCTCTGTTTTGCAATCCCTTCCGCCTCCAAATGTTGCTGTTTTTGCTTCGCCATTATCTCTGCCTCTTGTTGGCGTCTTTTCTGCAGCTCCATAGCGGCTGCACTCTCGGCGATATGCTGCTGCAGCAAAGCCTCTTGCTTCTGGGCTTTCTCTTGATCCTTACGCTGCTTACTAGCTAGTTCGAACTCACGTCTTCTCTGTACAGCGTCTTGATCAACCAGCCTGGTTTTGAAACTAGAAGTATCGAGACTTTTCAGAACGGCTGCATCACTCTCTACAAATTTGTCAATAGGGATTTGAGAGATTGTCTCCTGATAAAACCCACCGTCATCATCACGCAATTGAAGTAATTGACCGTGTGTGTAGTCCTGAGACTCCACGTTTGGTGCATGGCAGGCGTTCGAAGAGCCATCAACCGTGATAGCGTGGTCGGCAAAAGGTACCTTAGAGTCCACTAGCACGCCGGACAGGGACTCAAACACATTACTTTGCTCATCAGCAACCGGCGGCAAAGTACTACCCGGGTGCTGAAGGGGTGTTTGCGCCTGAGTTTGGGTCACAATGATATCAAACTTTGAAAAAGGATCGGTAAAGTCGCCAACTGTAGCCATCAGATCTCCCAGAGACCCAAAAGTGTCGTTCACCCCGAATGGCTCTGGAGTCGACGCCACACGCATTATTTGGAGAGAGGCCTGAAGATATCCTGCCTGGTACCAATTTGTCATAGATTGCGACGGGAAGGGGCCCTGAATCATCCCTTGGAAATCAACGTATTTCCATTGAGACTCAACCACAACCAGCTGTGGCTGCGCAGAGAATACACCTGGAGGTAATGGCGGTGCAGAGGACGATTGCTGTTGATTACTTGATCCAATTGGAGTAAAAGAGTCTCCGCTCGACAGCCCGAAAAGAGAAGAGTTCCCAGGTGCCCTCTGAGACCAATTGATAGTGGCAGAAGACGAAGACGGAGTATCTCGCAGCCCAACCGACGCCTGATGAGGAGTCTGTTGAGCAGGCTGCTGGCCAACATACATAGGATCTCCTATGGCCCCATTTCCATTGACAAACGGAGAATGAGCCCTCTGAATACCTATGTTATTCAAGAGTGATCCCGATTTTTGCAATGGTATCGAGCCAGAGTCCAGCAATGGAGTTGACGTTCCACTTAGTGACATTGATTGGAATTGCGGCATCACAATCGATCCCAAAGGATCCTGGAGTATTTGCTGATTAGCGTTCATCGTATTACCAAATGTATTAAAAGTTTTAAAGCCTGCTTTCTATTGCAATTTGGCCACCTATTTAAACTGGTCAAATCGTAATCCTTTCAAAAGGTTCAAAATTCACACTTACAGGTGCTTAATGGGTTTAAAAATTTTTCGGGCATAGGAAACTTCATGGAATTGGCGTTTGTCGTTGTACATGATCTCTAACACAACCAACCCGAAACGCTCGAAAGCGTATGGTCGAAATGAAGACCTGACGTGCGCTTATGCAAGTGAACCATTGTATCCGAGCCTGTTATACTGCACAATTATAGGTCTTTGCTCTTGTAAGACACACGACGAGCCAGGCCTCGCTTCCAATGTTGGCTGAACATAGAAGTGCCAACATAAGCATTGGACATCCATGACCGTGAAACTAGAGTCACTATCCTCTCAATGGGTTCCTGCCGAATAAGCCGGGCCCACAACTTTCTGGAAGATGCAACTATGGTGGAAAGCTGGAAAAACATATCCAGGTACGGTGAGCTTTGTATGACAGACACGGTGAGCATTGTGCGACTGTGAACGTCATCAAAACACGAAAACTGTCCTGTGGACCCTTGATTTCGGCCACATTTTAAATGCCCAATGATTTTTCGATTGAGCCGTGGACGTCCATGCCCATTGATACCCCACCGATGATCCCCGAGCCGGGATACACGTCTTCCCAGTCAACACAGGCCTCGCGGTTCAGTAGGATGTCTTGGTGCAAACCCGATCCAGCACGCTCTGAAAGGGGGTTGAAGTCGGTGTTCTGCACAATTGCCAGTTCCATCTCGCGTTTCATAGGTTCGGCAATTCCAAAGACGCGGCGATATTGTTCGAGGTCCCTGTTCCGTTGGGTCTGATCCCAATTTTTTAGCTTGCTCTCCAATGGATGCTTCCCGTTTGTTTGGGTACTGAGAGGCGTGGCGCCTCCGTCTTGACATCTGAACGTATCTGGAAGCGCTGAGACAACGGATGACGAAGGCTTATTTTGAGAATTTGTTGATACACTAGTTTTGAAATCTTGGGTTGGCACGACACTCATGGTTTAAGTAATGGTCAGGACTTGGCAAGATTGTGATGGTTTTCGAGATGGGTTGGTTGAGGTAGGGAAATAGCCATTAATTACGTTTGCCACCCAATGGAGAAACAACGTACCCTTATACGGTTGAAATTGCAAGCAGTAGTGAGTGCTAGAGGCAACATAAATCACATAGGTTTACGTTACTGAACTTGTATGTAGGAGCTGGCGTCCACGAATTAAAGACTTTAACCATTTTGGGAGACGTACTGCAGCAGCACACAGTCTTTTATGGTGATTATATACTGGTCCATAAATTGACTCTCGTCACGTGACGTTGCTAACAACAGCTCAGCTGCCTTAAGTATGATTGAAGTGCTATGAAGGGATATTGTGCATTGGGATTAATCTTGGTATGCTATATGCTGGATGCAAGGCTGCCGTTAGTGCTAAGCGCACCTCAGAAATGCCCTCATTCAACGACAATTATTGTATCATTTCGTACTATAAAGACATCTTGAAGTTGAGGGTCTAACCATTACATAGTGACGGAAACTAAACGAATGCAACTGGAGTAGGAAGATCGAGATTTTCATTGTTGAATGGCTCAATTTCAGCTACTAGGCTGCTTGAAACAAGCACGCGAATCGACCGTACCGCACACTACTGCCAAATTATCGCCCGACGGTCAACATGTAGCGTTATGTGAGGAAACAGACATTGAGATCTACAATGTGAAGGGTCAAACGGAAGTTTCTTTATCTACATTACACTCACGGCCACTGTCAGATCTTTGCTGGTCACCCGATTCACAATGTATTGCCACAGCTTCGGATGATTTCACGGTGATAATCACTCACGTCAAATATGGCGAATTGCATCGACTTGTAGGACATACTGCGCCCGTCACAGCCCTGAAATATACTTCGAAGGGTAATCTTCTTTGTTCGTGCTCTATGGACGAAAGCATAAAGATATGGGATACACTAACAGGCACCCTCCTGCGGACACTGTCGGCACATTCAGAACCTGTAGTTTCGATAGATATACCGCTTTTTGACTCGAGCATTTTAAGCTCTGGTTCTTACGATGGCCTGATTCGAATATTCGACACAGCTACGGGGCATTGTCTCAAGACCTTGACCTACGATAAAGATTGGCAAAGTGAAAATGGAGTCGTGCCTATATCACAAGTCAAGTTTTCACAAAACGGTAAGTTCCTACTCGTCAAATCACTGGACGGCATTTTGAAGATCTGGGACTTTGTAAGGGGTAAAGTAGTACGCACGTTTGTATCGGAGCAATCTAAGTCTCTGCGATATTCTTGTGGGATGGACTTTCTCTATTCGGCGGATGAAACCCTTGATCCTATTGTTGTGAGCGGGACAGAAAATGGTGAAATTGTTTGTTGGGATTCGCAAACCAAGCGCACTGTCCAGCGGATTCAAGGTAAACACGCCGACAGCCCTGTCATGGATATCAGTTGTAATGGTTCTCTAATGTGCTCTATCTCCTTAAATGGGGAGTGCAATCTTTGGAAGTGGTCCGCGAATTAGCATACTATATATACAATTGACACTTTGGGTTTGTCGGTGCGTTGTATTTTGAGCCAAGAGTACCAATGATTTATACCAATCAATCAAGTATTGCATCAAATAATAAGATAATTGTGTTAAAGAAGTTGTCACTATTTTAAATATACGTCCACATGTTAAAGCACCAATTGAGACTCATTAGTGGCTACAGGAGGAATCACACCGCCCCGTCATTCGTAGACGGCGTCAGGCAGAGATTCGACTTCCGCGAAACTACGCTGTGCATTAACAACTTGTTTCATTTGGATACATCGACCAAGGTCATTTTGAATGGATGGATTGACAAGAAGCCCAAGAAGATCGGCAAAAATTTGATTTTTGGAACACTGAGAGATACCAAGGGCGACCTAATCCAGCTAGTCGACTCGGATGCGCTATTAAAAAGTTCGAATGTCGAAGATGTCGTCCAGATCGAAGGCTCTTTACGTTTGAAAAAGAGTAAAGAAGATTCTTCCAATCGTCAGCTTGAAATCCAGCTCTCCAGCTTGCGGACATTAAACAGTGCTGGCAAGAAACCTTCGCAATCCCTGGACTTCAAAATGCAAGGCAACTATCCTCCTGACTTGAGATATCTCCAACTTCGACATCCCAAATACCAAGGCTTTCTCAGAAAGAGACACGAAATTGTACGAGATGTGAGGGAGCTTTTGAATTCGTTTAGTTTCACTGAAATAGAAACTCCGATACTATTCAAATCCACCCCGGAGGGAGCTAGAGAGTTTTTAGTGCCTACAAGAACTGTACAAAATGAAAAGCCTGCATTCTACGCACTGCCACAAAGTCCTCAACAGTATAAGCAACTTTTGATGGCGAGCGGTGTACAGCGCTACTACCAGATAGCGCGATGCTTTCGTGATGAAGACCTCAGAAGTGATAGACAGCCAGAATTTACGCAGGTCGACCTTGAAATGGCATTTGCATCGGCCAAGCAAGTGATGGATGTTGTGGAAAGCATTGTTACTAACTCTTGGGACAAGCATTCTTCCAGCGGGCCACTACGTACTCTGGGTCCCGGCAATAAGATTGTGCAATTGACGGACGCACAAAGGATTACCAAGATTACATATGCAGAGGCTATGACGCTTTATGGAATTGACAAACCCGACTTGAGGTTTCCAGCTTTGAAAATCATTGATATGTCTGAGTTCAAAGCGTATGGGACCGAAGACAAGGACTTTCCAGTGTTCGAGATAATGGTTCTACGTAATGCTTTCAAGGACAGAAATGACTATGATGAAAACTGGCGTTCACTCTCTGACGAAAATCAGTACAAGTTTAGGGCGCCAATTGTGGTGCCTATTGACAGCAAGGCGATGGAAACTAAATGGTTTGAAAAGTATATGGGTGTTGCCAATTTCGAGAACCCGACGTTGATGAATCGCTATTTGAATTTGAAAGAGGGAGATATAATATGTGGTGCGACTAGAGAATCGACCCGAACACTCTTTGAAAACCCCACCCCGCTGGGTCGTCTAAGACAATTGGTAACCCAGAACAAGCGTGGTCTCGAGCTATACAAAGAAAACCACAGTGATGTCGGAGTGTGGGTTGTTGACTTTCCTCTTTTTTCACCAGTGGAGAAAGAATTGGTAACCGCTGGTAAAAAGCATCGTTTCCCGAGCTACAAAACGGGCGTGTACACTTCCACCCATCACCCTTTCACCATGGTCCAATTGAAAGATCTCCCAAAGTTACATACGAATCCACTCCAATGCCTTGGACAACATTATGATTTTGTTGTGAATGGCACCGAGCTTGGTGGAGGGTCAGCTAGGATACATGATCCGAAATTACAGGATTTCATCTTCAAATCTATTTTGGGAATTAAAGAGCCCGCGAAGCTCTTTGGGCATCTCATATCCGCTTTTGAGAGTGGTACACCACCACACGCAGGGTTTGCTATCGGTTTCGACCGCATGTGTGCAATGCTATGTGGAACAGAGAATATCAGAGATGTAATCGCCTTTCCGAAGAGTGTGAGCGGATCTGATTTGGTGGTAGGAAGTCCGAGCAATGTACCCGCGGAAGCGGTCAAGGAGTATAACTTGAACTGGAAGCATGCGGCTCCTCAAAGCTAGCACGACGAATGTTGATTGGAAGACTGTTGCAACCCTTCGCGTTTACAAGTCACTTTCTCTCATTGGCGTTGAAATATGAACGCCAAACATTTCACTCAACGTATTGCTTACATTGAAATATGCCAACTACAGTGTTCCGTCATCAGGTGGTAATGTGGTTTTTATACATACAAAGCATATAAAGTAATTTCAGATTTTGGGCAGAAGGTGTAACTCTCGATTAAGAGGTTAATTCATTATAGGCACTCTTGGTTGAAAATGGGGAAGTATAACATAGACATTAAATGGTTTAAAAACGATGACAGTATAGCAATCACTTGCATATATGACATATTATGTGTCATATATATAGTAGATTGATCAAGTAGCTAACGGATTTTCCGATATAGTGTAACGGCTATCACATCACGCTTTCACCGTGGAGACCGGGGTTCGACTCCCCGTATCGGAGCCTACTTTTTGCACCTTATACACAATAATGCACTACAGACATCTCCAGTGCTTGCATGCTCCTTTTGAAATTCTATCTTTATCCCTTACTTGAATTAAATTTATCAACGCTAAAACTTTACTCTTTGCGCCCCAACTGCCAAAAATCGAGTAGCGACATAACAACCGCATCCGACGAATGTCAGTACCGCGCAGTATACAATCAACATGTTGTAGTCTCTTGCAGTGCCATCGCCTAGTATTGCTCCCCCAGTTGGGAAAGCCCATAAACTTGTCAAGGCAGTCATAAAGTACATCATGCTAAACTTTCTCCCAAATTCTTCAATCTTGCAAACTTGGCCAACGCTGGCGGGGACCATGGACAATATAGATGAACAAAAAACACCATAGACAGCTGAAAAGACGTAAAGCACATTGAGATTATGCCCAAAAGGTAACCATACGACGAGCGCCAGCACTGTCATCAAAAACAAACAGATGGTTAGAATCATGATGAGCCCCACGTATCGATCAGCAAGGTACCCAGAGGTACGACCCAAAAGCCCGGCTGTATTGACAATGGTAATCAAGGTGTATGATGTACTTTCTGAAATTCCTTTCGAAAGAGCATAAGAGGGGTAGTATGTAGCAATAACCATTAACCCATTCTCGGCAAAACAGCATCCCAACGCGCAAAATAGAAACTTCCAGTCCTTCAAAAATCGAATGTCAAAACTGTGTTTAGCATAAATCAAGGCAATTTCCTTAAAAGAATGTCTCCTGGTATCATATTTCATGACGTCTGGGTTCTCTCGAGCGAGCAATACAGATGGTGTTGAGCATGCAGTCAGAACGAACGCCAGAATTCTGATTGCCCATTTGTAGCCCAGCTGCGAATATAACTTTCGCAGCATAACTGGAAACACGATCCCACCTATAGACCCTCCAATGGATGCGATCGACAGAGCATTGGCACGGTTTTGCTTGAACCACGTAGCCACACTTGAAATGTAACAAGTCATTAAAATCCCTGAACCCGCGCCATACAAGACACCGAGGCATAAAATGAACTGATAAGTTTCTTTGCACTCGGCCAAACAAAATATGCCCACTGTTGAGAGTACAAATCCAACCCACTTGGTAGACTTGCATCCATTTCTGTCAAAATAGCAACCAGAAAAGATGCTAGAGGCATATACGAAAAATACGTAGAGTGCGAAGATCCACGAAATTGTCGAAGACTCGACGGCGTGCAATTGATGATTCGAAATATAGGCCTGTATCGCCCCCACAGAGTTCATCATCCCGAAAACAGAGATCAGTCCAAAGCACGATCCCGCAACCACAGAGTACGCCCTCCATCCGCCATCTGCAAACTGAACTTCGGCATCTAGTTGAAGAACATCAACAGATTCTTTTTTTGGTGCTAATGACATTATAAGTGCATACACCAAGGTATTAAATAGCGACTTATGATGGCCAATATTGACTTACAGTGACTTCCTAAGCCTTGTCGCTCTTGGCATGACTTGAGATTCGAACTCTTTCTTTTGAAAACCAGTTTAAAAAATGCCTTCCAATGTATCCAAAGCACCCTCCCGAAATGAGACGACCAGGCCAAGGGTTTGGATAGTAAGCAACAAACGAGGGCATTCAGAGCACCGGCAACTCAACAGAATTATGCTTGCTATTCTTTTTCGCCGCAGCGTAGAGAACTCACCTAGACCAGCATGACAATTCCTTTTTATTATTCTAGCACGTAGCATAAGACCGAAAGGCGGGAATGTCGAGCTATGAGCCCAGGACACACCATATTACTATTTTAAACCTCTTCGAATTCAGAAAATAAGTAGTATTCAGTGTTCCACTTGAATGCGTCCCTCATTGGCTCACGCATGACACATTGAAAAGTCTTGGCATTTGCGAATTGAAAGCCTCAATGCATTTGAATCTGCGCCATAAAAAAAGCAGGTGGAACTAGAGATTGTTAGGGAAGACATTGTTTGTTCTTCAGCATGCAACTAGCACTATGAATTTGAGGAAGGTTTAACTATATTTTATTTTTGGCCAAATAACGTAGGTACTCAAAGCACTTGTTGTAAAGTAAACGGTGGCGAATGGGGATCACAATTTCTTTCATGTTGAAAGCCAGCTTTCTGGAAGTGCTGTCAATTTCCAACGATATATTCTCAATGGTTGACAATTTGATTCCCACAGCTATAATACTATTCGACAAAATGACTGCTGGTAATGTGTCTCTGACGAATATGCAGACTAAAAGATTCAAAATTCGAATTCAAACAAGCTCACTGTTTAGGAGGTATGGTAAAGTAATATGAATGAACTCTGGAGATTGGTTATAAATTTATCAATGTGCAACGGAATTATATGTCACGGTAAAACAACAAGAACCCTTTCGTATGCGCAGGGTATCCTAAAATTCAAGAAATTAGTCGGCAATGATAGGAACAATTGTTATGCCTTTTATGGAGGTCTTCGCTGTATGTCTTTGTAAAATCATTGTCTGACTCTCTTCAGCTTGCAATTTAAATGACACCGAAGTGACTAATGTACGAACGTTCTACAACGCCTGGGAACAAGATGGTGATACACAGGGAACTTGGAGTACCATACATGCTTCGAAAACTTCCAAAATATTTATCTAAATGCTACTCAAGTTATCCGATGGGGGGTGGTGTAGTCCGTTCCAAGACAATTACAGAACTTAAGACCAAATATCATGCTCAAGAACCCATTACGATGATCACAGCTCATGACTTCATAACTGCCAGCTGGGCTCAAAGTGCTGGATGTGATATGATTTTAGTAGGTGATTCGTTAGCAACAAATGCTCTAGGATATGAATCAACAACTCAAATAGGCTTGGAAGAGTTCCAATACCACGTTCAATCGGTTTGCAGAGCCCAAGGAGCGGCGTTCATCATGGCCGATATGCCGTTTGGTACATTTGAATCGAGCATAGAGAAAGGTGTAGAAACCGCAATTGCTTTAATGAAAAGCTCTCCGAAGGTGGGTGGTGTGAAGTTAGAAGTCGGGAGCACTTCAGGCGCCCTACGGGAGCAGGATTATAGTCTCAAATTGGCAGCAGCTTTGTGCTCGAGGGGAATCCCGGTAATGGGTCATGTAGGACTAACTCCTCAACGTGCACATGCTTTAAGTGGTTTTAAGGTTCAGGGAAGCAAGTCTGCCAAAGACGCTGCAGCAATCTACCAAACAGCACACGAATTGCAAGACTTAGGCTGTTTTGGTATTCTTCTGGAGTGCGTGCCACACAAGGTATCAAAGCATATCACGGAAAGTCTAAGCGTCCCCACAATTGGCATTGGGGCTGGCAATGGAGTAAGTGGACAGGTGCTGGTGCAATCTGATCTTTTGGGCATGAACCTGGGCAAAATTCCCAAGCTGGCACAGAAGTATGGTGACTTACATGAACAAAGTGTTGGATTTATCCAACAGTATCTTGAGGACGTGGCTTCACAGCGTTTTCCAGATAACGATAGAAATGGGTTCAAGATTAAGGACGATGTATGGGGTGACTTCCTGGATCTGGTGGGCAATAGCTCAAAGTGACGTGTGTCCTCTGATATCTTATATGTAAATAGATCGTTGCTATGCATTATTTAATCGTGACAGTCTTGCCTAACTCCGGGCAGTAACAACTATCCTCAACGCCCTCCCATTCTGCGAGCATTTCCAACTTCTCCTTGGGCTCACGGAAATACTCCCCGCTGAGAACAAAAGTTCCCCAATGTACTCCAAGTACATGTTGGGCCTCGAGATCCATCTTGATTTTCAGTACTTCTTCCGGGTTGATGTGTCTGGGTTTTTGATGCCATGAAGGACAATACTGACCACAAGGAAGTAGCGCTAATTTTACACCTCTTCCAAAGCGGTTGCTGATGCGTTTGAATAAATCCCAAACGTATCCTGTATCGCCTGCATGGAACATTATTGGCTTGGAATAATGCGAAAATAGGAAAGAACACCAAAGTGACCGATTGGTATCCACTAACGACCTACCAGACCAGTGCATCGCTGGTGTGCAAGAAACGTTGTAGATGGAGTCAGCTTTCTTTATTTGCGCCGTCTCCCACCATGAAAGCTCAATAACGTTGTCAACATCGTGATCTTTCATGAACTCTGCCATACCTTTGGGAACTATCCACAGCGGACGAGAATCACCATTAGCTCCCCAATATTCCATGCTTCTGAAATCAAGATGATCAGGATGGTTGTGAGAGACCAATATTACATCTGGCGTCGGCACCTGATGGATCTGCGCAGGCATCTCGGTGATTCTCTTTGGACCCAAGCTTTCATGAATCAAGTAATCGGTAAATATTGGATCTGTCAGTATCTTGAACCCGTTATATATCACAAAATTGCAAGACTGGCCCAGCCATGTAGTATATACCGGCAAGTCCGGTTGAGAGTCCCTAGAAGTGTTTGATGCGAGAGCCCGGTCAGGGCTTAGTATTTCCACAGTAAGTTCCTCTCCAATATTTAAATGCAACTGACTTTCTTCATTAGTCCATGTTGGAGTGTGAATGGGCATCAGCTCGCTCATCGACCGCCTAGATGTTGGAATCCCACCTCGATTTCGCTGGAAAAGCTCGAGAACTCTGTTTAGTGAAAATTCAAATGCGGTAAGCACTCGGTATTCTTTAAAAGGGTTAGCAAAGCGACCCAAGATTTCCAGAGGGGAGTATTTTACCAGTGTAGCATTGAAATGTTTCCCATCTTCGTGTTCTCTCACCTGCCGCTCCCGTTCGGTTATCTCTGCATTGGCCTGCCCAATGACATATAGAGCGTATCCAGAATACGGCACCAGTACTGTTAACAGAGCTTTCTTGAAATAGCCACCACCACTCCCAGAGTTTGATTTTGATGTTTGAGCACTCTTTGAAGAAGTATTCTGGAACCTTTGAAAAGAGTTATAAGTCCTATACCGCCGAACTGCCGCATTATGTTGCGAACTTCTTCGAAGTCCGCTTCTTAAACTTTTCATAACTGCAGTCGTCACGACAGCAATGATTAGCGACTAGAAACTTGCACGATGACTACTTCTTCCTGATTTTTCACCAGGTAATTATTAACAAGTCACAATGCCCGAAAGAGCTCTGAATGCTAGTCTTTAGCTATCGTTCTCGGTTTTCGGTGATTTACTTGAACTGGCTCTTCTCAATTCGATAAATTGGAAAACTATTGTAATGTCGACAAACTGTAATCCAAAAAAAGCGTACAGACAAGGTCAAGAGATCCTTTCAAAGCAGCTCACTGGGACTAGAGAAGCTGGAAATTGATCAGGCAAGACTTTGAACCTTTCTTTGCCACATTTTGATTCGTAATTTGGATAATTGTACAGACAGCCTGACGAGCTCCATCTCATCGCAGAATTCAAGAGCACAATGTCTTTCAGAAAAAGAGGCGAAGTTTTAGGTGGCCCTGGTGCTAACAGAGTCCCAACTTTGGGCACGGCTCCGGGGAGGCTGCCCTACCGGAGAACTCCTGGTGCCGATGAGTTAGGTAACATGACCGATCGGATGGGTGGTCTGTCGATGAGAGAAGCTCATGGACAGACAGACTCCACAGCAGCGACACAAGCTCCCCAGATTGATGCAAGCCATCCAGGCGTAAGACCTTCTCCAGCAACATCGCAGCTGACAACATCCACTGGATGTCAGGACTTAGACAAGCTGTTGGGCCACATGGGATTGCCTCTGGGCCAAACGCTGCTGATCCAAGAACAGAGCGCCACGGACTTCAGCTCTGTTCTTACCAAGTTATTTGCTGCCCAAGGTGCTGTACATAACAGAGCCGATGGTTCTAGTGCATTTTCTAAGGGTAACACCCATCTAGTGGCCCTTACATTGAATCAATCATTCGCTAAGGAACTTCCAGGGGTTTATCAGGGCTCCAAAAAGGACGTTAAACGGTCCAAGGTTTCCAATACCGAGTCAAAGATTACGGTCCAAAACACGCTTGAATCGGCAACTTCCTCCCAGATAGCGCCCAGGGACTTGAAAATCGCTTGGAGATACGGATTAAATGACAAGTCCAAAAATGTAGCTCCTTCGAACAGTGACATTGATCTAGAAAACTATCCTAATTATGCACATCAGTTTGATATTACGTCACGGTTAGTCCCGGCACCCACTTCTGCGGAACTGACGCTTATATCACCAACTCAGCCATTGCCCGCTGTTTTGACCCAATTGCAAAGTGTATTCCAGAAGTATCCAAAGAAAATCATTCGGATTGTTCTCCCCAACTTGCTGCACCCTGTCATGTATCCACCGAGTTATTCGCAACTTTCTGAAGTAATATCTTTACTGCACGGAATTCGATCCATTGTCAAGCAGAATGCTGAGCGTGCGGTACTTATGAGTACAATCTCAACAGACCTTTACTCTCAAACTGGGGGTCAGGTAATCACTACTGTCGAAAATCTGTTTGACTCGGTAATTGACCTGGAGCCTTTTCCACAGGAAATGTCGCAGTTTTTGAGCCGCGTCTACAAGTCACAGCCCAACAAAATACAACACGGGCTGGTGCATGTGCTGAAGCTACCTCTGCTAAGCGACAGAGGTGAAATGCACGTTATGAGATCCGAGTACGCCTTCAAGAACGGTAAGAAGAAGTTTGAGATCGAACCTTGGGGCATTCCGATCGATGATACTGAGGTTCAGGACTCCAAAAGTACACCAGAGACTTTAGCAGAGGAGCACAGTCACACTCGCGTATCATTGGACTTTTGAGCGTACCGTGGTACTGAGATTTGATGAGCTTTCTATGTGCTAATCGTCATTCGTTATATCGGACTTAATCATATGTGAAATTCATCAAGTCATCCTCGGTTTAAAATCAAGCTACGACTCTGCTAAATTAGCAAGGCTTTGGAAGTCAAGACCCGTGTCATTGTCACCGAGCATCGCAGCGAGATGCGAGCTTTGCGCTTCAATCAGGATGCTACTTGTTGCTCAGTAGCTATGTCTCCCAGCTCGCTTTGTATTTATAATTGCGATCCTTTCGGTAAATGCTTTGAGCTCGAAAACGGGAGCCGAAGTAGCAGCAGGGAAGACTTAGCCAGCCTTCAGCATTCGTCAGAGCCAGACTTTATAGTGGAGATGCTATTCTCCACTAGTTTGATCGCAGTTGTGGACAGAAGTCAGGGCTCACAGAAGAGTAAAAAACTGAAAATTGTCAACACTAAGCGTAAGTCTACTATATGCGAGTTAACTTTCCCGCATGAGATTCGAGATGTGGCCATGAATCGTAAGCGCATGTGTGTTCTTCTAGCAAGCGATCAAATTTTCATTTACGACATTTCGTGTATGAAGTTGCTCCAAACTATCGACGTATTGGAGGGGAAACTAGATATTGGCACTCCCTACTCAAAACCGGCCGGCTCCAGCGCCGCCGAAGGGCAGGAGTCTAATGTACGAATGGCACTGAGTAGCGACAACAACAGCATCTTATGCTACAGTACGTTTTCCCGGTCATCTAAAGACCAAAGAGTCTTTAACGATGTTGTAGTGTTTGACGCCTTGAATGTCACACCCGTTAATTACCTAAATTCGGTCCACAAAAGCAGCATAAGCTGTTTGGCCGTCACCCATAACGGAAAGCTGGTAGCCAGCGCTTCGGAAAGAGGTACCATAGTCAGAATCTTCCAGACGGGCTCGGACGTAGAATTTGATGGCAACATGCCCCTACTACGCGAATTTCGTCGAGGGACGCGGCCGGCAGCTATCTACGAGATGAAATTCAATTCGACCGCTGCGCTCCTGGGCTGCGTAGGAGACACGGACACCATTCATGTGTTCAAACTGTCCGAGAGTCATGAAATGGAGAGCAGTCGTAGCTCTGACGGCCGAGATTCATGGATAGAGTCCCGGTTGGCCAAAGACTCTCCCAAGCAGTTTGCGAGTTTTCTGTCTAAAAAGGTCATTTCTCGCATCCCCAGTCAGAGCGTAGCTCGGGACTTTGCATTTATGAAAGTGGCCGAGGAGGTCAAACATTGCATAGGGTTTCCAGAGGAGTTTCCCAACCAAGTTTACGTTGCCGGCAACGACGGAATTTTACAAATTTACGAACTGCCGACAGAACACGGAGAATGTATACTGCTCAAGAACAGTAAGTTTTGAGCGAGAGTATTTGAAGTGAAGCAAAGTAAATGATCGTCAAAAATACATGTATCTTATGTAGGTGTGTTACAAAGTTTACCTCAGTTTTTAGACTTAGACTTCCACTCATGGCATCTACCAAAGCCAGGCTAGGTACCACTTTCGGGACTTCTGCGAACGCTCCTGCTGGAGATGGGTTGAATTTTGTACAGCATCTGGCATTGAGTTCCTCTGTTCAATGGCCTCATCCAGTTCTTTCCGCAGCGCTTGAACTTCCTTGTCCAGCTCAATCTCTCGCTCGTCATACTCAAGCTTCCACCAAATCCAATGGCCTCCCAGATACACGAAGGAACTCATCAGTAAGAATATCCACATGGGTCTAACGAACTTTTGCAGGGCCATTTGTTGCTGTTGTTTTTCCTGAGACTGAATCTGCTTTAGCATATCAAGCTCATTCTGGGTGTTTAATTGATCTGTTCTCTCGTTAATCAGTCTCCTTACCAGCTCCGGATCAACATCGTCCAATGATTTCAGCTTCGCCAGCTCTTCTAAAGATTCAATGTCAGACTTGTAACTCTTGTATCTGCGTGTGGCCACGCCAACGGCCTTCAGGCAGCTCAAGCGACTTACAAACACCGGGGAGATAATTCTGGACGCCACAGCAGGGCTTGCTAGGCCTGTCATCGCTTTAGTCTGTATATTTCACTTCGTAGATATATTGTTATTGATTGACGATATATAAATGCGTAATATATATGTTATGTACATGTTAAACAGATCCGGGGCAAGCATCTGGCGTTCACAGACCGCTGATCTCTTTTTTGAATATACCGTACGTTTCTCTCGCCTTCCAAGCTTCGAGCCTGGCTCTTTGTTGCATGGAAATGGAGTTGTATGGCCGGGAAACCTGAGATTCTTCACTGCGAATAATGGAACCAATACTCATGAATAGACCGAAAGTAGCTGCAGAACCTGCAATATATTGTCCCAGAGTTCTGATATAGCCGTTTGGTCCAGGCCCCTGGGTCAAAATGGCGAACCCTCCGAAGAGAATACCGGTGCACACACCGACCGAGGTGCCCATCATCAACCCCATCTTGAACTTATCCCAATTCGAAGGTTGCTGCTGCTGACTGTAAACTTGTTTGACGGGAGGCATTTCTACAGATAGGACAAAGGCTGGGATTGAACGAGCTTCCTGGAAGGCTGGCCTTACTTGACGTATTGAATATGTTAAGCTAAGCTAAGATGTCAGTAACTCTGAAAAATTTCTTAAAATGTTAAGAGAAGAGACAGACTTGCCCAAAGACTAAAATGTAAATAAGAACCAGCGTAGCAAAGCGTAGATCGGGTATATGAGACGTCAGTTTCTGACCAGCGGATAAAGAAAATGTAGCTTATAATTCGAGTCTAAATAAGGTCCAGTTAAGCAAAGTGAGCTAGCTGAAATCAATAATACTTTTTTGACACAGAGGCTTTGGGAAACTTAGCCACCGGTATCTCCACAGAGCAAACGTCAAACGCTCGCAATCAAACGTCCAAATAGAGGGCTTGCAAGATGTGGGCAACAAGTTGTGGAAACCTATATCTTCCCATACGATGAAACACCAATAACTTTGATTCTGATCTGGAAAGCCACCAAGTCTGGAAGCAGGGACTTGCGGCCAAAGCTAGAGCTTCTTACTGATTCCTTGTCTTCAATGCAATGCTCAAAAATGCTCTTCTCTTTAGGCGAATAGCTGGTAATTGGCAGCATTCCAGAACTGTCGGCCGGCGTTTTCTGAGTAGTTCCAATGGTGCAGGTGCCAACGTTCTGCAGACCCTCAGAGACCGTGGCCTGGTATCGCAGGTTTCGCAACCTGAGTCGGTACTGGAAAATAAACTGGTAAGTGGAGAAAAAGTCGGACTTTACTGTGGAGCGGACCCGACTGCAAAGTCGCTGCATCTTGGGAATCTGTTACCACTGATGGTGTTGCTGCATTTCTATATAGCCGGTCATGATGTTTACACTTTAGTTGGCGGTGCCACCGGGCAGGTTGGTGATCCTAGCGGCCGGAAGACAGAGAGAGCGGGCATGGCAGACTGGCAAAGACTGGAAAATGTCTCCAAGATTCAGGGCCAGCTACGCGGATTCTTTGAGTCCGGGCTCGCATATTACAAGCACAAGACGGCATCCGTGGAGCATCAGTATGGCCGGGCTACCCATACCAACAATTACGATTGGTGGCACGACATGAGGATGCTGGATTTCCTGGCTCTTTACGGCAGGCACATTCGTGTGCAGTCAATGCTGAACCGAGATTCTGTATCATCTCGGCTTGGAAGCAAAGAGGGCATTGGATTCAACGAATTCACCTACCAGATCTTACAGGCCTTCGATTACTACCACTTGAATAAAACACATGGGGTAACCGTGCAGGTTGGTGGCAACGACCAATGGGGCAATATCACTGCGGGAATCGACCTAATTAATCGAGTAGGCTGCACGGCACAGAATCAACCATTTGGACTCACTGTTCCTTTACTTACGACGTCGTCTGGCGAGAAATTTGGTAAATCTGCCGGGAACGCGGTCTTCATCGATCCTCATTTGACCAAGCCGTACGAGCTGTATCAATACTTTATTCAAGTTTCTGACGACGACGTGGAAAAGCTACTTAAAACTTTTACATTACTTCCACTAGAGCATATCAAAGAGACAATTGACGCCCATGCATCCATGGCCCATGAACGTGGCGCTCAGAGGCTATTGGCGCGTGAGGTGGTAGATCTGATACACGGTATGGGAAGCAGCAATGACGCAGAAATTGTTTCCGAAGTATTGTTCGGTGCCCACGATTTGGGGTCTTCGGCCACTGAGTTAATAAGACTATTTCAAGATGCCAACATTTTGTACACTTGTTCCCGAAACCTTTCCCTGGAACAAATCATCACCCAGGTAGCAAAATGCTCCAAATCAGAAGCTCGCCGGAAGCTCAAACAAGGAAGCATCTATGTCGGCCCCCGCAGAACGAAAGTTGCCGAAAATAAAGACGACGTAGCCCAATATCTCATCGATGGCCAAGTGTTGATTTTGCGCGTTGGCAAGCAAAAATGCTATGTGATAGAGGTCAAATAATGCAAATTAGTCATTACAATATTGTAGATAGAACTATATAAAATTACAGGTATTCCTGCACAGGTCCTGCCTGTTACTATACAAATTGACTTTCAAAATTCAGAAGACAAAAAGGTTTCAAGCTTTTTCAACCCCGCCCTAGTTCCATAGCGTACTATAGGTTTCAATCTCTCTTGGCGTTAGCGAATATTTGAGAGCCAGTCCAAGATATCACGCTCCAGAACCAAAGTAACACTGGGAAAAGTAAGACAGCGTTCCAGTAGTACAGCTTCGAGGAATCATGGCGAAATTTCCATAAAGTTACTAATGCAACTGTTATATATATATATGAGACTAATACAACACTCAAATAGGCCTTTTCAGGTTTCATTAGTTTCCGATGTCTGTTTGGTACATTAGTGGACTAATAAAACGTAAGATGGAATTCAATACACCACAGCCTTTCCAGAAGAAAAAGGCATTGAGTAGAGTAGGGTCGTAGAAAGATGAATGAAAAGGCCATGTTTGATCATTTTGCTTCAAGATTCATGGCGGTATACCGCAAGAAAATCATTGATAAGTACCGAACCGTGTCTGACCTTCAAAGACTACAAACGCTGTTACAAACCAATGATTTTGCTCGGTCCATATATGGAATGAGCCAAAATCTTTGCACTAAGTATGATTCAGACGCTTGGCAAGCTAGCGTGCTGGATACCATTGATTTGGATACCATCTACACAAATGTAGAGGCCGTAGAAGGTACTCCGGAAGACTATGTGGATCGGCTAGTTAAAGAACTGCTGCGATACTTCAAAAAGGACTTCTTTAGGTGGTGCAATAAGCCTGATTGCAGACATTGTAGCTCTCCCGGTGAGCAGATGACGCCTGTGGGGCACCAGCCCCCAAATGACGAAGAGCGGCCATATGACTGCGGGGTGGTAGAAGTGTATCAATGCTCAAATTGCAAGCATCTCACAAGATTTCCGCGTTTCAATCATCCCGTCAAGCTACTGGAGACTCGCAGCGGCCGATGTGGGGAGTGGTGCAACTTGTTCATGTTGCTTCTGAAATCATTTGGCATCGAAGCGAGATATATATGGAATCGCGAAGACCACGTATGGTGTGAATTTTACTCTACTAATCTCAAGCGCTGGGTGCATGTTGACTCTTGCGAGCAGAGTTTTGATGAACCACATATTTACTCAGTCAATTGGAATAAGAAAATGAGCTATGCCATCGCCTTCAACAACACCGGTGTTGTCGATGTCAGTAAACGATACATTATCCAGAATCAGCTTACCCGGGATCAGATATCAGAGCAAGATCTTGTGTATCTGCTCGAAACTGTAACTAAACGACTACGGGCAGGCTTGGGCGACCACGACCTTTATAAACTTGCTTGTCGAGACGAGCAAGAAAAACTAGGCTGGGCTACTGTAAGCGATGACTCAACACCCACGAAAACGGGCAGTAGTTTGAAAGGCAGGGAGAGTGGCTCAGCGGACTGGAAGAATCAGCGCGGAGAAGACGGTACTTAATGAATGTGTATTGAAGCTATGGACTCGATTTCAAATGTTACCGGCCACTTGCTGGTCATTTAATTAATTGCTCGAACTTATCAAAGAAGTGGGTGATCTGAGCTGTTGCCCAAGAATCGTAATTCTTATCTAAGTATGCCAAATGGCCTCCCAGGTCCGAAACGCACAGTGTGACATTGCTATTTTCTCTCGCACATTCGTAGGGAATGGATTCTTCGCCTACGACAGGATCGTCCTTAGCATTGATAATAAGCGAAGGCACTCGGACATTTGGAAGTTCGTGAATGGAAGAACAGGCTTTGTAGTAGTCGAGAGCAGAGCTGTAACCCAGACAGGGCGCAGTGAATACGTTGTCAAACTCCTGTGTTGATGTGAAGGAACCAGCCTTCTTGAGGTTTTCTCGAGTAAACACATGGAACGACGGGTTGGATCTAGAGGGCGCAGCAGCAGGCTTTTCATCTCCTTCTCTAGGTTCCAGCTCATTTATGTTTACTTTCACCAGTCTTGTCAGGAATTGTGCAATCGCCTTGGAGAAAAGTGTACGAGACCACCAGTCACCATTCATTTTCAGAGCCGATTGGTAAAGGTCCCATGGGGTGCACAAAAAGGCTGCTGCTTCTACCGGCGCGTTGTCGCCCTCTTCGCCCAAATAATTACTTAACATGGTTCCTCCAAAGGAGAAACCAACTGCATAGATTTTCCTCGAAGGGTGGCGAGCCTTTTCCCTCTTCAGGAACTCGCGAATGTCGCTGGTGAATACGGCATAAAAAAGCTTGCGAGTCGTGATCTTAGACCTGGCACATCCTCGACTATTCAAAACAACAACATCAAATTTCCCCTCGCCGGCCGTTGACAGATTTTGGGTCAACGATCTGATTATGGGCTCATGGGACCCTCCGGCCAGCCCATGGATGACAACTACCAAGGGCTTTTCACTCTCGTGGACCACCATTTTCTCGTCCTCCGTCAAAAACCGAGTTCTTGCCTGCAACCGTGGCCAACTCTTGGGATGGGTGGCCTGCTCATCGTCCGTAAACTTTGGTAAGTCGTACGTCTGAATCCTGGTATCCAAAGCGTACAGGTGTTTCCAGTTGCTCATAACCCAATCGGCGCTGCAAATTCCCCCATCCGAAAAGTCGACTATTTCTCGTCCATAAAATACAGGGTAGCTTTTCGAAAAATCTGCTGAACCCAGAAATATAGTCTGGAGATATCCGGTGAAGAGAGCAGGGTGTAGCTCGAATTTGGAAAGGTCCTTCAATCCCGGAATTTCTCGAGAAATAAATTCGTGCAATTGAATGGTCTCATTTTCATCCTTCAATTTCAAAGCAACTGTGCCCTGTGGGTGTGAAACCTGTTCGATTGTTCCACGATAGCCCCAATGAAATGGGTTCAGCAACGGTAATGGCATTGTTTAGATAAGAACAGTGAATCTGTGGTATAATTAACAAGCAGAATAGATCAGATTCAAACAATAGACGTGGCACCAAACAGTTAAACAGGTTTGCCAGAGCCAACAGCTATGTTTAGTTGATATTTAGGTTCCGGCTAGTCATCCGGCTCACTTCCGCCTATGCATTTCTGAATGTAAACAGTCTTAAAATTTTTTAACTCGGGCATGCCACGAGATGACAGAAATAAAAAACCCGCGAAGTGGGAATGACAGTTTTCAAATAAAATACAGGAATACTCTCTGTGCTCGAGACTAACTGACGATAATAACTTAACGACAACCTGTTCGTGTAGTTTGCGAACTTCAATCGACGTCAAGATCTATCTCTTCAATCACTTGGGCCTGAGCATTAGCGCGTTCTGCCAAATTCTTGAAAAACTTGAGCGAGATAGTGTTGTTGTGGAGTTTGGCTTCGATATCACGTCTAGCGGTTTGTTTCTTACCCAGTAGAGTTTCACATGATTTTACAACCTCCCGTGATGGAAATTTGAGAACGTCACGAACTTCGTCAGATATACGCTTAGCGTTGCGGTGGGAGTAATCGATCTCCGCCAACTTAGAGCGATATTTATAGGAGAGATTGAGCGGCAGAGCTCGTGGTAAATCGTGAATCAGATAAGAGACACCGAGTACGGAGGACACAAGGATGATCGAAGTCGAAATACGAGAAAAAGCTTGCCACGAGAAAAACCTAGATCCGTGAATCATGGCAGTGGTCAGAACCCTTGTACCACCCCAGGAGTACACTGCAAGAGCGGGAATCTTGGAAGTAAACAGCAATGATGGGTTTGTCCAGTATTTTGTCACTGAATAGTGGCCTAGTCCCAGAACCGCATACCAGCTTTGGTCGATTTCCGGTTCCACAGGCTCTTCAAGAGCCGATTTGTCACGGAACAGACCCCAGCTCAAGTATCGGAAGAACCCTTCCCACGAAGGAGAGAGCAAGTCTGTAACATCAAAAGACACGCGAAGAGCTTTCAATGAATTATGTTTCTTTTTTGTAAACATGAGCTCCTTTTGAAATTTGCGATCCGACATAAACTCCTCGCCCAACTCTGCTTTCCCTATTTCATTGATAGACTTGACGCAAACGGAAGTTTCGTTTTTGGCCTTGAATTCACTGGTTTCCACGCTTTCCTTGATCTGGTCTAGTATGAACTGCCTGGAACGCAGCACATAATCGTATATGGTTGAAAATCCTTCGTATGGAGGGAAATCCAAAAGAGACAGTTCCAGTGAGATGTTTATTTTATGCTTGGTAAATTCGTATACTTCATTTACCACTGATTCCACAAGCTTATCCACATGATCTGTCAACTTATGGCATTGTGTATTGGCAGCTTTTATTTCTGGAGTCATCTCGTGCAATTCATTATTGAGCTTATCGTTCTCTGACTTGTACAGATCCAAATTCCATTCTGTGATGACACAGATATCCTTTAGTAATTTAGTCAAGTAAGTTTTAGCAGGGAGCAGCTTCGATAGTGATCTCTTTTTCAACACAAAATTGCGCAATGAAGTCTCCAATTTGTCGAAGTCCGGGTCTTCAAAGTCAAAGCCATTATCACCATCATCTCCATCATCTCCCCCAGGGCCATCGCCGTTAGAGAAAGACGGTTTTGAGCTGCTAGAAACAAAATGAACAAACTCATTTGATTGTTTATGAGTCTCCGGCGACATTTTTTTGATTTGATCCAATATGAGTTTTTTGCAGCGATCCTTGTTTCTTATTTGATCGAACTTATTAACAACAAAGAACATAAGTTTCTTTTCTCTCGATGCGACTTGAATAAATTCTTGACCTGAAAGAGTTAACTGGTTTTCGGAGTTCACAACAAATATCACCATATCAATTTCCTCCTGACGCGAAAGCACTTCAGTAGTCTGGATGGAATCCATGTTTAGACCAGGTGAATCAATCAACGATATGTCGACCGCCCCGTTACGCAGTAAACTGAGTTCGGCCGGTTTCTTGTCGTCATTGATATAGACCTTTAGTAAAGAGTAAAGTTCCGATTGGTATACAAGGTCTTCTAATTGGCTGATGGGGAAAACCCGATAAGTAGATTTATCGCGTATATTGTATGCCTCAGTAGCTTCTTTGACGGTAGGAGCTATCGCCAGGGGTATCGCGTGCACTTCCTCGGTTCCAGTATACTCTCGGGCTTCTAATATTTCACAAAACACGTTGGTGCAAGGCAACTGATCTACAGGCATGAGCCTACGCTTCAACAGAGCGTTGCAGAAAGTGGATTTCCCGGCGTTTAAATCGCCCGTAATGAAAACTTTGGAGGAGGTGTCATCAACACGCTTCTTGAGAGACTTGAGATGCTTTAAAGCGGCCGTTGTACGCACGGAAAACAGCTTGGAGATTGCGTTTTTGTCCAGATCAACACCGTTCGAGTTGTTTCCCCTAAGCTTGAAGTCAAGGTCCAAGATGTGCAAGTGGGAGCCGTCTGAATTCAAAGGCACATGAATTGGACGGGAATGGTTTTCTCGTGTCAACAGTAAAATAAGTTCCTCGGAATTTTGTATTCCTCGATTGAGACCCACTCGGTTGTTGTTGTAGTTCCACTGGCTTAAATGTAATGACAACATCCTATCGTTAGAATGGCGGCGTTTGTGAGTTGAGTCGTGGACAGCCAAATGGTTGGTATCATCAGCTACAGTTGTTGCGTCATCACTTGTAAGGTGGTGGGTAGGCCGTGAGTACGTTAAACGATGTGGCTCTGACGAAACAGCCGTTGAGCTGTCATCCAAATCAAGCTCTTGCTGATATTCATCCTCGAAATTGATTGACTCATCATGAGAGTCCGGAAATAACGCTTTCTGGGACATTTTCAGGCTTGTTGGCGACCCTCTACGTTAACTTGATCTAAGCTCATCATCATCGCATTATTAAAAACAATAATATAGACATACCTACAGTACCGTTCACAGCGATGTCGAACTAAATGGGCCGGCTAACGAACGATTTGGTCCATTGGGCTGACTAGCGGCATTGAGCACAGTCGTGTTCAAAATTGACTGTTTCTGAGTGTGCAAGTTTTCAATTCTTTTCTTCGGTTCCTTCACTGCGTTTTTTGGGCCGTTTTACGCTTTCTTCTCTTCAACTTCTTGAGATAACTGTAACATTCAAGTTCGCCAAATCCGTAGAGCGGTTTGAAGCTCTCGAGCACTCCACAGTCTTCGAAAAGATTGGGAAACATCCAAAATCCACCTTTTTCGCTGCATACTGCCAAAGAAAGTAAGTACACAAAGAATCGCAGAATCGCGATCCCAAAGAACACACCAATCAGCGCTAGAAGTGCGAGGGAAATGTAGTACACCACCCGTCTCATGGAAGCCGGCCATAGCGGGTAGCACACAAAGGCCAGGATTCCTACAACGATACCAATCACTAACAAATAATCTGTGAAAGTCTTGGCGTTGAAATTCCAAGTGTAGTACTCATCTGGCTGCAGTGTAGCTTTATCAGACAGCAGCAGATTGGGGTAGTCTTTGTTGGGTTTCACTCCATGGTCTTTGCACTCGGCACTGTGTAATTTTTTGCAGGGAACCACCAATTGGGTCTTGATGAGCTCAATGAACACTTTGCGAGCGTCTTCGTCATTGTGAACTGGGGGATACAGATCTGGCTGGTTTGCAGATTTGGAAGTGTACTCTGAGGAATTAAGGGCCCTGACAAAACGCTTGTACCGGAAAAAATCCACATGTCTGGACTGAAATAGGCCTTGTCTTTGCTTCAAAAGATTATGGTGGCGCAGCAGAGAAGCTACCGCCACTGGAGTCTGTGGATTGGACATCGCGCAAGCACGTTCCTTCGATACTGTAGGGTTTGGAATAGTTGTGTTAGAAGTTGCCCGAAACCTTCGGAGGATTCTTTGTAAACTTGACTAAAACTATATCCCAAGTCATTATATACGCGTTGCAACGATCGGGGCACAAATAATGCTCGCAAGGAGGCTGTGAGAGGCCTTGATCTCCTCGTGTGACTAGACCTCTGTTCAGGCCTGGGTTAGCGGCGGTGCCAGCTGCTGTTACCAGCGGTGGTTGTGCAGCTCGGTTCCAAAAAAAATAAAAATCTAAATGAAAGACACCAGGTCAGCGGTGGTCCATAAACTGGCCTCCGTATGTCTGCGTCATGGTCAAGAATACCAGGTATCTCGTCGATCCTACTCAGGACTTGTTTCGTGTCGAAGCTTCGCAGCGTGGTCGTGCGGCGCAAAACTGGCACCGCGTATCATTCTCGCCCTTGGAACAAACTTAAGTACTGTCGTGCAGCTATAGCACTTTTGGCGCGTGGTCTTGAGGTCTCGCATACCACCATACTTCATCTATGAACAGTTTAGCTGAATATATGCGATTCAAATCACTTTGTACTAATCTGACATGCTAGCGGCATCTGACAACTGTTCGTTCTTGACTCTGAACAGCCAGGAGTCCACCTTGGCCCATGCCGCGGTGGCAGAGTAGTCCACATGCAAGACTAAATTGGCGTCGGTACAACAAGCTTTCAAAAGAACACGAGGAACCAAGAGAGGGCAAAATACATTACACCTACACCTAAGATCGCCCACTTTTCCCTAGTATTCCCATCTCTTGTAGCCCGGTCTTTGGCTCGTCCCTCATCCTGACATCTAATCAATTTCTTTGCTCCGGTTATCTCGCTGGATCTGGGCCCATTCCATGGTGACAGTCTGGGAAAAAGTGATTTATAACAGCCGCTGAGAATTTGATGCTTTCCTTTTTTTTCATACACAGCTTTTTTTCGCCTGTTGAAAAATTTTTGGTGATGAGATGGGATGCGATGAGCTTGGAATATTTTAATCCAACTACATACAGGCTTGTCAAAGATCAACCAGTGTCTGACTTTAGAAGCCTCCAGAGACGTAAGCTCAAGATTTGGTAACTGTAGTTCCAAAGTTAAAGAGCGAGTTGTTTTTAAAGCCAGAAACTTGTGGTAAAATATCCTCACTCTCGCCAGAAATATGCAGTTGTCCTGGAAAGATATCCCATCCGTGGCCACATCCAATGACCTGTTGGACATTGTCCTGAATAGGACGCAGAGAAAGACGCCCACGGTGATCAGACCCGGCTTCAAAATAACCAGAATCCGTTCGTTCTATATGCGCAAGGTCAAATACACAGCGGAGGGTTTTGAGGAAAAGTTCGAGGACCTTCTAAAAGGGTTCCCAAACATCAACGATGTGCATCCATTCCACAGAGACTTGATGGACACGCTGTACGAGAAAAATCATTACAAAGTGTCGCTAGCTGCCGTGTCGCGCGCCAAGACCCTTATCGAGCAAGTTTCGCGCGATTATCTGCGTCTGTTGAAGTTTGGCCAATCGTTGTTCCAATGTAAGCAGTTGAAGAGGGCTGCCCTTGGTAGAATGGCCACAATTGTCAAGAAGTTGAAGGATCCTTTGGTGTATCTAGAACAGGTGCGTCAGCATTTGGGCAGATTGCCTTCCATCGACCCCAACACCAGAACCTTGTTGATCTGTGGGTACCCCAATGTAGGAAAATCTTCTTTTTTGCGCTGCATTACCAAAGCCGATGTCGAAGTCCAACCTTATGCATTCACCACAAAATCCTTGTATGTGGGTCATTTTGACTACAAATACTTGAGATTTCAAGCTATCGACACACCAGGTATTCTGGACAGACCTACCGAGGAAATGAACAACATCGAAATGCAATCTATCTACGCGATTGCCCACTTGCGTTCTTGCGTGTTGTATTTCATGGATTTGTCTGAACAGTGTGGTTTCACGATCGAAGCTCAAGTCAAACTGTTCCATTCCATCAAGCCCTTGTTTGCCAATAAATCAGTCATGGTTGTCATGAACAAGACTGACATCATTGCTCCTCAAGATTTGGACCAGGAACGTGCTGCCATGCTGCAGACTATTGCAGAAATGCCAGGCGTGGAAATGATGACTGCTTCTTGTACTGAGGAAGACAATGTCATGGATGTCAGAAATAAGGCTTGTGAAAAGCTTTTGGCTGCTAGAATTGAAAACAAACTCAAATCGACTGCCAGGATCAACAACGTTTTGAACAAGATCCATGTTGCAACTCCTCAGGCCAGAGACGATGGTGTGGACAGAACTCCGTACATTCCAGATGCAATCAAAAACATGAAGAAATACGACGCTGAAGACCCTGAAAGGAGAAAGCTGGCCCGCGAGATCGAGGCCGAAAACGGTGGCGCTGGTGTCTTCAACATCAACTTGAAAGATAAATACTTGCTAGAAGATGACGAATGGAAGAACGACGTGATGCCAGAACTTTTGGATGGTAAAAACGTTTACGACTTCATGGATCCTGAAATCGCTGCCAAGCTCCAAGCTTTGGAAGAAGAGGAAGAAAAACTCGAAGCTGAAGGTTTCTACAACTCTGATGAGGAGGAGGAGACCTACGACGGCTTTGCTGCTGAAGACGTGTCCGATATTAAGGACAAGGCTGCTTGGATCAGGGATAGACAAAAGCAAATGATTATCTCGGCTAGAAATCGCAAAGCTCTAAAGAATCGCGCGGTCATGCCTCGTTCCAAGTTGTCGAAGTCATACGGCGACATGGAAAAACATATGTCTTCTTTGGGACACGATATGTCTGCTCTTCAAGGTAAGCAAAAGACCGCGGCCCAAAAGAACAGATATGTTGAAACCGGTGCGGACGTCGTTTTCGGCGGTGCCGAGTCTGCCACTACTTCTTCGAATGGTGGTAAGCTGAGACAATCTGACAGACTGCTGGATGGTGTTGCCGATGGCTCTATGAGATCCAAGGCCGATAGATTGGCCAAACTTCAGAGAAGAGACAGAAACAGAGATGCAAGACAAGGTGAGTCCGATAGACACTCGACCGCTGCTCTGGCTAAACATCTATACAGTGGTAAGCGTGGTGTCGGTAAGACCGATTTCCGCTGAACTGGTTTTTTTTGTGTCAGGTTTATCTTTGGAAGTCTGACATTCCATTTTCCGGGTGGGTAATTTGGTGTGGCATCATCTAAATAACTATGTATACTATTTCGCGGCCTATGTAGCCATAAATGCCATTAAACGTTAATATGGGTGCCTCTGAGTTTAGTAATTTCACTTGGTTATAATAACTTAAAGCTAGCGTCACAAAAATAACTTTTCCGTAGAAGTAGGCGAAACTAGTTGCTCCTCTAAATTCTGATGTATATAAGCGCAACTGAACTTAAACACTACTATGTCAAACTTTCAGTCTCGCAAAATTCGCTATACATCATTACCTTATGACCTTTCAAAACTCTCAAGAGTCTTTCGACTCTACGGCTGAGCAGAATGTAACTAGAAGCATACAAAGGACAAAATGCATAGATGCACAAATTGGTTCTGAAGATGAGCAAATATGCCCACCCATCATTCGTAATAACTTAGAGAATGGCAAATTTCCAATGACGTCGCCAGGTGTCAAACAATCTGATGATCCATCGAACCTCACAAGGGACGCAACTCTCGATGAGGTCAAAACTCCACCGTTCGCCACAAACAGCAGAGCGTGTGATAAAGAAGAGGATGAGCCTCCTTACACCGCATTTTCCCATCGTCAAGTTATACTAATGTTTGTTATCATCGTTTATATTGGATTTTTAGGCCCCCTCGCTGGAAATATCTATATTCCAGCTTTGCCCATATTGCAAAACGTGTTTGGATTGTCGGCCACTGCCATAAATGCAACGGTGTCGGTATTTATGGCCGTCTTTGCAGTAGGGCCCTTATTCTGGGCAAGTTTCGCGGACTTTGGTGGTCGAAAATTACTTTACATGATCTCTTTACTGTTGACTGTGGTGGTCAATATCCTCCTGGCATCGGTACCCGTTAATGTTGGCGCATTGTTTTTCTTGCGCACCATGCAAGCCTTCGCATCTAGTTCTGTCATGGCTCTGGGGGCAGGCACTGTTAGTGACATCAATCCACCCAAAGGGAGAGGAAAAGCGATCGCTTACTTCATGCTGGGACCTAATATGGGTCCAATCCTAGCACCCATTATCGCTGGTCTAATCTTGATGCATGGTTCTCAGTGGAGATGGTTATTCGGCCTTACGTGTATCTTGTCCGGAGTTGGTCTGATTGCCGTGATAGTTTTTTTACCGGAGACTCTACGTTGTATCGTTGGGAATGGCGATTCTAGGTGGAGCCAGGATAACGGGGAGACATCGAAAACGCTGATAAAAGGGTTCACAAAGGCCGGTTTTAGAATCTGCAGCGACATAGGTTTCTTGAAGCCTGTGAGTCCATCGCCAAAATTTCAGCAGTTGTATCCAAGGCCACCGAAGCCGAGCTTGACTGTTTATTGGGACCTCATATTATTCCCTCCTGTTTTTCTATGCTCAATCACCACCGCTATATTGTTTGCGACATATTATGCATTCAGCGTGACACTTTCGCATTTCCTGCGTGAGATGTATCATTTGACTAATTTGCAAATTGGCGCATGCTATGTGTGCCCTGGTGTGGCTCTCCTCTTAGGTTCGGTAACCGGTGGCCACCTGTCCGATTTCTTTCGCTCAGAATGGATACGCCGACACCCGGGACAAAAGTTCCCTAACGAGAAGCGACTACTACTACAGCTCTGGGGGTTACTTCTCAACATCTGCGGGTGTATCGGCTACGGCTGGAGCATATACTTCAAACACCATTTGGCAGTCGTCCTAGTGTTCTCATTTTTCACCGCTTTTGGGATGACCTGGTTTTCTAACACTAGTATGACTTATCTGACTGAATGTATTCCAAAAAGAGCTGCAGGCACTGTAGCAGTGAGCAGCTTTTTCAGAAACTTGGCCGCTGGAATAAGTTCTGTGGTAATTATGAAACTTTGTGACAAAATGGGTGCAGGGTGGTGCTTTACAGGGTTGGCATTTTGTGACCTTGCCTCGACGGCAGGGATCGTCTACCTAATCTCCAATAGATCGAAATGGAGGCCAGATGCGCATTAGATTGTGTGAGTTGCAGTGCGAGGAACATTTAACGATATTTGCCAATACGCTTACAGGAATCAGTTCTTTCTATAGTCCGTATGTATACCTTACTGAAAAACCTTTGAGTGCGCAACTTGCTAGCGGCCAAACAGGAAGCACGATCAGGAAGCCTTTTCAAACCATTGGACTTAGCAACTGATGGTAGGAACCCACGGGAGCTCAAAATCAATACAGACTGTCGTAAAGCGACGACAAAAAATAAAGGCCTAATCGCCTGCAAAAGAAACTCGATCTAACAGAAGTTTGCTAACATTCTATTGAGTTTTCTATCATTCAAAGGTAATCTTGCTTGTCATATTGAAGTAGAGGACTCATGTCAAACTCAATTCGAGCATTAGTGTAATTACATGCAATTTTATGATAGGATGCTCATCTGAAAATGTTGATGAGATGAATATGTACACCCACCAAATATCTAATGATGAGTAACACGACCAAGGCTAAAACGAAGCCAATCAGCTGCTAGCTCTGTGGAGTGTATAAATATTGTAGAACCTAGACATTAGGCTCTAAACAAGATATCTATCGTTTCACTAGGCATTTACATGAATACGAGAGCCAGTTGCTGAGAACAAGTTAATGACGGACGAAAAACTCGATGACAGGAAACGCAAATCCCTGGATAGCTTCAGCCCATTTTGGTATATATCCGTAATGGGTACAGGTATTTCGTCAGCACTTCTACATTCATTTCCATATGAGGCCCGTTGGCTCCGAAATTGCTCATATATCATGTTCACTTTGGCATGTCTATTGTTGCTTTCCATAATGGCCGTGCTAATAGGCAACATTATTTGGAGAGCGCGGCAAAAGTCTCTCCGTGGCTTCGCGAGGAGATATTTTTTTGACAATTCGCAGAACGTTTTCTGGGGTACGTTGCCGATGGGATGGTCAACAATCGTCAATTATATATTTCTGCTGGCTGATAACGAACTTCAGGGCAAACAAGTTGCTAACCGTATGGTAATTTTGGTATATGTTTTGTGGTGGATCAGTGTGCTCCTGGCGCTTGGAACTGCCTGGGGTATTACTTTTTGTATATGGGACAAGCAAAATCGGTTCTGGGACCTCAGTGTGGCCGATCCCCACAACAAAGCTCTACGGCAAGATTTGCAGGTCACGATTCTTCTTCCGGTCATTCCACTGGTAGTTACGAGTTCCAGTAGTGGGACGTTCACCATGTCTCGGTTATTTGTGGAAAACACAACTCGCAACGTCCAGCTTCTTACGCTCTGTGTAACGGGATTAATTTACTTCAATGCACTCTTCTTTGTGAGCTTGATCATGAGCACTTACATTTGGCACCTTTACGTCAATAAGCTGCCGCGGCAGCGTAAAGTTTTTACGTTGTTTTTGCTCGTGGGACCTATGGGCCAAGGTGCTTTTGGAAGTCTACTATTCAGTAATAACCTCAAAACCTACATCGAAACTTACTATCCGACCTCCTCTGCTGACGGAGATGCACACATCATAAGTTTGGCTGCTCAATGGTCTGTCAAGCTATTTGGGATTCTTCTGGCCCTGTTCCTCCTCGCCAATGGTATTTTTTTCACATTGTTGTCCTTTGGTACCATACTTTCATTCTTCTATACACTGCTGCCCTCATACAGAGGACCACGGATAAGCTCTTTCAACAAATCCTGGTGGTCTATGACTTTCCCTTTGGGGACGATGGCGCTAGGTACTCATGAATTGTATCAGCAATACAACCCTTACGTCCCCATTTCTGCTTTTCGCACTGTGAGTGCTATATTTGCCTCAATGTGTATCGTGGCGACCATTGTCTGCTTGGTTGGGACCGTTTGGCTCTATTGCGAGCCCTTTTTGAAATTGTTCAGGAAAAGAAAAAGCCCAAATGAATCTAGTGATACCTCACTATGCTAATTTTACCGCCATTTTGGTTCATCGGCTCCATCACATTGATAAATTGCATTAGGTCGGTAAGTGCATGACATAGGGCATGGCCCTTTTGTTCTTTTCCGTCCGAGGAGCTACCGACAGGTTTGAATTATTCAACCGAGCTTTGTTGAGCCCCAAAGCACCCCCAATTACAAACTTAGGGGCAATCCTTGCTACTGAAAGTGAAGCATACAACTCTGCTCATCGACCGGTGCTTGATGGTACTTTTCACAAATTGCAGAGTGGAATTAACCAACAAGTTTTCAGTCTAACTTCCATTTTACGCCTGGTGCAATAACCTAAAAGCCCTCATCAATGTATTTAACTTGTATTTATAGAGAAAATATATAAACTGAATTCAAGGGTGCTGTCGTAAGGACATTCTTGTGTGTTAGGAGGTACGTCTTTTGGCTAATTCTCTAAATGGTCTGTTAGTCCGGTTCCTCGTGACTAGAAGTCAATATCCAGATCCACACAATTCATGAATGACAAATAACGTAAGTTACCATCTTGAACGCATTTAATGGGCAAGTGTTAAGGCTTTGTACTTATTTTATGCCCTTGAGCAAGCAAATTGGTAAGCTTATTTCGATCAGAAAGATGTCATCTGGTGTTAAACATTACGATTATCTGGTAATTGGCGGAGGCTCTGGCGGGGTTGCTTCAAGCAGAAGAGCAGCTTCTTATGGCGCCAAGACGCTGCTAATCGAAGCAAAAGCCATGGGTGGAACCTGTGTGAATGTGGGGTGTGTGCCCAAAAAAGTTATGTGGTACGCCTCAGACCTAGCTACTCGCTTAGCTCACGCCAATGAATACGGTCTCTTCCAGGAGGCTGATTTGGGTCGTGAAAAATTGACGTTTAACTGGCCTCAATTCAAGGAGAAAAGAGATGCCTATATTCAGCGCTTAAATGGAATCTACGAACGCAACTTGGCCAAAGAGGGTGTTGATTTTTTGTACGGATGGGCCAAGTTCAACTCAGAAGGTCAGGTGGAAGTCACCAAGCATGACAGCACTAAAGAAGTCTTCACTGCTGACCACATCTTAATTGCTACAGGTGGTACTCCAATCAAACCCGATGGCATTGAGGGCCACGAATTGGGCATTGATTCCGACGACTTCTTCAAACTGGATAAGCAGCCCAAGAAAGTTTTGGTGTCTGGAGCAGGCTACATTGGAGTTGAACTAGCCGGTGTTTTCCATGGTCTGGGCACGGAAACGCATATGGTTATTAGAGGAGAAACTCTGCTGCGTAAGTTTGATGAATCCATCCAGAACACCATCACAGACCACTACATCAAGGAAGGTATTCGCATTCACAAGACTGCTAAGGTCGACAAAATTGTGAAAGATGAAAGCACCGGTAAATTGAACGTTCATTTAGACAATGGCGATTCGCTCAAGGAAGTTGACAGCTTGTTGTGGACTATCGGCCGTAAAACGCTAAGTGGCATTGGTTGTGACAAGGTGGGCGTTGAGATCAACGACAAGGGACAAGTTATTGTGGATGAATACCAAAATACCACCGCACCTAACATTTACTCTTTAGGTGATGTTGTTGGTAAGGTCGAATTGACCCCTGTGGCTATCGCCGCCGGGAGGAAGTTGTCCAACAGACTATTTGGTCCCAAAGAGTTTGCCAATCAGAAGCAAGATTACGAAAATGTCCCAAGTGTTGTCTTTTCCCATCCAGAAGCTGGTACCATTGGCTTGACAGAACAGGAGGCCGTGGAGAAGTATGGTAAGGAGAACATCAAGATTTACAATAGCAAATTCACCGCCATGTACTATGCTATGTTAGAACACAAGTCTCCAACCACTTACAAACTAATTTGCGCCGGCGAAAATGAAAAGGTTGTAGGATTGCACATTATTGGCGACTCCTCCGCAGAAATTTTACAAGGGTTTGGAGTTGCGGTGAAGATGGGTGCTACGAAGGCTGATTTTGATTCTTGTGTTGCCATTCACCCAACTAGTGCCGAAGAGCTGGTAACGTTAAGATAAATAGTTAGTCGAAAACTGCTGAGGTTTCTGGCTTTAAAGAAGCTGTTCTCGGTCCAACTTAGTTTCCACGATATAGAGGTTACACATTTGTGCAGTAACAATTGAGAAACTGGAGATATAAGTTCACAGTATTTTAAACTATCAAGAAATATACACACCTTTCCGAGATAAGTACATCGTTTATTCTGGTCGGTTTCGAGATAATGGATTTGGCCCCGCTATAAAATGCGCGCAGGTGGAGTTGAAATGGTGGTTATTAAGAGGAAATTAGATCACATCACGAGATGAAATCTGAATTTAAGCCTTCAAAGAAGAGGCTCTTCTCTTTCTGACCTCAGCCTTTTCGGCCTTTCTTTCGGACAATCTCTTGGCCAACAATTGAGCGTAGTCAGCAGCAGCTTCTCTTTGGGCTTGAGCGTTCTTGACCTTCAAAGCTCTTTGTTGTCTCTTTCTTTGCAATCTTTGAGGAGTGACCAATCTTTGGATCTTTGGAGCCTTGGTGTAGGTCTTGTCACCCTTGGTGACTTCTCTTCTGATGACGAAGTCACGGACATCGTCTTCCTTGGTCAAACCAAAGAATTTTCTGATGTGGTTGGCTCTCTTAGGACCCAATCTCTTTGGAACAGAGTCGTTGGTTAGACCTTCCAACTCTTGTTCACCCTTCTTGGTGATGACCAAAGACAAGACAGCCAAATCAGGACCAACGATGGCACCTCTGACGGACTTTCTCTTTCTTTCACCGGTACGTCTTGGTCTGTAACAAGAGTGACCCTTGGCCAACAACAACTTGACTCTGGTTGGCAACAAAACACCTTGCTTCATTGGGAAACCTTGCTTGTCGTTACCACCGGCAATCTTGAAGACGTAACCCTTGAATTCGTCACCAACAGCGTCACCGTCGACTTCTTGGCCGATACGCTTGTCGTAAAAGACACGCACACGGTGCTCGTCGTCGATTTCGATGCACTTTTGAGTACCGTTGACTGGGTAAGAAATGTTAAACTGAGGAAGAGCAGAAGTTAGTAAAACAGGTATCGAGAGAATGGAAAAAACATTGGTAGACACTGTGATGAATCACCACTTGATGGGAGCGCCGGCACACGGCTCGAAAATATTAAGTTATCAACCACTAACAGCCGCTCTTAACATGTAATCTCAAGAAGGATTGTACCATGCAGGCAGCACAAATCCCACTTCTTGTCTTTTTCCCATTGGCCATCATTCAAACTTGTATTACGCCTGCGGATCAGCAGTTTGGTCTCGGAGCTTCTTATATCACCACCATTAAGCAGAGTTCATCGCGCAATACCATTCTTGTAAGCGTTTAACACTTCACGCTACTGACATACCTTCATCTTGGCTTACTTGTCCTTAGTCTTCTGATAGTATTTCCGAAGTTGTGAATTCAATTGATATTATTCACGATTATTGGTGATTTTCCACTAAGGCAGCGAATAATTTTTCCCACCATCGTTGAGCCCAGGCAGAGCATTCGCTGAGGCCAGCTGGTACAACCCACCGCTAGGCAGGCGCTAACGCGTTGTGGTGGTGGTACCACCAGGCAGTGTGGCCAGAAGGAGTCCCCTTCCGAATGCGCAAGAGCTAGCACCCGCTAGGCAGGAGGCAATGGACGCCCCGCCTAGCTCGGCGGCAGTAGGCTGCCGCTAGTTAGGCCGGTTTGCGTACACTTTGGGCGAGTCGCTTTCACGTAGACGGCGCGTGCTCTTGCTTAAGATCAAACCGACTGACTCAGCGCCATTTTTTCATTTTTCATGGTTTTTGAGACTGCTAGGTGTCTGGGTTCTGGAAGGAAAAACAGTCACATACGTGTAGGGTGAGGTTTGCCTTAAATCATGTGACCTGAGTCAGAATATAAACGCTATTTGAATGGCGCCGGATGTATACCTCTCATAGTCCCTGTAAAGGGCGTACTGGGGGCGCGCATATCCCACCAATACCTTCATTATCAAATGAGAGTCCCTTAACCTAAAACGACCAAATTACTAAACCCTATGTACAAAAGTGCTATTATTACTCACTGCTTATTCAATTAAGACTTCTTGTTCTTGTCGTCATTCGGATCCCCGAATATGAAATACCTGCCCGATAACGGCGTCTGATTGACGTTGATATATGGTGTCAGCCCACTGCTTTCGTTGTTCGTAGCATTTGGCGGGACACTTGTGTTCGTGTCGGCCAAATTTCCGGCTTGTGCAGCCGACCCAGGTCCACCGGATGGGCGCCCAAATCCCCAGTCTTGGAACATGGCCATTGAAGTCGTTGGGGAAGCCACTATCAAGTCATTGGCGAATTTTGATGGCAACGATCCGGTAAAGGGCCCTGAACTGGACTCTCCCGCTGGACCTCCTGATGTAGAGGACTGTGGCCGCAAGCCTTGGTGCTGTTGGGCTAATTGAAGGTGTCTCTGCATTAAAAACCCATGTGGATGGGACACCTGGATCCCATTGAGCCCCGCCCCGACCGTTACGTTACCTCCGGAAGGGTTTGCTTGCGTCGGAGTAGCAAAGTACTGCTGTATAGAGGGTGAGGCGTTTAACGCAGAAGGCAGCCCGTTGAACAGAAACCCATTCCCCAGTGTTCCACTGCCAGTCGCACTTGATTGAACATTTTGGAACTTGTCGCCCCCGTGTAGAAGGGGAGCGTGTGCTGACTGTGGGGTGCTATTCTTGGAGTTTGCTGGATGCGGCAGCTCGATATGACCAGCGTTAGTGCGAGAAAATTGGGATGTTATATTGTTGGTGCCGCGACTTGGAGACGATGCAGAGGATGGTTCACTTTTTATTGCCGTCCCTGAACTTGAAGGTATTTGAACCCTCAGTGAAGGTCGAGTCATTGTGACGCCGCTATTGTTAGTGCCCGATTGTGAGCGAAGGGGAATTGACTGAGATCTTGAACCCAGTCCTTGCAATTCCGTTGTTGTGCCCACTTTAGGCGCCGCTGTCGGATTTGAATCCCTAGTCTCTGTGCTCTCTTTATGCTTTAGCCCTAGACTGACAGGGATAGAATTCGAACGCAGACCCGTATTGGGACTGGGATGTACCATAGCCGACCCTTCAATCTCATTTTTCGGCATTGCACTAAATCCTGGAAGAAGTGCCTGTGGCGTCTGAGAGTATACGTTGGGTAAAGGAGTTCTAGAAAATGAGCCATTTGGTTGTGTGTTGAAAGGCGAAAAATTGGAGTTTGTGGCTTCAGGATGCGACGCAACCGCATACAGGTTATGGAACTGCCGTTGAACTTGCTGCTGAAGTGAATTGAATGTCGGGTGAGGTGATGTTCTGGGAAAGGAGGCGGCTGACGTTGAGGGGACACCTTTCTTGAGTTTTTTCTTGGCGGGCTGCATGTGTGGCACGCTATTTTCTCCCGTCTCAGAGTCTTCATCCTCATTCTTGACACCTCGGTGACTCTTGGATGCCTCGTCTTCATTTTCGTTGTTGTATTCGTCTTCATCCTCTCCTTCGTCCGGCCCATTGTCATCTTCTTCCTCTTCGTCTTCACCTTCGACGTGCAGCTCGGGCGAAGCGCGCGCTGTTCGTTTCCTAGACTTATCGTGCATAACCACACGGTCTTTCTTGCGATAATTTCCATAGTTCGCAGGTCCCTTGACATCATGAGGAAGATGAGAATTCTGGTAATGGTCGATTAGGTCATTTGTATCAACCGATGAGAACTCGTAAAACGTGTTGTTTGAACCCAAAATAAGTACAGCCACGTCAACTTGACACAGCACGGCTAACTCATGCGCTTTTTTGAACAGTCCGGCTTTCCGCTTGATAAACGTTCTGTTTACAATCCCAGATAAACAGGGCCCAGGTTAGTACATGTTTGAATGATAATATTATTTCGAGCGATTGGTGGGCTTCTCAATTTGCAAGCCTTGTAGCATATAACTCAGTAACATACACGGTCCTGTTTCGCTCATCCGTTATGGGCTCGATGGCTATTTTTCTACGTCCCATCACTGCTTTCTGGTTTTTTTAGAAAGTTGGCACAGTTATTTTAAAGGTTGTACGGTAATATCCTATAAATAAATTAACGGTCTTTGTAGAATCTCACGAAGGAAAACTGATTTATGTCACTTTTGGAAAAAATGATGAATTTATGAAAACGAAGTAATAGTTGATATGTTGCTCTCCGAAATTGCTAGGCTAGGCCGGCTTTGGGCCTCGGGTCCTGTAGCAACTTAACTGCCTTCGATTTGTTTTTAGTTATAATCCAAGGATGTTCTCAAAGCGAAAAATTGCGTTCTTTGGCCTTGCGCTGATTTAGGCCAAATATGAAATACTGCAACTCGTATGGGTGACAATAAGCTGAACTTCGGATCTAGCATGCAGCAGTGGGTAAGAAACGTGTAAGTTAAACCACAATACAGGTCCAAAGGCAATTGCATAGCTGTGAAAATGAAAATGTTGGGAATAATGTGAGTTACTAGGGAACTGATGGTGATGTGCGCCTAATCGCATAATCAGCGTTAGTAAGTATGTGACACAGTGGTACAGAATGATAGTACACAACAGAGGCCATACTAATCGAGTTACGAGCAAGGACAAGCTGAAGACAACAACTGTTGTCCAAGGGGATTTGCGATTGATAAGTTATCGGCATTATACGGCATTGAGCCGCAATCCATCGATAATAGAATGAACTAGAACGGGTGATTAATAAATGTGTTATTGGGAATCACCGGGTGTCCAAAATAATCACTAAGAGATGAATAGCAAGCCCTAGACCCAAGTCACTCATCTTACAATGACTATAACCGACTTACAAGACAAATTTAGTAAGCTTTCCACTAATGAGTCAGATTCGCCTCAGTAGAAAAAGAGAAATAGCAACTCGGCATCTTATTTTTGGCACTCCAGCAGTCTCTGTATCACAGGTACCCGTATCCCTTCATGGTCTCTATTTTACGCGCTTGGAATACGCATGCCGGCGCGAAGAGAAAGGCGACGACTGTGTTGTAAAAAGTGATTTCTGAACAGACAAGCAAACGGGTCCTGACATACCTCAGCTGCAAATACCACATGTGCATCAACCTTGAGCTATGACCGCTGGAGTCGTAAAAGAATAAACGTCTGTTTTGAGGCCACTCTATACGCCTACTGCGCGGTGACGCTACTCAATACCAGGAGCAAGTGGAAAATCTTCCGTCCTCATGCAAAAGAAAAACAAATGCTTCTGCCATAGACGCTATGCTAGTTTATGTGCCCATGATTCTCGCAGTGCCATGGCGAACAAGTATAGGTTATCCATGCTTTTCGCCCAAACATCATCATGGAACACCCCGCTCGTCAAGATGAATAGTTGCAGCTCAATAATGGGGCGCCAGTCCCCGTGAGATAAGTGCAGCTTTTGTCCGGAGAATCAGCAGATGTCTTAAGGAGCCCAGTTGTGCCAGTGCACTATGAATACAATGGTAAATCATATGTCTACATAGGAAAAAAAAAAAGGAGGAACTACACACTCTCACAAAGGGGAATCGTTGAAGCGTCCCCGGTACTGTGGTTTAGCCTTTGGTGGTGATTTTTTAGGCGACAAGGACCCCTTCCTGTCTTGGCTGCAGCCGAATTTGATCATTCGTTGATAATTGGACGATCTGTCCCCACCTTCAAAGCTTCTAGTACCTAATACAAATAACAAAACTCGCCGATTTAGCCAATCTCCAATCAACGGTCTGCCGTAGAAGTGCTCATTCAAATTTTGTTCGGCCATCATAGCTCCCAAGGTACGGGTACTTCCCTTAACGGAAACAAGGCAGTGTCACGGTAATTTTCGCTGCACTCAGTTTTATTATATGCGGGGATCTTGAAAGAAAACAGGCAATGAGTAGTCCGTGATCGCGGGCAGATCTACTTTGGGCTTCCGAGTTCTCCGTGTTCAATAATAAACGCTACGGTGATAAATAGCGGGGAGAACCTCATCAATCAGTGAAAGTGAATTTGTCCTATATAGATTCCTTAAGTAGCCATAGTGTTGAACTAGAAGCTATTGAAAATAAAATACTGCCAAGATGGCCAAGACTTTCGCCACAGGGCTGCCAATCCCCCAACCTCACCCAAAATTGCCTAAAAATGTTATGGATATGTTTTCGCTCAAAGGTAAAGTCGCGTGTATTACAGGAGCATCTTCTGGTATAGGTGGGGCCGTGGCAGAGGCCTTCGCTCAGGCCGGTGCAGATATTGCGGTGTGCTATAACTCAAACGATGGCTTAATTCAAACTGCCAAGGAACTCGCAGAAACCTACAAGGTGAAGGCAGTCGCTTACAAGTGTCCTATGACTGACGAGCAAAAAGTTCAAGACACCATCGAGCAGGTGCTTCGGGACTTTGGAGGCAAGATTGACGTTTTTGTAGCCAACGCAGGTGTTCCCTGGACGGAGGGTCCGCTGTTGGAAGCACAAGAGCGCGGAGTCGCTTCGAAAGAGTGGGAAAGAACCCTTCAGACTGACTTCCAAGGAGTTTACTATTGTAGCAAGTACGTGGGGTCTGTTTTCAAGAAGCAGGGCCACGGTTCTTTGGTGATTACAGCGTCCATGTCTGGCCATGTTGTTAATGTTCCACAATTGCAGACATGTTACAATGCAGTGAAAGCCGGCGTGATTCACATGGCCAAATCCCTCGCCGTAGAGTGGGCTGGCTTTGCTCGTGTGAACTCTATTTCTCCAGGTTACATTGTAACCCCAATCAGCAGTTTCACCGTTGAAGCCACCAGGCAGAGATGGTTGGAGTTGACACCCCTTGGCAGAGAGGGTTTGCCAGAAGAATTGGTCGGGGCCTACCTGTATCTCGCTTCGGACGCTTCTACTTACACAACGGGTACTGATATCATAGTTGATGGAGGTTATTGCTGTATGTGAAGCAGGTCGCGCCACCTTTTTGCTAGGTGCATTGCGCAATAACTGCCCAAACTCAGATCAAAATTTCATAACGAAGTAGCACTTATCAAATTCATTTTAACAGCGCCTTCCATCTAAAAAGCATGAGATAGCGTGAGAGGGCTTACTATTCAGCTTTGGGTATTGAATGTCCCGAGCGGTTTGGTTCTTGGCACAATTCCAAGATACAACAAAGGTGAATAAAAGTGAGAGGAAAAGCCCAGATGCATCAATGAGTCTGACAAAATATGTTCATGTTGTAATCCAAAAAGTAGCGACTTTGACAAGTCTAACTATTCAACTTCTCTCGTTCAGTCGGTGTCGTTCCTCGCTTTACCATTGTTAATTATCACTTTTGTCAACAACGTCGCAGATCATGCTCTAATTTTTAACAATAAATCCCTCTCATTAGCAAACGACCGCAGGCGAACTCCGGCCCAGTTTGCTTCTTCCTTCTACTTTAACGACCACTTATTTCCCTATATAAATATATCTATATATATATGTATGTATATATTGAGTAAATCAGTTACTGTGTACCACGGAATCTAGATTTATAATCACCATTCGTCAAAGTTCACCCTTGATTCTGTTGCCTTACCATTCCGGGCTACACAATGCTATTAAATTGGATCTTTAGAAAGTATCCCGATCCTTTGGATGTCGGGTTTTGGGGAAAGCCCACATCTACGATCGACTGGTGTGAGGAAAACTATGTGGTATCGCCATTTGTGGCAGAGTGGTCTAATACCATCACCAACAGTGCTTTCGTGGCGTTAGCCATGTATGTAACCTGGTCTGCATACTACCAACGGCTAGAAAAACGATTTGTCATGATAGGAATTGGTCTCGGAACAGTTGGAGTCGGATCGTGGCTCTTCCATATGACTTTGCGGTATGAATACCAACTACTCGATGAACTGCCCATGATCTATGCCACTTGTATCCCAGCGTGGAGTATATTTTCTGAAGAGAAGAGCGTTCTCGGGAACAGGCACCAGGTGCCGTCGATGCTCAGACAATTAGTAATTGCAGCGATAGTCTTCGGTGCTGCTGCCATTCTGACAATAGTGTACCTGGTGTATCGGGACCCAACTATCCACCAAACCGCTTACGCGATTCTGAACGTGATAGTGGTATTTTCTGCAGGGTATTTGGCATCAAAGTACGTACATGACCCCTTGGCGAAGAAAAACCTGCGCAACACCATGACATTGAGCATTGTCATTTTCCTGACTGGTTATGCCTTGTGGCAACTGGACGTGCACTTCTGTTCGTTCTGGATCTTCGTGCGCAGAAGGTTGTTACATCTGCCTTTGGGGGTGTTTTTAGAATTGCACTCCTGGTGGCATCTGTTGACCGGCTCTGGAGTATATTTCTACATTGTGCACCTGGAATATCTGCGGATCTTGACGCACGGTCGGTCTGAGCAATATACCTTAGCTTGGAGGTGGAAGGTGTTCCCAGAGCTTATCCATTCTTCCCATTCCATCAACACCAAGTACTCTTTAGAGTTTCTCGGACCCTACATCGAGCCCACCAAAACCTCGAAGCCGGAACACACAAAGAGCCAGTGAATTTTGATGACAGAATGTGACTACATTTTGCGCTAAATGACTTCAAGTGATAGTGCCAGCTGCTTCTGGCGCAAGGAGGATATGTTGGTGATGTCGCAAGGCGGTACAAGAGTTTTCGCTACCAGTGAGACCAGGATGTAACATCCAAAGCTCATATCAAGAAATTGAGCGTCACAATCTCAGGAGCTAAAGTTGGAGTTGAAAATTAGCATATCGAGACAGCTTGGGATCAGCTATTGCTCGGTGGAATTGTCATTATTTCAAGAGCGATGACCCGTGCCTTATGATGTAAATGTCAAGACACCACCTTACATAGAGATGACCAACTAACTACAAAAACGCCATTGGTATGCAGTCCATGTACATTCATCATCAGGAGCCCAGAATCTTAGCATAGAAAATCAAAATGTCTCTTGTCCCCGAATACAATTCCTCTTCTTTGGACTTTAGGTCCGATACTTTTACCATTCCTACCCCTGAACTCTGGCAAACAGTTGCCGAGGCTTCTCTGGGTGACTCCATTTATGAAGAGGATAGGGATACGCATCTGCTCGAACAACGAGTCGCTAAAGATTTTTTGGGCGGGAAACTATTCAGTGGCGCTGATGCTCGCGGTCTATTTTGTGTTTCCACCACGATGTCGAATCAACTGGCCATTCGTACCCACCTCAATTTTGCTCCTCCATACAGTGTACTGTGCGATAAAAGAGCACACGTTTACGTTGATGAATGTGCCGGAATAGCAGTATTATCCCAAGCTTTGGTTATCCCGGTAGCAGCCTCAAATGAGCGTTTTCTCACTTTAGAGGACATCAAGGAAAGCTATATCCCCGATGACGGTGATGTACATCTGGCACCGACCAAACTAATTTGCCTTGAGAATACATTACACGGCATGTGCTTTCCTTATGATGAACTCAAGCGCATCAGCGATTGGTGCCATGAAGAGGGTATTAAACTTCACTTGGATGGTGCCCGATTGTGGAACGCGGCGTGCGTATCCAGGGACCTTGACCCTAAAACCTATCTACGAAATATTGCGAAACTCGTTGATTCAGTCTCTTTGTGTTTTTCTAAATCCTTGGGAGCGCCGATCGGATCCATGCTTGTGGGTGGTTTGAAGTTCAGAGAGAAAGCCCGCCACTTACAAAAGCAACAGGGCGGTGGAATTAGACAAGCAGGATTTATCACTCGGATCGCTGACCATTGCTTGAATGTTAACTTTCCCGCTACCGTGAGCGAGGTTTGTAGGCGCACCGAAGAGTTTTGGCTGGATTTACATTTCAATTTGAAGACGAAGCAAAGAATGGAACTTCAGTTGAGTCATCCAGTCGAAACTAATTTTATTTTCCTCGATTTGCCAAAATCTGGAATTAACCTGAAAATCTTGTTGGAATATGGTGAAAGAAATAATGTCAAACTGTTTGATGGAAGACTTGCATTTCACTACCAGAACATCAATTCAGAAAGCCTCGCTGTTCTGAAAAAAACTTTCATTGATATCGCATCCTACTATCAAACACACGAATACCATTCAGAGGAAATATCGGCCAGAATATATTAGCTTTACATTTCAAAAAACCTTATTTAGCCCCTCAAAGCTTTTTGGACATATATGGACCATCAAGCTCGTAACCTAACTTTGCGTAGTAGTTCCTGACACCAACACCGGATATGACAGAAATTTTTTCTGAGCCATGTTCCTCCTTGGAAATTCTGGCAGCTTCTTCCATCAAAAGGGTACCAAAGCCTTGATGTTGGAACTTACGAGGGTCTCTAGAGTGAAGCGGTACGACAGACCCATAGACGTGTAGTTCTCTTACAATAGAAGTCCTTTGGGATGTAAACTCTTTTCTGTAGGTGTACTTCTTGGAGGCCTTTCTTAGTCTCAATAAACCGATCAAAATATCTTGTTTGGGATCTTCATATGACAAAAATGTTTCCCAACCACCATTGGCATAGTAGTCTCTTCTGATCAATTCGACTTGATCCGGTTGTACCTTGTGGTGCACTTCTTGGATACCCACCTCTCTAGTACGAACGTCTCTACAAGTAGTGCCGAAATCCTTCATTCTCGCTAAAGCCAATTCTCTCAAATTACCGTTGTCAACTCCTGAGGTGACTAATGGCATTGGGATGTCTCTTTGAACACGATAAATTCTGGTCCAAGGTGGCACCAAAGCCATAATTCTCGCCACTAAGTCTACAAGGGCATTAGCATTATATGACTTATAACGGCCAGTTTTCCATAGCTCATATAGGCCAGTGCCCCTAATCACTAGCGTGGGGTAGATTTTCAACCCATCGGTACGAAAAGCAGGATTTTCAAAATATTCTTTGAATTGCTCAATATCTCTCTCCATACCAACATTGGGCAGATCTGGCATCATGTGGGAAACAATTTTGTACCCTGCATCTTTAGCCACGCAGAAAGTTTCTGCAACAGAGCTTACTGTGTGACCCCGGTTCGTATCACGGGCAACATCCTCATAGAGAGATTGGACACCAATCTCTAGTCTGGTACACCCGTACTTCAACATATCATCCAAATGCGTTTGAGTGCAGTAGTCAGGCCTCGTCTCGATGGTGATACCAACACATTTGGTTAAACTCTGCTGTGAGTACTGAATGGCCTCATCGATGTCAGTACCGTTGAATCCTGAGAGGGCATTGTGTAGTTTTACGATAAAATCTTCGCGATAATCCTTGGGCAAAGACATAAAGGTTCCTCCCATGATAATATATTCAACTTTGTCAATGGAATGGCCAAGCTGCTTGAGTTGCTCAACTCTGCCTCTAGCTTGTTCGTAGGGGTCATAACGAGCTCTGATCGCCCGCATTGATGTAGGTTCGTAACCAGTGTATGATTGGGTGGAGTACTCAAAATCGGAGTCCGGCCCCCCAGGACAGTAAACACAGATATTTCCAGTGTATGCAATATGTGGACAGCGGTGAGGTTTGCACATGACGGCAACCACGGCGATACCTGACGCCGTTCTGACGGGTTTGGCTTTCAGCTTCGGCAGTAGGTATTTTTTGTATTGATCAGGAATAGAATTGATAATATCAGTTAGCCGTGGCTGTTGTTTCAGCTTGTACTTCTTGGAATATTTTGTGATCAGGCCATTTAGGTTGATTTCCCTAGAAGTGCCGGACGTCAAGGACGTCGTTAGTTCAAGTGTGATATCCGAACAACATTGAATGAAACGCTCCTTTTCGGGAGCCAGTTTCTGCTTGTTATTTTTCGGACCGTTACCACGTCTACCCATCGTTGGATATTAATAATAGTATGGGACAGCTGCTCTCCAGATCTGCTTTTCCAACGGGGTACGCTAGCTCATCGCCTTAACATCTTAAATTAAAAGTTTTCAACGCTTTAGGTGTATCATACTATACGATTGTGACGCCTAGCGAGAGATCAACTGTTTGAGCCAGTCCTGGTGCTGTTGAGCACAATAATATTTGACCACGGTTAAATAATGAAATTCGCACAGCGTCGCAGGTCTGAGCAATCAAGTATATGTATAACCACTACGGCCACATACTTTTATTGCAGGGATTCTTGACGATGGAAAATATCATGGTCTCAGGCATTAATAAATTCTTTTGAACAGAGATGCAAAGGTTCGATCTTTGTACTATTCCTGTTCTGAACAAATGATAGCTTTATTGTATATTATGATGTTAAAATTCAAGGTTTATATCAAAACCCACTTCACTCCACTAAATCATTAACTTAAATTTAGCAATTTTCGCAGAAGAGCAGGCTGGATTTCAAAAACAAAGGTCAGAAGCAGGCCAATATAATAGAATGGACTCAAGTATTTCCTTTCACTCACTTCCAGGTCGTTGCAGTTATCAAAAATACCCAGATGATCAGGAAGTCTCGTGACGCCTAATTAATACCTTACACACTGAAAAAGGTGGCGATCACTCAGTAAGAACAACAAAGCTATATATGAAAACGAGATTATCAACTGCACAAGGATATCTGCAGAAAGGCTTCAATTAAAGCTGACGGGAAGTTCAATTAGCAATTCGAAAGCCATTTGAACCGAAACTTGCTTCTTTTTCCTAAAAATAATGGGTCCGGAGGCCAAGAAGAGGAAGAATCAAAAGAAGAAGCAGAAACTTAAACTGAAGAAAGCTTCAAATAAAGATGAGAATACTGTAGAAGCTAGTGAGGAAGTACCTCATGTAGATGCTCCTCCTGCAGCAGACCTGTCAGAATCACCTAAGAGTGCTACAATGGGCGGTAGCGATCTGGATCCCGTTATAAAAGATGATTCTCACGAAGAGCAATCGAAGAACGACCCATCATCGCAGTCTGGAGCTGAAGAATCTTCAAGCTCGTTATCTGTGGATGATATTCGCAAACCGAGTGAACGTGAGTTGGCTTCTCCGTACGTAGTCGAGGCCAAAGTTACGTCAGGAAACAGCGCACCTGGCGAACTAGGAAACACAGGAATGAGCATAGAAAGTTCGCCAATTGAGCAAGGTATTCGGGAGCAAAATTTTGGAGCAGGTACAGAAGTATTGGGTGATGTTGAGGGCAGTGCCGAAGTCGCCGAACCAACAGGATTGGACGCGCTCACAACGCAGTCGAGGGAAGCACAGGAGGGTGAGATGAATAACAATGCAACCAATAGTCCTAGCAGGTCGGATGCTACTGTTGAACCTGAAAGTGAACATATAGTTGAGTCAATTGAGGGCGTTGGGGCCAAAGATGATCAAGAGGATTTCGATAAAACTAGACACGACACAAGCCAAGAACATGCGGCTACACCAGCCCTGGAACCTGTTTACAATGTAGAGCGGAACTCAAGTAAACAGAAACCTTCGGGATCAAATGATCGTGGTCAAGCTTTCATCCAGGGCCCTACGCCTGAGACGGAAACTGACGAACGTGTCCTGGAATCTGTTCTGCCCTCAAGGGAACCTGTCTCACCGCCTCAGCATTTTGTTGTGAACGTACCACCTGAAGCTCGCACAGGTGATTTTGGAGAGGCTTCAAATTCAGCACTTATAGGCGAGCAGCCCGTAAAATGTATTGACACCGGCGGAACTGAGCATATAAACTATAGCGGAGTTCCTGCGAAATATAAATCAGAGGATACTTCCACGGATGCCACAGAAAACTTGGTGACGAATGAAGCTCTCATCGAAAACGTGAACGTAGTCCAATCAGAAGGGTGTACAGCTTTTTCAAATAACGACAGAGGTGTTCATGTATCTTCTAAAGAAACACACGACGATGAAATTGCTCTCAATGCTGAAAACAAATCCTATGTCCGTCCCGTCGAAGGTCACGTCGAACATTCTGCCGAGGATACAAGCGAAAATTTTAATGAGCACGCGGAGGATTATTCTGGACAATTTCCTCATGTCCCTGCTGTTCCCGTTCCTCCTTTCCAGGCTAAAGGAACGTCGTTTTCTCAAGGGGATAATCAGAAACCCTTACCTTGGGAAGAGGATCAACAGGATCAAGAGCCTTTACCTTGGGAGTCGCAGTTTTCCCAAGGGGATAATCAGGAACCCTTACCTTGGGAAAAGGATCAACAGGATCAAGAGCCTTTACCTTGGGAGTCGCAGTTTTCTCAAGGGGATGATCAGGAGCCCTTACCTTGGGAAAAGGACCAAGAGGATCAAGAACCTTTACCTTGGGAGTCGCAAACCCAAGCTTTCGGCCCAGAGTTGTTGCCGATAAACTCCGAGCCCTATTCAAATGACCTACCTTATCCTTCTGACCAAGGTGAACATAGGCCAAGCCCCAAGGAAGACCAGGCAGTAGATGAGCTTTTCGATAATAACGACGAAGAAGAAGCTCTTCCGTGGAATGTCCCTGATGATCGTTTGAGCTCTCCGCAGCAAGACTCTCATATTTCTTACCCGGGCGTTGAATCTCAGCGCACCTCTGACTCAGACTATAACCACGATACTGTGCAGCCTGAGCTAAATCTCACGGCCGCTCAAGATGGCAGTGCCCCTACTTCAAAATCAACTGGAACTCATCAAGATGAAGCAGATTTGTCAGTTATTCAGACTTCAATGGAAGCCCACGAGATGCCCAAAAAATTCTCGTTTTTGGACAACGACGATGACCTTTTGGAAGATGACGACAGCTTTTTAGATTCTGATGATGATTTTCTGGCTGAGCCGGCTGAGAAGGTTTCCAGCCATTCTCCATCTATGACAGGTTCGAACTCTACCGTAGACATGTCTGTGTTGCCGCGAGCTGGAGGCACCAAGGTATACACGCCCGCAACTCTGGAACCTCGCCCTGCCCCCGTCATAGCACAAGCACAATCTCAGCTTACAACTCCTGCACCCCCCCAGGCACCACTGAATGTTAAGTCCACTCGATACGCGCCCCCTGTAATCGATGGAACTGCTGCACAGTCAGCTTTCGTTTCGCCCATCGCCACCGCAAACTCGGCGCTTCCTACCAACATTTTGCATCGTCAAGAACTAACTTCTAGCAATGTTCCTGCTCCGAACGTTTATAAAAAATTAGACGAGGAGAAGAAAAAGTCCGATGCGTATGATTTGCCGTTGGAACTTGCTCCTCGCCAGTTAAAAAAAGCAAAACAACCAAAGCCATTTGGCGCATCAAGCCCTGCGCTTTCAGCTACTAGTTCCTCCAACACTATATCACCTTTGGCAGGCATAGCTCCCATAAGAAAAAGTTCCGATGGTTTAAGGGCTCAAGCGCCTAGGGGCCTGGTAGCTAATTCGGTTAATCAGTCTACATCCAGCGTGGTGGCGCCTGTGAATCCTTATGGGCCGCCCGCGGCTTCGGCACCCCCCAAAGTGTCGAATTCGTATGTTCCAACGACTGCAACGAATGAGACAGTTTCTATGCCCTCAAAAAGGTATGCTCCGCAAGCACATGGCGAGCCGACAGCTAACTTGGGTGCGGTTTATCAAAGCTCATCCAAGACTATGAGATCAAGGGCGCTTAGCAACATTTCAAATGGAAGTGTAGGATCCGTAGGAAGCTCCAACTCATTCGCAAATGCTCCCCCGATGGACTACAATTCTATACTTGACTCTCGTGCACCTATAGTACCTGCATTGAAAACAGTTGGACTACCAAAAATAGGTGCACCTGCACTTTCGCCCAATACTCAGAGAAGAAGCCACGCCCGATCAAACTCTAGTGTTTACGCTCCAGCCTATTCCTCGAAGTATGCCCCAACGGTTCAGCCACAATATCAGTTGTCACCACTCGACGATGGAGAACCAGCCGCCACGAATAATAGTATTTTACGCCCACCCACAACGCATGCTACCAAACCCAGAGCTTCGAAAGCACCTGGACGGTCACCAATTATCGAAGAACAACCTATTGACCCCAATATTGCATTTCAACGTCAGTTTCCCATTTTCAATTGGGGTAAGTCGTCAAAACTTGTTTATGCAGCTTCCATAGCAGTTACGGGTGGCAATTATTTTTCTTCAGCGGACCTTGGCCCTGATATCCGCGTTTCCAGCTATGACAGTGTTGTGAAAGCATCCGGTTACCTCAAGGCCTTTCCTGGTCCCTTGGTGAAAGGTAAGAGTAAAGTTAGAGAAGTTCAAGACTGGATTGACGGGGCCTGCGAATTCTTTTCCAAAGAACAACCTCTCAAAGACCTCACGCTGTACCAAATACTGAAGGTCAAGCTCACAGTTGGCTCAGGGCCGCAGGAGATTGCAAAGGTGTTATACAACTCAGATGAGCTATTACCTTTTCTCTCGCAACCTTCAACAAGAAAAAAGACCGCCTATAACGCTCAGAAGTTGTGCGAAAATGATCAACTTAGGGTCCTAGCTGCACTGCAAACCGGTAGGCAAGAACTTGCTCTCGAACTGGCACTTTCAGAACGCGATTTCTCTATGGCGTTGATTATCAGCAGTTTGTTAGGGAAGGAAAGATGGACGCAGGTCGTTGATGCCTACCTTGGCCAGGAATTCCGTTTAAGTGATGCAACGGATCACTCTGTCAATCTTCTTGCTTTGATCTTTCAAGTTTCTGTGGGCAACAGTAAACGGGCCATCGATGAACTAGGCACAGATCCAGTTAAAGGAAACTGGGCTTTGAATAATTGGAAGGTCATAATTGCAGGAGTTTTGAATAATGTTATTCACCATACAAATGATTCTGAATCCAGCCCTAGCGAGTTTCCCCATCAAGCTATGGTTTTTCTCGTGGAATTTGGGATTTTTCTATCTCAAAAGGATATGTTTTTGGCAGGAATATGTTGCTTTGTCATTGCTGACATTCCACTATCATATCATGAGGTTATTCAGAAGTCAGAAGTGCGCTTCTCATCTGTCGGCAGCGAAAACTCGTTAGAAGGCGTTCTGCTATCTGAAATTTATGAGTTTTATCACTCTGTCAGAGATCCTAAATTCGCGCGCTTTGATCATTTACTACTTCAAAAACTCATGCACTCTTCAATTCTATTTGAAAGTGGGATGGCAACTGAGGCGCTGAAATATACTGACTTTGTCGCGTTGGGTTTAAGAAGTCTTCCAAAAAACAGTTCACTCTGTGCGACAGTAGAATTACGTCTCAACAGTGTATCCTCAAAACTGGCAGGGACTAGTGGCAGCTGGCTGGGGAAACCCAAACTGAGCCAAGTATGGGGCCAGTTGGATAAGTCCTTTAATAAATTTATAGGAGGGGATAGCGAGGAGACCAACGCTGATGAATCTGGGAAAATTTTTGAAAATTTTACTCCTAGTAGCTCCAGAAACAGCTCTAAGATAGACTTAGCACAACAACCGCCTCATTTCAATCCTTCTGTTTCGATCAATAATGCCGTTCCCCCGGCGTTTACTCCTAGCTTGTCAAGAACGCAAGCTCAGTCAACTTTTTCGTCATTTGCGGGCCCAGTCAAAGTCCGCGAATCAAATGGCAACATGATCCCAGAGAACAGAGTTGATTTACCGCAAACTTCTTGGGGCGGTACATCATCTTATAAGGTACAACCAGAAGTGGTTCCAGCTTCGTTCAGTTCCCCGAACCAACCTGTTTATTTAAATTCTCCTGCCAGGACGAAAGACCAATCATCGATAGTTATGACTCCTCCGCCATTATTTTCATCTTCCTCTTCTAAAAGATATATGAGCAAAAGGGTCGGTAGCAGCGGAGAGGGCGTCTCTTCTGATTCCCTCTTAAGGATTGGCGATGAGACCACCATTCCACAATCCCGTGGCAAAAGATTTGCTAAGGACAACCAGTCTCTCAGTACTGATATGTTAGCCGAGCTCCATGTAGCTCCTCCTCCGGCTTATGGAGGCGCAGGAAGTTATTCAAGCAGACGAAATTCTACCCAGTCTCGGAGTAGTTATCAATCCCGTGCTTCCAATTTCTCATCTCCCAAACAGTCAGCCATTGCGTGTAATCCGCCGGGCTCTGAATTTTCAGAAGAGGCTGTGAGGGAGAATGAAAGCCAGGCGCGGACCGGGGGTTATGCAACGAACTCGGAATTGTCGCAAGCTCTGTTGGCGAATGATGAGCTTGAAGATCACAGCTCTAACGACCCGGCTATGCAAGCTTGGAGTGCGAAACATGAGGAGGCTTTGCCTTTCGATACCCAATTAGAAAATCCCAGAACAGACCGTGTTATGAGGTCCCAATCCTCAAAGATCCAAGGACAATCAGAGGATGCAAACGAAACTGAAAATCAAGACTTGAGAGAGTCGCAGATAAATCTTCAGCCTCCAAAAATAGCGACCACCAACGAAGAGATACCTGCACATGAGATGGAAGTCTCCAGTGCTAGTAGAAGCGACACTGAGCCGGCCAAAATGCATATACTGCCATCAACTGTCTCAAAGAACCCATATGCACCAGTTCCAACAGATAAAAAACCTAAATCGACGTACAATCCGTATGCTCCTGTTGCAGCTCAGTCCGATTCGGTGAGTATGGAACAACCTTCTATGCAGCCATTGCTTCAAAATAATCCGAGTGAAGAGCTAGATTTCTTTGCTTACGGTGGTTATAATGTGAAAGAAATCACTCCCTTAGAAGAAGATCAAGGTCGGGTAGAGATCGCGAGTGACTTCGATGCATCACATCAAAATGTCCAGGAGACTTTGAAGGACGTCGAAAATAATGATACCAATTATACTGATCAGCTCTTTGAGCGAGATGGCTACAAGTCTGATTCTGCTCCTTTGCTTTCTTCATCGAAACTGTCTGTTGAGGAACCTCGCTTTGCACCAGCCGCAAAGCTGAGGACGTCCTCGAAGGCCGCAGATGGTGATGAGATCTTCAATACTCAGGCACCCGTCATACGACCTTCTTCGAACCCAAACTTCAAGCCATTTACTCCTGCCTCAACTCCAGGCGTTGAAGACTATTATGAGGATATCATCGAAAACGCTTCTGAGGAGGATGAAGAGGATGCTGCTGAAGCGGCGAGAGCCGAACGAGAAGCGAGGGAAAAAGATGCCAAGGAAGAGGCAAGAAATAAGGAAAAGAAAGCAAAGGGAAATCAAGACAAAAACCAAAACAATGCCTCGTGGTTCGGGTGGCTACGGAAGGATCCTAACGAGAAAAAAGCCGTGAAGGCAAAGTTAGGACACCAGAACACATTTTATTACGATGAAAAGCTACAGCGATGGGTCAACAAAAATGCTACCGAAGAGGAAAAACAACAGGTATCAACCCCACCCCCTCCACCTCCTATCATCAAAAAGAAGGTCGAAAGTTCTCCTAAAGTGAAGCCCCGTTCAGGTTCAGTGGCAGGTGGTGCTTCGGCTCGAACAACGTCCTCCATTTCACCTACAACAATTTCCATGAATAAAGAAATCATTTCTCCACCCATTGGAACGAACGACATTCCTAAGAGTGGTACACCATCTATTAATCCTAGCGTAAGTCTTTCAAGTAAGAAGGCCAATGGTTTGGATGATCTGATGTCTCTTGTGGGAAACTCAAGTGGCCAGACTACTAGAAAGAAGAAAAAGGGTACTCGTGGCTATGTCAATGTGATGAACAATTTATAGTCAATTAAATGTTTACAGCTTTTTAATAGTATCTCAAAAGTTTTACCAGTTTATATCCCCTCTCGCAATGTGCTACAGTAGGTTTTCGTTTTTCACTATTATCGCTCAATGTGTGTTTGCAGGTTATAAACAAAAAAAATCAACTGATAAGTTTCTTAAGTTATGTACAGGAAATTTTATAGCCGGCTATTTGTCTTTAACGTCTACACGGTAAAGATCACCACAAGTTTTCATTCTTTGGATTGCTGTCTGCATGTTATCTTCGTAATTTTTTGGAAGTTTAGCCTGAGGATGACTCTCGAAAACTGAACCAATTAGAATGAGCTCATCAGTAGAAGCGTCACACAGAAAAGCTACATAATCTGTAACATCCCGGTCCAGATTTTCAGTCTCATGCGTGCGTTTGTTGAGCTTGATGAGTCTCTGTTTTGTCTCAAACTTATAGATGAGCTGAATATGCTCCAATGGACGACCAGGAATCATCATAACTTGCACTGAGGTGAGCTTGGGAACCTTATGAAATTTGAGTAGTTGCCAGTCAAGGTCTATAGTTTTTGGAATTTGTTTGGCTCTTGAACTTAAAGATTCCTCGACCCACAAGGAAATATGGGGCTTGACCGATGCCAGATTTCTCGCGGCAAACGCTTTATTAACCTGAACATAACTTTCAATGGCTCTGTTTTTCCAAAGAAGGAAATTAGGCTTGAAGCCCGATTGGTATCTGAACAATGCAACTTGTACCGTATTGAGACCGAACGTGTATATGCGCCTGATTAGAGCATTGCTGAAGACGACTGGATGACGAAAAAAATTTGGTAGATTCTTATATGACGGAGGAATGTACAGCTCTGAAGAGATACCCAGATGTCTCGGGTTAAAGTCTGCCGGTTTGGATTTTTTGTTAGCTCCTTCAGCTTGTTGCCAAGAGGAAGTTGTGACAGACAAAGATCTGCTTAAAAGTAACCCATTTCTGGAGGTTCGCAGTGTAGTTCGAGGAAGGGCACTTAGAAACATGCTGAACGCCTTGAAAAGAACGATTCCCTAGGACGAACGTTAGTTTATTGACAGATGTGGAGGAAGTTAATTTTCGAAGTTTTTCAACCGCCCTGTCAACGTTACGAGCATCCATCAGAAGAGCACTTCAGACGTACTACAGTTTTGCAAGAGTAATGAGGACCACTGTCGATAGTTATCCATTACGATGGGTGACGTTCATCATACTTGCTCACTACTGCTCATCTTCTTCCGAGCCGAAGGTTTTTGTGAGTAGATAAGAGAGGAACTGGTGCAAGGTGAGTAAGTGACAACTGGTCAGAAAACTAGGCAACTAACAATTGGGACACAGGAGAATTTAAAAAGCTGAATAGTCCACATAACGATTAACTCTACTTGATTTTCTAGCTTCTCAAGTTTATCTAAATTTTGTTGAATTCTGTTGTAGAGATAATCAATTAAGATGGCCACCAGAGTTTTGTCAGTGAGCAAATACCCAACCAGACGAGTAGAAGCACTGCCGCTGCAACCAACTATCACACGAATATTAGAACGAGTATGAGCTTCGGTGGAAAAACGCAAATGTGAGACGCGTCAATGCTGTAAAAAGTGATTAAAGATGGCTATTAAAATGAATCAGCCCGATGCTATTTCTAGCATGGAGAAGCGAATGGAAACACCCCCATAATAGCCAACTACGAGCGGATATCAGCTCTCAATTTCATATCAACTATCGCTTAAGATTATTAAGAACTATATGTGGCGCCAGAAATTACCATGCGCAGAAGATCCCCTGCTAAAGCTCGATATATCCAACCGGGAAAGCCCACACAAAAAGTGATAGGGCTTGATAGCATAAAATCAACTCCTAGCCCTGTTTGCTCCTACGCATAGGCGCGGTGGATTACTGTAACGCCAACTAACATTTCCACAAACCTTTTGGTCGAAGAGGCAGTAAGTATATCGCTAGATTACGAAGAAGAATCATCAGAACTGCTCGTGATATTTGCTGGACATGCTCGATATCGAACTACCACACAGGCGGTTTCCGTCGTCAAGGTATGTCAGTAATATCTTGCCAGAGGTATATTATCGTTCAATGTGAGATCAGGCAAAATTGACCTATGGAAAAGGGACAGTAGAGCATGATAGTAAGGCCGTGTTACCATAGTAGGCCGCTGTCTATCACGAAGCAAGAAGATCGACAGTTACAGTTCCTCTTTTCCACGTCTTAAGAAATTTATCTCACTGATTATGAAAACTCTGCTGCTCGGGTTTAAAATTAAAGATACGGAAAGTCTCAACTGGGGAAAAGCATTGGCTTTGTATCTAAAGAAATCCTATGGATCTTCCACTTGGAGCCAGTTTTTTGACGCAAAACTTGCTGAAAACCTAGACCATTTACGCAGTAATGCTAATGGCAATTTAGCTCCAGAGGCCCTTGTGGAACAGCTTTTCCTGTACTATAGTTTTCTCGAACAGCTACATCTTCGGTTGGGTGGGAATTCAGGTCAGCTAAATCTAGATTTTACATGGTATGATGCAGCTTACACAACAGCAAGTGGGTCACAAAAGTACACACAAAGAACTGTGGCGTTTGAGAAATCTAGCATCCTGTATAACCTAGGTACAACCCTGACACAACTCGCGAAGGAAAAGGTCGATAGTGACGTTAAAAAGTCGATTGGATATCTTTCTCGTGCTTTTACTTGTTTTCAGTATTTGAGCGAAAACTTTCTAAATTCGCCCTCAGTTGACCTTCAAGCCGAGAATACAAAATTTCTAGCCGACTTGTGCCATGCCGAAGCTCAGGAGCTTTTTTTACTGCAAATTGTTAATGGGCCTGAGGTTGCGAAGCATGCCTCACTAATAGCTAAACTAGCGTTCATGGCTTCTTCACTATATCAGAAAATTTTAGACTTTTATGATACCGAAGCCGACATTGCCAAGACAGAGGTTCCTTATGGAGAGAGTAAATGGAAAAGCATTATCACCTGTAAGTTGCATTACTACAAAAGCGTTTCGGCTTTTAATTATGGCATGGCTCTTGAGCAGCAACAGAAGTTCGGAAACGCTATTGCCTTTCTGCAAATTGCTCAAGAATCAATCACGGCAGCTTTGTCGCATAAACTTCACGTCAAGGATGTCATTGACTTGGAGTCTCTTAAATCGTTAATTGCAGCCAAACATAAAGCATTGATCAAAGACAATGATTTCATTTATCATGAATCTATACCGTCCGACGTGTCCATGGAACTCATCAAGTCCATGGATGCCATTAAGCCGCAAACGTTGACCCAGCTGTTAAAAACATACATGGAGAAAGTAGCCGAACCCGCAGATATTATGTTCAAGGGCATAATTCCTGTCGAAGTTTACGAAAAGGAGAGCATATATTCAGAGCAAAAATCAGATTTACTGAGAAGGGAACTGGAAGTTGCCGATACTGCCGATTGGGAATATACATCATTTGTGGAGTTCACAACTTTGCCTAAGATCCTGATGGACCTGAACGACAGATACACAAGCTCAAGAGGTAGCCGTCGATTGGAAAATCCACAGCTCACCATGATGAAAGACCAAATCGACGCTTGGTCTAAGTTCGTTCTCCAGTCGAAGTACAATGACGTTGAACGTCAAATCAAGGTGGTCGTCGATCTCAGGAAACAGATACTAGAATCGTTGTCTTCTATACCAGCGGAACAGACGGAGAATGCGGTCAAACTCAAGTCGTCATTAGTAGCGGCCTCCAAGTCCGATGAGAAGTTATTTTCTTTTGTAGAATCTCATTTACAAGAGATACAATTGTTAAGGGCGCCCGAACTCTTGAATCAGCAATGGAAGGAGTTGACTGCGTCAGAGCACGAAGAACCAAACCTACTAGACATGGATGATGACAAAAATGAGGAAATTAGACTGAAAATAAAAAGCGTCTCAAATCAGCATGAGGACCTCAAAGTTTTGAAAGACGAGAGATCCAGAGTTGTACAGGATCTAAAAAAATCGGTTAACGAAGACGATATCACAAGAGTAATTTTATTGAATTCCGGGGCGACTGATACTGAACTCAAAGAGATTTTTGAAAGGGAGCTCGACAAGTTTAAACCACTGAGCACTCGGATAGAGGCGACTATCTTCAAGCAGCGCAGCCTGATCAACTCGATCAAAATCAGTTTAGATGCGATTTTCAAGCTGACAGGTGTGGACGAAGAGTCTAGTAACAGCGATTCAAACTTGGCGAAACGCAATAATTTTTATGACAAGCTCAACAAAGCCTTTACGAACTTTTCTGTTTTCGTAAATGATTTACCCAAGGGATTGCTGTTCTATGAATCGTTACTTAAAATGTCAAGCGATTTGCGATCATTTGGATCTGTACCACAAAGGGGTGTTGCTCCCGATCCCGCCCCCTCTTTGCCTGGTCAATTTAGTCGAGAGTTTCAGCAACTGAGTGTCTCTTCAGAAGCTCCCAATTTTGGGCAAAGTACCGCCCCTGGTGGGCCCCCGGTGCCTCCTCGAACTTACGGCGAACAACAAGGTTATAACCAATCTGGTCCTTCACTACCAGTGATTCCTCCGAAAGAACCACCATCCGGTATGACTGGGCTGATGGTAAGCCAGTCACATTCTTATCAGACGCCCGAACAAAATCCGACCTCCTTTTACAACAATCCTTCGGTGTTCGATGAAAGCTTGTATTCTCGCTATAGTGGCTAGAATAAATATGCATGGAAAAGCTATTGTTCGTCTATTTACCCGCGCTGCGGTCCGAGCTAGTCTTCCGCTTGTTACGAGAGTTCGACTTTATGATGGGAGAACGCTTAGGATCGAACCACACCTTTTCAGAGCCGAAATCAGATTCCGTTAGGCGAACAAAGCTAATCAATCCGTCATCCATGAGAGCCAGTATAAAGCTTCTGTAGCCTTTTTTCAAACGTCTTTGCTGTTCAACGTGAGGTGCAACTGGTTTGCTCTGGCGCTGGGCCTTTCCTTTCTCTGGCGGTGTCTTACCACTCAACGACTCTGGCACGAGGCTGTCTACCTTCGTATTTAGATTTTTAAACAGAAGCTTCATCTCAGAGTAAGTCGGGAATTTGTAATCTTTGGTATTTTTGTTCACAACTAGCACTTGGAAGTCTGGCCAACCCGGTGCCTTCTTTTTAAAGCTGCCCTGAGGTTTCCAAACATCAAACGTGAACGATCGAGAGGAGTCCCCCTCCTTTAAGGTTAATAATTTCTCGCCTTGTAGATCCTGAATGGTTTTGGGAGCTACATAATGGGGAATCAGCTTGCTGAGTGCGTCATATATTTGGCCAGACGAGGTGTACCGCATCAAATGGAACTGCAACGGGTGGTAGGTTGGTGTCCGGAAAATATCAAACTGCCTTCTTGCTAAGGAGCGAAAGGATTGGAAGAGACTTGGTATCGCCTTGGGGACTTCTCGATGGGTCATTTCTTGCCTTGGCTGAGAGTTCATTACAATAAACCCTAACCTCTTCAAATGTGCGTATACGGCAAATTCATCAGCTTCCTGAGGTGACTTGAAAAGCATATACAGATCTTCTATGCTCAGCGAAGGATCTAGATCATGGTCTTGGCGTTCACTGTGCTTGAAATAAGGCGTTATGGTACCTCTTTCCGCCAGGTAGACGAGCTCATGAAATGTCAGCCAACATACTCCTTTTCTGTCGACTTTACCAATAGTATGCATAAAGCTGCCCTTGGGCTTGGGGACGAACGCAGAATGAAGCTCGGGCACATAGAAAGCATGCGTCAGATTTTTTATCACAGTACCTCTTGCGGCGTCCGAGAGGGAATCGAACATAGCTTTCCTAGCCTTGTAAAGAAGTAGTTCCTGTGCATCAGTGCCATCAGGCCCATAGTCTTTCTCACCTCTTTTCGGTACCACGACCTGGCTTTTGGAGAGCTTGGCGATATGCGACCAATCTTGCGACAATTCATCACCTTCGGCATCCGAGTCGACGAGCGCAGATCGCACTGCCGAATCTTCAACTACCTCAATAACGCCAACACTCATACCAAATAAACGGTTTGCAATCGCTCAACGTCGCAGTACGCCAAGCTACCACTACTGCCAAACACTGGGCCGATGAGCTCTTGAATTTGTATGCACCAGTGATATTACAGTACTCTAAAAAAAAAATAATTAAAAAAGCTCCGATACGGGGAGTCGAACCCCGGTCTCCACGGTGAAAGCGTGATGTGATAGCCGTTACACTATATCGGATATCAGTATCGCTAATAATGAATCTGGAAACTATACCTCCGTCAAGAGGTCACGCACTCTCCCAAAAGAGAACCGTGTACCTTTTAGATCCAAAATATACGCTACATAAGTTGCCACGCACTTCACAGCTTGGTTGTATTACAGCCTTCACAGCTGCACTTCGTACCACATTTACACCTGCTCGACGAGCCCTTGCCGCAGCAAGAGCTCGGGGCCTGCGTGGACGGTAAATTCCCGGCAGCCGACCGTGGGCCAGATTCTTTGCCAGGATTGCAGGCAGTATTGTTTGACGAGCAAGGCATGTTTGCCGAGGATAGCTATAATTTCTCTAGAACTTCGCTAGAACGTCAATGCTTTAAAGGCAGTCGATCGTGGCATTCACAAGAGTAAGCAGCGTTCTATCCATCTCGATAAGCTCTATATATAACATTTTCTCACGGGACCCGTTATCAGTAATGCCCGCATAAAAATGCCCCATTAAGCATCTGTAGCCAGATCGTTGAAGAGGACAACGAGCATTGTGCACAAAAACATCACACTAGGCCGGCGGCTATTCCTTAACATGTAGCTATCAAACAACGACGGTCAGACAGCAGAGGCGAGAGTGTTTAGTGTTTAGCGTGCAGCTTGCTAGATAGAAGAATACAAACCAGGCTAAATAGATCCGTCGCCAAGTTACTATATCCTATATATCTAAGTATCTCGAGGTTAAGTATTGTTGAGGCGAGTTGGCGAACATGAGATACCTCACCGACGTACGCTTGAAAGGGTCCACCTTTTTGATTATACAGCAGACCCTCCAAGAAGCGGAATCGCAAGGCAGCAGTGACTGCCAGGGCATCATGTCAAACGCAATCAGGCGGGCTGTGGAAAATAAGGTTCGAAAAATGCGCTTAGAGCTCGACGAGAGAAGCGCCGGTTCCATCTCGGTGAGCTCTCGAAGCTTTTTGATGGAGGGGCAAGGGTCAATCGAGATCAGCAAGTCGCCGACGGAGGCGCAAGTGAGTATCGTCAGAAGTCTGGTGAAAGTGATCCTCCACCAGATCACTAGCTTTGGCAGCTATAATCTCTTGGAAGGTCAGGAAAACCTTCTGGTGTCACTCTGCGTTGAAAAACTATATATCGAGCCTCTTGCACGGGAACCCACCGTAGGGGGAGGGGACACATGCACCGCAAAGGAGATTGCCAACGTATTTGAAGCTTCCGCGAAAGGCGGAAGCACTCGGGAAACGGCGCCCGGAGCTTCAATACGCAATAGATTCACCACCAATTGTTACTGCTGCGTAGAGGACTATGCTCCAGTCGAGACGGCCACCAATATCACTGAGGAGTTCGACAAGATTGATATCCAAGAAGAGGGAAAGTCTGGCCAAGACGAAGAAACTTTGATTGCCGTACACCCGCTGCTTTCAGGTGTGCCATTGTCGAGCGAAACTTTGGCTCAAAGTCATATTAGTCTTCTACCATCGTCTCAGTACGAGGGTTTATGGGAATCGCTGCAGTTTGACGAGAACATCAAACAAAGACTGTTTTCTTATGCCACGATATCTCTAAAACTTTCTCAATTCTCTCAGCAGAAGGTTTCGCAAGCGCTGGTGTCCAGCAATAAGATCCTTTTGGTGCATGGCCCACCAGGCACCGGTAAAACGACGGTTTGCAAGGCTTTGTGCCAGAAGCTCGCCATTCGATACCAAAGAAAGACGCGGAAAGTCTTCCAGCAGAGTGGCTACAACGCTCTGATGATAGAGCTGTCTTGTTCCCGTATATTCTCCAGATGGTTTGGAGAATCTGCCAAAAATCTGGACAAGATCTTTCAGGATATCGAGAATCTTTTGAACGACGAATGCAATAACAAACGTTTTATCTGTTTGCTCATGGATGAGGTGGAAACACTCGCTTCCTCTAGATCATCGCTGATCAGCAAAAACGAGACTACAGACGGTATAAGGGTGGTCAACACTTTGTTGACTAGATTGGATAGCCTGAAGAAATACGACAACTTCTTGATAATGGCCACTTCAAACTTATTGACTTCACTAGATGAAGCATTTTTGGATCGTGCAGATGGTGTTTTTTATTTGGGGAATCCTTCGGAACATGGCACACGCATGATATTAGCGTCCACGATTAGTGAGCTTCTCCAAACAGGGGTCATTTCCTGCCAAAACAGCCGAAACTTGCTTTACACAGATGACATCCAGAATTCAATTGGATATATTGCTCAGCAATGTGTCGTATGAATGGTGAACAAAATACCACTCTTTCCGGGACTTTACCGAGCGCAGTTCCCTACACCCAAAAGAACAAACTCCATACTAACAATTACCGAAACCTACAGCTGGCTGATATTAGCGGCCGAACTCTGAGAAAATTGCCCTTAGTATGTCTCTCGGAGCACTTGTACTCACTGCCTGTGACCCTCCGCGAATTTATGTTGGCTTTAGCGATGACGGTTAAACAGAAAACTGCTTGTGCTCAAGCATTATCCCAGCGATGAACTTCTGCGAATCATTTCATCAATATGAAGCTAATCAAATTTCCCATCGTGCTTCATAGATATTCCAACGGTTACAACCCCGTGGGCTATCTCGCTCATCTCATTTGAAACTCATCTCGATGTGACAGAAAAAAAATTTGATAACGAAATGGCTTTTAAATTAAAGGTAGAATTTGAGATCTCAACTTGACTTTGGGACCGTAATCTGGCCGCAACTAGAGCATTCTTATACCAATCAGAGATGGGACTCCTGAGAAAATCTACCTTTATACTATGCGCTTTGGCTTCAGTGGCACTAGCTGCCGATCAAGAATTTAGCGGAGACGAGGGAGAAGTCAAAGACGGCCCAATGAGATCATTTCTACTGTCAATATCCATGATTGGTGTCTCTGAGATAGGGGATAAAACCTTTTTGATTGCCGCGTTGATGGCAATGCGTTACCCAAGAATGCTTGTATTCAGCGCCTCCGCCGGTGCGCTATTTTTAATGACAATTTTGTCCGGTATGGTGGGCAGGACTTTTACGTCGCTGGTTCCCCAGCGCTACACTCAATTCGTGGCAGGCATTCTCTTTTTGGTTTTTGGCTACAAGCTAACCCTTGAAGGGCTTGCAATGTCGAAGGACATGGGTGTGGAGGACGAACTTGCAGAAGTGGAAGAGGAGCTTGCCGTCAAGGATTTGAACAAAAACATGGGACACGTGGAAGGCGGTGGATCTGCTACTTCCGATGCGTCTCACTCTGTTTGGAAGGGCCTGAACTCTCTCTACGATAAGGTAATGGAGTTAGCCTCCAAAGTTTTCAATCCCATTTCACTTCAAATTTTTGGGATGGTTTTCCTAGGGGAGTTTGGAGACCGCTCTCAAATCAGCACTATCGCTATGGCCTCCGGTAGTGATTATTGGTTTGTAATACTGGGTGCAATAGTGGGCCACGCTATATGCACAGGTGTTGCTGTAGTAGGTGGCAAAATGCTGGCTTCAAAAATCAGCATGAGAACTGTTACATTGGGTGGCGCCTTCTCATTTTTCATTTTCGCTATCCTATATGTCGGCGAAGCCTTCGTGAACCCTTACTAATGGTTTGGAAGTATTTATTATTAACTTTGGTTTTTTGATGGCAACATTTTAAAGTAGACTCTTCTCTTTACGTATCTTCTACCGTGGAGCTTTCTGTCAAAAGCCTCTGTCGTACAAGCCTCTTGATCGCCTCTTGTGTGCGATTTTCTAGCTCGTCTAGGTCGGGTTGGAGCTTCTTTTGTAAATCACTAGTTGGCTTTATCATGGTCGCGACCTTTTCGCTATTCTCGTCTCTGCTATTCTCGTTTGGCTTATTAGGGGCTTTCTCTGAGCTGTCACGATGTGGAGTATCATGCAGAGAAACAAAAGGGCTACTTGAATTTGATTCAGCTCCCACAATTTCCGCTTCGGCTATTGCTCGATCTTGTGTCTTTCGGGTATCATCACTCAGAGTGCCTGTTCGTAGGCCCTTGCTGGCCAACAGCTCAAGTCTCTTCTTTCTCTCGTTGAGTTGATCTTGCAGTGAACTCATTCGAAAGTTCCCTTCTGATTATTGTATCACTCTTTCACCTTTCAGTGGGGCGTCTGTTTAACGGAAATCCTTAATTCTTAACTTATGACTCTCATTGTTCGTAAATTCTTAAAAGGATGAGATACAGATACATACACCAGAATGGTACCGTAAATACACAGCGTATTTATACTGGTCAGTATATTACATTCAGACTCTCTGTGAGTATGATTCTATGTGAATATGATTCTATATGCAATGCAAAAGAGCGTTTCAACGCAAAGTTTTGATGAAGTTATCCAAATTGTACTCTTCTTCGTACTGCTTGGTGTCCCATAGTTCAGTAAGTTCACCAACGGCTTCCTTAGCTTTTCCAGTTAAGCCGGTTTCATTGACGATTTCATCAAGCTTGCCGTCATTATTTTTAGGCTCATTCTCTTGCGAGGGAACATTGTCGGTGTCGAACAAGTCGAGTAGTTGATGAGTATCCATAGAAGCCAATCCTGAATTTTGTTGATTTATGACCGTTGATGCTATGTTCATTTTGAACTTTTGAAGACCCATAATCTTTTCCTCAAGAGTACCTCTGGTGATTATTCTGTACACATTGACGACCTTTTTCTGACCCAAACGATGGGCTCTATCCATTGCCTGAAGGTCATTCATAGGATTCCAGTCATGCTCTATGAAAATAACAGTGTCAGCTCCCGTGAGATTTAGCCCCAGACCACCAACTTTTGTAGTCAGTAAGAGACAGTCGATTGAAGGATCTTCGTTGAACTTGCGTACCACTGCCTGCCTGTCACGCGATTCAATACTACCGTCAAGTCGCATGTAAGTTACGGAAGGCATGCATTTCTTGAAGAGGTCATTTTCAACCATGTCTAGCATATCCTTCAACTGACAGAAAATCAGGGCGCGGTGCTGGCTAATGACACTCTCTGTAGAAGGCAAAGAAAACTTTGTCTTCTTCTCTGTGTCCTGAGTACCAATGCCACACTCTAAAAGTAAATTTTTCAGGGCACCTAGTTTTGGTGCGTGGGATATGTCGTCCAAACTGAAGCCAGTTTGCTTCAAATATTCTTGGACCTGGAACCATTGTGGATGGTTTCTGGAAAGGACTAGTGACGGATGGTTACAGAGCTTCCTCATATACTGCAAAGCTTGGAAAATGTGCTGTTTGTTATCCACCTCGGATACATGCTCGATATCCTGCTCTACATTTGTTTTCTGTTTCTTTGCGAAATCTTTGTATAGCTGTTTCTGCAAATCACTCAATTCACAGTAATAGTCTTGGATGATCTTTGGAGGAAGGTCAGATAAGACGTCTTCTTTGAGTCTCCGCAACATGAATGGAAGGACCTGCTTATGCAATGCATCTAGGGCCAAAGCCCCAGCTTCTTGTTCTTTTGATGACGTCTTACTGTTCCTGGACGCGGCTATTGGTTTTGCAAACCTCTCGTGAAACATTTTTTCTGTCCCCAGAAAGCCTGGCATTAAAAAGTCAAACAAGGACCACAGCTCAACAACATTATTTTGGATAGGTGTTCCTGTCAAGATCAACCTATGGTTAGCTCTTACCATCTTGACTGCTTTAGCTAACTTGGATTGTGCATTTTTGATGATATGGCCCTCGTCCAGGACACAGTAATTGAAGTCATATTTGCCTACGATATCGACATCGTTCCTAGCCACATCATATGATGTGACAACAATGTCAGCTTCAGCCAGCTTGTTTCTGAGCGGATATCTTGTTGAAGGTCCACCAGCAAAAACTAATACTTTCAAGAAAGGGGCATACTGCATAAACTCTTGTTCCCAATGACCCGTCAGGGATGGAGGGCAGACAATTAAGGAAGGCAGCGGTCTCATTTCTCTAGCTTGCGTTTTCTCATACTCCTCGTTTCTCAAATACTGATCACTGGCAATAATGCAAATTGTTTGTAGCGTTTTACCCAAACCCATATCATCACAAAGAATGCCATGTAGGTGATACTGGTTTAAGAAGGCCAACCAGTTGACACCGTCCTGCTGGTACTTTCTTAAAGTGGCCTTTATAGCAACTGGACACTGGAACGGTTTTGCTTTAGAGGGATCCATCATTTGCTGTATAAAGTCCCGCTCCTTTTCACGACCTTCCATCAACTCCTTGGGCAAGCCCTCGGGGTCTGGGATACCGGCTTCCAGAGGAACTAGCTTGATGATGGATGCGAAAGTAGAAGTGGCGAGTGTTCTGATATCCTGGTTAGAGTCACTCATACGACCTAAGAGAGGAACAATGAGAAAGACAACATAAGGCAGAATATTGCTGCCCATACACAGCGCTAGATGGTACACCAGCTCTGTTGCACCTTGTCTATCTGTCACCGATGACGGGTTACTCGTCAAAGGCAAAACCTGTTGTATGATAAATGGAATGACTTGAATGGGCAGGGTGCTGGCCAGATCGGCCAGAGTTCTCGCAGCTGAGTACCTGAACACAGCAAGGTCTGATTTCAAAAATCCCACGAGGCTGGGTAAACGAGGTAAAATTTCATGACTCTGAACGTCACTGCTCATATAAACAACCAAGGCCCTAAGAACACCCAATGCGTCGACAATTTCCTGGCCCATTTTAGGATCGGATAGAGTGATTTTTTGTTCATGCGCAGATCCTTCTAAAGGATCGAAAATAATACCTTTGACCTGTGGCACAGCTTCTAAAACACTTGATCCGAGGCGAATAAAAAGTTCACTCAATGTATACATTGCACCCTTACGCTTAACCTGTGCTTCCTGTGCCAATTTTTTGGCCTCTACGTCAGTTTGGGAAGCCAATGCACTTTGCTCTCTGATTAGCGTCAATATACGATCTGCATATTGAGAGTTGGGAGCAAATTCTGGGACTTCAGAAGTATCAACGCACAGAAATCCACATAGGTTTTTGATAATTTTGTTAGCCACACTGGCCTTCGATTGTTTTACCAATTCCACTACCAAATTTAAGATAGCGTCACCAGATCTCCTTTGTAAAATCTCGTAATGTTCCTCTTTTATACTATCCATCAAAGACCTGATAAATGGGTTCAACTTCACAGGAAGACCACCAAAAAGCAAAGTTGCAGAAGCATAGTTCGCAAGTACATTGCAGGCCCGTGACCTTTGAGCCTCTTTAGCTGTCTCAATTGCTTGAAGAACACGATACTTAGCATCGTCGATAGGCTTTTTGGCGAGAATTTTATGCGAGTTGCTTAAATGCCGGAATAGTTTATCAGCTGTCTCACCGTATGTTTTCTCTGCTGTTTCAATCCCGAAAGCTTCAGGGCCTGCTTCTGACTCTCCTTGAACAATAATAGCCAGCTGGGGTAGCCTTCGCGGGGAAATACCACCAGCATCAGCGTATGTTGATAGCAAGCTTTGACACTGAGTCCTTAAGGCCTTGAGGCTCGGTACTAATTCGCGAAAAACAGGTAAAGTAGATGAGTCTGTCAGATTTTCAATGAATATTGGGCCAAATCCTTCGGCTATGAAGTTTTTCAATCTTTCACCATCGTCGTCAGTCGGCTGATTTGATAAGTTTGAGCACAGCTCAGATATAATAATTGCTACGAGCATGCGAGGTGTCGCATAAGGTAGCTTCAAACAGTCCAGGAGAACATTTGCGAAAAATGACTTGAGTGTGGATTCTTGAAACATTGAAAGAGTGATACCGAGGGCTTTTGCACCCAGCACTCTTGTGTTGAAGATAACTTCAGTGCCCAAAAGCGTAATGTCACCAGCGATCATCGGAGCATCGATATTCACGCGCTCACTGTTAGCTGGAGGGGGGATATCGGACTTGAGATCTGCATGCGTACTTCTTTTTCTCTCGGAAATAAGCTGGTAATGTTGAGAGGGTTTCAGAATATATTGCAATTCCATGTTATAGCTCTTTCCGTGCTCCCCAATAGGAGTTATCAGTAAGTGCAAAATTGGCGCCAAGTGCTTGCCGAATAAGTGATCCAGACTTTTATCCGGGTTCTTATTGCGGTACTCATTCAACATAGAGATGTAGACGTCAAAAGAAGACTCTAGAACTTGGGGATTTTGCTCTAATAGTATGTTTTGGAAGATTAGCCTAAAGATCTTACCGTTGATCCAGTGCTTAACAAAATCATCTTGAATCGAGAGAAAAGCCTTGAGAAGATTCAAAACAGCCTTCCTTACATTTGTAATGGAATGTCTTAAGAAGGGGTACAGCTTAGGAACAAGGCTTTTGAAAGACCACTCTTGAGGATGTGCTAACGCTTTCGACTTCAAAACGTCCAAAACTTTTTGTTGCTCACAGAGCTTTGCTAAGAGATCCATCACGGACCCGACGCTTGACGATAGATCGTCCTCAAGGTGAGTCAGCAAAGACCATATAGTGCTCAACACCAAGTCGATCATGTTTGCCTCCAGTTGAACAAACTCCATAGCGATTGGGGCCAGAATCGCAGCGGCCACACTCTGGACGTCATCGTTATGCTCTTTCAAGCCATAAAGGACAATATTAACCACATTGTCTAATAAATTGTTCTGGAACAGAAAGTTAGTTTTGATCCCAACGAAATACCTAACGCCTAATAAGCCACCGTGAGTAGCCTCCCAAATTTTGTTTGGAAGCCCCACTGTCTTTGGGTCTTGCAACACCAGCTGTTCAAGCGCTCCAAATACTTGTATACTTAAATCGTCGTCCAGGTGAACCAACAATGCGGCCAAGGTCTGCGCCACTGATTCTCGAACTGGAGCAACCACCGTGTCGTATACGAAATCCCCAAATCTGTCCAAAGCAAAAACCGTCAAGAGCCGCGTTGCCAAGTCCTCCAAAGCTCTGCGATTTCTGCGATCGTTTTCCACTTTAGACTTTCCCTTGATCCTGGCCACACTTTTGGCGTGTTTTTTAATTATCTCCCGCAGACCGAGCGCAGCTGCATGACGAATTTCCCAGGCATCATTGATGAGGCCGTCCAACAATAGTTCGTAAATGCCTTGGAACTGCCACACGAGCCCTGCAACACTATCGTGCTTCTCCAAAATTGGATTTACCATGCTTTCTACCATTATCCTTTTAGAGTCCGACTGCTCTGTGATCTCAAGCTTAGAATTGCTTAGCATGGTGGGTGACGGGGTGGGACTTTGACTAGAGTCCTCCTGTGCAACGAGATTGCGTGAGATGGAACTCTGCGATATATCTACTGGCTTCTTTATGGTAGTCTTAGCCTGAATTTTGCGTTTACGCTTGGCCATGGCCATCATTCTCGCGCTCTTCTTGGAAGCGTCCGACGTCTCCTTCGCTGGTGCTGCCAAGTCTACGTTCGGCGGCGCGTTCAAGGCCCCCTCGCTTTTTACAGATGAGCCTTGAACTTTGGGCACTTTGTTGGCATACGGGTCCGAAACTGCCAACATTGCGGCGGAATCCGCTGCAGCGCCATAGTCATCGATGCTGGCGGCCAAGAGCACTCTTCCAGACTTCAATACGCCATGCAGACTCCACTCCGCCAAGGAAAAAAGATTGCTGTCGTCTTGAAGCGTTTTCCACTCCTTGGTATCGTCCACCTCTTCCAATTTGAGCCGTAGTTCATGTTCTAACTTTACTTTTGCGGATTCCAGTTCTTCGGCCCTGACAGGACCAGAGCTCTCGACTTTCAGAGCGGCTTCGCCGCCGCTATGGCCGTGGTCCTCATCCTCGACGTCGTCGGCGTTCGGGTCCCAGGCAGGCGAGTTGGATACAATCCCGCCCACGGCACGCGCCGTTGTTGTACGTGTCTCCCACTTCTTCGACATCAGGAACGGATACACACGAGACAGCAGCGACAGCGTGTCTTCGGGATGCTGTTTGGCTAAATCGCCAAGCTGATCGGCGGCCATGTTCCGCACCACCTGAGTGGATCCCGTTTCCAGGAGGACCACTTGCCGGTCCAAACGCGATACCGGTGCTGACATGTCCCCAGTGTGTGCGTGTTGTGTACGCTATGCAATGCTATGCTGAGTTGTGCTTTGTTATGCTTTGTGCGATGGTGGAGAGATCACTCAACGCGACACTTCGGCGGCTGTGCGCTAAAAATAATCACCTATGCAAAAGCGCTGACGTAACCAGGAAATCCTCGAATTACGTAATGACCGCAAAAACGAAAAACTCCCCTGACCCCAAGGGATTGTTCGATGCTTGTGCCGCCAAATAAACCCGCCGGAAAAAAAAGATTATGATAAAACCGGCACCTGACCGCAGCCGTAATCACTGGATACGAACGAGTAAATGCCGACCCAGATCATTCTATCACCGTCCAACCTTCCACACGCCCTCTTCGTATTCTCACGTCTCTTATATAGAACGCAACGCTGTCATTGCTCAACTGGGAAAAAAACAAAGTCCAGAGCGCGCCCCTTCTGTAGAAGCGAGGTCGGGTAACAGAAAAAATTTTCCGGGCACGAGTATTTCCTCGTACATAGAGACAGACGCGTATAGAGCGACACGCGCGTCTGTCTCAAAAGCGCAAAGGGATCGGCCCAGGAGCACGTGCTCCGATGCGGCTAGACGGCTGATGGTATCATGCGTTTAAAGAATCTGGACCCCGTACGAGAGGCACGTGAGAGAAGCGTGAGATACACGTGGTATATCTTTTTCACGGTCACGTGCACATGCATCAATCACACACACACACACACACTCTCTTATATCCACAATTCCATTGGGATAATTCCATGTTGGATTCAAAAAGTTGCGGGAAACTTAAGAAACTCTGGTTCACCCACACCGTGTAGCGCCTCGTCAAGACACTAACGACTTCAATTCCAGCGCTAGCTCCATATTCTGCCAAAAGATCCTTAAAGAAATATGTCCGTGGACTCCAACCCCTATGCGCCAAGTCCGCTGGACTTGGTGTCAAACGTGAACAACTTCCAATTGATCGAATCGACGTTGAGAGAGGGCGAGCAGTTTGCGAATGCGTTTTTCAGCACCGAAAAGAAGATCGAGATTGCCAGGGCGCTAGACGACTTTGGTGTGGACTACATTGAGCTGACCTCGCCTGTCGCCTCCGAGCAAAGCCGCAGTGACTGCGAGGCTATCTGCAAATTGGGCTTGAAAGCCAAGATTTTGACGCACATTCGTTGCCACATGGACGACGCCAAAGTCGCCGTGGAGACAGGAGTCGACGGGGTGGACGTTGTGATTGGAACCTCCCAGTTTCTCAGACAGTTCTCGCACGGCAAGGACATGAACTACATCTCGAAGAGTGCCATCGAGGTGATTGAGTTCGTCAAGTCCAAGGGTCTCGAAATCCGTTTTTCTTCTGAGGATTCTTTTAGATCCGATATTGTGGATCTACTCAACATTTACAAGACCGTGAGCGCCATTGGTGTGAACAGAGTTGGTATCGCCGACACCGTGGGATGCGCCAACCCTAGACAAGTGTACGATCTTGTGAGAACGTTGAAAAGCGTTGTTTCCTGCGACATCGAGTGCCATTTCCACGATGACACCGGCTGCGCGATCGGTAACGCATATTCCGCTTTGGAAGGTGGTGCCAAACTAATCGACGTGTCCGTGCTCGGTATCGGTGAGAGAAACGGGATCACTCCCCTGGGTGGGCTAATGGCCAGAATGATCGTGGCCGCACCAGAATACGTCAAGTCCAAGTACAAACTGCACAAGCTAAGAGACATTGAAAACTTGGTCGCAGAGGCAGTTGAGGTCAACGTCCCATTCAACAACCCAATTACCGGCTTTTGTGCTTTCACCCACAAAGCCGGTATCCACGCCAAGGCCATCCTGGCCAACCCCTCCACTTATGAAATCCTGGATCCTCACGATTTCGGTATGAAGAGGTACATTCATTTTGCCAACAGACTCACGGGATGGAACGCTATCAAATCTAGAGTTGAGCAACTGAATCTACAACTGACGGACGACCAAGTCAAGGACGTTACTTTGAAGATCAAAAAAATTGGTGATGTCAGACAACTAAGTATTGATGACGTTGACAGCATAATTAAGGAGTTCCACTCCGATATTCAATAAGTTAAACTATTTAGAATTACTTTAACACCCCCATAGCGATTGTGACAGCATTTGAGCTCGTTCAGCTTCCCGAACAGCCTTGACGTCGGCTAGGGCCATAACACATATGGGTAGTTGGGTCAGTTGTTCGGAGTACCATCACCATATGACGAGTACAAGTACTCTTACACCATTGTTAGGTCAAGACTGTTAGAACCCATACATCTATGAAAAATCAGAAAGTTATCATATTTTGAGAAAAAAAATAAAAAGTACTTCGCAAATAGCCGCTCAAGTACCCACGCAAATATCATGGCAACCGACCACCTGGAATTTTTCAACCCGGACTACCTATAAAAAAGGACAGTCAACAAGTTTTCTTCCATCCGTATCAGTGTGAAGACATCCAACAAGTTAGATTCGCAATGCCAAGTACGTACCATTACCATGTTAATTAGATGTCATATCTGAAGTGTGCCACTCAAGATAAGACGTCGGAAGATGGAGTCCTTTTTTTCTAGAGAAAAAATGGGAACTTCACTTCTCCAGAGGTTCGGGTCCTCATGAATACTTTATTTGATTCAAGACTTTCTCTCAAACATCGACTGCAATTCAAGCCAGAGCGTGGATTCTGATTGTACTGAAAACCCGACACTTCAGACAATTATAGAATCTCACATTGAAGTTTCATCTTAAGTTACTGAGCCCTTGGGCGATGTTATTTAACAAGCTTCGCTGGCTTGAGTGGAGGATTCTCCGCATCATGTCAGTTCGAATGGGGGTGACATAGCTTCGCCAGCGGTTTGTTAGGAATTTCCTCACCGCGTGTCTCCCTTGAGATCATGTCTTTGGAAACTTGATAATGTATTCATGAGTAGACCCGTAGCTTATTCCGTAAAATTTACGTCCCACTAACATCTGTTATTAGGAGCCCCAAGAACTTACTCCAAGACCTACTCTACCCCCAAGAGACCTTACGAGTCCGCTCGTTTGGACGCCGAGTTGAAGTTGGCTGGTGAATACGGTTTGAAGAACAAGAAGGAAATTTACAGAATTTCCTTCCAGTTGTCCAAGATCCGTCGTGCTGCCAGAGACTTGTTGACCAGGGATGAAAAGGACCCAAGAAGATTGTTCGAAGGTAACGCCATGATCAGAAGATTGGTGAGAATCGGTGTCTTGTCTGAAGACAAGAAGAAGTTGGATTACGTCTTGGCCTTGAAAGTCGAAGATTTCTTGGAGAGAAGATTGCAAACCCAAGTCTACAAGTTGGGTTTGGCCAAGTCTGTTCACCACGCTAGAGTCTTGATTACCCAAAGACACATCGCCGTCGGTAAGCAGTTGGTTAACGTTCCATCTTTCATGGTCAGATTGGAATCTGAGAAGCACATTGACTTCGCCAGAACTTCTCCATTCGGTGGTGCCAGACCAGGCAGAGTTGCCAGAAAGAACGCTGCCAGAAAGGCGGAAGCTTCCGGTGACGCCGAAGAAGACGCCGAGTAAATTTGAAAGAATATCATTCACATGAGTTTAATACTTTCAATTTTCACGGTAATGGTTTTCTTGTAACTAAACTAACTTACAGAAGCCTGCTTTGGTTGCGTGCCTTCAAGGATGGTTTTGCCTCGTTTCAAATGCATGTTTAAGCTACGTAAAATCCAAAGTCTCGCGCTGTTGCGGATGCACCTGTAAATATAAAGTTATTTGGTTTTTCATAATGTTGATGTCGTGTTAGTCTGCGATTGACACGCTAAGAATGTGTATAATAGGACGGTAAAATAAAAGTCAGTTTTGAAGTAAGCACCAGCCAGTTTGGGAAGTGACTCTTTCAAAGTCTTGTATATAATATCTCTATTCTGCTTACAGAATTGCATGTTCCCAGGATGTAGCTCAGCTCAGTTCCAGCTACAACTAGCAGTCACAACACAGTACATAAACCCACACACCAACAAAACTTAAAATGAAAACTGAAAAAAAAAACCTGCGTGAAACTTTCTGAAAAATTGCGTCCACCTCTTTTCGCGTGGGTTGCGGGCTCGAGCGTAAGCGGCCAGCCTAGCGTAGGGAGAGCCTAGCGGGACTCTCATTGGAAACCTGGCCTGCGAGGCGCCATCGCTGAGAGAGGCTAGGCCCACCTCGCTCGGGCGCTCTCCCTAGCCCTGCCTAGCGACTTCCACCCCTGTGGAAGGCTTCCCTCCGCGATGCTCCCGTGCCTCGCCGAGTTACCGACGAAGCATTGGCTGTTGGACTGGGATGTCCCAATTCTTGGAAATTGAATAAAAGTTTTGAGACTGACAGTGCCACAGTAGTACTAGGATCAGTGTCAACACCAAAGGTCAATAAGCAAAAATGGGTAAATCGTATGTGATTTAACGGTAATGGGAGGATTGAAATTATACCACGGAGGAAGTGCTAGCTCTTGAGGATACATGAACGAATGTCCACTGGTCTATTGAATTATGTGGCGGCTCGCATTTTCGGGACTGGTGACTCTGCACTAGGGTGACGATACAATGGGATAATGTAAAACGTTATGGGTTTGATATATGCCATGAGTTTGAATGGGAAGTTTTCGAGGAATACAGTGCATGATGGATTTAGTGACCGATGTCGCGCATGATCAATCCCAAAACACCTTAGAAACATTCGACACGTTACATTACTGCACCTTCCGTCCGCTATGGTTGATTTTTGCGGAGGACGACTTTACTAACATACTTTGACAGTCACGGTTACAGATCTCGTACTCGTTACATGTTCCAACGTGACTTCAGGAAGAACGGTGCTCCAGCATTGTCCACCTACCTGAAGATCTACAAAGTTGGTGACATTGTTGACATCAAGGCTAACGGTGCCATCCAAAAGGGTATGCCTCACAAGTTCTACCAAGGTAAGACCGGTGTGATCTACAACGTTACCAAGTCCGCTGTTGGTGTTATCATCAACAAGGTTGTCGGTAACAGATACCTTGAAAAGAGAGTCAACTTGAGAGTTGAACACATCAAGCACTCCAAGTGTAGACAAGAATTTTTGGACAGAGTCAAGTCCAACGCCGCCAAGCGTCACGAGGCTAAGGCCCAAGGTGTTGCTGTCCAATTGAAGAGACAACCAGCTCAACCAAGAGCTTCCCGTGTTGTTTCCACCGAAGGTAACATTCCAAAGACTTTGGCCCCAGTTCCATACGAAACTTTCATCTAATCTGTTTTGTTGGTTCTTTGGCATGCGAGTTTTATTTCCCATTGAGATTGGCTTTTCACTAGTCTCAACACTATATACTGTGTCTCATGTAAAACAATTGTACACGTATCCGTAACTAAAAGGTGATGTAATAAAGTAAGTGGGAGCTACAGAGTGACAAGCTACTGGCCGGATATGACATGTAACAGTGGTGTGACTGGGTGATCGTTTGGTGACTTCTTGTAGTATGCACTTTTCAATTCACTGAAAAAAGATTTCTAATGGTCAAAGTTGTGGAATGACGGCCAGGAACACTAGAGATACATTTTTTGAATACCGAACCAGGGACGGACCTTAAACAAATTAATGATCCAAATTCATCAGTTAAACAATCCAATTCTAATATTTGATGAGATCTTCAGGAGATTGGATCATATACCCAGTTCAAGTAACATTAAAATGTCACAGCTCTCTGGTAAGGATGAGAAGCAAAGTAGGAAGTATAAGAGAGAGTATGACTTGTTAGGATGGCTGAGGTACCAGCTTCAATATATCAATAGTTAGCGCCTGCGTCAATAGTGACCGTTAGGTCAATTCTCCGGCGTCAGTAAAAATTTTGGTTGGGAATATCGATGAGCTATTTGCACCATCCGCTATCTGTGGTCAACCATCGGTACGAGCTGCTTCGAATATCAATTTTATTCTACCTTGAATGGCCAATACTGAAGCCTGACGTGGATTGATCGGTTGTGGAGTTTTGCGAACCTTGAATTGTTAACATTTTTGGGCAACTATCGCACTTCAAAGCTCATTAGATAAAATATCAAAATATGGGCAAAAGGACATTGCAAGATATCCAAAAGGAGGCTGAAGAGTCAACCCTATACCTAGGGAGTGACGAGGACTCCTCAAATCTCAAAAATGTTTCGTATCCTCCAAGAAGTGGTAAAATATCTATTAGAGACCCTTCTGATGTTGCGCCTTGGGTACACTTCGTGGCTGGCGGTGCAGGTGGGATGGCAGGCGCTATCGTTACATGCCCGTTTGATGTGGTTAAAACGAGACTTCAAAGTGATGTTTTTCAAACCGCTTACAAGTCCAAAACTGTTAGCGGCTCTGGCCATTCCAACTTCGTGAGCAGCGGAATCAGGCATTTTAGTGAAACCTTTGCCATTTTATCCAATGTCCATAAGCAGGAGGGGTTCAGAAGTCTCTTCAAGGGTTTAGGTCCGAACTTGGTCGGCGTTATCCCTGCTAGAAGCATTAATTTCTTCACATACGGCACCAGTAAACAGGTTTACTCTAGAGCCTTCAACAACGGAGAAGAAGCCCCGTGGATCCACCTTATTTCTGCTGCAACTGCGGGATGGGCGACTTCTACGGCGACGAATCCTATTTGGCTCGTCAAGACAAGACTACAGCTTGACAAGGCCGGGAAAACTAGACAGTATAAGAGCTCTTGGGATTGCCTGAGGCATATTATACAAAATGAAGGATTCTTTGGTCTGTATAAAGGTCTTAGTGCATCCTATCTGGGATCCATAGAGGGAATCATTCAGTGGCTACTCTATGAACAAATGAGACATGTCATCAAAATGCGATCTATAGAGAAGTTCGGCCATATTAGCGAGGGCGAGAAGAAAACTTCGGACAAGATCAAAGAGTGGTGTCAAAGGTCTGGGAGTGCTGGCCTTGCGAAATTCATGGCCAGTATAGTAACGTATCCTCACGAAGTTGTCAGAACAAGACTAAGGCAAGCACCTTTGGAAAATGGAAAATTGAAATACACGGGTTTGATACAATCTTTCCGCATCATTATAAAAGAGGAAGGCCTGGTCTCCATGTATGGGGGTTTGACTCCTCACCTCTTAAGGACAGTGCCCAACAGCATAATAATGTTCGGGACTTGGGAGCTAGTTTTGAAACTTCTTTCATGAAAGGTAAGTCTTCTCACGAAATAGTCCACCATCAACAACTGTAAGTAATCAGCATTATCCTGTATATATCCCTGCATATAGAATCAACACTCTCAAGTTATTCCTTGATGTACTGCCTTCAGAACTCCATCGACATCAAAAGGTTTCTTTGGGACACTTTTAGCTCTAGAAGGTTTGTACTCATCCACTTGCCCTAGAGAGGGATCATCAGATAATTCCTGAGCGGTGTGCAAACCTTGAAACGCATAATTGCTATAATCGTCGTCTAAAAACTTAAGAGCCCACTTAGTTACTGCTTCATCGCTCTTGAGTAGCGCTCGGAGGTCCGCTGATGAGGTTGTATTCATATCAACCCCAACGGTTTCTTTTGCATCACTGATCCAAGCATCAGCCTCGGGGTTATTTTTCTTTCGCAACAACGTAGTTAAGAGACCTTCATGGGCCGTGGTTGGGAAATTTGCCAATGGGTACACCACAGTAGAATCTAATAGTTCTTCAAAATGGTGAATAGTAGTAGTAAGTGATTGTAGCTGAGTCAAAATTACGCTTACTTGTGCTTGCAGTGAGTACCACTGAGGAAGCTCGGCCCTTGACATCTCATCTTTGAGTTTGGCCAAAGAATGCGTGAGCTGGGCAAAGCGCATTCTGACAGCATCTAACGCCTGTGCCGGAACATGTTGGAAATTGAATTCGTCTTGAGGATTAATAACACCGGTAGCAGTATTATTTGGCACTCTTTGCGCCATTGACGAATTGTTTTAAGCTGGTTTCAGAGATTTGTAGCTTAAACCTTAATATATACCGCGTTTGATATAAGATATAGAAGTAATCACCAAATAGAGCACGAAATAACTACTTCAAACTTTGAAGACGCGCTCATCCGGCGCGTTTGGCCAATTTCATGTATAGACTCGTTTAGTTTATGTATCAATATAAAGATTTGGGAACTGCGGTGCAAAGTCCTCATTACTGGAGTGGACTCGTAACCAAAGCTTTAATCGATGTCTTCCAATATTTCGTGGCAGCAAATCCCTTTAGAAGGAAAAGTGCCTAGAGGTTTTGTGGAGGGAATATTTAATTCGTAAGGCTTTAAATGCGGTTGCATCGTCGTGGATTTGCAATTATTGAAATAAAAATGCGTGCTTCTTCCATAAGCTTATTTCAAGCTGGCAAACAACTTTTCGACGTCAGCAACGGACTGTTGCAGAACTTTGTCCTGGAATTTAGGGTTGGCAAGTTCAGCAGTGACCTTTTTGATGACGGTTTCAGTGAGTTGTTGTTGTTGTAATTGACGGACAGAGGCTTCGTATCTAACCCAAGAGTCCAAAACAGACTTGGCTTCGGTGGCCAAATCAACTTTTTGCTTCAACTCAAAAGCCTTGGCCTCCAACTCAACAGTTTCCTTTGAAACGTCAAACAAAACCTTGGTGGTTTCTGAGACATTCTCCAATTCAGACACGGACTCAATTCTCTGCTTAACGGCGTCCACGTGCTTGACTCTGGAGGCATTCAAGACGTCGGAGACTTGCTTAACTCTGGAGTCAGCATAGTCCTTGTAAGCAGGGGCCAAGAACTTGACAGCAATGGCAACGAACCCAGTGAAAGTGGCCAACAAGATAGATTCGTCGTTGATCACGTATAGTTCGTTAGAGATGGCATAGATGGCAGCAGCAGTGGAAGTTGCCAAAATACCAGTTTTGGACAAAGCACTGTTGCCTGGCAAAGCACTCAAGATAGAAGAGGCCTTTTCCTTGGGGTCTTGGGGAGCTGGGGTTGACATGTAACGGGCACCGATTCTGCAAAAGACTGTTAGTAAAATTGGCTTGGCGAGAAAGCACAGAAGGAAAGAGACACAAAACATGGGCGGTGGGTGTCTGGCAGCTTCGATTTTGGTCACATTCAATCGGCCCACGGAGTTGGTGATATCGTGACAGCGTTGTTTGAACACTCCTAGGAAGGGACTCAAATGCCAAACCTTCAGTTTCCTCACAGCTGGACGATGACTAAAATCTCGCAGCGACAATTAACACCCACGATTGCGCAATTTCACTTCGTGCGATTAGGTTCTCGGTGGTTCCACATACGGGGCTTGACGGGCACCCAAAGTCATCAAAGGACGGGCAGACGCCTTCATGGTCAAAGCGCGTAAACTCATTGTTGCTCAGATAAGATCAATAACCGTGCCTTGAAACGTCTGATTGCCTTAATCTGTGGAAGTCCTCGAGTTCAGTTCTAAGAGGGTGTTTTCCATATAATATTGGAAAATTTTAGACTGCCATTCCCCATCGTCTAATATGATATGCCCTGGCACCAGGGAAATGTTATTGGTTTATGATCATGTGATCCTATATACGTATATAGCGATAAAGTATATCATCACGTTAGACGAATTTACAAATTAGGAAAGTCTTGCCGATGACGTTAATAGTGATAGTAAATTTCGGCGGCTAATTAGCCGCCTACATCTACCAGGTTTTTCGACGGACTCCATAGTTGAACGGAGTTGTCGTTAGCCACACTACACAGCATCCATGGCTCGTTTGGATCCCAGCTAATGTCGTTAACTCCAAGCATGTGTCCTCCGTGGGTGAATACCAAGTTTTGGTCTCTTTCGGCCGACTGAGAACAGTCCCATAGCCTTACCAGCCCATCATCCTGTCCTGCAGTAGCCACAATGGTAGGGTTATGGGGACTCCATTGTAGGGTAGAAACGGAGCCGTCGCCATGAGTCCAGGACTTTAGAGGCTGTGTGGAATCACGTACGTCCCAGAGATTGATCGTCCCTGCGGAGTCCGCAGAACACAGCATGAGGTCATTGTAGAGATTAAACTGACAAGCATTGATACCACCGGTATGAAACTTCTTGTTGTCACCGGGGTGTAGCTGAGAAGGTCGGTCAGTCCTGATGTCCAGAACTTGCAGGACGTTTCCCTCACCACAAGTCGCTAGGATAGAGTCGTGATTGACCATCCAAGAGCAATCATTGGTGCCTTCTGCATCAACTTGAGCTTGGAAATGTGTATCAGTCAATATCGGAGAGGATTTGTTATATTTCTCGAGGTTCCAAACGCATAGCTGACCGTGGCCATGAGTAGTCGCCAGTAACCCTTGGCGTTGCCAATTCCAAGCAAGGTTTGTTGCTTCGTTAAGGGACAAATCCACGGACGTTGCTAACTGGCAATGTATCTGATAATCGGAATCGCTGGTAAAGGCGCCAGATATCAGTTTTTGACGTGTGGATCCGTGTTTAGTTTTGTCGAAGACATACACCGATCCACTGGACGACGCAGCTCCTATGATATCTGGATTCGACGGACAATAACGCGCACGGTTGCAATCACCGGCGGGAAATTTGATACGCAGATTCTCTGCAAGGTTTTTTGGTGGAAGTTTTAACGAGTTGTCAATTTTGAATTCCATTTCGTCCATGTCAAAGTTATTCAACGAGCTCCAGCTGAGATGCCTCATTGAAGACAGCTTAGCAACATAGAGGGATTCATCCTCGGGTATCTGGGAAGATGTGAAGGATGATAGAAGAATTCGATGACTATCGCCAATAGTATCCAAGTCTGGGAAGATTTGACAAGTCAAAGACGGCCATTTCGTGCTGTTGGTGTTAAGGTATTCATAAAGGAGTTTAGAGTTTTTCTTCCAACGGGTATATCGCTGTTGTCTGAGCTCGTCGATTGAGCCACCAGTTCCAGATTCTGAATGTCCAGTCGATGTATCGGCCATCGTCGCCCACTTGTTCGTGATTTCAGCTGATATCTTAAATTCAAGTTGGGTTTAAATTTCCAAAAATGAACATGAGCCGGCAGCCCACGGAAAAGGCTATCCCATCCCCGGTAGCCCACAACACTGCGTTGCTCTAATTGTGGTTGAATGATGACTATAAATTTCATAAACAGTGTTTTAAAACTAGATATCGTTATTGAAGTTCGTCTATATCGTGGTTAATGTTCTTCTCAACTTACAACCAGGCCTTGAACTGGTTGATTAGGCTGTTGGTAGAAGCATCGTGCGCCTTGATATCTTCTGGACCATCCAATTCTTTGCCAATAACCTTGGCCAAGACTTTACCAAGTTCGACACCCCATTGGTCAAAGGAATTGATGTTCCAGATGGCACCCTCAGTAAAAGTCAAGTGCTCGTAGTAAGCAATCAAAGCACCCAAAGCGGCAGGGGTAATCTTCTGGGCCAAAATAGAGGTGGTTGGTCTGTTACCCGAGAACACCTTGTGGGGAACAAGACCGCCAGTCGCACCTTCGGCTTGGACCTGAGCATCGTCCTTACCGACCATCAAAGCCTCAGCCTGAGCGAAGAAGTTGGAGGCCAACATCTTTTGGTGCAAGTTGTTCTCCAAGGGGTTGTGGGACTGGGCAGCCAGGATGAAATCGGCAGGGATAACCTTGGTGCCTTGGTGGACAAGTTGAAAGAAAGAGTGCTGGGCATTGGTGGCTGGTTCACCAAACAAAATGGAACCAGTAGAGTAGTTGGAGAAAACGTTGCCGCGAGTCACGCTCTTACCGTTAGATTCCATGGATAACTGCTGTAGGTAGGCTGGGAATCTGTGCAAGTATTGGTCGAAAGGGGCGACCAAATGAGTTTGGGCATCATAAAAGTTGTTGTACCACACTGATAACAAACCACCAAGTAATGGAATGTTGTCCTCCAGAGGAGTCTCGGTAAAGTGCTGGTCGACGGCCTCGGCACCTTTCAAGAAAGCCTCAAAGTTGTCAAAACCAATGTACAAAGCGACAGATAGACCAATGGCAGACCACACAGAGTAACGACCACCGACCCAGCTTTCAAAACCAAACATGTTTTTCGTGTCGATGCCAAACTTAGCAACCTCTGGGGCATTGGTGGACAAAGCAGCGAAATGCTTCGCAATATTGGAAGTGTCGCCACCAGTCTTAGACAAAAACCAGTTCTTGGCGGAGGTAGCGTTGGTGATCGTCTCCGCAGTGGTGAAAGTCTTGGAGGCGATCAAGAACAGTGTGGTCTCTGGATCGCACAGCTTCAGAGTTTCGGCGATGTGAGTTCCGTCAATATTGGAGACAAAGTGGGCCTTCAAGTCTCCGGCATAATGCTTGAGAGCTTCGGTGACCATGACAGGTCCCAGATCGGAACCACCAATACCAATGTTAACCACATCAGTGATCTTTTTACCAGTATAACCCTTCCACTCACCAGAGCGTACCTGTTCCGTGAACTCTTTCATGTGTTGCAACACAGAGTCCACCTCTGGGGCCACATTGGTACCGTCCACATATAGTGGCTTGTTGGCTCTGTTTCTCAAGGCAACATGGAAAACCGCACGGTCTTCCGTGAAATTGATGTGTTCACCTTTGAACATAGCATCCCTCAATTCAGTCACCTTGGCTTGTTTGGCCAATTCTAGCAAAGCGGCCAACACCTCGTCGTCCACCAAGTTTTTGGAGAAATCAAACAAAATTTCGGAACCATCATAGTTCTTGAAAGTCTTGGACCACTTGGAGAAACGCTTGCTGTCCTTGGCAAATTCTTCCTTGACATTTAGAGTCTTACCCCTATTGTCGTAAATTTGTTGTAATTTGGCCCAGGCTGGTAGCTCAGAAGCCAATTTAAAGTCTGAAAAAGTGTTGGTAGAGGCCATTTGCAGATATCTTTACCTTCTGTAAGTTGTTCTTAGTGACAGTTCGAAATAAACCCTCTCAGTATGGTCTTTTATTCAGTCCTAAAACTTGAGTGAAGTTTCGATACCCTATCCACTAGACTCTGGAGTTGAATTTTTATTTTAAACCTGTGATATTGTCATACAATCCCCATGATCCACCGTCAACCAAACAATATCCTGATGATTTCAGCTTCCGGTGAGCCATCCGTCACCTGTCGCCTGCGTCGACCACGCGTTCTTTGGACGAAGTCAGAGAATGGTGCCCACAGCTCTGAGCCCGTGGAAAAAAAATTAGACAAACTGAGGTGTGCTGCTATGAGACGATTCAACGTGATTTGCGGTAAGCCAAAGGATCACTTGGCCGTGACCAGGGCAACCCTACCCGCAATCCGCAATGCGCAATTCGCAATTCCTTTGAAATGTAGCCGATATGCGACTCTCGCAAAACTCCATGTAGGTGCGACGGCGAGAACGAGCTTAGCACAATTGGGACCTGAATAAATGTAACGTGGATGGCGATTGCAGGAAGGAAAACCTAGCGGCCCAGCATAACAGATCTGCCTTCATGACATGTCGTGTTGGTACTCCAGACTAAGCGTACCTTTCTACTCGGCCCACCTCAATGTACTCAACAACCAACAGATGACTGGTAGATGTATCTCTTAATACGGAACTCTGGGTGGATCACTTCTCGGCCGATGGTGGTGTTACAAATACTGGTCTCCAGCTGTCTTCATGGTGTGATAATAAGCAGTGCAGTCTTACTGTAATTAACTGTACAGATGAACCCTCTCACTTTGTCCTCACTTTTGATAGTTAATCCCGTAGTCCGCGCAAACAACGGGTCACTTCGTCTACGAGCTGCATTTCGCGCTCGCTCCCACCCTCAAAGATCTCTGAATGTTCATTTTGCTCTTCTCGTCTTTTGTTCATAGTCTGAAGTAGGCTGATGTGTGCTTCGCGCAGCCGCTGCAAACCATCTTCGAATCCTTGCGGGAACTGCTCATACTTATCTTGCTCGAGGGCCATCCGCCGCACATCGTCCAGAACGTCAATTTGAGACCATAGTCTATTCTGATAATCTACATGGGGCTTAGCTTCGATCTGACCTGTTTGGCGCGGTAGTGTTCGTATTGGCGGCATAATGGGTTCCTCTGTAGCCGAAGTTCGTTGAGTTTTCTTTTCGCCCAAAGAGGTCGCTGAAAAATGTGATTCAGACGTCGAATTAGGCATATCTAGGCTTCCTTGTACAATAACCAAGTCGTGGAGTTGAATATTCACTGTGCTTCTTGTAATGTATATAAGAAATATATTAATTAATGAGCTAGCTCATCGCGTAAGGCAAAGCTATCACACCAACTTGAATGAGACCGTGAAAGAGGATCCATGAAACAACCATGGGAGAGACTACTTTGGCTAAAACAGGACTACCCGGATAACTACACAGACCCCACCTTTCTGAGAGAAGTTTCAGCGCTTCGAAAGGTGCAATCTGGGCCTCGCAGCACTTCTTCGTATTGGAAGGTGGTGAAGGACTTTTTATTGTTTTACCACCGTATTCTGAACATCGGTCTTATGTACGTTGTTTTCGCGCTGCTGTACCTTTCTGACCTAGATCCTATCTTTTTAACTGCCGTGCTGACCTTATCGGCTTTTATCGTCGCTTTAGCCCGTCACCAGATCACTCTGTCATTCAAATCGCCATTAATCATAATGTTTTGCATACTGGTGTTATCACCAGTATTGAAGTCCTTGTCACAAACCACTTCATCAGACTCAATTTGGACCATCTCATGTTGGCTCACTGCTCTGTACGCAGTAGCCATTTTTCTGCACTTGGAATCAATAGTATCTACCAACCTTTTGGTTTCAAACGTAGCTGTTCTTTCCTCCAGACTCACCTCCACAACCCACGTCTTTTGCTTTTTGCTTATTAGCATTGAACTTAACGTTTTACTTCCCCAGATTGAACGTTTGTTACTTGCTCGAGAACTCAACACTTGTTATGCCATAGCGTTTTTAGCGAACAACGCTGTCGTCTATTATTTTATCAACACCTTTCTAGGATGGATGTACACGACCATCATAGCTTTCAGTGCACTGACGTTGATATTTGGACTTCCTCGATACTTTTTGTATTGGCAGCAACATTATGCCAAGAGCAACGCTTTATTATCAAAGTGGGACGCTATGGAGCCGATCCTTGAATAGTCAATACTAATTTAATGCAACTCTAATATTTACGCTTCAGTTCTGGTTTCAACTTATTATATATACAGTTATGACTCCCGAAAGGCGCCTCCTGCGAGAACTAAATTGGTCCTTGTGAACTTTACCTTGTATACCGGTGTTTTCTTTGTGTAAAAGGACGCTACTAGATCGCTAGTAGGTACGATAGTTCTTCTCCGCCCGTATTCCTTGATATCGAGATTAACAGAAGTCGTTACATCACCAGAATAGCTGGTGAACGGCTGTTCCGGTTCAGCACCAGGCTCCGCAGTTAGTTTCTTCACGTCCCATACTCTGACGGAATGATCGGCACCACCAGACAATAGAGCATTGCCTTCTTTGCTATAAGAGAGAGAATAGACTGTATTCTTACCGTGTCCTCGCATCTGTTTGAGCCTTTTGCCTGTACCAATATCCCACACATTTATTATACCATCATCACTCCCGGTAGATAGCCATCGTCCGTCGGGGGAGACTGCCGTTGCGGTGACTGGTGCTGTGTGGCCAAGGAATAGACGAACAGAATCACCTGTGCTCATGTCCCACATACGACACGTTTTATCACTTGAGCCTGTGAACAGATATGTCCCATTTGGATGGAATGTGACAGTATCGACATCGTTTAAATGGCCTGCAAAAATTCTTAGCGGATAAATATGATCGCAAGACCACAGCCTGGCGGTTTGGTCGTGAGAGGCCGTAGCAAAATAGTGACCCAAAGGTGAAAATGCAACATCCCATATTGGATGGTTGTGACCTTTGTAGCTTACGAGTGATGTATAGGTGTCCATTGACCATAGTCTTACAGACTTATCCTCCGACGCCGACAGAAGGTAGCGATTGTCAGGGCTAAAAGAAGTCGAGTAGACAGTCCCGCTATGACCAACAAGAGTGGTGCTGTTCAAGCGCTCGTTTTGTTTAGAAGGTAGTTTATTCTGCAATGGTGTTCCATCCAGCGACCAAACTTTAATAATACTGTCTTGAAACCCAGCTGAGGCTAGTCTCACATCGTCACTGAATTCCAAAGAGGTCATCTCTGAATTTGTATTGTGGAATGTGTACATGCAAACGCTAGGCGCCGACGTTTGTAGATTTTCTAGCCGGATTGCGTCTCGAGACTCACGCACTTTTTGAATCTCTAATTTCAAATCGAGTGCAGTTTTCGAAGGAAGGGGAAGAGCCTCTTTGGCGGGTGACTCCATGTAAGGATCTCGTTTACCATCTTCTTTCTTTTCGGAATCTGCAACCGGGGAAGTACCTTCCGCTTTTTCATCATCATTGCCGGACTTCTCATCAGTTTCAATGCCATTCATATCCCTGTATTCCTCAATGAGCCCCTTCTCTTTTGTGTCTTCGTCTCCTACCTTGTCTTGTGTATCTTTTTTTTGAAGTTCAGTCTCCACTTCTTTGGCGAACTCTTCATCGACAGGAAACTTCCCCAGTTTCACGGGAACTGAGTTATGCGCATCAACGTCAACCGCACCTGCCGAAACATCTTTGATCCCATCAGTCAAAGTTTCCTGAGAGGTAATGGTTTCGACGATATTGGGGTCCAAGTTCTGATTGATGATACTGATCAGCAAAGACCCTCCCACACTCTCATTTTCGTTCAGAAAATACAAAAGGAGGTTCAGTGTTGTACGAGAGATTGTCACACGATACTTATTTGATTGAAATCCTTGTGCTAATTCGTTTTCCTTGATGTGATCTACCGAGTTGACGGAAAACAGCTTGTTGATCTCCGAAGCGTGGAACGCCTTATAGTCCACAGAAAACCTATCAAAAAAGCGCCGAGCTTGAATAGCGTCCTTGGCCACTAGTGTGAGAAACGCGTATATGAAGATCGGGTAGATTATACGGGTCAATTCTGGCTTATACATATCCAAAGAGGTGTCTACCCAATTCTTCAACATCGAGTATGCCAAGAAATAGTGTCTGGGTGAGCTGTTTGCCTGTTGTGATATGAGATTACCGTCAGAATCGCGCTTCACGTTCACGGGATTCGAAACTGGCCGTGCACCATCCACACCAGCCACTTGTCCCGGTTCGGGGAAAGAACCAGTGGCAGTGCTTCCTGGGGACTGCTTGTTCTGTGGCGTTAAAGTGCGGGAGCTTTCCGCCCGCAGCATTTGCTCCGTGCGGTGATATCCTTTCTTGTTCAGATATTCCAACACAATGCGGTTCAAGTCTGCTGCGGAGAAGGAACCAGGTCTCGACGTCGCCGTGCTCGGTGCTGTCTTGGAACCGCCATTAGCCGGCTGGGGTCGTACGGAACTGGCAGGTTGGCTCTTCTGCGGTTGTTTCTGACCCTTTTGAGACATGTCGAAGTTCGATTTGTCCGCGCTCTTGATGCTGGAAGGGCGCGCTTCTAGGATGTATTGTGCGAATTCAGACAATTATAATAACAATTGGCTAATGAGTACCTCGTTGATAGTGACTATCTTGGTAGACCAGACCTCATGTTTACGCCAAACTCCACAATATTGGTCAGGTCTAGGATTGCACGTTCCACTAAGGCGGTGGTGTAATTCTCAGCTATAGTGAGTTTTTTTTTCATAACCGCGTATCGACTTTATGCTTAGGATTTTAAAAAAGATGCCATAGACGGTGCTGTCATGACCATCATTATGCTCGGAAAGCTCAGAAGAAACGCAAAAATAATGCCATAGCATCCCCTGGAAGGTTGAGAAAGATTTGAATCCTCTCCTTTGACTAGCTGGTCATTAGAAGGTTGGAACTCTTTGAAATTTCGAAATTGCTTTAATGAATATATTGAACAATAACAAAACTCTGGCTTAAGAAAAACAACTTCCAATGGCCCTCACACTTAGGACTCCTAGGAGCAAGGAACAAACGTCAGAGTTTGTTGGATATAGCTAAGGTTGCTGTATTACTTTGTGAATGTCGCGAAAAGCGTAAAGCAGCTGGGGCGCTGCTCGCGAATGTCATTAACGGTTTAGGTGAAATAGCCGCGGAACGGCATAGGGCAAATTACAGTGGGATGATGGCCAAATGTAGTGGAGGAACCATTGGATCTTTATATGCACAAGATGGGGATGTGTGGTGTACGTTTATGGTAGTAATACTTAAAGGAGAGCTCTTCAGGTCTTAAAGTTTGTTCACGAGACACAAACAATATAAATGGTTCGCGCCAGGGTATGGTCCCAAGAGTGACCCTAATGTTTTTTGGAATTGCACCTGTCGGGTCGCCAGCTCAGTCGTATTCTTGACAAGAAAGCTGAATGGAAACCTCTAGACGATTTGAAGGGTTATATCGACAGTGTTGCGGTTACGGGCGTGTATTATACGGCGGTACTGCACCACCCCAGCTCAAGACGTCTACAAAGCCGACTGATGCTCTTCAGCCTTTTCAAGTCGAGAATCATCCTAAGATATTCCTATAAAAAAAGCGCATGTTCCGACTTGCTAATAGTATATCGACCTCGCTTTCGTTTGTGGATCTTCAAGTAGTTTGGGGTAGACTCTCCACTATCCTCACTCTGTTGTACTGCCGTACAGCTCCTGGCTCTCCACCATCCTCACAAGTCGTCATCGGCAGTACAGCTCGCCCTACCGACGCCACTTAAACGTCGACCTGAAAAAGTATGTTCCCCGGTATTCTACGCAACAGCCACTGTTACAGCTTCCTAGGGTGGCCACCTTGTTGAGCTCTCAGCTGTTTGCACTACGGAGAGTCCAAATGCCTCCTCATACCCGTTTTTCGTCCATCCCAAAAGCCTTTGGCTGTCGCTGGTGAGATCCATGTGCTCTTCGTTTGGTCTACTTAGGTTAGGCGGCTACGATTGTCGCACCATTGGGCTTCCAAACTCCTGCTTTGAAAACAGGAAGCCAGCATCCCACCTATATGTCGACTTCTTGTTGCCATTGGTTGAGAAAATCAGTGTTTTTTTTTTATTAGGGACATCGACACTTTCCAAGCTTCACCGGGTCACCAGGTGTTCAAACACATAGTAGTAATCCCAGGAACAGGAGCAAGACCTACAGAAGTAGTGTTTCTGGTATACTTTATCCACGATATCAACAATTGAGCAGACATCGCTTATATGGTGAGAGTTTTCGACTCAATTGCATGCTCTTCACAAAAAAGTGCGGATCTCTGTAGTGTAAAGCGACGAGAAGAGCGCTAAGGTGCAGGCAGAGACAAATTAGTACCAAGTGATGCCCAGCACCTCATCGAGGGCCAGAAGTAGGTCAAACTCCACCGATGTTGATGGGAACACGCACCAACCTTCGTCACCGCGTTCCAGTGCGGGATCGGAGAGTAGCGACAGTGGGAAGTTCTCTAGTGAAAATAGAACGAGCCTGCTCCCGCAGTTGTTTAGCCGTGCTGAGCTGGACATCAACGTGGCAATGAACTACGTCTTGCAACGATTTTTCGATATGAACGATGTGAGCTTAGCGCCTTCATTACGGGCAGTGGATTTGATTGTAGATCAAACATATTCGGAGGCTTTAACGCTGCGTCAACTCAACGACACCTTCTCAAACAAGCAATATCGGTATTTCAACACAACGTCACGAAACAAGAAGATATCCAATTGCCCCATATTTTGTGTAGCAGTCTACGCTGCCAATTACTGGGGCGGTCACGCAGGGGGAAGTTCCATACATTTTGACGGCTTTCAGAGTGTGCCACTGTTGAGGGACACTAAGAGTTTCGAAGCGCTGGCAGCAAGACAGGCCGCGGACATTTCACCACCCGCTGACGACGAAACCCCTATTGACTCTTTGTCCTCGCCTTCCTCATTGGACTGGTCCAAGAGTAAGGTTATACGCTCCATGGAACCGCCGAATGAGCTAAATTATGCAGTGTTCCCTTGGCTCTCCAAATTGCAAGAAGATCTGGAAACCTTGGATCGTACAAACTACAACCTCCACTCACTTTGTGAACTCTTCGAATACTTAGCCCGCGTACTGATTCAGGATCTAGCATATTTGAGCTGCACGAATGAACTACCAAGCCTTCTCTCAAATGTGCTTGAATACGTACCACGATTGTACACATCTATGGAATTCAAACAATTCAAAAGCGAAATGCAGCGGCTGATAAACGCCCAGCACAAGAACATGGATTGGAACGATCAAATACTCTCCAAGATTGAAGGCGGTTACATTGACATCTGCAGGCGATTTGCTCTTCACAACCAATCTCTTCACGATGAGCTTCGGACTTTGCGTTTAGAATTAGCATCGATAAAGAAGTCGATGTCTGACGTACTTCAAACCCAACGTCTCTATTTATCTGGAGGCATTCCAAATGGACCCATGGCCAACGCCAATAATGTCCAGAATGGCCCTTCCACCGACAAAAATGGGCTTCCTGCCAATATTACGAATAGTTTGGGAACGACCGAAGAGCACGGCCAAATATCTCCTTCTCTGACATCTCGCAGTATGTTTCATTCTTTGAGTGGTTCCGCGGTGCCAGAAAGTCAAGTACGGAAGCTTCCGTTACCGACGCAAGCAGGACTCACACCCCCGCCTGCAGATTCCCCTTTCAAGCGTTTCAAATTCGACGATTTGAGACCTAGCCACGGCGCTCAACCTCAACAACAACAGGGGCCACAGCAATATACAATGCTGCAACAGAGTCAGCCCCAACAATCTACACCAGGGAACATAAATGCTACATTGGATTCTATGCTGTCTCGTGGAGGGCTTAGTCCAAGGCTAGGCGTTCCGTCCTCGACTGGTGTGCCCATGTCGTCACAACTTTCTCCGCAATTTGGCTTCCCTAGCGTACCAGTACAAATGATTCCGAAAACAATCCCCAGTGGCACGTCTTCTTACGGCGATTCAGCACAGGAAGTGTTCAAATATAAGCTTTCGAGGGAAAACAAAACGATATGGGATTTATTCAACGAATGGTTTGTTGGACTGAATGGGGAGCCCTCCATCAAATCTTTGATCGATACCTATGGATGGCGCCGGTGGAAAGTTGGCGAAGATTCGCACTTTTTCCCGACCCGACGAATCATTATCGATTATATCGAGCGTGAAGTTGATCGCGGCCTGAGAACAGACAGGTTTGTAAATATGGACCGCGAATCCATGCGCAAAGTGGTAACGGATGACCTTGAAAAGTTCAGAGCTACCAACGGACTGACGCTGAATAGTATATCGATGTACTTCAGGAACTTGACGCGGAAAAACACGGAAATTTGCATATATGAGAATTTTCAAGACTGGTCAGTTCTTCTGATCGACGAGGACGAAAAGAATAAATACTGCAAACGACAGCACAACAGCAGTTCATGAGGCATGATAAATAATAATTACGGAAGTAATACTTGTTAATAGGAATGCAGACGCAGCCAGAGCTGTAGGGTTTTGACTTTAAGATACTATATCTGCAAATGTAAAGCAAGTGCTCCCTCGAAGTGAATACTGTTGGGAATAATGTGAATAAACTGATGGTGATGTGCGTCTAATCGCATAATCAGCGTCAGTAAATATGTGACACAGTGGTACAGAATGATAGTACACAACCGAGGCCATACAAATAGAGCTACAAGCTAAGACAAACCGAAGAGAACAACTATTGTCCAATGGGATTGGCCATTGATAAGTTATCGGTAGTGTACGGCATTGAAGCCGTAATCCTTGGGCAATAGAATGATCTAGAATTGGTGATTAATAAATATGTTGACCAGAGTCACCGAGTGAGAATTGTATAAATACCAGGCTTTTGTTCAGGTAACTGAACCAACTCTAATGCCTAAAATAATCACGGAGAGATAAATAGAATTCCCTAGATCCAAGTTACTCATCTTACAATGACTATGTCCGACTTACAAGACAAATTTAGTAAGCTTTCTACTGATGAATCAGATTCGCCTCATTAAATACATTTGGAGCGGTACTTTATGGGGCTTCTCGTAGTCTGTTTAGCGCCTATTGTATGTTCATGGCCTTTGGGACCTTTGGGTCCTATCATATATTACGAGTAAACATGGTTTATTATGGCTAACAAGTTGGGTCGGTATATAGCTATCGAGATGTTGAAGCTCGATATCTTCAAAGATACAAGCGAAGGATAAAGCACAGCCAAAACTAAAGGATGGTTCATGCGAAGTTCATTGTACCAGCAAACTTGACGTTGCGGCAAACCCTTATGTTGTTATTTTCAATAGTAGAGAGTCAATTTAACAACTGTCAAGAAACCATTCAACTGGCTGACAATGATTCATCTTTGCTTAGAAAGCTCCCCAAAGCGCTAGGGCAAGTGCTAACTTACCTTGAAGAGGGATTAACACAGGTTGAAAATAGCTATAAGTTGAAAGGAATCTTTGAGTTGAGAAATTCCGAAGTTGTTGACATTGTAAATGATCTCAGGATTTTGGATCATGATATTAGGATCAGCAGAGGCACAGTGGAGAAAAGACTCGCATCCGAAACTGTGGAGAGGCCCTTATCTCCCAGTAGCTCTTCTAGCCATTTTTCACTCTCGAGTTTGCTGAAAAAGACCAAGATATCCGCCCGCAAAGAGGATCAGAGACGCAATAAGGAAGTGCGCGATGCAAAGCAAGCTTTGGAGATCGGAGAACTCAAGAAGAAAAAACAAGAGGAACAAGAGCGTGTTATCAAGGAGAGGAAAGAACAAGAAAAGGCTTTAGAAGAAGAGAAGGCCAGAATTTTGGAGCTGGAAGTAAAGCGCCAAGTGGAACAGGAAATGGCCAATAGAGCTCGTCGAGAGACGAGGGAAGCTAGGTCTGTAGCCCAAAAGGAAAGAAAGCCCCAGGCCGGTGCTTTCGAAAAGCCCAAGGGCGCCTTTGAGCGTACTTCTTTGGAAGCGAGAAGGTCACCCCGGAGGTCAGCAGACCAATTGCGTCGTCGAAGTTTGGACGGAGGCGCAAGGGCCAAGACAACCAGTGGCTCCGGACATAGTCGCCAGGCTTCGGATACAAATCTAGCGGCCACTGGAAGCGTAAGCCGAGCGGCCAACTTGGCATGGTCACAAATGACACCCTCAACAGATAAAGCCAAAAAGCCTCTAACTCTTTCCGATTCAGGGCTTTCTCTCGTCTCCAAGCCCAAATATGAATATGTTAAGCCAACGATTAAGAGACCTACCATAAAGACCTCCGGACTTTCAGCTGCTCCAAGGAAGCAGCTTCCCGAGGAGAAATCTGAGAAATCAAGGACTCGTGAACGAATAACTAGAGTACGCTCACCAGTGTCTCCGACACAAACTCCCTCAATTTCCTTTTCTCCTGGTTTGAAATCGCCCAAAGCAACGACGCCGGACGTCGAATTATCGCCTCAAGAGAAGAAAATCAACCACGTAATGCAGTCGTTAGAAGGCGTTGACGAAGAGGCTTGTCAACACATCCTAAATGACATACTTGTTCTGGGCGAGAAGATATATTGGGACGATATTGTTGGCTTAAACAAAGCAAAAAACTCACTCAAGGAGACGGTGGTTTATCCCTTCCTGAGACCTGATCTTTTCAAGGGTCTAAGGGAGCCAGTCTCGGGTATGCTACTATTTGGTCCTCCTGGCACCGGGAAGAGTATGATTGCTAAAGCGGTAGCTACGGAGTCACAATCCACCTTTTTCAGCATAAGCGCCTCTTCTCTGCTTTCCAAATATTTGGGAGAATCCGAAAAGCTTGTAAGAGCGTTATTTTACCTGGCCAAGAGGCTTTCGCCGTCCATCATTTTCATAGACGAGATCGACTCTTTGCTAACATCGCGGTCTGATAACGAAAACGAATCCTCCAGAAGGATCAAAACCGAAGTGCTGATACAGTGGTCTTCACTCTCAAGTGCGACTGGAAGGGAGAGGGAAGAGGATGGACAGTCAGATGGGAGAGTTCTTGTACTAGCCGCTACGAATTTACCCTGGGCTATCGACGAAGCTGCACGGCGCCGGTTCACCAGACGGCTTCATATCCCATTACCGGAGTACGAAACTAGAATTGCGCATCTCCAGCGGTTACTGGCGCACCAGAAAAACGCATTATCAAAGCAGGATTTCGAAACCATAGGGAAGTTGACAGAAGGCTATTCCGGATCAGATATGACTGCTCTGGCCAAGGACGCTGCGATGGAGCCCATTCGAGAGCTCGGTGACAAACTCATTGACGTTGATTTTGGAAAAATCAGAGGCATCAACCTCCTTGATTTCCAGAACGCCCTATTGACCATCAAAAAAAGTGTATCTCCTAGCTCCCTATCACAATTTGATGAATGGGCAGCTAATTTTGGTAGCTACGGTGCTTGAAGGTTTAATAACGTACTACGCGGCATGGTAGTAGATTTTTGACGTTTTGTAAATATAATAATTAGAAGGCGGTTATAAGAACAAGGAATTAAGATTATCTATTTCCTTAACAGAACACATCTGACATGCACACCGAACTTAACAAGGCTCCCAATGAAACTATCTTATCAACTGCGTGTTTGATTGAAAGGTGTAGATGTCTTCGGCACCTAGACCGAAAAAGCTATGATGGCGGCTAATTGGCCATAATAAAAGTTGAGCGGAGACAAGCTGAAATTACCATGCTCGAATCAATAAGAAGTGAGATTGACGAGAATGATTGATTGCACAGAGATGCCAAAATCTCAGCTGCTTTGTGTAGGGTGGATCGCATTCATTTCTGTACACCGAGAGTCCAGATTGCTACAAATGTCTACAAAAACAGGCCCGGTCAATGCAAATTCATGTAAAGCGGACCGTCAAAGGTCCCCAGAACCAATTTAACGTCCTCTGCTATGGAAGGCAGGCCCTGACCTCAAACATTTCCATTGGAATGATATAAAGACAACTATAAAAACAAACCTACGAGAGCCCTAATGATACTTGTCTTCAAGAGGATAGGGATCTCACCGTCCCATGCAAATAAACTGTTTTAGTCTCGAAGTGGGTAGGCTCTCGGCCAGTTATGAAACGCGTTCGCTTCGTGGAACACCAACCGTCAGGAGTGCATACCTTATAGATCACGTGCAAGATACGTCATGGAGTTTCGTTGATGGTTTTGTTCGTCTCGGCACTGAGGTCGGAATCGTCAGAATGAAGTTCGGAGCTGTGAGGAAGCGTTTTACTTCTGAGTAACTCCCACTTCCTTAGATGGTATATTTGATATACACCAACACAGGCCATTATAATAACGGTAATTTTGACTGGCTTGGAAATCTTTTGCAACAACATCACAGGGGGTTTCGATATATTGGAATTGCAGCTCTCACAGCGTTATCAGTCTACATTTTAACACCAAGCTTATTCGGAAGCAGAGACAAAGACATGTTTTCCAGCTCCAAACGAAGTGACAAATATACTACGGGCCTTATCAACAACAGAAATGATTGTTTCGCAAACTCCTCAGTGCAAGCACTTTCGGCCCTGCCCAAGCTGACCGCTTATATGAACGACTTTTTGAAGCAGGCGAATTTTCTAAGAACACTGTTAGATCGCGCCAATGACAAGCAGGGAGTGAATTCTGGCGAAGATTCTCATGACACGGGCCCAGTTTCGCACGCAGATGAGCGTAGCAACTCGCTGGAGGATTCATTGGCGCCCGGCGCTGCGAGAACAAGGCCGAACCTGTTGCGCCCACAGTCTAACCTTCAAAGATTCTCTTCGACAGCAACCATCACGACCATGTCAACCTTAGAGGATGAACGTAACAGCCACAACCATGGGGTTGCTACAGGGGAGACATCTGCTGCCCACAGTGTATACAGCAGTTCTTTGAGCAAAGATCTAGAATCCACGGCTTCGAGTGAAGAAATTCCTGAGTTACCAATGCATGAAGGACTTGCTCAAATTATGTACCAGCTGCAGCAACTTGTTACTTCCAACAAATACGTCTCTGTTTGGCCATTCCTTCGCGTTTTGGAGACCATATTTGACGCAAAGATATCGTCGGGACAAAACGACGCGCACGAGTTGACTCAAGTAATCTTAGAAACTCTTGAGAAGGAGAATCTGAAACTCAAAAAGTTTGTCAAATCAAATTCCTTGAATGTCATTATACCTGACTTTCCAGTTAAAGGTTCACTTGCTGACCACTTGGTATGTCTCAGCTGCCAAGGGTCGTCCAAAGTCAACAAGCATCCTTTCACGATGTACTCGCTACCAGTTCCACAAGAAGTCTCCGCTGATCTTTCTGCCATGATAGCAGATAATCAAACGGAAACCATTGACGGTTACGCTTGCCTTTCGTGCCGCATTAAAGCAATACTGGCCAATGAGGAAACGGCCGGGGACCAAAGTTCTTCCAATGATGAAAAGTTGATCCTAGAGACCTTATCAAGGATACTTCCCGATATATTCATAAATGATGACCTGTCCGAGGACCTTCTGACCTACATCAATAACTACAAAAAAGGAGACTGTGATGCTAGCAGTATCAGATCCCGGATTGTTAAGAAGACTGTTGTTACGGAATCCCCCGACCTTCTTATTTTGCATTTATCAAGATCCGTCTTCAACGGTACTTCATACAGTAGAAATGCATGCTATGTGAATTTCGACGAAGAGCTTCACACTCAAGAACAGACTATTGAAAACAACAGATGCGTTGGAATTAAACCGGTCAAATATGTTTTGAGAGCAATGGTCAAACATCAGGGTACTCATTCTCAGGGCCATTACGAGAGCTATCGGAGGAAACCTGACTTGATCAAAGATGTTTTGTCTAATCACGTTGTAAACAGATCTCCAACCATCGACTTTGGCCTGGATTCAAATCGTGATGCTGCAGATGCGTGGACTCAAAGTGCAAACATATCGAGTTCGGATGTATCTTCGAACTCTTCTCAGGAATCTGTTTCTTCGCCCTCCGTACCTTTCAGATCCGTGTTCCCCGAGTCAACTCCGGAAATGCCACTCTCTACCCCTGTAGTGGACGATGACGACTACATTGTCGGGCGCCCGGACTCAGGCTCTTCCAGTGCTCCAAGTAGAAAGCCTTCCAGGTTGAAAAAGCTAACGGGATTTTTGTCCAGACGCTCTTCCGTGGCCTCCCCTCCCGAGCCGCAGAACCGCGATTCAATTACAGAATTCGACCCTGCCCGTGTCACAGGACGTAGCCGAGTCAACAGTGTTACATCGGTAGACTCCTCTAACTGGGGCTTTACTTCAGGGGCAGATACCAGCGCCAGTGAAAATGATGAACCAGCTTCTGCAGTTGAAAGAAAACTTAAAAAGATCAAGAGTGTCATTAACTACCCATTCTGGAAGATATCTGACGCAGCGGTTCGCGAGGCCAAGAAAGACGAAGTCCTGGGAGACACCAAGTATGTTTACATGCTATACTATGAGCGTGTTGACGAGAGTTAGAGGAAAAACATGAAAAGGAATCTTTTGAAATGGTGCTTTGAAGTACATCGAATTTGGTAGAGAATATTCAAAAGCAGAAGACACATTCACAGACAGGTGCTACATGTCACATCAAGACTAAAAAAACACCGTGGCCGACTTGATATTTTGCCAGCTGGAATCGCTATGTATGAAGACATTGTGCTTTTCGTAATAAGTGTGTATTATTTTTAGTTTCGAACTTCACGGGAAACAAGAAAATGGTGGCCGAAAGACTGAAACTCTAAGTGGGTCAGCAGAGGCCCTATTGGATTAACCATGCTTAAGGTATGTAGCAAGTGCATAGAATACGGGGCGTAACGAGGTTTTTTAGTATTTTGTTGAATTTGCCTGGAAAATCGACCACATTAATTAAAGCGGTTGAACTGACCAAACTCAAGCTTCTGCGAAACACATAGCACTGTGCCGTTGCGTTTGCGTCAACATTTACTAACTAGAAGTATGATCTTAGGGATTCAAACGTGCGGGTCGCGATGCTTCAAGTAAGAGCAGAATCACATCTGCAGACATTTCTGCTCCGGCCGCAGATCATAGTAATGCTGTGAAACACATGAAAACGGTACCTATAAGGAGTGGATCTTCGGCCTCCAGCCACTCAATGAGAGCAGGTCCAAATGGTTTAGCTCTGGAAAGAGTCATTAAAGCTCTGTACAACTATCAGGCACAATCTCCCAAGGAACTGTCTTTTATCAAGGGCGAGTTTTTTGTAGTGCGCGCTGAAGATAAAGAATGGTACGATGCAGCGGATCTCAACGAACAGCGGAGAGGAATGGTTCCAAAGAGTTATTTTGAAAGCTTCTCAAGAAGAGGGTCAGATCCTGCGCACGGTCATCCATACGGATCCGCGGATAGATCATACCCAGAGCTCGCAGAAGGTCCAGAAAGGTCAACGTTAGCTCAAAGGTCAGGCTCTCTATATGCAATAGTTCTGTATGACTTTCGTGCTGAAAAGTCCGATGAGCTTACCACTTATGCGGGCGAAAATCTGTTTATCTGTGCCCACCACAACTACGAATGGTTTATTGCAAAGCCCATCGGCCGCTTAGGTGGCCCGGGCTTAGTACCCGTGGGCTATGTGAGCATCATAGACATTGATAACGGCTACGCAACAGGAAATGAAATTAGCGATGACATACGATCGGCTAGTTTACCTACAGTGCAGGAGTGGAAAAACAATGTTGCCAAATATAAAGCTAGTAACATATCCTTAAGCTATCCAGAGATGAAGCGACTGCAGGGACAAAACGCACAGGGAAACCCTTCAAGCCAACCAAACATACCGCATCATGAAGCATATTTCCATTCTGCAATTACACGTGCAACGGTCGATTCGTTCTCTCTTGAAGGTGATAAGTTCTGGTTCAATGTTGTGTGCGAGCTCCCGGAGAAGCGAACTCGCATTCTGAAGCGGTATTACGAAGACTTTTATGACTTGCAGGTTAAACTATTGGACACTTTCCCAGCCGAAGCAGGAAAGTTGAGAGATACAAGAGGACAATGGACCAAAAGAATCATGCCATATATACCGGGGCCCGTTCCATATGTCACAGACTCGATCACGAATAAGAGGAAAGACGATCTAAACCTATATGTCACTAAGTTGATTGCGTTACCAGCGCATATTTCACAATGTGATTTAGTGAGATCTCTCTTTAGCGTTAGAAACAACAATTACGACAAGGAAATGAAGCAAGACCCCAAAATAGCTACAGGCCAGCCACCGGTAGGGCCCACGCTACACACGTCGTCTTTCTCGACGAAAGCTGAGGATTCTACTCTCACTGGCGATGATCTCAAAATGTACGAGATGATGAACGGGCTTTCGTTGAAGGCGTCAAAACCTCAATCGCGCCCACCCAGTGTTGCCCCCCCACAACTGAAGCCTACGAAGGTGAAGTTTTTCTACAAAGACGACATTTTTGCTCTTTTGCTGGACTCTAATATCACTTACACCGACTTGCGTGCGAGGATCGCGCCCAGGATTGATAGCCCAACGTTCAAGCTGTATATAAAGGTGGACAATTCTGCCGGTGATGAAGTGAGAAGTGACCACCAAGTGGCAGAAGTAATACAACGAAAGATGAAAGTTCTGGTCGAAGATGCTTAAAATACTCTAATATGAGCCATTGAAGGAGCTAATAACTAAAGGAGACGCGCTTTAAGTCGTCTGATTTCAAAAATCTATAAGCATAGGCTCAAATCCGTAGCCGTTATAATTACCCTCATTGTGAGTGTTCTGGTCGTGATATATGTCTTCCACTTCCATCTCTTTCGAGTTAGTCTCTCTTTGAAACCAGAATAGCCATGATAGATAAACTAATTTTGGTCCATCGTACCATTTAATAACCTGTAAATTGCTACTCCTGATTCTGCTCCAAAGCTGACCGTAAATATCATCACCCGCGGTTCTTTGGCCACTGACAGCTTTCCAAATCTCGTCGTTTAAAGCATCTGGGACAACTTTAGCAGTAGTAACGCCTGCTACCGGCGTTGACGGACTCTTATCAGATATGCTAAGGTTTTGCAAATCTTCAATTAGTCTCTGACGTTTGTAATTCGATATCCCCGCAGAGTCAGGACTCCGCGGCCTTTTCATTCGGAATGTTGGCATATTTCACATTAGCATAGCACTGAGCTGTAAAGGCTAAAAGGATTTCATTCAAATCCCTGAAAAATGCGCGGTTGGGTTGGAAATACTTTCCTCAGGCTGTTGAGTCAAATAATACTAATTGCACAAGTTTTTAGCTATGTTAAGATCACTTTGCTGCGGCTCAGATTCTTTTAATATAAGATCTAGAAATTCAAATTATGCTGAGCAGATGTGACAACCAAGGCAGCCGGGACTTCGCTGGAGTGTACAATGTTCCATACCCCTCCAATTAATGGATCTATAATGGAAAGTGCCCCACAGGCAATAAGGGAATCTTACCAAATTCAGATGGGAGGCTCTTCGCCTGAATTGTCCAATACTTCAAGCAATGGGAATGTTATTCTAACAAAGGAAGAAATAGCATCTGAGGTGGGACAAATTACGGAGCTTCCTGCCGAGCTTGCGAGACTGGTAGATAACTTTATTGATGACCTTAAACAACCAAAGTATCTCAAGCCGCTCAGTGTTTTACAACTTTCAAGCTTGTTCCAGAATTTCTATATGAAATTTGACAAAGCGGCGTTTCAGTACCTAAATCGTCCTCAGGATGCTACAGGGACTACGTTCTTGTACGCACGAGAGACTCTGAGCAGTGGTATTAGTGGAATATTCAATCGAAGTCGGAGCAGCAGCGACACTGCAAGGAAGAGATCATCTTCGCTGTTTAGCACGGATTCTGCCAATGGCCCCCAGCCGATGCTTACACCTGATGAAATAAACAGACATATCAGAATAAATGAGCTTAACAACTACAAAATTGACAAATTGCTGGAACTATGCGAACATGATACTTTCAAAAAAATCCTAGCTGTTGGTACATCGGTTCCAGGTAACTCTTTCAGGATGGAAAAGTCGCAAAAAGGGCTGAAGGCGACCAATCTTTTTAAAAACAGCCCGGAATTCTTGGAATTTGATCGGGCGGTGTGGGATAAAACATTGGTTATTTCAAACATGTCTGCAAATGGGAAATTGGATTTGAAAACTTTCCTATCGGTTCCCCGACAAAATCTTGACACAGCCCACCTAATGAGTTATTTAGAGAAAATGGTCAACGGACCATTGGCTCCTTACGAAAAACTGCTAAATGTGATAAATTTGCACGATGAAATGACTAGAACATTACAACATTTGAGTAATGACGATTTTCTATCCACTTTGATTTACTTGACGATCCATACCCCTATCAAGCACATGTTTCTCAATCTACAGTTCATCAAGTTTTTTCGCTACAACAAGAAACTAATTGAAAAAGACCTATACGCACTTACCAACTTAGAGGCAGCATTGACATTCATAGAAGGGCTCACTTTGACCTCTCTTCCTTCAGAGGTTGAAGTCCAGCTATCTAATGATGAATCATCAGCGCTACAGATGCCGATTTCTCACAAAATAGCACTTCCAGAACTACATGTTACCGCGAATGACTCTAATCAGCATTATTCTGGCTTACCCAGATCCAACTCATACAAAGAGTTTGAAGGGCTAAAGACCGCTTTTGATTCTTCTTTGCGCAACATATTTGGCAAAATAAGATCGTATACACCTCCTACTGGCGCACAACAGTCCGGTTTAAATCCAGATAAAGTGGCCAATGGTCCTGAAAACTTATTGACTCAAGCTGACGGCGATACAGCTAAAAAGATCATATCAATCCCGGATTCTTGGAGGACTCTCGGAAATCGGGAGTTTGAACAGCTTAAGGTAAGCGAGTTAAAACAAATCTTCGAAAACTACCAGAAATTGTTAGATGCATTAGACAACCGATAGGTATATACGACTATAATGATTACGATGACGACAAAAACCTCAAGAATTATAGTAAATCTTCCTTTCATTTTCCCTTCACTGCCCCTAAACGCTCAATAATTTTTGAAAGGGCTGCTGTTTCGTAACCACGATCTTCAAGTGAGGGAAAGTACCGAACCCGGATATGATCACTCAGCTGTGTAATTTTTTGATAGGAGTAGTCAATAGAGCCACTGGTTTCTTCTAAGTAGGTGACAAGCTTCTTTTTGAGATTCACGTCCTGCGTTCTCGCGCGAAGGATATCTGCAACCAAAGTGTCTCCAACGCTTTGACCGTGTCTTATACCATGTATTATTGGGAAGGACAGCTTTCCTTCGGATACGTCTTCAGCAAACCCTTTATTCAAGATCATTGTGGCATCCTGGAGGTTCATATAGTCGTCCCTTATCTGGTAGAGAATGCCCAAAAGGTTGCTGAGCGGCACAAGTGAGTTTTCGCCGGAAAACTTGGTTGAAAATACCTCCATGAGACGCACTGTTAGTCTGAAAAGACCGCCTGTCTTGTTCATAACCATGTTTAAATACTCTTCCTCACTGGGCACAATAAAGTTGTCTCTCCAGTAGATGTCCAACCCTTGGCCTCTGTGCAAGTTCATCATTTCTTCATTGAAGATGATCAAGACTTCACTCAGGAGACTCGGTACTGAATTTTCGCTGAGTTCTTGAACACATTCCATTGCGTAGAAGTACATATAGTTTGCTGTGTTGATGGTCATGGGCATTCCGTACTCCAAATGAGCCGCCTTTCTCCCTCGCCTCCATTCAGAGCTGTCCTCAATATCATCTATTAGTAAGCTCGAAGTATGTAAGATCTCCACTAGTCGGACGATAGTCGAGACCTTCTGCTGGGAAAGCTCGTAAAAACCATTGAAGGTCTCAATGAGTCCAGTGCGAAAATCGTGGCCGGGATTCGATAGTAAATAGTTGAAGGGTCCTTTTAAAGTTCGATCTTGAGCTTTTGTCCAAACTGGGGCGCTATTAACCAATTGATCAATTTGAAGGATGTCCATTGTGATTGTTTGGCTAAAAGGCTATCTGCCTTTCAAAGATCTACTACTTATTAATTACAGATATTGAAGAACGAAATTCGTTATTAAGATACATAGCGTTAACAAAGTTCAAAGCACAGACTTTATTCTTCCGGGATGGATGCTTTACTTTTTAACCTGGCGGGTGATGTGCCAGTTGTAACAAAGACTTGGACTGCTGGCATTGTGGTCATGTCTGTGCTGACGAGCACCACCATCGTGGATCCAAATAAGACGTTGTACAATTTCGATCTAGCATTCAAAAGGGGTCAATACCTCCGGGTTTTGTATTCTTTCTTCGACTACGGTGAGCTTAACATGCTTTTCTTCTTTGGTTTGCTACTTATGCTTTCACAGCTGGCAGCTGTGGAGAAGACGGTAGGGAGCCGGGGACAGTTTCTTTGGATGATATTCGTGATGGCAGTGCTGGTAATCGGCATGAGTAAATGGATTCAACCGTATGAGTCGCTTGCTCAGGTTATACATAAGAATCTGCTGTATTACAAAATACGGAGGGACATCGAGACGATAGACGCCGCGCGAGGAGGAGGAAACGTAGCGTCCCCGCTGATGTTTCGTGTGTTCTGCGATGTAATGCAGCTAAAAAACATTCATAGTATATGGGGAATTTTGATGACATATCTCCCGGGCCATTTGTACTACTTTTTGGAACAAGTAGTGAGTAAAATATATGGTGTGGATGTATGCCAGCCACCTAACAAGTGGTTCAAATTTACCTTGAGGTCAGAAGCCAATTCTCCAGAAAGCCACGATGCAGACAATGAACACTTACAGGAATGACCGGCTGCAACGAGATTGAAGCTAAATGCTAGAACGGATGGTAATAGAGCATAACAGGGGCCGAAAGCTGTGTTCGTGCTATAAAAGATGCTAATACATGACTACCAAAATAATTTTGGCTCACCATAGGAGTGCTACATTGGCAAACGAGTCGTCACTGTCAACCGACGAAGAGGGCAACGGTTTTCTTTTCTTCTCGGGCCACCCAAGAGAATTGTCGCGCTCTTGAAACAGCATCTTGCCGATTCTCTTGTTGACATATTGAAGTTCTAGCCGATGCTGGGCGTTGCGGTCGGTCCTCGTCTTCGTTCTTTCCGGCAAAAAAGTGATATCAGCCACGTCCTGCGTGTCGATGCGGTGCCACTTGGCCACGAATTGGAGGTTCTGTTCCTCGCTCAAACTTCCGCCTGTGAGAACCCTGGCAAATGCCAGATCTCCCTGACTCGCCGAGGACTTCAACTCGGCAGAGTTCAACTCCTCTTGGATGCGTTCCAATAAACATGCGTTGGTGACCGACGTGTCACGCAATTGCAGCGTACCAACAGCCGTGGCAAACTGGTGGAACTGGTGAGCCAGTTTATGAACGGATTCATCCTGCGGTCTTTTCTTGTCTTGCACTATGCGTGCAACCTTTTCGTCACACGATCGCACAGCTTCATAATCTACAGACGGGGCTCCAAAATCTTGGTCCTTGTGGTCCCGCGGGTTGAATTGAGGTCTTTGAGGTAGTATGGCCCTTAAGTTGGAGCTGTTCGCACCTTTCGCAATCTTTTTGGCACGTTTGTTCGGGATCTTGGCAGGCGATGAAAGGGCCAACGCTTTCCCCGCGGGTTTGTTGCGAGACGAGCGTCTCAATTTCATGTTTAAAGAAGAGCCAGGTTCACCAACCTTGCTAAGCCGATGGTTGGCGCTAAAGCGATGGTGTGCAGGGCTAACTGGTGAAGGTCTCGAAAAAATGCTTCAAAAGAAACGGCAGTGCGATGAGCCGTGCAAAATGATAAGCGAACACAGGAAGTGAAGATTGTAAGTTTTAGTGGTCTAAAGATCCAGTAAGGTGTGGTCTTGTCAATTCTCAAGCTATTGCCCGAGCCGTTTGGTTTCTCGAAAGTTTCTGTAAAAGTTGTATATCATAAGGGTCTTGGATTATTTACCGTCTTCAACCGGGCGGAAACCGCTTTCTAGCATTTCAGTGATGCAATTCACGTCGGGGGAATTGACGAGGAGGTGGATATGCGAGATGGTCTTAACACTCTGCAAGTGTGGGTAGTTGATAAACCAGGCATAAGTGCGTACGCGGTACCGTTCGAGATTCGTGCGCAAGAAGCGCTCGATGAGGTCTCGGACGGCTGGCACCTGCTGCCGGGAATTGGCCACGTACAGCGGGATTGGGAGCTTGCTCCACAAAACCAAATGATGCACTTCCGAAGGGAAGTCGTAAGGGAAGTCATTGGGAAGCAAAGTGTATAGCGTGGGACTGGATAGGATCGCCGTGGGCGTGTCTTGGTGCTGGAGGGCCAGCTGGCGAAGCAGCTCGCGGTCCCATTGTAGTTTTTCGTCGACCACCACATCGACGACCGTGGTGTTCCGCTGTAGCAGTTCTTGCTTGTACTTGTGGTACCTCTCGGTAGTCTGGGCTGTTCGCTGGAGCAGCTGCAGTTCGCCCGCCGCGATCAGTTGCACGATTTGGTCCCACGAATGCATCAACGAGGTCAACAGCACAAAAGCGGCCCGCTGTTACTGAAGTAGATCCTCGACCGGGCTGTCTGTGTACGATCTTCCACACCAGTATGTCTCCCGTGTCGAACAAAGTCATATTAAAGCTCATGACAATAAATATTATATATAATTAATGGTACTACTAACACCAACGCTAGCTTATACGAATTAAATGCCTCAATGTTTCCAAGCAGCTCGCAATCAAACCAGCTTCTGGAACACGCTGCGGGGATTGTTCCTGCCTTTGACGCCAGCGTCCGGATCCCTACTCGATTCGCGCCACGGTAAGGCAAAGGGTAACACAAACCCGAGCGTCAAGTAGAACATGTAAATCTTGGAAGACGTATTCAGCGGGCATCGCGTCGCCGCCGCCGGCTCCTGGTACGTGGTAAAGCGTCTGCGCGACAATTTGCGCGCTGTTTGCTGTGCTGTTCGTTGCACCGCCAGTTGCACCGATCCTGATCTCCGCAGCAGCGTATAATAATGGTTCATGGGTGCTATGCTATAGTGTATGCGTATATCTTTGTACTTGAGAGCAATGAGGACTGCTGTCGGTGCAAGGCGAAATCTTAGGATGCTATTAGTGCTCTACTTTTATGTGATGTGGCAATTACTTCAAGCACCTTTCAGGTCTACAAACGAGCACTTCCCGCTCGCTACCTACGCCACCGCAGGGTTTATAAATGGTGTCGTTGCTGGAGTTCTCGAGACAGAAGTCTGGAGATACATCCTTACTACGCGGAATATATCGCGAGTTTGCCAACAAACGTATGCGCTTATCTGTGGGCCCTACGCATGAACTTTTCCAACATTCACAACAGCTCCAGCGGCTCATCTTAGGGCGTGAGAACCCACCAGCTACCTCACTGGCCCGAGACATTGAGGTCTGTCTCGGACTAGAAGGAAAATATCACACCATGTTGAAAAAAAAAGATGCTCTCAATCATACGATGATGCGAGTCTCGGAAACGGCGAGCCAGGACAGAATGAGACACAGGCAGACGAGGAGGTGTGGAATAAAGCAGAAGCGGCGCAAAATGCCAGGAACGAGCAAGCCACCGGTGAGATGAGAAAGTGGCATAGAAAGAAGCCCGCTCGTGTATAATGAAGAAACCTTGTATTCGAGATGAGAGTCTCGTGAAGCACCGGGGCGAAGCCAAGTGAAGGGCCCAGCGAGTGGTGTATCCAGAAGGCGGGAAAATGGGCCATGGGCGTGTGAGTTGCCGGGTTTAGTATGTAGCAGGGTACATCACTTTATACTATTCTGACGCACCGGGTGGTTTGATCGCGTAGACAAGGCTCGGCACCAGAGCGGCGACCAAGGGGCAGTGAGGGAGCCCAAACATTAGTAAGGGTGCGGATCTGCGTTAAAGATTGGCTTCAAAACGTTGGGCCCGTCCAAAATCTTCCGACAGATGGACTGGGCCGTGGGACCGGCGAGGCTATTTACTTGGCAAGGCACTGGCACCTGAGGGCGTTTAAAATGTAACTTGAGGTGGCCCGTTGGCGGTGGTTTTGTCGCTTTAGGAGAATATCCGCGTTCTAGCGCTCCAATTGTAAAGTGGAGCCCAGATAAAACCCTTTTAGAGCTCTGGAAGAGCGCAAGCTCTTGCCTCAGACTATCACGAACTCGTTCAAGCCCAAGCGAAGGCTTTGGGACGGCGTCGTTTTACTTTGACTCTCGTTCGGATCGCTTTGTACTAATCTGACATCAGATTTTTACTACTCGAAAAGGTAAACATAAATTGGTATCATCTCTAGAAACCTAACCGACAGCATCTATAATCCGACTAGCGCAGTTGTAAAAGCTCTCTTCCCACCTTCCAGGCATCTACTCCCACCCCCAATGAGTGCGGCACTTCCGTCCATACAAATTCCTGTGGACTATGCTCAAATTCAAACCACTCTAGAAGACTTTCTGGTGCATTTCAAAAACAACACGTTCTCGAGCGCGACGGCCCAGGACGAACTCGCCGATGAGGACATGGACGTTGGAAGTGGCCCCAAGTATATGTCTTTGCTACAGAAGGTTGCGAATCGTGAACTTCACACTTTGCTTATCGAGCTTGACGATCTGCAGAGATACGAGAATGAAAAACTCCTGACTTCCGAGTCCGCTTCGATGGGGATAGTACAAACGCTGCTCCAGAACTCGTACCATTTCATAGAGCTCTTCAGTCGTGCTGTCGACAAGTTGCTCCCCCCTCCAACCCGAGAAATCGACTATAAGGATGACGTTCTAGATGTGATTTTGTATCAGCGGAAGCTGCGCAACGATAGACTACTGTCAGACAGGCGTACAGAACTCTCAGCAGAGGCTCCTGGTGAGTTTCAAGACGAGAACCTGATGCGTGAGATTGCAGAACAAGAGTCCGATCTGTTTCCCGCCAAACTAACCAGACGCTACAACCTTTACTTCAAGCCGCTCAGCTCCATCTACAGTCCGAAATGGCGAGCTCCACTTCCGGTGCGGGAAATAAAGGGTGATCGCCTAGGTCAATTGATCACTGTGAGCGGGATCGTCACTCGGGTTTCCGACGTTAAGCCAGCTGTCATGGTCAACGCTTACACCTGTGACCAATGTGGTTATGAAGTCTTCCAAGAGGTGAACTCTCGTACTTTCACACCTCTAGTGGACTGTACCTCTGAACAATGCTCTCAAAACCAAACAAAGGGTCAGCTGTTCATGAGCACAAGAGCGTCCAAGTTCAATGCCTTCCAGGAATGCAAGATCCAAGAGTTGTCGGAGCAAGTGCCAATTGGGCACATCCCCAGGAGTTTGACTATTCACATTAACGGCGCTCTGGTCAGGAGCTTGAGCCCTGGCGATGTGGTAGACGTCACTGGTATTTATATGCCTTCTCCATACACAGGTTTCAAAGCTCTTAAGGCTGGTCTTTTGACAGAAACCTATCTGGAGGCACAACATGTGTTTCAACACAAAAAGAAGTTTGCAGCATTTGAAATAACGCCTGAAACAGAAGCAAGAGTGATGTCCATAGCAGCGCAGGGTGATGTTTACAACAGGCTGGCCAAATCAATCGCACCTGAAATCTACGGAAACCTTGACGTTAAGAAGGCGCTTTTATTGCTGCTAGTCGGTGGTGTGGACAAAAAAGTTGGGGACGGCATGAAAATCAGAGGTGATATCAATGTCTGCCTAATGGGTGATCCAGGTGTTGCCAAGTCTCAATTATTAAAGTCTATTTGCAAAATCTCACCTAGAGGGGTCTATACCACAGGAAAAGGTTCCTCGGGTGTCGGCCTGACTGCAGCTGTAATGAAAGATCCTGTAACGGATGAAATGGTGCTTGAAGGCGGTGCGTTAGTTTTGTCAGATAATGGTATTTGTTGTATTGACGAATTTGACAAGATGGACGAAAGTGACAGAACTGCAATCCACGAAGTTATGGAGCAGCAGACAATCTCTATCTCCAAGGCAGGTATCAACACAACTTTGAATGCCAGAACTTCCATCTTGGCCGCTGCCAATCCTCTATATGGTAGGTACAACCCTCGGCTATCACCACTTGAAAATATTAACCTGCCTGCTGCGCTGCTGACCAGATTCGATATTTTATTCTTGTTGCTGGACCTGCCAAATCGCGACGATGACGAAAAGCTTGCTGAGCACGTAGCTTTTGTTCATATGCACAACAAGCAACCTGACCTGGGCTTTGAGCCATTGGAGCAGAGTCAAATGAGAGAATTCATCGCTTACGCCAAGACAAAGAGGCCTACCATGAGCCGCGAGGTCAATGAGTATGTGGTACAGTCTTACATCAGGATGAGACAGGATTCTAAGAAGGCCATGGACTCGAGGTTTTCCTTCGGCCAAGCTACCCCAAGAACGTTACTGGCAGTCATTAGAATATCACAGGCGTTGGCCAAACTGCGTTTCAGCGAAAAAGTGGAATTCGATGACGTTGAGGAGGCTCTCAGACTTATCCAAGTTTCGAAGGAGTCTTTGTACCAGGATGGTCGCAAGAACGCCGAGGACGAAAATCCAACTACGAAAATCTACACTATCATCAAGAACTTGGCCCGCGATGGATCCCAAATGCAGCGCAGTCTGCCTTTTGATCTTATTGTGAAAACTACCAGATCCAGAGGTTTCACTATGTTGCAGCTGAATAGCTGTATCGAAGAATACGCCTACTTAGGGATTTGGAGTTTAGTTGACGAAGGTGCTACTCTGCAGTTTCTGAACCAGGGTGCGGACGATGCTGGTGAGTTCAACTCGCAAGGAACCTCTGTGTCTACCCCTGTGCCGGCTATAGACACCGAGCACAGTGATCTGGACATGGGTGAATTGTGATGGAGCAGGAACGGTTCTTACGCCCCACTTCCGGAGCAGGCTTAAGGTTCAATAAGGGACGCGGTGATCGATGACCATGTATAATGTTACATATGTTTTTGGGCCCCATAAGGCACCGCTGTAGTATATCAAAGACTCTGACCATCAGTTGGTTCCTGGAAAAGCTACTTAAACACGCAGTCTGTATGAATGCGTGTTGAACCGGTAGTGCACATGATCGCGGCCCACGAGATTTGGCGGTTCTTCGCGCGTTATGGTGTTCATGCCACTTTCGAACAGTCGCAGATAAGCAGTGGTGTCCTGTATTACAACCAAGCTCTACTGGTATGACACGACCTGTCATTTCCCTCAAGCCTAGTTATAATTCCATTATTAGAGGGTGCCCCGGCTTGCCGGAAACGTTGGTATGTGTTAAAGCATTTAACCTTCCAAAGTGAATTCATTTATACTGACCTGAACACTCATTGGTATCAGCCAAGGCTGGAATGCGAACTCCGAATAAGGTCAAGCGATGGGAGGGCTTTCCGAATCGAAGCTCTAGAGGTGACTTTAAAGACAACCGAGGCTCTCAACAGCTCTAGCCACAGTTTTACGTCAAGGACCAAAGTTGAAAAGGTTGTTACACACTATAGGAAAACTATCACGGTTTCGAGCAAAAAGGTGATAGGGGTGGATGTCCCACTCACCATAGGGGTTCCTGACGATATTAAGGAGACCAATTATAATCATCGGTTTGGAAGCTGCTCCACCGTCTTCGAATGCAAAGTTACTTATTTGACAGTCGAAGGTAATCCTCTAACTACAAGCTTCAATACTGCAGTTAATGTTGAGCGCTATGACATTTTGGCATCCTCGAAGTTCTCACAGCCTCTAAGTCGGAACTATCTATCTCCGGATAAGAAAGTCCAAGTCAGATATGAGGTACGAAATCCATGTGTGACCACCGACGATCTGCTTCATTTGAAGATATGTGCCACACCTAACCTGGCAAATAACACCTTCAGTGCTAGCCCAAGAAGATTTAGTAAAAAGTTGAAGTTGAAGGCGATCGTGTTTGAAGTCAAAGAATACCTAGAAACATTTGATTCCCATGTCGACGCCAAGGAGAACATAATCCACACAGTGGCGAAGCCTGTCGATGAGACTCTCCCAGTGTCAGGCTCTCAATTTGATTGCGACGTTCGAATTTTGACCAAGAACTTGCAATTCAAGCAATACGAAATGTCACTCAATGAACCCGCCGTTCTGTTTAGACTGCCAGATCATCCAGCGGATTTGACAGAAACACCACCCGAGACTGTTCTGCTGAAAAGCAAAAAATATTTGCAGCCTTTCCACTACCACACCTCAATTAGTACGCGAGGGCGACTCTTTTCCGTTACTCATGGTGTTACAATGAGGTTTAAATTTGGCAACGCCAAAGACTTTGAGATTCACCAGCCGATTGATATCTCCCCATGGGTTAGAGTGCAGCTAAACCACATCGACAACGTTATCAATCGAGAAAGAGAAGTTGCCAAGAATGCAAGAGCATTTTACGAATCCTTTGGCGGAATAAGAAGACGAAAGAGTTCTGGAGAGCTAGAGTACCCCTCCCTTCCGCCAGTTGTTTATTTGCCGGACAAAGAAACTTTGCAGGAGTTAGGAATACATTACGATGCAAGCTTCAAGAGCCCGAAACGAGTCTTGGTTATCGAGTAGCCAGCCAAGCAGTGCCATAGCAGGCGTCGCGATCGTGTAAGTAGGATCCATGTAACTAAATGTTGATGCTTTTCACAACGTCTAACGTGACCTCACTCATGTGAAGTTGGTCAAGATATCCCATAATTGAAGCAAGACGCTACCTTAACTCATTTCAGGGTTAAAACCATCCTCTGGACGTTGTATAAGCGGTCTTGACCAGGTCCGAAATGGCTAGTCACAAACTCCTTCATGAAGTGCCGCTTTTCGACCATTTTACTACTGCTCGACAACGCGAGACCTCAGAAACGTTGGCTGAGATTTATTCCTTGGTAGTTGTTCTTGACCAGGTAGAAAAAGCGTATTTGAGAGACTGCCTGTCGGGTAGCGAATATACGACTATCGTGAATAAGCTTTTGGCCCAATACAAGACGTATTTGGACAATGATGACGTGCAGAAGGAATTTGGAGATTTACGAACCTTTAAAGAGAAATACAACATCAGCGCATCCAATGCTATCACCAGGATAGAACGTGGAATGCCCGTGACCGTGGAGCATGGAATTAGAAGTGAACAGGATACTAGTGCATCGCTCAGTGGGAGTGCTCAATTTAGCGGAAAGGCAGTGGCGGAGGCCACTGGTAACTTCATAACAGTCATGGATGCCCTCAAACTCAATTACCGTGCAAAAGACCAGCTACATCCTTTGATGTCAGAGCTCCTTCTGAGTATCAACAGAGTGAGCTCTCAGGATTTCGAGCATCGCCAAAGCCTCGTGGACTGGATTGTCAAAGTGAACAAGATGAGGGTCGCAGAAAAACTGACTGAGGATGACGCCCGAGAACTGCTGTTTTGCTTGGAGTCTGCTTATAAGAATTTTTACACTTTGCTCGAGTGAAATGAGCAGCGGGTTTCAATTCTACGGTTCCGCATCACCAAAATCGAGATGATGCGACGTTATCGAGTTGGGCTGCGATGATCGTTGCTTGAACTTTGCGAGCAACTCCAGAGTGTCGCGTTCGCGCTTTGAGATGGACGTGGACCTGTCGTCTGCTGCATGTTCCGCAGGTCTTTCTCGGAGTGATGGACTCGACTCATGTTTCTTTTTTTGCAGGCCCTGATCATCCTCCGATAAATCGAGAGTGTCTTGTACTCCCATGTCCTCAATGGTCTGCTCTCCGTTTGTTAGTGCTTCGTTGTTTACAAGGCCGGGAGCTGCCGATATCTTCATGTTTGCTGTTGCCAGTGTCTCGTCGCCATCGTCCTCTTCCTCCTCGAACTGGAGAAGAACTTTGGAGGCCTTTTTTGCCCGCTTTGGCTTCACTGGCAATTCCAGCGGGGACTGACGTTTTGAGTTTTTCACTGTTCCCTGTTCTACTTCGAAATACGGTTCGTCTAGTAAAATACTCTCAATTGTTGCCGGATATAGAAACTCTGCTGTCTGCGATGGTTCCGATTTCAATTCTTTGCTAGCAATTTCCAATAGGGTATAGTATGAATTGTCTACGAGTTTACCGATCACTGTCACTTTCCCATTCAAAGCTGTCGTTTCCCGCAACGTCACGAAAAAGGCCCCTTTTGAGTGCGATTCCACGGCAACCAGACCTCTCTGATCCATTTTGATACGAGAATTCGTTTCCAGAGCTCCCCAAGTGGGTTGATCAATCTCGGCCGTTTGAATGGCCGCATCAAATACTTTACGCTCAAAACTCACACCGTCATAGCTGCCCTTAGCGCAGTTCTTCAAAAATCGGGAAACGGTCTGCGGACATTCCCTAGCCCACAATCCTAATTTCAAAGGGCCCACGGACGTACAAATGGTACATTTTGCACTAGTCTGAGGCTCCAGACTACTCATCTTTAACTGCGATGTCCTTTCCAAGCTTCCGGGTAAATATAGTTCGAAAATTTTTCAGATTATGGGTTATTAAAGACCAAGAGTTGATGTTGAAGTTGAAAATCTTGAAGATCGTACACCAGAGGAAAGGGTCAATATTGAACAGATGATCAGAAATTTGGGTCGCAGCTTGGGCTCTACCGCGTCGGTAGCCTTGAGGAAAAATTTAGCTCCAAAAAGAGCTCCCCTAAGGTCGTTTTCGGGTGGAAAGTTCTTGTTGAATAGCAAGAAAGATGAACCCAAGGCGAAGTCCATCCTAACTGAGGACTTGCTCGCTAGGGCTGGTGTGGATGTGGAAGCCCCAAACAACGGCGAAAAAACGCAGCGCAAGACAGCCGATGAACCATTAGAAAACGAAGGCGAGCCAGCGAAAGACAGCTCTGGGAGACGCAAAAGAAGAAGGCAAACATCTACCGACATCAAACGTGAACGTTACGCCAACTGGTTCTACATTGGATCGTTCGCTGCTCTTGCTGGTGGTGCTGCTTATTTGGCACGCGACTGGGAGGACAGTGAGGCGGAAGAGCTGAAACGGGAGGCGGATAACGGATACACACCAGAGTTGATGTACAAGAGGTCGAAGGCCCGCTTCAACTCCTTGTTTTCGTATTTCCAAGAGCCACCCTTCCCAGACCTCTTACCACCCCCTCCTCCTCCTCCTTACCAAAGACCCTTGACGTTGGTTTTAAGTCTTGAAGACGTGTTAGTGCATTCGGAATGGACCAAGGAGCATGGCTGGAGAACCGCCAAGAGACCAGGTTTGGACTACTTCTTGGGGTACCTGTCGCAATATTACGAAATTGTACTATTCTCTTCCAACTACATGATGTACTCCGAAAAAGTGGCGGAGAAACTAGACCCAATCCATGCTTTCATTACCTACAATCTCTACAAAGAACACTGTCTTTACAAAGACGGTGTGCACATTAAGGATCTTTCCAAGCTGAACAGAGACTTGGGAAAAGTTGTCATTGTGGATTGTGACCCCAACTCTTACAAGTTGCAACCGGAAAACGCATTGCCATTGAAGCCATGGGATGGAAAGGCTGACGACAACCTTTTGAAGCTGATTCCATTCTTGGAGTATCTTGCCACCCAACAGATGGATGACGTGAGACCCGTCCTCAATAGTTATAGCGACAAATACCAAGTTCCCCAAGAATTTGAGCGTCGTGTGGCTGTCCTCAAGGAGAAGTTCTACAAGGATCAAGAAGTGAAGGCCAGTAGCAACTGGGCTTTGAAAGCGCTCGGTGTCGGTGCCGTGGGAAGCTCCAAGGCCAAGTTTCCTCTCGATTTGCTAAGAGAAGAGGGTGAAAAGAATTATGTTCGTTTCATGCAATTGATCGAGGAAGAGAAAGAAAAGATCAAACTCCAGCAGGAACAAATGGGGGGACAGACCTTCACGCTCAAGGACTACGTGGAGGGTAATCTACCTTCACCCGAGGAGCAGATGCAGTTGCAGATGGAAAAGCAAAAGGAGTTTGAGTCTCAATATGAACAGAACAAAGTCGCCGCCCAGGCATCCGCCTCTCAATCCCAAAAATAGATTTCCACGCATGCTCTCACACCACTAACACCCTTCCCACTCGATCAACGCATTCCATCTTTCTTTGCCTAATATCAATGCTAACGACCTTCCGACATGACCTATGTTGTTTTTTAAACAGCTATACTGTACATAAATTTTAATTTGAAACTGACAGTTTTTGATCCTCAACGTTACCACATATCTAGTGCGCTCTTAATGAGTTCAGCGCTGCGTTCAAATATCTTGATGCTGTCTGTCACTTTTGACCCTCAATTTGCTGTCATTCTATCAAAACATCCCCCCACAATTTAATCTTATCTCTCTAATGCTCACTTGATTAACTGAAGAGAAAAGGACAGCACCATCAATAAGATCTCAAGTTCCGAATTTGAATATCGATCCTGGCACCGCTCTCTTGAGCTTTCAATACCTTACTAATATCCAGCGTTGTTGTGGGTGAATTTGACTGGGTGAGAATTGTTGGATTTGGATCAAAAACTGATGTCAGGGAACCCACATATCAATATATTGAGCTCTAATTATAACCGGTATGGAACTTCAGTGTTTCAGACACTTTACCACGACGAGAGAGCTGATCGTAGTGAATTGGATGGTAGCGACAGACAACGGATGTCGTCAGATGCACGATCTATGCGAAAGCCCCCTGGAAGTGGGACCGCAGATGAAGCTGACAGAACGAGCTCAAAAATCAAACGTAAATACAGATCGCTAGTACAAAGCTATGGTGGTAATCGATCTGTAAGGGCCAAGAAGTTCATTGGCAAGCTGCACGACCACAGTTCCAGCGATTCGTTCTCCATCTTTTCGCTCAGAAGCTCGTACTCTAACCGCAACCTGGCCACCGCCCAGCCGAAGACGGCAAGTACCGGGACGGGAGCTCAGCATGCTGCGATATTCGAGATATCTAGACCTTACGATGATATCAACGCACTTCCTGTCGAACTCCTAGCACTAGTGATGCAGCAGTTCACGGCTGGTGCCTGCTTAGAAGACCCGAAAACGCTAGTTATGGGGTTATATGTCAACAAGAAGTTTTATGAAGCCACGAAAAACGAACTCTACGAAGCTCCCTCGTTCACTTCAACCTACAGAGTCGCCCAGTTTGTCACCAGTCTGCGGGTGAGTCCCAAAAATGGGCTGTTGGTGAGACACATCAATCTTTCGGAGCTTAGGAACGGGCTTATGGATGGATGTAGAGACAACGCTAATGAGCAGTCGCGGTCTGAAGATGAACATCGTTTTGCTCGTGAGATAGCTCCGACACGCGAGATTTTACAGGAAGAAAGAGAAGACGGGTTCGACGATGACGACCAGAGGGAAGGTACTGATGTCAATGGGGATCGTCATGACCCAGAAAGTGGGAGAGTCTTGACACAAATAGAGGAAGATCTTCCAGACGTTGCCTTGGCTGGGTGGAGGGATTGGAGGTATAGGTACGATCCTCTGTATGGGAATCATCTGCTCAGCTGTCATAATAATCTGCGAAAAGTGGCTTCAAGGTCATCTTCAATTCATTCAACGGCAACTACCGGTACGGGCGCCAACACAAAAAGGTCTCACCGGTCAAATAGCTCCGTCAGCTCTTTCACCTCAAGTATAATGTCGTCATTTTACAATTCTTCGTCATTTTCGTCGCTCAGCTTGACCGCGTCTTTTGATTCCAAGACAGGCGTTGAACAGGGCAAGTGGTTCAGCAAACTCTTTAGCTCTAAAAAAACTGCTAAGCAACGTCGTGAAAAATTCGTCGAGGCCCAGCTCAGAAATTACAACAATATCGACGAGTCGTCGGTGGACCACAGCAGAGGAAGCTCTGACAACAAAAACTGCGTGAAATTCTCTATTCAAACCAACCTGAAAGACCAACCATTTAGCGAGCGGCACCCAGTGACGAATAAATTTTTGCTGAAATATTCTCTTTCGAAGGATATCCCACTGGGCTACCTTTTCCACATTGTACACCATTGCCCGAATATACTTTCTCTGAATCTGGCCAACTTAGTCCTCTCTGCAGATTTCCAAGTGCATTTGAGAATGGATCCCGCTAGAATGCACCGATCGTCGTTATTACCTGACGTCGAAGTCGCGACATCTAGCGAGGATGCTTTGTTGGGCAAAAATTTGGAGCCCGTCTACTTCACCGACTCTAGCAAAGGGCACGCATTTTATGGCGGAAATACTAGTGCGAAGCTGAAAGTCCTGGACGAATTGCATTTTGTGTCACCTTACACCATGCTAGGAGAATCGTGGATCTCATCCAAATATCCACCACCCATAGACCAACACACCAAGATCAGAAGTCAGCGGGTCCGGAATCGAAGAATTCAAAATTACAACCTCACCAAGCTTGAAGTTCGGGATCTATTTCACTTGGTGTATGAAAAGTTGACGAGACTCACACATTTACAGATGGATAATGTAGTTTGGTGCAATCAGCCAGACGTGAAGGAGTTTGTCTTCTCGTCGCTGGAAAAAAATGCCGACCTCAATGTCTCTTTTGCCCACGCAGGCATGGGCAGGAACCTATCGTGGGCATCAAAGGGGAGCGTTTCCCAGTTTGTTGCAATTGTGCTGCTAGGAGAGATACTTGACCGCGATGATCTGTATCTGGAAGATTTGTTCAATGTTCGCACTGAGCGTTTCAGTTTCAACGCAAACCGCGATCACCTTCTACTGGGCCGTTCAAACAAGCTTCTAGTCCATACTTACAACCAGCAGACATTACAATGTACGCTACTACTACGCCGTAGTTGTTCTTTGGGTTTGGAAACCACTTTGGCCTCAGACTCCACGATTATTTGTGAGATAGCGTTGGGAGGTATGCCACCTGACTGTGATGAAAGCTTAACTAGAGTTCACGAGCTCGCGCGTGAGCTCTTGAATCGTCTCGAGAATTTGCGTACAGCTAATTTACACAGACACATTGGTGAGAATCAGTATATCTTCCATTAGGGCTGTCAGCGAAAATGCATTGTGTTGTCGTCCTCAATTAGCGCCCTGAACTTGCATACCATATCACGCGGTGGACCTGGGCACCGACGCCTGGAAACGTTTCCCGGAATTGCGAGGACAATCGAAAAGATAAACGACCTTGGATGGCGGATGGATTGCGTTGTCATTTCCCTAAAGGCCGGTACCGGCACTTTTTTCTCAAATTTTACTCATCGATCATGACACTTCAAGTCTTGATCGATAAGTAATGACATCTCACAGAGCCCGACAGGGCCAGAGCTCGGTAGCTATGCAGCGCTCGGTTGCTGCCAAGCTGATCATTCAAATTTTAATCCGCAACAGACTGTATAGGCGTTCTCATCACGCTTGAGCACAGGCTGTTAGCACTTTAATCCTGTTTATTTTTTTTTTTTTTTTCCTCTCTCTCTCAAAAGTTGGGCTACGATTGAAGTCGATGGTAGCGAAACCGCCCAAGCTTCTTGGATGTGGAGCGGGTGTGAACCATTGAGAATGAAAATATATGCGTTTGCTTACTTGAGCAAAAGGTTTGAGTAATACCTAAAGTCCAATGTTTTTGCGGAGTTCTGTTTTGCACTTGGTATATTAAAAGTTTTGTGATTTTAAGTTGGTTCAGAGTTTTCGTCCAGTCTCAGTTGTAGTCAAGCTTGTGCGTAACCACCGAGAATGAGTGGATTGTATTTGAAAACGGCATCCTCGTTGATGGGCATGGCTAAAGCCGCCCGCAGTGCAACGGCGGGGGCCAGATTTATATCAACGAGAGTGCAAGTCGATTCCGTCAGACTCACGACGCCCAACGGGTTCACATACGAGCAGCCTACCGGCCTCTTCATCAATAATGAGTTTGTGAAGTCACACAATGGAGACACTATCAGTGTGGAAGATCCCTCGACGGGCCAAAAGCTGGTGGATGTGCAATCCGGAACAAAGGCAGACGTGGAGTACGCTGTGGAGTGCGCAGAAAAAGCATTCAAGTCGAGTTGGTCGACAGCAGACCCCAAATTCAGAGCCCAAGCACTGTTGAGACTTGCGGACTTGGTGGAACAAAGGAGGGAAATGATTGCATCGATAGAGTCCATGGACAACGGAAAAGCGCTTAGACTGGCGCGAGGCGATGTTGGGTTGGTGATTGATTTCCTACGTTCCTCAGCTGGATTTGCAGACAAATTGGATGGCAGAAGTATCAACACGGGCGACGGGTATGTGAACTATACGGTTAGAGAGCCCATCGGCGTCTGTGGCCAAATCATTCCTTGGAATTTTCCCTTGATGATGCTTTCGTGGAAAATCGCGCCAGCTCTGGCGGCCGGCAACACGGTCATATTGAAGCCCGCATCGCCCACGCCATTAAACGCACTTTACTTTGCGTCGTTGTGCAAAGAGGCTGGAATACCGGCCGGTGTGGTCAACATTATCCCCGGGCCCGGGAGGGGAGTCGGGGAAACACTGTCGACGCACCCCAAGATCAGAAAGATTGCCTTCACGGGCTCTACTGGCACGGGCAGAGGCATCGCGGTGAAGGCGGCGGAATCCAATCTCAAGAAGGTGACTCTGGAACTGGGCGGGAAGTCGGCTCACATGGTTTTCAACGACGCCGATTTGACCAAGACTTTGCCAAACCTGGTGAATGGCATCTTCCTAAACGCCGGTCAAATATGCTCTTCTGGGTCCCGGATCTACGTGCAAGAAGGCATCTACGACACGCTTTTACCGGCCTTCAAAAAATACGTGGAAGAGACCGTGACGGTGGGGTCCCCGTTTGAGGAGTCCAACTTCCAGGGCGCCATCAACAACAAGATGCAATACGACACGATCCTGAACTACATCAACGTGGGCAAACAAGAAGGCGCCAAGTTGCTCACGGGCGGGGACGCGTGTGGCCAGGACGGGTACTTTGTGAAGCCCACCGTCTTCTACGACGTGGCAGAAGAGATGCGGGTCGTCAAGGAGGAGATCTTCGGGCCCGTGGTGACGATTTCCAAGTTCAAGGAGATCGAAGATGGGGTGGCGATGGCCAACGACTCCGAGTTTGGGCTCGGTGCTGGCATTCAAACCGAAAGCCTGTCCACCGCGTTGAAAGTGTCCAAGTCGCTCAAGGCCGGCACGGTGTGGGTCAACACCTACAACGATTTCCACGCGTGTGTGCCGTTTGGTGGTTGCAAGCAATCCGGCTACGGTCGGGAAATGGGCATCGAGGCCTTCGACGCTTACACCTCCGTCAAAGCGGTGAGAATCAAACTGTAATGTTCATAATGTATAGTTAAAAAGAGTATACACCGAGTGGGCGATCCGCCTCCGCCCGGCTGGCCAGGACGGCTAGCCGTGGCGGTCCACCACGGCCTCCAGAAACCGCAGAGTGACCTGCGCGGGCTGGTCCAGGCACAGGTTGTGCGAGCACCGTTCCACCACCACAAACCGTCGCGATGGCACGCCCGACAGCATCGCATAGAAACTCCGGGCCGTGGCCAGCGGGGTCACCGGGTCCGCGTCGCCGCACATCACCACCACGCTGGCCAGCGACCGTATGTGCTCGTGCTCCCACTCGACACGCTCCCACCCGCGCAGGTACTCCACGACCGACCTGCTTTTGATCTGGACGTTGTGGTGGAACTGCCACAGCTTGCGGTACGGGTCGCCGCGGTGGAAGAACCGCTGGATGCCCGAGCTGTCGAGGCCGCGGTGCTGGTCAAAGTACCAGCGATACCAGTCCAGCAGAACCGGCCACCGGCCCGCCACAAACAGGCCCGCGCGCGCCATCGCGGTGCGCAGCTGGGGCAACTCCGGCGCGGGCGGGGCCAGGAACACTGCGTCGCGCACCGCGTAGCGGCCTCCGAACTGGGCTACAAAGTGGAGCGCCACATGGCACCCGAGCGAGTGGCCGACCACCACCAACGGGTGGCCCTCGCCCACCAGCTGCGCAACCGTGTGTCCCACGGCCGCCGCGACCGCGGACATCGCGTATCGCGGGGCCTCCGCGCTCTTGCCGAACCCAGGCAGGTCCAGCGCCACGAAGCCCTCGTTCAGCGCGTCCAGCACGCGCACCAGAGGCTCGAACTGCGTGGCATTGCCCCCGAGGCCATGGATAAACACATACACGGGGCCCTCGCCGTGGACGCGCGACAAGTTGTCGAACACGCGCAGCGCGCACCCTCCCAGCTCGCCCGCGCGCACCGGCGCGGGGCGCGCGGTCGCGCGCCAGAACTCGTTGTCGAAGTCCGGAGGGTCCTGTAAGATCTTGCGAGCCAGCGGGCGGGCCTCGAGGTATTTGGCCACCACCTGCGCGGGCGACAGCCCGGACAGCGGCGGCAGCAGTGTGGTGGCGTCCGCCACAAGCCGCGAGCGGTCCATCCTGCGTTGTGCTTGGCTCTGTTAGCGTGTCTCGAGCACGCTTTGTCTCTCTGTTCTCGCTGGCTTGGTTTTCGAACGTCGAACGTGGCCCTCCGGGAGCCACATGGACAGGTGAGCTGGCCACCGCGACGAGTGAAAGATGCTGGAACCGCTCGTATACCTCGCGAAGGTGGCGATCCGGCTGCCGTGCGGGCTGGCGAGGAGCTGGTTCGCGCACCGGTACCGCGACGTGGGCGCGGCCAAGTTGGTGGCCATCGTGTTTCTGCTGGAGTGTACCAACAGCCTGGACGCGGCGACGATGCGGCGGGTGGTGAACCCGGTGCTGGCGGCGGGCAGCGCGGCGGCGGAGTGGTGGGTGGGGGGGACGAGGACGAGCGAGCGTGCGAGCGCGAGCGAGGCCACGCGGGCGAGCGAGACCACCACGGCCAACACAACGACGACGACAACGACGACGACAACGACCACCGCCACGATCCGCTGGCTCTTCCAAGAGCCCGCCGCGCCCGCCGCCGCGCCCGTCCTGCTATACGTGCACGGCGGCGGGATGTGCTTGGAGCTCGTCCCGACCAACCTCGTGTACCTCGCCGAGCTGCGGCGGCGGGTCGGCCTGCTCAGCGTCGCGTACGTGGCCTACTCGCTGGGCCAGCGGTACCCGACCGCGGTCGACGAGGTCGCCGCCGCGTACGCGCACCTGGTGCGCGCGGGCCACCGCGTGTGGCTGTTGGGCGACTCCGCGGGCGCCAACCTGTGCTTGAACGTGCTCCAGCGGTGCGCGCGGTCGCCCTCCAGCGCGCCCGCGCTGCCCGACAAGTGCATCGTCGTGAGTCCCTGGCTCAACGTCACCACCACCACGGGCCCGCCCGCCGGGGGCATCGACTTCCTGACCTGGGACCAGCTCGCCATGTTCAAGAACCTCTACGCGCCCGACGGCAGCCACGCAGACCCGGAGCTCAACGTCGAGGCCAACTTCGACCCCGCGGTGTGGTCGCGGGTGCTCCGCTCCACGCGCCTGCTGGTGCTTCGGGGCGAGGACGAGATCCTGGGCGCCGAGATCGCGCGCTTTTGTCGCAAGCTGCGCGCGCTGGACGTCGGCGACGTGCGCACCGTCACCCAGCCCGGCGGCGTGCACTGCGAAGCGCTGTACTTCGACGAGGGCGTGGCCGGGAGCCTGCGCGCGGCCGCCGCCTTCTTGCGCGAGGGCCGGTGAGTCTACAATCTGTACATAGGTATATAGCGCGAGGGCGCGCGTGGGTGCGCGAGGGCGAGGGTGAGCACGAAGGAGGGTGGGACGCATCGAGAGCGCGAGGGCCCCGGGCCTTTGCCGACGCTCGTCGACGCTCGTCGACGCTCTCGCTCGCGCTCGCTCGCGCGCGCTCGCCGGTGCCAAAGTATTTCAACCTTTATAATTACATCCACTAAACACATCTACACTTCTCACAACACTTCTCAAAACACATCCCCAACCCAACCCACGCCGCTCCTCCTCCCACCGCCCCCCACCGCGATGCCGCCGCCCGCCAAGAAGAAGCTCACCCCGAAGTCTGCCGTCCTGGTGAAGAAATACGAACGCCCGATCCGCCTCGCGTTCATCAGTCTCGTCGCGGCCCTGTGCGTGGTGTTCCTCCTGCACACGCCGCCCTCGCGCGGGCCCCGGCCAGGGCACGGGCCCGCGCTCAACCACATCACCCCGGTGGACCCGCAGTCGCTGCTCAAACCGCACGCGGACGTGGCCCAAAAGGTGCACTACCCACCGGCCAACGACCGCGTGCGCGAGCGCGCCACGTTCGTCACGCTCGCGCGCAACTCGGACCTGTGGTCGCTGGTGCCCTCGATCCGCCACGTCGAGGACCGCTTCAACCGCCGCTTCCATTACGACTGGGTTTTCCTCAACGACAAGCCGTTCGACCAGGAGTTCATCCGCGTCACCTCGGCGCTGGTGTCGGGCACGGCCAAGTACGGCGTGATCCCCTCCGAGCACTGGTCGGTGCCGGACTGGATCGACCAGGACCGCGCCGCCGAGGCGCGCAGCCAGATGGTCCAGGACCAGGTCATCTACGGGGACTCGGTGCCCTACCGCCACATGTGCCGGTTCGAGTCCGGGTTCTTCTTCCAGCACGAGCTGCTGGCCGACTACGAGTTCTACTGGCGCGTGGAGCCCGACATCCGGCTGTTCTGCGACATCCACTACGACGTTTTCCGCTTCATGAAGCTCAACAACAAGAAGTACGGGTTCATCCTGTCGCTGAGCGAGTACGAGAAGACCATCCCGACGCTGTGGGCCACCACCAAGCAGTTCATGCATAAGTTCCCGCAGTACGTGCACAAGAACAACCTGTTGGACTTTGTCTCGGACGACCAGGGCGAGTCCTACAACATGTGTCATTTCTGGTCCAACTTCGAAGTGGGCTCGCTGGACTTTTGGCGCGGCGACGCCTACCAGGCCTACTTCGAGTACCTGGACCGGGCCGGCGGGTTTTTCTACGAGCGCTGGGGCGACGCCCCGGTGCATTCCATCGCCGCGTCGTTGTTTTTGGATAAAAGCGAGTTGCACTTCTTCGACGGGTTTGGCTACTACCACCCGGACTTCTACGCCTGCCCTGTCGAGGAGGACATCCGCATCCAGAACCAGTGCACTTGCAACATCGCCGACGACCATACGTGGTTCGAATACTACTTCTGCACCCGCAAGTACTTCCAAGCACAGCGCCTGGCGCTGCCTCCGGGCGTCAAGCCCGCGTGAAGCGAGCCCGCGTGAAGCGAGCCTGCGAGAAGCGAGCCCGCAAGAAGCGAGCCCGCAAGTTTGTAGCCAGCATTGTATATCCCAGCGCCATGTACATATCACCATCGCCACGGCCTGTCGTTATAATATATGGAATCTTTAAGCACAGCTGTGGGAAGTTGGACGCATCGCCCAGGCGCATACACACACGCACACACGCACACACACACACACACACATCCACAATGGCGAGCGTCACGTCGCGACGGCTGGCCATGGCCATGGGGCACCCGCTTCGCGCGCTCCGCGCGCTCCGCGCCGGTGCCCACCGGTTCCAATCGTCCGCACCGTCCATCACCGCTGCTCTGCTCCAGAAGAACCTCGCCCAGCGCAACCATTCCCTGTACAACGACGGCACCGACACCCTGCGGTGCACGATGCTGGACGGCCAGGGCAACGTGGGGGCGCCCTCGCTGGAGATCAAGCGCGAAGAGCTCATCGCCCACCATGGACTGCTGCCTCGCGACCTGCGCAAGATCGAGAAGTCGCGCAAGAAGGACCTGGTGCCGATCTTGCTGGTGCGCGAGAACAGCATCTTCCTCAGTCTGCTCACGATCCGCGCGCTGGTCAAGAGCGACAAAGTGATCCTGTTCGACTCCGTGGGGCTCTCGCTGGAGTCCCGGGCGCATCGCACCTTCGTGGACGACCTGGCGCTGCGGCTGCGCAACCAAGGCGGCGTCGGGATGTCGCAGGACCCGCTCCCGTACGAGTTCCGCGCTCTGGAGTCCATCTTCGTCTCCGCGCTGTCGAACCTGGTGGCCGAGATGCGCGTGCATCTCACGCTCACCCGCGGCATCCTCCAGGACCTCGAGTACAGCGTCACCAGGGACAAACTGCGGTTTCTGCTGGTGCAGAACAAAAAACTGTCCCAGTTCTACAAAAAGGCCTCGCTCATGGGCGAGATGATCGACGATCTCCTGGACCAGGACGACGTGCTTTGCGACATGCACCTGTCCAGCAAACTCGCGGGCCGGCCCCGCAACGGCAGCGACCACGCCGAGATCGAGATGCTGCTGGAGACCTACTACGCCCACGTCGACGAAGTGGTGCAAACCGTCGGGAACACCATCTCGGACGTGCGCACCACGGAGGAAATCATCAACATCATCCTGGACTCCAACCGCAACCAGCTGATGCTGCTCGGGCTGCGCTTCAGCATAGGCCTGCTGTCGCTGGGCGGCGCGCTGTACATGGCGTCGCTCTACGGGATGAACCTCGAAAACTACATAGAGGAGGGCGACTCGGGCTTCTTCCTGGTGACGTCCGTGTGTGTCCTGTCCATGTCCGCGATTTTTCTCTACAGCATCCGCCAGCTGCACCGGCTCCAGAAGGTGACGCTCTCGGAGGGCAGGAAGTAGCCCGCTGGAGCCCTGTTAGCAGGTGTGGAAACTGACGCTGACACCGCGGCGTCACACCCGTTCGCGGTGATCAATAACACGGGTCACGTGGTTTGAATTTCTCTCGCTTTGTACGTGTGACTCGTGCGAAGGGACTGCACCCGGTCAATTCCACACGTCTGCCAACTATACAGCGTCCCAGCGTTGGCGACACCACTGCGAACACTGCCACGCTGTGAGACCTACACTTGTGTTCCCAGCACGCTACGCGCACACTAGAATGGTCGAACTTGAAAGTCTGTTTTCGTTCCAGATCTTTTTCATCTTTTTGCGAGAGTCACTGGAGATCATCGTCATTGTGTCTATCCTGCTGACGGTGGTCAAACAGGCGCTGCTCTCGAATGAGGACTGCGGTGGGAATCAGAACGTGTCTCCAGAGCAGCCGGATGAAGCCGCGAGGCTCACCGTGGAGGAAGAAGAGCTGCTGGACTACGCGCATTCCAACGTCTCGTCCAGCGGCAGGATGTCTGCGTCCGAGATCGACAACAAGCAGTTGTACAAGAAACTGAAGCTGCAGGTGCTCTCTGGCGGTGCTTTGGGACTTCTGTGCTGTCTCTTGGTTGGGGGCGCCTTCATTGTGGCCTTCTATATCATCGGCACGGATCTGTGGTCTGCCAGCGAACACTATTACGAAGGTGTGTTGAGCACCGTGGCGTCTGTGATCATATCCGTGATGGGGCTCTTCTTCCTGAGGATGGGCAAACTCCGCGAGAAGTTCAGGGTCAAGCTGGCCACCATCATCTATTCCGATCGCGGCAAGATTCTGCAGGACAACGGGGCCAAAGCGGTCAAATTCAGCGAGAAATATGCGTTGTTCATATTGCCCTTTGTGACGGCGCTTCGCGAGGGCCTGGAGGCTGTCGTTTTCGTTGGCGGCGTGGGGATCGATCAGCCCCTCTCCTCCATCCCACTTTCGATGCTAGCGGCCACTCTTGTGAGCTCGGTATTTGGCTATTTCTTCTTCAAATCGTCCAAATCTTTCTCTTTGCAGATAAGCTTGGTCGTGACAACGTGTTTTCTCTACTTGATTGCCGCAGGCTTGTTTTCCAAAGGCATTTGGCAATTCGAGGTCCAACGGTACGTGAATTTGTGCAATGGCCAGGACATGAGCGAGGTGGGCAATGGACCCGGTTCGTATGATATAAGCAGGTCCATATGGCACGTCAACTGCTGTAACGGTGAGAGAGATGGATTGTGGATGATATTCACAGCGATTTTCGGTTGGACCAACAGTGCTACTTATAGTTCAGTGGTTGCGTACAATTTGTACTGGCTGGTTATTATCGGTGCCATCAAAACTTTGCTGATCGAAGAAAAAGTTGGCTACATCCCATTTGTACCACTTCGACTCCAGAAACGTCGTATCCAAAAGAGAGTTCACGCTGCCAAAAAAGCTCTTGATCTCAAGCACTTGACCCCATTTGCCTCTTCAACGCCCGTTCCATTTGATGACTCAAATCGCAGAACTTCCAAAGATAGTCAAAATAGTACTTCACCACTCATACAGAATGCTGTATCCGGCAAGACTTCGCATACGTAATATACATTCATAGGCATATCTTTCTCAGTTTAATCTTCTATCTTAGAATCTCTAATGCACGACATTAACTATATACCTTTGGGTTATTGAAGAACCACCACAACATCGCCGGCTTCAACCATATCACCGTTCTTATGCGCAATCTTCAAAACTTTACCAGCTTTCGTGGCAGACACAATCATCTCTGTCTTCATGGCCTCCACCACGATCAATCCGTCACCAGCTTCAACAACATCTCCAACAGAGACCATGGGTTTCCAAAATCTACCCGAATACTCGGAATACACCATCTCTGCGTCTTCTGGGAACTCTTCCTCCACTACTGCTGAGGTGGAGGCCGATTGTTCCAGCTCGGCATTTGATTCTTGCATCAACCTTGAGAACTCTTGAGCCTTTTCACCTCCTATAGATTTCTCGAACGCAGCGATAGACTCACTGTTTTCAGAGATCCACTGCAAATATTGCTTATGATCAAAAATGCTTTCTTCCACTTGAACAGGGAACTGACCGTACTCACATTCATTAGTGAATTTGTTCAACTCTTCTTCCGAAACCGCGTAAAACTCAACTTGGTCAAATGGCGTTAGCAACCATGGATGTTCAGTGGAGTGTGCTCCAAGTTTCAACTTGTCCCAAATTGGAATGGTCCTCCCGACCAACTGATATCCTCCAGGAGAATCCATTGCATAAATGCACATGTACATGCCCCCAATACCAACGGTACCAGCTTTAGTGTAAGTTCTGGATGGATTGTACTTGGATCCGAGAAACCTGTGTCTAGGATCCAAGGGAACGGCGCATGGAGCGCCCAAGAATACGTCACCCAGCCCTAAGACCAAGAACCTGGCGCTGTATAACATACTTTCCACGTCTTTGTGAGTGATGCCGTTAATATCCGCAATGAAGTCCACGTTATTTGGCAACCACGGAGCTTTGGAACGAATAGTTTCCTGGTAACGCTTGACACAATCGAGGGTGTCAGAATCTTCGAAAGCTAGGGGTAATTTGAAAACCTTGGATTTGATAGTCCAGTGATTGTCAAATTTGATCTCTTTCTCGTAAGCAATCAAGACTCTTAACAACTCACTTTGGCTAGTTTTATAGCCATTAAATTCCACTAGCACAGAGCGCACCCCTTGTGACATCTCCACGATACCAACAGTCTGATGTTTTCCCACCAAAGAGATGAGCCTGTTAACGCGGTAAGAGATGTTCAAGTCTAGCTCGTTCTCACCGTACTCAACCAGAATATAACGATCACCCGCCTGGCGGTAAGTTACCTTAGGACAAAACTCGGAAGTCTTTGGCAGCTGGGCCAAAATAGGCGTTTCATAAGCAGGGAGAATCAATTCTGAAGACAACGTCTTCAAACTTTCCTCGTCGAACGTTTCGATGGCTTTGTCTTGAGATTCTTTCAACAATCTAGCAGATTCATATGATACAGGGACAAATTGGATGAAATCTCCTGGTTTGACTTGGCCAACTTTCCACAATTCAGCCTCCGGAACAACCGCTTGGCAAACAAAACCACCTAGAGATGGACCGTCTGATGTAATGATAACTGGCTCGTCACCAGTAAAGTTGATAGCGCCCAGAGAATAGACATAATCATGTGCATTCGATGGGTGCAGACCACCCTCACCACCATCAGTTCTCGCCCACTGAGGTTTTGGGCCGACCAACCTAACTCCAAATCTGTTGGAATTATAGTGCACTTTCCACTTCTCGCTGAAAAATTCTTCAACAGACTCTGGTTTGAAGAAATCTGGGGAACCGTGTGGACCACACGTAACGCCAATGGTCCACTCCTTGTTTTCCGCAATGGATGGAATCAAGCTGGCAGGTGGCTCGCTAGGTTCGTATGAAGGAGCAGGCAAGTCAGAAGAAGGAAGTTCGGGCTGGTTGAGGAACAACACGTCACCCAGTTTCAAAACCCTTCCATTGTATCCTCCCATGTTACCCAAGGCAAATGTAGATCTAGAGCCCAAATACTCGGGAACATCAATACCACCTCTAATAGCCAGGTACATTCTGCAGCCTTGCGTTAGTTTGCCAATGGCTAATTGACCGCCCCTCTTGATGTAAACGGGTTTGTTTTGATCAATATGTTTACCGTCGACGGAGCAAGGCGCAACACCACCCGTTAGAGCAATAACAACATCAGTATGGAACACAATTTTGGGTCCATTGAGCGTAATTTCGATGGCTGGAGCTTTATAGTGATTGCCGACAATTCTATTGGCGAGCCTGAAAGAATAAGCGTCCATTGGACCAGAAGGTGGAACACCGATTCTCCAATGCCCAACTCTACCCGGGTAATCTTGAACTGTTGTGTACGCACCTGGGGCAGTGACTTCAAAGGCAAATGGTTGGTAATCGAAAGAATCTAAAACTTTAGTAGCGACTTTCGCGGTTTTGAACATCTCGGAAGATGCAATAGACCTCAAGTAGTCTATATTTGTAATACAACCATAAACTGACGTTTCGTTGAGGGCCTGGTTCAATTTTTCAATGGCTTCATCACGATCTTTGCCATGTACAATGATTTTAGCTAGAGTGGGGTCATATTCAGCGGATACGGTGGTACCTTTAGCGACCCAAGTGTCGACTCTAGCCCATTCAGGGAATGAAACATCAGTCAGACGACCAGGGGAGGGCCTGAAGTCCTTCACGGGATTCTCGGCGTATAAACGAGCTTCAATTGAGGCACCTGATACCTTGATGTTGGCATTTTCGAAGTCGGGAGGGGTGCCGGCAGCAATCAGCAACATCCATTCTACCAAGTCTAAACCAGTGACCATTTCAGTGATTGGATGCTCCACTTGTAGTCTTGCATTGACCTCCAGGAAGTAAAATTCATCTCTCTGTTCATCGTAGATAAATTCCACGGTACCTGCGCACTTGTATTTCAGCAACGAACCAAGGTTTTCGGAGGCCTTGCGCATTCTTTGCCTTGTACTCTCGGTCAAATTTGGGGCAGGGGTTTCCTCGATGACTTTTTGATTACGACGTTGCAGCGAACAGTCACGCTCTCCAATAGCGATAGCGTTGCCTTTGCCGTCACCCATCATTTGAATTTCAACGTGTCTAGCGTTTTCCACAAATCTTTCCAAAAAGACACCAGAGTCGCCGAAATAGGCTTTTCCTTGATGTTGAACCGTTTCGAAAACTCTCTCGATGTCGGCTTCAGAGTCAACTTTTTGCAAACCGATACCACCGCCACCAGCAGTGGACTTGACCATTACAGGGTATTCCAGCTGTTTGGCTATCTCTTTCGCCTCCTGTGGGCTACTGACCAGGCCAGAGCCAGGAACAAGAGGCACGCCAGCTTTCTTGGCAATTTCTCTGGCTGAATGCTTCAAACCCAATTTTCTGATGGCATCACCGGCGGGACCCACAAAGTTTATTCCTTCAGCGGCACATCTATCGGAGAAATCCGCATTTTCCGATAGAAAACCATAACCTGGGATAATGGCTTGAGCCCCAGTTTCATGAGCAGCCGCAATAATCTTATCGATGTCCAAATAGGTTTCAGCAGCTGTTCTTCCTTTTAGGTTGACGGCAATATCGGCATCAGCTACATGTTGGGAGTACCGATCGGGATCAGAATAAACGGCGACAGCTTTAATCTTGAGTTTCCTCAACGTCTTCATGATACGGACAGCAATCTCACCTCTGTTAGCAACCAAGACAGTATCAAAGGGCTTGTTAGCATAAGCTTCCTCCGAGTTTAATTTTTCGATATACGCTTTGAAACCACCAAACTCGGTTATATCGACTGTACCTTGCTGTTGGTACCCGAATTCTTCACAAATAAACGATTTAACCCATTCTCCGGACTCTAATTCGACAGAGCCGATCCCTAAGGGCTCAGGCACCATAGAAATAAAAGTACCAAACTGATCTCTAGGAACACTGTACACTTCCAACTGTATCTTACTTCCTGACTCATCACTCGAGACCCGTCTCAAACCGGGTTTTAGAACAGGACCCACCTTTGGCAGGGCATACAGTTTATAGTTGGATGATGTCGTTGGGCTTCCTAGGTAGGTAGCGTTAACCTTTTCAAGTTGCCAGTGAAGTGGGAGCCCCTTTAGATGAGCACCTACGACAGCGAGCTTGATGGAATCCTCAGAGCTAAATGGAACTGGTAACAATTCGTCTTGAACGTTGATCGTGCGATCCGTGAATTGCCCATAAGTTCTAGAGTCTTGAGGGAAGGCTTTTTTGAAATAACGGTGAGCTAGGTCTAGTAACGCATAATCAGTGAATTTTTTACCCACCAAAGTGATTCCGTTTGACATACCATCACTCCGGAATCCGGCTGGGACAGCCAGTGCACAGAGGTCCGCAAGGTTAACAAAATTGGTCCAAGTGCCTTGCTGCGAGTTGTATGTGACCGGTTCTGCCTCCACTTGTGCGAAGGAAGGATTTAGGGGACAGGTTGGGACACAAAGCACATCTATGTCGCGAAGGGATTCTTCTACTCTCTGCAAGATTCCTTGGCGCTTGTATTCATACTTGAAGGCATCTGCGGCGTCAAACTTGGTGCCACTTTGAATAATTTGATAAACGGTTGGATCTAAGGTCTGTGGGTCGGGATTGGTACTAAAAAAATCACGGGTGGCCTCGTAACGTTCAGCGACCCAGGCACCCTCATAGAGACATCTGGCAAGCTCCAGGAGAGGTTCAAAATCGAGTTCAACGATCTGCACGCCCGTGGCACGCAAGTTGGCCACTGCTTGCTCGTAGAGACGAGGGTTTTCGCCGCTCTCTTCGCTGAACCAAGGAACCTTACTTGGCACAGCCACCCGGCAGTCCTTGCTGTAACGTTGCAGCGGGTTAGGAGGCATGCTGCGAGAATATTCATCATTGGTGGTGTCTGCTTGGGCCATGACTTGGAATCCAATTTGGGCATCCCGCAGGTTCAACGCGAAAATAGAAACACAATCCAGAGATTTGCAAGCAGGTACAACTCCGGAGCAGGAGAACAGACCCTTAGTGGGTTTCAACCCAATGAGGTTGTTTAAGGCAGCCGGGACACGACCAGAACCGGCTGTATCGGTACCCAGAGCAAGTGGAACGATCCCGCGAGCCACAACGGATGCAGAGCCTGCAGAAGACCCTCCAGAGACGTGTTTATCGCTGAAAACACAGGGTGTCTTGCCGTATGGAGACCGAGCTCCTACCAAACCAGTGGCAAACTGGTCTAAGTTGGTCTTACCCACGATGATTGCACCAGCGTCGCGCAATAATGAGACACATGTAGCGTCTTTCTCGGGCTCGTATGCAAAACTGGGGCATGCTGCTGTAGTCTTGCAGCCTGCCACGTCAATGTTGTCTTTGATCGCCACGGGTACCCCGTACAGCGGCAGCTTCTCTTTGTCGCCCTTGCTCTGTAGAACGCGCCATTGGTGCTGTAGATGCTCTGGTGTGACGAGCGAGATCCACGCGGGATCAGCAGGGGCCTTTGATTGCGATTTCAATAAATCTTGCAGCCGATCCAGAGCTTGTTGTGGGGTGGAGCGTGCGTGAAACGCACGCCATTGCTCGACACTCCAGCCCAAAGATGAGGCAGCTGGGGAAGTCATACTGATGGAGAAGAGCTGATTAAACGTGGGGACGGGCGATAAGGTATGTTAGCTAAATCAGACAGATCCCGTTTGGCGTTTGTTGTTAATCACAAACTAAAGGTATCTTGATATGATGCAGAGTTAGAACATCTCCAAAATCTCAATTCCATTACTCCCAGACAACCAGAACCGCTACCCTTTTATATATGATCCAATCCAAACGACAATGCATTGGTTTATCGACCATGAGATTGTACACCGCACATTTAGCGAGCCCAGCGCATATTTCATTTTCCCAGATATCGACACACGCAAATTTTCCAACTGCCGAAACCTTCCCCTTTCGTCTGCGGTGATTTACTTTGCGGCGTGCCAGCTATGAAGCCTGCCAAAGGGAAGCAAGCCTGGAGGAAGCGCTATGGGTCGGTTTCAGCCGCAGCCTGCGCACTTGCCTCGTCTAGCCCCATCTTTTCCAAGATGCACGCACCTCAGCTCGAGTGTAATCCAATCATGTTGTACGGCTCTAGATTCGGGCCGGCATTGTCTGGAGCGTACATCTGTCAGCCAGCTCGGTCATGCGCGTGTGTTGATACTTGAAGCCTTTCGGTGCTCTCCATGGCCCGCATTGCGCATAAGATCTGTGTCGTTGCGACACACACACACACACATTCATTTCGCGGACATCGCCAGTGGCTGCCGATAACACAGAGCAAAAATTGATAACCGTGTCAATTTGCCAGGATAAGGATGGCCAGTATCGTCAAGTGACATCAACTAGCGTCGGTTGGCTAAGATGTGGGGCACGCCACTGGATAGGGTAGAAAAAACTGTGGCTATCTCGCCCACGCAGAAGGCCGTGGCCGACCAGCGCACGGATGTGACCGAGGTTGGGCCAGCGTATGCGTGGGCATGAATAGAGAGCCAAGGGTATGGGGGATCGCCAAGGGCATTGTTTGGAATAGTTCCAGTGTCAGTGTAAGGATGCTTGAAAAGTCGAGTTTACAATCTTGTGGGATGGAAATGGTTGGAAGACGTTACAGCATGGCGGAAAGTGGTGCCAGCGCGTCAGAAACTGTAGAATTGGAATGTGAACTATGGGGTATGGACCCATAGAGAACAAGGGGGTCACTTTGTAGCACCTTGGGGGAGTGAAATGGTTGGGCTGGATGCCAGCAAATATTATTGTGGCGTCAAAATGGAACAAAGTGATATTCGCGGCGTCAGTAAAACAAGGTTGTAGCAAGCAAACGATCAACCGGTGAAGGCCATGGAGGGACGGACTGCGCAGGAGCAGCCTTATCAATCATTTTAATCTCTCAACCTCTCAGCATAATGGAATCCGTGAGTTCTAGCCCTGACCGCCTCTAAGGCACTCTTGACACAATTTTGTTCATGTACAAAGTGTACCGTAAGGTGGACCCTTCAAAAAGTCCAATTAATAACGCAGTCAGGAGTCGTTTAATCACCCTGGACAGATTATCATATGTTCGGCAGAGAGCCTGCAATGATCGGCTATTGGCAGAGAGCCTGCAATGATCGGCTATTGGCAGAGAGCTCTCTTCGTGAGGCCAGCTTGTTTTGCCCCCAAACTAATGTTGTGACGCGAGAAAGAAACTGTGACACAGCAACAGAGCTCGGTGAGGCATTCTTCTTTGGAGGAATAGGTCGAGGCTACTCTATATCCACCATCAAGAAAATCTACGAGATTTCACCTTTCTTTCACAAGTTCTAGCTCAGGCCTCTTGTATCCACTTATGTTGAGGGTGCGTTGCTCGCTTATAGCGGATTACTTTCTCACCAGGCTGATTTTGTTATATTAGAAAAGAACGAACGGTTTTTTTAGACATATCATTAGCGTCCATGCGCAGGGCTCCATCAGATGTAGTGAGCTTGCAGGCCTTGAAATCGTCCACCTGAACCGTTCCATGGAAGGTCTTGAAGGTGTGGTTAGTCCAGTTAGTTTACAACGTGTCTCATGATGTGGTGCTAAATTACAAATCCTATCAACCGTATTGCCTCTTCCCCATCTACTGAAATCCGAGGCTCACTCAGACTAGGTGATAGGAAAGCCGTAAAAGAGCAATGTTACCAAGGTATCTCGGAAGATTTGCTTCTCAGCGCGTGCTCAGACAACCCGTCTCGTGGGCGAGGTTTATGAGCTCAGAAACGAGGGAGGCCATCACGTCAGCCATCAAATCCGCACCAGTCGTGCTATTCATGAAGGGCACTCCTGAATTCCCACAATGTGGGTTTTCCAGGGCTACGGTTGGGATGCTAGGCCAGCAGGGTGTAGACCCATTGAAATTCGCCGCCTACAATGTTTTGGAAGACCCTGAGTTGCGCGAGGGGGTTAAAGAGATTAGCGAGTGGCCCACGATCCCTCAGCTCTACGTTAACCAAGAGTTTGTGGGTGGTTGTGATATTGTCATGAGTATGGCCCAATCTGGTGAGCTCGCAAAACTACTGGAAGACGCCAAAGCCTTGGTGCCAGAGGAAGAAGAGGACTAAAACGTCCCCAGAGGTGGGGCCCTGCGAGGTCCTTCCACTGCGTATTTATGTAAAATGTGTTCTCGTGCCTTTAGACTTGTAAATAATTGATCTGTTATTACAAACTCCGCTCTTTGGTTAAGCGAGAACTCACACGTAATGAAGTGTCAATTTCCGTCGTCTCTAGAGGCCACCAGCTATTGAGAAACGAGCACACGCGCTCTCTGAGGCACCCTGGAAAACAGACGTGTCACCGTAGAAAGTAGCATCGTCATCGCAATATATCACGCTTCATGCTTGAACGCACAATAATTGCTTGCACAGAAACCTAGTTTACCTACAGTGGTTCTACAGTTAAGAAGCATGCTACCGTGGCCACAAGGAAGGTTTTTCGAGAGCATATGTTTGCCCAATTTCTTTGGATCTGCGACTGGTTAAAAAGTGTTTGCCGAGGCTAGCCAGTCGCAAGTCTTGGTAATAGTGGGTATTGTTTGATCTTCGTTAAAACTTCACTCCAGAGTGAACCCATGTAGCGCTGACACGCACTAACAGGAAGAGCACACTGAGATTGGGAAGTAACGGTACGAAAACAATGCATCCAAACTTGGAAGTCATCGAGTGCTATGAACGACACTAACGTGAAAGGAACTGGACCTCAATCCGGGGGATGCAGTGGGAAGGCTACTTTGGGCGTCAAGCATGAAGGTGGTTGGGTCAATTTACTGAACTTTAGGCTTTTTTTTCTTGAAAAGCTCAAACGACCATTCATTGCTTGTCATCAGAGACGAGTAGTGAGCTTTCTCGCTGAGGTTTCCATATGGCGTCGACATGAACCTAGCTTCTCACTCCCGGATAGAGCTTCTCCAGGTCTTTTCCTAAGTTCTGGGCTTTTTCTTTGGCCTCTTTCTTCCAGAGACAGATGCTTTGGTAGTCACAGTACTTGCAGTAGGTTAAAACATTTCGTAAAGTTGGCTTTATAGGCTCAATGTTTCGCTTGCCAAACCAGAACAGGGCGCTGTCGGTGCTCTGGTGCATTAAGGCCTGTGAATCGTATGTGAAGGAAATGTTGTGAAAGTTTTTATTGCCGGAATAGTACTCTATCATCAACTCTGAGGAAAGTAACGGCCCCAAGATGTGATAAAGTTGAGCCAAGCGAGCCGCAAAATAGCGCAAAGTAACCGGAGTAGCCCAGTTGGAAAATAGAGAGCCATATTTCTGTCTTGTAAGGGGATCGGTTATTCTGCTTGTAAGAGACTCCCATGTGCAAGCTTCTGTCTTCTTGTATTGACTGTAAAACTTGTCAAAGGGTTCGAAGCCTATAGGGGAGCCGTTATGCAGTCTCACCATATCCGCCTTCATGATTGGATCCACCTCCATTAGATATATGATTTTCCCTGGTTCAACTGGCTGATCAACGTCATGCCCCCGCCTTTGTGCATTTATCAGCAACTTGTTGTATGTGGCATGCGCGTCCAATCCCAGTGTCTCCATAAAATACCGGTAGTACATAACTTGTAACTTGGCTGCTGTTATGACGGTTTGTTGTGTGGGCACAGTTTTCGTTGGGCGGGTTTTCACATCGCTGATTATTAGCTCCATATCCTCTTTCGCATCCTTCACCGAGACGGATAACCTTTCTAAGATCTTTCTGATGTCAAGAGCGTCCGCTCCATACTGATCATCCCAATCGCTCACTAGTGGTCTGGGCGCACTGGTAGATGAATCGCGTCGTCTCAGCACCAAATGATCGATGATGCCGCTAACTAAAATGTCTTCGTCGCTGGTCACATTTCCTTTCAGCAGACGACAAGACTCAGGATTCAGATACCCATGGCACAGTATCTCTCTCGCTTCGCCTGTTTTGAGTAGAGTCAAAAGTCTCGTCGTGGTTGCATACCAGTCTTCAACTAGAGTATGGAAGGCGTCGTTAGGAATAGTGACCTCAAAATTTGTCTTGAACTCTTCCACGTCTATTGGTACATGTGCCTCTTCCTCAAGCATCTGATGTACCTGCCGGCCCTGGGCAACCTGGCTGTGCTCATATATGGGTATCTGCGAATAAATATCGTACGTCTCACGCAATTCACACCACCTTTTGGTTAGCATTTTTGTTACGGAGAGCCTGGGAGTACCAGCATATTGAATAGCGCCCGTTTCCGGGTCTGCCGTTGCTCGAGCATGCGCGTCCAAATAAGGATTTTGCATCGACATGGGTAGTGTGTAGGATAAGTATTCGGCGTTACATTCGTGCTTGAAAAGTTGTCGTACTATGCGTAGTTTATTTTCAAGATAGGACTGCTTGGCCTTAGTGATCGGACGATTTGACACCTTTTTCTCTTCTTGAAAGAAAGGAAGATTATTGATGGCCTCAAGCTCTTCTGGAGTTGGGGCTAGGCTATGATCGGAAATGTCTATCCGAGGGGATCTGGCTGTCCGCGGCAGGTGGACATACCGCCGGATATTGGTAAGCGGCCCGGGTCTAGTCATTGACCCTTTTTGGGTGCTAAGGTAATGTCGATGCTGCGTTCCGGCAGCGTTGATGTTAAATTTCGTGGGATGCTAGGTTCATTACTTGACACCCAGACATCACACCGTAAATTACACAAAATGGTTAAGATACCGCGAGCGTGTCGTTCGAAATCCCATTAATTGAGCTTGACTGCTCATTGTTGGTCATCAATTGAGTTTGCAATTCCGAAGGAGTTGCCTGAAACAAGTGGTCGTAGGCTTAATGGCGATCGACGCTTTTAGGCAATTTAAAATCATGAATCAGCTCACAAACTTAAAATTGAGTGGTTGAAACTTGAAGCTGGAAAACCTCATGACCTTTCGTCACCTCTCATAGAACACCTACACGCCCCTCCTCTCTTGGAATGTATTCGTAGCATACTGAGTATCATCCTCAAATTTCTCGACCCTCCGCCGTGGTTGACTTGGTGGGTATGCAACACGTATGACATTAAAACTATACAACTACAAAGCGGTGTGGATCTATCTCTTCCCACAAAGGCAGTGTTTACAGAAATAAACTGACGAGTTCCAAAATACCGCCACCTACCAGCAGGAACAGCAGCACAGAGATCCACGTCTTGGAAAGAGACAAGGCCGGCTTGGTTTGGGTCTTTTTGGCCTTGCCTAGCTTTTTCTCGTTGCGCTTGGCAAACTTTTCATTTGCAATCCGCTGTTTGGGAGTTTGAACGGCCATTCTTCAACAGTGTGGGACAGCGGCTTGTTTGTTGAGACAGATGTACAAGTCTATGTGATTTAACACCATGTCAATATCACATTTCGGTGCGTTCGGACACTGGAAGATACACAGCGTACAAAGTGATATATAGATGATGGCCCAACTCACGGACAGATATGGGAGTTGACAGCAGCTCACAATGCTTGGCATCTAGGCATGGCCAAGGAGGTTGGGAGGGATTAGAGAGACTGTGTTATCTGGAAAAACTTCCCCTTTCTCGATAAAATTAGGTTTACTTTGCGCGTGGACTTCTCGCGTTTATATGAAAAGCTAGTTATTACAGCTTGGAAATTCGACGTGTCGAGCCCTTACATTTAAGCATACCTCAAAACTGATAAAGATGCAATATTGAGGCTAATATAGGGAGAGCTTAGGACTGGCAACAAACGTTTAATTTATCATTCACTGCTATTGAGGCGAATCTGATTCATCAGTAAACAGCCTAGTAAATTTGTCTCGTAAATCGTTCATAAACATTGTAAGATGAGTAACTTGGATATAGGGAGCTCTATTCATCTCTTCGTGATTATTTAAGGCACTAGGATTGGTTCAATTACCTGAATAAAAGCCTGATATTCATACATTTCTCGCTAGGTGGCTCTGAATAACACAATTATTAATAATTCGTTATAGATCATTCTGTTATCAATGATTGATTCTCAATGTCGAGAACTTAGCAATCGCCAGTTCCATTGGACAGTAGGTCAAGAGCCTTGGCTACAACGATATAAGGTGTTAATGAACACTGTTTTCCCCGGAACCCATTCAAATATATGTCATTATGTACTATTATGTCACTTTAATGTGGTCGCGAAGTAATCGATCAATTCAAATAAAAGCATGAGCCTCAAGGGTTGATACCATTAGGCAATGTTTCCGCCGCCGCCACAGCGATGAGAGTATTACCAGTAGGCCGCACGGTGTCGGCAGCCAAAATTGGCCGCATTGTACGGGCATGGTCTCGCCACAAACTCATACCCTTGGCTATCGGAGAGTTTGCCGCCGCATGGCGAAGTCCCAAACCGACGAGCAGCAGTCGCAATTCCTCGTCAAGAGATTCAAGAGGTCTTGCAAATGAAAAAGTCAAGCCGCTAGGCTTTTATCTAATAGGTCAGGTCTTCAATGTCAAGTGGTGGCGTGGATAACTATTTTGTTCTCCGAACAAGGCGTAGATCGGCAGACAGCATATCCATGATCGGCAATACATAACAGCAGTACTACCAGAGGACAGTGCGTTGACTACAGCCTGCGTCTTTATGGGAACAACACTTGAGTGGTCGGTTAGCCGCCGTGATGTGAATGGAGGCTCCAAGATTCTTATGGTCTCGTGATAGCTAGTGATGAAATGGCAACGCTACAACCTGCGGGCGAAAGCATAGACCGCTATCCCTCTATCCCACCCAGAGCCCCGCCATTTCAGGAACCACACTACTCAAGGGATCTACTACCAAAGGCTGCTCTCCTGATCTTTCTTTTACGAATTACGTTTCTCACCTCACAAGTCTAATTGAGCAAGCTAAAGCATCCGGAGGTTACGTAAACGGGTTGGTGCGTCTTTCCCGCTTCGAAGGCTGTAGCCTTTCTCTGAGCCTCCTGACAGCATCGCCATTGTCCTCCTTTTTGCAAAGGCTAATTATGATCGTCTCAGCCCCATAGTAGACGAGCACACCAACCGTTTCTGTACAAAGGCAACGGTTGGAAGCGCCTCCAGGCATAATAGGCACGTCTCGGCTCACAATGTCAATGTCGCAGACTCAAACTGAGCCACCTGCAACTTGACTGTCGTACTACAGACAACAAAGTGATCTTGAAGTCAACTTCAAGAGCACTGATGCATTGGGACCACTGACGATAGCTACTAAACTCGGGCAGTACGTCGCCTGTGCTCCGACTGTTGGCATGGAATGCTTTTTAGCGAGGCAGCGAAAATTCCTCACGTACCCGTGAACGAAAACTTGTGCAAATGGCTGGTGCACACATGCTGTGCGAAAAACGCAAGACAAGAAAAATGACTGCTTACGGAAGTTTTGTCAACAAACTCTGGTTTCAAACACTACGCTCGAGACTGGGCCCGAAAGACGCGAGCTTTCACATGTGTGGCTGGTGTGTTATACTCGAAAGACGTTGTCAGAGTTTCAAGGTACTCTGTCAGAGCAACGTGTTGGTTAGCTACACTTTCCACTAAGCTGGGCGAGCTGCATGTGCCCACAGCCGTCGCCCTCTTCAGCCGTTTCAAAATTGCCACTTTGGACACCTTCACTTGAAAAGCCAGCAAATAGCTTTTTCGTGGTTTTGAGTTTAAAAATCCACGAACTTTGAAGATTTTCGTTTCCACCAGCCACTTGTTATTTTCTACCTTATCCCATCTAAGATAATCTCTACGAATTCCCAGCCATCGCGCTTTAAGCCTGTTTTCGGAAGTCACTAAAAGTCGCCTGTTCTGCTTGCGCAAAGCTAAACATAGCCAACTTTTCGCACTACGCAATCTCCCACACTCCTTTATTAAAACACCTAACATTTCGCTCCTTTTCCTCGTTCACTCGTGTCTTAGAATAACTAGCAAGAACGAGACCATATATTGACGAAAACTCATCGATTTCCAACCCCCAGTCTTTCCTTTCGAGTTTCTAGTCACTGTCGCACTCTCTGCCTGATACACACATTGAAACAATTCAAAAAAACGGCTTCTTGTCTTCCTTCGAAACCCAACGATTAGCTCTCTGAGAACAGGTCGTCCCGATGAAATTTATCTCTCAGGCTTGTGCTGCCGCACTTCTATCGCTGGCCCCACTGGTTGCTGCTTCTTGTGACTATGTTGGAGGCAACTACTACTGTTCCGAAACAGATGCAGTAATCTACCAGAATGTTGGCTACTCTGGCTCGTACCAAGACGTCACTAGCATGGATGAGAGTTCATGTTCTTGCTCGCAAGAGTCCGTTTCTTTCGAGGGTTCGATGTCCCCATTGAACGAAGAGTTATCTGTTCATTTCAGAGGACCTTTGGAACTTTTGCAATTCGGTGTTTACTATCCAAGCTCCGGGAACTCTCTGAAGAAAAGAGAGGACTGCGATGTCGCTACTCGTCACCACGACCACAAGCGTGATGTTGCAGTGGCTATAGTTCACGTCACTTCAACGATGTACGTTGACGGTAACGGTGACCCAGTCGCCTCTACTAACCCATCAGCAACTGCAATTTACACCACGTCTTCAACCTTGGCTCCAGCCTCTACTACCACTTCTGCTACTGCTGATGATGAAGCCTCCACTTCGGTTTCGAGTAGCGCTGCAGCTTCGTCCGAGGGCTCTTCCTCCTCCGCCTCTGTTTCCTCTGGCTCTTCCGCATCGACTTCGTCATCATCTGCTTCAACTTCCTCAACTTCTAGCTCTGGTACAGGCTCCGGCTGGAACAGAGTTTCGTACTACACCCCCGGCTCTGCCAACAACTTGACCTTCATGAATCACCAAGGTGGAACCGCTGGGTCTGGTACTTGGTCCTCTTGCTTTGGTAACTCTATTTCTTACTGTGCTGCCGACGGTGTTTCTGGTGCTGGCTCCCCTCAAGCATTGGATCAAGTTACTGTGCCATCTAACAAAGAATACATGATTTTCTCGGGCGTCAAGTGTTCTGACACATCTTCTGGCTCTTGTGGTTACTACAGAGACGATATTCCAGCTTACCATGGGTTTGGTGGCGATACCAAGATGTTTGTTTTTGAATTTTCCATGCCTCACGACGACTCTTCGTCTTACAACGGCGACATGCCTGCTATATGGATGCTGAATGCCAAGATTCCACGTACTCTGCAATATGGTAACTCCGACTGCTCTTGTTGGGGCACCGGCTGCGGTGAATTAGATCTGTTTGAGATCTTATCTAGCGGTAGTGAGAAGCTGATCACACACTTGCATGACGGCCAAGGAGACAATGGAAACAGTCAAGGAGGGGGTGGTACTCAGGATTACTTTGAGAGACCCACTTCCGGAACTTTGAAGGCCGCGGTAATCTTTGATGGCTCTGATCAAACTTTGCACGTCGTAAAAGTTGATGGTGACTTCAGCTCTACACTGAGTGCCAGCACTGTGAACAAATGGCTAAAGGAAAGTGCTTCGGTCGCAAACTTGTCTTAAGGTTTAACATAACCTTAAGAGCAATTTATTTTAAAGTGAATTGAAGCCATTCCGCTGCTACTGGCAATGTATTATTATCTGGATTCTATTTTTGTTTTTCTCACGACTCGTTTGTAAATGTTTAGTTTTACATCCCCGGCAATGTTATTTCCATTGGTTCTTTCTCAAAAGTCAAGCAACGGCTCTTGTACGATATTTTGCATCCCTCCACACTTATTTTGGATATCACAAATGCTTGCTCGCTAATTTGAAGTTCTTTGAATTCTTGCAGTTCATGTTGAGAAGGGCCGAGCCAAAGGGATTATTAGGAGGCCTTTACTCAATAAACTCCAGAGCCTATTCGTGATGGTTATGTTTTCAACCTTTAAACCTATATAGTACATATTTATGCTTTGAACGTCTGTAAAAGTTACACATCAAACTCAAACTGTATAGAAGTAGTTGCGTTGTTGCCCGTAAATAACTTCCCTCACAGGGTTTAACCCTGCCACAATCCTTAACACACAATTACTCGCGCATCATTGGGACCGAAGGGCATAATTTCAACGAAAGTTGGTTCTAAAGGTCGTAGTAAGAGCTGGCAAAAAATGGAACACTGTTGTAAAATGTGGGAATTGAGATAACTTATCGTGGTCTCAGAACCATGCTTAGAGAGGAGATAAAAAAAAAAAATGTTGACTCGTAGGAAATTGAAGTCCTTTAGCAAGTGAATGAAAGCGTTGGACGCTTGTGACGTGTATGCTTGTCCACTTCAATAGCGATCACGAATCGCTAAGGTCGGTATAATGATCCGATGAATTGTCTTCTAGGTCTGGCATTATGATATTGACTGGCAAATTTGAATCCTTCCTCAGACGTCTGTATTTAGAACTCATTTCAACAGACTCAGAGCTACTAGTGTTGTTCGAGAGAATCCCGACAGATACCAGAGCACGCTTAAGGGCCCCACCAATACGACGAGCTCCTCCTCCAGAACACAGCCAGCAGTAGAAACAATACTCTGCATACAGGAATAGGAAAGCCACGATAAACCCAAGGACGACACAGGCCAAAATGTGGTGGGCCAAAGATTTTATGAAATTAGCATCATCTAAGTGCCAAGAAGATCCTTGCGAAATAGAGAAGAAAGAGTAAACGTGCTTCTTGTAGTCCGCAGGTTGAAGAATCCGAACAACCCCATTCTGCGGCACACCCCACCTCTTGTATTGCTTCCAAACGACGCTCACAAAAAGAGGACCGGTGGAAAACATGATGGTGATATATGGCACCAGCCAGTTACGGTCGTACTTCTTCAAAGAGTCGATTACTTTGAGGAAAAATGGATGGCGAGGCACGGAGCCCATAACATCATTGGAGATCCCGGTAGGGGCTGTCTTACGAGCAAACGCAGGAACCGTGAGCAAGGGATCTAGCTTACGCCTGCACCCATCATCGAGATCGATATAAATGCCCCCAAAGTGCGAAAGCAGGAAATAGCGTAGAGCATCGGCTCTTTCGATGGGGTAGCGGTATCCGTCAAAAGTGTCCAAAAACCAACCGTACTCCTCCTTGATAAATTGGCGAGCAGTTTCGTCGGTCCACAGCTTGTATTCGTAGTCTGGGTGCAAGTCTATACACTGCTGTTGACCTTCACGCCAGTGTTCTGGAATATCCTCGGTTTTGTAGGTTTGATGGATGATTTTGGGAATAAGCTGAGGTTTTGGAGCCGCGTCTTTGGGAGGGTTCAAATCCACGTCCAAAAGAGCGTCTTGGAAAGTGTCGTCGATTGCCAACGTCAGCAAGTCGAAGGTGAAGTACAATAGCACCACGACGATCGCGAGATGCGAATATATCAGATATTTGAGTTCTTGTCGCATGGCGGGGGTGTCACGAGAAGCCCGAAAGGCAGCGGTTGCCAAAGAAGCTTAACGTAAAGAACAAAACGAGAAGGTATTATCCCAAAGAGAGTTTCCCTGTAGGGAACAAGCTCCAAGTGGACAGAACGGTATCCAATGGCCCAAACGAAGGCAGGAAAGACAATTAGGCGGCTCTTGTGAGCTGGAGACAGCGAAAATCAAACGAAAAGACAAAGAACAATGAAGCCAGCGGTCGAAAAGTACCGTCAAATGTTCTTGCTCCGAGTGTTCTTGATGAATTCCAGGGAAACCCGCAATATAGTACTTTAATTTAAAGCGGTGAGCCCGTCGTTGAAGTTTCTCTTCGTCTTAGGTTTGACTCCGCAAGCGTTTAAAATACGGTGCAACGATTAACAAATGTCAAGCTGGAGGAGACTATGTGCGCATCAACAGCTGGGGCCTGCTTCTATTTATTACATTCTTTGGATGCCCTACTTTGCTCGTCCAAAGGTATCTAAAGAGGCGGAAGATTTTTTCCTGTCGTGTTCAAAGATAAGGCGCAAGGTGAGTTTCAGCCTCCCCATGACGATAGAAGGACGCAACTAAAGTACAAAGACGAACATTGTGACAGGGTAGCCTCAGGGAGAGGACAACGAGCGGAAGAGCAATATTTCGAGCCGATGTGTATAATGTGAACGCTGACGCATCTTCTACTATGTACGAAGATAACAGAAGTTTCGTCTTTGTGGCCAGTCCAAGTTCCAACTCGGAGTTTCGGAAAAAAAAGAAACATTGTTAAAAGAAAAGAAACTTGCCAAGTCTTACATCTTACGTAACTGACGTCCCGGTGACAAAATAGGAATCGCTCTTTCCGTTTTAGGAGAGCGGTCGCTTCTGGTCCACGAAAAAAAGAACAGAGCGCGACTCCGAAAGGGGAAAGGGATAATACCCAAAAGGGAAGTCGAGGAACAGGTGGAGGACCGGAGTAGCCCAGCAGGCGAACAACGCTTTGAGGGCTACTACAGGGGGTGGCAGTTGACGTGGGTGTAGAAGGAGCACGTCGACTTGTGTTGAGTTCAGAGTGTCTTTAGTTGATTTCGACCACGACCTTGCCCTTGGCGCGATTGGACAGGAGTCTTTCAAAAGCGTTTGTGTAATTTTCAATTTCGTGCACCGAATCAATTACAGGGGCGTACTTCTTTTGCGAAATTAGCTCACACCCGAGCTTCACGAAGGCCGCATTTTCCTGTGTCAGCACAGTCGCGTAGTTGTACTTGCGGAAAGGACCATATCGCTTAAGCATCTCCCGCTTGGGTTTAAGGGCCTCCCACTTGCTGACGTTGGTGTAGTTCAACTTCCGATCACCGACCACCGTCATGTAGTAGGAGTTCTCATTTTTGTCTTTGAGAACGTCGTCTAGTTTGGGGAAGAACGAGTCATTCCCGACAGAGTCGAAAACGAGGTCGAACTTCTTGTGATCGAGCTCACCTTCGATGAGCTCCGTGACCTGCGAAACCACGTCTTTATCGCCATCGTAAGCAACCAAGTGGTCGAATCCCAGCGTCCGGTTGTATTCAAACGACTTTTGGGAACAAATCCCCACGACGGTGCCAACTCTTAGATAGTTCTTCGCAATTTGCACGAGAGCCGTAGACACTGAAGTCGAGGCTCCTATAACCAAGATTTGAGATTCGGGACCCAACTTCTGACCGTATCCGAATAGGGCCCTGTGCGCTGTACCAAAGACTAGTGGCCACGCCGCATTTAGCACGTAGTCGCTATACTTTGGGTCATCGAAACGAGGCATCTGCTCGATCGCACACTTCTTGGTAGGGTCAAGAATGAGGTAGTCGCCTAGAGTTCCTTGCCTTCCAAAAATATGCGCGTACAAACCGCATACCTTGTCCCCTATCTTGAAGTTTTCGACATTTTTGCCGACCTTCACAACGTCACCGCTGTAGTCCCGGGAATACGTTTTGGGTTCCTTGTTTACAAGCCATGAAAACGCAAAGTTCTGTATAATCAAATCGACTGGATTCAAGGCAGCTGCGCGGATCTTGATCACTATCTCATTGTCTCCGAAGCAGGTGTTTAGGTCAAGTTCCTCAGAAGTGATTGCGGACCCGCTGGTGTTATTAATAAATGTAACTGTTCTATTTGCAACTTTGCTCATTGTGATTCTGAGGTGTCGCTAAGAGGAGCAGAGCGCAGACGTGAACAAGGTAAGATTTTTGGCATTTTTTGTCATTAATCGCATGTAGATCTTAGTGTTGTCTTGGTACTCGTCCTTAATGCTATTATATCTTTGGGATAACTCAAACATAAATGGCTGCCAGGGACAGCACCATCAACGTGTCTGTCAAACCTGCTGAGAGACCACAGACTCTACGGCGCGTGCGCAAAATAGATAATGCTTCATGTTGACGGCATCTGAATAATATATATCAGATATTTTTGTAAAATAGAAATATTTCAGTGAGGCTTTTGAGCGGGCAGGATCTTGTTTCTTACCCTCTCGGATGCAGCTGACTATTTCCTACACCGAACCGTTTATCAACGTAGTTTTAGAAGGCAGTTGTTTGCGCGTCGTGCGACTAAAGACGTCTTTCAAGACGAGGAGCCTCCAACCTGTCAAGGTCTTCGTTTCTTGGTTGATTACCACGGAAGATACAGAAGGCTATCTTAATCTCCAGAGGGGCCTTGGAAATATGGATGCAATACGGCTCTCTTAGCGCTCAAGCGGTTGATAGGATCATATGTCAAAAGTTTTTGCAGAAGGTCAATTCCATGGTCATCAAGCGAAGGAACCACTTGTGCTAGGTCTTTTGGATGCCATTTAGGAAACTTGGGCTTGAAGTCAGGCAGATAGACGATATCAGGCCAAACGGTTTCGCTTGGTGTACCCAGAATCCTAAAAATTTTGAAAATTTGGTCAATCTCACTGTCACCACTAAATATTGGTCTTCTATTGCACATTTCCGCGAAAATGCACCCGATAGACCAAATATCCACGCCGGTGGAGTATTGCTTCCCTCCTAGTAGCACCTCCGGGGCACGATACCACAGTGTGACAATCTCATGGGTATAGGCTCTGAGCGGAACACCAAATGCACGGGCCAGACCAAAATCGGCTAACTTCATATTGCCATCGCGGTTGATCAACAAATTTTGTGGTTTCAAGTCACGATGCAATATGCGATGAGAGTGGCAATAAGCAATACCTTTGCACAATTGCATCATAAATTTTTTGATGATGTTGTCTCCCAAAGGTTGTTCCTTTGGTATGGATTCCATGTATCTCTTTAGGTCTAGATCCAAGAACTCAAAGACTAAGTAAAGCTTGTGCGCGTCTGAATGCACAATGTCGTAGAGACGAACAATGTTATCATCCTTGAGCTCCTTCAAAAGAGATATCTCACGAATGGCGGTGCTTGGGACACCTTCGTCTTCGCTTTCGAGTCTAATTTTCTTAAGAGCTACCACTCTTTGCCCGTGCCTCAAATCAAGTGCCTTATATACAACACCATAAGTACCTTCCCCAACCTTTTCCAGCCTTTTATAATTTGCGAGCTCCGTCATGGTCCAAGGAAAGGTCTATTGAGCTCACAGGAAAACGAACAAGTGTTTTTGATGATACAAGCAATGCAGTTCGTGTACAAGAGATCATTTTAAACCAGAACTGGAGATGCCAGATCTTACGTACATAATTATATAAACAAATACGTGTTCACGTTGAAGACATCGTTGCATTCTTAAGCAGAGAGCTCGCTCAGTGTCGTCTTGATTGTAGTAGTCGGCACCTCATAGTACGAATTTATGGGACTATTACGCAACAGGTTTCTATAGCAAGTTTTCGCTTGAGTAAGGACTATCACGGCAAGTGTCCATGTAAGATAATATCTCGGTAGGGACATGAGTGCCAATTACTGCTGCTTGGCCTGTCTAGCTGCCTTGCGTAACGCCCTGGTCCTAATGCTCTTGTGCATAGTGTAGTTGATACTGTTGGCCAACTTAGAGTAGACCCCAACGGTATTTTCAATAACAAATTGATATAGAGCATGCGACCAGTAAGGAGTCATCGTACCATAGCGGCCCTGTGCCCCGGAGCGCCTTCCAATACTTCCTAGTGTAGCAGCAACAAATTGAGCTGGGCTTGGAATCATAACGGAGGTTTTGCGTATCTTTGACATGGCACTGGTGACCAAATATGATAATACAATTTCGACATCCACGTTCTTAGGCTTCAACTCGCCTGCGAGAGCCGCAGACCAGCTTTGAAGGAATGCCTTGGATCCAGAGTAAGTAGCTAGCAAGGGAGTAGGAAGAAGACCTCCAAAAGAGCCCATGGTCAATACCAACCCTTTGCAGTGAGCTGCCTTGGCCGATTCTACTATAAGAGGGGCCACAATTTGCGTAATTGCAAGAGTCGCTGTGGTGTTGATCGTGATGATATCGCGTAATTCTTTGTTCTCTGTCTCTAAGAAGGGGACTGGAATGCTGTGGCTCTGACCGACATTGTTAATTAAAACCGTGACGGGTACGTCAGAACAGATTGCCTTGATTCTAGCATAGTTCTCGGCAGAGTCCTCGGAGATATCCACAGCGAGAACACGTACCTTAACATTGTAAGTCGACTCAAGCTCCGACTTCAAAGTGTCGAGCTTCGACAATGTACGGGAGATGAGGACCAAATTAAAACTGCGTTTGGCCAATTGACGAGCATATTCTTTGCCGATACCATCACTGGCTCCAGTGATTACAGCATATGTGCCCTTTTTAGCCCCATATTTGCCAAAGTTAACGCGAGGGAGAAGAAATAAGTCGGCTATCAGGCTGGTGAAGCAGAGAACAAGAGTGGTAGCCTTCAAAACCCCTATAGCGAAGACTAACCAGAGAATGCCATCTAATAACCTATTTTCTGATCCAAGTGCAACGAATTGAGCCGTGAATGACATTTTTGGCTCTCCTGTTGGCTGATCTAAAGTGATGGTGAATGAGGTAATGATGAGCCAGCTCGATTCAAAGGATATAATAGCTAAGTGATTTATTCTTCTGCCATAATGTTCGTATGAAGAGATCACAATTGGATAGGCAAATGCTCCGGCTTAGACGCAGCTCCTGTGGAATGGTTAGTGGCTTCATCCAACGAGTCTTTTAGTGCCAGAATAATTCAAACTTTTCCTATAGTATTATTAGAGTTATATTACAATTTCGTCGGTGTCCGAGCTTTGAAATCACTTTGAAAGCAGTTGTCCCATTTATTGCATGAGCAGAAGGGCATCTAAATTTTCCTGCGTTAATCGCACATTGAGAGCGTCCTTTTCTGACTGGGTGCTCAGCAATCCCAGCTCCAGTTCGCTCTTACAGAGTTGAAGCTTCTGCTCTTCGAGTCTAGCATCTATATTTTCATCTTCTCTAAGCAGAGCGCGGATCATCGATCTTTCTTGTTCATCTTCGGCATAGTCATGGAGACCTGTCAAATGATAAATTGGAGAGTCTGTGGAATGAATCTTTGGTAAAGCCGTGTTCACTTTCGGGCTCGCCGCCGAAGACGTTGACGAATGGGTAGTGTCTTCTGAGGCTCGGTCTACTTGCCCCACGTTCAAGCCACGAGTACTCCAACCAGAGCTTTGATGGCCTTTTTCGTAGCGCGGAGAAGAGTCCGAATAACCTCCTCTGCTCACACTGCTGTAATTTCCACGCAGCGGCGGAGTATAGTAGTCTCCTCGATAGCTACCACGGTGAGGACCCGAAGAGCTGGCATAACGGCTCCCAGATTCCTCGTAGCCATATGTGTGCTGATATCTGGTAGCATGGTAGCCACCACGACCTCCACGATATGACTTACCTCGGTAGGAGGAGCCACGATAGGAATTATATTGTGGTCGGTTGCCTTGACTTGACATACAACAAACAAGTTAGTAATAACGAGAATAACGGGGCAAAATTAAAAGGATATCGCCGTTTACAGAACTTGGATGGGTCGTGCAACATGTTTTCAACATACCTTTCTCCTTGATAACTCATTGGCAGTGATAGATAGATCTAGCGTTCAACTCAAGTAAAAGCTTCTGAAGTCTCTGGCAAAGCTAATACAAATGGCACGTTATACGAAGGTTGCGTTCACTGGGATGGTCCTTCAAGTTTGGCAAATGTCTAACCTTTCGCAGCGATCTACTTCATTAAAGCTGACCTCACAATATCTAAAGTCAGGACCCTACTTTTTGTTTTCGAGGCAATTTCCTGAGAGGTATGCTCAACTTCTACCAGGTATCATGGCAAAGGGGAGAAAGTATTACGACATTATTTATTATTCATTATTAAACTTACGTTACGAAGGCACACTTTGCTGTTGTCTCCCTGTTGTTAGTCTTCGTCATCTTCATTGATCCAGCGGCTGAATGAGGCTAGAACAGATGTAGAATATTCTTGTTGCATTCTGTGTTCCGCTTCTCTCATTAGCAGTTCTGTTTGTTCCCCACCTTCAATAAGAACGGGGATTCCTTGACTCCGCTTCTCTCTGATAAAGGCCACAATTGATCGCAAATTAGTTATATGCTTGACGTTCCGAATCTCTAGCACGGATAGTTGTGGGAAATACTTCAAGGCGATTAATGTGGGTAGAGAATTGTTAGTGAGGAGATTGCAATCATTTAGCGAAAGTCTCTTGATATGGGAGCCGCGCTGCATGGCCAATTCCCAAATGCCCGCATCTGTGACATGGCACCCAGCCGCACCGATGGTATCGACATTAGTGTTTCGAGCCAAAGCCACAAGAGAAACACTGGTTATCGCTTTTCCATTACGATGTCTTCCCAAATTGCACATCTCTAGCGCCGGGCAGCTGGTAGATATCGATAGGATGCCCCCGTCAGTAACTTTTTCGCAAGCCCTTAGATCTAAAATCTTCAGCTTGCTAAGATATGGCGCAATATTCATAAGAAACTTATCATCAACCCGTTGGTTCCCGGGAAGGATCAGTTTTTCTATATTTTTAGAGTGGTGGAAGATAAAAGGGGGAGGCGAAAGCTTTGGGCAAATGTAAAGTTCAACCCATCGGAGGCGTTCTGACGCTACCACAGGCGCGATGGCTTCAAGCTCAGTTTGGGTTAGCTTATTAAGCTTATGCAAGACAAACGTGGAAGCCTTAGAGAACCGTTCCTTGACATTCGAAGGGCTTGCAACTAGTTTTCGCATCTTTCTGGAATCGGTAAAATGGAGGTTCTCCGTTATAATGGATAATGCCACTTTATGCCAGAGTTGGTTTACTAGTAGGCAATTATAAAGGCTGGGACCAACACTTTCACCATTAGAGAAATTAATCCTTGCAGCCTCCTGCCACGCTTTTTTCGCCACTTTTTCGTCCCCATGGCACATTAGGAGTGCATGTGAGAAACTTTGAGGTTTACGACGCGGACGAGGTGTCTCTCGGGGTACAGAGGTGGTAGACTCCAAGCATCTCAGTATTTGTTCAACAATTTCTGGAATTCGGAAAATCATATGAGGGCCATTTGTCGTTGATTTGGAATGAAGAGAAGCCGGCAAATTTGAAGATGAAACGGATGGGCAAAGACGGAGGTCAGAAAATGGAATATCAAGTGACGGGCTCTTCGAAACACAATTAGAGTTGTAATCTTTCTCCGATGACCATTCTTGTGGTGTCCACTTGGTTGGTGTGGCAGCTGGGGTGATTTTATCTAGAGAAAATGCGTTTGTGATCGAAGTGGATTTATCAGAAACTTCAGAGCCTGGCCACAAATCGCTTGTAAGTTTTTTTAGAGGCGGACTCAATGCAAAGGATGGATCGGAAACATCTCTTGACCTTTTAAATGAACCAGTCGAAGAAGCTAAAGGAGAGTGCATGCGATGGAACCGACAAATAATATTGATGGGGGCTAAGAAAAGGAATGGACGTCAAAAAAGTTTCGACAGATGGGGGTGAAAAGATGGTTTTTTAGTCAATGCCCAGTGCAATTGCACATTAACAGCGTTGGTGAAAGGTGTTGCCGTTGCCAAGCTCCTTGGAAGGAATATACAAGAAAATGGTATAACCGTCCAACACCATCGAGAAGCCCATGTAGCTAGCTTAAGTAGTAACCGAGATAGCTCATCGAACCGCAAAATCTCAAAATTTGTCAACCTCAAGTAAACGGACCATTGCCCCACAGATGAGCATATCACCGGCCAAAACAAATAGGGACCATAACTCCAAGACAAACAGGGACCATGAACTAACGCTGGTATAAACAAAGAGTTCATGATATCAAAGGAGGGAAAACACTTGAAAGGTAGCATATCGCTGCACTGTCAAAACGTCGCCGGAGTGTCAGACAATTGAGGCAGTTCAGCATACCCTACCAGTTCTCTAGACGGATGTTGACCTCACCGTCATGCTCGAAAACGTTGTTAGGCACACCACTAGTAAAGACGCTGGATGTGAGATGCGCACGCAGTACACTCAATCTTATTTAAGCTCTGCTCCTACTCCGTCATCTCTGTGAACATCGGTGGTAGTTAGAGTTAATGAAGTGTCTTACGTACGTCCAGACGTTACCACAAGCTTTGCGACCTGTTTTGTGCTGGTTTGTGGTTGATGTCACTTGACTCCGGTAACGCCTGCTGGTTCTATTCTAACCAGCCATGGATTGACGTTTCATGTGACTTTCTATAAAATCATCGTAGCCTCAAGCACCACCATTCCTTACTTCGAATAAAGTTTGGCTAGCGGGCATGGTTGGCATAAACAAGGAACACAGGTCTCAAGGACCACAGCTGCTTGCGTGGGATTGAGGCATCGCATTGTTGACACTTGGAGAAATGGTGATATATGTATCAGATGAGTATAAAGTGATTTGAGTCTCAAGAGCGTCAGTGTGAGGCGTCTATCCGATTGTGGACTCTTGTAATATTGACTCTAACGCGCCCACTAATTGGAGTTGAACTGAACTTGATCCCTAGTTTATTGCTGGGACTTGACGTTTCTGCAATTTTTCGGGAATTGTAACAGAAGGATTGCCTTGTACTATTCCTTATATTAATGGCCGACGTTTATTGAAACGAAATTCGCAATCAAAAACCATCCCTAAGCTCACATTAGTAGCAAGTCTACGTTCCGCTTATTCAACAAGGACTTGGACATCTTTTTTTCTTGAAGCAGCGGTGCATGAAGTTCCCATTGCTACGCTGACGTACCTGTATGGCCATCTGGGACGTTGATATGTGTGCTCGAACTCTCTAAGTAAATCTCTGCAGCTATATAGGATATTTAAATACACAGCCAGAGACACATACCTGCGTGCTGACTGCACGCTCCAGAAACACTCATCTCTAATTGACTAGAGGTGTGTTGAGAAATCTTCCAAAGAATCAACAGGATCCAGTTTTTGGTCTGGGGCATAGTTGGCTTCAATACAATCTTCTTCGAGTAATCTATCGTCTTACTATCACTGAAAGCATGAATACAGAGTTAGCCTGATGAGTCCATAACTTGATCAACGAATCCCATGAGCATCACGTTGCATGTACACATCAAATACTTGCCTCAACAACTACATCTCGTGCCCACCAGGTTGACCGGGGTGGCCTTCCCAATGTCTCGCCAAAGGTCAAGGTTACACGCCACTGCATTCCTCGATTGCCCCTGGGGTTGCAACCATAACTATCTAATCAACTGTAGATAGAGGAACGATCCTTAATTTTTATTCCTGCACCTGATAAGGATCTTGTCAAGTACTTCGGGAGCCGGTTACAACCCCAGGTAGTTCGCAGTAACTAACTGCTCTAAAGCCACCTTAAATACAAAATCGTCTTGTAGATACTCCATAAATTGGTGCGTCACCTCCACTTCAGGAAAAGTTTGATTCAGCATCATCATTTCGATAGCTCTGCCTTCAGCTGCTGATAAGAACTGAGCTAGGGATCTGGAAAGGAAAAGGAGACACTGGGAGGGATTTATTGGACAAGAGAGAGGAGCTGTTACACCCGAGGAGTAACAGAATTCTTTGGGAAGCGTATATTGCAGCTACTAGATTATCATAAGAACTCTGGCTCAGGAAGCGTAAAGCGTCCCCTGCTCGTGAAAGCTACAGAAGTCAACACCGTTTTTTGCTGGGACTCGACTATCCCGAGCAATGGCTCAACGTCCGCCAAAAAACAAGGCCCACAAGCCGTTTGTATTTGGGTCGTCGAGCAACTCTAAGCCCAGTCGTGCTGCATCGAAACGACAAGGGTCGTCGTCGTCGCCATCACGTTCGTCGTCGTCACCATCGTCACCGTCGTCGGATCAGTACTTGAAATCGGCATCATCGTCCGGATCCAAAATGGAGCAAGGCTCTAGCTCCGTGAAGTCGGATTCATCGGACGCTGGGGAGTCTCCTTTAAAGCAACAGGCGTTTTCCTTGAATCACCAGAGGGCGATTTTTGAGCACAGGCTCATAACTAAGAACTCGGCCCCACAGAAGAACTATTCGCACGTTCCCTGCCGCTTTTTTCGGCAAGGAACGTGCCAAGCTGGCAACTCTTGTCCTTTTTCGCACTCTCTCAACTCCCTCACAGCAGATGCTACCCCTTGCAAGTACTTTGAGCGCGGTCACTGTAGATTCGGATCGAAATGTGCCAACGCCCACATACTTCCCGATGGAACCCGTGTGAACCCTCCTCGACAGTATCCTAACGCGGGCCATGGAAATTATCAGGGCCATCAATACCACAATCCGAACAGGGAAACTGCCACTGTTCCGATCGCGACCGGCGAGAATGCCTTTCAGCAATCTGCCCGCCCCAATGTTTTTCCTGCTGGCGCTGGTCCTTCTCCGCGCTCTGTTCCAAATTTTGCCTCTACCAGTCCAACAATCTCGAAATCCTCCACGGGCCCTTCCGTATTTGTTGGGACGGGACCCTTCTACCCCGCATTCACTACTCCGCAACAACAAAATACAAGTGAATTCGCAATCGATGACGAGGACGACGATTTCCAAGAGATTGATGGCGAGGATTTTATTCCCGGTGAACTATCAGATCTTCTGACCCCCAAGGAGCTGGAGCGACGCAACTCCAGATCTTCTTTGACCAGAAAACTAAGCTTTACGGACCACTCTTCCAATTTGCCCTCCGCGACTACCACACTTTTGGGGTCAAGTGTGGAGCAATTTACGGGATACGAGGCCGTTCCGTCGTCTGCTAATTCCTTCACAGGGCTTTCGTTCGCTACAGAGTACTCCCCGACAGGAAGCTCTCTGGCTTTTGGTCCGGCACAGCCCACCTTTAACTACACGTATCAGCAAGACCACCACCAGGCTCGGTCCATGTGGGGCGTTCCTGAGCAACTTGAAAGCTCATTCACCAACGTCAATCAGCTGAGTACTGACCTGACCCGCGTCAAGATATATGAAGAGGACGAGGAAATCCCCGTCAAGGCTATAACGGGGGAGTCAAGGCTACAAGATGGACAGGAAAGTTCCAGTCAGTATTATTTGAATGGCTTGTATCAAGACGTGTGAGTTAAACACGTCTTGCGTTGAAAATCAAATACGGAGAGGCTGCTTTGCTTATACACACATGGGAAATCAAAATATCAGGAAAGGATGGAAAGGGATTCAAAAGATACACACGGCAGAGACAAGCACAAGCAGATGCTGTTTCTCATCGGAGAGAGCACGCCAAAAAATGGGTTTTTGCACTTTATATAAAAAAATGATTACAGGACGTTCGAATATCGAGATGGGTTTTGCTGGGTACCTCCAACAAAAGCATTCAAGAAAGCGTATATTGCCATTAGAGAGGCTTCAAAGCCCATTGAAGCCTAGTGAGTTGTAGCGTTGAGCCAAATGCTTTTTTAAGGTTTTAGACATATAGGGTTATTATTTTTTAGGTACGGATTTATCTCATTTTATACTGACACTGCGCTATTGCCCAGCGTAATAACGCTTGATCGAGCTGAACCCGTCTGCAAAATACACAGGCTTATCTGTTCACCGAATTATAAATTACGTGGCTCCCACCTAATAAAAATGGGATCACTTTAAGAGGTTGGAGTGTTGCGTATAAAACTAGGCACGGCCCTAGAGCTGATATAACATGATCTGCCACCAAAGTATTTGGCACTAGCCCACCGAACTTAGCTCCGCGAAGGATCGAGTGCCTATTGCAGTGAGGATGCCTATATTTCTTGCCGGCGTGACAGGCACCCAACATTAATCCACACCCACTGCAACCATGGGACCTGGTGTCTGGCAAAATTGACTTCCAGAAATTTTTCACTCCCGATGGTAGATACTTAACAGCTGACGCCTCAGAGACACTGTGGTAGATGGAGGGCCTGGCACGGTGACTTGGACTCATGATAATCGCCTGTAAACACGTTTAATGGTTGCATTATGGTAGTTGCAAGGCTGCAAACCAGACGTAAAATAGCAGCATGAGAATGGAGAAGGTCGCGCCAGGCTTTGAAGTTTACCTGGCAATAGTCGATCTCCTCTTGTCATAAGAAACAATTATCGACCACTGCATAATAAGTTCTCAGCCGATTAACGCTCACAGAGAATTGTATATATATGTGTTATTTCAAGCGGGGAATGCTGAGGATGTGGGGGGCAGGTTATATATCTTGTAGGCAGGCTTATTCGTTGGGAGGTCCAAATTAAGTGCCAGGATGGAGGAAACTAGGCACTACAGAGCGCAACGGCGCTCATCACAAGACGATTACATTTCAGAGTGCCATAGACAGGACGAAAAGCTGCGAAGCTACACATTTCCAGTATACCTAGAAACCCACCGTAAATGGAAACCAGTAGCCAGCGACGAGTGTGCCCCTAGTCCCAAAACCCAATACACCAGGCTGGGCGTTAGTAGTGCTGCTGCAGAAGAGAAAGATAAGCGGGCGACCGCCTGTACAGGGGGAGGATTATTTGCAGATGAGTTTTCAACCAAACCAGAGACCAGCGGGAACTGGTGCACACACAGAAACACTGCTTTGGACATTGTGTCGCGGAGACCATCGCTGGGACAGCTCAGGCACAATAGTTTGTTTTCGATGGTTTCCTTCAGCAGTAGAAGCGAAGAGTCATCGCCGACTGCGCGAAAGCCACACCACAGACGTAGCAGTGCTGTTTCGATGGAAAAGAACGTGGCCTGGCGGCTCAGCTTGCAATTCGGCGAAGGTCATGTTGGCAGTAAAAAAGCGTACACACAGGATAATAGGTCCAGCACAAGTCATGACCTCCAGTCGCCGCTTGCCCTTATGGCTCATACTTCAGAGCAACTAAGAAGGAATTCCGACTGCAACTTTAAGGCTGAGGCCCAGCTTTGGACACGCGGAATTCGAAAGTCTAACTCAGTGTATGCTGGCTTCCCCGAAACTGGCGATCAAGTTCCCAAAACTATTGAGCTCGATCTTTCTCGGCATCTTACCTCATCTGAATACAGCCCAACCTCTGTCGTAGCGCGGGCAAAGCCGGAACACGAATGTTGGCTTCTTCCACCCTTACAGTTTTCGGACTTGAGCTCGCCCGAAGAGGAAGACACCCCAAGTTCTACAGAAAACGAGTGTCTCGCTGGCCGGAATGATGATTCTGAGCTGTTGTCTTTGAAGGATTTCCTAATAAGTTCTTAACTTACGCACCTTTTGTTGGTCATGACATGTATTACGATAATATTAAGTTGTTTAGTTGTTTAAAGACGCGGGCGAGCCTGGCTCAGAGATAGCCCAGCAGTTTATTAAAGATTTCCTTCAGACTCAGAGAGTAGTCCAAACCTTCCTTCCATATGACACGATCCATTTCTCTTCGCCCAGAATCCAAGTCCACTTGCTCAATGCTATTGATCTTCGAACTTCTGACCCAGCTGTAAGCTAAATATAGGAGCAGGAACAAAATCAATGAGATGTAACTTGTTATGAAATTTTTGGTGTTCCAGTAAAAGAAGTTCTGAAAGCCATTTAGTAGTATCAAAATAACAGCCAATATAAGGCCATAAATCGATAGATAAGGCTGCATGGGAGACTTATACGGGTATTCTCTAGCATCACGAGACACAATGTCAGGTCGCCTTTGCAAGGCATAGTAGAATCGCAAATATGATATATTCATGCCCATCCACATAATGACACTTCCTAAAGCTCCAATGCTGACGAAGATGAAAAAAACGTCCGAACTATTCATGTTCATGCATAGCAAACTCAAAAATCCCAGTGCTCCACAGAATAAAACCGCCATATAGGGAACCCCTCCCCTGTTACACTTTGTGAAAATTATCGGTGCTTTCTGTTGGGTTGCCATGGAATACAAGGTTCTGCTTGAACCATATAATTGAGAACTACCCGCTGATATTCCGATGGCTATGAAAATACCGTTAGCAAACCGGGATAGAGCGCACTGGTTAAAAGATTGCAATGCTATGACCCATGGCGATTGATTCGGATTATCTATAGGGAGCATTTTTTCAGAAGAAAGTTGTTGGCAATTGCTGCCGCCTAGAACATCAATAACACTTTGATATTTGGAAGCACTGTTTCTTAGCACGGCTGCGTCATTGGATGTGTTATAACGCAGTATTCGTGGGTCTCCCGAGTAAATATTTAAGCTTACCACAAATATCGACAAGAGATAGAATATAATGACTCTTGTAAATATTCTTTTAGTCACAGAAGGAACTGCCTTTCGTGGGTTTTTGGCTTCTGCAGCAGCAATGAACCCAATTTCAGAGCCTGCGTACGCAAACATCGACGTTAGCGTCGACGCTAGACATCCCAAAATTATTCCACCGAGACCCCCGATACCTTCTTTAGCTCCCGATCCTTGATCTTTCAAATCGAAGGTGGGTCTAAAAGCGCCAAAAGTAATGTCACTAAGTGGAGATTTTTGTGAATCCCAATAGCGAAAACCAATATACCCATTCTCAAAACCTCCTGCATTCATCACAATCATCAAAATAATCAATAGTAATACTACCAAGAGCTTAAAGGCACTTGCAATATATTCAATCTCCCCGTATATCCGCACGTCCATAAGATTAATCAAAGTCAGTCCTACAACCATGGTCGACATAGTTATGGCCATCGTAGACTTGCTAGTGGCTATCTTTGCCAAGCTCTCATAGTAAGACAACATCATGGTTGATGCAACGACTTCGGAGGGAAATGCTATGGCGTAGCACAGCCAATGGCACCAACCTACGCTAAAGCCGAAAGCGTCACCGACAAACCTTGAGCAGAGACCAGATATGCCTGTTATCAAAGGAATAAGTGCCACCATTTCCGCAAATGAAAAGAGAGTCGCCAAAATCAAAGAGCCACCAATGGCAAAGCCGATAAAAGCACCCATAGGACCTGCTATGGAGAATGCTTTACCTGAGTTTAGAAAAAGGCCAACACCAATGGTAGCGCCCATAGATATCATCTGGAGATGTCGCACTGCAAGTTTGCGTTGTATCGTAGGAGATTGTGGAGCTTTGTGCACATACCAACTGTCTAACGTATCAAGAGTCACCGTTGATTGAGGTTCACATTCCTCGTTAATGACATAGACTTTTTTCATAGTGCCATGCGGATCGTCGATAGCATCACTTTCTGGCTTGGAATGGTCAATTATTGTTGTAATATTGGACTGTTGTGACTGGAAACCTTGATTTCGATTGTCAATCAATGGATGCACTTTCATTCTCCGTGCTAAAGACGCTTTCAGCTTACTACCCAAAGAATCAAATCCCAACTTGCGGCGATTACCTCTGGAATCTATTTTAGAGTATTCCCTGGTATAGAGTGCATGTATATTATCGAGCTTTGTGAGCTGCACTCCATCATTAGGGTTATTGTTTGTGATATTTTCCAGCTTTTGACGCATTTCATATTCTCTCCTCAATGTTGAGTCATATTCTTTAAAATTATTGAAGGCTATAGCTTCTTTTCCAGGATAAGCTTTGCTGGATTCCGACAACAGCATATTGTAATGCCGGGTGAGGAAAAAGTTGTCATGTCTCATTGCATCTTCATATCTCCTAGGGAGCTGATTAACCATCTGGCAGAACAGCCCAGAGTCCAAGCTCCTCGCATCATCATTTGACGATTGCTTGTTTCGTTGACTAGTTTTTTGGTTGTCATCTGGTAAGTAGAGGTCGGGAAAGAGTCCAGGTGCCCCCTTATTATTTGATTCGTAACTCATCAGAAATATCTTTAGAGTACATTAAAGCTCGGTTTAAGCTTGAACCACAGTTTAGGTTGCTTACTAGCACCTTTAGTGGCACTTAAAGTGTTGAATATATGTTTGAGTAATCTCAATTTTATTGTGGCAGTAAGTCGACTGTCACAGTCAGAGTTTCCAATGTCAGTCCTTAGTACAAAACGACATCAACACTTTCGAAGTATATACAAACAGTATATATTAGATCTGCAACCTACTTCACAGATCAATGGCTGAATGGAGTGCTATAAACACAGGGCAGCACTTATTTGGCATGGATTGGGCTGTTAAATCAGCCAGAAAAAAGACCAGATTTTTACAGGGTGGTTCTAGGTCAATTGTAGAATCATTAAACCGTTTCAACGAGGTCATAACTGAGGGTCAAGATGCAATAAGCGCGGCATGCTTAGCAAGTAGTAAATGGCTGGACAATGAGATGCTGAATCTGAAGTTGGGCTCTAAACTTGAAAGGTCTTTTGGGACGAGTGAAAAGAATGTGAATGAGCTCAAAGCAGCATTAGAGGAGTCTACACCAAGAAAATTGGACCACCATAGTTCACACGATACACCAGGTTCGAAACAGACAACTATTGCAGAACGTTCTGAATCCCTGAAGGAAAACGAAAGCCCAATCTCTCAAAATGATATGGGGGCACAAGCTAGTTCGGCGGAACTAAGCTCAAAAGCTCGCACTCAAACCCTGAAGTCATCACCTTGGTCACCTTACAAGTCCGAAAGAACAACATTTGCTACCGAGCTTGCTCCTCTGAATTCATCTAATAAAGGTACGGCCAGCTTCAATGTTATAGAAGCCCCTGATCAGAGCTCAGGGACGCAGGGTGTTCCAGACCTAAAGGCGGTTTTGCAAACTACATCCATCTCACCATCATTGGCGGAAACGCACACTGCACCTTTGCCGACCCACTTGCCTAATAATAGTTTGGGAACGTCACGAAAGGGGCAGCCCATACGTACGTCTGCCACAGTAAAAATAGATCGAACGTTGCTGCGAGATCGATCCCAGAGAAGGTCTAATATGTTCATTCCTTTGCCAGACAAAGACCCATTGATTATTCATCCTACAAATACGACCTCATTACCAATCAAACATGAGCCGATGGTGACTGCTGAGCTAAAAGGAAATGAAAATAGTGAATTAAAAAGATCAATGGGACTTAGCTATGCTACTCGGCTCGGCAACTCCAACATCAAATCAGGTATTACTAACGTATTTGACCGACTATCGTCTAACTCTACATTGTCATTCGATAATAAGGCTACTAGTAGAAGTCCGACTCGGGAAACCAAGAGAATGATTCCTGGAAGGCTTACATTCCGCGAAAACCTTGGGTCGCCAAAAGCGAGAAGATCTCCAAAAGTAGACCAAACTAACCTTAGCATCCAAGAAACATTGAAAAACATCTTTGACTCTCATCCGCCACAGCTTGGTCAGGGTAAAAGGTCAACTCGCGAAGATGAATACGAATACGAACCGGCAACCTCGGTGCCTACCGTGAAAAGAGCGTCATTAATACCAAAACTTAGTGGTCGTACTGCTGTTTCTCCCAACTCTGTTACAGATCATCAACTGAACCTAATCAATCGAAAAACCTCCAATGCGCATTTCAAAGATTTGCCCTCCGAAGCTGTGTTGAAAGAGCAGTCAAAAAACACAGAGCTGCAACCTTTGGCCACTGAGGAGACATCTCCTCTATTACTTTCCAAAAGCAAACAACGAACAAGGCGTGGAACTTTGAAGGAAGATTCACGTACAAGCAAAAATGTGCGAACAGCAATTCAGCATACCAATGGTGTCCAACCCACACCACTATCCGGTCGCTCTTTAACAGGAACTACTCCACTTGTTGAGCAGGGTCAACAAGAGATATTATGTGAAGCATCAGATGGTCGCAAAAAGCCGATCAAACATCAAGAAAGACTCACGAAGTTCCAACTTCCCCCGCTGGCGGGGTCAGAAAAGCAGGATGTTAAAAAAAAGTTAGACAAACGGCTTTCAGAAGTGATGCGAAGTCAAAAAGAGCAAACTAAGAGAAATCATGAGAAGCTCAAGAGGAGGTCTAATGTCGAAGATGATCTCAAGCAAAGAAAATCTCGCATCTTCCAGGACTCAGATTACAATAAAGCCGGAAAAAGTTTTGGCGACAGCGAGGGAGAATGCCCTCAAAGCAAGTTCAGAAACACAATTCTTTATGATTTAAACACTGCAGATCATAGGCAAATGGTAAATGGAGTTTCCGAGGAGACAAACCTTTACGACACAACACTTCCCGATATTGATTCAGACTCGGATGCCGAAGACAATTCGATATTGGCACCATGGGCCAATTCTCCTTATCTGGAGGAACAGTTGCTTGCTCAACAGAATTGGGATCCTGAAAAGATTTTTGGACCGATTCCACCCTTGCATACAGACGAAATTTTTCAAAACTCCAGATTGTCCAAACTGAAATCACGCCAATCCCTCTCAAGGCAGACAATGGAGAGCCGAAAATAGCTATATTTAACTTGTATGAAGCAGTATTGGCATTTAATGATTTATCAAATATTCTGTCTTTGGAGAAGTCTTTATTTACGCTTTTTTATGGCTTCAGATTTGTCCCACGTCGCAAGCCAATCTTCACTCAGAGTTTTTGGTACGAAATATATTCTTAGGGACTTGTCAAACAGAGGAACGACAGGTTGCTGCATTTTGAGGACCTCGTGGAAATTGACTTTCTTACCTATCTTGATCAGACCACCGCTTTCTGTCTCCGCAAATGCAAGCAGCTTCTTCGCGGTAAAATCCTTATGATTGGGCTGTTCGAACCATTCCGGCGGCCTTTGCAATAGCATGTTCAAGAGATCGTCGGGTGTGCTCAATTCTCCAACAGCACCAACAAAGTCGAACTCGTCGCTAGTAGGGTAGAAAACCATGGCTGGAAAAATGAGTTGAGATTGTACGTCGTTTCCATCTTCTAGGTGCAACTTGGCTTCATCTAAAAACTCTGGTCGGCTGGTTGTCTCTACATTTTTAAAATTGCGCAAAATCAAAGATGCCTCTAGTATAGTACTTAAACGTTCTCTCTCTTTTTCTTCTTTAAGTTTCCTAGTTTCATAGACTGCGATCTCCTCGACACGTTTGGTAATCTTCTCTGAGAGTGCCTTGAGGCCAGCATTTTCCGGTTCTATTTGTAGCCCAAAATTGACGGCTTGCTTCGCATCGTCATGTCTTTCAAGACTGTAAAAAGCCCTTGCCACGCGGTAATAACATTTAATGTTCTTAGAGTTGAATGTAAGGGCAGATTTGCAATCATCGATACACCGCCTGAAATTTTTGAGCTCAAGTTCACACGCAGCACGATTGGAGTATAGTGATTCATTGATCTTGGAATCGTTACAGTCGATCTCAACTCCTTTGGTGTACATTTCCCTGGCTTCGCGATATCGTTTTACTTTATAAAGATCATTCCCTTGATTCTTGAAGTTTTCTGCAACTTCATGAGGTTCGCCTTCATAAGCCAAAGCCTTCAAAGCCTCAAGTTCATTATTCTGACCGCCTTCCCCGTCGGTATCATCGAGAGTCTTCATAAAAAATGGCATCCGATTTAGCTCATCGAGTACTTCATCAGTGGTTTTATTCTGAAATTCTGAAAGCTGCGGAGGTAGTGCCGGTTCTCCGGGCCCGGGAACATACCTTTTAGGCTTCTGGTGCATCTCGAATGACTAGGAAGCGCAGAATCAGGATTGTTATTCACAGGTATTGGTTAAGCGTCGCTAGCATTGCATTGTCTTGACATTTTTGATCAAATAGAGCATTGTTTACGGAACTATGATCTTCAAGACGTCTGAGATAACCACAATTTCGATACACATGAACTTCAATGTCGTGGACGTTGCAGCTCCTTCAGCCAGTGAAGCGGGTTGATTTAAAAGCTTTAACCTTTTAGGTACTACAGAGTAAAATCTTGAGGTATACAGTAACGTTAGACTTAGATGTAAAATGTCATTTAGGATATCAAGAGGTACTTCTCACCAACAATTTTTTGAAGCGAAAAGCCCGCTGTTTCACTTGATCGTCGATGTACGGTTCAAGATCTGAACTTCTTCCAGCCCTCAGGCTTCGGGATTTTCTTGAAGTCGTAGTATTCGTTTGTGCAAGAATACCCTTGAAACGAAAAGTCATGCGCGGGTTCGCAAGAGCACTTGTTCTCCTGCCACAGATGTTGATCCAACGGACAGTTGTGGTATGGGTTATGGAAGTAGCCGATTTCAGGGAAGTAATGCACTTGGTCACTAGGCAAAAACAAAGCCGCAGCAATAGAGTGGACGGGTGCGTCGCCCCACCGTTCGTAAAAGAATCCACCAGCCCGGTCGAGGTAGTCGAAATACTTCCTATAAGCTTCAGATCTCCAAAAATCTAGACTTGCAACCTCAAAGTTGGACCAGAAATGGCACAAATTGTAAGTTTTTCCATGGTCGTTGGATATGTAGTCCATCATATTGTCTTCAGCAACAAACTGGGGGTATTTCTCGGTGAACTCAATAGTCGTCTTCCAAAGAGTCTTGATCGTCGATTCAAATTCCCTGATGGAGACCGTGAAGCCATACGATTTGTTATTGTCCTTCATCCACTGGAACACATCATAGTTAACGTCGCAGTGAAGCTTTGTGCTTGGCTCCACGCGCCAATAATATTCGTATTCTTCCATCAACTCGTGCCTCCAGAAGAAGCCTGATTCAAAACGGCACATGTGTCTGTAGCTCTCAGAGTCCCCATAGATATAATCGGCCGTTGCTCTCACTTCTGCGGCCTTGTCTTCGTCAATCCATTCTGGGAACGACCAATGTTCCTTTGGAATGAGTCCAAACTGGACGTCTGATGACACGACATTTTCAATGGCAGTCTTGAAAATGTCTGAAAATGGTTCGTTGTTCAAAAATACATATGGGTAGTGAAACTTTCCGTTAAACCGATCCTCCAGATTGCGTACGGTTTCCACAATCTCGACCAGATCCTCGTTTCTAACCAGAGAAACAAACACTGCTTTAACTGTTGCATTTTCAGTGCTGTCCTCATCGCCATCCACAACATCCTCATGGGGTTGCGAGGCCTCTAGCAGGGCCTTCGCCGAATCGTCCATAGGCACTTCTTCAGGATGCTTACCATCTTCAGCATCTTGTTCCGCCTGAATCCTTTGATCCTCCTCCTGCTTCGCAGCAGCTGAGTTCCACCAGTTTTTGTAGCTATCGACAAATTCTTTGGTGTTATCCACGTAGTACGTGGTTGCCTCATTACCAGTTGTGTGTAGCACTAGCCCTAAAAATCCTAGAGCACAAACCAGCATTAGCCCGACTCTTAGGAGCCTTTTGCTGATTCTGATTCCCATGTTGAAATTGAAGGGCTCGATAGTTTTGGGTTGTTGAGCTCTGACGAAAAGATGGAGAATGTTTGAATCTCGAAAATTTATTATATATAAATATATTCAATTAAATGTATATATGTGGGCTAAAATGGAGAGCCCGTACACAATATGACACGAAAATAACAGGATGATGAGGTTCATAACCAACTCGCTGAGCAACGCGTTTTAGTACGTGCCTGGCCGTTCTTTTGACGACTGGTTGGTCACTTCAACCATATTATGTATTGCGAGAGAGGAGTCTTTGTCGTATCACGCTTCTTCACTGCGTTATCTCTATGTGGGGTTGTGTGGCGTGTGGCGCTACTTGGTATTTCGTGACGCGTTGATGCGAAGGGTGCAAAAGCATAATGTGTCGTGTAACTTTTGAATTCACGATAGGCGTCAAGCGCGGGCGAAAGTTTGTTCGGGCGATAATATTGATAACGGCTCGAGGGCGATGCGAACGGAAAAATGTCTTCAGGCTGACAGCTTAAGCAGAATATTCCGGTCTCAAAATAGATGAAGCAGACGAAAGTCTTTCATCTCCCATTGACGCTAATCGTCTTTTTTTATGGTGAGTTATCTCCCCGCTATGTTCTAGCCATCGTCTCGAACCATCGCTTTCAGTAGCGCATATTGAATACCGGAACTCCTATGAATAAATAAATATAAATCACCAAAGTTTCACGAGTGGGCTTCTAAAATTTGTTCAATTACAAGGTAAGCATAGGGAACGTCTGTCGTATTAAGACAGGAAACCTCATGATGACGGGAAAATGTCGATATTCGGTTCCAAATGTCGATCCGAGGGAAGATTGAGACTAAACCTGAGAGTGGAACTCAATTATAAGTTAATTGTTGGGAATGATGTGAATAAACTGATGGTGGTGTGCGTCTAATCGCATAATCAGCGTCAGTAAATATGTGACACAGTGGTACAGAATGATAGTACACAACCGAGGCCATACAAATAGAGCTACAAGCTAAGACAAACCGAAGAGAACAACTATTGTCCAATGGGATTGGCCATTGATAAGTTATCGGTAGTGTACGGCATTGAAGCCGTAATCCTTGGGTAATAGAATGATCTAGAATTGGTGATTAATAAATATGTTGACCAGAGTCACCGAGTGAGAATTGTATAAATACCAGGCTTTTGTTCAGGTAACTGAACCAACTCTAATGCCTAAAATAATTACGGAGAGATAAGTAGAATTCCCTAGATCCAAGTTACTCATCTTACAATGACTATGTCCGACTTACAAGACAAATTTAGTAAGCTTTCTACTGATGAATCAGATTCGCCTCAATATTAATATAATGGGAACAGCCCTTCATTAGCTAGCTAGTCATGGGTGGAAGAAACGAAGCGTGATTTGATCAGTTTAATACATTTCATGTACATAATATATATTATATCTGGGCGTATCACGATGAACTCCGTTGCGAGAGAACAGTAGTACAGAGTAATATTCACCACTCTGGAGTTGTGGACCTCTGGGCCGAGCTTTAAGCCTGCGAAAGGTATTAGCAAATAGCCGTCATTGGGAGTACAGTCCTGTCATTTTGAAACCAGGCTCATTAACTCGTGCGCTGAGCAGTTCTCATTCTACACCAAACTACCAAACGTTGCTTTCGCAACCACAAAAAACTCTTCTTGTAATTCACAGTTCGCTGATTTCTCTCAATGCGATGCGGAGGCTGTTAGAATTGTTGGGAATAATGTGAGGAAACTGATGGTGATGTGCGCCTAATGGCAGAGTTGGCGTCAGTAAAAACGTGACACAGTGGTACAGAATGATAGTACACAACAGAGGCCATACATATCGGCTTACCATTCAAGACAAGTCGAAGAGAACGTCTGTCGATGGTGATTAATAAGTTAGAGCCGCAATCCAGATCTAGAACGGGTAATTAATAAATGTGTGGACCAGAGTCACCGGTGAGATTTGTAAAAGTACCAGGCTTTTGTTCAGGTAACTGAATCAACTCTAATGCCAAAAATAATCACGGAGAGATAAATAGAACTCCCTAGATCCAAGGTACACATCTCACAGCGACTATAACCGACTTACAAGACAAATCTAGTAAGCTTTCTACTGATGAATCAGATTCGCGTCAGTAAGAATCCAGTCATTTACCTTCCTGCGTGGCCCCATATGTCATTATATACGCAAATGAGCACGGGGTTTCCAACCTTAAACCTATATGGATATCTCTCTACCCAGGAAGTCCGACTTCAGATGTCCGGTGTGGTTCATCAAGAGCTCAACACAACCACTAGGCATGCAAAATTTACGCAAAAAGGAAACTCGACTTCTTCATTTACTGGCCAGTAACGATGTCCGCAGCCTTGTACAACAAGCGAATACCCAGTGTGTCGCAGTGAAATTTGATGTTCAGGATCTGATCAAGCGCAACACTGACATACGGCCATCGTTTTATTCGTATACTTTGGCGGGTGGCTGTGAAGAGTGGTGTCCGTGACACCGCAATGGAACTACCGGCTAGTAACAAACAGCTCACAGAGCTTTATTGGGATTCAATTCTGCTCACAGAAAGCAGCTTTCTAGATCCTGGCCATCTCGACTACCCCAGTTTTCAGAGATTTGTGGTGCAGGAAGTTGGTAACATGCTGACAATACTTGATAAAGGCTACAAGATGGACTCTAAGAGGGCGGGCAAATCGCCATGGAGGCACATAGGACTCTCTTACAGTATTCTATATTTTGCAGACTGGTACTCAAGCCCTATCTGGTGTAAGAATGATTCTACTCGCCTGCAAGTTGTGCTGACCAGAAATATGCACAATGTCGTTAGGCCGTTATTAATGGCGTTGCTGGAGTACGCCGCGAATTTGAATCTTGTGATGCTTCGTCTCCACGTTTCAAGAAACGTAGATGGCATCAAAGAGCTTTTGCGCAATTTAAATTGGCTTGGAGGCCGAATTGTTTCCAACGAGAATCGGTTTAAGGCCTTGGAATGCCTAACACCTCAAGAGGGTACAATGTTTTCAGACGAAAAATATGTCATTATTGAGTTTGAGTGCTAGTTTAGGAAGCCAAGGCCTGCGTCCGAAGGGCATGTGCTTTTCAGCTCAAGGCAGAAGTTCCTTGCTGCATTGTAGTTCGCGATACCTAGCAGCATGTTGCATCTGCCAAACGGCACGTTATAAAAAACATTATGAGCTCGCTATGGTCCACGGCAATACACTAGTATGTTGACTTGCAATTTAAATAAAATTATCATCTGATGGTTTAAGACTCGTTGAGGGCTGTCCTATATTCCTAACGTATAGAGTGCGTGCTTTACACAAACTAGTTGATGGGAGAATATATAGACACTGAACGTCTCATCTCATCGGTCCAAAAACCCCTCCCATGTCCTTTAATGGTATAGGTCTAAAGAGTGCCAAGGGCTCATCGACATCGGGCCACGTACAGCAATCGCTTGTCTCGAGTCAAGATCGGAAGAATGCTAAGGATTACTTAAATCGAGTGGAAAAGACTAAAGCACTGCGACCAAAGGCAAGTAAAAACAAGCCCAATCGTAAAGATGAGAGCATACTGAAGCACCTTAGCCGGCGAGAACTTGAATTAAGAGTCTCTGAGTATCGAGATAATCTGGAGGACATGCAAGAGTTAGACAAAGCTGAAATAGATGCAAAGTGCCAGGAGTACAGAGAGCAGTTGGCCGCTGAGCGGGAGGTAGAAGAAAAGGACGAAAAATTACGTACTGCATATGTTTCGCGGAAGAGAAGGACCGCAAAGGATGAAGGCTCAGAAGATAATCAGCAACGAGAATGATCGAGGAAGGCAGCTCAATCTTTTTAAAGGGCAATTTTCTAAGCGCCTAGAACACGTCTCATTCGGCTTTTTTGAGGCCAGTTTACTTTCGAGCTAAGACTCGAGTTTACTCAAGGGCAAAGCTAGCCGTTTTGGCCTACCTTTCGCCATTTTCTTCTGAGAGTTGTATACAATTGTAGAAAGCACAGAGAAATAGCACATAATTCTTTCCACGATTGGGTTACTGATTGGGTTACTCTCCAAAGGCAGTTGGATGTACAATTCGGAATATGTCCTCTTTGATTGTGCATAGATTCGTAGATATTAACCCTTCTTAAGAATTTCCATAGCTTGAAATTTGATCTCATCGCCCTCGAACAAAATTGTGGATCGAATATTTTCCCAGTCTAAGCGGCCGAGAACCAATTATTCGCTAAGATGTTCCACCTTGCCAAGGGCCTGTATGCCAACTGGAATCGGAAAGAACAGTACTCGATCTTGATATTAGGTCTTGACAATGCCGGAAAGACAACATTTTTAGAAATGCTTAAGAAGGAATACTCGAAAAACTCTAAATCACCGGACAGAATAACGCCGACGGTAGGTCAGAATGTGGCCACCATTCCCGTGGAGTCTAGTGTATTGAAATTCTGGGATGTGGGAGGTCAAGAATCGCTACGAACGCTGTGGCCGGAGTATTATCGCCAGGCGCACGGAATCATTTTCGTGATCGACAGCGCCGATCGAGCTCGTCTTGAAGAATGTTGCACGACGCTCAGATCTGTGGTTGCAAACGAAGACGTGGAGGGCATTCCTGTGCTCATGCTGGCCAACAAGCAGGATCGAGACGACCGCATGGAGGTTCAAGATATCAAAGAGGTTTTTAATAAGATTGCCGAGCATTTAGGTGCGCGGGACAGTCGTGTGCTCCCAATAAGTGCTCTAACGCAGGATGGCATCAAAGAAGCTGCGGAATGGATACTGGTGCGTTTGAGACGAAACAAAGTGAACAAGCCTCCGCTGTACAAATAAATTCCGTAGTGGAGTCTTATGGTGACGCTAAAATGTTGGTTCCAGGGTTTCGGGAACTGAGCAGCTGTAATCAGTGATTCAGGAGCTATGAGTCAGCCTCATGAGTAGATGGTTTGGTCTTTTAACATTGTCGTCGACTTCCGTCTCGAACGATTGTGACATGTTAATGGAGTGTTTTCCTATAATTACAGGACCAATTGACACATACAATTGTTGTTACCGAAAGATAGCGGAACACTAGAATCTTCTAATACGTGGCCATGGAGAAGTTGACACGGGGTCCTTATCAGGGAAGCTCCTCGAGGAATGCTTGGAAGCGCGTTTGTCACTTGCTGTTGGCTTCTGTCATCATTTGTTATGCCTTCGTCCTTCCTTTATCGCCATTCCAGGAATCTTGGAACAAGATATGGTGGAGAAAACCAGCGAAGAAAAATGTAATATTTTTTGTGACAGATGGTATGGGGCCAGCTTCATTGTCGCTTACCAGATCTTTCAGGCAATTTACCCAAAATCTCACGAGGGATGACGTTTTAGTTCTGGATAAGCATCTTGTTGGCTCGTCCCGGACAATGTCGTCCAGTTCCTTAATTACTGATTCAGCTGCAGGTGCCACTGCTTTTTCTTGTGCTTTGAAGAGTTACAATGGTGCCATTGGTGTTGACTCGAACAAAAACCCTTGTGGTACACTGCTAGAAGCCGCAAAGCTCGAGGGCTATCACACAGGACTAGTAGTTACCACAAGAATAACTGATGCAACACCAGCTGCATTCAGCTCACATGTGGATTACAGATTCCAGGAGGATCTCATTGCCCAACACCAGCTAGGAGAGTATCCACTGGGCCGCATGGTGGATCTGATCATTGGTGGTGGTAGAACGCACTTTTATTCCCAACAAGATGCGGTCTACGGATCGCGTGGAAGTCGTGCCGATGGACGTAATTTGATAAAAGAGGCAATTGGAGATGGTTGGAGCTATGTCGGAAACCGTAACGAATTTGATGCACTGGATAATGGTCACAATGTTAGTTTGCCCTTGCTTGCACTTTTAGCCGATTATGACATTCCATTCGATATAGACCGCGATGTCGCCGAATATCCATCGTTGGCTGAAGAAGCCATGACTGCAATCAACGCTCTTACGGAGGCCACGAAGAACAGCGACAAAGGGTTTTTCCTGTTGATCGAAGGGTCAAGGATTGACCACGCTGGTCATCAGAACGACCCTGCGGCACAAGTTCGTGAGGTCTTGGCTTTTGACAAGGCTTTTGAAGCAGTCTTGAAATTTGCTGAAGAGAGCAAAGTTGAAACCGTGTTGATATCGACCTCTGATCATGAAACCGGTGGTCTTGTTACTGCTAAGCAGAATTCTAAGGCTTATCCTGAGTACATTTGGTATCCTGAGATTTTGAGTAACTCTAAACATTCTGGAGAGTACTTAGGAAAGAAATTGTTAGCTTATAAGGGCAACCACAAATCTCAGTTTATTGAAGAGACTATTTTTGAGAAAGGCATGGGTATTAATGATTATAAAAAGGAAGATACCGAAGAGCTGATGAAGCTCACATCATCTGGTGAGATCAACGACAAGATCAATGGCATGGTCTCGACCAGAGCACAAATTGGTTGGACCACGCACGGTCATAGTGCAGTAGATGTTAACATCTATGCACACTCAAATCGTCAAAAAACCTGGTACAATATATTGGAGAGCCTACTGGGAAACCATGAAAATACTGAAATTGGCCAGTTCATGGCCAATTACCTCGACCTTGATTTGGACAAAGTAACTGACTTGATCAAGAAGACCAAGCATTCCCCATTTGTAGAAGGCGTTGCTGTTCAGGATATGAAGTTTGATGAGTATCATGAAGGAATCTTTAAGTAGCGTTCTTCAAAAAGATGGCTCTTATTCACTGAATAGTTTAAAGGAAGATATTAGATAATATACTATACATGCACCTTTGTTTCACTTAAAGATAACTAAAACCTTCCATGGATGCCAAATAATCTCCAGGATTTTCTGTTACTCCTCAATGTGGAAAACAAGGTAGTTTGGTAAGCCAAAAACTTCGTATCCAAGTCTCTTAGCCATTTTTGCAAATCCCTCTGTTTCAATCAGATGATAGAATGGGAAACTGGGGAACATGGCACCATCTCTGTGGACTTCTGCCTTGACTAAAGTACAACCACCTCCAACACCATCAAGTTGAGTTTCAGCATTGACAGGACCTGATTCGGAGAATTGGTAAGCCATCAATGGCCGGTAAGTTGGAATCTCTTGATAACCTTCAAAAAGAACCTCATCGTCGGCCATTTTAGCAGCCAATTGGAGAGCAATTTCGCTTTCCGCCCAGTTGTTGAAATCATAAGGACGAATGGCAGCTTTTCCGGTTCCGTCATCTGTGTATCTCTGAAAGACATTGGCAGATAAAACGGCCTTGTCGTGAGCAGTCATATCTTGGATGACTGTTGGAGGCGTTTCGATAATGTCAGCATCCATCCACAGGATCCAGGCCGTGTGTGGGCCGATAGTGGAGAACAGTAACTCGTTACGAGCTAGAGCCATTGCCGCACGCCTCTCCTTCTGAACCTTTAGTTCATGTCTTTCTTTTTCCAACAGAGAATCAAAACTCTGCGAATCTTGTCTAAGAATCGTAATTTTGGCAAATCGCTGCTCCTTCTTTCCCAGTTGGACCTTTTTTACAGCTGCTTCGAGTTTGCGAAGTGCGGTATCGCCTGTTGATGTACGGGGAATAATGAACCCCAGCTCCAACAATTCACGAGGATAAGTCATCTGCAGTAGATTATTCCAGTATTCATCGTGGAAAGTCTGCATAGGGGTCAGGATCAAGACTTGTTCTCGATTGACGGCCGCATTTGCGGTGGACTCCAACTTATTGAGATCAAAGTGAGTAATGTGGCCAGCAGGGATATTGTCCTCAACGGTATCACTGAACAACCAGTTGGATTTCTTCTTGTACGTGTACTTGGGCTGTTTGAATTTCTTCGTGTACGGGAAATAGAACGTCTTTTCGGTTTCGTGTGCCCACTTGTGGTCACTGATAGAAGAGCCTTCTAAACCAAGGAGAGATTCTTCTTTGCTGAGAAACACCCAGAGAAGTGTTACTAGTAGTGCCAAGGGAAGAACTAAAGCTAGCATTGGCGTTTTGCGCAGTCTATAAGACCACATAGCGAGAGTCATCGCGACAGAATCAAGCCAATGGTGCCGTATATGAAATGGGCGTTTTCTAGTGGATCAAAGATCAATTAGCAGCAGTTTACCACACTTGCCTGCTTTTCTGAGCCCAATGTACCTTAATATATTAATACAAAGCACCAATCAAGCTTCACGCTCTCAAATTTATAAGGCAGTTGTTGGTCAAAGTTTATAGTTAATATGTACATTTTCGAAGTCTGGAAAACTGAAAAATCGCCCACAGCCATTTCGTCTATCGTGATGCTGTATTAGATGTCCTTCGGCCATAACGACTAAAATCCATGCAATGGGGAGTTAGGAATAGTTGCGGGTTTATCGCTTTTGGTTTGGCCATCGTACTATTTGTAATAAGCTTGAGGGACCTACCATTGTCTTAAAAATTCTCCAGCTCTTGGCTCTTTGTTGGGCCATCAGGATCCGACGGACAAAATATTGAAATATCTTTTAAAAGCACTGACTTTAACAGGTATACTACCATTAGATAGCAGACGATATCACCGCGGGAGTGCCTGAAAATCGTCCCATACCTTGTCGCAAATAGACATGAACATTTTCTTGTCTGTCGCGGCTTCAAGAAGCGAGAATGAAAATCCAAAACTGTCATTCTGCAATCGCAATTCTCCATCCATTGTTGTACCAGCCATATGCGTGCTCCTGGTATCTCCTGTGGGCTCTGCTCCTTCCTCAATTGCCAAATCCACTTCCTCATTATCGCTTTCTGCCTTTGCCACGGCGGGCTTCATCTTTGATGCTTCTTTTGGGCTTCGTCTGGCAGAAGCAGCTGGGTTCATTACAGGTGTTTGACGGCCTTTGGAACCGAAAAACTCATCGCGAGCGCTTTGAGGTTGCGCTTGAAACGGCGCCCAGCGACTTTCACTATTGCCAAATAGATCACGCGTTCCGACACCAGGGTTCTGATTTCGATAAGTCTCGAAATCTTGCTGCAAAGTCGCGCCTGGAATGGAAGTATTAGGAAACGGAGGTTGTAACACGGTATATGGAACTGGAGCAATCATGTAGGGCATTTGGTAGCTATTCTGAATGGGGCCGTGACCCATTTGGTAGCCCATGGCGGTGGGGGGAGGCTGTGCATAATAGCCATATGGGGTGAACGGAGCGGCGTTGGCGTTTGCCAAGGCGGACCAATGTGTAAGTCGGGGTTTTCTCTGAATTCGTGGGTCTGATTCAGTAGGTCTGCCCAAATATTGGACTCTAGCTCTTCCTCTGGGATGGCGAGTGGTGTGCGCCGGCGCGCTCCTGGCTCCATTTTGTGCGTTCATGTGTCCATGTCCCTTGCTTGCGGTTGATCTTGATCTACTTTCGATGCCATTGGAACATATTTTGAGGGGCGGGGGGATCCTACGCCGCTTGAGAGACTTCGAGCTGGTTCTGCTTGCGTTGGCTTCTAAATCACCGGACCCGGATACTATTGCATTTGGGGTTTGTTGAACTTGTTCGAGAATCGCTTCCTCTGGAACGTCTGATGAATTTTTTATGACGTCTTTCTGTCGCTCACTCAGTCTTTGAATCGCCCCTTTTTGATCTTTGGCAATATCCCTCGACATCTGCATCGTTGAAAGCATTCGGCCATCCATATTACCCAAACCTGGAGAGACACACTGTAGCCCCAGCTTTATGAGCCTTTGACGATTTTCCTTTTCCTTAGAAGGATCTTTCTCTGCATTGGTATGTGATTCCGGGGTCTTGTTCATGTCTTAAGGCTCCTCTGATTCAGTATACGTAACATGGGGCTCCTATTCGGACAACTCATCGCCTACATATAATTTAGAGAGGTATTATCTATCACCTGTGAAGCGATGAGCTCTTTATCTCTATATACGATCATAGATTGTCGCATGTTTTCTCAAAAACGCTATCAATGGCAGGTAGGGTGTATGGTCTCGAGGCTATACTTGCTGGTGGTTTTCTAGTACTTTCAGAGCGAGTCAGAGTCGGCAGTTGCTGACTCGCTTAACAGTTTTCCAATTTGTTGGTAGACATCGTTTACAATAATCTGAGTAGTTGATACTTAATCTGAAACTTGTAAAGCAACTTCTGGTGGTCTCGCAGTGGGTATTTGGACTATAGATATTGAGGCGAATCTGATTCATCAGTAGAAAGCTTACTAAATTTGTCTTGTAAGTCGGACATAGTCATTGTAAGATGAGTAACTTGGATCTAGGGAATTCTACTTATCTCTCCATGATTATTTTAGGCATTAGAGTTGGTTCAGCTACCTGAACAAAAGCCTGGTATTTATACAATTCTCACTCGGTGACTCTGGTCAACATATTTATTAATCACCAATTCTAGATCATTCTATTGCCCAAGGATTACGGCTTCAATGCCGTACACTACCGATAACTTATCAATGGCCAATCCCATTGGACAATAGTTGTTCTCTTCGGTTTGTCTTAGCTTGTAGCTCTATTTGTATGGCCTCGATTGTGTACTATCATTCTGTACCACTGTGTCACATATTTACTGACGCTGATTGTGCGATTAGACGCACATCACCATCAGTTTATTCACATTATTCCCAACAATAGAATAGTCCACATCTGAGGCGTACACCATACAAGATTCGGGCTGTTTTTTTCTTTTTGGGTGCAAGTAGGACTTAGTCTTCGAAGAATCTTTGAGCGGTTGGATGGCATAAATTGCTTGCCAAGGCATTTCTGTGTCATCGTCGTTCTCTGAGTCCCATTGGTTGATTATCCACCTTGTACATTTTCCTTTTACTGACGTTGCCAGAATCACCTTGTACTATACTGACACAAGCTTGATGGTTACCATCTTGCAACTCGATGCTAATCAAAAGTACTATATCACTACCAGTCGGTAGTTTACAAAAGCTAAGTTACCACTAATTTAGTACATGTCGGACTAGCAGGTGTGTGGCACACTCGGTAGTCTTTTGCTTGATAGATATACCATCATGGTTTCTTGTTCGTGGGTCTAGTTTGCTTCATGCGTATCAAATGAGACAGTAATAATAGGACAGCCAAGATTCCCCTCTATATGTCCAACTTTGTCCCCACGCTAGAGAACAGCTCTTGAAAGCGCTTCAGCTCAATAATGTCTCAAGGAACACTTTACGGAAACTTTCGTGTTAGAACCTGGGTTCCCCAGGGTATCATCAAGCAGTTTGGCCTAGATGTCAAAATTGTTGCGCCTGAAGACCAGCCTGAGCAATTTGCTCTTGAATTTCCATTAGGGAAGGTCCCTGGCTTGGTTTTAGCCGACGGCTCTAAACTAACAGAAGCCCTGGCCATCCTATACTACTTGCTGGAACTTGCACCTAGCTCTCAACAAAAAATCATGCTGGTGGGCTCTACCATCGAAGAAAAGGCTCAAGTTCTCAGGTGGTTGTCCTTCGCCAATAGCGATCTTCTCGTTCCATTGGCAGGGATTTTTGGTGCTTTACTGGGCAGCAAGCCATATTACAAGCCCGCGGTTGATGCTGCAACCGCAAAAGTGGATTCTGTTGTGGAAATTTTCGAAGAAAGACTCACGCACTACACTTATTTAGCCACCGAAGAAGTGTCATTGGCGGACTTGTTCGCCGTTGGTACCTTTTGTCGTGGTTTCCAGTATGTTTTCGGTACTAAGTGGCGTAAGGCACATCCTGGGATTGTGAGATGGTTCGATACGATCAAGGAGTCTCCATATGTTAAGGAATTCTTTGCGGGTGTCAAGTTTTGCGACACACCCTTGCAGCCTCCACAAAACTCTAAGAAGAAGGAAGCCAAGAAGGACACTAAGAAGGACTCAAAGGCTAAAGCTCCTGCTCAAAAAGCTGAAATCGCCAAAAGTTCTGCTGACACCACTGACCCTGCTGCAACTCCCAAGAAACCAAAACATCCTTTGGAGCTTCTAGGCAACCCAAGTTTCGCTTTGGATGAGTGGAAGCGTAAGTATTCTAACGATGATACGAGACCTGTCGCTTTGCCATGGTTTTGGGAGCACTTTAAACCTGAAGAATACTCGATATGGAAGGTGGACTTTAAGTATAACGACGAGTTGACTTTGACATTTATGTCCAACAACCAAATTGGAGGTTTCTTCAACAGGTTGAGCGGCTCCGTCAAGTACATGTTTGGCTGCCTAGTTGTTTACGGCGAAAACAACAACAACGGTATTACAGGTGCCATCATGCTAAGGGGCCAGGACTATGTTCCAGCTTTCGATGTGGCTCCAGACTGGGAATCTTATAGCTACACCAAGCTTGACACCTCGAAACCAGAAGACAAGGAATTCATTAACAACATGTGGGCCTGGGACAAGCCTGTTCTCGAGGATGGTAGAGAAAGAGAGATTGCCGACGGAAAGGTTCTCAAATAAGTGTGATAGGTTTTTGTAGAATGTCCCTGTGACGTGTTTTTTACGAATTGAGAGTGTATACCTAGAACCTAAGCGATGTGCGCTAAACCGTATAAAAAATACTCATGGCTGTTTACCTGTACTAAAGATAAGGGATAGTATTTAAGTATATAAAGCATCTGACGAAAACACTCAATCCACCACGTCCGAAAGGTCCTATGTACAGCTTATAACAGTGTAGGTTTATTTTTTTCATGATTGTCGTGGTCCTTGTGGGCCTACTAGCCCTTGTTTACAATTATGTGATATACCCACTATGTTTGAATGAGCTCATCAAACAGAAAATCCCAGGCCCGTTGCTCTACAAACTCTCGAGTATATTCATTCTGAATGAAACTCGCAGAGGCAAGCGAAACTCACTTCTCCAACAGCTACACCAGACATACGGCCCGGTCGTTATGATAGGACCGGGAGAAGTGTCGCTAAACTCGCTGAAACTAAAGAAAGATATCTATCTCCGAAATTTTCCTAAAGAGTACTTTAAAGATGGTGTAAAAGTTACTGGATTCTATTCTCAATTTTCAAACTTTGGCCAGCATAACATGTTTAGTACCGGTGACAATGCTACTCATCTGGCAAAGAAGCGACCTCTACAACAAATGTTTTCTAAGAGCTCGATTCTAGCATCTGAAGGATTTGTAAGAAGCCAAGTAGAAGCTGTTAAAGATAAAATTATAAATTACGGCAATAACGCAAATGTGAATGTTTACTCCCTTTTTTCAGCGTTGGCCATGGACGTTGTATCGGGAACGGAATATGGAACTAAGTTCAGCACCAATTTTGTTGACGAACTATCACATAGTTCAAAAACTTTGAAGCTTGAACGAAGTATTTTTGATGACTTTAGAGACAATACATCCCTCTGGTTCTATGTGACGCTTTGTCCAGCTTTATTGCCAATGGCGTCAAAATGGAAGAAAATCGATGGCGCTTCAGCCAGATCCGCAAGTTGGATGTATAAAAACTTTGAAAAAGCTTTGAATGCAGTGATTCAAAATGAGGACGTTAACTCTAAGGACTTCCCAATTCCTACCGTGATAGAGACAATGTTCGCGCATCGGATGCGGACTTCAGGGGGGAAGTTTCTCCCCGACGATCAACTTAATGCAATAGCAAGTGAAATAGCTGATCAGGTTGTTGCAGGACATGAAACCACAGGTATTACCCTATCCTACTTGTTCTGGGAACTGTCGCGTCCTGCTAACGCACATTGGCAAGAAAAATTGAGGAAAGACGTTAAAGGGTTCCGAGACTCCAGAGAGCTGGATGACAAACCAGTTTTGAATGCGATATTGCAAGAGACCTTGCGACTACATGCTGCAATTCCAGGTTTGGAGCCACGCTTTGTGCCCGCAGGCAAAACGCTGAATTGCAGCATAGGACAGAGAAACTTCGCTATACCCGAAGGCACAGTCGTCGCTATGCAGCCTTGGACTTTGCATCGTCTTCCTGTATTTGGGCCGGATCCAGATATTTTCAAACCCGAAAGATGGCTCAGGAATCGCGGCGAGAACGAAGAGGCCTTCTCTGCAAGGATGCGGGAAATGAGCTCCGCAATCTTCACTTTTGGACAGGGAAATCGCATGTGCATCGGCATGCACCTGGCTCTTTGCCAAATAAAGTTATGCATGGCATCGCTATTTTCGCAGTTTCAGACGCGCATAAGCTCGGATTGGTGCCCTATTATTGATCCCGGACACTCTGCTGTGAAGGTCGGCATGCAATATGGATCTACAGACCTTGATAAAATGTCCATGGCCGACGCCTACACGACGCACCCTATACACCACGAGTGCTGGCTCCAGTTCGAAAATATCCAGGATGGTGCCTCGAAATAGAGGCCGTCTACGCCAACACCTATACATCACGAATATCTCACAGCCTGCTGATCCCAATCAATGAATGCAGAGACACACAGCTCGGGCTTCTGCCGTGAGAGCCTTGCATGTATCATTCCATACTACGCTGACGCCCGCTGGTCACGTTATACTATCCTGTCTTCGGCTTGAGCCTTGCGACGTCAAAACACATTGAGCGTCCGCAGACTCTCACTCAATGACATGACACTTACACCATGCCTCGCTTAAACCTGGAGCGGGACTCCACAATCACAGGCGGATGCTGATTCACCTCAGTACTCCTAAAACAAAGCAAATTCCAATCCACATTCGTATCCAGTGACACTATTTGCTCCTCGGGTGTTCGTCTTGCTTTCTCTTATTACAGTCTATGATTATGAGCAACTTGTTCAGAGCAGACTTACAGCTCTCTCTGCCATCGCTTTGGAGTCCCGTCGCACCATCCCGGCTATATATTCGTGTTTGTATTTAGTATTGCGTATCGTGTACTACGGAGAAGCGCTTATTTTCCCCCGGAATTTTCGGCTTTAGGGTAATCAAAAACGGTTGGAGTAAGCGCCCAGCGGCTGCTCGTATAAGGTTATAAGATGACCTTATTCTAATCTCTCTCGGGTTTGCCCATTATCTGACATTGGTATATAAAGGCGGACCCAGTTGGAAGTTACAGAGCTTGATCCTGACTCATTCGAAACCAAAGCTCCTCTCTTCTTTCGCAACATCTGCCACGTATAATTGGCTAGAACGGAGTAGAATAAGAGGAACGTTTATAAGAGAGCTATCCCTATCATTCTTTTTGTCGACAGACAGGTGTTGGTTGACTTATTGCTGAGGTCCAGGACGCCATACTATAATTAAAAGTACACGATGGCCAAGGGAGATCACACTAGCACTGGCAAGGGAGATCCCACTAACACTTCCAATGTGAGATCGGACCGGATCGTGACGAACTCACAGGGAAACCCGATTAACGATCCGTTTGCCTCGCAGCGGGTCGGCCAGTATGGACCGTTGCTGCTGCAAGACTTCACCTTGCTGGACTCACTGGCGCACTTCAACCGCGAGCGTATTCCAGAAAGAAATCCGCATGCACACGGATCAGGGGCTTTTGGATACTTGGAGGTCACCGACGACATTTCAGACGTGTGCGGCTCGGCCATGTTCAGCGAAATCGGCAAGCGTACACGTTGCATGGTACGGTTTTCCACGGTAGGTGGAGAAAAGGGTTCTGCTGACACGGCAAGAGATCCGCGTGGGTTTGCTACGAAGTTCTACACCGAAGAAGGTAACCTCGACTGGGTCTACAACAACACGCCTGTTTTCTTCATTCGCGACCCAACGAAGTTCCCGCACTTCATTCACACGCAGAAACGTAACCCACAAACCAATCTGAAGGACCCCGATATGTTTTGGGACTTTTTGACGACTCCTGAGAACCAGGTGGCCATCCATCAGGTTATGATCTTGTTCAGCGACCGAGGCACCCCTGCGTCCTACCGCAATATGAATGGCTATTCTGGACACACGTACAAGTGGTCCAATAAGAAAGGCGAGTGGTTCTATGTGCAGGTTCACATCAAAACAGACCAAGGTATCGAAAACCTCAACAACGAGGAAGCGGTCAAGTTATCGGGAGAAAATCCAGACTATTGTGGCCAGGACCTCTTCAACAACATCAAGGCAGGAAAATTTCCCAGTTGGACTGTGTATATCCAAACCATGACGGAAGAGGAAGCCAAGAAGCTCAACTTTTCCGTTTTCGACCTGACTAAAGTGTGGCCACACAAGCAGTTCCCGCTACGTCGTGTGGGGAAGATGGTGCTGAATGAGAACCCACAAAATTACTTTGCGCAAGTCGAACAAGCTGCCTTCTCTCCCAGCCACACTGTTCCATACCAGGAGGCCAGTGCTGACCCGGTTTTGCAGTCGCGTTTGTTTGCTTATCCGGATGCACACAGGCACAGATTGGGTGCGAACTACCACCAAATTCCCGTCAACTGCCCGTACGCGTCAAAAGTGTTCAATCCCTCTATCAGAGATGGGCCCATGAATGTCGACGGCAATTTGGGCTCCGAGCCCAACTACTTATCCACCGCTAAAAGCTACAACTACATTCAGACTTCTAAACCTATTCAGCAACATCAGGAGGTGTGGTCAGGACCCGCCACTCCGTTCCACTGGGCCACTTCTGCAGGCGATATTGATTTTGTCCAGGCCCGTGGACTTTACAAAGTATTGGGCCGCACACCTGGTCAACAAGAGGCATTGGCTCACAACGTTGCAGTCCACGTAGCACATGCATGTCCTGAAATCCAGGACCGCGTGTTTGCTATGTTTTCGCGTGTCGATGAAACCCTTGGCGACAAGATCCAACGTGAGGCCTTATCTATTGCTCCGCGCCGCTCTACCAACTTGCAGTCCAAACTCTAAAGGACTGCTTTCTCTCTTGTGGTGCTCTCCCGGCATAAACGACTTGGCTTGACTTGCACATGCTGCCCATCTGGCCATGGGCAGCATGGCTAGCATCTATATAATTGAGACATAGCCTTATTTATAACCGTATTTATTCTTGTTAATTTAGTTGAGTTATTGTCCGCTGGTGGCGCTTTTGTCGAAAAGTTTACAAGTGGTTGGCACCATTGTCGCTAATCAATCTTTTCCATGTTTTACAATTACACGTTTACAATTTAGAAAGATACTGATAGAACCGCCGTTCCCATACACCAAACAAACTCTCATGTCTGCTCCAACGATAGAGAGTACGTCCCAATCTATCTATGATAACTTACTCTCCACGATGATCCAAGATATTGTTGCCAGGAGCACGACTCAAGCAAAAACCTTGCGTGCTAGATATGGAGACAACTCTACGACGTATTACTATGACAAATCTGGTGCCTTAGATATCAACGGTATGCCCAAGCAACAGGATAGCGCCATCTACTTTCATTGTACCCATTGCGGCAGGGACGTTTCGGCCAATCGGTTCGCAGCACATGTTGAAAGGTGTCTCAGTCGGGGGAGGAGATAGTCGCCGAGGCAAATTGAATCAAAGAAGAAGATGAGAGAGCGAACCCGTGTCATAAAAAAGTTGACATCAAATCTAGAGTGGTGTGAGTCAAGCCGAATGGAGCAACCGTCCCTAACACCTCTTGCCATTCTCGTGCTGGATCGATCTTCTTTCGTATACAATTATCGGCCTTTCATGAAGCAGCTTTAATCTTGAGCTACTACCCACTTAAGGGACTACTGTTTGCAATGTCACCATAAAACCTTGGACAACTCAGCACGTAGACTACTTTGGGAATTGCTTCAAATTTAAGCGAATCTGTGACCTGTCGGGAGTTTGTGGGACGTCAAGTTAATTGAAAAGCAAAGCTGGGCCTTTAAGAATATACCTTGTGCCGAGCATCAAAGCCCATCTGCGATGTCTGAACTTTTAGGAACCCTGGAAAGTGAGTATAACAAGTTGTTAGAGGGGGCGTCTCCTAGCAAAACACATCTGAAGAAAGTCTTGGAAGACACCCACGAGTTTAGGCTGAATGTCAAACGGCTTAAGGGCTACTTGACCAAACAGGTGCAGGAAGAGCGGGAAAAGGATACGCCGACACCAGCGACAAAGCTCGCTAAGAAGCAACAAGTGGCCGTTGATAAGCTGAACAGACTGCATAAGAACTGGGACAGCGGGATCAAAAAAAGCACCAAGCTTGCGACGCAACAATACTCCAAATTTCAAAAAAATGCTTTGAACAAGGTATACGATTTCGAACTTGATCAAGTATATACAAACAAGTTTGATCCGGGTGCTCGGGAGCACATTGAGCGCGCCATAGGTCTCCACATTTCCCGATACAATGTCAGCCAAATTCCAGAGCAGGACTCTGAAGGAATGGTAAGGTATTTGGACCATGTTTATGGCGTAGATCCCCGAGTTTCCACCAATTTCGTTCAAATGGCCGAAATAGTGGGACAACTACGTAAGGACAATTTGGATACATGTATGGAATGGTGCACAAAAGGTTCGAATCTGGAATTTGAGCTCCATCTGTTAAAAGCGATGTTTCTCCTTGAGAGTGGTGATAAACTGGCCACTTACCAATACCTACTCAAATCCATACCCGATTTCATGCAAAAAACCCAAAAAAAGTCTGTACGACACCGCGTAGCTCCTCTGCTCGCCCAACTGGTAGTTTCGACTGGGGGGGATCTAAAGTTGGAAGAACAACGCAACAACTGCGTGGATTTACTAACCCGGGAGTATTGTGATCGAAATAATTTACCTTTTAACTCCTCGTTATTCTTGGTGGTTATGAGTGGTATCATTTCTTTTCAGTTTTTCATCAAATATAAAACCTTACAGGCAGTGCGCCATGTCGACTGGAGCACCGAAAACGAGCTACCATTTCATGTCAAACTTCCAGATTTTCTTACAAACTTCCACCCCATTTTCATATGTCCCGTTCTCAAAGAAGAAACCACAGAAGAAAACCCACCATATGCTCTACCTTGTCACCATGTTATATCCAAGTTCAGTCTGGATAAACTCAGTAAGAACGGGACCTGCAACTTCAAATGCCCCTATTGTCCCGTTACAGGCGCTCGTGGTAAGACTAGTAAAGTCAATTTTGTTATGTTATAGTCTAGCATAATCAGTAGGCACTTTCGTTCAAATGTTCAAATAATCTGCAACTAGCAACAATTCCAACGACATTTCCGTCGGGACCTCAAACTCAGGTAAGTCTTCGTCCTCTGTGGCGTCAATATACTTATAGCGATATTCCAGATAGTCTGCAACTTTCTCTAGAACATGCGGGTCTATCTCCTTCAATTCGACTCTCCTCTGATGACCTTCCATGAACGCACTGGAAAGCATATTCTTCAACACGGGTGATATCGAAGCTGCTTCAAGCGATATCGTAAATTCAGCGTCGTTCTTCGAAACAAGGACGATGTCAGACATAAGCGAAAGATCGAAGTATTTTGAGTAGCTCGTTTTGTCCAAAATATTTGGTTAATTAATGTCTTTAAAACAAGTCTAGTTTGTAATAATAGGGCCAACTCAAGTGATATAGTGGAGCTACCGGTTTAGAGCATCAATGAGCGTTAAGAACCCAAGCTTAGGATGGGAGCGGCTACAGGATGTGTATTATAGAAATAGAGAACTCTGCAAATTAAGCATACCACCTGGAACGGAATTTAAGCTCAAACTAACAACCACGTTACTTGCTGTCGAGGCGGATAATTTTATTGAGATATTCCACTACGGAGGCCAAAGCCTTGCTAGGATTGATTTGAACACAGCACCTACCAAAATTATATGCTATGATTTTGATTACGAAGACGAAGGATCTCTCATAATGGCCCTTAGTGATCGAATAAGGGTTTACTACAACTGGTATCCGATGCAGTTTCGAGACTATCTTCTACCCGATCATATTGAAGACACTATATGGGATTACAAAAATCGGGTAGTAGTGCTTTCTTCATCTCAGGACCTCTATAAGTTTGATGGGCAGCAAATAGTTAGAATCTGTGAGAACAATGAACGTTTCACGCTACTGACCAAAAACCACTGGGATTGCAACGGTAAATTAGCTGTATTATTGGGTTTTGATCGTATCTTCCATCTTTCGGTTGAGTCGCAGAAGCTGGAGGCAGATAACGTTGAAGAAGCATGGCATTCAGTGGTAGTATCCCCCCAGGGCCTGGTATGCTTATACAATGCAAAGTCATACGGGTCGAGGATTTACAAGAAGGGCAGTATCTTGCCAATGGACATAATGCTAGAGTCCCATCCTGAGAAAATACTCTGGTGTGCAAACGATACAATTGCATGTTCATTCAATGGCGATGAGATCAAGCTTTATGGTCCAGACTCCTCCAGTGTTACATTTTGGTACCCAGAAGGGCTACTTGAATTGGAAACAGATTCAAGAGGACTTAGAGTGGTTACCGCCGATAAGGTTAACTTTATTTCTAGAGTCGGCAAAGAAACAGCGAGTGTCTTTCTGATGGGGTCGACGGAACCTGGCTCAATTCTATTAGATTCCGTGACCTTTTTATCAACCCAAACCCCTCGCGCAGTTGAAAACCTCAAGATAATCAATCTTGATCAAGGTGTTGCCGAGTGCTTGGAGGCCACACTTGATGAATTAGAACCATACTGGCAAAAAAAACTTCTCTCTGCGGCCGTTTTTGGTAAGAGCTCTCTTCCCAGAGAGTCCCAGAACTCCAGTCTTTTTGTTGACGCGTGTGATAAAGTTAGGGTTCTCAACATGCTAACCGAAAAGGGAATAATACTCACGGCTAAACACCTAGAACTACTTGGTATAGATAAATTGATATCCCGGTTGATCAAATCAGGGAACTTCCATGAGAGCGTCATGATTTGCAAATTTCTCAAAGTACGTGGCAAGCTACCTAAGATTTTTTCAGCGTGGGCAAGTGCTAAGATCCTATTGTCTTCCGATTTAGATGACGAATCCATTTTGGAATCCATTGTGAAGCTTGCTGAAAGCCTACCCGTCAAAGTTTCGATGGCTAGTGTGGCTACTACCGCATTCAATGAGGGTCGGCCAACCCTATCTAAGAAATTGGCAAAAAGAGAGCCATTGCCCGCAGTTGAACTCTCATTGCTTCTAGAGCTTGACGAATGTGAACTTGCTTTGGATGAGGGGCTACGGCTCGGAATCCCTGAAATGACACTATCGGTTTTGTTGACGCTCAAAGAACGGCTTACTGTTGCTCAATTCACTAAAATTATTATGTTGATAATGCGAGAGGACCAGCTCTTCGCATATTTTTGCAGAAATGACGTCAACTACTTAATTGACTTTTATCGTCAAGCAGATCAGCTTCCTGATCTCGCTTACGCCTTGTGGCTTCAAGGCGCTTCCCGGGGGACTTCAAGTGAGTGCGTACCACTAGTAAAGGAACTTTACAACAGAGTTGCTAACGATTCTCTGTTAAAAAATGATCAGAGCATTTTAGAAAGGCAGGTTTCGGTCGTGGAGTTCCAGAAGTCCTTGGAACAAACTCATCAACTCAGCGTAATTAATTCAAGTTTGGACGATACACTGAGACAGTTGATAACCAAGCACCTTGACAAGCAGTTGGCATCCTGCGTCAAAAAATTTAGGATACCGGAAACCAAGTTATACCACTTGAAGTGCCAGGTTCTGAGTGAACAGCAAAGATTTGACGATCTTCACAAATTTGCGCTAGAAAAGAAGTCGCCCATTGGTTACATCCCTTTTTTTAAAAGTTGTCTTCGGCAAAAACGGAAGAAGGAAGCTGCAATCTACGTTCGCATGATAAGTGGAGCTCAATATGATAAAAAACTCGACATGTATTTGCAGTGCGAATCGTTTTACGACGCAATTCAATTAGCGGCTAAAGAAAAAGATATCCCAAATCTCAAGAGAGTTTACAAGCTCGTCCCCCCAAATGAGCCACAGCTAAAAGCACTTATCACAGAACATATGGATAAGTTTGGCAGTCAACGCTAGCCGCTGCTGCAATGTCGAAATTCGCCGTTTATTATCACCCCATTGCGTGGACCGTTTTCACCTGTCGCCCATCCTGGGACGTTTTCGAGATCCATATAACCTTGATCGCATAACTCATGTAAACCACCAAATACGTCGGACCCGAAAAGTTTAATTTTGAAACCAGAATTTTGGCCACTGTTAGACTTGCTTCGAATGTCAAAGTCTACCCTTGGTACTGCTAAACGAGAGTTATATTTTGATAGAGAACCCAAACTATGCGAATATGCGCTACCTTTAAATCTGAGCATCGACCTTTGCTTTGGGTCAGTGACACCGAGAGGGTGGCGAAGTCGAGCCTTGTCCAGGGGTGAATTTTCAATGTTGCTATCAGCGTATGTGCTCCACGGTCCCAACGAATTAGCTTCTCGAGTAAGTCCTGTTAAAGCAGCAACTGTGTGCAAATTACGCACAGCTGTTTTATGAGTCTTTTCAAGTGTCAAGCATTTCTTTTGGCACGCAAACCTAGTAACGCTGTTAATTATGAGTTTCGTGTATACGTCTGTGCCCGCAGAGACGATTATATGCGATGAATTGAATGGGATCATAATGTAGGTGGGCGCGCGACTGGCGAACTTGGAATCTTTTCCGGCATCTTGAATTAGTTCGAATAGCTGTACGCGAATACAAATCAACGGGAGCCCTGGATAGGAATATATGAAAGCATGAATATCAAAAATTTCTCGCAAATCGCTTTCGAGCGCGGAAACTAGTCGTTCAGGGATGATATGGAGAGTTGCCGGGCGTTTCTCTCGGTCAAATGCTGCCATGGGTACCCACTTATACAAATTCGGGTTCTCAAACAAAACATAGCAATCGAGTTCCGCAAAATGTTGAAAGCTTGAGCCTTCACTGCAAAGTGATGCAGCTATATGTCGGCACATCTTCTGGTCCGTGCTTTTCTTCAATCCAGAAATATTCATTTTTGAAAACCAACTTGCCAGAGCCCGTTGTTTCCGGCCACCCTGCTGCAACCATTTACAGGCCAATTCTCGTCGAGTTTCGGCTGAAATTCGAAGCAGTTTTCTGTAAAAAGTATTGTCGCTCACAGTTGATGCAAGGTTCATCTTTGTCACCCTGATAATGAAGAACAGCCTCGACACAAAAATCGAAAAGAAATGAGGCTCGCTAACTCTTTTTAAAATACAAGGCTTCCTCCAAATCAGCGACTGCTTCCGTGACAGTAAAGCTCTTGCAGGTGGATGGTATGAATATGGGTTTGTTTACCATTTAAATCTACGCCAAGAGCATCGCGATTGCTCGTTTGAAATGCTATCATCAACCTTGCATGAAAATTTTCTGGCCCTAACTACTAGGTATGCTCATCTCATCGCATTAAGCTTGCTCATCGCCGAATCCAGTTGATCAACCCATCTGATAAACAGGTACCTCAACAAGTTTCCTGGTTTATATTTTTAGACAGCATGGCATCTGAACATGAGAGTCAGCCTAACGTAAGAAATGGCGCCGCCAACAGAGATGATTTTCTAGACATGAAGACTTTGTTCGTGCGGTCAATTCCATTTGATGCGACTGATGAAGAGCTAGCCACTTTTTTCGCTGATCTAGCGCCTATAAAGCATGCTGTGATAGTTAAAGATGATGAGAAGAACTCTAGAGGCTTTGGTTTCGTGAGCTTTGCTGTCGAAGACGACACTAAAGAAGCTTTGAGTAAAGCCCGGAAGGCCAAATTCAAGGGCAGACTGCTGCGTGTGGATATTGCCAAGAGAAGAGACAGATCAGGGAGTGGCCAGAAGAGAGCTGAGCCTGTGAAAACGGCGGAAGAACGTGAAAATGAGCTACTTGGTGGTAAAGCTAAGCTTATTGTTAGAAACATGCCGTGGAGTGTGCGTAATCCAGATCAATTGAAGAAGATATTCATGCGTTTCGGTACCGTTGTTGAGGCAAAAATACCTAAGAAACCTGATGGAAAGTTGTGTGGGTTTGCGTTTGTCACGATGAAAAAGCTTGCCGCGTGTAAGAAAGCTATTGAGGAATCCAAGGGCCTTAAAATAGATGGAAGACCAGTGGCTGTTGACTTTGCGATACAAAAGAATAAATGGGAAGAACACAAACAGGAGAATATCACGATACCTGCGCAAGAGTCGGACACTGACAGCCATGGAGAAGAACAGGAAGAAAGCGATGCTGAGAGTGATAGCTTGGAGGATGAGCAAGACAGTGAAGATGACGAAGATCAAGAAGCGGGTGATGACAACACTAGAGACGATGAAAGCGATGAAGATGACGGGGAGCAAGCTGAATTAACCTCTGATGGGGAGTCTGATGTCCAGGACCGCCCGAAGCCAAATAGACAGGAAAACTGGTCCATCTTTGTTCGTAATGTACCTTACGATGCCACTAGGGAATCTTTGGAAGAACACTTCAGCAAATTCGGACCTGTCAAATATGCGCTGCCAGTCCAAGACAAGGAGACGGGCCTCGCTAAAGGCTCGGCTTTTGTCGCCTTCAAAAGTGCAGAAACCTTTGACGACTGTGTAAATAATGCGCCTGCATCGGGAACCACTTCTCTGTTGATAAGTGACGATGTCCCATACAAATATGTCTACGATGGGAGAATATTGTCCATTACCCCATCGCTAGACAGAGAAACTGCTGAACGTTACGCCGAGAGAAATGCTTCGAAGAGAAAAGAAACTTTTGGCAAGGCGCCCACTGTAAGGGACAAACGTAATTTGTACCTGTTAAACGAAGGCAGAATCACAGAAGGCTCCATACTTTCTCAACTTTTGAGCTCTAAAGATATGGAAATTAGAGAAAGCTCTTACAAACTAAGAGTGGAGCAACTCAAGAAAAATCCAGGTTTGCATCTTTCGCTTACAAGATTAGCTATAAGAAACCTCCCTAGAGCCATGACTGACAAAGCTTTGAAAGCATTAGCGCGTAAAGCCATCGTTGAGTTTGCTACGGAAGTTACTTTGAAGAAAAGACACCCTTTGAGTAAGGAGGAAATTCAAAGATCTACGAAAGAGAAATACAAGTTCATGGATGAAGATGAGATTAATGCCAAAAAGAAGAAAGACAAGAAACAGGGTGTTGTCAGACAAGCGAAGGTAATCATGGAAGTCAAGGGCTCGACGACTGGTAGAAGTAGAGGATATGGATTTGTGGAATTCAGAGATCACAAGGCAGCGCTTATGGGATTAAGATGGCTAAATGCGCACGAGGTCACCAGGACTGAAGTTTTAGAAGGTCTTGATGAAGAAGAGAAGAAGGCTGTTGATGTTGAAGGATTGAATCGTAGACGTCTTTGCGTGGAGTTTGCCATTGAGAATGCAAACGTTGTGAAGAGAAGAAGAGAAGCCACTAAAAGTGGCAAAGAAGCCAGTAAAAGGAAGTTGGAAACTAAAACGGCAGAAGCGGTCGACGATGGTGGAGTAAGGAAGAAATCGAGAAAGAACGACACACAATCTTCTTCAAAGGAAGGTGGAGCATCTGGCAAATCGGGCGTTGATGATAAAATCAAGCGGCTCATAGGAATCAAACGTAAGAGAAAACAAGGGAGAAAATAAACTCAGCAACCAGCATTTGATTCGTTTGTTCAAATTTTGCATTAAATAACTGTAGATTATGTGCACGGCCTTGCCGTTTTTACCTCAGGCACCTATATGACATATATAGACCATATTTGTCAAGACGTGTTCTTCATTTTCTTTTCTTACGTAGCGGCCCATTGGCAGCTGTCGATGACCCAGCTCGTGTGGACGAATTATTGCCGGACACAGCTGCTGCTGCGGCCGCAGCAGCAGCCAAAATCCTTTTGTTGACTCCAAGGCCTCCCAACGATGAATTTCCCACATTTTTAGACGCCATTGATTGTGTATGCGAGGCAGTGGATTTGGCGTTTGGATTCGTCACATTCATAATGTCATTATCATTTGTGTGTATTCTTCTTGGGGGATAGTTGTAGTTTAATCCTTCAAAGACGTTTTCGCTGACAGTGGGTGCATCATTTGTAAAGTAGGAATGTTCTAGCGCATCTACGGCATCAACTCTGGTGATTGGGTCATATCGAAGCAGCTGATATAAAAGGTCCAAAGCATCTTTGTTGCGACCACCGGCAGAGTGATACCATACTGGCAAGTTATCTCTGTAACGAGGAAATTTCGAAAGGTGCTCGCATTCGGGATACTTGTGAATGTCAGGCCAACTGTTCTCGTTAGGAGATCCGAGCACCTCTAAAATCCGCTGGAGTTGATTTCCTTGAAACGGAACGCTCTTCTTGGAATCCATTTTGGCTTCTTCACCCTTGAAGATGGGTCGCAACCCTATAAGTTCAGCAAAGATGCATCCAACCGCCCATAGATCAATAGCAGGTGTATAATGACGTGCACCTAATAGAAGCTCGGGAGCACGATACCAGATAGTGACTACAACCTTGTCACCTGTATAGAGCGTCTGAACCATATTGTGAAATTTCCTGGCCAGCCCTAAATCTCCAATCTTAACACAACCATCTACAGTTACCATAATGTTTGCAGGCTTTAAATCTCTATGCAAAATCCAATTTTGGTGTAGGTAAGATACCCCGTCTAGGATTTGCCATACTATTGATTTCAACATTTTTGGAGGAATCAAACGCTTCTCCGGGTGAGAATGGAAATGTATGATCTGTAGTAGGTCGTGTTCTGCAAATTCGGATACCATGTAAATGCTTTTATGCTCAAGAAAGATCTCAACCAGATGGGTTAGGTGTTTGTTTCGCAGTTCCCGGCACAAAGACATTTCTCGACATGCACTTTGAGATATTCCAGTATAGTGCAACTGTTCCACACCTTCCCGTTCGGTCTTGAACTTCTTTATGGCATAAAGAGACGGCAGCTTCTTCGTCGGTGATCCCAAGATAATGGAGTTTGAGACATTTGAGCCATGCGGTATTTGAGCACTAGGCTGTGATTTGTGATCGGCGTTTGTTCCCTGTGGCTGATTATTAGGGACAGAGGGGGCCGAGGAATCTGGAACTCTAGTTGACTTGTTTATCGAGTTAATATCCAAAGCGTCGTTTCCGTCCAGCGGCTGATTCAACGAGACCGGTACGGAACTCTCGTTATCAGTTAGCGAAGAAGGCGGGCTGTCCCTACCAGAAGACTTCTTCCTAGCCTTGTACACTTTTCCGTAAGTACCAGCTGCTATGTAGCCTATGATCTCGTATTTCTCCACCACTGATACTCGGTTAGCGTCTTTCCGTCTCTTGTATGGTCCGATTGAGAATATGCTATTGTTGGCCATCAGCAAAGGCTTACCACTATTAGATGTTGCTCCCTTAGAGTCACTCATCTGTTGTTGCCATGTACTTTGGGAGCTCCCCTGGGGGTGATGGTAGAAATTAGAGCCTTGACTTTGAGCACCGTACATGTTTGAGTCCAACGTTGTCAATTTTACGTTCAAATCAAGGTGGTTCGATTCATTAACATTGAATCATCTTTAGTAAGGTTAATAAAAGGAGGTCTACAATGACTACTTCGTCTTGGTACACGCGGTCACGCTATATAGAGTTTTACTGATGCTAATGGTGTCTATACCTACTTATCGATTTTCGTTAGATCGCTCGGTTTGTCGGACCTCAGCTTCCTTCCAAGCATGCGAAATGGTGTCAAGCACCACCTCAAGAAAAACGGTGCCGCCCACATGCTCACTAGTATTCTCAAAGGATATAACAGCTTCACGATAGCATAGGACAAAGCTCCTGATAGAACGAGACGATTGCGGTCAAACCCTTTGTCATGATCACCAACTAACTTTTCAATTACTTCTCCGCAACGATCCAGCAAATCCTTGAAGTATACCGGGAGGTCGTACTGTTCATCGAAATTCAAAGTATATAGGGCCCACCAGAAGGCAAATAGGGGCACAATAGCGGTTATTTCGTGCATGATCAAAAAGGAAGATACAGTGCTCACCGGATTTGTCTTACCCAGCTTCTCGAAGTATGCACGAAATTTGGGTCTCTCGTTGAGTTTTGTCAAGAAGCGGGATTTAGCTATAAATTTGTGCAGCCTATCTAAGCTTTGAGGGTTTTTATCGGGCTTTGCATCGTGGGTTGAACTATAGCGCAGTTGTGCGATCGTAATTATATTTGGACGCACCAAGCTCACAGCCCGCGGCGCGAGTCTGCCCATTTGGGAATGATGGAAATTCAAATTCCATAAATTTGAAGCCATGGTGGATTTCAGGACCAGTCTTAATGGAAGCCGGTCTATTTATAAAGATATCGTCTACTATTTTGTTATATGTACATGTTCTATAATGCGCAGCTAATTAACAGGTTTTCACATGACCGTCTCGTAACATCGCGAACAGAGTGAGTTTGCTTCCTTTGAGTTGGCTCTCCAACACCTAGGACACTCAAACATTTCACTTGCCTCCACAAGTAAACCGACCTTTTGACCATTTACCAATTTGTTGAAACCGTCGTAGTTATCTGGCATTCGTTCGATCACCAATCTGCCGACCTGTAATAAGTCCTCTAGGGACTCTCTGGATACACGCAATTCAGCGTCCTCTGGTAGAAAAATTGTCGCTTGAGTTTGAATAGTTTTGTTCACGGATGTCAGCTGTTTGAACAATTCATTGTAAAGTCTCAAAATCTCGAGCTCATTTTCTTCGAAATGCTTAACAATCGAGGTAGAGCCTGGAATTTCAAGACTGGTCCAAAGACGTAGCAGCGGGGACGCATCCAAGTTGTCATCAGATTTCTGCCACCAGGCTTTTGGAAGGTAGTTCCATGCCTCTTGAATCATAATAGGAACTATTGGGGCCAAAATGCTCCGATACACGTCGAAAATGTGAAACAAAGTGGTTTGTATCTGTTGCTTTTTCAAACTAGGCGCAGGATCCGCATATAGAGAATCTTTAACGATATCGAAATAGAATGCCGACAAGTGGTTGTTCATGTGGTATAATACTGCTGTCAAACCTTTTGAAAAATTGTTCGATCGATAGTGCTTTAGTACTTCATCGCTCAAACCCTGGAGCTTACACAAGGTGTACTGATCCAATGGTCTCAATTCATCGAACGTGAGAAGCTTGTAATTGGTTTCTGACTTTTGCAAATTACCTAATATGAATTTCAGCATCAATCTTAGTTTCTTTAATGATTCTGCAACGTGTTTGGTAACCGTTGATCCGATGGCAATGTCTGTTGTAAAATCAGCTTGGGCAATCAGAAGTCTTAAGCCGTCAACTCCTAATGCTGGAATGCCTTTGGCTTCATCGCCGGCTATAACACTTTCGGGTGCGATTGTATTTCCAATTGATTTCGACATTTTGATCCCCTCTTCATCCAGGGTAAACCCATGAGTGATTACACTTTTGTATGGAGCTTCTACTTCTCCATTCGTTGCGATTTTAGTGAGTAAAGAGCTCTGGAACCATCCTCGATGCTGATCAGAGCCCTCCAAATAAAGGTCGGCAAGTGGGGAAGGTAGGTGCTCCAACCCCAGCTCCTTGTTGTAAAAGTGCATCAAAACTTTCCAACTACTGCCGCTGTCAAACCAAACATCCACAGTATCTTTTCCACGGCGATAGAGGTGAGCAGTAGCCTGGTATTTTGGTGGTAGCCATTCACTAACATCACTGTTATCATCCTTGAACCACGCATCGATCCCTTTCCTCTTAATCACGCATATGACATGATCAATAATTTCCTCAGTCATTACAGCCTCATCTGGGTTTTTTATACTGTGGAAAGCAGGAATGGGTACACCCCAGGACCGTTGACGGGAAATGCACCACTCATTTCTAGATTTGATGAATGACGACAGTCTGGTATATCCCCTTTCCGGGTGGAACTTAACATTTTCTAAGCTCTTCAATGCTATTCCTTTCACTTCAGTTAAATCTGCGAACCATTGTGGGGTAGCTCTGATGATCACCGGTCTTTTGGACCGCCAATCGTAAGGGTATGAATGAACGTACGTTTCGCTGCTAACAAACATTTGAAATTTTTTCAATAGCTTTAGGACCTCATCGGTTGTCTCTCGACATAAGACTTTTCTAGCCATGCCAGTTTCTTGCTCACGTAGATGCTCGTGCAAGTAGTCGGGTAGCATATCAAGTTTATATCTTCCTTCATTATCTACCGGCGAAAAGATCTCCAGATCATTGTTGATTCCAATAAGGTAATCATCGAAACCGTGCCCAGGAGCCGTGTGCACAAATCCAGTACCAGCAGCGCAACTGACGTGATCACCGTGAAGGAATGGATTCGATTCACCGGTTAAGGGGTGTTCGTAAGCCAACCCGGCTAAATCTGATCCTCGAATTTCACATACTAAACGAGCCGAATTGTCAGGGAAAACTTTGTGCTTCAAATCTGGTTGAATGAGGAGATATTCAGAGTTACTCTCGTAAACTCCGTAAACAAGGTCTTTGTGGAAGCATACGGCCTTATTTGCAAAAATTGTCCATGGTGTGGTAGTCCATATAACAACTTTGATTTGCGTCTTTGAGCTCATCTGTGTCTGACCTAATCGATCTTTCAAGAGCATGGAAGATTCGATATTTAGCGGGAACTTCACATACACTGATGTAGATTCGTGACTCTCATTATATTCAAGTTCGCTTTCTGCTAAAGCGGTCCTGGTCTCCGTACCCCAATATACTGGCTTGTTTTGCCGCTTAATCAAACCATTCTTGACCATGTCTTTCAGGTTTGAAAGTTGGTCCAGTTCAAACGATCTGTGCATAGTTTCGTAATGATCTTCCCAGTCAGTGGCTATGGCAAACTTATGGAATTGATTTTTCTGGCTTTTTATGGTCTTCTGGGCGTGGTGTGCCGCCAATGAACGGACTTTGAGAGCGGACAGTTTGTCTGGGCCATGCTGCAGTTTTTGAAGCGCCTTCAGTTCAATGGGCAGTCCGTGGCAGTCCCAGCCACTCTTGTAGTACACATATTTGCCCTGTAGCATCTGGAATCGGTTGATGATATCTTTCAATATCTTGTTCAAAGCATGGCCCAAATGCAAATCACCGTTTGCGTAGGGTGGACCATCATGAAGCACAAAAAGTTTATCCCGAACAAAATCAGCTCTGTCGCTTAAATTCAGGGCCCTGGCTTGTTGCAGAAATGACCTCAACTGCTCATCATACAGTGCTTGTGAAGATTGTGGAATTAATTGATCTACCGTTTTCTGCAAATTTGACCGATTAGGAAACTTAGTTTTCGGGAGTGACAACGTTTTCTGGTACGCATGCCTTGAATACAGTTGCAGACAGCTCTTCACCATTCAAGTATTTCTGATGTTTCCGCAAACCTGGTTTTCAATCGTGTTCTGATTGTCAATGTCATCAGCTGGTATACTTTATTTGGTATTCTAATATTTTTCTAAATATAATAATATCTCGTCCTTGTCTCGGATATTTTGAGAGAAGTACTAGCGTGTAGTGTTGTTGGAGGTTCGAAAAAATATCAGGATACTCTACATGTTCTACTGACAAAGCTCATTTGAGCATGTACATAGCTCGCTGCACTGCCCACTCGCCATTAATTCGCTACCGTGATCTAAATTAGCTGTAAAGTGGCGGAATCTAAATCGCTTCAAGATGAGGAGGAATTAATGTTACCACTAGACAGATATAACACAATTGAAAAACGATAATAGTATGGTATTGGACCGATACAAAGACCTACGCAAATCCCAAGTTTATTTTGATGACACCTTAATCTGTCATTTAACAGGTCACATGCTCTTAACAAAAAGTTGAAGCCATAGTAAAAATTTGGTAAATGCCGATGAGCACTAACCTTAGGTTAGGTGCGTGGACTCTAGCTCAAATAGCTCTCCTTCTCGCAGATAGCTATTATACTCCGATCACTCGAAGCCAAGAACAAGCATGAATGAAGATGCTGTATTTTTCCAACAAGCGGCCGAAGCTTTAATCGCTACCAGCTTGAAAAACTCAAATGTTGATCCGACAATAAAGGAGCTGCTGAATCGGCTCAAACATGTGAAGCCAGGAGTCTCTGCGACTCGGGTTCCTCAGCAGATTCCTCTAGAGAACAAATCCGTTTTGGACTACTTCGATCAACTTCTCAGTAATACAGATGTCATTTCAACCAGCACAGACGCAGTCTCGAGCAGTTCATTTGGTTCGGGAGCGGACCGCAAGAGAAGAAGGTCAGACACCGCGGAACACGGTAGCCAAGACGAAAGAAAGGATGATGGCAGTGGCAGCAAAGGCAGCACATCATTAGATGATGATCCTACGGCGAAGAAATTCCCGTGCGCTAAATGTGATCTGATATTTCGACGTTCCAGCGATCTCAGAAGACACGAAAGAGCACACTTGCCCATTCTACCGAACATTTGCACCCTTTGCGGTAAAGGCTTCGCTCGTAAGGATGCACTCAAGAGACATTTCGATACAATGACGTGCAAGAGAAATCGGGAAAAACTTCTGAGCATAGGGGGAGATATCAACGAAATACTGGAAAAGGCCAAGCTCAACGGTGCAAAGGTATGACACCGAGAAACTAAGATCAAGTTCACACCACGAGGATGGATGTCCGGTGTCTGGGTAGTGCGGAAAAGCAAGTATTTCTCGCCTTAGTGTTTTGAGTGGGCAGGTTTCCCGACCTAATGGCGAATGCGGCGACCGTGTCGTTTGACTTCCTGGTTTATCTAGATAGCAACTTGAGGGCTGCTAGACCACCCGCTACCTTTATTGGTTTTCTTTTGTATTAAAACGGCTAGAAACTAATTCGTGATCTTTTGTACTATTTACTAATGTCCTCAAAATACAACGTGAAGCTATAGCAGCACGTCTAACTCATTCGGAAATCTGGATTTGTATATGTCTACTCGACGTCAGCATCAAAGCTTTGGCCAGTCAATTCTGGGATATCTCCGTCAGCCTTTTCCTCGCTGCCCGCGGCACCTGGAGCGCCACCTTGAGCGCCTTGCATTTGCGAGGCCAATTGCGTCAATGCATTGATAGACTCCTCACCTAGCTGAGGAATGATGGATGGGAACAATTCATTCAAAGACTTTTCTTGAGGAATACCGTAGAATACAGAGGTGTTGTGCTGGGGGGCGTTTTGAACGCCAACTCTGTTGAAGTGCAGCACCTTGCCATCGTCCTTGAAAAAGTTTGCTTCTTCCACTTGGTCAATGGTCACAGCGCGCAACTTGGCAAGTTGAGCCTGCAATTTGGTGTCATCTTTGTTGCCACCGGCAGAGGAACCAGTCTTCTTGGCGAACTTTCTGCGGGTACCACCAACTTTGTTGGCAGCAGAAAGCTTTTGTAGCTTGGCTAATTTTTCTTGGTCAATGGGCATATTTGAGGGTTTGGTAAGTCTCCTTTCAACAATGCGTGCTGTAGTCTACTAACTTGAGGCAAGTGTGTGAATTCAAGAGCTTTGTGGTCTCTGATACTAAAAATTTTTCACACGTTTTGTGACTGTTTGGAACAAAGTGATTTCACGTGTAGTATTACACACATTGAAAAGCCGGTGGGTTACTCAATTCCTGCGCCATAGCCGGAAGCTAGCCTATTCTTCGGTTTACACCCCCTTGGTACGTGTGCTGAAACTAATATCGACTCCTTAGCTCGACGTTTTATTGGAATGTTCGCAATTTTAACCGTCCAAATTCGCAAGAGTCTGAAAATCCTGTATGTACTTTAATTTCAGTCGTGTTAGGCATCCAATTGGTCTCTTGGCCCAGTTGGTTAAGGCACCGTGCTAATAACGCGGGGATCAGCGGTTCGATCCCGCTAGAGACCATTTTTTATCGTAGATCTGAAGTCCGGTGCTTCTTTCACTAGTCATTATCATGAATGGATGTCCTATTGAATTACAAGTTTGTTTGAACACAGGATTTGGTCTCTGGTGTGGTTGGCAATTTACGGAACTAAAGAGGTAGTTCAATATAGTTCAAGAGTATGGTATAAATATACTATTATTTTATGCCTGCTTGACCTGTGTGCAAACCGTTATTCACTCATTCAAGCATGCCCACATACACTGAAACTCACATGTACACAACTGACCCGATAAATGAGAATTGATCTCAATATTGAAACATACATCTTCGTATTTAATTTATAAATTTTAACCATTATCGCTTGGTGTATCCGTGGAAGTTTCGGTTCCTGACGTTCACATCCTTATTAGAGTAACAACCCAGCAGGGAAGGTCGAGTTCAAGCCTTATTTTTCTTTTTACTGAATAAACCAAATTTTGATTTTTTCTTCCCAGACTCTGTAGCGCTGAGATCGAATTCTTGTTCGTGTGCAGCTTCCGTTTCCTTGTACTGGCCACCATTTTCGGGATCAGAGACCGGCGAGGGTTCGCTTGCATTCATGTTGTTGTGTGGAGACATCGCAGAAGTTGATTCGTTCGATAAAGACGAGGTGCTCGAATGGGGGCTAGACCCATGCTGGGGAACAGGGTTGTGTACCACAGTATGTGACGATATGTTAGGCTGGGGAACGCTGGGCTCACCGATTATAGTGCTGGAACTTATTTGGCGCTGCTGAGGAGAAACTCCAGAAACGGGGTCTGTCAATTGTGTTGCTGCGGACTTGGGGCCTAGCTGTGAAGCATTGGGGGGGAAGTTTATCTGCAGGCCACTCCCATTTTGGTATCTACTAGACATTGTTGTAGGGGGCGCCACGTTTCCCATCATGGAGTTCGTACTAACATTGTTAACAACAATAGGCTGAGGGGCTCCATTTGGTTGAGGTGCGCCAGGGGGAGCAGCGCCAGTACCAGACATGGAGAGCACGTCCATACTTGAAGCGTGGCGCAAGTTTGGCATATTGCTCCTTCTGTTTTTCCTGCTCGTGGTTTTGAACTGATGCGTTTGATGTTGTCCGGGAGGGCCCATTTGAGTGCCCATCGCGGGCCCAAGTTGGCTGGGCAGAGCTGGGTGAGATCCATTGAAACTTTGATTACCTAAAGGATCCTTCATATTAGTACTGCCTACATGAGAAGCTCCATGCATTTGCCTGTTGCTCCTCCCCATATATGATGGCTTCCTTGGCATTTGACCATTAGGACCCGAAACAGATCCATTTTGTTGTGATAATGAGGGACCGCTGTAGTACTTTGTGGGTGTCGGTCTGGCTCTGGCAGCAGCTCGTTTTTGCAGCTCCAATTCTTTCTCCTTCAACTCCAACTCTCTTCTACGCAATTCTAACTCACGTTCGCGCAAAACTGCACCGTTCGCACCTGCAGCGATATCTTTAGCGTCAGTGTTGACCGGACCAGAAGCGTTGGTGTCGCCATTAACTGAACCATTAGCTGAATTCGTTGCGAGAGCCTCATTTGACATTTGTTTCTTTTGTTGGGATGGAGATGCATCGTACTGAACGCCATACAAGGCAATATCCTCAATATCACGAAGATTGGGAGTCCCGGTGGAGGTGTAATGAAATGACTCCCTGGGGGTAGTTCTTGCCTGTGCATCATCTGCTTGTTGCAGTTGTTGTTGCTGTGATTGTTGCTGTAATTGTTGAAGATGTAGGCGCTCCTTCTGATTCTGTTGTTGTTGTTGCTCGAGCTGTCTTTTGTGGCCTGATTCCAAAGCAGCAACCTTACGTTGTTCATTCGCCATATCGTTATTCAACTTGGCTAATCTGCCTTGCAGGTTGGTGATTTCAGCTTTGTATTTGAGTTCTTGCTCGCTAGTGGCACGTAGTTGGCTTGCGTAATTCTCTTTCGCAGTGACTAAAGTTTCGCGGGTAGAGCGCAGCTGGGCACTGATTGTTCTGTGTTCTTGTTCCAAAATGCCTACCTTTTCTACGAGTTTGGCCTGAGAATCCAGGCGTCCAAACCATTGAGACTCGCCGTCATTTATCTTCTGATATTGACACATCATTGAATAAAGAAACTCCAAATATGGGGTTTTGATACCGTAGTCATCGGCAAGCAAGATTGGCTGGAGTAAAAGCATGTCAATATTCAGTGGGGCAGTCTTGTGTAGAAAGTGGTAAGCGAGCTGCGGCAGTTCATTATTGGTGTTCTTCAACCATAATGAAAGTAAGTCCTTTTCGTTGTCGAACCCAGCAGGCAGCTTAGCACCCATGGTTTTCGTGACTGTAATAATTTCTGTGACCAATCCTGAAATTAGAGGCTTGGCGAGTATCTGTTCATTAAGATGGGCGGGCTGCGAATTCTCTAAAAGAATAAAGAGTGGATCAAAGCAAATTCGAGGAAGTGCCAATTTCCATTGCTGCGATAAAAATTCCAAGTAAGAGAAGTTGCAGACGTGTACCTTATCGCGAGGGAAAAGCTTCAAGAACAATCGTTTGAAAGTCTCGAGTAGCGCGACATTATCGGCAGGATACTTTGTGGCGCCCTTGACGCCAGATTCACCCAGATAAACATTTGAAGCACCTTTATGATGGGCCGCCTGTACGAAGCGTCCCTCTGACACTTGCCTTATGTCAAAGTCGCACATCACGGAAAACACCTTGAGTTGCCCAAATTCTATTGACATTTTAACGAAGGGCTCTAAATGTACGAAGCCTGAGCTTTCCACCAGGATTTTGGTATTGAGATTGAGTACCGGGTTCAATTTGGCGGCGAGGCTCGAAATATCCTGTAGTGACGAAGCGCTAAGGATGACAAGATCAAATATTCTGCTGCTACCACCGCTGCCCGCTAGCATATCATCGATACTCTGGTAGTGGTGCTCAAAGCGGAATGTTTCGTTTCCGTATTGTGTAGTTTCCATACAAATTTCGGCGCTCTTCGTGCTGCTAACATGTACCAGGCTCACACTTTTGGACTGCTGGATCCGCCAAGCGTATAGCAAGACGTTGGTATTGTCTCCCACCGCGAGAACTCTCAATGACGACATCTTCTCGACGTTTGATACACTACTGTGTTGGGGTTGATGCTTGCCACTGCACTCTAATTGAGCTTGAGCCGGATGATCGCGGGCTTGAACGCTTAAAAGCCTTAATTGCCGAATAACCAACCAACTTTTTCGTTTTCCGAGAAAATGCAAAAAACGCCCAGTCGTGGTTTAGTATCACTGGCGACGTCTTGACCTCCGCCAGGAACGCTCTCAACGGATTTAACTGGATAATTGCAACGAGACTCGACTCGAAGATTATTTCTAGGCAATAATGCATGAATGAGGATCTAGCATACTCTGGATGGAGGTCGTTATGGGCAGACACACAAGGTGTTACTGCGAACGGCCCGTGGTCTCCTTCTTCGAAAAAAAAAAGTTGATTTTTTTGGCAGGACTTGTTGTCCGATATCATCTGCCTGGTGCTGCCTGTGCGTTGATGCTGAGGTAAAAAAAATTCGTGTACTTGTTGATGTCCAAAGTCTGCGACGGACGCACGCTACCGGAAACGGAGTCTTGTTTGTTTATCGTCGGGAAGTACCGATTAGCAATTTGTAGGAATTTTTTTTAGTTGTGCTGTACTCTGAGAGGGAGGGGGGGGCTTAAACAACCAACCTGGTTTGGTAGAAAAGTGGTGGTGGGAAAGTGGGCTTCTTCCGAACCACAAACGGGATTGCGGAAAGCCCCATAACGGTTATCTCGCGAAGAAAATGGCAAGGTATTGGTTGGACGCAAAATAGTGCGTTGTAACCCGCGCTCCATGGTGACGGTGGTTTAGACCATAGTTGGATCGTGAGGGCTTTTCGTTGTTAGAGGCCTGGCTCTCGATTTGGTCATTTCAGCAAGCAGGTAGTGGTGCTATCAACGTGATGTGCAACTCTGCACGATGCTCTGAAGACGGATAATGGTGAACCAAGTTCAACAAGCAAAGGATAAGTAGCGTAGAAGGCGGCTGCCCTCATTGCCCCGCATGTGTTTTAGAGAAAGGCAAACTGAACCCGACGCTTGGCGAATAGCTTGGTAGTTAGTCCTTGATGGTCCCTCCTAGCCCCATTTGGGCGTCGACACTAATGTTTGCCGGGATGAAGTGGTATGTAGTCTCCAAGAAGCACTGAATATCCCATTAATTTTTAACCACACAAAGCTCGGCGGCTAACGTCGTTGATAGTGATACGTATGTTTGGGAGCTCGCGACATGCCCCATATCGGCTGTCTGAGTTGAAGGACCGATACCTTGTAGAAACTCGGGAGTTTCATGAGGATCGCTAGTGTCGGACAACCACTTCATATGTACCGGTACCCTCTGTAAGTAAGGGGTCTTGAACTCACTACATGACATTAAAAACCAAAAAGTGTGTCTAAAACATGTTAATTCATCAAGAGAGATACACAACGGTACTGAGGAGTTTTCATCACGTTCCATTACGTTAACAAGTTTCCTATAGCTAAGGTGGGAGCTCTTCCTTATCTGAAAATATCGGAATGCCCTGAGGGTATAGGATGTATTGAGGCGAATCTGATTCATCAGTAGAAAGCTTACTAAATTTGTCTTGTAAGTCGGACATAGTCATTATAAGATGAGTAACTTGGATCTAGGGAATTCTATTTATCTCTCCGTGATTATTTTAGGCATTAGAGTTGGTTCAGTTACCTGAACAAAAGCCTGGTATTTATACAATTCTTACTCGGTGACTCTGGTCAACACTTTTATTAATCACCAATTCTAGATCATTCTATTGCCCAAGGATTACGGCTTCAATGCCATACACTACCGATAACTTATCAATGGCCAATCCCATTGGACAACAGTTGTTCTCTTCGGTTTGTCTTAGCTTGTAACTCTATCTGTATGGCCTCGGTTGTGTACTATCATTCTGTACCACTGTGTCACATATTTACTGACGCTGACTATGCGATTAGACGCACATCACCATCAGTTTATTCACATTATTCCCAACAGAAGCACCATCTCAAACCGATTATTATCTTGACATCTCGAGGATTCCTATCTTGCTACGACAGTCATTCTGACGACGACAGTTGTGTTAAAAGTGATAACAGCATTAATGCCTATGATGAAAGACTGATTCATTAATACTGGGCAGGCTGTCGACCTAAGCAGGTTGGCTAGAGGATTATAAATGTGGTTTGACTTATAGTTTGGTTACTCAGTAGATATAATGTCTTATTATCCAAGAACTTCGGTCGCTTTTGGATGAGAAAAAAAAGACAAAACATGAAACGGTCTGCTTGATCCATTCGATAGATCAGTCCCGAAACATGACATACGCGGGAGAGGAAATTCGAACTCAGAAGAAACTCATTGCCAATGGGTTTTCTTTTTCAAAATAGATTAGGGCTTGGAATCTTAAGACGGTGGATCACCTCGATAGATCAGATGCATTTCGTTGAGAACCGCGAGTTAGGCTGGTGATACCGATACCCAGCAACAGATGTGCTGCTTTTGTTGTAAAGCAGGCGTCAGTTTTCTTGATTTTGTATGCTAAGTATGGGTTCATTTCTATAGTTGAAGAGAAAAATTACAAGCTGGTTTATATAGGCCTCCGATGACCCAAGGACGAGCAAGCATTGGCAATTTCAGAAGTTTATGGGTTATGTGACTAGTGGTTATGCAACACGGCCACATAAGCGTGCTAGAAAGGTTGTTAGAAAGGTTTACTATGAGCATGGTAAAAGCAGCGTGGATGTTAACAATGATAACACCAGGATAGCCGGTGATGGACGACCTCTTCGTGCCAAAATACGGCGTCTACAGCTCGAAGACCTGGATCAGGATGTACTGGAGCGGATATTTTTATTTTCCGGTCGCAACAGTGCCTTGGCGATGGTAAATCAACGATTTTACCATTTGCTGAGACCCACACCGTATTTGATTCACAGCTACTTGCGTCAAAATTATATTTGCGACATCAACGCCGCCATCATGCGAGAGTGCGAACGGTCATACCAGAGCAGATATGTGTTGGCAGAGGCTGCATTGGATAATTCCATGTTTTTGCAGTTTTTGGATGAGAATCCGCATATTCTGGATGTGGTGGATGAAGTGGCCCCTCTAGAGGACCCTGAACAAGTTCAAGAGTCACGATCACAAGCATTCATCGACAATACCTTACAAGATCTCTCAAGTCCCTGCTGCGAAGTGGAGGTGCACTTAGTGTCCGGGAAGCCGCTGAAGGATTTCCCTGCTTCTATCTACAGAAGACCTGCTATTTTCTTTCATAACGACATTGAGAGTGGTCCAGTGATATACAATCAGCTACTGCTGCGCCTTCATGCTTTCTACGCAATCCAGCACTCCTCGTGGGCTACTGAGATGGTCATGCAATGGTTTTTCGAGGAGAGCCCGGATCGCTTCCACCCCCTCAACATTAATCACTTGTTTTGCGCCATAAATCTCATTTTGCACATTTCTGTCGAGAATAATCGCGGTTTTATGGACGTCCATCCACTGGTTCAGTTGATCGATCATATGTATATCTCTTTGACATCACACCTATCGCAGCTACTGCTATGTGAGAGACTCGAGGATCCGGTCCTGATAAGTGATCGCAAAGGAAAAATCATCGTTAAATTCATCAACAAATTCTATCGAAATAATCTAAGAGCCCTTTCAGAGGATGCTCTTTGGCGCACATTGCATCGAACAAAAAATCCAAAGCTGCTAGAGACCATCACAAAGCTTGGAGGCAAGCCCAGTTTCAATATCATGAAGTGAGGAAAAGTTCTTCCTCTATGTATTGTACGTAACACTTCTACACGGCCATGTCTGCCTATTGGTAATACTCGGCAAACCAAGGGTGGTTCAAGGCTTGCTTGGCACTCAATCTACGTTCTGGGTTTGGTTGCAAAAGACCGTATAAAAGATCAACCAAAGTGGAGTCGATTTTTTCTCTAGTTTGACTCTGGAGAAGTGCTCCTAGATCTTGAGGTAAGTGCTGGGGGAGTTGCGGGTTGTATTTTGGCAGAGTTGAAATTTCGGGCCAGGTCCGCTCGGTAGGCGTACCCATAGTTTCAAAAATTAATTTCAATTGTTCTTCATCATTAGTTCCAGGAAATAGTGGTCTCCCCGTTATCATTTCAGCGAGAATACAGCCGCAAGACCAGATGTCAATCGAAGTGGAATAAGTACGTGATCCCATCAGCACGTCTGGTGCTCTGTACCACAGTGTAACGACCTCACTTGAAAATGTGTTTACGGGGATGCCAAAGGCTCTGGCCAATCCAAAATCTCCGAGTTTCAACTGGCCCTTGTTGTTGATGAGCAAGTTTTGAGGCTTCAAGTCTCTGTGTAAAATTCGGTTCTCATGGCAAAAAGCCACCCCTTGTAAAAGCTGCCATTCGAAGTATTTTACCAAGCTCATTTCGAACCCATACGGAGTATTTCCCACCATGCGCGAGTCCATGTATTTTTTTAGATCGTTATCCATGAATTCGAACACTAACGTCAGTTTGTTCTCGGTATGAATAACGTCATAAAGCCTCACTATATTTTCATGCTTCAACTCCTTCATCAAAGAAATCTCCCGCACTGCGGTCGACGGCGTACCTTCTTCCGAGTCTAGCTTGACTTCCTTCAGAGCCACGTAGACACCGGTAGTCTTGTTCAGGCCTTTGTACACCGTTGCATACGTACCATTGCCAAGCTTCTCTAATTGCTTAAATCTGGGTATGTTAGTAACGATGAAAATACAGAGTATCAGAGTATCAGGTTTGGTAGCGGTTAGGGTTAATCGCCAATTGGCGCTCCGCAGACGTTGAGCTAAGAATAAAACACCCGCCTTCATATAACGAGCCATATAGGATAATACCAGTAACCATTGTATGCTGCCTCAAAGTCTGCACAAAAAAAGCAGCAGTTCTGGCGCGTGTCAGAATCATTTTTCCCTTCAAGGCGTTGCCTACCCTGATATCCGTTTCCAGCAACATTATACTTAGCCCCGTCCATTTAACACATACTGTGAGGAAGAAGCCATTACTGAAAGTCAAACACCAGTAATCAATGAAACGCTACTTCTCTTTTTATCGTGGGTAGTGGATACCTATGCTTCAAAGACGAACTGAATATCTACAAAATCCTCAATTTCAAGGAACGCTATCTCTCATAAGATAACCACGTGATAGAGAGGTTCAGATTTAAAGCACGTAAGCTTTATTCAGCTTGCAATATCAGCTCAAGATAGTGAGAATAACCAGAAATCTTAGCTCCGTTTCACTACTAGCAGCTTTCTCAATCAATTTGAGTGCATAAAACCCAGTTTTTGATTTTTACGTCTTGGCTTCCAGTTAGCCGCCGAGCTCGCACCTACCGACGACGTCCAAACGTACAGGGCCACCCTCTCTGAGGAAATTCAAGCAAAGGTTTGGCAGCGACGCACCTTCAAAAATACCAGAGTGATTCGATTCCTGGCGGCAAGCTGTACACATGCCTTTTTCTGGAACCTTCAATGACGTTAGCAATGAGCTGTATGCCAACTCATCGAACCAATCTCTCTTGCAACGTCAATAAGACATACGGCTATGATTTCACAACGTTGAAATAAGTACCACCTTTGGTCTTGATTTCTAACATAGCGAATCAACTGGATGGGAAGTTACTTCAGGCATTCGCCTGTAATTTTGAGAGTAAATGGGCTTTGTGGCTGAAACTCACCAATAGCTAAGAAACAGACTACATTGTACGTGGGTTAGTCATTCATTGTCGAGAATGGATCAGTTACAATTCAAGGGCACGCTAGTCGACTACACCATTCACAAGCTTAGTGGTTTGGTGAAAAAGTTCCAAAAAATTTATAGACACAGTAAATGATAATCTTCGATGAAGAGGAGGAGCGCAAATGTCGCTGACTTCTGGTACCAAGGAGCGCAGCATATTAGGAAATGGTTGGTATTGCATGTACAAGACAGAATCTGATGTGGAGTTCGAGAAAAAGCACTTCGAAATGGCGATGCTGAATGTTATTCGACACCCGAATATCAACTCGACCGTGATCTTGCGCGCTGACATGCTGAAAGAATACGAGTACGACATCGAATCTGGTGAGAAACTCTCTTCCAAGGAAGAAATACACAAAATTTCAGACGCAGAAGCACAAGTTGTGAATGTAGACGACATTCGAATCAGGAATATCGATGTGGACGGAACTTTGGATCTGAGTGTGAAGCTTGCGATGGTGCGTCGGGTAATCCCTCGCAATCCTTACAAAGACGCTATAATCAATCAAACGTGCTTGACGCTAAATTCCACCAGTTTCCCGGAAACTTCTCTAATCGTTTACAAACCGCACCTGGATCAGAAATCCATATGCCCATTTTACATTCCGCACGTAAAAGCTGTGGCCATATTACTACATGAGAAGCAACTTTCGGTGCATTACGTGCCGTTCACAGAAGCCGATGCAGATGAATTGCACAACGAAGACGAGAGAGTTGTGAGAACCGCACGTCGCTTATTGCAGACAGCCCACAAACACTCAACTGGTGTCATGCGAGGCTATGAAAAAAAAGTCGAGCATGATGTAGTGGTAGACAAAGTCTTATTTCAAGATCGGTACATCTCGCTGAAGAAAAAGCATTCACGCTTTTTAGTGGATAATTGGGCCGAAAGTACTGACCCCAAGAAGCACGTTTTTGAGGACATTGCAATTGCAGCATTCCTCATGGAGCTTTGGATCAAAATCTATGGTTCGGACTACAAGTCAAAAATGCAGTTTCGAGACTTGGGCTGCGGCAATGGGGCTCTGTGCTACCTCCTCATACAAGAAGGCATCAAAGGCATGGGGATCGATGCTCGTCAGCGCAAATCTTGGAAAATATACCCTAAGGAGGTCCAACAGAATTTGCAAGAGCAAGTAATAATCCCTTCCATTCTACTGCGACCACATCCAGAGGTCAAAAAACGGGCTCCCGAGCTTGACCACAACGGCAGATTCTTTCCGATCAAAATACAAGATAAAATTGCTCCTGCCACAGTTGTTTACTCGAGTGAAGACCTTTTGAGGTCTCAGAGTGTCAATGTAACGGAGTTTCCTCCTGATACTTTCATTATCGGTAATCATTCTGACGAACTTACATGCTGGATTCCACTTCTGGGATACCCATTTGTCGTGATTCCTTGTTGCTCACACAATTTCTCAGGTCAAAGAGTCCGATACGGCGTGAGAAAGGGCCACGCAAGAAATGGAAACAGCACGTACGCTGGGTTAGTCGATCGCGTAGAAGCCTTGGCTACCAGGGTTGGATGGGATGTTGAGAAAGAAATGCTGCGGATACCCAGTACCAGAAACGCTGCGATCGTAGGGACTCAAAATAATAAGCTGAGTTCATGGCCCACCCAAGAGGTTTACAATACTATCCTGGAAGATGGAGGCGCTGATGGCTGGGTGGAGAATACCATGGCGTTGGCAAAAAAATCTCCGAGAGGGCATTGAGGTTTGGTCCATGATCAGGAATGATCTGTGGCATAGTATAGACATGTACATACAGAAAAAACCCATCTATAGAGAGAAGCGAACAATGCCGATACTTGTTGATAGCCAAATCCATTGATGCTTTTGAGTGTATTGCACGTGACGAAAATACTGTCATAATTTATTTGCACTACCTGCGCTAAGCTCATCACGGTTTGGAAAGAGTCTAACAGAACGATAGAAGCATGTTGCCTAGGTGCGGGGCCTACTCGGCCATTAAGGGGCAGTCGGGACTGCTAAGATACCAAAGAAGGTTTTTGCACCACCTAAATGATCGTAAGTCTGCGAAGTTTGCAGAATGGCCCTGGGGAAAACCTTCTTTCAACCATCTGCCGCCTGAGGAGCGAAAGGATCCAAACGTATTGGTACTCAGTTTTCCCAAGAAAGCCAATAACTTATATACCCAGAATTCAGACTTCAAGAACATGATTGACAATTCCTTGCGATGGGTTTTTGACAATAAACTATTGTCTTTTGATCACTTTGAGCGCGAAGCAAAAGAATGTGCTTTCCTACAACTTAAAGAGCATTTTTATGTTCAGCTGCGGAGCCGAAATCTCGAGCAACAAGCCAGCGCTCACAACTTTTCCATCAGAGAATTTTTGCAACCAACAAATCCAGCTTCAGTGTTGTGTCAAGTGCTGAATAGAAACAAAATTGCTGCAACGAACTGGGAGGTTATTCGAAATACCGAGTCCGTGACCGAGCAACAGAAGGTTAATCACATAGTTGGGGGGGTCTATGACTTTATTTATGAACAGCAAATGCTTCCCTCACTAGTCCCTACCAGATCAAGTGTGAACAACGCCGACGACATCGATATTTCAAACCCAGCTGAATGGTTCCCAGATGCGAGGAAACTTAGAAGAAAAATTATTATGCACATTGGCTCTACCAACTCAGGAAAAACGTATCGCGCTTTGCAGAGGCTAAAAAAGTGTGATCGAGGATACTACGCAGGACCCTTAAGATTACTTGCTAGAGAAGTCTACGAGAGATTCAAGACCGAAAACGTACGATGCAATTTACTTACCGGGGAGGAAGTCATACAGGAGCTAGATGAACGGGGCAATGCTGCTGGATTGACCTCGGGAACTGTTGAAATGGTGCCACTCTCTCAAAAATTCGACGTTGTGGTCTTAGACGAAATTCAAATGATGGGAGACCCAGACCGTGGTTGGGCCTGGACAAACGCATTAATGGGGGTTAACTCGCGCGAGGTACATCTGTGCGGTGAAAAGAGTGCCCTGCCTTTAGTTGAAAAGATTGTAAAGATGACTGGAGATGAACTGATTGTCAACGAATATGAGCGACTAGGGGAGCTCAAAATTGAGGATAATGCGTTGAAAGGAGGACTCAAGGGGCTGCGCAAAGGTGATTGCGTCGTGGCCTTCTCAAAGAAAAAGATCCTAGATTTAAAGTTGAGGATAGAAAAACTTACAGACCTCAAAGTTGCAGTGGTTTACGGATCGCTTCCACCAGAGACCAGGATACAACAGGCCAATATGTTTAATAGTGGAGAGTATGATGTTTTAGTCGCGTCAGACGCTGTAGGCATGGGCCTCAATTTGTCTATTGAGCGCGTCATTTTCACTACACACATGAAGTTTAATGGCCAGGAAATGGTCGAGCTAACTTCTTCAAACGTCAAACAAATTGGAGGACGCGCTGGAAGATATAGAGTAGCAAATGCTACCGCCAACGGCACCGAGAATAGAAAAGCGTCGGTGGGGTACGTAACGGGGGTCGACGCTGAGGTTTTAGATGCTGTCAAAAAAGGGATGAATTCCCCAATCGAATACTTACACTCTGCAGTTGTTTGGCCTACGGACGAAATCTGCGGGAAATTGATGTCCCATTTACCACCAGGCGTAAGGGTTTCTGCTTTACTGCAAACCTTAGCCACTGAAGTCGAGAAGAGCTCCGCCAAAGTCTTTGCGCTGAGTGAGCTGAAGAGCAGGTTGACAAATATAGAGTTGTTTGAGCACATGAATGGGATTCCTTTTTTTGATAAGCTGCGGCTCAGCAATGCCCCTGTTAAGGATTTCCCCTTGGTCAAAAAAGCGTACATTCATTTCTGTACGACGATAGAGCAACGGCAAACTAGATCCTTGTTGAGTTATCCTTTTTCTTTCGACACCTTAGATCCCCGCTTCATCAACAGCGACAAGTACTCTCTGGAGCACTATGAGTCGCTACACAACATCATAATGCTATATTTCTGGCTTAGCAACAGATATCCAAGCTACTTCATAGATCAGCAAAGTGCTCGCGAATTGAAAGATTTATGCGAAATGATTATTTTCGAAAAACTTGATAGACTCAAAAGGAATCCATACATCAAAAGGGGTCCACCAGGGCAGCAACGTGCTTTCTCAAATAAACATTTTGGTCATAAGAACAAAATTGTGTAAAGTTCTGGTAGGCAAACGAAAGCCAAATATGGGCCAAACCACTCGACGTCAAAGAACAAAACACAGGAAGATGCCATATGAAATCTCTGGACTTTTTTACATGGGCTGTCTGCTCGCAATCTGAAGAACATTCAACCGGTGAAGTCAGTCGGACCTTCTTGAAGCCTAAAGTGCTTTGTTAAAAACCACGAATCACAATGTACGATTGTGTCGCCCGTCGTTTAATTTCATGGGTGGGTAAAAAATGCCTGGTGGCACGAACTAAAACGTTTACAAACCATAAACACTTTTACTGAGCTACTATTGAGAGCAATTGAATCGGTACAGGTACTACATTCTAGCATAGGTCGCAGTCGGAATAAGAATGAACGAAAAAGTTTACATCGTGGCCGCTTCTAGAACGCCTATTGGCTGCTTTCAGGGAAGTTTGGCCTCTAAAACCTATGTGGAACTAGGGTCAACCGCTGTGGCTGGAGCCTTAGCTCAGGTTCCCAATTTGAAGGCATCGGACGTTGACGAAATATTTTTCGGCAACGTCTTGAGTGGTAACGTTGGACAAGCCCCTGCCAGACAGGTTGCTCTTGCGGCCGGTTTGAGCAAAAGCATTGTGGCCACCACAGTTAACAAAGTGTGCGCGTCGGGTATGAAAGCTATCATCTGTGGCGCTCAAACCATCATGTGTGGTAATGCCGATGTGGTTGTTGCAGGTGGTGCGGAATCCATGACCAACACTCCATACTACATGCCAGCAGCCCGTGCTGGGGCCAAATTCGGCGGCACCACTTTGGTGGACGGTATTCAAAGAGATGGTCTCAACGATGCTTACGAAAACCAGGCAATGGGTGTATACGCCGAGAAGTGCGCCCGCGACCATCAGTTTACTAGAGAACAGCAGGACGATTACGCCATTGCATCTTATCAAAAGGCTCAAAAAGCCCAAACCGAGGGAAAATTCGACCGCGAGCTTGCGCCTGTCACAATCAAGGGGTTCAGAGGTAAACCGGATACTTTGGTGAAGCAGGATGAAGAGCCTGCAAAATTGAACGTTGAAAAATTGAGAACCGCCAGAACCGTGTTCCAAAAGGACAACGGTACCGTAACCGCCCCAAATTCCTCTCCCATCAACGACGGTGGTGCTGCTGTCATTTTGGTGTCGGAGTCAAAATTGAAGGAATTGGGGCTCAAGCCTCTGGCCGCGATCAAGGGTTGGGGTGAAGCTGCTCAGGAGCCTGCAGACTTCACATGGTCCCCCAGTTTGGCCATGCCTAAGGCCCTCAAACATGCTAACGTCGAGCTTGGCGATGTTGATTTCTTTGAATTCAACGAAGCTTTTTCCGTGGTTGGCTTGGCTAACCCTAAGCTTCTTGGTATCCCATTGGAGAAGGTAAATGTTTACGGTGGCGCCGTCGCTATTGGTCATCCTTTGGGCTGCTCAGGTGCGCGGATAGTTGTTACTTTGATCTCTGTCTTGGCTCAAGAACACGGTAAGATCGGTGCCGCTGGTATCTGCAACGGTGGTGGGGGTGCATCCGCTGTCGTTATCGAAGCCGTTTGAGTTCGTCCAAAGACTAAGGAAAAGCAAGGGTGTAAAGTGTCCATTTGAAATGGGCTCGCTATCGAACCCAATTGCCCTTTAAACGAATATAGCTTTTCAAAAATATGTAAATACCGCATCTCATCGCTATTTGAGACATCTCATCACTTGGTACTAAGTGCTGCCCCGGATTTTTTAAATATTTAAAGGAACAAGCGTCTACTAGTCTTGCACAACGCCAACAATCTATGAGCCAAGTTAATCGTTCCCAGTCACTACTTTAGGATCGACCACTAATATCAGAAGAATATACTACTCACCGATGACAACGGGCACTTCAAGGCCAAAGGTCGTGGTACTTGCGGGTACCGCAGGAACTGGCAAATCTACTATAGCACTGAAGTTGAAAGAGATATATCAATCTGCGCATCCCGGCCTTGAGTTTCTAGAGGGGGATACAATTCATCCCCCGGAAAACGTAGCCAAGATGTCAATGGGTGTGCCACTAACTGACGATGATAGATGGGGGTGGTTGCGGAAAGTAGGGGAAATGTCTACACAGCAAGCCGAGGCTCACTCAGGCTTGTCAGTTGTGACTTGCTCGAGCTTGAAGAAAAAGTATCGTGACGAGATTCGATACCACAGTCCGGGCACAGATTTCTACTTTTTGTTTTTGCTTGCGGACAGGCTATTGATTTTGGATAGAATGACCAAACGAGAGGGTCATTTCATGAAGGCAAATATGATCAATTCGCAATTCAGTGACCTCGAGCTTCCCGATAGCAACGAAGAACTGGCTTCAACGGTTGACGTTGATGGAAAATCGATTGATCAGGTGGTTGTAGAATGTGAAGCAGCTTTGAAAGAGTTTGTAAGCGGCCAGTAAATTTAGTCCATTGGCAGCGCTTTGATATCTACAAAGGATATAGACTGTATAGCCCATGTTCCGTACTTAATGTTAAGAAGTCGTTGAAGTTCATATATTATCATTACCTGTCATTTCTATCATTAAATTGCTGGCGCGGGAAGAAATCCTTCCATACACTTTACGTACCAAGCTGAAAAGTCGTTAACACCATTAAATTCGTTTCATTCGTGAGTGATTGTCCATATATCCTTACCGGTATTGAGGGGGCCATCCCGTGTGGCAAGAATAATTCGTCATAACCGAGGCGTTCTTTGTCAAGTTGAGCTTATTTATTCCGAGCTCGAAAGGGACCCCTCGCTCCTGTAATTGCTGTTGATTCTTTCTGAAGTTGAGTGGTTTATCGCCAATGATCCCGGTAGAGGCAAATTGTCCATTAAACAATTGGCAATAGCCTTCTTCTTCACTGGTAACTTCAGAATCGTTTTCCATTTGGGGCCCAAAATGAGCAGGTTCTTCGTCAGAGTGGTAGTTTTGGAGCATTTGCTTAATGCGGAGGGCTCTGGGATTGCTGAGAAATCGTTCTTGATCAATTTCATCTAGTGACGCAACTTCTGATAGAGGACCAAAAGTTGTAAACGAGGTACAATGCGCCACACGATCCATAATACTATCCAAAGAAGCCCGAGTAGCGGGATCTAGTCTGAGTATATCTTTCAGAATCTGATAAAGCTGCTGTGACACAGGCAGTATCTTCAGCAAGACTTGTGGGTCCTTCACAAAATAGCTGAATGTGCTGTCTTCAGATTGATTTGCCTTTAACCACGGATTCCGAATGCACGTCAGGTTGATGAGTATGATTCCAACGGACCAGACGTCACCTGCCCAAGTTGGGAATAATGGTGGGGATGGAGTTGAGGATGATGAGCGCTGCGAAGAACATTCATCGGTAGTAGAGCCACTCGGGCCGCTGGACTTGAGCGACGTCGGACACGAGAGACGTTCCGGTGCCATATAATAGCTGGAGCCGAGACAAACGTTGGCTGGAAGTTGTGGAGACTCGGTGCTAAGCCCAAAATCGCACACATACACGTTGTCGTGGTCGTCTAAGAGGATGTTCTCTGGTTTAATGTCACAATGATAGATTCCACGGGCGTGGCAATGCTGTAACACAGAACACAGCTGCAGGAACACTCGTTTGACCAACAACGGATCCTTTGCGAAGTGCTGATGGTCAACAATCGAGGTGAAGAGGTCACGTGGACAGTAGTCCAGAACTAAAAACGTCGCCAGCGGTGACTCTAATACCTGGTGAATGGTTACAACATTGGCGTGAGCGTGAACACGTAGATGCATGACTATCTCGCGGAAATGGGGTGCCCTCTTGAGCTGAGAGCTGTCCAATGCGAATATCGAGTCCAGATCGACGGTAGGCAAAAAAATCTGGTTTTGAAAAGACTTGAAGTAGTAGTAAAGTTGTGTCTGAAGCATGGTAGAGCGCTTGATATCAGATTCGGGGCCTGCTGTGTCGCTGCCACCAGTTCCGTTCGAACTGCCGTCCTTGACGACGGCCTTGATAGCATATTCGTTTTCAGTGATCAGATCCACAGCGTGGAATACTAGTCCGTATGCTCCGGACCCGATTTGCCGGGTGAGCTTGAAGTTGTTGATTTCACAGTTGGTGAGCATTTTGGCAGCGGTGGCGTCAACTCTGCGATTTAAGGGCGCGAGTATATTGAGCCCGCAATGTTTATTGGTTCTCTATCTTTTGGTAGCGCATTATATACTGCAACGATTAAACCGTCATTCTCGGAGATTAAAGGTGCACACCGACGTCAAACATCAACAAAAAATATGCTGATAATTCTGTTTCCCGTATGACAATTTTCGGTGTTTTTTTTTGACCGCACCATTGTCACTGTCCGAGAGATGTTGGCTCATCTCCCGGGTGACAATAGTGATATTTCGATTTCGGCTGACATGCTTGGCCAACAAAAAAAAGAACACCTAGAGTGAGACCGTTGCGTGCTGTCCACGCGGTCAGTATGCCTTGAAATCGGCCGGCTGCGACCTGGTTCGAGTTGGCGGAAGTGCTCCTTAGAATTTTTTTTCTTCTGTGCTAGGGAATGGTGTGGGAGAAGCTCAGCTCGTGGGTATCACCAGATGTCGCGGACATCAAAAAAAAGTGGTGCGAATACTATTTGGCATGTGCATGCTACGAACCGGGGTGGGCGTATCTTCGCTAACAAGGAATGTACTATACGTGAGGTCGAGATGCAGAAGGCACCGACTAAAGCAGGTTGATGGGTTCTTGGGTGGGCGAGAGATCACGTGATGTAAGGGCAGAAGAGATGTCACCAGCGTGGAGCCATGGCATGCCTTACAGTTGCAGTGCACCAAAGGAGAGTTATATTGAGAAGAAGTGTGCTTGTCGGCTTGCATAGGAGCTATTTGCCACGTCTGTGCGTGAAAATAAATTCTTCAAAACGGTGGTCACTGTATCAACATTTCATCTTATACTTTACTGCCAGGTGGGTAAGGCCTAAGCCAACTAAGTGATATGGATGGTATCTCTCATTACTATATGACGTCTATTTATATTACAAAAGAGCAACAGAACGTCCCTTAGCTGCTCAATCCGAAGTTACGCACACCACCCAGCGTCTCTAGGTAATCGCCGATGTAGTTCTTGGGGGCAAACTTGTTTGTCTTGTACATGGAGTCCCAATTCTTGATGATATCCTCAACAAATGGTTTTCCAGCGAGGTACAAATTGGTGAAAGCACTCTTGCTACCACCTTGCAGCCCTGATGTAAAGAAAAACTCAGTAGCGGAGTAGCCCTCAGGGGCCCTGTCAAAGTCAGAGATACTGCGCATAATGGTTACACGGGCATAGTCCACCAATCCATGCTTGGCAGCACGCAGAATAGCTTCCAGTGAAGCGTTATCCTCTTGTTGCGTAGAGCAATAGGTCGCCGAGTTGTTGGAAACGGTGGAAACGAAGTCGCTAAAGGCTTTTTCCAAAGTCGCTCCAGACCAGTAAACATCTGAGGTAGCAGTGTCACATGCAACAAGCTTAGGAGGGCCGTAAGCGGCCTGAGAGGAGTTGTATTTTTGGCGGAAAGCAACGTTACCAACCGTACCATTGTTCAGGGTTACGTTAGAGGCCACTTCCATTGCTCTGTTTCTGAGGCCTTCGTTCAGCTCGAAGATCTCAGTACCGTAAATGGTGCCAGGATACATGTTGTCCTTGGAAGTGTCAAAGTTGACGTACCCATAAGTCCAGTTAGCCGGAATTTCCCTGGCGTCAATTTCGTATTGCAGTCCCACTTGCACGGCGTATTTGGGATATGTCACAGAGCCGATGGTGGTTAAGTCTGGAGTACCGCCTGCAATACCGGAAACCAAGAAGTACGTTTCTGTAAGATCAAATAGTGGAGACAGAGCCAGGGCAGTAATGGTGGTAGCCGCATTGATTTCACCTTCTCCGGTAGTCACGGACATGATGGAGTAGTTGGCATTAGAGTGTACAAAGGGGTACTCGGGCGATAACATGGGCACCGAAATATTGTATTTGAGATCCATGCTTTCAATCCAGTTGGACTCTTCTTTGAAGAACATATTGATAATCAACACTTTAGGTTTGAATAAGGCACCAAAACGACCTTGCGACACAGTTAGCACAGCGTCAGTGGTCGAGGCCGCGTCTGAAATCGTTGCCGTCTGCATTGTATAGTTGCTAGTGGACGTCGAAACCGAAGTATTGGTATCTCTCCGGAGGACAGGATTAGCGTTAACGATGGCGCATGATGTTAATGCGGCGGTCAAAAGTTTTCCCAGCTTCATATTGCACTTTTAATGGTTGCTCGAAAGAACAGAAAGAGAAGGGAAAGAGAAGGGAAAGAGATGCAAACAAAACCAAGACTCTCATCCTCCTAAATTGACACGAATTTATACTCTTCATCGGCTGTCTCGCAGGCTTCCCCTTGCATTAAAACGCAAACAATGATGGTAATCATTCAAAGTTTCGCCTGTAGCAGATACAATGTTTCGCTGCATAGCTCATGCGGCTTCGGTCCCCTCAATTTACCGAAAGAGGGAAACCAAGAGCTATTTGGTTTGATTCTAAATACCTCGTTGCCAAGGCTCCTGTATCGCTTGAGAGATACCGTGTTTACGAACGCAACCGTCTAGAGATAGCGTCGGAAAAAAAGTCAACAAACCAAAATAATCCCAACCCACTTCATGCCCCTTTTGGGAAAAGTGAATTACTCTTCAACAGGTTATTGCTCACCATCGACATGCCTTCCGGGAACGCCCGTCCGGCTAAAGCTGTGCGACAAGCTCTCCCAATCTCTTATCGAAAAGTTCACACTTGATAGGCATTTCTGGCTCGTAGAATGGATTTTTCATCACGTAGTCTACGTACAGACAGTACGCCTTGCGCAATAGATTTTCTGCTATTGACACGGCCATTGTGCTTGTGGCGCTTTGTGAGCTCACAGCAACGAATTTGACCCCGGTTAGCGTTTGGTAAAGGAAGAGTGAGTTTTGGTCAGTTGTCACATGCTTCAGTCCTGTGGTGTTCCAACTGGTGAAAGCTTCATTAAAGTAGTCCGGACCCATGAAGCTGCCAAGTTCCTGAGCTGGGACTGCGGATGAACCCAACGCACCCACGTAGGGAACCAGTTGGCTCGAGTGGTTAGCATCCGAGCCTGACTTTGACCCTGTCTTGCGGGTAATTTGCAATGATTTGGGCGTAATCTGGCTGGCAATTGCCACAACGCCCTGAAGTGTACCGGCCAAGACTAAATACTCATTACTCGAAAGTCTCGGTGCTGAAGCTGAAAAATCGCGCTGATACACGAGTCCACCTGATTTGTTAATCACCAGTATTGTTTGAATGGCCATTCCGTTTTTATGGAGGTTTGGTGACTTGCTGGTAAATAAGATGAGCAAATAAATATTTATATATACGATGAGTGACAAGGACACAGAGTGAGAAAGGTTACCTAAAGTTTGGCTTTAACGTCTGTCTTAGATGTCTAATGCAATTCTTACGGCCGATATTACTCAAATATCTGCCTCTCAAATGGGCGTCAGCGGTCTTGGAGCAGGAAACGAACGAATGCGACTGATGTATGAAGCTTTGGCCAATCCTGTGTGGTCACCGGCAAATGTAGCCGAGCAAAAGCTAGCAACAGTTCAAAAGCCGCTTCTATTTCAAGTGTGCATGGTGGAAAACGTTGGAAGGTCGAAATTGAGTCAATTGGAGGATTTAAGTCATCGCATGGATCCCAAAACGCAACGTACGGACCGACTGAGCACCTCGAAAAAGGGATTAGCGTCAGAGGACGGATCTGGGAACGCTAAAACAATGTCAAATCGACAGCTGATCACCTCAGTCGATGTTGATACTGACTCACCCACATATCTGGTGCCGCAAACCGGCGAGAAATCCATTTATAAGCTCACACTACAGGACAAGTCTGGGGCAATGTATTTCGCCATCAATTTATCCCCGATGAACTTTTTGAAGAATGATGGTAGTTCATGTATTTTGGGCTCTAAAATTGTGGTATTGCCCGGCACAATCTTTAACCGTGGAATGTTTATGTTGCGCGACAGCTCTTTGAAGTTCATGGGAGGAATGATCCAATCCTGGAATCGTGGTCGTGATTACAAGCTATGTGAATATTTAGCGGCTCAATTAGAGAGCCGAACTGGTCTCACTGCCACCAGAAAACGGAAAACCCCCACAGGGTGACAAGGGCGTATTCGGGACAGCACTCATTAACTTAGCAAAAGGTCCCAAAGAGCATCGCATTTACTGAAATCATGATGTACAATAGAGATCAGGTAGTAATCACGATGTATCTGTCTCAATAGACTATTGGGCGTCGAACCTCTCGGGAACAGCTTGCTCCATTCTAGCCATATACTGAAGGCCTCATCTCGCCAGGCCTTGAACGCTTCTTCTTCAATAATGGTCGTTTGTAAAACCTCGGAATTCGGAAAAACTCCCCATGTCACGACACTCGAATTATTCTCCAAGCTAGAATAGAAAGTTTCATCAGAGTCTCCAACGTAATAGCTGACTATGGGTGATAAGGGGACGAGTTTAGGCTTCAACTCGAGTTCCCACTTTTGCTTCGGAACAAACATTTCCACGAAGGACTTTTGGTAGACATAGCCGCCTTGGGGACCCCAACCAAAAATCTTGTCACTGCTCAGAGTTGAGTTGGTTGCTGGCTGCGATGCTAGAGTAAGATATCCCTTTTCGTTGAGCTGAATTAACTCTTCTTGAATTAATGCTGTTTCAGGGGAGAGTCCAAGGTCAGACCATGGTAGCGCGTCTAAGGCACCTTCCAAATATCTTATGAATAACTTCTTGATGTCACTAATTCCTCGGGGTTGTCCCCATATAGCGTATGCTTTCTGATGGCTCATTTTAAGCGATGGACCATACCCATCAATTTCACCAAAGGCAGGCGAGCGGGAGTCACCAAAACGACCATTCGTAAATTCATCCCAAGTTGCATCGCGGCCCAGAATACCAGAACCTTGAGATATGGAAACTAAAACTTTTCTGGATGGTGCACCTGAAGGCTGTCTCCCACTAAGAATGTTCTCATTGTCTGTGTCAATCAAAACGCGATTATTGATCGGAACTACATGAGCATTTGACGACTTCCTCCTTCTCTTTTTAAAGTTATCATCCTGAAACACGTCCGAATCATCCAAAGCAATTTCTTCGATCCCATCGACTAGCTCTTCATCTTTCTCTTCGTCTAGAATTCTGGAAAGGTATTGAGACCTTGTAACAACCTGAGCAACGGCCTTCTCTAGGTTCAACGTGTAAAAATGAAACCCTTTAACTCTACCATTAGTTCTCTCGTAAATCTCGTCAACCATCTCTTTAAGAATGTCGACACCGATGTTCCTGACTTCATTGTCGTCACCACGGGATTCTGCAGGAAAACGATCCAAGACATGTTGAGGAATGGTGGCATGCGACAATTTTGATGCTCTATTGAACAATAAAAAAGAATTAATAGGCATCAATCCGGGGAAAAGAGGTAGCGTGGAAGAGACTTCCCGGCGAAATAATTCCTCAAATTCCAAAAATTTGTCGACATCATAAAACAATTGAGTAATGACAAAATCAGCGCCTGCGTCAACCTTTTCTTTCAGAAATGGTAAGTCTCTCAATGCACTGTGGGCCGTCCCGTCAGCCTCTCCCTCGCAGTGGCCCTCCGGATATGCCGCAACTCCAATACAGAAATCATCTGCGTACTCTTTCTTAATATAACGAACGAGGTCAACAGCGTGCTGGAATTCAGATGTGAGACTAGCTTGGTCCCACTCTTCACCAACAGGAGGATCTCCTCTCAGTGCTAAAATATTTCTAATGTCTGCGTTCCGAGCTGCTCTTAATGCTTCATCTATAACTTGGCGGTCGGTATTCGTGCACGTCAGGTGCATGCAAACGGGGATGTTGAGTTCCCTTTGTGCCAAAGTAGCAAGCTCCAAGGTCTTGCCGGCTGTAGTACCACCTGCACCCCATGTTACTGTTAAGAATAGAGGATTTAGCGCCGTCATACGACCCATACGGGCCAACAAGTTCTGTTTTCCTGGATGAGTCTTAGGTGGGAAAAACTCTAGCGAAATGAATGGGCCAGTAGTCGAATCGTACCTCTCCCTTATCGATGACATTTCAATGATGGTCTAAAGTTTCAAAATCTAGGAACTAGAATGGTTGTAATCTGTCTGTATTGTTTTCGTGCTGTTTTGTAGTATAAGGTAACAAGTGAACTTCTTAATTAATTTTTAGTCTGTTGGTTCTTCGATGAGATGAGGGAAGACGGCTAATCATTTGGCCCAACTCAGAGTCGAAAAAGCCTAAGACCATGTCTCTTTTCATCCAAGACGATTCAGACAAGGAAGACTTGGTTTTAGAGCTCTCTAAACAAGAGCAGGAGCGTCATAGCCAGGATCCGATTGCTGGCAATGATCATGGCAATGAAGATCAAGAGACTCTTTATCCTTTGCTTCTAGACGACGGTGCAGAGAATATGAAGCCTAATATAGAAGAGATACGGCCGGTAGATATACAGCTCTCGCTGCCGCTACACTTTCAACAACAAATTGTTGAAGATAATTTGGTGTCCGAAGACAGTTTACTACTACTAGGCAAAGGTTTAGGACTCGAACCAATTGTCGCAAATCTCTTGCACATCCTGGCGACCCCAACGAGGATTGATGGTAAGGATAAGAGGTCTTTGGTGGTTGTGTTGAATGCGAGCGATGAAGATAACGACAAGATACAAGAAGAATTGTTGGAGTTATCTTGGTCTGCAGAGGACCCTGAAGCTGATATATCAGAACCAGAAGAACAGGGTGCTGATAGCAGGGACTTTCGACACTCTCAGAGGCCCTTTAGCGTAGTCAATGCCGAAACTCTTACTGTAGAGCGCAGAAGGCAGCTTTACCTTCGAGGTGGAATTGTGTCCGTCACGTCCAGAATATTAATTGTGGACTTGCTGTCTGGGATTGCACAGCCAAGCAAAATTACAGGACTTGTAATTCTACATGTAGAGTCACTCCATCGATTTTCCAACGAATCGTTCATCACCGAAATGTATCGTTCGGCGAACAAATGGGGTTTTATCAAGGCATTCTCCGATCAGCCGGAGTTCTTCATGACTGAATTTTCGCCTCTACGACGTAAGCTACGTGACTTACACTTGAAGCGCACTTTACTGTGGCCGCGCTTTCATGTCGATGTATCAGCAAGTTTAAATCCACGCAATGAAAACAAGGTCATTGAAGTGAAAGTTTCACTGACAAATTCAATGTCTCAAATCCAGTTTGGGCTTTTTGAATGTCTAAAAAAGTGCATCGAGGAGTTAAATAGGAAAAACCCAACCTTGGCGCTAGAGTCTTGGAATGCTGACAATTGTTTGCATTTTAACTTCCTACAATCCATCCACGCGGTTCTGTCTCCTAATTGGCACAGAATTTCTTTCGAATCGAAACAACTGGTTAAAGACATAGGAACTTTAAAAAAGCTATTGCATGCATTGGTGAGCTATGACGCTGTTGATTTTTATGAGATTATTCAAATGATCCTAGAGGCCAACAAGCCCTCGGTTACTAGAAAATACTCAGAGTCGCCCTGGTTAATGGCAGAAGAATCCCAAGCAGTGCTTTCCTACGCTAAAAAACGTGTTTTTGTGAATGGTGATTATGAACTGGAAGAACTGCCAAAATGGGAGCAACTAACGGCAATTTTAGAGGATATAGCAGTTGAAAGAGCTAATTCTGTTAAATCTACTGGACCCACATTGATAATCTGTTCCGAAGATCGTACCTGTCGCCAGTTGAGAAAAATAATAAGCTACTCAAATCGCCAGGAAGGTACCCGTAAATATTTGCTTCGGAAACTGAGAACTTACATGGACAGGCGAGATGCTCTTAAACAAACTGCCAAAGAGGTGAGTGAGCACACGTTAGCCGAAGACGCGACTGGAGAAATAAGCGTTTCGCGTACCTTTGCGAAGGAGGAGATCAATTCAAAGCGCCGCAGAACCAGGGGAGCTGCTGCAGTGGCCGCTGTTGCTCGCCTAAAAAGTGCATCTGTTAATGGCGGTGAGAATATCGACAATTTGATGACAATAGACAGCATCGAGGATAACCTCAATCAACTTGAGGAAGACGGCCCAGAGCTCCTACAGGAGGATGAGTTGGAAGAATTCGAAAAAGATGTCGAAGATGCCCATGACAGTACGACTAATGATAGCAGCGAAAATTACGATTCTTTCATAAAGCCTATTGTGGGAAATGATGATATCTGGAAGAATAATGACACTTTCTATGACTATATTGAGAGAGGTGATCAGATAGTCATCGACAAATTCTACAACAAAACAAATGATCTTCTTTTACAAGAAATAATGCCTTCACATATTATCATGTATGAACCAGACTTGTCTTTCATAAGAAAGGTTGAGGTGTTTAAAGCACTTAACAAGGATCTTCCATTGAAAGTTTATTTCATGTACTATGGCGATAGTGTTGAAGAACAGAGCCATTTGACTGCCATCAAAAAAGAGAAAGACGCCTTCACTAAAATAATTAGAGAGCATACAAATTTGGCTCAACATTTCGAAGCAGATGAAGATCTTTCCCGATTTAAAAATCTCGCTCAACGCAAATTGCAAATTAGCAGGAAGTTGGGCAGCTCGAGAATGGCTGGGGGGCAAAGAGCCTTTGAGAACTTAACCAGCGATGTTGTGGTCGTTGACATGCGAGAGTTTCGAGCACCTCTACCCGGATTACTTTACAGATACGGCGTGAGAGTAATTCCTTGTATGTTGACAGTCGGGGACTACATCATCTCTCCTCAAATATGCCTGGAGAGGAAATCCATTCCTGATCTAATCGGAAGTTTCAAAAATGGGCGATTGACAGATCAGTGCAAAAAAATGTCTAAATACTATGATTACCCAACACTTCTAATTGAATTTGATGATATTGATTCGTTCTCATTGGAGCCTTTCAGCGAGAGACGATACGGATCAAATTCATCCACCTCTCATCCAATCGGGGGGAAATTAATGCAAGACGAAATACAATTACAGCTCTCTCAATTGGTTTTGAAATTTCCAACTCTTCGAATCTTATGGTCGTCGTCACCACTACAGACTGTAAATCTAATTTTAGATCTGAAGTTCGGTAGAGAACAACCTGACCCTGCAACATGTGTTGAAATTGGTTTGAGCGGGAAGAAGAAACAAGCAAATATGAACAACGAGTCCGTGACTAAAATGAAAGAGCTTTTGGCGATCCCAGGTTTGTCGAATGTCGACTATTACCATATTCAAAAACGTGTTAAAAACATGAAAAATCTAAAAAGGCTCAGCAGGCAACAACTTATCGATATAGTGAATGACCACGACCTAGCTGATCGTATTCTGAATTATCTTGCTATGGAAGAGGAGGAGGAGGAACCTGACCTCTTAGCTTGATGCAGTAACCAAATGACTAGGAAAAGACAATTCGAACAATCTAGAAATCTGCATTTCTCCTCTACACGAGAGTGAAAGTTGAGGGGTTTATGTCCACGGTATCAAAGACTACAAATAGCATCTATTTCCTCAAGTAGGCGACTCCTTAAGCGATGTAACCCACCCATTTGGCTTGCTACCAGACAATTAGCCAAGGGATTGGTTAAGAAAGTGACAGAGTTTTTCTCGGAGGGAAGAAGGTTGGGTATTGCATTCAGCGTTTTGAGAGCTTTTTCGTACTCTGCTGTGCTGTTTGTATCACCCGCACCGGAAATTTCCAGAGACCGATCGATCAAAATTGTGACTAGCTCTAAGCACTTAGCACTGATAGAATTGAATAGAACCTTCAGGTGTTTTAAATTATTGTTGGCGTGCATTCCCAGATTGGACAATGCTTCACTTAATCGACGCAAGCTAGATCCCAGGTTTTCCTCGGATTTCAGCCACAACAGCGGCAAATTGGGTGCACCTTTTGGTAAGCTCTCTCTGCGACAAATTCTGGCCAACGACAAAAGTGCAGTTACGCTTTGCGCAATTTGAGGACCCACTTCCTCCACGAGCGACGGCGCCATATTCAACTGCTGGAACGGTATACTCGATACGAGCGACGCAAATGTATCATGGAGTAGGGCAAGACTATTATGACTCCGTCCAGTGGTGGCCTCGTAGAGATTCAAGAGCTTTTGGCAATTCTTTACATCCTGTGATTGAACGTCGAGCTCAAATGTTTGCAAGAAAACCGCTCTAAACAGAAGCCTATTAGGGTAACCCAACGTTAGAAGTTTCGCTAAAACATCTATGCCAAAGCTCTGATAATTGCTGGTTTTAAGGGAGTATTCGGGAAACTGCAATGTGTTTAAATCTTCACTTTGCTTCTTACCTTCACCAAAGCTCAAAATCAACAGAACCAATAAGCAAGCGCTAACATGGTCCTCGATTTTGAACAAGTGTGCAATGTTGGATAAAGTGATGATTAAATCTTTCTTGAAGTTGAAGCACTTGCGGCTAAAAAGGAACTTTTCACTGTGTAGGAAGAGAGCCCATGTAATATCGCCGACAAAACGTTTGTAAGATATGTTAGTAGCAATAGGAGAGGTGTTGGCCTCGTGGAAGGAGAGGTTCCTTATTATCATCGATATGGTAGACAGTTGATCAACAAGCATTAGCTGGTAATTTTCTGCGCCGCGGGTTGTAACCTTGGAAAAAAGGCTATCAACCTCATCGCGGACATCGCGAAGAGAACCCATATAGCTCGAGATGCTCAGCTTACGTTGATCAATATCGTCGAGCACACTAAGAGCTTCCGGCAAATAGTGCCAGGTGGTTGCGGGTTCGTCTGCCACTCCTGGGCTCTGATTATTCGCATTACCTTCAGTTTTTGCATCATGTTCCTCCAGTGCATTGTCAACCAGGGCAGATTCAGGCGCTAAGCTCGATTGTTCTAAATCTGCTCCAGTTAACGAATCTACCTTTATCGTCACGTCGTTTTCCCCCATTTCTGCCTGCTTAGCTCTGAACAACTTCTCTAGCCCCACATTGTCAGAAGTATACTTCGTATCTTCGTCCAACATCCTCACTACATCGAAATTCCTCAAATATTTGTCGCAGTTCTGGGTTGGGCAGTCATCAGAGAGACATAAACTATTCAATAGTTGACAACCAAGAATTGACAAAGACTCAATGATGCCATCAAAGCGGTCGAGAGGTATATGAAGAAGGTTATCAGCACTTGTTACCAATAAAGTATTTAAAGCAACATTCACCTCCGAGACACACCCTGACAAAAGTGACAACGATAATGCATGTAGATTAATAGTTCCTAATTCAGGCGCAAATAAGAAAACTGGCTTGTTAGCATCAATTTTCTCCCCAATTTGTGAGACAGCTCTCATGTCATACCCATTAGAAGTTTCAATCGCTCTGTTGGACGGTACATAGTTCCGGGCAAATGACCGCTTGTATACCTTAGGCAGCTTCTGGTATTCTAAATTATGCTGTATGGCTTGTTGCTGTAGTAGCATTTGTTCTTGTTGCTGTTTAGCTCTTTGTTCAAGGAGAAGCTTGTTTTGTTGCTCGAGTTGCTGCCTTTTGAGCTGCTCTTGCTGAAGTTGCATTTCTCGTTCCAATTCTTTTTTGGATTTCTTCTTCACCTTAGGCTTGCGAGGCTTCTTGACCTTGTTGGCCTCTAGCGCTCCGCTGGTAGGCCCGTGGCTATAAGCGGGCTGTGTTGGAGCATTATTCGGAGAATGATATGATTGCGCACTGAGAATTTTCTTTAGCAGTTCTTGCAAAAACTGTTGTAGGAAGAGTCTTTTGGCCTGAGTTTCCTTAATACCTTCGCTGGAAGCTAGATACTGTTCGTAAGGCAGAAGAAGCTGGTAATATAGAGCAGCTAACTGTTGTGAGGAGTCGGTGGCAAGTTGTAGCTTTTGTGTGAGCATTGGCCATTGCTGAAAGCGAGTCACACTTTCGCCACCGCCTAGCTTTTGGACCATCGTATACAAAACAAATAAATTCACTCTTCGTCCTTGGATCTCTGGAAATGAGCGCAATGGGGCATTTCTTCTTCTGCAATTCTCCACGAGAGATTTCATAAACAGTTCGAATTGTTTATTATTGAGCTCTGTACTTACGCGCTTCTGAACCTCTGGATCCAAGTCTTGAATAGCCTGTCTCTGCTGAACTTGAGGTAGATTATTAGTACTAGGTGAACTGCCTTGAGGCTGGGCCGGTGGTAACTGACCAACCGGTGGGGCCTGCAGCGGCGCTTCCACGGAACTCCTTTTGATACCTGTATCCTGGGGAGAACCAGTTCGCGAAGCTGACTGCTGCATCATTTGCAATTTTTGTCGCTGCTGCTGCTGCCGCTGCTGCAGGGCGGCGAACATAGCTGTTCTATCGGCAAAACCGGACCCCGGATGTGAACTCGTATTTGCTGATGGCACATCTTGAAATGAGTTTGTTTTGCCCAAGATTGCTTGAGGGGTAATTGCCTGGCTCGAAGCAGCCTGAGCTGGACCCGGTGTGGGAGTGTGGCCTTGGCTTTGTGCCTGATTGTGTTCCTGTGACTGATGTTGTAGCTGCTGAGAAGAAACTGAGTGTGCCAAAAATTGCTGGGGCGTAGCCCCCGCGTTTACCATATGCTGGGACGCAGCCGAGTTCATTTGCTGATTATGAGTCACTGGTGATATAACAGATGCCGGTGAAACCGACTGCAAGTTGCTGTTGGACCCGTGAACGCTGGATCGCGCTAGTATGGCCTGAGGACTTATACCTGAGTTGGAATCGCCCTGAAGCGGCCTCGTGTCCAAAAAATTGAGATATTCATCTTGGTCTGTGTTTCCTAGATGATTTTGAGGTTGACTATCCATATCAATCGTCTCTCTTTGAGCGCTGGTCTCTTACCTTGAATCTAAACAGATGTCCAGCATTATTTGGTGTTTAGCATGGCCATCTCTTGCTAATATGAGCACTATAAACGATGATAAATTAAGTTCCCATTGGACATATCCTTCCCAACATAGCTTTACCTGGCGATAATAGCCTTTCGATCAGCTCTGTCGTCGTTAACATTGTTATTGGTGAAAGACCATTGTGCTGTTTATACAATCCGCATGCTTTGACGTTGACTTTGAGTTTCGATCTGATGAAAACGTCACTGAAGTAAAGATTAAGGTTTGTGAAATCTAAATATACTTACTTCTCTGAGCTTCCTTCGTTCTAGTGCTACTATGAGACTCTTATACCTAGTTCTGTGATTGGGTTAGTATAGTTTCCCAACGAGGGAATGGCGATGATACACCAGACCGGGCTGACATTGTGGAGGCATTCCACAATCACAACTTTTGACCCAAGAGCATTTCACCGGCCTGCTCAAGAAGCATAAGTAATATTTCCAAGATCAAGCTCCTCTCTTCTTATATGACTTCATAATACGGTAGTAGAAATGAGTCGGCTGTGCCAGTTTCTCTGTGAGTAACAAAGTTCATCTGTGCAGGGGAAATTACAATATATTCACCTCCGGCCCCAAATGTGCTTTGAAAAACTCTCAGATGAACTGTCGAGTCAAAGTCGAAAACAGAAGTCACCGAGAGTGAGCCTGCACTTGATGGTGGGTTAGTGATTGTTTACGTCGTGATAATCGAACGAATGATGATATCAGCGCCATGCTGCTGGTGTATTTGGAACGATGTTTGTTGATATATGATGTATTTAGGGTTTAGGTGTAAAGTCATGCAGGGCTTGACTTCATAATATGAGTTCGATTCGACAGACATGTTGCCTTGTTGTATGAGTGGTACATGAATAAGAAGAATGGCTCATGGCGGCACCTTTTTTACAGATGGCTCAACAGGAAGCGTGTGGTTACTTCAGCATTTCTCGAATCATGGAACTTGACTCCATTTGTTGAGTTTGCTTCCAAAATAACAGGCGCTTAAGGTGCCAAGATCAAGTTATTCATCAGCCCTGCACAAACTTACGCTCCGCAAAGCACATGGACGGTCCAAAAAGTTATAGCATTAGGTTTTATAGAAATCTTCCAGCTTATGGGGTCTAGGGGATACATACAAATTCGCCAAGAGGCTATCCCCGATCAGTCTATGAATCATGATATATTTGATAATGAATCAGTTCCTTTACATGCGCACTAGAGGCAAAGCTAGTACATTCGGCGCCACCACCTTTTAGCGTGGGACTCCATTATAGAGCCGTAATGTTGCATCTCACCCCAACAGTCTCTGCCAAAACTGCAACCCGCCATATTCACCACAAAATCCCGATCCTCCTCGCTGTAGAAATAACGAGCATCGTCAGAAAACTCTGAACAGGCACCCGAAGGAAAAGAATTGATACTTCTGAGGGGCAAAAAGGCTGTCTTTTCTCGAATCCAGGGTTCATTCGCGTATAAAGCCTCCAGGGCATCTTGCTCCCGGTGCTCCCATAACATGTGCTTTTGCTCGTAACAGACAGGATCCCACCACACGTCCAGCAGTAGTTTGGTCCACTCAGAGTTTTTGACGAAAAACGACCCCAAGTTAAAACCCCCACAGTCTTGAGTGATGTAAAGCTCTGGTTCTTGGGAGTAGTCCACGTAAGGGATATCCAACGGAAGTTGTAATGGGTTGAAGTCGTCTAGAATTCGGTAGGAAAGTGAATCAAGGCGCTTAAACAAGTGCTTTTCCAGTGACAGCTGCGGCTCCATGATCAGAGTTTCTGGATCCAGCCACCAAAACCATTCCGCATTTGGAAACTCGCGCATCGTTTGACGCAGAATCTCCACTTTCTGCCACCCTTCGCGGTATTCGTGCGAGTACCTCTTCGCTGTGCGCAAGTCTTTGATAGTTAGACCATACCCGTGTCTCTTAGCGTAAGCACGTTTGTTCTGAATTGAAATACGTTCGATAGCCCACTCTTGTTCTCCCTTCCACTTGTGAACCCCACCACCGTCATTGACTGCCAGTATCAGCACAATTTTAGGATCTCTGGAGAACAGCGAAAATTGAGCTGATCCAAACCAAAACAACACGAAAAGGGCACAAAAAACTGCCAACACCGTTTTTCTATGTTCGGCTATAAAGGTCCCTAACCGATCCTGTAGCGCCCGACGCTTATAGTTGAACTGCTTCTTTTTCTCATCCACATATGGAGAGTCCAATGGCATATTATAGCTCATCGCTAGACCACCCTGGTGTACCAAAATTGTTGGAGCACTCTAACTTCACTTTTCTGGCATTAGTTTGGGTAACATTAATTTCATATTTTTTTCGGATTGAATTTCGAATGTCAACATGATCAAGGTTACCCAGCCCGACATTGTTGAGCACAGTGGATACAACAAGCTATGAAGTGGATGAAATAGCACCAGCGATCTCAAGGTGCCAGAGATTTTAGCCATTAGTTTACTGTGACCATCTGGTTCCACTTCTTTGCTCTTTATAATCAATAAGCGTTCGGAAGCACTTGAAACAAACATAGACAACTTGAAAATATGACCAGCACGCGTGGTATCAGCTCTTTTCTAGAGCCAGCAGAGGCTTCGCTGGTGGTTAATAGCTGGAACACCTGAGCATACGATGTTTTCCATCTGTGTTCTGTTCTTGTACATAAAAAGTACCCGGAACATCGAGGCAAAAAGCTCTTTCAAAATCAGAACGTAAATTCCTTGCGAAAAGTTCCCAATTCCATGTTTGGACGAACTTTGTCCAAAAGATCACGCCTCTCCATGCCTATAAATGCTCTCTTCAGCGTCTCAAGCAAATTCTGGCTTGCGGCCGTCTCCGATAGCGGCACTCCTTCAACTTCCTGCATGGTGAGAGCTGTTAGTAGATACTCTGCAGCCTCTTTGTAGCAGCCCATATTCATACAAGATACAGCCAGGTTACAGCGGGCCCTTACAAATGTGGGTTTGAGTTGAAGTGCTTTGCGGTATGCCTGAACCGCCTCTTCCGAGCGATTGGAGTTCGCTAGTGATGCGCCCAGGCGATTCCACATCAGCTCGTCATCGGGGGATACTGCTAACGCGGCTTTAAAGCAATCAACTGTCTTGTCGTAATCATCGTTAGAGTAAAAGAGGATCCCGAGACCCAGCTGAAGGCTGGCATCCACGTGGGATAGCTTGTTGACCACTTGCAAAAACCGCAAGGTGATAGCTTGTCCCATGCTATAGCGATCAACGCTGGTTTCCAAGCCTTCATCATGTGCGACCAAGTCCGGGTACTTGTTCTCCAGCCATTTGTTTAACATTTTGAAGGCACTGACATCGTAGCCTTCATTAATGTAACTGATAGCCAGAGTGACCATAGCATCCAGATTTTTTGGATCAAGCCGTAAGCACTCTTCCAAGGCACTAATACCACTATACTCCATTTCATTTTGTGTATGAACCAAGCCCAGTTTAAGCCACGCATTCACATGCTGTGGGTCGTCTTGAACCGCTGCTTCAAATGCAAGCGCTGCTTCACTTAGTTTCGCTCCGTTCTCCATCAGAATGCACCCAATTTCATATGCGTTTGGATTATGCAGATATTGGTTTTCAGATTCGAACTTGTATGGTGCGCTTGTTGCTGGACGACCGGACATATACCGCTGATAATCTTTTTGCCAGTCGTCAGTTGCACCACCTTCCATTGCTTCCTCGTGTAAATTGTCCCACACCTCTTGAAATTCGGCTTGATATTGGTCGCTCACACCTGCTTGCTCGCCAACTACTGTTTGACTCTTCTGATTGGAAACTTCCTCTTCGTGAAGAGCCAATTTTTCTGCTACTTCCTTCTCGAGTTCTTTGAATTGTTCATCCCAAGACTCTTGGTTAATGCTTTCGTGCAGTGGTTCTTGAGAGTGAGTCATTTGAGGGTTGTGCTGTTGGTATCTTGAAATGGGCGTGATCATTCCAGAGCCCAGCCGCGGGCCAAATTGGGTCATGGTATTGCGGGAGCCCATATGCAGTCGCTCCTGTGAAGAACTGTGCCCTACTTGAGGTGAAAGGGCCCGGCTGGTCGTGTTTTGTTGCTCCATAATTTTCTCGGACGGCGACATACCTCGAAATTGCTGGCTCCAGTCGCTAGAAGGAAGTCGGCTCTGTTGTTGAAGGTGCATGTTTTGTGGGTTTTGTTGAAACTCTGAAAGAGGTGGTGGGTGTCCACCAGCGACCATCCTGGGATTTTCTAAGCTGTTCTGACCTAAAAACGCCTCCATATGCCTTCTATTGGCGTCGCTCAGCTTACTTTCCTGTGTTCTGAACCGGTTTTGCGCTCCATGATTAGTGTCGCTGAAGGTCCCCGCATGATGTAAACTACGATCTTGTTGAGCGTGTTTACTTAAATTTGCTAGCGGATTGTTCCCAACTGAACAGTCTGCGCTCATGATTATGATGTGTTGCTGTATTTAGCTGCTTTTGTTGGACGTTGCTGTGATCCTGATGGCCACCTTGATATTTAATTTCAAATGGAAATGAAGTACGTACTAATTTAAGTCGCTGGGGAATACAAGAACTCGAGATGGCCAGGCTATAAAGCTTCATAATCGATGAAGCGACCTGTGGATATAAACGAGCTGCTGGGTGCTGAGAAGGAAACAAAATCGCCTTCAGGCGTTAGTAAACCCATTTTCCTCAGCAAAAAAAAACGCTTAGAAGCTGCTTCACTGACAGGAGGAAAGGCGTCGAGCTCAGGCCAAGAAGAAGAGTTGCTGAAGAGCTTACAGCTCCGAAAAAAGTCCCAGGCTCAGACCTCAAGTGAGGCGAAGGATAATGAGACTCTTTCGGGACATCCTTCAGAGAGTTTGGAGCGGCGAAACCCTCGAAATAAATTTCAGTTCGACTGGAAACCTGATGATGACACAATGAAAGGTTTCGAGCCAATAGTTAGCTCAAGTGCAGCTGGTCGTCGCAAAAATAAATCATCACTATTTTTGGAAGATGCCTACATGGGCAAACATTGGAGTCATAAGTCTCTGGGCGAGATGACAGATCGTGACTGGAGAATACTGAGAGAGGATTTTCACATCGAAAGTAAAGGAGGCGCTATCAAGCACCCGATGCGAGCTTGGAATGAACAGCATTTGATACCGGATGAATTGATAGACATCATAGAAAGGAAACTTCGGTATGTTGAGCCGACTCCTATACAAAGGATCACGATTTCTAACGCTGTCAAAGGACGAGACTTTTTAGGCGTAGCCGCAACTGGGTCAGGTAAGACATTAGCCTTCCTTATCCCTTCACTTTGTCAAATAAGCGACCTCCCGCCGCTAAATGACATTACGAAGCTTGATGGGCCATTGGTTCTCGTCTTAGTCCCCACGCGTGAATTAGCGCAGCAGATAGAGGCTGAGGCGAATAAGCTATTGACTTACTGGTCTCGTCCCACGAGAGTTATAAGCGTAGTTGGTGGTCATTCGATAGAGGAGATAGCCTTTTCCCTCCAAAGTGGTTGCGATATTTTGGTTGCAACCCCGGGACGACTCATTGATTGTTTAGAGTCTCATATGTTGGTTTTAAAACAAGTTCGGACCCTTATAATGGATGAAGCAGACCGCATGATCGACCTCGGGTTTGAAGATCAAGTAACGACAATCCTAGCTAGAGCTGAAATGGGTACCAAGCGTCAAACGATGATGTTTACAGCGACTATGTCGAACTCCATCGAGCGAATCGCTAATGGCTACCTGCATAAGCCTGCGTTCGCACGGGTAGGCTCCCAGGATTCCAAGAGTCAAATCAAACAAACTATCGATTATGTCCCTAGTGAAGAACAACGTTTCAAAAGGCTATCAAGGGAAGTACTGCCAAATTTCCAACCTCCGATGATGATTTTCATCAATTACAAGAGAACTGCTGACTGGTTGGCAGATAAGTTCGCATCGGAAACAAGATTTAAAGTAACGACTTTGCACGGATCTAAATCTCAGGAACAAAGAGAGCACTCTTTGAATTTGCTCCGCAGTGGTAAAGCAGACATTATGATCGCAACGGACGTTGCAGGTAGAGGTATCGATATACCGAACGTGTCTTTGGTGGTTAACTTTCAAATGTCGAAGTCATTCGAAAATTATATTCATCGTATAGGTAGAACCGGTAGGGCAGGAAAGAGCGGCTGTTCGATCACTTTTCTCGGCGACGATGACGACCCAAAGATTGTAAATGAGCTGTACAAATATGTCAAGACTTCTGATCCGGAGAAAATCAACGAAATCAAAGCATCTGTTCCTCAGAAATTTAAACTGGGGCAAAATCAGATGAATGCCATTCTTTTTTGAGCCCAAATCAGCCAACGAATGGTGGTGTGTGTCATTAGTGTGTTCATTTGCATCTCGGTATAAAGTATACAGTTATTGCTCGTCATCAGAAGACGCGTATTCAACTAGTCCAGTTTTGAGTATTGCTGCAGGTTTCTTCTCAATCTTCAATCTTTTTAGTCCAGTCAAGCTATTTGCCGGTAGTCCACTAAAGATGGAAGTCGTGCGAAACTCATCTTCGGCAGCAGATGTTTCCAGAAGTCTCTTACTAGTCTGTGGTTCGCTCTCAATCATGTCTCCTTCAACTTTTGTATCGTTTTTACGGAGTAAGTCTAGCATCACGCTCAAAGATTCTTGGTCTTGCTGTTCCTTTTCTCGGCGCTGGGCTTCTGGATTCGGATCATCGTTAGCCCACTTCACTAGAAGTCCAGTTCCTTCTTTCCTGTCGTCCCATTCTTTGTCTGACGGTATCAACAAGGTTTGGTTACTCATGGCCTCCTTGGCAAACTCGGCACTACTTTGATGTTTATATTTCACAAATGCACAATTCTTTGCCTCGACGTATCGTATCCTCTCTACAGCGCCGAGTTTTCCAAAGGCATATCGAACGCGATTCTCCACCTGGCTAGGCTTTAAGGATGAATTGTTGAGGGCGCCGGAAAGACCACCCACATATAGTGTACGGTTGATTTTGCGAAAAGTTCCAACACCGCCCATATCCTCTCGATAGCTCGAATGCTTCTCCCTTCCAAAACAATCCAAGACACTCGACTGTAGTGACAGTTTTGCAATATCCTCGGTCGTAGGAACATGGTGCAGGTAGCTACATTTCCTTCCCAGACAGCACATACCTTTGGAGAAATACAGGCAAAAAAAACTCTCCTTGGTCTTGTCTCCCCGAGTGTACCCTTCGTGATCTGCGGGGTCGAGCTTATACGGGCTTACGAACCTACTCTGGCCACTATTTCCTTGCGACCACTTGTTATACCACACATTAAACGTGAGGCCTGTCTGCGGTGGAATAGATGATGGCAATTCTGTCTCAGATACTTGTAGAGGAGCAGCCCTGTTCTTCCAACTGTAATCCTTTTCTGATACCATGGGACTCATGATAGATCCTCTTCTGAAGCAAATGACCTCCAAGCTGAGGAAGACTTGTGCTCAGCATTTGGCGCCAGTTTAAGTGAATGTCGACTCTTCCGTAAACAATTACAGGCTCTCATCTTTAATAATACTTTGAATTATACCTACCCTGTATTGATTGATTCATGGGCCCTTTCAATTCATCGAACGCACTCTAGCAAGATGTCTTTGATGCGTTAGTCTACCGTGATACACAAGAAGAGCTCTACTATTCTGGAAGTTTTGGTTTGAAAAGCTAGCTTTCGAGCGTCAGCGTCACCACTTGAATGCGCGTTTACATAGATATATCCGATTTTCAAGAATTCTAGACGGTACAAGTGGGCAGTGAACCATCGCTAAAGTCTACTAGCTTTTCAGTCACTTTTTTTCGTTAAGTGAATCCATACGTGAAGCAACAAACTTTAGGTCCTTTTACGCCTACAACAAGCGAAATGAAATTTGTCAAAAGCTTCTTTGATGGGCAGGGGGATATATTAGACTAGTTGTTTCATAGCATATCAGACCAGCTTTTGGTAAGTATATAGCTCTGTACATTACAGAGCTTACGAAGGCTTTTTATATAACCTGCTGCTCCCTCAACTACTAACATTGGTAGTCACTTGATAAGGACCGTAAGTTCGTATTTTGCACAAAGAAAAAGGAGATAGCGTGCTATCAATAGTACGGGTATCTAGACTCGCGGTGTGTGATAAGAAATGATTTTGATTTGATGGCGATTAGTAAAAGTGGTCTTAATGTAGTATCATAGTGATATTGTATGAGGTCGGAGGGAGGCCTGGGTTCAAATAGATTGCTTGAGGGATGCTGCCAGGTTTCCTTCAATGCATGTAGATTGTTAATTGTCCTCCCAGGATCACAAGTTTACACAACTGACGCTCGATTCAAACCCGGAGATGTAAAAAATTCTCCCGGGGGCGATTCGAACGCCCGATATCAAGATTTCGTGTGAAATTACAGTCTTGCGCCTTAAACCAACTTGGCCACCGAGAGGATTAGATGTCTTGGACTTCTTGCGCAGTTATATACCAGTTGACAAAATCATCTTCTATTCACTGTAGACAATGAAACATCCTATTCCTCTATACTACTTTCGTTACTGCTTGTCTTTGGGGTTTCAAATGTTCGTCTAGGCCATTCGCCTTGGGATTAGGCTTCATTGGAGCGAGTCAAGGTTGACGGTACTTGACTTGCTAAACTGTTTTTTTCAAATAGTTTATTGATATCGTCGAGAATACTATGAGCACTTGATATCAGATCTAGAGCTCACAAAGCGCCTCTCTGTTGTCTCTCGCAGGCCCAAGATATGCTTTATAGCCAGGACAAATAGTTATTATTCATTCAGATTTCTGGTGGCGATAATGGGGCAATACCGTCAATTGTACCCAGCAAGATGATTGGAGGTATTGGGTGATTGAAATGACTGGCTCGGTCATATCCATATTATCACTAACCATATGAATGACTTTTTCGCACCTGTGAGCGAAGCAAACTCAGTGCGTTAGCTGGTTCGGTTATTGGCAGCATGGAAGAGTTGAACTCTCGGCATTTCCGCGTCTTGACCATTGGGCCATCAAATTGCCGCTGATCTTCCGCCCTCCCCAATGATTGTGGTCACGTGCCCTTTCGTCGTCTTTGAAAAAAAATTTTCTTGTAGGTGCGATGAGCTAGAGAGTTTGGGACTTGACGTTTCCAACGCTTGGTCTATTTCAGAACATTTGTTCGAAGGCGAAGGTTCTGTAATCGTATCATCCAATATAGCCTCCCATAACGTACCGAATATGGCCAAAGACAAGTCCTCTACAACTGAAGATAACTACGATGCTAGGCTCTCCGCCGTATTGCCGTTTGCTCAGCCGCTCGCATCCAAGAAACTCAACAAGAAGGTTCTGAAGACCGTCAAGAAAGCCTCTAAGGCCAAGAATGTCAAAAGAGGTGTTAAAGAGGTCGTCAAGGCTCTCAGAAAAGGTGAGAAAGGTTTGGTGGTGGTTGCCGGTGACATTTCTCCTCCGGACGTGATCTCTCATATCCCTGTGCTGTGTGAAGACCAATCTGTTCCATACGTTTTTGTCCCATCCAAACAGGACTTGGGCTCTGCTGGTGCCACCAAGCGCCCTACTTCGGTGGTGTTTGTGGTACCAGGCAGCAGTAAGAAGAAGGACGGTAAAGCCAAGGAGGAAGAATACAGGGAAGCATTTGACGATGTCGTTAAGGAAGTCAAATCTTTGTAATAGACAGGGATATGCAATGCATAAGTTACACGGAGTCTTTCAGCCACCAGAACGAACTAATGCGGCTAGCATCAGGATGACACTCCTGGGTGAGTGGTCGCGTGTAAGGATTTCTGGTTCAGAAAAGCTACAGTATATAACGTCACAGTATTTTGTAAAATAATAACATGTTAGAATCTAGCGATGAAATTCCCTGCTTTGTTTGTCGCTGAGGAGCAGGCCTGTGCTCCTGGTTTGATTTTCTCGCTCGTGAGTTACGGCTGGTGAGCTATGAAACGTTAAAGATAATTATTACATGGATTGTTGTCTTACCATTGAGCTCACTTGCCCATCATCTCCCTACCACGCAAGTTTAGTCCATGGGAGTTAAGAAAAGACCACTTTCAACTGACAATGGCTCTAGAATCAGTACCAAGAGGGCAGATTCGTATGATTCGAATTCTCTATTAAGCGCTTTCAAATCTCTGGGGCGAAAGAGACCAGGAATTCAGCAAGTCATCCGTAAAAGCAGCGTCTTTGTGCCAATAACAGATACAGACATACAGTTTTATCAACACTCAAAACTCGCAAACGAAATCAAGGAAGACACTTTGCAGTTTGTACACCACCAAGATGGTTTAGCCTACATATGCATTCAGGACTTTAGTGCTCTGGAGCTCGCTTTAGCACTTGGGTTTATATTGGGCAACAAGGGCAAACGATGGTTTGCAAAAGAGAATAAGGATTCCATGGTTGTTCCTCGAAAAGTCCCTTTACGCGGAAGCTTTTATATTCATAAAACGTGTAAAGTTAACCAAAAGACCAACGACATACCCGATGGAATCACAATATCCAAATATATTCAGCTGAACGATTTCATAGAGATTTCAATTGAGCAATACGGCGTGGGTCCCTTGATGGATGCAATTATCAAGCTATCCATTGGTATGGTATTTCGCAAGTCTCCTGCCCAAGTTAACTGCGAGTTTTCAAATAGTTTACGAGAATCAAAACTGAGAAGCCAAATCGCAATGACCACAGTTCCATTCTTAGACAAAAACCTATTGATAGATGAAGATGAACTATTCAAGAGTAATGGCCCTGCCCTACAGAAAAGTCAGGATCTATTAAATGCTTACGTGAATAGTCTGCGAGAATATAACGAAGCTATACCAACTCTGGAAAAGGGTGATAAAAATGCGTCCCGTGCCTCACCGCAGCCAGTCGTAACGAAAAAAGCACCGGCTCCCGCATCTACGAGCCGTTACAGTGGCACCAGAAGCGTAGGTCAGTCCACCAGTAGATACGGCATGCCCAACGGAGGAAGTGCTGGTAACAACAATGGTCGAACGCTGAACCCCCAGTCTCGAAGCTTGACCTCAAACTATCTCACTCAAGAGCAGGTCAAAGAGTATTCTATCGCTACTGTTAAAGCTTCGATAGAGGCCGTGCAGAGCAAATCGCCTTACCAGATTCTGAAAACTTATATCAAATTCCCGCGTCACGACTATATCGACCTCCTGTACGACAAGCTCCACGATATGAGGCAAGAGACCAATTGTAATGTAGTCGTCATGAACTTGAATAACGTTCATGAGTCCACTTCGTGGTTTGACTCGCTGGATGTCGCCAAACACATGGAAAATGCAAAAATTACATCAGTGCCACATCCGAGCACAGTAAGGGTAGTGAGCATTGGTGGGATAGGTGAGCACAATGTAAAGGCACTTCGGCTGCTTCTAGATGTGCTGAATACCAAGGTATGACAGGTTGGGAGCGCTCTTGGGACGGCACACCATTTCTCATTATGAACGTGAAGCTCATTTGGATTTGACCGATTGCCAAATTACTTGGCCGTCCCGCCAAGGTTAGAAGAGACACGAGAATGAGTGAGTCAAAGTCCAAGAGAAACTCGTTTTTCTTCTTTTCGAGCAGTACCAAAGCTAGTGGTAATAAACCCGAGTTGAAAACTGCGAACGTGAAGCACATCGGCAAGTATCCCCTCAAACTCTCATCGAATAAAGAACCTTCAGAACCGGCTCTTGACTGGCGCGAACATTCAGGAAGTGGCAGCCGACAATCCACACCTCGAGCTGGTTCAAGTGATAGGAATGAAGCTTCTGACTTGCCTGTTACAAATGCTACCAACATAAAAAGGACGCGGCCACCCCCTCCTCAAGACTTTTCGTTGACATTCCCCGATGTGGAGCCGAAACTTGTTCAAACGGCATCTAGCGTGGTGCAGCCATCCTTAAGTCTACAAAATAAGGGTCATGAGCGTAAGAAATCCGAAATCGACGAATTGATGGATCATTTGGACCATTATGACCAGGACAATAGGCAGCAATTTAACGACGGTACGTCTTCCCAGCGGTCATCTTCAAGTGGAGATTTTAGAACTCCTAGTCTTGACTTACCTGACCAAACTGACAGGGACACTGAGATCAACAACCCTGATATAAGGTCATTGAATTTATCTCAGTCCAAACTAAGTTTACTTTCACACAAGGACCAAACTGGTGAGGCTATGATTTCTCCTCCGCAGCAAACCGGGCCTTTCGAGAAGTTGGCTGATCATGATGAAGATCAATTTTCTTATGCGCAGTCGCAAGGGGATTCTATTCAGGACTCTCGAGGATTTTCAAGGGTGGCCAATCAGGTAGCGAGGAGATCATCAGGATTTACTAATAATGCATTTGATGACCAACCGTATCATGCAGCAGATGACTTGTTTGACATGAATGCCCCAGAAGACGTCTCTCTTTTTGACAGTCAGTCTCTTCTGGACAACCCACGGCAGTTCAGGGTTGTTAATGAGCATAGGCCTCACTTCATTCTCAATGATGAAAGTAGCACAACGGACACCGATAGTTTTCTCTTCCCACCGAGAGACGCAGTGGTCCTAAGTAATCAACAGAATGACCTTAAGCTTCAAACACCCGTTAGTACCAATTTTCCAGTAGCGCCCTCCCCAACGGTTCAAGAACTTGACTACCATCAGAAAGACCTTGCTTCCAGCTCAGGTTCGGCGGCCAACGATACTACGAGCTCCAAGAGTGGACTTGCCTCTGACTATACGCTGATGCATGCTTATAACGACCCTCAAAATGTGGCAGCAGCATCTGCTGCTCCCCGTGGACAGGGGACTGATAGGTCAGTGAGGCTTGTATCGAGTTACGTAGAAGAGCTGCGTCTCAAGTACTTTCCCACTTCTAACTCTCTTCAACCACCCCCGGATTTGCCATTTGCATTGAAAACTAAAAACACTCTCGAGCAGCCACAGAACATCAAGGTAAGGATACGCACAAGCTCTAAACAAATTGGGATCAAACATGGGAAAGCGAAACAGAAGCTCTTGTCTTTAGAGACGGCGAAGGAGGAGAACGAGTCAGTAAACTCACCGACTACTACTCTGGGGAGGGGAAAATCGGTTTCAACTCAGGTGGATCATACTCGCGAATTCCATGACCTACTTAACAAAAGCCCGTCTGGCGCGGACCTTTTTGGCGCTGATAATGCTAACTCAAACAAGCACATCGAGCTCGATGATGAGTTCGTAAATGAAGAGGACGATGGCGATTTGTATTTGCAACATATTCCAGGTGACGAGGCTTATGACAATGATGACGTTATGGCGCCACTGCGTGAAGTCAGTGATCATGATACTACTCTGCGTTTTGCGGACAATCCGGTAGGGGGCCTTGGTGTAGGGACAGGGGAAAAGGGCCGCCTTGGCAGAAGCGATACTGTGACAAGCTACTATACGCGTAAGAATCAAAACCGTGCTCGTAGTGGGACTTTGGATGTAGACTATAGCTACAGGACCGTGGGCGTGAGTCAGAATGAAGATCCATCCGCTACAACATTTTCAGACGATAATTCTTCGGTACAGACTCCTAATCCTTTATACTACCAATCTACGTTTGGTGGAGGATTACGCGTGACAAATCAAGACCCAGCATCGGACTCGTAAAACCAAAACTTTAATAGCATTACCGGCATGTCATACAATGTGTCTCCGGCCCCTGTCAGTATCATTTTAACGTTAAGTAGTAGTTTTTCAACATTTAAACTCATTCCGTTAACCATAATTATTTCACAGATATCTACTCAAGGCCCGATGGGTACACGAACAGTTCTCACTACCATTTAAAGATGTGGTTAAGTACCTGATCACTAAGTAGGATTCGAATGGAGTGCTGGTTTTTTGCATTGAGCTGTAGATTGATTGATTATCATTATCTGGGTTAAAAGCCATTAAAACTTTGAATTGAGGCAAGGAAGAAAAAGTGGTAGTAAATAGTAAGATATAATTGTTGACTCATCCTCTTCGCGGAATACACAAAAGTTAAATACCTGATGGTACTGAAGCTGGATACTGGGTGGGGCTGAGCTGCAGCGGGCACCACCGGAGCCGGAGAAGGTAGGACTCAAGGGGAGTGGTGAGAAAGCGAGACACACGTGATAAATATTTGTGTCACTTGGATATCACCTACGGTGGTCAGCGTCAGGAAAATGTGACACAGCGGAAGAGAGTGATATCGCAGCAAAGTCGAGCGAAGCGACTCAGTAGAGACACCCGACTAGTGTCCCATGGGATCTGCGACCGACGGGTTATTAGAATGGAGGACTGCCCACTGTTCCATCCAAAACCTCCAAGTGAGACTCGTATAGTAGACAGAAAGAGCTAAGACATCGAAACATAGGAGTTGATGGAAGCCATTGTCCAGTGTGTGGAAGCCATTGTATTGAGGTGGCACCCCTTCTTCGCTACCTTGTTCCAGATTTTCCCACAGAAAACCGGTGTCTCGCCGATCGCACGTCGCACGCACAATACGCACCTCGCTCACACACGATTCACCTCCGCGTCCTCACTGATAAAACGGGTCGCATCCCATCATTGCTGTGATGTGACGTTGCTCTTATCACTTCAAAGTTAGGAGCTGGGATAATAGCAGCTGGATAGTAAATAATTCTACATACAGGTATATATAAGGGGCATTCCCGAAACATGCCAGCTGACCTCTACGATGGCAGCCATAGAGCCATTGATAGATACTCATAAGTGTCGACTTTCTTAGTGGCGACTTCCTGATCCCATCTATCTCAAGGCTTTTACTGTAGTTTTTCTGTTTCAGTTGTGTCAGCTTACCATTCTACGCATATATTTCTAACATAATGAGATACCTGAATTGTGATAAGTATGCCAAACGTGACAAGTAAGTCAAAAGTCTTTATGTGAGTAAACTATACGATTATTTGGCATAAGCCTCGACCAGCCTTTCTAAACCGCTGGAAAGCCTCTTGGAAGCTTCCTGTAGCTCTTCGTCATTGGCAGCATAGGCATAGGTGACTCTCAAAAATTGAGATCTGTGGAATGAAAACTTCTTGCAAACAGCCATGTTCACCCCCTGGACAGCTTGAACGCCCTCTTCCATGAATTTATAGCCTAGGACTCTCATTGCTTCTTCGGGCTTATCAAGGTTAGGGATTTTATCTAGGTTTAACTGCAAAAACGCAAACATACCAGCAGAGACGGGGACTAAAGTGAAGAGCCCTTTTTGGAAAGCAGGTGTTGCCTGGAGAGCTTCAAATAGGACATTTCTGCGGTGAGTATATTGGCCAGCGACTTTCATCACCCACGAAAGCCAAGCTTCCACGGCAGAGTCAAAGCTATGGGCCCATTTTTGAATTACATTATGGACCACAGCTTGCGAAACACCACTTGGGGCCCTGGTAGATACTTCCTCAAATTCAACAAGTTTAGAGATGAAGTACTTGTTGGCCACGATGAAGCTGAGCCTGAGTCCCGGGAAAAAGACTTTGGAGAAGGTTTCACACCGGATTACGCGACCTGACGTATCCAAAGTTATGAAAGATTTGGCAAGAACTTCGGAGCGGTATTGCTCGATTGTGTAGCCGCCATGTTCGTACGGATTGAATCTAGGATTTTGCGAGTCGTAGAATGGGAATCTCAAGTAGCCATAAGGATCATCTTCCACAATCAAGAAGTCATGTTTCTCCGCCAAAGCGTAAATTTCCTTTCTTTTGGCCAAGGACAAAGTCATACCTGTGGGATTTTGACCAGTAGGAATCGTGTATAGCAAGCGTGGCTTTGGCAAGTGCGCATGCTCGCTTTCTGACCAATTGTCTAGCAAATTCGCCAGATATTCAGTATCGATACCTTGAACTTCTGGGTCAGAGCTGCTGTTACCCTTGATAGGGATTGCAGTGGCACCAGTGGAACTTATGTTGGACAAAGTCGGGGGAAAGGTGAATTCCTCCACAAGCACGGTGGTGGAATGGTCGGATAGGGTCTCGAAGACCTTGAAAAGAGAATCTGAGGATCCATTGGCAAAAGTCAGGTCCCATTCGTCGTAGGCAGGAGGGTGCACGGAGGATATGAAGTCGCGGCAAAAGTCCACCAATGGAGTGAGACCACGGGTTTGGTTGTATTGGAACCCGGATTGGATGGGGATGCTAGAGGAGCCTGCGGGCTCGTAGCGCCAGATGTCAACCATGGACCCATCAGAAAACTTCTGGGACACCAAATCGCGCTCGTTGTGAGGGGCAGGTTTTCCAGCGTCGGAGGTTTCCTTGGGGGGCCGCGAATCGTGGTCACGATGCAGTCTGGGCGATCTGAAGCCGTAGTCTTGGTGCTCAAAAGGGTGGTCCAGGACATTCAAATGCACGGATTCCACAGGGAACAGGCCTTCGTTGGGCATACCCGCGCCGAGGTCAATGGGTTTGGGGTGTGGTTTCACGAAATCCGGAACTGTTACGTGCCAGAATGGGGTGAACTTGCGGGCATCTGCTCTGTAGGACAGGAAGCGCTTATAACGAGCCTCCAGGGACATTGTGTGGGATGAGACGGGCCAAGTTGATCTAGGTACTTGATTCGCAGCTGTGCAGTGTATAGTCGTCCTGGGAAAGAGGATAAAGGGCGCCTTTATAGTGGTGGTCGTGGATGTTGGCTAATCGTAGACCTGTGTGTCATCAGCACTCTTGTACAAAGTGATCTCGTTCAATTGCCCAATCTGGCGTTTCAGGGCCGATACCGCGAAATGACCCTGTGTCACTGTGGACGACATGTAACGGCGAAGCTTGTCCTGAAGCTTGACAAAATAGCGTTTCCCAGCAGTGAGTGCCCGCAGCCAGCCTCTAATTGAAACAGGCCTGGTGCTATGCTTCCTAGCTACGACCAGGGTGGGCCCTGTATGCTCTCGCAAGGTATGTGTTTGTCCAATTATATCGTGTTGTACGAGTATGTCTTCTTCAGCCCAACGCTTTTCGTCGTCGTCGCCGCCGTCAGTCTCACCATCGCTGATATTCATCTCTTTGTCACAGTCCGCCGGCAGCGGCTGTCCGGCGATGTGTATAACGGGGTTAGCGATTTGCACCACAGACAGAACAGCCGCGTGTGAAGCGATGGAGGTTACACCCGCATACCACGCAGTGGGGCTTTACTAAAGCGTGTAACGCCGCTCCCGTTTGAATCTTGCCCAACTAGTCTTCGATCAAGGTAACATATCGATTAATTCAGTTTCGGAAGTTACCCGATACTTGGTGCAATTCCTTGGCATCTCACAGTCCTCTAAACCACTCGGGTCTAACGATCTAAACCCGTTATCGCCAACAATGCAATCCGCCTTGTAGCGTGCCTCATATATATAGATCAATCGGGCTACCCTACGGTAAATAAGTTTCATGTCGCGATTTCTGAGCTTAACTCCAAGGGAGCGGTGCCATGAGCAAGAGTTTAGATACTTTATTTATCGAGGCGAATCTGACTCATTAGTAGAAAGCTTACTAAATTTGTCTTGCAAGTCGTTCAAAGACTTTGTGAGATGAGTAACTTGGGTCTAGGGAATTCTATTTATCTCTCTGCGATTATTTTAGCCATTAGCGTTGGTTCACTAACCAGAACAAAGACGGTAGGTCGAAGTCGATTTGTATGGCCTCTGTGGTATACTATCATTCTGTACTACTGTGTCACATATTTCCTGACGCTGATTATGCGATTAGGCGCACATCTCCATCAGTTCCCTAGTAACTCGCATTATTCCCAACATTGATTGATCGTGGCCATGCAAGGCATCTTGGATATGTAGAGAATATTTGTCGTTTCACAGTGTCAGGACCTGTACAGGGTTTTTACACTCTACGCTGAATTTGCCGCACCATGTTCTAGGTCACAATTAAACCTAGCTTTACATGCGATGTTTGCAAGGCCCAATCCTCTTCTGCCAAGCTCAGCAGCCGGACAGAGAGGACTTAAATTCTTGTTACCATAGTGGGGAGTATTTGTGCCAGCCCCATCCCAATCTAGATTACATCGCCCTTGCTAGCAAAACCATGCTTAGCGATGTTGGATCAACGACCTAGAGGAGTACGCCGGAATAGTTGACAGGGTAAATCAAGTGAATCAAAAACATGGTCGCAGATATACTGGTGAGGTGTTGAAATACTGGCTATTTTGCGCATTTCTTTAACCCATCGAGAACGGTTAATGTGGAGGTTACTGGTACTTGGTGGAAGCCGCGAAAGTTGGACAAGCACTGAGGAACTGTATCGCACGGTACCCTACGGCTTACTTGATCATGCTACATACTCATTTATAAGACTTTACTAGATGTCTGGGCTGTCGTGCATAGATTCTCTTGTGGACAGAGCTCAGCCAGTTGATTAAGCCCTGGAATCTTGTCCTCGTGGAGGTCTAGATCACCAGTCAAGTATTACCTCACAATACCTTAAACTTGTTTTCCGCAGACTCTCTGTCCCCCTTTCATACTTTGAAGAAGACTGCTCTACGGGAGAGCAGACACGCCAAGTACTTTGCTGAATGCACAATCCTATGGACAGGCAAAACTACGATCTATTCGCTCTTCCAAAGCAAGTGCCAGCAAAACCTTCTGAACTTTGGACGAAGCTGTGCGCCCTGGCAAATGTCTATGGTCACTATTGATCGACAGAGAGGTGACTAGCAACATTTCGAAAAAAAATAATGATCGAGGTATACAACTTGCAGTAGCTTGAGGGCGAATTCATACTCGTTGTCAAGTACACCTCTCCTGCTTTGACCCCATCAAAAATGTCTTCACTAAGAAGTGCTAGTATGGAAGACCTGAGCTTTATTCTAGAAATATTTGCCTCCGCTGTTGAAATGCTAAAATCAAAGGACATCGATCAATGGCAGAATGGTTATCCAAATGAGGAACAAGCAGTGATTGATATCCAAGGAAAGCAAAGTTATATCTTAACTTTCAATGGGAAAGTGGCTGCTGTAGGTACAATTACTACCGACAGAGATCCTTCCTACTCGGCCATTGATGGGAGTTGGGCTGGTAAAGACGGCGACAAGTACGCCTCTCTGCATCGAATCGCAGTGTCTGAAGCCTTCAGAGGAAAACGCCTGGGTCAATTAGTACTGTCCGCCCTGGTTGAAAAGTGTAAGGAATTGGGTTTTAGTGATATAAGGGCCGATACCCATCGAGACAATAACGCCATGCGAAAATTATTATCCGCTAACAGCTTTGAATATCGAGGAATAATTTCTAAAAACAACAACTGTTCCATGCGACTTGCTTACCAGTTACATCTAGATAGGTAGAATTTCGATATACGGAAAAACAAAAATCTACTACGCACATGCTACTTAAAGCCTACGTTGCACCATAAAGAACTGCACTTGGCACCGGGCTCATCTCAAGCAATGTCCACCTTGGCCACGGCTTCTGTGACTAATTCCTCAATTGACTTCCTCTTCAAGGTTAAAAACCCATCGCCGTCGAATTGCAGGCCGTCCTCGATGTCTCCAGCACCAGAACCGTTGAAGACCGCGGTCATCAAACTCGTGTAGAAAGCTGGGATGATTTGTCCCTCTTCGAGTGCTTTCTGGCGCTTCGCAAGCATGCTCTCGATGCTTACAGGAACCTTCTCGAACTCCAGCTTAGTAACCTTCTCGAAGGTTTCTGCAATCTCCTTCAAGCTGGTGCGGACCTCGGCTACACGAATGCGCTTGTTCTTTGTCTTCTCCTCGTCCATCTGTAACACTGCAACGAAGCATGCCCCAATGAAGGGCAGCGACGAGCCCGTTACGTGGTGCTTTCCGTCGTCGAACAAGGTGATCTTGCGGTTTTGAGGCTCGATTGTGCCAAAACGGCCCTCGAGCGCAGCGTCGATGAAAAGCGAGGGGATAAGCGTGGTGAAGCTCACCGTGGAATTTTCTTCGGCGAGCGCTAGAAACTTGCGAGCGTCTTGGACAGGCGAAACGACCGGAGCAAGTGGGCTGCCATCGGGTCTGGTGAACAGAGCAACAGCGCTAGGATGCAAAACATCCATACCACACCAGCATGGGAAAATACGGCGAACACCTGTTTCCTTAGCTGCTTCCAGCAGCTGCTTGTCCACCACACCGCCGACTTTGCCGGAAACGAGGTTCATGATGGCATCGGCCCCACTCACTGCTGCTGCAAGGTCCGCTTTGTCCCCGTAGTTCACTGGCACCACACGAGCGCCAGGAACGGATACTTTTTTACCACTGTTGCTGCGAGTGAGCACAGTGACATCAAATTTGGGTGTTGTGCAGTCCAAAAGAGCCTTAAGGACGTGATCTGCAAGGTTGCCTGAGCTTCCAGCAACGACAATTTTTTTGAAGGCCATAGAGGTAGAGTTGTGAGAATTGAGGAGATCGATCTCTGTAGGTGGTTGACTAAGTTCAAAACTAAACCATGGTCAAACTTATCAGCTAGAGAAACAGATTTCCCCTCCATTTATAGACGTCTGTCATTTTAATCTGGGATTACTAACCATTCCATGCGTTTATCACCCGGCTTGGCATTGCTTATCAAACACACCATGCCAAGCTCTTGTTTTCCCACGACTTCGGGCCTAGTATGGACCTAACCATTCTTTCTTGGCCATGTGATCTCTACAGGTTAGTTTCTGACAGTTCAAATCCCAGTGAGCTTGATTTTATACTAACAGACATCTTAGTGAATTTGTCATGGGGTGACAAATCACAAAGTCCGATAAGGCCTTTGGGCTATGGTGGTATGTAGAAGAATTATGCGAGTCTGCTGTGTAGTCCTGATTGGATAATCTAGATATTTTGTAGTAGGCAGCGTCGTTCATCGCCACAACCTGGGTGGAAGATGGCACAATACGTCTAGAGGGACCTCTATTAACATCGACAGTTCCGGATCGTTTTACTTTCCACTGCTTCTCTCCACTCTAAAGTTTGTAGCGGTTCTGATCAAAATAATTTCCACTGCTTCCCTCCACTTCAGAGTTTGTAGCGACTCTGATTGTACCTCCCGCACGCAGACCCCAGTATTTCGATACCACGTCGGAGTTCCTCGGCGCTCGCAAAGCAACACAGAGGCGGAAACAGAGGCGAAAGATGCAGGCCCCAATTGTCTATGCATTTTGCGCGTGGATTTTCGATCTGTCAAGGGACTTATAAGTCTGCATGCTCGCCCGTGACACCAGTGCATCATTTGGTGAAGATCAAGTCCTAGCTCTCGCCCAGATTCGGGGCCTAAAGTATGCGTTAGCGAGCACTTAATTCCCGACGCATGCGATATCATCATTTAGTTTTTGGTGGCGGAAACTGATCGGTTTGCAAGAGAAATGCATTTTTGGGTTGGCGGTCTCTTCTTCGTATTTCCCTCGAAAATGACACTCTCAACGGTGGCACTAAACGTCGCCAACTGAACAGTTCAAGACCGATCAAAGTGCATGGACAGCCTGCAATAATGTCGCCCAAAACTACAACATTTTGACGGCCCTTAACCGTGCGATACTCATCGGTTTGCAAATATTCTTCTCCATCGACTGGTTTCTTTTTAAGAAAGCCATTGTTAGGGGCCACACCATACGCAAATGTGACGACATCTACGAGCTGCGAAGCTCGTCGTCGAGCTCAACTCTGAATTTATCATGAATCTTCTCGATTGACTTGGAGCGCACGTTGTTCGCACCTTTCACGTTTAGCTTTTGTAATTGACGCTCCGCAGCTTGTGAGACCTTAGGAAACCAATTCGCCAAAGGAGCATTGCTCTCTGGATAAATGGTTATATTTTTCTTTGCTCCCTAGGTATGGCCCAGTTCTCTAGCGACTTCAACTGCAGTGGCACCTCCGCCCCTTACGGAACGCCTTGACAGAAAGGAAAAAAGCTCTAGTACTCAGTCCTGACCAAGCCCACACCTCCTCACAGCCGTACCACACGGGTCGGTGACTAGCGAGCATTTTCTTCTACTGTGGGGCCCAATCTTCCGGTGAACAAGAATTGTGTGAGCAAAGTTCGGGTCCTGCAAGAGATGATCATATTCAGCTACTAAACTTCCTAAATCTGTAGCTTAGAAGACCTTGCTCAGGACATTACACTAGGAAGACCATCTCTATCTGAGTTTGAATAGGGCGATGAGCCGTTTGGAGGGTTTTCTGTTCACATAGCGCTTCAAACTCAATCTCCATACGTGTTTGGTGATAAACACCGCCACCTACATAAAATTATTTGACAACAGATTGGTAGAGACTCTCTGGAGTAAACAAGGCATTCTACATCGCTCAAAAGAGCTACTGGCTTCAATTGATCGTTGAATTGGATCTGAGATGGGCACCACTTTTCAACAGTCAGCATTTACGCTGGTTTACGATCCTAGCCCGAGTTTTGTCGGGTACACTAATGCGGAGTTGCAAAAATCGCTTGAAAAGGGTTCTGATGAAGAAAAGGTTAGTACCATGAAAAGAATGCTTGTCATGATGCTCGACGGTAACCCCTTACCAGATATGTTAATGCACGTAATTCGCTTTGTGATGCCTTCGAAAAACAAACAGTTGAAGAAGCTGCTTTATTTCTACTGGGAGATTGTCCCAAAATTGGATGCCGAGGGTAAGCTCAAACAAGAAATGATTTTAGTTTGCAACGCGATCCAGCACGATCTTCAACACCCCAACGAGTACATTCGTGGGAATACTTTGCGTTTTTTGACAAAACTACGTGAGGCTGATTTGCTCGAGCAAATGGTCCCCGCTGTCCGTCAATGCCTTGAGTACCGTCATGCGTATATTCGCAAGTATGCAATTCTGGCCGTCTACTCGATCTACAAAGTTAGCGAACACTTAATTCCCGACGCATGCGATATCATCAATTCGTTTTTGGTGGCGGAAACTGATCCGATTTGCAAGAGAAATGCATTTTTGGGGTTGGCGGAACTTGACAGAGAGTCCGCACTCAGCTACTTGCAAGACAACCTTGCATCTATTGAAAGTCTTGACTCACTTCTCCAGGGTGCCTTCATTGACTTTATTCGCAAGGATGCCATCCAGACACCATCTCTTAAGCCTCAATATGTGGACTTATTGCAGGATTTGCTTGCCGCAACTACATCTCATGAAGTGATCTTCGAAGCGTCTTTGGCTTTGACAGTATTAACCAATGACCCCGAAGAGTTACGCCAAGTGGCTTCGAAACTCATCGACGTCGCCGTGAAGGAATCGGATAACAATACCAAATTAATCGTACTTGAAAGAATTCAGGATGTGCATAAAAGAGCTCCTGGATATTTGGAAGATCTAGCCTTGGACATCTTGCGAGTATTGAGTGCTCAAGATTTGGATGTTAGATCTAGAGCCTTGGATATTGCACTAGAGTTGGTGTCATCAAGAAATGTAGATGACGTTATAAAGCTTCTCAAGAAAGAATTGCAGATAACGATTACAAATGCCCACAACGATGAAAAGTCCACTGATTATAGACAAATTCTTATTGAGAATATTCATAAGGTTGCAATTAGATTCGTGGAGGTTTCAGCAGATGTTGTGTCACTCTTCTTAGAGTTTGTTGGTAACTTGAGCTCTAGCGCTGCGAGCGGCGTTATCTCGTTCATTAAAGAAGTGATTGAAAAATACCCTCAACTAAGGAAGGAAATTTTACAGCATTTGATCGGTGCTCTTCCCTATATATCTTCAGCCAAAGCTTACCGAGGAGCTCTGTGGATTTTGGGAGAGTATTCGTTAGATGCTAATGATGTCCAGAGCTCTTGGAAGCACATTCGCAGTAGCATAGGCGAACTGCCCATTGTACAGTCAGAATCCAAGGAGCGTGAAGGTGAATCGGAAGCAGACGACGTGGCTACGGAGGGACCCACCCCAGCCGGACCTGTCGTTTTGCCAGACGGGACGTACGCGACAGAATCTGCTTTTTCGTCTGCACCAGTCACCTTGACCAACGAAGAAAAAGAATCCAAGCCAGCTCTTCGCCGCTTTGTTCTCAGTGGTGACTTTTACACTGCTTCAGTTTTGGCAACAACTATTGTGAAATGCGTTTTAAGATTCGAAAAGGCCTCTAGCGACAGTTCTGTCCTAAATGCGCTAAAAGCGGAGGCTATGTTAATTCTTGTCAGCATCTTAAGAGCAGGTCAAAGCTCTTTGGTCGAAAAGAAAATAGATGAGGACAGCTCCGAAAGAATTTTAATTTCATTGTCGATTTTAATGGATGATCAGGCTTCTGAGCATGCCGATAGTCGAAAGCTTTTGGAAATGGCTTATTTGGAAGCCACAAAAAATTCGTTTGAATCAAAGATTGCCAGCGCCAAGCGCGAGTCTGCCAAAAAGTCTGCATCTGCTCTGGCTAACAACGCTGAACCAATTGACAAAGCGATAATGTTTAGACAATTCGCCGCAAAGGATGTACACAATACTGCTGTTGACACTATCAATGAAGATCTTGAAATGGCGATTACAGGTCAGTCACAAAGCTTCAGAGCGTCCACCTCATTAATGTCTAAACTGAGAAAAGTGGTTCCCCTCACAGGATTTTCAGACCCAGTCTATGCAGAAGCCTACATTACTAACCATCAATTTGACGTCGTGATCGATGTGCTACTGGTCAATCAGACTAAAGAAACGTTGAAGAACTTGCACGTCCAGTTCGCCACATTAGGGGATTTAAAGATCATAGACAATCCACCAAGCACCAATGTTGTTGCCCATGGCTTCCATAAGTTGACAGTCACTGTTAAAGTATCTTCTGCCGATACAGGTGTCATTTTTGGCAATATCATTTATGATGGTGGACATGGTGAGGATTCTCGATATGTCATTATGAATGACATTCACGTTGATATAATGGACTACATTAAGCCGGCTAAAACGGACGAAGCGACGTTCCGCAAAATGTGGAATGCATTTGAGTGGGAAAATAAGATCACGGTGAAGTCTAAGCTCCCAACGTTGCACGCGTACCTTGACGAACTGGTGAAGGGTACCAAGATGGGAATCCTAACTACCGAAGAAGCTCTAGGCGAGAAAGACTGCAGATTTTTGAGCTGCAACCTATATTCTAAGTCTACGTTTGGAGAGGATGCGTTAGCCAATTTGTGCATTGAGAAAGATCCCGTGTCTGGCGACGTTGTTGGCAATGTTCGTATTCGTTCCAAGGGTCAAGGATTAGCTCTTTCGTTGGGAGACAGAGTGGCATTGATAGCCAGACAGGTGAACAAGGTAAAATTGAATCACGTTTAGAATCTGTTAATGAAGAAAAGTATATACAGAAGAAAAAGAGCCCAGGATGGTTAGGCCCATCTATAAAACGTCAATGATAATATTTACAGAATTTGATCGTAGAATGTTCTTCATCTTAGTTTCTCAGGACCGTGAAATGGAAGTCCGAAAGCACTGATCAGGGTTCTGGCTTGGACATCGTTCTGAGCAGATGAGTTGATATTGATATGCATACCAAAGGTCTTGGGCCACAGATCTTGGTTTGATTCAATTTCGGGAAAAAACTTGACGTCTTCAGAGGTCAGGCCGAAAGAGATACTTCCAAAGCGGCTACCAGACTTGTTGCTAATACCCTTGTACTCTCTTTTCCTTGGTAGCACAATTTCAGTCAATGTGCTCAAAAACTGAGCCATGGGACGGCCCTTGAGCTCAACTTTCGCTCCCATGTGAGTACCTCTCCTCACTTTCCAGGTAGGAACATCTGTTCTCGAGTAAACGGGACGAGGTTTACAGCCCGTGAGTTGTTGTAACTGCAGACCGGCGCTGATGGGCAACAATTGGTTTTCTCTAGCTTCCTTCACATAGCAATTTATCACTACAGACTCGATGGCCGGGATATTATGCCACTTAATCGGTTTGATATCGGGAAGCTGTATTTCTGAACCTTTGGGTTTCCTGACCTGTCTGTTCACATGGTATGGACTAGAATAGTCCCATGTTCTGTTCTTCACACCTTTTTTCACCTCTGCCTTGTGTGAGTAATTGATCAGAAGGAGATCAGACTGAAGTGTGTCATGGTAGTAGTCACTGACTCTGTCCTGATGTGTAGCAACCGGCCTGAATGCTGGCGATCTGATATCGTTCTTGTCATATTTTAGGCCCTCGAATCTTGGCGAGAGCTTGGATTTGTCGACCTTCACCAAATGATGCACTGGTTTCACGAGCGAGCATGCAGACTTATAAGTCCCTTGACTGGTCGAAAATCCACGCACAAAATGCATTGTTCACCGCCAACTGTTGTAAATATTAGTCTTCTTGGGAATATTACCAATTAGTGGTAGCAGATGATTCCAACTCTTCAAAAAAACCGTCTCCGAAAGCTTGAAAAGACCTTTAAGATCGTGTTGATTTTGAAATGACTAAAAAATTGCACTGGGGTGCTGAGATCCCCTCTGTAACCTGGCTTTGACGGACTTCTTAGTCTTGATAGAAAATTTTCAATATCTTAAAGATGGTCGTTGGTTTTAATTTACAGTAACATCCAATACTGGAAAACGACTCATCGTGAAATTCAACCAAAAACAACCTTCAATTGACCTTCTGGCGACTTGGTTTCGATACTTAAAGTCTCAGAAGATCCTTGAGATAGATGCGTTTTAGCTTTGACGAACTTTACGCAGCTGAGACACCTGAAACAGCATTGGATGAGGATGAGTATTCATTGATAGGCAGTGGTGATGAAGGTATACCACAGTTGCGCCTACCGCGACGTAAAAATGTGGTCACAACGACTAAAGCTGTGGATGAAGATTTGCTGGACCCGGATTTAGAGCAATTGTTCGCTAGGTTGGATCTAACGGCCAAACTTCCAGGAGCACGAGTTTTGAAGAGCATTCCATGGAACAAGACGATGCGTGCTGAAGAGTGCGCCGAAAAGCAGTTTGAGTTGTCTGCACAGGAAAAACCTTCGCGGCGAAGGACTGCTGAGGTTAGTCGCGAGTTTTCCTTATTGCACACTACAGTAGCCAACAGCATTATGAACAAGCTTGAGGCCTTGCAGAATGAAAATGGCCATCAAGTGCAACGTGTGAAAGAGGAGAAGCTTCGTCTTCGTGAGGAAAAGCGGAGGCAGGAAGAGGAACTGAGGCGGCAAGAGGAGGAGCGAAGAAAGCAGGAGGAAGATAAGCGTCGCCAGCTAGAAGAACAAGCTCGCCGACAGCGCGAGGGGGAAGAAGAAAGACGAATCAAGGCTGAGCAAGAAGAGAAGAAAGCACGGGAAGAGCGTGAGCGTCTCGAACAGGAAAAGAAGAAGCAGGAGGCTCTGGAAGCCGCACGTAGAGCTCAAGAAGAGGCAGCCAAGGGAAATGGAATCACGAACCATCATCAGATCGAACGTTCTTTTAACCACTACAAGCACAAGATCAAGCATATTAAAACTGACGTAGTCGAGGCGGTGAAAAGGGACTCGAATCTTAAAGCGATACTTTCCAAACACAAACGCCGGATAAACCCCAAATTCGGCCAGCTCACAAATAGCGAACAACATTTAGGATCGATTGTCGCAGAGCTGACTTCTCTGGTGGATCAAGCGAAGCCCAACGCTCTCGGATACCAATGGATTTTGAATTTCCTGGCAAAAGCTCTCGTATCGCAGGCCGAGACCGAGGTTCGGGTAAAACCTGAAAGTGCACTGCCACTAGCAAAGCTGGCATTACATCTGTTAACACGCTACGACGAGCTGTTAGAACTGCTGATGGCCCGGTTCGTTAAAAAATGCCCTTTTGTGATCGGATACACCTGCAAAATCGATTCGGAAGAGGGACGGTACAAGATGGGGTGGAAACGTGGTCAGGACAATACCTGGGAAGATGAAACGTCTTATGACGAGCGTATGGGGGGGATTGCAACGTTGTATGCCACCATAACCCGACTTCCATTACCCCAAGAATTCATAACGTCTCACAAGCATCCTCTGCCCCTGAGCAATTCCTGGAAGCTGCTGGCTCGACTCGCCAACTCGCCCACAGACCTGTTAACCAACACTCATTTTGTAGTTTTAGGATCTTGGTGGGATGCTGCAGCTGCTCAGTTGCTACAAGCATATGGCAGACAAGCCCACAAGTTGCTGGTTTTACTATCCCAAAATTTAACCCAATCTGTCGCAGAACGAAAGTACGTAGGTGCTGCCAGATTGAGGATTCTTTTCGAAGAGTACGAGACATCGGGAACCATCAAAAGTTTCCCAGAGATGACCGCTTAGAACCGCATAGATAAATATATACAAAAGCTACGACAAGCACAACGAGCTACACTTTACTTACGTCAGGCTTGTATATACCTTCTGATCTCCCAAAGATTACCGTCGTCATTGTTAGTTATCATTGTCTATTTAAACTGAAATTAAGTACAATGACCGATCGTCACTGCAAAACAAGACTAGAGTTATGGCAAGACCGGCTGATGTGCCAATTCCCGACTCTCCAGAGTCCCCATATCCAATCAAGACTGGTGTATGCGAGATAGTGTGTGGTTTCGGCCGTGGCTCCGCCGAGCTTGGAATTCCTACTGCGAATGTGCCATTTGAAGAGCTGCCCGAGAGCGTAGGTGGGCTCCCTCTAGGTGTCTTCTTTGGTTTTGCTCGACTCCAGAAGTCAGCGCCTAAGGAAGCTAGAAACATGCAGAGACAAGACGGTACGAGGGTGCACTTCAACTACGGCCAAAGATTGACTGATAATGACTTGCGGGTTTTGCCAGTGGTGCTGTCGATGGGCCTAAACCCGTTCTACCACAACAAAGCCAAGACTGTTGAAATACATGTAATGCACAAATTTGACCACGACTTCTACGGAGCCCAGATTACTTTCACCATATTGGGCTACATAAGGCCCGAGTTGGATTACACTACAAAAGAGGCCCTTATCGAAGACATCCAAACCGATATTCAAATAGCCGAAAAAGCACTATCCTCACCCGAATATGCCAAGTACCAGAATCTATAAACTAAGTACTAAATCTATGTTTTTTTATATGCTTTATACTTCGTCATGTTGGTGGTGCCCTTTTGATATAAGCGATGAGCTTGCGATAAGTTAATGAAAAGTTGCACTGCCATAAGAACACCAAGAACAATGGGCCTCTGGTTAAGAAGAGGCGCCATTCTTGGTTTCTATTTGATCCAGAGTGTTTCTTTGGCCACAGGGCTATATTATGGGAAAATTTGGCCTGTGTCAGTAGCGCCATTGGTGCTTGGTTATAGCTTTACGACCCTGGGCATTATCACCTCCGATTTCCTGACACCCAGTTTATCCATCATATCCCAGGAAATCCTACATATCTCAGAGCGGGTTGCTGGAATTACATTGCTGGCGTTGGGCAACTCTGTCCCCGACATCACAAGTACGTACCAGTCGCTGAGCTCTGGAGCCACGTCTCTGGCGCTGGGAGAATTGGTGGGAGCGGTTGTTTTCTTGCTGACTGTAGTTGTGGGAATCATGCCGCTGGTGCGTCCCATAGATTTGGGACATCTTGATCAAGACCAAGACTTCGACTCCCAAAAGTCGTGCGAAGTACGACGGGCCCTCGTTTACAGCAGACGGAGATTTCTCAAGGATTTGGTTATGTTTGCGATAATGATAGGTCTCGCGCTGTTCTTCATGCTGGATGGGCGACTAATGTTTTGGGAATGCTTTTTGATGGTGGCTGTATATGTGGGCTACGTGCTATATCTAGTGCAGCAGGAGCGCGACGACGTTGCAATCTCCTCTACAAGTGACGAAGAAGGGGAAGAAGAGGAAGATGTTTCTTCATCATTAGCTCTACCAGAAGTTGACATTGAGAGGCTGTCGTCTCGAGACCAATCCCTTTTTCTCCAGGAACTGGAATTGCATAAAATGAACCTCCGTGCTAAAATCAAACGGCACCTGAGATCACAATATTCTGGCTGCATGAAAATGTCATTGAATGGTATTTTGAATGTATGGGACAACAAAAGCGTTTTTGAGATCGATCCGCCCGCATTGACTCTCACAAGAAGCTTATCCCACCAGGAATTGCGGCCAAAAATCTCCCTTACGCCATTCTCACCAGAGGAATCCGCATCTGCATACCATGAGAACCTAGACTCACGCGATCTCATTCAACCCGCAATTGGCCAGACTTTCCTCAAGCCTCAACTACGCCCTAATTCGAGGTCTATCAGCGCTGATTATCTACTTTACTTGGATAATCGCATTGAAAGCTCCAACAACTCTGTGTTGGATAGTTCCTGTTGTCAAGACTCGGACTCAGAGACCAGCGAACTAATTCAGTCTTCACAACAGGGCCCATCGACTATGTCGCTCGATAAACCCATAATTCAGTCGGTAATGCATCGCTGCTGGAATGAAGAGGACATTCAAATAAATTTCGTTGAATTTCTGACTGTGCTCCTGGTCTCTCCTGTGATGTTCGCATTGAAGTTACTCATCCCCATGAGTGGTCACTGTAATGATAGAAGTGCAAGGCCCTTTGGACAAGAATACGTCCGAGTCTTCCTGATACCACTTGAGCTTGACTTTCTCATCACAAATAGATTACATGCAACGCCTATTTTGGCTTCGGCAATCCTTACCGTAACATTATGGCTGCTCAATCGCAAAGGGTGGCACAACGTTGCAGTACGATCTCTTTCTGTTTTGACTTTCATTACTTCTCTTGCCACAATCTCCTTTGTGGTCGGGAATGTGGTTGAGACTCTACAAAGGTGTGCAGTTTTACTAAACATCTCAGAGGCCATGCTTGGACTAACCGTATTTGCATGGGGAAATTCTGTTGGTGACCTGGCGACAACGGTCACATTCACCAAGATGGGGGTTTTAGACATTGCGCTGGGCGCATGCTTTGGGGGTCCCTTGTTGATCTTTTTGTTTGGAATAGGCTTCGATGGCATGTTGGTGATGATGATGTATAGGAAAGATCGCCAAAAGTCAATCTGGGCTCAGTCGATTGACTTCGAAGTCAGCTCTTTGTTAGTGATGAGCTGTTTGGGCCTTTTAGCTTCCTTTTCAATATACCTGTTGTTAATACCCTTGAATAACTGGCACATCGACAAGAAGATAGGAGTTGTCTTTCTGTCCCTTTATGTGGTTGTAACAACAACAAACATCTTTTTGGAAGTCAACTAATGCTGTCATAACATCACAATTTGAATACTTGAAAACACACATCTAAGTCTTCCGGCATGTAAGATTCACAGAATGATATTACACCTTCTTTTGCAGCCAGCTTTTGACTGGCGACCAATGGAAATAGTTTTTTGACAATGTATCGCCTTTTCTCCAAATACGAAGAGTCCTGATCAAACCAGACTCTGTGACAGTATTCATACCAAAACTTAGCGTTGTCTAAATAATATGTCCAATTTTGGTCTATGATAGGAAGAAACACATTTTCTTCCAAGGAACGTCTGGAAAATCGCTTGTACATTTGGCAAACCATATGCAACAGTTCTTCCTGTCCGCGCTTGTTTTCGCCATAGCTGAGGCGTTTCATGAGCACCTTGAAACCGGTCTCGCTATGGCTCAAAGTGCCTGCTGGGAAGTTTTCTGAGATGCATTTTTCCATAAACATAGTGAACTGTAAGTAATCAGAAAAAAGCTCGAAGTCGTCTGTCTCTTCAATATTATTGCCGAATACAGCCTGTGCTTGGTTGAAGATCGAGAATAGTTGGTCGTAGTCTCCAAGTTTTATCAAACATCCACACAGTAATTCTATGATCTTAGTTTTCTTGTGGGAGAGCTGCAAACCTAAGGCCAGCACACTTTTTGCAGATACAAAGTCTTCAAATTGCTGCATTAGCCACATAGCATATTTGATCCATATCATTTCATAGTGTGCCAAAGGCAGTAGTGCCCTTTGGAAGTTCAGATGAGTTAGCTTATCAAACCCGTTGTTGATCGAGTATTCTAGGTACCTCCACCATGCTGAGATCTCGCCTTTTTCTATCAAAGTTTCCGCAGAACAGTAGTAATGGGTTTTAATGTTGCTCTCGAACAGATTATAAATTTCAAGCACCCGATATTGGACCACCATGTAAAGCTCTTTTGTGAATTTTCTGAGATGTGTTTTTCCTTCTTGTAGTTGGGGCCCTTTTCTACCTCTCCCTCTGATCTTTATTTTCATCTTTCGATCAATGTCCGCCTCAGAAACCATCATCGTTAGCTGACGTACGTCAGTAGTCTCATCGATGATGTTTAGCCATTGTGCATAAAACTTGCTATAGGAGTAAATCGGCAGTTCCAGGACCTTCCTCAAAACTACCAGATACCGCCTTTTATCAACACAACGAAGTCTTAATTGATCCAGATACATCTCCCAGAACTCTCCACTGTAAAAATGCAGCCCTATGCAGGACTCTGCCAGCTCATACTTGCGGAACAATTGCTTATGATTGATGACCACTTCGTTGCATAGTTTCAAGTACTCCAACCAAAGTAAAAGAGAACCATTATTGTGTCGCTGCAATGCCGAGACAAATGCCATATGCATCTCTTTTATATTCCCTAGTTTGTACTCTAGCAAAGCGTAATCGATGCTGTAGTTTTCTAATAGTGGAAAATAAGTGAACAGAGACTTATAAGTGTCTCTTATCAACTCCAACAGGTGAGAATTTATCAACTTCTTCAGAGGACTGGCCCTTTCTAAAAGGTAATTAAGTAATTCTTCCCAATGGCTCAGAGCCAGAGGAGACTTCGAGACATTCAGAGATAGTTGACCAAATCTATCATCTAGTATTTCATCCAAGGGCTCGTCCATTATATAGGGCCGGCCCGCTATTGATGTCTTTCAGTTACCACGGTCGTGGGCTGGCGACTAATTTTGATATAAATTAGCTTCCCATAAAACAAAAGTGTCAGAGCCTCGGCACGTGAAACCACGATAGTAGAGTATTGAAACAGCCGGCGCACGACTGTTATCCAATGTATAGACGGCCAGCCGGTGTTTGATCCGCGTGTGTAATTCGTAATTGGCCATTATTTACAAGGTCATTATAAACAAATAAATATATGAAAGTTTATCATTTGTGTCGTTCATTGGCAAGACGGCCTTTAAGAATATTGAGCATCGTAACCTGCACCGCAAGTGCTTTGCTTAGCCAAACATGGATTAAGATGGGGGGCCCTGCGGGAAAATCATGTGCTCTCTTTTCTGAATATTATTCAACCCTTATTGTACAATCTTATCCAGGTTAATGAGATCCAGGATAGATTTGGCACCTTTCTTGATCATTCTCTGTGCCAACTGTTGGCCGCAGATGATAGCGTCCTGTCGTTGTTCTTCTATGACCATTGAGCACTCATCTTCAACGGCGTCGGTGCCATCAACGCTTACTACCACACCCTTCAAAGTTAGGGTCTTAGTACTCTCGTCATAGCGGGATTCAACGCCAATTGGGACCGAACAGCCACCCTCCAGAGTCCGCATGAGGGACCTCTCAGCAATGCAACAGATAGAAGTCTCCTTGTGGTTGATCTTCTCCAAAATTTCAGTCACCCATGGGTCCTTAGACCTCATTTCAATTCCTAAAGCACCTTGACCAACAGCATGATACATGACAGATGAGTCCAAGCGTTGAGTGATTCTATGCTCCAATTTGGTCCTCAACAAGCCAGCAGTGGCCAAGACAATGCAAGCAAATGGAGTTACAGGGTCGTCGAGCTTACTCAGCCTGGTTTCAATGTTTCCTCTGACACTCTCATACACAAGTTTCGGATACTTGCGCCTCAGCTGAGCAGATCTTCTGATTGACGAGGTACCCACCACGCTACCGTCGGGAAGGTCATCCAGAGTTTTGTATGTGCTTCCCTTGGCCATTATAAGGCAATCGCTGGGGTCAACGCGCTTCGTGACTCCACCAAGCTCAAACCCCTCAGGAAGAGAGGTGGGCATGTCCTTTAGCGAATGTACGATAAGATCAATTCTCTTTTCTTTGTCTTTCTCATAAAGCAGGTCTTCCAGTTCTTTAGTCCAAACTGCTTTCCCGCCAAAAGAGTAGAGCGGTTTCGACTGAACCTGATCCCCCAAAGTCTTCAAGGCACGCACTGTACAGCTATAATGTGGGAAAGCATCTTCAATCATATCTTTTACCTCGTGAGACTGAACCACGGCCAATTTGGACTTTCTGCCGCCTATCCTTACGATGTGGTGCTGATCTTGCATTGTGTCAGTTTCTAAGAGACCCGATATGCTATGGTTCGGCCAAAACGCTTCTCAGCCTATTGATTTCGATGCCCGCTATCCTCAAAGCGATGTCAACAACCAGAAATATCGGCGGTATTAAACAAGAGTCCAACCAAAAAGAGGTTTTATCGTCCACAAAATGAGCAGGTAAGACCAAGAAAACTTCTTTGCAAAATTTCGAAATAAGCTCTTGAATCTTGGCTTCTTCGATAAAACTAGATCTCTTGCCGAGGTAGCACACAAGAATCCGCTGGGTAGAGTGCTTCTGGGACCTCAATTCGCTAGCGTTTGTAGAAATTTTTGTTTGTAGTTTGAAAATTTTTTTCGAAGTTATAGCTTAACCGGCTGAAGAAGAGAGATGAGATATCAGAATACTGCCCAGACGCCGAAAAAAGGGCTCCGGGGGTCTGAAGTCCACCTGTCTTGGGAGAGACAAATTTAAGCATATTTCAAGCGTAAAACGAGATCGAAAGTAGAGGAAGGTGACTTTTTAGGCACTTTTTTTTCGGGTTCTTCTTCTTAATGAGCTGATGGAGCGGGCCAGACTTGCTGATTGCCGGTGTCAATTACTTAATCTCCTCCTCATCGACGGTCTAAATCGGACTTTATCCGCCAGTCTTCGGCTTGGATCTTTGCCTCTTATTTTTTTTTTTGGGCACAGAGCTAGAGGTTAGAACCACCAGCCACGTCTTTCAAACGTTTTTGATACCTGTAAGGTCATCTTCACGGCTCAAGCCCACCCGTTGTATCCAAAAACATCAAAAAGTGAGCCGATCGTCCCAACAGCCACTCTAAAAGCTCTGCCGAACACAGCGGCTTACTGCTCATGCTCATTATACTCTGATCTTGCTAACGTTACCAAGTAACCTGGTAGCTGTTGTTTTTGGGGGAGAAGCTCTGCATCCTCTGTGATCCATGGCTGTAAAACCAGTTTTAAGTCTGAAGAACGGTTGATAACTCTGTAGTTTCGCTCTGCCCCATCATAAGGTTCCAGGCTCCTCGTGCTGAATCAATTGGTAATCAATTGGTGCTTCTCGAAAGTGGCATCCTTTCGAAATAGTTCTAGCCGCCGAGGTGTGTCGGTTACTTAACAGGCAGCTCCGTGCTCTCATTTTGAACGATCATTAAACTTCTATCACCAAACTACAATAAATACATCAATGCTTCGCTGTGGTCCACACTTGTCTAAACTAGACGTTTCACGTCTTAATCTACAGCTGAGATTTAACCCAGCCTTCTAGGCCGCCCTTCACAATAATTTCTTGCAGGTTTTTGCCCAGTTCGCCGACTTTTTGTTCAAAAACAACGGGCCCATCGACTGACTTTTCGGTCACCGTAACTCTACTGTTGGGCAAATCCCATTTCAAAAACCAGCCGGTTCTTCTAGTTAGCTCTTTGGGGGCATCTTGGTACTTATTGCGCAACATTTCGATTAGAGTTGGGATCTCTAGCGTCAAAAGAGCATTGTTGATAGAGTTTCTGGAGAAAATGTTACCAAAAGACCCTGATACTACAAGATCGATACCCTTTGCCAGCAAAGCAGTAGCAGCCTGTTCCCTGGAGGAGCCAGTACCAAAGTTGAATCCGCTGATAACGATGTCACCGGCTTTGACCTTGGTGCGGAACTCGGCATCATAGTTTTCCATGCAGACTTCAGCCATCTTTTCACGTGGAACATCGTCTTGGTAAGTATACTTCCCAGGGTATATACCATCGGTGTTGATATTGTCAGCGTCACAGAGAATCAATTCACCAGTAATTTGCGATGGAAACCCTTCTAGCATCTCCACAGCGCCAGTTTGGGCAGCGACAGCTTCTGCATCCCCTTGAGGTAGATCTTCGACAGTAGCTTGAACGCCATTGAAGACTGGATCCTGTTGCTTCAGGATTTCGGCAGGAGATGCGATCTTACCAAGAACGGCAGAAGCAGTCACGACAGCAGGAGAGGCTAGATAAGCAAGGGCATCTTTCGACCCCATTCTGCCCTTGAAGTTACGGTTAGTGGCGCTGATACCGACCTCTCCGGGTTCCAGTAAACCGGTACCCAAGCCAATGCAAGGGCCACATCCTGCTGGCAAAGTCTTACAACCAGCGCGCAAAAGCTTTTCCCAAGCACCAGAAGCTTTAGCATCGTTTTCCACCTCGGACGAAGCGGCTGCGACGTAAAATTCAACACCCGGCGCTACTTTGTTAATTTGATTAATATCGCCGGTTGGACATACCACATGGGCTGCGGCCTCCAAATCACTCAGCCGAGAGTTTGTGCAGGAAACCAAGTAGGCTTTGTTAACTTTGATATCCTGTTGAGACAAGTCTTGCACGGTGGCAGACGCCTTAACACTGTTAGGGCCAGAGACATAGTGGGTTAGAGTGCTCAAGTCGATAACTAGCTTTTTAGCATAAATGGCGTCGGCGTCGGCTTTGAGGCTCTTGGATTTCTCCGCCAGTTGGTCGAGAGTCTGGTGGTTAATTCTTGGGTGATCGGCACCAACTTTCTGCAGCCTTGCTCTATACCAGTTCATCAAAGTTTCATCAACCGGGAACAGGCCAGATAGAGCACCCCATTCGGTGGTCATGTTGGCAATCGTGAGCCTGTAGTCCACCGGTATCTTTTCCAAGGACTCGCCCGTAAATTCTATGGCGTGGTTCAGCACCTGGTCCTTATTGAAAACACCGCAGAGCGCAACGATAATATCTTTTCCGGAGATTCCATGAGGCAATTCACCTTTGAGCTCAACCTGTGCGACAGGTGGGATCTGCCACCATGTCTGGCCCGTGGCCCAAATCGCTGCAGCGTCTGTACGAACCACGGGTGTACCTAAAGACCCTATACCACCGTAGGTATTTGAATGCGAGTCCGAAGCGACCGTGAGGTTCAGAGGAAACGCGTAGCCCTCCTCAATCATGATCTGGTGGCCAATCCCACGTCCTGCTGGGTAAAAGTCAACTCCTTGCTTCTTGGCGAAATTCTCGATGTTCTTATACTTGGTCAGATTCTTGTCGCTAGTATTTTGCACGTCATGATCCAGGGTATTGACGATCTGTTTGCAGTCTTTGACCTTAGAAGCACCGAGACCCATGAATTTGAGAGCCACGGGCCAGGAATTGTCGTGGGACATACAGTGAGCTGGCTGAATCGAAACATAGTCTCCAGAGGTAACTCTCTTTCCTTGAGGAAGCCCAACAGCATAAGTTTGAACGATCTTTTCGGTCAAATTCTGGCCTCTCAAGGCGTATCTTGTAGTTGAAAACTGACGAGCGAACCTCAGCATATTTTTTTGGTGCTACGTTAAAGCCAAGTCTGTTCCGCGCTTGACGTGAGCTATGGTGAAGCAGAACAATTGAGAGGGCTTTCAGCTCAGAATGGAATTTTTGAAGGCAAGTTTTGGATACTTATATCAGAATACCTTTAGTCACTGCTCATCGCACCAGTCATTTTCTTATTCCCACGGGAAAACTGACAAAAATTTTCTGAACACTATGACAGCGATCATCAATTAATGTCACAAAATACTGAACAATTCATCAACAAGTGGCCCAGCGGACTCTCTCAGTGGCACTTTGGCTTCGAAATGTTGTGTGTTCAAAGGTCAAAAAATATTCGCAGGGCCGCTCTGAAACGATGGGGACCGCGCGATGAAACTTTCAGTAGCCGACAACGTGTAACCGATTTTAGAATAATCATCAGTGGGAGTGAGAGACCACGTCCCCTAGATTGACCCTTTTATTTTTGTAGAAAACCCGGGACGCTTAGCGCAAACGCTGCTGTTTTTATACAGACCGACCTGCCATGTCATAAGAAATCTGACTGCGCGCGACAGCACCAATTATTTATTCTTCCTGAAAATCGACGGTACATAGAGGATCAGCGCAGAGGTGAGTGCGAGAACTACCCCCGGAAGCATTGAGAGCGGGTGATTATGGTCTCTGGTCACGGCCCAGGGATATCTGTATGGAAGCGGAACAAACTCCGTATCCAGTAGCTTTATCAGGCTGGAAGATAGCAGATAGCAAATCCTGGATGTTCGGCGTCTGGTGAGACGACTCGATCGGAAAGCATCATGACAGACCCACCTCGTGCAGTTGCGCCTTTCGCTTTCATACAGACAGCTGGGAGCCGAAAAACAATTATGAACCGAAGAACAATTATGAACAGATACAAGGAACGGGGACCCCAGAAAACCTACAACAAGCAGCTATGGATCAGCTCGTCGTTCCACTGACGCCACGGCTGCCTAGCGGCCATTTGCGCGTGCTGCATCCCATTTTGCAAATGTGGGCTTCCCAGTGCCCCGCAGCGTCATTATTGTACAAAGTGATCTATCGCGGCTCCACCGTCTTGCGCCAGTCGCGCGAGAGGGCGTCTTTGCATACGCGAGACAAGGCATCGTCCTGCATCTGCTAGAGCATTCACCCATTACATGTCCTCGTAAAGTGTAAATACCATTCTTTTTTCTACAGGCAGCTGCACTAACTCACAACCGCAACGCAACCAGAGGTGCCTCACGCGAGAATCTTCAAACTACTCTTGAACACACGCCAAAGGGCACTTGAGAATCGTGGATTCAAAGCCATCTCAACCGTTCAAAACACGACTTTTCAAGTCCGAAGCAGAATGACACAGTCGTGTACTGTGATTCTTAAAAATTTTCATAAAATTTCTTGCATTGAAAATATAAAAGGGGCCGATATCCGTTATGTTTGCTAACCTTGAAAAAGTGATCTCCCACTTTGAACACCCGGAATCAAGACTGATTGTTGCTGCTAAAGAAGCCTCAAACTAGTTTTTCCTCATAGCTATACCGTTCGTCAATCAGCGAGTTTAGTTTGGCTAGTATTTTTGTCCAGATCATAAAGTAGAGATTCGCGATATATTGCAAATAGCCTAATATGTCGAGCTGCGAATTGTTGTACTGGAAGAACCCCGTGGAGACCGGTAAGGTTTTTGGCGGTGCTTTGGTGGCACTGCTCGTACTAAAGAAGGTCAACCTGCTCACTTTTTTGCTTCGGACCCTGTACACGGTGCTCCTAACCACTGCGTCGATTGAGTTTCTCACCAACTTGTTTTTGGGACAGGGATTGGTGAGCCGCTACCAGCCGCAGCGCTGTCCTGACACGGTCGCCTTCTTGAAGCCTCGTGTCGATGCGTTTTTGACCCAACTACCTCCATATCAAACGAAGTTGCGCAAGCTGGCCATGGCCCAGTCGCCTAAATGCACCTTCAAAGCAGCTGGTGTTCTGTACGTTCTGCACAAGGTCTTTAGCGTCCTGTCTCTATGGTCTACTCTTTTCATCGGAACTGTTGCCCTTTTCACTGCACCCGTTATCTACAAGACTTTCCAAAAGGAAATCGACGCCACGGTTGCTCAAGGTGTTGAGGCCGGCAAATACCACGCCTCCAATTTGCAATCCAACGTCTCCGAAAAGGCCTCTCCTTATGTGAAGCAATTGGACCAAAAATTGGGCCCTGTTTCCGGTTTCATCAAGTCCAAGCTACCAGCCACCAGAGTCGCCGGTTCCAACGTTACTGCTGAGTCGTCCACCGCAAAGTTGGCCGCTCAGGTCCCATTGGAAGAGCCTGCTCAAGGCCAAACCTCTTCAGCCGACTTCCCAACCGCTCCCTCCACCCATTTGGGCCACACTGTCACCGACACTACCACCGGTGTCGAGCAGGAAGTCAGCGAAGGTTTGAAATATGGATCATCTATTTGAGATGGTGGCATTTTGACTACCATACAATCTTACTCATGATATTCTCCCTCTTTTTTATTCAATTCCGTACTACGCATAATTTCTTTTGTGCTTCCCAACTACCTTCTATTCACAAACCATAGACTCACCCGCGCGAGCGCCCGACGATCAACGATCTCATAGTTTTCTTTCGTCTGGACGGTTTCCGTCTGTATTGTATGAACGTATTACTCCTCCCCTAGTCGGTATGTATTCTTTTAGTGCCTGCTAGCTATTTTTGCATTATGACGATGATTTTATAAAGCTTCCGATGTGGGCTCCCATGTCATTGAAATGATTGTCATCCACTTGAGCCCTTTAAATAAGAATGATATCGGTATTCATATATTTACATTGCAACTAACATGTGGCTAAGAAAAAACAAATTAGGTCGATTATGGTTGGTGTAACACTAAAGAGATTTACCGTGACCAACTGTACAAAGAAAAAAAATAGACAATGTTAGCTTGCAAGGTCACTTTACTTTGGAACGTTGCCGAACGGGATAAATATCACCGCTCAAACGCGGACGCCAGACGACACTTCGAGCTGATCGAAGATAGGCTCTTTGACATTAGGGTGCAAATCACCATTAGTTAGCTGTAATTGCTCCTCAGTCCATAAGTTTGGCTCCGCCTCGTAGTTGGCTTCACCAACACCAATTAAACCTCCTTGCATTTCCCAATCCCTTACACGGGGCAACTGTAATGTATTGAAAACATCATCCACAGCTTCCAGTAGAATGTCTGACAGATCGTCAGTGTGGCCTGGAGTGGGAGTGATGCGTAATCTTTCGGTACCTCTTGCTACTGTTGGGAAGTTGATCGCCTGAACGTAAATACGATGCTTGTCCATCAAAATTTCTGACGCTTGTCTGGCCAAGTCGGGGTTCCCAATCAAAACGGGGACGATGTGTGACGGGTTGGGGATAACGGGAATGTCAAGATCGGCCAAACCTTTTTTGACGTAGGCGGTGTGCCTCTGTTGAGACTGCCTCAAGTCCAAGTGGGAGCGCTGATACCTGATAGCCTCAGCCGCACCTGCCATCACAGCTGGGGGTAACGAGGTGGTGAAAATAAAACCAGGTGCGTAGGATCTTAGCCAATCGATGAGCCGGGAAGAGCTCGCGACATAACCACCGACAGTGCCAAACGATTTACCCAAGGTCCCCGTAATCATGTCCACCCTATCCATGGTGGTGGCAAACGAGGGAGAAGCAACGCCTACTTTGCGGTGGGGTTCAAAGTCACAGTGCTCTGCGACACCGGCACCATGCGGACCGTATAGACCAACGGCGTGGACTTCGTCCAAAAACGTAAGGGCGCCGTATTTCTCGGCTAAGTCGCAGATTTTGCCAATGTCGGCCACAGAGCCTGACATGGAATACACGGATTCAAATGCAATTAGTTTGGGGGTGGATTTGGGGTAACTCGCTAACAGCTGTTCCAAATGTTCCAAGTTGTTGTGTTTGAAAATATGCTTCGTCGTAGAGGCATGTTTTATACCCACAATCATGGACGCATGATTCAGTTCGTCGGAGAAAATCACCAAATCCTTCAACTTTTGGCCCAGCAGGGAAATGACCGCGTCGTTGGCTACAAAGCAGGAAGAAAACACTAGAGCGCCTTCCTTTTTGTGCAAAGCAGCAATTTCAGCTTCAAGTCTTATCGCGTGCTGATTGTGGCCCGCGATATTCCTCGTACCACCAGCTCCCGCCCCGTACTTGTCCAGGGTTTTTTTCATCACATCAACCACTTGCTGGTTCTTGGAGAGGGCTAGGTAGTCGTTGGAACACCACACCGTGACCTTGTCGTGTTCCATCTGGCGGTGGGCCATTGGGAACTCCTTGGCAAGCCGGTTCATGTTGTTGAAAAAGCGGTAGGACTTGTCGGTCCGCTTCTTCTGAATTTCGCGTTCAAAAAGACCGTCGTAGTCGAACTTGGACTCCTTGGTCCCGTGCTCTGCCATCATCGAGTCTTGAACCGACGCCTGGCTGCTCGCACCAGTGTCGCTAGGCGCTCTGGCGGCTTCTGGAGCAGCAGCTGTAGCTAAATGCGCTTTCTGCATGGCTTGGCCCATGAAAGGGCACTTTTGTGCCAGCAAGGGCATGTTCGACTGTTGCAAAGTCTGCACATTTCTCAATGACGATGCAGTTTTGTTGATGAAGGGGCATAACCTGACAGACTGCCTAGTAATGGACTCCATATTTGGTCAATTGGCCAACCTACAACTTTGCACTTTTGAGAAGCCAACTGGAAGGAAAGTTGTACTCAAATTGATAAAATTAGTGATATGAGCTCTTGGAGACCCCTAAGTTTTCTCAGAGAGACACTGTTATAGGCCTTGATGTTTCCATCAACAGTGATGAGCTTCAACTGTCATGGCATTTTTTTTATCAGGAGGAAAAGGCCATAGGTGTAGTTCAAAGTGATGCGATGCTAATGGGAAACTTATGCCAAATACGGAGTTTTTCCAAATGGAGTATTTTCCGTATGACCTGATATCGCCGTGGACGAGGATGCGATCTGGAAGAAATCGGTCACGTGCTTGCGTTCACTCATCCAATCCTCCACTGATGGGCGCTGCGTAGACGGTCTTGGGCCTTTTGGTGGCCAGCTTGAGCGGCCTTAGTGTAGTGGTCAATGGCATTATCTGTATTAACCGTGCACCCGAACCCGTTTTCGTAAAAGAAGCCCAGCGCGTACTCGGCCCTCGCAAGCTTACCGTCTGACGCAAGGCACGCCTTGCGGGCCCAATTGAAGGCTTCGTGCTTGTTAGGCTTCAGCACACCGGTAACGCCGGTGAGATACCACCCGCTTAAAGCCATCATGGCCATGGGGTTGCCCCTGGGCTTTGCCATGGCGGCCTTGGCGTACCAGGCTATAGATTTGTTGGCGACGACCGGGAGATTCAGATGGCCAAACTCGTAGCACTGGCCCAGTCGCCACTGGGCCAGCGGATATGAGTAGCAAGTTGCACAGCGGTGGTGATATTGTAGTGCGAGCGTTGGATTCCGCGACACGCCTGCCGCGGCCAGTGCGTCTCGCAATGCAGGTGCCAGGTTATCAAATTCGTATATCTTGGCCAGCTCGTACATCGCCTGCGGAGATACTAGGTCCTCCTTTGCAGCAGTTCCGACGGTGGTGGGCAGACTGCTGGAGCTGGAGCTGGAGCTGGGGCTTTTGACATCCGCTGAAGCGCCATTTTTTCCACTGGCGTGGCCCATTTTTTCGTCATTGCGAACTGCTCTTTTGAACCAGCCAATCGCTGCAATAACGTCTTGTGGTAGGAGTAAAGCGCCATCGTTTTCATTTTTGACTCCGTGAAGACAGAACATTCCTAACTTGTACATGCAAGCCACATGCTTACTGTTCAACGCACCTTTTTCGTAATAGCTTATAGCCTTCCGCATCGACTGTAGCCTGCTCCAATCGGAAGGTGTTCCGCGTTGATACTCATAGCAAACGCCTGCTCTAAAGCAGGCATCGCTGACATCGAGAGCTGCAGCCCTGCCGTAGTAGTCCAGAGCTTTCACATCATTGCGAGCAATAACAGAGTTCATTTTTACCTCCAGGTAGGGTTGGTGTGAATAGAAGGTCGCCATGAGATATAAAGCAGGCCCGTAATCCATGGTGATTAGTTTTGTAAGGACTTTCAAAGCATGCTCTAGAATAATTTTCTGGTTTTTCAGTGCTTCCTCTGATGTTAGAGTCCTTTTCAGCTTATCCGCATTGATAGTGTAGTTTGATACAAATTCATCGATAAAAGCGTATTGGAGCAAGGTCTCGCACCATTTCATTTGTATTGCGGGTGTAAACTTTGGTGAGTCCCTTATGGTTGCTTCATAAACACTGTGGAAAAGTTGTGCAGTCTCGGAAAACTGCGACAAATCAGTTTTGACAGTCTTTGACTTACTTTCGGGTTTGTTGGAAGTTGCTGCCGTTTCTCCTAGATCGCTGAACTTTCGGTACAGTTTTTCCTGCAGGAAGCGTGGTGTTTCGCCTGAGTTTTCGCTTTCGAGATACGGTGGGGGAGGAGCTGCGGACACTGAAACATCGCTGGCGCTTTGAAATGTGTCTACAGAGCTATTGTTTGCAATATCCCTGTTGTTTAAAGAATCTGTGGAGAACGTCGCGGGTGGAGGATTCTGAAATGTGAAAGGTTGATCGTAACGTGAATTAGTGGGCGTCGCTATTCTTGACAAAGTGCCCTGTGTAGAATTAGATTTTATAGACTGTGAGGTAACCGCTGACTGCAGCGGTATTGGGCTCATAGGTTGCTGCGCGTCTTCAACCGGATAAGGTACAGTTCGTGACGAAGTATTCGCGGTAGTCCGCTGATAACCGTTCCCAGCCTTGGGTGGTGGATACATGTTGATATGTGTATCATAAAGAGTTTGCTTGCTTCTGTCCATGTTAAAAGCATGTACCTGGGCGGCGGCGGTGAAGGTGGTGTTGGTTTTGATTTAGTTTACCTGCTATCAACTGATAGATAGCCGAAATAATATCGTCGCTGTATACGATGAAGTTATTGCATTGTCCAAATGTGACATAACAGAACCTCGTTCTTCATTCAAGCTTTAAACGGTTCATCTTTAGCTACCGGTGTATAGAAGAGGCTGGCTAAAGGCCCCAGTGTCAAGTAGACATAATAGTAAAAAGATGTTCACTCCATGAATGGGGTGAGGTGGTGAAATGAAATTCCACGATATCCATGAGACTGAGGTCGGTAAGCCACCAGGCTAAGCTATTTACACGATATCTACTGAGAGTTCCATTGAGTTTAGAGTATTCGGGGTAGTGAATGTCTTCAAAAGCGGGTCAGTATACATATTTTCGGGAGATATACCCCTCTACCGAGTTGGCAAATAACCAACAAGATATCCGAAAAATATGAGCCCGAATGGCCCTCGGGGAGAGATGATTAATTTTCCTTTGTTCGATTCTCGACTGAGGTTTTTGTTACTCGGGTCACCTGAATTTTTGATGTGGAACTTGGCCTGGATATGGAAGGCATGTCAGTCGATGGACCTTCCATTAGAACAGAGATAAAGCAGCAGTAGCTGATCGAATAGCAACCAGTATGGTCTGGCCCTTTGGAAAGAAGCAGGTCGAGGAGGCTAATCCAAGCAAGCAGGTGGAGCCTGAGTTGCAAAACTATAGCGCAGGCAAAAAATATCTTTTGGAGGACACCAAACCCAGGTTTGCAAATGATTCCCAAAGTCAGTACGCTAGTTCACAAGAAAAGGCAACCTTTCGTGAAGCATGGGAAGCTGTCACTTTGGATGACTTCAGCATACAGCGTTTGACGCAAATTCCATGTTTTCGGGACGCCGGAATGAGTGGATTCACGAGTATGTTCGTGGTTGGTAGCGTCATGTTTCTGTACCACAAGAATCCAAGCCGAGCCGCTAATTGGGCCGTCGGAGGCTTCTTGCTGGGGAGTATAGTTGGCTGGGAACAGTGTCGCCTGAGACGCAAAAAAAGTTTCCAAACTGCACAGATGGCTAGGAGTACTGTAGCAAGCAAAGAGAAGCCCATGATGAATCCGGTAGCCCATGATGATCGGGTCAAAAAGGAATGGGAGGGGCACACTACTGATACTGCAGCGGCGAAGAAACCATGGTATAAGCTGTGGTAATAGCGGTCTAACCAACTAAGGCTCTGCTTCTGGCTTACTCTCAGTTGCACTACTATCCAATAATATCTTGCATTTAAACCACAATGAAATGGTTCCTGTAGATCTATAGGCACTGTGATATAACTATCTATCATCCTCTTTTACTACGCTAGAGGTGCTAGCGTTGTCTAACTCCAGGTCACGAAGACCCTCTAAAATTCTGTCACTTTCACCGGCATGCGTCGATTGGCTTTCTTCGTCGTCCTTGGCGCCATTCTCTGGAGCCTCTGTGTCTGTGTCCTCATCCTTTGCACCAAAAGAAGTTCGCGATTGGGGGATAGGGAGAGAAAATGAGTTGTCATAAGTGTCATCATGGGAGGCTTCGTTTGTGCAGTGCTTACTCGCAGTAGAGTTTTGATCCGTTTGGTGACGGCTTGGACTTGGTCTTAGTCTCCCAGTACGCGGGGTTCCATTTCGACTTACAAACGGACTACCTGAAGAGTTGAAAATGCCACTGTCGCTAGCATTATCTTCATCCATATCATCTGACGATCCCTTGTTGAACGGATCGTCCGCCTTCAGTAAAAGTTCATCCAAACCTCCTCCCGACCAGCCTTTTCGTGCGATGTTTTCACTTATTTCGACTTGCGCCCGCGACACGGTTGCCGTGTCCTTTAGAACCTCAAAGCAGCAGTTTTCCACCATTTCGTATGAATCTTGATAGTATCGGTGTTTGAGCGATTCCAGTTCATCCAACTGTAATTGCAAATTCGCCAGATTCTCACGGTAGGACAGTAAGTTTCTAATCTTGCGCTTAGAAAATTGTGCGTTATATTTTTCCTGTAGCTTGAGCTTCTTGGCCTCATCGTGGAATTCCTTCTTAAACTGAGATTCGTGGATCCTGTGTTTGTACTGAAACTCATCAATCCGCCCCGACAGCGTTTCCACCAACGATGAATTGATGCAATCTGACATAATGCGCTGATGGTTCGCAATAAGGTGAAACAATCCGCTTGAACTCAAAAACCTGTCCGCTGTCTCGTCATTGCAACCTTTCAGGCGCGCCATTTGTTCTAATGACAACGCAAGTAAGCTGGCTTTTTGGGAAGTGCTGGAGAGCTCCTCTGCGTAGTTTTCGGCATTCTTGAGCAATTGTTGCATGGTATCTACCGTTTGTGACATGTCCTTCCTGGTGACTAAATTTTGTAAATCCGTCATCGAACTGAAACCAGATCTCAACGACGAAGGCCGCCTAATTCTGAAGACGCTTGAGTCTGTAGTTGATCTCACCGGTGACTCCAGTCTACTTACTGGTGGCGGTGGTGCTAATTGTGTGTTCAGTTTCACATGCTGAGCTTTTTGATTGGAGTTGTTAACCAAAGAGTAGAATTCCGACAGATGAGGCGCAAATCTCTCAGACGGCACGTTCGAATTCGATTCACTTGTCGCCATATCTCTTGTATATCCTAGAACGTCGGTGACGGGACGGCTCTCTACAGTTGAGTCCTACAAATAGGGCCTCTGTTAGGGTTAGGTTAGATGTTGATAATAACAGCGCCTTTCCCTCGTGTGGAGCGATCCGGTACCAGCTCCACTCCTCGAGTCTACCAATGCCCTCAAATCTGAGTAACAGGAACATGGAGCAAACTAGATTGTAAGAATACCTGAGGCTTGCAGAGAAGTGGATTACTATCTCAGTTGCTCAGAGTCCGAGATTATCATGGATGCTGTCACTATGTACTAAACTGACGCACGATAAGAAACAAAACGCACTCTCGCTAGCAGACAGCCACTAAAAGTCATCCACAGAAGCAAGCGTTGTGGAGATATTCTGTGGGGCGATAAATTTTGATTTTGGGCATCCTTTGAGAGCCATTGGCAGTTGTCGTTTTAGTGAATTAATAACACCGAAAACAAATTGAAAAATTAAAAGCAAATTAAGCTGCTGATAGTCCTCATAGAACATATACCAATATCATTCGAAAGATAGGCTCATTTTGGCGGTCGCCTGGCACTCCTAAGAGTGCAATATACAAAATAAGCTGAACTATTCCCACTTTCGTATCATTGTAGACGAGGAATCACAACGAAAAATTGTATATTCGGAAACTTTCCAGCTAGGTTCATCGAAAGTCTGGTGCCATCTATCCATCCCACACCTGTGCTCACTTTGAGATGTTCGGGCTACCTATCAGAGTAATTCCGCAAGTTCGGGTCTGTTCTAATCTGTTGCAGAATGTGAGATGTCTGACTACTCAGGCAAGAGTTACTGTCAAACCTGTGCAATCCAGAAAGACGTTTCTCATCGACTTCTACAAAGACATGATGGAAAAAAACCCTGTTGTTCTTTTCGCGCATCATAACAATCTGCTTAAGCAAGAAAATGCGCATTTTCGTGGTCAGATCCAGCAACTGGGCGGCAAAATGGTTGTGCTCAGAAATCAACTGTTTCAGGTTTACCTTCGGAATTCACATCTACCGGACCCTTGCGCCCCAAGTGGCAGACATAAGCAGAACCGCAAGCATCCGCTGTTGCCGCTCTTTAAGGGGCCCACAGCCGCCATAACTTTTTCAGAAACGGAACCTGACAAAATGGCAAAACTACTCAAGATGCTAGAAAAAAGTTCGGACAAAATGTTTGTCGTGGGCGCCAAGGTCGATGGCCAAGTACTAGAGATGCCTCAGGTACACGAGTTCAAAAAACTGCCATCGAAGTCTGCATTGCAAGGCCAACTTCTAGGACTGCTCTCTGTGCTCAGCGGTGCGGGCTTGGTTAGGACTCTGGAGGCGGGCTCTCATTCTCTGTACCTCACATTGCAGTCGCACCACGACAACATATCGCCAGACAAGGAACCGAAGTCAGATTAAACCACATGGTAAGGCGAATTACAGATCATTCATTATCTTGTATATAAGGAGCAGAATAGCAAGGCCGTAAATTTTCCTGGCCATTTACGATAAAACCATGGGCTCAGCGGTGATTAAGTTGACCTCACTTAGGATACAGAGACTACTGTCAGTCGGTTCACGTTTGTTGAGCTCCATTAGGCATCGCAGATATTGAAAATTTTCAAGGCATAATTAGAAGCATCTCATCTCAAGTCATCGCTGGCAACCAACTTCTAACCGTGAAGAAGCTTATACGCCCGGGAAATAGTTATTCATATAATACAATGAAGGCGGGCATGTCTCTAGATGATCCTTCGAGCAAGCGCCAAGCGTATCGTCTCAAGAAACAGGAAAATCGGGAAGAACTGAAACATGTAAGAATCGATGAATCCAGCGCGCAATCTGATAAAATAGACCTGCCCAGAAAACGGTTTTACCGTCAGAGAGCGCACTCAAATCCGTTTTCGGACCACCAACTGGAATACCCGTTGAGTCCCGATGACATGGATTGGCAAAAACTATATCCTGCGTTCTACGACAAAGCTACCAACAAAATGTCGAAAGAAGTAACGATAGCAGATATTGGCTGTGGTTTCGGAGGACTGCTTATCGATCTTTCGCCAGAGTTCTCCGACAATCTGATACTAGGGATGGAAATTCGGGTCCAGGTTACGAACTACGTGGAGGACCGCATAATCGCCCTGCGAACAAATAATGCGGATACCAATGATTATCAAAATATCAGTGTTCTAAGAGGTAACTCCATGAAGTTTTTGCCCAATTTTTTCCACAAGGCTCAGCTAGAGAAGATGTTCTTCTGTTTCCCTGACCCTCATTTTAAGCAGAGAAAGCATAAGGCAAGAATTATTACCAATACTTTATTATCCGAGTATGCCTATGTGCTGAAAGAAGGTGGAATTGTTTACACTATCACAGATGTCCTGGATTTGCATCAGTGGATGGCGAAGCATTTAGAAGAACATCCGCTTTTCGAGAGACTGTCCCCTGAGTGGGAAAGCTCCGACAAGTGTGTTCAAATCATGAGGAACGCGACAGAAGAGGGAAAGAAAGTGGAAAGAAACAAAGGTGATAAATATGTGGCCTGTTTCGTTAGATTGCCTAATCCAATCATAATCTGAAAGTTTATGGATTCGGACTCGTTGCATTATAAATCAATTTCAGTAACATTAAATTGTATAGTATTCTTAAATAGGATAGGCAAATTCCAAGCCGCTCAATTCCCGGATCCCGGGGCATTAGAAGTCGGTAAAGTCCCGTATTGGCCGCCCTCTTCTGACTTTCCTAGTGAAACAACCTTGCCAACTATCAGGTTTACGGTCTCTGAGCCTCTTCTGACCAATCTTCTCAAATTTCCCGGCTGCTGTTGACCCCTCTTAAAATCAAGAACCTGTTGCAATGATGGAGGCTCGAGGGCATCAGCAGAAAGCATGTTTGCACTGGCAATACTCTTCTTTGATTTGATACTTTGAGCACTGCTGTTCGCCACGGGCTGACTGAACGACGAATCATGTTGACTGCTGACGGGGTGCAGTTGGGACAATACTGTGTTAGAACCATCGAGCAACGTTGTTTGGGCATTCATTGGAGGCTTGCGAGCAGTGGATGGATTCGCGTTCGAGCCATTTGCATGCGAAGCGGCATCAACATCCACACCTGTAATGGCGCCATGGAAGCTGAAAGTAGATGATTTATCATCAAATACTGAACCCATATCTTCTAGCCTCAATCCCGCAGTTTCAGGATATATTCTGAGCACACACCAGAATGAAATGAAGCATGAGGCCGCGTGTATGAGATATAACCTCCACTCGATTTTTTCCTGTAAAATTGGAGTCATAATTCCCACCAACCAGTTGCACAACCAATTTGTTGCAGTCGAGGCAGAAGCCATAGCCGAACGTGCAGAGAGGGGAGCGATTTCAACAGGATATAGCCAAGGAATAGGACCCCAACTGAAGCCAAAAAAGGCATTGAATATTATCACGAAAACTACGACAAGGTTGGGGGTGAAAGAAGTGTTCACAAAAAGTGAGGCCGAAATGGAAACTAGAGAAAGACCCATTACCATGCCACCAGTGAGTAAAATTGGCTTGCGGCCCCATTTATCAACCAAGTGCCATGGTAATATTGTCGAAACCACGTAGATAATACCATTAACTCCGGTCATTAAAATTGCATCTCTTCCTACCCATCCGGCTTGCTCAAAAACCATAGGCGCATAGTATGAGATTACGTTAATACCATTCAGTTGCGCAAACATTTGAGAGCTCATAGCAATAAGCATTCTAGTTCTGTAACGCTTGAAGACATAACTGTACGATTTCTTCTCCCCCTCTAGGCGCGACACCAAAACAGTTTCCTTGATAGCTTGAAATTCATCATGGGCTCTGGAGTCCTGGACGTCACCTCCGCTGTGCAAGTCAGCAATCACAATAAGGCCCTCGACATCATGATCGTGGTTTAAGAGCCATCTTGGAGTCTCGACGATAATAAAACTACCAGCAAGTAAGCAGGACCCGATGATACATTGGATTAACAATGGCAGTCTCCAAGAAGCGTTGTTTTGGATGAAAGAGCAGCCATAGTCAACCCAGACACTCGAACAATACCCGACAATATTACCAGTGAACTCAATGCAAGCTAGCTTGCCTCGATTATGAGGAGGAGAGATTTCAGACTGGTAGATGGGTACAATGGTGCTTAGAAGACCCACTCCAAGACCACTAATAATTCTTCCGACAATCAAATGGGGCATGCGCATAGCGCACGTTTGGATTAGCCCACCTACGATAAAAACGACCGACCCATATCTGATAGTACGCCTACGGCCCCATTTTTCGCCCAAACGTCCAACCATCAAAGAACTGATCAGAGCGCCAATTTCCAGAATCGAAACCATGTTTCCGATTGCTGCGCGGGAAGGATCGTTGAAGTACTCCTTGAAAATGGGGCCCGTGATCACTCCGGACATGACACCTTGGTCGTAACCGAACAGGAAGACCCCCAGAGATACAAACACCGAGGTGAAGTACAGCAATGCGGGTCCTGTCAAAAATGAATCTTTCACCTGGAGGTGGCCGTCAAAACCAGGTGGTATAATTTGCGAGTGACCATTGCTAGCCTGAGACCATTCTGTGGCACCTAAATGATCCACAGATGCTTTGCTATCCTGGTATAGCATCCCAACACCCGCGGTACCCGCGCGATCTTGACGACCTTTTCTGGCGTCGTACTGGTATACATCTGGTTTCTTGTGAGGTAAGGATGTAAGGTTCGTGTCTCGATGCTGTTCGTTAAAGTTCTGAGCTTTAAGGTTCCCCTCATGAACCGCAGGTGGAGAGCTCGCCTTGGATTTGGGACTAGGGCTCCTCTCACGGTTTGGCATCTTATTAGTAAATAATCTCAAACGTCAGACTCGGATCTGGTGAAGGTCGTGCTGATGCCAGGGTTGCTATTTCCGCATGAAGCTTATTTTTGTCAATCTACAAATCATTTCATACGCACTTGCATAAATGCAAGCTCGAAAGCTCTACCGTCATTTGTAAAGTCTGAGCGTTTGGTAACGAGCGAGTATTAAACAATGCGGTACACTGCTCAGCCATATAGTACTTTGGTCAGTAGTTTCGTTGGGGGAAAACCTTCGCAAACCCTGGTCTTACAACAATTTACACATCAGTCAACCGAATCCTCGAGGAGTTGTGAAAGCAGGCTAAAATATCGTAGTGAAGCTCATCCTTGTCTCTTGAGCTGGTCTTGTAGACAGTTCAATCATGGACCATACAATTGATACGGTAGTTGGATGCTCTTTTTTTTGTTCAACCCTCATAAGAGCACCCGCTTAGGCTCAGAAAAAGAGGATATAGGCATCTAGCTACGTCCCACTGTACTAAGCGAATAGCCAGTCTTTGCGACGATATGTCGCAACTTTCTTCGAAACGACCATATTTTCCTGACACTTAGTTATCACTTCGTACAATAATGTCCGTCATCCGGCAAACCGGAAGAATCAAGAGGTATTAGGTACTCAAAATTCAATATATGACAATTCCTTAGCCACAGTTGCATTACAATGGCCCTGGTGGTATTTGTATTCGAAAACATAAAGCATCGTCTTCGGCCACGACAACAAGTCACTAACCTGCACCGCCCGATAATATGGAAGACATATAATTAATTATATTGAGGCGAATCTGATTCATCAGTAGAAAGCTTACTAAATTTGTCTTGTAAGTCGGACATAGTCATTGTAAGATGAGTAACTTGGATCTAGGGAATTCTATTTATCTCTCCGTGATTATTTTAGGCATTAGAGTTGGTTCAGTTACCTGAACAAAAGCCTGGTATTTATACAATTCTCACTCGGTGACTCTGGTCAACATATTTATTAATCACCAATTCTAGATCATTCTATTGCCCAAGGATTACGGCTTCAATGCCGTACACTACCGATAACTTATCAATGGCCAATCCTATTGGACAATAGTTGTTCTCTTCGGTTTGTCTTAGCTTGTAGCTCTATTTGTATGGCCTTGATTGTGTACTATCATTCTGTACCACTGTGTCACATATTCACTGACGCTGATTATGCGATTAGACGCACATCACCATCAGTTTATTCATATTATTCCCAACAAATTAACACAGCGAAAAGAAACGTTTATAGCATTATGCCTTTCTTGAATATGATGTTCGAGGATTTAGGTGCTTAGGTCCATCGAGTTAGACCGTGCGTCCGCAATTTTAGTTTTAAGTTTTCCGGAGGGCAACGTGCACACTCTCTCTCTACTTTTTTGCGATTTTATCACAGAGCCGGTTCGTCCACATCTTTATTCCAAGGCTAAATGCTACTTTTCTTTGAGTTTCAACCTTTGTAGCCCATTGAATGGTCTAATCTGTAGTCATGTTTGCACGGTCCCGTTTGTAATGTATATCGCGAAAGAGATCAATAAAGAGAGAGTAGCTGTTTTCCCGTACGCAAATCGGTACAATCACACCCATTTGCAAAAGTTCTTGATCTGCAATTATCACATCGAATGTAGGGTGTCTTCAAAAGGTCATTCACCACTGACTCTCGATCTAGTACGCTCGCAGAGACATTTGTTAGGTGCTGAAGATTAGCCTGCAAGGTGTGCACATATCGGAACCAACCATTATCAATGGCAACTGACAGAGCAACATAGGTAGCACGTCATTAAGATTAGAACTCCCTATGAAGCAGCTTGAAACAGAGCTCGAGTGTCTTCTGGCGCCAGCTTTCTATTTCATTGGGTATACAGGAGCCATGTCTCTTTTTTAAACACTCTGTGTCGGTTTCACTGGCGGGCAGGCGACTGAAAGAGGCTTGGTTCTACCTGGCCACACCCTATATGCAAAAGGTTTTGAGACTTTGACCTTCTTAGTACTCGGTCGCGATTTTCTTCATGGACATTTCAACGACAGCATGGCCCGTGGAGTTCTTCGTTCGTTGTTTCGCGAACTAATTAGTCTGCCGCTGGAAAGAAACATGCTAACGCTGCTACCAAAAGCTCATTTTCGAATGAGACTCCAATATTGTACTTCTTCTAGATTAGGGCTAAAATACCGAGAGCCATCGACATATTTCTTGATCTGTCGTTCTCTAGGGTTTGTCTTCAACAAAAATAACCAGTTTTGGCAAGAGCGTCTTTGCTCTTAGCTTTTAACGACCGTTTGAAGCCCTCAGAAGGTACTCAGTATCATCTTCTTCTGTTTTCCTAGGTATATTGAAGGTAGCATATTCATTATCGGCACATGAACGCGAACGTGGGCCACTAGCCCTTATCTCATAAGGCTCGTATCCCAAATCAACTAACCTAAGGGCCACCCAGCACCCTAAGGTTCCAAGAAACGCTGGACACCAATTGAAGAAGCGCTATTATTTACGTTCACAATGGCTAACAAGCATGGCTTTCTTGTACCATCTACCTTTGAGCCATTCTGCAAACTGAGTGTGTACGGAACTATTCCAACGCAGCGAAAGGATCATCAAATATGTACGGACACGAAATTCCGGAACAACATTCAGTCTCGCTCAGATCTCGTTTCATTTGCCTTAAAAATAGCAAAAGGGCTTAACGCCATGGGAGGGTCCACGGTCGACATGACAACCTAGTACTTAGAACCAAGGCCCGGGATGCTCTTCAAAACTTTTACAAGTACAAGGGTGATACTTTTCTGCATTTAGCAACGAGTCGCCTACCAGACCGTAGGCCCAGTGTCTCACCAGGAATACAATAGACCATCTTTCGGCAGTCACACCAAATGCTGGTACAATTTACCCGTGAAACCCAATAGCCGAGATTTGGCGCCAGATGTGTGAGGAATTAACGAGCACTTAAGAGAGATAAACGAACATATCTAAGATCTTAAATGCATCCGAATCTCCACAGAACGGACTTCCGATCGAGCGAATTTGCGGAATCTTGTTAACATTGTTACTCGATAAATGCTTTATCAACCTTGGGAGATGATCTGAATTTCGGCCACTAGTTAGTTGTGACTTCGACAACTGTGTTTGAAGTTCCAAAATGGGACGGAAATTCAACTTATTCCGCAGCTGGCTGTACGATCTGATTGAACATCCAGTACTAGTCTCCTATATCTCATCTCTCTAGCTTTGATTTAAATAGCGGCCCAAATACTCCTGTCCAGGAGTCGCGTTCTAAATCAAGTTATCCATTAAAATCAATAATTGTCCTACGTACACGAATCTATCATAAATCTAGAAGCTCCGCAATCGCTCATTTGGAAAGTAGCTTATCAAAAGCAGGGATCAACGTTTGTGCCAAGGCAAACGAGAACACTAGTTTAGGGCCGGTGGTGAGAAGCTTAGGAGTCAAACCCTTGAAGAAAGCGGTGAAACCTTCGTTTTTAGGGTGTTTTTTGACAATTTTGAAACCGCTCTCTGGATTATCAAAGTGTCTGTTTTGAATTCTGGTCTTGATGACGTCGAGAGGAGCAGAAACGATCAACGAAGCGCTAGCACCGACGATCGAAGAGATGAAGTTCTGCGTCCAGGTTGCAGAAGAGTAATCCTTGAGGCCCAACAGGTACTCCTTGGCGAAAGCGTTACCACCGAAAAGCGCAAACGAGCCCGGGGCGTTTCTGGCTGCAGTCCAGCCCCAGCCTCTGTACAGGCCAAACCCCTCGTCCTTTAGAATTTTGACGAATCCTCTACCCTTGAAAGCTTCTGGGTTGGTCTGTCTTTTGATTTTCAGGACATCGAGAGGCAACAGAACAATTTCACCGATACCAATGAGCGAACCCGCGGTGGCCGAACGGAGCGCTTTACCGGTCTTTTCACCAAACGCGTTGTCGAAGTCCGATTTGAAGGTGCGGTTCAGAAATTCGTTGGCAAAAGGTTGGCCTCCGTACTTGTAAACACGCTGCAGAATCTTGTAAGAGGCGGCGTATCCCAGTCCTGGAAACAAAGTAAACAGACGCTTGCTTAGCGCTTCGCCAGCATGGTCACGGAAAATCACGGAGTTCAGCTGGGCGGCTGAGCTGATTTTGGTGTGGTTGGACATCAATCTCTTCGAGACCGTGTCGACAGGGTGGAATACACCAATCTCTAGGATACCTGCCGACGCAGACCCAAGCACACGCGCTGTTCCTGATTGTTTCTTGTCGTTAGACATCGTCACTTAGCGATCGAAGGAGAGTAAGGAGGAGGACGGAGTAGCCAGCTACATATCGATGAGCTAGCTGCTCACGCATTTGGTATATATATTTTATCACTAGGAAAATTTTTTTAAATACCTGTGACCCACACTCACTTGCACAGCGAAATCGCCGGGGAACTTTATCAACATCTATGAACGTGAGTTTAAATTTGACCGGGGCACCAAATGCCACTTATCCCAGAGCAGAGGTCAAATCCGATACCGTGCTTTTGTATATCTTCTTGAGTAGTATTTGCAGATGTTGACTCGCTATGTATATTGACCACTTTGTACGAAACGGCTGGTAACCAGCACATCCGCAGGCAAGTAGGCTCGAGCGTTAACTGGGATTTTCCCTCAATGCAGGTATCCAAGTCTACTCCTTGGGAATTTGCTTGTTAGACCATTTGTTTCTCCCCGACGAACCCGCGTGCCAACAACGTGATATTGGCATTTACAGCCTTGGGCACCTTCAGCTAAAAGCCTTCTAGGCAAAATCTGGTCGGCGCTGAGCTACACTGGTGGCCCCATGGAGTCTGCGACCGGCCGCGTCTGTCGGTGGGTGCGATTTCAACGATTCTGGCATGTGTTTGATCACGTGATGGGAGTGCGAATGGCGTATCAAGCAGGTTTAAAAGTGTGTGTGTGGACCTTCAAGTGTGCTCCACATGCTGCAGAAAGCTCTGGCTACTCTCCTAGAAATAACAACATATGTCTATGTAAGCTGTCGAACTCGCAGAGCAGATTTGTTTCCTTGGAGGCATTGGCCATTTGGGACGGCACGAAAGTACGAAATGACAAATTATCGTCCTCAGTGCGGATCGCAATGCGGATTGCAACAAAAGCAGCTGCTCGACGCATTCATCACCATAAGGCTAGCATACCCATTGAAGCAATTGCAGCTTGCGTTAGTTGGAAATCTTTAGTGTCACAAGACGCATTTAGTCTAAACCTCAAAATGTGACACACCCTCGCCCCAGAAACCATCTTTTTCCATTCAATCAGGTGTGTCAGCGTCTTGTACCACCCATTGTTGCGATGCGATCGATCTTCTGCCAACAAAAAGACGCACATTGAAGTGGATCTCGTAGCCAAGTATTGTGCTGTTCGTGAAAGCTGGCTTTGGTCCACGAAGGACAGCACTCGCATGCACACACATGCACACACATACACACGGGAAAGCCATTGTCTTATCTGCCGACATTCTCGAATGGTCTATTTCATAGCGAGTTGTCGTCCATGTCACGTCCGTATGAGGGTACCTTGTATTTTTAATTTGAAAAGTGACAAGCATGGTTTATCCATGGTAGTTATTTCTTACCGTAAAACCCACACCATCTATCGCCTTTAAAGCCAGCTTTCTAGTAGCGTATCTAAATACTATTGCATACTTGTCTTCCATTCTACATGGAATGCCAAAAAATTGCTTCGGACTTCGCCAGCATCCTGGAGGAGCTTACTTGCAATTCTAGGCCAATCATCACAACACTCACGAAGACAGCGGAGGAAAACATTGCGTGTGCTCAGCAAATCGTGGATCTCATAGAAAAACGCATTGAGCGCTGCGTGCCAAATCATAAGCTATATGCCTTTTATGTTCTAGATTCCATCTGCAAAAATGCAGGATCACCCTACACCATTTATTTTAGTCGAAATCTTGCCAAGCTGTACAAACGTGCCTATCTTTTAGTCGACAATCAAACACGTTCAAGTCTCATTCGACTGTTCCAAACATGGCTCCACCATAGTACCAACTCTATGGGTGATTTGTTATTTGGCAAAGAAGCACTCGATGCTATAGAGCAATTTTTGATCAAGGCCAGCTCACTGCACCAAAAAAAAGCCTCTCCTCCATCTGTTCCTGGTCTTCTGCGTGAAATTGATAAGCTAGCGCTGCTTACGAGGGAACGCCTATCTCAAAATCCCCAAGATTCACGGTTGAGTACCAAACTGATGGTACTCAAGCAGCTCAAGCAGGAACTAGAACGCGAATCATTGGCTCCGCAGGCTCTACAACAAGTTCAAGCACAACTACGAAAGATATTTGCACAGGAACAACAGGTATTGCAGAAACAGCAACAACAAGCACAACAATTACGACAGCAGCAAAAACCTCAAAGCGGTAACCAATTTGTACAGTCTCCGAGCGTTCCGCCATCCCAAAATCAAACACCTACCTCTGTGAGTCCAGAAGGCACGCCCCTATTTGGCTCTTCTTCTCTCTCATCTTCTTTCTTCCTCAATGCGGGCAATGTATTTCCACCCTCTGAGCCCTCACGATCATCCAATCGCGCTCAAATGCTTTACGACTCGCTCAACAAAGAAGGCTTGATTGGCTCGATACCACAGCAATCAGTAGTAACCCTAGATCGCATGCTGTCAAAAAATACAAGCGAATCCTACAAATCCAGTTTGCCGCCATTAAAGTTACTAAGAGATATACTGGGAGATGTGAAGTCTTACTTTACCGGTCACGGTATCGAACTGTTGAATGTTCCAAATCTACAACTCTGCCAACAGACTGTCATTGAGGATAATGCAGCTGTAGATCAGCTCCGCAGTTTATTATACCGGTACAAACCAAACAAGTGCAGCACCTGCGGGAAACGATTTGGCGTCTCCGAAGACGAGAAAAGGCAGGAAAGAGATCACTTGGATTGGCACTTTAGAATTAGCAAGAGAATCAAGGGAAGTTCTGGAGCAAATGGCGCTGCAGTTAAGAACATCCAGTCCAGAAACTGGTATCTCGATGATGTACAGTGGCAGCAATTCAAAGATGAGGAAATTGTCTCAACTACAAGGTCAGAGAATGACGTTGTGACCTTAGCCAAGTTAGACACCGGATCAGTGAGTGATAATTTGGGGCCAAACTCTCCTAGTAAAACTTTGTTGTCTGCCGAAGATGAATCAAGCTGGGCAAAAAGACGCGTGGCTGTTCCTGAATCAACACAAGAAATGTCCTTTCAATGCCCTATTTGTCGTGATATTCAGTCGGCAGTTTATGACGACGAAACTGGAGAATGGGTTTGGACAAATTGCGTCGAGTCTCAAGGCAAGTATTTCCACTCTACCTGCTTCCACGAAACTGTAAGAGACGCCCCACAACAGGCCCTTCACCACGGGCTGGAACGTTTGAAAGGACTTGCAGGATAATTCATGTTAAGTAGAAAATAATAATCGCACCCCCACCAGTTCGTTTGCCTCTGCTTGGCTTACAATACATAACTAGGTATCAATCACTAGAGTTGATATTCTGAGCTTCAAGGGGTTGACCTTAAGAGATCATAAATACAACTACTTAAAACTTAACTCCAAGCTGTTCTGAGGCATTGAGCAACAAGGTTCTAGCCCCTATCGTTTGCATTCGAGCTAGCGATCAGCGCCTCAACCTGGATGCTCATGGCTTTTCTCTTGGCAACCTCGACGTCCATATTATTTGAAAGATCTGAAACCAATCGGCGTTGCTCGTGTATAACTGCCAATGACTGCGCGTGTCGCATATCACTCTCTTTTTTCTGGTCTTCAAGTTGCTTTGTTTGGAGAGACAGCGCCTTTCTTAAACCATTGCGATCTGCCTCTATTCTCGAAATATTATTCTGCAGATCAATTTGCGTAGTCATGCTCCTTTTCAAAGTTTCATGACTTCTCTGCAAATCGTTCCTTATTAATGTGAGATCATTATGAGTGGCAAGTGCAGAATTAGTTTCGTTAGTAGCTGACTTCATTTTGCCATTAGCTGTATCGGATTTAGCAATTGATAATGAATTGGTTTCTTGTTGGGTACCTGAGGCGTCTCTTGTTATATTCGCATTTTCATGGCTTTCGGGGTTCTTGCGAAGTGCATTTTTAATAAGATGGATGTTCTCGCGAACATTCTTCTCGAGAACGCTCTCAGCAACCATCTCCTTTGGCGTATTTCGGGATCTTGAGTCTACCCTTTCAATTTCGACGTTCTCCCGTTCGCTGTGGTCATTAGCGGAAAATGTGGCATTCCTGTCCCTTCCACTTCCGGTCTTCCCAACCAAAGCCCTAAAGACGAATAGCCACTTATCATTTCTTTGGCGCTCTTCTTCGACTCGTTCCTTAAGAGCCGTAATTTCACTGTTCATGTTAGAAATTTGTCCATGTAAGGAAGCTATCTTCATCTGATCGGTGATTACTTCACTAGTTAAACGTCGAAGTGTATCTCCGGCGTCGGAGATAAGTGCAAGAGAAGCTACATCTCGACTTTTCTCTTGTGAAAGATCTGCAGTGCACTTAGCTATTCCTGATATTATCTCATCCGGGTTTTCTGGTCTTGGGACTGCGCTCAGTCTTTGGACTAACAAATTCAAACAGGCCAACGTATCTGCCTTCTGCGAAACACTGTCTCTGAAGCATTGTTCAAGAGACTTTTTTTCAAGAATGGTGAAATCGGAGATCGCAGCTTGTTGCCTTGAAGTCTCAATATCGGGCTCGATGACCTCTGTTTCCCTCCTCTCAACCTTGGAGATCAAATTCAACATTGGCGGAGTGTCAATTTGCTTAGTTCTGTTAACATCTTCAAACGGTTTACCTGCTTCACCAGTCAGCAGTTCAAAAACATTTAAGGCATATGCATAGCTCCATATTTGTGCTTTGGCATCCATTTCTACCAAGGAATCTGGGCCATCCAAGAAGTCGGTAACAGTAATGGCAACGCTAACATTAGAATTAACTTCATCGGAGAGTTTAAACTTTAGCCTCTTGGAATAATTTCTTAAATTATGGAGGCGACTATCGAATACGGCTTTTTCATCGGAGGTCAGAGAATTGGCGCCACGCGCACTAACATAGAAGACGGCGCTTTGTACACGCTTCATGAGGTCTTCTTTCGTGAAAGCATCAAGCGAGTCCACTGTCCCTTTTAGCTGCGGAAATTCGATGACGGCAGAGCTGAACGTTTCCAGTCTACCCCTTTTAGATAAGTGCTGTAAATAAAGCACTGGACTCATCTCATAATTATTGATGTTGCAGATATTATTGCTGCTCGTCACCCAAGAGCCTGCTCTAAGAGGTGAATGATTTACAATACCAGATTGTATAAGTCGGACTAAACTTGATTTCCTTAAACGATTCATTGATGCAATCTTGGTGCCCAACTCACGAGCAATTGTACGTTCGATTTTCTTTCGATCCGCCTCCGGATCAGCATGCCCAGTGAGGTTTTGAGAATGCCCTTCATTTGCATGAAGTTCGACGCCACTGTTTACTGCGAGTGGGCTAGTTGTTGCCAAATGTAAATTTGTCCTTCTGATAGATTCGTTGGGGTTTAGCACTGATGACTCCAACGCTTGGGTGTTCTCGAACTCACTACGTCCCTTCACTGGGGTTGAATTTTCTGAAAGTTTATTTCTTGGCGACAGAAACTCATTATGAGGGTCGACGGGCTTTGGCGATGGATTTGGGAGAACACTTGAAATTCCCGAAACATCGTCCGACTCTGCCCTTAATAATGTAGCGACATTAGCATCGTCAGCTGTTTGAGATAACGCTTTTGGCGGGACGCTACTTGATCTCAAAAGACATTCGCTCTTCAAATCTTCATAACCAACAACCACTTCAGACAACGCAATTATGTTTTCGGTTATACCAACCTTGTTTTGAGCAGCATCGTTCAGAGACCTCAACTTTACTCTGGGACCTCCTGGGGGAATTTGAGATCTTAGCCTTTTCTTTTTGTTACTGGAATCTAGTAATGGGCTGTCTACGCCAAGAATTGACCGCGTTTCTTGGCCAGGTTTAGACCCAATCGAGTTAAGTCGTAAATCAGAATCCTGAGAGAGGCCCTGAGGCACAGATTTACTGGCTACTGGGTTGGACAGAGAAGGAGAGGCATCATTTGCAGTTTGAGTGCTATCTGGTCTCTTTGCCCTGTTACTCTGTTCAAACGAATCCTCGTTGGCACGCTTACGATTCACGGCCGGAATTGCACTTTCAGAATGTTGCGGCAAGGGCATATCGCTGCTGGGGAGGTGATAGACCGGCAGCAAAGGGGGTAGCATTCTCAAGGATTTCATTGCCTTCGAGGTTGGCTGGGTTTGCCCATTAGGTGCTTCCTCTTTACCGCCATCTTGGTTAGTCACTTTACTAGCCATATTTGCTGTATTGTCAGCCCGTGGGAGTGACTGTTTCAGGCTATTCGCTGCGACTGCGTCACTGCTTTTAGCTGATTCGCGCTCGTTCGCGAAACGCTCAAGTTTCGTGTAGGATGTCGCAAATGAGAAATTTGGTACTTGTGACGGTGTTAGCTTAGGCTCCTGCAGAGCCGAAGACGTATCGGGACCAGCACTGGCTTTCCTTACCTGTTGTGAAACCCCTTGAGGTGTCAAGACTGAAGTCAACGACGATCGACTATCCAATGTGTTAGCTTGATCGACATTTAGTGAGTTGGAGGATGCTTGCCAATCCTTGCCCTCAATTTTTGAAGGACTCGCGATAAGTCCCGTATGCGCAATCTGATTAGTCGAAGCTCTAGATTCTATGTGCAGCGATGGCTGCTTGCTCGGAAGTGAAGTCGAAAATACATTTTTCTGTTCGGCACTGGTTGGCTTTGCAGGAGTGGGTTGACTTCCAGAACTAGAATGTGTACTATCATAACCCGTTGAAGTGAGTTTAGATTGTAAAACCTGCCGATGCGCTCGTATATCCGATAGTCCGTCGCGAACTATTTCCAAGTTTGTCGAGGACTCATTTGTCTGTGTTGAGTTTGGTTTATAGTCCTGAAAGTTGTTGCTTTCGCGGGGCTGGGGCGTTGGAGTACTGGGTTCGGCAACAAGCTCTGCTCTAAGTGTTGTAGCATTGATATTTGCTGATGGTTCCGCCGATTGGGAGGGACGCAAGTTAAGAGAGCCAGGGGACAAGTGCCCAGATACACTCGACGGACTTCTAGCGGTGCGTGGAGAATTTTCAGTTGAGATTTGGAGGGAAGCTGAAAGAGGTCGTTCCTTACTTCTGGCATTCTGCCCTGATTCCGTACTTCGCAGAGATGGGGATGACGGATTGCTTAGCATTTTTGAGATTCTATTATGAAAACTGGAGCCTGCCTTTGATAACGGGAGCCGTTCCAGATTACTGGGTGAGCTCTTAGGAGTATCTTTCGTTGACGGGCTTGCCAGGGAGTGGTCAGAAAACGCGTCCTTCATATCAAGCATAAAACCATTTTGGACCTTCTTGTATTGTAACAATTGCAACAGCTTGTTTGCCTCGGAACGGACCTTCAACTGCTGTTTCGTAGGCGAAGGCGTTGAGCTTGAACCCTGACTAACCCTTTTGGTTGGAGTAGACTTGTAAATTTGAATCCTCGCTGGATTCTTCGCTGCTGATAGCCCATCAGCAAGCTTACTTTCAGGTTCCTCATGGATAGGGGACTCTCCGGTCATGGACATTCACTGTTTAGCTATTTTGCTGAGCTAGATAGGTGATTGGAAGGGTCGCGAATGCGGAGAGTGTCTTCTCGCTTGGTTGCGATCGAATTTATGGGGAATTTTGAAGTGAGAACACACAAACTGATGTTTGTCAATAAATTATATTAAGGCCGCCATAAACCAGGAAGACGATGAAAGGGAAACAGATTGTCAATGACGGTTGGCATTCGAATAAAATATTGGCGGGGTAGCCCCAAATTTTGCAAAAGATAAGGATATTTTTTTATTAGCCAGATATCGAGACATCTTATGTATAAACTAAGTTGACTTTTATTTACCCAAACATTTCAAAATATCAGACCAAACAGTCTTGGGTGGTTGAGAAGCGTCAACACCGGACCAGATACCAGTCTTCTTATAGAAGCTAACAATAGGCTCGGTTTGTTCGTGGTAGGCACCTAATCTCTTCTTCAAAGCGTCTGCGTTATCATCGGATCTTTGAACCAAATCCTCGCCGGTCACATCGTCCTTCATGGACACCTTTGGAGGGTTGAAAACTTTGTGGTAAGATCTACCAGAGCTTGGATGAACCAGTCTTCCGGTGATTCTAGAGACCAACAATTCATCGTCGATCTTCAGCTCGACGGCCTTCTCCAATGGTCTGTTTTGAGCAACCAACATCTGATCCAATTTTTCAGCCTGTGGGATTGTTCTTGGGAAACCATCCAAGATGAAACCAGAGGAACATTCTGGGTTGGTCGACAATTCGTGCTTGATCATGTTGACCATGATTTCGTCAGAAACCAAACCTCCTTGATCCATAATCTTCTTGGCCTCCAAACCGAGCTTGGTTTTCTTGGCGACTTGTGATCTCAACATGTCACCAGTGGCCAAATGACAGGCGCAGAAACGCTCCTTCAAGTTAGGGGCTTGAGTACCTTTACCGGCACCTGGTGGCCCGATCAGCACCATTCTGATCGATTCTGGAACATGTTTCAAGTCTTGCTGGGTCATGGTTCTTCGTTAACTCGTAAATTCGTGAAAGTTGAAATTGCTTTGGAAGGTTAAAGGCTGATTCAAGTTCGAGTGAGTGAATTACACTTATCACCAGTTCAAATTTTTTTTTCCAATTTGTCTGTTCTGAACTAATTTTGTTGGTAATGTGTCATGTTATTGGACGAGAGACCAAAGTTCGCCAAAGAGGAGAAAATGAGACAACAAAAACTGTAGCTTCGACTAACGCAGTCTGGAAATTGGTCTTCAATCAATACACATATTGAAATAGAGTAAAATGAGCTTTATTTCTTCTATTATGGCCTACATATTCCAGATACTGCAATTGGGATCTAACGGACTTGATATGTGTAGGTATTAATCAAGTAGGCGAGTGACAATATTGAAAATCACTAGACCCCGGACTTGGAGGTTACTTTGCTCAGCAGCAATTGATTATATTTAAATACCGTCCATCACGCTTTTTGGCTGAGGTTTCGATTATCTTCGTAAACAATGCTGGAAAAGTATCTCTCTAATGTATATACGATGATTCTTTCAGCGTGAAGCACCCAATCTTGAGTAGGGAAACCTCTAGCTATCGTCATAATTTTCATGAAAGACGTTTTGCCAATGAGAGCTGGGAATTATACTTCTGCGGTGTGTCGTTCACGAAGAACGCAGAAGCTCACTTGAAAACCCATACATTCATATTATTATGAATGTATGGGTTTTGATATACACTAATGGAGGATTATGTGTTCGACCACGGGCCAAAGTGCGCACTTTGGCCCTTCTATTGGCAAGCAAATTCCCCGAATATCAAGAGTTTAGTGTCTTGCTCGAAACTGCGACTACGAAATTAAAGAAGGTTTTTGCTAAAAGATGGATTCATCGAATCAGTTGTGGTCTTTTGGCAAAGGACTGGGGATTGCTTCATAACTTTAGTGTCATAGTGCCCCAAGGGTATGCTCCCATGTTCCCATAGGGCTCCATCTGCTTGGTAGAGTTCATGACAGTATTGTACAAAATGACAATCCTGGTGTCAGTGAAAGAAATGAAAGATGAGCAGGTGAGGTCGGCGAAAGTGGTCCAAGGAATCTAGTTTTACTCAAAGTATGATTTTAAGCAGCTTTCAATGACCCATTGGATACATGATAGATTGTTTTGAAAATCTGTTGGAAATTGTACCTCTTTGATATTGTGTGTAGATGCAGACTATTTGGTCCACTAAACCGATCAACATTTTGGTCTAAATAACCAAGGAAAAATTTTCCAAAACTCAGATATCTACGATTACTTTAAACGTAATGTTCATTGATAAGTTGAACAGTGAATTCAGCAAGTTATTATTGAGGCGAATCTGATTCATCAGTAGAAAGCTTACTAAATTTGTCTTGTAAGTCGGACATAGTCATTGTTAAGATGAGTAACTTGGATCTAGGGAATTCTATTTATCTCTCCGTGATTATTTTAGGCATTAGAGTTGGTGCAGTCACCTGAACAAACGCCTGGTATTTGTACAATTTTCGCTAGGTGACTCTGAATAACACAACTATTAATCATTCGTTATAGATCATTCTATTGTCGATGGATGACCGCTCAATGCCGATAACTTATCGATCGCCAATCCCATTGGACAGTAGATCTTTTCTTCGGTTTGTCTTAGCTGTTAAGTCGACTTGTATGGCCACTGTTGTGTACTATCATTCTGTACCATTGTGTCACATATTTACTGACGCTGATTATGCGATTAGGCGCACATCACCATCAGTTTATTCACATTATTCCCAACAAGCACTACCTATGCGAATCGTTGTGGGTAATCAGCTGCCCAAGATTATTATTGATTTGAGCGAGCCAATCAGCGTACCTTAGTGGGCCTAAAGAGGTCTGAGGGGTAAAAAATATAGACTCCATTGTAGGCACGCTGCGCTGATGATTGTTGTAGTCATGAATCAATAGGGAAAGTAGGCGGAATTGTTGATATTCTAATGTTACGCTCGGGTTTCATAGAAGGCAAAAAACAAAGCTGTCTAGATAGTAGTAAATGTCCCCCCGTGCAAAACTAAACTTCAGTACTATAGCCTCATGTTTATAGCATGTCCTTTGACACCAAAAATATGATCCAATGGTGTTGGGGTTGAGATTCCTTACCAACTGGGAATCGAATCAACTGGCAAAAATGAACGTTCGTCAGCTGCCGGATTTGAACCGACGCGGGCAGAGCCCAATAGATGACCTCGTTCCTACTAAATTAGATTCGAGTCTATCGCCTTAACCTCTCGGCCAAACTGACATTTATATCACGTGTTACAACTTTTTAGATGACTTTTTACTCCGGGGATTCGAACCCCCGATAGTGAAGTAACCAATCACCGTTGCACCGCAGACTGATATTCGTTTTGTACAGATGGATGTATGATCCCTATATTGGAAGTAGCAAACCAACTTCCGCGTATCTATTACCTTCCCTTGAATAACATTTCAAGCTGCGTGAAGCTCTTGTGCATATCTTATTTGAGCACAGACGCTCTATTCTCCACGTGATTGTATCGCTGTCCAAGTCATAAATTGGTGTTTCCTTCGAAATTTGATGATTGGTGGATTCCTCAACGACCAAGTTCGCAGCAGGGTTCACTTGATATGGAATGATACCCAGTCGCTGTTGAACAGTTTCCAAGAGTTGTACTAAAAAGTCGAATTTTGTAGTTTTGACTCCACGATTCAAAGTCTTTATTTTTCGCTTTCTTCAATATATTTGTGAGAGCTATGCACTTCACGAATCTACAGTTCTTTAAACCTCGTTCCCGTAGTGCAAGCCAAACTTCCTCGCATTCTTGCAAGTCTTCAGTTTTTTTGTATCCACTCAAGAATAGAACTTCGACGCGGAGGGGGGCAACAAGAAGAGGCCCTGGAAGCCTAAGAAGCCTCCACTCGGAGATCACTCAAGGTTTTGGTCTTAGTAATTTGATACAATGTTCAAAAAACATAGTAAAAATCTGGTAATCACCCAAGCAGTTGAGAAATTTCGAAACTTAAATGTGTCGCTGTCAAAAAATATCCATCTTGCATAAAAAGAAAACGGTTAAAGCTTCAGGCATGATGAAACCTACATCTTGTAGAATCTGATTATCACTTCACAGTCTTTTTCGGCATTTCTCGTAGGAAAATTGTTAAGCCAGACCCGTTAATTGGACAAACTTAAGCAGTCCTTAATTTCGCTACTAGAATGCGGATGTGTACCGCGTTCAATACTTTAGCCTGCGCGCCCTCGCCATTCATAACGCTTGAAGTAAAGTGTTTATTGCAAAAAAAAATGTACAACTCCTCATAGGGGGCTCGAACCCCTGACATTTCGGTTCCTTGCGAGCAATGCTTAAAAGCCGAACGCTCTACCAACTGAGCTAACAAGGACGAGTTGTAGTCGAGACAAAAATTTGCCTTGACTATACGGGATTAGAGATACAGCATGATTTGATGCGCGACTCTATACCTCAACCCCCAGGATCTTGGAAGCGCCTTACAACACTTATAAGTGCACTAGCTCGCAGCAGAGGATTGGTGCTGTGCCATCACCTTACTACGCCCTGGATCGTCAAAATTTTATAGCACTTGAGACGTTATAGGTGTTTCTGTCGTTCCATGGGAAGAGCACTGTTGCTGTATCAATCATCTCGAAACAAAACGGTCAAGCCAATTCGGCCAACAAATCAAAGAGGTCAGTAATCTTTGCTTAACCTCTCCATGCTCACACTCGAAAGTAGTTGGCCAAGCTCAATGACAGGACTTCAAATTCGTGTGAATAGGTGCGGAGTCTATGTCACGTGAGAGGATGAAACTCACAACAATCGGTGACAATTAATTAAACAGATAGCGAGCGTACCTTAATCATAACATCTCATTAACCCTTTCAAAGCATCACCACGCTGCCGCCCAGATGGGTCTAGGAATTCATAGAAAGACGCAAAAGGTACCAGATCTTTCACGCTATGACTACCATTATCAAAATAAAGCGGACACAGTACCTGGTAATGGACTTTCAACGGCCGCTGCTGCGGCATCGGCTGGGAGGAGTCGATCTTTGGTGTATTCCAACTCACCTCAAGGAAGACCACAAAGCGCAGGTAGTCGCAGCTATAGTCTTCGTAATTCTGGGAGTATGGGGCTTGCGCCTAAAAGCAGTAGTGAACGGCTAAGCTCATTAGCCAGAAAAACCTCACAGCAGACAACTCCGAGAAGGATGTCGTCCAGAACAAACTCGATGATAACTGTACATACCACAGAGGTAAAGGATCCCATGGGGAGAACACAATCTATCACCAAGAAAACCGTACGTCGGATAAATGGCTACGAATATGTGGAAACTACCACGAGCACCAGCAATCCGGTAGGGCCCCAAGACGCGGATAACCATTTCAGTGGATTTACAACTGACTTTTCCGACGATTTTGCACAGGCATTTGTGCAGGATGAGCCTGAAGATATGGTGGTAGGGTCTAGAATATCGAGTACCCTAAGAGAAGAAGATGAAGATGAAGATGAAGATGAAGATAAAGTTGAAGATGAAGATGAAGATAAAGTTGAAGATGAAGAAGACGAATATGATGAGGCCAACTTCAGCGACGCGATCGATTATTTTCCTCAATCAAACGGTTCAAATCGCTCTGGTGGAAAGGTAGCTCGCCCAGCCAAAAATCCTGGAAGGCCTAAAAGATTGTTAAGTGAGCAGGAGCAATATGCTAAAGCTTTGGAAGCTGCTCAAAAAAAAGTCTACGGCGACAGACTTTTGACTCAGAGTCCAGACCTACGGGTCGGGAACCCAACGATGAGGAGGATGAGCTCATTGCGAGAACCGGCCATAGCCACTCCTGCCATTCCCCAGTCAAGGCGTCGCAGTGTATCGCAAAAGGTATCTAGGATATCTCAGCACGGTTCTACAACCACAAGCGACCCAGAGCCATCTCTTGGAATGTCAGCGGCTCATAAGGAGAATCTCAACAGACGCCATATGAGCGACGATGAAATGTATGCAAAAGCGTTGGAGATTGCACGCCAAAAGTACTCCGCCGAAGGAGTGGCCTCAAACTCGCAACCCAAGATAAGAGTATCTTCGGGGAAAGAAAATGGCTCTAAGTTCAATGTCAAGTCGTTCTTCAACAGGGTAGCTCAGTTCAGTCAAGATAACTATGGGTATCAAAACAGAAAGTCGTCATCGCCGCAGAAGGCGGCGAAGGAAAAGGGTGAGAGCCTCTCAGAAATGGACTTAAATGAATTCGATGATCACAAAGACTTTGAGAAGAAGGTGAGTTCTGTGGAAGGTGATCCTCCTGCTTCATCAAAAAATGTGCACCGCCCTCTCAAAGCCGCAATTAGTTTAAAACCGACGACGAACGGACCTGGTGAGTCCAGAACAGAAGATCCATTGGAGGATACAGGGGAACTCACGACGGTCCACGAGGGAGAAATCGACACTCCAACTAATGCCGGGATAGGCGCTACTCCTGATGTTACTTTAGAAGACGCCCAGAGGATTCAAGAGTCAGATAACAAACAAAACCTGGTAGATGGGCCGTCGTTGATAGGTGTCGAAAAAGATGTGACTGGAACGTACGATAAGCAGAGTGCCCCTACCGCTAATACTTTTCCAATTGGATCTGAGAGGCTGCCGCAGGGACAACCTACTGTTGGATCGTCTATACCAAGCTCGCAGACTAGTTTTACGAGAAGAAGTTTGCGAGGATCTTCAGCTGGGTTAGGTCAGGACTCGCTGGAGCCTAACACTCAAAGCGAAGGTTCAAGGGAAGTGGTCCAAGCTCCTAGAGCTTCAAAGACGGGACGAAAGTCCAATTTTTTGCAGAAACTATTCGCCCGTAAAAAGCCTCAAAGATAAACCGACTAGTCCACTGAAACTAGCATTTGTAAAAAATTCACTAAAATTATAACTCTGTTCCTAATATACACTTAATAGCGGGGGTGAGAGCAAATCCCATTTGTTCGCACTTCCCAGAAACAACCATCCGACATTGTTTCTTGTTGACATCACTGATTTTTACAAATTCGACATTCTTGCCTTACCCATCCAAATCTTTTAGAACTTATAGCTCCTGAGAAGCCTTGCCAGGCTTTCCAGACTTCTTTGGAAGCAAGTTTTGGTGAATGTTTGGCAATACACCACCTTGGGCGATGGTCACGTTACCTAGTAGCTTGTTAAGTTCGTCATCGTTTCTGATGGCCAACTGCAAATGACGGGGAATGATTCTGGTCTTCTTGTTGTCTCTAGCGGCATTACCGGCCAATTCCAAAATTTCGGCCGCTAGATATTCCAAAACAGCAGTCATGTAGACTGGGGCACCTGAACCGACTCTTTGAGCGTAGTTACCTCTTCTCAAAAGTCTGTGGACTCTACCGACTGGGAAAGTCAAACCAGCCTTGGCAGATCTAGATTGGGAAGCCTTGGCAGCGGCTCCGGCCTTACCTCCTTTTCCTGACATTTTTAGTGATATGTGTTTGTGTTGATTGGTATTAGCTCGTAATAATGCTATGTCCTTATTGTAACGAAAACTTCTTTGGTATCATTAGAATAACCCTAGGGTGCTCCCTTTATATACGTTTTGACGCTCGCTGGAAATTGCCACTTGCTCTCCGGGTGCTCTTCAGCCTTAGCCCGTGTACTGTGTGTATCACGCTATGTATTTCCCTGTTACGGTGCAGTTCCCTTATTCCATTCTCATTTGTTCGCGTACTTTGCGAACAACCTGGAACGCTGAGAATCGGCTCCTTAGGACTGCCACAAATTCAATTTTTTCGTAAACGCGACCTTCGTCGTTAGTATGGGTTGCCCTCGTCACTACCAAAATAGGAAATTTTTGTGAAAAAATTAATTAATTGGCCAAGGATGGACCGAGTTATTCGCGCCTGAAAGCAAACCTCAGGCGAAGGAACTGGGCCGCTTTAAATTGGACATTTGCAGATGGTTACCGCAGTGTTGTAGGATTGCGAGTTAGGGTGGCGTTTCGTGAAAAAATTTGTATATAAGGGAGGGGACTGTGCGGTTGGTACCATCATCCTCGTCCGTTTTGGAGCCACAGACCAACACATCAACCAATCTAACAGTAATCATGTCCGCTAAAGCCGAAAAGAAACCAGCCTCTAAAGCTCCAGCTGAGAAGAAGCCAGCCGCCAAGAAGACTGCTTCTTCCATGGACGCCAGCAAAAAGAGAGTCAAGGTTAGAAAGGAAACCTACTCCTCCTACATCTACAAAGTGTTGAAGCAAACACACCCTGACACCGGTATCTCTCAAAAATCCATGTCGATTTTGAACTCTTTTGTCAATGACATTTTCGAGAGAATTGCCTCCGAAGCCTCCAAGTTGGCCGCTTACAACAAGAAATCTACCATCTCCGCCAGAGAAATCCAAACTGCCGTCAGGTTGATTCTTCCAGGTGAGTTGGCCAAGCACGCTGTCTCGGAAGGTACCAGAGCCGTGACCAAGTACTCCTCTTCCACCCAAGCCTAAACGGCTGGGGCACGATATTCTGGTATAGCCACCGATCACGGACCCTGTATCGATTAGAAATGTAGTTTTGTACAATAGTAATGGGAATATGATAATTTTTTGGGAAGTCAGGAACGCTTTAGTCTGGGGGCGTTGTCCTCAGCTGCGGTGCAAGCTGAGCAGCAGCATTGAGACTAAATGATCTGAGAGCTTTGTAGCTGCAGCTCAGCAGCACCTTTCGAGATAGCATTTTTGAAAACACTGGAGCTCGTTTGACATCCGCGATTGGTGTAAGGAAAGGAGTATACACAATCATAAACCACCTAGTGTGATTCCGTGCCCAAGGAAGGCGCCTCTATGTTGAACTTCGCTTCTCAAGAAACATCAGGTGATGTTGATCGTTATGTACGTCTGTGACGCCGGCGAGCTGTTGTGTTATCTTACCAGGTAAGAGCGATCAGCTTACAACTAGCGGTGAACTCCTCCCCTCGGAGTGTATAACTTTGGACTAGGTGCTCTAGAGATGATAAGGTATGATGTTTATTTGATGTTTGTTAGTTTCATGTTCACAGGTTTATTATTACTAAACTAATGTTACCTTTCTGTCACTATACATAAATAAACATACACATAATGAAGAAGAAAACACCGAACTGATGGAAACTTACTAGTTCCAAAGTCTATGCGGTCTCTGAATCATCCAACAATGAAACAAATTGCCTTTACTTGCCGAGTTTCCAAGTATAGGTCACTGCAGCAAAGTTTTGCACCAGGAGTATGATGGACAAGAAGAAGAGCTTCATCACCGCATTGCTATCTCTCAAACGAACAGTGATTATCTACGCACCTAAACTCAGCTGTCCAGAGCCTACGAAGCTGAGATTTATTTTCCCGTCGTTGGGTGACTAATGAAAACGATTCTTATTGGTCGTACAACGGCATCCGTCCTTGGCCGTGCTCATCTCGGACAGGGCTCTTGAAAACGAGGAAAGCGCGATCCTATATAATAAGCCTTGCCAAACAGGTCCGCCCGAAGCGTCAAGCAAGAGTTTACAGACAGTGAAGACGAGGTCTGGTACTGGTTCAGATTGATAACCATAGACGTTCAACAAACAGGGAGTTGAACCACTTGCAGGACATCCTTTCAACTTTTGCTGGGAGCCGATTTGACAAAGTTTGCGTTTTGTGGAAAGAACTGACTTACACGACAGTAGAGCGCACAGGTTATCTGTTAGTTGACAGATCTTCCAATAAATACTTTCCAAGTGGCAGAAGTCTCTGGAATTGAACTTGAGCTGGGTTTAAGTTTCGCGAAAGTCTCTCGCCCACTGCTTGTTTTTTGTGTAAGAAAGACGACAGCCTTGAAGTGCTAATTTCGGTCAGTTGAACAAAGTTACGTTGCCTGAGGCCTCATCATCAAAATGTCGATTGTTGCCATCAAAAATGCAGTCGTGAGGCTACTTACAAAAGACTCAAGCGATGCTCCTCTTCTTACCAGCAATGCTTCGCAGGCGCCGGAAAACGGTGGCTATTCGAGTACTAGCGATGAAGAACGTGGGAAACTTGAGGACAAACGTGAAGAACGCAAAGGTGGTATTCTTGGCTCCTGGGATCCAAGGATCATGAGCGACCTTATTATTGGACTGAGTGATGGTCTAACGGTACCGTTTGCTCTTACGGCCGGCCTTTCCTCCCTCGGCGATGCTAAGTTAGTTATCACCGGTGGCTTTGCCGAATTAGTCTCGGGTGCAATTTCCATGGGTCTAGGAGGATATTTAGGTGCCAAAAGTGAATCAGATTATTACCGCGCTGAAATGAAAAAGGAGAAACGCAAATTTTACAATAACATGATATTGATCAACCGTGAAATTGAGGATATTTTGCTCGAAATCAACCCTAATTTTACGGACGAGACCATCGTGTCCTTCATTAAAGATCTACAGAGGTCACCAGAACTAATGGTCGATTTCATTATTAGATATGGCCGCGGCCTGGACGAGCCTGCAGATAATCGTCAATTGGTAAGCGCTTTAACTATTGGAGGTGGTTACCTGGCAGGTGGGTTTGTACCCCTAATCCCTTACTTCTTCGTCGAGCAAGTAGGTTCCGGTTTGATCATATCTATAATACTGATGTCGATAACGCTTTTCTGGTTTGGTTATGTTAAGGCTGCAATCTCCATGAGTGACAGCTGTTCAACAAGAAGAAAGGTTGGCGAAGGTTTGCAAATGGTCGTTGTTGGGGGTATGGCTGCAGGCGCTGCTTGGTTCATGGTAAGAATTATAGATCAATGACAAAGTGGATGAAATTTAGAAGGACCATAATTAGCAGTTTTCAAGTACATGCTCTGTTGGACGTGATTCAAAAAAGCAAGGGTCACAATGCTTGGGGAGTTATGCTAACTAATTTTCTGCTTGAGTGCGCGCGTTACGGTCGAAATTTATCCTACCTAACTATCGAAATGCTGTATAATATATAACTACAAATAAACTTAGTGTTCTTCCAAATATTTGACCGCGACTGCAACTTATGTATAATACACGAACTCTTATTTTTCGGATTCCACGACAGTTCTGAGAGTGTCTATATCAAACATATGACCACCATCTTTTAGGACATTTGCCAGAAGAACAAGTGATTTTGGTGTGAAGTCCGGCGCTTCTCTCAAAGAGTTGATATCCTCGCCATAATGATTGAATAGAACACTGAGATACGAATTTTTGAGTTGTCCCTCGCTCTCAGTACTGGATATCTTATTCTGAGCTTCCTCTATTGCGCTTTCTATTTTCGAAAGATCTATGGTATTCACATTTTTTCGAGGATTTTCAGATAGATCAGTCTTGGTGAAAGGAATCTCGTTGAGCACCTGTCGTGTCGTATTTCCAAGTGTCTCACCAACATTTTTTTCGACTGTCTCTTCTGCATCTGAAAGCTCAACATCCGACAGTTGGACAGCATCAACTCGTTCTTTGTCATTCGGATCGCCCAGGGCTAGCTTATCAGCTCCATCAACATCTGATTCAGCCCCAGATGATGAGGAGTCTGAGGAGGATTCTGAGTCAGAGACCTCTACCGTTCTTCTTTTCTTACTTCTTCTTGTTTTCTTTGCAGTACCATCAGCAGCACGACGCTCTGTCACAGACATCTGCTTAATCTGCCTGCTGTTTGAATCTGCCAGGCCGCTAGTGCGCAGCTCATCGCACTAGTATTTTCTATTCAAATTTTTGGATAATAAGGTGTTCGGTCACGCATGTGTTGACAGGCAATTACAAAATGATTTACACCAGCGTCCGCTTTCCACAGCTCTGGGTCAGATCTAGAGCGATACAAAACTGGTGGCAGGTTTTCAAGAAGACACGGGTTTCAATTTTGTGAAAGTTGATTACAATAATGTACTGGTCCATAAGTCATTACCAGCGCTTGCCGGCATTACAGTGTGTGAATTGTTTAATGCTAAAAAATTTACATGAATTTATTCATCTCCACCAATGAATAATCTAATATGTAGCTTTGCTCGACTAGGTCATCAATCCGCGTGAGATGTCTTTGTGTGTAAGGAATGATAGCCTCAATGATGCTCATAATGCCAGGAATATCACTTAGCGACGTAATGTTGTGACGCATCAAGATACACCGGATGACTTTCTGAGCTACTGAATGGGTAGATGCATTTGTATTCCAGTCTCTGCTCCGTTTCATGAGTTTCATAACTTGCTCATTGTCCAACGTGCCTATAACATTGTCAAGTTCTTCGTTGAAAACAAAGCCGGCATCCTGGGTTTTAGCGGTTGAGCTGCTGTCGAGCACTCTGTACAGCCTCATAGGATGGTCCAAAGTCATAGCTAATAAGAATGCATTCGTCCAATCACCTTGGGATAGGTAGTTTTGCAAGGATTGTTCTTGCTCTATTCTCATCTTCTCATTCTCTAAGTTTTGCAGCGCTTCTTCTTCACTACAATCTCTCCAAAATTGAAATACTCCATCTGCGTCGGCCGTGGCAAACTTTTCGCCATCCTGTAGCACGCTCAGAGACCATATTCTGTTATCGTGTGCATCCAAGGTCCGGATACATTCACCAGTAGAAAGATCCCAGAGTTTGATTAGGCCATCTGCACCTGTGCTGATCATTTGCTTGTCTTTGTTAATGAAAGAGCATCTTTGAACAGCATTTGTGTGTCCCTCAAGGGTCTTGACGACTGAGAAGGTATCCAGGGACCAGACTTTTATAGTCTTATCACCAGAAGCTGTAGCGAGCAGCTTTTCATATTGGCAGAAGGATACGTCCCAGAGACCCCGCTTATGGTTCGCTAAGGTACCCTCTAATTCACCGGTGTCCACGTTCCATATCTTACACGTTTTGTCATAGGAGGCAGTTGCAAACACGGAGTCATTAGGCGCGATGGAAAGTGCATTGATATCTTTCTCATGTGCCCTTCGCGTGTAATCAGAGACTTTGATGATATGGACTTCCTTGTCTTTGATATCTGGCTTGGGAACTGCCCACTTTTTGATCGTCAAATCGTTTGAGGCAGTTATAATGAACTCTGGCCAGCCTCTGCGTATCACATTAGGTAGTCCGACCGCTGTCACAGGCCCAGCATGCCCAGTGTATTTAGCATACATTTCAAACTTGGATAGATCTGGGTTATACTTCCATAATATCGCGGTGTGATCTTTAGAGCAAGTCGCTAACCAACTGCCATCTTCACTGGCATCTACTGCATTAAGCAGATCAGTGTGGCCCTCGTACAGTTCAACCTCCAAAGGCAAACTGATTTTATCAGCCTTTGCATCAGCCTTTTCATCTGCAGTATCCTTGATGAGATCCTCATCCTCATCCAATAAATGATGAGGAATAACTCTAAGGGCAGGCGAGTTGGTAGCTAAAGCCAACATGCTAAGATTGGGCCCGACAAACTTCATGTCCGCCACGGTGCCATGATTACCAGCAATTTTATGATCGATCACGATGGCTTCACTGGCTTCGTCTAAGGATTTCTTGATATCAACCACGAATAAAGTTTGGTCTGATAAAACGAGATACATTTTGCAAGAGCGCAATATGGGAAGGACACCTATGATAAATAGTTCTTCAATTGGCTTCTCTGTAGACTTCACAATGGATCCAGACTCCATGGATAACACCTGGAAGACAGCATCCCCACCAGCAGTATAAAAAAGGTCATCTCCTCCTGGGAGGCTGATGAACCCACATGACTCTATCTGCCGATGCACAGGTATGGTCTTCAAAAGCTGCACCCTTTTCTTTGAACTTAGCTGATGAAGATTGACAATGTCATCCCTGCCACCTGATAGAAGTTGCAATTGGCCTTCACTTTCCAGCGATGATTCCGACGAGGGCGTAGGTCGAAAATCCAAACCTCTTACGGCAGAAGTGTGCTCTTGCATGGTATGCAGACATTTTCGATCAACCAAATCCCATACCTTAACCATACCATTAGTGTCACCAGTAGCCAGCCTCCAGGTGGTGCTATTGACCTCACCGTAGAATTTTACGCTTGATATCGTGCCGCCATGGCCCTTGAACGAATGTGTCACGTAGCCGTTGGCGATGTCCACAACCGTGACACTACCATCGGTACCTCCCAAAGCTACCAAAGTCGAGCTTGCATCGCAGTCCATCACATATACGGGCGAGGACATTTTCATAGACCTCACCACTCTCTTGGCACTTAAACTATAGATTCGGAGTAACTGAGCTTGCGACACAAAACACAAAAAGTTTGCATCAGGGGTTAACCTTAAGGCCGTAATCTCTTGTTCATCATCGTTTTCGATTCTGTGCAAGATCTGCTTAGCAGCAACATCCATGATGTTCACCTCATCGATTACCGATGTTGCCAAAAGTTGACCATCCTCTGAGGCCGAGGCTACGGCTCCGCTTCCAGCGTAAAAGGGCCGTAATTCGCGGTTCGAATACCGAGTTTTTAAATCCATAGCGAAATCTTAAAAGTATCTCAGATCTTGTAGAATACGGCTATTGGTTTTGTCGATGAGCAAGCGCCATTCAAACTTTTCATCAAATTTTCGATGAGCATCATTTAGAAATTTAAAATCACGAGTATAGATGAGTACCATCTAAATCAGTGAGGTCCTCTGAGTCCATCAATCTGAAGGCCTCTACGACAAAGAACAAACTTACTGCATTCGGCTGGAATGCCACTTGTGAACTTTTGACATTTTGCGATACCTTAAGAAGCACAACAAGGCCACTTATTATATAGTCTTGATTCTTGTGGTAGGCTCGAGCCTAGTTGTTAAAAATGCTGATATACAAGTTGAGCTGTCACGTCCGTTGATAGCTCTCTGCTGATAAAAAATACCCAGTAAGTTGTGCTGCAATGAACAGCTTCCCCAAAACTAAAACAAAATAACATTGCAAAATTTCTCTGCATGATTCCAATGCTTGAGATGATAGACGCTCTTAAGAACGATAGATGCAATGAGATGCCTGTGCCGACAAAAAAAGCCTGTAGAGATCAAAACGACAGATTGTTGACTTTTTCTATTGCAGAACGTCGCTAAAGTCGATGACTGAACCGGCAGATCCGCCAATTATTTGCTCCAAATCAGCCAATGCGCTCTCGCTGAACAAGCCACTTTTAGTGAAACGCAAGTTTTCGGCCGCTGCTTCCACCACGCTTTGACGTCTCCTCCAAGCAGCACCGGTAGTCATGTGTTTCTCATCCATCATGTCTACATTAACAGGCGCAGTTAAAGAAGCCAAAATACCAGCATCCTCTGTGTCCATGATGTCCATGCCATCTCCGTCATGGGCAATTAGGTCACTGTCAGCGTGACTCAAGAGATTGTTGATATCGTCTAAATCCATACTCTCAAAGGAGTTTTTAGAAATTTCGGCATCATTCGCAGCGTCGGTCTTTGATAATTTCTCCAAACCTTTCACAGGGCGTTCGGATTTAGCCATGCTTGTGGACTCAGTTTCTTTCTCCACTTCAGGAGCCGTAACGTCAGCGATTCTTTCCTTCTCCAGGCGGTCCCGCTCTCTCCTCAATTTGAGAAGCTTCTTTTTCTTCTTGAGCTTCCGCCGTTCTTCGTTCTTCTTCTTTTGTAGTTCTTTCATTCTATCGATCTTACGTCTAGTCCGTTCGCTCCCAACGTAACCAATAGGAAACTTTCTAGCCGAAATTACTGGAAGCATGTAGTCTTCCTCATGGCTAATATCAACACCTTTATTTCTGAACGCAGAAAGAGGTACCTTAGGTTTGTCATACCATTCGCTTGCAGCACCATTCTCGTTGGCAGTATTCGGTGTTCCATCCTCATCGTCCAATTCGCTCATATTCAAAAGCTCGTTGAGAGTCAACTCTTCCTTCTCGCCTAAGCCACTCAAGTCGCTAGGTGATAGCTGCTGCTGCAGAACGTGAGCTTGAGCTTGTTCTTCCAACAATTGCTGTTCTTGCAAGGAGGGGTACAACGACTTCGTAGATAGCCCATCGATAATGCTAAAAGGTTTATTATCCGTTTCCCAAGTTCCAAGTTTGGGAGGTTTAAGTCCAACAACATTAGCGCTGACCACTTCCTTGGCCTTCGAGCCAATATTTCTGTTTCGTGTATTTGGCGGTGGCAGCGTTTCATCTTCGTCGGTGGACTCACCATCAATGTAAATCACGGTTTCGACATAATCTTTGTCTCCAGGACCCGCTGCCATACTCGCCTCCTGTTTGTTAAGCTCCTTGCTACCATCCTTGGGCTCTTCACCCTCAGAACTTTCGTATTGAAAATAAAAGGAGTCTGGGTCGAGGTCATCGATATCAATGAATACATTCGACAAACTAACATCATCATCGTCGTCGTCGTCATCATCATCGTCATCATCATCCTTCGCACCGTTGGTGGATGCACCCAAGCTTTCTTCGTCTGTGGGCATGTGTGCGATATCGAGTAATATATTCTCGTACTCTTCGTCAGACGAATAATCGGTATCGGAAGCAGCAGCTGAACCCAACAGGCGTAGAGAAGAGTCCAAACCGTTGACCTTATCTGGTTCTTCGTCACTTCGAAAGTAGACGCCGAAGAGATACTCGTCATTGTCCAAGTCTGTAGCGGCTGAATTTTGTTTACGCGCTCTGACCAGCTTCTTTGCGAGCTTACGACGGCGCAAAAGCTCTTCCCGTTCCAATCTTTTCGTCTGCTTCTTGTCCTGATTCTTTCTCTTCTCATCATCCAGGATGAGAGGCAACGAAGTACTCAGCGAAAGAGGTTGATCACTACCGGCGCAATAATATAGGTTTGCAAACTTGGGATCTTCGTAGAAAGGCTCATCGAAGTCACTCATGATTTCCTCTTCATCATCCTCATTGTACCCGTCATATGCGTGAATACTGAACTTGGTGGCCTTTCCATCCTGTGCCGCTTCGACCTCAACCGGGTCTTGTCCTTCTTCGTGTATACTTCCATCAAATGATAGCTCGTCGTCCTTCTCCAGTTCCATGACAATATGATTCTCTTCCTCATCTAGCATGGGAACATCGTCATCACCAGTGTCTAGGCCATTATCAAGACCGATGATATCTTCATCGTCATGTTGGATAGTTTTCAGATATGCATCTTGATCTATTTCATATTCAGACTCCTCGCTTTCAGATATTTGTGGGACGTTCAATCTGTCTACTGCCACTGTCTTTACAGCTGGACTCTTGTTAGCTGAGCTTCGTGCATCATTCACCTCCTCACCCAGATCTTCGTCACTGCCGGGATCTCGTGGGGCTTCCCCAAACCGTATTCCATCGTCGTTTTTGAAAGTAAAAGCCATGGCATCTTCGTCGGGGCTTTCCTCCTTTGGCTCTTCTTGACTTCTCTGAACACTTTTGCCAATTTTCTTGGGGTCTCTGAGTCCAACGTCACTTTTCTTAGGCGACTTGCCTCCTCCTCGTTTTAAAGCGCCCATGGCCTGCATGGCCCTTTTCTTTCTCTCCAAGCTCAGCTTGACAAAATCTACATCGTCGTCATCTGAACTGGACGCCGAGCTGGAACCACTATTTCCACCTCCATTCGGACCATCGTCATCATCTATTTCGTCCTCATCCTCGTTGTCGTTATCATCGTCATCGCCACTGCTGCCTCCGTCACTGCTGTTTTCCATGGCACCTGCATTTGCAGAGGAAGATGTGGAGGCTGAAGATAGCGCACTGTCTGAGTCAATAGCGTTTTCCGGTATCAGTTTTCCGGTCTTGCCCTTCTCATTACTCACACCGCGCTTGGATTTCTTACTCATTTTAGGGTTTTTGAAACTGGCCTTGCGGCCACTCTCCAAATCCGACAACGCACTCAACGAAGAGTCTGACGAGTAGATCAAACTGAACCTCCGCGGCCTCGCATGCAAATGTGCACCTGACAGCACTGGTATCGACTTCCCACTCGCATTACGATTTTTGATATGCTTCAAATTTGACGGCTGTTTGCCTGCAACGGCTCCCGTCTTCTTGGGGCTCTTCCCAGCCATTCTTTTCTCACCAATCTCGCCCTAGAATCTACCACCACTGTGCTTTCAACTCCAAACTTGGATCTTGTACTAAAAACAGGCGGCTACCTGGTTCCACAAGTATTGTATATGTGGAGGAGCTAACTGTTTCTGCTCCTATAATAACCTGATTTATCGCCGGAAAAAAGCTCCAAAAAATTCTCTAAAACCTTGGAAAGTTTCCCTACCGAATTAAGTATGTTCAAAGTATCGAAATGCTTCACAAGTACCTCTTTCAGTGGTTCAAAATAGGGCCCTTGACTTTTAAAATTTTTGCAGGACTTCATCTTATATTTCATTCTCATCTCGAATTTTTCTTTTCGGAAAAAGTCACCGAGGATCCTGCTGATCCATGGAAGAGCTCATCGCATGAACTTTAAGGTGAACAAAAAACTTAGGCGTGGCATATATGAAGAATTATAAAATGGGATTTATAGACGAATGCTGTCCGTGAAACCTAAACCGACAATTAGATGACCTTGTTTTATTTATTTTTTTGAGCTGTTGTGTGTTTTTCTCTTGTAAAACCGTCAACAATCATGGTGAGAGTCTTGGCAAGAAATATTGCATTGTAATGGGTGGAAGGCAGATGCTGGGGACAAGAACAAGCCATCGTAAAAGCGCTTGGAGTCACCGATCATGCCTTGTAGGGCACCAATTGATGTAGTAGACGTGACATTTAGGTGTATGCGATTGTCCTGGGCAGCCTACTAAGCTACTGAGAAAAAGCCTGTACCGATGTCCCGCGGTACAAGAATGTGCCGCGAGATCTTAGGAGAGTTACCGATAGGATAGCTAGATCACCAGAATGTATACTAAAAGTGTCGTCAAATCTGTCGACAAGTAAGATGGTCAAAAAGTAGCCCTCTTGTGACTTCAAGTCTTGTATAGATACAATGCCATTTACTACATCGTCATAGCACATAGCTGGAAGTCACAGCCTCTGAGAAAAATGGCTGAAATTGTTTATGAAAGTTCGCCAAGTATTTCCTTCCTGCACGGCGTAAGCCTGAGTTTCGGGTGGATTGTGTTGTGAATGCGACCTAGTAAGCTGGATCGCAACAGTTGGATGACCCGGACTAAACAAGGCCAGGGACGGTCAAGTAATGCGTCTACACCTCTACCGTGGTGTTGGCCTTTGAGGCTTCAGAAACATAATTACCCGAGCTTTCTGTGAAACGATCTCGTTTTGACCGGCAGTTTGCAGCTTAAGGTAGAAAAACTGGACCACAATGTGTATCGGTGCTCACTAGCTGCGCAAGCGTTAATGGAACTGAACGATGCTTTTGCTACTACTGACTTCTACTATAATCGGAAAGGCCAATGTGTCAAATCTCTCAATAGTCTCTCTATATTGAAGCATCCACTCTAAGAGAGTTTTGTGTCATGTCTGGACACGTAACTTATAGCCAATGTGGGGGTATAAATCTAAAATTGGGATTGCAACCCAAGGGTCCGCTGATATCGAATGTGTAATGGCACCTGGTAGGTTCCTGTACACTGTGAATCTTAAATTCTTGGGCACATCGGAGATATATTTGTGCAGATCTTGCAGGTCCGTTCCAACATTTGTCTCCGTGTGAATACTGCAAAATCAATCCACTATCCTTCTCTGGCAGATTACCCATACGGAGCTCGAAACGTAAATCAGCCAAGTCGCTCTCCAGATGTGTAATCAAGTCTGAGTCTGAGTACTCTAGCCTCAAGTCATTCGTGTAGCGATCGAAAGCTGATTTCTGGTCGTATCCGTGGGTGTCAAATCGACCAATTACAACTTGGTTTCCTCCTGGCTTGTCCTCTTTTTGGATAACAGTTCCACTTTCGGGACTAAGAGAAATTTGGTAGACGTAATTGTCCACTTTCTGTTGTATGCTGTCAGGTGCAAGCTTTGCCAAAAGTTTATTCATATTTTGATGAAGAAGATCAGATGTAGCAGGGTCCTCTGCACCGAGACGTGATTGTTCTGTGATGTCTTTAAGACTTGCGGTTTTCCCCCTATATTCTCTTCTCAATGCAGCACATTTCTGCTCCAAAACCATGATTTTGGATTTGACGGCCGACAGACTCGACTTTCGAATGCCAAATGTATCGTACAGGTTACGTAGCAAACCATTGAAGCTAGTGGCGAATGTCTTTTTCCCCTCCCATGACGGATTGAGTAGTTGGCGCGCGGCCGCTTGTACCAAAGTTTCCAAATTCTCTATCTTCTCAAGATTCTCCTTTGAAACTTGGAGAGGCTCTGAAATCCTGGCATTTTTCGCTAAAAAGTCTCTGTACGTTGTAACCGCACTTTTCACTCCAGAATCCTGAAAATTGACGTTGTGGTTAGCGGATATATCATCCATAATTGCAGTCAGAGCCTGAAGGGTGTCAACCATGGACTCACAATATTTGAGTTTGATGTCTACCAAGGTTCTCGCCATTCCAAACTTCCCTTGTATGGCTTCAGGTGGTAAATGAGTCGATCCTTTCAAAAACATTTCAGGAAGTTCCTCATTTATGTAGGTTATTATCTGCTCCCTTTGAGTGCGATCTAAATTGGCGCTTACGCTACTATCTTTTTTGTGGCTTTGCATGAAATGATCGAACCTTTGCATGTTGCGATTCACCACATCGTCGTTAAGATTAGGGTTGTAGGTATCTTTGAGCGTATCCAATATCTTAATGAGCTGCTGGTATGCAGTCGAAAGGTATTCTGCTTGGCTAAAAATGTCGTGTATTGTATTTGTGATACTTGAGATATCAAGCTGCTCTAACCGAAGCATAAGTGGGTTTTCCTGTTGTAGTTTGTCATGGTAACTTTCCTTGGTGGCAGCCAGTTCTGCAACGCAAGCTTTGTGGTTCCGTGTGGCGATGTCAGCTTCAACCTCTAGCTTTTCCACAGCTGACCGTTGGTTGACTGTATTATCTTTGTTTGAATCTAAGCCGTGTCGACGTTCAAGCTTACGAAGGGCTGTAACGCCATTTTCGTAACCCTCCAACTCTCTTTTAACTAATGTGTTAAATTGGTCGTGCAGTTGAGAACAGGTAAACGGAGCAGCTGTTGCGCCATTTGGCTCGTCAGAGCAGTCACAGCAGTCGCACACCCCATCACCGACTTTGAACCCTGCCACGTACCTCGGAGCAAAGCCGTCATTTTGACAATAAAATCTAGACAGTTCCCCGCATGCGCCAGTGCCAGGCTCATCCGAACCATCAGGACAATCGCAGTAGTCGTCGTTGATCTGCGAGTAACTCAAAACTATCGATGGGTCGCTCAAACAGGCCCATTTGGTAGAATCGGATTCCAAAGGTTTATACAAATGCTGCAGGTCCTCTTCAACACCCCTGATAGAACCCGCCGCCGCCTGAAGTGCATAAAACACCAATTGGTAGCTCAATGTACCCAACATCGACGCAATAGAGTTGAAATGAGTCGATAGTCTGAACCTTCTTAGAGCTCCTAACTGCATGTTGTAATTTCAGCGAAAAGTGATGATGGGTACTCGTACTCAACTAAGCCAAGGGCGGCTAACCATATTCTAGCTAAGTTTAGGACAACCAGGTCAAGTTAAAAGGGTTTAGCCAAGCACAATCTGGCGTTGATGATGTGTTCCTTGAAGCTACCATGTAACTACTAAAAGCCATGATAATTGCCTCTTTATCGAATATCTGACGGTCCTGACAGGCTCGGCACATGTCAATATCAAGAGTCGAGCCTCTCAGTTTACAAACACAAGAAGCAAGATAACACATAATGGCTTAAACAGTGGTGCTGCACTATACTTATCGCATCGCCGTGGCAAGAGAGTGCTTCTTACATGGGCCATATGAGAGAGAAGGTGGGTCAGCGAAACAAGAGAACATTGGAGGTTTAGCACGACTCGCAGATATACTTTTAAACTCAAAATGCATTTAAATAGCCTGCTGCTCCCTGCCACAGCAGTCCCCTCAGGGAAGTCCTCGATCAATAGACGCAAACGACTTAAGTTAGGCCCTCAATACAATCTTCTGAAGGGAGGCAAAAATTTTGAAAACCGACAGGGTATAGGGCACACTAGAGATTCTCTGCAGCTGGTTATTTGGCTGGTGGTGGGTTGGACGTTTTCCGGTACTGATGTTTCGTCTTAATGATGATGAGCATTAGCTGAATGTCAGTTTTTCTTAATCGGGTATCCCAAAACATTGGAAAAATTGCACTATCAACGATGATCTCGAAATTGATACTGATCTCAAAGAAGTGGACTTCATCGGTAGCAGCCAGCACTCCAGCAAGCTCAGAAGTGTGAAATTAGAGAGTAAGTGGATCTCCTTTAGATCGCCGCATCTCCTAAGCGAGCCTTATCGTGGGAGAAATGTCACAAAGTGAAAAGAGGTCCTTGGCAGATCTGCCATTGGACGTCCTCATGGATATCTTATTCTTTCTTCCTTTCCAAGACCTGGAAAATGTTGGGAAAACATGCAGAACATTGCGGATACTGAGCAACGAGAGCGTGACATACCGGCGTACTTTAACGGCTCCAAATGACGCCAATAGATGGACCAGGCGATTGTTGATGGATTTCTTGCAGGTCGTGAATGAAAAGAGGCAGTTGCTGGAGTATATTGATGCGAAGGAAATTTCCATCGTCGCTGCTGTTAGTGAGGTACAGATGAGGTTTGAGCTGGGCTCGCAAGTACCGTTGCTCACGTACCAACACGGGCGAGCTTTACAAGATCTATCGGAGGCGAACCAGCGCGCAAATGCTGACAGTACTGCGAAAGGTTCCTCGGCCAAGGATGACTTAGCCAAAGATGACTCACTCGTCTATCCCAGAACGCAGAGCTCGTCAACCTTGCCGAAAAGCAGTGCACACCATGATAGGGAGGGATTGGCGTACCTAAAAATCTTGCAAGGCTTTCATCGAATCGCAACAAACAGCCATAAACTACTGAAAAAGCGACACGGGCGCAAGGTTGGAACACCATCATCACCACTATCGTCATCTTCGTTGGCTCTCTCTCAAAACGGTGGCAGGCCGCATACCCCCAACAAGAAAGGGCACTTGAACGTCGCCCTTACACCTATAGAGTTTCAAAATTATGCCTCAAGTGCGAGGAGTACCTCCGAAACGGAAAAAGGTGATAGCGGCTCACCTGATTCCCTGCAACGTTCACGTTCTCCAAGCTCCATTTTCTCCGACGTGCCAAAGCTATCAGACTTAAGTTGGTCTTATTCTGATGACCTCAAGGATTTGGAAGCCAATAATACAGACTCGGGAAGTGATAACAGCACTGACTCGAGCTCCTCAGTTAAGTACCTAAAGGAATTACAACGGTCAACCAAAGTGAGTGACAAGAAGGATTTATTTGAACGACTCAGTACGCGGTTGCAAAAATCAAACGAGACCCTACCGATGAAAAATGATCTTGGGTTGGAAGACTCTTCTTTTATTATGCGGCCAGCAACTAGCAGCGGAAATTTGTCACAGAGGTCTCTTGAAGACTTCGGTTCTTGTATTTCTCCGAGTTTGCATCCTCCCCTTGAACATTCTAGAAGCTCACAGGGATACCTTTCTCGATATAAGGAGCATGTAGCGGTGGGTGGTAATAGCACGTCTAGCGCAACCCGAGCAAAGTCTCATCAACGCGGACTAAACGCCACTCCTCATCGACGAACCCTAGTGGCCAAGATTACGGACAATAACCGGATATGCTACGAATCACTTTAACGACACTCATGAATATAATCTAAATATAATAAACGAACGGAACGATCTTATATGAACTTCAAGACCATTTCAGAGAAACTTCCTATGAAACCCAAACCAATATCCATGAAGGCAGACCATCGCACGTATGAGTAGCGGAACGCGATTAAGTCGAGTCTCAGGTTTAAGAATAACAAATATGCTCTATAAAATTTCCATTCCAATCTATGATCTGGGCTGATCTACTTGTAACCTACTATACCAGTGTGCTGGAATTTACTACAAAATGAAAGACGCACACTTCTCGTTCTAGAAAACCCCCCAGACAGGTTTAAAGTTTGTGGATCGAAGTAGATAATCGTCTAGAATTTCCATAAAAATATTTCAATCTGACGCCGAGATATTTGACCTTACTAAATTCAAATCAGCGCAGTCTCTAGAAAGCCAAGTCCCCTCGAATACATTAACAAAAAAATACAACTGTCATCATCCATAGTTTCATAAAAATATCAATACCAATACCAATGGGGCTCACCAAAGAACTAAATATTTTTGTTGGACTTCATTGCGTAGCCGTATTTGTCAATTTAAGGTAATCAATCCAAGACAAAATAGATCGAGTCATACACGAATAGAGTGCCAGTACCGCTAAAACTACCTACATAAGCTGTAGCATAGGTGGAGTTAATGATCTACCATGGAAAGGTAAACCAAATCGTAAACAGTGATAATTAAACTAGTTCTTTTTTGGATGGGTTAGAACATATCGAACTAGTGATGACACCAAAAGGCAGGTTGTTCGACCGCTTTAATTGAATTCGACAGCGGAAATATGTCACAAATAGCAGCAAAATCCCCCGCTACAACGTTGGAGGGGTTCAATGCTCGCATACTATGGCCTGACATGATTAAAACACCTGAAAATAAATGGGTGTATTCCTGCAAGCAAATCGTGGACAGGTTGGGCAGCGATCCTCAGGCAGCCGCAGAATTAAAGAGGCGCATGGAGAAATGTCTCATGTATTTTTATGTGATGAAAAAACAATTGAAACTTTTTGACCACACATACACTGCTGCATGCATTCTCTTCTTCAGATATTGGTTTGTATACGGCTTGCCGCCAGTTCTGAACGAGTGTATTCATTTGTCACAGGCCCTGCTGGTCACGGCATGCAAAACTGTTGAGAACAACAGACCGATAGATGCTTATGTGAAAGGTACCTGCGAGTTTATTTTGAAAGATGCTCCTTCTCGTGCCAGGCAAAATGCGGAAAAATTGCGATGGGAGCTACGAGACAAGTTAGTCGCATATGAAAGACAAATTTTATGCCAAATGGGATTCGACCTGAATTTGCACAACCCCAAGGAGCTTATAGAGGAAATATTCAGTGGATTCTTTCGCTACAACAGAGACCATAATATGAGTGAGCAGTTCACAAAAGTCTTGCCAAAGTTAATCCAAGATGCGCGCAACTTCATAATTCAGGCTGGAACGCAGCCAGTGTCCTTGCTGTGCGATGGCTTTACCTTTACTGCGCTAGCCTTGGTGTTTAGCGGATTGAAATTCAAAAAAAGTGTTGATTCAAACTTCAAGTTTCCCAAAAACTTCTTTTCAGAGCGTTTCCCCTTCCCTGTAACCCCCCTATTATTCGTAGAGCTCCTAACGGATTACAGGGTATTAGAAGAGAACTTTTTTGATCTCAAGAGCAATAAGGGCGCAGAGCTTGAGGTTTCCATTGAAGAGATGCGCTCCCTCTTAGAAGAGGACGAAAATGCGGCGAAGCTTTCAGAAGAAACTTATTGCGTATTCCCTTACGAACAGATGAAAGATGGTGTAGTCAAAGAGGAACTTTTGAAGAGCATCGAGAGTCGTATTCATGACTTGACAGAGAAAATAAAAGCCGCTGGCGAGACCAACGACAAGAGGGCAGTTAGAAATGAAGACTCACCAGAACCTGCTGAAAAGAAACGAAAACTGTAGATATACCCGAAATTCCCCTTTAGACGGGCGATTCAGACAATGGCCAAATTATGTCTAATCATACCGGAGAAAATGTAGGATCATAGATTTCCTCCAAAAGACCCCGCAAGCTATCTGTCAAATTTCCCTTATTATCTAGGTAGCAATGCTCCCAGAAACGGACCCAAGAGAGACCCATCTGCCATTGTGTTTCCGAAAATTCTTGATGAAGCTGTGGACTTCCATATATTTTGCGTTTCGCTTTGAGTTTAGCGGCACTGAGCAAAAGAGTTATATCGTGATTGTGGTCGTTACCAGACTCTTCATAGACAGCGTCAACCATAATGATCTCATCACCATGAGTTTTAGCCAAAACCTGAGGACATTGGACGCACTTAAGGCTCTGGTTTGCGATGGATAAACTGCCCCATTCTTTCATCACTGTGTTGACGAAAAGTATATAGGCAGGTTTAACATCAAGGCGCACAGAGTCTGCTTGCCTGCTTCCACTAACTTCAAACTCAAGAAGTTCTTTAACTTTGTAGAAAAAAGTCATAATGCATAAATGAATTCCTCCATACAACAAAATTCCTTCCAGTATCTTTTCAAAAGTATAAGAAATTGTGGGATCACCAGCCAGCTTGAAAGTGGACGCCAATATGTATTTTCGAATCATTCCTTCAACATGACACCGTTGAGGCCGGATTGCATGTGATTTTGATGTGCCCATACCATCCACTTCGCATAGAGGACCTCTTAGCAGCGCGATATATTTCTCCATGGAACCCAAAACTGTGAATAACTTATCCATCATGAAGTAGTCCAGTTCGTCGACGCATGTTAATATGCTAGGCTCAGTACAGTCCAAGATGTTGGCCAGCAATCCCTCAATAATTTCCAACCGATTGACTTTAAAATCCGCGCCGCTCCTCCATTTCGTACACTGGGGTTTCTCAAAAACATTCAGAAGCGACTTGGCACACAGCAACGACAAGGAACGCTCATAGTCCAGTGATCTGACTAATTTTATGTGAAGAATACCGGGAAGCTTGCGCGCTTCATGTAAAAATTGTAAGATCCACCTGAACTTGAAAAATGACTCTCCGAAATCACCATCAAAATAATTGAGATAGGCCATTACGGTTTTGGCAAGGATTACTAACTTAATTTTGAGTTCCAAAGAAGATCTATTGTACAGTTGGCCTCGAGAAATACTTTTAAGCAAAAACCGAGGGTCGACTTCCAAATCTAATTCGGGATGGCCGGTGATTTCTGTTTCTAAGAGCAGCTCAAGAGCAGCCCTGTTTTGACTACACTCTTCGAGTGCACTTCGGAAGCAATTTCTTGGGCACAAGCTAATCACTAGTTCAAAAAATAACCTTGAAACCTCTATTAATGAACACCTCTCAATAGAGGCTGCCAAGATTGATATCTGATGTCTGAAAAATTTCATCAAGTTGTGAAAACTTGGTTGTTTTGAGAGACTCAAGGCTTAAACGTAAGGAAGTTAGAAGATCTTTCTCGCATGGTATTTTCTGTTTGTTATAATCTGGTAAACTACCATCGATAATATCAGCCAAATGTAAAGGGTATTCAGTCTTTGACCTACCTTCTGTCATAATATCCAATGTGAAATATGGAATACTGCTAAGTAACTGCTCCTTGTATTCGCTGTCGTTTACGTATGTGTCTGTAACTCATCACAATTTAAAGTACTGTAAATGAGATTCAATGAATTTCACTGACACTTAATGTTTACAAAAATAAGTGATGAACAGTGATGAAACCGCAAGAGGATCACAGCAGGTACTGAATGAAATCAGAGAAGCCCACTTGATTGAGATGCAGGTCAATCAAACCTCAACGGACAATGGGAGCAGATCAAGTCCTTCAGACAAAGTATCAGCCACTTGTAGTGGGGATAATAGAACCCAGGAAAACGAAAACTTGCAGTGGATTGGTAGGGAGGATGATGACTTAACAGAGCTGGACACTATAAGGAATGATTCGCATGGAGATGCGAGAATTGACCCTGCTGCCTTTACTCCCAATTTAAACAGGGTTAAGGCGTTCTTCCTAAACAAGAGCGGCAGTAGTCCGTCCAACATAGCGGCTAGGCTTAGATATCGAAGCTCTCCCGCAGACACACCTATTTCGCAACGAACAAAATTGGGATTGGGCCCTCGGAAAACCCCACCGGAGACCATATACCACCGGATGCGCGAAAACGTCGCAACTGAACTAGAGAGGGACGGAACCGGGTTTCTGGAACAGAACGCTGTTTTTGGGGATGAGGAACATACAGTACACACAGAAAGAGAGAGACGCGGCACGCCCGGTGGGGGCAATTCTCATGCACTTCAAAATAACAGGGAAGGGTATACACCTACAATAAAGTCCAATGCTCTTAGTGCTTTTCATGCACATGATGAGCCTTCCAAAGTAGAGCTCACGCCCTTGGCAGAGCGTCGTAATTCTCAATCAGATGTCTTTGACACTACTCTACATCCATCCCAAAAGGTTGTTAATCAAAATGATATATATGATGGTGGTGCCAGTACGCAACCGATAGATGCTACAGATGAGAAGTCAGTGATGGTTGGAAGGTTCGAAGGATCTGCTACTCAGGTAGACTGTACATCCTTAGCACCTTCAACTGCCTTGGAAGCAAATGAGCATCTCTTTGATTCTAAATCACCACTGGTAGCCAGATTTACGTCTGGAGAGGTGGAGGCTGCTAAATTGAATGAAACAAGCAATAGCTCGTGCATGCAACTTGTCTTATCTCCATACAATGGTGAAAATCTACCCAGTAAAGGATGTGGACCTGATGACGAGCCTAGCATACGCGAGGTGACGAGTACGCCATCGAAAGTACAGGCAAATAGGCATGAACTACTAACAGAGAGTGCCACAGAAGACTCCTCCCGTAGGGGGTCTATTTTAGATGACAGTGAAAAAGGGATTAGACTTAGGTTTTCAAACATTTGTCAAGAAGATGAGAATCGATATGAAAGAGATACAGAAGTCGAGAACCTCATTTATAGTGATGTGGATAAAACTCAGGATTTACCCGAAATAGATGAGGGTATTCAGGTTGAAGGAAGCAAACTAGACATACCAAAAACGTTAGAGGACGAGCTCGAAAGTGTAGAAACTCATTCTCCAGACAGAGAGCTCAACGGATTGCAAGGGTCGACAGAAACTTCTCAGGACGTAGTGAAGAACAGGAGATTATTGCAAAGGAAGAGGAGAGGCTCCGTGAAGTTAAGATGCTCTCCTGAAGATCTCGAAATAAATATAATTACCACTGAAAGCTCGCCTCCAAAAAAAGTGAAAGCCAAGGGCGATACGCAGGCCCATATTGAGGATGGTAGCAAGTTCACGGTAACGACCAGTAAAAACTCAGGGAAGGAAGGTTCCCTACTAGACAAACAACCAACGCAACAAGCATTAGAAAGCGGAGCTTGTCTATACCAACCGATAGGAGCTACAACCACGACTATGGATTACCTCACTAAAAGGGACCTTCAATTTCGTGATGCTGTCTGGTGTCGTTACAGTTTCAATTACATATATTATGCTGGTAAAATTACGACGACCAACTACGGCTCCAGTGAGCTCGAGGTGCTGTTCGAGTCTGGTAGAACGATGGTGAAACGGGAAGATATGCACTATCTAGATTTGGTGGTTGGAGAAACTGTTTTATGGGACAGCAAACCTTATACAGTAGTGGCGCTTAAATGCTCTTCGAATAAGCCAGATATGATAAGGTGTGTACGCGGTTACGATACGGTAGATCTCAAGAGAAGGACTAAAAATGGCAAACTAGGTATGAGAACGCTTACAAAACCAATATCTTCGATTACACTTACGGAGGCACTTTGGGCTAAACGTCCTAAAATAATACTTTCTGGACAATCTCAAGATCGTGCGCATGCATTCGAAGACCTCACACGTCCGATTCGGGGACGACGGTCTAACACTATGATCACTCCTGTTAGCCCACATAAAAACATGGCCGAATCCAATGACTCTGGTATGCTTTCGCTGGACAGTAAACCGGTTTATATCAACACCGAAATGGAAAGCAATAAGTTCATGCATATGGACAGATCTAACGATCCATCTATACATGGAATATTTGAGCATTGCATCTTTCTTCTAAGTGGCCTCGGTGATCGACATAGAGAAAGACTCTCTTCAATAATCGAGCAACAAGGAGGGATTGTATCGAAAGCCAGTTTTTCAGGACTTCTCAATTTCGAGTCGCCTTTGGTTGTAGGCTCAAATGACGTAGATTTGGCTTCTTTCAACTTTGCTGGTTTGATAACTGAAAAGCATTCCAGGAGCCTAAAGTACCTAGAAACAATTGCAATAGGACTACCAACACTGCACTATAATTTTATTGATCACTGTATTTCCGAACAAAAGTTTGACATTGCGGGCATGTTCAAGTTTCTACTGCCCGCTGGAGAGAGTTTTCGATTGCAAGCAAAATCTGACTTGAAAACTGGTGTAGTGAAGTCCTCCAATATTTTTCATTGCTATTCAAAGCTGCTTGAAACATCGTCCGTGCAAGAACAAATTACCACAAGGCCATTAACGATGAGTGATTACCATGTCATTATTTGCGGGTCTTCCGATTTAGACAATTTTGTCTCGTTCGCGTTTTATGTCTTAGGCGCTACTTCAGTTATAACTCGGAGCATCGACGGTCTTTTCAAGCAGCCCTTTGAAGCAGCGGAATGTGCTGACAGAATAGCGGGCGCTATCGAAGAAATGAAGTTGTCACTTCCTCTAGAATCTAGACTCCTAATTTATCTGAACTCTAACAACGACAAAGGGCCTTATTTCAATGACATCGAAGATTGTCTAGGTCTTAGATTAAGTGCTCAACATATATATGTGGAAGGAAAAGAATGGCTAATCCAAACTATCATCAACGAGGATACAGGTCACGGACAAAGAGCGAATACCAAAAATTTCCAATTTGGCTAGCAAACGCTCGTTTTCCTCAAGAATCAGTTTCAAGCCGAGTACGATCACGTCTCTCATTCTCAGTATTTCGATCCAACTGCCTTTCAAGTACTAAGAAATCTAGGGAGAGCTTTTCCAGAAAATGGGCATGCGCAAACTTCTCAAAAATGTAATAAAAGAAGCACTTAGCGACCACCACGTATTTTTCGGAAAGACGGTAGTGCTCCGCAAATCCCTTTTTTCTGCTGACCACTTCTGAAATTTGATCTTCAGATAAACCGTTTTCAGATGCCTGACGCTTCGGAGAATTCAAGGATTGCTTGGAATCCGTTGAGTTAGAAGTGTTGACACCGAAAGCAAACTCGGTAGACTGTTCAGGCATTTTCAGAAAGTTTGCATCATTAAATGAGTAAACAAGAACATTGTTTATTAGTTTTTCCAATTGGTCTATGTCAATTTGAGGAGTAGAGTTCTTGAAATTCCACTTGCCAGGCTCATGCGAGAACTTGCGAAATTCTTCTGGGCAAACCGAGACAAGCTTTGGAACAAGGAGCTGGTTCGCCAGTTTCTTCAACTCATTATAAATGCACAGTAATTTAAAGTTCGGCGTGGCCTCAAAATCCATGATAAATTTAATAACGACCAAAAAATTATAATAGTACCCCTCCAAGTTCAAGACCGATAGTTTTGATTTGTTGAACTCGATCGAGTCGTCCTTACTCTTGAACAGTTTTGAAATATTTTTTATCGAAAAGTTCAGAGCGACCAAAAAATCTGTCACTAGGCCATACGACCCTTGGGCCAAAATGTTCGTTTCTCTGGGTATCAAGAAGCCTTCAAACAATTCTAGTATTGCGTTGTTCCAGACCTTTTGAGAAAACAAGGGGTCAATCTTGCAGAAAAAGATCATACACGTAAGGGAATTCCGCATGTCGATAGCGCTTTCAATCAAAATTGGGGAACTTGGGACGAGCGAATTAGACTGAGGCAAGTTCATTTCCAACTTTCGGGTATCAATTTTCGTCAGAAAAACTTGGAAAGGTATTGATGACCTGTTTTTCTTGATGTTGTTGAATTCATAGAACAACATGGCGCTGCAGAGAAATTCAGGTATTAGATGCATGCCGACATTACTGAAAGCAAAGCTTCGGTAGAATTTTTCAAAAGTGGTAGTGTATTGCTTGTGACTGGAGTTAGGATGTTCCTGATATGAGGTTGAATGCCAGGCTTGTTCACTGTCCGGGATGACAGTGCCACTTATTTGCGAGTCGTTCAAAAATAGTGGTGCGTCGATATTACAGAACACCTTTAAAAATTGACAAACTTTATAGGTCATAAGGACAGTTCGCACCGTGGATTCGTAAAGCATATATTGAGTCAGCGACTGAAAGATGAACACTGGAGTTGAAGCTGTTGGCAACAAACTTGCTTTGACCAAAGTACAAAGAGCCGAAACTTGCTTTACCACCATCTCTGCGTTTATGCGTTCCAGTGGGTCCGCAAACATGGCAAATACAACACTTAGGCACAAAGATTGAATGAGCCACAATTTTCCTCGGCCCTTCTTCTCAACTAACCCTTCTTCTTGCTTTTTTCTCGAGGTCAAATATACATGCAAGACTCGGCGGCTCTTTTCGTAAAGGTCAAGGCTTTGAGCGCGAGCGCCGGGCTTGTAAAGTGACCCAATTGTTGCAATGAATAACGGCAGACAGACAATATTAGAGTAGTGAAAAACCTCATCTTCAGTGTAGTCTGCCTGCCCTTCGTGGATGTACTTTTTAAAGTCGTCTAACCCCAAAGAAAGTAAACGCGGATGAATGAAGGGATAGTGAACCAAGAACGAAGTCTCAAAGAAAGTAGCGAAAGAATTCAATTCTTGGCAGGTCGGAAGTTCGGAAGTAGGACTTTTAGTGCTTTTTGAATGCTGGTCAGATGCGTTATCATAGTAAAACTCCAAAGTTTTGATGCACATGTCACGAACCTCTTTGGTAAAAAATTGGGAAGATTTGGCCGAATCTTCACGAATTATAGCGGGTGAAGTAGATAAATTGGAGATCCCTAAAAAATTCTGGCCCTCATTGGAACTTTTACTTGTATATCTCCCGGGACTATGAGACAGGTCAAATTTTCCAGAGTCTTCCACTCGTATGGGAGAATGCGAGTAGCTAGATGAATGAAATACTGCTGCCGGCTCTAACTGAGGCAGCTCATTGATATCCTTAGCATTTGGAAGCCGCACAGTTGTGTTGCGCGACTCGTCAGCACCAGGTTTAGACGAAAACTGGAAATCATTGAAACGGGAAATAATATCGTGGTTATTATCCAGATTGCGTGGTTGCGCCATATTCCCGTCACCCCTGTCGAACAGAGAAGGAACACGGGATCCAATATTGGAGCCCTGGCTTCCTTGTAGTTTACGCTTATTTTGTATTGTATTGGGTTCGAAAAGTGAGTTAACAACTAAATTGTTGCCTTCAAATTTCCACGTAGACGACCGACGACTTGAGCCCCCTAGAAAGTTTGAGATTCCGCTAGGCAGAGTGCTGCTTAGTTTGCGAACATTTGAACTTTCGTCGCCACTTCCTTGGCTCCAACGGCTACCGCTACTAACAATTCCAGCAGTCATAGGCGAATCTCCTGAATCGCTAGACTCTTCTAGCATTGGGATAGCGTTCATTTCATTAATCCAAGTATTACGATCTAGAAGGTTGAAACTTGCAACGGCGGATCGATTCAGATGCTTTAATGAGGACTGGTCTTCAGTTGTTAGATCAACAGGCAAAAGATGCGGTGTAGAGAACTCAACGCGGCCCATGTCGGCTCCTTCTTCGCGAGCTTGTGATGACCCTGTGTACTTCTCCGCTGACTGTGCAGAAAATGAAGCTCTTCTCAGTGTCGCACATTGTTTTTTGTGGGTACTTCGAGAGTGAAGCCTTGTGACATCGTTCGAAATAGTACCTTCGCATGTTGCATCAGTCCTAAGTTCGTCTCTGCCTATCTCATTTGACGTCTCGGCCAGGGATACGCTCTTTCGTTTACGCCGCGGGCAATTTAACGAGTCTCCGCAATTACCGTTATGCGCTTTTTGAGCATGCCGCAATAATAGATCTCTGCGCGTGAATTTGCGTTCACATAACCCACAGTGGTATGGCTTCTCCTTCGTATGTGAGCGCCCATGCCGGATTAGATGTTCTTGTCGCGCAAAAGCCCGCGTACACACCTTGCACACGAACAGGCGTGGCTTTCCACTGGGCGTTTGACCTTGAAACCTAAGGTTCTCCGGGAGTTCTCGAAACCGTTTGTTGATCTTAGCATTCATGTTGTTACTAGCAGTGACAGTTCCGGCCGTCCCCGCAGTGCGCCCGGAAGGAGCGCCAGTGTTTGGCACCATTTCTTCAACGTACTGTGTATTCTCTAGCTTTATCTCAGGCTGTGTGCTTCCATCACCGAGAATGGCCCTAGAGCGACCCATTTGTTGCAGAGCACTGCCGCAGGGGCTACCTAACCTCTGCATCCCAGCAGTCGCCATCGTAACCTCTTCCTTCTGCCAGATAGGACTCTACAGAAGAGATTAAACTATCCTTTTGTTGTGGTGTTGGTCAGAGTCGCAATTCTACAGAATTAGCCGCCGAACTTCTCTCAAAATGCCGAAACTTCTACGTTCAAAATAGGATTTAGCGAGAAACAAGCCCATACACCCCAAAAGCTTCAGTTAAAAGATTAAATCCTCTTTATCCTTTGGTTTTGCAGTAGTTATAAGTTAAGACTTCTGGTGAGCATTGTCTTAGCCTTATATATTTCGATGTCACGGCTATGCAAACCCCTTGTGTGGGGTAAACGGAAGCAGGAAGAAAATGAATTTGGCAAATTAGGTCGTCACATACGAAATATAGCGAGCTGGGCGGAGCGACTGGTCTTGATAGGAAGGACGGATGTGTTTGTAAGACTGTGTAGCTTGAGATAACATAACCATAGATAGAGTATGGAGCAGAGTGGTGACTTGATAGTATATTTGTTGGGAATGATGTGAATAAACTGATGGTGATGTGCGTCTAATCGCATAATCAGCGTCAGTAAATATGTGACACAGTGGTACAGAATGATAGTACACAACCGAGGCCATACAAGTAGAGCTACAAGCTAAGACAAACCGAAGAGAACAACTATTGTCCAATGGGATTGGCCATTGATAAGTTATCGGTAGTGTACGGCATTGAAGCCGTAAATCCTTGGGCAATAGAATGATCTAGAATTGGTGATTAATAAATATGTTGACCAGAGTCACCGAGTGAGAATTGTATAAATACCAGGCTTTTGTTCAGGTAACTGAACCAACTCTAATGCCCAAAATAATCACGGAGAGATAAATAGAATTCCCTAGATCCAAGTTACTCATCTTACAATGACCATGTCCGACTTACAAGACAAATTTAGTAAGCTTTCTACTGATGAATCAGATTCGCCTCAATAATATTGTCTATAAATTTCGAAACTTTCAAAACTGGATCACTGGAGCTGAGACGCATTGTGGCCAGTTTTACTACTGCTGGAACTGACCGATTTTTACAAGAGCTTTAGTCTAAAGGGAGGGAGAGAGAGAGCCAAATTCCCAAATATTCAATGCATGCCTAGTTGGTTTGTCAAACCGATAAAGTGAACACAGAATCTAGCCAGCTATCGGCCGCAACGTTAACGCATCTCGGCGCACAAAGGTTATTGGCACTCGCAGACTGGCTGAGCTATTGGTTTGATTCGTCGAAAGAATTTGCGAAAAGGCTGGCCAGGGCTTTTCTATGTAACCGCTGCTTCTCTGGATCCCATTGGTTGATCATTCACCTTGTCCATTGTTTTACTGACGTTGATAATGTCACTTCATACCATACTGACACAAAGGTCGATGGTTGCCGTTACGCAGCTCGATGGCATTCAATCAGCACTAGACAACTACGGTCCGGTAGTTTTCACAAATCCACACCATTATGCACGGTGTATACCAATAAATTGAAGGAAAAATTCACCAAGTTAACTACTTCCGAGATGGGGTGGGCAGTGTCCATCACTTTCTTCGCTGGAAGCCATTCATTGCTATTGAGGCGAATCTGGTTCATCAGTAGAAAGCTTACTAGAGTTGTCTTGTAAGTCGGTCATAGGCATTGTAAGAAGAGTAGCTTGGGTCTAGGGAGCTCTCTATCCATCTCTCCGTACTTATTTCTGGCACTAGAGTTGGTTCAGTCACCTGAACAAACGCCTGGTATTTGTACAATTTTCGCTAGGTGACTCTGAATAACACAACTATTAATCATTCGTTATAGATCATTCTATTGTCGATGGATGACCGCTCAATGCCGATAACTTATCGATCGCCAATCCCATTGGACAGTAGATCTTTTCTTCGGTTTGTCTTCGATGGTAGGCCGATTCCCATGGCCTCTGTTGTGTACTATCATTCTGTACCACTGTGTCACATATTTGCTGACGCTGAGTATGTGATTAGACGCACATCACCATCAGTTCCCTACCTCGCGGTGCCCCATCACCATACCACATAGATTGCGGTCGTGACAGTATACTACTAAGTGACAGAGTAGAGCGAAGACCAGGGATACAAAGGAAAAGCACTTTGGGCAGTGGAAGAACGCTACAAAGACTGCCCAAAGTATTACCTTCGACCCTTCCGTCCACCGTTTCTTTTTAAGCAGCTCAGGCACAACTTCTGTCCCTAGCTCAAAGTTTAAACAACCAACTCACGGCAGTTACCGGAACCCTCGATATGTTTTTTTGAAGCCCGTGTTACGTACCATCCGTTTACCGAACAACAGACGCCGGTTTTTTACACTATAATCTCTTCCGTCACATAATATCAGTGCTTGTTCTCTTCCGTCACAACTATCAGCAGTTGTTCTCTTCCGTCACAACTATCAGCAGTTGTTCTCTTCCGTCACAACTACTGATTGCTCGGCACAACCGAATAAATCCAGCTGGGCAACTTCAACAACGAAGCGGGCGTCGCATGGCCACGTCTCCTCGCTCCATACACCATCGAGCCCGGGATAAAATAGGCCATTGTTCGTTGGGTGATCTTCGCGGGACAAATTTCACCGGTAACCTCCGCGGGACAAATTTCACCGGTAACCTCCGCTGGGGTCTCCCATTCCTGCTGGTTTTAAATGACCCAACCTCCGCCCTTCCTCTTCTCTACCTGCTCCCAAGCCAGCGTCTTCTATGCCATCCTCCAGCCGTGCAATGCCAACCGCTTCCCTCAGCAGCATAGAAGGAAGACTCTCGTCCCACGTACAGCCCGACAAGATATCAGCTGACACACGGTCAGCGATCGGCCAAATGCGTTCGGTCCAATTTAGGAGCTGATCACTAATTTCATTTTCCATGGATTTTTAGCCCCAGAGGACGCAGCACCGGAGATGGCCGAATGCCAAAAACTCGAAACTTCCTCGCGACGGCCTAACGATGCCACCACACACACCGCGAATTCCCACCCTACACAAGCACGCCAGCCCTGCTTTGGCCCCAGGTGCCGATCTGATAGCGATTTGAACTCTACGCCGGAAACTTGCGTAGATGATATCACAAGTGCCCGCGACAAATAATATAATGTATATATAAAATATGTGTATATATTATATATATATATGGGTGGTTGTAATGGAGAGACTTGGCCGATCCAAATTGGGTTAGAACCAGAGAAAAAAGGTTAAGGAATCTTACACCGGTTAGAAGTCATAGACATTCTAGCAGCGCTTGCCTCAACTCCAGCGATCTAGCATCAAGACCCCGACATGTTGAATCCGTCCCAAGCCGTGGACTCTGGCGTCCAAGTCTTGGTGGACATCGATTCCACCCCACAGTTCCAACCTTCCAAGACCACAGTGCAAGATATCCTGACCCCAGAGGCGCTGGGCTTCGTGGTTCTTCTGCACCGCACTTTCGACGCGCGCCGTCGCCAGTTACTCGCCAACAGACAAACCGTACAGGAGGAGCTGGACCGCGGCACGTGCGAGCTCGGGTTCTTGCCCGAGACGAAGGCCGTGCGGGACGATGTGTCCTGGCAGGGCGCCTTCCCGGGGCCGGGCCTCGCGGAGAGACACTCTGAGATAACCGGGCCTCCCCTCCGCAACATGCTGGTGAACGCTCTGAACGCGCCCGTCTCCACTTACATGACGGACTTCGAGGACTCCGCAGCGCCCACCTGGGACAACTGCGTGTATGGACAGGTCAATCTGTACGACGCGATTCGCGATCAGGTCGATTTCCACACCCCACGCAAGGAATATCGCCTGCGCGACAAGTTTGCCACGCTGCCCACGGTGCTGGTGCGTCCCCGCGGCTGGCACATGGAGGAAAAGCATGTGTCGGTGGACGGCAGGCCGCTTTCTGCGTCTCTGTTCGACTTCGGCCTTTATTTCTGGCACAATGCGCACAAGCTTGTGGAGATTGGCAAGGGCCCGTACTTCTACTTGCCCAAGATGGAACACCACCTCGAGGCGCGCTTGTGGAACGACGTCTTCAACGTGGCCCAGGACTACATCGGCATGTCGCGTGGAACGATCCGCGCGACCTCGCTGATAGAGACGCTTCCAGCGGCTTTCCAGATGGAGGAGTTTATCTACGAGCTGCGCAACCACTGCGCGGGCCTCAACTGCGGCCGCTGGGACTACATCTTCAGCACTATCAAGCGCCTGCGCAACAAGCCCGAGCATGTCTTGCCCGACCGCGACCACGTGACCATGACCGCGCCCTTCATGGACGCCTACGTGCGCCGCTTGATCGAGACCTGTCACCGCCGTGGTGTGCATGCCATGGGCGGAATGGCGGCCCAGATCCCGATCAAGAACGACGTCAGCGCGAACGACGCTGCGATGGCCAAGGTTCGCTCCGACAAAGAACGCGAGATGACCAAGGGCCATGACGGGTCTTGGGTCGCCCACCCTGCCCTGGCACCCATTTGCAACGAGGTATTCGACCGTATGCTCACCGCAAACCAGATCCATTACATCCCAGAAAGCAACGTCACTGCGGCTGACTTGCTCAACACCCGTATCTCTTCTGGAGGTGTCACTACAGACGGAATCCGTCAAAACCTGTCCATCGGCCTACAATACATGGAGGCGTGGCTACGTGGATCTGGGTGCGTCCCCATCAACAACCTCATGGAGGATGCCGCCACCGCAGAAGTCTCGAGATGCCAACTGTACCAGTGGGTGACGCACAGTGTGAAGCTCGCCGACACTGGCGAGGTGGTGACGCCGGACCTGACCCAGCGCATCTTGGAGGAGCAAGTGGCAGAACTGTCAGCAAAGAGCCCTCTTGGAAACAACAACAAGTTCGCCCTAGCAGCCAAATATTTCCTGCCGGAGATTAGGGGCGAAAAATTCAGCGAGTTTTTGACCACACTACTTTACGACGAGATCGTGACCGCCAAGACAGCACGTCTGTAAGAGTCTACTAGTCGAAGCCGGCGATGCTCTTCTATAATGTATGCATGTTGGATAGTTTATTGTACAGCGCCACAAATATCATTTTGTACTATGGGCACGTACCTTCCCCTTCAAAATCCGAAAACAAAAGCGCCGTCCTGTTTCCTTGACCTCTGAAGTCTGGATATACTGTTCATTCTTGACGTGGGGCTTTCCCTGCCCAGATTAGCTCTCTTCCTCTCCAGAAGCCGTCTTTAAGTTCCCATTTTGTTACCTCAACTTAGGTCAAAATCACAATCATCATCGACGGACATCACCAACCCACGTGTGTGTCTGCCCTTATTTTCTCCTCCTCCTCGTTGTCATCCTGTCCACCACAAAATTCAATATATTTACCAACTGAAAATTTAACAGTGGATAAAACTCAACTGTTCAGAGACACTCGGATCTTGGACTAGGGCTCATCTTAGCGGCGGTTTACACATCCAACCGGCCATAGTAGGTATTTGCAGGCCACTGGAGCTGGAAGCAAGTGGTGTTTTAATTTTCTTTGAGCTTCGCGCCCCGTTTGACAGCGCCAAAGAGTGGATCTAGCCAAGGCGTTTTCGATCTAGGAGGACGTACACAAGAGAGCTCCGGCAATCAAATCGAACCGTTTTTTGCACTTTTATTCTGCCCGCGCTGCCTGGTGCCAGTATCGTCACTCGCTAGGTTTGACGATTAGCCGCGTGAAGAATAGCCAGTTCCCCCAGGGTCTTGCTCTCAAACTGATATAAAGCTCAAACGCGACGCCAACCGCAAGAGAAAACGTGTTCAGAAACAAATATGGTCGTGAATGTGTCTCCCAGGAGCAGTATGAGCCCCAGAAGCAGGAGAGGCTCGACGATCAACAATCTGCTGAACTCCATGGGGATCAGACAGGGCTCTCACTCATTAGAAGGGGCCGCACACGGATCCAGTACTTTGGAACCGATCGCAGCAGGAGCTGCCAGCTCGCCAACGTCCTTCCCCGGAGGGGTTTCTCTGCGTGAGCATGGAGCTTTTATGGAGAACCGGCTGCCAGAGCAAGGCTCGAACCACCTGGACGCGCCAATGGACGAAGGGGCTCATTCCAACCCTGTCAACATCTTGAGTTCCGATGATGAGGATGATCGTGTTGTTGTGGACGATGATCCAAATCATCTACCAGGACGGAGACAAGGTGAAGATAACGACAATGGCGCCGCGGTCGCTGCAAATATGATGGGAACAACTCCCTTCGACCAGGGCTTTCAGAATAGCCCGGTCCCAAACTTAGCCAATCCGTTCCCGGATGAAATGCCCATCACCCTCACCTTGGGCCAAAACGATATTCCTGCCGGCCCGGGCCATCAGCCGTCCACTCTTACACCAAGCGAGGCTCAATTGGTGCCCAAACCGGTTCGCCATTTTATATACGGCAATACCCATCCGGAAAGTGCAGTTGAGCTGCTAGGATTAGATCTTCCGCGAAATGCGACTCTTCCGGAGCCTGCTACCCCAGATACACTTCAGTCTCGCAAGGATAAGAATGGCCTTTTTAGTCTTAGGTTGACCCCTTTCTTGGATCAATCGGCATCAACCAACCCGGGCCTTTACTTCGAACCTATTGTGAGAACGGCTGGCCCATGTTCGCAACTGGTCATTGGGAGATACACAGAAAGGGTCAGAGAATCTATCAATAGGATTCCGGAGCACTTCCACCCGGTTGTTTTCAAAAGTAAAGTGGTATCCAGGACTCACGGGTGTTTTAAAGTTGATCAAGATGGAAACTGGTTCATCAGAGATGTCAAATCGTCATCAGGAACTTTCTTGAATCACCATAGGTTATCTCCTGCCTCTTCTATGTCTAAAGATACACTACTTCAGGATGGTGATCTCATACAGCTCGGCCTTGACTTCAGAGGTGGGACTGAAGAGATTTATAGGAGCGTCAAGATGAGGGTTGAGCTGAATAAATCGTGGAAAAGAAGAGCGATGAGGTTTAACCGTGAGGCTTTGCAAAGACTAAAAAATTTACAGAAGATGACCACGGGTTTAGAGGAAGAGGATTGTTCCATTTGTTTATCAAAGATTAAGCCGTGCCAAGCAATATTCATATCACCGTGCTCCCACAGCTGGCATTATCAATGTGTCCGGCGCCTGGTGGTGTCAACCTATCCACAATTTGTTTGTCCTAATTGTAGATCAAGCTGTGATTTAGAAGCGTCGCTAGACAGTGATATGGACAGTGATGACAACGAATTTGACGTTGTTTCGGATGAGATCAAGGATATGGATATGCAGCAGGATAGCGACTAATAGCTAATTATGTAAAGTTTTAAGGTAATCATTCTCGAGGCTGAAGCCAATTCTTCCAGGTTTTTAAATGCTACCACCACGTATAAAAACGTCCAACAAGAACATTTTCGAATGTCAACTTTTTTTACACATCAAAGCAAGCTAGCTAACTATACCACTCTTTGTAACATTTTCTCAAGATATTACTAGTCATCGTACCATCAATACCTGTCCTTGTCGCCTAGCAGCCGTAGTAAAACATCTTGAAGGTCTTTCTTCGCTGTTCCATATTTGTAGACTTCGTGACCGCCATTAAGGATCTTCCACTCTTGAGTTTTAGAAGAGAGTTTGGTGATATCTCTCTGCCAATTTCCCCACTGAGGGGACTTTTTAATTAATTGGTCAGAGCTTGCGACACTTAATTTCAAGTCGTGCAACTTTTCCTTGGCGTTAAGGACGTCTTTGTAACTTAGTAGAGAGCTTGTTACACTTTCTAAGAATTTAGTGCGGATAAATCTACCTTGATATTGCAAATCTCGGCCATAAATCCTTTCCTTTGAACCATGATGGGCCAAAAGCCAAGAAGTTTGAAGTTTGATCCCTAACGTCGACCATATTCCCTGCCACCATAGTTTGAAGCCATTATGTCTTCTAATTTCAATAGGCAATTTACTGATGTCATCTGGATCTTTGCTATCATTGTCTGGAGGTAGCAGTCTTTGTAGATAGTTTTTCAACAGTATGTCTTCGTGCCATGATTCTACGAGCAGCATTGAATCCACCTTATCCAAATTTTTCGCGGCGAATACTTGTGAGTATAAGCCTCCTATGTCGTACCCAACCAAACTAAACGGCCCCTTGATTTTGGCATCTTCAACCAAGGCGTAACTCAAGGCATCTGCCACCATGGCTATAGAGATTGGAGCTGGAGCCGAATCGGATAAGCCATATCCTGGTCTTTCATAAGTACAGTAGCGATCGACTCTGTTGAGATGGTAAAGTTCTTGAATCCAGGTCGCCGACAAATATCCAGTTTCAAGACTCCCATGGTCAAATAATACAATAGGTTGCGCGTCTTTCTCTTTCTTACTCAGATCACCATAACAAGTGATATGCAACTGGTAAGTGTGGCTTTTATCAACCCAATGAAAAGCGTCGTAAGATGTCGCAGCTTCAGTTGAGGGCTCCTTAACTCCACGAGTTAGTCGTCCTATGTCGATAGTGAAGAGAAGGGTGTTCAATGTGAAAAGCACATAAAACAAAAATATGATACATTTGGCGGTATTCCTGGCACCAATAGTGAGCCACTCTCTGAGTGTATGTCTAGAGGTTCCGTCAAGGTCAGAAGATTCGTCGATATTTCCGCTGGATGCATGAAACTCTCTGAAATAATAATACAAGTACCAATCTAACACCGCACCCGCAGAAAATGTTAAGGTAGCCCACAAATAGGTGAATATCCCAACATACCCTATCCTTCTCCTAGTGTAACCAATAATGAGGGTCAAGAATAGATTGAAAAGTGTCATTAAACTCAAAACAACATTGAGGCCCTGATCCAGCCTCGAATAGAGACCCACTCGATTAGACCACAAGTTAAGAGCATTGGCAACAATTGAGACCGAAACTAAGCACAGCTCACTGAAGCTGGTAAGCCTACCGCTGAACGGCAAAAGTCCGATGTTGAAGAAAAAGTCGACAATGAAAATGGTAACCAGCCATAGCAGGTTAATGCCAATAAGTACATTCAACACAATCTTGGAATCCTGTGTGAAAACGTGGTATTTTTTTCGAGTTTCATACATCCTCCCCTGGAAGCTTTCTGCCTCCCTTGGCAGTGCATCTCCAGCAGCTGGAGCCGGCCCTATTGATCTGTGCGATGCTCTAGTGCGGTCCTCGTTGAGTAACGGCTCGTTCTCATTAGCTTCTGAGGCGTAGGTTCCTGGACGTCCAATTTCTTTCCCTTGCGTACTTGGAGGAGCTTGTGAGCTCTGATTAGCTGCAGAGTCAGCGGGTCCTGGACTAGGACTAGCCTCCCCTGTGGAATCAGTGTATCCCATGTTGTCAGACTTTCTTGACACCTATGTTGGTGAAGAAGCTGGAGAGAGCAGGTAGCAATTTCTACGCTGAAGATGTATATCCCTAAGTCAAAACCAATGCTACTTTAACCTCATGTAGTACGAAATACGTCTATCCAAATAGATTCCAGTTGGAAAGGGCACCGTTATGACTTCAGCAACGACTGGCTTCTTATCTCCGGCTATCACACTTGATAATTTAAGTTATTCTGTTGGGCCAGAAAGGACTCTGGCCTTTAGAGAGCAGGGGGGAAGTCTTATTTTACATGCCCAATTTTCAGTCAGCGTAGCTAGTAGGGAATAAGCCCTTTACACCCCTTAGCTCACCGTAGGTCCATCCACTTCCGTCGTCATCTTTGAGAATTGTTACTTTATCCCCTTCGGATATGGACAATTCCCCATCTTCTTGAGCGACGTAGTCATAAAGTGCTGATACAACACGGCTAGCAGGTGCATTCTTGCGAGGACGTGGAGCGGGCGGAGCAATCGCGGCGGATTTTTCACGAATGTCGACGTAGGTTGTCGGAACGAGACCTGTGTCGCCGGTGCTTTCGTTAGCGATCTTGGTCCACCCACTTCCAGAGTCTGCTGTCAGCAGGGTGATAGTGTCACCCACGTTTACACTAACCTCGTCAACATCTTGTGCCTGGTATGCGTAAAGCACACGATTTGTATCTACCTCGGGAAATCCAGTCCCCGAATCTAGATCACTTTCAGCAGTTAATGAAACGCCAGACACGTTACTCTGGGCTCGACTCCTCCCTCGTAAGAAGGATAAGTGATGGCCATGCTTCTCTTTCGAAGCAGCAGAGGCCAATGAGGATTGGTCTGACTTATCAACGCGAGTGCCTTTCTTCTCGGATGAGATCGTCAAAGTCTTTTTGAATCTATTGAATACTCCTCCTTTCTTTCCCAATTTATTCAAATCAACGGTATCGGTGTTAAGATCGTGCTGACCCCCTACGTTATTCTGAATGCTCTCGATCTCAACCTCAGCTTCCAGTTTCGCAGTCTCATGAGAGGTATAGGAAGTAATGGTTCTAGAATACTTGGTTAGCAACGCCAACAATTCCTGGCCACTATATTCATCCTTAGACCTGACATTGTGCCTTTGTTTGTTCAGGGCGCCCAAATCTTCCATCTCGGCACTGGCAAAACTATGCATTTTATCGTAAGTTTGCTGCGATTTTGCCAATCTAATGCGAAGGTCTTGCAACTCGGCTTCCGACGTGGCGACAAACTGTTCATCATCATGCCAAACAGGAGAAGGTATGTACTGAAAATCCGCCGGTTCTTTCCAATCTTTCAAATTGTGCTTTATGAACATCGTAGTATCCAAGTTTGATTTATTTTGCTCTACCACAGAATCTGCTGTGCTCAATCGGTTTTCAATTCTCTTGCACATATCTCGCTCCACAGATCCCGCTGAAAACCAAATAGAATTTAGAACCCGCACACGAGATTCGCTCAAGTCTTGAAGAAGATCAAGCACTTCTGGAATGTCTTGGAAGTAAAACTTATCTTTGATACGGTTGGCCTGGTTAATCTTGATCAAATAATTATTTTTGGCGATATTCATATCGTGCTCCTTTTCGCCCGCTTTCCGCTGTGCCTTATCACTAGAAGACTTAGTCTGCTTTGCCCGTGCACTTTCCATATTAACACACTTTTCATCGTAGTCTTTCTTGGCTTTATCCAAGGCTGAATATGAGGAATCCCTTTTGTCAGCCAATTCGGTGTTGAAACCGTTAATGGCGCTTAGTAACAGCTCACATTTCTTACCTAAAGCTGATACTTGATCAGCAACTTGAAATTCGAATTCTTGGGCCAGCTGATTGTGATCTTGGGACATTTTTTCGGTTTGTGAGAGAATTTCATTCCACGCAACCAAGGAAGCCGCTTCCAGGGAGCCCGGTGTTGTAGTGGGCGTATCGCCCACCGATAGTCCCACTGTCCCGGCACTCTTTTTGGAAAAATACTCTCCGGTTAGATGCGTGAGTTTGCTGCTGTATTCCTTTTCCAGTTTTGCTCGATCTCTGTAAAAGGCCTCCAGTTCCGACAGCCATCTGATATTGTTGACCACCCATTTGTGGGTTTCCTTGTAACCGTCCTTGATCTCATTTCCAATTGAGAGCTCGGAAGACATGGAGAGTTAGTCTATGATTCAATTGTGTGCGGAGTACGTTAGCTGGCGTTGGTGGCTGATATTATTTAGGAGAATTAATCAATTTAGAGATCCTCTAAAGTTTATCGTGAGACAATAAGTAAACAACTTCTTTGGAAAAAGTGTACCAAAGAGCATTAGCGTAGCTTTGCAAGAACTCGCTTACCTTTTTGTTGGCTTCAGAATAGTAGGCAACCCGCTATTTCGATCTTTTTTCCCTAATTATATGCCTAATTGAAGGAATCATTAAGTGGTCAATCTTCTGCTTTAGACTCTTCCGATTGTCAGTCAGACCGCTATCATGGATCCTAACGGTGCACCTGAAATGACAGAACACCAGAAAATACAGGTACAATTCCAGCTGTTTCAAGAATCCCTGCCCAAAGTCGATGAAACGGTTTATCGCATGCTTTTAAATGAAAGCATTCCTCTAGCTATTGACGTAGAAAAACGACTATCTCAAAAGCTGGATAGTTTACCAACTGAAGACCCTGTGCTTGAGTCTCTCGATAAAGAAGTTCACTCTAAACTGGTGCTAAATCCTCTCAAAGGAAATGTTCGCTCAAACAAGCTGTTACAACATTACCTCACTGCAGATATAGACTACCAAGCGAAGGTGAAGCTGCGCCTCTCGAAGATTGGTTTTTCTCTTGGTGAAAAGCTGTCTGAACTGCTGATCTTCAGTAATAATCCTAATTTCAATTTCAAAGATATGGATCTTCTCACCGTTATGAAGTTTTTGTGCCGAGACGTCTGGCGGCAGCTCTTCGGTAAACAAATTGACAATTTAAAGACGAACCACCGTGGAACGTTTTATTTACTGGATTACAATTACAAACCCGTGGAGTCCTTCGCCCTTGAAGAGAATATGTCAAAACAGGAACAGACGTTGCTAGAGCCCTATCTGGAGATACCGTGTGGGGTAATTCAAGGTGTACTGGCTTCGCTTGGCTTTCGAAAAGAGAGTGAGGTTAGTTGTAACGCGAGTATCGTGGAAGTCCCGGAATCTCGCACTACCAGTCAGCGTATGAATTCATGGGCTGTTAGCTTCAACGTGCAGGTAGTACCTGCTAGTGACAGCTAAGTACATCTTTTCTGCACGGCATTATTCATCACCTTCCAAATATTTGCATTCAATAGAGATATTATTATACGCACATTAGGTCTCAATCCTTGACGTTTTGCGCTAGTAAGAAATCGAGTCGCTCTTGACAATTGGACGCACCTCTTCTCTCAAAGTCCAATGCTTTGTGGGCGATAGCGTCAAAATTTGTAAGATAAGTAGTCAACAGACCTTGTAGCTCATTAAGTACCTGTATTTCATTTTTCATGATAGCCTCAAAATTCTTGCGCTCCTCCCCGAGTTTGTCGGCAATTTTGGCTCGCTGTTCGTCGTCAACCATGTCTCTCCAAGTCCGCCTGCATTCGCGACACATATCTTGAAATCGTCTTGTCAGATCCGCCTCAGCGTCATCAAGGTTACGAGAAATTCTACGCGACACTCTGATTAGGCCAAGAGACCCAGTTCGAAAGTGAGCTTTTTGTAAGCACGCGGAACTTTTCTCTCTCTTCCTTTCCTCCCAGACCTGGTCGAACCTAGATTTGAACTGATTTCTAAACAACAAGTATTCGCTTGCTGCAGGAATGGGAATTTCCAATCTTTTGGCAAGTTCCTCGTGGCTCAATGTCCGATAGTTAATTTTAGTAAAATGGAAGTACAATGCATGATACAGCCTTTTCTTGGACATGGAAAGGAGCTCCCACTCCTTACGTTTATACCTTCTGAAAGAGCTGTTCTTATTGAACAAGCTGCCAATATCACAAGAGCTTGAGCCATGTCGTAGTTCCTTCAATTGTAGCTGGTAGAAGTATTGAAAAACCGTCGATGGCATCGCGTTATACCTTTCAAATGATCTTCGACTAACGAAGGACGCTTTTGAAAGGCTGGCCCACGATGCTAGATAAATTCTCATGCTGAAAACCACAGAAACCTCAGAAAGCTGTTTAACAGGTAATTTGGCAAGCACTGTTGCTTTACAACGTTTGTAAATTTGTTGACGGTTGCATATCCAATTTCGCGTAAGATTAACGCGAGACCTAGATTAATATTATACCATCGAAACGTTTATAACGCCAGGTTAAAAATCCGGATCTCAAAATTGACACTAGCACAGTGGCATTAAGACTGTTGTGGACTAAATAGATTGTTTATGTAGAATATCTTATTAAAGTATTAAAGATGGGGGAGGGCAGTCTTTGATTTGTTCTCTAAACAAAGTCCGTCGCGCAAAACGTACATGCCGCCCTTCTTGAATTAAACCTTTCTCATCGTCGCCTTCTAGTAAGTGACATTTTTGAACCGCATACCGGTACCTCCGTTTATGTGAGACCGAAACTGGTCTCGAGGTTCAAGTTTCACTTGAGAGCCAACGTTGTATTGATAACCATGGTCTCGGGGGTCGGAAGTTGATGGCTGGTCCCCAACAGCACCCAATGCACCCTGCGACGAATGACCCGTTAGCTGATTAGAAGGATCATCTGTAACCAGATCCGGTTTATACGGTATATCCGGCCGATCAGTAGGGTCCATGGGCTGTGGTAAAGCCATAGTTTTGGGTATAACCTGTGAAGGGTTCCCTGTGGCCAATAATTTTGCACTATTGGAGGATTGAGGCTGGGTGGCCGTAAACTGAGGAGAGAAGTCGCTTTTAGCGATACGAGTATTTCCTTTCCCTCGTCCTTTGATACCTCTATTAGAGTTTTTGTAAAGGTCTCCGATGTATTCGAGCAGCTCTCGTTCTTCCGAGGCAATATCTTCATTCGGGTCCATCTCGGCCAACCTTTGGGTCAAAGCGTTTAAAGTATGCAGGTGAAATCGATTTTGGTGGGCCTTCATGTTTCCAAGCTGTGTGAAACTCTTGTTACATCCATCGAGTTTGCAGCTGAATGGTCTTAAATTCTCATGGGTCAACCGATGAGCAGCAAGGTTTCCCTTCCTGGAAAACTTCCTACCACATTTTTCACACTCATATGGCTTTTCTCCGGTGTGGAGTCTGATATGAGTACGTAAATTTCCACCTTGTGTGAATCTTTTCCCGCAGTGCTCGCACTGGAAAGGCTTGTAGCCTATATGCGACCTTACATGTACCTCTAAATGAGTAGCTTGCGTAAAACATTTATGACAGTAAGGGCATTCGTGCTGCTTTGTGCAGCGGCTTTTTGGCTTTTCCACACCACCCACCAACTCACTCATTGGAGGAATAATTGATGGTGCATCTTCGAGCAATAGAGAACCATCTGCATTCCTGGGCACCCGATCTGTCACTCCCTTTTTTCGAGCTTGAATCATCAGCATTAATTGATCTACTTTCGTGGCACCTAGAAGCGGCCTGCCGTCATCCGATGCCAACAGTAATTCCTTGGGCTCCAAGTAGTTTACCGTATTTTCCAAAGGTTCTGCTTTGACTTTGGGACTTTCGTCCTGACCCATACGTCTTATTTTCCTTTCTGGGGGCTCTGAATCATCTTTGTCCTGGGTTGCGAGCTCGTTTCGCTGTGGCATAGGCGGTGCTTGTGTGCGAAAATGAGCACCAAAATCGTCATCAGCTGGGCTTCTAGGAAGAGGCGATCCGGAAAGAGATTTGGCGCGGGGCGGAAGATCCTTCAAGCCAATTTTATTTGTTCCACTAGATAACATGGGAATGAATCCTTGATTATCAAGCAAGCCGCGAATCGACGATTCGCGTCGCCTGAAGTCGAAATCGAAATCATCTGTCGAGAAGCGCAATGAATTTTTCCGCGAAGAAAGGCTCTGATTGAAGATCGCCTCGAGATCAGAATCCTGTGTGGGAGGAGGAGCGGCCCTAGAGTCTGTAGAAACATTTGCATTAAGTGGAGCGTTTCCTGCGCTATCCGTACTAGCAATTGTCGGAACTGAGCTATGATGGTTATTTTCCAAACTAGTACTAGGTGAATCATTGGCTATTCCTGCCGGAGGATTATTGAGGTGTGACAGCGGGTTTGACAAGCTGGGGCGCCTAAGGAATGGCAGACCAGCTGATGAGCTATTTCGATGAGGAAGAATATGTGGCGGTTTCATGATGGGTTGAGAATCGCGTTTCCCTGAGGTAAAGAAATCTAAATCTGGAGGCTCGGCACCAGAAAAAAAGAAGGAGTTCCGCTTGGATCCCGGTATCAGAATATCAGATCCTCTATGGCCACCACCGCTGGGGGGTGGTACATACTGCTGTTGGTATTGAATCGAGCCAGACCTTCCAGAGGAAAAACTCGGCGTTTTGAAGCGCGGAAAAAAAGGCTCCAATTGTTCGCTCTGGCGGCGTACTGCGGTGAACTGATTTCCGGCATCTTGTTGAGTAGGCATTTGAGATTGACCAGCTGAGGAGCCGGGCCAGAATCCATTGATTATGGAGTAACCTCGGCTATAGGGCCCAGGGTCCTGTCGTAATTGGCCTTGCTGGGGTTGCGATTGCTGACCTGACTGTTGTAAGTTCTGCACCCCCCCTAAGCTTTGGCCCTGGGTTTCAGAGATATTGAGAAACGAGTTTATCGACGCATCTGTGGAAAGCCGTGGGGCATTGAAGTTGGTATACATCGAGATCGAGTCCACTCGTGGTGCCATTCCAGGCGCCAAAGCCTGTGGCGGAGGTATGATCGAAGCCGGATGGTTCTGACCAGAACTCTCAGTCTCTTTTTTGTCCATTTCCAACCCTGCTGCCGCTCTGGTTGGCGGTATATCTGAGCTTCCCTTACTTTTGCTCAATCACCTTGAGTCCGCCCAAATGCGACTCAAAATCCTTGCGACAGAACACTTTTCACACTGAAACACTTAATTAAGTTTACGCTAACCACAAGTGATTGTGTTCGCTTCTTGACCGGACCTAGTAGCTCTATGCGTTACTTGACTCGCTTGTCATGGAATTGAAGCTTCCGGACAGTCCTTACGGACTGTAATTTCCATCTCGTATAATATTATAATTATCGACTATGTGGAGCCTAGTTGCTCTATTTATCTGATCAACGAAGAGGTCCCAAATCAAACAAGTTCTCATGGATTGCAATTTAAAACTCTTTCAGGCACATCAATGTGGGCATTTGACTTTAAAAGGTACGATTCACAGGAGCTTGAGAAGGCCCCTCATTGAATCGCAAATTATATTTACTAGATACATTACCCAAAAAATATGGTGTTCTTGATTACATGACCAAGAGCTATTGACAAGAAAATATTAAGCTATCGGGATCTTTTAGACAACTGAGAGTAATATCAGACAGCGATGTCTGCGATACGATCCGACTTTTACTATGATCATAATAATTAGATCTATTCACGCATAGTTGTTCTTAGCTATGACTAATTAGTAACTCAGAAATAGTTTCCATGAGCTCTACTTATGCTTGGACTTTGAACCGAGGTTAACCTTCAACTGTCCTTAACATCCCGCCTTAATCCGATTATTGATATTATCCTGTCACTTCCAACCTTACCACGACACGATGATGACAGATGACATATTAGTACCAAGTGATAAGAGCAGATCCATTGGCCGTACTGAAGGTGTTCGTTCAAAGTACAATATGCAATTTGGGTTCAGCTGGTAAAGCGGGTGGGTAGTATGCTAAGATATCTTGTCATTAGTCATTAAATAATTACGATAACCTACTTTGTAGCTTTGGCCGCGCTTCTCTAGGGCCTATCACTTAGTTTTATGCGTTTGAAAGAATTTCCGTCCCCACCAATCCGAAGAGATCCACTTTCCACTTGATCAGCTTCTTCGCTTTCGCTTCGTTCTTGTACTAGCAATTTATCCATTAGAGCAGGAGGAGCATCCATGGGAGGCAAAACAACCTCGCACATCTTGATCTTGTCATTTACTGCGAAATCAGGGTCGTCTATTAGAGCCAAGAAGTCACCAACGGTTTTTACTTTTCTAGCATCACTGTTAGATGCCCCAAAGGTGGAAAGAATCTTAAGGTTGTCCCATGCTTGGATATCGTGATAACCGGCGTTGGATTTTTTGTGCAAAAGTCTGTCAATGGTGTAGCCGCTATTATTCATCAAAAATATTATGGGCTTAAGCCCCCATCGAATCATGGTAGAGATTTCTTGGACGGTCAATTGCAGGGCACCATCACCAACGAACAATATGACTCTCGGATCGCTACCCTCTTCCCTTGCAGCGAAAGAAGCTCCTAAACAAGCCCCAACGGAATAACCAACGGAACCCCAAAGTGCTTGCGATATACATCGTGTTCGATTCGGGAACCTACTCTGATTGATCCCAAAGGCAGAAGTACCCGTTTCAGTAATAACAATATCACCAGGCTTGAACCAGCGAGTTATTTGACTCCACACCCATTCTTGCCGCAAAGGAACATTATTCATCAGTCTTAGCTTTGGTTTGATGACGTCCAGAACCTTCTGTGGCCGATATTGAACCAAAGAAGGGTTCAATTTAGCCAACAGTACTTCCATCGCCACTTTGAGCTCCAGATCGGGATATGTTGCATTTTTCAGCCTCGCGCAGTTTGAAAACAGTAAAACAGTATTCTTTGCTTTGTAACTGAAGTGGAAGGAGCTGGTGCTGAAATCAGATAGTAAGGCGCCCACAACTAGTATGAAATCACTAAAGTCTACAACCTCACGAACCTCAGGGGAGGACATAGATCCTACAAAAGTACCTCCAAAGCGCTGATGTTGCTCATCTAAGGCCCCTTTTCCCATTGGAGTACAAAATACTGGAAATCGGGTAGCTTCAACAAGCTGCTTAGTTTCTTCTATAAGATCGTGCCGCGAGACACACGCGTCCACTATTATGGCCGGACTTTGGCTTTTGTACAGGGCGTTCAAAACCGCAGCTGCAAATTCGTTTTCTAACGCTTCGTTCCGGGGACAGTCTGAGAGGTCCAGAGGTATGTTTAGTAACGATGAACTAACCGGCACATCGATCATATTCAAAGGAATGCCAAGGTATACCGGGCGTTGGCGCGTAAATGCAATGATTAACGATTTATCGATCTCATGGGCAAACGTCTCCAGATCATCCAAAATTGCTGTGTACTCAGCAACATCACTTCCAAGTCTATGAAAGACCTTGAAATCACCATTGCCCAAAGTATGGTGCAGAAGTAATTGCTTAACTTGAGCTGACATTGGCGGCATCCCAACAACGTGAACTAGACCGACATGTTCTGCAAAAGCACCTGCAATACCGTTTATTGCGGATAACTCACCCACTCCGAAGGTCGTTATCAGACAGCCCATCCTTTTTATTCGTGAATAGCCATCCGCGGCATAAGCAGCGTTCAATTCGTTTGTATTGCCAGCCCATATCATTTGAGGTATTGTATAAATTTTATCGAGAAGTGGCATGTTGAATTCGGCAGGAAGGCCAAAGATGGTGCGGACTCCTAGTTGCCGGAGTCTGTACAAAAGGTAGTGACCCAACGTAATCTCCGGCGGTAGCGCGTATTGATATACATAGTTCATGACCAGTTGGGTAGTAAGCAGCGCAAAGCCAGCCTTAGCCAAAGACCAAAGAAAATGACAGGTCCTTTATAGTGTAGCCAAATGGATGATTCCTTGAACACTTCTCTTATCCGGTACGAACAGTTAGTGCGGGTGAACTGTGGAAGGCACTTGTCAACTAATCTTCTGTATCAGCCGCCAAATACACTCAGTATTTATGGTGGATAGGGTTATCGATTTGGGATATCTGATCAGAAGGTCTGACAGGTTTCCGATCTTAATTGAGCTTTGTGCTTTGTTCACGACGGCTTTTTGGTACATCTTTGTTGTGTGAAGTATCGTCACTTACGGAACCCATAAAACTGATGTTGCCTCAATAGTCCGAAACTAATATCAGTCCAGCAAAATCACGGCAAATACCGACTTACAAATACTACTACATGTCACTTTATAAAATGAGTCCGAATTCTCTCGCTTGGTGTTATGCATATTGGCGAGAGTTTTCTTCGAAGTACTGCACAAGGGCCTAGATAGGTGAGATTAGAATGAACTGGCGTCCTATCTATCCTGCTCACACCATTGACGTAGGAGGTCCGCCCGTTTAAAATCGAGGCTAACACTCTCAATTCTTTGGGGACCTCGTGGTGTTTGAATTGGCAGCTATAGGAGGAGCCGTTGGTGGTCTTCTGAGTCTAGTTTGTTAGAATTTCGTCTTATAATTGACGAGCACGGCGAATTGCCGAATGTAGGACTTGAAGAGAAGGGGTATAGCGATGCAAAAGGCTACAAGAATACCAGAAATATACGTTTTCAAGTTGGGTTGGGTTTTCATGGATGTCATTAAGGAATTGGAAGGGTTGAGAATGAAACGGGACTCTCCGTAGAAAGGTAAAAATCAAAACAATTAAGAGCTTCACGAGAGAAGACGCTGTCTGACTTTCTCGGTCTCCTCGATTGTCAGAGATTCTAGTTCCAACTGGTCGCTAAAATCTGTGAGTTTGAGATTTTGCACCACGGCTCTCAACTCTTCATCTTGGCCTTCGGCTTGGCGAAGTTCGTCGAAATATGGAGAACATAAACATTGCAATGCGGTGAATCTTTCCATAGGATCGTAGCGTAACACATCGGACAAAAATTGGATGGTCTGCTCATCCTCACGTTTGAACACCTTCGCAAGGGGGATTGGTCGTATTTGGGGGAATTTGTGCTCCATGTAGTTGGAGTTCATAGAGCATATTTCCTGTTTCGTAGGTGTTCCTAAAATTTTTATGATCTCGACGAGTTGGTCGATCCCACTTTCGCCAGGAAACATGGGTTGGCCCAAGATCAACTCAGCCATCACACACCCACTCGACCAAATATCGATCTGGACTGTGTAATTAGTAGCACCGAAAATTAACTCGGGGGCTCTGTAGTAACGTGAACAGATATACGAAACGTTGGGCTCGGAAGGTTTCAGCTGCTTAGCACTTCCAAAATCACAAAGTTTCAAGGCATATGTCTCCGGATCTACTAGTAAGTTTTGTGGCTTAATATCCCGATGACATACCTTGGCATGTGTGTGGAGATAGTTAAGACACTTCGCCAATTGGTAGATGTAGAGCTTGATTTCGATACGGGGCATGTTTGTACGCTGTGTGACGAAATGACGCAGGCGCTGATACAGGGACTGCGGCATAAACTCGAGAATTAAGTTTAAATAGACTTCGCCTTGAGGGTCTGTTTCATAAAAATAGTATTTCAAGTCCACAACTTGCGGGTGCTTTAGCTGCTTCATTATCTCTAGTTCTCGATTTTTGAAGCGGCGATCTTGAAGGACCTTCTTGATAGCCACACGGTCGCCAGTTTCCCGAACCTGCGTCGTGAAGACAACCCCAAAGGAGCCGTGGCCAACTACTTCAGTTGCCGGATAACTTATCGTTATGGGGTCTTCTTCCAGGCTTGGGGACGAGACAGACGTCGCACCGCTGGTGTCTCCAGGATGGCCCTTGAACACCTGTTTATGAACTAAACTGCCGTTAGTAATTGCTTGTATCTCCATCTGAAGAATCAATCGAAAGAGAAGTGAAGAAAAAAGAAGCGGGAGAGGAGCGATTCAAAACCAACACACAGAAAAAACTCTTCTCACGGTTGGAAACTTGTGAATTGAGTTACCACGAGAGTGAAGCGCTCTGTTACAATACTGGCTTTCCAACGACGTGCAAGGCAACGACGTGCAAGGCAAACCACACACACCTTCTCAAAAGAATGTCGCACAGTGCTCGTAACCCCAAGGCAGGGTGTTCTAATAGTGAGGGAGTGGACTATTTGTCTACACCAATAGCTGCTCTGTGCGTCTGTATTTACAGATCAACTCTCACCGCCTGTGGCTGGATACACACACCTTAGTTTTTGTTTCGAAATAAAGGTTTGGGGTCTTTTCGCACAACGTGACTTTCTGTAACCTGGTGCCTTTTAAGGACTGAGAAAAGCGGTGATGTGATCAAGGGCGACAATCGCAGAACCTCGATGGGGGAATAATAGCCTGCGATGAGCAAAAAATATGGCGTGTTACCATTGGAGGCTTTTGTGTCCTTCTTTTTTTGCTCCTTGGCCAGACCTGCGTATTCTGGACCGGGGCCGGCATCTAGAATGTGCTAGGTGGAAGTAAGTCGTGAAACTCACGCTTCCAGAGACGATCCCCGAACTGGCCGCGGTCCTTAGCATGGCTGAAGGGCGCCTTGAAGAGCTTTTTCGCGCTTCCCGGCCTAACTAAACACCTCGTTCTCGCACGGTAACCTGACATTCGATGGCCCCCGTTTCTCCGGAACTGGAAGCTGGCCAAATGCAGCGATGGATGGGGCCCACACAAGAAGAGGACAAGCTCAAGTGCCCCGTCCGGTCGCGCATTTGACCACTTTGTTGTCACGCGATGGCCCTGGAGAAACGGAAGTGGCCGAAAAATCGCAGGGACAGGGAAAAAAACAAGGGACGCACGCCTGGACCACGTGACGGCGTGACCACGTGAGCACGAGGGTCCTGGATTAGCCGCTCGAGCCTCAACGGTTTTCTGGTAAGTGAAGCTTACCAAGAGTTGCTGTCTCTCTTTGTCCTTCTTTCTCTCTTTCTCTTTCTTTCTCTCTCTCTCTCGACTGGCTCTTCGTTGCGTTAGTAAGGTCACCAATACATACCTTCGGGGGCCGCTGCTGCAGCCTCAACGAGCTCGGCTACACGCTCGCCCGTCAACCGCGCCTTGGAACGCGGTTTTGTGGGCTCGTTTTTCTTCTTGGCGGGCTTTTGCTCGTGCTGTAGCACCGAAACAGGCACAACACTTCTCTCCACATGCTCTACCTCGTACTTGAGTCCATCAGCAAGTTTCGACACTAGTGTCGAAGCATATGTTTCCTGTGCCGGCTTTGAATCTGGCGCTTTCCTGTCGAACAAAAGTTTGGTTTTGCCGAAAGTAATACCCTCTGGATTGTGGTGGGGAGAGATCTGCCGTGTAATCTTCCGCAACAAAGATCCGCTCATCGTCCCAATTGTAACAAGTAAACGCCTGCACCCTGGGTAATAAAAAATGGGTATGGCAACTGGTAATCCCGTGCACTGTTCGCTAGAAAAATATCACACCTGATAGTATGTGGAAAGTCCGGCTTCAAATGGCCTTCAACTTTTATGCTCGAAAGTCCGACCAATTCTACAACCCAAGCCAAGTCTTCAGTTTTTAGCGCCAGGAACTGGTCATGCTCGTGAATACAGTCCTTATATATGTGCCTGTGTATGGATGGATATGGCTACCATGTTGGTTGTAAACCCCTTGAGCCCGATGTGTAGTGACCGGCGATCAAGCCCTTTCTGTTATGCGGGGAAGCCGTATAACGGGATATCACCGACAATGGAAATGATGGATCCGGAGGGATAGTGCGGGACCTTGGCTCACGTAGTTGGCTTAGACAGTTCGAACATTGGGATGGGATGCTTGAGGGCGCGTTCTGGAATCAGAACTCCAAGGACGCATCGGGGGCGCTGATTTGGGATTTTTCAGGCGCAGAGTTGGATATCGTTTCGTACAGTTGTGACGCCGACTGAACATTGGGCAAGGTTTTTGTTGGGAGTAATGTGAGCTGCTAGGGAACGACTGATGGGGGTGTGCGCCTAATCGCATAATCAACGTCAGGAAATATGCGGCACAGTGGTACAGAATGATAGCACAGAACAGAGGCCATACTATTCGATTTACCGTCTTTGTGCAGGTACCTGAACCAACTTTAATACCTAAAACTATCACGCAGCGATAAGTAGAATTCTCAAGATCCAAGTTTACTCATCTTTATAATGACTGAAAGGCTGGCAGTACGCCACAATCTTTTAATTAAGAGCCTGGTATAAAAATGACAAATCCGAAACTGGTGCAATCGGTACACGTGAGTTAACGACAAGCACGTACAACATCAAGAAAATGTGCTGTACTGTAAAAGGGCAGTCTCTAAAGCACACACACGCCTTGGCGCTGCCAGTTCGCACTTGACAGACAGCCGAAAGTTCATAGTTGGCAGGAACCTGTCATCTTGAGGTGTTCTAGTTTGCACAAAAGGACGCCATTGAATTCCGATCAATCAGCACCCATCACCCACCACTTGACGATCGGAAGAGCAGCGAGCATACCAGAGTAGCCTCCGGCGACAATAACTCGAATTTTAAGGACCCAGCTTCCTAATCATTTAGGGCGAATGCGGCAGAGTAGAGATCAGATGACAAGAGTCCAAATGCACAACCACGGCAATACCAATACTCTACAACACTAGTCCCACGAGAGGCTAAAAGCGCTGCCCGTCCACAAGGCAGGCTCAGAATGTCGACCACCAAGACACCATACACCCACACACACCACTGGACATCACTCTATACCACTCTGACACCTCAATCGCCTCGTTTCAACTCCTGCTTTCACAGATACTTTATTAAAGTCAATTCAAAGTCCAGCCCGCCTCTTCTCATGTTAAAGTGCCACTCCACACGTGTGGACGTTTCTCGCGTTATCATTGTCTTACTCGTGCCGTTCGTTACATATATACTACACGTGTGGGAAAACGTGGATAATTGTTGGATTGGTAATATAAGTGATGACAGTATTTAAAGACAAGGATAGGGCTCTACCATGACATTCTTCACATTGATCAGCCCGACACCATACTCATTTGCCAGGTCAGAGGAATTTTCGAGTGCTAACGTTATCGCATTTTCTCGAAAACTATCACTCGCAAGTCAGCCCCACACACAACCGCTAAATTCAGAATACAATGGCATCGGTGGACTATCGCGCCACCACAGAGGATCCAGACTTGCTGTTTCAGTTCAGCTCGCCTGTCACAAGACCCACCGGAGCGTCAGTTCCGGATACGCACCGTCGTGCTGAGTGGAGAAATACGCCTGGATTCGAAACAGAGCTGCTCGTACATAGCGATCTTTCCATGCAGCACCGTGCAGCTTCTGTGCACATGCCTTCCTCGAGCGTCGGCGACTCGTCCACCCTCAACGACAACAACAGCGCATTGATGGACGATGACACGCAAACTCTATACGGACAAAGCGCCGCGACGTCGGCAGCGCCCAGCCTGCGATCCTGGCGGCCTGCGCAGAACGAAACGAGACGTAGTAGTGCCGCTGTTGGGTCGTCCGCCCAGCCGCTGCGCACCACGCCACGTTTGACTAACGTCCAGGAGCTGTCTCGCTTCAACAACATTCTGAATAAATCCCTTTCGACCCAGCGGATGCAAGATATCGAAAAAATGGTGGATGATTTCTGGCTACGGGACTCCAAGCTGACTGAGGACATGTTTGAGGACTCTTCCGATGAGGAGGCATGAAGGGTTGCTCCAAAGTGCTGCAGCCCACAAACGACTCGCTGGCGAGCGTCAGCACCTCCACCGCTGCTGTGTAGGTATAGTGGAGAGTAATTTGCTCTTGCATTAGGAATTTGTACATACAACCTGCTGATAAAATTCGTCGCAGACTTAATTAATTAACTAACATCAATGCGTTCCTGAATCAAGCGACCACCTTTGTGGGAGCTTTTTCTATCACAATGTGTTCCCGTATTTCTCCATTACAGCGTCAAGTAGCAGGTGCAGCTCGTTCTTGCGCTTTGCATCACACCAGGAGCCCTCGATAGTCTGCTTTACAACCTTCTTCCACGTCTGCATATCCCAGTTAAAGCGGGTCTGCACGGCCACGTAGTTGTCCAGGATGTAGCCCCCAAAATAAGCAGGATCGTCGGAGTTCAACGAGAATGAAATACCAGCGTCTAGAAATTTGTCGAACGGCAATTCGCTTACATCTTTCACAACCTGCAATTTGACATTGGACAGCGGGCACATGGTGAGCATGATGTTTTCACGCGCCAAACGGGCCATGAGCTCTGGGTCCTGAGCCGAGTTCACACCGTGGTCGATACGGGTGACGTTTAGCAAATCCAGTGCATTTTCCACGTACGTGGAGTCGCCCTCTTCACCGGCATGTGCCGTGAGCTTAACATCTGGATGAAACTCCTTTGCAGTTGCATAGCATTCTGTGAACAGTTCCGGGGGGAAAGGCTTTTCTGCGGAATCCAGACCCAATGCGTGCAATTGGCCGGTCTCGAACAACACACGCGAGCTCTCCAAAGTAGCTTTACACTCCTCGATAGGAGTGTGACGCAGGAGGCACATGATAAGCTTGGAGGATATGTGTAGCTCCTGTAGTGCCTTGACGCACGCCTTCTGGAATCCACTCACCACTGTTTCAATGGCCACCCCGCGAGACGTATGACTTTGCGGGTCGAAAAAGACCTCTGCGTGTTTGAGACCCTGTGCAGCAGAACGCTTGAAATACGCCCACGCCAAATCAAAGAAGTCTTCTTCTTGTAAAAGCACCTCGCACCCGATGTAGTAGAAGTTTAAAAAGTCCTGCAAGTCCTCAAACCGCGTGTAGCGTTCTTCCAGCTCTTGAACAGTTTTGGGAAACTGTTCAGGCAACGTAATATTGTTCCTTTGAGCCAACGGATACAACAAATCTGGTTCCAAGGATCCTTCCAAATGCAAGTGGTGTTCGCACTTAGGAAGGTCTTTTAAAAAACTCCGCATAGAAGCGCTACATTCATACACGGTCATGATGTTTGCTTTGTCTGCGAGTGAGCTAGATAGAGAGAGGCAGTCGGTGTGAAACTCTGATCGCTGGAGCTTAAATATGTGGTCGAAAACCGGCAACTTTCATCTTATCTTCATGAGATGTGGTGATAAATCTGAGAATAAGCCATATGCCAAGAAATCCAAGCCAAAAAAAAGAAATGGCTCGAACTATTCCATGCATGTACAAAGGAAAAGTCTGATATTTCGAACTACAGAACTTCGCGGGTTAGGTGCGCAATTAAAGAGCTTGAAACAGCTAAAAGCTTTCGTTGTAACGCGTTGGTAGAGCACGTCGTATTCTTGATTCAAAGCGTGCCTTTTGCATTATCTGCCACTTCTCTCTCTGTTGGCATTCGCTGTTCCAGAAGCAGAAGATGTTGTTGTGAGCATCAGAGAGTACTCTTGGAATGTCGTGGGTGCTGTAGAGCCTTGGTGAAAGGTAAATTTGTTGAGTGTGGGCCGTAACTGGACGGTGTGTCATTGCTGTACAAAGTGATAGTGGCATCCTGTCGATGACGGTCTACAAGAAACAGCTTCAACACAGGCTCGCAAAATGATGCCCACGATAAAACCTAACCGCTTGAATAAGTCTGATATGCTCGCTAGATAACGGGCTTGATTGAACTCAACACCAACTAGCAGAGATAAAATCGTATACTATGATCTCAGCAATCCTAAGATTGGCTACTCGGCGGCAAACTATACCTGTTAGTTACGCCCTACCCAAATAGCTGACTTAACAAGCGTGAGTCAGAACTGTCAGAGCTGACTCACCAGGAGGGAGCTGTTCCGGGTGGACCCCGTTCTGATTAACAAAACTGCCGCAGCCCTCCCCAAGACTTACGACATGCTCTGCGTTCTAGAAATGTTCTACAAGGGGGCTGACTATTGTCGGCGTTGGACGTCGAAAGGCGATGGCGAGCAATGGAAACGGGCCTTTCTTAGTTTCACTCGCAAAAATTGGCGAATTACGAGACGACCCAATGATGCCGCGAAGCAGCGAAGCTCAGACTACCCGGGTTTGGGTAACCGTCTACGCCAGATCCAGCGTCATTGACATAGCTACAGCTAGCATCTCACCGCATTGCCAACGGTTATGAGACTGGACGACATCCTATTCTCAACGAAAACAAGAGGTTCGGGTGCTCGAGACTTGGGTTCTACGGGATCGCTCGTCACATCCCCTCAGCCGCTAGTTCTGGAATAAGCACAAGCCACCTCCCCCTAGATATTCCAATTTTTAAGGGTCTGAGAACCGCCGAGAAGATGTCGGCTATCACCTGGTTCCTGAAGAAACGCCAAATCGGAACGAGATCCCAATAATTTGGCGATCAATTGCAAGAACTCTATGGTAGGGCCCTAGGATTGGGCCGATTGGAAGTGGAAGTACAAGACAAATTCTGAGATGTGGTTCGCAAAAATCTTCAATAAACCAACAACAGAAGATCGAATTACACAAGGTTTACCGTCTAAATTATACTGACAGAACACTACAAGTTTCCCCTGTCACTCACTGTCGGCCTCTGGCCCATAAACATTTGGAGATTCATGCACCTCTAGACCCTCTCAGTCCTACCATATCGATTGTCCCTGTTGTAATCAGATTGAATCACGCTGTTATTCAATTTCCCATTCCATATCGCTTTTTTTTTTTTTTTCGCTCACGAGTTGTCGTTTCCCAGACCAATTGTCGAAACCGAGAAAAGGCTTGTCAAAAATCTCTGTGTTCATCCAAACCCATCAACACCACAACGAAAAAGCAGGAGAGATTCCACAAGACAAAGAATAGAATACTGTTCGAGCGTCGGAGTAGACTCAGCCAAACTACCTATAGATCCGAACTCGGGAGCTGGAACTACCGATTTTGGTAATTGTTACACTTGTTTGCACACGTCGTTATTTCGCCAGCAAACTTCACAAGGTAAAGACCTGTTTGCTACATCGAACAGAGGCTAGTACAATCACGAACAGCTCATTCATTTGTCAAGGTCTAGTATTGACGGGTAAAATTCTCCTTTTACAAACAAAGACTACGACTCTTCGATCAAATAAAAAGCAAGGCTAAAAGCAAGGCTAAATACTCACTTGTGCTTACTGGCCTCTCTACACACACAACCACGCTTCAGTTAGGATTTATAGGTCATGAACAGTACGTCAGGCTCGCAACACCAACTTGGGTCGTCAGCATCTTCAAGCGCGAGGGATGACTCCACTATTGTGGGCTTACACTACCGGATCGGCAAGAAAATCGGTGAAGGTTCTTTCGGTGTTCTATTCGAAGGTACAAATATGATCAATGGGGTCCCAGTTGCGATTAAGTTTGAACCACGCAAATCAGAGGCTCCACAGCTAAAGGACGAGTACCGGACTTATAAGATTTTGGCTGGCACGTCCGGTATCCCCCAGGCATACTATTTTGGCCAAGAGGGTCTCCACAATATCTTAGTCATCGACCTGCTGGGACCATCTCTCGAAGACTTGTTCGATTGGTGCGGACGCAGATTTTCAGTCAAGTCTGTGGTTCAAGTTGCGGTACAGATGATCACGTTGATCGAAGATCTACATGCCCGAGACCTGATATACCGTGATATAAAACCGGATAACTTTTTGATCGGTCGGCCAACTACTGTTGATGAGAACAAAGTCCATCTCATTGACTTTGGGATGGCAAAGCAATACCGTGACCCCAAGACTAAGCAACACATTCCATACCGCGAAAAGAAATCTTTGAGTGGTACAGCTCGTTACATGTCAATCAACACGCATTTGGGACGTGAACAATCCAGAAGGGATGATATGGAGGCTTTAGGCCACGTATTCTTTTATTTCCTGAGAGGTCAATTGCCATGGCAAGGATTGAAAGCTCCCAACAACAAGCAGAAATATGAGAAAATTGGCGAGAAGAAAAGGGTTACAAATGTGTACGATCTGGCGCAAGGATTACCTGTTCAATTTGGCCGCTATCTAGAGGTGGTGCGGAACTTGGCATTCGAAGAAACCCCAGATTATGAGGGTTACCGAAGATTGCTTCTTTCAATCTTGGATGATATGGGCACTGAAGCAGATGGTGAGTATGATTGGATGAAGTTGAACGGTGGACGTGGGTGGGATTTGACCATCAACAAGAAACCAAATTTGCACGGCTACGGACATCCCAACCCACCCAACGACAAAAACAGAAGACACAGAAACAAGTACGCTCAAGGACAAGGAATGGATCCTCAACAACAGTTACGCTATCAACAACAACAACAGTTACAACAACAACAGCAGCAGCACCATCACCAACAACAGCAACAACAACAACAACAACAGCAGCAGCAGCAACTACAGCAACAACAACAACAACAGCAGCAGCAGCAGCAGCAACAGTTATTACAGCAACAACAGGCGGCAATGCAACAACAAAACGTACAACAGAACGTGCCTCCACAACAGAAGCTAGATCCAACGTCTTACGAGGCTTATCAACAACAGACGCAACAGAAATATGCTCAGCAGCAAAAATCACAGCAACAAAGTCGTGCACAAAGTTACAACCAGCACGGCCCACAACAGCCTCCTTACAACTATGCTGCACAACCGCAACCTGTGGCCAAACAAAACGGTCACACGTCTGGGAAAGCCGGTGTTGCGGATGGACACTCAGTGTCTTCCGGTAAGGGATTTTTCTCCAAGCTGGGCTGTTGCTAAGCATTTCCAAAAGAGAATATTTTAAAACTATAGATAAATTACGCATACAACTTTGTAATGTGTTTTGTAGATGTAGGTGATTGTAATAAAAACTTTGATCTTAAGAGTGCTAGTACTCAGAATTTGCTACCGAAATTAATGGACAGATGACATAGATGGTGGTTTCGAGAAGTATGATATCGACGCTGGTCAGTTCACAAGTTCGCCGAGTATTGTAGTTAATGCTGTTCTTCAAGTAACAATCGTGGAACTCTGGGTCTCCGGCTGAGATTTTCTCGCGCACCTGAGGAAGCTTCTGGTTGAGCACGTTCAGGATACGTTGCAAGTAAAATTTGGCATCCTTATTAACTGGCCCTTTAACGGTAGCCCCATTCACTTGACACAGTCTTTCGCCTGCCAATTTGGAATTGAAGAGGGGAGTATATGCAAGAGGGCCACATCGCGAACATCGCAGGAGGCTGGCTGGTCGACATCAGAAGGACCTTCGTCTTTGGGAGCGGTCTTTAAAGTGTCGTATACCAACCTTGCGGAGGTATTCGAAGTCTCAAGCCCCCAAGGGGTTGCGCCAGCTTCTTAGGCGCTATGTATGCAGTCAATTGGCTGTCCTTGCCGTCTTCCCACATAGGATTCTACCCTGCCTACTTGTGTACAAAGTCAGTTTCCTCGGGGCCCACGTTAAGGATTGACGCCAACTATGATGTTAGCACGAATGTTTTCACCTGTTTGCCATGAGCCACTGCCGACTCCAAGATGCTTCTGCTGACCTGTGTGATGAGATGAGTTAGACATCCTCATTGCTCTGATCGGAATTGAGGGAGAAGTCCGGGGCCAAGTGTATGACGTGTTGAATATCAGAGTGTCTTTGGAAAATCTGGTCGAACGCTCCGTTCTGGGTCTTGTTGGGGATCACTTTGATGTCGAGCTTGTTGTCAGGATAATTTTCCGCGACTGGCACCTTTGCCAGTCGAACGCATCGTTCCGACAACATGATAGTTTTTGGACAATAAAGCGTTAACAGGCAATGAATCCATTGCACTAGTACTTATTCAGCCATTGGGGATTGTTTGAGTGAGGATCTGTAGTGAGAAGTAGTTAGCGTTTGGAGACCTAATTGGCACTGGGCACTCTTCACAGATTGGGGTCTTTTCTTACACCTTTCGGTTGCGAGGGCCACGACTTAATAGTTCAATTCCCCGACCGAGGGCTCGGGCGGGGACCGTATGTGGGCCGCCCTAAAGCTCCATCTTATCCGCTCACATCGACTTGGCGTCGCCTCGGACCAGGTACAAGGTATCCGAGTCGTGAATCGCAGTGGCCACCCGGGTCCCGCTATCCAGCCTGTCAAGCTCGCTGTCACCGCCGCGGCGAAACAACACCAGTCGATCCTGGGCCCCTGCGGACACCGAGGTATTCTTGTTGGTCACGTCCAGCTGCGTCGCTATGTAGTCCAGTGCACGACCCACGGGCCACAGCTTGTTTATAAAAAGTTCATGGCGCACCTCCTTCTCAGCGTGCTCGTCTACCACGTAGCAGTAGACATATACCCGGTTGGCTGCGGGCACGCGCGGATCGCCGCGAGCGCTTTGTCGCAGTTTAGCGAGCGCGACCAGACGGTTGGCGGGGCCGGACTTGGCGCCGCGGCCCGATGGCGCCGGCGTCGTTGCTTTGGCGAAGAACCGCTTGAGTTTCGCCAGCGCGCTGGAGTGGCCATGGGCCTCGAGTGTTGCACGGACTGTAGGCTCGCTCGACGCCTGTGTACGTACTTGCTTCACGCGAACGTGAGCCTTCTCAGGCAGCAGCGATTGGAAGGAATCAGCCTGTGCAGTCCGAGGCTCTTGCTTGGTCTCTTTGACGTCCTCGTTGTCTGAGGTGCCTCCACATCCATGCTCGTTGGGCGAGCGATGAGGGCCGCAGAAATCACCCCCACAGCGCCCGCAATGGAACGGAAGAAAGTCTATTTGTCGGCAGTAAGTGCAATGGGCACCCACGTCGAGCATACCAGTTTCACTCATTGTGTGGTCGTTGTGGTCGTTGTGGTAGTGGTGGCGAGTTGGTCAGACTTGCCATCTCGGAGGATGATTGTCATCATAGAAGCGCCGAGGGTGCGCGGTGGCGGTGGCGGATAGGCCACCGGGTAGGGCACTACGAACGACGGATACTTTTCGGGTAGATCAAAGCACGTGACAATCTCGTGACCGGCGGAACACCCAACGTCGGTGGCAGCGCCTGCTGATGGGTGTCTTGGTGGCCTTTGGAAGACTGAGTCTCGGCGATGTTCATTAGCATTCACCTCGACGCTTTTCAAACACGGTTCTGATTGTCAGTCATATGTCATTTTATTTTACTGACACTTTGTGTGTCACTGCGTACAATACTGGCATACCCTCGATCAACGACCAGGCACTTCTGCTCTTCGACATGGCGGACGCCTGTGAGTGTTTTCCGTTGAATGGATCCATCAATTTGGTGCCCTGAAGTGGGCATTGATAGTGTAGTCAACTGTTTGACTGCTCAATGGAGCGACATGTAAGGCTGTAGATCAGTCATATGTCCCATGGACGGCAGAGATGAGAGGCAAAAAACATGCTTTGGGAGGATACCGGCACTGCATCATGTAATACCATTGAGCCCGTCTATGCGATATACCAGACCCACGCAGATGGTAAGTACATTTGAATACCTAATGCCCTCTGTAGGGTAGGTGGTAGTTTGGCCAATATATGGGTATATTGCATGTTGGGAGGCTCACCTTTAACCAAAGAGCTGGATAGTGGATAGTTTTCTGCTGAACCTATGTGGCCTACAAAAATGGGTGAGACCTCAGAGCGAGAACCATGAACTGGGCAATGTAGGTTTTCCGTGCCCAAAAAACAGAAGCGGGTGGCATGATAGGGACCCAGGTTTCTATCCCAGGAAAATACTCTAAACAGAGTCGATAGCCTTGGGACTCCTCTGGTAGTAAGTTCTTCAGTCACTACGACGCAGTAGCACCAAGTTCTAGGTGAAAGTAGCAGAAATATACTATCATATCGCTGGACTTCGATGGCCGTATCCTCCTTGCCCATCTGGACAACCAAATAATACCACACTAAAACCAAGGCCATTGCTACCGCCAAGTCACTGCCACCCAACACATAAGTCCATGTTAGAGGCTTGTGCTCGTCGCGGGTTTGTGCAACCTTGAATTGATCGTCTTCATCTCTCACGACCTGACACTTCAGCAACCTTTTTGCCATATCAAGGCCAGGCTCCAGGGCGGCGTTCATTTTAGTTATTCTTGTAATTTCAGGTACTAAATGGACTATGTCGTGAGACCTTGGCTGAGTCTTTATACCCGTGGCGGTGGAGCCTAAGGAAAATGAACAGAATCAAACTAAAAGTATTCTTTTACAGGTGAGCTACGAAAGCTGGTTGTTTGAATATTGTTACTGACTGGCAATCGTAAACTGTAGTTACCACTACCAGATGGCACTGTAGCACACGGAATAACGTCGATTTCGCTAACGTTGTGCTATATCTATCAGAGCATTGGAATAGTACAGAGCAAACTCACTAGAGCAAATGTATACTGGGTGGCGATAACCTCAGGGAATCCCGACAACATTTTAATTTCTCACCCTAACTGCACCCCGACATGTACCAGTTTGAGGCGAGCCGCCTCATCAGTAGCTTCAATTTTTGAATCTGTAGGTCAATTCATCAATGGACGCTGCGGTTAAGCTCGAGCTGCCTCTCTGTAGTATATATTCCATAATTTTGATCCATTAGAGGTTTTCATCTGGCGGTATCTATTCAAAGTCTGGAGCTAGGCATAGAACTATCACCAGTGCCCCAAGAATAGCACCATGGCTCCGGAGGAGCTATCCGGGGGACTATGTCGAGGGCGAAGCTTTCTATTCCCACGAAAGTTTTTACGACGTTTTTACTTATTTGCCATTTATCTTGATATACTGTCATTTACTCTAGCACCCTATACAATAATGTCAGCCCTCTATCTACTATTATCAATCTGGCTAGGATAACTGGAGGCCATCCGTTAGGTATTTCGAACTACCTTCCACTGATATTCATCTGCCCAATCTTCACTGTGGTTCTCTCCTCTCTTTTGACAGATAGTGACGAGGAAGTGAATGAACAAGTTCTTGGGGTGAATGAGCAAATGCGAGATCTGGCTGAGGCTAGGAGAGCTGAAATAAGTAAGAGTTCTTTAGCAGATATGTACAGTCCCGGAGGGCCCAAATTTCTGACCTCATTGATGGTATTAACCCTAACGATGAAGGCTATAGGAAGATGGCTGTGATCTGGGCATCTGCCATTCATAATGCGCAAGTCTCAAGTCTTTGAAATAACTTCAGGCTAGGTAATCCATACAAGCGTGGGGGATCTTGTAGCACGTAGAGCAAAGTAAAAATGGTCGCTTAGGATAATCCATAAATGTTACGACTTGAATCAAGGTTACAAAGGTTGCTCCTCAAAATCTCCACGCTGTCCGCTCATGATGAAAAACAGGCACCTACTGGCAGCTAATAGTTTTTCTTACAAAGTCAGGCTCGATGAAGCGGACTCTCGAGCACGACACCGTCAGCTCTTCACAAAGCTCCGGCTCTGTGCTTCGGAGTTAGAGGATAGAGCAGGAAAGGTGGTTATCTCAGGAAAGGTGGTTATCTCAGGAAGGGTGGTTATCCCAGGATATAGTTTCTTGTTGTTCCCGTTTGCATTCATTTACCAAGTTTATATAGGTTTATCTGCTATGCCCAGATCCAAGCATGCATAAGACGAGCCACCTGAGCGTATGGCAAGAGTCTAATGGAACGTTTAAGGAGGAGCTGGTCAGATGCTCGCGGGATAGTGCCAGTTGTCGCTATTGTCGAGTGTTTGCCAGAATTGTTAGCGTTCGTTCCATAGTAACGAATGCCGAGTTGTTCCTTGGAAAGTTATCGGATCCCTCCTTTAAGACCTCTTTCCCTTATGTTTATCTGTCATTTATTTTACTGTCGTTTCTTTATCATTTTGTACAATACTGTCATGTATTCTACAATTATCACGGTTTAAGATGGCATAAAATGGGCGACGCCGAGCCGTTCCAATAGGGGCCCTCTAGAAGGTCCACGTAAATTCCATACATGGTGGCTGTGTCCCAATGGGAACCGGCGGTCCTTCTGTAAAAGCTGGCCCTGTGACAGCGTGGTAGATGATGATATGCCCAGATGTACGCGAACGTGGCGCACAAACACGGCCTAGACCAAAAAGGGCACACAAAGACCCATTCGCCTGCCCATTAGTATTGTTCAAGACGGCCCCAGTTCCACATGCTGCGAGCACATCCACAGATCCTCATGGATCAGTGCATCACCTGGTACGGGCAGAGGGCTACGTCAGATCTATCACCTCGGCCACCACCGCAGATCGCGGGCTCTCCAGGTCGATGTATTCCAGTTCCTGAACCTCAGGCTGCGCAGCAGCCATGGCTGCGCTTGACCGGCCGCACCACTGGGCGTCTTGTGCGCGCTTTTCGGCGGCCATCTTGGCCATTTCCGCCGCACCTTTTGGGCCTACTCGTGCCCCTCCAAGAACTCTGCCATTTCGAGCCCTGCCGGCCCTGCCCGCTGCGCTCGCCGCACTCGCGACACTCGCAGCCCCGCTCCGCCGCCGTGGATCACTCCCGAGTCTCCTCCCAACCCCGACAAACGCATCAAACAGCCCTCTCTGCTCGATCACCCACTGGCGCCCCGTCAGCACATCTAGTCGCTGGTAGAACGCTGCATTGTGCGGGCCGCACTCATTGTGCACCAGCTCATGCAACATCGTACCCATCACTTGTTCTCGCGACAAAAACCTGTTTTCGTCGTGCGCCTCTCGCAACCGCAGCATGATCTTGGCCCCGCGATTTACGTTCATACCCAGCAGTCGCCCATCTCGAGGGTAGAACTCCACCAGCTCCCCGACTTTCATCCCATTCTCTCGCATCAAAAGCGAAACCAGGTGGGCCACCTCTTTCAACATCGCCGCCGCGTACTCGCGGTTGGCGAACCGCTGCATGGACGCCACACGGCCGATGTGCGCGTTTCGCTGTACTGTGATTGCCATGGTGGGCCCAACCACGCGCGCGGGCTTTAGTTGGTTGTTGGTTGGTTGGCCGGTTAGTGTCTTTCCTATGGCCCGAGGTGGTCGAGGTGATGAAATTTTGGAAATATCACCATCTGCTCACCGGCTCGACAGAAGATAGCACAACACAACACAGCACAAGAATGACCAAAGCATCCACCCAGCTGGGGAAAAGTTACTACAACGAGAGTAACGAGTCCATTAGCTCTTTAACGCGCCCACAATTGTATGGGATCTACGACGAGGACATCGCCAATAGTGAGGACAACGAGGTGTACGAGGAGGCGAGAAAATCGGTGAGTCGCAGCGGAAGCGCGGTTGGTGGAGGTGGCCGGGGCGGTTACCACAGACGCAGAAATCCTGTGCACAGTCTGGTGTCACTCGCGCTGCTGGGGCTCGCGGGCATTGGCTACCACGAGCTCAGCAAGCAATTGCACGACAACCACGAACTACATGCGGAGCTGGCGTCGCGGCCTCTGGCGCTTGGCGTCGAGGTGTGTCGGACCGTGAGCTTTGGGATGGTGCCGACGTGGCTGGCGTATGCGCTGGAGGGCGTGGTGTTCGGGTCGCTCCTGCCACTGCTGGAGGCCCTAGGAGGGCGCCCACTACATTCAAACACCTCCTTCGCCTCGTTGCTGCGCTCCACGCATGCAATGCTTGGTGTCGCGTTTGGGATCCGTAAGATTGAGTGGAGCTCGTCGCTGCAGGCTAGCGGGGCGTGGTTTCTGCTGAACATCGTGTTATGGATGTTCTTTGACGGAACGCGGTCGATGCTGGCGGTGTGTGTCGCGATCGGGGCCATCGCGTCTGCTACATGCTACCGCGACGTGACGGACTACTCACAGATGCTATACTTCATGGATTTTTACTTCTTGGGCCTACTACTATTTGGCAAGCTAGGGAGATATCTATATGGACCGAGGACGTGAGCTGCGAGGAGGGCACGACGACCGCGGACGCATCCCTAGCCACTGTACATAACATGTAAACGGAAAAACGTTTGAAAACGAGGTCGCGGAGGGGCAGAAACCTGGGTGGACAGACGGACAGAGATCGGACAGAGATCAGACAGCGGTCGTGCAACCACGAGGACGCCTGCGGTTGTGGCCGGTGCGTCTAAACGGCCAGGAGTACCGCGGGCCAGGGCCCACAGTGCATTGCTCAGATATCGTGAAACCCTGGTTCCACTCGTTCCTCGCGTATTCGTGCTTCCTCACTTGCTGGGAGATCTCGGGGGCGGGCCACTCGATATACTTCCTTGGCGCCGTTGGTCCTGTGGATCCATGCCGCCCGCACTGCTGCTGAGCCTTCGTTTGATGATGCTTTCCCGCAGCCCGCTGGGGTTCGTTACAGGAAGATGGCTATTTCCAATAGCATTCGACTGTAGGTCGTCCGACTTTACACCGGCTTTCTTCAACGCATAGTCCCCGCTGTCAAAATACTTGCGCTCTTGCAACTTGTGTTTGAATAGGTCCTTTTTCGACGGCATCTTGCCGTACATCTTGTAGAGTTTTACCTCCTGTGGAGTCATTTGCGAGGTGTCCACTTTTTCGTTAAGATCCACGTTACTGGACGTTGGCGACAGATCTCCGGACTTGCTCATTTGGTGGAAAGTGCGTGCGTTGGTAGTTGTGATGTTGGTGTGGGTGAAGAGAAGGGGAGTATAAAGCGAGCTTTGCTGATATTGTAATTTCCCACTATATTATAGGAACATCACCAAGCACGGGTATGGTTCTATCTGGAGAAGAATGGAAGAGAAGCTTTGACGTGGCCCCTGGCCCTGACATTTGCGATGAAAACCACTGTAAGTCGGAACGTAACTTATGGCAAAGGAGAGAGCCAGATTACAAGGGCTTGGTCGATTCTAGCACATATCACTACATACGGGGTACTTTATCGTTGAGATTGCCAAGCCAGCACCATCCCATCTGCTCCAGTGGCTTTCGCGTCCTGGGATTCAAGGCTCCAACCATGCAGGATCAAGGTTCTCCCTCCCACATGCCACCGACATGTGGAGGACACGCCATACGGAAATGTAAAACTTTATATGTTCTCACGCCTCGCTGTGGCACTTGACCTGGGTTACTTGGGCCTATCGGAGGTAGTAAATACGCGTTAGGCTTGCTATCTTTGCCTAGTTCCGGGCCTTGCAAACTGAATATTTGTTAGGAATAGTGTGAGTTTCCAGGGAACTGATGGTGATGTGCGTCTAATCGCATAAACAGCGTCAGGATATATGTGGCACAGTGGTACATGATGAGAGTACAGAACAGAGGCCATACCAATCCATTTACCGTCTTTGGCCAGGTATCTGAACCAACTCTAATGTCTAAAATAATCGCAGAGAGATAAATATAATCCCCTAGATCCAAATTACTCATCTTACAATGACTATGACCGACTTACAAGACAAACTAAGCTTTCTACTAACGAGTCAGATATTATCCTCCGTAGAGACAAATTAAGTAAGCTTTCTACTAGTGAATTAGATTCGCCTCAGTGATTATCGTGTCGCTGGAAAGCTGCGTCACAATAGTACAGAGTGACAACGGCGAGTAACTCCACCGTGGAGCTTTCCTCACTCCTGTTGACACTGCCGGATGGCATTGAGCTGCGTGGTAGTAGCTGTCAGCTTAGCGTCAGGTCAATACAAAGTGGTACTGGCGACGCCAGTAGAACAATGAACAGGGCGAACAATCAACCAACGGGCGTGAGAGGAGCAGCGAGTGCACAAAAATGCCTTGGCCAGCCATTTAAATTATTCAGCAGCTCAAAAACTCATCTCTTGGATTCAATTGTTAAAATTGTCAAACTGCTAACTGCATCCATATCATCCCCGTCAGAAATATGTATTAATGCCTGCTATAAGTGCCAGATGTAGACCAGGGTTTTAGCCCAAATGATTGCAAGGAGACAACCAGATGTTGCTATGCAAGCTCCGGATTTATCTTCAAGTACTCACAATATTACGCACGATCTCTATCAACAACTTGAACGAACGGCAAGTTAACTACTGTCAGCAACGACTCGCTCCAAGAGATTGCTATTCACCCGTAGGAATTATCACCGGTAGACAATAGAATAGCGCAGTAAACACCAGGCCAAGTCAACAGGCAGCAACGTTCAGATGAGATCCACGAATTTCAGCGAAAATGCTGTCAGTTGAATTTATTAGCAGCTTGCCAAGAGAGCTGTTCTGTTTGCAACATATGTCTTGCAGCCAGACTGCACGATATTCGTTCTATCGTTGACTATAAACTCAGAAAATGGGTCAATTTCCTTTTTATGCTCCATAGAGACTGACTCGTTGGTCCCTGCTTATGCGCTAATAGCTGACCATTGTGTTGCTATGTAAGAGTTCCATCTCATCTACAATGGACGACTGCAGCAAACGCAACTTGAGCGACAGACCTGTACTCATAAAAACACGACCTTTTCTTTAGATGAATTGATCAAGCTCAGTCAGTCTAAGTACAAGGAACATGGAAACCAGGACAGACTGCGTAGATAGCCAATTTCCAACAGCCCAGTGTTAGTAATGCCTCAAAAACTAACTCGTCTGCATGTTATCTGAAGCCGGAATTACAGAAACATGACGAGTGGCCCAGTCAAAACGATAATCCACACTATATAGCGACTAAATAATCGCATTGGTCCGTTTGTGGATTTATTCGAGTACTACCCGCAGTCTTGAGATTAGAGAGAGATTTTTCTAAAGGCACAAAAATGAGCCTGGAAAAGTTGAAGGAACCTGATCAGAAGTCTCTCAAGCTCGTCAAGGCATGTTGAACTTTTTCTCCACAATTACTACCGTAGGTCAAACGATTATTTTCCGCCGATTATGTTAGCGACAGCACAGCTACAATAAAATAGACGACAATGCACTTCACAACTATCTATATGCAGATACACATTCCGAAGGGTCCAACTGCCTAAAGCCAGACGGAGCTTGGTGATCGACGGTTGTGTCTGCCTCGCTGTGGATCATCATATTCAACGAATGTGGCCATGCAATCCTCAATTATTTATCGTTCGTTAGGTAGACTGTGACAATGGACACTTCTCCAAGACCAGTCAACTAACCGCCCACGCTACTTTGTGCTGCTATGAAGGGCACTAGTTGCTTTCTTGTCGGATTTGTTGCCGGGGTGCAAGCTTTGCGCGACTATTCCGATCAAAAAGTGTGCAGGTTTCACACCAACAACGTCACGCAGGTACAACAGAAGCTGCAACCGCATTTGCATGGCCCGATCGACATATGGACTCGTAGTTCTGAGTTTGTGGACGTTAAAGTACCAGCTGTGGTAGTCAAAGATATAGAAGGGTGCGAGGTCATTATAGACAACTTGAGCGACACTATTGCGAAAACTTATCCAGACGATGAGGAAGCTCAAGCATGGTCTTCCGGTATAGTGGAGGATCAACTCCAAGAACTTCTGCTAGCTGGAGACGCCCCCTCTCTCGTCAAGGCTCAGCATGACATTTTTTTCAACCAGTTTCGTGACCTCGAGACCATCTACACTTGGCTGGACCTCATGGAACTGACCTTCCCGGAACTCGTGAAGATCGAGTTGGTCGGTCAAACTTTCGAGGGTCGCGAAATGAAGGCCCTGCATATCAGCACTAACAACCGGGAAGTGAATCCAGAGAAGAAAACTATCATAATCACCGGCGGAGTGCACGCGCGGGAATGGATCGGTGTAAGCACAGCATGCTACTTCATTTATCAGCTGCTAGCAGGATATGGGGAAAAAAGAAAGGAGACCAAATACCTTGACCACCTGGACTTCCTAATCGTTCCTGTGTTCAATCCCGATGGGTACGTGTACACTTGGAGCCACGATCGCCTGTGGCGCAAAAATAGGCAACAGACATTCTACCCCCGCTGTTTCGGCATAGACATCGACCATTCCTTTGATTTTCATTGGACGGGGACCCAGGATTTTCCCTGCAGCGAGGACTACAGCGGAGAATCTGCTTTTGAAGCACTGGAGGCCGAGTCTTGGAACAACTACATAAACGAGTCCAAAAGCGCATACACCATCCACGGGTACCTGGATCTGCATTCCTACTCACAGGAAGTGCTGTATCCGTATGCTTATTCGTGCGACGCACTGCCTAGGGACCTGGAAAACTTACTAGAGCTATCGTACGGCTTGGCTAAAGCTATAAGACGTAAAAGTGGCAAGAACTACAAAGTTCTGTCCTCGTGTGAGGATCGGGGTTCTGATATTACTCCAGGCCTGGGGTCGGGTTCCGCCCTCGATTACATGTATCATCATAGGGCCCATTGGGGTGTCCAGCTAAAGCTACGAGACACTGGGAATCACGGTTTTTTGCTCCCTCCTAAATTTATCAATCCTGTAGGGAAAGAAGCCTACGGAGCTTTACAGTATTTCTGCGATTTCATACTGAATCCTGAATTGTAAAACAACATCATAAATTGAGCGGTGCTCATAACAGCAAAAATAATTCTCATCTGCTCAGAAATTTCTGAGCATTGTGTATAGATCGTAATGACTGTTCAGCAAGTAAACCAGAGTCATCAGCAATGCAATGTATATGATAGTGGCATACATGTCCACGGGAATACCAAATCGCACGGCAGCTACAGACACATTGATGGGAACTGTAGGACTGCGTAGCTCTGGATAGGAGTTGCCAGAGACCTGGAGGTAAACCACTGATTTAAGTGTCTTGTCTTGCGGCAGTGATGAGCTTTTATCGACGGCAAAACCAATCTCATTAATCTCTACAGGGTTGGCAGCGGTCCAACAAAATTTAGCTTGGTAAGTATCGCCTGGGACAACACCTTTTAGCTCAACTTCAAATCTAGTATTATCTATTGGCACCTCAAACCTACCAATAGCACGGTTGGTGTTTTTCAAAACCAGCAGTGGGTCATTGTCTGTGGTTAGTTCAGCACTGCTATATTCTCCTTCGGGGACTCGAAAAACTAACGACTCCGTGTTGGCTAAAACTCCAGAGATAGCTAGAAGAACTGCTATAATACGCTGTGATAGTAATATGTGCTTCATCGTTGATTTTGAGCCAACCCGTTGCGTAATTTGATGAGAGGCCATTCATTATATTAATATTAAAATGAAATTAAGGTTCACCACTCGTTTCACTCAAGACCTCATGAGCACCACCAGCAAGCACAGCGTACTGAAGGCATCTCACCATGGTGCTTAGTGCCAATAATCGTGAGGAACTCACTCAGCTGCGCGCAACCCTTTCAAATACAGAGCAACTTGACGAGATGACAGGCAACGTTGGCCACAGTCTAACACACAACCACTTGAACGGGGAACCAGTCCCACCGAGAACTTTAGACCCAGAAGCACAGGGTCTACCACAGCGTGCACCGGATCTGCCTGCGCGGCGGGCCGCCAATAACGAGGCAAACTTGTGGCCCGAGGTAAACTTGAGATTTCCAGATGCAATAGAGCGACGCAGATATCTGCGTGCATTCCTGCGCAACCTGATAATCCTAGACCACCTGCTTCTAATGGTGCTCTTTCCGTTTTCGCTGTACAATGTTCTCAGGATACTCCTTACGGAGGTGACTTTCTCTAACAACGACTTTATCGTCGACATAGCTACTTATTGCCGGCTGTCCAACATTCTGAGTAGTGACGGTAAGTCTGTGGTGTTCTTCCGGAGCGGGTTTGGCCTTCTGGGCAAATTCCACAACATCATTGTGTTTTATTCTGCGCCCATATTTGTGTGGATCACTTCCAAAAGTGCTAATGGTTTCTGGATAACCAGGGCCTATACAACCTTAATTAAGAGCATCGCAGTAACGCTATACATGCTGTACGGAGTGGGAACTAGCGCATATGTCAGCTTTGCCTCGTTTTTCTTCGCCCTGTGTTTGCTGATGACCGGGTTTAGACGCTACAAGGGCGTGGCTAAGATTATGGGCCAAATTTATCGCTCCACTACGGGAGTATTCTGAGCCCATTGGCCCAGCGATCAACCCAACCTCTTGCCAGACTACTGCTTGTCGAGGCCAAATCAATCACCTGCTCGTCCATAAGGTCACATGACAGGGTCACATGACTGGTGAGTGAATCTCTCCAAAAGGAGAAACTCCAGGCGACGCCATTCCCGCTCGGCTTCAAATTCCGTTTACGAGAAAGTGAACCTTGGTATCATGTTCGACGGATATATCCGTCAGTTATCGACACAGTGGATCTTACCGATTGGCTTCTTCCGCAAGAGTATAAAGGATCAGTGTATCCAGGTGTCTGGAGATTGGTATGCTTTAACACTGTCACAATTGGTTTGGACTGGATTTAGACGTACCCACCATTTTTTTATCCCAGACACCAAAATGAAATCGCTCACGTTTACCTGTACCCTAGCCACCTTGGCAGCGTTTTGCCTGGCGGACAGCCATCAAGAAGGATTGGACCAGAAATGGGGACAAGACTGGCCGTTTTCGGGTATTCAGACATATGCCCATCTACCACACGCAAAATGTTTATTGAACCAGAGTCTTGATTTTGATATTGGTATCATTGGCATGCCATTCGACACAGCAGTGAGTTATCGTCCTGGTGCGCGTTTCGGACCGCAGGCAATCAGAAGGGCTTCTGAGCGCCAAACTTCGATGCGGGGATTCAACTTCCGTGCAGGAGTGAATCCCTATCAGGACTGGGCGAAAGTGTTGGACTGCGGGGACGTACCTGTCACGCCAATGGACAATCATGTGGCTTTGGAAATGATGGGCGCGGCGTTCGAAGACTTGTTGTCAAGGAATAGCACGCTCCAGCAATCAGGCTTCCCTCCCAGGTTTGTGACGCTGGGCGGTGACCACAGTATCATCTTGCCTGTACTCCGCCAGCTGCACAAAGTTTACGGACCTATCTCCGTAATCCATTTCGACTCCCACCTCGACACTTGGGCTCCCACCAAATATCCTTCCTATTGGCATAGCGACCAATGTGACTTTACCCACGGCTCTATGCTCTGGCTGGCCAAGCAGGAAGGCTTGCTATCTGAGAATTCCAATGTTCACGCAGGTTTGAGAACTCGTTTGAGCGGGACCGGTTGGGATGATTACGAGGAAGACGACCAAAGTGGCTTCCACCGCATAGAGTGCGATGAGATCCTGCAGATTGGCGCGGAAGGCATGGCTGAGAAGATTCTGAAGCTGGTCCCGCACGACAGACCTGTGTACATCAGTGTTGATATTGATGTTTTAGACCCCAGCGCTGCCCCTGGCACGGGGACTGTCGAAGTCGGTGGGCTCCTGACCCGTGAACTGATTCATATGATACGCCGGCTCGAGAAGTTGCCTTTGGTCGGTGCAGACATCGTCGAAGTGTCGCCGGCTTACGATCACGCAGACATTACAGCTTTAGCTGCATCCCAGGTGGCATACGAACTCATCACTAACATGGTCAAAGGTGGGCCAATTGACCCCAAGATCATTGCTCAAAACAGGCCAACTTCCACGGAATGGATGCTGAAAGACGAAACTGACTTCGCCGACCAGATGGTATTACAAGCTGGAGGAAATTAATTGATGGCGCGGGGAGCAAATACTATTGCATAGCTTGATTGGAAAGAGTAGCCTACAGGTGATCAATTAGGAACACATAAAATACATGAATGCGGTCCCAAGGCCATTTAATTCTCGAAATTCGCTGCTTTATGGTCGTGTCTCGACTCAACTAATACACAGTTAAGGTCTTCACCTGCTATCCGAGTCTAAGTACCCCTGCGGTGCTTGCAGTTAGACGTTATACTTGGTTCTTGTATGTCTTGTGCTATCGTATCGTGTTACTATGCATACAGGATCGTTCTCATATATATAGATATCAGCAAAAAAAGGTATAGCATACAAGCAACAATCGGTCACCTACGGAACGCCTTTGAAGCGCTTTCTGAGCTCGAGGGGGTTTATAAATTGTACTGCTCTTACAGCTGAAGATAACTAAGCGGATTTCCGCCATTGTTCCGGGTCCAGAATGAGCGCTGTGGCTCATCCGAGAATGAAATCGGGAATCACCAAACACAGTAACATTGCAAAAAGCAAGTCCACTGATTCTAGTACATCTCTGTCTTCGTCAGATTGCCGTTCAAATAGTGCAGAACCTATAGAGAAGCATGAACGCGATTCCTCAATAAAGCAGTCGCGGGGTCACCAAGGTTCCGGTAACACAACTAAAGTCGAAAATCAACCGCGCAGCAAACCCCAGGAGGTAGAGGATGACTTTTTTGCCTGGGTAGATCCTTTACCAGTGAGGCCTCCAGGTTACAAAGCTACGAACCCCAATAGACGCGTTGCATATCCTGTTTACGACGTGGAAGAGCCTAACCTGTTGCCTCCATACTCCTCGACTGTTGACGAAATCACGCTTGTATCGATGAAGATGGAATGGCTCAACCCGTATACTCCGTCCCCGTCGCGAGGGTGGAAAAACTTCGTCATGGAGATCAACTCAACTCAGCTAAATTTTTATCACATTGATCCATCGTTGACTAAAAGTATTAGAAATTATTGGAATGGGAAGGCTCATTTTGCTGGCGACAACATTGATCCAATACTTGAGTATGACAGCCATCATTCGATCTTCAATTCTTTGGGCTCGAAAAGCACTTACCAATTTAATAGAGCTGATCAGGAATCGCTGACCTCGAAGATCAAGAAAGAGAAGTCAAAGCTCTTGGCCAGCAGCAAACTCTTCAGATCATACTCTTTACAATTTGCAAAATTTGGCATTCCAACAGATTACAACCGAAAGACATTCGTTCTGCGCATGAGATGCGAAACCGAGCAATTTTTGCTAAGCTTTTCCCACGTCGATGATATGATTATGTGGAGCGTACACTTAAGTATCGGAATCGGAGTATCTCTCGATCTCGATTTCAGAGAATTCCCAAGTTATAGAACGGTCCCTCGTCGGCGCAGACGCAGAAGACGGAAGAGACAGCTAAATAATGGTCTTGTGGGTACTCCTGGTAGACCTGGTTCGGTTGCTTCTAACAACTCCACCGAATCTCGAAAAGGATTTTTGGACCTACATTCGCCAAACAAAAAGAGATCTAGCTCCGCCACCGGAAGTGTTTCATCTACCCCGGGCGAGGACTACTTTTCTTCGGCATACTCCACATCAAGCTCTAGACGCGACAGTAACGACTCCATCAAATTTAAGCTTAAAAGCTTTTTCAAATCAGACAAAAAGACAACTTCTCCTTCTCATAGAAACCAATATAATCGAAAGCTTAGTGTAGCTGGGCTGAACTCGGTTGTGGAGGATGACGAAGAGGATCACGTTCCAAACAGAACTCAGTCTACCTCTAACACGCCAAGGAAAAAGGAGCACCTTGCCAGGCCAGGGTTAGACCAACGCTCACAATCGACCGGCTTACTACCAAACAACGGCGAAACCGAGGATTATTTTGGATTCGTGCAAGATTCATCATCGGGACAACATGATGTACCAGCTCTTACCCCTGGCTCCCCAGGATCACCAGGCAGTATTAATTCCATAGGCGGTGCTACTATTGCTTCTAACGAGCTTCAAATGCAAACTGGATTCCACAACAATGTCGGCCTTCAAAATGATTTGAATGAGCTTCACGAGATTATTCGTGAGCACAATGAGGATGTGGTAGAGGATGTCATTGAGGATGAAGAAGAAGAAGAAGAATCTCCCACCGGCAATGATCTCGAAGATGATCTTGAAGATGATGCTGAAGACGATGATGATGACATTGATAGCGTGCGTCGTAATCATACAGCTGCAACCTCCTCAATCTATCAGGACGAGGGTATATTCCATGACAGTGAGGATGACTATAACTACGTGGTGGACCGTGGTGATGCTTTCAGGAGGAGAGCTTCCTCAGTAGCTAGCAACTTGAGCAGCACGCCCTACGGTAGCGACGGGGTTAAATGGAGGCCCCCCAGAAAGGAGATGTCTAGAAGAAGATACATCCGGGACTCTTTAAGATGCATAAGACCTCTTCCAGAAGATGAGGACTGGGTCGGCACTGTCATAATTAGACCAATACCGCCTCCTGCCTACGAAACGAATAATCCTCCTGTGTCTGGTTTCATTTTTGACCAGGGACGAACTGGAAAGCCAAAGGCATCAAAAATCAAGAACATGAGAATTGAAAATGGCATCATTCTAAACAAATGCAAAAACCATTTTGTGAAGCCCTACGTCGTTGGCCCCGTCGGACTGCTAAAAACAAACGCCAGGTGCTAGAGCGTGTGCTCCGCCCTAACATGACAGATGTCTCGCCTCGAGACCTCGCAAGCAAAGGATGGTTTCTTGAATGTTTTTCTCTTATTTTGGAACTGCAAACGTCCGTACGGTAACGCAACTTGACGCTCTTATGTATACTATAGCTTATTGCATGCATACCACTTTTACATTTTTGTTGCGCCCAATGTGTGTGATCTTGAAATCCGATCGGAATGCTCTACGGTTTCACAAAATCAAATAGGCAATAACTACAACGCACACAGTACTAAATACAACGGCCCGCGCGATGTGTAAAGGGTTTGCATCATCGGGCGAGAACTCCAGGGAAGAGAAAATCGGAGAGCTCGCTCCTATATCACCAGGCCTCCGCCGGAGCTTTTGAACCCACGATCCCCAACTCTTGAAATATGCACCTAAAATCGAGCAAAAAAAGCCCTTATTGTTAGTACTTAAAATATGGGTAGCATGATTAATGTATTTCCAATTATTAGCATACCAGATTGTGCGTATTCTTTACCCTTCATCGCTATGACAGCCATAAGCAGGAAGCTCAAGAACAGTTTGATTAAACTCAAATGTGCCCTCTGTACTCCGAGGCTAGAGCCAACGCCCTTGCCATCCTTCTTAAGCATCCTGAAATGCAGATGAGGGTTTACAAAGCATCAACTTCCTCGTGCTCCCAAACTCTCAAACCCACCCATGTTGTACTAATGGACCTTGATTGAATTGAGCCCTATGAGAATCAACGTTAACAATGACCAGCGATTTTCGTGACGCTGGGTAAAGAAAACTCTGGAGGCTCATCTCAAGAGCACAAACCCAGCTAAAAAGTAGCGCAAGTACAGCCCATATCCTAGTACAACTCTTAGCTACCCGTCTGCTTCGGATGCTTTGAAAAACTAAGACAGCAAAAACCAGCCGAAAAGAATTCAAAGAAAAAAAGAAGAACAAGAACACGAATATGAACGAGAGGGCCAAGCTCCAACTGGTCTGATTGTTTAATAACAGCTTTGGCGACCTCATGCTGCTAAACACCCAACGTAATCAAAACTTTGACCTCTCAACAACGGTGTGCTTAAGTCACGTGATACGTACGTTCTAAGAGCCAAGACTACTGAAAAATGTATCGATGTTAGTGCTCGGGTGAGTTGAATCTCTGTTCGGTGAAGTGTCCGGTTTTTGGTGACATTTCCACGTTTTGACCATTGGTATTTAGACCAGGCACTTACTATAAGACTCTGAAAAATGTCTTCCAAGAAAACGTTGAAACAGATTCTCGATTCGGAATACATCGAGGAAAGCGACGATGAAGCCGAAGCTGCCCTAGAAAGGTCCACCGGCGAAATTGATGGAAATGATGGTGGAGAAGAGGTCATTGACAAAAACTACTGTGTTGATTGCAAAGACATGAAGACTGAAATTATATGCAGGGATTGTGAAGAACAATTCTGCGTGGTTTGTTTCGACATGATTCACCGCAGCGGTCGCAGAAAGCAGCACGAGTTTGTTAAAACCAGTCCTGAAGGACAGGAGCAACCAGATGGGGAGTATGAGCAAAAACAGGTGCAGGACATGGCCAACGTCGGTGACAAAACAGACAAGGAAACCGTCATGCAAGTCCCGGAAACTGTCAACTCCCTTGACCATAAGATGCTTGCTATGCTATCCAAACATGCCAAGTTTATACCCATGCGCTTAACATCCGAGGAGAGACATCTATTGAGGCTATTAGAGGCCGCTTTGCATGTATCGGAATACACGGACCGCGTCGATATAATATCGTACAAATCCAAGGCCAAACGTATTGTCGAACAGCTGAAAGAGATGTGCTCTGTGTTGTGTGGGTTAGTTATTGCTTCTAATCTGAAAGTGGGTAAAAAGCTGTTAGAAATGAAGAATTTCTCGGATAACTCATCGTGGTTCCAAGATGTCTTCGAAATCGGCAGACGTTATAAGATCATGAACCCCGAGAAAATGAGAGATACGTACGGTAAGATGTGCTACATGATTATGGATTCCCGCTTGCCCCAAATCGAAGATCACATGGAATTCCATTTGTTCAAGCCCATTAAGACGGTATACGACTACCTCTCAAAACCTGAGGATCAGGGCCATGCTTTGAAAGTATTCGAGGATAAGCTAATTCTATACGCAACCTCACAAATCTCACCTGTTGGAAAAACCAGAGCGGAAATTAACAGGCTGATCAGGCAAAAGGAAACAGCGGTAGAAAAATTGGTCTCCAGATATTCTAGCAAGCATTATGGCAAAGATGACATTCGTCAGGTTCTGTACTCAATTGGTGATTACAATGCGTACATTAATATGAATCGCAGACCTGTCATGCGCATGCTTGAGCGTTTAGAAGCCTTTCGGGATCCCAGTATCGCAACTCAGTATTCACTTGGCATTCAATATGGGCGCCATGGTGCTCGCCTGACCCACGATCACATGCGTCAAATGGAATATGTGCAACAATCGCTCTCACTGTGGTCGTTGATACAGAGAGAGATGATACATTTGTGGTATATTGCTGATCAGGATCTTTACAACCCTTATGAGTACAGACTGGCCTCCACTGGCCAAGGTCTGAACCGTATAAAAGCTTGTCCAGCGTTGTATCGAGAAATGCATTCCATCCTACAAGAATGCCGTTCTAAGTGTGAGACATGGGTAGGTTCGTCAGTGGTACATCTAGGAGATGATGCAGTTCCTAACGCTTTATTTTTCCTCGACAAATACACCCAGGTTCCTAACATCTTGATTCCCTTTGATCAAACCTTACTACAAATCAATGACTTGGTCAAAGACGATGCCTCCCTCTTAGAATATATCGAGGCAGAGTACGGGTCGGTTGATGACTTGAAGCTAACGATACTTCAAGATGCTTTTGCCCACATGTTTGACGGTTCGGGAGCTGATAATTTCTACATGAGTGGATCGTGTATTGACGGTAGATTAACTTCGGCTTGGAATCACACCAACGCCATCGCAAAAAAGAAGTACTATAAAATCTTTCTAATGACAGGATTCATCGGATTTAATGGTCAAGAGGGCTTCTGAAATACATCCCAGTAAGCATTTTTGTATATAGCCAGTATTTAAGGTGTATTTTAAAATTAATAATATTATTACATTATCACAACTATGAGATGTTCTGCGTCCGAGGTCGCAACCCTGCCTTTGGCTCATGAGTGAGCCTCAGTTCTTATACAACCAGCCCGTGGTGCTTGATAATGGATCTGGAATAGTAAAAGCAGGGTTTAGTGGTGAGGATAAGCCAAAATGTTTTGAGTACGCAATGGTTGGCAAACCAAAATACAGCAAGATAATGGCAGGGGGGCTCGCTGGTGACACACATTTGATAGGGAATGAAGCTCAGAGACTGAGAGGGCTTCTGAAACTTGACTATCCCCTAGAGCACGGTATCGTCAAAAATTGGGAGGGGCTTGAGTTATTGTGGTCATACGTCTTTCGCGAGAGTTTGAACCTGAACGGCATCGAAGATCATCCCGTTTTGGTCACAGAGGCACCCCTCAATCCCGCGGTAAATAGAGAACATATGTGTGAACTGTTATTTGAGTCCTTTAATGTTCCAGCGGTTTACGTCTCAATTCAGGCAGTGTTAGCCCTTTATGCTAGTGGCAGGACAACAGGTTGCGTGGTCGATTGTGGGGATGGGGTATGTCACAGTGTTCCTGTGTATGATGGATTCACGCTCCCTTCAGCGGTACGACGAATTGATGTTGCGGGTAGAGATGTTACAGAATTTTTACAATTATTGCTTCGCAAGTCCACAGGTGTTACACTTCTTTCGAGCTCTGAGCGAGAGATTGTACGAATAATAAAAGAAAAGTCATGCTATGTGGCTCCAGATATATCTACCGAGGAACAGAGATATGCTGGGGTTGATAACGAGGAATTACAAACCAAATTCAAATTACCAGACGGAAAAGTACTCACTATGGGGCCCGAGAAGTTCCGCGCTGCTGAAATCCTCTTTCAGCCTCAACTCATAGGTTCGGAGTCTGATGGGGTGTCTGAAATGTGCTATCAAAGTATCCTTAAGGTGGATCTAGATTTGAGACCGTCTTTGTACTCAAATATCATATTTAGCGGAGGCTCAACAATGTTTGCCGGATTTGGAGACCGCTTTTTGAATGAACTACGAACACAATGTGAGCCTAACACTAAGATCAAAATATTCGCTCCACCGGAACGGAAATATAGTACGTGGATAGGTGGGTCCATTCTTGCGGGATTGTCTACTTTTGAAAGGCTTTGGGTAACTAAATCTGAATGGCAAGAAAACCCGCAATGCGTGCATTCACGGTTTATGTAGATTACTATGAGGAACGCCTTCATCTAAAATCACTCTCATGTATTTCAATACCACTCACACCATTGATAGATAACTATTATATGCAGTAATATCTATCACCAAAGTCCCCAAGGCCAGGAACAAGATATCTGTTTTCGTCTAGCCCAGAATCGATGGCACCAGTCACGATTTTAACGTTAGGAAATTTAGCGTGGTAAAGGTCAATTCCTTCTTTGCTGCAAATGAGATTCAAAAAAAATATACGCTCTTGTTTAACTCCTCTTTTGATCAGCACTTCTGTGGCCATGGCAGCACTGCCACCAGTGGCTAACATGGGGTCCAATAGAAATACAAACCTTTCTGAGATATCTTCGGGAAGTTTTTCGAAAAAGAGCCTTGGCAAAGCAGTTTCTTCATCTCTTTGGATCAAAATTTTACCAATACGCACGGAACGACAGCACTCTCTGAGACCCTGTTCCATAGATTCGCCTGCTCTTACAATGGAAACACCACAAATTTTGCCCAAGAATGACACACCATCAAATTTTTGGTTCGTGGAAGTTTCTACAACCTTAGGTGTTACTGGAAGATGATTCAATCCTTCTTCAACCAGCAACCGGATGATTCTGTCCGCGTAAAAGATAAAGTCTGGTCTCCGTGTGGTTTGATCTCTAATAATGGTATATAGCCCAAGTAATTGGTTAGTTTGTGGCAGCAACACCACATTTTTGAATGGTTCGGTTGACATATGTGTGGTAGAAATTGAAATTGGGAGTATTGAGGGCGATATCTGGAAATGTTTCTGTCACCCTGGAAGAAAATCCGCAGTACTAGGGAAACTAAGTTGAACGATTGTTCCAGCAAAGAGCTAATATAATGTCTCCTAAACAGCAGGGAGAATACTTAGCTTGACTCAAGGCTTGGCAGCTACGTACTTCAGAATATATGCTATGGCGGTGGTCAAATTCTTTTATGTAAATCATAACTTTCAACCACTTGGCGGATCAAAAAAATAGTCCGTCGGAATTGACCTTTCGAAGATGGCCATCGAGATATCAGATATCAAAAATACAGAGGGCAAGAAAGCTCCATGCTTGATGGGGTAGATTAGCATTCAAGTATTGGAAGCTAGCTTTCAGTAGGATTAATAACTGAGTTGATGAAAAAGAGAGTTGGTTTGCGCCATTGACCTTTAAAACAGTACGTACCCAAAAGCCAAAAAAAAAAAAAAACAAGCAACATCTGCTGATGAACCGGAAGCGGTTGCCAAAGGAATATCGGCACACTGAAGGCAACAGTGCTTGAGACATTTCGTTGATCTCTCAAGTGTTTAAATTAGACTAAACAACATGATATGGTACATCATATTTAACGAAAGGGACGCTAGTTATTGTAGCACCGTCCACTTCCCAATTCAACTTTCTTCCCCAGTGGTTTAACGGCTCATCAATACTAGGGACTGCCCAATTCTTTTCCACCACTGAGTCTTTATATTCTTGCAAATGTTAATTTTTGAAGGATTGATAATCTACACAAATTGCGAGCAAGGTGGTCCAGCTCGTATGCTACCGCTGTGGCATTGTTTCTCTGTATTACTCGTCCTTACTCCACGAAAGGACCGCTTATAATGTCGGATCCATCAAGCGGGCTCAAGGTCAGCAGCATAGTACCTCTAATAACCACTAGGCCCAGGTCTCGCGTCTTACCTTCTATGATCTTGGTATCATCCTCGGGATCTCTCAAATGCTCTGTAGTCTCGTCTAAAACCAGGTTCATCAGTTGATCGTAGCCCTTTAATGTTCCAATCACTAATCTTCCGCCCATCAATTTTACGCGAATTTTTGTGTCGGCATATTTGGCCAGGTTAACAATGGCTTCACGCTTAGGGCCTTCGAATTTACGCTTTCCTTGGGATTGATTTTGCTGTTTGTCCTGCTGTTATCAAGTCAATTGTTAGTTTAAAGCTCGCAAGATTTGAGGACATGACCTGTCCTAGAAAGAGGACTGGCTTTCATAAGTCGATTGTCTCAAAGAAACAAGCGTCCAATAACATACGGTTTCGCTCATCGATGCGGTTGAAGCAAATGCCGGGTGTTTAGTTTGGCCGTAGTGTATACTGTCCTTCAGCCATGTAGGAATAATTTTCACAATTTACCTTCCTAACATCAATAAAATTGATGGCATTGTCAGAAATCTGTGATAAAGACAGTACCAGTGATGCCGCTAGTACACATTCTCTCAGATTTGTGCTCTATAAGTCGTGAAATAAACCTAGAATGGGATTGGAAACTGTTGTGCGAAAAGTTGACTCAAATTAGTGGTGTGTTGCCTGCAGACATGCTATTCGAGATTGAACTTCAGGATGGTACCAAAAAAAGAGTGGAGAAAGCAGTTTCCAGAGCAGGTTCACTGCAACAAACACTGGGTCAAGCACCCCTTATCATCCGCATTATAGACACCAATGAGAACTCGATAGCAAACGAACTAGCTCAAGACCCAGCTTTCAACTCTGAAAACACCAGCGGTGAGGCACCCTCTGGGTTTACGCTTTCGGAAGACGACTACCAACAACGATCAGATTCTGTTTTACAATGGAAGAAAAATTGCGGACTGGGTAAGTTCGACCCGAACTATCGCGCAAAGCTGGAAAAAGATTTGACTTTCCAAGCTGACTGTGCAACAGACCTTGTGCTAAATGAGCGTTGTCTGGTGAGCGCTAGTGACACCACAAGCGAAAGGAGAGGCTGGCTGCGATATGTAGGGAGCCTACCTGGGCCGCGAGGGGCGCAAGGCACTTGGTGTGGCGTAGAATTCGATGAACCCTGTGGAAAAAACGATGGAACCCTCGACGGCCATGTCTTATTCGGTCCAGTGAAACCACAGTATGGTGGGTTTGTAAAGCCCAGTAACGTTAAGACGTCAAGTGAATATCAGCCTATTGATGACTTTGCTTCTGACGACGAACTGTAGGGGAGTTTCAAGCAACTTTGAAATTGGTGTTTTAAGATCAGTCTAGAATTCTAACTAAAATCTAACTTATTCAGAAACAGCTACGAGGTGATGGTTTTTGATTCGAACTGTTTTTTGACTAATTTCAGCTAACAGTTTGGCTTCCATATAATGCGTGTGCTAAATGCCACTAATTGATATTTTGGTAGCCAATAATAAGACCTCAGGCATCTTTGGTGAAGATATTGTTTTGAAATTCACTCATGAGGCAAACAAAGCGAATGTGCCCGTGAAATAATACGGCTTTAGCACCTTGGTAGATCTATGTGGTCATTGAAAGGCATTTTTTATTATTATTGTCATCGTGGCTTCACTTGGAGTTATTTAATGGTGACTGGTATCAGTACACGAAGTTAACCTTCTAGTTCCCGAGGTCTACAGCAAATTCATTAAGCACTTCATGAACCCTAAGATTCCGCTTTCAAGCTAGAGATAATGTTTTTCGAGCGACATCTGGTTTATATGTCACCCATACGACAGCCCAAGTTATAAGTTATCTACTTTACGGGATAGTTCCCTTCGCATCGGTATAAGTCCCAATAGATTGGGCTTTTCCAGAAACCTTGTAAGGAGGGCGAGGACAATTTCATCAGTATGCTAGGCGTCACAAACTGTCTTTTTGAGTCAGCACGTAGTTTTTGCGAGAATGCTGAGCGATTAACAGAATATGAGCAATGGCGAGGGATGTTAAATAATTTACAAATGCCTGAACTGGAAAGGAGTTCAGAGTCATCGCCCTGTTTCATTGGAGGTCCAGTTGGCAGGAGAGTACAGGACTAAAGCTGTTACACTCGTCCCCGATGATCTTTAATCTCTGGAATCATGACATTTCCACGCCAACAATCGCTCGAATGCCTGATGAGATACTTGCAATCGTCAAGAACCAGTTTGAAAATACGTTATTCCTCAATTTAGTTGGTGCTAACCGATGATATGCAACTGAACCGCACCCTTAAATGGTGCCATAAACGATTGGTTCCCAATTGCCCCACCGGTAAACTGCGCTTTGAAAGCACATCGACTGTTCGAGGAGCCACCGTTGAAAGGCTAAAGATACCGATAGACCAAATTAAAAGCATCTCCGAGCCACAGATAGACTTCGGATTGCCAATTGCGGTTGCGAAGTCCAGAAGGGTCGCCAAAGGCGCACGCAATGTAAGCAACGCTTTACCGCCCACGCTGCAATACGTCCGTGATACTATGGACAGACACAAGAACTATGTAGTTTTAACCCAGATGGGCTCCTTTTACGAGCTCTACTTCGAGCATGCTGAAATATATGCTCCTAAGCTGAACTTGACGCTGACCAGCCGTGAGTATACACACGGTAAAGTATCCTTTGCAGGTTTTCCAGTACACCAAATCCAGCGCCATCTCAAAGTCTTGGTCAAGGATCACGGATATAGTGTTGCTATTGCTGACCAATTTTTAAAAGATTCTTCAATTACGAATGAAACCAACCGGTTTCTCAGGCGTGTCACCAGAATTGTAACACCAGGTACATTCATGGACGAGGCGTTTGAAAATCTCCAAGAGAATACTTATCTTTTGAGTATTGAATTTCCAGGAAAAGCTACTCTCAGAACTGCTGATATTGACATGAAAATTGGCTTGTGTTGGTGTGACATCTCAACAGGTGAAGTATATGTACAGCAGGTCTCTCTGAAGGATACTGTGTCCGCTATTACAAGAATTGGGCCTCGAGAAATACTTCTTGATGAAGAATTGATGAGTTTTTCGCTAGAAAAAGGAGAGTGGTTCACTGAACTGGTTGAACTTAAAAAGTATTTTGTAAAATACCAGCGGCTTCCTTCTGGTCACAGAGAAATGAAAACTTTTTACCATCTTTTCAACTGTGACGAGGAGGTTGATCGAAGTTTTGCCAAACTAGACTCAACCGTTCGTGACTTGACGCAAAAAGAAACAGCAGCGCTAAGGAATATACTCTTTTATATCGAAGAGCATTTACCGAACGCTCAGGTAAACTTACAAACTCCTCAGCGGCAGCTAACAACATCCATCATGCAAATCGACTCTAGAACAAACTCCTCTCTAGAACTTACCTCTACCATGAGATCTAATAGCAGAAAGGGTTCATTATTATCTGTTATACGTCGTACGGTAACTCCTTCGGGTAGTAGACTCTTGTCCCAATGGCTATGTGCGCCATCTTTGAACCTTTCAGAAATCCATCGGCGCCAAAAGCTGGTGAAACTCTTTAAAGAAAATGATGACTTGATGAAAACGATCTTTAGGACATTAAAGCAAACATATGACATGCCGCGTATCTTACAAAAATTTACATTCGGTAAGGGAGAGGCGACAGAGCTGCTCCAATTGGCTCATTCGCTTCAAAGCGCCGGAGTTATCTTAAAACTGCTTCAAAAAGCATCTGAAAAGACGAATAAAATGCCTCTAACAAAGCTTACTAGTTCATTGATATCTCCTTTGCAGTGCAATGAATTTTTGATAGAAAAGGTGCTCGGCACTTTGGATGAGGAGCAGTTCCTCAGATCTCGGAAAGCTCCGGCAGAATTCGAGAGCCTTGGTACAGAAAATGGTGGACAAAAAGGCCTAGACGTCGATCCACTTGGGGAATCTTCACCTTGGGTTGTTCAATCGAATGCCTCTTCACAATTGCAAAAGCTTCATAAACTTCATAACGAACTTTTGGTAAGCCGTGACATTTTGCGCCATGATCTGGAATCATTCTTCACTACTAAATTCCAAGCTAGAACCGTTCAGCTCAAACTTAAGCAAAGCAATGAATTTGCTATCCACATCACAGCCAGTCCTTCAAACATCAGAGAAATTATGTTTAAACTTAAGGAAGGGCTCCTGTTCCGGGAAGAATTGTTCCGTGTTATACAAAAGTCTGCACAAACATGCTGGTTGAGTCATGAATCCTGGCTCGAGCTTGGACACGAATTAGAACTCACCGCAATGAAAATAAAAAAGGAAGAGAGCGCCTATATGAATGAACTCAAAGGCGAATTTGTAAAAAGAAGTTCTTCTATTAGGCGCATAGCCCATACTTTAGACTATCTTGATGTACTAACATCCTTTGCTAAATTGAGTTTAGAGAAGAGTCTAACTTGCCCTTCCGTTAATTCAACGACGGAATTCAATGTCACCTCTGGTCGTCACATAATGGTAGAAGATGCACTTTCTACTAAATCTTTAGAGCATTTCACGCCAAATGATTGCAATATCCAAGCTCAAGAACTCTGGATAGTAACTGGTCCAAACATGGGCGGTAAATCGACGTTCCTTAGGCAAAATGCAATAATAGCAATTTTAGCTCAAATTGGGTGCTTCGTTCCTTGTAAATCGGCAACAATTGGTCTCGTCGATAAAATCTTTAGCCGTATGGGCTCAGCCGATGATTTATACAATGAAATGAGTACATTCATGGTAGAAATGGTCGAAACTAGCTACATTCTAAATGGCGCCACATCAAGCTCACTTGCAATATTGGACGAAATAGGAAGGGGGACCAGTGGAAAAGAAGGTGTCAGCATTGCTTATGCTACCTTAAAGCATCTGATTGAAAGGAATAAATGTCGATCACTCTTTGCGACGCATTTTGGAACCGAATTACAAGCACTGGTGAGGGGTAAATGCCACCCCGAACAGCAACAGAAGATTTCCTTTTATCAAAGTGCTGTGCTTGATGTTGGTGAAAATGAGTTTTACTACGATCATCGGCTAACACCAGGGGTTTGTACACAATCAGATGCAATAAAAGTTGCGTTGAGGGCTGGTTTTCCTAGGGACTCGTTATTGCATGCGGAAGAAGTACTGAAAGCTTAGGAAAACTGTATCTTTTAGACGAAATATAGAGAAGAATTTAAAAATGCTGTTCGTTTTGATGCTGGTTGCCTTGGTCCTGGGTCTGCTGGGTCTGCTGGGCCTGCCGGGCCTGTTGGGCCTGTTGATTCATGAGTATTTGCTGTAGCTGTCTCACTTGTTGCATATTTTGAGCTTCAGATGCAAAACCTGTTTGTGTAGCCATCTGTGGCTGAGGAAAGCTCGCCGTAGAATTCACCTGAGGATGAGAATATCCTGGATTAGCGGGTATCTGGGGCTGAACGTAACCTGGATTTGGGGACATATGCGTCTGATGATACGATTGGGTGACTGATGGTTGCATCTGGGGGTACATGCCCTGAGGTTGTCCAAAATATTGTTGCGGATAGTTAGAATGACTGAAATCTAGAGGTAAACGAGCTGGTTGAGTTTGGGGAGCATGGGGGATGTGTGTCTGCCTGAAGTCCTGTTGTACATATTGGTATCCGTAAGGATATGGGTAGCCTTGATTTTGATAGGCTAAAGTAGTTTGAGCACCATAAGGGGAGTGAGATTGAGAATACCCGGCAGCATTCTGAGGTGGTAAAGTGTGTTGTTGCGGAGGGAAACGATGCTCTTGTTGCTGCTGATGATAGTATGGAGAATTCACTTGAGGTCGTTGTTCCGAAGCTCGCACTTCGTTTTGACGAGCACTGCGCGGTCTATAAGAGCTAGAGTTTGCCTCATCATTTTCCCAAGGTGTTGTGTTCGTTTTTGGCCTGGAACGAGGCAGGAAGTCCGTGGACACGCGTTTCTTGCCAGCGACAGTTTCTGTCATTTGCACAACCTCTCCCTTGCGTTTCTTAGACTGCTTTTTTATCTTCTTGTGTAACGCCTCCTTTTCGTCGTCCGAGAACTCTTGCTCGTCCTCAGGAAGCTCCTCATCAAACCCGTTAGAAGCGTCTGTGCCACGCAGACGTCTCAATTCAAACGTATCTTGCCAGTGGGCCTCAGGTGCGATGTAAAAAACCTTCTGACCAATTTTGGTGGCTAGTTCTTGGTACAGTTCCGACTTAGCCTTTGGAAATGACACTCTGTAGAAGGGTGCCTGCAGCGGGCCGAAAACTTCACATAGTGGGCCCAACAGTTGACGATCGTGAAGACATAACAGCGACTGCTCCTTCAAGACACGCTGTTCTGCAGAGGCAGTGGACTGGACGATGATATTATGATCAAATGCAGATTTGATGATTCCAATCTCCTGTATGGGAGTATTGGCGGTGATCTGGAAATTTTCAGGGACTTCGAAAGTGGCTTCCTCAGTAAGCTCGTTTTTCGACTTAATAGGACCTTGCGCTGCGGGCTCTTCGTCCTCGTCGTCCTCGTCCATTACCTGAACTTCTGCACCGCTAGAGTCATCGGAACTCTCATCCGAGGAGGAGCCATCGGCCTCCTCCGACGATGCCGAGGTCTCGCTCGCTGAAGAAGTACTTCCAGATCCACTAGTATCTCTGGGATCATGCGGCTCTTCCTCTTGCAGTTTCGTTTCTTTATCTTGGGTTACATTCGGAACCTCCTCATCACTACTAATTTCTCCAACGTCTATATCGTCGTGAATAGGTAATGGCTTGGCATCTGGGTTTTTCAGAGCCTCGCCAAATAAATCGGAGCTCATTGACACTATCTGGAACGATTGAGAAAGCTGTGTGGTATGTCTAAAGCGAACAACTTGCTCATCGCTGTTGTGTTGACGACAGCCATCCGAAAATTTGAGAGCATCATGTGCTCGACGAAAATGCTGGCCGTCTCAAGTAAACGACAAAATTGAGACTCAGTGCCAAGAGGCTCGCCGAAAGCACGGGAGAGTCTACCCAATCGTTGCCATAAGAACACTGTTCTCATCATGTGGGGCTACTTTGCGTTTCGGGTAAATACGAGGATCAATATAAGATAAAATGGCCGAACCAGTGGAAGGGTGGCCTTCAACCCGCTATAGCAAGCAGCAATTACAGGAATAAGAAGACCGCGCCCGACTGAGCGACTGGCTGGCTTTGAGCAAGTCACTTTCCCAACTTTCGGCCCTCAAATATATATATCACTATGGACTATTCTGTCGCTGACGCGGCCAAAAAGAAACGATAATGACGATATACAAATAAAGCTCACAATGAACCTGGGACGTTCCCCGCAAAGCTCCTGTGATCCGAGAGATTGTTTTCTCCTTACAATGCTAGTCATTCGCGGTATTATATCAGTGATTTATCCATCTCAATCTTCATGCAAATAGTTTGACAATCTATAAATCTATATTTTTACCTAAACCTACCTGTTACTCATCTATCAGAAAGCCATATCTACTATTTACCTCCCCAGGGACACTGGTGATCGACCTCTTTTGTCAAGCTCCCTCGCGTTTTCCAGTGTGGGTTCGTCGCATACACGAGTTGGAGCGAGTCGAATTAGTTATCTATCTGTCATCAGCCGGCATCGAACTTCCTAATGAGGAAACTGGAATTACTATCAAGAGCTATCTATGGCTTTTTTTGACTCATCTCGAGAGCGATGAGTAGTATAATAGGATCATGATTAAGCCCTACCCAGGACTAATATTACGTCTGCCAAGTCTGTTCCAACTAGTTTTGTTAAATTTCAGTAGTTCAGAGCATGGCAGCATAGACACTTTGTATCCTCCTCAACGTTTAGATTATCGAAATGGCACCATCCATTAACAGCGATGTGTCCTCATTGCTGTCGACGACAACAGCAGCGAGCCCGATTGCAAGAACGGCAAGTGAAAAGAGGCAATCTGACCTCGAGGATGCTACGCAGAAAATGATGAGGAAAATATCGTCAAGGATGCCGACCAGTGTGTACAGCATGCGCCATGGTGATGATGATGATGATGATGATGATGACTATGAAAGTGAAGATTTAGACGAGCTGCTGGAAAATCAATTTGAAATAGAGGATGCGTTTCGAGTCAAGACTAACAGACTGGCGGAGGAATCTTCTGTGCACCCATCGCAAACAAGCGTGCCGTTGCATGGCCAAGATACGCAGCATAGCGTGGTACAGAAGGTCTTCACAAACCAAACTACAGGGGATCTCAGCCTACCGCCCGATGGAGGATATGGTTGGGTGTGTTGTATATGTCTTACGATGATATACTTCTCGACCTGGGGTATTAGCGCTGCCTCCGGTATTTTCTTGGCATTTTACCTCAATTCCGACTCTTTCCCCGGCGCGACGAAGTATGATTATGCAATCATTGCGGGTTTGAACGCTTTCGGTGCCCAAGCGCTGGGTCCCAGCTCAATGATCACTTCGCGAATTTTCGGCTTGAAGCTGACAATGTACGCAGGTGTTGTAGTTTTATTTCTCGGGTTTTTTCTAGCTTCGTTTGCTACTAAGCTGTGGCAACTATATCTGACCCAGGGTTTTCTATTTGGCGTGGGGATTGCAATGGTCTTTGTCCCAGCGACTACTATTCTTCCGGGTTGGTTTCTCAAGAAAAGATCAACGGCGTTTGGCATTTCACTACTGGGCACGGGAGCTGGCGGTGTCATCTACTCTGTTGCTATTCAACAAATGATTGACAGGACTGGTGATCAAAGATGGGCATTACGCATGCTTGCAATTGCTGGGGCAGCAACCTGTGCAGTTGCGACATTTTTCATGCGTCAACGGATTCCGACTAAACCTTCTGGTCTAAAGTCCTGGATCGCAATCAAACAGCAGTTTCAGCTTATCTATCAGTGGAGGGTTGTGAAAACTTACAAGATCAATTTGATATCTCTGTGGTGCGCTCTGGCGTTATTTGGTTACAATTTGATGGTTTTCACAATGTCTGCCTACGGTGTTTCCAAGGGTCTGTCCTCGCAGCAGGCTTCCTTGTTAACTATTGCCTTGAACTCTGCACAATGTGTAGGAAGGCCGTCTATCGGGCTTCTTGGTGATCGTTTTGGCCGGGTTAACGTCACCGTGGCATTGTCCACCCTGCTAACGATTTTTCTTTTTGGCTTTTGGATACCATCACATACTTTCATCCAGCTGATTATGTTGTGCATTTGCTTAGGTTTAATCATTGGTGTCGCAAACGTGATGAATATTGTCCTTATTGCTGACGTATCTGGTGCAGACGATTTTTTACCGGCTTGGGGGTACTGCAACATGTTCACCGCACCATTTCTTCTCGTCAGTGAACTTATAGCTCAAGCACTTGTGGATGAAAACAACAAGGTTAATCCCTACCTTTACACCCAGATCTTCACTGGTTTATGCTTCTTTGTAGCTCTTCTCTTAGTTTTGTTACTGCGAGAAATCACAGTCAAAATAAGGTTCAAAGCAAGCCTCAGTCGCATTGAGAAACTTCTTACTGATCTTGAGTTGGATGACGACAAGTCAGTTTCGCGCTCTACAAGAGATCAGCTTGAATCTCAACGTCAAGAGTGTTTAGAGTACCTTCAACCAGGTATCGGCACTTTCTTTCGCCGCGTGTTTTGCAAGACTAAAATTTGAATATACCATTGAACTCATTAATGCATTAAAATTTCTTATCGAAGAATTTTACTTAGACTTAGTAATTCTGTATCACCATCAGCTTTTAGATCTTTAATAAGGTAGTACGCGATACTTTGAATTCGTTTATAGTTAGTAACAATATCGGACAGAAGAGTATTGAAGCTCGTAAGTAGCTTAGTAACCTCACTACCGGATTGCAAGCTCAGTACTATCAGGAGTTCATGAATGATGTCGTTAAAATTCGAATAAAGAACAATGAATCCATAAATGTCCCCCAGTAACATAATTAAAGTAGAAGGATAATATTGATTTGAAAAAGCACCTTTTTTACTGTTCTGTGAAGTGGAATCGAGCAATCTATGATTGATGATTTGCTGAAGATAATCGTCGTGTATTTCTTGAAGCTCATCTATGCTGAAAGAAGTTTCTTGTTGACCTGTCGAATTGTCAGACGTGATTTTTGAAATCAACAATGGGTTAGGTTTTAATATCCCCTGTACAACTCTCAGACCATTTTTTATTTGGGTGATTTTCATGGTACTTTTAACAGGCCGATTGTCGTCCGTCATTTTCATTTGCATGCAAGCATAATTTTCTTCGATAATGTAGCGAAAACAATGGTTCTCTAACTTGCGATTTATGTGTAGAACATTAAACTTCAGGGCGTTAATTTTTGACATTTTCCTCAAGACATCTCTCATGAATGGCCTATTTCGGCGCAACTGTCTGAAATCTCGCATGAGAGAATTATTTCGTAACCATTCATTTTGAAAGAAGTAATTGTTCTTCTTAATCCTCCATAAAAAATTGAATATTCTTAAGTATTCATTTCGCCCGCCAGTTTGCTTAAAATTTAGGAGAGTAGCGAGTGGCCTTTCAGCCAGATAATCTAGTGTGAAAACGTCCCAACCAATGGACCCATGGCCAAGCTCTAACACTCTGGCATCAATGCCATCAACAATCTTACTCATTTGACTTGTTCCAAGCATAAACTTCAATGATGACTGCTTTATTGACTCGTGTAGGCATCTGGTCAGCTTGTAGCTTGGAAGTGTTGCTGAAGGCTGCTGAAGGAAATCTGCTGAGTTGTGAATCATCTGATCTATAAAATCACCTTTTCCCATGAAAAGAACATCCCGTAGCATCTGAAGTACCTTCCGAAAGGAAAATTTGTCCTCCAATGTTTCTCTACAGAATGAGGTAATCTCAAAATAATGATAGTGAACTGTCTTCCGAAATTCTAAGGATAGCTCGCTGCCTTTCAAAGTGTCATATATTCTGGTGTACTTCTGGTTATTTCCATTTGTCCACTGGATCTCCAGGCAATCCTTTTCCAAATAAAGGTAGGTCTTTCCGATAATAAAAATTTCCTCGGCCGTTGTTAGCGGTATAAAACTTGGTATCTTCTCAGAATTCAATTTTAAATTGGCAGAATCGTGTTTTGACGGCTCAATCCGTTCAATGAAAAACTCCTGATATGTCTCTAATTGTCCCCGAGTAAGCCAGTTGGCCAGATATTCATAGTAGAGAAGGGCAAGTGAGCAATACAGTGATTTAAACACGCGTTGGACGGTGAGATCGCCGTGCTCCTTGAGGTCATAAATACGAGAGACTAATTGGTCTCCCCTCATTTTGTGAAAGTCAGTCACCAGCTTATAATAGATGCGGAATTCAACTAGCCACTCAACAATCTCAACGTAAAAGGCCTTCAGGGACTGAATTTGAGGACTGTTTGATATCTGATTGATTCTTATCATGTACTCGTGTACACGATCGTCCACGAACGATAAGAATGCAACTTTTAAAGGGGACACGTTGCTTTCAGCTCGGTGAACCTCCACCTGTTTCTGGAGAAAGCAATAAAGAAGCCCAGCTTCGAATAGGATGTGCAGCATTCCACTTTCACCATTTGGCACGGACGTCGGTATGTGAATTCCACTTTTATCGAAAGAAAACATATGTGAAGTAGTGGCCAATAATGTGAATGGCAAGCATTCACGAATTTCCAGCTCGTTCGCGGTGGCACTAAAATAGGGATCGGCTAAACTTGACAATGTGACCATATCATGTCGAGCCCCTGCCATCATCCCATAGTTCGAGGAAACTATCGACCGTCTGTCAGAGTAACGGTCAATGTTCTCAAAGGACTCCGCGTACCCAGGTGAGTTCCTGGAGCCTTTGATGGGTGTCACCAGGTTATCATGCGTACTTAAAAGGTGTGAGCTTAGTACTGAATCCTGTGACATGCGAGGAGACCTTTGATGATGCGGCGAATGGACATCAAGCAGCGTGTTCCTCATCAACTGGACATATGCTGACGCTTCCTCCTCGTTAGGCGATGTAGTCACCAGCTGTAGAAGACCCTCTAGCTTTTGCCATCGGGATAAGCTATCCATAGTCTGGATGGCCCTTTTTTTGTATTTGTTCACTATCCTAGTCATCTGTTCCACCGAAACCGACGGTGATGCTACAACAGCGCTCGCCTCTTCTTGCAGACCCGTTATCAACGCATCAGGGAGGCTCGAAGAGACTAACTCGCGAATAATGTATAACAGGTTAGCCTTTAAGTCCATGAGCCTACAATTGGCTCTTCTTCCAAAGTTCCGCTGTTGTACACCATCAATTGTTACGCCAAACTGAAAGGTAAACAACTCCACAAGATCAAATAAGCTATTGTCATTGTAAACGAGCGATTCAACAGACGCTCTATGACAATTCGCTTCTCCACAGTTCCACCCTGAAGATATTAACGTGCTTAGTTTGAAGCTGTCAACATTTCTGCCTCTTTGTTGAAGAACGATGTATCACTTTTTTCGTGGTATCCCAGGAACTCGACTGATGATTTATAATGAGCAAAGTTGTAGAACTGAAGGAGGGCTCTTAAAGCAATTTCCTGGCCACATGCATCGTTTAGCTCGCCAGCTATGTCCTTACCCGTAACCCAATTATCGTTCAGTTTCAACCTACGGTAGAGATAAACACCCGAAATAAGATCCATGTGTTCAGCCTTCCACTTCTTATTTTTGAACGGCGTCAGCTCCTGTGTAATTTTTAGGATCGGGCGGTAAATATCCAAGCTGAATATCTGATATAACTTTTTTAGTAATGAGCCGATGGAAAGTGGCAGTTCTTTCAGCCGTTGAGTCTTGCTCCCAGTGACCTGGCTGAGGAGCCTGAGAACGTATACCTCGGTGTTTAAGAATCGCAGATTGATAGTAGCTTCAGCCTTCTTGGCTTGTTGGTCCTCAAAACTTTTGCTATAAGACGGATTAAAGGCAGAGCAGGCTTTCCACAATGAGTTTTTCGATTGCAGAGTTCTTCCAAATACGCGATCGGAATATTTGTCCGAACAACTATTCAATAAGGCAGTAGCTGTGCTGATGAGCCTATGATCATAAAGAATGACGCAAAAATGTTCGAATTTAAGAATGTGATTCAGCTTGAACCATTTGTTGATGAGAAATATGACACTAGCTGCTGATTTCAAAGCAACTTCTTTTGAACGTACAATTTCCAACTGAGACGAGAGCTTTTCCTCAGTGACGCCCGATGGCAATTCTTCCTGAGTGTAGATGCGGTTATGGACGTTGGAAGAAATCGTTTGATGGAGTACATATACAATAGAGCTGAAGCTAGGCAAGCATTGCTCATAAAACCTCTCTACGCGTGCCATAGTTTGAGCTTCAATTGCGCTGCTTTCTGGATCGTAATGATAGGGTGTTGAACGCGACATTCCACTAGAAGGGCCCCAGCCACGTTCTTCAGCCATGAAAACCTCGCGCTCATGCCAAAGCTGCTTAGTTGAAAGCTTCACTTCCATGCTATTGTGAATTATTTTAGTGGCTTCTAGCACACTAAAGGGTACGTTCTCGTCGTTTGCAACCTTTTCAAGTGAGGGAAGTCTTTCTGAAAGATAACTTTTAATCTCAAGCTCATCATCCGACGGATACAGCGCAGGATAGGCCAGATTGGTTTGAAAAGATTTGCGAGTCTTTGAACCCGTGTTGGCTTGTGAGATGGGTGAAGATGATGGAGACGGTGCGGGCGTTGCAATGTGGAATTCTGGCGCGCTCACGTTGGTCATCAGTGTGCTTTTGGATTTAGGTCTCGGAATTTCCAGAAACTGAGAAAGAGAATTTGAGTTGTCGAAACAAGCAGGAACATTTGATGTCGGAGGTAAAAATGTAGGGAATCGAGCAGATACATCCTCTCTAAATGCATGATAATCTAGTGGACTAATGGTAAGCTTGTCTGGTCGGTCAGACTTCGCATTGATGTTGTGTTTTTTGCAGACATATCTTTTGACTTTAGCATAAAACTCCATGTCACCGAACTGCAATAGTAGTAGGCGTTGTAGAAGGATTATTGCATTCCGTATCCTCATACTAAGCCGACTACTCCAGCGCCAATGCTCGATGTATTTCGTAATATATTCTAGTAGATTAGTTTCTTCAATTATGATTATTGTTGAGTTTTTTTGTGCTTCGGTAATAGAGCCCTCTTGGCTTTCAAGGATTACGTTGATCAAAGAGAAAACAACTGTCCCTGAAAGAAGATGGAGTTTTGTATATTGCTTTAAATGTGACGAACTATCTCGACACATAGTAGCGTGGTGCATGAAAGCTTTTGCTAGGTTAGACATGTATGGTAGCAGTATGAGATTCGAGCGTCTTATTTCTTTAATGTGGTTTTCGCGACTTTCCTGAGCACCAAACAATCCCAGGCAAATATAAGCCAAAGAGTGAAAGCGTGCCATTTCGACTGACTGGATCGCGGACTCGCTAGCAAGATCCCTCACAGTTGATTGAGCATACTTGGTGTCACTCAAAAATTTATCAGCATCGAACGAATTTTCGAAGCTCGTTTTGATTTCGGGAAGCACAGAATAGTCTGCAAAACTGAACCAGTCTGGAAGTTCTTCTTGTAAACCATAGAAGTCTTGCATTGACCATTGCAATGCAGTTTTAGAGGGGTGGTGAAAATGAAGATCGTTCTCGATCTCACTAGCACGTTTTTTTAGCTGGTTCTGATAGTCCTCATCTACTGGGAGGTTGTAATCGACGTCAGGGCTTATTCTTTGGTCATGGTTCTTATGCAAGTGACTTCTAGCTAGTTCCTTGAGGCTGCCGACACTGCTGGAGGGCGAAATGGGCCCGTCTATCTCATCTACATTCTTGAACTCATCCTCCTCTTCCTCCTCCTCCTCTTCTTCTTCTTCTTGCTGTGCGTCTGGATTCAAGGCATTAGCCTCGGTAGCTTTATCATTTAAATCACTCGGTGATCTGGGAGGGGAGAGTGAGATTGGAGAACCACGCAAACTGCTGCTCTTGGGGCTAGAGTCTCCTAAATGAAGCTTTTTGTACAGAATGTTGTCCAAATCTTGGAGCAAGTGCTCTTCAGCTTCGCTGGCAGGTTCGCTGACATTTCCTTCATGGGGCATGGGTTCCCCACTCAAATATCCTAGCCTGTGGCCACTCCTGCGACGAAGGTCTTTCGACGAGAGAGATTTAATTAAGGGTGATCGGGACTTAATACCTTCCGGCATTGCGAAGTGTGCTGGTGTTGAGTCTTTGTGTTCTGTTTCAAAGCTAGTCTTTTCTTGATGGTTTATAAATAAGACATCATACTTTAAATTAAAATCTATTCTATAAACAGTTGTTAATTACCTGCAAATCCTACAACAGAGCGACTCGTACGACAACAATAAAGTTCCGATGAGTTTCAGTCTTGAGCGAGTTTTAGGGTTTAAAGTAAAAGTCACAAATGTCCTAGATTCTGTGACGACTGGACGTATTTACTCCTACAACTCCTCAAGCAACACAATCACTTTACAAGAGGCTAAGAAAGGCAACCAAGGGCAACAATACAAAATAATCAAACTGTCGTTTGTCAAAAACTTGGAAGTGGTTGGGGAGAAACCATTGAAAAACAATTTCAAAAAAGATCCTATCAGGCCCTCGGAGGTCAGCATTGATGGTGTACTGGAGACACTTAGGGAGAAAATCGACTTCGCGCGGCGAGAGAAAAGCTGACACGGCCGTTGCCTTATTTGCCATTTTGGGCCTGTCGTATTCTGCTAATCTACATCTCTGATTGAACTTTGCACTGTTTCTCTGTTTGCCCAACGGAGCGAGGGTGGCCGACTTATACTAACTGCCACCTCCAGGTCACGCTATCAAAAAGTTTCGGGCCCTTAATTCGTGCTCCTTTAAATCCATCCAATCCTTCCCATTCGATTGCAAATAGTGCTAAGCTTTTGCAACCTCGACAATGTATTTGTTCTTGCTTCAATTCCTCTAAAGAATATGACTTTGGTGAAGTACATCTGCTGCAGAGAAAAGTCTCCCAATATTGATTCATCCGACAATGGGCATCGACCATATTGCTCAGTATGTCATTGGATTTGAACTTTAGCCCGAAAGAGAATCGAACGTCGCTCTCCAAGGCACATGTATCAACTTCAACCGTTGCTATTCGCTGATTCGAGCTGTCGTCAAACAGAAGCTCATTTTATCCTTTGTGGAAGATTTCTAACAGCCCATCGTGTGATTTCGTGTAGGTGTGTATCTTCATGAATATGGTGCATGTTTTCGAGATCCATTTCAAATGAGGGAAAGGATTCAATAATTCAACGCTATTGATCTTAAAGCGAAACCTTTCAACCTCTGCTAAAAGTGGTGGGCCAAGGGTGGATGTTTCGAGATGGAGTAGTAGTTCGTGGTACCTAAGATATCTCAGTTGAGATCTTATAGTGACTCTCCTCATAAACCTTGGCCTAAATCTGTTGTTCGTGAAAATCTCACTGCTCTCGCGCGATGAGCAATTGAGATACTTCATCAGGTATGCAATCACCACTGTTCCAGATCGGCCCTTGCCCATGTTACAATGTAAAAGAGCTACCCTGGCATTGTCTTGTGAAAGGTAGTCGTACAAATCATCCAACAGCGGTTGTAGTAGTATGAATGGTGGTGGCGAGTGATCAAGCCATCCATATCGACGAAGGCTCATTTTTTGCTCTTTTTCAGATGTATTTTGGTGATAAGAGGCGAACGGTGGTATGTCTTCTCGAGCGAAGTTTAACGATGACTGATCAAAGGCATCTGGAATTAGGGATTTACATTCAGTGCTTGACACATAAGCAAGGTTTACTCGTGAAGTCACGGATGCTAGGTCTTCGTCTTTGTAGTCAGACGTTCCTCGTTCAGCTTTGAGATTGTAAATTCTCCAGTTGTCAATTCCATGATTCGAATTCAAGTACGATATTAGATCAACCAGATTGTTTCGGTACACTAGTTTCGGATATTTAAGAACTGGGCATGAACAAACAATGTGCTGTTGAGTTATATACGACAGATCCAACCACAGTCCTAGCTCATTTTTGTGAACATTGTTGGGTAAAGAGTAAAGTGTTTTAATAATGCTCTCTGGGGTAAAACTCGAAACTGAGAAAGACATGATCACTCAGTGGCACATATATATGTACGTATCTTTGTACTGTTATTGAAGCCAACTTCAGTGTGTTGATGATTAAATTATGTGTAAGTCTATCAGAAATCTAGCATATGTGTGTAACGCTACAAAATTCGCCCGTTCGGTTGAACAAAAAAACGGAAATAGAATACCCAACTGGCTATCTTGGCATCTTGCCTAGCTTTACTATCAAGTCACAAAGCCATGACAATGCCTCACTAACCTCCGTTCCATCGTCATTCATAAAGTCATAGATGCCAGAATCTTCTTTGATGTCGCCTTCAACATCTCCATTAACGAATAGCCGTGAATGCGACTCACTGTACGATTTGTAGACGAACTTGTCAAAGTAAAAGGGGGGATCGATCCAAAAGGATTCTAAAGTCTGGTAACCACTTCTGGCAGCGCGCCGCTTCTTTAGGGTAGAGTAGGGAGCTCTGAATAACACTTTGATATCAAATTTATCTGCTAGTGCAGGATCGTTAAACATCATGAACCCATCTACAACAACAACTTTAATATTAGAATCGAGAAATTGAGCATCAAATTTTCGCCTTATCTCTTGCTCCACCTTGGTACTCAAGACTACACTCTCGCTATTTTCATGATTATTGTTGTGTATCAAGTCTACCGAAATTTGCCCCGTTTTTTTAATGTAGTCTAGTTCCTTGCTGAAAAGTGGTAAGTCCAATGCATCTGGAGAATCCCAGTTGCTGACTTGGTAAGTTTCATCAAACGGAATTTCATCGTCGTGCTTGAAAAAGTCGTCCTCATGCAGCAAGACAGCGGACGGAATCAAGTTGGCAGTAAGTTTTGCCAGGGTCTTATGTCGAGTTATCGTTAGCACTTAGTGAGCCGATTAATGCTTCCGCATAACTATAATAAACTTACTGTTTTCCCGCTTGACGAGCATCCGCTGATTCCGATGAGTAGCACCTTAGGTGTCATCGTATTTAATTTAATGTGATTGATTTTGTTTTCATGGTTTTAGCGATAGCATGTCATAATGATCTTGGTAAATCCAATTTAAGACTAAGCTTACTACAACAAATTAAATTCAAAGAGTGCTAAGGAAAATCAACCAACTCATAGTCTGTACAGAACAGGAAGCGTATTCAAAAGACCAATTATGAGTGAGTTTATTAATGAAAACCCTGCGATCTTGGATGAAAACCTTCTTCCATCTCGTCCTGAGGATAAGAATGACACTATTTGGGATGCTCAACTGAACCTGGCCAGTATTCAACGTCGAATGCAACTCATTGACATTCATCAAGGAGCAGACTGCAAAGTGTATCGCAACATAGAACTTGTGGACAGACTACTGGCTAAAGAGGCGTATCTCAACGATGCAGTAGCTCCTGGCCTAACGGATACCGACACCGATGATTCGGAGCTGGAAGAGGCCGAGGATCCTATCGACGCCCAGGAAGTATACGACATGATCGCTCATATATCAGATCCAGAGCATCCGCTTACGCTGGGCCAGCTAGCTGTAGTAAATTTGCCAGATATCGATGTCCGCGAGAACAAAGACAAGACCAAAATTTCCGAAGTTATCGTCAAAATAACACCTACCATAACACATTGTTCGCTTGCGACTCTCATAGGGTTGGGAATCCGTGTCCGCTTGGAGCGGTCGCTTCCTCCGCGTTACAGAATCACCATATTGCTTAAGTCTGGCTCTCACCAGAGCGAAAATCAGGTAAACAAACAACTAAATGACAAGGAGAGAGTTGCAGCTGCTTGTGATAACGACCAGCTGCTCGGAGTGGTTTCAAAGATGCTCAGTACCTGCAAATAGAGCTCATTACAGTCCCGAATTCACGTGAATGTATAACGTGGTACGATTAATTGTTATTCAAGAAGCAATCTAACGTTTTAAGAGCTTAACCCGCAGTTTGTAAAGACAAAAGAGCTGCAGCTTACCGTTTTCATCAACGTCCCTTGATCAGCATCTGAAAACATGGGTATCTTCATTCCTCATTCCAAGCTGGAAAATTTAAAGGCATATAAGTATGTTTAGAACAGGGAAATGTGAGACTCGAGCCTTAATTTTAGAAACATGACTAACAACTTGCACCTTTTTGGTAACCAGATATCAGAGCGAAGATCGGTCTTTGGTAACTAAATATGTTTTGAAGCCATTCTGGGTTCAGTTTGTGAAGCTCTTCCCCTTGTGGATGGCTCCTAATATGGTTACTCTGTCAGGTTTGGGTTTCATCATTGTGAATGTTCTGACAGTTCTCTACTATGACCCCATGCTATCTGTGGAGTCCCCCAGATGGACTTACTTTACGTATGCTCTTGGACTATTTTTGTATCAGACGTTTGATGCATGTGATGGCCAGCACGCGAGAAGGACGGGTCAAAGCGGCCCATTGGGCGAGCTATTTGACCATTGCATAGACTCTTTGAACACGACTCTCTCGATGATGGTATTTTGCTCTGCTGTAGGATCGGGTATGAAATTCATGACTATTTTGTCGCAGTTCGCATTGTTGTGCAACTTTTATCTGAGCACTTGGGAGGAGTACCATACCCACACATTGTTTTTGAGCGAGTTTTCTGGACCTGTGGAAGGGATCTTGATGATTGTAATCGCTTTTATCCTTACCGGCATCTTTGGACCTCAGGCATTGTGGCATAAGCTATTATGGGAATATAGTTTTGGGGGGAGTCTATTCAGAATCGAAAGCTTACATGTAGTATATGCATTTTGCAGCGTTGGTCTCGTCTTCAACATCCTGTCTTCAAGAAGAAACGTTGTCGAGCACTACAAAAGTACTAGCAGGAGCAGCAGTGAGGCGAAATCCCATATCGACACCGCTACTCGTGGTCTCTTGCCCTTTTTCAGCTACTTCGCCAGCGTTTTTGTTTTGGCTACTGTCGATCCGCAAATTATCTCTCTGCCCTTCATCTTGTCTGTGGGTTTGACGATAGCATTTACCGTGGGAAGGATTATCGTTTCTCATTTGACATTGCAGACATTCCCCATGATCAACCCACCAATGTTGATACCAGTGTTGCAGTTCTTCATAAAAATTTTGCTGGTGCGCGTTTTGAATTACGACAGGGCTATCGTATTGCCGGCTTTGAACTGGTTCGGATTTGGGCTAACTTTGGGCATCCACGGCATGTTTGTCACAGAAGTCATCTACGAGTTCACGTCTTTCCTTGACATTTACGCGTTATCCATAAAGCATCCCAAAAAGTCTGCCTAGCTTTTCGATACCTTCTGGAATTGTCACCACTGCTCCGCGTACATTGGAGCAACCCAGCTTTCGTGTAACAAGCAAAATAATCGCTGCATAATTTATATACAAGGCTAGAACAAAGCACTCATTTAAATACCCATCGCTGAACCAAAGACAACGAGCCAAGGCATGTACATAAGGGATTTCTTCACGTTATCCCGGAAGCGCATGAGAATTTTGAGGTCCAGTAGGCCATCATGAAAAGGGAATGACTTCATCATTATGAAACCATTCGAGCAAAGTGCCAGTTGATTAAGCCGCAACTGGGGTACCTTGAGTGGCGCTGGTGGCGTCACCTTGAACCAAAATATCATTGGCATCCTTTTGTAGATCGAAGCTCTTTTCCATCTCGATCAATTGCTGCTCTCCGAGGATTGATAGCGACAATGGAACCCCTAGGAGTAATGCAGAAGTTGTAATGGCCCATGCGACATTTCCGCTCTTAGAGAAAGCACTTTTGACAACCGAAACAGTCGTGCTAAAAACCCTGGAAAATGCCTGTCTCTGTTTTGGAGGCACAATGTCTTTAAGCGCACTCAATCTTTCCAAAAAGGTCTCCTCTTCATCGTACTCATCATCGCTCGAGTATTCGTCGGAAGAGTCCTGTTCTGGGATATCTTCTTCCTTTGAGAAAGAGCCAGCTGCACCATCCGGCTGTTCTTCAAAAACTCTAGCGTTGTTATCTTCTCTGACTTCTGTTAACTCAACCATTATATTTGCTTATAGTGCTAGTCTGCAAGATGATCAATAGTATGAGCAATTGACAATCTTAGATTGAAGAGAGCAGGTTTTACAGATTTTGCGGGCTGTACCTCGTCTGCGATGGTAATTTGAATTATATGGTAATTAAAATTTTCAGAAGCCCGTATATCGTCTTATACGTGGAGAAGAAAACTATCATGGTCAGTAAGCTTGCGAGTAGAAGTGCCAGAAAACATCAGTCGTCTGTGAAATCCACCTCATCAAAGATATTATACAGTTAATTGAAGGGCCCAGTATATGCGTGTGCTTTTTAGGCATGAAAAGAGCCCATAAATTTCGTGCTTGGATCGTAAATTGCTGGCTAAAGGGCAGGTGTGACAGTGCAAGTCACGCAGTGCTGTCTAAATTCAATTTTTACTTGACTTTTTCTTAGCGCGCTTCAAAGCGCCCATCTCTTCCTTGTAAATGTCTTGTGCTTTTTCAGTTTTTCTCTTCTTGTTGGACTTTACAGCAGCTGTGCCCTTTGCCTTCACAGCGCGATCCAAATCATGTTTTGATTGAGCCCACTCCTCGGTATTGTCATCAATTGCGTATTTCTCTAGATTCAAAGAGTTGATTAATTCACGTTGCTTTTCACGCATTTCAGAATTGACACGGGTCCCGGCCTCTTCGAGCTCTTGATCCATTTTGTTCATGGCACCCGCAGCATCCAAGTCTTGCGCCTCATCACCATCCATTTCTTTCACAGCTTGGTCGCGTACCTCTGGCAGAGATTCCTCGATCGACTGACTCAAAACCTCCCGGAAATAGACTGAGAACTTGCGTATGATCTTGGCAAACATTGCGATTGTTTGGTTAAAAGGTAGATTCAATTCCGCAGAAATATCATCCAAACTTTTGTGCTGTAGACCGACAGCCAGTAAAATAGCGCCTTGTACACTTGACAAGCTCACACCCCCTTGGGTTCTGGATCTAAAGTGTAGTGCAGAAAGCAGAGGCAAAAGATCAACAATAACATGGTAATCCAGTAAGTTGTTGGCATAACTGTCAAGTCTTTTGAGATCAAATGGTGAAAGCACAGAATCGATTTCAGCCCTGTTCATGGAAAGAACGGGTTTCTGATCTTCGTTCAAAGTTTGAGCCTTCTTGGCACTTTCTATCACATTTAGGGCCTGTACAGCGGTGAACTTCCTAAAATCATACGACATGAGGGATAAAAACCTCTTTTGGAAGTCCTTGGCATATTCAGAAAGCCAATAAGACTCTCTTCCTTCTAAAACATTCAGCATAACGCACGTATGTTCACCGGTTAGGTCATTGGCTGTTTGGCGCAGGTAAACTGGGATGAAGCGGTTATTTTTCCAAAACTTATGTAAACTGCTCGTTAGTCCGTAGGAAACCCCTAAGTAGTGCAAGTAGTGGGGAGCTTGTTCAGACAGCTTCAAAAGTAAAGGAGGCAACGTCTTCGCATCTCTGAGTTTAATGTCGTCTTTCAGCAAGTTGGCAGAGGCTAAATCTTTATCGTCCAGTCTTCTTAGCTCATGTGCTTTCGGAGTTGTATCTTCATTCAAATCGGTAAATTTTCCTTCATAGTAGTCCCTCAAAAGTTCGACAGCACGGGTACCGTACCCCATTGAGGAATATTCAGGGTTTGTGGCAACGCGCACAATGCGAGCTCCACTGAGGCTAGGGAACTCTTCGTCTTGAAATTGTTGAGAAACCAGCCAAGGAATTAAATCACCTCCTGCACGCTGGCCGCGCGAAAGTGAGCTTTTAACACTCTCCCTCGAAATTTCACCTTCTAGTGCCACCTGAATTACTACCAGAGGATCTGGGATTCTGGCGCCATCTTTTGGGTTGATTGGTGGAAGTAGAACAAAAAGTTGGTGCGCAGGGGCATCACTCATCAACTGTAGATCATTGGGAGAGTTCTTGTAGTGTGAGGCGACATAGAGAGCCATCATTTTCTCCAAGAAAGACTCAGAAACGGGATGGTAGGAAAATAATGTGTCTCGGTTCACGACAAATAAGTTGCATTCTGAAGGATGAGGCGTTCCTCTCGCAGCAAATCTTGGATTCTTCATGAGTGTGACATCCAAACATAAGAGTTTATTGAGCCATTTTTCTACAGGATCGCCAGGGGCGTATCTAATAGGCTCGTCCAGTACCACCTCTCTCAGCGTGCGTCCAGAAATATGAGACTCTTGCTTTTTGTTGTCTCTAGAGACAACCATAGTTTCGGAGGATTCTCTTCCCGAAGTATTTGCCTCGTTTCTCAATTGCTGAATCAGTTTCAAGGACAGAGATCTTCCTGTGCCCTCGTAACCGTTTATGGTAGAGGCCATGAACACAAGGTAAGGACCTAGCAACTGTTTAACAACTGGTAGAGGAATTGCAGCAGCCTCGTCAATAACCACCAGTTCAGCTTGGCCTAGCACATGACAATCGTTGGGCACAATATACTGAATAGTTTGGCGATGGCTTCTCTTGATGTCGACCCTGACAATAGCCTTGTTGAAACTTGGGTTGGTAGACTGAATAATGTCATAATCCATGTGCTCCTGGTATCCTAAAGCATCAAACCCTTTGAAAATGAATTCAAATAATGTCTTCAAGTTCTCCGGTGAGGGAGAAGTGACAAAAATATTGGAATAGCCATGGGAAACTGCGGCCGAGATAGCAATTCCAAGAGCAGCAGACTTACCTCTACCTCTACCAGCTGTCAAAGCCACGGTGGAGTTGAGCTTTTTTTCGGAAATGGCATCCACGAAATTCAGGATAGCCTGCGCTTGGTTAACGGTTTTCGAGAGCGCAACCAGCGACCCTGCAGGCTGAACATCCTCAAGTGACTCTTTGAGCTCATTGAGTTCTTGCTGTCTGGGTGGGATTTCGTCATCGTCCTTTGGAGGCAGTGGTCTAGTATTCTTTCCACCTGAGATTGGCAAAACGTTAAGTTCGTCATCGACTACCAGGCAGTTCTCATTCGAACCCAAGGACAAAATAAAACGCTCGTTGAACCTAGCTACGACATCGGAGTGGGCTTCGGTACGGTATCTAGAATGAATGTCCATGGACATGGTGTACAGCTGCTTGAGCGATGACATCGACTTCAGCAGAATAACCACAATACCACCACCTTCAACTGTTTCCACAGTTCTTGCGAGTAAGTTTGGTGTGAGTGCTTCGAAATCTTGCAGGATACACATCCCGTAGGTGTTACCCAGGATCTTTTCGGTCTCCTTGTAGTATACGTATCTGATGTTTTGGTTAGAAATGAAAGTTTCGAACGGATCCTGCTCGTTGACTTCACGAGTTCCTCTTTTGATCTCCTTTTTGATCTTGGCTTCTCTCTTTTTGCGGTGTGAAGTGAACCCTAGTAGTTTCTTCTTGTAAGCCCATAACACCGATTTATTCATTTTTAGGTCAGCGCTCATCATTAGGTAGTGAAGGTTGGGCAACTGGTTACGAGCTCTGTCGCCTACAATCACGAAGAAGCTTCTCTGTTTCGTTTGAGCACCATTTCTGATGAGCGATGGGATTCTTGAGTCGATCGCCTTTTTGGCCATGGCTGGAAAGGCAGTATGTGATTTTGGTGTATGAACAACCCGACGGCGCCAATTGCAGATTTATAACTTTGATAGTAGGTCCGTGACAAAATGGTAGCTCAGACTCAGGGCAAGCTCTCGACACGGGAGTAAGTATTCTCGAATGAAATGCTTTTTGACAAAACGCACCGACGTTTGTTGAACTACGCAGCTTAGGAGCTAGCTCATCGCAGCTCATGTATCAACCTCATCGCTCAAAATTTTCAGTAGCATCACATGCCACGATTTCTGAATTTGAGCCGATCATGAGCACGTGAGAGGCGTCTAAGACCTCGGCGGCTATGGCATGAGCGTAAACATGAGGATAATATGAAAGAGTGCCGGAATTGAGGCTCAAATAAATCTATACGTGAGCATCGGTTTGATTAACGAGTCTCCGTTGAGCTCAAGTATTTTTATATGCTCTTAGCGCTCTCTCGATTGCTCGGTTTATGCGGTTGGTTCAGTTTACATATAATTAAACTGACGCTGACACAAAAACAGAGCTTTCTCACCAATTGCTTGGTTACACAGAAACCCAGCGTAAAATCTTGCCAAAGTGTTTGAACGTTGTGGTTCAAGAAGTGGGTGATCTCACTGGAGTAGTGTGGGTTCTCTTGGAAAGTAAAACCTCCTTCTTCAGTAGTATTTGTGTTGTGGATAAAACCGAATGCCTTCCAAACGTCTAAGAAGGGTGGAAGACTCGCCTAAGAAGGTAGAAGCGAATTCCATAAACCGGCGAAAAAGGCCCGATAGAAGGGCCAGTAAACAGGCTGTGAATAGAATCAATTCGGCCTGCGATGATGAGAGCAGCTTTGAGAACGAAAATGCACCCCACACAAAAGCAAAAGTCTCCATTAGTTCCAAAGCCAACAGGCAGGAGGACATCGACGAGCTGCGACATGACGTTGGCAATACTAACAAGCGCAAATTCAAGATTGCTCCGCGATCCAGCTTACAGTTCAAGGTTGGCCCCACTTTTGCGGCGACTAGGGCATATTGCCAAATCATTTGCTCGAAAAACAACATGCCGGTGCATTTCTCTCTAACACCGCGGATTGATCGCGGCTTCGACTTCATCAACGACGAGTGGATTGGGTACAAGCGAAATTATTTCACTCTTGTCACCTCTTTCGAGGCCAACGGCTTCCATATTGAGGAGTTTCTGCACCAAACCTACAAGATCAACGCGCCCAGCTTCGAGAAAATGTGCGACGCCAAGTACTTTGCAGTGCGTCTTGTTGCGATGTGCATGGAGGATCAATCGCCCGTCAGTCTGGTTCAACACACGGCAAAGCGCGATAAGGGACCACAGTTCGAGCCACCCATATTTCCAGTAGTTCCAGCGCCATTGCCTTCGCATCAAACAATAAGAGAGGCTTCTAACGTCAGAAATGAAGCAAAGATGAGAAAGTACGATCACTTATTTTACTTGAATCGAAGTCCAGAATCCTGTGATCTCAGGCAAAATGACTTACTGTCGACGTACCCTCAAAATCGAATCAAAAGAGTAGCCAGGTATGAGAGAGTTCAATTCTCATCCTCAATCCATGCTAAGAAACAGGGAAATCCGGTAAGACATTTTCAACTGAGGGTCATTCTCGGGTGTGTCATCGATGGCGGAAGTGCGGCCTCTGAACTTCGCGCGATTTTTCCAGATCTCGCATGTCTCGTGGAAAACAGAACCAGGACGTTTGTGCCAATTAGTGAGGTGAAAACTCCTCCCTTGGTGATTCGTGGGAGGTCGCCTTCCAATTACTTCATTCCAGGGGACACAGAGATGGAAAAACATGTACCCACCCGGGAGATGACTTTGAAGAATTCTCCAGAAGAGCTAGAAACATCAAAAATCAGCCGAACCTGGCACAACACATTACCGCCTTTCTTTAGAGTATCTGAGTACCAGGGAATGAGCGATAAACGAGCTCCTGGTCTGCGGGACGTTACCAACAAACAAGGTCACCCGCAGCCGAGCCTTATTTCTACCGGGCAAGGATCGGTGTCATTGCCGCCCCGCCCAAAGATAAAGGTCAATCTTCAGACCATGTCATGTATCGAAGCCATGATGTTAAAAAGGACGCCTGCATCTACCACAAATAAAGGTCTGCAGCATAATGTGGATCTTTTGTCTAGGACAATCCGCAATGAAAATAACCAGCAACATACTGTTGGCATGAGAGATATCGAGCTGTATCCATTGCCGGGGTTAGTTTCTTCGCACTGTGAGCGAGATCCAAATTTTAATAGAGAGGAGGTGTTTGACTTGGGTATGGGACCTTCAAATACCAGTGGGTCTTCCTCTCGTGACGATGCCTCCGATCATATCAACAGAACCCCTCGACATGTTAGCAATAGGTCTGCTCTCCTCCCTTTTCCACTAGTTGGGAAAGCTGCTAGTATGGATCCGCATTGCGACAGTGCTGAAACCTCATTCAATGAGCAATCCTTTCAGAACGATAACCGTATTTTGGAGAAAACCACAGGTGATATGCCAAACACTACAAATCCTCTGTTGCGGACACATATTTCAGAAGGTCGAATGTGGGCCAGAGACACAGGCGAAACCTTAAACCCATCCCGCTCGACGAGTCGCGTAAACCCCATGGACATATCATTTTGTCTAAACCTCAATCTCGATCAGGGAGAAAAGTGTTCATTAACACCTAAGTCCAAACGGGTCCTGGCGTCGAATGCTAAACCTTCAGATGTATTTGGTGTGAATGAGTTCTTTGATGAGCCGAGCTTTTATCAGCATTAGGCAGATCCAAAAAATTGCGAATTCTGTGGATCGAACACAGGACCTCCAGATATCAGCGACCGAAGTTTTTCTTCAGTCTGGCGCTCTCCCAACTGAGCTAAATCCGCTTTACACTGTAATGATCGACAATTGACAGTATATCGAAGCATTTTGGCCGTTTCCATCGGAACGGTCCTCAACTCAAAACTTAATGATGCTTCTCTATAGCTAGACTAGCCCGTTTTTACTCTTCCTCCTGAATTCTCTTTTTAGATGTATCTCCTCCTACTACCCATGCTGATCTCCAGGCTTCCTTAATATGTTTTCCTCGACCTCACTCGACTTCTTATTGACGCACGAGTTTCTAGTTATCTCGTTATATCCAACGATGCTAGTGCAGAAGACTGGCTTCCTCTGCTTTATGAATGCCTCTTGGCTACGTCGGACTGTCATATCAACTTAAACTCATGACCTCTGGTTATAATTGTTCCTGTCATTCTCCGACATTCTTCCTTGCTCGCCAATGAATTCGTTCTCGTAGCTATATGACATTGCGCTTATCGAAAATTTGGTATATCACTTGTGCACCGCTTCCAATCCCATAGACCATTACTAGCGAACCTGATTTTCCTCTATACTATACGCTAGAATTGTGTTCTTCGTCAACGGTCATTATTGCATTTCCTCAAGTCTGGTGGCCCTGAAACTACGGATACACATACTCTCTTCTCTTGTACCAATACCAGACTAGCCCAAAAGGCACCCTCCAAGTTTTTCCAGCAGTGTCTCGAGGGTGACGCAACCGCAAGCTGCAAATCTGGTTTGACAGGATTGACCTTTTTGATCCAAAATGAGTTACGTATACTCTTTTGACCACATTATTAGGACCACCTACCGCATTCTGCACCACATGCGTGTCAAATAGCAGTGGGTGGGCCAGGATCGTCGTCTTCCTACTGCTGTGCCCTTCCGTATCTCTGTCTATGTAATGGAAATTGAGTCTAATTTGAAGCGCAGAAAGTCAATATCCATACCTGACAGCGTCGCAACGTACTATGTCTAACGAGCAGGACCAGAAGAACACCGGCAGCAAGCTGAAGTTTGTAAAAGAGGGCAATGCGGACCTGGAGACACAGCAGCTACTCGAAAAACGAGAACGTGCAAGACTGGACACTGACTACAAGACAAAGGAGCGTTTGACCCTACAGGACCAATTACGGCTGAATGCAATTCTGAAACAGGAGGAATTCACGGCACTGGTCAAGGACCGCAACAGCTTCAATCGCCTCAGTGTAGAAGACAAGCAGTTTTACCAAGACTTGCAAGCGCGGGCCAGGCAGTCAGACCAGGACATGGAAGAGTACCTTGCCCGTCAAACACGCGATTTCGAACGCAAAAAATCGCAGGTACTAGGAGAAGCTCCCACGAATCCTGAAGTTTCGCCGTCACCGTCCACCGACTCCACTTCCAATATAAAAGTTCCAGCGAAAATTGTCAAGCCTAAACCGAGAGCGAAGTCAGGCCTCAAGGGTATCGTTACTAAGAAAAAAAGTGCAAAGGAGCTTCCAAGCCATCACCTGAAGCTTCTTAGATGTTATCTTTCGTTCTCCTATTCTTGAATTAGAGCTACACCATATCTCTTATCCGGGTTATTGCAATCGAAATTTCACTTCATCGGCGAAGGCCTATGGATGTGTCTCCAGTAAAGTCAGTATTTTATGTTGATTACTAATGTGTGGTGTGCTTGTAAGTGCTCACAGCCACGGTTCGGAAGATCATGTTACTCTCTTCGGATGCTGAACTCTGACTTGCTATCATGACAAATTTCACGTAATTATTCGTACACTTCGAGCATAGTATTTTCCGGAAGCTTTGGCATGCAACGGGCACAATTCAAGGTATAAAAAACGAGCTGCAATTGCCGAGAGATTTTCTACAAGCGTTGATGCAAGATAAGCGTTCTCGTTTAAAGTAGAGAGGCTAATTTCGTTCGGTTCAGATTGAAATCGTTTAAAGTTCAAGAGAGTACTATGAGTATCCCAGAAACCAGTAAAGCTGTCGTTGTTGAAGGCGAGAAAATTGTTGTGAAGGACGTTCCCGTTCAACAATTGACGGGGACCCAAATCTTGGTAAAGGTCAAGGCGGTAGCCGGCAACCCAACCGATTGGAAGCATTTGGATTACAAGATAGCTCCTCAAGGTTCGATCATAGGAAACGACCTTGCCGGAACCGTCGTCAAGCTCGGCCCCGATGTTGACGCAACCCGCTTTGCAGTTGGTAAGACCGTAATCGGAGGAGTGCACGGTGGTTCGGTAAAATTCCCTCAGTACGGTGCGTTTACGGAATACGCAGTGCTGGATTCGGTTTTGACGTTCCAAGTGGATTTGACCGAGAGCGGCGCCACGTCGATCGCCGAGGGCCCGGTCAAGAACTTCGAATCGGGCGCATCGCTTCCCGTTTCTCTCTTGACTGCTGGTGAAGTTCTTCATTACCATTTCAAAAACAAGTTAGAGTGGGAACCCAAGTCTCCGCAGCATGACTTCCCCATTCTGATTTGGGGCGGTGCAACTGCCGCCGGTCAGTGGCTGATCCAATTGGCCAAACAAATGTTTTGCTACAGCGAGATTGTTGTGGTAGCGTCGAAGAAGCACGAGCAGCTTCTCAAGAAGTATGGAGCCGATGCGGTCTTTGACTACCACGATGAAGACGTTATTGAGCAAATGCGCGGTAAGTACGGGGGCTTCAAGCATTTGGTAGACGGCGTTTCGGTGCCCGAGACCTTCCGTCAAGTGTACCAACTAGCCGCACCAGGCGCGACGATCATTCCTTTGATGAACTTAGGCGAGAAGGATATTCCCGAGGCCGAGAGAAAGACCGGGATTACAATTGACCCTACCTTGCTGTATCTAGTGTTTGGACACGATGTTCCATTCGGTCCCCATACTTTCCCTGCAAACCCTGCTTACCGTTCTGCGGCTGTCGACTTGGTCAAGTTCTTGGAACCCAGAATCAAGAACGGCGCGCTGAACCATATTCCCATCGAAGTCTATCCTGGTGGGCTGGAAGCCATCCCACGTATTTTGAGCGACATAAAAAATGGTGCCAACTCCGGTGTTAAGCTGGTTGCCAGGGTGTAAAGATAACCTCCATAATCATGACTACTACGACGTAAACTACACAAATATACATACATGACTCGAGATTGTTGAGAAATTAGCAGGGAAAGTCAAGTACACCCAAGTTGAGAAGGGCGAAGAGACCCAAAGAGATTTTGATGCTTAATTTTTGAATTAGAGGACTCGCTATAACTAGAGCTTAAACTGTGTAAAGTGTATTCCGTTAAAACCTTATATGAAAGAACCTAATTGTGAGTGCAATTCCTATGAAAAGCTGAAAAGATAACCTGGCCGCGATTGACCAGTGGCTAACCGCTGGTGGTCTTGAAAGTCAAACGCATTGCGCTTTAAATCAACATGGCACCGGCAGCAACCAAGCCAGCCATAGCGGCAGCACCGGAACCCATGTTGGCGGCGCCGTTTTCGGTTTGGTAGCTGATGGTAGCGTTGCCAGAAGTAGAGGTGGCAACGCTTAGCGAGGCGCTGCTGGTGGCTTGCAATTGGCCGTCGCTGATTTGAGAGACGGCGGCGGCGGATGACTCAGCTGGAGCACTGGAGGTGGCGGCAGCAGAGGAGGCGGCAGCAGAGGAGGCGGCAGCAGAGGTGGCCTGGATTTGACCGTCGCCGATTTGAGAAATAGCGTCGGCGGTCGTTTGGGCCATGGCGACGGCACCGTAAACAGCAGCGAGGGAGACGACAGTGGAGAATTGCATTTCTGATGTGTTGATGAGCGAAAGACGAGTGTACTCTGGAGAGATGTGAACAATGTGAATCAAAATCTCTTCCTCCGGAGTGCGGTTTCTACAGTGGCCACCGGCCATACTTATACCTCGGCCAGCCGGTCTTCAACTCTGACCGCCATTTGCATTCTTTTGCGGCAACGGAACGACCAGGCTTACCCAAGCAAGCTCCAATGTTTATGTTTTGCGTATGGGTGGATTGCTGGGGCTAGTTCATCCAGAAGGGTCCTCAACTGCGCTGTTTTCCGCTCTCCCATTATGATGGCACAGCCTTTCTGCCCTGGTGTCTCTACTTGTCGATGCGGTCTGGAACTTTGATCGAAAAAGGCAGAAAACGCCTCATGTGGACTTCTCTCTCTATACAAGAAGAATGTACGTTATGTGTGGCTGAACACACACCACTACGCTGTTGACCTTCGAAATGACGCCGCCGCCGCCGCCGGTGTCCCGCGTATTTCACCGGGGCCTGTCCCCGTTTGAAACAGCCAAGACAGCTGGCGACCTGGGCCAGCATTGATTGCACTGTCACACTCCGCCCAAGCACGCTAGGAAACGAAGGGCAACGCCAAAAAAAAATGCGAACAAACACATTTGGAAACCTGCAAACCGGTGCGTTTTGTCTGGCGCTTGACCACTTCCCAGATAGGACATTGTTCTACTTTTTACACATTGCATCATGGCTTAATAGACGGCCGTAGCGTGATGGCTCAGGTTTTGACATATACGGTTTGCGGCTAGAAATAGTGCGGGACGCTCACTTGAAAAGCCAGAAATAGAAGAAAGCTCTCTACGTAACGGGAAGTATGACATACAGCGAGCGAGGCCCAGAGCCGGGGCTACAGAAAACACGAGATCCAGCGGTGATTCCACCAGCCAGAACTGTAGTAGGTGTTCTTGCTGTATGTGGTAAAACAGAGGTGAAAAAATATATCGTCCGTTCAGTATGATGGGGAAAAAACGTGATCCGTTCGGGTCTATTCGGATGCCGGAGCGAGGCGGCCCGAACTAGGTACACACGTGATGCATTTGGAGTCACCAACGGGTGTGCCTGAGCTGGACGGCGATGGTGGCTCAAGGACAGTTGAGGTGAACACTGAAGGAAAGCTTGGCGTGCGGTAGCTGGTCGTCGGAAGAGCGAGCCAGGCGTGATTGGATCTATCAGGTGTCGTACTAGTACGAAGCGATTTTAGTGAGGCGAATCTGATTCGTCAGTAGAAGTAGTGTCTACAAAGACAGGACAAGCAAGACCCACTCTATACACACGCCAACACTACACGCGTGGGTTTAGCTTCGAGTTGTGTCGATCATTCGGCTGGTCATCGGAAGAGCGAACCAAGCGTGATTTAATTGAGGCGAATCTGATTCGCCAGTAGAAAGCTTACTAAATTTGTCTCGTAAGTCGGACATAGTCATTGTTAAGATGAGTAGCTTGGATCTAGGGAATTCTATTTATCTCTCCGTGATTATTTTAGGCATTAGGGTTGGTTCAGTCACCTGAACAAACGCCTGGTATTTGTACAATTTTCGCTAGGTGACTCTGAATAACACAACTATTAATCATTCGCTATAGATCATTCTATTGCCCAAGGATTACGGCTTCAATGCCGTACGCTACCGATAACTTATCGATCGCCAATCCCATTGGACAACAGTTGTTCTCTTCGGTTTGTCTTAGCTTGTAGCTCTATTTGTATGGCTTCGGTTGTGTACTATCATTCCGTACCACTGTGTCACATATTTACTGACGCTGATTATGCGATTAGACGCACATCACCATCAGTTTATTCACATTATTTCCAACAGATTTGATCTGCCTAACGTATATATTGTATCACGACAGAACGCTGCCAGGTGTCGCACTAGTACGAAGCGAGAACGCCTTCGGCAACACCGGGTTTTAGCAGAGGTAGTGCCTACGTAGACAGGACAAGCAAGACCCGCTCTGTACACACGCCAACTAGTTCCATGTAGACCTTCACGAGTTTTCGGGACACAGGGTTAGTGTTTCGCAGGCCCACCGTGCGCTCCCCTCAACATAACCGAAAGTTGCAGTTTGAGTACTAAACGTTAAAAAGTGCACCTAAAAGGCCAACGAGGGCCTGTCAGCGGCGTCAGAATAGTACAATGTGATATACAGCGTTTTAAGATTTCTGTTTCGGCACCACATCGGGAAGTTGGAACGGTACCGAATCGCTTGAGCCAAGGTGAGCCAGGGGCCTCCTCTAGGTTTCACATAGCGGGTGCGCACACGGTAGTGCTGGCAGCGCGAAGTATCTTACACTCCATTGTCTCGAGGGTCGTACATAGTGCCCAAGGTAGATTACCCTATTTTTTCCATCGCACGTATATTTGATGGAAAAAGCTTATTCTCAGTTCGAACCCTTCTCACCAGGTCCACGTTGAAGCACTACACAATACAAGATGTCTGAAACCATTGAAGGTAACGTTAAGATCGACAGATTGGCTGCAGGTGACGGCTCCTCTTTCCCCAAGACTGGTGACCTGGTCACAATTCACTACACCGGTACGTTGGAAAACGGCCAGAAATTCGATTCTTCCGTCGACAGAGGCTCTCCCTTCCAATGCAACATTGGCGTGGGCCAAGTCATCAAGGGGTGGGATGTTGGTATCCCCAAGCTGTCCGTTGGCGAAAAGGCTAGATTAACCATCCCGGGCCCTTACGCTTACGGCCCCCGTGGGTTCCCAGGGTTGATCCCTCCTAACGCCACTTTGGTCTTTGACGTCGAGCTGTTGAAGATCAACTAAGCGCACGGCCGTCGCCGGTGTCCCCGCTTTCACTAGAAGTAACTTTTATATGTAAACACAATTTTTCTTTTCAAGAAAGTGCAGTCGTCTTGTGTGTGCGCATATACAATTGATGCCGCCATGCGAACATGTCTGATGGTGCAGATGTATTTATTTTCTAGATTTGCGTCGGTTTGCCACCCGCGAGCTTGACCTGGCAGCCGGAGTCGCCGATGCACCTTCTGGTGGATTTGCGTTTTCGGCCGTTTCGGTAGTGACGTCCGACTGATGACTTCGTGTAGTCCTGGTCCTCTTCGAAGGCGGGGATTCGTGGCTCGGCGGCCCATGCGGCTCCGAAGTCGTCGCTGGCTCTTGAGGCGAAGGCTCTGGAGTCGGTTTGGAGGTGGTGGTTAGCGGAGATACACTGTCGGGCTTTGATCCTGTATTTTTTGCACTCTGCTTTTCGATTTCCACCACACCCTCGTCTGGCTCGCTCATTCGCACATCGGGATCTTCTTGTTCCTCACTTTCCACAGCCTCATCGTTGGAATTTCCACTGCTTTTTTCCGAATCTGCCAGGTCTTCGTCATGGGTTAGCTCACCAGCTGCATCCAGGGTCCCACCGGGACCCTGAGATCGAGTGACCCTTCCCGTAGCCTGTCCGGACGCTGCAGAGCGCGTGACCCTCCTCGAGGTTCTCTCGGGCGGGGGAATTGATTCTGGGGCCCTATGCCCAGGCTGTGCCTCACGATCCTCATCGCCACCAGACCTGTGGTCATCGTCTTCCAGGTTATCTTCCAGAGCGCCGCGGGCGTTTTCGAGAATCAATTCTCCGTACTCATCCCAAGGCAAATGAAATTCTCGAGGTTTCCTGAGGACGCGTCGAAGTGCCTGGAATTTGGATTTGCAAAACGGCTCTTCGGTATTCTCTGCAGCTTCTTCGGAGGATTCTTCCTCAATGGCATTGTTTTCTCTGTCATCTAATTGTTTAAGATCGTAATGCTGATCCAATTTCGCCCATATTTCTTTGGCAGTAAATTGGCCCTTACCTTCGCTTTTGAGCTTATCAAACAATAATACAACGGGGAACTGGTCCTGTTTGTTCATTCGTTCAAGGATGCTAATCATGTGGAAGTGCTTGTGGACGCCAGCTGGCTTGAACTCCGTAATCCACCGAAACAGACGAATGTCATCTTCGATACTCCACGGAGCAGTCATCATATAGAGTGTCTACTCACGCAGGACATTCGAATGGCGTTGAACCTTCTCCCAAGCTTGGCGAGGTGTCTACTGCGTATTTACTTTAATTACTGGATTCCATGTCAGTACATACGAGACCGCGAAGTGTGTGTACATAGCTTGTGAAAAGCGAGTTTCGGGTGTGGATGATGTTAGATTTGGTAGAGATGTTGCAGGCTTTCCTCGTCTACTCTGGTAGGTCTGTTTTCCCAAGGTTCACCTTATCAGGATACAAAACTGATCCAGGTCCGGGGCCTGCGAACACGAAAAACACCGCTGTACGCCTTGCTCTTGAACCCGGGGATTACAATCATCAAAATGTGACCTGCCATATTCATCGACTTGTTAGTGTTTCTCAACCGTGCCGTGTTTTCAAACGGATAAAGTGTCACTATGGTACAAAGTGATAAACATGGGCCTCTAGTTTGGTCGTGTGCGTTGTGCACCATGCAAATGGGAGCAACCACCAAACAGCCACTTCCGGCGACCGACCTTGCTGGTGTAGCAGCTACATGTATATCATGGTACTGTTTATAAAAATTCGGCCGGATGTCAGCGAGAGTGTGTGTAAAATGTTTTTGTTTCTCACCTCATCGAAAATATCCGCAATTGAGAATCAAAAGTTTCGTCCCTTGCATTGCGTCTATAGTATCCCTTTGATTTCTTGGATTTTTCTTTAGGCAGCGCATTAGTAACATTTCTCTATGCCATGCATGTGTACAGATCGACAATGTTGATATACGCCGGCACTGCTAGCCAGTCAAACCCCAGTGTTGCCTAAGTGGTTCAGGTATGCGCGTAGCTCGACACTCCTTCTCGGGTATCGTATATTACTTCATATCTGTGACAGAAAGGTACAAAGTGATTGATATCGAGCCACTAGCAATCGCCTCATTTGCTTGCTTTGCGTAACGGATCGTATGCTGAATTCAAATTTATAGGAGCAGGTCTGCGACTCTCATCCTGGCAAAGCTCTGGGATGAACTCGGTCAACAGGCTTCACTATAGTTTTTCAGTCGCGACGCCTCAGCTTAAACATAAATGTCGCCCATATAATTATTGTCGGGCCCCCACCAAAATTAGCACATCTAACTATGAATTATAAAATATTGTATGTTCTCGACGCAGCAGTCATTTTTCCTTCGCGTGTGCTCTCTTGCCCATTAAAGAAACCTTGAGGTGTTAAAACCATCGCCTAGAAATTTAAAAACCTTCTACTCTCAAGTACTTAACTTCACAGCGAATACTGTTGGCCCGCAAGCTTGGCTCAATCCATAATGACTAGCTTAAGCCTAGTTGGTCGATTTCGTGTTAACTAGTCCCTTTCGTTTCGAGCGATAATTGGAAAAATTTTAAAACGGCAACCTCTCCATCTCATCACGGTCAAATACGTAGAGGTAGCCAACAAGCAATTGCCGGCTTTGCAGACCAGTTTTATCTTCATTCTTTGGTTTAAGCTAGTTTCTAAAGAATGCCTAGAAAGGCGGTTCTACTCAAATCGCTGGCCCGTGGGCGGATCAGACAGAGTTTCAACAAATACAATTTGTTCAACTTGTATAAGAAAGGCGACGTTGACTTCAGATCCAAGACTCTATACCAGCAAAAATGGACTGCTAAACAAGAGACAAGGGCCTACCATGGCGAGCATTTAACCGAAAGTCGTTGGCAAACAACTTTCACGCCTAAAATGGACTCAGTGGCCCAATTAGACGCGTCTTTGACGGGGCGTGAGACTCAGCAAACACCTATTTTGCTGCAAACATTCGGTGTCTTGGAAAAAAGGCTAGACATAGCTATATTCCGTGCGATGTTCGCCTCTTCTGTCAGACAGGCCCGACAGTTTATTTTGCACAACAACGTATTCGTCAATGGCGTCAAAATTTCTCAACCCAACTACACTCTTCGTCCCGGGGACGTTTTCCATGTTAGACCAGAGAAGGTACTGCAAGGTTTAGGTGCCAAAAAGCCATCCTTATTAGAGTCTCTGAAAATTGATAAACGTCAAATCGCTATCTGGAACAGGTACGTGAAGGCTATCAAGGAGAACCCAAGAGAAAAATGGCTCGAAATTGAGGATAAGTATCGCCGCATGGATGACTCCAACCCAAAGAAACAGGAATGGCTGGAGTTTGTTCAAAACTACAATAAAACGCTGGATCTTCAAATGGAAACGGAGGTTAAGTCCCAAACAAAAGAGGTCATTTTGGCAAAGGTTATGCTTGCAGGCTCTAGTGTGACTGAACCAACATTACAAGAGTTTTTGCCACACTTTTACGAAGATGCAGCACTAGGAACCAAGGCGCTAGCGTGTTATCAGGACCTCCAAACTTCTAAGTCTGTGCCAGAAGGCTCCAGTTCTATGTCTCTTGCTCAGTTGACTGAACATGCGAGAACTCTAATAAACCTGTCAGAGGAGAAAAAAAACACCATGACAGATGGATCGAAAAAAGCTTTGAGAGCTGCCAAAAACATATGCTCTGAGCTTTTGACATCGCAGGACAGCATTATTCGCAAACTTTACGAGGGTAAAAAAGGCAGCGAACAAACCCTTGCCATCCCCTTTGACCCGAAATGGGCTCAAAAATTTCAGGGCCACAAGCCTATCACTGTCAGCGAGTTGGCAGAGGACGAAGCTAAAGCAGCCAAGGCCATAAATTTGCCTTGGCAGAAAGGTGTCTATGGTCGCCACGACCCTTCTAAGCCTTACTTCACACCTTGGAAACCACGACCATTCCTCGCACCTTTTGCCATTTTACCTCATCATATCGAAGTTTCTTTCAAGACCTGCCACGCTGTCTACTTGAGAGACCCAGTGGCTCGCCCGGGCCAGTCAGAGGTAATTTCGCCATTCGGGCTTCCAGTTCATGAGCGCGCATACATGTACTATGTCAGAAACGGAAAATGAACGTCATTCATGTTAATAGAAAATAAATGTATAATAATATAGACCACTCACAATTCCTTAGCAGGTTTTCACCTCAACCGGCGTGCTCGTATACAGAAGTTTTCAACTTGCCGTCCGCAAAGCTGTGCTTGAGTTGCTCAGGTACCGGGAATTCTACAAAATCTCCTTCTTCACCGATAGGCAGGTTGACGTTGAGCGAAGTAGAGCATGACGTGAAAATTTCTGCGTTCAAAGATTCCTTGCTTAGATAAATAATCCCGTCATCACTCTTATCAATGCTAATTTGGGGAAGAGAATGTTCCACTTGTATTGCGAATTTGACTGATTTGATAATGTCCAAACCTGAGATGCTACTATCCAGGACGATATTGCAACGTTCAGTTTCGCTCACGGAGATCGCATTGACTTTACCTTTCAATTGAATGAAGACATTAGAGCAATTTCCAATGTAAACAGATTCGTCTTTGGCAACGTCCACCACAATTGGTGTTTCTTCTTGCTCAAATCCTTCGATGAACCATTTATTTCCGATCAATTCCTTCCTGGCTGGTTTCTTAGTCTTTAACGTAGTTGGCTTCTTTGGTTTTGGTGGTGGTGTTTTGGCTGATGGTATGGCAACTGATTCACGTAAGGCTGGATTCTTGTGTGTTTGCTGAGTCTTATCCACCTTTTTCAAAGATTTCGTTATAGCTTCTCCTTGGTTGAGCTCGTTAAATACTGCATCAATACCAGATTTCGAAGCAGGGGGTTCACTTGCCTCAAATACAGATGCAGGTGGAGCCGGTGGAGGGGGTGGGGGCGGAGCAGGACCAGAGATCGTTCCAGAAGGACTACTTGCCTCGGGAACTTCCTCATTACCAAGCTTCTTGAGAGCATCAGAAAACTCTAGTCCCTCTGCATCGTTCCACGAGGGTCCAGTGGTATGATATTGTTTGACGTAGTCGCGCAATCCATCAAAAACGCCCAAAAACTGTTTCACCCATTCCTGGCTCGCTGGGTCAGATTCTTTGAAATCTTTGAGCACTCTGTTGGTCCAGAACTGTGCTGCATCTTTGAAGTCGCTTATCATAGAGGTTGGAGTTTCGACACCAATCCAACTTAGTAGCGGAACTCCTTCGGCAACCGCATTAAGATGCGCAAAATATTTGCTTTGGCGGTTTTCGTCCTTGAGGTCTCCAATTGCCAAGATTTGCTTGTTTAAGGGCTGCAGGGACAACGCAAAGTCGTCAGATCCAAAGTCAGGCTTTTTAGAGGCTGCGACCACTTTGAGAAATGTCTTCTGCGCCTCGAACGCCTTCAAAAAATACTCCGTAGCGCTTTGAACCACAGGGTCTATCTTTGCAGAGGTGGCAACCAAAGGTTCCACATATGTTACAAAAAACTCGCGGAAGGCCGATATACTGCTCGGTTCAGACTCTTCTGCAATTTTTTGTCCGGGTTCACTCGTGCCCACCGCACTTCCGGCTGGTTCTGCGGTTGTTGACACCTCCTCTGCGTCCGGTTGTTGTGGCACCTTTTTATCCTCACTTTGAGCACCTTCAGAAAGAGCAGCATCGATTTTAGTCTGGACATACCCTTCTTGGAAGAAGGTCACATCTTCCAGACGAGCAGTCGCGTCTTCTAACCTTTTCAAGAGCTTCGACAGATTGTATCCTTGGATAGCGAACGAGTCAGACATGGCGGCTTTTAAAGTACCAAAATCTACGCTTTTATCGAATTGTGCGAGTTTTTAATGCACAGCCTGTTAAGCTCCGACCTTACAAGCAGTGGATGGATATATCAACAATCAATGTAGCGGCCCCTTTCGTATTTGGCAGATCGATTGACGTTTAGCATAATCATTGTCGACGACTATTGCTAGATCCAGTGAACGTAACTAATTGTAATCTAAGTCAACAGTTCTCGTAGACCAATAGGCTAGCAGCCTGTAGGACGAGGGACCAAGTGATCGGATCATTGTTAGCATTTCAAATGGCAACCAAGAGAGGTGTAAATAATGCCAAGCGCTCGAAAAAGGTCAATGACCGGTCCAAAACGGCCAAGAATCAATTTCAAGGCAAAAGTTTGTTGGAACGTATGGGTATTTCGCAGAAACCGATGAAGTCCAATAAGGATAGTGTTAATAGCAAGAATATGGGGCTCCGTGTGGTTGATGGGCGTTTAGTCGATGCCAATGATGTCGGCGCTCTGTTACGGGATGCCGCTGCCCGTACGGAATCCCGAAATGGGTCTACCAAACAATCACACAAGAGAGGAAACAACGGGCAGATGGTCAGAGCGCAATCCACGAAGGGGCGTCTGACAACGACCAAAAATGGTAGACGTGTCGAGAAGACAGTGCAAAGACGGGAAGTGGCTCGCAGCCGCGACCAAGCGGCGGTCAAGCCTTACGGCAAGGATTTGTATCTTTCGCTGAGCACGAGTCCGGAGACGCGTTTCCTAAGGCTTCGAAACTTGCCACTGGGGTCTGATTCTAATTCTCTAGCTAGGACCGTGGAGCAAATTGCAGGCGTCGCAGTACAGAAAACCTCTATCATTGATTTGCCCTCAGGCTCCGTGACGGCGGAGATTTGGTTACAGAGCAGCGATTCAAGCATTCTCGCGAAGACCCAAAAACGCCTTCACCATGCCAATGTCGATAACAGGGTGATATCCGCGGAAATAGCGTCTTAAATGTCTTTAAGACTCCCCCCTAGACTCAACTGAAACCCAAAACAAGTAGAATATTGTATTATAGTCTGTAAGCTGTCGTAAGTTTATGTTTTCATTTCAAGGTTTTCATGCTTCGTCCTGTTTCCTTTTATTACTGAGATCCTGGCTCATGCGCTCCAAAAGTCGGAGCTCGGTAATTCGCTTACTCTGGTCATTTTGCGCTAAGGCCAGGTACTCAAGCATGGCATTATGCGATGCCAAACTATAATAGGTATCTCTATGTACATGTGTAAGCCATTCATCACTTGTGGTCCCTTCGGTGCCCAAGCCCAAGTGTTTCTGCTTCATTACTTGGAAAAGCTGTTGCTGCCGCTGCTTGTCCGACTAGCTGTGGTTAGTATTTATGAGGCTTGCAGAAAACTTAGCATAAGCTTGATAGTGATATAGTCAAACGTACCATCTTGGACGGAAGTCTCAGCTTAGTTGTCTACTTTACGTTGGTTGACGTTTTCCGGGCAATTTTATGTATCGTTCATTAGTCGTTTGTATCATTTTACGTTAATTTAGCTGTTGCGAAATCTCAAGCAAAACAAGCCTGGCATAAGCCTAAGTACTCCAGTGTGTGATCAATGAGCTCAGTATGCTCTCAGATAAATGAACTTTCTGAGGAGATATCAGGTACACTTTTTGCCGGTGAAACCTTGTCTCATGCCGCCTGTGAAAATTGGGACACACTTATGCGCACAGTATCCGAAAACTTAAGCTGTTGCGCGAACCAAACGGACCGTAAGCACTACATTAAATCAATTTTGTATGAGATCTTTATTCAACTGTCAGATCATAATACAGAGCGGCCATTGGATGTCGAAAAAGCAAGCAGTTTGATTCAACAATTATATGCTGCCGAAGGCGCAAAAACGGCGCGCTACTTCACATCTCTATTGAATAGCTTCCCAGAGAGGTCCAGTAGGCAGCTGAAACTGCTCCAAGCTCTCAGTTATATGGATGATGAGTTGTGCACCTATGTCATTGACGACAAACTACTGGAGAAAGCTGGCAAGTTTACCACACAGCAGCGTTCACTTTTCAAGAGAAGATTAGTGGACAGCAGATACATTATTCAGAAGTATAACTTACTCAGTGAACACTCTGTGGCATTTAGTGAGTTGATCACCATTTTGTTAGTTGCACATAGTGATCCCTTAAACTTGGACCGTGCCCCCGCGTACTGGAAAGAGGCCCAGTGCATTATCGGGAAATACTCACTGGATCCGTTGCGCTCCCTGGAAGTTATACTGGTCGTTTCATCTCAATTTGTGACTAAAAACTATGGGTTCTTGGTTCGGTTCTTAAAGGCTTCCACCTACTGGCCTACCGTTGAGGCCAATGTTCGAAATGCTGACACGTTGAATAAGGGTGGTAACATTAACGTTGCTCAGTCTTTGGCGATGCACATGAATGAATTACACCCAAGTGTACAATTTTACGATATGGCGTGTGTGCTGATTATTGAAGGCATGGTGTCTTTTCTCTCAGTGTTTGACAATTTGGGGCCCAACGATGAAACTATTCAATCTTTTACCACTGCTTACTATGAAGAATTAGAGGCTGATAGTATGAAGGGCATCTCCAATCCATTGGCTATGGCGTCCGCCTTAGCTGACGATGCCGACGAAGATGACAAGCCACTGTCGAGCGAAGATGGAGAGGCTGGCACTGTTGAGAAGGGAGTTTCTCACGTAGAACCAGAAATTAATCGAGAAGAGACCAAAGATCATTTGAAGGAGGGAAAGTTAATGCTCCTGCAGCGACTACTGGCTCATGGCGCTGTAATTCCATTCATTTATGCTTTTCAGACCTACTCTCGGTATATGTTTGCTAGCAAGGATATCTCTAAGCTCTATCTGAGACTTTTTGAATACGCCATACATCCTGTTTACAGCCTTGCTGTTCCTTGCACGGAGCAAAAGAAAGATTCCAATAACCTCGCGCGTACTCATGATGTTTTTCAAGCCTTCCACACACAGACTACTAGAGAATTTTACTACCAAGAATGCATGGCATATGTCACAACTGTTGATAATGTTGACAAGTTGTTTAGTCTTTCTCATCAGTGGCTCACACCTCTCGGCCCCCACTTGGCGCACAATGCATCTGTTGTTTCAAAGCTGTGTAGGATTGGTTTGGAGGATATAAGGAGCAGTTTACAGGCTCCTGCTACATTAGAGCGCTGGCTGAATTTTGCCCGGAAATTCGTACTCCCAGCATTGCCTCTCTTGACCGAGAATGTAATTGTCATAAACCAAGCATATGAATTGCTCAGCTTTTTTGACTATGAACGCCGTTATTTTCTTTACCATGAGCTCAGCTCTAAATTATCTCAGGACAATATTTTCATTAAAGCGGCATGGAACGCTTCTTCGAGGGAAGCTAAAACGGAATTAAAGTCTTTGAGCATTGACAATATGGACAAAAAGGGTAGAATATTTGCGAAAATAGTATCCAAAAATCCATTAAGCGCTCTAGAACCCGTTATGAATCAGCTGGAAAATTATGATAAGTTATCAGATCTGGTGGTGGAGACGACGTCGTACTTTACACCCTTTGCATATGATGTTTTACAGTACCATATTTTGCTTCGCTTGTCATCCGAAAGACAATCTCTTCAAGAAAGCGGCATCCATGTTACAATGTGGGTACAAAGGCTTGCCGTGTTTATTGCAAGCTTAGTGAAAAAGTCTCCAAGAATGGATATCCGCAACATAGTACGCTTTGTGGTCAAGAAGCTCCATTTGAACGATATGATTTCTGTGACTGTAATCAAAGAGCTTACTTCTAAAGTGGGTGGTGTGAAAGATATTAATGATCTAAGTCCAAGACAACTACTCATGCTAAATTCGGGTAAACCTCTCCAGGAACTCGCGAGATCCATAATCAGAGATACGAGAGATGAAAATTACACACCGGCACTGAGATTGCTTAATGTTTTCATCGAAGAAAATGCATTGTCCGAAATTTTTATTCTATTAGACAGTATAAGAGTTTCCCTCACCGGGAAGGACTCTCACTATAAAGTAGTGTCTACAAGGATTGACGATATTGGCTTATTGATGTGGTCTTTTATTGATATGAGCAAACACTTTCTAGGCGCTGATAGATATAAGGCAAACGTGATCCCTTTCGACTTATTAGTGAGCCAATATGGTCTATCGATAGAGTGGGCATTCTTCATTTGGAGAGACTTCTATGATAGCTTACCTAATGATGATTTAAAATCCGTTGAGAATTGGGATCAGGCAATTGAAAGGGCCCAACTGGTACCCGTCGAGTTTCAAGGTGAATTTGTGCAGCTTTTTATCAACTTCTGGAAATCGTCTTTATATGACGTGTCGTTCCCTAAAGACCTTTACGACGATGAGAAAAGGTCGATTGAAAAGACTGCAGCTCAATGTAAACCTGGTAAAAAGAAGCGAGAGGCATCTAAGATGCTTGAAAATATTATGGCGAGCAGACTTGGTCATCAAAGAGCATACAACAGATGCCAATCCTTACTCCAGGCATTCTCTTTCAACGTAAATCAGTTAAAATTAAAGGGCGTTTTGGGACCATTTATACAACGCTGCGTAATTCCGAGGGCTCTATTTTCGCCTGCTGACGCTCTTTACGTGGTCAATTTTATTTGGGAGGCCTTCAGCTTTAGCGGTGCCTTGATGATCTTAGAGGAGATCGCTTTGCAAAGATTCCTCGTCCCTCTTCTTTTTTCCTCAACTAGTTTAGAAGCAAGCAACTTGGGTCTTTTCTTCACCACCTATCTAGAAAAGCTAGAGCAGTTGAGAAAGAGCAACCAGGTCTCTAACGATGACCTCAAAATCTTGTTCAGCATTCACCATACGATAGCAGATGACGTTATCAATTTAATGATGGAGAAGAACTATATGTCGATACGAAACGGAATTGAATTTATGAAGTACCTATCCACAGTGTTCCCCGTTGTAGAATATGACATTTTCCAGATGATTCAAGTCATGGAAAAGCTGATATCAGCAGATAAACGAGAAGATATTTTGCTGCCAAGCAATGCTCTTATCGGCCATTTGAGAGCCCGACTAAAGACCTCTATCGAACTTGAAGCTTTCTATGACATGAATCCTGACGAAAAAAGCCATTTTGCTTGCGAGGAGAAAGATATTATTATAAAATATTATAAGGCATTGGCGAGTGAAGAAGAAGAAAGGAAACGTCGGTTAAACTTCGAAAACGAAACCGAGGAGAAACTTAAGGAAGGGCATCAAGAAAGTAAAAATTCAGGGCTTGTGAATGATGAAAACCTCACAGCGGCAAATGTTTTTGCTAGGTTTGGCAAGGTTTCTCCACTACCTATGTATGATATTTTGGGTGAAATGCGGGACGTTTGCAAATACTTGGAAGCAGATCGTCCCAATTATATGAGCCGCATTGTGAGGAACAAATTTGTACTCGCAGAATTGCGGCAGATAGAAAGGGAAACAATACATCGACCCCAAGAGTATTCATCAAGGCTTTCGGAATTATTTGAATCATTCTATCGGAGCCTCGTGTCCTCACCTAATCATGATAAATTTCAACAGCGGTTGAATGCTATAAGCCTCGCGTGCAAGTCAGTCAGAAACCCACAGGGAATGGAGAAGATGCACAAAGGCAAACCACCAGCTCAACCTATTGCGTACGATGAGGAGCCTTTGCCGAAGGCGCCTTCTTTGATGAAAGCGAGGTCAGAGACTCCTCGGGGTATGGGCCAAGCTGGCGACCTTGGGGATAATAAACGTCAATCGAGGTATAGCGGGGCTAGGCTGAATAACCCAGTTCCTGGAAATAAGAACAAATCTGTGACATCGGATGACAAAACAATCTCATCTCAAAGTCGAGAGAAAATCATCGATGAACGCAAGAAAAATAGGGAATCGTCTTTTGATTTTATGAGCTCCAAGTTACCCAAGGGGCCCTCAAGTTCTAGCGAGGGCAGGCCGGTGAATATAAAAAGCCGGTATGACCGTAATTCAGCGGCAGTTCCCGAAGATAAGGGAAAGGCGTCATCACCTGCGCCGCGTGTTCCTGCCCGCGGTACTGCTGTTAACAGAACGGGCACTGACGCAGCAAGTCGTTTTCAAAATTCCCCGGCCAGCGAAAGCAGGTTTCCAGAGCGCCCCCCTTCACAGGGTCTGAAAACACGTTTTACTAAAAGACCTAGGGACGAGGTTGCGTCGCCTTTTCCGTCGAAGAGGAAAAAAAATGAACCCAGCCGGAGTCACTTTCCAGGTCCTGAACGCGAACGACCAGCGTCGAGTGTAAACCGCGACTCCAATACCGGGGACAGGTACGAAAGAAAACCACTAAATGATAAGCGCCAAGCTGGACCTGATGTGAGTTTACCTTCTGGTCCTCGTTCCCAAGGGACTCGGGACAAGCGAGGCCGTGGCAGTAGCCACGCGCAGCCATCGACTCCAGCTCAACGGCCTAGCAGATATCAAAAGTGATAAAGCTGGCAAATGATGCAATGAGCTGTTTTTACATACGCCTAATGATCTATGAAAGATATTCAAGTCTGGTAGGTCTTGTCATCTCTCCACATCCTCTGATACTCCCTACCATCATTCAAAATTCAGTGAAGGCGGGTACATTCTAATTTGCTTGGTAGTGGGAAGGTCTTTGTACAAATCTCTAAGGTATGCAAGCGGTAAAGATTTCATCACTTTACTTGGTACCGTTTTCTTGCTTTCCAATGAGATGCCAAACTACTCCGCTATCAAGATTTATAATTTTATGTACGGAGAGCGTCTAAACGGCTTCAGCTTTGTACAGTTTCTCGGTCAATAACTACACTTTCCACTCTTTCGGTGCTCCTCAATGCAATTACGCGATGAGTGAAGTGTCACCTTGTTCAGAAGGCGACTTTGAGTTCAGTCATCGTAAAGCTGTGTGTTAAGTGTCAAATATATTTATGATCTACATACATACTTGATTAATCAAAATCATCAAATATCGCGTTGAGAGTCTTACCGACGTACAAACCAAGTTCGAGGGCTTTAGGGAACTTCAATTGCAAGAATTTGGATCTTATACGATGTCCAGTTCCGTAAGTGGGGTATTTGGCGGTGCAAATGGACTTTTGGAAGTTTATGTTAGCAGAGCCCGAGATTTGCCAAACTTACGAAAGCTCGATAAGCAAAGTCCCTTCGTGCGCTTAAGGCTGTCACATATGACTGAAACGTCTGATGTTGTCTTCAGGGGAGGCCAGACCCCGAAATTTGATTTTTATTCCAAGTTTGATCTGACGCCAGATGTTAAGCCTGCTCTCACAGTTGAACTATTCGACGACAGATCGCCTCCCAAATTGATAGGGCAATGCACAATAGACGTAACACCAGCTCTATATAAGGATCCTGAAGATGGTCACGATGATTGGTTCCAACTTTTTTTTGCAAATGCTGAAGCTGGTCAAGTCTATGTCGAGCTGACATTCCATCCTCTAATATCGACGTCACGACTACAGAGAGACAATGCACATGATGCTAGTAACTTGGACCAGGCAATCCAAAATAGGCCTGCGCCGCCCCTTCCGGCCAAAGTTCCTTCCTTCCAGTTGGGTGCCTCCTCGCAATTGTCGGCGCTCTCGAACCACAAAGGTTACTCCCATGGGTCTGACCTACGAAATTCCTCAGCAGCCTCGACATTTGATGTACAATCTTCAAACTCAAGCCCCAGTTTAAGACACCCAGTTAATTTCAATGCGTCTTTAACGTCAAATGGAACGTATGGCTCACATTTGACAACCGATTCGCAGGAAAGCCACGCAACAGCGAATACTGCTACTACGGGCGGCACTGTGGGAACCACAGAGCCATTGTTTGCCAAACTGAAGCAACTTAAAGAAAAGTGGAAATCTATGAAAAACCCGTCCTCCGATCAATTGGACAACGAGAAAACGGTTGATTTGGAAGCACTGCAAAAGGCCGTCGGCGTTGAGCTCGACGACTATGACCGTGTTGATAACTTTAGTAGACATTCAAGCCAACAAACCCTAGGATCTTCCAAACTAGCAACTCAACCACCGCTGCCACCTCTACCTGTTCAAGGGTCCAGGAGAAGTAGCATCGAGCATAGCCCGCGATTAGAAAGCGGCTTCACTTCAAATGCTGGGAGAAGCTCACCGCGCCTACCACCCCTTCCATCCAGTCCTTCTTTGCGGCCTGGTTTAAGATCAAGGCATGCATCCAATTCACCTACAAGACGAAGGCCACCTCCAATGGGTTAAAAAAACGAAAATGGCTATAAGCTGCTCTGATACTTAGATCAGCAAAGCTGTAGTAAAATTAATGGTAAGGCTCTGGGTACACTTTTTAGAACCGTCAACTGCACCGCACTTGCAAGTAAGCAAGTAATCGGAATTAGACGACTTGACCTCACCATCACAAATCACATAAATGAAAATTGTGAAGCCTATTCAGCTCCACACAACCCCTTAATAAATTATCCTTAATATGTAGTTTACAGATGTTCATGCAGAATTGCCCTTATATAAGGGTTGTAGCCTAGAAGGCAGGTTCGTCACCATAATCGTCATCATCGCCGGCATCATCATCTCCATCGTCAAAGTATTTTTCGGCGTTGTAATCATCGTCTTCGTCACTGTCGAATTCCTCATCCACATCTTCAGGTTCCTTGTTCTCATCTTTGCCCTCACCATTCGCAGCTTCGTCCTCATCCTCTGCAAGTCCCTTCAATTTTTCAAGCATTGACAAACCTGCCGCATCGTCGTCTTTTATGTCCGATCCAGTGTAGACGTCCGTCCGTTTATCTAGTTGAGACAGTGCCAGAAGTTTTTTCTTGTTAATACCCATTACTTGGTAGAGTTCCTCTGGGAAAAATTCCAGGTGAAACGGATGTTCATCTATCGAGACTCCAATTTTACGCTTTTTCAAATACCTGTCTGAATAGCGTTCGATTCCGTCGCTTATCCCGTCGTCGTCGATCAGCTTTTGGTTTTTGCCCTGTCCATCTACAGACAATTCCAAGGATCCTGTATAGAATGGGCCCTCGCGGACGGCAGTCACGAAATTGATGTAATTTACGGCTGTGGCACGTTCTGTGGCAGAAAGTAGCCCGTTCACAGGAAGTGGAATCGTGGGAAGCTCAGTATTCTCATTGGCTCCCACATCACTATAACTGAGGCCAAACGGTAGATTCCTGGCGAGGGAACTACCTTCTCTCCCACCACGCTGGAAACTCATAACTTCAATCTATTATTTTTAGAGCAGTTATCCTAAGATGGTGCTACTATGAAGCCCCGAATAAGCTTATCTTAACTGAGTTCGTCGGGCACAAAGCACTATGGGTCTAGCTCATCGGCTGTTTTCGTCTATAAAGTGAAAAATTTCGGTTAATTATATACAACATACCTACACTTTATACGTCGGTACAAGGACGAAGTGTGTCACACAATGGCTCGTCCTTTAGTCTTCGAGTAGATCCGCGATGTCTTCATCGTCATCCAAGTTACCTTGGTATTTCTTGAGTTCGTCAATGCGCTCTTCAAGTATTTTCTCCTGTCTCTTAACCCTCTGTCTTGTCTTGTTCCCCCATCCGAAAGCATTTTCGTTGACGGAGGCAACACTATTTGGATCTTCGACAAGCTTCTCTTGTCTTTCCTCGGCTCTGAGCTTTTCACCTTCACGAACCTTGTTTTCGAGCTGCTTTTTGGCTAAATGCCTTTGGGCTAGGTTACGCAACAACACATATCCGCCTACAATGATTACCAGACGGATGGCATGCTGGAAATCGAGGTTGGCAAAGGAGTCATAAACATTCTGAAAGGAGTTTTGAAGTAGATCCATGGCAAATCTGGATGAGAGACACTGAATAACAGGGTTTTGTGCAGGTTGAAATACACTTGCACTTTGAAGGCCGACCATGAGCCATTTAGTAATCATACTATCACCATACACGAGTTATTTGATATGTGCCTAACGGCATGGATGTATTAGAGTTTGGTACCGTACTCCTGACACTCATAGAGTGGTTCGCTAGGTGACAGCTAGTAGTTCTCCTATGAACGATGTATGTTTTCATAGTTAGCTGTTATATGTATACTTAGTATCTGCGGGAACTTAAAATATTTCTCTTTCACCAGCTGGACAATTTTGCAGCGAATCTCTTTACTCTCTACATAGCTATTCTATTTGAAGCTCATCAAGTGTAAGGGTTAGACCAGAAAAACTATGTGATACTGTCAACTTTGCGTCTGAGAGTTGTCACGCGTTCGAAGGTGAGTTACCGCCTTGAATATTTGTAATACCCTGTCTTTAACCAACACCGATCACTCTCGAGCTTCGGCTCATTTCTGTGCCTCTCTGGATTGCAGCGTTTCCTTAGCGCGCCATCGATTGCCCGGCACATATCCGTTGGTTTGATATCACTTTATAGCATTATGACGCCCACACCTTAATTTTAGATGTAGTCCTCGAAAGTGTCATCGATCGTTTAGCTATTTATGTAAATACATGTAAAATGAAATTAGGTTAGAAATTAGATGAGTTGGGTTTATTGCAATGCTAGATTTTCGATCGGTTTTTCCATCCGCCAGAACTAACGGAGAAGGTTCTTTTCTCAGTTCAAATAACCCTTACAACTTGGAGCCCCACAATAACAAGGTAGTCTTTCTTCGTCGTCCGTTTCTCTTTCGAACTTGTAATCATAGGTGAGTTCCTCGTTCGCAGCAATATCCCTGAGAGCGTAAATGACAATTCTTTTTCTCCCCCCAACTCTAATGATCTTAGCAGTGCAGCTTGGTTCACAGCAATGATTGATGAATCTCGCAATGCCCCCCTTCTTAGTGGCATCAATAACCGTAGACTCGTCGACTCTAAACAAATAGCTCGAGCCAATGCCACTTTTCAAATATGTCCTCTCTCTCATTTCGGCCACCGGCTGCCGAAGAATCTCACCAACGTATTCGATAATCATCTCTTTGGCAGCAATGGGCTCTAATGCATATAAACCCCAGTTATGGATTGCCGATCGCGCGAAAGTAACGGGTTTCTTACGCTTGGTTAATTGATTGAGAGTCAAAAGTTCAGATTCTGAGCCAATGATCGCTTTTTGGGCTTCGATATCTTGTTGGAAACGCCTATTGATTGCGCGGTTGATCCTTGAGGAAGTGATCTCCGGAGCGTGCATGTCAAGCTCTGGTTTTTCCGATTCCTGGCGAGAAGATTCTACATTCACATCAGTGATGTCTTGATGGTGGTACACGGTATTCAATGGTTGGTGCAGCTTTCTGCGATGAGGCAAATAACAATTTTTAAGCCTGTCAGGTATTTTTTTAAACCCATCAGCCTTGAAGCTGCCAGTGGCGCTTTTTAGAGAATCATCAAATGGTACATCATTCATACTATCTTGCAAAGCGGCAACTTTCCGATTCTCCTGTGATGACCGGTTTATATCAAAGAGGAGTGAGGCTAGGAGAAACTTGTTTCGTTCATCTAAGGGCTCCGAGGATACGCCTATGATCTCCTTCAAAACTTCAAAGTCCTCCTCGTCCTTGACAGCGTCCCTGATATCTACTAATGACAAGGAACCTGAGCTGCTGAATAGGTTAGGAGGATAGACGGTAGACGGTTTATCGTGAGCATTGGGCCTGTATTTTTCGGGGATCTTCATCAATTCTTCGGTCCGGGTGCTGTTGAGAACAAACTTTCGATCATCAGGCTCAGGGGTGGTTGCTTCGGATGACTGTAGCTTGATTTTCTTCTCAGAATGCTCAAAAGAATCTGATAAATCATCCTGCTCCTCTTCTTCTTCCCCTTTTTCTTCCTCTTCCTCTTCCTCTTCTTCATTCTCAATGGAAGACAACATTATTTCGTCTTCGTCCGTTTGTAAGTCGGATGGTATCGGTGTGTCGCTTCTAGAGCTTTTGTTCAGAAGGTGAGCCATCGGCTTTTCTAATTTTGGGTCCTTCGCGCTAGAATATCTCGTCTGAGTAGTCTTGCGGTCTCGTGCGACTGACGAACCCTTCGGTTTAAAGCGCGCACCATAAAGATTAAATATATCAAAGGCCGAAGACTTTGCTTGCTGTTCCTGTCTTGTTTGACTTGCAATCCGTCGCAGTTCATTTTTTCTCTCCTCTTCTTCTTCCTTTTTGGCCAGTATTTCAGGATATCGCTGTGGATTCAACATATCAAATACAGTTGGTCCAACAATCCGCCTTTTTATGTCCATTTCTAAAGCAAGACCTAGGTCTTGTAAAAGAATTTCAACAGTCGCGTTGACTAGTTCGTCAGTCGATGCATAACCAACCTTCTTACTTTCATTCTTTTCACTTTTGGTTGTCATAGCCAATGATGGAACAGGATCTATTAGAGTAAATCTTATAGTAACAGGTTTCCGTCTTCTCCTTGAGTTAACTGTCATCACATCAGACTCTACGTACATGCAAGCCTTAGCATCGCTTACATCATTGAACACCACATAAAAACCCGTGGAATGCCCAACAATTCTTGAGAACTTGTACTTAGCCAGCTTGATTTTGAAGTCTTCGATTGCCAGTCCATGAATAGATATAACTTTTTTCGACACGAAAAGAGATGGTCTACCTTGGACAACCTTCTCAAGGTCTCTAGGCAATAGTGTCGGCTGAGGACCGACCGTCGAAGGGATCTGCTTCTGTTGTCTCTGTACTTGTTCTTGGAGTTTCGCTGCCTCTTTGAGATTGCTCTCTATCATAGCGTCTATGATTTTGCGTGATTGGTTATTATCATTTATGGCGACGGCAAACTTGAAGCCTGATACACAATAGCAAGACTTCTCGAATGTTTTAAACGCTTTATGGGCAGACCGATGAGGAGCATCTAGGTTTCCTGGTGGACCTGTAAATCGCATAACGTAGACATAAAGAGGAAGTGCATTATTGGGATCCATGAAGCTCTCAAAGTGCGATATTTCTCCAAAAGTGCTAAAATAGTTCTTTATTATGGCATCTTGAACCGAATTTTTAGGATCACGACTGATTGCGTGAACGACTATCTCACTTGGAGGAGGAGGTCCTATCGAATGTTTATCGTAAACTATCCGTGGCAGTCGCGAAAGTTTCGAACGGGGCTTCCTGTGCGGCTTGCGGGCCTTTGATCGATCTTCGAGATTACTTGACCTCGGGTCTGTAGCCGTCTGTTCTGGTGTTCGAGGTTTTAGCACTGTCCTAGGTTTGCCGCCTGCTTGAGGCTCTTGAGTCATCACATAGCCAGACTTCGGCAACGAATCGGCAATCCATGACTTCATCTCATCCCTGTGTATGAGACGTTTGGCTACAGGATCGAAGTAGTGGTACTGTTCCTGGAAACGGGATGTGTTGTACCGCAGCTGAGGTTCCGGTCGACGCGTCTTTGGGTGGGAAGCCTGAATGTTGTGTGATACCCGTGATCCGCGTGGATAGTAAGTTTCGCCTTGGAAAAGTTCACTTCGCGCCTTATAACTGCCCGAACCATGTTCTCGGCGGTAGGGGCGTCCACCGCCGTTGCGTTTTCCGTTACCGTGAGCCTGATTGTCATTGTGGTACCGGCTAGAGTATCTGTAGTGAGAAGAGTCATAGCCACGTCCGTAATAATCCATCACGAAGAAGACGCAAGTGGTACCCACAAAAGCGCCCCAACTGCTCGTCTACGAAGGTTTGGCTCAATATCGAAACTTTGCAATGTGGTTCAGACGTGTTACTAACGGGTATTTTAAAGTTCACGAACCTATTGATCATTACCGACGTATGGTGACATCTTATACATTGGCTCTTGATACCTGTCACAACTCAAAGTCACACTGGTCGTCGGATTCCGCCCCAGTTGATGCTAGAATTAGAATCAATAGCATTGATTCTGAGAGCAAATGACCATATGACATTTACTCTTTGTGCACTCAGTCTGGAGCATGGCGGAGGAGAAGAAAACCGAGATGCACTAATTTCGGTCGTGATGCGGGTTGTGCCAGTAAAGAATATCAATCATCGTCAAAGGTCTGGCTGTACTTGGCAGATGCGCTCCAGTAGTAGTTGCAATTTTATTGTCGTGCTTCTAGCGACGCAGTCATTGTATACGCGGTGACTTTACTAGGTTTGGCACTTCTCGCGATTGAAGAAGATGCTTCCTTGAGCATGGTGAGAGAGGCACTACAAAGGATTGCTAGCGTTTCGAATCTGATTTAACGTGTACAGTCACCAAGGTGTCTGAACAATGTCCGGTCAGCAAGTTTGCAGATGCGTTTGCGACGTACTTGGATTGGAATTGAACGATCCCGCAAACGACTGGACTCAGGGTCGCCTGAAGAAACTACAAAATACCACTTCCACTTTGTACAACGTGTCACTGAATAAGGTTATGCTTAAGCAGCACGAGGAGGTAGCAAGAATGCATCTGTGTGCTTTCTTGGCCGCAGAAAAGCTTTCGGAGAAGTACGAACCTGATCTGCGCTACGGAAGCGACAAGATCCCTCTTGAACCGCGAAAAATCTTGAAAATGCTGGAAATCATGAGGACATCCATTTTGAGTGCGTCTCCTGTCAAGCGTCTGAGCTGGTCGCCAAGTTCGAAGACAGTTCGGCAAAGCCCTGTCAAAAATGGTGGTCGTTTCACGGCCATCGATCCAAATGAAATGCGAAGACAGCTGTTTGGAACACCAACCAAAAGTGCTGCAGGGCAGAAGAGAAGCAGGGAAGCAACGTCAGAGGAAGATCTTCTCGAAACTCCAAAACAGACGAAAACTCCGGGGACGCCTGGCCGTGACAACCATGTGGGCAGTCCTACGCGTGCGACAAGAAGAAAACTGGTGTTCGAGATGGACGACGATACCGTTCACCATGGGGCTCGAAAGAGTGAAAATATAGGTGACGATGACGACGGTAGCGTGCAAGCGGAAGAGGATAAGGAGGAGCCACAAGATGAGGAAGAGGAACGCTCCTCTTCGCGGCCAAGCCCACGTAAAGCTCTTTCTTCACCAAAACGCCGCTTCAATGCGCCAGATGTAGACCCTTCCGGTGCCTCCATAAGCCAACGCTCTTGTCTCCTTTACAAAAAATACTACAAAGTGACACCCGCAGAGGTTATAGAGCTGTGCAATCATTTTGAAATCCCACGCGACGTTGCGTACCGAATCCTGGACCAATTCTTCGAACATGCCACGTATCTGGTGTTCCCATATCAACTTGTGTGTGGGCTCATTTTGAATTGTGCGCAAGTGATATTCAACGAACAGCGGCGCAAGGATCCTAGGGTCACCGAGTATCTATACCAAAAAATGTGCATGTTGATGAGGACCAACGAGCTTACGGATATCAAGGAATGTATGCAAATAGTCCGCGAGCTTATAGATGGAGAAAAATGGTTTCGGACGCTCAAGGTGGACCATGACTACTACGACGGTGTTGCCTACGAAGAAGCTATTGCGATCAGGCTCGGGAACATGCTTCAGAGACCTACTAATGTTGCGTCCGATGAACAGTTTGAGATCTGGAAGCATCGCCTGATGACAGATATTTCCCTTAGAGATGGGTAACAGCTTAATTACCAAAAACGATCCACATTCGGTCAATTCAGCCATGTGATGATTACACGACGAATCTCGATTAACGCAAAGGCCATTACAGTCAGTGGAAGGTGAAAAGTTAGGATTTTTTTTGATTTCGACGACAGCAGGGTCTCACTATGGAAATTGAAAAATTTGAAATTAAAGAATGATCTCTAAGTGTACGACTTAAACATCAACGTACCTAAATCGATCAAGGAGCCCAGAGTTTGAATCTTGGTCTTCTCTCAATTGTCTTATAATAAGAGAAGCTACTTAGAACTGTATCTCCGGAGGTGTCCAAGTCTAGTTTTTGAAATGAGTTTCTCGTCGACGAAAAGAGTTCAAGCAGATTTAAGTGATTCTGAGCTTAATCAACATGATGTCAAGCGCCAGACTTTGAATGGGGATGGCAGTCAAATGACTTCTGATAGTGATGAGGATGTGTCGTACGTGGAAGAAGTGGACACTCAAGTTCTGGAAGAACCTTACAATAATGCCCAGTGGCAAGGCACCATATCCAAAGTTGTGGGATCGGTCGTATCTATACATTTTGCACAAGTTGCGCCATTCGATTGTGATCCCGCCCTGGTCTCGGAGGCCACTGGTTTTGTGGTTGACGCAGAATTGGGTATCATTCTCACAAACAGACATGTCGTTGGAGCGGGCCCTTTTGTAGGATACGCCGTTTTTGACAATCACGAAGAGTGTGATGTGACACCAATATACCGTGATCCAGTTCATGATTTTGGATTCTTAAAATTCAATCCGAAAAGTATCAAATATATGAAGGTACAAGCCTTGGAACTTAAGCCATCCCTCGCTAAAGTTGGATCTGAGATTAGAGTCATTGGTAATGATGCTGGTGAAAAACTGAGTATTTTGGCCGGCTTCATCAGCAGAATTGATAGAAATGCTCCGGACTATGGAGAGTTGACCTACAATGACTTCAATACGGAATATATTCAGGCCGCTGCGTCCGCGTCCGGAGGATCATCTGGGTCTCCTGTTGTCAATATAGACGGACATGCAGTCGCCTTGCAAGCTGGTGGCTCCACCGAAGCGTCAACTGACTTTTTCTTACCAGTGAACCGTATCTTAAGAGCTTTGAATTGCATTAGGGAAGAGAAGCCAGTCACAAGAGGTACAATCCAAACGCAATGGATTTTGAGGCCTTACGATGAGTGTAGGAGGTTGGGACTAACTACTGACCGCGAACAAGCGGCGCGTAAACAGTTTCCTGATAGAATTGGATTATTGGTTGCCGAGACGGTCTTGAGAGAGGGGCCTGGTGATACTAAGATCAAAGAGGGTGACACGCTGATATCAGTTAACGGCGAGCTGATAGCTTCGTTTATGCAAGTCGACCACATACTGGATACAAACGTGGGCAACAGCATAGAGTTGTTGATCCAACGGGGCGGCAAAGACATAGTTGTTAATTGTGACGTTGGTGATCTTCATGCTATAACCCCATCTTCATACCTAGAAGTCTGTGGTGCGACTTTTAATGAATTGTCTTATCAGATGGCTAGGTTCTATGCCATTCCGGTCAGAGGTGTGTTTCTAAGTAGTGCCTCAGGCTCCTTCAACTTCGACTCTAAGGAAAAATTAGGCTGGATTGTGGATGCAATTGACAATCAAGAGACTCCTAATTTGAATACTTTCATTGAGGTCATGAAACATGTGGAGGACAAAAAACGTGTTACTGTGAGATACCACCATTTAACAGACCAGCATTCCCCAAATGTGGCTAGTATTTACATCGATCGCCATTGGTGCAGCGAGTTTCGCCTCTATCAAAGAAATGACAAAACAGGCATCTGGGACTACAAAAATTTGGCAGACCCATTACCAGCTTTGCCTGTCGTTCCACGCGAAGCTAAATTCATTGACCTGTCAATCGAAAATAGACAGTTGGCCAAACTTTCTAGAAGCCTTGTCACGGTGACCACCACTTCTCCCATTCCGCTAGATTCAATGGCAGCCGAACCCCGTAAAGCTTCTGGTCTCGTTATCGATGCCCAGCAGGGTTACGTGATAGTATCTCGCCGTGTCATTCCTCATGACTGTCTCGATGTTTTCGTTACTGTAGCTGACTCCGTGATTCTACCTGCTGAAGTTACATTTTTACATCCTGCTCACAATTATGCTGTTATCAAATACGATCCATCCTTGGTCAAAGCACCTGTGGAAACTCCTAATATGAGCTTCAAAAGAATGAAACGTGGTGATAAAGCACACTTCATTGGCTACACGCATAACAACAAGCTTGTATCTTCGGATACAACTGTAACAGATATCTCTTCTTTGAGTATTCCTAGCAACTTGATCCCCAGGTACAGAGCAACAAACCTTGAAGCTATCGGAATTGATTGTAATGTCAGTTCGAGATGTAACTCAGGTATCATTGCTGATGATGATGGAACGGTCAGGGCACTCTGGCTGTCGTTCCTTGGAGAGATCCAAGACGGCAAAGAAAAAGTATACTTGCTTGGGCTGGATATGAGTGACCTCAAACCTGTCATTGACCTCTTGAAAGAGGGCAAGCGGCCAAGAATCAATATTGTCGACGCAGGCTTCGGCTCGATATCCATCGCCCAGGCCAGGATTCGTTCTACGCCAGAAGAATGGATCTCGAGAATGGAAAAAGAATCTGAGAACAGACTACAATTCATGCATGTTACTCGCGTGTCTTTCACCCAGGAGAAAGAAAAGCTCCTCCCTGGTGATGTTATTCTTAGTGCAGAGGGGAAACTAGTCAAAGAAATGAGAGATCTGGATGGTATTGTTACTTCTGGAGGTGGTCCCGATGACAAACAAGTTCTCAATTTCAAGGTTGTGAGAAACGGTAAGATCGTTGATTTATTGGTCAACACAATCGAAGTTAGTGAAACTTCCCACTTTGCTGTTTTTGCTGGCTGCATCGTGCAACCCCCTCACCATGCTGTCCTACAGGCCATGTCTAGCATACCTAGTAGCGTGTACTGTACCTTTCGTGGTCAATCGTCACCTGCCATGCAATATGGAATCGCTGCAACTAATTTCATCACACATGTCAATGAAATCGAGACCCCAGATCTAGATACTTTCGTGGAGGTGGTTAAGGCTATACCTGACAACACCTATTGCAAAATCAGACTCGTGACTTTTGACAACGTACCTTTTGCCATTTCCCTGAAGACCAATTACCATTACTTCCCAACCGCAGAACTCAAAAAAGACCCTGGCAATGGGAAATGGATTGAGAATGAGCTTAACAAAACTGATGAGAAACTCGAATGAAATGCTATCTGCAATTAATGCATCCTTGTGACTGTTAAAAAACACGCTTCAAAACGCTCTCTTTCTTGTATATACAGGAACTCATTTCATTACGATTTATCGATTGTATAAACTGATACATATACCATCAATGCATATTGCTACTTGCATGCTACTTCCGCCGGAGCCTCATATTTCCCTAACCTTCTGTTTTCAATGGTACGGCAACAGTCTCTTCAAATGCTTAACGTGAGTGGAATGAGCCATCGTTTTGCCATCCAAAGACTTCAAAGTTGATTTTCCCCATCCAGCGTTACCGTGGTTCCTCCCAGCACGGCCCCTCTTGAAGCTTGTCGAAGTTTTCCTCCATCTCTTGGCTGTGCCTTTATGAGTTTTCATTAATGACCTGGTCTGCAGCAGGAAAGGCTGTTGAACTTGGGCCATCATTCTACCACAGTTGGTGAAAGAGCGTATAAGGTAGGAGAGCATGATCTCGATTCAGGCCAATAGGCGAATGTGTACTGGGCGTTGTTTAATTCTGCTGACGTTCCGCTTGAGCCTATAGAGATCATCTAGCTTAAGTTTTTCATGATTAGTATAAAGTGACTGGTCTGCGAACACAATGACAGTGTCAGTAAAAAACAAAAGCTGATGATGCTCAGGAAGTCTAACCGGCTTTGTGTTCAACATAACATACAACAAGTATCTGGACCTTGAAATAGTCATTGATTATCTTCGAAATTGTATTCTTTCCAAAGTATCTTTATTTGATGAGTCTCAACCCGATCGGAAACAGAGACACAATTTTCATGAGCTCATCTAAGGGCAGTGGTCGGGCCCTCCAGCAAAACATTTCGCAAGAAAAATGTCACTTATGGAAGTATCCTCGAGAAGTGTTTCAGTTGTCCTTTCACCAACAAAATGACCATTTCCCTGCAGGAACGGAGTACGACCTCTGGATAAACAAAGGAGGTCTGATAGCTCTTGGGGAACTATGTTCTGCGTCTGAACTTTCAGAGCTCGTAACTAAAAATGAATTTGAACGCGAAGGCAACGGTTTAGGCAGCGCAGTCACGAATTAGGACACGCGCACACCTACAAACTGGCATATTTAATTGACGTCCCTTTTGGCGTTAAGGCGACACAGCGTCTTTTGTAGTTCGTATTTACAGAAACATACATAGGTCAGAAAAGTATGTCAACAAATGTTAAGTTATTGAACTGGATGGAATTGTGTATGCGAAGGATGAACTCAGACAGGTTCATTAAAAAACGCTTCATTCGTTTTTCGTGTCAATTTAGATCATACCCTGGGCGCGGTAAGCAGCTAAAGTTTCTTCAATCTTAGCGCTCACGATAGGGTCAGCTCTGATCTTCTTTTGAATTTTGGTAGCTTCAGCAAATGTTGTGGCTTGTAACTTCTCGTCGAAACTCCTGGCCAAGTCGGCGGCTTCTTCGAACAAAGCAATCGCCTCGTCAATATCCTCCTGCTGTAGCTTCAATTGAGCAAGACCGATCTTGGCTTGTTCTGATCTTGGATCCATCTTGCAAGCTTTTTCGAAAAGCTGTGTAGCTTCTACAAAGTTCTCTACGCTTGCCTCTCTTGACAACAAAGTAGCCTTACCGATCAATGGAGAAACGCCAACGTGAATACCTTCCAAAGCATCTTCTAATTTGGCAGCAATCTCGTATTGCTTTCTGGCACCCGCCAAGTCGCCCTTGTCGGCGAGGGTTTCGGCATAAAAGTTGGGAACTTCAGGGGCAGTTGGGAACCTTCTTCTGGCTTCGCTAAACAATGTCTCGCTATCCTCGATCTTCCCCTCACGGTAAGTGAGACAGGCCAACTGGATGAATGGGAAAATGTTGGTATCATTTAATTCTTTAGCCTTGTCAAAGTCCTTACCAGCTAGGTCGAATTGCTGGGTAATAAAGTACATTTGACCACGGTGGTAGTAGACGGCAGCACAAGCGGGATTCAATTGCAAAGCTTTCTCGAAGTTGTCAAAATACTCGGTGCTCTGGCCCTTATCAGCCATGATCAAAGCAATGTATATATAAGAGTTGGCCCTTGGGAAATATTCCACAGCTTGCTTCAAGTCCTCGTGGGCAGATAATGGATCGTTTTTCAGAAACTTGAAGATACCAACGTGTTCAAGGGCAATGGCAGCCTTCTTCTTCAAATTGGCATCTTCTGGCGACTGTTCTAGCAACTTCTGGAAGGCTTCCTTGGCTTTGTTAAAGTCCTCATCAGCTTTTTCATACCCACCAGCGGTTCTTTTGTATAGATTGGTCAAACCCTCCAGTAAAGCCTGGTCAGCTTCGGAAGATTCGTCGTAATTTTCGAAAGAGGTTTCCGCTTGGAAAATGCCGAAAAAGGAGGCAAGCGAGGTGTTGGAAGGTAGCTTGTGAGGTTGCTGCTTTTCAAGCTTTTCCTTGAGAACAAGCATGGACTGCTTGTTCATGTTCCTTTCCAAAAGCGGCTCGATTGAAGCGCCATTGAAGTCACCGTACAGGCTCACAGCGGACAAATCGAACATGGCATCGGCAAAGTTCCCTAAGCTCTCGTTCGCTGATGCCCTACGTAACAGACACTTGGAATAGTCTGGTTTCAGCTTCAATGCGGCTGTAGTGTCTTCTACAACTTTTTCTTGTTGGCCCAAAGAGACGTAGCACGCAGATCTGTTCGAATAGAAAACAGGGTCTTCCTTAACCTCGATAGCCAACGTGTAAAACTTTATCGCTTCCTCAAACTTCTGTGATTTGAAGAACTCATTACCTTTGTCTTTAAGTCCCATAGCGACCTTATCTTTCTGCTCAGAAGCCCACTCCGCCGAATTACTCAAATCAGGTTCCCCATTAGCGTCAACTGGGTAGCTTGGTGTAGTTGAGCTTTGGGACTTTTTCTTTCCTTTCTTTTTCTTCTTGCTGCTTTTAGCTTCCGATTCGGTGTCCTTAGCGTCTTTCCCGGTCGAATCAGTTTGGCTTTTGCTTTCTTGCAATTGATGGTAGTAGTAGTAGGCTCCCACAGCTGTAGCTCCGGCTGCAACTGTGGCTACAATTGCAGTCTTGTTTCTTGCCACAAACTGGCCCAACGAGCTATCAGAAGACATTCTAGCTGGCCACTATACGTTGCTGGTGGTGAGGTTAGTTTTTGTGAAAGGAAACTTAACTACAGATCTTTCAAGATCATTATATATATTAGAAAATTTTTCAGCAAGAACATAGTCAGAAAGCGAATCTGACAAGAAAGCGATACTATTTCTGAGTGCTAGTCTCGGTTTCAATGTGCTGTGTATTCTTGATATGATTTTGCCGAAAAAAGCGTCAAATTACTAGCATTTTTGGCCTCGGTTTCGTCTATTTGGCCTCTATGGATGGCAAAAACGCTTTGCCTCGAGTTAATACTTTCCTGCCATGCTAAGAACTTTGCCATCTTGTAGATCACCTTCGCAATTATCTACAAAGCCTTCGCTTGCCCACTTTTTATTTTCCTTTTGCTGAGAAACTAAATAAGTTTCTACACTGTACGTCGTCAGCACTCCCCACCAGACCTCATTCCCACTGGCTCCGATTATTCCTCCTAGCCTTAAGCCACTGCTTCTTGCATTCCCTGTAGGCATCGAAGTACTCCTGGCACATAGATTTGTCATAGTTATTCGTTTCCAGGCATTTCATGCTCATCTTGGAAGATTCTTGGCAGGGATCGTAGAATTGGCTGGCATCCTTAGCTGCAAAGCGAAATTTGTTGAAACTGGATTCTGGGTTGTCCGGATAGAACTTGAAGTTTTTCGCACCTGCGCCCTTTGGAGCATAATCGACTTTTTCTTTGTTAATCTGCAGTTGTGGATCGGCGTTCTCTACTGGTTTACCATGAGAGTCTGACATCTTAACCAACTTGAAGACTAACTGTGAGTTATTGGCCGCCTTCTAGCTATCGCTACCTTACTTAAGGTCTGTAGCGCTTGTTACAAAATCCGTAAGAAACCTCCCGATTCAATGTTGAGGCCAATCAGATATTGAACTGTTCAATGCAAACAGAGTGGTGTGTTGAGAGGCGTGGCAGAAGAGTGTAAACCTCTTCTCAGTCTGGTCAGTTCAGTATCGGAAAGTCTTGTATGTGTACTATGACGAAAATTTTAGGTCATCGCATCAACTTAAGCACATTGGTGTCGGCTAACCAGTAAAAAGACAGACGAGATATCTACTAATATGGCGCATACTGCCAAGTGTAAGCGTTGTAGCTCGGCACAGGTTGTTTTAATCTCGAGGAAAGAGCCCTTCTGTGCAGAATGTTTCTGCAAATTCATATCGTTGAAGCAGAGGAAACAGATGATGTCCGATCCATACTTCCAGGACATCTTCAAAGTGATGTACCAAGATAAGGTGAAGTCAGCAGAAGAGGCCGAGAAGCTGAATGCAGAATCCAAGGTGTTGGTGCCGCTATCATTGGGTTCAAGTTCAATCGTCATGCTAGATGTTCTGAACAGCACCTTAGCTGAACAATTAGAAACGCATCGGGGCAAAGCGGGATTTCATGTCGATATTTTGGTCTGCTACTTTGAGAAAGAGAGGCGGGACATTGAGGAGCGGCTCACTTCTCTTTTTAACGGCAGGTTACGGAAAAACAAACATCATTACAAGGTTCACCTCGTCGACATTAACGCTTTCTTCGACTCGTCTAAACTCATGCGTGTTCACCTACAGGACTCGAATTACGTTGTGCGGTACTCCGATGCAAGTTCCGACCATAGGGCCGACTATACAGTTGATGAGCTTTTGGGAACGTGCTCTAATCGTTCTGCGCGTGAGGATCTATTGAATGTTATCAGAACTGCTACGATCAAGCTGTTTGCATCACATGGCTCATACAAGGCTGTCCTATGGGGACATTCGATGACGAGGCTAGCAGATGAAATAATATCCCTCGTCGTCAAAGGTAGAGCGTCCCAAATCGCCAGTTCCATGGACGATACGAGTTTCGACGAAACTTTCCAAAGCTCTTTCAAAAACTTGCACCCGATGCGTGATGTTCTTCTCTCGGAAATTGACGCATACTGTCATATATTTGACCTTACACAATATACTTACCATTACACCCCACAGGATACGCTGCTTGTAGAAAGGTCTACAATCCCAGTTGTTACAGGTTCAAAGCTGACAAGAAATATGACAATCAATGAATTAGCGCGCCAATACTTCGATAACATTGAGGGAAACTACTCAAATGTTATCTCTACTGTGGTCAGAACCGGTGCTAAGCTCGATGACCCAAAAAATAATCTGCCGACAGTATCAAGGTGTCGAGTGTGCAATAATAAACTTTTCAAAGATGGTTCAGAATGGCTAAGGCAAATCACTGTGAACCATAGTCATCCGATCGAGAATGAGGAGGATCAAACTCTATACGATGCATGGACGGAGTCCGAGCTTGGTAAAATAAGAGGTGAATACTTAAAATTAACCGCAGAAATGGAGCAAAACGGAAAAACGTTATCGACATGTTATGGTTGCATACTTACACTGGGAGAAGTAAGACACAAAAATGTATATTGGCCAGAAAGCCCGCCCAACTTACTCAGAGATGCTCTGGAAGAGTTCGTGCTGACTGACGATGAAGAAGAATAGCTTATCTATATGAAAGGTCTTTCTGCTTGTCTTACGATTCTTCAAAAGTCTTTGCTTGGTGTTTGAACGGGAACGAAAAGGTTTGCATCGGTCCGTCACAAGTAAGAGGTGCGTTTAAAGATGAATAGAATATTGCTCTTAGACAAGGTACGTTGCTTGCAAAGTTCACAACTTTTTTAATCTTTGGACACTCAACATTTTGTCGCCATGACGGCTTCCAAAGACTTTTTTCTACAGATGTGAAGCGCTCATTAGATTAACACGTATATGCATGTAAAGTTCTTTTTACGTCAATTAACATCAAAGCCTGGCCCTGTGAAGGTTGGTCACTAACGACTGGGAAGCTTGCCCCTTTTCAGCAGGTCCAGTAAGCTTTGCGACTCCGCTTCACCGGTAGGCGCTTGTTTTTCGACCTTCCCGTCTTCATTAGAAGGATGAGGACTGGTATTGGCGAAGGATTCATTTGGTAGGTTGCCCCCAACTGGAGAAGATATAGAACTTTTTCTTAGCAAATTTAATAGTTCCATACTTTGCTCCTGTGGGGCCCTTGGTGACGACTGGTCATTGGCACTGCTGGTGGAATTAGGGGAGCCAAGTATTTCACCCCGCTTCAAAATCTTGAACTTAGGCTTTTGTTGCTTCTTCAAGCTGGAGTCCGCTCCTGGAAACTCGGGAGTAGCTCTTTCGTTATTACTGCTTTGTGAATAATGGTGTGTGCCCTTGGCATCGGATATATTGCCCACATATGGCGACCCCGCAGGTGGTGCCCCGGTGGACATCCTAGGTGTGGAAATCTCATAAGAGCGGGTAGAGTTACTTTGGTAAGTGTTATTTTCATCAAGCAAGTCAGTATTTTTCCGTTGCCTTTGATCTCTGTTGCTCATTTCATATCTCTCGGAAAAAGATTCCAATGGATCCTCAACACTGTCTTCCGATTCGCTCTCAGAACTACTTTCGAAGTCTTCGTATTCCGATTCATCGGTGCCTAAAGAGCTTCCTTCGGGCTTTGCAGCCAAATGTGATGAAGCAGCCATTCGAACGTCGGCATTTGATGGTTTCTTTATCATGCCTAGTAATGTTTGAGCATCAGATGTGATAGGCTTTTGGGGTTTCTTCAAAAGGTCAAGCAAGGCCTTGGAGTCTGTCTCAGAATTTGACGCCACGCTTGGTAAGATTGTGTCATGTTTCAATGCATCAAGGTTTTGCTGTGCAGCACCATTGGTTGAAGCTTTCGGCTTCTTGTTGAGTAAATCAAGCAGCTGCCTCGAGGATGCTGGTTGTGGTTCATAACTGCCCTCTGATCTGGCATTGAACTCACGTATTTCGTCTTCTTCTACCACTGTAGGTTTGGCCAGTGTGCTGATCTTTGGGGTAGGCGGCGGTTGGACATTTTCTGGGCTAGAACTGGAGGATTCCGGAATTGGAGAGGCACCAATCTGAATTCCAGTGCCGTTCATGAAGGGAAAGGGGGCAAAGGGTTGGAAAGCCATGAACGGAAAGCTTTGTTGAATCTGTGGAGGGGGTGCAATATACGTGGGAGCTGGAATGGCCGCGGGCGGGGAATTAGATACACCAGGTGTCGCATTCTCCCTCTCCCTACTATCAACAGTAAGGTTGGGCGTTTGGCTGGGTCCACCTCCGGCTGAAACGGTGCTCTGCAACATATTGAGCAGTTCTCTGCCTGGATCAGGGGTGTCTTCTTTTTTTATACCGAGCAACAGTTTCAGCTGCGTTTCTACATGAGCTTTGAGTTTCTCGTCGTCATCCATTTGACGATTACTTTTAACCCACATGGCCAAAGGTCTCATGAGATTATTGACAAGATAGATCTTAACAGAAGAATTTTTTGGGTTGGTATTGCGAGAGAGCTTCTTGAAGTCATGCCACTGTATTTTGTCAATTTCATTGCGGACCCTGGGTTCAAACTTAAAGTCTTCGGGTACACCGCTGACAATGAAAATCTTGTAGTTCTTGCCGCCAATGTTTCGCTCAATGAACTGCTCGGCATCAATGTAATCCGTAATATCAAACCCAGTTTCTTCTAGCACCTCACGTACGCAACAGTTAACGTCATTTTCGTCCTTGGAAATCTTGCCTCTGGGAAAAGACCACGACTCCGACTCCGTTCCCTTAACCAACAGCAGTTTGGTCAATTTTTTGTTAAAGATAGCAGCACCACGAACAGGAATGCTCCTCTTGTACTGTGAAAACTTTTGCAGAGCCTGTTCTGCTCTCACGTCCCATTTCCACACCATCGGGCATAGTTTAATGACATGCTGAGCAAACGATTTGATCTTCAAATTTGGCAGATTGGGGTTCAGAATTTTCACGAAATCTGTGTAAAACCACGTAGCTTCTTCAACGTGGAACAATTCTCGCTCTACAGACGAGAAATCTTCCGCTGGGCAGTTGATAATAAACCTGACGATAAGGTCCTCTAAAACCTTGTCTAGCGACGCTGATGTATCCAATGGGTGTCGTAGCGGTAAAGACATAGAGTTCTAATGATTCGTTAAAGAATGAAGGCTATCGTATGATAGCAATCGCTGTGTTATAGGTCTGTGTCCTGTTTTGTTTGGTAAGTTGTTCGTATTAATTGGCGAGCGTCTTTCTACATAGATTAATTTTTTTGATAGGGCTAAACAGCTCTGCGTACGAAAAGATGGCTTTAACACGTAGACTGAGTGTTGTGTCTCTGAAAGGAGAGTGGTGGCGGACCGTAAGGTTGTATAAGGTGTTCTTTAGACCGTGTTCTGCGGAACAAGTACCCAACCTTTGGCCAGAAGTCATTCCCCTTTTTCAACTGGAACCCTTCTGTTAGGTTGCTATCGTGTTGTAATTTGACAAGGTGTCTTGTAAAGCGGACTGTGCTTTATGGAGTCAAGTTTAGTGGTTAGTGGCCTCACTAGCGGGAGGAGTTACGTTCGTCCGGCAGTGTCAAGCATTTCCACCATGGGAACTTTTAATCACTTTCTACTATTCTGACACTTGGAGGAAGTTGCGGCCGCATTGATCATCCCTCCACTGGCCTGTTGGTAATACTACGAGCTGGCCGGGTTTATCGTTGTCCTTTTTTCCTCAATGGATAGCTTCCGGTGGAAACAAGGCATGCCTGGGGCCACTTACAAAACTCGGAAACAACAGCTGGTGCCTGTCAGACTACGAAGTCAAGACTTTCATCGCGCATCAAAACCTGGAAGTGCTGCAGTTCATTTCCGCTCTCCCCAGCCGCTAGAAATCCTTTGTACGGTGTGAGGATGACAAGGTGGTCTGGAGCTGCGGCGCCATTATGGTACAAAGTGATAAATACACCAACGGCAAAAGACGCAGGAGCGGGCGGCTTCTCCCACCTATCGGCTTCGCGACCCAACCAGAACGCGCGCGAGACGTATTCGTAGGTCCTAGAAATAACTTTCCAACGAAACAACGACTCGAAGTACCGCACGTACCCAACGACCCGCATTCTCTGCACCTAATGTGCCCAGTCGGCCAGATCTGCCACGCAAGGCCCTGCGCCCCATAAGACAGGTTCGTCAAGCTGCGCGAGTGCTCTAACAGTTGCCAGGAACGTGATTTTCCGGGGAGTCTCCGGATAGTGGCACCCACATCATCATTTTGTTGGCCTTCTGAGATGCTGTTCTATCGCCCGAAAAACTCATACGCAGGAGTCCAATGGGCCAGTCCGTTGTCAGTCGTTGGAATAACAACACGATCTACGTGGCCATTGGATTTTTTTTTTCGGTCCTCGCTGTTGCTCTTTCATCGTAGGGCCACCGCAATTTACTGAATGTCGTCTACCTGTCACTTCACCAATGCCAACAGCTTCTCTGCTGGATGGACTCAGAAGGGCTCAGATAGCCCTTAAAAAAACCCTTATATTTCTCACCGCAGATGTAGGCCTCGATCACCGCCTTCGCACATCTCTGTTGGGCTAGCGCTCGTCGTCGCACTCAGCCAAATAGGGTTCGAATCCTTTTACCCTGAGTCCTTAACCCTATGTTCCTCACAAGCAAATCGAAGCTGATGAGCCATGTGAACACAGAAGACGGCATTGTAAATGGCAATCACGATAGCAATAGCAAACCACGACCGTGTCAGTACCACTGTAGTAGCAACACACCTCGCACTAGTTTAGCATCGAAAATGTTTAAGGATAGCAAGCTAGACTGCCTTTTCAAAACAATCTCGGTGCAGACATCATATTTAAAGGATTGCCAGTTATAAACCGTAGTTGAATGGAGCCGTCACAATTGTAAGCCAGGCCATTCGTATAATTAGTCTAGTATTTCATTAGATAATAATATTGGCTTGACAGGACTTCTATAAGTCAGACAAAAGAAGAAAACTACAACTATAAGACTTAAACGATCCATCATGTCCATCAAAGTAGGATACATTCCAGAGCATTTTGCCACGCCCTTGGTGTTTGGCGACAAGAAGGGGTTCTTCAAAGACCAAGGCGTGGAGGTGGAATTGGTACCCTTTCCTAGTGGCTCGGGCCATTTAATCCAAAGTTTGAACGCTAAAGAGATCGACGTGGCCATTGGGCTCACGGAAGCTTTTGTGCGCGGCATTGCAGACACCGAGAAGGGCACCGAGCCCAAATACCAGGTTGCCGGCACGTTTGTGAAGTCGGCTCTGGAGTGGTGTGTTTCCACGGGTGCGCAACGGGACGATTTGGGAGACCTAAAGGCTTTGGAGGGCAAGAAGATTGGCGTTTCGAGGATCGGCAGCGGATCCCACGTTATGAGCTACGTCATGGCCCTGCAACTGGATTTCGAGAAGCCCTTCGCAGACTTCCCTGTGTGCGACAACTTTGAGAACCTCAGAAAGAGCGTGAACTCGGGCGAGTCTGACGCGTTCATGTGGGAGTACTACACGTCCAAGAAGTACCTGGACTCGGGCGAAATCAAAATGCTGGGCCACGTTTCGTCGCCCTGGCCGTCGTGGGTCGTGGTCAAACGCACCGACCTCGACGCCAAGCACTTCCAGGGTTTCATTGCAGGCCTAAACGCGGGCATCGACCACTTCAACCAACACAAGGATGAGGCCATTGACGTGATCGTCGACCACTTCGGCTACTCTCAGGAAGACGCTGCCAACTGGTACAAGACCGTAAAGTACCACACTGATTGCAGCGACATCAATGATCTCCACGGTGTCATCACTGGCACCTTGCACATTCTGACCACCGCCAACGTGCTGAAGAACAAGGACGAAAAGGTGATTGAGGACAACCTGCTAGCGGGTACTATGGCCAACTGAGCCGGGCCGGTGACACGAATCATTACGAACATACATATAACGTGTTAAATAGCTAACGAAATACGACTAGCTGCAGACATTACGGACTAGTGTCCTACACATTTAGAGTCAGTCGGTCTTGCGGGTCTCAAAACCGTTGTAAGAAACCCAAAAGTAATTGTTTCAAAACTCAAGATATCTCCTCTCTTCATCCACTTGCTCTCTCTCCGAAGCCCATCTAACTTCGCCCTCTGCTCGTTTTATCCTTCCTTCGTGGACGGCTTCTCCAGACTTTCGGAATTTCACCATCTCATCGCATCTCACTCATTTTTTGACAAATTTTTTTTCACCGCATCTCTCAGCTCATCGCGCGATTAGAACTTGTCTCACAACACTATCCAGACAAGACCAAAGCTACTCTAATCACGTCTTATTAGTTGGCTTTTCCTTAGCAGTGTGCTCGTTCGTTGGTCACATATAAGAGAAAGACAGTTGAGGAGCATATAGCTACCTTTTTGGAAAGAACCACGGCATAAAACTTGTTGACTACGTTTCTCGCAAGAACGGTCAAAGAATAAGAAAGTTACAAGTTATTGGTAGCCTGAAGGAATACGGAACTAGGTTGTCTGTGTGCAGGAAAGATAGTCTGGAACCTAAAGACTTGGATAACGCAGGTACTTTTTGAGAATTTTTGCGTTTGACGGGAAAATTGCAGTTCAACCAGTGAATGGACTACCCAGGAGCGCCAAAGCTATTTTTTTGTTGTCTCCCTCTGGTTAACTTTGGCCTTGCGCTTTCCCTAGCTGCTTGTAGACGGTAGAGGATGACAGCGTCGAAATCTGCTGTGGCCACGGCCACCGGCCTGGCGGCCACCCAAACTAAAAACCCGTCGTCTTGGGATCCACAGGACGACGTGCTGTTGCGGCATCTCAAGGAGGTCAAGAAGCTGGGGTGGAAAGAAATAGCCCAGTATTTTAAAAATAGAACGCCCAACGCGTGCCAGTTTCGCTGGCGTAGGCTTAGGTCCGGCAATCTTAAGACCGTGGGCAAACAGTCTGACGTGCTCGAGGATCTGTCTAGCGTGTCTGGCTCTGCTGATACCCTGGCATCTGGCTCCGGCTCGCCTGCGAATCTGGGGTCTCAATACACCGGTTCCGATTGCTCAAACACGAATGCATCGGGTTTTGCAACTATTGGTGACAACAAGGTTAAAAATGAGGGCGATTTGAAGGGTTCGTATTTTAGTAACGGACCACAAGCCAACGCAGTCTCCAATCCAATCACGAATTCGGCCATGTCTTCTTCTATGACTATATCTTCGCCGGTGCCCATTGCAGCACCTTACATGGATTCCTCAATGGCAGGAACTGCGTCCAGGTCCAATTCTGCTGTGCCAATAGCGTATCACTCCTCCACGATGAACTCCCCGCAACCAACGTATGGCTACTCACCACATCAACATCTAGTGAATCAACCTCACTTTCAATCTAGGTCCCAATCGCAGTCTGCCGCCAGTTCAGACAAGTTTATAAAACCAAGGTCACTTTCGCACACAGTGGCCCCAGCTTCGGGCTTTTTGCAATCGGCGTCCACTAGTCATTTGCCCTCCTTTGAGGTCAATAGCAACGCAGAAGACGAAAATCTGGGTCTCATCCCTAAAGTTGTTGTTCGTTCCAGGCGCGCCTCACTCGCGCAGCAGCCGTTATTGGCCCATTCAGCATCTGCAGCTCCTAGTCTTCCTAGTGTTTCGAGTACTAGTAATCTTTCTGCTGCTTTGAATACAACTTTAACAACCTCAAAATTGCGAAAGAACTCCTTCTCTTCAAGAACTCGGCGTTCTTCTTTCAATATGGCCCCACCTGACCGAGCCCTCTCCACTACTTCGCGTAGAAGCTCTATAGTACAGGCACCAAGTTCTGTAACGTCCATAACAAGGCGGGAGAGCTTCAATACTTCAAGCTCCAGAAGAAGCTCCGCTATCCATCCCAGGAGAGAAAGTTTTGTACATGGCCCAAATGATAGACGCGAGTCGGTATCCAATTACACTGATGTGCCCAGATCTAACCTACAACATTTTGCTCCATCAGTAGGCACTGCTTTAAATCAAACTGTGTTCCCTAGGGAGGTTACAGGTTGGTCACTGGAGGAGGATAATCTTATTAACAAGAGACAAGAAAAGCAATTGTCTTTAGACGAGCTTAGTATCTTACTACCTCACAGGTCAGAAGAAGAGATTCAATGGAGGATAGGCACTCTAGATCGCAGCACTTCTTCTCCTTCCAGTAATTCGCCTTTGGATTCGCCAGAAAGGTCACTCACTGAGGATACCGCAGTTGAGGATGAATCCAACGAAGGTGTCGATGATTCTTCTGGTCAATCGTCTCGTCGCGCCTTTGCTATAAAGAAAGAAGTGTCACCATCGCTTTCGCTCTCTTCCGGATCCAACGACAGGGAGCATTCACCCGTTTTCTCCCCTCAAACCGTTAATCGAGATGGGTCTCCTTCAAATTTTAACACATCCTCGAGACCGAATTTGAGCAAGTCGCTCGATGCCTCACACTACAGCTGCACCCCTGGCCTTCCTGGCCATCTTGGCCATGCATATTCCTCTGTGAATGAGCCGGAAACGGCTAATGCGCATGGAGCTGCCTTACCTCCTTTGAATAGCCTTTTCAAAAACATACTGTAATGGTTTCGTCAAGGTTGCACACCTTTAAGGCGTAAAGAGTTGTCTCTCAAAAGTTCACTACAAGGCAACGATAAACACACCGGGTTTGTTTACGGTTGCTCGCATCTCAATGTTGGTATTTTTGGTTTTTGCATTATCTCTCTAGGAAGTGAGGCAACCTGGGACGATGTATTATCTGGCTTTGATTATGTTGGTTATATTTTGTTAACGTTCTGCTATTTTATACTTGAATTCTAGTTTTCGTTATAATGTTACAAATAAGTTCATGCGTGATTTACGCTTCTTAAGCGTCGGCCAGTGTAGGTTTTTTCCTCGGCGTCGTCATCACTCTCGATGGCTCGTTTTATAAACCGTCCTCTTTTACTCCGTTTCAGCATCTGATTGGAGTCAGAAATAGTGTCATCTAAATTATTGAGACGACCGACCTCATCACTATTGCCATCCGATGCGCTGGAGTACTTTATCTCTTCGTCATCATTAGCATCAAAAAAGGTGCCATCAGCATCTTCATCGTTCTCTAACAGTTGTTGCTCTTCATTATCTTGCAGCGCGGGGTCCACAAGTTCGGCTGCCATTATATCGTTGCTTTGGCATGTTGGTACATCTTTACTGTTCTTGTGAACAGTCGTTGCATGCTGATTGGGCATTTCGTTCTTCCCGTTAAGCGGTAGAGGAATGTCATTATTGATTCTCTCGTAAGACAACTTAAGATTGGCTAGGATAGTTGAACTTAAGTTTAGACCTTGCTGTCCTTTAATTTTTTGCAGGCACGCCTCTTCAATGCTTCTCGGATCAGCAATATCATCCTGAAGAAAATTCACTAAAACGGATAAACTGTTGTTGAAGCTATCAACACCGTCTTTTTGAATAGAATTTGTGGTTCTCTGTGCTCCAGTAGTCTCAATCATTGTCCCCATGGCATTAATGCCACAGGATGGACCAAATATCATTGGCTTCCAAACCAAATTTTTTGGCTTCAATGTGTACCAATTCTTCAAACCGGCAGCCTTGACGGTTTTCTCAATAAGTGACCAGTCACCTATTTTTAAAGCATACTTGGTATTTCCTTCTTGAGTATAATGATGTAAAATGTTAAGTTGCTCAAGTCCGAATATGATATCTGTAGGTATCATGCCTGTGAGATTTGAAAGATCTTCGATGCAACACTGAAAAACAAAGCCTTTTTCTTCAGCTTCGGTTATGATTTCTTTCAGCGAGTGCAGTACCTGGCAGAGTTTGAGTTTCCAATAGTTTCGATAGGAAAGAAGTCCTAAATCGGATAGAGGTTTCTCCGGAGTTCCCCATTTGTACTCCCTCTTTGTCAGTAAATAGGAGAAATCAACCAGGAGGTGACCGTAGCCTTTTCTTTGGTAAATAGGCAACGTGAGAATGCAGCTCAAATTGTAGTCGGTTGATGTAAGCTTTTCCTTAGAGAAGTAGCCTACAAAGTGGAATTGACATTCGCCATTCAGGTCCTCGCGTTCAGTAAGGATATAGAATATAAAGGGTTCCACATCATAGTAAAGTGTTTTTGAGTTGAGGAAAAGTTTGGCCAGTAAACACAGACTTTGGCAATAATTGACATTCTCTCTGCCATCAACTTCCCAAATTGAAATTTTTCCGTCCCTGTATATTTCATTTCCGGGTGGATGGCGTCGCGAGCATTTTAGTTGGTGTCGATAATAAACATATCTTGAATTCATGTACTTCAAACAATACTCGCAGATGTAGAGGATCTTGTTTTTGTTAAACTCTTCTGAATACGGTGCAATGTACCAAGTTTTGATCTCGAAATCCCGAAAATGAATGTATTCTATCTTGGACGCTTCCCTCTTGGTCTTAAAACGCTTAATTTGGGTGAGCTCTCGGTCTTCTACTTCACTAAAAGCCAGAAGAAGGTTTCCGTTATAGTATGCAGCAGGACTAGCGTTATAGAGAAGTGCCTGGAAAAATTCTCGATCTTTCAAAGAGGGTGTGGTACTTTGGGTTGACGAATCTTTTTTGTCGGCTATTGCACACCTGTACGGTCTCGAACTGTCATTGTCAATTCTGTTAAAGAGCGTTTCTGGTTCGTGAACATTGAAATCGATCTCATATCTGTTGGGATCGACAGTCGAATTTGTTATGAGGTTATCAAAGTCCAACAATTTTTTAGGATCGTAGCGAACCTTGATGATGTTTTTTTTGTAAGTTCCACGAAATGGATCAATTTTGGGAAATTGAACATTGGGGTTGATGGCGTTAGCTAGATCGGCCTCGTCTGGAAGTGACCACCCTTCAAAACTGTTGCCCGCTATTCGCGAAACTGGTTTCGACACACGTCCCGACTTTGACTCTGGTCTTGCAAGCGCTACCGCTAGCGCCGGGTTTTCCGGTATCAGCAGCTCATCGTAAGCGTGTTTTGCACGAGTCTGGCGCGAGAAATTATCCGGATTTTTGGCGATTTGGTTGGCAATAGACGAATGCACATTGTCGCTGAGCTCGATGTTACGCAGCAAACGTAAATGTCGCTGTGCATGTGCGTCCGTGGGATTCATGGCACGACCTTACAAGGAAACTGCAATTGGCCGAATCAAACGCCCAAAAGAAGGCAGAATTTGGGTTTTGCGCGTCAATTGACTTCAAATGTGGTAGTGCTGTGACAATTTGGACGTCCAATGTGCAAAGAAACTGTAGAGCTGGGTACGATGTACTAAGTTTCCTCCACAAGTGCCCCCACTGTTGGTACAAAGCATCGCCCGCTAACGTGGAAACAATGTATTGATATCATTTTATACGCCTTCTGTCATGCCATTAGTCGATGTGCTTCACTTCCTATCGCTTGGCAAACCGCAGGTCGCCTAGATTGACTTATCATTGCGTGAGGCTTTTGGGAGCTCCTTGTTTATTTCAAGCTTCTCTTTGTGCAATTGAGCTCGCCAATTTGATTTATCGAAGTAATAAGCTTTAATCATCGCTAGCTTAGCATGAAAACAAGAATTGTGAAAACACCAGAGGATATGGATAGTAGCAACTTCTCTAATTCTACTGGACACTTATGGATCTCGTACCTCCAAAGTTAGGCTAAGTCAACTGTAGAACTGGGGCGACTGACACCTCAACAGATTTTTCGATCCAATATATACCTGGGTAAATCAACGTAACATGTAAAAGTACTAACTTCACCGCACTTTCATTAGAACAGGAGGCAGTCCTGGAATATGATGGTTAGAAAGCAGTCTGGACCATTCAAGCTCGGACCAATTAGACAATTTCTAAGTTTGCGATACTGCTCACGTCTTACTTAGCTCATCTACTAAATCACTATTTTGTACTTCCAGGTAGTGATATTCACAACCTACGAACATTTCAGTCGAAATTAATATTCTTGGATTAGACGTTGTATAAACCTTATTGAAGGTAATGTAGTAAAGAGAGGCCGGAGCAGATCAAATTCTATCAAAATTTGGTAACCCGTCTAAAAAAACCGAGCCTTGTTCATAAAAGTCGTCAGATAGACCGTTTGACAATTGGGTCTCACCAGTGTTTTCGCATTGCTTTCGTATAATTTTCTTGATATTATTCATTCATTCTTCGTAACTTCGTGAGTATTCAAACAAAGTGCATGATCGTCTCCTCCCACAAAAAAGCTCTCAAGAGTTTGTGGGGGATATATAGTAGGCTGGCATCGAGGTTACGCTGCTTTGGAAAAAAACAACAAAGGGCACTCCGATATTGATCAAGATCCAAACCATTTCAGCCCCATAGATTTCTTTTGCCCTGTATATCAAGTCCACTTAGGGATCTGTTCAAATCGCCATCCAATTCTGCACCCAAGCCCAGCTGTGTTACTGAAGTGTACATCATAGAATGATTTTGGGAGTCTGCAGCAGCAGTGACAGGGTCGTGAAAGGAATGCACGGAGTAATTTGAGTGCATGCTGCTGTTAGTATGTTGAGGAACAAGGTTCTGAGAACCGTTGAAGCGGCCCTCACCCAAGGTGGGCGTATTTGGTGCTTGGGCATAGAAGGATGGCATTCTTTGGGTACTGTTTGGCTTCACTTGTGCTGTTGGTGGAGAAACGTTTGAGTTCCTAAGCAGGGGATTGTTGGACGCTGCAGCAGTATGCTTGTTCGCATAGCCGGTAGGGATTCGGTTCTGCAGGATAGATGATGACGGCGTCTGAGTTGACTGCGGCCTCAAGACCGGCTGCTGTTGATGCTGCGAGTCCAGCTGGTGCAAAGCGGTCGGTTGAAGTAGTGGGGACTGAGATGGTGGAGGACCATGTTGATTACCGCTGCTGGTAACGGCTGCTGCCGCTGCGGACGCGTGAGCCTGTAACAAGGAAGTATAGGAATGAGACCTAGACATCCCGGATCCCCCGGTAGAGCTAGGCTGCAGAGGCTGCATCAACGAAAGTTGACCTTCCCGCTGTAGGTGGTATTGTAAGGCGGCATGGTCTAAGACCTTACGACGAATTATTATGAAACTGGGGTCATAAACCTCAACCAATCCCAAAAATGAGCACAACACGTTAATTATACGCTTATGACCAGCTGAAAGACCCACAGGATAGGCCAACTCATGGTAAGTTCTTTCACGATCTTTGAAAAGTAACAGCTGCGAGTAAATTTCTAAGATGTCAGGGTCGTTAAAATCCAACTGTTGTGGCGGTAAAGGCAGATTATTAGAAGCTGGCAATGGGGCATAATAACGCTCGGACGACCCTGTAGCCAAAGCACTCGCTGGCATGATCATGGATGTCGCAGTGTTTTGAGCAGACAAAAGCGGCTGCGGCGCAACCGGCGGTTGTGAGGACATGGCTGTATTGGTTGGGGCACCTGTGGCCACGCTGCTCGAACCACTTGCAAAATTTTGAAACATTTGGGGGCTATCAGAAGAGAGGGCCGACGGTAGATTTTGGCTCGACACGCCTACCGATGGCGTTTGAGGACGGCGACCGGGGACACCATTCATATCGCCAGTTGACACTTGGATAGCACCATTACTGGGGCTGTTTCCGTTATGGTTGACATTGGTCGAAGATTTGTTCAACGACTGAAGAGATAGAGCAGATGTGGTGCGGTGTTGCTCCTCAAGTTGGCCTCTCTTTTCGCGTTTCTCGCGTTCAATCCGCTCCCGTTCCACTTGTGGTAACATCTTCTTGTACTCGACACGCAATTTGCGGCCGCCGATCTCTTTCCCGTTCAGCATGTGTACTACCTGGGTAGTCTCATCTGTTGTTGCAAAATTAGCGAACGCCAAACCACGGAAAACGCCGTTGTCGAAATGATAGTTGAAGGCATAAGGCAAAGGCAAGTTCATCTTAGCAATCACCTCCAACAACTGCTCCTTTTTAATGGCGAACGGGATGTTTTTGATAACGATCGCCGTGGGGATTACATCATCGTCTGATGACCTACTTGAGTAAGCACCAGTCAACACAGAGTCTGGCATGGCGGACATGGATAGCTCTGACATTGTGTTATCGATCGATGTTGAAAATTCAGTGGCGCTTTCACAACAAAGTCTATGACTCGATTTCTTTTGTACTCTCGTAGGATTGGTCTAAATTCAAGATTCCAGTAGCTACCTTTCCACAGCCTAAAGTTACCCACTTCCAACGTTCTAACTCTAACAAAAAAAAGAGCGGAAGCGCTTAAAAGAGGCGCCTGAGAGTGTCAAGCCCGTTAATAACCTTGAAAGGTGTAGTCGATGGCTCTTTCCTGAGAAAAGTCTTTGACCAATCTTATTCCAAGGAGATTGGAATAGGATTTTCTTAATGTGAGAGCTTCTACTCACAGGGAGGGTAACACCAGAGCGTCACGATAAAAGCCGAATGTGACAAAGAAGATATCTAAAGAATATCTACAGGTCGTCGTCACAGTCTGATTCTTGTGTTGGACTCTGGCGACTTCATCGTCTGGCTGAAGAGCAATACTGGCTCAATACAAAAAAATTCCAGTTGAAATATCGAGATTTTGAACATTCGAGAGCGTTTGCAACAGTAATATGATTTGCGAACATGGTCAATTGATATCTGTCATGGTCGTTTTCATACCGACACGAAGGGTGCGACGTAACTACTTGCCTCTTAGAAAACACGCCAATTACTACCAGACAGTCGGGAAGCAAATTAAGCCCTGGGTTCGACTCGTTGACATTAGCGGGGCGAGCGTGTCTGACGCGTGGAATAAGATGGACTAAAGCGACGCCAGATACCGTTACGTTTTCACGTGTTATGACAAATATTCTAAATGGAAGTCCTAGCACTTCTGATGTCTATGTAAATATGACTATTTTTTTGATGCGACAGTATTCTCTCGTGGCATGCGGAGTTGTCACTTATAAGCTGCCTAGCTTCAACACTTCATGAATCGATCAGAGAACGAAAATTTCTCCGTGCTCGAACATTGCCATTTTCTGCATGAGTAGCTTCGGCTCCTAGCTTCTGTTATTGTAATATGTGCTACGGTAGTAAGAGCATACTTGAAACTGCGAGGCAGTGCTTGAAGAAAATTCCAATGCAGCATTAGGTCTCTATCACTAAAAACATGTAAACTATATTCCACTACTTGTTACTATAGTCAGGGCTTCTTGTTGGAAGCCGTTGAAACATTCATCATCATCAACACCTTAAAGAGCAAAATGCTTGTTAAGGTGTTCAAACATCACACACCGTTACTTTAAGGGCATTGGAAAGCCACTCAATGAGAAATAAAGTACACTACAATCTGAGAGCCAATCAACGCACCTAGAGCAAGTTTGGCTCCTCCAGCATGCCCGATTTGCCACATGGGCAACACTTATCACTTTGTACTTTACTGCCATTTCTTTCCATAAACGCGAAACAGAAACAAACGATCCATTAGTAAAGACGAAACTGAGGCTCATCTTTCTGTAGACTTTTGCATGTCTAGCCCTGTGCCCTACTGTCGTTCTCTGTCGCAACTTTGTTTGGGAACTCACAAGTGTGTGGAACCCACTTCTTTTTACGCAAAGAAAACTAATAGTAGACCCCGAACCCAGTAAGAGACAACTTATAAGGTCCAAGAACGGACTTCACTCACCATCAATCCCATTTTCCGACCCTGTTAGACGAATGGTCAGCCTGTTCCTGACAGTTTGGTCATTATGATATTTACTGACACAGGCTCTGGCCGGGTAACCCGCATATCTGAAAAAATACTATGCGTGTTCATTAGGCCAATATTTAGACACTTTCTAAACGTTATGTCCAGAGGAACTGTGGTCACAATCGGTGGTACGAGCGCCTATTCATCCATTATTTACATTCCAACATGTCTACTCCAACTCCCCCAGGTGGACACCGTACTCTGCAGAAAAGAAGACAAGCTCAATCGGCTAAGGAAAAGCAGCAAAAACAATCTCCAGCCTCAACCAGACAAGCCGGCTTTGGAGGCTCTTCCAACAGTGTTTTGAAATTGTACACAGATGAAGCTAACGGTCTCAGAGTTGACCCACTGGTTGTGCTGTTCCTAGCAGTGGGCTTCATTTTTTCCGTTGTGGCATTGCACGTAGTGGCCAAGGTCACTGGTAAGCTCTTTTGAGGGTCCGGAGAGAGTGGGCTGCACACGAGCAGTCCAGCATGGAAGAGGAAAGTCGTGGGTGCAAAGGCCAGGAGCTGATGCATCTTCGCTAGGAGAAATAGACAGATTCAACGCTACTATCTCGCCCATCCTTCCCCATAATTTCTTAGTTTTTGTGTACTTTGTTTTCAATCTACATATCTGTTAATATCACGCCAACTACATCCTTGAGATGGTCTTTGTGCACCTTGTGCCTCTGTACATGTTCTGAACCTGCCGACTCGCAGGTCCAATCCCATGATTCGCCTTTTTCCTGAAGCGCGCCGCGCCAGCTGTCTCCCATAAAGGGAGCGCGTACCTCGAATTCAACATGGGGCCACTCCCTTTTGCCCACAATAACACATATAGGAATACCTAGGCTGTGGCTGGTAGCTATTTTACGTCCTAAATTTGACTTGTCATCTCTGTTGACCCACGTTTCGGACTTCCACGCTTGAAGTAGTCCCTCGACCTGCTCACAAAGATTGTCTTGCTTGGCTGAACACACTGATATCTCATATGGGGCGATCACTCTGGGCCATCTGAGTCCCATTTCATCGCGGGTGACTTGAGCAATAGCACCAACGAGGCGACTTACGCCGATCCCATAGCAGCCCATCTCGCAAAACTGTTCAGTATTGTCTTTTGCCGTAAATTTAGCCTTCAATGGTTTGGAATACTTCTGTCCTAAGTAAAAAGTGTGGCCGACTTCGATGCTTCTGGCTCCGCTCAGTTTGCCCTCCTCGCATGCGCCGCATAGTTCATTCTCTTCGGCGTCCACTAAAGTCACATCATCAAGCTGCGAGAAATTGTTCTTCAAGTATTGCTTTAGAGGGAAATCGGGATAGTTTGATCTGGAATTTAGTCTACAATCCATAATGCGGACTACCGACGAAAACATCATGTCATCCTCATTTTTGCCTGCATGAAATAAGTCCAGGACTTTCTCATTACTTTCGCCCACTAAGGTGGAGTCAACATCGTGGTCCAAGGCATCCAGGACTAAATTCCAGTTTAATGTTCGGTTGTGTGGGTAATATAAGCATATTAGCGTGTCTCTTTCGATGTTAAGAGCATATCGCACATTGACATCACCATTGTGCTGGTTGGTCTCTTCGGGGTAAGAGGAGCACTTCTCCACATTCGATACATGGCCACATGAGCTACATTTCAATACCGTGTCTTCGCCGGTTTCATGCATGAAATGGTATTCCTTGCTCATGTCACCACCAATATCACCAGAATCCGCCCATGCACTTACGAAGGGAACCCTGAGATCCTTAAATATCAAGTCGTAGGTCTCATTCATCCTTCCAAAGGTTTCCATGGCTTCCTGTTTGCTTTTGTCGAAGGAGTATGCGTCTTTCATCAAGAATTCTCTGCCTCTTAGAAGTCCCCCTCTTGGCCTTTTCTCATCTCTATACTTCCTTCCGATTTGGTACACCGTTAAAGGCAAATCTTTGTGGCTCGAAATGTAGCTGCCTATGAGTGTTGTAATCTCCTCCTCACAAGTCGGCGCAAGGCAGAAGTCTGAACCTTTAGAGTCCTTCAACTTGAATAGTTCCCCATTTTTCCATCTGCCTGTACTTTCCCATAGTAACTTAGGGGACAGTAAGCTCAAAGATACTTCCTGCGCCATTCCGTTCTGCTCTATATGCTTCTTAATAACGTTGCTGATTTTGTTTAGTGTTCGCAGTCCCAATGGTAGCCAATGGACGAGTCCACTTTGGGTTTGCTTGATAAAACCAAGCGATTGCAAAAGATCGTGGCATTGAACAACATTCAAGAATTCTTTGCTCAGATTCTTTGATTGGTAGACGTGTATATGACGGGTTAAAGTTCGAACATAACTTGCCTTCATATCTTGTTTTCACCGAGCTTAGAGATTAAACGGTAAGGCAATTTTTGACCGCATTTACTTCAATAGTATTATTTCGAAAAACTGACACCTTCAGAAATGCGACGAACTATTTGCCTAACATATTTGGTGACATACTTCTATAAATGTTCCTCTACTATTAAGATGCGGTTCAAATTGAAGGATTGAAATCAAGTTCTTCTATGCCCTGATTAAAAAGAGTAAGAACAGTCTAATATTTCAACAACTTTTGATAAACCATGTTGTTCGTTTCATCATTATACTCATACCCCAAGGTATCTAAGAATTCTTGGAAAGGCTTGTCATCCTCTGGTGGAACAGAGATACCCGCCAAAACTTTTCCTATGTCGGAGCCATGATTACGATAATGGAATAATGTTAAATTCCAAGAGTCACTCATGCCTTCCAAAAACTTAGTGAGAGCCCCAGGTCTCTCTGGAAACTCGAAAGAGACGACCCGTTCATTCTGAACATTAGAAGCACCTCCTACTAGGTACCTACCGTGGCTCTTTGCCATTTCGTTGTCTGAAATATCAATGGCTTCGAAACCTAGGACGTGTAACTGTTGGAGAACTTGCTTGATTTCCTTTTCGCGATCAACGACGCCGAAAGATGTGTAAATATAGGCCTTAGGGGCACCGGATGAGTCGCTATCGCCACGTTCGTTGTACCTGTAGGAAAACTCTGTAACTGCTCTGGGGTGGATCACCCGTTGTAGCTGCTTGAATGAGCCTGGAACGTCTGGAATGGTTACAAGCATGAAAACTTCTTTGCCCTCACCCAGAACAGCCCGCTCAGAAACAAATCTTAGTCTATCGAAATTCATATTAGCACCAGACAAGATTGGGACATACGTTTTTCTCGAGTGGTCAACGTCAGGATTTAGCTGAGTAATGTATTTCTTCAAACCAGCCACAGCGAGCGCGCCAGATGGTTCTACTATACTTCTAGTTTCCTCAAAAATGTCTTTAACGGCAGCACAAATTTCATCCGTGTTTACAAGCACTATTTCGTCCACATGGTTTTGACAAATCCGGAAAGTCTCCTCACCAATCATCCTGACGGAAGTACCATCTGCAAACGTGCCGACTGTTTTTAATGGTACGCGACGGCCAGCATCTAAAGAAGTCTTCAAGGTAGCCGAATCGTACGTTTCGACACCAATCACTTTAATGTGTGGCGCAATTCTCTTCAAATAAGCGGCCACACCAGCGATTAGACCACCACCACCTACGGGAACGAAAACGGCACCAATCTTCGAAGCGTTGTGAACTTGTCTCAAAATTTCCATGGCCACTGTGCCTTGTCCGGCAATGACGTATGGGTGGTCGAAAGGTGGGATATTAACCAATCCTCTCTCTTCTGCGATTCTTGCACACTCACCTTTAGCTTCGTCGAAATCATTACCAAATAGCACAACCTGTCCACCAAGGCGTGATACATTTTGATATTTTATTGATGGAGTGTTCACGGGCATAACTATGACCGCCGGCATGTTTAGATGCCTCGAAGCAAATGCTACACCCTGTGCATGGTTTCCTGCCGAACACGCGATGACACCCTGCGTCCCCGACCTGGAACTTTCGGCAAGCTTGGCCATCATATTATAAGCACCACGCAGCTTAAAAGAGAAAACGGGTAGTAAATCTTCCCTTTTCAGCTGGACATTCGTATTGAGTCGTGATGACAAGCCTACGCCTCGTGTTATCGGAGATTCGTCAATCACATCGTAGACCGATGATCTGAGGATCAACCTCACGTAGTCTGGGGCATTGTCCGGTTGCAGTTCATCACTCTTTAACTTGGCATGCAGCTTCTGAAGAGCAGGTGCCAATGTTGCCTGAGATCTGGAGACGATCCCGGGCGCAAAGGCACTTCGTTGGAAGGTTAGAAGAGCCACTGACATCTCTGGCTGTTCCCTCTACGTAAGGTTAATGACAGTGAAATAGGTTGTGGGCACTTTTTAAGTACCATTATGACTCTTCTAGTTAATACCTATTTACGGTTCGCCTTATGCTCTGCAGACGGAAGAGGTCGTCTCTGGATATGAGGAAGGCGTCACGACGCTGATCTTCTCCTTGCACTGAAAACGTCAGGGTTGTTCAAACTCCTATCTGCTCGAGCTAGGGTGCTTACTTACAGCTTAGTGTCAAATTCTCGCCAGTTTATCAATTTTAATTGGCGCTCTCAGATTATCAAAAATGCGAACATCTCTCATAGCATTGCAGCTAGAGACAAAAACGCTTTCTAGCTGCAGCGGTTGAGCTAACATTCTCTCTCACCCGCTGAAGAGAGGTCGCCCCGCCAGCTTGACCTGAACCTCAAGGAAATCGATAACCACAAGTTCCAGATCATTGACTTTTGCACTTGACCAAAGTGGTGTCCCGCGCTGCTTCTCCAACTAATTACTCAAGCCACCGCGGGCGTCAGGTAAAAAGATTTCGCCATGTTGTCCAGTTCTGTCACGGCTAAAAAAACCCTCTAAAACCATCAGAACACCGTCTTGCAAAACAAATTTGCATTCAAATGCCTAGCTCAAATTTTCTTGATGAGGCTCCCCCTGATCTACCTTTAACTTGATGATTGTGCGTTGGGAAGAGCAGACCTTGCTCGTTTGGGTGCTACGTGGTAAGGGGATACGATGCAACCCCTTTCGCCATTTGTCTCCTGGAGAACAGGCGAATGACAACCCACCTGAGACATACCGGCGTTCGAGACATTACGGGACTAAGTCAATCTTGCTAGTTACCAACGCCAGTGTTCTCATTAAGATCTCTTATCACTATATACTAATATGTCACTTAGATCATCTCTTGGCAGAAACAGCATCTCACCAACGAACCTGTACAAAAATCTATTTGTTAACCTGTCCTGAGTAGCTTTCACATTTTCCTGAGCTACTTACACTCTTCTAAATCATTCACATGTCAAATTACCATCTTAGGCAAGCCTATTTCCTAATTAGGCATAGTGTGTATACATCATTCTTTACACTTAGCCCAATTAAGGAATATGTAAACTTCAACACTTTTCCGCCCTGGCACCAGGGAAACTTTCTGAACCTCGGCTGGAGCCTGCTCGTTCGCACAAAACTTGGTAAACTTCATCTAACTATACAAAATAAGGACCTTGTGTTACGTTTGAACTCTCTATCGACTCTTTCGTAAAGGTCTGGAAGTGAATATATATCTGCCAAGGTACGCTCAGAAAGTGAAGTTATAAGATAAAGAAACACAGACAGAACTATCACGGATTTTTGTGTCCACCCGGGAATTGTAAAGACTTTTCATTAAACGACATCAGAGGCTCCTACCTAGCTCCTTCAAATTCCAAGGTTTAAGTGTACAAAGGTCGACAGACAAAATAAAGAGCAAGTTTAAATTCTCAGAGAATTACGGCTTCAACCCGTGAGACAGCCGCGACATATTCGCATCCTTGCACGCTAGACTTCCATTCTTTAACTGCTTTTTCTTCTCAATCCAAAACAATGAACACGCCTCCCATGACTGCAGAGCAGCAACTGACGCCTAAGATGTCTCCCATAATGCTGCATCTAGATGACAACCTTCCTTCGCTAGCTGGATCCTCTTTCAAGCATCTCGATGACAACAGCAGCCAAGGTTACTCTGCCATGTATCGTACCTCTCTGTCAAAGCTGACCGAACGAGGGCGTCAGGGTCGCGGGCGAACTGTCGATCCCAAGACACCCACAAAGCTGCTGCGCTCCAACTCACCCATTCGGGCCATGCTAAGCAACGGCCACACCACCGCCCCCAAAATGCTTAAACCCGAATACATGAGCATGTCTAGACTTTTCAATAGCACCAGGAGCCAAACTGCAGCCCCGGCTGCCACCCCTTCAATGATCTTATCGTCTTCAAAACTGATCTTCAAGCATCAGCCCCAAGAACCACTGCAGCATCAAGGACAACAGGAGCCAGAACGACAACAAGAGTGTGCGTCCCAGCCTGGAGAAGAGAAACAGCAACCGCTGTCGAGCCTCGACCAGCACCGCGAGGCCCGACAGGCCGTACAGCGACAACCGCAACCACCGCCTGTCAAGCCAAGCGTAAGCGTCGCACCTACTCCACAGAAGTGCACCCAGTCTCAAAAGCATGTCATGCATAGCAGGCAACATTCAGATACAAGTTCCACCCTAAGTACGGCTACGGCGTGTCACACAGAGGAAGCAAACGATTCACAAGCAAAGACTAGTCACAGGCCAAACCTCATACCAGATTTGGTGCCGGAGATGAAACTGGTGGAGCATCCCAGCAAAAGTCGAAATTACAAGTTTCCATCAGCCACCTCAACAGCATCATCGAGTTCGACCTTGGATATCAAAGAATATCCCGAGAACTTGAGCTTCGAAGTTCCAACGTCTGAGAGAGATGAATTTGTACTTGCAACTCAAAGCAAAAGGAGCTCTTACATCTCTAGTGTGGGATCCAGCAATGACGATGAGCTAAATGGGTGGTTTGCGCAATACGCTGACGACAGACAAATGTCCACTTTGAATTTAAGTGATGCCCAGACTCAACGGCAGCAAATCGACGCACTTAGGGAAAGGACGTTTCAAACTGAGCATTTTTCATTAAGAGCCAAGCAGATGGAATTGCAGATTGCAGAATTGATGCTTCAGAATGAACAATTAAGACATTCAATGACGGCCCATAGAACTGTTCAAGATAAATGCATGTTTGATGCTCTTCATGATGTCCATCGCGAAAAAGAGAATACACACAGGGAAATGAATCGCAAGATGAAGCAACTAGAGAAGCAATTGGAATACTACCGGAAAATTGTGAAAAAATTGACCGCCCCAGTTAACACGCCGCCTCTCGCTTCGAGGCCTAGGATCCCATTGGTGGATGCAGTTGCATTAGAAGAACTTGCAGAGGTAAACTCCAGCAGCGGTGATGATACCGAAAACGACGACGACAACAGCAACGATAACAACAATGACACCAAACTTGCTCAGACTACAACAATTACGAAACCTTATAATGACGAAAGTAGTCAGCAGTTACTGGAGTCCCCTCGCAAAAGACTTGCAGGTATTAAACTCGGGCTAACCTTTGAGACCTAAAAGTCAATGAGAGACACGACTTTATCAAATGTAATATAAGAGGCTGATAACAATAACAATAACAAACACGCAAACAGTGGCGCGAGACGGTAGGCATAAATCATTCAAACATCATATAATCATAAATATACAGTAAACTCAGTTATGAGAGCATAAATTGTTAAGGCTAGCTACAAGACGGTTCAACTTCTCACTATTGTGGTAAAGTTGAATATCCAAAAAAATTGGACGAGACCGGAGTCGAACCGATGACCTCTCCCATGCTAAGGGAGCGCGCTACCAACTACGCCACACGCCCATTGATCTGTTGATTAAGATGTGCTAAACATATATAGCTCAGGCATAGCTGCATGTTTTTCTTTAATGATAAACGATTGTGAGGTAGTGTTAAGACACGAACCAAATGCAACGGATAGAAAAGGGCACAGTTTGGTGTAGAGCATAATATCTGCGGTACAGTTTTCAGACTGATTCGATACTTTACGGGGTGGAGTATCTTAGAGCGGCTTTAGGCAACAATTTGGCCCTCTTCACACATCGCTTGGGCACCGGTCGATCATGTCATCTTCTGCGAGGCAGCCGAGGGCTAAACCTTGGGAAGTGCGATCTCCAGACTCGCCAGCGGTGACGGATACCACGGTTGTGGGCCCGAGAAGCTCGAATTCCATGCACGATGGCGAAACCTCCGAGAACGGTGCCCCGGAATTACCCCAAAGACCAGCAGTTTTAGAGTCCGACTACAGCAGCGTGAATCAAGGACGCGGTACGATGGGGTACCAAAACAGTAGCATGTACGGGCACACTGGAGGGTACGGAGGGTCGCTGTATGGGACAGGAGGTGGATATGGCTCTGCGTATGGCATAGGGAACTATGGATCTATGTATGGTGGTGGGGGATATGGATCTATGTATGGTGGAGGGGGATATGGATCTATGATGGGAGGGTACGGGAGCGGTGGCATGTATGGAATGGGTGGGGTGAACAACAATGGGCCCCAGGGCCTAGCAGAGTCAACACAGGCGACCTTCCAGCTCATCGAAAGCCTCATAGGAGCCGTGGCCGGTTTCGCACAGATGTTAGAGGCAACTTACATGGCTACGCACAATTCGTTTTTCACCATGGTGTCGATGGCTGAGCAGTTTTCGTCGCTCAAGGAGATGCTGGGTTCATTTTTCGGCATCTTCGCTGCGATGAAAATGCTCAAGAGACTGTTGTATAAGATCAGAGGCGGGGGCGAGGCTCCCACGGCGGGGACGAGTGTGTCTGCTGGCCCACGGACAGCCATGGCCAGGGAGTTTGAAGAATACCGCGACGCTGAACGGCAAAAGCGCAAAAACCGCCGCATTTCGTGGAAACCGCTATTGGTCTTTTTGGCAGCGGTTTTCGGGTTCCCGTTCCTGCTGCGAAAGTTCATCGCCAAGCTGGCCGAGATCCAACGCCAGAGGCTTGGGAATGCGGGGGGCGTCGCGGCGTCGTCTCGATCCGGCGCCGCGGGGACCTTGGACCCCAAAAACCTAGAGTTTGCGCGTGCATTGTACGACTTCACGCCCGAGAACCCAGAGGTGGAGGTCCTTCTCAGGAAAGGCGATCTGATGGCCATCATAGGCAAGACCGACCCCGTGGGGCGCGCCAGCGAGTGGTGGAAGGTGCGCACGAGAAAAGGCGACGTGGGCTATGTACCGTTCAACTATCTCGAGCTCATCCGTCGCAAGCCGGCGGACGCGACAGAGGGAGCAGTGCAGGAAGTGGCGACGTGAGCCGGCAGGCTACACACACTGTCACACTGTTCCCGCCCCACGCTACTCGTCCACCTCCATCAATCCTAATCATGCATATTCGTTATTCGTACATATTATTACTTGGCTGAGCTACACGGGCCGGAAACTGCTCGTCCACCTATCAATCAATCATGCATATTCGTTATTCGTACATATTATTACTTGTCTAAGCTACACCGCCCACTCACTGCTTGTACTGATCGGCAACCTCCTTGGCCTTGGCCTTGCCCTCGTTGGCCTTTTCGTAAGCCTCTTCCTTGACCTCCTGCGCCTTGTCCTCAGCCTGTTCCGACAAGTTCTCCGTCTTGTCCTCGGCCTTGTCCGCCAAGTGCTGGGCCTTGTCGATGCCCGCAGCTGCGGCCTGGCCGGTCTTCTTGTTCACAGCGTCCAGTCCGTGCTTGGTGGCGTCGGCCGCGGTGTGGGATTTCTCCTCCACCACATGCGATGCCTCCTGTGCTTTGTCGATGCCCGTGGCCGCAGCTTGCCCGATTTTCTTATTTAGATCGCCCAAAGTGTGACGCACCTTGTCGCTGATGGACTGGTCAACGAACGCTGTGGAGTGCAGCGACGATGTGAACACCCTGGAGGGTCCCACCACTCTGGAAGGAACGCTGGTTCTTAGGACTTGAGAGGCGGCGGATCTGATCATTGTTTAGCGTTTGGCTCTTTTTTTTTTTGGCAACGGTGCTGGGATGCTAATTGCTTGACTTGGCTTGTGCTTGCTTGCTTGGCTTTTGCTTACTCGCTTGGCTACACCTTGTTCCATACACCGCCCGGCCGCTCTCTTCTTATACTTCAGCCTGTATCCCTAGGAGTAAGCTTCCCATCTCTGCTATTTGCTCTTGCTACACACCGTGCTGTTCACGTTTACATCGGTTGTTTGCATATAGCAAACGGCCACAGCTGTGCTGGTCGGGTTGCGATCACGCTGGCGTGCCGTCCGTCAACGTGAGCTTGAGACCCGAGTTTGACTTGGTGATGGTTGACGGGACAGTTACGGAGTGTTTGCGGCATAGGTGACACGACGGTTACGTCAAGAGAGGGCCGGGTTGTGTCGCGGGCGTAGGTGTTGGTGTTGGTGTTGGCGTTGGTATGGTTGCAGTTGTGTTTGTGATGATGGGCCGTTGGCAGGTTGACCGGTTGATGAGCGAAGCGTTCGTGGATGGCGAGTGTGGTGGTGGACTTGTTAGGAGCGGTGAGCGTGGCGTGACGTGTGGACGTTGGTGAAGTTTTTCGCACAGAGGGTGGGCTCAGAGGGCGAGGGCGTGTTGGTTTGGTGGGCGAGGGCGTGAGAGTTGATGATGCGAGGGCGTGAGAGTTGATGATGCGAGGGCGTGAGTGTTGATGATGCGAGAGAGCGGAGGACAAGGCCAAGCGAAGAGAGCGGAGGACAAGTGTGTAGTGCCCGGTGTGCGACCAGGATGGCTAGGTTTTTCTGAGTTTGTTTGGGTTTTGGTGGGGATTTGTTGTGCGTAGCTGTGGGTCTTGATAGACCACGGTTGTTGACGTTGCTATACAATCTATGGAAGGAGTCTGTGGGTATGAAATACCATGGGTAAACAATCTATAGAAGGAGTCTGTGGGTGTGATATCGTGGGCATAATGTCGTGGGTTCGTAGATGTGAGTTCGTAGTTGTGGGCATGAAATACCATGGGTAAACAACCTGTGGAAGGAGTCTGTGGGTATGGAATACCATGGGTAAACAGCCTGTAGAAGGAGTCTGTGGGTGTAATATCGTGGGTATCAGCAACAGTGAGGAAAGACCGCTGGCGATCTGTGGACGAACGGCGCTCGGACTCCACGTCCGGCGTGGCGTAGTAGACTCAAACCAAGCACAGCGCTGCCGCAAACGCCCGGTCCAGGGCCCTTTTTGTAGCTGCTTGCATCTGTAAACACACCCGTCCTCAGGCCTCGTGGTCACGTGGATCGGTCTTCACCACCTTGTCCGGGTTCAAGATGCGCTTGGGGTCCATGGCCAGCTTCAGCGTGCGCATGAGGTCGACGGGCGCGTCGCCCAGCTCGGCCACCAGAAACCCGCGCTTTCCGATGCCCACGCCGTGCTCTCCCGTGCAAGTGCCGTCCGCGTCGATCGCGCGCTTCACCATGTTGTCCACCAGCTCCGTGGCCCTCTGCCGCTCGGCGTCGGTGTACAGGATGAATGCGTGGAAATTCCCATCGCCGGCGTGGCCCACGATCGCATTCGCGAGCCCGCTGCCAGACATTTCTTCCTTGGTGGCCTCGATGACTTTCGAGAACTGTGACAGGGGAACGGCCACGTCTGTGGTCCACAAATTGACACTGCTGTCCTTGGCTCTGCCCTCGTTGATCGCCGACCACAGTGCCACCTTGCGCGCCTCCCACAATTCCAATTTTTCGTCCTCGTCCTTGGCATACTCGAACTTCCGGCACCCGTGGTCCTCGGCGATGCGGCTGACTTCGCCAATCACCTCCTGGATGATGGCGTCGTTGCGTCCCCCGATCTTGAAGAAAAGCGTCGGTTGCTCGAGCCAATCCGTCCTGGACGTGGCGCCGCCCCGGTTGATAATCTCCATCATGTTGTCATCCAGTAGTTCCATCGCATTTAACTGAATGCCTTCTTGGATAATCTTGGACGTACACGCGGCGGCCGCGCCCACGTCCGGGAATGATCCGACCACCACAGTTTCCTTAACTGGCCTAACGTGGCATTTCACTGTAGCTTCCGTCACAATCGCCAAAGTCCCCTCCGACCCCACCAGCAGTCCGTTCAAGTTGTAGCCCGCGGACGATTTCCGGGGTCTTCTTTTCGTCTTTACAATCGTCCCATCTGCCAGGACCGCAGTGATGTTAACAACGTTCTCTTTCATCGTCCCGTATCTGTATGCGTTGGTGCCGGAACAGGAGTTTGCAATGCAGCCACCGATCTGGGCGCCTGGACCGGGGTCGCACCCGAACAACAGTCCGTGCTCCGCCAAATATTCGTTAAGGTCTTCCCATGCAACACCGGCCTGCACTTGCACATCCAAGTCCAGGCTGTTCAACTGGACAATTTGATTCATGAATTTTGATATGTCCACCACCACAGTGCATCCAACCCTGGTTGGCAAGAAGTGGCCCTCCAATGATGTGCCACCCGAGAAAGGGATCACTGGAATCGCGTATTCGTGGCAAATCTTCATTATCTCGGACACGTCGTGTGTACTGCGCGGAAACAGGATAATCTGAGGCCTCTGCTCCTGGGTCGCCTTATGCGTATTGAAATAGGTGTCGGAATGGGCTTCCAGGTCTGACTTGGAAACAGAGTAGCATTCGGCGTCGTTTTTCAAGACCTCCTTTAGCCTGGCAACCGCTTCTTCGAACTTCTTCCCATCCCGACAGTACTGAGGCGACTCTAGTTCACTCAATGGTGTGGTCGAGCTAAATTGGTCGTTCTTAATTGACCATTCTGTTAGAGCCACTACTGTGCCCACAGCAGAACCTATGAGCAGATTTCTCAAAGGCATTCTGTTGTGCTGAAATGCACGCTTGCTTTCGGCACAAGAGCTGTACCATCTGCGAGGCCTTTTCAAGCTTCTCAAACACCGTGCTGAGAATGCAATGCGGCTAATCGTAGGTGCTCTCATTGCTCGTGGTCTGCGGCTACTTTATCTCAGGTGTAAAGCTTACGTTTGCCAACTGTTTGCCAAGCAAATATTCTAATTGACCGTGCATTTATCGCGTAATTGGTGATATACAAGGCCGCGCAACCAACTTTAAGCCAGACTAAAATCAATAGATACCGATCTTCTTGCCATTGCTATATATTATACATCGGTTGATCTGGGCTGGGACTCTATAGGTTTTTTTGTTCTTTGGGCAGAAAAGGGCATCCCACCGGGGCCTTGATCTTTGCACTTTGTTATCCTGAGGTATAGATAATGCCTCGCAGTGGGCAATGAGGTCAACTATTAGTACTCAGAGACATATGGCAACGATCCCCTTTCTCGTTAGACTCATTTGAGAGTAGTTCGTATTTTGACGCTTGACTTAAAATGTATATTATCATTTTAAAATATTCTGACATAATTGAGAATCTGTACTGTACACCGCGGTTTGAGAGCTGACTACGCGGCCCACATTCAAGGCACTTTTAATCTGCATAATTTCCAGCACTGGAGCAGCAGGAATATCGCCAAAGTCGGTTGATACCTAAGAATAACAATTCGTTCCGATCATTTCTATTCTTTGCACTCTGTGTCGTGGGGCCACAACTTAGGACTCGGCAGCATATAGCAATGGCCCAATAGTCAAGAGAGGCAACTGGTGAAGTTGGAAATTAGGCAAAGCCCTCACTTTCCAATCACTGTGTCATCAAGTAGATTATGCTACGCGGGGATTCTATCATCTTCAAATATTAGCTCTAACTTCTGGTAACCACCGAAGACCGTATATCAGTTATTACATAAAATCGTCCTCGGCAAAACCGTCGAAATCGGCATTGTCAAGATCGAAGTCTTGGTCCTTCTTGAATGCACCGCCGAGGTTGGCCTTCGCGGCCTTGGCCTTCTTCTTGCCTGCGCCCCCAGTGGCAGTGCCCCCTCTAACCTTCGCCAAACGGGCCTGTCTCTCCTGTCTCTCTTTCTCCTTCATCAGCACATTCAAAGTCGCCACCGTTTGTCTGATAGATTCGATCGACATGGGTGAGGCAACGTCGCGAATAAGATCAATGGCTAGACCCGATGCGTAATTCAGCTGCGATTTTTCATTCATGGATGTGACTGCGGTGGCCAACGCCCTTCTCAAATCTTGGAAATCCATCTTGGTCTCTGCAGAGGTGAAAAGTGGGTGTGACTCGATTGGGGTCTCTTTGGTGAAGGATGCAGGGCGCAACAGACTCTCTTGCTCCTGCTGCTTGCGGAGTGCCTTGGCTCTGGGATGTTCGTCAGCAACACCAAGGCCCTCGAAAAGCTCAGCTGCGTTATTCAAGTCTGCTTGAACCTCGGCCTGTTTAAGTATCTCTTTTCTCGTCTTTTCATCCAGAGTGTCGATTTCCAAAAGCACTTTGTCCCCGTTGGCTTTCTTCTTATCATCCTTCTTGCCACTGGCCCCAGCCTTCTTGCTATCTTTCTTGGCCGGTTCCTCGGTAGGTTCCGCATCCCAGGAGTCTAGTACAAGCTCATCATCGTCATCAGCGGCGCCAAACTCGTCATCCCAAGACGCTGCAACAGGTTGGTTTTTGTTCGAGGTAGGAACTTCAAAATCTTCGTCGTCCCAAGACATTATCAAAGTTTTAGCTTGTTTCAATCCACAGTAGGTGTATAGCCACTACAAACGATGCTGTTGAAACCCAATGGTACCGTCAGAGAGTGCTCTTGAGTCAAAGATGGGTGAGGTGTAAAGAATAATGCATTTTTCTCTGAGGATAGGTCACAACAAACGAGCTAGGTGTTAACCCATATTGCAATGGGTGTCAAGGACGATGGCCATAGGAAGCCACTTGGCCACTCGTCATCCCGAGAGATCAATCTATGAGGATGGCAGTAGGCGCCTAGACCTTCTTGGTTAGTCTCCCGCGACTCTGCTAAATATCACTTTGTAGTTGTCTGTCATCCAGGTGACACTTAATAGGGCCGTGTTCTGCCGCGTCTTCGCAAGCAAGCAGCGACATGATTGAGATGAACCGCTGTGCAACTGGCAGGCGTTTTGCTCATTACCACATTCCTCAGACCAGTTCCGTAGTTGTCTTGCGAGTTTTTTATATAAATGTTTTCGTGAAGGAAAAAGTGGGGAAAGAGAGCAGTGGAGTACACGCTTGTGAGCGTACGGAATACCTGGATCTTCTCATACTGGTCTGGGCATTCTCTCATTTTCTCGCGTGTCAGTGTTTCCAGTTCATTTCGAACACATATCTTCATCTATCGCTTTTGACGTCCAGGGTCCGGCCCTGTAATTTCCACCTGCCTGGGAGTCATAACAGGAGTTCAACTCCGTTGAAGACAGTCAACGAGGAGACACTGTACTGGTTTCTTTGTTGCTGGACTACCTCCTTTGGTGTGAAGCACCTGTTTCCTCTTTACTGCTGCGCAAAAGGTGCAGAACTTGACCCTACCACATATATAAGGACCTTATCAGCAACACCCAAAAACCTGGCTAAATGTCTCACAACTATCACATTTCTACTGGAAGAGGGGGCGCTGGGAACGTAGTTTCCACATCTGAAAAGCCGTCACCCAAAATTGTGCCTCAAGGCTCACAAACCCCAAGCCTTCTGCAGCCTGTGTTTAGCACTGGGCGAGGCGGGGCTGGAAATATGTACAAGAACGTGGACCGCAATCTGACGCGCAAAGCACAGGACGTGGATGATCACATTTCTGGTGGTGAGGACCATATTGAACCCGTGAGCTCCGGAGGAGAGAAAGTGCATTCTGTCACCTCTCAAACCTCCGCCCTTAATACAAAGCAGCACAATGGCAAGCACACCCTGAAGCCAAGCAGAAGTCGGCACGATTCACCTCAGACGGTCAGTATTGGTAGAGGTGGCGCTGGAAATATGCTTTCTGCTTCAAGCAGCAGAACTTCGGAAGGCGACAAGAACAGAATCTCTGCAAAGAACAGGTCTCCCAAAAAAGGAATGTGGGCAAATATCAAGAATATGTTTTCTCAGAGGGATAATTGAATACCACTCTTCTACTCTCGCATCTTGCATTCTTTTTTTCTACACTGGCCAAGTAGTATCCTTCTCTTTGGGCGCTGGCACGATGTACTTTTAACCCCACGGCCTATGGCGCAAATGATGTCCCTCCAATGTAGATTAGAATAACATAAATAAATAACGGTTATAATACACAATCAAACGTCAATAATAAACAAGTGTAATTTGAAATTAATGGGAGCTAAGCGGCAACAGTGGAAGCTAGTTCCTCCAAAAGTTTGTAATCACGCTTAACGATACCACCATTTCCAGGAAGATTGGTTGAACCCATCAAGAAACTATCAACTGAAGTGGCACATTTTCTACCTTCCTGTATGGCCCACACGATCAACGATTGGCCACGTCTACAGTCACCGGCCGCAAAAGTTTTACCGCCATCGACAGAGTAAGAGGAATCCGAAATGGTATCAATAGTACCTCTCTTGGACTTTACGACGTTAGCGTCATCGACGATCTCTGGGCCAACAAAACCCATCGATAGGAGAACGATGTCGGCCTCAAAGGTTTCTTCACTTCCTGCAACTTCTACCATTTGCCAGACACCTGACTCTGACTTTTTCCATTCGACACGAACGGTCTTGATGGCTTTGACTTCTCCCTCCTCATTGCCAACAAATTCCTTGGACAAAATGCAATATTCACGAGGATCTCTGCCATAATGCTCTCTAACTTCCGCGTGCCCATAGTCAACTCTCATGACACGAGGCCACTGAGGCCAAGGGTTATCCTTGGACCGCTCGTTTGGTGGTTGAGGTAGCAATTCAAAGTTCAAAACCGAAGAGGCACCATGTCTGACAGAAGTACCTAAACAGTCATTACCTGTGTCACCACCGCCGATGACAATGACCTTTTTGCCTTCGATTGTTTTACGCACAGTCTCCAGATCTTTACTCAAGAGAGACTTGGTGTTTGACGTCAACAGAGACATTGCAAAGTCAATGTTTTTCAATTCACGACCAGGGATTCTCAAATCTCTGGGGATAGTGGACCCCATAGCGTACACCAGGGCATCATTTTGGTTTCTTAGTTCTTCGGCAGAAATATCTTTCCCGATCTCAACATTGTTCACAAACTGAATGCCTTCAGCCGCTAACAAATCGATACGACGTTGGACAATTGACTTGTCCAGTTTCATGTTAGGGATACCGTACATCAGCAACCCACCGCAACGATCCGCCCTTTCATAAACAGTAACTGAGTGGCCAGCTCTGTTTAACTGATCGGCACATGCCAAACCTGCAGGTCCGGATCCGATTATTGCGACTGAACGCCCAGTCTTAAATTCGGGGACTTGAGGTTTGATCCATCCTTCTTTGAAACCGTTGTCAATGATCAACCTTTCAATCGACTTGATTCCGACAGGATCATCAATGATGCCTAAGGTACACGATCCCTGGCAAGGGGCGGGACAAACTCTACCAGTGAATTCAGGGAAATTGTTCGTCTCCAAAAGTTTGTCTAGAGCCAGCTTCCACTGATTCTTGAAAACAAGTTCATTGAACTTGGGAATGACGTTGGAAATTGGGCAACCTGTATCGGCAGTACAAAATGGGACACCGCAGTCCATGCATCTGGCAGTTTGATACTTGGCATCCTTTTTGCTGATACAACTAGATAACTCTTTCCAATCTTTCGTGCGCGATGAAGTTCCACGGTACTTTTCATGGCGGACTTTGTAAAGCATGAAACCTCTTGTTTTCTCAATCTTCTCCACGTTCTTTTCCATTTGACGAGAGTCTTGAATAGAATCCTCTAAGTCTTGTACTTTAGGTTCAGTAATTGTTGCTTTGTGGCTAACAGTCTTGGTTGCTCCCTTCCTAGAATTTCTGATACCGTCGACCTCTCCGTTGGTAGCGTCCGATGTCAAATCAGTAGCAGAGCTAAATTTCTTCAAAAAGTTAGCAGTGCTGGACTTTTTCAATTTCGACTCCTCAGCCGCAGCTTTCTCCAAAACCTTCTTGTAATCAGTCGGGATAACCTTCACGAAGTTTTTCAAGTAATAATTGAAGTTGCCCAAAATTCTGGCTGCCAGCTCCGACTTTGTGTAGTTGAAGTGCTCTTGAATTATATTCTTGACAAAAGCAATCTCAACGGGGTCAACGAGGTTTTCTAATTCGATACTATCCAAATTGATCTTACCGACAAAATCGTCGTAATCAGATGTCAGACAATACGCAATCCCACCAGTAGCACCAGAGAATGCGTTAAGAGACTCCATTTGTGACAATACGACCGCTCTGCCCCCTGTCATATACTCAAAAGCATTGTTACCCTTGATCCTTTCAACAACAATTGTCGCACCCGAGTTACGCACGCAAAACCGTTCACCAGCAACTCCAGAAATGAACGCAGTACCAGAGGTAGCCCCGTAGAAGCACGTATTACCTACAATGACATTTTCATCGCTCTTGAATTTGGATCCTGGTGGGGGTCTAATAACTAGTCTACCCCCAGAAAGTCCTTTTCCGACATAGTCATTGGCATCACCATCCAAGATAAAAGTGACACCGGACGCCAAAAAGGCACCAAATGTTTGACCAGCTGAACCTTCGATGTTCACAACAACGGTGTCCTGTGGCAAGCCTTCCTCGCCGAACTTCTTTGAAATTCTGTAAGATAACGTGGCACCAAAAGCACGGTCAGTATTGATGATTGAAGCGTCGATATTAACAGGGAGTCCCCGGTCTAGGGTAATTTCGGCCTCATCGATCAACTTGTTGTCAAGACGCGTGTGTAGTCTATGGTCCTGCTTTTTGGTGAATTTTGTTGCGACACCGGGACGAATGACGTGCGCAGGTGTCAAAATAGGAGATAAATCAATGTTAATAGCTTTGGTGTTGACATTCTCTCTCTTTTTGAGTTTTTCCGAGTGACCGACCATTTCGTCAATCGTTCTGAACCCTAACTTGGCCATAATCTTTCTCAAGTCTTGAATCAGATAATAAAAAAAGTTGATGACATGTTCTGGCTGACCCTTGAATTTTTCCCTTAGCAGTGGATCCTGGGTAGCAATACCCACAGCGCAAGCGTTTAAGTGGCATTTTCTCAACATGATGCATCCCATAGCGATCAAAGGAACAGTAGCCAAGGTGAAAGATTCTGCACCCAACAAAACAGCAACTGCCATATCAAACCCAGTTCTGAGTTGACCATCTGTCTGAACAACGACGTTTCTTCTCAAGTCATTTAAGACCAACGTTTGATGAGTTTCTGCCAAGCCTAATTCCCAAGGCAAACCAGCATACTTAATACCTGTCCATCTAGATGCACCGGTACCACCATCGTGACCTGAAACCAAAATATGATCTGCCTTCGCCTTAGCCACACCAGAAGCGACAATACCTACTCCGACTTCCGAAACCAGTTTGACCGAAATTCCAGCTCTAGGGTTTGCGCACTTAAGATCATAAATTAACTGCTTTAGATCTTCAATAGAATAGATATCGTGGTGAGGGGGAGGAGAAATCAAACCCACGTAAGGAGTCGAATGTCTCGTCTTTGCGATTTCGGGTGAAACCTTATGAGCTGGTAATTCACCACCCTCACCAGGCTTAGCACCTTGTGCGATCTTGATTTGAATTTCATCGGCATCAGACAAGTAGTGAGAGGTGACACCAAATCGAGCGGAAGCAACCTGTTTGATAGCTGATCTCATTGTGTCACCATTTGCGTGTACAAGGGAACGCTCAGAATCTTCACCACCCTCACCGCAATTTGACTTAGCACCCAACCTATTCATAGCAATCGCCAAGGTCGAGTGAGCTTCCATCGAAATAGAACCATATGACATGGCACCAGTTGCAAACCTTCTGGCTATCTCCGTCCAAGGTTCGACTTGCTCTAGAGGGATGGGTTCTGAATCCTTGAAGTTGAGTTCCAAGAGGCCCCTCAAGGTACACTCTCTTATAGATTCCATTTCTTTTTTCACGTACATTTCCCAGGCATTTTCATTCTTGTTTCTGACTGAATCTTGTAAAGAAGCGATAGCAGCTGGATCGTTGATGTGTTTAGCCCCACCGTCTCTCCAATGATATTCCCCACTTTCTGGAAGATTGACAGATTTGGATATGGTTTTTCTGCTTGGAAATCCACGTTCATGCATTGAAAACGCATCCTGAGCGATGTATTCGAAAGTAACACCCTGTATTCTGGATGCCGTGCCGGCAAAACAAACATCCACCACAGTGTTATCAATGCCCAGAGATTCGAAAATTTGGGCACCTTTGTAAGATGCCAGGGTGGAGATACCCATTTTTGACATAACCTTCAAAATACCTCCATCTACAGCATGTTTGTAATTATCCAATAAGGTTACATCATCGATGGAAGTTTCTTCATTGTCAACGTTGCGCACCAACCCTTCTCGGTTCATCCTAACTAATGTTTCCATTGCGAGATATGGGAAGATACCGTCACAACCGTAGCCCAAAAGCACACAGAAATGGTGGACTTCTCTTGCTTCACCGGTTTCCAAGATCAATGCAACTTGAGAACGTTGCTTATTTCTGATCAAGTGATGGTGAATAGCACCAACGGCGATCAAGGACGACAATGGGACGCGATCGGTATTCAAGTTCTTGTCGGATATCATCAAAATCCGCATTCCTTCCTCAATTGCATCGGATGCTTCTTGGGTGATCCGATCTAAAGCAGCAGTGTAGCCTAGCAAGCCTTGTGATTTTTCGAAAGTAATGTCGATGTGGGCAACGGTCCACGCGGGATGAACTTTGGAGATGTTTTTGATAGCCTCAAACTCTTTCCACTGCAAAATAGGCGACTCCAAGAGTAGTCGATCACATTGAGAAGGATGAATCTCCAGCAGATTACCTTGTGGACCGACGTAGCACTCCAGAGACATAACATTGGCCTCACGTATAGGGTCAATGGGTGGGTTGGTTACTTGCGCAAACAATTGTCTGAAATAATCATATAGCAGAACAGGGTCTTCGTTCAGACAAGCTAAAGGGGCATCGTTACCCATGGATCCAAGAGCTTCTTTGCTACCAAGAGCCATAGGTACTAGAACCATCGAAACTTGTTCAAATGTATAGCCCAAAGCTAGAAGTCTAGGGTCCTGTTGGGCTTTCAAGGAAGCATGACGGCCACTCAAGAAGTTTCCAGGGAGATATTTTTCGGTCTTTACAAGTAAATCATCAACTTTGATGAGTTTTGATAGCCAAGACTTGAAGTCGTGTTTCTTCGAAAATTGGGCCTTCATCTTCTTGGTATCTACCATTTCCCCGACTTCGGTGTCTACTAATAGCATGTCGCCAGGCTTGAGTTTACCCTTTTGAACAATCAACGAGTTGTCCACTTGAATTACACCAACTTCGGACCCACAAATAACCCGATCATCAGACGTAATATAGTAACGACAAGGCCTCAAACCATTCCTATCTAGCATGGCGCCGCAGTAACGGCCATCGGTAAAGTTCAGCAGCGCAGGACCATCCCAAGGTTCCATCAAACAAGCAGCCCAGTCAAACCAAGCTTTCAGGTTGCTGTCCATGTCCTTATGATAAGCTTCTGGAACCATCATCATGATTGCCTCGGGCAGCGAAAGCGCCCCATTGATGACCAAAAGCTCCAAGACGTTGTCAAGAGCGGCAGAATCTGAGCCACCTTCTTCTATAATTGGATATAACTTTTCAAGTTTTTCTTTGAAAGTATCTGACGCCATTACACCTTCACGCGCGCGCATCCAATTTTTGTTACCGCGCAATGTATTAATTTCACCATTGTGAGCGATCCACCGTAGCGGCTGGGCCCTATCCCAAGAGGGAAATGTGTTCGTTGAAAAACGAGAGTGGACTAGAGCCATGTGAGACTCAAAATGTGCGTTCGTCAAGTCGTGGTAGTACTGATACACCTGGGTGGGAGTCAATTGACCCTTGTAAACGATAGTTTTAGTGTTTAATGAACACGCATAAAACCAATTTTGAATCCCAATAGCGGAGGATGCTTTCTTCCGCAGGATGTATAGAAGGGTTTGGAATTCGACATCATACTTCGATTTGAAATCTTCATCAGAAATTGTCTGGCCCTCTTTATGAGCGGCCGTGAGAACCACAAGTGGTTGTAAAATAGCGGGTTCGCGTGAGAGTGCAACAGAGCCTAGAAGAGATGAATCCCGGGGAACAGAACGCCACCCAAGGACAGATAAGCCTAAAGATTGAGCTATTTCCTGGAATGCACGTTTCTCATTTTCTAGCGTCTCTGCAGCATCCTTTTTGAAGAAAAAGTTACCTACGGCGTACTGGCCCTGGGGAGGTACTGTGAGACCAAGTTCAAGCTTGAATTCACGCTTCATAAACTCGTGAGGAATCCCAACAAGGATCCCAGCACCGTCACCGTTGCCTCCCGATGAAACAGCACCTCTATGTGTCATATTGCACAGCAAATAACGAGCATCAGAGACAATTTTGTGCGAGGCTTTGCCCTTGATGTTAGCGACAAATCCAACACCACAGGCGTCTCTTTCGTATTCTGGGTCGTACAGACCCTGTTTCTGAGGAATTGCGTCAGCCCAGAACTGAGCCTTAGAGGATGATGCGCCGAACCCAGAGGTGTCGCCAGTCAAGGGCATACCACCCTCGTATGCTTCCTCGAGTGGATCGAATTTATCCGATTGCAACATACTGTGGACTCAGGTGTTGAGCTACTATCTTTATAATATTTGGAAGCCTTGGCTCTTTAATAGGGCTTTCGGAAGCTTGGGTCTAAGTGTCGTGGTGGATACCTACTGGCTAGCAGTGGGTTTTTGACTTCTCAGTATAATAAATAAGGGCACACCAATCAATGGTTTAAAATGCCGGTGAGGAGGAGCACTTAAGATAAAGCTTCCACAGTGCTGAAGTCCAATCGAGCGTCAAGGTAACACGTCTCCAGTGCACTTGTCCTTGAATGTGGGAGACTTGGAATTTGGCAAATTATTTTAGCTTCTGTCCACCATATATAGGTAGACTGGTCGTTCAGTTCATAGTCCAAACATTTCTTCCCAGGCGGGAAGGATCACCCTGCCAGAAAGATAGCCCAAATAATCACCAAATTTAGGCCAATCATATTCCAGAATCTCAGAAAACAGCGTACGATTATTTTTTCATCTTAACTGGTCTTATCCGACGACAAGATTTTGTGTTTAGCGGCAGTGAGTACCGTCGTTATCAATCTGCCGTGTCCAAGACTAAAGCGCGTTGGTGGACCTTGCGAAAAAGGCGGTGGTAGCATTGGCTTTTTGAGATTTTGTCAATTTGTATAGAGCTGATAAGAAGCTTGATTCGGCAAAACGCGGCGGATGTGCCGCCTTTTTGACACCTACCAGGGTACAACTCATAGACCAGATATGAGGGGACGAGATTCTGTTTCTGCTCCCGGCGGTTGGTGATTTCGGGGTTGTCAATCAACCACGTGCCTTATGGTTAGCCCTCATAGTCTCCAAGAAACGGAACCTAAACGCAAGTAACGAGCAATAGCGCCAACATCACGGAGGCATGGCTCTCGGCTGCTTTTGGGACCCAGGACGTATTGAGACCGTCGGTAGCCTTTTTAGATTTTCCTGCCGGTAGTAGGTTCATTTGCCCTACCTTCTTGCAAACTCCAAGAGGATCCCTCTTGCCACATTTTCTCCGTGGTTCTTGACTTACAAGCGACCACTAGCGTCTTGGTAATCAAAAAAAGCGCGCTGGGAGGCTCAAAACTGTAAGGGCTTATTCTTGGCTAACCTTTAAGTTGTGGTCTTCTGGCGTACTTTTTTTGCCGCCGACGACTCCTAATGAGGGAGGCGTGCAAGGTGATGAAGAACTTTGATCTTTGTTTGGATATCCGCGATTCACGGTGACAATGAGCTTTGACATTAAGCCTTGTCCTTCTACTTCTTCGGCTAGTAACTTGAGGGGCTCGCAATGTGGTGAATGGGCCTGTTGTTATCTATGTTTCGATACTGATTGCATTTTCTCGAGCACAACAACGTATACAACTGACGCTAAGGTCTTCAAGCACGCTAAGTTGTCTCGAAAGTTTGACGTACAATAATTCTTTGCTAGCTAGTCCAATCTACCTTATAATCCACTGCTGCCACGATACAAGTTCACCGGAATATTTCATAATACGTGATATATGAAATACCGGCGAAGTCCAAGATAAACCAAATTTCATTTAGGCTTCTTTCTGAGGAGAGCCACCGCCGTCAGACGATACCCTGATGAGTGCACTACTCAGCTTATCAGTGGACATTGGCGATTATGGTACGCCAGATTTTCAAGGTTTGAGTTATCTGTCCGTTATTAATTAAACTATAATGTTTATAAGTGGATGAAGCGGTCACATTCTATACAACAATTCAAGCTAGGTGCAGTATTTTCTTCCAAGCTTCCAGAATAGTTATTGAGGCCATGTTTACATACACTATCATTCGGTTGCTCAAACCTCATGCCATCGATTCATTTCACCCCACTTTATTATCACTCTGTAAGATACTGTCACCCCAATTGTGGGCAATTGTGTAATCCGGCGCTCTGAAATAGCACAGCAAGAATATTCATTCCGATAGGCGACTACCTCTGCAAGAAACCTATAGAGTAAAGGATCCTTTGTTTATAATGTGATAGATTATTCATTAGAATGTTTTGGGGAAAGAGCTTTGTTTATGATTAGGTGGAATTTTCTAACTTTCATATATAATATTGAAACTGCCCTGGCGCGATACTCTCTGTTGGCTATACACAGACTAATAAATAAGTTAAAGAAGCGGTTCCTTCCTTGGCTAATTCATCCCATCTCCTGCAAAAATCATATGATTTAATCATACATTTGACAGTTTAGGTTTAGTTTTGTAGTGCAGTGCTCCGCCGCTCAAAATGTTGGGCTAGCAACGAATTCAGGTGCGCGCCACCAATTCGTTTAGTCAACAGATCTGCGAAGTTGTCGCCAGAGCGAATATACAAAATTTTGAGTTCCCCATCAACGTATTCTCTTCTTAAGCTACGCGCAGAGCGTGGTAAATCCCAAGATTGTGCTAGAAGAGCTACTGCCGCTAAACTGTCTGTGATAACTCTTTCTCTCACTCGAAAGTCAAGTAGGTGTAAAATGTTTTTGACCTCCCGCAATCGTTTCCTAGACCTTATAATGGCTAGTAGCTCTGCTTCATTCGCAGAAGGACACGCCCCACTTATAGCCCCAGAAAATACCGAAATGGCGTTGTTATTAAGATCAACGTTGAACCCGATATGGGCGTGATGCGATTTGAGAGAAGCGTCTGTCTGCACATCGACGGTCATGACCCGACGGTGTTTGTGCCGTTTCCATTTCAAAAACAGTTCCTTGCTTTCTAGTAAGTATTTTATGAAGAACTTGATTGGTGCTATCGACTCACTTTCTTGGATTGTATCCATCACGCTGACAAAGTAGGCGATGTCAAATCTGCATTTTCCGCTGACTTCCTTCAGAAAGGCTTTTGCTTCGTTCAAGTACCGCCGATCTTGGGCCCAGTTTAGCGAATGGTATACCTTGTAATGCTGTGAGTTACCGCTCTTGATATGCCTTCCCATCGGAATTTGCAGTAAACTCGAAAACTCTTCAATTTCACTTTTCATACCCAGTTCCATGCATACCCCACGCTCATATTGAATATCCATAGAGTATATGCGGTACAGTCGATGCTCATTCCCTATTATCTGCCAACCCTCGTTTCCCTTGGTATGTTCCAAAACTTCTGTCAGATTCGACTTGATATCGAACATTTTGTCTGCACGACAACCCATCAATAATATTTCGTGGTTTAGTAAACACAGAATGCCTTTAAAGTTCCCGTCATTGTTTAAAAATAAACCCGGGCTCTGCTCCGACATACCAAAAGAAAGCTTGAGCCGATCTCTAATCAAATTGTATAAATTATACCCCAATCCACAATAATTTTTATAGGAGCCCCAAGGTTTAAACTCAAACGCCACGTTTGGCAATTCGTAGTGTGGAGGTGCGGGTATGAATAATGGCCCCGCAAGTAATTTAGGTCGAGCACAAGGCAAATGCCAAATAATCCAGTTTTTCTCCAAAGCGATAACGAGGGCAGTGAGAAACGAGTTGTCATCAAACTGTTTTGGTCCCTCATCAAGAGTAAACATTTGCGACAGAATGTTACTACCATTGCCCTTTCCAGAAAGGTGAGTCCTGAATGCCTTCTTTTCAGCAGAAAACGTCCAGTCCAAGGAGAGAATTTGGCTCTCTTGAATGCTTGATATTCCAAGCGGAATTTCATCATTCCATGACCCACAACGCAAGTGAAAGTCTCTTAATTTGATCTTATAGCTGAGCTCAAAGAGAAATTTTTGGCTAATGTCTGGATTTTTGGCTATCGCTTCCTCATAGGTCAACATTTTGCTTTCTCTGTTAGGTGACGTACAACCAGCGTTGCCAATGTCGAGATTGTTTATGGTATCTATGAGACTTTTAACACTCAGGTCACTCTTAGGGGATCCTCTGGGGAGAGTCTCGGCAGGATCTACCTTGGTAAGTTGTTTAAATTCCATGATTTCTTTCTCGCCGGATTTGCATGAAAACCATGTGGGTCCTTTTCTATAATACTGCCTTATATCTTTAGCTAGAAACCACAAGGGTAACGCATTGGATTGTTAGTTCTCTGCCACTGATGCACTAAAAATGGGGGAGGGCGGTACTGGAAGAGTTTTAGGAGACACAAAGATCACATTTTTCTCCAATCGGTGGCAATGTGATTATACATTTGGCACGTCCATAGCGAAGAATAGGATTTTTCGGTCGATGCCACTGAAAAATGCAAAACCAGCTTTCAAAGCTGGCGCTATATTGCAGAAGGGTGTGCGCGCAACTAAAATGATAGTGGTCAACCTCGGGATACTGAACGAGCAACAAAAATCTGCCAACTTGCTCCCAAAAGGTATCTGTTTGTATGTCATCAATCGCCCCATCAAAGTGCACAAATTTCGCCTACTTATTTGGCACTTATTTTTGCACTCGACATTCCGACTATCTCTTGTAGCCAAGCTAATTCGATTCTACTCACATTTCTAGCGTAGCCTTTCGTTGTGAATATGTACTCCGTGTACAGGATGGCTGGACAACCTCTGTCCATGAATAACATAGAAGAAGGATGGACAGAAATGGTCTCACCAGTGGTACTTGTGCGAAACGATCTATCCGGCATCCCTATGGCTGTATTTTTCACAAATCCAGCCAGGAAGCATTGGATGACAGCCTTGATATCAAAGGTCTCACGAGATGCCGTTTCATCCAGGCTTTCAACCGTTGTATTGGTCAGCTTTTCCATATAAGATATGAGCTGGGCCCGGACCTTTATCACATTTTTAAACCCTCTTTTGGATATACAAAGGTCTTTACACCAATCATCCTTTTCGGTAGAAGTAGGCAAAGAAACATAGGCATCGTAAAACTCTTTCATCATAACCAGATCACCAAACTTTGAGCCTCTAGTTGCGATTGAGAAACGCTTTTCATTGATTTCGTCTCGTTGTTCGGGTGTTGGATTGAGGAGTAGGTTTTCGACACTGAGACATGATACAATATCAATAACCGGTAAAAGACAGCCCGATTCTTGCGCCATCAATAATACGCAGCTTAAGTGTGGTGCTAAAGGTAAGAGAGCCATTTGTTCGCCCTTTCTGGTGATTTTACCAGCATCATTTAAGGCCTTCAACTGATGGAGCTCTTGTAATGCAAGTAAGGTCGCTTCCTTACCAGGATTTTCTAACCATGACCAGTTCACTATATCCTGAACTCCAATTTGCTTCAAAGCAAGAACGGGCGATGTTATTTCACTTCGTGCTATTTCAGGTTCCGTTTGCGTGGGGAGCTTATGAAAGTCTTCTTCTCTGTAAAGTCGGTAACACTTACCCGCGCTTTCTCTACCAGCACGACCCGTCCTTTGGGAAGCACTAGCTCTTGAAATAGGTACCGTCAATAGCGTTGCAAGGCCTAGTTGATGGCGCCATACCTTAACCTTGCGAAGGCCCGAATCGACGACGAACTTTACACCAGAGATTGTGACCGAAGTTTCAGCAAGGTTGGTTGAGAAAACCACTTTCCTTTTGAACCCTTTCAGAGGAACAAATACTTTCGCTTGGTCTGAGGGCGGTAAAGCTGCGTAAAGAGGAAATGATGTTAGTTTGGGTACGGAAGTTCCAAGGTGCTCGCTGATCTTGTTCATGACAGCGACTGCCTTATCGATTTCCTCCTGGCCGGGCATGAAGCACAATATGTCTCCTAATTGCTCACCTTGATTTATCTGGACACAACAGCGTACGACAGTATCGACAATATCGTCACAGGGCTCTCTCAAATAATGTCTTTGTACTGGAAACTTTCTCCCCTCAACGAAAAGTATGGGCGCTCCATTGAAAAAGCGGCTAAATTTTTCTGCTTGAAGTGTAGCTGACATAACAATCACTTTGAGATCTGGTCGGGAGCCGATTATCAATTCTTTCAAAAATCCCAGAATCAAATCGGTTAAAATAGTTCTTTCGTGAGCTTCATCGATGATAATACATGTATAGGCAGATAAGTTTCTATCAAGCATAATTTCACGTAGCAACATACCATCTGTGAGATATTTAAGCCTGGTTCTGGCACTGCTCTTGTTGTCGAAACGTACAGAGTATCCGACCCGATCTCCTAAACGGCATCCGTATTCCTCTGCCACACGAGTGGCCAGGTTAATTGCAGCAACTCTCCTCGGTTGAGTAACACCTATGCGCGTCATATTGTGGCTTTGACCTAGCCGCTCCAACAGGAACTGGGGGATTTGTGTAGACTTTCCTGACCCAGTCTCACCAATCAAAATTGTGACTTGATTTGAATCAATATGCTCCATGATAGAGTCTCTGTATTTAAAAACTGGTAAACTGGACCGCGTTTCTAGCAGTTTCACGGCTAGCATCTTCAGATCCCGCTTTGATATGGGATTGTCATGATTATCACCACCCGGACGGCCTCCATTGTTCGCTGGTCCTTTTTGAGAGTACCTTACTTCATTCGGAGTTTTTTGGGGCCCTCTTTCACGCCCGATAAATTTTTTGCCTTTGGACATAACTCAATCTAGGGTAGCGAGTACCTATAGGGCTCTTCTAATGTGCGTTCTTTACTAACTAAACTCATCTCATCGAGAGCTCAAGCTCATCGCTAATATTTTTTATGAGTCACTAATTACGCATACTTCAAATTACAGTTTATCATTATATTTTGTAGGCCCGTACCAATCACTAGGGCCGCTGAAAACTCGTTGTAAACAGGGAGCAACGACTTCACTCCCACCTTTCTTGCTCCTCCAATAGCTACAGTTTGAAACAGCACACCCGTGTACCTATGCTCTGTCTATGAGCCATTGCAGAGCTTGGAATATGCCGTCCAAGTTACGATTTTTGATATGCCTGCTCACGACACTGGCGTTGGTTTTTCAAATCATTCCTATTGTTTCCTCACCCATTTCTTCACATATTTATCTCTCTCGCTACGACGGCAGGCGCTTCGGAGTTTTTGGTTGGTGTTCTGAGTCCTCCAAATCTTGCACCCCTCGTCGAATCGGTTATTTAACTGAATGCCAAAAAGCTAATTACAATGGTCATATCAATAAGCTTGCGTGTGATGCGGTGAATCCTGAGGATGAGTTCCTTCCATCTCGCGCGAAGCGAGTAGTTTCAAGACTCTTGATCGTTCATCCTATATCACTCTTTTTCGCAGGTTGGTTTTGGCTACTAACGATTGCCGTTAACGCACAAAGGTTCAGACACTCAGGAAGAATCATCACTGGAGCGGTGCTGTGGTCACTGCCGACCGTCTTTTTGTCGTTGCTAAGCTTTTTGATTGATATATTACTCTTTGTGCCATTTTTGGCATGGCCGGGCTGGCTTCTATTTGTAAGCACGGTTATGACAGCCGTTGCTTCCTGTATGATGTGCGGCGTGCGAAGGTCCGTGTCAATGCAGAAATACGAAAAACTACACAATACAGACCATGTCGAGTTATTTCACCTGCATTTCGAGAAACCCGCCTCTGAAGATGCAGAAAATTCTCAGCAGCAATCGAATGGATCTGACATTCAGTCAGAACTGCCGCTGGAACGACCTGGGCTAATTCATCGGGCGATGTAGATGGTATAAGCAACCAATCACCATAACGATCACGTGAGACACTCTTCATGATATTAAATCTGTAAAAATTTTGAGAGTTGCCAGGCATTGTTGGCAATTGGAACTGCAAGCCTGTCGTTGACTTAGGCTCCAGTTGATAGTACATAAAATGAATGCTTGGAATGTGCCGTCGAAAAACAGGTTTCATACGGCCTTTGGTGAGGCAGTTGCGTCACGAAAACTGTTGAGGAGTCTAAGCAATGGAAGGTTGGCAGCATCTGGACAGAGTCCTCTTTGTGAAAACCACATTCATCCCTTTTATCAACTGAATAATGCTGAAAGAGGTATCTTGTGTGCAACAGAGAATGGCCCACAATTGCTAGGCGGTAAAAAAATTGTTCCGGTATTAAGAAGTTCTGATTTGGGCCGGAAAGAGGTGTTGACGAACGCAAGGTTAGTTTTCAAATCTGTCGTGGGCATCAACAAATTGCTAGGCAGCTATCATAAGTTTGGCGAGGAAAAACCTTTAGCTATAATCGCAGATCGCGATATTGACCAGCTGCTGCGATCCAGTCGCTTAGGCACTACTCAAGTACTGAAGCTCCAGGAGTTTTCTGCCCTATTGCAGGAGCAGAAATCTCCCGCAAACCACCTTCAGATTGCCAGTATAGTAGACTCTTTGAACTCCGATACCCACGAAGCTCAAGTGTTTAGCGAGGAAGTGTTTTTGTATATCTTACAGCATTTCTGCAACTCCAAGCATGGTATGATAAGTGTTGCTCTTTCGATTGTTGATTTCCTTCAGAAAGATATCGATGAATTGAGGGAAGCGGAGGTGCTTTTACTTCAATGGCTTGTAACCATCAGACAGAAAAATGTTCCAAGAGATCAAGATATAATTGAGGCCTTTTCCAATTTAACTGTTGCTATTTCTGATAGGTTTCACATTTCCAACTGTATCCTACACTTTTCCCCACCTGTGACCCAGGCGGTCCTTGAGTTCTATCTTGACGCAGGTTTGTTGTCCGAAAGCAAACTGCTGTTCACGGACTTAATAAGTAAGCGATTTTGCGTAAAGTCGAAACTAGTGGAGAAGTATCTGGCTCTTATCGAAGACAAAGTGACAATAGCCGATTTGAACGACCGACTCTTGAAAAAATTCGCATATATTTCGGATTTTAGACCTGTATTCGAGACTACTCTCACACCAGGGATCACAGAAATCTTGATCTCTTATTGCAGACATTTCGATGAAGTTATATCTTTATTGGAGCTGGTAGAGCGCTCTAAAGCTACCAGACAGATATGGGATCACGTTTTGCCGCAGTTGGTACGCAGGATTTCGCTGTTGGATGTTAACCCGGTAGTCAATTCCTGTAACTTGACTGTTATTCTAAACAGGGCCAAAAATTTCTACGGTTCGGCTCTTTCTAGCAAAGTGCAACGTGCTTTCATAGTTCAATATGCGGCGAACGGAAATTTTACCATGGTGACTAAGCTGATAAGGGGATATGAACAGCACCTCAATCCTAATTTCTATGCCAGCCTTTTAAGCGCATCGACCGACAGCAATATCTGCTCTTCGGTGCCAGGGTTTCGTCCTCAGGAAAAACGGGGTTTTCTCGTATCAATGGTTCTACCCCACTATGATGAATTATCTTTGGCAGCGAAGCGCATTGTACTTGAGAATGCTGATTCAGAAGAGCTTCTAAAGCCTCTCATCTTATCAGAGTTGGCAATTCAAGCAAGAGGGGGTAAAGCATTAGTTTCGGAGGCTGTTTCCTGGGCGGAACGTCGCGGATTGAACCCTAATGTTCGTGTAGAAGTCAATGAATGAGAAGGCAGAGATGCCAAGATACCTAATATCAAGATGAACTTTGCGATGTACTCGCTTTTACAGAAGGAATGATTAAGTTGGACTAGGAAGAAGAAGAATAACTTATCACAGAATACAGATTCAAATCAACTTGTATAATTTACGACTTTAATGACCATCAAGATACAATTAGAAAATTATCGAACTGTGCGAATAGGATAATAAATTTTATTGCCTCGAATACGTGTTTCTGGGTAGACTTGAGAAGACGAGCCTTCGTCCACTATAAAGTAAGCATAGCAGAGAGACACTTGACCGTTGGATAGTCAACTGATATTTTAATATATCAATAAAGTAAAGGCACCAATTTAAAATCGGTACTTGTATCATTTCACACCAAAAAGCATGATGGGCTCGGTAGAGAGCTCATCACTTCTGCATGATGTTTCATGTTGGTTTCAAAACCTAACAGTGTACAAAAGGTAAACACAACCAGATTTACTTTCTTAAGATGCTCACAAAGGTAGGAACGTGGAGTAATGAGTTATCCTGGAAGGGTTGTGGCCTTAATCTTTGCTCCTCTGGCAGGCTGTCAAATCTTTAAATGGTCAGGACAACTGGAAAATGTGGCTCTCAACTCACAAGAAACAGCACCAAGTGCCGAAGAGTTCAATAGAATCATCCGCCTTAATTTCCCCCAATACAGAAGTTATTGTGCAGGCGAGGCTCTCAGAGAATTTTTACCGCGATGTATGCAGAACGGTATCGAAACCCTTGATCCCCAGCTCCGGGTTCAGGCTGCGATCAAGCTCTCCTTTTGCGAGTTTCAAGAATCAGGACTCGAAGTGACGCCCCATAGGTGCTTAGATTTGAGCTTGGAGGGCTCTAAAAGGTGTATGGATCAAATGCGAAGTTCCCCACAATGGTGGACGACTTACAGTGGAAACTACCAACGATTATCAACCCTGTGCTATGAGAATTCACTGCCTTTTGAAAAGGAGCAACTAGTTGAACTGTTCCTGAACATTACCAAAATTTATGCAAGCTTTAGCGAGAAGCTAGATGCAGAGCTTACCAGAAAGCTCATTGTACTCGAAGAATTCATGACCCAAAGAATGAGCAATTTTGAAGATATGTTTGGGCAGCAAGTAGCAGATATGAATACAGCATATGCACGTCAGATGAGCAGCTTTTTGGAGCATCTTGACAAGCTTCAAGATGACGCTTTTACCACTTTCAGTAATAATGCCTTGGCGGTAAGAAACGAGGTAAGTGACTTTGACAGAGAGTTTTTGTTTGACTTGAAGAACTTGAAGCATTACGTGGAAGATATTAACGCAGAGTTCACCCATGGAGACTACGTGGAGAATATTCGAAGGCTCAAGGCCGAGAATTTTGAAAGTGCTCAACTTATAAGCGAAACCAGTTTGTCATACCTGCGTGGCATGGACAAGGCCCTAGGCGACGTTGGTGCACTATCCGAAATATCCGCACAAAAACTTACAAGGCTCGACAAAGACGTTACTGACTCCTACGTAGATATGTTAACAGCTTTCCAGGACTTCAAGAGTCTAATTAAAGACTCCATGGTACCTTTCATCCAAGAAGAGTTGGGCTCGAACTTAAACGCATTTTCTCATAAATTCATCTCGGAGCTAGAGAATATTGATCGTGTCTTAAGTGGCAAAGCAAAATCATGGGGGAAAAGTCTCGACAGCACCTTCGAGAAAGTTAACTCAGGCCTGAATTGTACATCAGAAAGTATAAATGAGTTGGACAAGGGCTTGAGGACAATTCGGATTGAGTTGGGGGCTTTTTTTGGTACACTAAACTTTATGAGAAAGAGCATTTTGGGAGTAGTTAGGCCCATGCTTCAACTGGTTAGCGTAATCCCAATCGCAGCAAGACCTCTTATCGCAATAATTTTGGTAAAATTAATCTCATTTTCTGGGTATTTTTTACCAAAAGCTTCAACAGTGTGGACTTCCAATTTTGGTACTTGCTTCTCAGTTATAAGCGCTCTCATTGCTGGCTTACTGATTGGATTCTACTCAATAGTTTAATTGCCGATGAGTTAACGTAGGCGCAACGACCTTGAAGAATTGATGCGCGCTTCTCATACTTAGGCTCTTCTGTCGTTCAAATTCATCATTCTATATCGTAAACTAGATGCTAACATAATATAAATGGGTAATGGCATTAAATTTAGAGACTCTTGTCAGCAGCTATCTCCTTTCTTAAATTCAACCTTCCTGAAAGAATATCCCCGATCTTGTTAAACTCATGCCAATGGATGTCTTGACCCTTTCTCAATTCGACATTGGTTTCCTCGCGCCAAAGTTGGTTGATAGGTTTGAAGGAGATGTGCGAACCGTTAACAGCGATAATGGCAGCCGAGGCGTCCTCATCATGAATAGTAAATTCCTTGACACCGTTAACATACTTGAATCTCAATATCTTGAAGTCCTCATTCTGTTCATCAGAGTTCTTTTTGTTCCAGGCTTCGATGAACTTGACACATTTGACTGCGTATCTTGAGCCAGTGACACGGTCCTTCGAAGATGGAACCCCACCTTGCTGAACATGACCTGGAATGGCAGTTCTAACACCGAACTTGTTACCAGAAGCCTCTGCGATGATGTCTCCTAACAATTCGGTGGTATAAATGGAGGAAGCTTGCTCATTTCTGATGAGAACTTTACCATTACGAGTCTCACCTTGATCATGACGGAAGTTCTCCTTCAATAGTTCCAAGTCCTCTTTAATACTTTTCAGACCGATCTTGTCCTCGGGGGTATATACGGAAACTGCCCCAGTCACTAAACCGGTGAATGAGGCGATGTAACCAGAGTGACCACCTTGTACTTCCACGACAAACACTCTCCTCCTTGATGCAGAAGCAGACTGCTTGATAGCATCAGTGTAATTTACCAACGAATTGAGACAAGTGTCCACACCTAAGGAGTATTCGGTACCAGGTACATTGTTAGAAACTGTCGAAGGAATTAAAACCATCGGAATGTTGAAAATAGGGTATTGGGCACGAGCGTCACGCAGCTCTTTCAATGATTTGAAGCCCTCGAAACCACCTAGGATGATAAGACCATCAAACTTGTTCTTTTGAAAGTGATAGGCGATCGAACCCATGTCACTGCTGGCGACAGATCTGTTGGTACCGATCTCAGAACCACCCAAGTTGTGCCAGTTCTCCACGTCGATCCATGATAGTTCCTTTACATCCCCGGTTTGGATTAACCCGCTGAAACCATTCAAAATGGCCGATGGGGTATGACCGCGGGACAAACAGTACAGCGTGGCTGCGCGAGTGGCAGCGTTCAGTGCCGCAGATGGAGCGCCGACATGAACGATTGCGATGTTTAGCCTCTCGTTTTCCGGTAACATTTCGGAGCCGTCATCATTAACAGTAGTGGAGATAAAGTTCTCATACAGTTCGATAAATTCGGTGTCTCGCAGGGAAATTGCCTTGTCAAAGTCTTTATTTTCGATGGCATCAGCCACGCTCTTTGTTAACTTAACAGATTCCATCAATGGCATCCTGATAATTTTGTTTTCTAAGATACCAATCAAGGGGGAAGGAGTATCTGGGGTCATTTCCAAGACGGCCTTAACGGCGTCGACACCTTGTAAAGTCGCCAACCATCTGTCGTGGGCAACAGCAGTACCACCTCTTTGAACGTGGCCCAACGTGGTTATCTTAGTGTCAAGGCCTAGCTCTACCAAAGCATCCTTGACTTGATCAGAAGTGATGGGCTTCAAATTGTTGTCGAGAGCACCCTCAGCTACAATGACAGTATTGTTCCTACGGCCTTTCTCCCTGTGCGCTTGACAAACCTTCTTTAGCTCCTCTTGCCATTTTCCGGCAGGCGCTGCTCTTTCAGGGACAAAAATGTAGTCCGCGCCCGTGGCAATACCAGCCATCAAGGCCAACCAACCACAATGCCTACCCATCACTTCAACCACAAACGCTCTAGAGTGAGATTTAGCTGTAGCATCAATGTAGTCGACCATTTCACAGATTCTCTCTAAAGCAGAGTAGGCACCGATGGTGGAATCCGTACCGGACATGTCGTTGTCGATGGATCCGACAAGTCCCACAATCTTCAAGTTCTGATAGGGCTCGACTTGCTCTGGAGTAAATTTGCCGTCGTTGACCAATTCTTCCACCAACGAAGGCCATTCGGACCTGAAAAGATCAGCACCGGTCAGAGACCCGTCACCACCACATACAACCAAAGCGTCGATACCCTCCGTGATCAAATTGGCCGCCGCTTGTTTCCGGCCCCAACGTTCACGAAATTCCTTGCAACGGGCAGTACCGATCAGCGTACCACCCTCGCTGAGCCAGCCTCTCACGTCTTGCCAGTCCATTTTGCGCAGCAAATCGCCACCTTTCAACAACCCCTCATATCCTTCATACACGGCATAAACGTCGCATCCATAGTAGGTACCGGCTCTCACAACAGCACGAACTGCAGAGTTCATTCCTGGGGAGTCGCCACCTGAAGTCATCACAGCGATCTTACGCTTAATGTGACCCGATTTGTCTGTCTTGGGGGAGGACTTCGAGGCCGCCGAGGATGGTTGAAGATAGTCTGCAGGTGATTTAGATTCGTCCAAAAAGAACTCCTTACCCACAGAGGACTTGTCGCCGGCTCTGACCAACGGTGAAAAGCGCACTTCATTTCCGAGCGGATCGACGGCCGAATACTCGCCATTCGCAAGCTCTTTAGCTTCAGGCAAATCCTGAGCAATTTTAGAGGTGTCTGCGCAGTAGTAGGTGATGCGAAGATCGCCATCCGAGGAGGCCGCGATTGGGGTTTGACTCACGAGCCGGATTTTCAAAGATGCACCATCGCTTTGGTCGTGGTTGGAGGCTTCCTGCTGTGGTATACGGAACCCGTTGGCATCCACCTCAGAAAGTTTAAAGCTCTCGAGCCACGTCTCTTTGACAGAGCCTTGAGCGGTGCCTGATGACGGGATATTTTGTTTGGTGCCTCTGAACTTGTCATATGTCTTGACCGTGGAAAAGCCCAGTCTGTGGTAGAACTTTATGGCTTCACGGTAGACGGCCTCGTCCGCGGTGGCAATCGATCTGAACGCAACACCGTAGACAGAATCCTGATCTTTGGTCATATTGGCACTGAAAACTGTTGGAACAACTTCTCTCACTGGCCTTTCCTGCAAAAACTAGCCGACCCTATGAAATTTCTTTGAATCGCTCTAGGTCCTCTGGCTAAACAACGAACTATATCAGAGCAGCGGAACAGAATGCAAATAGGGGGACGGAGAAATAAGATAGTTAGCGCTTGAAGGCTGTAATTGTTCAATGCAATATAGTCCAATGTATTCTATCGTACGCCCTTAGCCTTATATATGGACCCACCCTGTTAGGCACTTTTCTCCCAGCAAAACTGCCGAAATGGCGTGTGGTATGGGTATGCCGGCCTGCGCCGTCCGCGTGTTCTGATGAGTCCGCGGGCACGCACTCGCTGTCGAATAATCTACGCAATGAGCTACTACACCACCAGCTTTCGTGCTGTCCACCAATTGTCGTCTGGCCCATCACCAGAGTTCGCCCAGCTGATCGATGTCTTGTCAGCTCACCAGCGAGCTTCCGAGGATTTGCGAAGCCGGCGGAAGCCGAGGAAGCCGAGAGAAAGAAAACAGCCGAAAGCGGAAAGTGGAAGCTGAGATGCCGAAAAGGGAAATGAGCTCTACGAGTACCCTATCGAGTACAGGTTCATGCCGAGGAGAGTACAAATGTATCCAAACACATGTGACTAGCATGTGATCAGATGAGAGTACTAATGTATCCGGGCTCTTTCACCCACTAGATATCGATGAGGTTGGGGCCCTCGCCCTGATATGGAGCAGTTTGAGAGTACTGCTGGCCTGCAAACTGGGAGTTTTGAGAGTAGGGCGCTGCGGTTTGTTGCTGCCCGTATTGAGACGAAAACTGTTGTTGAGCATATTGTTGGCCATATTGCTGGGAAGCCTGTGGAGGAGCTTGGTGTGGGAACTGCTGGGGCGCCTGCTGAGATGGGCTCTGGCGAGGAAATACCGGGACAGTTGGCATGTTTTCCAAACCTCCAAAAGTGTGACGGTTGGGCACTGAACTTTGGGCGCCAAAAGGATTAGAACCGGAGGTCGCCGCTGCGCCCGTGTTGGCGCGTGAAAAGGGATTATTGACCGTGCGAGCTTCTTCCGCTTTACCAACGTTGTCCAGTGAGAATGGGTTGTTCGAGCCAGTAGGGGCCGCGACTTGCACCGGTGGTTGGGTGGGAGTCTGTAAGGGCGCTGGGTACGAATCTGTAGGAGGAGCAGTGTAGCCGCCAAACCCGGCGCCCGTCGTATTTGGTACCACCTGGGAATTGGCACTAAAGTACCCAGTGTGTCCCGCTTGCAGCTGGGGCTGTTGGCTGGGGCCAAACTGAGATTGTGATTGAGGTTGGGTGTTTTGATATTGTATCGGTTGCGACTGGGTGTACTGATATTGCAGAGGCTGAGGTTGGGTGTTTTGATACTGTAGTGACGGAGACTGGGTGTCTTGGTATTGTAGTTGCTGAGACTGGCTATATTGCGGTTGGTGAGCGTGGGGGTTTTGGAAGTGCGATGGCTCGACGTGTGGGTTCTGCATGTGCTGGGCCTGAGTGTTGTGATACTGCAAGGGTTGGCCCTGTACATTTGAATATTGCGTTGGCTGCGCTTGAGGGGTTTCCGTCATAAACGGATTTGTCGTGTGATGAGCTACGGCTGGACTCTGCTCGAAACTAAAACCCTCCGAAAACGGATTGTAGCCTGTTTGCTGCTGTGGAATAGTGGGCGAAATTACCATTTGGTGCTGCGACTTGAGCTGTTGCTCCAAAAGACGCTTCTGTTCTCGAATTTGTTCCAACTCCCGTTGCGCAGGTGTCCTACCTTCATCCGCAGAAAACGTTTGACCTTTATTGGCGTCATCCCGCAAATGTTCCTCTAATGAACGGATTAGCTTCGTAGTGATGTGCTTTATCACGGGAATCTTTAACCCTACCGCTTTGCCGGTCTTCAAGTACTTCACCACGACTTCGGTTAGCTCTACAAAGCGCTTGTACAATTTTAAGGTTCTTTCTGCATTCTGATGCGTTAATTCGAAGAAGCACTCCAGGAGAGTGATAATCCCCTCATTTAAGGCATTGTACAGTACCAGCAAGTCCTGCACCATCAGCCTAAACGCCGTCATGAGCAAGTCGTTCCCCAAGTCGTACTGCGAATACCGATTCTTGATGAGTGCCGTGACTTGGGTCTCTAACGATTCTACATGGTCCAGCGCTTTCTTTGGGTTATTTGCGACAGGTCCCTTCAAGTTAGAACTCCCGTCACGCACGTAGTCCTTGCGTGTACTGGCGAATTGTTCACAGCGGCATTGCAAGTAGTCTCTGTATCTGCGCAATGCTTGCAAGTCGCCCGAGGAGAGCTTTGACTGAAAGATATCCTTGAGCTGGAAAAATTCCAAGTGATCCGAAAGGTATTTTATAGTGACGTTCTGTTCTCCCTCGCGAATCATAATGTGTGCCAAAATAAGCGATTTATAAACAACTGTCCAAGCAGTGTCTAGGACCCGCCCTTCTAGAGCGTGCATTATTTCACGAAAATCTTGTGGCTCTGCAGTCGCCAAAAGGATTGGGTCTACATATTTAGCCTTTGGAGGCGCCATTTTAATCTTCGTAGCGCCCTTGACCAACTTCTGGTACGTTGTCATGGCTGTAGGTGGGATTGAGAGCGTAGTTAGCCGGCCAGGACGGAAAGTAACAGGAGAAAAATAATGCGAATTTGAAGGCTTGACAAGGAGGGGCTTTGTTCCTGGACACCAAGTGCGTCGACCTTAATCCTTTGCAAGCCAGTGGTTACTTAGCGGTTTGGTCAGTGACGAATTTTCATATAGGGGCACCTGAAACGTTCTTACATTTCCAGCTCAATGCCCAGTTTCGTACACAGAGATCTCACTTCACGCCGGAGAACCTCGATGCACGTGACCGCTCGCTGGCACAATAGTCTTCAACTTCAGCGGTTAACACTGCAGTTCAAACATGTATCCGAGCCCCCAAACGTGCACACAGGGCATATTGTATGATCACAGGTATCGCAATTGCGATAGATCGAGGGTGAGTCGCAAAAATAGCACGTTCCAAGGTTTGGCCCACGCGTTAAAGCTGGACGCGAGACGAGCCTCGCAGACACTAACATAGCGCGGAAGGCATCTGTTCCCGAAGTTGAGGTGAAGTGTTGTGGTTTCTTGGTCTCAAATGTAGAGATATCGTCAGTGAAGCACCTCTTCATAGATATCAAATGAGCTGTAGGTTGGTTTTTCCTCTACCGTGGGTCCGCTGGAGACGCGTCAGTTATAATAAATGTATTGCAAGTGTTGAAACTCATAGTATAACTCACTATTAACGAACATCATATCTTGTCTAGAGGAAGTGAGAGAGAACGGGCCACAAGCGAGGTACCGGGGAGTTCAGCTAGAATATGGATGTAGCGTGGGTTACTGGGTCGCTGGGTATAGATCCAGCACCCTAAAACGGTCACAACATGTAGGGATGCCACAATAGTACAAAGTGACAATCCGCAGTTCTTGAGCAGTAGATGGACGAAGCGGAAACACAGCGTGTGAGAGCTCTGCTTCTAAGTGTGATATTTAATTCCCACCGAATTATATCTTGTTTTGCATAACGGGCGGGTTTTGCTTGGGGCTATGAAGGTGCTAATAGACTGACGGTCGAAGTACGCATGGAATACGCAGGTGTGGGAAGTATATCAGGAGTTCACAAAATGCGATACTTTCGCAATTCAAACATCAGTCTATCGCGTATTTGTCATATTTTCTAGTTTCTTGGATGTTTACTTAAAGCACCAAAACTATAATCCGCTGGGTCTATTTTACCTCTAAAGGGTTAGTTTCCCCCGGGGTGTGGCCATTAACTACTGAAATTCGAACTATTCGAACTATAGGACAGGTGATTTGCCATCTCTTAGATGTTTCTTACTATATTTGAAGTGGAACCACGTCGACCAAAAAAAGGACTTGGCTTTTACATCATAGAAATTAATGCTGTTATCGTACTCTTATCAACAGCTTTTTAATTTGGGGATTGCCGAGGACGGAGAACGGAAGACTTGCCAATACACTTCGAGCATCTTCTTTATAATTACCTGCACCACGCGAATATGGCTTACAGACAAACGAACAATTCAACTAGAGAATGCCATAATTGAAGATGAACAAGAGAAGTCGAAGAGCTTGCAATTCATGCAAATCAAGGAAAAAACGTTGTGATGGAAGGGAGCCTGTATGCGGAAGATGTGCCGAACGAGGGCTGAGTGGTTGCACGTATTCCCATCATTTGGACAGAAGACGGCCTTTTACGAAGGCTTATGTGGATTCCCTGACGGAGCAGATAAAAACTTACAGAAACGAGATCAAGAGGCTTAGGCTACAATCAGCTTCCAGCGGCTCAATCGAACGATCACAAAGTGAACCTCTCTCCAACAGTAGCCAGGACGAAGATACTGAAGCTGCATCGGATACGGACCCAAAGGAAAAGAGTATTGCCGCTGCAAGCTACTGGGACGGACGTATTGATAGATTTGGTAAGCTCCAGATTGCCAACGATGGGACGTTTCGGTTTTTTGGCCCCAGATCGATAATGTCTTTCTTGGAGCATGGCACGAAGACCGAGGACGATGCATTAAGCCAGAGAAGAATGCAAGCTGAATTTTCTCTTTCCAATTTGGAGCGCCATTTTATCGATTTGTATTTCGCTTTTCAAAATGCGCTCTTCATTTTCGTCTGGAAGCGCCTGTTTGAACGAGAGATGGAGCTACCGCCAGCCTCCAGAAGGCGAGGGTTTTTCAGTATCGGTCTTTTACGTGCAATTTTAGCTGTAGGCTCTCTATTCTATAATGACTCGGAGGAGAGCATCGCTACAAGGGGAGATGATTATGCTTCTATGGCTTGTTACCATTTACAGCAAGAGGTTAAATCTCCGAGTCTGACCACTGTACAAATTGCCGGCATTCTTGCTATCTTTTATGTCTACAAAGCTAAAGATGAGCTTGCATGGTACTATTGTGGTATCGCTGTCACGACTTCTTATACACTTGGGCTGAATGTTGAGAACGAGGCTTTGCAAAGCAGAATACAGGACTACGAAGCTTACAAGGAGGTAAGTAAGATTTCATTTTGGGGTACTTACTTTCTCGATAAAGCTTTGAACAGCATGCTTGGGCGTCCAACACTACTAAAATCGAGCTCAATCACTTGTACTGTTCCGGGTGACATTGGTTTGCGAGAGTTTGATCTTTGGAGAGATCCTCGCAGTCCAGTAATCAGTGGCCCTAGCCCAGATGATGCAAGATTTTACAGAGAATATTCTCAAATTTCTTTTACCACTGAACTTCTCATTCTTGTTGAAAAGCCATTAGATGCCCTATATTTGTTTTTCAAACCCTCGGATCCCAATAACCTCGAATTAGTGGTGCGAAAGGCCACTACCAGTCTTATAGAATTTGAAGCTTCACTTCCTTATTTTATGCGGCTCAATTTCCTCATTGCCAAAGATTCACATAACGGGGTCTCCCCGGGCCTATTTTTTTTCAGATAAGGCTAAACTACACACACATCCTACTGAACAGGGTATTTTTCATAAGAAATCAAGAGCGTGATTTTGATACGAGAGGTACAACAAATGACTACCAGAATATTTGTTTTAGAAGTGCTGTGAACATTTCAAAAATCCTTTCGAAGTTTGAAGAGGCCTTTGGATGTAACAACACAGATGCCTTTTTACCAGATATGGTTTGCTCCGCTGCGATAATACTTCTCCATTTGATGGAAAAATCTGGGACCCTAACTGGTATAATGGAACGCGATCACAGAGAGAATTGCCTTTCACATTATACAAATTTGAGATCGTGCCTGGTCAAATGCTCGAAAAATAACATTTGGGGAGAAAGAGCACTTAGGGTTCTGGAGGCCCTAGAGCCTTAAGTAAACACCCTGCAAAGATAATTCAAGGTGTTGAATAAAGCGGGATATAAGCTCCTTGTTTTTCGTTTCACATTCAGGACGAGCGTTATACAGCGCTTATTTTCATGACTAGATGTGTGCTATTAATGATTAGACGCTAGACTTGCGATAAAGGAAGATGAGAAGAATTTTCATCAAGTGGAACATTTTGTGTTAAATTCTTGATATTGAGATGCCAAAAATAAAGGGTGATGTGATGTGTAGTTTCGAGGAAACTGATGGAAAAAAGAACTGAAAGTGAATGTTAAGTCTTTTATGGTGTTAGAGAGTGACAAAGTCCTTCAGACACTTCCTAGACGATTCGAATCCGAGGGGGTTTTTTTTTAGCAACAAAAAGTCTTCAGCTGAGAAATCCAGCTAATGTTAATTGAATCATTATGGGCTTATTGCAAGCTAGCTTAATATACAGCTTTACAGGAGTACACCATGAACTTCGAGGAGAAGTCCTGGAAGGCTATGCGGCCAGAAGCTCAAATACATATTGTCTTTGAATTTATTGAACAGGGAGCGGCAATTCCAATTTTATATATATGATGACATCAGCATCATCCTGGCAATTTAAGGCGATGGATACTCAATTTTGCTGCTGGCTTCCTCGAGAAAGGTGACTGGTACCGATGGTGTTCTATCGACGGTTAGTTTGAAAATGTCGTACCTTTGATAATAACCCGCAACGTCCTGAAATTGTTTACAAGGAACACTCTTATTGAGGTCGAAAGTACAATAAGCGATACCTTCTTCGTCCTTAAGTACGTCCCCAATAGGCTTGCCGTCGGGCCCAATAAAGAGGGTGGTGCTTTGTCCCACAAGGTCGTACGCATCGGCATTAGCAGGATCGTCGGCTTTACAAAACTCCCTCGCTGCATCGTCAAAGAAGTTGCTACAAACAACAGTAAAGGTCTTGCCCTCAAACGCTTGACAGGCAGCTCTTATCATGGTAGCGTGACCAAAGCCGTCTTCTTCGCCCTCCTCGGGCCTCTTGGTCAAAAAGAATGGGGGCCATAATGAGATGTGGATCTGTTCACCTTGTGCGATAAGCGAGTATTTGGCCAGAGGGTTCGTGTTCTCTCCGCAGATAAGAGCACCGATCCGGCCGATCTTAGTGTCGCATACTTCCAAGCCATGGCCGTCACCATGCGACCAAATGAGCTTTTCGAAAAATGTCGGCATGAGTTTTTTGTGGTGTGCCAAAATCTTTCCGTCGTCACTGATCAATACATAGGAGTTCCACAAGCATCCCACGCTAGACCTGGACCTTTCATTAAAACCTAGACATACCAGGACTTTCAATTCGGCGCATAATTGCTGAATTGCGAAGATCTCGGGACCATTGACATAAAGTGACTGCTCACATAGCTTTTGGAAAAGTTTTCCATTGTCGACAGGGGACTTGAACTGAGTCCAAACAGGATAACATGGGACGAATGTTTCCGGAAAGCATATCAACTGGGCGCCGTTATCAGCGGCCTCTCTTATCCAGGCAATTGCCTTTTCAATGGTGGCCGCAGTGTTGAGCCAAACAGGTGCAATATGGCAAGCAGCAATCTTCGATACAGGAAAACTCATGGCCTTATATTAGTTGAAAGAGTCCTATTCAATCCGACCGATCTTCTATTCCAGTACTGACAGATGTTTTGAATTGTTCAGCAGTGTTGATAAATAGCTGGCCATATTTGTACCTTGTTGGAGCGACATCCTGAAAAGTCTCTGCTCTTGGCGGCAGTCGATAAGCGCTTCTTCAGAAGTGCAATATGTCGGCAAGTCAAGTTCCGCTATCTGAACTTAAACCGTTAATAGTGTAGTTTTCGCCTTACCTGTACATGCTATCAGAGCGGCGGTAGCGCCGATTTCAATGCAGGTGCTAATACTAGTATAGTCATAGCAACAAGCGCGAAACTTGATTATCGAGAAAACTTTCAGACACAAGCAGTTCATGAGTTTCAACAAAGACAAGCCACTTTCTCAGAGCGCGCCCATTTGCCGTCAGCAATCGGGGGTTTAGACGTGGTGAGATATGCGTTTGCAATAGCTGCATTTCTGCGACAGTGTAACTGAAAGTTGGATCCCTACCTTGAACTAACCTCATGTAGATAAAATGGTTGACCTTCGTATAACCGTTCTTTGCTTTCTGACAGCCGTAGAGCTCAAACGCGTCATTCTGGTTTCTCGCCTATGTTTCTAGCATTCAGACATTATCACCCTTCGATAATGATTTTCGTGGCCTGGCGGATAATCAACATGCGACCGAGGCATTGTTTGGGTACAGAGGACAACTGTTTGTCAAGAATTTATTTCGGAAAATTAATTTGCGCCGATTAACTGAGTAACGCATAATGATAAGATCCCTGCGAAACTTATCCGGATGGGCCATCGTTGACATGCACGGACACAGAACTTCTTGTGTGATCACGACGATATAAAACAATCTGTAGTATAAATAATAACAAAATGATCCGCCCCAAGGAGAGTTTATGTGGAATATTACACACTGTAATGTTGATTTTACACTACATGAAGAATTGATGGACACTAACTTAAAATCAGTGCATTGATCGAACGACCTATGACTTTTCAATTTCTAGACAAGGCTCCCGAAGAGTCGTACGGACCCCCAACACGCCGCTTTCCGCTGCGAAAACCAGAGAATCACCAGCCTCTTGTACAGCGGTGGTCCTTTTTGCTACCTGAAAAGGAGCCTAATATGTTTGTCGTTTTCGTTGGAGCTCAAGCGAGAACAGAAGAGGGACTAAATCGACATTCACTTGTCAAGTGGGTGGAAACCTATTTACGTCTTCATAAGAGCGGACCAGCCTGCGTTGATTTCTCGAAGAGACAAGTCAAACCAGAACTATTTGAGTGGGTAGTAGCGTCCTATTGGATCTCCACCGAGAGGTTTCGGGGCTGGCGTGATGATGAACTCGTTGAACAATGGTGGCACGAGTCAGAGCGGTTAGATAGCGATGAGGGGTGCTGGAGAGAGATTTTAACGGTCCCAAGAGATCGGCAGGAGAGTATATACTGGAAAGATTACCCGGCAGGGTTGATGGCCAGCGAAGCGGTTCAGATTTTCCCTACTCCGTTTTGTGGATACTATGGCGCCATGAGAGACAGGTTGCCGGCTGCCGCAAATGACGCACTTGAGTCGCCTTTGAAAGAGGAACTGGTTCCAAAAAACTGCCAGGCTACTCAGAGGGGCCACTGGAAAGTAACCGCACCTCACAACCTGACCGTCATTCGATCGGGACACTCGTGGGAAAGAATGGATGACGGGCAATTCAAAGATTACGAAAGAAGACTCAAAAGTCCGCTATCCATTGGCATGGCTTACCTAGCGAAAAACCCGACACCGACTGGTTGCGCATCACTTCGCTGGCTTTCAACGGTTGACTGTTCAGGTAAAAGTGTGCCCGAGGCCCATGCTCTAGGATATTTTACGTCTTTCGAGCAAATGGAAAATTGGGCAGAGAGACATCCCACGCATGCTGCAATCTTTAATGCTGCTATGCGACGTTATAAGTCCTATGGATCGCAAAACCAGCTACGAACCTGGCACGAAGTGTACGTCGTTCCAGAGGGCTTCCAGACGTTTGAATATTTAAATTGCGATTCAACGACAGGCCTTCTGCCCTACTTCGCAGCAGAAAGAATTCGATAATTCAGCCCCTCATAACTAATCAGAAGAGTATTATGAATGGCTATATCGAAATTATTGAGACATTTGGTGCAGAATAACAATGAAAAGAGACAATGGAACTTGACGTTGATCACGTCATAATCAAAGTGCACAGACGAGATTTTGATGAGGCGAATCTGATTTTGATGGCAAGCTTACTGAACGATCTTGTAGTCGATTATAAAATTATTAGCTTGGATCCAAGAATGTTTTTTTTATCCATTCGTGACCATTATGGTGCTAGGGTTGGCCCGGCTACTTTAACAAAAATCTTATTTTTATAACATTCTTCCTTGTGGGGGGCGGGGGTTTGAACAAAACAATGATCTAATTGTCCGTTCTAAACCAAGATCCTATAAGTGAGCTACGTCTCGGTATTTAAATTATTAAATTAGATTCCTATTGGACACTGTTTGGCTGCCTCGAGCCTTTTTTAGCCGGTAACTCAAATATGTAGTTGGTTTTGTACAGTCACTCTGTTCCGTTCGAGAGTGTCTGACATTTTCTGACCCCAATTATGACATTATGGCCGCGCCATCACTTTCTCCGCATGCCACAGCATGCACGCGATCGTGATGGCGAGACCGATGTGTAGCAGCTGTATCTTAAGAGATGCGATCAGTCCGCTCCAAAGCTGACCGCCTTGAGAAAGTATTACTCAGCAATGTCATCCATACCAAGGCACCAATGGTATGGAATAACTAACACACACGCAAAATAGGAAGAGCACCGATTCATTCCCGACATATTCGAAGTAGTTCATTGAAGAAAAAAGCTCAAAGAGCGGCACTTCAGTTGCCGACGCTTAGGGTGCTCAATTTTCCATTTGTGGATTATCGCCGCGATAAAATAATTAAAAATTCGGAAAGTCATTTAGCGACAATATCTGATAAGACTATGCAACACCAACGTCACCTGCGTGGTTGTTGAAGCTGGAAAATCTTGACAACTCTCTAGACAGTGCAATAAGTTAATAAATTCACGCCCGAATCGTAATTACTTTCAGGCCAGAAATAGCGGGCGAGCATTAAGCGATTAATCCTGATGAAGATTGCGTCGATTCGCCTTCAGTCTCTCATTCAAGGCGGTATATATTTGACAAGTTTTATCTTGTCCTATCAAGTGCTGATGGCTTCTGATGCAGTATGCTGTCAAGAAGAGTACACAAGAACGGTTTAACAGCGATCCATCAGGCCTCTATTGAAATGGCAGACGTAACAACAAACTCACTTACTTACTTTGAGGGGAAACAAAAACCCCTCCAAGGCACAGTTGAAGTCGAGACCGGCGTACTTGACATTGCAACGGTGGAGAGCATTGACATCGATGAAAAAAAATTGTTGAGAAAGATGGATATGCATATCATACCGGGTATATGCATCCTTTATCTTCTGTCTTTTATTGACAGAGGTAACATTGGTAATGCGAAAATAGAGGGTATGCCCGATGACCTTAAATTACACGGCAATCAGTGGAATATTGTTCTGACCGTGTTCTACTTCTCATACTGTGCTTTTCAAGTTCCATACAACATGCTCATGTCGAAGTACAGGCCCTCTATCCTTCTCCCAACCACGATGGTCCTGTGGGGTATTGTTGTGACGTTAACAGGACTTGTAAAGACCTACAAGCAGTTAATCGCTTGTAGAGTGCTCTTAGGTCTCGCTGAAAGTGGATTAGTCCCAGGGATCGTATTTTATCTAACCAAATGGTACACTAGACAGAATCTACAGTACAGAGAGGCCCTATTTTTCGCAGCTGCAAGTGGAGCTGGGGCATTCTCCGGCTTGCTCGCGTATGGAATCTCCTTCATGGACGGCTTAGGTGGTATAAGTGGGTGGAGATGGATTTTCATCATAGAAGGAATTGTTACAGTTGTTCTCTCAGGACTAATATATTTCATTACTTATGACTATCCTGAAACAGCAAAATTTTTGACTGACAACGAACGCCGCTACATCAAGTATAGGTTAACGCATGATTTTGATCTACGACTAAATGTTTCGCCAGAAGTCGCACTTGAAGCTTATCAAAGACAAGACAAGTCGCAGATTACTGCTGCTCTTTGCGACTGGCAACTGTGGCTTCAAATTTTTATCCAGTGGTGCTTCTGTACAGCTCTGTACACTGCCGCCTTTTTCTTACCTTCCATTGTCAAAAGTTTGGGTTACACAAATGCGAAGGCCCAACTACTGACAGTTCCACCCTATGCTTTCTCTATTGGCAGTTCGCTATTAATGTCCTATTACTCAGATAAGCTGGGCCTAAGATCACCTTTCATTTTTTTTTGCCAAATTCTGATGATTGTAGGATATATTGTCGCTCTCACGGTTGACCTCAAGGAAAAACCAGGCGCTGTCTATGCAGGAATTTTTCTTACGGTTGTAGGAACCTATTCTGCCTTTCCGGGTATGCTGTCATGGTTGCCTGTAAACGTCGATGGGCCTTACAAGAGGAGCATTTCTGTAGCGCTCCATGTCGGTTTTGGACAGATGGGATCCACTTTTGCCACCAACTACTTTAGATTGACTGATGCTCCAAGATACAGACTAGGCTATAGTATGTCTATTATGTTCGTGGGCCTAGGTATGCTAGCTGTCGTCGTTCTCAACATCAGGTACTATCTCTTGAACAAAGAAAAGGAACGGTCAATTATCAGTGGCGAAACTGATAGCATGACGGATGTAGAGATCCTTGCGATGGGTGATCGCAGCCCGTATTTCAGATACCAACATTAGTTGAGGCTTCAAATTAGGTGTATTTTTTTTATCAAATCTCGACAAACGACTTTAAAGAAGTATCGAGGGGAATCTTAATCTTCAGTAGAACTTACTACATTTGTCCTTTAAGCCATTCACAATCATTCTAAGATGGATAAACTTGAATCTAGGGAATTCAATTTACCTCTCCGTGATTATTTTGGTTTACAGCTGGTTCAATTATCCGAACCAGTCATTGATAGTTATACAAATATTTGAACCCGATGTAAAAGTTTTTATTGAGGCGAATCTGACTCATTAGTAGAAAGCTTACTAAATTTGTCTTGTAAGTCGGACATAGTCATTGTAAGATGAGTAACTTGGATCTATGGAATTCTATTTATCTCTCCGTGATTATTTTAGGCGTTAGAGCTGGTTCAATTATCTGAACAAAAGCCTGGTATTTATACAATTCTCGCTCAGTGACTCTGGTCAACTCAATTATTAATCATACGTTCAAGATCATTCTATTATCCATGGTTTACGGCTCTGATGCCGCACGCTACTGATAACATATCAATAGCCAATCCCATTGGACAATGGTTGTTCTCTTCGACTTGTCTGAGCTGTTAAGTCCACTTGTATGGCCTCTGTTGAGTACTATCATTTTGTACCACTGTGTCATATATTTACTGACACTGATTATGCGACTAGGCGCACATCACCATCAGTTTCCTCACATTATTCCCAACACTTAAGCCATATGAAAAGCTGAACAGTGTAAAAAAAGTGTGACGACCACTTGATTGCGGCCATATTAGCTCGACGGTTTTGTTGCAGTGCAGTGCAGGTTGCAGTGCTTGCCCTTAAGTGGTGAGCCCCCTCGCCCTTTTTTTGTATACTCAGCGCAGTCAAGGTCTTTAGCTCCTGCTGCAGAGACAGGTGAACGCCTACAAACCACTACTTAATGGTATGGTGACCACCAACCGGCCTGTCCCTTGCCATATGCTACCGCATGCTAACCATCTCCAGCTTGTCACCGGGCCTGTTCACCCAAGAAATGCGGCTGGTCACTATTAACGCGACCACCTCTAACGTTAATATAATGTTTCGGCGGTTAAAAACATAACTCTCTGAAGTCCACACTCCTTTTCGGCAACATCAGCCAATGACCAACGCTCGATCCAGACAAAGCTGGATGAAACGCTGACTATGCTCGTCTATTACAGACTCGCTACGGTAGCAAACTCCAACGAAATCGCACATAGAACATTTTATCAGTCATTCGCAGACCTGTTAGGACCTCTACCTGCTCGCTGACGGCTTTCAAAATTACCAAGTGAAGGCCACAACACTTTGCCCGGTGCCAATATCCCCCGTTCTTCAAGCCCTGGCTCTACGCCACTGGCCTACCTCGAGAAGTAAACAGCATGCTCTCCCGCATTTACACACGTGCGTCACACGTGACACACAGTGCGCCATGAGTACACCCACAAGTACATCACGGGGACTTCTTGGCTCGTGGAAATCATGCTTGGTTCAGTTCGACTCTGAGTACTTGGCATACCCGGCCACATCCAGTCGCACGACCGGAAATGCTCAGCATTCTATTTTTCCAAACCATGCTCTTCGCAGGCGTGGCGAGCTATGCGCTACTTCGCGAATTTCTGAGGGCCCAAGAAGAAATTAATTTCACTTCACCTGCTAATTTTTCTAGGCACTGACTTCACCAAGTACGTAAGAAGTTTCGTCCGCCTAATGATGCTGCACGCAAAGTACGGCATCAGTTCTCACTTCCCTGCTTACTCGTCTCCTTCCTTCTCAGCTATTTTACCCTTCGCTATTTCCACCACGTCATTGGAAGGGCCTTGTTGGGCCCTCATAATTGCGTAATTAGAATAATGCACTGAAGCAGCAGCGCACGGCGTTGTGGTGAACTCGCTTACGTTGTGTGCTGAGTTTGTTGTAACGTTGTTCGTGCCTTAAAAAAACAACAGCTTGCCCTCAGTCCTCAAACCAAGCAAGCAAGATTTCTCAGAACTATTCGTGGGTAACTGGTTTTTTTTGCCCTGGTCCGTTCGTCCCCTGTTGTAGAAGATACACAGAATCTACGTTACACTAAACTGCGCTGCGCCCAATACCACAGGGCATCGCCGATGTTTGCTTCATCCACTTTTTTTGGCCCCCAGAGTTCTGCTTGTGAAATGCGTACATATAAAAAGCACGACTTGAAACCTGTTGGAACCCGTTTTCAAAGAGTAGCTCTTTCGTGACTTTTTATTATTTCTTCTCATCTCTATCGCTGTTGAGCTTCGAGGCATACATTTAACATTTCAGTATGGCTTTTCTCAGCAGAACTAGCACCATGGGCCTTACCGGCAACCAACTGCGATTGGCCATCACCATCACAGCAGTCACCGGGTTTTCGTTATTTGGTTATGACCAAGGTTTGATGTCGGGTCTGATTACTGGGCAACAGTTTAACGACGAGTTCCCAGCTACCAAGGCCATAGACGACACCGACCGCAAGGCGACCTTGGTTCAAGGTGCCGTTACTTCGTGTTACGAGCTAGGTTGTTTCTTCGGGTCGTTGTTTGTCATGTTTCGCGGTGAGGTCATCGGCCGTAAGCCGCTAGTCATCTTGGGAGCTTTCGCCACCATCATCGGGACAGTTATTTCGACCTCTGCTTTTGGACCACATTGGGGTCTCGGGCAATTTGTAGTCGGCAGAGTTATTACGGGTGTCGGTACTGGTCTTAACACTTCCACCATTCCTGTGTGGCAATCGGAAATGTCAAAGCCTGAAAATCGTGGTATGTTGGTCAATCTTGAAGGTTCAGTGATTGCTGTGGGTACCATGATTGCCTACTGGATTGACTTCGGTTTGTCTTATGTCGACTCCTCAGTTCAGTGGCGTTTCCCTGTGGCCATGCAAATCTTCTTTGCACTATTGCTATTGGTCGGCATCTGGGAACTTCCAGACTCTCCTCGTTGGTTGATGTCTCGTGGCCGCAACCAGGATGCGCTGGAAGTTTTGGCCAAGTTGGATGATTTACCAATGGACGATGATGCCATTGTGGCCGAAGCCACTCTAATCAGAGACGCTGTCAACCGTTTCCGTCACGAAAAGCGTTCTATCAAGGACCTATTCACCGGTGGTAACTCTCAAAACTTGCAACGTGCTCTAATTGCTGCTTCCACTCAGTTCTTCCAACAATTTACTGGTTGCAATGCTGCCATTTACTACAGTACTGTTTTGTTTGAAAAATCGATTGGCCTAACGGGTAAGTTGCCATTGATTCTTGGTGGTGTGTTCGCCACAATTTACGCCATGTCCACTGTTCCATCATTCTTTTTGGTGGAAAGTCTGGGTAGACGTAAGTTGTTTCTATTAGGTGCTACTGGTCAAGCCCTCTCATTCACAATTACGTTCGCATGTCTTGTCAACCCTACCACTCAAAACGCCAAGGGTGCCGCTGTTGGTTTGTTCTTGTTTATTATTTTCTTTGGTATGGCCCTACTGTCTCTTCCATGGATTTACCCTCCAGAAATTTCCTCGATGCGCGTTCGTTCGGCTACCAATGCTTTCTCTACTTGCACCAACTGGCTTTGTAACTTCGCTGTGGTCATGTTCACTCCAATCTTCATTGATGACGCCGGTTACGGATGTTATTTGTTCTTTGCCGCTATGAACTACTTGTACATTCCTATCATTTTCTTCTTCTACCCAGAAACTGCTGGTAGATCTTTGGAAGAAATCGATATCATTTTTGCCAAGGCCCACATCGATGGCACCCAACCATGGAGAGTCGCTGCCAACTTGCCAAAACTCTCTTTGACTGAAGTTGAGGACCAAGCCAATGCTATGGGTCTATACGACGACGATTTGGAAAAGAGAGACTTGGATTTGGATGAAAATGCCGACGAGCAAGATCAATTGAGAAACCGCAATGACGGTGTTGCCGGTTACAATCTGTTTGAGAAGAGAGGCGAGGAAGAGGTCCAAGACCCCAACCAGGAGCCACATTCACAGGGCCCTGCTGATGGTTCTTCTACTTCTCAAAAGTCAACTTGATTTACATGTGCTTTTCTCGATTGTTTGATTTTATTATAACTTTCACCTCTACGCTCACCTTGTTTCGTACTCTGTTTCGTGGATACCATGGCATTCATCGGTTTTAAATAGCTAGCCCTTCATTATTCCCTGCATCCGGGCTCTGCGACCCATCCTAATTGTTATTATACTATAATTTATACAGTAAATTTTATACCATATTCTTTGAAATAACTGACTCAAATCTTCCGGATTCGCAGGCAGATATGACTGTCGTGTTAAGATGGCTAAACAGAAGTTGTGACCAACTAAACTGGTGTGAAATTACATCTACCGGCCGTGGCTATGATAATTAACGTTTGTTCACACCAATCGAATATGAGTAGAGAGAGCGAAAAAAACTAACGAGGAGCTGCTGACTGACCATAGGTTAGCGAAATAAGTGTTCGCACTCTGCACCACTTGCGGTTTCTAGTAGGGTTGAGCCTTGATAAAGCTGGAGTTTTCGTAAGAAAAGCACAAAATTATAAGTAACACAGTAAGAAACGCGTTGCACTCAAGAATCTTTTTGTTGGTGCAATCCTGATGACAGTTCAACTCAGGTATGTAGGGCGTCCTATTTTCCTGCCAGCTTGCATTGACAAAGAGAGCCCCCAGATATTTTGGCATTCCATGTCATCTCATAGAAGTTCATGATCAACTAACCTAGGGATTCACCTGATTCTTCTTGGTATTATACAAAGCCGAAAATCGCTCAATAGTAAGTGGTTATGTGCTACCTAGTTGGGCATTGGCAGCTATTGAACATACCTTTTGATAGTCATTATCGTTGATAATGTCATCATCTGCACTTTCGATGCTCATTCTTGAAAATAATTAGAGTCATAATTGAAGACAGCGTGAAATGTAACTCCTGCTTAGGGAAGCAGGCCTCGGGAGTCAACTAGATCCAAGTCTGAGTTTCCAGCGCAAGATTATCATCATGAAAGTATCTTCATCTGTTTTTCAATCAGCTGCCAAGAGCATAGATAAGTACGCCCAATTCGTTCCTAAGTCAGGAGTATTTCCCAAGGGATACGAAGTCGCTTCTTTAGCATCTGGCGTGAAGAAAAATGGTGCTTTGGATCTTGGTATAATCCGCAACATCAACAAGTCTAAAAAGTCCAGTGCTGCTGCCGTGTTTACAACTAATAGATTCAAAGCTGCGCCTGTGCAATTTTCAAGAAAAGTCCTCCAATCGCGTTCTGGCGAGGGTATTGATGCAATTGTGGTCAATTCGGGGTGTGCTAACGCAGTGACCGGTGAACTGGGACTACAAGATGCGGAAAAAGTTGCGGGACAAGTAAATAAGCTCGTTGGCAACTCTGATAGCACGTTGCTCATGTCCACCGGTGTCATCGGACAAAGGCTTCAGCTGGAAAAAATCACAGCTGGTATTGACCGTTTGTTTGAAGAAAAGAAGTTCTCGACAGATTTTGATGGCTGGCTGAATCTTTCCAAATCTATCTGCACTACAGACACTTTCCCTAAACTAATCTCTTCCAAGTTTGCATTGTCTGATGGTACCGAATATACGCTGACAGGTATGGCCAAGGGCGCTGGTATGATCTGTCCTAATATGGCAACTTTACTAGGTTTCATCGTCACTGACTTGCCAATCAAGACCAGCGTACTTCAACCTCTGCTCTCTGGAGCCGTCAACCGTTCCTTCAACTGTATATCGGTCGACGGTGATATGAGCACGAATGATACTATTTGTATGATCGCAAACGGTGCAATCGACACGACAGTAATTGATGAGAACTCTCCTGATTTTGAGAAGGTGAAGGATCAAGTAACGGAGTTTGCTAAGCAACTTGCTCAGTTGGTAGTCCGCGATGGCGAAGGTGCTACCAAGTTTGTTACCGTAAATGTAAAAAATAGTGCTGAATTCAAAGATGCTAAAATAATTGCAGAGACAATTTCAAATAGTATGCTGGTTAAGAGCGCTCTCTACGGGCAAGACGCCAATTGGGGTAGAATCTTGTGCGCCATCGGTTATTCAAAGCTGGAAAATCTTGCATCTTTGGACGAGTCTAAGATTAACGTCAGTTTCGTGGCCACAGATGATTCAACGCCTCGCGAATTGAAATTGATTGTCAACGGTGTTCCGCAATTTGACATCGATGAAACCAGAGCATCTGAAATTTTGAAGTTGCCCGACCTCGAGGTTTTGGTTGACCTGGGTACGGGCTCTGAAGAGTGCCAATTTTGGACATGCGATTTGAGTCACGAATATGTGACCATCAATGGTGACTACCGTTCTTAAGACATTCCTGTTAATTAGGTAATACACACCGATTTTTATAAAATAGTATCTACTCCACGTTTGACGGTATGCTTACATTTTCTGACAAAAAGCGCGCGAGTCTTTCAGCATCAAGGATAGCAGTTTTGAAGTACTGACGTTTTGGCAAAACTTTTAGTAATTCAATAACTTTATCGCTGACAAAATCTTGGGATTTTTGTTTTTTCGATTTTGTTCCTTCTCCAGCGATAGCCGAGTCTCTTGGCCTTTTCTTGTCTACTTGAGAGAACTCGGTTAAAAATTCCGGCTGAGACAAATAAGTTAGTTCTAATTTTTTAACCAGGTTGTTGTTTTGGACTTGATACCTATCGGTAAAAACTTCAATCTTTTCTAGTTGTGGGAATTTCTCGAAAAACCTGTTTTCAATCGAGTAAGCGTTGGTTAAGTTGCCAAATTTCGATTCATAGTTGATGACTTTTTTATAGATGGATTGAAGCTGATCAATATCAACTACTTTGTCGAGGGATGATTCAAATAGGGACTTAATTAATCCATCCTGGTTGATTAGAATGAGGAAGTCCAAATATTTGTTAACGTACTCACCGCTATTGGCGAAGTATTTCATGCCCAGTTCTAACACCTTACATGCAGTTTTATGATCATTTTGATTGTGGAATTCCAAGTAAGCATTTTCGATGTATATCTCATGTGTCAATAAATCTTTAAGCTTGCGACATTTACCAAAAACCTTACGAGCAGCTGAAAGTCCCGATACCCTTTTTAATGCATTCATGTATATACAATAAAAGAAGGTTATCTTTTGCCGTTGGGCGTAGGTATCTTGGCTCTCATCAGTCATTATGTGATACTCCAAAACTAGATGGTCGATACTTTTCTCAAAGCAAAGTTGCATTTGAGGTACATCATTTTGAATTTCATAATGCTCTGCCAATTTGAAGGCTAGTGTACAGGAGCCCGGATTTGCGGCCAAACCTTGATCCAAGATTTCGCTGGCCTTAATACTGGAAGCTATTGCCGCATGCATGGAGTAATTGTACCAGATCTCCGGTGCAAAAAGCATGTACTGCACGGCTTGCTTGTAGACGTAGTCGACCCTGTGCGCGTGTTCCACCTCGGGAAGATCAAGTTTATTTTCCAATTCCCATTTTATCCATGTTGTCCATAAATGCAATTGTTCCACATCGTACTCACCCGGTTGGGGAACGTTTTGACGTGTGAATTGCGAGAAACGAGATGGAAGCGTCCTCTTCAAGCCTCTAGTAATGTTGGCCCATTCTTGATACAACGACCTCGCCTTCATGTAATTACCAGAGAGCTCTCCAATAAATTTTCGTGCCGTCAAAGAGTTCACCTCTTGCTCCCATTGTGTGTACTTATTCCAGGAGCGTTCAAGGCCCTCGAAAGGAATACATAGCATACGTTTGTACAACGTACGAGTGAGATCCACTCGCTGCTGTTCTTCCCACTTGCTAACTGGCTTCCAATGCTCTAAAAAAGAAAGATATTCACTCCAAAAAGTAGCCGATCTTGGCTCATAGCTTGCACACTTGGTAGCTACAGCGTCAAACGCCTTCAGAACCACGCTACGTGCCTCTTCACCACCTGTTATGATATTGTTTTTTCTACGGACAAAGTCCAGATACATAAACCACAATCCTAGGTCGTTGTTCTCTAGCGGTCCGGACAAACTACGCGTGAGCAAACTCTCTGCATGCGCAAATTCGTCGCGCTCAAGGTCATAGCTGAGTTCTGCAGTCCAAATAGACGCAAATAATGGAAAACGTTCGTGAAGTTGATCCAGCACCTTACGAGCCTCTTCAAGCTGGTCTTGTTCTTGCATTAGGTTCACAAGCTCTAAGTATGTACAAATGTCGCTAGGACCCTCTGCGATAGAGTCCTCCAGTCTACCGCGAACATCGTCGTCTGCTCTAATTTGCCGCTTGCTGGGTCTTTCGAAACCCCCTGAGCCGTTTTTCACCAATTCCGGAGTTTCAGACATAAATTTTGAGGAGCTACAGACTGGATACAACCCAATCACTAACTTGAGGTGGTATAACTGTGTAAAGCTCACAGCTGAAAAGCGCTCTGGCTCATTTTCTCATTCAATAATTTAATATGTTGTTAAAATCCCAGCTAATCACGTGATAATCACACGCTCACCAGGGCTCTTGTATCCGACTCTCCGCCATTCTTTCCGCGATTGTACGGCTGCTTCATAACCTCCATAGATTCAAAATACTACAAGCGGACATTAGCGTCTCTGGAAATGCTGCGAAACTCAATTATGCGGTTTAAGGGCTGGACTAACTTCGGGTCAGATTTTTAGGAAGTGAGGACAGAGCAAAAACAACTAATGTCAAGATAGTGACCCGTGCTATTGATAGCTCATAGTCTCCGTAGACACCTTCGTCGCCCGGGCTGCTTATCCCGGCTTCACTGATTAATATATAGCTTCATACGAAATGACATTTCTGACGCTTTGGGCAGCTATGCATGTGCTTATTTGTGATGTGCTCAGTTTCAGTACACATATGCTAAAACTAAGAGTCGCAAGCTCTGTTAGTGGGACCTGGCGCTCTTTAGCTCACGGTATCCTGTAGTGGTATCTAATTCGATACGTTAAAAATGATCAGCGAATACAATTAATAGTATAATAGGCACTACCGCTACCAGAGACAGTCTTGGAGATCTGATTGCTTCGAAAAGGCCTCGAAAACTTCTGCTATGGGTGCCGTTATACATCTGTGGGGCCTGGATGGGAAACCTAGCGTTGTATCACCCGAAAGCGTGGCTCTTTTTTGGTACTTAAACCATTTAAACGTGGGTTCAAAAGTGACCATCGTATATTCGAACAACACCGATTTGTCGCCCAACCAGGAACTCCCGGTGCTGCTGGATGGCTCGAAGAAAATATGTGGTTACGCTGATATCGCGTCGTACTTTAGTCCTACACAATCGGTGCTAGAAACAGCGCTTCTCCAATATGCCCAAAACCACATAGGCATTTTGACCCAGTATCAACTATATCTCAATCGCAACAATTACGATCGATTCACGCGCAAAGTATTTGCATATCTACTGCAATGGCCCATGTGGTACAATACGCCTTTGAAAAACAGAAGTTTGGCACGGCAACAAAGCGAAACGCTCGGGTACTTTGCACACCCGGACGACGCCGACCATGCAGAATTCGACGCTGATCAGGTTGATGACCTGGTGCAATCGAAGGCCTTCAAACTGACACAAGCATCCAAAGCACGTAAAGCAGATATGCTGAAATCTGCGCGCTTCAATTTACAATACATGTCCCGCTTGGGCGACCAGATTCAATCCTGGCTCGATGCTCGCGAAAAGCTTGGATCCACACAACCCATAGCCGCAGACTATCTGGTTTGGGCAAATTTATTCGTGCAACTCGAACTGCCCGACGGAAATCTAGTGCGGGAACACCTGCAGCACGCCCTGGGAGACAACAGATACCGCGAGCTCACCGCGAATTTACAAAGATGTTCCCTGTTAGACTCCCATCTTCCTTACAGAGAAGCCGTCTTCAATGAGCGTGGGAACCTCCTGATGAGTGCCTACCACGCTGTTGGTAGACTTGTTTAGCTCTTGGGTGCACGCACCCATCAAGCGCTACTAGTTTTTCTTTGGTTTGTGAAGGCCCTTGTACATAAAGTAATACACCACGGTGCCGTCGTCGTTGGCAATTCCCAAAACGATCCTTCTACAACCCAGCGTTGTGAACACCCCGTCTGCTATCTCCAATGTCAAGTTTCCCGACCGATACTGCTGCAAATCGACCGGTAGGATCCATTCTCTCTCCAGTTCCTTATCGTCGTTACTGAGCTTGTGAGGAGGCATTCCACTCACCACCCAGCACTCGCCAGGAACGTCTAACTTCAAAATTTCAACTGAATCCCATAGTTGTTGTTGAGCCAAGTTCGTCTTGACAAGGTCGAGAATCGAACTGTTGTTCATTTAAATAAACCGAGTGCCAGTCCTCAAGATCAAAGGTTCTTCGGAAGATTCCCGATGACCTTATACGTTTAAATTTTTCAGACTACATAGTGATTAAATAATGTATACAATATAAATAAATACACTATATAAACTTTTCCGAACTTATAGCTACCAAAATATCGCAAGAGGAAATAGCTTAGTACATTTGCCAATGGTTTTCGTTCAGTCGATTTTATACTTGCTGCTGATCTGGACCGGAATTGTGCAAGGAGTAAGGCAAGTAGTAAAGCCCAGACCTACGACGACAACGTCGGAAATACCAAAACCATGGCGGAGGACCATCTATTCAACACAGGTGGAAATTGTTACACCAACAGTAATTGCAGGTGTTACATTATCTGCTAAACCTCTAGCCACGCCAGATCCGCTGCAGCCTTGGATCTCTTTGGACAAATTCGGGAATCCAAAAACCATCAAACCGGAGATAAAGAAGGGACGCACTGCCAATGCTCAGCCGGACTATAGCACCTATTTCAAAACTGCACACACACAGACTCTGTCGTACGAAGAACTGAAGGCGCATAATATGGAGCCTGACGAAGTGCTCACGGAGGAGTATTTTGAAGACGAAGACCCTACATACGTCTCGCTAAACCCGATCATCAGATGCACTCCAAACCGGTACCGCAATAAAGGCCTCGCCAAGGACGTATCTAGTGAACCGTTTTGCACACCGTATGAAAATGTGGACTGGAAGGTAGACCACACCTACTTCATAACGTGGTTCACGCGGTTTTTCGAGAATCCAGAATCCGACGAGGTGGCTGAGAAGGTCAGGCTGCATCTCTTCTACGTTCAAGAAAAGTCTCATGAAAAGGGCTTCAAGAAACGGGATCTAACTGCTTCTTTCTTCAGTTCAGAATGGGTGGAGAACGTTGACGGTTTATATCCCCTGGAGATTATTGAAGAGTGGCTGCAAAGCAAATATGAAAAACGCGTACTTTTAGCTATCCAACCAGACTACGTTTCAGACCAAGAGTTTGATCCTTGGAGCAATGGAATTCTGTTGCGCATCATCATGGGTCCTAGAGTCTTCAAGAACACAAAGCAGCAGTTAGCTCTTCAGGACGCAGGGATCTCGGACGACACTTGGTACTACGTGGCCCTGACTATGCCTACTATTGTTGTGGTAGCTTGTGTGGCCATGTATTTCTTCCTTTACCTCAACAAGCAGCATCGCGACATCCGTGATATTAGACAGTTCGCAGTTAACCAAAGACGCCGTGTGTTGGGTAAGTTCAAAACATATCAAAAATACAAGAAAATTAACAACCGACCTTACGATGAACTTCCCACCCACAGCAAGAAGAGCAACAAACAAACGTGAGCCGCCAAACTGTACATATGCTACATACCTCCACAAGTTCGGCCGACATGCTGGTAGTATATAACGTCGATGTCCAAGACTTATATCCAATCTTGTTCTGCTGCAACTTGACAAATTTTCTCCAGTGTGACAACTCTTGGATCGGGTTTATTGGAATCCTCCTGAAAACTGGAGCTATCTTCGTCCACTATTTCCTCGATATAGTAGAAAAATGGCTCTAGGACTATCATAATCTTCCAGAAATGCAGGGTTCCGCAGTTAGCGAAAAGAACATCAATTAAACACGGCAAGTACTCGAGCTCAATGTATTCTTCTGCGCTACAGACAAACTCGTCCAATTCAAAATCCTGCTCGTCTGCTGAGAGCGTAGCGTACATCTCTGACAATAGCGTTAACTCTTTGCTAATGGTCTTTGGAATATCTTGGCGTGCTTGCCATAAAAGACGCTGAGCTGTTTGCAGTTTTCCACTTTCAGTAGGATCTTCGGAATCCGTCAGCGACGCTGGCGGTTCCCGGTTGGCTGGCAAGAAGCCATTTCTTTCACTCTTTTCCATAAGTTCATTATATTCGTTGTAAAGTGATATTATCTTCATCATCGGTTTGTACAACTGTTGGCATACTTTCTTTTCGCTATTCGGTATAATCACCTTTTCCAAAAAATGGTTGATAAGACCTTCCATGAAGTTGGCCCATATCGAGCTGAATACGTAGTTCTCGTCATGTTGAGCTTCACTGAAATTTTCGTTAATGTTCTGACGCATAATTTCCTCTATCAGCGTGCCATATGGCTGTACCAAATGTGGTTCCTTCGACGTCTTCGGATCTTTTTCTTTTACTTTGGTTTTGGGTTGCTCTCTGATTTCGCCCTCCTTATCGAGCCAATAGTCTGCACCACCCCGTTGCGAGAGTGTAACCAGCAGCAGAAATAACCTTACTTTAGTCCACGGGAGTATACTCCTGGCCTGCATGTCGCTGATGATGTTAACTCCGCTGTTAATTTGTTTATGAATGCACTTGACGAACAAGATGATGTTGTGGGCACATTTTTCGCCATACTTATCAGCCAAATATGGCATAGAAGTGATGGCCTCATAGTTTGATTGGCGGAGGTTCATATGCTTCATGAAATTGAATCTGTACCTTACAGGAGTTTTGCCTGATCTGCGCCGACCGCAACGACTGCCACAATTTTCGGCACAAACAGCCTCTTCTGTTTTAACCATGGGTAGCGCAACCTATTTCTTACAAGACCGGACGTCAACTCTTAACCTCAAGGTGTGATGTTCTAATGCTACGGGCGGTACATCATAATCGATTCCCATCAGAAATTTTTCATTAAATTTCTACGAGTCGTTTATATGGGCGTACCTCAAGTTGCGACTGCAGAAATGAAGAGCTGACGCCGGGGAGGATTGACGTGATATATTCGGCTCAAATAAATAGTTGTGATGAATTGACCAAACCAGGCTTCGTTTTCGCTACCTACCAGCTAATAAGAACAATCAGCTCTACCTTTATTTGGACCCTATTTCAAGGTTAAACCTCAACTGTCCTAGAAATTTCATTTGAGAACAATTGTTGACGTTAACCTCTCAAGCCGAGGTTCCCTATCTTAATAAGGCACGATCTTGCAAGCCGAACGTCTATACCAGGAGGATACTGCTTATATGCTTAATGTTACATTAATTTTATTCATTAATCATATGGCTAATTAATCTACAGGCTATATATTATTTGGTGACATCCCTTATCTCAGACGCCGAGTCGTCTTGACCTACCAGCTCGGTGATGTCGAGGTCAAGGTCATGAACCACTTTTTCTTCCACGTTTTTGATATCCATGAGACCATAGAAGGCAATGGTGATGAGCCCCAATATAGCAGCCAAACACGAAAAAGTCATGGCCACAATGCCCTTAGCAGTGAAACCAGTTGGAATGAATTTCTCTTGCACATTCTCGCCGGCCAGGTTCATATAATCTTGAGAATTCCCGGCCGCATTGCCTTTAGTAGGAATGCCTACATTTTTGCAGACATTTTTGTGGTTATCAGTGAGTTGCTGCCCATGCGAGGCCTGGATCGATAGTGGGTCTTCAATTAAAACAATAGCCAAGCCCTGAGTCAAATGCCATTCGATGTGACAGTGGAAAAACCATACACCGGGATTGTCTGCCTTGAAACGAACGACAAAGTTGGACTGGGGCCGAACGTAAAGTGTATCTCTCATCATAGGATATTCGGGGAAAGCAGGGTGATCATCTTCCAGATATGGATGAGGCACTTCGCCTAAAGCATCATCATACGCCTGATCTCTGACCATGGCTTGAAAGACGTGCCCGTGCAAATGGAAGGGATGAGTACCTGTGTCTTGGTTATTCAAAACGATTTCTATAATCTCGTCTTTTTCAAGCACGTAAGCGTGTGTGTTACTGCCGTAAACTTCGGCATTCACGGCATCGTCACCTGCAGACAAGGCAGTCAGCAATGTGGGCACTTTGGGCTCAGTGTATGTCAGATTGTTGAAAAATGCATAGTTGATACCGCTTCTTAGATTGTCCATTGTCACGTTGACAACAATCTGATAGTCGGGATCACCGTAGGCCTCAACTTTGTCGTGAGGAACTAAATAGAAGTCGTCCAGGATATCCAGTTCGTCCACGTAATTTTGTTCAGGCAATGCCACGTCCTTGTTATAAACCATGTAGTTGGTGGTGTTCAATTGCAAGTCGCTGGGGACCAGGTCCAGCATGGTGTCGTCAAACTTCTGCATGATTGCAAAGTTCTTAGAAGTGCCGTTCTTCGTGTGGATCAAAACTGCATAACGTTGAGCTGTGGTGATGTACAGCATATCTGTCGTGTTTTTCTCCGTGTACACACCGTCCACCTCTACTACCGTCATTTCGTGATCCTCGATCCACAAGTATTGGGAGACAAATCCACCGGTGTTGACAATACGCAGCAGGTATGTGGTGTCGGGTTCAACCTCCCAGGTCATGTTACGCGTGTTGTTCATAATCAAATTCTGTGGGATTGGCTCAGCACCGGTAGGATTGTAGACACTCATAAAGTCTTTGTTCAGGACGTCAGCAACATCATGGTACCATTCTCCCAATTGCAAAACCACGTCCTCATCGTAGTCGTAGGGAAAATCATCATCTTCAATAACAAAAGCACCGCGCATACCGTCTTGGTACTGGCCCTTCGTGTGCGAGTGGTACCAGTACGTACCCACGTTGCCGTCCACAGTGAAGTTGTACAAGAAAGTGTCACCAGGCCCAATCGGACACTGAGACACCATGGGAGGCCCGTCCATTTGACTGCTGTTTTTCTGGAACATACCGTGGAAGTGAAGGGTGGTATTGCGGTCGTCAAACCCGTTGTTCAGATACAACTCGATTCTGTCACCTTTCTTGACTCTGACATCGGGCCATGGCCATTGACCGTTACACGTGATCACAGGTCTGTCCTTCCCACCATCCACATTCTGCACGCCCCACCCAGTGGTCCAGTTATAAACGTGGGTTTCCGCCAAGACAGATTGGACTGCCAGAGCCGCCGTCAGGGCAAGCCAGCCAAGAAACATTATGAACTTCTGCTAATAATGTTTTGTCTCGGAGAACTAAACTGCTGACGCTCTCGAGATGACTTTTATTGCTCATCTCAAGAACACTTTCTGCCCATCGAGAATTGGCTCCCGCAGTTATATAAGACCTTTTTCGGGACTTGGCCCGTATCCCATGCGGTCAGCATTCCTAGGTGCGATAATGCGAATTTTTCGAGTCAATTCAGTAAATTTACGCCTATTTTTTTTATTTTGGGTGGGCCTTCGAGATACCCTGCATGATTAACGAGAAGGAACCATTAGTCTCGGGAGACGTTGCCCTGGATGTAGCTTAGTAGCGTAGTAGGTATCATATTTCGATGGGTGCGATCCGATACCGGTACTCGTTTTCCCAGAATCACTCCCATGACAGGGCATGCGACGACTGATTGCACCTATCGTAGCATGTGCGGTATGTTTTGAAGGCGAAAATACTGCAGCTGGGTGCATATATGGGTTTCGGGGTGCACTTGGCTAAATCCAACCTGTAAAAGGGCCGATTCCGGAAAGCTTGGGTGCAGAACGAGATCGCGGCCCGAGGTTTGTTAGCGAGTTTCTGAGGTTGCCAAGAAAACTGATGCATTATTGGAAGTCCCAAGAGAAGTGGATTTGGATGGATTGGTTGGCGATTGGCCCATCTGCCTGAGTATAGGTAACTTGCACAAATGGCCCTTGTGACCTTGGTGGTGGGAGAAGCTGACTGTGCCAAACGTAATGCTTATCTGGCAAGCTTTATGTGCAGCGAGAGGCACCAGCAGCCAAAACTATCGAAAGGCAACACGCTCCAGTGCGGTTAACAAATGGGATAGCTCGAGTTGAAAGCCACCAGAACGCCCAAAACTGCTGGGTAACGTTCATTTATGATAATACTCGAATGAGCGTGTGCATTCCCAATCGCGTGATCGTAGGGTCGGGTTGGGTCCAACTCCAAAGTAGCTAAGCTGTTTTCCCTGACATTTGCCACGAGTAGGAGAATGTAATCGTTTTTGTGGGAGTTCCGTAGAACGAACTGCCGAGGCGGTTTGAGCCCCCGAGATAGATATACAGTCCACAATCTTTGAAAACTATGATCTCGAAGGCAGAGAAGCATTGGCGATTGCTGAGCTTCAATCCTTTCTGAAGCAGGACCCGCCTGTTATGCGTCCGAAGCCGTGATGTTTACATACTCCTACACACTATAGATTCTTGTCTAGACCCTTTATGTTTACAATTAAAAGATAATCACAATGTTATGATGAAAGAACATTTTACTCTCAGTTTAGCAAATAACGAAGCTCTGCTTAGATATGAGTTCAATAGAAAAGTTCTTGAACCAGCAACCTTTGATCGTCCACTCCTCGCTAGCACAACTTCGGTATCTGGTACTTAGCGAGGGTATCCCAATCGCGAAAGACAAACCAGCAGCGCGACTGAGAAGTAACGTATGGTCGGTATTAGCACGTTCATCTATGGACGGTGCCACCTCCGATTACGTCTCCCTGGTACGGCGGGGCCCACCTCCACATTCCGTGTACTCCAAAATCAAAAATGACACCTTCCGGACGCTGAATACCGATCCACAGTTCGTAGCTTGCGTCTCAGAAGACGCAATTACAAGGTGCCTCTCTTGCTTCGCGTGGTCCGTTATTGACAACCCAGAAGAGGATTTTGAACTAAGTACTTACGTGCAGGGCATGAACGTTCTGCTAGCTCCCATATTGTACACTTGTCCGTCAGAGCCCATGGCGTTTAAGCTGTTCCAGTCTCTGTGCCACGACCACATCAGAACCTACTTAAATCAAAGTCTTACAGGAGTGCACAACGGTGCCAAGCTTCTAGATATGTGTCTCAAGGTTATAGACCCAAAACTCAGCAAGTTTTTGGCGGATAATCTTTTAACTGCAGAGATTTACGGGATTCCATCAATACTTACGCTCTCCAGCTGTACAAAGCCCTTAGACCAGGTGTGCAAACTCTGGGATTTCATGTTTGCGTACGGATTTCATATGAACATTCTATTTATTGTCGCGCAACTGGTGGTCATACGGGGTCGCATTTTGAAAAGCAACTCTCCCATGAATTTGCTGCGTGTTTTTCCCGAGTTTGATGCCGAAGAGATCATACGACTAGGCGTTGGTTTTGTTGCCAAGCTACCGACCCAAATGTATGACTTGCTAGTACGACATCTCGAAGATCCGGATTTGATAGTTGATTGAAGGGGAATTGGAGCTATATATTGGTGACCTACCAAGTCACCAGCCAGGGATTTTACATCTAGTTCTGGTCATAATATATCCATGTTATAGTCCCGCTCGCTAAAATACGAGCAGATCACAGTTCTGTCGTTAAATTGGCTCCCGGGAAGCTTCTGCATGGCTGTGCGAGCGCTATCAACGTTTTGGAATTTCACAAAAATCTTACCAATCCCCTCCTGAATAGTTTCAAAGCTTGTACGATAATCAGCGCCTGGTTTGGGTATTTTTACGCTCTCAATCTCACCGAAGGAAGACATCATTGACGATTTGGTCATACAATCGTACAGTTCTTTAACAAAATCCTCGTTTTTCAAATCTTTGCCATCTACGCAGTTCAGTAACATTATAACCTTTGAGGGCCCCCGGTCTTGTTGGGCTACGAGTTGCGGCAGTTGCTGAAAAGTCAACTCTGTAAAAGTTTGATGCAACTTGGAATCATTGGGTCTAATCCACTTGTACTTGGAGTTCTCGATCTTCCAGGTGATTGGGTCTATCAGTGCAGTGCCCGTAAACTCCTGCGAAGGGCCTACCGTTATCAGCTTCAGCCAGTTCACCTCAATGCCGTCTTCAGCTAGACTGTTTTTGAGCGACTCCTCGTCAGTGGGCCCCAAGTCTAACAACGCAACAACCTGGCCCTCGCAGATAGCTTCTTCGTGTTCGGCCTTACGCACACATTCCCCAGGTCTCTGCCAAATAAACTTGGATCCGGTCTTGGCTTCAATGTACTTTTGACAGCTTAGGACTATCGTCGTAATTTCTTCGCTGCTAAAATGCAACAATAATCGATTGTCTTGTAAAAATCTGGCATCCTTGACATTGTGAACTTCACCAACGAGGCTGACGAAGTCCTTGATGTAATTTTGAGCCCTCTCCATTTCCGTTTTGCCGGAGCCCACCGATGTCAAAATCAAAATTTGGTTATATTTCGTTTTGCTCATATTTACTCTCGTGGGGTCCTCAAATAAGATCCGTGTGCGCCGAGTGAGAACTCCACTCGAGACAATTCCGTCCAGCTTGGAGTGGTCCAAATCCTGCGGCTGGCCCGGCAGTGGAAATAGGCCGGACAATTTAGCTCTTTCCGCAGGAACATTTTCGAATCCCTTAGGGGGCCTGTCCCAGAGTGTAGGGCGGAGTCGTTTGCGTTCGCCTAGTGGTACTACCATTGACCAGTTCACGTTAGCTGTATTCCAGTCGTTCGCACTATTTATACCCACATTACTGCCGGTGCTTCCAAAGTTCCTGTTATCATATCTTGCATCGCTTCTGAACCTGCCTCCGCCGCCATTTCTGTAGCTCGTTCCACCTCCATACCTCGAACTTTGACGTTCTTGGTATCTGCTTCCGCTCGAATTCCTATTAGCTCTGTTGTCTCTGCTTCGATAGCTCTTGTTTTCGAAATTCTCCGCTGGACCAGCAGGAAAACGTCTGTTTCCGCCATTGAAACTCATTTTATAAATACAAGCCTAAATGTTTCAAATATCTGGTCTAAACAGTACGTCCTGGCCCAAGATGTGCCAAATGGTAGTGTTTTTAGCTTTGATTAAACTCAGAGATGAGCTGTTGGCGTACTTAACTTTCAAAAATATAAAGTAGCCGTGCTTGAATATGACAACTAAGCAAATAGAACACTTTTGACCAAAAAGCACAATCGCAAGAAAGAATGAGGCTCTTAGCACTTGTTTATTGCCTCTTAACTGTCTTCAGCATTTCCCAATGCGCATTACTTGGGTTTGATTACGGCGAGGAGTTCAGTAAAGCCATGTTGGTCTCGCCACATGCTCCCTTGGAACTAGTCCTAACCGCAGATAGTAAGCGAAAGGATGTATCCGGATTGGCTCTTAAGAAGTGGAGATCAGACATTGAAAGGGTCTTTGGCTCTGGAATTGCGTCTTCGCAGGTAAAAACGCCCAATGGCGCACTATTACATGTGAAATCGCTGCTGGGGAAGCAAATCGACGGAACGTTTAGTCATTACCACAAGTGCCACCCTGGTGTTGTGTTTCAACCCACACCGCGTGACACAGTGGCATTGGAAGGCTTGGGCTATAGATATTCGGTAGAGGAGGTTTTGGCGATGAATCTGGAGGAAACGATTGCGAGAGCTAACGCCCTCTTGCGATATGACAAGTCGATTACTGACAGAGTTGATTCCATTGCGATTACTGTACCGGAATACTTTACACAAGGGCAGAGACACGCTCTCCTCACGACTGCCGAACTGCCTGCCGGAGTTCGAGCACATCTGGTAAACGACGGTCTGACAGTGGCTATCGATTTTGCCGTCAAGCAAAGGAATTTCCCTGCAGGTGAAAAGCAGCATTTCATTCTCTATGATATGGGTAGTGGCTCGACGCGAGTCTCGCTGATTTCCATCGAGCAGCCCATAAATATTTCAGAACCGTTGATCTTGGACTTCATTGGATATGGTTATGATGCAGGTCTTGGCGGCTCTCATTTCACTTCCAACGTGGCAGACATCTTAAAGAATAAGTTCTTAGAACAAAATCCTAGCGTAAGAACCAGCAGCTTGGAAAAGAACTCCAGAGCTATGGTTAGGCTTCAACAAGCCGCCGAAAAAGCCAAATTGATCCTAAGTGCAAACGCTGATGCGTCCGTCAACATCGAGTCTTTGTACAATGATCTTGACTTCAAAACGTCGATCACGCGCCAAGAGTTTGAAGAGTTTTGCGAAGACTTGATTGTGAGAATTAATGCGCCGATTTTTGAGGCCCTAGAAAACCAGTTTCTCGAAAGGGTTGACCTTAAAGATATTAAATCTTTAATTTTAACAGGCGGGGCCTCGAGGACGCCTATGGTTCAAAAACAGCTCTCGGACTATTTCGGAGAAGACGTCGTGGCGAAGAATGTGAATGCTGATGAGTCTTCCGTTAATGGTGCGACTCTCAGGGGCATTCAGCTTTTTAAGTCGTTCCAAACCAAGCCCCTCGAAGTTGTAGACCGCTCGATTTACAGTTATGGTGTGGTCATTAATGAAAGTTCGGCACCGGCTGAGATTTTTGGGCGCGGATCGCAATACCCAAACTTAACGTCCTATTTAATCCCACCACAAAGCAATCTTAGCCACTTTTCTATTGACTTACGTGAAGATGATATGATATTCAAGAGCCATATTGTCGATACAGACCCTATTTCCAGCAAGTTTTCCCCTGAGAAGTGTCCCCTGGGAGTCGCATACAATCTGACTTTCACACTTTCACAAGGCAGAATTTTTGACCTGGACGCGATTGAGGCGATTTGCGGGCAAAATTCAGACAGTACCGACGGAATCTTCAAAAAGCGGTTTGCTGGTGGCGATCTTTCGAGCGAATCGCCAAACGAAGATGGTGAACCAGTTGATTCAGGTGTGGATAGAGTCAAAAAACTTAAAACCAAAGCAATCTTCCCTAAGGTTGCTCCTATGAGTACCTCGGAGCGTTTGACAATTAAAAAACATATGGAAACAATGAGTCAAAAGGATGCACAAAGACTAAAAATAGAGGAACTGGTAAACACGTTGGAAAGCACTCTTTATGACACTAGAGCATACTTAGAAAATGAGAACGTTTCCAGTGAGGGCCCGTCAGAGACTTTAGAGACGTTGAGTAATTTGGTTGGTGAATATTTGGACTGGCTTGACTATGAGGCGGACGATGCATCAATTGAAATTTTGGACAGGAAAATCAAAACGATTGTTGAATTGAGAGAGCGAGTGGTTCTATACCTGAGCTCATCTGGAGAACCACTTGACTATGATCAATTTTTGCAACTTTATGGTACTGGCCTGGACTTGATAAAATCATTTGAGAACAGCCAGCAGGTTGAAAATACTACCCTCGAAGCCTTGCGTGACAGTTTCAGTGATGTTGAGTTAGATGTGGTTAAAGAATTTAAGAAAATCAAAGCTCCTCGCCACTTAGCTCTACCTGCATACAAGCTGAAAGAAGCTAAAGAAAGCATGGAAAAAATAATTGCTAGTATAAATGCCATACTAGACCCCTCTCTCATGAGTATTTCACCTCGTGAGAATTTGGTTTCGTTAAAACTACAATTTGACGATGCCTTCAGTGATCTCAAGAAATATTGGGAGATCGATGAAGGAATTCAGAAGTTCAGATTAAACGAGCTGTCCTCACTTTATAGCAGACGTCTGAGAGTGATAAAAAAACGGGAGGAGCGCAAGAAAAGCCAAGAAATGACCTCACTTCAAGATTCTAACTTCACTTCCGGTACTGACAATCAGATGTCTTCGACCAGCTCCAATCCTCAGGAGTCATCTAGTACCACTCTCCTTGAGCATGATGAATTGTAAATAAAAGTGCATATATGTTCTGGTTGTGGCTATTTAAGCATATAGTTCAATACTTAGAATTAACTTCCAACGTTATCAAATCTCGTTAAAACTTTTCACCGTCTTTTTGATATATGCGAACTATATATTTATATTCTATCCAAGTCTCTCTGAAAGCTCTAGCTGATCGACATTTTGGAACGTAAAAGGCTCATAAGGATATCCTTCACCTTCGAAAAATTTCGACATAGCTTCTACCCAATGTAGACGTAAGGAGTGCAACATGGCAGATGTTCCTTCCATGAGTACGAGGATACAAACAGTCAGCACAAACCACATTCCAAATAATATAACTACCTTCGTCACGGCGAGCGGTGAGCCAGGACTTTCAGAACTGAATGCATTAGCTATGGTCATAGACCAAAGAACGCTGGATAATTGAGCGTGTGCAAGAGATAAGGCCCAAAGTCTCAGATATGACGCCGTATGGGATATACAGTTCAAGCAGAATTCAATGGTATGGATTACTTGGTGTATCATCACGTCTCCAAAATCGAACGATGCCGAAGGATCATCATGATAGTCAGTAACTACTAATTCTTCGCCAGCGTTCGCTTGAGACTCTAAAATGCTTTCCGTCACTGTTTGAGCATGAACACTCTCATAGCCGTGGAATTTTGCATTTTTATTTTGGGCTCTTAACTTTAAAGGCTTGTAAAGTAAGAGCCAAGGTACGCATACTAGGGCCGCGAGTAGAAAAAAGACTTGCAGAAATGCCTGACCACGAAATAACGGTTCCTCAACCACCCCCGGAGCGAGAAACATATTAATGAGCATATTCAGCAGACCAGGGGCAACCTTTTCATCCTTTATCCAGTCCTTTGACCATTTGTAGATGATGGCCCAGGACAAATAGCCGAATATTGATTGCATGAACACGAGCCCCGGAAGGAAATTTCCAATTATGTCGACTCGGGAGTTAAAAAATCTGTAATTAACCAGAGAAAACATCAAGGAATAGGTCATATGCGTGAATCCCATCAAAATCGACAGTTTCATCTTGTAGGAGTTGGTGAAAATCAAATTATTTTCAGTGCCGTGCCACGCGGAGTCGAGCCCAAAGGGATACACCCCCGATTTGACTCCTTCGATCGAATCACCAGCCTTGAAGTCTGAAGGCCACTTCCATCCTGATTTGAAAAACGTCATTGAAAGAGAGAATATATCATTGTAAAGAAGTCCAGTGTAAATGGAAAAAAATCCCATCAAGAGTATAACGTAGCGACCAGAAAAAGCCATGTCAAATATTTCGCCGTTTTGAGCTGTCGCAAGCGTTCTCTCGTTTAAAACCAAGTAAAGAGCAATCATAAACAAGATTGCACCATGACCAGCGTCACCAAACATAATCGCAAACATGAAAGGAAATGTTACGATGGTGGCCAAACCAGGATTAACCTCTTTGTAAGTCGCAATGCCATACGCATCTACAATGGCCTGGAAAGACTGGGTGAATTTATTGGTTCTGTGGAAAGTTGGTGGTTTTTTGTTGGTTTTAATGACGCTCACAACTGCACTGTTTTGTGACCCCGTATTCTCACTGTAATTTTTCAATGCATTGGAAACGGGCACTATTTCACTAGTGGGTATCCAGCCTTCTGCTACCAGGCCCTGAGATTCCTCTCGAAAAAGATTCAAAGCGGCATAAAGGAGTTTTTCTCTTCGGGAAACTGCTTTCCACATTGGCATCTGGTCGGCCACTATCAAAAGCTCGGTATACAGAGTCTGCTCTGTAGTTTGACATATTTGTTGAAGATCAGTGATTTGCGAATTGAGGCTCTGGATCGTTGATCTTCCTTCGTTGGTGGGGAAGATTTTGCCGTTTAAGGATTCAACCACTTTCCTGACCTTCTTTAGCAACACCTCGCCATGAGTAAACACAATAAAGCAATCTTTTTCAACAGGCAGACCATTCTCTAATAGATGTTCCGATATGGGTATGTTGTGGAAAAAGAGGTTTCCTCGCAAAATTCTGAAAAGAATTTTGTTCAAGGTCTCTACTTTTGCCCTGTTGATAGACCCTATTATGGTAGTACGATGACGAAACCCTTCCTCAAGATCTATGGCCCCTGGGTCTGGCCTCGATGCAGCGACGGTAGGGCCGTGAACGTCTTCTCCCTCGTCGTCAAATGAAAATGCATCGCTCAGGTTATCACTTATCTCACCAAAGTCCATCTGAAAATCGTCTGCATTGAGTTCTCTTTCTTGTTGTCCTCTGTTGACCCTCCCTGAGAGACCAGGATTCACTTCCAAATACCTATGACACTCAAAAGCCGTGTGTCGATGTTCCATCAACAGGTCTAGCCGTTGGTGTAAGTGATTCAACGAGTCATGAAGCTGACGGACGCGAGCCTCGAAGTCGGTGATCTCTGAAGCAAGGTCACTTATGGTATCCACGGTGTGGGTCTGCATCGTTGATATCAAAAAGCTCAAGCTCGGGTGTTGTGTGGCATTGTCGACGTCACTGTGCACTGTGTACTTCCATGTTTCTTTACTAAACTTCTGTACCACGGAGTCCATGTTTAAAATCAGTCTTTCCAGTTCGTCGAACTTCCGAATCTGGTTTACGTAGCCACGCTGGAACGCGCTGAGCTCGGTGTTCAAGTCCCGGAACATGATCGTTCCAAGGTTTCCCAGTAAACAAACAACTTCTCTAGAAATGTCCAGCGGGATATATAGCTGCACGTAGGTCATATCTGCAGACCCTAGTTGAATTTACTCAGTTAGTAAATCTCGGTCAATGGTATTCAGAAGAGCCGAACGCATTGCGCTACACTGGCTGGAGTTTGTAATACAGAAAAAAACCTACTAAATGTCGCTTCTTCTTTAGTCATCGCTGATTCACAATAACTATATGCCGTCTCTCGAAACTGCTGTTTACTATTACTTTCAGTGGTTCATGATCTTTATTCGAACTGTCCCCTTTAACTTATTTAAACTTTTGCATTAGGCTCATCGTCACGTTTAGAAGGTCAATTTCAATGTATTCAAAGAGTCGTCCTACTTCTTACCAAGACGAACAAGCGCAGGACTTACTCAGTTATTCATAGTGTTCATTAACCACCACAACTGTTTGTTTGCTGAGAAGGTGACGTGAATATCCAACTGGTCGAAAGTTTATCTTCTCTCGTGTTGGTAGCTTGACCTTTTCAGTCTAAAATTCAGGATTCAAAATCGGTTCAAGTGTCCGCATTGCAAAAATTATAAACAGGTACAGCCGCTTTGACTTTTTGTTGTTGCTAGCAGGTGGGAACCTTGTTGATTGTCGTGTTCCCTTGCATTCTAGTTTATAAAGTGTGTTAAGCTATTATTTCAACGCTTCTGGAATTGCAATAAAGTGTGTTGTTGGCTTGCGCGTAACTAAGTTACCGAACTATAGACACTTATCTCGATGAATGATGATTACCAAAGGACGCCTGGCTCGATACACAAGGAAAAATCGCACTCCAGAGCCTCCTCAGCGTCGCACTCGGACACTTCGCACTTAGCAGGATTTGTATTCCCGGACCTCAGAGCCATCTACAACCTTAAATTACACGAAATACCTGACCTAGCCTTTACGGAGGTAACGCTGTTTGGCTTTGAAGTCTATCTGGTTGAGCAATGGATTTTGGAGCGCAAGTTTTCCACGATCATTACTTCATACACGGGCTCTTCGCAAGATATCGTCCATGCAGTTAAATTTGCGCTGCCAGAATCCCCTCATCATTGGCCTACCCCTTTCAAAAAATACTACGAAGAACTCACGACCTTTGCCGCGCCCAAATGGACCGAAGACGGCACTATGTTTGTCAGCACCTCGTCGCAAATACCTTCTACGCTCAATCTGCTGCACTTGGAATGCGGTGATTTGCGGAAGATATGGGACGTTTTTAAAGTGAACATCGATCTCAAGCGGTTGCAGTGCGGCGGCAGATCCGCTCTATTGCTATGTGAACCTTCGGGGGCGTCGTGCGAAAAGTTTGCTCAACTCTACAAGGTTACGGCAACTACAATGGGGGCGAACGAACAGGAGCACGGCCTTTCAGTACACGCAGTGGACGAGCTCGTAAGTATGATTCAAATATCATTGACCTACTTCAACTTGCTTGACTTTAGGTTTAAGGACGGGATCCTGTGTGTCTTTACCGAGAAAGCTATTGTCGATTGGTGGTCCATATACGGGACTGTCTATCTGGGTTGTGATAGACCACGTCATGAGGGACCATTGGGCCCAATAACGGTGGCTGCGCTGGTTAGTCTTGTCTTGACCGTTTTTTTCAAGTTAACGGTTGTCAATTGCATGTCCACTAAGGAACCTTTTGACGAAGAGGCCTTTTATGGCGGTATTTACCAGTTTCAAAAGAAATATGGTTTATTAAAGGCCGCTGGTAAATCTGCTCCGGGCTTGGACCCGGTGACTATTTCCAAGCTGTTCGAGGTGACGCCAAAAATTTCTAATACAGATATCTTCAAGATAAAGAAAGTCGTGAAGTCTACAGTACAAGATATTGCGGGAAAAGGAAATCCGGTTCAATTATCAAATGGAATACTGACCACAGATTTAGACTACTTGACTAAGAATGTTCATGGTTCTATTTTATGTTTTCTCTGGCGTGGTAAAAACCTTAAATATTCGAACCCAAAGGGAAGGCCAAAGCAAAAATTCCGCGATCTGTCTTTTAACAGAGGAGATCCCACAGAAAAGATTTTAAAATCGAACGTAGCCACTACAAAAGCGGGCAATGAAGTCTGGGCGGACTCTGAGGAAAAGCTTGCGCGCGAAAACGAGTATCATGAGTATGTTTACGAACCTAGATTGTCCAAGAATACCTCTTTGAAGGCGGATAGAGCGGCGGTAAAAACTGGTGGGGTCGAATCTGAGTTTAAAAGCATGGAATCTACTTTTCACATTGAAATGCACAGGAGGTCATCTGCACCTTTCCTACCTGAAGATGTCAATTTATTGCAGCTGGACTACGAGAATGTTCCACGCAAAATCACAGGTCAACGTATGCTGGACTCTCGTCGTGTTAGCTTTTCCGTTATTCAGGACGCCGTGGACGTCTGGAGGTACCCTTTCGAACCTTCAATGGTAAAATGTGCCCGAGATTCTCTAAAGTTGGAAAAGAGCATCAAGCTACATTCCGATGTCTCGACCGAAGTTCGGAATGATGCTCACTTTAGAGCTAACTGTCAGTATGAATCTTTGCAAGAGGTTTATGCCCATTTGCAGTTCAAACTCAAAGAGTTGGATCAGTTACATTACGGGCTGGAGGGCAAATATTCTCTAGCAAGGAGCGATATGACAGAGTTAGATTCTCTGGTTTCCAAACTAAAGTATGATCTAAGGAGTTTGGAAGTCCGCATGAGAGAAGTTGATGAGCGTGTAGGCCAGTTTTGTTCAAAGATAAACAATATGGCCTGGTCAATTGAAAATGATAAGGTAAATAATCTTATGACCTCATCGCTCTACAACAACCCTAAGAAGCTTGATCGATACGCTCAGGAAATTTTGGAAAGCGCAGACAAGTTTAGATCAAAAGGAGTGTTACTCAATGTATGGAGGTACATTCGAAGTTCTTCGCCATCAATCATGCGAGAACTGCACCGATCGTGGGAGTATTTATGGAGGGGCTTCCTTCCCCAAAAATTATATGGGGACTACCGAACAGAACAGGCCCATCCATAAGAAGCCGGGCCCTGGAGTAAGGAACGTAATCTCCACCAGGCAAACCATTCAATAGGAGGAGTTTTTATGGACATATATTTGTAATTTTTTAATTTGTTAAGTTTAGTTTATATTTACCTTGTAATCGCAGTATTTTCGACCACAAACTTTGCATATCTTCAGAAGCGCTCTTTTGGGACCAGTCGATATTTTTTACAACATCGCGTAATTCGTCCACCAGCAAGTCTAGCTTAAAACGGGCGACGTCTTGAGTTTCCCTTAAATGTTCTGAACTTATTTCAACTGCTGAGATTCGAGAATTCACAATGCCTTCCATGAATTGAGACTCTACGCGCACTCTGTGAGCCTTTTGCTCGACTACAAATTGCTTAATCGACTCTAGCAAATCCTCAATCTGATCAATGAGAGCCCATATTCTTTTGCATACATACTCTTGTCGTTCAATGTGGTAAACTAGCCCGTAGTTCTCCCGTATCAGCCTCTCTTTCTCACTGTCAATGCTAATCTTGCTATATTTGTCCCAAACTTCTGGCTCAGGTTCGTTTGACAAGTCTTCGTATGATGTTTGAGTTAGTTTAGCTAGCCTTTGTAATAGGTGTTCTATTCTTCCTGTTCCTTGTCTTGTAGCTCTACATTCTGTACTCAGTCCTTTCGTTAAATGAAGCAAATACTCAAAGCTATCTGCAGAATGCTCCATCGCGACGAGTTTTGGTTGCCTACAAGACTATCTGCTTTACCATGATATGGCGAGAGCTATCACTATCAAGTTCCTTAAGTAGAGGAACGTGACTATTTATCATATACAGTCTAGTGTCGTGTAAAAGAAAAGCGGACTTCAAATCTCAAGCCCTTACTAACTACCATGCGAGCGTGCTTTAGGTCAATGATATTTTTAATCAAATGGCTTTTGAGAAATATGTATAACAGTAGGGCCTGTAGACCATAAGCGAGATGCTAAATTCCAAGGCGCCAATTCTTAGCCCTCCAGACTATGGGTTAAACTCACGCTCACCGCTGACTCGTTTACAGAGAACCAAAACAATCTCTAAGGACAGTTTGTTTTCCACATTGACGAGCCTTCAGTATTGAGGAACAAGTCAGGCAACAACTTGGCAGGCAAAATGTTCTAACAAACTGGCATCTCTGGAACTACTAGGTGTTCCCGTGATCCACGGTTTGTTTTCTATCACTTCCAGTAGCCTGAGGCAGAACCAGAATGGCCAATAGAGAATGGAGAATGGCGAAGTTGATTGAACGATGGTGAAGTAATGTAGCTGGTATGCTAGATATAAGCTTCACGCAATCCTTTCTAAGAAATGAAGCGGTGGCTCAATGGTAGAGCTTTCGACTCCAGTTAAATCCTGGTTTATAGGAAACAATTGCAATCGAAGGGTTGCAGGTTCAATTCCTGTCCGTTTCATTTTTTTTATTTTTGGTGGAGGACTAAAGGTGCCATTCGCTTACAGAATACTATTCGCTTATGGGGAATCAAGAGCTTCGTTCAACGTCAAAGTTAAAAGGATGAGATATGAGCTAGATATTACCCTTGTGTTCTTTTGGTCAAGAAAGTTTGTCCACTTTTATTGGGGCCGCAGTTCGAACGGGTAGTAAGAGTAGTAAGTGTCACTGTAGTATGTCGTGGAGTGATATCGGGTGTTCGTGCTCAACAGATATTCCTCAGAGCCGAAAGCGCCAGGAATAGTTGCTCAAAATGCGTCGTGACTTGCAGTGAATTCGTAGATCTTACAAGAAGAGACATGAATCTTGATACTGCCCTGGTACAGTCTTCCGTCTCTTGGCTCAACTCAAGATATTCGAAAGCAACATTCCCACGGTGTCAATCATCGAACAATGGTCAAACACCTTCGTGCTCATTGTGCTTAAGCTAACGATAACTCGTTCGGAAAAAGTGATCTTTCCATCAACATTTGATAACTACACCGCGGTTGGCAAGCAAGAGGTAAGCCAGTTTGGAAGTCAAGAGGTATCGGTAAAAATGGGATCAGACGGAACCCATCATGCAGATTACACTAAGTTTGATGGCCTCGCCAGAGAGGAAACACTAGAAATGCTGGTGTCTTCCTACCTAGCTTTGGCGGAGGGCCAAGATAACTGGGTTTGTAATCTTGCCAATGCCTCATCTTTAATCTGGCACGCTTACAGATCTCTACCCGTAGATATCAATTGGGCCGGTTTTTATGTTTCGAAGGACAGCACGGGCTCCGAGCTGATACTAGGGCCTTTTCAGGGCAAGGTCGCCTGTCAAGAAATAAAGTTTGGTGTTGGTGTTTGCGGTACAGCAATGAAAATGCGGGAGACACAACTGGTACCTAACGTCAACGAGTTCCCGGGCCATATAGCTTGTGATGGCGAAACCAAAAGCGAGATTGTGGTTCCCATTATAGGTTCTTCTGGCCAATGCCATGGGGTCCTCGACATCGACTGTTTGGATTACGATGGTTTCACGAAAGTTGACCAAATTTATCTAGAGAAGCTAGCTTATGCCATATCACAAACATGTAAATTCTAAGCGATAGATTGTCATTAGGTGGGCCGTGATAGTATATATGTAGTTAAGACCACGATTCACGTACTTTCATCCAAGAAGAAAAAAATTAAAATTTGATTTCGCCCAGGATCGAACTGGGGACGTTCTGCGTGTTAAGCAGATGCCATAACCGACTAGACCACGAAACCAACTATGAAAAGTTGAGAATAAAAGTTATGATATGGTTTCTCATCATGGTCAGCTTTCTAGGCATGACTATGTCAAAAGAAACGAAAAGTTCAATGTGTGGAAAATTTTGATGGGATGAGATGAGGTGCCGATGAGCTTCGCTAACCTACACAACATTTAACGCTAGTCGATCATTGTCAAGATAAATTGTTGATTCCAGTACCACAAGATGGTTAGGAAGCCCAATAAGCACTTATCTGGCTCTCGCAATGGCAATAATAAAGATGTTAAAACCAGCACGGTTGATAGAAAGCGTTCGCTAGTCGAAGCCGACGAGCCAAGCGATGATGAATTGATGGTAGATGGTCTAATAGACGACGAAGCAGACGAATCAGATGGCGAAGACAGTGAAGGAGAGGAAAATGTGAGCGGGGATGACGATAGCGACGGGGATGAAACAGGTTTATATCAGTCTGCTGAGGAAGGATTAGATGACGAAGAGCAAGAGGCGGAAAGTGATGATCAAGCTCAAGATTCGGACGAAGAGTTTAACAAACTTCTTGCTGAGGAAGAGCCAGAAACAGGTGACTCAGACGCTAATGAATCGCTGGAATTTTCTGATAATGGCGACTCTGCTTCCATGATAGAAAAACTTGGTAGCATCAAGTTGAATACTATTCCAGAGGGCATTCACACGACGTTTTCTGATGGTAGACCTCGTGTTATCAAGCCAGAGATCCAACCTACTTACGACAGCGATGACAGCGACGTAGAGACCCAGAATACCATCGGAAACATCCCACTGTCTGCTTACGACGAAATGCCACACATTGGTTACTCCATCAACGGTAAGAGAATAATGAGGCCAGCCAAGGGCTCGGCTTTGGATCAGCTGCTGGACACTATAGACCTTCCAGAAGGTTGGACGGGTCTCGTGGACAAGGACACCGGCGCAAGTCTTAACTTGAGTCAAGAAGAGCTGGAACTTATAGCGAAGATTCAGCAAAATCAAAAAACCGATGATTCTGTAGACTCGTTTGAGCCTTACGTGGACTGGTTCACTAGACACACCGAGACTATGCCCTTAACTGCCGTGCCGGAACCTAAAAGAAGATTTGTTCCTTCGAAGAACGAGGCCAAAAGAATTATGAAGATCGTAAGAGCTATTAGGGAGGGCCGTATCATTCCTCCCAGTAAACTAAAAGAAATGAGAGCAGAAGAGGAAGGTGCTCAAGACTATGATCTGTGGGGTGCCAGCGACGAGACAAATGATCACATCATGAACCTAAGGGCGCCAAAACTACCTCCACCAACCAATGAAGAAAGTTATAACCCACCTGAGGAGTATTTGATGACCAAGGAGGAGGTTGAAGAATGGAAAAACATGGAACCAGCTGAAAGGGAAAAGAATTTTGTACCTCAAAAGTATGGAGCCCTGCGGAAGGTTCCAGGTTATTCTGAATCTGTTCGTGAAAAGTTTGAAAGATCTTTAGACTTGTACCTTGCCCCCAGAGTTCGCAAGAACAAGTTAAACATTGATCCAGAATCTCTAATTCCGGAACTGCCATCTCCGAAGGACTTGCGTCCTTTCCCAACTCGGTGCTCTACGGTGTACAGGGGTCATGAAGGCAAGATCAGAACTCTTTCGATCGATAATAGTGGCCTATGGCTTGCTACAGGTTCTGACGACGGTACGGTTAGAGTTTGGGAAATCTTAACTGGTCGGGAAGTCTACAAAGTCCAGATTGTTGACAAGAAGGAAAACGCAGACGATAATGTCGAGGTCGTTGAATGGCATCCAGAACAAGCTAGCGGAATTCTCGCTGTAGCTGCCGGTGATAACATCTACTTAGTAATCCCTCCCATCTTTGGGTTTGAAATCGAAAACCATGGAAGGACGATAATCGAAGACGGATTTGGTTTTGACACCTTTGGAAATGTCAAGAAATCTAACCTCAATGTCAATAGTGACGACGAAGATGCTCAACCAGAAGCTCGAGCGGTGAAGAGCCAAGTGGCTCAATGGAACAAACCTTCGCAGAAACAGGCTGAGCGGGATATTGCGGTCGTTATTACCTGTAAACACACGGTGAAAAAGCTCTCATGGCATAGAAAAGGTGACTACTTTGTTACTGTTCAGCCTAAATCCGGTCATACATCTGTGCTAATCCATCAACTATCTAAGCACCTTTCGCAGTCGCCTTTCAAGAAATCCAAGGGGATTGTAATGGATGCCAAGTTTCATCCTTTCAAACCACAGTTGTTCGTGTGTTCTCAGAGATATGTCAGGATTTACGATTTGTCGCAACAGATTTTGGTGAAGAAATTGATGCCTGGTGCTCGTTGGCTATCGACCATCGATATTCACCCAAGAGGTGATAATTTGCTTGCATCATCCTTTGACAAGCGTGTCCTGTGGCACGATTTGGATCTAGCGAGTACACCATACAAGACCTTGAGATACCATGAAATGGCCGTTAGAAGCGTCACATTTCACAAGAGACTTCCTCTTTTCTGTTCGGCTTCCGATGATAGCGTTATCCACGTTTTCCATGCCACTGTTTACGATGATATGCTAAAGAATCCGCTATTAGTGCCACTAAAGAAATTGGAAGGTCATAAAACATCCAACAGCTTAGGTGTACTTGGTCTAGCTTGGCACCCTCGTGAAGCTTGGTTGTTTTCTGCTGGCGCTGACAATACAGCCCGCCTATGGACCAGTTGAATTGACACGAAGTAAAACATGTATAATAAAACATTGCAGAATAGCTGAGGACCCTAATCTTGTCAAAGTATATAGATTAGCCGGAGGTCATCCGCTTATACTTTTTTCCTTGTCAACACGGAGGTATAAGGTAACGATGTAGAACTAGGTAAAATATTGTGCCACTCATGTGGCGCAGGTATCCTTCTTACTGCTTGAGGAAGGTACTCTGGGACGAGCTTCATGTATATAACCGACATGAAGACTCATAGTTCTCCAAGGGTACGGTCTATTCTATAATATGGCAACGCCGTAGCCCACCTCTTCTATACTACTTTGAAATTCGACTGGCTATCAATTCTCGCAACAGGGCAAGCATATGATCTCACTCGGCTCTATGGTCTTGTTTACTTAGTAGTGAGACCTTTAACTTGGCAACTATGTTTGTGTCCACATCAAGGCCCTTCACTAAATAAGTATGTGCACTGGGTTGGAAGGCCAAGTCAAGTAGCCACAAAAATTTAAAGGGTAGAGTGCTGCAGTAGGTAGAATACTACATTCCGAACTCGCGCATGAGTGCCATTTCGTCCTCATCCTCGTCAGCACCATGCTTATCCTTCCCAGGTCCGCTGGTGCCAACCGAGACACTCTCTTGGGTAAATTCGGAGCCTCCTGGCGACACATTAGTAGGCCCAGAAATATTTCCTCGTGAAGATGTCTCGTTAACTTGTGCCGCTATTGCATTTTGACTTCGGTCGTAGATCATGCCGTCGTTATCGTCATCCTCGTGGAGGCTTGCAGTAGTTGAGAAGGTTGGAGCTGTATCAGCAACAAACAGGCTTGATCTGGAAGGAGAAGGGGGCTCGGAGGGAGGGATTCGTTGTGTGAAGCCTTGTTCGTCTGTTGATGGTTGGGCTGGGACTCCAGACTCTTCATCGTGGGCTTCTAGATCTTGTTCCCCGAAGGACGGAATCGCAAATTCTTGTCGTAGAAGTTCAATCCTGTATTCCCTCAAGTCTTTATCAGATTTGCCAAGAGTTCGACAAAGGGCAGCAAAATCGTGGAATTTGGCCTTGGGAAACAGTTCGTGGGCCCAAAGTTGGTAATATTGAAGCAAATGTGTCAGATTGTCGTAGGAAGACTTCCTTTTTGATATTCTAATTCGTTTAGGGCCTTCTTTCATCAACTTCGGCAGGCCCTTCGGTGAGCAGAGCTTCTCGGCGGTGAGCTTGACCTGTGGGCGTCTGGTGCGACCAACGATTGCGGTTGGATCCGGCAGCTCCGAGTCTTCTAGTCCAGCAGGATTGATGGCAAGCGGATCTAGCAAGGGAAGTGACGAATCTGGATCTTGCGCACTTTGTGAATAGCGCTCTTTGAGCTGCTGTGACATTGCAGATATGGAAATTGGGAGGATTAGATAACACAGCAGGCGATCGATGCAGTCGCTTCAGATGTTGATACGCAATTATTAAAACAAAGGCGTTCGAACGACAAAGGTTTATGATCCATAGATGTTTGAAGCCTCGAAGTCCAATTTCTAAGATTGGATCCGGTTGGTGTGCGCCTTGAGTGCTGGGTTCCGCGAGGAATCGAAGAGTGTGGGCACCGCACGATGAGAGACGACGCGACAACATACTACTAGTATAAAATGATCAGCAGGTGCATGCTTTTGTCAGACTGCGACGGCACATCCAATGATGGAGAGACTCCTTTCCCCGCTATTCTGTATAATACGTTCCTACAAGTGTGGCTGGAGAATCTTTCAACGCGTGTGTTCTCACCGCTACGCTTCATACTTCTAACGGCCAGGGCCCTGTCCCTTGGTGGCTCAAGCTGCAGCCAGGGAGTGCCAGTGTGGCGGGCCTCGCTGGCCCACTTCAGATTGGTCATGTTGCGTCAAGACAGGAAATCTCAAGAATACCGGATAATGTCAATAAACGGTTTCAGATGGCGTTTCAAGGAAGTTGGCGTGGGCCCGCGAGATGGAACTTGAAGTGTCAGTAGAGCTAATGGAAAGTACTCGCTGGTTGTAAGCCAGGAGAAAACCATGCGTAACTTGATATCCTTATCGTATTCATATGTCGGGCCCAATAGTGACACGACAACTCGTCGCGAGGTGTCTGACTGGTACAAAGTGACACATCCTCAATGTCACATGTAAGGCACGTGCCATCACAAATGATGGTCACGTGGGTATCTCCCTCTCTCCCTTCCTCACGTCCCAGACCAGCTACAGTTTTCCGCATTGAGTGCACTGTCCTGGAGCTCCGCGAGCGTGGATAGGCTCCTCCAAAGTTGTACATCGCTCTCCCCCGCCACCACATCAGGTGAGGTTCCTGTCGTCCATCCACACCTCTCGCTCTTCCTCCGCATCTGCTCTTCCCATAAGGATCCTTACGTTTGTTATCGCCAGCGCTATCTGTCACACAAGTCTCTGTGACCGGCGTTACTCCCTCTTGACTTCCAGCTGGCCCTCATCTTCTCATGGTAAACACACATGCCATGAACCATGGTACTTGGTCGTTGTGTACGACATGTTAAAAGGGAAATAGTGGCGTTCACAATGGATATCCATTGTATCACGTGATGCAGAATAGAGCTAGGCAATGGAAGTGTGGCATCGCTGCATAGAATGATAACCTCGCTAACACCGACAAAGCACGCCCACAGCAGTAAAAAAGTGAAGGCGATGAGATAGACATGGTCCGATATAAAAGAATGGAAAGTCGTCCGAAAGCGCCCTGCCTGTTAGCTCACTTCATATATTAGGAACTGAGACTGGATTTTGTGACTTACGAGCTACAACTATTCTCACAGTCCATAATAATACTATCGTTTTTTGTTTGCAACGAAATATCGACCATGGACCAATGTACGAGAGCCCAGGACGGCAAGAAAGGCGAATTCTGGGGAAGCAAATTCGGACACGAACTGAATGCACAAGCAGCTTGTGCATACACGAAGATACAGCCAGCTGACGAGGACGAGGACCTAATGGTGGACCTCAGTAACGGAACACTGGAGGCCACGAGTCTGCGCAATTGGAATCTGATGGCGAGTCTGACGGAAAAATTGGAAAAACTGTGAACGGGCGCATGGGTTCTTGGGACAGGGCTAGGTAGTAGGCGGGTGAGGCGGCAGCGCTGGACGCTGGCTTCGTGAGGAAAGAGAAAACTCTCGCCGTTGCCCGCCGGACTTTTTTTTTGCTGGAACATTTGGAGGCTTGTCAAGGAAAAATCACAACACGCGCGGATCGAGCGGCGTATTTAGGATAAAGGCGACGCCGGCTCGGGGCGCTTTGGGGGTGGTGTTGGCGATATGGTATAGAATGGTAAGTAGCGCGCATGTCGTATAAAGCGACTTTTGTATTTTTTGGAAAGACGTGAAAGCTGCAGTTGCAGTGGACCTTTTTGGTTGATTGGCGGGTGAGAGACCTGTGGGGCGTGTAAAGCGCAGAACTGGCTCCCGCCAGTGGCTTCTTTGGTATAGTCTAGCACTTGCGGCAGTCCAGGTCACTTCGTACAATAATGGCATGGTGCCTGTCAAGTATTCTTGAAAACTGACCTTAGCTGGGCCTGGCGAAGAGAAAAGCAAAATCCGTCAAACTTTGGGCGAGAAGGCTGTTAGGAGAAAAACGTCAGCGAAGTTCATGGATTCACGCCACTAGCTCATCGCCATGTTCCGTCTTATGATAGGCGGTTTTTTTGTGCAGTTTTTTTCACTCTGATTTTCCAGATACCTTGGAAAGCACCCCAGAACTAACCTGTCAATGGGCCATGCTGGTATATATCTCACGAATCGGATGTGTGGGCTTGCGACACCGTTTGGCCTTCATTTCAACAGGTCCATTTGCTGGTCATCTTATACGATGGTATTCAAATTTTTTCTACGGGAGAATACACATTACTCGACTTTGATCCTTATTCATCGACAACCAGTGTTTTCGTTAGCCTGTACTGCAAAGAACCTGTTAATACGAAGTCATTGGCCTGCTTTACACGCAATTTAGATACGGTTGAAGTTTGCTGCTTGAATCTGCTTTCCAATCAAGTGTAGCTACGCGCAATGTTCGGGTCTTCAGCTCCTGCTTTTGGGTCAAATGTAGCGCAGACCGCCAACTCTCCATTTGGGGCAGGCGCCCCGCAGACGACTAATAACGCCGCTTCGGGTTTTGGAGGTTTTGGTTCAATGGGCCAGAATAATGCCAACGGCAGTGCTGTGGGTTCGACCGGTAGCACAGGCCTTTTTGGTATGTCTAACAATAACAACAATGGTAACACCGTTGGATCCGCTAATGCGGGCAATTCGGGGCCTTTCGGCCAGGCAACTCCGGCAGCCGGCAACTCTGCTTCTCTGTTTGGCCAATCGGGAGCATCGAATGCAGTTTCCCAGCAGCAAGGCCCAGGAACAGCCATGAAACCTTTTTCTGCATATATCGAAAAAGATGCTACCACGGGCATGAACAACGTGTTCCAATCCATATCTTGCATGCCAGAATACATGAATTTTTCTTTTGAAGAGCTCCGGCTCCAGGATTACCAAGCAAATCAAAGATTTCCAACCAATGCTCCTCAAGCTGCCGCCGGTGTTGCCTCGCCATTTGGGGCCAATCAGTCGAATTCTCCTTTCAATAATACTAACTTGTCTTCTTCCTTCGGTATGGCAGGCAATAATCCTAGTGCTAACTCGGGCGGGCTTTTTGGACAAAACAACGCGGCGGCGGGCACAGGTACAGCATCCACTTTTGGACAACCCGCCAACTCTTTATTTGGCAGCAATGCTCAAAACAATACGGCCAATTCACCATTTGGGATGAATAAACCTGCCTCAGCTGGTGGTCCATTCGGTCAGAACAGTAGTGGTGTCAGTGGCAACACTGGAGGACTATTTGGCCAGAATGCCAACACCCAGAATCAAGCCGGAAGCGGAGGACTGTTTGGTCAAAGCAACACTAATACCGGCTCTACTGGTGGCTTATTTGGCGCATCTAACACCGGTCAAACCTCTGGTGGTTTGTTTGGGAACAACAATGTCAATACGAACGCAGGCGGTGGTCTGTTTGGTCAAAATAATCAGAACCAGAACGCGCCATTTGGTGGTACCAACAACAATGCTGGTGGCAGTCTTTTTGGTCAAAATAATAACACCACTACCAATTCTCCCTTCGGCCAACAGACGCAAGCTAGTGGTGGCCTATTCGGTAACAAAAGCAACACAACAGGTAGTTTGTTCGGTGGTAACAATTCTAACGTTTCTTCCGGCTCCGGAGGCCTGTTTGGCCAAAATAACAACGCCCCCGCGACACAATCGCCATTTGGTCAAACGAACACTACTAGTGGAGGACTTTTCGGACAGAATCAAAACCAGTCAGGAGCTGCCACTGGTGTCTTCGGCCAAGGTAACAACACTAACGCGGGAGGGCCATTCGGACAAACCAACACATCAAACACAGGAGGAGGGCTTTTTGGTCAGAATAATAGCACTAATTCAGGCGGCTTATTTGGACAAAATAATGGGACAAACTCAACTTTTGGCCAAAGCGGGTCAGGTTTCTCATCATTTGGCCAACAGCCTCAAGGGCAGACACAGGCCAGTAATTCCCTTTTTGGTAATAAACCGTCGGGTACTACGGGTGGTGGTTTGTTTGGGCAGAGCAACAACCCAACTGCCTCAGGTTTCGGTCAAGGGAATTCCAATGGTGGGTTATTCGGGCAAAACAATGCCAACAACAATACAGCAGGCACCACTGGTAGTTTGTTTGGACAAAACAACGCCGCCGGATCGGGGGGAGGATTATTTGGTCAAAATAATCAACCGCAACAGCAATCGGTAGGGGGCGGTTTGTTTGGACAAAATTCCAATCAACAGCAAACATCCAGCGGCGGACTATTCGGACAATCTTCTAGCAACTCAGGAGGTGGTGGTCTGTTTGGGCAAAACAATAACCAGCAACAGTCGGGAGCAGGCTTATTTGGTGCCAAACCAGCCACAAATGCCGCAGGTTCGAGCGGTGGGCTCTTCGGCCAAAATAACAACCAACCTGCAGGGGGTGGTCTATTTGGACAAAGCAATAATTCTGGTGAAACAAACACGGGTCTTTTCGGCAATAAACCTGCTGCTCCTGCTACCGGTGGATTGTTTGGTCAAAATAATACAACTTCAAGCAGTGGCGGTCTCTTCGGTCAAAATAATGCTAATGCTAATGCCAACACGGGCACCACAGGTGGGTTGTTTGGTGCCAAACCCGCCGCTACTGCGAATACTAATGGGGGGCTTTTTGGTTCCAGGCCTGCAGGTACAACCGGAACGACAGGAGGGCTCTTCGGATCTAAACCAGCAGGTAATTCAACAAGCAATGGGGGAGGTCTGTTTGGATCCAAGCCCGGTGGAACTGGTTTGGGCTTCAATAATGGCGCCTCTGCTGCCAATGGCACTGCAGGTGCTTCATCTGGCCTCTTTGGTAACCAGCCCAACCAACAATCAACCCTCCAAGCGTCTCAGCCTTCAACTCAGCAAAACAATACAAACCCTTACGGAACTAATGACTTATTTTCAAGGGTTCTCGTCCCTAATTCCATTACGAGGCCGAATAAACCAAGTGCTACCAAGTTGAACGCTGATGTGAAAAAGAAGGCCAGTTTATCCGGCGCCTACAGACTTGCACCCAAGCCGCTATTCTCACCAAAGAGCTCAACTATTAGTCCTATAATGCGTCTTGGACCTAGCGCCTCAACCAAGACCAGTACTTCTAAGTCTGTCGCAGATACATCGACAGATTCCTTAGGAAGAGAGCTCTTGCCAGAAAATAAGGGCTCTTCATCTCTCTTCACAAATGATAGTGACGAATTGATTTTAGCTTCCAACGACCTGCTGTTCAATCCGGACAAAAAGTCTTTCAAGAACCTCATAATTAATAGGAAAAGAATGGAAGATTCTAATGAGAAAGGTGATGGCGACGTACTTCGTATCACTTTTACTGCTGAAAGCGATGATAAAGGCTCGGGGAGAACTATCGGTTCTGTTAGTACCCAGGAAAACGGTAAAAAGGAGACAAATATGTTTGGAGACGGGCCAATCCCTTCATCCCTTCCTGAAAGCAAGGCTGAGACCCCTTGCAAGGGCACGCTTGCATCTACTCCCTTGGCTAAGGATTCTAGAACGCCGTCAAAGATATCAGCTACATTAAATGGCAAAGGTGATGTTATTGACAGATCGCTAGCGGTCATTGGAGATGATATATCTCTTGACGATGACGGGTACTACATGTCACCATCTTTAGAGACCTTGTCATCAATGACTTTGCTGCAACTCCGCAAAGTTAGCGGCTTAACCATTGGCCACAGAGACTGCGGTAAGATAGAATTCTTAGAGCCTGTTGACTTGTCCAACGTTTCGCTGCCAGCTCTGTGTGGTCAGATCGTCGTGTTTGAACCACGAGTTTGTAGTGTATACCCTAACGCCTCACAGCTACCATCGCGGGGAGAGGGCTTGAACGTTCGTGCACGTATAAGTCAGTATGGATGCTATCCTCAAAATAAATCCACCAGGGAACCCATCAAAGATCCTAACCACCCTATCATCAAAAGACACATAGATAGGTTAAAAGCGATCCCAGGCACCAAGTTTGATAGCTACGACCCACAGCAAGGCACCTGGGTTTTCACTACTGACAGCCCAGTAGGTAATTGAAACTTTTATCCAAAACTGCATTAACTTCAAAGTCCAGCCAACGCTGCACTGTATATAAAATAACGTTGTAATTATACAAAGCTGCTTAGACGAAATCTACCTGGTTGCAAAATTCCATTGTAGAATTGCGTGTGAAACTGTGTGCAAACCGACCCAAAGGACATATGTGTTGAGATAATATGTTACAGCTCATCAATTGCAAGCTTTTGATCATTTGTAACTAGAGGTACACCCTCATTCACATTCTCCCAAGACCAGGGCACAGGATCAGGTACAAAGTAGTGCCCGAAAATATTGAAATACCACTGCTGAGCCCTGTCATAGAGGTCTATTTCGCGCAAGAAACTTTGCTTGAGATTGAAGAACGCTGTGAGATTGATTATGATTTCTTGATCTGAGAGAAAAACAGTTATTAGCTCATCCTGAGAACCTCGAAGGGCCGCACACTGTTCGAGCTCATCTACAAGCATATGATAATCTTCAGAGTCCTCCTCATCTGATGATTTTGAGATAATCTCGTTGATCATCCTATTCGCATATGCTAGCTTATCACGTAAGTCTGCCTTAATTTCGTTGTGGATCTCTAAATTCCTCTTCTGTGACAGTTTATTCGCAAGAGAACTCATTGTGAGTGTAATTGAAGAGTCTTGGGGACCCAAACCAACTATAGACCAATCACCATCATCCTCAAATTTATATCTCTGAACCTCAGGTTTTGTTTTCGAGGGTGCTTTTTTCTTCTTTGATCGCGATTTCTGCTGGGGCTGATCTAGCAGTTCCATTCCCACACCATCATCTTCTTCGATCTCTTCATCTAATACAGCACTACGTTTTCGGGTCTTGGACCTTTTAGCATTGGTTTTTGCCTTAGCCTCGGCCTGTCTTTTGCTTACGCGGCTTCCCTTGCGCATTTTATCCCCCTCTTCGTAATCAGACTCTGAAACAGGGCTCAGAGGTTCACTCAGTATATCCTCGTCGGCACCTTCATCCTGCTGATCGTTCTCCGGAGGTTGGATGTACTCGTCTTCTTCGGGCTTACCCTTAGACCCATATTCTATAAATTCCCACACATCTATGCCGCGCGATCCTTTTTCCGCCATTTCATATGCTGGAATCAATTTTTTGGTCTTCTTCTTGGATGTTTGTAGCCAGTGAGTGCATTGTTCTGGTGTCAGAGGTCTGAAATCAACGGGCTTGACCCATATGTAGGAGTCATCGCAGAAAAACTTGACGCAGTACGACGTATGCGGCTTGAAGTTTTTGCGAAATCTTAGCAATTCGCTGTAGATGATGTAGTTCTCTGGATCATTTGAATCTTCTACCTCATCCACCGTGGCTCGCCCTGGTCTGCCTTTGAGTACGTTAACGGGAATAATTTCCTCGGGCACGATCATCGCGGGCCACGCTGGGAATCCTTTCACTTTGGCCAAAACAATGTCGGTGGGTTGGTAGACGATATTCTGTTTCGAGGACATTGTATGCCTGATACGCTCAATGAAAGAGGATGCAATTGACCCTTTCCTCGAATCAAAGATGCGACGGGTGTCTTCTCGACAACCATTTATGGGCTATTATTTACGTATTGATGGGCAGTGACAGAATACTTCGACTAGCTCATTCCGTCAATAGTGATCTAAGACCCAAGATATTCTATCCGGATCGGTAGAGCTACGAAATGTGGGGATTTAGGAGCGACACTTTCTCTACCTCTCCGCGACCTTTCCATGGAGCTGGTGGTGGTATAATCGTGCTTTAAGTTCGTTTTGTGACCCTGATTTTTTTTACCAAAGGCTGGGTCGATTGGCCCAAACGTATGTATCGCTAAATACATTGTGACGCTGAATGAGGTTCATTAAAAAACCTAATATGAGACGCACATTCGTTGTCAGATGTGGGGCATCCCAACGTGCCCAATCCGGCTTTCTACTTAGCATTACCAATGATTTGTTCAAAATAGTCCTAGAATAAACTAAAAAAAACTGTACAGTATCTGCGCCTTGCAAGGGTATCTATTTACGGCCGGTACTTTGCACACGCAGCGCGCAGCGCGCATCGTCGTCGTCGTCTTCGTTGTCGTCGTCGTCGTCGTCGTGATCTATCGTCGTCGTGATCTACCGTCGTCGTGATCTATCGTCGTTGTTGCAGTAGTAGTGGTGGTGGTGGTTTTTTTGTAGTTGAGTCACCTTGCTCTCCCATTTCTTGTTAGCACCTGTTGAGTTGTCGTCCATGCATTTCCTGTGAGCCTTAGTATTGCCCTTGCTGAGAGTTCACGCCGTTAAAGTATTGGTGATACACGGCAGCCTGTTCCGCATTCAAATACGCAGCCGGATTGCCAAAGGCGGCGGCTGGAGTCGGTTGTTGCTGGGGCTGCGGTGGGAGCTGATGAGGGTTGTGATGAGGAATCTGAGGGTGGGACATTTGGGGTGGCATAAGTGGCACTTGCTGCTGCTGCTGCTGCTGTTGCTGCTGTTGCTGTTGTGCAAGCTGTTGCTGGTGCTGGTGCGCAGCTTGCACAGCAGCAACCCCGCGTGATCCCGGCATTTTGGCAGGATCGACGGACAGGCTCTCGTCTTCTTCCTCCTCGGCGTCGTCCTCTTCCTCCTCGGCTTCCTCTTCGTCTTCGGGAGCGTTCAGGCACGCCTGGATCAGGTTTTTGCCCTCTGGCTGCGTCACGATGGGCTGGAATTTGGGGGTCGTGAACGTATACACCAGGCCGGTCTCCGACACTACCAACAAGAGCACCTGCGTGCCCGTCAACACCGAGAGCTCGTACGCCTTCTTCATGATCCCGTGCTTGCGCTTGGAAAACGTGATGTGTCTTCTGGTCTTATCCTGGATGAACTTGATCTCTATCTTCCGACGCTCCTTCTGCTGTGGCTGCGATGAGCCACCCACGCCTACGCTTAGCTCTTTTTCATCGTTGATATCCGACATGTTGCGGAAAGTGGAAAGTGGCTTGTTATTGACCTGCAATTAACGGCCCGGCAGCAACTGTCGACAAATGACTACTATCGACTTCGTGCGAAGACTCGTCTCAACACGCTAGCCACGATAAATGTAAACAGCACTCTGGATACGAGAGTGCGATGCCCTGCTTGTCGAACACGTCTGGAGTTGCTCGTCTAGGCTAAAGATCCCTGATAAAGTTAAAACTCTCTCAACTTGGTAACATTTTTCAAATATTGCCCAAAGGAGTCAGCCCATGTTACCCGGACGGCCACCACATCAAAAAATAATAGTTGTTGCGGACGGGATTCGATCGCGGGGTGAACAAAGAGGTGGTCCAGAACCGTCGGGCCAACGAGGCTCTGAGAAGGCGGGTCCGGAGAGCAAAACCACTTGGGGTGAGGGCGTGCCGGTCGCGAGTACGACAGTACGAGTACCGGAGGAGCTAGAGGTGCGGGAGACCCAACTAGCACCGCTCCGCCAGCGTGGCTAGTTGATGTGCTTGCACGGAGTGTCCGCACAGCTCTCGGGATCGTGCAGGCCCGGTTGCTGGCCATTTTCGCCAGCGTGCCGGGTGCGGCGAGCGGTTGTAGATATGCAGACGGCCTCTGCTGAGGTCTGTGTCCACGTGACTGGAGGTGTCATCTCATGCTTTATCCTGTCGCCGGCGTGTCGTCCCAACCACTCCGGAACTGCGTGCGTCCAGCTCATCGCCGCCATATCCCGCCCGTCCAGCTCTCTGAACTCGCCCGACTCGCTCAGCTCGCCCAACTCGCTTGTCCTGTCCCCGCCGTAGTGCGTAGAAAGCCCTTGGTGAAAAATTTCGTGTTTGGAGCCGGTACATAGCCAATCACAAGGCTTCATCCACGCGTGGGCCGGGCCCCATTTCGGATGCGATGCAAGGACGATTCGATGAGCTTGAAAAAAAGCCAACAGGCGACCAAAAAAAGCTTGACGAAGCTTGTCAGAGAAGTTGTTTTCCCTCAGGCCGCTGAGTATTTAATTTGGCTCTATTTCTCTGCGTAGCATAGCTTCATCTAACCGAGCTCCCAAACAACACAGCTAGCAGTCATGGCCCAAACCGAAAGAACTTTTATCGCTATCAAGCCCGATGGTGTCCAAAGAGGCCTCATCTCCAAGATCTTGGGTCGTTTCGAAGACAGAGGTTTCAAGCTAGTGGGCATCAAGCTCATCACCCCAACAGAAAACTTGCTCAAGCAGCACTACGCCGAGCACGTTGACAAGCCTTTTTTCCCCAAGATGTTGGCTTTCATGAGCTCTGGTCCCGTGTTGGCCACCGTGTGGGAAGGCCAGGACGTGGTTCGCCAAGGTCGTGCGATTTTGGGAGCCACCAACCCACTAAACTCGGCTCCAGGCACCATCAGAGGCGATTTTGCCATCGACATGGGCAGAAACGTGTGCCACGGCTCCGACTCTGTGGAGTCTGCGCAGCGTGAAATCGGCCTATGGTTCAAGGCGGAGGAGCTCGTCGACTGGAAACTACAACAGTTGTCGTGGATCTACGAGTAAGCGAGTGTGGAGAGGGTCTGGGAAGCCGGCAGAGGAGGAGGGGATGCGCGTGGCCTGCTGCGCAGGGTGCCAAATGGGTAGCATGTTCGCAAAAATGTGTCACTTGACCTTCAGGGATACCCCCCGGTGTCAGCCTGGCTTCCGTCTTTCAGACCTCCCCGCTTTCAATTTCTCAGTTGCTCCGTGTATGCCATAGCTGTATATAAGAGGCATGTACTGACTGCTCCTCATTTTGATAATCCTTCTTAGTTGTTTTAAGCGTTTGAGTTAACGACACAATGTTGAGATCCCCCGCATTTATTAGACCTCTATATAATCAGCTCTTTACCAAGGGCACGGGCAACATCTCCAGGCCCATTAATGACTACACCAGGTACACCCCGGTGACTGAATTTGTAGGCTACGCGTGCGGCTTCACAGTTCTGATGGTGTTTGGCGGAGGGGTGCTAAGATACCTATACCGAGACAACGAGATGGAAGGCATCTGGCAAAAGGAGAGGAATCAGGGCCACACCCTGGCAGAAGACAAAAAGCTACGGGGAGCGCACTAGGTTGGTATTTGCGAGTGGAATCGAGGCCACGCCCTGGCAGAAGACAAAAAGCTACGGGGAGCGCACCAGGTTGGTATTTATGATAACGAATTGTATGATGACGACGGAATAAAAACATATATTTTAATATGGATGTCTACTTCATTTAGCGGTGGTAGGGGGGTGGCGATCGTTCTTGTTTCCTGGGCGGAGTTCGGTGACGCTCACTACCGCTCTCGCTGCAAAGAGGGTTTTCAAGCTCCTCACCCTCTATGTTGTAGCTTGCGTTTGAGTATTGTGCCCGTTGGTAATCTTCAATTCATACACTTAGCGTGCTCTTTTCGGACACACTCACGTACATACTGGCATCATCTACATACACAACGGCATTGTGGAGGGAGAGTCGCAAACGTCACGGAGCGTAGAGGGGCCGCGCTTATAAAAGCCAAACCTATCGAATCTGTCTCGCAGCAACATAAGGGATTTAAAGTTTCTTGCTGAGAGGCGGGTTCTAGCCTTTCTCATGACCCTCGACGCCAATGAAAACGTTCTCTCCCCTTCACATGAGCTTAATTTAGTGTAGAATAGGGATATGACAAGCGGCAAGAGCCTTGGAAATCTGTTCCGTTGTTGGTACCACCAAGCAACCGCGGTTTCAGTAGACCTATCTTTCAACAACGGCTCTCGCAGGTAAGCGTAATACTCCTCCATAAGCTCCTCATCATCTGGGATTAATGTAGCCGCATCATCTAAAGCCTGCGAATTCTCAGATGGCTCTCGAAAGTCCTCCCTGTCGAATATGAGATCGCCAGATCCATTTGTGGCTTGCTTCCCAACAGGTTTCGAGGCCCGCATATCAACACAGCTGTCATATTCCTTGAGATAGCTTTGGATGAATTGGCGGGCTTCTTTCATACGCCCGTCGGCCTCTTCGTTTGACATCATTCTGTACAAGGCACCTGCCTTAGCGCCTCGATCTAATATTACTGCCGCATAATACAGTGGTTCCTGCCGGACCCAAGCCAAATACTTTTGGTGGCTTTTTTCTGATGCTAGAATCGCTTCTAAAACGAGCCGTTTGTCGCGGCGAAGGAGCCCTGACGTTCCATTTGAGCATGAAAAATCGAAACTGGCCTTCTTCTTCGGGAGCTCGTGCCCCTGAAGAGCACCTTTGCAGTAAGAATAGAAACTGTCTATCATCTAGTAGAACGGTATTCCGTTGGACAGATGGTTGTAAGAGTCGTTTTGGAAATTCATCGAAAAGTCATTGAAAACCTGGAGACTTTTGACGAAATAATCCAACATGCTCAAAGTTTTCTCATCAAAATGAATGTAGCCTCGAAGCATGTAGATTATGTCCGCATCACCGCCGTCCTCAAGCCCCTTGAACCAGAACTTGTACCTATTATAGTTTTCCAGGAACAGTTTTAGTTGACGCCAAGTGTACATCCACCGGGCGGGTGCTTCAAGCGGAATGAATGGTATACCAGCTTCTTTCAAACTGGCGCATATTCGAGGAGACTTTCTCATAGTTTTGGCTAAACCCTTTATTCTACGCAGTGCTTCTGCAAAGTCAGGATTTCTGAATAACTCTGAAACTATCGCCTTGAAATGTATATTCAATACATGGCTTGCGCACCGAATATAGCGCGTCTTACCGAGGAGACGGCCAGCTAGGGGTTGCTTACCGTTAAAACGCGAAAAAATGAATGACTGGTACATTAAAACATTGTTACTGGAGTTGTCCATTGTTATCGTCGCTACTTTGTCTGTAAGATTATGCTTTTTCAAAAGGTCTGAAAAAACACTCAGAATGTTCTTGCCGGTTTGCTTCTTTTGGCCCAAGCAAACAAAATCAAGCAGATGGGTATTTTGAGCAGTGCAATCATCGCTAAGAAAAATTCTGTGATCTTCCATGTCGTCCAGCAGCTTTCTATTCCATACATTAGGTGCAAACGAGACTAACAGCCCCATATAAGATTCACCACTTCTTGCAGTCCAGATGTCCAATTGAATGTTTACAAGATGCGTATTGCGAAAGTTGAGGGACAGGGTTTCATCTAACATGGCAGAATAACTCTGAAGCTTTTTTGTAAACGTCGCTCTAGATCGAATGGGAGCTGGACCGTTCTCGCCGCCGAAGGTACTCCACATTGTGAGCTCAACAAAGTTTAGCGGCAAAAACCCCATCTGCAACAATTAGAGCCGTTCTGAAGGTATGGGGGTTTTTTCTGAACTCACTGGATATAGACTGAGAGACTTGAAGTGACTTTCTTTTTTTCAACAAAGCATCCAATGCCGTCGTTTTGCTGATCTTTCCATTCTGGGCTTTAAAAGCTGCTGGGTGTAAGGCTCGAACATGCTTGCCCAAATTTCCGGTGGACTCGCCCTCTTTGTAACATTTTCCGCAATGTCTACAGTTAGCGGTTTTCTTGCCGTCTTTGAACTTTACGTCGAAGAAGTTCAACAGGACGATTTTACCATCCATCCCTGTGTAGTCTTTGAGTTTCCACAGAGGGGGGGGGGGGGCGGGCTGGTACTGGCAGCTTCTACGCTCCTGTCTTCATCTTCCGGTCTTGGGCTTGCTTCGGCTCCCTGTAGCCGCTGACAGGTCACTTCAGCTTGGTTTGACATTTCCTGCTCAATGACGCGAGGACTTGCGTCTGACATGTCGATCTCTTGCAAACTGTAGGTATTGAGCCTTCTGATAATCGATGTTTCTGCTTAAAGTCACCAACTTTTCACATCACCGTTTTGATACTTGGCAAATTTCGACTTCATGCGTACTTTAATTAAATCAAACCACAATGGGAAACATGACGCGTGAGCTCATGAATGGTTGGAATTTAATGTCAGAGTCCATTTAGGTTACTTTGAGCAGCTTCCTAAGCTTACAATATTGTAGATATACTAAAGCAATACAATTAAGCAGAACTTTACTTCACAGGAGACATCTAAGGCTTCGTTCTAGCAGATAATACATTTAAATTGACCAGAATTCATGAGTAGGCAACAGGAAGTGTGCGTAATAGGTGATGAGTTACTCAAGAACCACTTTCCTTATCTCGGCACATGCTCATGAGTAACCCGCGTGGCATGTGACAGACTACCCGTAGAATACTCGGTTTTTTTTACTCATTGCGCATGTCTGGCTTCGAACTCATATGGTTTGTTCTGATACTCGAACTTCACTGTTATTCCTCGTTCAGTAAACGATGTTCGTCTCGATATCGCTCCCTTGAACCGGAGTGGTGGTGCACTGTATGGTTTTAATCGTAGTCTTCTAACGAAATCGGCTTATATGAACGATGTGGGCGAGCCCGTATCGATTAATATACTTGATCTGGTTTTTCCTTCAAACCATACTTGTATCTCTTTCCTTCTTCTAACCTTTGGCTGTCTTTCTTCTTCTTGGACGATAGGTCCTTTGTAATCTCTCTGGTTCCCGAGTTTATTGTTTTTGTTCTTGCAGCGCTACCAGTTGTTATGCTACAATCCCGGATAATCGATCCGAAGTAGAAGTGGGATTTAGCGATAACTTCTATTATACCAGACGGGTATAATAATGGCTCAATACTTGATTTCTGTTCTACCTAACGGTTTCTACTCTGTTCTCTAGCTCATAAGATAACATTAGCATTAGGGCGACGGCCCTGGCCTTCTACCTTTCCATCCTGAGCATGGGGTTCATGGTTCACGAGTTTTATAGCTCATGAGGTTCTTGGTCCGTGAGGTTCTGACGCTCTTGAAACATCTATGAAACCGCTACTGTTCATGGTGCGTTTGTTTTCTTATTGCCATGTTTTATTCATGACATCTCCATCGACTGGTTGTTTGGCCGAGCGGTCTAAGGCGCCTGATTCAAGAAGTTTTCTTCTTAACGCTGTCGTACAGCGGGATCCTCAGGTATCGTAAGATGCAAGAGTTCGAATCTCTTAGCAACCATTATTTTTTTACATTTCCTCTATCCCTCTATCATTCGCATGAAGACCCGCAACTGTTGTTGATGTCACACCCGTCTTCTATCTCAAAGCTTGGTTAGGCACCCACTGCCGTTGTCAGTCTTGATCTGCATCTCGTCTGAGATGTCGTGCCATCAGGTGCCACCAGGTGCCATTTGGCTTAGGCCGTCTTCTAATCGTAAACGAGTCGCGTAAAGTGAATGAAAATTTTATTGTACAACAATCTCGTGTTTCTCGTGTCGCGTTTCTATATATAAAGGATCAAGAAAGAGAAAAATCGGCTCACCCCCGTTAATATCATGTTGAGTGTGTAGGGGAAGCCATCCACGCTCGTGTTTTGGGAATTGTTTCATAGATACGTGAAAGAGTGGCAGACTACGTGAGAGAACTCTTTAAGACACAACACGCTAGAAAGTAATGGCAAACCCTAAGGAAACGCCGTCCAAAGTGGCTGCCAGCGCACTCTCAGACCTGGATTTGAAAGAGTCCAAAAACAACCTGAGCGAAAAACTGGACGCAGTCAAAGAACAGGGCGATAGCGAGGCGGCATTGGACCTCAGGCTCAGCTCGGCCGCGGAGTCACACCAGGAGTTTCTGAAGTCACACCATGTGCATCGCCACAAGCTCAAGGAGCTGGAGCAGCACGAGCCGCTGCTGATGGAGAACAAACGTAGATTCGTGCTGTTCCCCATCAAATACCACGAGATCTGGCAGGCGTACAAGCGTGCGGAGGCGTCGTTCTGGACCGCAGAGGAGATTGACTTGTCCAAGGACCTGCACGACTGGAACAACCGCATGAACGAAAACGAGCGGTACTTCATCTCGCGGGTGCTGGCGTTTTTCGCCGCGTCCGACGGGATCGTCAACGAAAACCTGGTGGAGAACTTCTCGGCAGAAGTGCAGAGCCCCGAGGCCAAGTGCTTCTACGGGTTCCAGATCATGATGGAAAACATCCATTCCGAGACTTACTCGCTGCTGATCGACACCTACATCAAGGACCCCAAGGAAAGCGAGTTTCTGTTCAACGCTATCGAAACCATCCCACAAATCAAGGAGAAGGCCCAGTGGGCCATTAGGTGGATCCAAGACTCCGATGCCCTGTTCGCGGAGAGACTGGTGGCCTTCGCAGCAGTCGAAGGTGTGTTCTTCTCGGGCTCTTTTGCTGCCATCTTCTGGCTGAAGAAGAAGGGGCTGATGCCAGGTTTGACATTTTCCAACGAGTTGATATGCAGAGACGAAGGTCTGCATACTGACTTTGCGTGTTTGCTGTTTGCACACTTGAAAAACAAGCCCGATCCAAAAATCGTGGAGAAAATCATCACCGAGGCTGTCGAAATCGAACAAAGATACTTCAGGGACGCCTTGCCTGTATCGCTGCTAGGCATGAATGCAGATCTGATGAACCAATATGTGGAGTTTGTCGCGGACAGACTTCTAGTGGCTCTGGGCAACGACAAATTCTATAACGTAACGAACCCATTTGATTTCATGGAGAACATCTCATTGGCTGGTAAAACTAATTTCTTCGAGAAGAGGGTTTCTGATTACCAGAAAGCCGGTGTAATGGCTAAATCTACTAATACTGAGGCTGAAGGCGGTGCCTTTGCTTTCGATGAGGATTTTTAAAAAGGAAATACGTGTAATGACAGAAATACAAAAAATTTGCCCATAGCGCCCTATGGTGACGGCGTCATGATTTGTTGGTTATATGTAGAGTTGGTTATGGAAGTCAAACGAATGTACTTATAGAGAGGAAGACTTGATCTTGGCGGGGGAGAGATTTTTCGTTGTTCGACATATGACTTTCCACTGAACTGTCATCGACGTCACAATTCAGTCAAGGACTACCTGTTACTCTCATGTGGTATATGCAGAACACTAGCCTTGGGAACATAACAGACATATCATTTCAACTTAACTAAAACATAAGACTAAAAAATAGAGGCATATATCTAGGCCGCAAAGTGTCTCAAAATTTCTTCCGCCGCCTTGATACCACTGACGGCCATAGCACCGAAAGTTGGACCCATTCTGTTGCAGCCCTCCAGTTCAGCAACCTCCATACCGGCGAAGTACATACTCTCCACCCCGGAATAAGCACCTGAGTGCTTGACGACACCGGCTTCCGCATTGTTCATGTCCAAACCTTTCATACCGCCTAGCTTCTTGCTGCCATCGATGGAAACAATACGCTTGGCGGAGAACGCTCCGAAGGGGCCATCGTGGCCCGTGGTAGACAAAATGACACCGTGCTTTTTGCTCAGATCACGGGTGCCGTCGTCTTGATAGCCACTCAATTCGATCACATTGGGGTCCATGCAGCTCTGCAAGTCGTGTGCCTGGGTAACCAGTGTCCAATTGGTTACAACACCAGCTACTTGAACGCCTTGCCCATTGTCGGCAGGTCTGGTGACCAGGTCTTCCACGGCTGTAGCATTGAATAGTTTGACGTTAGGAAATTGAAGTGCCTTGCTTAACACGGTAGAGGTGAACAAAGCAGCGTGCTTGACAACAACATAGTCACCTTCGTCCTCATATGGAATTTCCAATTCGTCCAGAAACAAATGGGCTGGTTTACGCATGATCATAGCGCTAAAAAGCTGGCCACCTAGCCAGGCACCGCCACCTGGGCTGACGTTAGCTTCTACAATGGCAACTTTGAGGTCTGGTCTGTTCTTGGCAATCACATAGGCGGCAGCCAAGCCACTGGAGCCGGCTCCAACAATAACCACATCGCTAACTGCGAACTTGTCCAAGTCGTGGAAATAACGAGAGGTCATGGCCCGCGACACGGTCGACTCCCTGATTGGTGCAAACTTAAAGTCTGACCAATCTTGTTGTTTAACAGTGTCCGAAAGAGCATGTCTGATCGGAGTCGTGTTCAATTGCAATTGAGCTAGGTTCTCGGTAGCAGCTTGAGTTTGCGTGGTAGAGGTCATCTTCTTAATATTCTGTTGGCTGTTTTTGAATTCAGTTGTGATGTCTAGTGTCAGAAATAATATGGGACCACTTTGGATGCTGAGAAAGTTTGGTACTCTCAGGGCCTTTTTATATGTTTCAAGGATCGGCTTATTGGTGATTTTACCACAGTATCAGCTAGGGGCGGTTTGCAGCGATGTACCTACAGGCCCCGATGTCATATTCTGGTAGCTGAAATCTACTGGCAATACACCAGACTACAAGTGGTCTGGCCTATTTTCTTGGCGAAAGTGATAGCCCTGTCTCGGTCGAAAACATGTAAATTGCTTGACCTATCCCGAGAAATTATCCCAGTACCCACCTATGGCGCCATTTTCCGGACCTCTTAGGCTATTATCCACCTGTCCTAATGCATTTTACGAAGACCTGTCAATATTCGATAAAATGGTTATGCTTTCCTATGCGCACAGAGGCAACTGACGCTGACACCTAAATGCACATGCGCTCGACTATATTTCTCGGCCGAAAATGAAGAACGAAAATACCCTTCCCAAAAAAGGTACATCGTTTTTAGGTATATTATATGGTCTCTACTCGAGAACTGAACCATGGCAAACAACGCACAGTAGTACAGAAGGGTGGTTCGCGTCGTACACAAAGGGCTTCTGCTTTTCTGAGATGTTTGCTTGAGTTCCAGTGAAAGCCGAATCTTTTTCCGGCGTCCGTATGAAGGTCTACCTTGAGTAATAATGATGCAATTCTCGATTTTTGGAGAGCTCTCCGAGAGTAAAAGCTGGGGGGGCTAATGCTATTATATCGAGTTAAGACGCTCATGCCCGCACACATACTGCGCTAGCGAGTTCCGCCATCCGTCATCCGTAAATTGTCCTTGGCCACACCAACCGATCGGCTGTTGTCACGAACCGACCGGCTCATATATAACGCTGGGTAAAGACGACTGGCAATATTGGCTATGGTAAATTGATCGTTATCGACGAGCGTGTCATACAAGCCGGCGACGGCGTCAGCGTTAAGGACCGGTGACTCCCCATCAACCGCCTGTTCAACACAAGAGCCTGGGACTAACATATATAAACGACGGGATATTCTCTGGAATAGCAGGCTCGGATTTCACCAGTTTTATTTCATAGTATGCTACACTTAGGAATCACACTCCTATCGAAGTATTAGCTGTTACGCCTTGGGTTTAAACTAGAATCACGGTCATGTCTTTCGCGCAAGGCCAAGAAAAATCTGACAATCACGAAAGTGGTTGGGGGTCTAATGAGAGCGAGGAAGAATTTCACAGAATTGTCACGCAGCATAGCGCAGGTATTGAAGATGCATTAGGGCGCCTTGAGTCCACGACTCATGATTTGGGACCTCCCGAGCCAGCACTAGATTTAGAAAAGCCAGAAGGCGCTCTTCAAAGTGGATCAGCTGCACATCAGGAAGATAGGTGGCAATATAGCCTGGATGCGGAAACTGGTATTCGAATCGTGGAGTTTACAGAAGGTGACCATGAAGATCCGCGCAATTGGCCCAAGCGCCAAAAATGGAACTACACCGTTCTTCTTGGAATCATCTGTTTTGATGTTGCAATGATGTCAGCAGTTGTTACCGGCGATCTCGAAGCACCGGGCAGAGAATTTTCGGTATCCACTGAGGTTATGTGCCTGACAGTTTCGCTCATGGTATGGGGGTTTGGCTTGGGTCCTTTGCTGTTTGCACCACTATCAGAAGAAACCGGACGTAATCCTGTTTACTTGGTGACTCTGTTTGTAGCAGTCGTCTTTATTGTCCCGTGCGGAGCTGCTAAGAATATTGGTACTCTGTTGGCCTTTAGATTTCTGGATGGCCTGTTTTTTAGCGCCCCTATGTGTTTAATAGGTGGTTCTCTCAGCGACATGTGGACTAATGACGAGCGCGGCATCGCAATGTCATTGTTCTCCGCAGCACCTTTTATTGGCCCAGTAATGGGTCCCATTGTTGGATCGCTGCTTTCTGTCAACTGCGGATGGAGATGGGTATACTGGTTCATGCTTATCTTCAGCGGCTGCATATATGTCGTCACTGCTGTGTTTTTGCCCGAGACGCACCACCAGACTATATTGAAGAAGAGGGCCAAGAAACTGCGCAAGTTAACCGGTGACACAACATACAGAGCTGTTTCCGAGATGCGGATAAGGACGCTCAAAAAAGTTACTGAAGAGACTTTGCTGCGCCCTATGGTGTTACTCTCTGAACTGATTGTGTTCTTGATCACCATGTACATGGCCGTCATTTATGGTTTGCTGTACATGTTTTTCTTCGCCTTTCCCATCGTCTACACAGATGGCAAGCACTTTGGAGCCGTCAAGACTAGTATTATGTTCATTCCTGTCGGCGTCGGTTGCATAATAGCCACCGTTCTAGCACCTCTCTTCAATCGGGATTACGTTAGAAGAGCCAAGGTATACTTGGACAAAGGGGAGGTGCCTCCGGCAGAATTGAGGTTGATACCAATGATGATCGGATGCTGGTTTATACCTGCCGGATTGTTCGCCTACGCGTGGTCTTCGTTCCCACGGCTATCTTGGGCGGGCCCATGTTTCAGCGGCTTGGCTTGCGGTTTCGGGTTCCTCACAATCTACAATCCTGCCAACAACTACATTGTGGATTCTTATCAGCATTATGCGGCTTCTGGTCTTGCAGCCAAGACTTTTGTAAGATCAATGTGGGGGGGCTCGGTACCCCTCTTCACCATTCAAATGTATAACAGGCTAGGCTATGAATGGGCTACTTCGTTGATGGCCTTTATTGCTTTGGCCTGTTGTGCCATTCCTTACGTTTTTTACATTTTTGGTGCTCGCATTAGAAAGAGATCCAAATACGCTTACTCACCAGTTATGGACACGAACAAAATTGGAGCCAAAGACGTTGAATCGTGCCCTTCTGACACAACAGTCATTGAGTAGTATCAAATTGGTAAGTCTCCTTCAGCTAATTCCGTGTTTTATAAACCTACCTACCAACAACTACATTTTCTATAGTTTTCTGCTTAATTTGTGATATCTATTGTACTCTGCCGTTGAATTGTTATTATTTTGGTGTCATAATCCCATTTTAAGTTGTTGATTGTACGTAAAAAATCAAATTAATGTTGATCAAGTCAACAACAAACAAAACGATCAGTGTCTGTGATCCCCATGAATGAATTGACATGACTGACAGAAACCCGATCTTGGACGATCTCGTGGACTCTGGGAATGAAGAAAGTAGTCTCAAGACAGCAGCCTCTGATGATGACGAGAGTCTCCTGCAACTTGACGGTGACGCATTTCGTCTCGATAACGGAACACAGAGTCAAAGTAGTAATAACAAGCGAACACTGTTTGTGAATGGCGATAGTACTATAGAAAGCCCTGCCAGAGATGTAGGCGGCTTGTTGCGCACCCCATTGCCCCATGGGAATACACCACGGAAATTGAACGACACTTCGACAGGGTCGGAGCCCGTAGATTTGTGGGATTTCAAACCTTTAACGCACCGTGCATTCGAGGCAAGGGTACCTAATCATCGCAAAATCAAAGGTTGGAGGGGGCCGTCAAGGAAGCTGATATCAAACCTTGCGAACATCTTGGAGAATAATGTAGGAATTGCATTGGAGCAAAGTTTTACGAAGTATCAAGCGGAATGCGAGCGATTTGTGCTTGACCAAAGCATTCGAACTCTACGAAAGTCGAAAGAGCGTATGCTTTTCCATCTGGTGGGAAAACTGGAACATTGTCTACGACAATCGCGTTTCCCAATGCGCACGTCTGACAAAGACTTGGACATCGAATATATGTGTGCCAAGCGCAAATTTCTCCAAGATCGGCTCTCGCATGAATTGCGGCGTTTGCAGACAATCGAGCATCAAGTTGAGCGCGAAAAAAGCACTTTGAATGATCTTAAAGAATCACACTCTCGACAGATGGATCGCACTGCCCGAAAATCTAAGTCCTTGACCGAACAGCTCTCTCAGAATTTGCACCCGGCCCTTAGCAAAGCTATGATCAACTCATTCGGGCTCATCAGGGATACCGAGGCGAATCCGGACCGCTATCACCATGACGTCGATAATTTGAACCTGAAGCTACAAGATCCATTATCGGACGGTGAGCATGTCAAACTTCGAAATCATATTCCCTCACTTCAAAGCTTTGAAGATACCGTGCAGGATATACAAAAATCATGCCATTTTATTCTCGAAGAATCTCCAAGTTAGTAGGTGAGCACACGATGCTGCTTCCACTACCGTGGAAACACATAACATAAAGCAGCACTCCGCTGAGCTCTCTGTTAACTGTCATGGGTCACAATAAGTGGGGCCAGCGGAAATGGAAGTAAAGTAAGTATGGTTGAGGTATGTCTGATGAAAATTAGTTAACGTAAAGCCATACTCCATGAGAATGACTCGAGTTTACTGAAGTACCAAACATACAGCTTATGCCTTCAATCATATCGGAGCTGCCTAAGGGTACGTCCCATGCTATTTCATGTTGCTAAATGCTTAATTGTAGACTGAGGTCCTGACATTATTGTACGAAGTGACAATTACTTGTATCCGACAAAAGAAGCCATGAATGAACACACAGCTCTACAAGAAGGGATCCAAGAAATCAGACGATGCCCAAATATGATCTGATGTATTTTTCGATGGACGAAAATACCTGATAGATTATTCTGCAACCTCCCGTGAAAATTCGGTACCCAGCTTCATATTTTGTTCAAGTAAAGAATACGTGATCCACTAGATTAATGAACATTACAGTCAAAGTAATCACAAAGAAACAAAGAGCCCCAAACTTCTAACATTTGTCTGGCCACGGTGTCCGCCGAGAACTTGAACGTTGAGAAGACCAAGTTTTCCCCAAAAAAAACGCTTACTGGCCGACCTATAAAAATATGATACCACTGTTCCGCAAAGCAGACCAAATTACGCTTCCTTTCTTCTACCTATGTAATGAAACACCATCTGAAGTCTACTGCGACTTTATCCTGTCACCGTGCGGTTCTCTCTAATAATGACAAATTACACTACTGTCACAAAAGTTAAAAGTGATGAGTGGTAATATATCATCACTTAACACGTGAAATTGGATAATGGGAAATGTTATTGATGTAGTCCGGTTATTCAAAACAGCCTAACTTGTAGAGTCGAAAGGCCCAGCCAGCTCACTTGCGAGTTCGTTTCATTATCTGCTTGTGTGTGACCGAGTTCTGAGTGGTATTTCTTCCACTATATATCTCCGGCAAAAGATATTATGAAGGGAACGCATACTTATGGTGGCAAGAAAAGGGAAGCAAATGGAAGTCTCGCCAATGGCACGAATCGCAATGGTAATGGTAGTCATACTGGAATTGGATTATACGAAACGGATGAGGTGACTAAAGCGTTTGACGACCGCTTAAACTTTTTGCTGGTAAATAGTGTTGGGTCAGAAGCGGTAATCACTGTTACTAGTGGTGCTAGATATCAGGGTCTGCTGACGGCTTGTAGTCCAGCCGGCGCGAATGGAATAAATGTAGTACTCAAGGGGGCCAAGCTGGTTGACAGAAGCTTTGCCGCAGATCAATTGGCCTCAGATCTCCAAGAGAACCTGGTGATTAAGGGAGAAGATGTGGCCGAAATGGAATTGCCTAATGTGGACTTTGGGAACGATGATAAGGTTGGGTGTTTAGAAACCACCAATGATCTGAGTAAAGAAGTTTCTGAGGGGCAAGTGGCAGGACTGGCGCCCGTTGCGAAACGCGATGAAAAGATGGAAGTGTTAAGTGCTCCTTCGGAGACAAAAGCTGGATCAGAGTCCGAGAAGCTTGCCATGAAACCTTCAACTGATGAACCTCTGGTAATTGCATCAGCCTCCAATTCAAGTTTTGAGTTCAAGACAGATACCGATATTTCGGGTAGCAAAAGAGACGTGAAAGAGCGTAAACTGGAAAGGTGGGTTCCAGATACGAGTGAATCATTCGAACTTAGTGAAGGACTAGAGGATAACAAAGAGTCGTGGAACCAGTTTGCTGTCAACGAAGAAAAGTTTGGCATAACATCCAGTTTTGATGAACATCTTTATACAACTCGAATCAACAAGAATGATCCTAGTTATAGGGACCGTCTAAAGGAGGCTGACAGAATAGCCAAGGACATTGAAGCCCAAGGAATGTCAGGTAACGTTCACTTGGCTGAAGAGAGGGGCATTTTTGTGGATGACTCTGGAGTGGACGAGGAGGACAAATATTCTGGTGTCGATCGCAGAGGGGACGAGCTGCTTGCTCAACTTAAAATGAATGCAAAAAACGCACCTGCCAAGACAAACAAGTACGTTCCGCCTACTTTGAGGCACCAGCCCCACAATCTTGATCCTGCTATTATATCGTCAAGGACAGCAGCGGTACCTCAACCGATCGTCACAACTAGACCTTCTAAAGAGGAGAGCACTATCGAGAACAAGCAGCCTTCGCCTCCAAAGAGGAATCAGCTTGATGAGCTTAAGCGCTTTTCAGAGAAGTTCAAGGTGCCCTATGATATGCCTGAAGAGGTCAAGTCGATGTTCAAAAAAACTGAAATCTCGCCTAAAGGTTCGCATTCAAGCTTGAAACTCAATCCATCACTACCACCTAAGCCGGTGAATCTGCCATCAGTGGCTCCCACTTCTATGGGTCCTTCAAGAAGTGTAAAAACATCGAGAGGTTCTACTCCTTCTGCTCCTAAGGTAGAATTGAGAAAGAATACCGGCAGGGTTACTCAAGGGCATACTCCAGTATCATCACCATCAGCCACGAGACACACCAATATTTCAAGAAGGCGTAACATTAGCCAAGGCTCGTTCCTCGGACCCAAGGGCCCTCAAGCTCATAGAAAGAATTTGACCAGAAATTTCAACATGTTCATCAAGTCTAAAGAAGTTTTTGATGAGGGTCGTAAAAATCAAAAGGCAGATGAGTTTTTTGTGGTTGAGAAGCCTTATTTCACGGCCCCTACCTGGATGAGCAATGTCGAACAGTCCTACAAGACGCTGTTCCCGGATGAACATACCGCTATGCAACGGTCTCAGCTCAAAATGCAGCAGCGTAGTATCCATGCTATGTCCAATGCCGGTAGTCCTCACATGATGGCGCTGCCAGGTATGGCGATGGGCGTCCCAATGGCCGGAGCGCCAAATGCATCTCATAATTCTTACATGTTGGGTCCCAGCGGTAATACTGGCGTCTATATGCCTTTTCAGCCACCTGGTTTCTACCCACCAATGATGCAGATGATGCCTATGGGTGCAGAAGAGAGAACGACTGCTAGCCCACCGCCCAATGCAGGCTCCCCTCACGCGGGGACAACCTTCATGAATGCTGGTCCTCCAGCAGCATCCATGTCACCCTTCAATTACCCCCAAAGCATGCCGTTCCAGCCAATGATGGGTTCTGGGTCGTTCAGGCAAAACTTTCAGTCTCATCCTCATCAGCATCATAACAATCGACACAGAGGGTCCAACCATTGATGTATTGCGGTCTTAATTATGAAACTCTATAAATTATGTTCTGTATGTAGTCCTTACACTTGGCAACTTTAGATAGTAATTAGCTTAGGGTTGAGGTGACGGCCTTCTGGGAATAAAAGATTATCTTGAACTGTAGGCGTACTAATTAAAGATCTGTCTAATTTAAGTCTTCATATTACGAAAAGATGATATATTTGAAACTCAAAAAAGAATCGACAGAGACACATCCCGTGGCAGATCAGCATATACGCTATTTTTGATGCTCTGTTAATGTCAACGTTCTTCAGAGGCCCTATTTGTGGAACCGACAATTGCAGATCACGACTATGGAGAATCATCGATGGGCGGCGGACGTGCCAATATGGCCATGTCATGGAGGGGGACGTTGAGTTCAATGACGATGAGGATGATATCAATAGCATGGGGGTGGTAACAAGACGTTTGAATCTGACAACTAATGTCACAGGGAGCTTTCGCTCCAGTATGAACTCGCAACTACAAAATAGCCAGAAAAACGATGAGTTTCCCAAAGTATATGGTGCAGAAGCTGACCGGCTGTTCTTAAAGTGCTTCCAGCATATTCTGAAGCTGCAATGCGAGTACCTCATCAGCTACCAAAAATTTCCACGCGCTTTCAGAGAATGCGTCAAGCTTATGTGGATGAACTTACTGAAGGACATGGGCAAGGATGGAATCACGAACGTCTCATCTACCAAGTCTGCACAAGGAGCAGCTCAAAAGAGTGACAAGCTAGGGCTCTCGCTTTTATCGTCCGTGACTCTCCTTTACTTGGCAGGTGCATACTTAAAGCTTCCTGTCTTTTGGTTCGATTTCTTAGGTTGGATTTGCTCCATGAAGCTGCTATACTTTCAGGCAAATAAACATTTGCCGGAATTGTGGCGAAGGCAACTACCTAATTTTTATTTGCAAGTATTAGAGGGCGGCAGAGCACCGTCTAATGCCCATTTTTATCACAAGTTAGCACATATGTGCAGCCGTCTTGATGCACCATCTACCTTTGGCACTAGAATCGCAATAGAGCCCCTTCTAGTCAAGCTTCTGCTGAGATTGAGGCTACCTCCACATTTGTTCTTCCACGTTGTGCAGTTAGTACGGATATGTGAGGATAAAAGTTCTCACTATACTTTCGCGCTTAACGGTAATTCTCGGTCTCGTGTAAATAAGCTATATGAGCATGCAGAGATCAGAATGATTGGGTATTTCATTTTGTGCTTAAGATATAAGTTGTTGCAGGAGGACGAATTTTTGACTCGCTATTGCATAGCATGGTTAAAACAGGACCACCTCGGGTGTGGAGACGACATCTTAACATCACTGTCGTACACACCTGTTACTTTGGAAACCTGGAATGATAGAAGCACAGAGCATTATCTGCATTGGATGGAAAAGCATTACCTTCCTGCAAGCACGGTTGGATTTGGTGACACTCAAACTATAGATCAACGTATTGCTAACAGAAAGCTCCATGTAATGTTCCCTCTCAAAGCAGAGAATAGTGCACGGTTAAATCCAAGTGTAACATTCGTGAATGAATCACAGGACGCCTACCTGACAATAATTGATGCTTTGCAAAACATTTCGAAAGCTGGTGAGCTTCAGGAAGACAGCAAAAGTTTAGCGTCACGAGTCGAGGAAAGGCTGGTTGATTTTTTCTCCAACCTCATTGCTGTATCTCACGCTCAGTTGAATGGATGTGTGTCATATTTACATCGTTCGGCGATGCGACAAAACCCTCAATTCCGGAAGGGACGACACTCAAAGAGTTTTCGTTAGCATGACAACTGCCGCAGTACAAAATATCATCTCCAAATTCAGGAAAACCTTTTATGAGACGAAAATCGGCATTTGCAAAGTAGCGATTACTGCTTTTCATCCAAAACGTGCCACAATTCAGTCGCAGAATTTTGAGCCGCATGATCCAATAGCGAGATCCAAAAAACCATCCACGGAACACACTTTCCAAATTACCAGTTCATCATTTTCATGACGGGAGACCAGTCTTCTTTTGCTTAGTATAACAGGAGTCAATTGGAACATAGACTGAAAAATTACCCCAGCATTTGACTCAAAATTATGTCTTCCCAAAAAAGCTATTACGGAGGATAGGGGCCTCGACAAGGCTTCTCTGACGGCCATACGATAGCTCTGCTGAAAACTCATAGAAATTGTCGAGCCAGCTCTCTGTAATCATCTTTTTTTGCCTTTCTGCTTTGCTTCATCCTCAGAACTGAATTTGAAGTATAAATCTTACTCTTTCAAGCTCTATTGTTATTGTGCTACTGGAGCTAGCGCAGTAGCCAAGGCAAAGGGCAAAAGCCCTGGCTAAGTCTGGGCCCTTTTGCCATTGTTGATCCTAAGCCTTCCTATTTTTGGGCGCCAACGCTCAGCATAATGCATACACTAGAATATCAGTAACTGAACACTTGTGTTTTAACCTAAGTGATGCCAACGTTCTGATGCCCGCCCGAGGCCCTGCCAATCGATGTTTGTTGTTGTGTCGTTTAGACAATTTACTGACGCTGCTATCGTATAATAAATTTTCTTCAAAATCGCACCATCTGTATGTTCGCATCGCGTTTGGTAGAATTTAGAATAGGCCCATCAGTAACAAAAACGTACCATTTCGAGCCCATCATATAGCTTTAGTTGTTACTAAACGGGGTGTCGAGTACACAAAATTCGGAAATATATAAGCGGGGGTTTTTTAGCCTCGACGAGTCGGCGGTCCTACGACAAGAAGCTCAAATCAGCACCAGTGTACCTCACATTCACAGATGTCAAATAAGCAAATACCAAAAGATCTTTTAAGTGCGGATAATTCGGTTACTTATGATGCCATCGTCGTTGGGTGTGGTGTTGTCGGACCATGTGTCGCCACAGGCATGGCAAGGAAGGGAAAGAAGGTTCTGATTGTTGAAAGAGAATGGTCAATGCCTGACAGAATAGTCGGGGAGCTCATGCAACCTGGTGGAGTTCGAGCTCTTAAGAGTCTCGGCATGGTGGAAGCAATCAACAACATTGACGCTATCCCTGTTACCGGCTACACGGTTTTTTACAACGGCGAAAAAGTCGCAATTCCATACCCATATAGAGCTGACGTCGCCCCGGCAGAGAAACTCGCCGACCTGGTGCGCAATGGCAATCACCAGGTTAGTGACGATAATACTATCAATGCCAAGGATTTCGAAACTAGCGAGAGAGAAAAAGGTGTTGGATTCGTTCATGGTAGGTTTCTACAAAAATTAAGAGGCATAGTAGCTAGGGAGCCAAATATCACTAGACTACAGGGAAATGTAGTTGAAATTCTAAAGAACAAGCAAAATGAGGTGGTTGGCGCTAAAGTTGACATCAGTGGTCGGGGCAAGGTAGAGTTCAACAGTCACATAACCTTTGTGTGCGACGGTATCTTCTCCCGCTTCAGAAAAGAGCTTTCACCGGACCACATCCCAAAGGTCGGGTCTTCATTTGTCGGCATGAGTTTATATCATGCTGACATGCCCTCCCCTAACCATGGACACGTTATTTTAGGCACTAGTCACTTGCCCATTCTCGTGTATCAAATTTCACCCCAGGAAACTCGTATCCTATGTGCTTACAACTCTGCCAAACTTCCCCCAAACTTAAAAGAGTGGATGAATGACGATGTAAAGCCCCACATACCAGAATCCTTGCGTCCATCGTTTGACGAAGCCATAGAGAGAGGGAAGTTTAGATCCATGCCAAATTCGTTTTTGCCTGGGAAACAAAATGATGTGCTAGGTATGTGCGTTATCGGAGATGCTTTAAATATGAGACATCCCTTAACTGGCGGTGGTATGACCGTGGGTTTGAACGACGTTGTTTTATTGATAAAGAAGATCGGTGGTTTGGATTTTAGCAATCGCGAGCAAGTGCTGGACGAATTGCTAGACTATCACTTTGAGAGAAAAAACTACGACTCGGTTATCAACGTTCTCTCCATCGCTTTATACTCTCTATTTGCTGCAGACAACGACAACCTGAGAGCCTTACAAAGAGGTTGCTTCAAATATTTTAAGAGAGGAGGAGACTGTGTCAGGCTACCAGTATCTTTCTTATCGGGGGTCATGCCAAGACCCTTTCTGCTAACCAAAGTATTTTTCGCTGTTGCTATCTACGCAGTCTACGTTAATTTTGAAAAAAGAGGTGCTCTTGGATTTCCTGTGGCTTTGCTAGAGGGTATTGCCATCCTATTTACTGCTGCTAGAGTTTTCACTCCATACCTTTATGCTGAAATGATCGGATAGCCTTTGAAGGCTGACTGTTATATATTTATGATAAATCTACTTAACGATAATTCACTATCATGATGCAACTTCTTTTAGGAGATGCCGATCATCTTTTTCTACTTCAAGTAGTTCAGCTACTTGGCACTTATGTTCAACAATTTTTACCCTGACAATTGCTTGGAATAGATCGAATTGTAGAAAATAGTGATTGGCCGTTCACTATAGCTCACTTCCACAGGCAGAGTTGACAGGCCTGTGTCTTCATTTCGCTAACAGAAGCAGAATTATGGATAAACCTTTATGGCTTCGCTGGCTCAAAGTTTACGCTTATGGCGGTGCGATAATTGCGACAGGAGTTGTCCTTTTCAAATATACCACACCGTCCGATGAGGAGTTAATCAAGGCACTGTCGCCCGAACTAAGACTGCAGTTTGAGCGTGAGCGACAGCTGCGTCAAGCTGAACAACAAGAGCTAATGAAAATTGTGCAGGAAACAGCGAGGAGTAAAGACCCCATCTGGAAAACTGGTTCAATTGACTCTCCTTGGGAAAGAAACGCCGGCCAACAGTCGCGTGAACAATTTCAGCGGTTGAAAGCTGAAGAGATTCAGCGCGAGGAATTGAACCGTATAAGGCAGGAGCTACAACAAATCAGGCAGGAAAGCACCATAAAAACGCAGGAAAGCGTGCAGAAGCATAGCTGGTGGAAAATTTGGTAAGCCCTGCTCTAGGTGAAAGTCTCGATGAGTAGGCTTGCAATCAAATCCTTGTGTATATAATCAGTGCTTATTATCAACTTATTTATTTTGGTCTCATTGACTAGAAGCCCAATTGGAGAAGCCTGTTTGGGCAAATGCTTGTAATGCAGTGCCGATGCCTGTTCCAGTAAATCGGCCTGAGCTTCCCTCTCCATTGGAGCTTCTATTAAGCTGGTCCACAGCCGCAACTATTTTCGGTACACTTGTCTCAATGACCATTCCACCTTGAACGATTTCCTCTAACACACTTTCTAGGGTTTGCCAGTTGAAAATCAAATCCAGTTCGTTAACCTCGGCAAAACAACGATCAAGTGATTCCACAAACGTCTGAATGAGATCCAAAATAGCCAACTCAGATTCCTGATCGTCCACTATGAATGTGAAGTAAAGTGTCGCATAGTTTTTGTATATTACTTGGATCACCTGGTCGTTGTCCAAGTCATTTGAACCCGCATGTAGTAGAGATGGCGGAGTTGTCAAAAACGAGCTTTGAAATTCGCTGTTTCTTTGAGATATCAAATCATATACTTGTTGTATCAGTATTTTCTGCTTAGGAAGTTCGACAGGCGTATAGAACTTAACGAGTCTTGGTTGAGCCTTTTTATTAACTACAAAGGCAGGCAGCTGAAGTTAGTATGACCGACTTCGAAGGAGCAGCTCGAAATGCTTGAGTACGTACAGATGAGGACTGAGTGAATCATTGAACGTATAGTAGTATACTGGTCTGCAAACAATCAATTCAGCTTTCCAAAAAACGATCGGCTGTTTCGTTTTCCAATTGAAATCTTTATTGATGGACGAAGGCGAGGGTCTGCAAAGTAGAAGGCTCAAAAAATTGCGCAAGCCCGGAATCGAACCGGGGGCCCAACGATGGCAACGTTGGATTTTACCACTAAACCACTTGCGCTTTATTGATGAGGCTGAAAACGAGAGGCTGCTTCGAGAATGTTTATCATCACATGCTGAGGAACAACGGAAATTGTAAGTGTCATGAATTTAATTACACTGAAACCGATAGACTATGGTTCAACGGCTGGATAACGGGGTCGTGTAGGAATGTGGCAGTTTTTATATTAAATATGTGAACCCACATTTGTCTTTCTCAAGGTTACAAGACGACACGACCCTTGGGCGTGGTACAACTATTGGAATTAGTTAGCTGCAGCAGCATTTGACTTTTTGAATTGACCGTAGACTTTGCCTATTTATATAAAAATATGATATAGATAGTACAGGCGCAGCTAGGAATGATTGACTGGAAGGACCCTTAGGTGCATGTTTATGCAATCGATGTTCCTCTGGACATTGGTTGATTATTCGTATCGCACATTTTTGGTTGACGGAGTCTGCCAGTATCATTTTGTACTACTATGACGCCAGGTAGCCCTGATCATAAGTACATGTTAGTTGTTATGTAAGTGGCCGGTATCAAACAGTACTAGATCATCACCACATGAGAACTGTAACAAGCATCTCTTTTTTGACACATTAGCAACATAGTGACATAAAGTGATACCCAAATTTCTTTTGTCTCAGTTGCTAGCGGAGGTAAGACTCATTCACGCAATCGCAATCGTCACACTTGGAAAACACAGCTGACTGACGTGCTCCTGTTGATAAAGCGAGGATCTTGCAAGGTGGTAGGTGCATGCTGCCTTTTGACTGTGAAGGTTTCTATGAGTCGCAAGTAGTCCAAGTCACTTTTAACGCCAAGTTAATGAATCGGCTCAAGAAGTCATTTAAACTACTTCGCATTCACCGCCAGCAAGCACTTACTGCATCCTAAAATAAATACTTCCCTCTTCAACACTTTAACGGATGGCCCTTTCCTCTATATTTGGAGGAGCTGCACCATCACAACAGCAAACAGCGCCAGCTTCTACTGCTAAAGCCGTTAATGTCAAAGAACAGCTGAAAACTCAAATCGCACAAGAACTTGCTGTAGCAAATGCCAGTGAATTAGTCAACAAGGTGACGGAGAACTGTTTCGAAAAGTGTCTGACCAGTCCATATTCAAGCGGGGAAGAAGGTTGTGTTGACCAGTGTCTGGCGAAATACATGAGAAGCTGGAATGTGGTTTCAAAGGCATACGTTGCAAGAATCCAACAAGCCTCTACTTCTGGAGAAATTTGAGCTCAAATGATATACTGGTTGAGACCCTTGTAAATAACAAAGTAAGTATCGAAACGTTCATATTGCTTTTACGGTTTAGTTAAACAGTCATTCGGTGTATTCATGTATTTTGATGGTTTGTATGGTGTGTGGTGATTACATATACTGAAAGTCGTAATGGTCTCTGCTCAACTAGAGAAAATTTGAGGGTTGGTACGCACCGGTGGGGGATCGAAGTAGTACAATCTTCTCACGAACTTTACGTTGCGAGTATGCCGGTTGCTGAAATAAATATCTCAATGCCTTGAGTGCTACTTGTGCATCGTGGAAAAGAACAAGGAACAGCAGGTTAAACTTGTTTATTCGTCATCCTCGTCTTCGTCATCGCCACCTTCGGCAAGCTTCAACTTAACATCTTTCCACAACTTACCCTTGTTGTGGGCTTCGTACCACGCTGTGACACTGCTGTCAAAAGCGGCTTGAAAGACGAAGGAAGCGGCGAAAACGGTGCCGACAAAAACCGAATTTCTCTTGAAAAAGACGTTGTAGATGGTTGAGAATGCCTAGTATCAGAGTTAGTAAGCGCAAAATGAAATATGGGGCACAGAGAGCGGGAGTAAATGACTTTGAGACTATAACTGGCGAAGGCATATCTAAGTGTCCTAAAAATGACTTTGATTCTAGGATTCAAGTCTGTCCATGGGTATCACTCAGGACGCATGATGCATAGCGACACATTACCGAATATTCCAACAATTGACCAAGGATAACGCACGTCTGTTCGACACCGCCCATCCTTGAAGGCCCCATAGAAAGCATAGTTCTTAAGCTGTCACGACGCGTTTTCTTTCTCAATAACAATAAAACATACCATTGTTGCTAGCTATTGATCGATAATCAGTAACTCCTGGTTTTAGAGAAGCAACTTCCTGTGATACTGATTCAAAGTCTGCAATTTCGGTTGCTTAATTAACTAACTATTGACAGTGATACCTTACACTTGAATTCAAAAAATTTTGTTAATGAATCCTCAAACACCATTGGCTCGTATAAAAAGCCATAACTAATAAAGTTCAAAAGTCGCACGTTCGAAGCTTACGATACGCTACTCAAGTTAACTAACGATTCGGCACTGATCTGTTGAACGTAAAATAGATCATAGGATTCAGAATTTTTAATCTGCATCCTCGTCATCCTCAGCATCCTCAGCACCCTCACCTTCAGCTTCCTCAGCAGGTCCATTTAAATTTCTGAAATTGGGAATGAATTCGAAACGAGGAACAAAAAAATTACCCAGCCTACCAGCTCCTTCAGCCTGCCCATCCTCAAAGGTGTCAGTATCAGTTCTTAAGTTGTTAATGAACTGAAAAAAATCCCTTATATCTCCACCAGGTATTGGGTCGGCATCCTCTAAACGAATACCTGCTTCTTCAAAGAACTCATCCGGACGAATCTCCCATCTGGCTTCGCCACCTGCTGAATCATCGTTATCCTCCCCTTCACTGCTGCTGCTATCACCATCAAGCTCATCGGTATTGGCCCTACGAGGCCGGAGGACGTTTCTATTGAAATTCAGAACCACTCCATTGGAAATTATCAAAACTCTAAATTCGTCTCCCATCACGCGGCTAATAAGTCCAGGGACTTCATTATTCAGCCAAATATTATTGAGATGCTCATACCTACGCAAGTTTAAGGTTGTTAAATCACCCCGCTGAATAGCATTCCGGCCGGCTTCACCATGAAAGTTTAAGTAGGGCGCCGGAATTGAAATGGAGCACCTTGGATTTGTTAGTATCAAGCAAACTTCATTCAGATTTGGAATGAGAAAGAGCCCAAATGGCTTAAAGCAATGACTTCCCAAATGTCTTATTAGTTCTGTGTGATCTTTCCGCGCATGGACTTTTACACCGCACGTTAAACAGATTTTAAAGTCTAGGCGGTTACCTGCATTTTTCATGTGCGCCGGATGCTCATCGCGCAATTTCACGTCTCTTGAATTTGTGAGATAAGTATTCAATTGTGGTGCGAGGTCAACTAGTTTAACGATGCCAGTGTATTCATAAGGAATTCTGGACAGATAAGGATCATCCATGTTGGTACCGCAGGAGTATCTCAAAAGGCCGTCCACGCTATCGCAGAACGTGACTTCCTTGATTACAGTGTTAATGTATTCAGTCAAGTTTGCGTATTCCGTGAATGGAGTTTCGAAATCAACCTCGTTTAAGATCAAACGAGAACCTTCAGAATTTAACGTATCATTTAGTACCTTCAAAAAGATCAGACATCTTCTTATCGTTGGCAGGAGATTTTTTTCCAAGCTCGCATACGCCAGCGTGTACAGCTTTGTGTTAAGGGCTTCATCCGCAATGCCGATATCACATATAGAACGCATGGTGTTGAGAAGACTTTCATCAACCTTGCCGCTGCCACCTGAACTGGTATATTCTTCGAACATTTTTTCAATGTGCTTGGGTGACTGGCCCTTCACAAAGTCAACGATCAACTGTCTACCAAACAGAGCTAAACCTTTTGTTATGGTGTCAGAAATAGGAGCAGCAGTGAAAAGGGAATTGCGAATGATGTACTGGAAAAGCTGGTTATGATTCCAGGTGACACCTTCGCTGTTGACATAAGGGATATGTTCCAGCGAGGGTGGCCCCACTACTTTATAAAGCCAGGCGATGGAAGAGAGGACATTTCGCAAAGTTTTATACTTTTGCTCTCTCCCTTGCAATACACTATCATTTCCCAGGAACAAAGGTCGGGTAGATATTTCCAGCATTGAGATTGTATTGGACCAATGCACCGCCAAAACGAGAGCAACCTCAGGCCTTTGGAACTTTGGAGTAGCTGCCCATTGGCGATCGTAGTACTTATTTTGCTTGTTTATTTCCACAAACATATTGAAGATGCCACTAAAATCTTCATTGACGTCGCTATCATGTATGTAGCTGATAGGTGGGCAAACCACGTTAGATTCAAGCAAGTCGGTCACAGAAATCTCGCTTTCTTTGCACGCCTTCCGCGAAACCGGCATAACACAGTTGGAAAATGTTTGACACACTGGACAAATGAAGGCATTTGTAGAAAACCTTTTTTTCTGAGCATACCGTTTGAAGCACTTGTAATGAATATAATGATTACAAGAGAAGAATACTTTTCGGGAACCACGAGTACCATCTTTCTTGTAAGCATCTAAAGTCTCTTCGTCATAAACTGTGGGATGATCGTCGTCATTGCCAAAGCCCCCCCAAATGGTGGCCAGTTGTCCGATATCGTGAATATTTCCACCTCTAAAAATTGGGGAAGCTTCATGGTATAGAGGGATAACGAATGCGTCGGTTGATTCAGAATCCTGACACAGTGCACAAGTGTGGTCATGCTCCTCATTAGAGACATCGACATCGATCATATCCACGTCACCGTCCTTGCTCTCAAGTTTGAATTCATCCCCTTTCATGAACTTTGACTGCTGTTTTGAGAACTTAGACAGTATCTTTTCCTGGCGCGACTTTGCTAACCGTTTTTTCCGATCTCTCTCGCTTTCTTCGAGGTTCACACCTTGATTTAATTTTTTTGATTTGTACAGCTCAATTGTCTGTTCTCCGAAACATGAGAGTAAAGAGTCTAGTACAGCTTCTGGTCTCCTTCGAATCATAAACTCTAATAAGAAATCGGCCTTTGCAATTGCGCTCTCCGAAAAAACCGCGGACTTAGAATCGATTATGGTGAGAAACAGATTGCAAACAGGAATCGAGAGATAAGGTCCTGGAATTGAGTTCTTTCCATTGGCAAGCTCATGGTCTTTGAAAATTGCATGAACCAAATGCAGTAAACCATAAATGAAGGTGCCTTCATCAAAATCTAGACAAACCTGCAGGAGGTTGAAGATTACTTTGGCAAATGCATCGGTTCGAGTAAAGGCACCCAAGTTACGAGCACCCTCGTCCATATGTTTCGGGTGTGTCAATTGAGGTTCCAACACAACTTTTTTGGCATCATGTCCAGGTTCCGCTAAATGAGACATAATAACAGATGCACTATGTTCAAAATCGTTTCCCATGTTGGGCAGCTGCAGCGGATCAATCTTTCTATAAAGTTCAGGCTTCAGTTTAAAAACACCATTATCTTCGAGGCCCTTGGGCTCCACAAAAATTGAGACCTCGTGCAACGCTTGGTCAAATAAATTCGAACTTTCAGTAAGATACTCGGGCATTGCTGAAAAAAGGTCAGAGTAGGATAGAGGTTCCATAAACAGACCATACATGATGGATTTTTTTATCTGATAATATTCCTTTTCTTTGAAACTCTGGAACTTTTTGAAAGAATGCCTTTCAGCAAGTATCTGATAGACAAATGCGATGAACTGTTGGATGATAAAGACAATTTTGTCTTCGTATTGGGTGTGTAGAAATTCTTCTTCTCCATCAAGCCAACTCAAAAGTTCCCACCTCTCTAGTGTGTTGTAGATCAATCTGACTAGATTGTCCTTCTCTCCTAAAAATGTAAGCTGACAGAGGTGAATATCGCGCATGTAGGAAGCCATGTCGGGAGTGCGTTTGTAGTACGACGACTGACGGAGAACAGACACACCATTTCTAACCCAGAAGCCGACATCAATTTGGGAACAAAGGACAATAGACCTAAGGGGAATGTCAGAAATTGTGAGGAAATCTTCACAGTCCGCAGCGGCTAATAGTGCTTTTTCTAGCGGAACCTTTTCCATCAAAAATGACAAAAGTGTGTGGACAGGATTCATAAAAGCAACTCGTTGCTTGCTCACCTTGAATTTTATTACCTCATGAGTCTCATGAACAATTTTGTAGTGGCAAGTTCTGTGGCCCAAAAATGTGCTTAATAGCCTTATGGCATTTAGTATCAGCTGTTCTTCTACTTCATCACGCCTACTGGCAAGCGTCTTATCGATGGTCTGAATGATGCTGAAGACGGAAGTCGTATACTCCACATAAGGTATGAAATTTTGGTCCTCTCTCAGAACATGCTCTCCTTCCTTACGCTTTATTTTCCAAGCCCCATTGAAAAGTTTGCACAGAGTTACAATAGCAATAAATTCTGGAGTCCGCAGCAGGAGATTAGGGTCGTTTATCTTGCTCAGTATTGTTTCCACCGCATAAAAGCCCTGCTTAAACGAAAATCTATAACTCTTGCTCGGGTTTGTCTTTTGAACCTTTTGCCAAATTAAAAGACCAGCGTCTTTCCTTGAAAACTCCGCAAAAATATCAATTACTGACCACATTATGCTGCTAAAGCTTCCACTTTCAAATATCATTTTAGCATTTGTTGGACATGTAAAGAGTTGTACAACGCACTCCCGTAATGCGCACAGTTGAGGCTCCCGGTCCATAAACGCTAAAGATCTACTCATGTGATTGAAAATTTGGACCAACTGAGTACAGAAGACAGGCTTGAACTTGACACTAGATGCCATCGTCGAAATGATCACATCCTGGATCTCCTTGCGCAGTCCCTTCCAATATCTGTTGTCGAAGAAGAGAAAATGCTGTAATCTCGAATTAAAATACGGTTTGGAGGTCGGCGTTATGGTATTATTCAGAGTAGCCGAAATGGAGTCTGTTGCATCTGCCGCTAGTTCTTTTTCATGGCTTAATGGAATAGTATTTCCCCTGTCCAGCACTGAGAGGTCTGCATATCTGAATTTGGTATCGGTGGGAATCTTGATAGGAAAGTGCTTATCCACTATGGTGCTGACATCTCGCTTTTCAGCGAAATTTGTGATTTCCGAACATAGAACAGTCCCCAGACTCTCTCTAAATATTTGCTGAAACTCAGCATTGGGAATGGTTAAACCATGCTTGATCCATGCTATCATGTATTTACAGGCCTCTTGATGAATGTACTCGACCCATGTTGTTAAGGTGGCGGATAGACCGTTGGTGCGGATGGCGAAAAACCCGCTTAAAATGTTAGGCAAATCTTTTGAGCACTTTAACATTGCGCGTCCCTCTCCATCAATACATGCAGTAAGCTTGTCTGTGTGCTTGTCATCTGGGGCTCCTTGCTTCAGAGCAGCTATAGCTTGAGAGTAGTTATGATACTCATCGTTGTACACCATGACTGCGTAGTCCGGGGTCTGAGTTTCCACCAAGCCTCCATCCTTTTCATAGAGGTCATTCGTTTCGCGGTGAAACCGCCCGTCTTCGTGGTGCTCTAGAATATACTCATTTGTATATTGGAGATCCTTCAAAAACTCCAACTTCTCGTTTGCCTTGTTAGCTTGTTCCATCTCCCTAAGCTTTATTGTGATCTCCTTTTGAATCGTGGGCAAAGGCTCAATGTTTTGATTAAAAACGTCAAGAAAGTGGTCCAGAATCTCTGTAAGCGCATTCTCAATAAGCTGATGCATTTCGACGGACTGAAAGCCTTCATCGTGGTCAAAGTCTTGGTCCTCCAGGTCACTGTCTGACAGTTCGGCTCTGCAATGCAAACTGTTGTGCCATGCTTCGACGTCCCCGCAGTCACATATGCCAGTGTTCAGTAAGGAGCAGATACTGGTGTAGACGTGGTGACCCTTGTGATCATCCGGATGAAAACAGTGGATACACAGCACACACGTCTCATCGTAACCGCATTCTTTGCAGCGATAGATGGGCTCTCCAGGAAGAAATTTGCGGCCACAGTTTCTACCTGTGTGGCGGTGTTGTTGACTTGTCACAACCTCTTCTATCGTATAGAAGGGGTCATTCTTGCGTTGCATGGCCAAATCCATGCTCAGGGCCTCCTCCAGACTTTTTGGGAACTTTTCCGGCGGTGCTCCCGGAAACAACAGGGACAAAAGTCGACCATGGCCCGAAATAACATAGTACAGATAGCGGAATATGAAGCTTTTTAACGTTTTCCCTACGTCAGCCCGTTCTTTAGGGCCCTTGGCGCTTTGAAAGTATGGCACATCGTGCAGAGACTGTAAAACAGCCTTCAAATGCTCCTGCATCTTGCTGGTTTCGCCCCTAATCATCTTAGCTCTCCATGAAATACTCACCCTTGCAGTTTGCACGATCAGTATTCTGCTATCCTAATCTTTTGGTAGTTTGCAAGTCAAGAATGGTTAGTATGGTGAGTATTAGTGATTGATTCTTTGCTCCCTAGTTCTGGCCACTAAAGATCACCATCGACGACTGTGGTGAGCTGAAGATCAAATTGAGTAGCTGGCTGATGGAGAAAAATCATGCTTAATGTAGATAACAGCACGCAAATTCCAGCCACACGAAGTGATATCGACCGACAGATAAAATGGAGGTGACGAAACTAGATAAAAAAATTGACTCTGTGCGGATTAGATCTTACCAGATTGGGCGGTGGTCGGGACTGATTTGATATAATTATGGCGGAAAATTGATATTTCGAAATAGTTTGGTTCCGCGTACGAGTCGTGGAATATCTCACACTATATCTAATAGCTACGTTTAGTTACCGTACTATCGTACATCTAGCTGAACCATGTAAGTATTGCCGTCGGTTCGATAGGAATGTGACTCAATCCATAGGATCGATGGACTGCTACCTAAATATAAAAGCCGTAGCATTCGAGGGTAATGAAAGGCTTCCGGAGGCAAACACGTTGGAACGAGGTTTGTCACTGTCACGTTGAAAAAAATGCGTCTTACATACCACTTGCAACTGTAGCTTCCCGGGTGCAATTACAATTAGAACTTCTCAGACAGCCTTGAGAACTGTAGTCATATAGGCCCTAACTAAAATTTTCCAAAGCGGTCATATTTGGGGCGTGCGATGGCTGAACGTTCAGTTACTTATATCGATAATCCCAAGTTTGATGACATCGTATTTTACTCTCCACGACTGTCCAGCGTTGTCGATGTTCCCAGATTTCCTCGCAATGCCACCTTCCAATGCGGTCAAGCAAAAATGGAAAGTACACTATTAGGACCGAAAACAATGGTATTACGAAGCTGGACTAATTGAGTCAGTGAAATGCGTCTTTGTCATTCCCGCATCTACCATTGGTTTGGTTTGTCCTCCTGGAGTGTCCATTTTAAGTCACCCTAAAGCTCTTGGTCACTAATACATTAGGCCGCATAACTTGTTGAACATTCAAGCAGTCCGAAACTTCAGATAGACGTCCTATATTTGTAGGCCGTTGGGCGTCAGGCCCATAAAATCTGTGGTTTGCGCCAGCTACCCATTCCTCTTCTCATTTCTCTTCCCATTTCTCCACTACCACCAATTTAACGCCTGACCCCGAGAATTAATTATTTGGTGGCGAACAGCCTTCAGGCATATCGGCAAACAGCACACAGTAAACAATATCGCCTCATAGGTATACACTCGCCTGGCGAGCTGAAGCTATTGTTCCCAAAGATCAAATTTTGAACGATTCTAAATCAAGTCGCTTCAGCATAGATGGAATGGCCAGGGAAGAGCGTCCTGTGCGAGAATTTTTGGTTTCGTTGCCGCGCTTAGCCAATGAATCGTATCACGAAGTTATAAGCTACGTTCTTTGGCAAACTCTGGACGAATGTGTGACGCAGGGAATTGAAAAGGTCGATTGGCTCAACAAGCGACGCCTTTTCGATTCGCTCAACTGGAAGCGGGGCGTTTTTCAGTCGCTCCAGCTCCCTTCGAATTGGCGGGATGGATTTTTCAGCTCAAACGGCGAATCTCACACACACGAAAAGTCAAGCTGCGGCCGAATCTCTAAGCCCACAGAAACTGTCTTTTACTGTTTTGACTGTACCAGAAATCCGCTTTATGAGATCTGCGATAGATGCTTCGACCCACAACACCACATGGGCCATCGATATACTTCGCGTGTTGTGGTTAGGCCCGAGGGACGTATATGCCACTGTGGTGATGGAAGTGTGTTCATAAGCTCCGAGAACGGTGATATTGGAGCCTTCAAATGCCGTAATTCTGCCAATAATGGTTCGTTCAGGGTGGATTTCGAACAGGAGAGAGACACCAACCTGGTATGCCTATTTGAACAAATTCTCGATTACATACTTGATGCAACCGCGCTTTTTAAGGAGCAGAGCGATGACATTGCCAGGACTTTTATGGCGCACGATAATGGCACAGCTGAGAATTGCAGCGACCAATATGTTCTCCAGCTTTGCGGCAATGAGTGCAGCTTACACATAAAAGATCTCTCCTCCAAAATAAGCTCAGTTTTTCATAGACCCCCAGAGTTTGGTGTGATGATGACAGATATGCTGCACAGAGGGGAGCCATCCGTTACTATACTAAGGTCATCGAACTTCTCCAAGCTTGACGAAATCAGGGAGATATTTGCAGCTCAAAACGTTATTGTACAAGTGAAGAAAACATCGGACGTTTTCAAGGAATGTCTCGTAGATGAACTTACCAACTGGATTTACAAATTTTGCACTGTTAACACATCACTTTGCGGCAAATTGTCATTGAGAGTAGCTATTTGTGGAATTTGGCAGTCTGGGCTGCTATCGAATGGAAATACAACGGGATTACTTTGTCCTTTCACACCAAAGATTGCGCTACTGGGCGGATTCGTTGTCCCTTTTGAACAACGACAAAATTTTCCTTGGGCTCAGCCCTGGACGTTTCCGCAGAAAAGTGATACAGTTCACGACCCTCAGATGTTGCAAATTATGCAAGTGTATGACCGAAATTTGCAGGCAACATACCCAAGCGGCCAGAGTACTGTGTTTGGCTCACTTCAAGGTTCAAGGCTCCAGCACCTACTGGTCCAGGGTACTTCAGTCATACCTATGATGTGGAAGTTTCGACTACCTAAGATAGTAAGCTCTATTTTCTCAATTATTGATGACTCAAGAAATTGCATAGCCGCCCAATACATTGACATTTATCCAAATCTGCTTTATGATACTGTTGCATCAGACTCCGCTGGGTACAAACTTTCTTTAATGAGCTGCTTATCTCAACTTGTCTTTCAAATACCCACTATTGCCAACATGATTGTTACTTCAGGCTTTATTGAACGTATCACGCAGGTTGCATTCACTCTCATGTCATTTTCGGTAGAAGATCTGGCAGAGTGTCCACCTGTTCCACTTTTCCGTGACCTAAAACTACCCAGCGATACAATAAAAAACAAGCGCAGTGTTATTTGCTTCAAGGATATTTACCTTGTAATGTCTACAAACACCGTTCCCGAGCTACTCCTATCAAATCAGCATATCCTATGGTGCATGATAAAATGTTTCTGTGCTTTTAACAATGTTCTTCCCCTAAGTCGAGAGACATCTGAACACATTGAGTATGAAAATTTCGATTTTTCGTCGTATTATTTCTATTTTTCCTCCATTCTTGTAATGGTTGATGGCTTTACGAGAAACATTTGTCAGCTTCAAGATCCAAGCCTCCGAGTACGTGTTGTCCACCGTTTCTTGAGGGTGTGTTTGTCGAAGGAGTTAGAGTTTTTGAAAACATTCAAACAGGTAGATTTCAGTCAAAAGCCGCCAAGAATAAATTTGAAAGCAAATTTCGGATTTTCTTTGATACATGAAGCCATTTGCGACACAACCGCTGATATCATCAGTTTTCAAGTTGGATCATCTTGTCAAAACTTTTTCAATCCGATGTCTTACTTCTTTAAATTCGTTACGCAATGGAGTCACTGTGGAAGATACGCTCCTTTAAGCTATTCTATCAAAAACTTCTTCAAACTTGAAGAGATCTTTGCAGATAAAAGGCAAATTCTATGGATGTGTGAATCATCTTTGTCCACGCTCGTCTTGATTGCCCAAATTAATGCTGGCTTTTGGGTTAGAAACGGTTCTCCAATTCAACATCAAGCACGAATGTACACGCGGTACAGTATGAGAGAATTCACCTATTTTAGCGATCTCTATATGCTGCAAATGGCCATGAGCATAGCCGATCCAAATGAATTCATGGTAACGTACATCTCACGGTGGGGTCTCAAGAATTGGGCACAAGGAACGCCTATTGGTGACTATCCTGAATCTGAAATAACAATCTCAATGGTAGACCAGTGTCTCCTGTTGTTAATTCAGCTTTTAAGTGAAACACGAAGTCTTACGATGAAGTCCTCGATCGAAGGATTCGAGAAGACAATACAGACCGAGTTAGTTCATGCCTTATGCTTCAAAAATTCGACGTATAGCGAACTTCTGAGCATTATTCCGGAGCATGTTACAAAGCACCCGGCTTTTGATTTATATTTGCATGACATGGCAAGTTTTAGCCCCCCGAATAAGCTGATGGATGCTGGCATCTTTACCTTAAAGAGAGAGTATTTTAAACTTGTCGATCCATATTTCATAGGGTTCATTTCAAGCAAAAGGTATGAGGCAGAGAAACTCGTGCGGGAATCTATGGCTGCCGAAATGACAAATAGCTTTGCCAGAACTTTTGTCCCTGCTGCGGATGTCTCAAACTTGTTAGGAGAAACGTTTTTCGAAAATCTTTACCAAATAGCAGGTACCGATATTTTCGGACACTTTATCAAAAACACTCTTATTCATGTTAATAACTCGCATCATGACAGTTTACTGGGCAAAGTGACGCACATAATACACCTGTGCATCGTGAATAATGCGTTTGAATTTGGTCCCGTTTTTTGGAAGGAGTATGGATTTTCGAGTTCAGAATATCCACATTTCAGCAGCATTGGATCACTTTTGTATTCCTTCCTCTCCAAAGATGAATTCTTGAACGAGCATGGCAAGATTCGAGAAATATTTCGCTGCTGTTCTCAAAAAGCTCCCTACGTTGATATGGAGTCGATTTTGGAACAGCAAACACGCTCTCAAAATTTTGACCTTTTAAAAGATGGAGACGTTAATAGCACAGAACGAAAAGACGAGGAGTTTCTAAAACGAAAAATGCTTGCAAAAGCGAAGAGGTTGAAAATCATGAAGCATATTGCTCGGCAACAACAGAAATTTCTTGCTAATAATCAAAGTTCTAACGAGGAAGGAAGCCTCAATAACTACAATAACAAAGTAGATGATGAACATTGCGTAATTCCTGAATCGACATGTGTCTTCTGCAAGATGGATAAAGACGATGATATGTTCGTTTATTTCAGCTACCTCGAAAGAAATTTATGCGGCAGAAAAATAACACTGGATAAGCATACTCGGAATGGGCCAACCGGCGGCTCTGGTGTACGTAAAGAGTTTCTCATAAAGCCAGTCATCCGTACCTGTGGACATGGTGCCCATGAAGGTTGCCTTTTCAACCATATGAAGTCCACGAGGACTGCCCACAATCACATCACTAAGAATGTTCCAAGCTCTTTAGGATTTTCATTAGCCTTCTGTCCGTTATGCTCCGCTTTGACAAACTCATTTCTTCCCCATATACGTCCCAATAGAGTAACAAGCCCCGGAGCACCTCTCGAACGGGAAGATTTTGATGGCTTCCTATTCACGAAGACTTCGGAAACATGCAGAAGGGCAGTTGCCGTCTTGCACCGATTGTTGTACCAAGAAGCTGAAAGCCCTTTGCAACCTCCATTAGAGCTCCTGTCTAAAATACAGAGTGATGCAATCAAAAATGCAGAGGCTGCTACGCGATCCAGCAAGGAAAGCAGTCTCATCGACAAGGTGTCGAAGAATTTCTTGAAGAACCAGCATATGATCACCTTGGTACTCATATCTCAGATGAAGAAGTTCATGGCCACTTTAGCCCATCCTGCGATATCTGGCGCAAAACTCGGCCTTAATTCTACTCATAATCCTTTGTTGCATCCTTTGATGAGCTCTTGGGACCAATTCATAGGAACATACGAGGATGTCGACCTTCTTGATAGCATAACAGCGTGGCTGCCAACACGGCACTTATACCAAGACATTAAAGTTGAAGCTGTTTTGAAAAATTTCTTAGACAAGGGACTTCATCAGGACTTCGTTTTCATTTCTGAGCTGTTACGCAAAAACGCTTTTACTGACGATATGAAAAGGATATTTTTAGATAAAAGTCTACTTTCCGGATTTTCGACTTCCTGGACATTGTTGGAGGCCGACTCAATCGTCAAAAATATGGAGCATTATTGCCCTAGTCTCGACCTCAGTAAGATTAATCTCTTCACTGACTGTGCGTCATCCATATTATACAGTTCCATGATCATACGAATGAGAAAACTTACTGCTCTTCTCTGTGCTGATGGATTGGTAAAGATACCATCCGAAACAGACTGTACCAATTTCAACGATCTTAATAATCTTCTAACGTACTGCGGGCTGCCACCTTTTGAGAAACAACTCAGGCATTTTAGCAACACCCTGCCAAAGCTGGCGGCAGAAATTTCATTAACAGCGGCAATGGCTCGTGTTTGCGAATCTCCTCATCGGCAAAGCGACGTGCTTTCTTTATGTTTGTTCGAAGAGTCTCTTTTGATTAGGTTACCCCCGTTATATTCTGAACTGATAGACGCCGGGGATGATGCTCTTATGCAGCTGAGATTTAAGAGAGGAGAAATTGCAATTTGCTTATTTTGCGGAGATCGCCTTCATGTGCAGCACGCTACAGCTATCCACAACTACTCTATCGGAGAATGTACTGACCATTGCCTCTACCAGTGCCCTTCAAAATCGGTTTACGGCTGTTTTCTACTGGTACTGAGTAATGCGACGTACCTTTCGTACGGTCATAGGGGCACATTCTTCCAAGCCCCTTTCTTGAACAAGTTTGGTGAAACGGATGAAGATTATCGCACAGGCTCTCCTGTATTTTTAAACCAGGAACGATACTTACATTTGAGCCAGGACATTGTTCTAGGCAATATGATTCCTCACCTCGTGTTCAGGTTGACGGACAATAACTCTGACCTGGGGGGCTGGGAAAGCATATAACTTTGGACACTTATATTTACAAGATGAATCAAAACATAATTCATTATTCAAAATCTATACGCGGCCAAAATGAGGCCAAATAAAAAGTAATTAGGAGGAACTGTGGAGTTCGCTCTGTTGCAATTTTTCGGTGACGTCGGAAACTGCATCAGGAGCATTCTTTTGAGAACCTGGGTAGCGGGATCCCTTATCCTTTGGCTGCTTTTGTTTCTTCGTCTTCTCTTGGACGACGGTTGGGTAACCCTTAACTTGAGCTTCTTGGAACGCAGAGTTTTGAGCAAAATCTTCCCGAATTGGCGCTAAGAGTTCATTAATGATATCAGCTACTCCAGTCTTCAAATCTGGAGGAGCCAATTTTTGATCCTTGAAATCTTGGACCAGTTCGGCGAAGGATGTGTAGGTAATTGGACCTCCAAACTTTTCAGGGCGGTCAATATCAAATTTGAAGTAATCGGAACCAAACTTCAGCTCTTGGATTGGGGCAACAACGTACTCAACAAAAGACAAGAGACCATTGTCTTCCACAACTCCTGGTGCGCAAAAAGCACTATTGATCTTCTTCTTGACTTGTTTAGGCTCTTCTAGAATATCGATCTTCGAATTTGGGTCTGAAGCTGACATTTTACCACCTTGGGCAAGACCTGGAACCATCGGATTCATTAAATGGGCACGCTTCTTGTAGCCCAAAGATGGTAGGTTTTCTTCTGCAAGAACGAAGATCTTTCTCTGATCCACTCCACCAAACTGGGCATCTACGTCGAGGTGTTCCTCATCCAATGCTTGCATCAGAGGGTAGATCAAACCACTTAGCAAAGGGTTTGCCACTTGCTTGACCACGTCTGCGCCAGCCCTCTTAGCGTCATTTTGGGATACAGAGTTTGAGAGCTTGAAGATGTCCATCGTGTACTCAGCCGAGAGTTGGTATGAACTTCCGACGACAAACTTCAGCCTTTCAATGGGAACATTGATGCTGCGCAGCAAGGACTTTATAACAAGTTCGTAGTATTTGGCTCTGTACTGCACGACCTCCAGAGGAGCCTTCATGTTGTCCAAAAAGGCGTGCAAGTCAGCCAAAAGCACTACGACTTCACATCCGGCTTTTAGAAAATGGGCCAATTTGGTCATAGGAACAAAATATCCACAGTGGGGACGGCCGGTGGGTGCTGTGCCCCAGTACAATTTTAAAGGTCTCTTTTGCACCTCGAGCACATCTTTGATGATTTGAGGGTTCAAAACCTCCTGCAAGTTTTTGGTGATTAGCTCAAAGGCCTCCGTTGGGTCAGAAATAGTTTTAGGCTCTCCGGTCATGGTGAATAGGGACACAGGTACTGGATTCTGTATCTAAACGTTGCTTAATGTGAATGAAGAACTCTCGAAAATACCTAGGTGACTCGATAACGCTAGGGATGAAACAAAATTTTCACGCCAATTGGGGACAAAGTGATTTACTTGTAGTGACTAAAATAGAGTTAAATCGACTGTGAGAGGTTGAAAACTATCCATACAGTAGTAAGAATAATGATATAAGCAATCTTACAATCCAATCGTTAGCTCCCTATTCTTTTGGCTATCTGCCTACAAATTAGCATCCGCAAGATTCTGTCAGAACCACCCTTTGGTAGTCATTTGGTACTACGGGAATGGCGTCGGGTTGGTATAATGCGAAACATTGTCGTTGTACGATCAGGATTACTGTATAAATATGTTAAACAGATCAAACTACGCTTAGTTCTCCCTACCCATGACTAGCTGTCAGCTGTCCTGGAGTTTCCATTAGCTCTATCTATACATGAACTCCCAGTTAACGTTAAACCTCAACTGTATTCGAAGCACCACCCGAAACCGATTATTGACATTATCCTAACATCTTGAGGTCTCCTACCTTCATGCGACAATCGTCGCCTTAGTGTCAACAAAGTGCGAAGTGATACTGGTCATGTCAGTAAAATGGTAATTAATTTCCAAGGAACAATAATAACAGGGTAAGCAAAATGTAAGAATGTAGCAATTTGACCAACATCTACGAAAGGTGGTTAAACATGACATTCATCTGGATGACCTAAGAATAAGAAATTATTCACAAGAATGAAGAAGAAGAATTAAGATAATACTTAAAATGTATTGGATTATCAACCATCAGGATCAAGAGAAAAGGCGATCGCACAGAAAAGCCCTAAGCTGGCAGGTCAATTATCTAATAACCCAAATTCCCACTTGTTAAGTGAAATCACTGGTTTTTCGAGCCTTAACTGCACTGAGACTATTGCCACCGAGTTTTGGTATGAAAATAATTTTGCGTCCCAGGTATAAATCAAATCCTGAGTACAAACAATCATAAAGAGACAGCTATAAGCTGCTTCATAAGCCCCAAATTAACTGCCAAGTACTCAAATTTTAAGTCACGATGCCTATCAACAAATTGGACGACCATTTCACCAAGTCAATAATTGTAAACGCCGACTTGGTCCAATAAAATCCGTCACAGACAATCTAGAGCTCCGGAAAACTTGAAAAATGTCTCAAAGATCTTGGTGCCGCTCAGCTTTGCAACTGCTTTTCGTTCCTCTTTTGATGGATGTGCAATGGATAAAAGATGTAATATGGTACGACAAATAATCTCAATTTTTGATCAATTCGTGGCAAACTAAGGCCATCTGTCCTCGCCCTACTTGGTTGGCTGCGCAAGTGAGGGCTCAAAGCACGGTCAAGGCTGCAGATTCCCTGCACTCCCCCAGATATATATTGCTTGATACAATGTCCAATCCCCTCAAATCCTCTAATAGTGCCTCTCCCTTCATCAAACGAGAGCAACTGAGGAGAGACTTTCTGAAATCACGGCTCAAGAAAACAGGGACTCCTAAGCCATACGTGAAAAAGGAAGATCCCGAGACCTACGAGGAACGCACCAATCAGCTACTCAATGGCGGTGCTTCAGGTAGCGGGAGCTCTAACGGAGAGACGAAGGTCAAGCAAGAAAACTCTACACAATACAATGAGTTTCCGCTAAGAGCAGTCTCCCACGAACATTTGGAAAACATCAGGACTCACATTCTCAAATTTCAAAGTAAGAAAAAGATTGATCCTCAGAACGACCTTCATCTCCCGGTGAGGCTCCATCGTAAAGACACACGTAATTTGCAATTTCAACTCACGAGAGCTGAAATTGTTCAACGGCAGAAAGAGATAGCAGAGTACAAGCGAAATGCAGAAATGGAGAAAGCACCCAATGCATCTTTGCAGGTATCAGGAGGCTCAACTAGCTCTACTCCTGCTTCGGGGATAGCCACGCCGGCTACACAAGCCTCGGCAGCCCCTTCTGCAGAAACCTCTGCCAACTCAAATCCACATGCGACAGATGAAAAGTCTTCAAGTCTTCCTGCTGATGGAGATGCTACTCAAAGTAATAGTGAACCTTCAGGTTCGAAACCTTCAGTTCCACCATTGACAAGATTGGAGGAAGCGGGCGTTTCGGAGGACCCATCAAAAGTAGGCATGGTGAAATATGACGGTAAGGAAAAGCTCTTGGATGCCGAAAGTAAAGAAGATCCATTTGCGGACGTGGCTCCCGACGGTGGTGGTCGTTTCAAGAGAGGCAACGTCAAGAGAAAGACGCGGTCACTCAAACTATTAGATGAAAATGCAAAACGATTAAGATTTGAGGAGTTCTACCCTTGGGTCCTAGAAGACTTTGATGGCCTCAATACCTGGGTAGGCTCCTACGAAGCCGGAAACTCAGATTCATATGTTCTTTTGAGCGTTGAGAACGACGGCAGTTTTACTATGATCCCTGCCGATAAGGTTTATAAATTCACTGCGAGAAACAAGTATGCCACGCTTACAATCGACGAAGCTGAGAAACGTATGGAAAAAAATGGTAAGGGAATTCCTCGATGGCTAATGAAGCATTTGGATGATATCGGTACTACCACGACGAGATATGATAGAACGCAAAGAAGATTGCGGTCAGTTGATGCCCGCCAGCGGGACGAGGGCGATGAAGATAATAGGGACGACAATTCCGAAATTGAGTTAGATTTCGATGAGGAGTTTGCCGACGATGAAGAAGCCCCAATTATCGACGGTGATGAAAAGGAAAATAAAGAATCGGAACAACGTATTAAGAAGGAAATGTTACAAGCCAATGCAATGGGATTGCGGGATGGTGATGGCGATGATATAGATGAAGATCTGTTTGGTGAGAAGAAGATCGACGACGAAGGAGAAAGGACAATGAAAGCACTCCAAAAATCCGATATGGCCGCTCTTTACGAATCTGATGACGAAGCTAAGCTGAATCCTTACATATCTGAATCAGAGCCCGAAAACCAAGAAGAAGATAAGGATAAGGATAAGGATGAGAGCCAAGAAAATGACAAATCCGGCAGAAGAGGCTCTCCTACTAAGAAAACCAAAAAGGGGACACCTTCTGGATCTCGTATTCATGTTAAAAGTATCAAGGACTGCCAGGTTATTCTGAAGGCTGATAGCTCCACATTGAAAAACTTCCCGGAAGGAATATGGAATCCAAACACGGCACAGAAAGCTACCGAGAAGATCGATAGCGACAGTTTTCTACCCTCCGTTAAGGACGAAGATAGTGATACGCACCCAGATTTGCTTACCGAGGCAGATATTGTCAACGTTGTTTCAGGGCGCACAATGACCCTCAAGCAATTGATCAAAGAATTGAAGGAAAAAGTGGCCAAACATCCTTCGAACAAGGATAGGATGAAACATTTGGTGAAAAAACTGGTAAAGCTCAAAGATGGAAACTTAGAACTCAAGGCTTCTTAATATATAAATCAGCATCACTTATTACTATGGCTACTGGTTCAAAATAGAAAAAAATTATTAACTAAGTATGGGTTACTGTATAATAACCAAATCGCAGTTGGATGTCAGTTACGCAACCTCGACAATCACATTATCGTCCTCGTCACTTTCTTCCTCTTCTTTCTCGTCTTCGGCGTTTCTGGTAGGCATTTCTTCAATCTGATCTGTATCGATTTCTCCCCTCATCAACATATTGACCACCCGATCACAAAGTTCGCTTATTTCCTCATTTTGCGAATTTTTCTCAAGCTCTCTTATCAGCGGGTATACCGACTTGCTTCTTAGAAATTCTCTTCCAAATCTTGTGGTACATAGCAACAAAATACTCTCCAAATGAACACAGATGATGGCAGGGCTAGGATCTCTTTGCTTATCTTCAGGAAGTAATTGTAGTTCATCCGGTAGATTGAACATATCTTCTTCGTCGATTTCAGAGTCTTTGGCGCTCGCGATAGGTAATAAAATGTAAGGCAACAAGTTAATGTCCTCGTCAGCCAAAAGCTGTTCATGCTTCTCGGAATCAAATAGTGAGTTTTTTATAGTCGAAGCCACACCTTCTCTTCTTGTCTTAGCATCATATTTTTCCGTAAATACCAACAATTTGACGATTGGTACCACACCGTCATACTCTCTTCGCTGGAGAAAATATTCCCTACCTGCGCTGAATCTCGAAATGTCAGCGAAAAAGTACGCCAAGTAATCATAATTGGCGTACTTATTGAGGTTCCTATCAGATCCCTTCACAAAGCAATCCATCAAACAATCAAGAACATGGCCACTTTTGAAGGAGTTCTTGTCCAAGCCGGTGTCACTGGCATTCTTCTTGTCAAAAGAGAAAACCTTCGTTATACTGGATTCCTTGGCCAGATTTGTGAGTAAAATGCACATTATATCCGCACTGGAGTTCGCAACGTCGCAGATTTTCCACACTAAAAACTCTAGAAAGCTCTCGTCCTTCACCACTAGTCTTCTCATCACTGGATCATCACACAGATTGGCCAAAATTGTCGCGGATTGCTGTACCAACAGCCTAGAGTTTTCTCTTGCCAAATCTTTCAGGTCCTGGATAGCTCTGTAGTTGTCATACTTGAAGATGATAGCATTGGCGCCAGTACTGTACCCAACCAAGTTATCCAGGGCTATTTGTTTCACAGCAGGCTGAGGTGAGTGTAAAAAAGACACCAGCTCTTCAAGTTGTGAAGGCATGATCTATGATATCGCTATCAGAGTTTCAGTTCAATTCCCGATGAGTGATGATTGGTCTCGGCTTGCTTCCAAAATTTTTTTTTTCAATTCATCTCATCGCGCCTCTCTTCATGTGATTGAGACTTCAGGTATTAAACAGACATTTTTATTAGGCTCAATGTTCAAGTTAATAACTTGCGACATACCCTAGATCAAGCTCCTTCCTCTAGGATTTGAACTTCTGCGGTCATATGCAATCGCAACAGGCCTTTGCCGATATTAAGGCACAGGAAAGTATAGAATTCAATAAGAGGACCCTTCTCTATGTCCAGGATGGTACTTCGTTGGGATTTGGTTGTGGAGCAGGTATCTTGCAACTAGAAGGCTTGCAAGGCTTTGGGTTTTTTGCAGCGTCTTATCTAGTGGTTGCACTTCTGTATATAGCGTGGTTTTGCAAATTCCAACCAAACAAGTATTATCAAAGCCCAGTCCAAGAAATCGTGATAGACTCTTTCTTCAGAGAGTTGGCTGGTTTTGTCATGGCATGGACCTTCGTTTTTGCCTTGGTTGGATAGGGGTATCATGAATATGTTATAATGCTTAAGTGGTATAGACAAGAGAATTTAATAGTAATATGTACACAAAACGTAGAAGGACGAACCAATATGGTAGATGACGACTTGGTGGTGACTAAACCTGTACATTTTGGACAATTGCCGCAAGCTTTTCCACAGACGCAAGATGTCTGTTCCCCAGGGTGTTCGCTTTGTTTAGTTTTTCCAAATAGGAACGTATCGCAATAACAGTCAGCTTTTTGTCAGAGCCTTGCGTTATGCTCACCAGCTTCTGAACAACGTAATTTGCGTACTGGTCGCGCATCATCAAAATAAGTGGGGCATTATCTTCCAAATGGACAGCGTGCTCAAAACTCTTGGGCAAGATTTTTTCCAGGAACTGCTTTTTTTGAGCGGGGGAGCCAAAGATCATAGTCTTCTCGACAACGTTAGAGGCGAATTTGTGCTTTGAATACTCGACAACGTTTGCGCAAACGTTGTCGACAATTGCTTGCTTGGTTCTCCCAATATGCACATCTGTAGTGTTAGGACCATGTTGCAGAACGTGCTGTATAACATAGTTTCCATACTGATCTTGGACTAAGAATGGAATGAATTGATCCAAATCATTCAGGATGTTGTCTTGATCCTCAGGGGAGCCAAATTGTAAAAGTCTTTGGACCACCCTACAACCATACGAGTGCGTAGAAAGATGATATATTTGGCCGTGCAAGCTCGTCAAGATAAAGGGCAATTTGGTTATTGGAATTCGCTCGACCGCCTTTTGAATGACATGATTACCGTTCTGATCCTTTATCATTTGCAAAACACATCCTGAGAGTTCAGTTACCAATGCTACTTTTTGGTCTTCCTCGATGCATTCAAGCGCTCTTTGAATGACACGGCAAGCGTACATCTGTAAAGATAGTTTTTGCATCCTCCCTGTAAACTTTTCGAAAAGAATATCTCTTTGCGACTTTAAGCCGTGTTCAAAAAACTTTTGGATAACATAATTGCCGAATACGTCGTCCGCCAACGCAATAGCTTCTTCTCTGATCTCATTGAATATCACTTCCTTCTCAACGTCCGCCGCGCTCGCCAACTCTTGTTGGATAAACCTCGAGCCGTGCTGATCTTTGCAGAATTCCAGCGCAGACCCATATATATCAGGAAGGGTATACGTTCTCTCCGATGAGTTATTTCTAAATTCTTCCAAAAGTGGTGACCTAATGACATTATTCTTTCCTTTGCCACGGGGGGCAGAAGCCGATGAGTTCGTGCTAGTGGCGATTGTTGGATTACCGGCACCCACGCCGTTAGCTGCTGCGGAGTTACGGTTATTGTACAAGTACGGATTCACATGAGGCTTTGGGTGTCCAGGTTTGGGAGAACCCGTGGATGGGTTTGGTGAGGCTTGAAAAGTCTGTGGTGACGGAGGTCTGATGCCAGGAGGAAAATACATGTAGGGATTTCCAGGAAACATAAAAGGGAGAAACTGTTGATGAGTTTCCTGTTTGAACCCTGCTGGGGCAGTCTCCTGCGCCTCGGCGGCAGGAGGTGAAGGCAGTGGTATATCTTCGTCTTTGGGGGATTGTGTCTCAGGAGGCACCATCGGGCCAGCAACTTTCCAATAGTTAGGGTAAGAAGGAAACCCATAGACATTGCCGAACATATCCACTGGAGGAGGATGAAAGTTAGGATTTCCCGTGCTTGAGGTGGAAAGCTGTGGCCTAAATACGGGAGCTTCAGCGACTTTCCAAATATTCCTGTGGTCCAACTTTGTGTCCTCATGCTCCATATTAAGGTTTTCACTTAGAGATTCCAACGCGTCCGAAGATGCAGAAGGTCGTCTGCCATCAGCAGCGGCTTGTTGGTAAGTAGATTTGGTGGTCGCCCTGGAGAGAACATCCATTGTATTTTGGCTGCCTCTGCGAGAAGCTCTTCCCGATGACGTACCCAAATTGAGTTCGACTTCCCTAGTGCCCTCGGCGAGACTGCGGCCAAAACGTTCAAAGAATCCACCCTGTGTCTGCTGCTGGTGTCCCGAGCCACCTGCTAGACTCGCAGAATAGTTACCTATCTTTGCAAAACGGTTCTTGACGCCTGATGGAGCGCTTGCCATAGACACGCCCCCCACTGATAACGCGGCGCGCTTGACGTTGGGGGACTGTTGGCCTTGGAACATCATGGACTCGGACTCCAAATCACTGCTATGGTTGCTATTAAATGAGCTACGACGGAAGCTGCCTATTTGACCGTGTCTCTGATGAGCTGAGGCGTTGGAGAGCGCGGAAAGCGACGATACAATGGATGCGAGCTCGGCGTCCATGTTGCTGGTACCATGAATAGCTCCCGAAGGCCCTGCGCCCTCTTGGCTTATCCAGGGATCCCTCTGATTATCCGCGGTTGACATTAGTGTCATTGATAGCGTACGTTTGAGTTATTGGTGCTGTTGGTATCGATCAATCGGGCACCACACGTCTCACTTTCTGGACTGCTTCCCGTCAAGTTTTGAACCGAAAATCTTCTTGAGAAATTCTAACCTTGGCTCAAGTAAATAGGTATGGTCCGGATATTTTAAATAGAGATCCTATAGACCTTCGGTCTCGTGGGACGTATACTTCGCGAATTTGATTGTGGGAGTTTAATCTTAGAAAGTTGATATCTAATTCACTAATTAAACAATTCACGTTACCCTAGCTTGAAAACAGTTAGATAACCGGTTCGAGTGGAAGTAGAATCTAAATAGACAAGCGGCGTCCCTCCATCAAATACCAATTCACCGACCCTTATTAGGTTGAGAAAATTCGACTTACTCAATAGGTGTTCTCAATTGGAGCTCGAAAGCCTAGCGGCGACATTATTTTACAATGTGATATTGAGATATCAGCGAACCAAGCTATTTCTCCCCCCAGAAGTGATGGTTGCACGATGATGACCCCGATAACTCGATGGTAGCTAAACATTCTGATCTGCCGTCTCAGGTGTTTTACAGTGTAGGGTATCCAAATTTTGACTTGGTGAGAACGGCCATATCCACAGTTGAAAACAAAGAAAGGTGACGCCACTAAGGCCTGAAATGCGATCAAGGTGTCCCCCAGAGGTTTTTGGAACTGCAGAGTAGCTTTGAATCGACTTGAGTACTTGTGATAGGCGTTCAGCCACCGAGCTAAAAGAGAAACAGACCCGACCCTATTCTGCCCAACAAGTATGTGGCTTGAACTAGGCGAGTCTTAAGCTCGGGCTCCCAAAAATATATCGTGATCCCCTCTGTCGCAGCCCGTAAGTCCTTGCAGAGGTCTTTCACAAGTCACTTTTTACTTTTAAGTCGCAGGACAAGCACCATTTTTCGTCACTATAATTACCACAGTCACCCACATACATTACTAACCACCAAGTTCTTCGCACTACAATTCAAGCGGCACCACGCACAGTCAACCGACGCAATGTCCACTCCTTCTGATAAAAAACAGAAACTAGAAGAAAAGCCAAAGCCTTGCTGCGTCTGCAAGCCCGAGAAGGAGGATAGAGACACATGTCTGCTTTTCAATGGCCAAGAGTCGGGGAAATGTGATGACATGATCGCCAAGTACAAGAAGTGTATGCAAGGCTATGGATTCTCGGTTTGAGCACACTTGTGTTCGGAACGGCACTACAGGAGCCAGATACTCCGTGGCCGGAAAGTCGTTCGGCAATATGAACAAACTGCGGATTTAGAAACGATAAGCAATATCCAACATAAACAGACGTAGTTGTCCTAAAAATCTTGTAATTAGTTAAATAGAACCAATATCTAAACTATAAGAACGCCGTCTTTGTTCCCTCCTTTCGTTTTCGTGCGCAGGTAAACCTTCGTGGACGACGTCTTGTGAAAATCATATCAAATTGAACATTACATTGGTGAAATGATCTCACCACCTTACTGTCACAATCTTGTACAGTTCGGTAGACTTGTACAAAAACAATCTCTATTGATTGCAAAGCGCGAATCTAGCAATATGACTCACCCTACAGACATCCCTAACGTTTTCGATGGATCAGTGGATCTTGGAATCATCGGAGGAACAGGTCTTTACAAACTGGAATGTTTGGAGGCCATTGCAATTTTACCAGCGATGGCGACGCCTTGGGGCACAACGTCCTCGCCCATCACAATTTCTAAAGTGGTGGGAGCCTCCGATGAGCACTTCCATGTAGCATTCATTTCCAGACACGGGCTGCACCACCAATATTCGCCATCCACGGTTCCTTTCAGAGCCAACATGGCTGCTTTGAAGCATCTACAATGTAAAGCCGTTCTTTCTTTCAGTGCTGTTGGTTCTTTGCAACAACATATCAAACCCCGGGATTTTGTCTTGCCCCAGCAAATCATCGACAGGACAAAAGGCATCCGAGAATCATCCTACTTGAACGATGTCGGGCTCGTTGGCCATGTAGGGTTTGGAGAACCATTTTCTAAAGCTTTTGCCCAGTATATCAACCAGTTTCAGGACGTTTTGAAGCACTCCGATCCTGAAGACTCTTGTGCTCTTCACTTGAACAACGAAACCACTGTCGTTTGCATGGAGGGTCCTCAGTTTTCAACCAGAGCCGAATCCAAGATGTATAGAATGTTGGGTGGTGATGTTATTAACATGAGCGTGTTGCCAGAGGCTAAATTGGCCCGCGAATGTGAACTTCCATACCAAATGGTGTGTATGTCCACTGACTACGACGCTTGGCGAGATGAGGCGGAACCAGTCACTGTGGAGACTGTGATGGGTAACTTGCACAATAACAGCTCTAATGCGAATGCTCTAGCCTCTACTATCATTACCCATATGGCTAACGATATGCCAGAATTCATGATAACTGGTGACGGCCTGAAGGGTTCTCTCAAATTCAGTATTTCCACAAAACCTTCTGCTATGTCCAAAGAAACCTTAGCAAAGTTGAAATTCTTGCACTTGGACTATTGGTGATATGTAAATATGCTTAAAAGTCGTTTATATTCTATCGACAATTGGCTATTATAATCATTCCTTCAAATTCTCTTTCTGGGGCTTGGAGTGTCATGCATGTATGTATACTTGCTGCTGGGTATATATCCATTACGACTTACTGGAGTTAATGGAGTAATTGATGTGTTGTGGGTTGGCGTCAAGCTCTTCTTTTTAAGAAAAGATGTTCTAAGATCTCCAAAGGCATTCACTTTTTTGACGAAATCACTTCTCACATCCATAGGTGCAGTGACTTGCTGCTCGCGCGCTTTCTGTGGTGTTTGTAGGGACTTGAATAGAAATGCTGATGATGCCGACAAACCATTGATTTCCCGAGAATCTATTTTAGGGACTGCTGTTGACTTTGTTTCAAGCGTGGGTCCGCCAGATGCCAGCCTTACATGTGGCAGTAACTCCTTGGTAACAGGCGTGTCACTGACGCCTAAAAGTTGTCTCTGGCGGTGATTGAGATGCAGATCGTCAACCTTGACATTCTGCGACTTGACAAGCAGCCGCCAAATTGAGACCGTAACGTTGTAGAAGATGAGTAAATGGCAGACGTGGGAAATATTCGCAAGCGTTGCATTGCGAGCCCATGAGGCTTCTAGGTCTGCATGCGGATGGAAGCGGAAAATGACCGACTCCTGTACCCACTTGCCCAGTTTTTGTTGAAGATTTGCTCCATGTGTGGTATGGTATAGAAAGAGGGACAAAAACTTGACCCCCAAGTTCCACAGCAGGAGGGCCAAAAAGTTCGAGATGATTCTTCGCGTCTCCAGCTCTTTATTGACTATACGGCGAGAATATTGAGCAAGAACTGGATTTTCGTATGTAACCCCGCCAGTTGGGGCCTCGCCGGACACTGCGTTGTGTAGAAGCTCGTTATTCACTTTCGGCATGTGCCGGTCTATCACAGGAGTATTCGATCCCACATCGACTTTTGCTGGGCTATGAGTAATACTGTTGTTCCCTTCATGCTCTGGGAGCTGCTTATTGCGGTACAAGTATGGTGATTCACGTCCTATCCTCTCTCGTACACTCTTTAACTGGTCCCCAGACACTTTTTTAACAGGCGTCGAAAACACATTATGTTCCCTGCGGGAAGCACTCATAGGAAGGTTTTCTCTTTATATGGCTACAGAGGCTCACAACAAAGGCCTCTTTTAGCTTCAAAACTAGTCTAGGGTTTGGCAATCCTGGTTGGAGATGGTACCTACCTAAGCTATGCTAGATTCGTCATTTATCTCATCGCCAAGTGCTGGTAAATTCAAGGTCGGGTAACACCGACTCTAGCCTCGAGATTAAGGCACTGACAGTTTCCAGACTACTTTCAGATAGAAGATCAAGTACAAGGCTTCGTGAGCCATTGCATATGTCCTCCATACGCTAACATAAGCATACAACGTAGTGGCCTTCTTCCCTTGCGCACACCACAACCAATGGATAACGACGAAAGAATAAAACAATCTTTTAACGAGCCCAGTTCACACTACCCTTAGGCATTCATGGCCGGTTTTGTGATGGGAAAAGGCCTATTCAAAGAACTTGAATCTCTTGAGTCTTGTAAGCTGAAGATCACCCATAGAGTGCCATAATTGTATAAAATGATCTGAGCAGGCATTTGGCCCACTGAGCTTTTAGCGTCCTCCGTAGAAAGAAACTTATCAGCACTTCTACCATGGATGCTGTGATAGGTGCTTGAATAATTATAATGTTTAGGCGTCCCCTCTTTTATGTATTTGCCCGTATATATTTTCCTTAAAAACCTGTACACTTTTATTTAGAATCCACCATATTAGCTCCCGCTTCATAAAAAATCCTAATATGCCAGTGATCTGTTTTGAGCCATCCCCAATTCATCCCAACCAAACATTAGACCGGTCCTTTCCGAGAATTGGCTCGTTATGCTTTCTGTTCGTTGATGTCTGTCATCTTTCTACCAAGACCTGTCAGCCGGGTAATGAAAGTAATGTTGCTGGCTTAACGAAAATTAGAGAAAGGATTTTTGCAGATCATCACTATCACTTAACTCATCAACTGCTTTCCATAGTACGGACGTCGAGGGGCTAATTCTATAGTACCTTGGGTTGTGCGTTTAGTAGAAGTGGGTTATAAGCGCAACCTGCTAAGTTTAGCGAGTCGATCGTTGCTCACAGAACGACACTAGTTGTCCCATCGCAGAATCTAACAGAACATTGTAAAAAAGGGAGAAATGGGATTCATTTCCTCGCTATTATGTTGCTCGTCGCCTTCTTCCTCACCGTCATCGTCCACAGCAAAGTCGGGAGAAAAACGTAACAGTCACCGACAGGTTTCGCCGCAACAGTCTCGAATCCACGCCACATTGTCAACCTCAGCTCGCCAATTGCAAACACGACCTGAAAGCCCGCGCGCTAAGAGCAGTGCCTCTACGGTGATTAGAAGTAGTACCTCCAAGGAAAGGGTTGGATCTCACGTGAAATCTGGTGCTGTGGACAATCATGAACGGTCAACAACTCCAAACGACGCTGCGGGGACCAATGGGAACACTTCTCAGCTGCCTCTAGTAGTGAGCAGCGCGGAACGCGACGATGATATGGACGAGGATGAAGCTCAAAACAAAGAAGATAAGCAGCTTGTCTCCGTCTATAACGGTGAAACAGAGTCTAGTACAGGTACTGCAGAAGAACACAACGCATTATCACCTGCCACACCACCCCAACAAAAGTCTTTGGCCGGTGAAAAGGCTAGCTCTGTAGCTCTTAGTGACACTGACCATGAGGGTGGCAATGTAAGCGTTGTTGACGATACAGGCCTTCCGCCAGCACCTTCCTATGAGTATGAGGCAGAGCCAGACCTTGCCGAGGAAGTTGTGGACCTAACTATACTTCAACCAGAGCAGGCCCACGCACCTGGGTATTCCACTTTACTACCACCGCGTACCCCTGCTTTCTCGGGCAAGAAATGTCTCATTCTTGACCTCGACGAGACACTCGTCCACTCGTCATTCAAATATTTGAAAACCGCTGATTTCGTCATTCCTGTGGATATCGACAACCAAATTCACAATGTGTACGTCATAAAAAGACCTGGGGTTGATGATTTTCTGAGGCTCGTGGGTCAAATCTATGAAGTCGTTGTATTCACTGCAAGTGTATCACGATACGGAGATCCTCTGCTAGACGTATTGGATCAGAATCATTGCATACACCATCGTCTCTTTAGGGATTCTTGTTATAGTTATGAAGGCAACTATATCAAAAATTTATCCCAAATAGGCCGACCTTTGAGCGATTTGATCATTTTGGATAATTCACCGGCATCTTATTTGTTTCATCCACAACACGCTATTCCAATATCTTCCTGGTTTTCTGATGTACATGATAATGAACTTCTCGATATCATGCCTCTTTTGGAGGATTTGGCTCGTGACAATGTTCCTGATGTGGGTCGGATTTTGGACGTTTTAATATAAGTGATGCTCAAAAGTGAAAGTACTCACTGCTTGCTATCATCGCTCAAAATGAACTCTCGCCATGATAAACGCAATTGTGAAGACAAAAAAAAAAAGATTAGAAACGCCACGTACGTTGCTTATTTGATAGATCACATCTATAAGGAAGCTGGATCTCCCTTTTTGTATTTTGTTAATTATAATTTTTCTACTCACTAGAGGCTTAATCATACATCATACTTTAAACCACAGCCGGTTGGCGTAACTACAGGGACTTACAGAAGTTGACATTGTTAAAGTCTAAAATTACTAATCTATAAAACATGTACCTTTACAAATAATGCAAAATTTCCCTATCTATTACTCTTCTTCCTGCCCTTTGGAGTTTTTGGAACCATTGTACTGGTGGACAAGTCCAACAATCTGTTTCTTTCTCTCAGGAACGAAATCCATATTCCTATTTGTCCTGCGTTCGTTCATTTCCCTCCTCTTCAGGCTATCGAGCTCCACTTGTTTGATTTCTCCCGCTTTCTTTATAACTTTGGGTACATGTCTGTGTCTGCTAATTCTCCTGACCTCCGGCATAAACTTGAATCTATCCTTTAATTTCTCATCATAAGCCAGCTTGTTCTTCTCACGAGAGGACTTAACGGAAGACCGGTCCCATGCTTTAGCTCTCCACAGTCGCACATTGCCATCATCCGATCCGCTGACGATGTAATTACTATCCATGGTATATTTGACCTGGAAAACGTGCTGCATCCTCTTAGTATGATAAATCTCCCGTGAGTGACCATGCTTTACTTGGTAAATCCTGATGGTTTTGTCATAAGAACCCGTCACAACTTCATCGCCGGTTGGGGAGAAATCTACATCCATGACGGCACTTACGTGATCTTTGAAGACATGTAAGGCGCGCGATAAATTTCTCATATCATAATAGTAGGCGTTATGGTCTTCGTTTGCCACAACGAAGTTGTAAGCTTCCATGGGGTTCCAGCAAATGGAATTTGTCCGCATTTTCTGTGAAAACTTCTGAGTCGGAGAATTTGTTCTCAAATCATAGAGGACTACTGAGTTATCACTACCAGCACTGGCAAAAATATCAGTCTCATTTTGATTAAATTTAACAGTTGAAACATTATCTGCTCCCCAAGACAAATTCGAGGTGGGCCTCGACCTACTAGTATCCCATAAGTTTATTTGGGCCCCGCCTGTGATAAAATTAGGTTTCGAACGATGGTGGTCAATGCCCAAAAAGGCATGATCCCCATGATATGTCTTTTTGATTCCATTGCCGAAATCTACTACTTCTTCATCACTCTTGACTAGAGAAAAGTCGTCTGTGTTAACCGACCACAGCTTGACAGTTCTATCGTCACCGCAAGAGAGCATAAAGTTTTCGTTTTTGCTTGGGGAGAACTGCTGGGGGGTGATGCATAGCCCATGAATTAGCCCATAGTGAGCTTTGAACGAACATATTTCTTCACGGGTTGACATATTCCAATACTTCACAACCCCATCAGCCGATGCCGTGGCCAATTTATTCAAGACGTTGTAATTCTTAGCAATAGTATAAATTCCATCTCTGTGACCATGCCCCATTTGACCAACAAACGGCTTTGCAAACATTCTTTCCATCTTTGTAGCGTTAAGAGCTTTCGTATATTCACGAGCCCTTTCGAATGGATGAAGTGCTGGATCCAAATTGCGGGGAAGTTGGGACTCCTGCGTACTCTTCACCGGAACATAGTCATCAGAACTTCTGCTGATAGTTTTTATCTTCATTATTGATGAATGGGCCTGATATCTTACACTTGGTGTCTGCAATTCACCTGATGCTATGTTCACTTAAAGCGTATGGCGATGAGCTAGGTCTGGGGCTGAAATTTTTCATTTTCAGAACATCCTAAAATTTTGAATCGCCCGATGACAAAATAGTACCAAGTGATATCTAGTGGCACAACTCTTCGTGACGGCGAATGTTTTCTAACGCAGGCTTTCCGATTCTCTCTATGACATCGTGCGACCATAACACATCTAGGTGGGAATATTCGTCAATGTACCATATTTTGTAAAGAGAATGAGGCTCAAAATTAACAAAATGATTGATAAGGCGTTCGCCATCAACTAGGCGATCTTGCTTTGGAACAAACAAAAGGATACGTGGGAGCTCACTACTAGAATCTCGCTCAGTGTTTGTGTGGTGTGGATTTTGCAGTAAACCAGGGTCCTGTCTTACTGGAAACCAGGTCTTTGCCTCCGGGAAAATCTCATTAGCGTAAGATTTGAAACTTTGGTCCCTCACATCCCTGCTTAACCACCACTGCATTAGTTTCACTGATATATGCACTGGTGAAAACAGGAAGTGGCGATCTCTGAGAGCTTTATCCCACAAAGTGTCATTCCAGTCAAACAGGTAGTTGAACATCACATACGATAAGAAAGAAAATAACTTCGATCCAACCAGTATCGAACGCATGGCCATCATCTGCGGCATAAATGACTGCCTGCCGAAAACTAGAGACGAAGCGATAAATCTTGACATAAACCTGACAAAATGTTTCTCTTCCAACAGTGGACCTGGGTACACCGCAGGGGCTAAAGCGATGAAATTTTCGACTTTATCAAGTATTTGGAAAGCATCCTGGTAGATAGACTCACCGTTTGCCAGAGCCATAAAACCTTGTGTCGTGCCTTGTGAATGTGCTACTAGTGTTAGTTTTTTCTTCTCTGTTCTTTGTAGCACATTCGAAATAAGTGCTCTTAAATCGTATTGTACCATTTCTCGCATCCCCCAATTCCATTTACTATCGTCAGAGACAATTTTCTTATCCCACTTTGGCCTGAAACCACAGCGATTATTGCCCAGCCAAACATCGAAACCAGACTCATAAAAGTAGTAAGCGAGTGATTTCCTTCCTCCAGAGGCGAAAGAAGCCGAGCTTTGCAGAAGTCCATGCATCAGTAGCATAGGCTGCTTCGTTGAAGGAACAGTGACACCTTGAGAAGGCTTGAAATGCCAGAGGTCCAAAATGAAACCGTCCTCTGTCTTGATCTCAAACTCCTCAATGGAGATTCCGTATTGCTCGTAATAGAACTTTAGTTGAGGGACCAGTCTTAGGTCTTCTGCATTCAATAAGTCATCAAAGGGATTTTCATTTTCTTTGTGAAGAGTCAGATTGCCAGAATTCCCCTCTGGAGTGCACCTAGAGCGTGTTAATAACCTTGCATCTGGGTTGGTGATCAAGTGGTCAAATTCTATGTTGTTTACCTCGTCAAATTCGAAGTTCAGCGGAGTAGTAGAGGCTATTGAAGATTTTCTCGATCGGTTTTTCGGGTTTATAGTGGACTGTGACGTCCTTGTATCTCTGGGATCCTTTGGCTTGAAATGTGCCGCAATCAGATTATGCCACAATGAGAAAAGAAATAGAACTGCTAAAAAGCATGTTGTTATGACGCCTGAAACTATCTTGACAACCACACCGTTATTCATCTAATGTCAAACTATGAAATTCTGGTGATCGCTGAACAGTCGCGCCGATTCCTTTCTTTGGTGCCCACACATGACATTACATTACCCGATGAGCTTTTATTTAGTTTAAATAAAATGTCAAACCGCGTACTCAAAAAACCTCGACACAGTGCCCCTTCTCGCAAACGATGTATACTAAGGAATTTAGAACGTCATTTGGCCATGATCTCGAGCTAGACAAAGGAAGCGTTCTAGAGCTATCTGCTGTCCACTTTATCAATAAAGTTGTACTGCAAATCAGGCTCAACGGGGAGCTTGACACATGTCTCGAAGTTATTTCTAAAGGACTACCTGCAGAGAGCATGAGCAGTACCCCGCTAGGTCTCCAAGTAATGCAGCGAAACGAAGATCAAATAGATATGCCAATGTTGGCTGAAGATTGTAATGACAATGAAAATGAAATAAATGATTTCACTCCCGTGGAGGACTCACTTTCTAACTTCCATATTATCACCAGATTAGGAGATTCAAACGATATGAAGCTGCCGATAGTCTGCTGTCAAATTGCGGAACTTTATCAAAAAGTTATATTTCTCTCTAATGTCGATAATATGCGGGACGTAGCACCAACAAGAGACTTTGTTATATCGCTCAGTGCCAAGATTTGGAAAAGTGCCTCTCCAGGAAGGGACTTTAGTCTACTAATATTTATCTTGACTTCCATTAAAGAAATGTATAAACTATGACACGCGAATAGATATATTGGTTTGCTTCACAAAGAAACTATTATTTACAGTTTATGTAGTGCAGGCTTCATTAACTGTCGATAACGGCCATATCAAGAACCTCCAAAACACCTTTCCCATTGCACAAATCGACTAGGGCACGGTAAGCCACTGGATCTATCAGGGCAGTGCATGACCAAATAGAAATTGTTTCATTCACTACTGGACCCATCATTAACGCGGAAACCTTCTCGATGGTTTCAGAGTTGCCATTCAAGTCAATGCTCACCTTAACCCTCATCCTGGCTCTACTAATGGGGATGATTTGACTAGCTATCAGAACCTTAATAGCTTCTAGGGCCTGTAGCTTGGCAGCTTTATTGACTACCACTCTGAATTTCAATTCCTGCAGGGCCTTATGTATCATTGAGGGCGGATATCTTTTCTTAGACTTTGGATTGATACACTTTGCACTAATAATTGTCAGCATCTCGTTGTTGATCTTGTTCATCATCGTCTGTCTTTCTTTGTCAGAGAGTGGCATTTCACCTTTTGTAAGAATCTCCTTGATTATGCTATCCAGGTCAGTTGAATCAAATGAGCCTAATAGATCATCTTTCGAAGCTACTTGACCTTTAGACACGTTGATAAACACTTGATGGATTTGAAGTACTTCGTCAAGGTCATTCTCAATCCCTTTCCTATAGTCTTGTACTTTATTCTGGTAGCATGCAATTTCGAATCTCTTTTTGGCCTTTTTCAGTTTGACGATAGAGACGTTTGTGAGCTTTATTTGACCCGAAGGCTGCTGGATGACCATATTGGGGAGGAGGTATGAAGGATTTGAGACCTACGTACTGGAGCATATTGTCGAATGAATCCGGCATTTAGCCATTTATTCATTTATTCATTTATAGGTCACATGATTTCAATGTCTTCAAGGCCATCCATTCGTTTATTCGTTGGCTCAAAAGATCTTAGTCTTCATAATGCTGTAGAACTGCACACGCAGATAGAGATCAATATTAGAAAGGCAAGCCTTTGAACACCTAAAACCTTGAGAAAAACTTAACTTTATATAACCTTTAACTACAATTCAACTGAAAGTCGTTAGATAGGAGAATTGTGCTTAATGTGTTTTGCGCATTTAGCTTACCAGCCACCTTAACTCAAACATCTCCAACATTGCAGTGTAATGTCCGTAAACGCCCAACAGTACGAAAATATGCCATAGCGTGTGCGAACAACAGAAATAATCCACCCACCACAGAGAAAAAAAAGTTCTTTGGGGAGAATGCCCTTGTGAATGCTGGTGCAAGGCAGGTTGATCCCGAAAATGAATATGTCTGTGTTTAGTAATGATGTCCAAATCTGTAGTCAGTTGTTCTTCGGTAGGTATGTTGTCTGCAACTTGAAGATCGGACCTCCATCTTTCTGGTATAAAGGTCCCGTAAAAGACTACTCCTATTAGGTACCAGACCAAAGATTTACTCAAAATGGGCATGATCAGATTTGGATTGGTACTGGGGTGTAGTATTCTTGAATGTGCGTAGGAGATTATGCCAAAGCTTGCCAACAAAATGTACGATGCAATGCGTAAGGGGCGGGATTCTGGCCTGTCAAACTTTGGCGACCAATTCATGTAAAAACCAATTGCACCCAGAGCAGCGGTTGCAGTTGTGTAGAATAAAAAGGGCCAAGTATAAGGAGAACTTGGATCGCCAGAAAGAGTGACAGCTTCTGTCGTGAGAATTGACGCCGTGATAAGCACAGTAATGCCGGTGTAATCAACACAAGCACATTTCGATCTGGCCGTTAGATCGCAAATACCATTAAAAGTGTGCCAAATAACGGAGAAGATGAAACACTCCATGCCTGCAAATAAAAATATGAAGGCCATTGCCTTGGCAGCAGGCGGCACCAAATCTGACTGATATACCGCAGTACCAGGAAAGCTTTTGAGAAGCACATAGCCGAAGTAGATGGCGCCCAGGAGATGTGTCCAAATGTTTACTGTTTCATTATGCCAACCGTACCAATTTATGATGGACAGCAGAGACTTGGAATAAGAGTTGTAAAATCGGTATCCATGAACAATAAACCTGTTTTCCCTCCAGGGGAAAGGAAGCTCATAATAATGTAGATGGCGATCCATACCAGTTTCCAGGGCCTTGGAATAGTTATGGAACTTGATAGACGCTGATACTTTTTGAGGATCGTCAATGAGAATATTGATCTTCTCATCCAACGATTCCAAGTCCTGAAGAAACTGTTCGGTGGATGATGTAGAGTACGAAGATGAAATGCGGATGTCAGCCACCTTATCGAGATCAGCACCTGATGAGTCCAATGAAATGGTCTTTTGGTTCTCACCGCCGTCTGACGACGAAGATGACACTAGAGTGGCGGCAGATGAGTTGTATGAGGCACCCGTGGAATTGACAACTACTGAAGGGGAGCAGTTGTGGAAGTGATCATTCCACAATTGCTTGAACCTTTTAACTTGAGGAGCCTCCAGTGAATGTGAGTCAACCATGGTGACGACATCTGATTCTGAGCCAACGTGGCTGATACTTCTAGATTCCAACTCCACCACAGAATCAGACAAAAGCACGTCTGTAGTGCTTTGTAAAGCGGGCATGGCGTCTGAACTCGATGAATTACCGAACTCGTCAAGTGTGGTCTTCAAAAATTTGTACAAGTGGAGGACGGTTCTCGTATCTTCATCGGCAGCCGTTTCGGCTTGTCGTGGGTTGGCTTCCAAGGAGGAGGCCCCCGCTGAGCACCCGCTACCGCTTGAGTGTGACATTTTTCTCATGGCACCAATTGGGCCGCTGGAGACCTGCAATTTGCTCCATTTAAGTATTTGTTTGCCGCGGCTTTTTATCTTGCGCAGACGCTGAGTTCTCTGCGAGCTCAAGTCCTCCGTGGCAACATCCGTGGTGAAATAACCCGGAAGAAGAGCCTCTAGCCTATCCATTTTAGTCTCTACAGAGCTCAAAAACTTCTCCAGCCTGTTGCAGGCTGTATTACTGAACGTTTGATGGTGATCTTGCACTGTAAGCATAACAAATACTTCGCGAAGACAAGGTAGCTGCTGACTATAAAGCAGCTGTCAGCAGGAAGTGACTAGTTAGTGAAATCTTCGCTAGCAATACGTCACCCTCTGGCTAGTTTATAACTTGGCCCTTCCAGTCTGTTTCAAATATCAAAAAGAAAGAAAGCCGTAAGCTAAAATGAATATTAGACACAAGTTGAACCTCAATAACGGCTATGGAAACAAATTATCTGTCTGCTTTTGACGATGGCTTTTATTTGATGCTTTTATCCGATATCCAGCTCGACTATCGTTATCGTAGGCTACCGAAACTTTGTCGCGACCCATAGCGCATACGCTTCAAATCCTGCCTGGGTCCTGAAAAAAAAAAAGTTCAAAAAAAAGGAAAATGGTTTATTGTTCGAGATTTTCTGACGTGAACAATGATCAGAAGTCTCGTGATCCACGCACTAGAGGTTCTCGATTTTAATCAAAGTTTCTGTAACACGTGCGACGTAATCACTGATGTTCATCATTGTTCGAAATGCGCAAATGAGAGACCCCGCATCTCCGGTCTTTTAGTCCTGACGACGAGTAACTAGCGTCAAATGGAGGAGCTTCAAATGATCTATGCAGATCTTACTACTAGTTTCCTCTGAAACCAAGAGTTGTCTTAGAGCCATGTCCGGCACCCATTTGGGCATTATGCTCTTGGGCGCCGAGATGACCTACCCTTTTGCTCAGAGTATGTTGCTTCACTTTCTACCCTGCTGTCAATGATGTTAGTAGGCACTTGGTATGAGTGGAGAAAGCCAACCTTTCAAAGTAGTTTAGCCGCTGAGGCGGCTAGTGGCCTGGAGGTTCGGCAGGCCAGGTCTATAAACCTTCGGACGTTCTTATTGCTGTATTTGACCTTGCAAGAACGTGTAACTACTACCGCTCCAAGGAATAGTGTAAATGAAACGCTTACATTTTGTCTCGACTCACTGTACCCTGAGAGCCCGAGTACGCGCCTATCTTGCATTGGGCTTTGTTCGGTTGCGATTTACTTTTTTACAGGCTTTAGCCGCGTCTATATCCATCGATATTGAAGCGAGGCTATTGAAAGGCAAGAGATAGTCATCTGTAGCAACATGAAAGAGAGGTAGCCGAGTGCTATCGATCTCGATATCAAGCAGGGCACAGCATGGCTTTCTCCGAAACTGGTTAATCTCTTTAAGGAGCAGCCGATTCACTTCTCGAATGCCCATCTATCATTTCGTGTGTAATGATCGTCACTTATCCTCTTAGTTCGTTGTTGCCTAGTATATAATAAAAGTAGTAATGAAAATTAAGGTAAGCTTTACAAACTTTTTGGATCTAGAGCACGGCCTAGCATGAGCGACCAACCTCGTCAACGCTCTAATTCGTTAGAATCTAGTTCAGCATCTGAGAGTGTTTCAGGACCGCAGAGGGGTACTGAATTGAAGAAAAATGATCAGCATAGTCATTCCAAAGAAGAACATGGAGCTAGAGGACGACCCCATTTTAGAAAGCAGTACTCCATGGATACCTATGGTCCTTCTAGCTCTAGTGTGCAGGCACACCGGGGCTGGGACCGCCTGAGGGAAGCCTCAAGAGGCCGCCATAAAGGTTTTCACAACCCGGTTGCCTTTCATTCGCCAGACGACCCAATTCCGCCATTTACTCAGGCGATTCAACCTCGTATTCCGGGGATTCAGCGGACTGCTAGTAACAATTCTGTCTCCAGCTCATCTTATTTGCAGCAGCAGGCACAGCAACAGCAACGCAAAGGCTCACGAGCTGGATCTCTCTTCAAAAGACTGGCAGGTATGAAAATATCCTCTGCAAGCGCGTCCGAACCTTCTGACCAGGAGTCAGTTGCTGCTAATCCGACTACACATCCGCCCGGCATTCGTCGAAAAATGAGCACTTTCATTCATGGGAATTCCGGGACTCAACCTGATCTCAGTGCTGGCGATAATGATTCGCTAAATTCGGAGACGTACTCAAAGGTCAACAGGGGTTTATTTTCTACATCGGCTGTCAATAGTCGGCGTGGCTCAACAGCAAGCGGTGCTGCAAGTGGCATAACTACAGGGAGTGGCCACAATTCGCCAAAAATTCATCACGTCCATGAGGGATCAATACCCTTTAACTCTACAGCACTCAATAGTGGCCCTGACGATCAAAAGGGCATATCCCGCAAGCAGTACTCCGACTCCTCTGAAAGCCCTGAACGCCATCCTGCAAATAATTTGTCGCGAAGCACAAGTTATTTTTTACTGGATACTGATCTCAATAATGTTTCAGACATCACCAACATATCGGGGAAACCTGCTAGGGATATAAAAAAAGTTAAAAATGGCACTGAGGGCCAGAAATCTAAGAGTGGCTTCAAGGAGGTCAAGAAACTTCCATCTATAGGCTCTGAACCGAATCCTGCTCCTGATACTACACATTCAAAGGTCCAATGGATTGCCCCAGAAAGTTGGGATATCGATGAGGAAGCCGGAAAGCCGCTTTCTTTGAAGGACAAAAAGAAAGCACATCATCAACACCATCATCGTCACCATCGTTCGCCTAAGGTTGAAAGAGATCGAGTTCGCGAAAAATCGGGGCAACCCACTTCGTCGAAAAAACGCGAACTCACTCCTAAGCTGAACCCGCTGGAAGAGAACGTTGATAATGAGCCTCTCAGCTCGAGCTTGTCCTCAGAGCCTCTCAATAGCTCGACTGTCTTAACAACAGGCACGTCGAACAGGGACGACAATTCTCAGGGCCAGAGCGAAGAAAGTTCTTCCTTTAGTGATTCGGAAGCCGCAGATGTGGATGGTGGGAGACTAAGAGCTGATTCTATGGATTCTATGCAGACCAACGATTCGGATCCTGAAAAAACTGACGAGATATTTGACAAGGCGGCCTATGAGTTAGAAAAGTACTATAATGATTTTAGTGATCTCGACTTCTCCAAACGTTATGCTATTAGAGTTTTTAATACAGATGAGACGTTCACAACCCTGTCATTGACACCGAACACGACAATTCAGGAGATGATTCCGCAGCTCAAGCGAAAATTCAACATCGGTCAAGGGAACTATCAGGTCTCCTTGAAAGTCGCTAAAGTTTTTAAAGTCCTTTCGGCAACCGCGCGTCCGATACTAATTCAGCGAAAGCTGTTACTTTTAAATGGTTATAGGAAGACTGATCCGCTGCATATCTTGGGTATTGATGACTTGAGTTACGTTTTCAACTTTGTTTTCCATCCAATTGCAACATCACACCTTACTTACGAACAGGGGCAAATGCTTTCTAGAGGTGACTTTGTACACGTTGATTTGAGAAGTTTAAATTTAACGACCCCACCTATCATTTTTTATCAACATACTCCTAATATTGAAAGTCTGGACTGCTCCAATAATGCCAACATTTTTCTGCCACTCGATTTCATAGAAAGTGCCATAAAGCTATCAAGCTTAAGGATGGTAAACATTAGGGCGTCAAGGTTTCCTCTCAACATTACAGAAGCCGAAAAGTTGGTTTCTCTAGATCTCGAGCGAAACTTCATAAAAAAAATCCCTCCGTCCATATCAAAGTTGAGTGAGCTTACAATTCTTAACGTTCAATGTAACGAATTGGACAGGCTGCCATTAGGATTTGCTGAGCTTAAGAATCTAAGGCTGTTAGATATCTCATCGAATAATTTTTCCAAGTTTCCGGAAGTCATTTGCAGCTGTACTAACCTACTTCAAATAGACTTGTCTTACAACAAAATAGAGTCTTTGCCCGACTCGCTAAACCAACTTACCAAGGTTGCCAAAATAAATCTGGCCAGAAACAAGCTGTCATACATTGGAAACTTATCAGGCATGATCAATTTGCGAACCCTCAACCTGAAGTATAATAGAATTACCTCACTGAAAATGAATAATTCTTCACTCCAAAATTTGGCGATTTCAAATAACCGCATTAGTGTTTTTGATGACAAATTATCGAAGTTAAAAACATTGGAAATCCGTGAGAACCCGATTACCTCGATCTCGTATGATGGGGAGTATCTTGTAAATTTGGTGAGTTTGTCTTTGAACGAAGCTAAGCTTTCTAGTGTGCCGCCCGAACTTTTATGCAAATTGCCACGTTTAGAGAAACTAGAATTGAACGGTAACAAATTGACTCAGATTCCTCCTGAAATTTCTAAGTTAACGAAGCTTGTCTATTTTTCTGCCAACAAGAACAAACTGGAAAGCATCCCTGAAGAAATATGTGAGCTTCATTGTTTAAAGACCCTTGATATTCACTCGAATAACCTGAGCAACCTTGTCAAGGGACTGGGTAAAATGGAGCTTACCAGTTTCAACGTTTCTTCAAATCTACTGGGGAATACCATCGATATTCAAGAAATTTTTCTGAATCGTCGCGACTCAGCACTTGCTAAAAGTCTTCTGTTTCTAAGCATGGCTGACAATAACCTAGGTAATCAATTTTGGACCCTTTTTAACATGTATGAGAACTTGAAAATGTTAAATCTATCCTATAACAACCTAAGTGATCTGTCAACTTTCAAGCTTGAAAATTTAACCGAGCTTTATCTATCTGGCAATAGCTTTGTTTCGTTACCAGGGGAAACGGTTTTACGGTGGAGATCTTTAAAAATACTGATGTTGAACGGCAATAGCTTGCTTTCTTTACCATCTGAACTGTCCCAATTGAGTAAGCTGAATGTGCTGGACGTGGGGTCAAACCAGTTAAAGTATAATATATCAAACTATCATTATGACTGGAATTGGGCCAATAATAAAGGTTTGAAGTATCTGAACTTCTCAGGAAATAAGAGGTTTGAGATTAAATCAGCTTTGGACAATGATAGCAAAAGAGATTTGTCCGATTTGACAGTTTTAAAGGAGTTGAGAATTTTGGGATTGATGGACGTGACATTAAAAACGTCTAGGATCCCAGATGAGGGTGTGAATATTCGTTTGAGGACAACAGCCTCCGTTCTAAATGGCATGCAATATGGAGTGGCCGATACCCTAGGTCAGAGAGATTCCGTTACTTCAAGAGATGTAACCTTTGAGAGATTTAGAAGCAATGATGATGAATGTTTAGTCTGCCTCTACGATGGCAAAAATGAAAAGATAAGCACTGGTCATAATATCTCTAAAATTATAAGAGACAATTTCCATAAGATTTTCATCCGCCAACTTGAAAAATATGGTGAGACTTCTGACGGTATAAAAGATGCATTACGTTTCAGCTTTTTGCAATTGAACAAGGAAATTAACGGCATGCTCAACTCTGTTGAAAATGAAGCAACCAATAAAGATTTTACCTCTGCCGACTTGTTAAGTGGTTCTTCGGCCACTGTTCTCTACATAAAAGGGAAAATGCTCTATACTGCCAACATTGGGGATACAATGGCCATTTTATCAAAGAATAATGGAGATATTACACCTTTAACAAAGCGCCATGTTCCATCGGAGAGTGAGGAGTACGAAAGAATTCGTATTTCTGGTGGCTACGTCAATAACCATAAACTTGATGGCGTCTCTGACGTTTCACGAGCTGTAGGGTTTTTTGACTTACTCCCCCATATCCATGCTGCTCCCGATATCTCTGAAGCTTGTTTAACAACGACTGATGACCTAGTAATTATAGCCACCTGCAAACTGTGGGAGTATCTTGATTATCAAACCGCTTCTGATATATGCCGTGAAAACAAGATGGACCCTATGCGTGCTGCAGAAAAGCTGAAGGATTTCGCAATATCTTTTGGGTGTGCTGAAAACATGACAATTCTCTGCTTATCCTTAGACAAATCCAGCACTAGCCAAAATAATTTTATCTTGAAGAAGCAGGAATTAATCTCCAGGAGGAGCACCTTTGAAGACTCTACACTCCGAAGACTACAGCCAGAAATTTCTCCTCCAACCGGAAACTTGGCGATGGTTTTCACCGATATAAAGAACTCAACTTTCCTTTGGGAGTTATTTCCAAATGCAATGAGAAGTGCTATCAAAACGCATAATGACATCATGCGGCGATGCTTGCGAGTATTTGGTGGTTATGAAGTCAAAACAGAGGGGGACGCATTCATGGTTGCTTTTCCAACGCCAGTGCGCGCACTAGTTTGGTGCATGAGTGTTCAACTAAAACTGCTAGATGCAGAATGGCCGGAAGAGATTACTTCCATTCAGGAAGGATGTTTGATAAGCGATTCCCGTAACCAAAAGTTGTATCTCGGTTTATCTGTCAGAATGGGCATTCATTGGGGATGCCCAGTACCTGAGCTAGATGTCGTTACCCAGCGCATGGACTACTTGGGGCCTGTCGTCAATAAGGCGTCAAGAGTGTCTGGTGTCGCGGATGGAGGTCAGACAACACTTAGTAGCGACTTCTGTTCAGAGTTCCAAAAAGTCATGGCCTTGCACGACCGCGTTGAAAAAGCAAATGTTTCATTAAAAGAGGCCTACGGTGAAGAGTTCGTCGGCGATATCATGGAAAGAGAAATTCATTTGCTAGAAAGCATTGGGTATGTGTTTGAGGAGCTGGGCGAAAAGAAACTCAAAGGTTTGGAATCTATTGAGTATATCACTATCGCCTATCCTAAGGTGTTGGCCGCGCGCCATAATTTCGTCACACAGAAGGCGGAAACGAGCGTAATAGACGAGGAGACGTTGTTCAAGCTGAGAAGTATCTCCAATAAGCTTGAATGTATGATTTCTATCGTAAATGGCTCTCTTGTTGAAAAGGAAGATTTTGGAAGAGTTGGAGTTGGTCACCACGCCACTTTCGATGCCAAAACCAGCGCTGCGGTTTCCCACTCAATGACCGAATTGAATCGCGTAGCACTGTTGGACCATGTCATTACACGGCTTGAGGGTACTATCGCCATGCTCCAAATTCGCCAGCGTATTGAGGGCCCTTTGAATGTAGCGAAGACAAACGAACTGGCTGCCAGCAAATCCATCTTTGAACTGGTTGACGAACTCTTCAAAGGGGCAAATTTGGAAAAGTAAGAAGGCTCATAGGAATCGTGCGCATGTATCTGGCATTACTATTATCGTCACATTTGTCATTATTTTATAGTATGTATGTATGGTGAGAAAATCCACGGCTTACTTGTACAATACAGTGCATCTGGGTGCTTCCATCCCTTCCGATCCCTTTCATGTGGATTATGCTCGTTAAAAATTTTGAGCCTCTTCCACAAATTTTGCGTGGGTATTGAAGTTGGCGGTAGCCTATGCTTGCGGCGAGAGTCCAACTGGTTCTTCCAAACGCAAGAGATCTCACTGCTGCCAGAGCTCAATTATTTTTGAGCTTCCAAATCCTTCATCTCTATATCATGAGAGATAGATCCTGCGGACTGTGCTAATGCAGTTGTTGTTGTTCCAGTGCTTGGATCGACAAGTCCGTCAAAGAACGTGTCTTTGAGCTCTCTCCATCTGGACAACCATGTTCCTAAAAAGACCAAAATCACTAAAGAGATCGCCTGAACGACAAACCAAGCAAAGCTGGGCCACCTGCCCGTGTTGATCCATACGGTTAGGAGATTAACTGCATGTATAGTTACTCCGAAATCCCAGGCTAGCTTGCTGCGACCAACGATTATGGTTAGAAAAAGTACGCATATTAGCGCGTCTAACAACCACAATAAGGAAAGCGCAATTCCAAGAGAGTTGGAGAAGTCAATTGACTCCCACGAAAATAACCATTGACTGATTGGAGCATCGTAACCGCCTAAGCTGGCCCAACCATAAAATAGGACGTAGGCTGTGAAATAGTAGAATACTTGCAGCAGAACAATCTGTACCGCTATTTTCAAAGGAGAAAGTGAGTCCTGATTAAAAACTTCAGATGGTCGCAATTCTTGCGGTATTCTCAAGTATCTTCTCAACCAAGTCATTGATGGCCATGTTGTACACAGCTTCTGTTTATATGATCGTTAAATATCCCGTTTTTCTAATTTAATATGAGAAAAATTTTAGACCATGCGATGAGATGCGATGAGCTACCAAGAACTTTGGAACTCTTTTTCGACTGACAAGGCCGCTTAGCCGAATTGCTAACATATCAAAAGCATTTTCTTAAACATAGAATATGGTGGCCCGCAAGTTCAAGGATTTGGATGATTTTGTTCCCACAATCAGCGACAGTGAGAACGAAGTCCCAGACCTGGAAGATTCTGATGATGAGGTCGTAAAGCAGACCAAGGTGCTTCCCCATAAGGCTAAGAAGACCAAGAAAAATCAAAGTAAGCAGCAACACGACGTTAAAGGGGAGCTTGTTGACGAGGACGTTCATGAAGATCTTAATCCTGGCTTTGAATTTGAGTTGGACGGCTCAGAAGTGACATCGAACTTCGATGGATGGAATTTTGAAGGTGATAAAAGAGCTAATGAAGGTACTAAGGACGTTGATTTAGATGGTATAATCAGACGTAAGGGGGGACTTGTTCAGTTAGTAGGTACTGAAGACAGCGCTAGTGATGTTGGGAGCGAGGACAATGACACTGAAAATGAAGGGAGTGACGAGAGTGACGATGATAATCTTGCCATGGATGGATTCGGCATGGGTACTTCCGCAGTGGGTGAAGATGCTAGCGACGGCAACGACGGCTCCTCTGATGTTGAAGAAGAGGTCGAGGAAAGTGAACTGTCTGCAGCAGAGGCAGCTGATCAAAAATTGGAAGTAGAAGAGGAGGATAGCGACGATGCGAAAGCGGCTTTTTATGCTCCGGATGAGGAAAGTTCCGAGGCCAGGAATACCGTACACAGCAGCTTCAACTCTTTGTCCCTCTCACGTCCTGTTCTCAAGGGAGTGGGTGCCCTTAACTACGTCAAGCCTTCTCCCATTCAAAGTGCTGCGATACCAATAGCTCTTCTTGGTAAAGACATTATTGCTGGCGCCGTTACTGGCTCTGGTAAGACTGCAGCTTATATGATTCCCATAATTGAACGTTTGTTATACAAACCAGCCCAGGTAGCTTCCACCCGTGTTATTGTTTTGACCCCAACTCGTGAACTTGCAATTCAAGTTTCAGATGTCGGGACAAAGCTCGCAAAGTTCGTGAGTACCATCAACTTTGGTCTCGCTGTTGGTGGTTTGAACTTGAGGCAACAAGAACAAAACTTGAGATCTCGACCTGATGTTGTTATTGCCACACCTGGTAGACTAATTGATCACATAAGAAACTCTGCAAGTTTCAATGTAGAGTCGGTGGAAATTCTGGTCATTGACGAGGCTGATCGTATGCTGGAGGAGGGATTCCAGGATGAATTAAATGAAATTATGTCTCTCATCCCCAGTAAGCGACAAACTCTTTTGTTTTCAGCTACAATGAATGCCAAGATTAACCAGTTGATATCTCTTTCTTTGAAAAAGCCAATCAAAATTATGATTGATCCGCCAAGGCAGGCAGCTGCTAAACTAACGCAAGAGTTTGTTCGTATTCGTAAAAGAGAAGATCTCAAGCCGGCTCTACTCTTTCATCTCATCAAGAGATTAGATGACCAAGCGCAAAAAAGAATTGTGGTTTTTGTTGCTAGAAAGGAAATGGCTCACAAATTGAGGATTATACTGGGATTATTAGGAATGAAAGTTGCTGAACTACATGGTTCATTGTCTCAAGAGCAGCGTTTGCAGTCTGTCAATGGATTCAAATCCCTGGAGATACCGGTGCTAATATGTACAGATTTGGCATCCAGAGGTTTGGATATACCTAAGATTGAGTTTGTCATCAATTTCGACATGCCAAAATCGTATGAAATCTATCTTCATAGAGTGGGTCGTACAGCGAGAGCCGGTAGAGAGGGTCGTTCTGTTACCTTTGTCGGTGAATCTTCTCAAGACAGAAATGTTGTGAAGAGTGCCATCAAGTCTGCGGAAGAAAATAATAAACAAGACACCGTTGTAGGTAGAATGATCGACTGGTCCAGGGTAGAAGAAATCAACAATTTTATCTCAAATAAGGATGACACAATCATTGAGATTCTAGAAGAGGAGAAACAAGAAAAAGAGATTCTGAGAGCCGAAATGGAAGTACGCAAAGGCGAAAACATGTTAAAACACAAAGATGAAATTAGTGCAAGGCCCAAGAGGACTTGGTTCCAGTCAGAAGCTGAGAAGAAAAATTCGAAGGTGATCAACGCTTTGTCAAAGACCAAAAAGACCATTAACAGTAAAAAGAGGAAGAGATTAGAGGCTACTGAAGATCGCGCTCGTTCCTACAAGAAAACCAAAAACGATAGGAGTACAGATCAGCAGAGAACTTATGCCAAACAAAGGGCGAAGGTTGATGCTAAGAAGAAAAAGAAGAGAGCGAGGACGTAGCTCAGTGTATAGAGACTTTCAGAGCGATACCGTTCTAGTATAGACAGTCAATAAAATTGAGTTCGCCTCCATACATACTTCTTGCGGTGATGTCAGTCATAGTGGAAGTCCGTGGTCAAAGCTTGTAGTACTTCTAAATCGTAGTACTGTTCTTCCGCCTTCAAATCCGAATCATGTTCATTCAAAATTGTTTTGTCTAGACCGACTATCTGCACATTTTTCCTCAGGTCAATGAGATTTGAGATCTGAGATTTCAGGTCATCGGAAAGGGAGGGTTCTTTGCCCTGTGCCGCGGCCACTATTAACTGTAATCCATCGAGCCAAATATAAGATGCTTCTCGACTGTCTAAAAAAAATGTCAACATAACTGATTCATCCTTATCAAGAAGATGAATTTCCGTGTAAACAGCTTTATTAAGTATGTTTATCAGTTTTGCATTAACGGGTACTTTGCTGTCGGCTTGAACTTTCCAGTGCTGGAACTTGTGTACCCGCCTGACGGGAATTACCGTAGTTTTACCTTTAGAGCCATCGGTGCTTACAATGTCATTACCAACCACAGCAGGACTTTCTTCACACTTCGCCCTGTACTCTTTAGCCAGGAGGTTCATTTGGTTATCGGAAAGAACAACGTAATAAACTTTTGGCTGCTTCACGTTACGATCTAGCGGATTATCGCTATACACCCAAGCACCCTTTTGTAACTGCAACAGACGTTGGTGGCGCACATACTCAAGCACTTGATTTGACAACATGGAGTCGAAAGTAGATATTTGTCGCTCCCATTTTTTGTGATGAGCTGTTCTAATTTGTCTCAATTGAAGATCCCGAAGTTTTTCGTAAGACAGCAATCGAACGTTTGCCAAACAATTCCCGATTTCGGATTCTTGGGAACCGAGGAATGAATCTTGTAAAAAAAATGCTACCTTAAATGTTTCAAGAATCGAGTTGAAGTCGTCAAAACTTTGTGCACGGGACTCGATCCATAAATCCATAAGCTTGTCAACCAGAGAAAATATCAAGACGTCTTTGTTTAGGAAACACTGCATAATGAAGCGATCGACTTTCTCTTGGGAAAAATATTGACTGAAAGTTATCGATAGCTGATCTGAAAGCCAAGATAATCCTTGGACGATGGGGAAGGCATGTTCTTCGAAGAGTAGCCGTTCTAGGTACTTCTTGCGAAATGATACATTCGCATCCCTTAAAAACACAATAATATCAAGCGCATTTGTTATTGACAGTCCAGATCTGCTCTCTTCAGCTCCATCAAAAGTATCTTTAATTCCTATCTCGTATTCTTTTACCTTAAAATGTCTATCTAGCAGTTCCAACATCGTCGATGTCAGAGTGCCCTCTAGATTTTCCATATCACAAAATCTCAACGACATGCTGATGGTAGCCAAGTCTACGACACACCTCTCCGTTGACCATACCAAGTCTTCATCGTATCGGTGTGCATTCTCCAATATACTGGTCAAAACAGTAAAGAAACCGGGTGCTTTAAGCCGCAATACGCTATCACAAAAAATCTTACTAGAGACTTTTTGATCTTGTGTATCAAGTAGCTTAAGGCACCTGATGAACGCCAAAAGTGATTTGACTATCTGCGCCTCCAGTGTTTCGTCATATTGATGCCAAAGTAGCTGGTTTGCAACTGTACTAATGACAAAATGATCCTGTACTAAGTTGCAGAAACTTTTATGGATTGCGGAGTTCCCGTACTTCCTTACCATTATCGTAGAACCTTTATCAAGAAAGAAGGCTGTAATCAACCCAATCTCTCGGTCCTCATTTAGTGCTCTTGATGCGGCAAAAATAATTTCCCATCGATCTGCGCTCTCCGATAGATACTTTGCATATAAGTCATCAGCATCACCAGAGAAAGATTTGTGTAAACTGAGCAATGTCTTTTTATCATCACTCGACCTTTCAAGTCCCTTAAGCAGCTCCTCAATGTAGTTCAACTCAGCTGAAAGTGGTTCTGGCATGTGCCTGTAGTTCAATTGGTAGGTATTGAGTACTGTAAGGCGCAAAGATGTTGTTTTACGCACCAAACTAGTGACTGGCTTTTTTCGAACAATTGTAAACCTTTGGACGGACGACCTTTTGAATTTAGTTGTGCCAACTCAGGTCACGAGTCAAACGAGAGACCTCCCGAAACGAGAGACCTTCCGAAACGAATAACGCCGTTAAAGTCCAGCTAACTGAATGAATAAAATCGTAGATACTTGAGTCCAAGCCAAATGGTGTACCAGGGCATAAGAAATTTTCGAACGTGCACGTAAGTGGTGCAACTTACAGGATTTTGTGATCAGCGGTCTTTCATCACCAACTACATCTATCAGATATAACCTGAATAAGCAAGAGTGCCGAGGTAGTTACTCAATAAGAATCGAAACTTTAAAAACTCTCCAGTGGTGATGCTGTAGTTCTGTTTGAGTAGTGTCGAGTTGCATAATCTGAAATAGCAATGTCGTCTCATAATGGTACGAGGGGATACTAGAGACATCAGCAGGCTACAGAATGGATACATTCCACAGCAAAACTGCAATCCGATACCTTTAAGATAATTCATGTGATTTTTTCAGATACTGCTTGAAACCTGTACCAAATATTTGATGAAAGTACTATTATTCTGCGGGTATTCACGTGCTGTTCGTCGAGTAGCTCTTGAATATTACTATTCTATCCAATAGTGTTAGGAACTTTGCCGCTAATGGGAAACAGTCGCTCGGCTCCGCTGCCACTAATTTTTATGTATTTTTGGGGCATCGCCAACTTGAATAGATTACGGTAATGAAATCTGTATTAAGACCACCGCTCCTTTGCATCCCTCTAGTTCCATCCGCAAGCATTCTCTGGTGCTTGTAAAGTTCCCCTTTCGCTGAAGTTCTGATATTTCACTATTAAACCACATAATTGGACTTTCTTAAATATAAATTGTTCGCTGTGATGCTCCTCTGTTTCTGAGTTTTTCAGAGCCCATTTCGGACACTTTTGGGATAGTTTGCTCAAAATGTCGGTTCATTCTAGTTTCTTTCAGGGTTCATCTTCCTGCATGCCTTGAACAAAACTGGCGTGTCTCGCGGTTAGGAAATAAAGCACTTATGGACGGTTCCTTGCCTTGCTAGATTTGAAAGCAATCATCGAAAGTTGACAGGGCTTATGTATATTGTTTAAAAACATTCCTCTATGATCAAAAGAGAGCCGTCCTTGCTCATTCAAACGCGAAAAGTCCACAATCCCATTAGAAACTTAGGTCTCGCGCTTGAGCCGTCGCAACCCCTCGCGGTGTATTGATGACCTGTATGTTGGGAATAACGGTATATTCATGAATAAATGCAGATATGTGCCAGATTGACGGTACTCTGACAACTAGATCCCTATGAATGAAGCTTAGGTATAATCTGTTCACGGGTTCATATTAAATTAAGCGTCTTTACTAGAAGCGTCACAGCACGTCAATTCAGATTGAAACCAGGTAGACTGGCCAAGTACTGTATGGGTATTCTCAATCGAAAATTCAGATAGATATCGTATATCAGATGACATATCTTCGGATCATCTGATTGGTGCTCAAAACATTATTGAATCCATTTCCCAGCCCTGGGCGCCGGTAAAACAATAAAGTCCTAGGCAAATTATCAACCAATGGCTTCCAGAGGAGTAGCAGCTACACACAATTGCCCGCCCAGTCAATTCGATGATCCAACAGCCCAAATTTCCATTTTTTCTAGTTGGGATTGTTGGATTATATCCATAACGGTACCGGGACTATTGTCGCCAGAACTTAGTATAGATCTCGATTGTAGGTCCCAAATATGGAACTAACCCAAAATCCAAATGGGCACAGAGAGACGAGAAGAAGTCGCCTCCTAATTCGTAATTTTTGTATCAAGTTCTCAAAAGATATTTCATAATGTCTACCAACAAAGCGAACTATGTCAGTTCACCGGGTTAAGTACTTTCGACGCTAACTCAATCCAAAAAACCCTCACCATGTGTTGACTGCAAGTCCCTTGTTTCCAGGGGCTGAAAAAGATAATACTCTCCAGTATGGGGTTGGAGAAGCGCACTAGAGAAAAAAAATGAGAAGAGTTTCTGGACTTGAGAAAGCCCTTCTAGTAGGTTAACTTAGAGCTATTACTTCAATCTTGGAATTCCATTAAGCCGAAAATGTTGAATAATCAGTATGATGAAGCAGTTCTCTTCCGCGCGTGGCAAGAAAACTTGCAGAATAGAGAGGAAATTTAGCGGAAACATAATATTCGCTAGCTAGTTGATGTGACCGCTCACAGAATAACTTGATAGCCTGACCGTAACGTTGGGGCTCATGATTCGTGAAGATGTAGCTTCCTTTTGTATAGCATCAATCGAGAAGAATCGCTATAAATTACTCATTTTGCTGGCTTTACTCTTGTCGCGTTTTCGAGCATGGCCCAGCTATTGAACATGAAGGAAGGGCGCATATACACTACCACTTTCATCTGTTCGGTTTCATATCTCTATGTACGAGAGGTGTGACCTTGCCAATGGTGATAATATTACAGCGATATGCAAGTAGTACTCAATTCAAATGTGTAAAATAAGTAGTATGCAGCCTAAAACGTTGAACATTAACGTGTCAATGAGCAATGAGCGGCGAGCTTTCTAGCATATCTCAAAATAATTCAGCTCGGGAGGTGCTTAATGTTACTTCAGAATATTCGAAGAATTCCAATGAGAGCTTAGTGTCCTTGGATGACTATCTGAGCAATACTTTGCCGTTACACCTACAGCGACTGTTTTTAGAAAATCTGCAAAAACGAGAACAAACCATTATTGACAGCGCATCCAAGTCGCTAAATGGAGCGGTGAGTGACCCGTCCCAACAACAGCAATTATTAAACGGTTTGCCATTTGCGCTGGATTCTAATTTCAATTCCTCAAGAGGTAACTCATTTTCGTCATGGTCATTTACGCAAGGTCTGGTTTTAGGGCAGGTAAGTGTCATTTTAGTGATCACCTTTTTCATCAAGTTCTTTGTCTTCAGCGAAGGTTCTCTCAAGACCGATGGCCCTAACGGAGGAAAGTCCAGCAAGAGCGCAGAGGCAACATTTTCAAAACCGCCAGTAGTGTCAACATCAACTTCGCGATTTCTTTCGTCAATCATACGGCGCCGCGGTGAGAATGTCTCCGAGAAAACGGAAGAAGAGGATCACAATCGGAAGTTTTGTCAAATCAATGCTATATTGGAAAAGACCTACTACAATGTCGATACCCATTCATCAGAGAGTTTGGATTGGTTTAACGTACTTATCGCTCAGACAATTCAACAATTTAGAGAGGAAGCATTGCAGAAGGACAACATTGTGCATTCACTGAACGATTTCGTATCTCGGAGATCAGCCGAACTACCGCAATACCTCGATGCGATCAAAATCACTGAGCTGGATATAGGAGAGGATTTTCCTATTTTTTCGAACTGTCGTATCCAATATTCGCCAAATTCCAACAAGCAACGGCTCGAAGCTAAGATCGACATTGATTTGAGTGATCGGCTTGCTTTGGGTATCGAGACTAAATTGCTCGTAAATTATCCCAAACCTTTTGCAGCAGCGCTACCGGTCCAGCTCACTGTTTCCATTGTAAGGTTTCAAGCTTGTTTGACAGTCTCGCTCACAACCGCCGAGGAATTCGTTCCAACGTCGGGAAATAACACTTCATGTGATACAGACTATGGTAGTGGTTATTTCTTGATGTTTTCATTTTCTCCAGAGTATCGTTTGGAGTTTGATGTGAAATCTCTAATTGGCGCGAGGTCGAAGCTGCAAAATATTCCCAAGATAGGGAGCTTGATAGAATATCAAATAAAAAAATGGTTTGTTGAACGATGCGTGGAACCTCGATTCCAGTTCATAAAACTTCCAAGCCTCTGGCCGAGAAGCAAAAATACCAGGGAAGAAAAATCAGAAAATGATGACATTTCCGTTACATCCATGGATTCACCAAGTACTTGAATCGCAGACAAAGACTTCCGAATCTCATGTACATTTTACGAAGAGAGTTACAATCGCTTTGAATGACCTATTGCAACTAAACATACCCTTTAAGTCAACCGCATCTCCTTGATTTTCTGAAAATGTATAATAGTATTTTTTTGTGGTGTGCTTTCAAGTCGCGAGCGTAGTGACTGCTGGCGAAGGCTCGACTGGTAGGTAAATTAGAGAAAGAGCTCAAGGGCAAAAAACTTTTTGACACTGAATAAGGATTCTATATCAAACCGAATATTGTTCACTGTCTGAGTTATATCATTTGTTGAACGTATGTGTTTATGGCCATAAACACGACGCCGCTCGATCTCAATTTGGAGTCTGGTTCTTTTATTTACCAACGTGACCTTCTCTGGAATTTCTTGTTCATAAGATATCTCATACTTTATGCTAATTTACGACTTTTCAAGATGAGCTCTGAAATTCTTCAAATCCTTTGGGTTTCTGCTCAAGTCTAGAATTAAATCGCAACCTTTCACCTTGGATGTCATTCAGTGGAAGAAAGTTTAGATCAAGAAGAGCACAATTAGCTTTCGATGCATCCCTAGCTGGGAAATATCAGTCGAGACTGAGAAGAAATCCATTTCTTTACTTCGGCCTGCCCTTTTGCTCAATAATGGTACTTGGCTCATATTGGCTATCCAGCTTTACTGCTGTTAGATACGAGCAGAAAGACCGTAAGATACAAGAGATCAGTGAAGATGACCTAATGAAGATGAAGACCAACAAGAGACAATTTGACCTCAAAGAAGAATACTACCGATTACAGGGCTTAGGAGAACAGGATTGGGAACCTGTACGTGTTCCTAGAATGAAAGGCGAATCTGAAAACGTATGGTAATGTTGAAAAACCTCGTGAAGACAATTAGAGCGAAACCTAGCCTCAGACTTTAGCGTTTTAGCATACTGTGTTGAACTCTAATGGGATCTTGGGCGTCGTAGGGGCTGATCTGCTTGGATCCTTAGCATGAGAGTATAGAGCGACAAAACTACTCCCTTAGAGCTTTTCACATAGTAACTACTGGTTGGATATTAAGATCTATCGGAAAACGATTCTAACATAAACTATTCGTATCAATATTTTCTTTCTTGCCTATTTGAATTTGAATTGAGCATACCATTTGTTTTCTTTCATTAGGTGTTTTATTGATTTCAGGCCGCAACGTAACATTTAATAATGGCCACTATTGTAAACACTACTTTCGCATCTTCTAATAGACAAAATAAATCTAGATAAGTACCGATAATGGTGAGGATACATCCTTTCGTCGAACAAGTTTCTCGATATCAGTTGGCGGCTTGGATTAATGCTTGATGTATTACCAATTAATTTCTCCATCAAGCTTCGGCTGTACAAACTAGGGCTTTCTTCTAATCAGCTTGTAATCTGCTTCTGAACCGCCCTTCCTTCCGTGTATCTTAGCTGAGTCAATAATCCGACTTTCATAGGCTATGTTTATCTGAGGTCATAGCTTAACTCATTTATCAGGTCCAAAGGACGAGCACCGGACTTCTGGCCAACAAGTGCCCTATGTCACGTGAGTGATTTTGGCCGTTGATTTTTGTGGGCAAGATTAAAAAGTATATAGCGAGCACACGTCTCTTTGTCGAGCTGATATGGTCAAGATGTCTAAGATTAGCCTGAATGAGTTTGCCGAAGCTCAAAAACCCCACTACACAATACATCCGAGGGTAAAAAGAAGAAAGCTTTCATGTCAAAAGGGCGTCGATCCTTTCGTAAAACTCCTGTCCGGTCAGGAATCATTGGAGATGGTCCACAATAGATGGACTTTGTACCATCAATTGCACTCGCAATTTTATTGCCAGGTGGATGAAATTTTGCATAGGATTGAGCAGGATATTCATAGGGAAATCTCAAATATTTTGGCACGAAATCTGAAAGCACGCCGGGCACCTTGTTTCAATTCCTTGTTTCTACTTGGGTCGGACAGTACTACAAGCATAGAACTACCCAATGAAGATACTGAGAAACTGAATGTAATTATTGATCTCACCCCGAAGGAGTCGCCTAATGTTCGAATGATGCTTAGAAGGTCAATGTTTAGACTGGTGAGTGCTGCTGAAGCTCCTTACAAAAAGCATGCTAAATTTGAAGAACCTGACGAAGAAGTTAAAAGTGAAGAAACACCAAACTCACAGCTTGCTATGGATCTGGGTGTTTCATACGATCTGTCACTGGTACAAAACTTCAAGAAAATTTTCAAGAAAGGACTTAAGCTTGTCTTTAACTTTAAGGACGTGGATTCCTTCAACTCTCAAGTGCTTGATGATTTCATCAATTTACTGAATTCATTACTAACTTGTGAATCTGTTGAAATATGTTTGGTATTGAACGTCAATACTAATTTGTCAAACATTCAAAAAAACTTGCGCCAATCTACTGTACGACTTTTGAAAAAGAACCTGTCTGTTGTAGATCTCTCTCATAATAAGGGTTTTAAGTATGCCAATCAAACGTTTCAAAGCTTTTTGAACACCGTTGACGGCAAGCTGAACCTGTCGTCTGAGTTTGTCGGTTTTATCTTAGAGAAGATGGCCAACAACGCGACCCATAATCTCCAGCTGCTAACAAAAATTTTAGATTACTCTTTGATGTCCTACTTTTTTCAAAATCCCTTTTCAGTCTTCATAGATCCAACGAACGTAACGAGTTTGGACGCACATTATCTGCCACCACTAGTTAAATGTCCAACTTTCATGACATTTATCGACGGCATGGTTCGAGATCACGCACCGTCCGAGGACATCGTCAGTTTGTTAGAGAATGAGAATGCGGCCCTAGAGGAATTCTTTACGGAATTTCTTGTTAGGGAAAATCCCATCAATGGTCATTTAAAGTTAGTGGTCGACGTACTTGAAAACCAGCTTGGAGTCTTTGACTACAATTTAATTGATCTCTATCACCACATGCTAACAGGAAAGCTGGGAGATTTTCTATCAAAGTGGCCCAGCTGTGAACAATTTGATGACATTCTTGCCTTTGAACCGGTGGACATCATTTTCCAAGAACTGTTTACACTGGATAACAGCAAAGAGCTTTTTTCCCAGTCATTATTCCCATACTTAAGAACAAATCTCGAAGACAATTTGATAAATTCAGACCGCATCTTACCGCCTGCTACGAAGTTTCAGAAGGAGCCAAATCCATTCGAAGTCGATTTCGGATCTTTGATAGATCTTCCGATCTGCCACTTATTCAGCCTTTACAGAGAGGCAAGTGCACTAATAAATCTTTATGATTTTTTTTGTGCTTTCAACGAAGCACTGCCCAGACAGCGTCTACTTGGTTATGTAAATAATGTCATGAATACTACCAGCTCTCATGTCTCGAACGAGCAAAAAATCAAAATTCAAGCATTGATCGAAGGCGACGATGTTGGGAGTGTAGTGGATAAAATGGTACTAGTGTGGTTTATCCAATCAATTTCGGAGTTTCAGCTGATCGGGCTCTTGAAAGGTAATAACAACAGTGCTTACGAGGTCGTTGAGAAGTGTATATGGAGGGGTCTATAGACGACTATATATATGAAGTTTTCGTTGTCGTAAAAAGTGGATGATTTGTTGAGTTCAAACTATCATATTTGATCAAAATAAATGCTCAATTTTCTATTGTAAATGTGATCTGCTTAAGGAAAAAGAACGCCATTAATGAAATGAAAATAGACGCCGCGATAGAGATTGGTTTCCTGTAGAATGAAAAAGTCGAAAACTTGTATCTAACAAATACTTTGCTCGTTGAGACAGTGTCCACCATATTGTTTAGCTCGAATGTGACCTTGGTGTGCCCATTATTGAGGTCAAAATAAGATTTCGAAGCGGTCACTTCAGTTGACACAACAGGTAGAGGACACCAAACGTCCAGGACTTCAGAACCTTCTGGTAAATACACAGATAAGTTCATCTTTGAGTAATACGTGTCGGCAGGACCATTGAGGATGGGCACGGATAACACAAAAGATTCAGTATCGACATCCTCAATATGTAAAAATTGAGATAGTCCATTAGTCCAGCCAATAGTAAAGTTGTACTTCCACCCACCAAAGATAGGGAATCTCGGTTTGAGGAAAATATGGTCTTGCAAAACCCTGAAAGTAGACACTGCGCCGACCAGATCTGTGAAATAGTGCTCTTCGGAATCAGAAGGCAAAACCATCTCCAGTGCTGTCAGGTGCCCGTGTTGCTTCATTGCATGCTGTCCTTTCATGTATTCAGCTCTTGAGAAGCCGCCCTTTAGAGGAGCAGCGTCGTTAACTAAGTCATATGACTCTTCAAATTGCATAGTTGATGCCCAGTGAGAGACCCATACTTCTCTTGCTAGAAAAGAAACCCTTGAAGAGGGGAGATTACGTTCAAAAACAATTTTAAGTGGTGCTGTTTTTTGATATGGTCCGATAGCTTTATGACTCTCGCAATCTAATCTGCTTCCTTCTTTCCGACATGAAAAATTATCATCGCTGCTATTGCTGACCACTTCAATGCTTGGGCTTCCTTCAAGACTCATCGTATATTGCTGGGTGTTATAAGCAGAAAGTGGGTATGTATTAGTGCTGAGGTGAAGCAGCTGTCTTTCTCCCATTTCAACGCTACCCGAATACGGTTGACGGTGTGAGCCGTAAACTAATGTAATCGCAATATCAGTACTGCTTCCAGGTTCAACAGATGTTGGCATTTTCACGACAGCAACCTTGACGTGTTCTCCATTCGCTACGAACGTTTGTTGAGGAATAATGGCGCTTTCCAAGAAAGCATCTGCCCGTTTTAGCTGGGCCGAAAACAAAGCAATATTCTCAAAAATACCTTCAGGAAGTACAAAGTAGTACTCTTCGATAGCCTTATTGTCAATATTTTTGATATGCAAGTCAATTCTTTCTTGAGTATATGTTCTGCTGACGTCGACAGTTCTATGGTATGCCACGTTCTCCCAAGACTTGGAGAGCGACGCTGCATCAGCCTGAGCGAGTACAACGCCAATGACCACCTGCAGAACCATATAAAGTGTAGAGGTTACCATCATCTTGGGCAAGTTATTAAGGTGCTGGGTAGATGTGAGTTACAGAGGACATATTGTTTTATATCTTGAAATTGACACGAAGAGGATCTACCTAAAAAATCAGTTTTTACGAGCCACAAATCGTCGAGATGACATGGTGACAAAGACCTAAAGAACTGATCTGGTACATGGATGAGATCAGCAGTGCGCAGGAATCCCCTCCTTTTCAAAATGCATACAGCGATCAATCAACGGCTGTCCTGATTCAGGATAGTATACTGTATTCCACCAGTTCTCTAATGCAGAAAGACATTAAAGATTTGTTAGAGAACGCGAAAACAAGAGCAGGTTCGTTTCAAATGGACCATGCTAGGAGCGAAGAGTTTGAAAATGCCTATCCAATGCAGGTGCCTTCGTCTGTAAGGGAAGATGTGCAACCGATTTTAGCTCCGGTGAGGAATTTAGAAGCCTCGAAGGAAACTGGGGCTCAACAAGGAGCCTCCCCTTTGGACCATGATCCAGCATTTCAAATGCTATTCAACAAAACTCGAGTGTTGCTTGAGCGTTCGCATTTTTCATCAGATTTCCTAACCATTTTGAGACGTTATGTCGGCCTGTTACTGGAAGATGGCCATGATGCAATGAAAGACAGATATGTTTTAGCTCTACAACGTGAATTGGACTTGAGGGACTGGGATGTCACTTCGCCATTTATCGATCTTCTGGATATCTTTCTCTCCAGGCCAGCGAATCCGTGGATGATGTTAGCTAACGTTGAACGCAGAAAGCAACGGGCGTTGTTAGAATCTGCGTTCACCAAGTGGAAGCTGAAGACCCGAGTAGATCGCTACTTAATGAAGTTGAGCTATTATTGGGGGTGTTACGTTCAGAGGAAATACCTACAATTGTGGCAGGAGCGAAAAAACTTCAAGACTCATAATCTCAGAGTAGAGGCAGACTGCCTGATGGACTTCAAGAGCCAATCTAATAACTTTGATAAGTGGATGAAGCGCACAGATGCACACAAGCTCAAGCAGGACTTGGCGAATGCTTTCTTTCTTCAGAAATTTTTGAAGCTCTTTATAAAAAAAGGCTTTTCAAGCATGGACAGTCTCAATCTTGCCAAGCAAGCCCTCAGAAAAAGCTGCCTCAGACACACGTTCACCAGTTGGAAGTTACAGAAGCGGTTACGGCTATCAAAGGAACTGTTGACAAGATGGCCGAAGACAGTTTCGTTTGGACGATTAAAGACGAAGAACAAAAACGTTGCATCTCTGAAACAAAAACAACTTTTGTTTGAGAAAAGTCATCTCATAGGGAGAACATTACAGACTTGGAAACTACGTTTGCGAGAAAATCAGAGTAAGATGAATGAACTGTTGGAATTAGAGGTAGCCTTCAAGGAAAAGATGGCATTGAAAGTCGTCAAGGATGTGATCGATTGGAAAGAACGAGAAGGTCTGGTAGTTAAAATGGTCAACTCTCTTCTATTACAGTTTGTGTTCCGCAAATTGTGGTTGAAGAGGACTAGAGAGCGAAGCATGCTATCCCAGATCTACTTACGAAGATCAGCTGTCTTATACAGCAGGTACTTCTCCATGTGGCTGGCGCGAATGATAGACAACGAGGCAGCCTCGTCAGTTCGTGATAAGGTCATCATATGTCATGTCTTTGATGTCATGAAACTTAGAAACAACGAACTCAAATTTCAGAGGAAGGGAAACCAGCTTAAAGTAAGGAAGTTTTTATTGCAATGGAGAGAGAGAACTACTCATGAATTGCTGCTTGGTAAACACTTACAGAAGAATTTGCTGGGAGTCTGGTTACACGAATGGCAGCGAAAATATCACTCTTTCAATGACCTTTCGTATATCACAGTGAAATGCCGAGATTCTTTTTTGTTGAAACACTATTACAACCAGTGGGCTCAAAAGTCAATGGAAGTACTTGAAATGAAAAGAAAGTCTGGCTGGTTTGCAAAGTTACATGTAATATCCAAAGTTAAAGGAGTTCTAAAGCGTTGTGAGAAACTTAACGCTACTTTAGAGGCTTTTGTTGTTCACAAATCACGGAGGCAAGAAGAAAAGTACATGTCGGTGTGGATCTCCAGCATGCGGATCCAAATGAGATTAAAACAAGAGATAATGCTGGACCAGTACTTAATAGTGGGCAACATGTCCCTTATCAAAAGCTGCTTTTCACAATGGGCTAAACGCTATCGTTATTTTTACGATGATTGCAACAAGGTAGCAAAACGTCAAAACGCCCAAACGATAATTGCAAGTGTGCTTCGAAGAGCACTCAGCAAAAGGACGGTATACGATAACTGGAGGATTGTGTCTATGGAATTGGACAATCAATCGAAGTTGTCGAGTTATTTTGGCAGCTTCAAACTCAAATATGAGCTCGTTTCTGCCTTGAACGAGCAGCTTGGTCGAGTCCTGGCAGAAAAAGAGTTATCGATGTTGATCAATTGCCTGAACATGTGGACGATGAAGCAATTAAAATCTTCACGCAATAGGGAGACAGTTGAACTTTTCAGAAATAGGTGGAACAGGGCAAGCTTGAGAGCTATCCTTCTGCTCTGGAAAGAAAAGTGTGATTCGATCAAGGCAGACCCACCAGCGTTCAGTGACGAAAGGTTTACTAGTGGTTCTGAACCAAATGATCGGAGTTTAGTCACTCCTACCAGAATGAAAAAGAGCGGGCGGATAACGATACCCGGATCCGAGGTTATCAAAAGGAATAGAATGGAGGCTATGAAAAATCATTACAGGCGTGCCCGTAAAGCGATACCTAGCCCTATCAAATTCTCAGACAATTTGGATTCTGTGACGAAACGCAGGCTTGAGACGAATAGTGAGACAATGGAAGATCGAGCTACCCCTCCTCCCCCAAAGATGAATCTTGAAAAAATTAATAAGAATCTGGCTTCTAAAAAATCTATGATCAACTTCAGAAGTATACCAGAGGCAAAGTTGAGTCCCGCTCCATCATCGAGAGTCTCGGAAATACCAGTAGTGGATAGGTCCCTTCTGTCAAAACATAACAGAGACTTAGATAGATCACCTACGGTGCGATGATGAGTTCCTCGTTTCAACCGCAGATTTGTAAATGCTCATCACATGATGTGTACGTAGATGTGAAAACGAAGGTGGCAAACTTACCTTTAAATTAATAGTACACCAATAAACCCATCGGCGAGTTCGCTACAACTGACAAAGCATACTTTACACACATCATGAATGGAATCCAGGTTGATATCAATCACCTAAAAAAAGGCGAAGTGAACTTAGGAACCTCTATGTAAGTTGAAGTTAGACACCTAAAACTGGAAAGCTTTTATTACTAACTAAATGTAATACAGTATGGCAGTGACGTTCAAAGATGGAGTTATTTTGGGAGCAGATTCACGAACTACAACAGGGGCTTATATTGCCAATAGGGTTACTGATAAGCTGACCAGGGTCCATGATAAGGTTTGGTGTTGCAGATCAGGCTCTGCCGCAGATACACAAGCTGTGGCCGACATTGTGCAATACTACCTCGATCTCTATACAACGCAATTTGGTGAGCCTTCCACAAAAACTGCAGCTTCCATCTTCAAAACACTATGTTATGAGAACAAAGACAACTTGACAGCAGGTATAATTGTGGCCGGGTATGATGATAAGAATAAAGGAGAAGTCTACAGTATACCACTTGGAGGCTCTATACACAAACAGAAGTACGCTATCGCTGGGTCGGGGTCAACTTTCATTTACGGATACTGCGATAAAAACTATAAGGAAGATATGTCCAAAGAAGACACTGTCAATTTTATGAAGAACGCCCTTTCGCAGGCCATCAAGTGGGATGGCTCTTCAGGGGGCGTGATCAGAATGGTGGTGTTAACAGAGAATGGTGCCGAGCGTCTGATCTTTTACCCGGAGGAGTATGAGAACTTGTAGATTATTTAGCTTTCAACGTTCAAAACGACACACGTAACCTTTTACTAAAGTTGTAACCGAGGCGCGTCAGTAGCTCGCGGTCATGTCAACAAAACCAGTCTATTCGTAACTTGATGTTGAAAGGGCCATCAGGATCAATTCTTGTTGGTCAATGCCAAACTTGAGAGAGCTTCTAGCATCTGTACTGCCTGAGCTGACGAACTATGACCTTCTACACCTCAAAGGTCCCTCGAGAGAAGTCAACCCAATATTTCTGACCAGGCGTCATGACGATGATGCGCTAAGTTTGGTGAAGACTCAGCACTTCTTCGTTTTGAGCAGTGGCAACAAGGTCTTCTATGCTCTGGAACTATATGTCTATGTTACTGTCAAGAACTGTGCCGTTACAGAGAAGCTTATTTTCGTCTCGAAAGCCGACACCAATGGTTACTGTGACCATAAGTTATCAGTAAGGGATGTCACTAGGGTTATTTTGGGCTATATAACATCAATCAATCCATTGTGTTATGTCAAAGACATACTAAAGCTTTCGAAACCACAAAGAGACCACTCCAAAGTTGTGACACAGCACACTACTACTCGAAAAGCATTGAAGATATTGATAAACAGATCTCGAGCCTCTACTAAGTATATCCCATCCAATGACATTCTATACCAACATTTTAACCAGGTGTCGCCGAATTGGACTTGCCAAATTTGCCTTTTCACGAGGTCCGAGCCAGAATACTTATTCTCTCAATCCTCACAAAATCCTAGAAAGCACGTTTTGAGCGGAAGTGCGCTGCTGAGCTGGTGGCTGTCTATTATAGATAGTGTCATGATCTCACATTTCGAAAGTGATATCCGGGCCCGACTCCAAATTCCTGGCGAAGAAGACAACGCTACTAGGAAATATTTCCAAAGCTCCAAATTAACGTATTGGCAGGTGGGTGATCTTTTTAATGGCAAATCCAGCGATCTCGCTGTTTTCAACATTCCAGTTTTTCCGGACGACCCAAAGGGTAGATTTCTCGAACAATTAGTAGAGGGAGACAGAGCGCGAAAAGTGCAGCTGAACGAGTTTTGGGCCGAACTACAAATTCAACAGGAATTTAGGCTAGGAGAAACTGTGTCAGTTATCGGGACAGAGGGGAAGCTTAAAAGTTCCGTAGGCAGAGTTATGGCAGCTGACGAGGTTATATCAACGAGCAGCAGAAAATTGTTCAATACGGTTAAGTCATATATTACAGGGGAGGATTACGGTACGGAAGAAGGAGCATTGGAAGCATTCGCCAACTTGAGCGACTTTCTACACCTAAGGTTGGGGACCAAATTGATTCGCATACAGGGCATAAAGCCCATGACATCCCAACCCGTAAATGTGCCGGAACTCAAAGTAGGCAAGCGGTCAGAAATATCGAGGGATACCGTGCGATCACTTGATAGAACTCTAGTGCGCAAACGACAAAAGAAATAGTGTGCTGAATTAGCAGACCAGCTCGGGCAGCAGGCAACTCAAACTCAATCACTAATAACGATCCTCCCATGATTGGCCACATAGACATTATTTCCTCATCCATTTATTATTTATTGTTTTCATAGAAAATAGAAAACACTTTCACACTGATGTGGAGCTACACCTAGCGCAATATTCTCAGTACCATTAGAAGCTTCCGAGATGGCCAGTCTAGAAGATTTGATTCCCACAGTGAACAAACTGCAAGATGTTATGTATGATGCTGGGATTGATACTTTGGATCTGCCGGTGTTAGCTGTCATTGGATCACAATCATCTGGCAAATCATCCATCCTCGAGACACTTGTCGGCAAAGATTTTTTGCCTCGAGGTACTGGAATCGTCACCCGAAGACCTCTTGTTCTTCAACTGAATAATTTGGCCTCTAACTCACCACTGATCAACGAATATGAGGAGGATAGTGAGCGCGACGACATTGTGGAAGACAAGGAGCCAACGTTGGAGGACCATTTGCGCAAAACGCAAGGGTATGAAGCTCAACGCAATGACGAATGGGGTGAGTTTTTGCACTTGCCTGGGCGTCGCTTTTATGATTTTGCTGACATCAGAAATGAAATTCAGAATGAGACGGCTAGAATTGCAGGAAAGAATAAAGGAATCAGCCGCATCCCAATCAACCTTAAAATCTATTCACCACGAGTATTGAACCTTACCTTGGTGGATTTACCGGGTATTACAAAGGTCCCAATTGGAGAACAGCCTGCGGACATTGAAAGACAGATCAAAAATTTAATTCTTGAATATGTGGCAAAGCCAAACTGCATTATATTAGCCGTGTCTCCAGCAAATGTAGATCTGGTGAATTCTGAATCATTAAAGTTAGCGAGGGAAGTGGATCCTCATGGAAAGAGGACGATAGGCGTAGTCACGAAGATGGATCTCATGGACAGCGGAACCAATGCTCTCGATATTCTATCAGGAAAACTATATCCTTTGAAACTTGGCTTCGTCGGTGTGGTCAATAGGTCTCAGCAGGATATTCAAGCCAATAAGAGCGTCGAGGAGGCCTTGAACAACGAAGACGCCTACTTCATTCGCCATCCTGTTTATAGGACGATTTCCACCAGATGTGGCACGAGATATCTAGCCAAGCTTCTGAACCAAATTTTGATGAATCACATCCGTGACAAACTGCCCGATATCAAGGCCAGGCTGAACACCTTGATCGGTCAAACAGAACAAGAGTTGCAAACATACGGTGGAACTGGAATTATTACAAAGGAAAATCGTGCTAGTTTGGTCCTGCAACTGATGAATAAATTTGCTGCCCGTTTCGTTTCTTCCATTGAAGGAACTTCTTCTGACATTAGTACGAAGGAATTATGTGGGGGGGCCAGAATTTACTACATTTATCACAATATTTTTGGAAACTCATTGGAGTCTATTAATCCAACAGAAAACTTATCCACTACAGACATCCAAACCGCTATTCGAAACTCTACGGGTCCACGACCATCGTTGTTTGTTCCAGAATTAGCGTTTGATCTACTAGTTAAACCTCAAATCCACCTCCTTTTGGGACCTTCTGAACGGTGCGTTGAGCTTGTTTATGAGGAACTTATGAAAATTTGCCACAACTGCGGCTCTCCAGAGCTAGCACGCTATCCTAAGCTGCAGTCCAAGCTTATCGAGGTTGTGAGTGAACTATTAAGAGAGAGATTGGGGCCAACGCGCTCTTACGTGGAGAGTTTGATCGACATTCACAGAGCATACATAAATACCAACCATCCTAATTTTCTGAGTGCCACAGACGCGATGGCTGATATCGTCGACGCAAGAAAGCGTAGAAGAACTCGCGGTCCACAAACCATGGATCTTGAGCATGCTAAAAAAGTTCTCAACAATGATGCCTCGAAAAAAGAAGCTAGCAGTTCTTCTCCAGTACCGGAGTCCGAAAATATTGGTGGTAGCGAGAGCTCCTCTGAAGACGACGAAAAGGACCCTTCTAAGCAGTCCAAAGACTCATTTTTAAACTATTTTTTTGGAAAAGAACAGCAAAGATCCCATCAAATGAATGGACTGAAGGATGCTTACAGCATGAGTGCTAACCAGCCACAAACCAATGATCTCCCGGACTTCGAAAATTTTCGCATTCAGGAAGCCTCTCAACCAACTGACGATCACCAGCCACAATTAACTGAAAGAGAAGAACTTGAATGTGAGTTAATTAGAAGACTGATTGTTTCGTACTTTGGAATTGTTAGGGAAATGATCCAAGATCAAATTCCAAAGGCCGTTATGTGCTTGCTCGTGAATTTCTCCAAAGAGATTATACAAAATCGTCTCGTGACCAAACTTTACAAAGAATCTCTTTTCGAGGACCTGCTCATGGAGGATCAAAACTTAGCACAGGATAGACAAAAATGTGTCAAGCTTCTGGAAACGTACACAGAAGCATCAAACATTATCGGGGACATTTTGTAATCGTACATAGTTCTAGCATAAAGTGTCACCCAGTATCATTTGAGAATAAAAAAAACGTCGAAATTCTGCTTACACAACCTAGAAATTTATAATTAAAAATCAAATTGGGAAAATTTAAAAACGTCATCTGATACAATATTTTTGTTTTGTATAAAATTATTTTTAACTAAAATGTATTAAAGTGGTAAATGAACATTATAAGGTTAAAAAAGGAATATAGTAATGTATTAATGTTCCGAATGTATAAAATTGGTTCGACTCCAAGCATCCTAATTTTAATTATTGAGTTACGTATTTGCAGGTTCTGGCAATAAAAAAATGTGCTATGTTACTTTATCAACATGGGTGTCCTCCTTGAGGGTTGATCGACAAAGGGTCGCGGCCAGTATGCGCTGAATACGAACTAGCAAACAATGCAGAATTTTGATTGGCCCCTACTCGCACATTGCGATCTTCGGTGGACGCTAGCGATCTCCCCAAGGATGAGGAGTAGTGATGTTGATTTTTGGTTCTAGGCGATGGTAGGAGTCGATCCTGTTCACTTTCGGGTACTCTCACTTCAGTTTCGTTTACACGCTGCTTGCGGATGAAGACCAACAATGCACACACAAAAACTCCTGATATGACAAGGATTCCGATAAGGGTACCCATGGCAATTGCAATTCCTGGCAGTCTGATTCTGTATTTGTCTTGGTCCAGCCATGACAAAGAAATTGGCCTATCTATCAGAAAGACACAGGAACTATTATTGGAGCTGGAACAACCTTTCTTCAAAATGCGAACTTCTTTGTCGGCACCACCTTGAACCCTTAAGAAATGAGTATTGGCGTTACTTTGTCGGCAGTTGAGTATTGCCCCATGTAAGGTCTCAATTTCATCGCTACAGTGAAACAGGTGTTGAGTAGTATTGGACCAAATGATGTGCAGCCTCAGAAATTCCTCCAATTTTGTTGAATTCAACGTAATTTCTTCCAATAACAACGACTGAGCAGTTGGAACTAGCAATGAGTAGTCTTGACTGCGTTCAAACACCATGCGGAGACTTTCAGAACTTTCCAGGTACGCTTTGAAGTCAAAGGAATTCGTTATGTCTAACAAATTCTGAAGTGTGATTACTAGCGTGTCAGGAAGGTATACGTTACGCAAAGGGTGAACAACACCTTGGTCAAAGAACAGATCAGAGCTTTTATGGAGAATAATTGGATCTCTTATGGTACTCAGGTTGAGTGCCACATGGTCATAATCGGGCCTCTCCCGATAAATGTCAACTGTAATATTTTCTTTGTGAAAGTTGGTAGTTTTTACGTGACTTTCCGTAGAGTCGGTATAAATCAGGTCGCTCAAAATATAGTTTTTCATTATTATATTTAAAGCAGTGACATTATGCTCCAGGTACTCCAGATTAAGATCGTACTGGCTCCATGCATTGAAACATGGGAGCAAAATTGTGTAGCCCTTTCCATTTGGTTGGAGGTCCAATAGATTCAGTTCCCGTAAAAACTTCAATGATGTCGAGCAACCGGAAAATGGGTCAATTGAGGAGACGAGGTCGGCTGGCAATAAAATGTCGTCTTGTAAAAAAAAGATTGTAACATTGGCGACCTGGATCGGATCCTGATCCTTGACGCGATATTTCTTGTTAATGACATGAGTGGTTTTATCGTGATGACCAACTCTTTCGATTTTTAAACGCTGGCACTGGCCTCCTAGCCTTTTGTTGGATGAGCAGAACAATGAATCATACAACCGTACCTGCTTGTCGTCAGAGAAGTCTCGGGTCAAATTAACGCCGTCATCAACGAAGTGATAAAGTAAACTGCTTTTCGAATATCCGAGACTGTCTTTAGTGGAATCGATGGCGAGAAAAAGTGTTAATGGCTTTTCATAACTGCCGTCGATTAGATATGAAAGGTTTCTGATGTAGATCTCCTCTATGAAATGATCCGCTCCCATCCCCAAAAGCATTTTCTCGGCCGTAAAGTGCAAATAATTCGATAGGAAATCAAGATTCGAGAAGATATGAGCAACACCGGTTCGATAGAGAACGTTGCTAGTGGTAGCTAGAGAGTTATTTGCGATAATGGTTGAGCCGTTGTCATGAGATTGAAGCAAAAGTGGGTCTCCGTTGAGATTCAATAGCACTTCCGTCTCGAAGCGCCCCCCTAACGTGGTGTTCATCATGAGTGATTTAAGCAGTGCCCAACGATCTCGTTTTTGCGTTTTCATCAAAGGAAGAGATCTTGGAAGTTGACTTTCTGTGATCAGATATGCAAGCTGGAATTTGTCAAAGATCTCTTCGAAAGCATTGTTATCGGGGATAATGACTGTTTTTCGATCAAACATAGAGTTGTCTTTCAGAGTTGAGGTGACTTCAACGAGCTTGAAAAAGTGACAGAGATAAGCTTCTCTATTAAGCAACTCGCTGAGCAATGGAGAGTCCGGTATTTGAGCTGCAATACTACAAAGCGTTGCATTTTGCATATTTGGCTTCAATGTCTCGGTAAAGACAGGCACTTCATCGATCAACCAGCTGCCATCCCCTTTCACTTCTAACAAGTGGAGTCGACTATCATTGGACATAATAATGTGACGGCCCCAATTGAAGACCATGGGGTCTAGTACAGTATCGTGAAGCAAATAATTGTGTAATTTGAGGGCATCCGTGTGATTCGCATAGGCGGAATTAATTGGTGCAAATAGAGTGAAATTATCTATGCCATTCAAATAATCGACGAATCCGCATTTTTGGACTTTTCTTAGAAACGTAGAGAATTCGACGTTCTGCCAGAGCAGGTCCACGACTGTTGTGAATGGAAACCTCTCATCATTGGTATCCTTCGGCACAGTTCTAGCACAAAGGCAAAGTTGAGAGAAGCATAGCCAGATATATAGCCACAAGAAAACCATGCTGCATTCTGTCTGCCGCTCTAGGTGCGAACCTGTTCTACACTTTCTACATTAGAAATATTAAGGCTTTTGCGTTCCTCTCGTTTATGAGTACATTAGCATGAATGTCTTTAGTGGAAGACAAGACATTGATCATCCCTACTATGATGTGAAGGACGGAATGGCATGATAAAATTATCCTAACACGTAGTACTTGGTAAGTAGGAGATGACTTATTTTCTTCCAAGGTTTAGTTTAGGGACTGCGGATCTGAAATCTGCCCTGTGTGATGTAAAAATGAACTATGGTATGTAAGAGCCCTGGTCGACGTCCACGTTATCGCCATCATGGATGAGTGCATTTAATATTCTAATTTCTCCTCAGTACTTATTACAAATCGATCATGAAATCACTTGAATGAAGAGCATCGAGCAGCGTGAGTCTAACAATTCGTACTCGACCGTTGACGTCGATTGTAATTAGACGACAGCGAAATTGATCTATCTTCTCCGAATATTTTGAGTGGCTTTGCTTTTCAGGTTGATGCCGAGGTAACCCAACAAATGTTCAAAGATTTCATGAGGCACTTCAATATGGGGGGGGTAAATAGGAATCAAGTTGCGGTCGTGGCAAGACGTTTCGGATTCGTTGAGTTTGGTCTTTGTTAGGATGTAATGGGACCAATAGTACCAAGCTGTGTGTAATAGTGCTGGGAAACTCAAAGAAGATAATGCCGAGAAGGTTGCACTTACCGTTTCACGTTTTCATAGAGGCGTGAGTCCGAAAGTGGGAGAAACGCCCACGCTGTAGCGAGAGGAATGCTCACCGGCGATTTCATGGACGTCGTGATCGATTTGTTTAAGTTTAGGAATAATAGGGAAGCAATCTTTTCAGTTTTTAGGAGTGATTACCCGAGCTATATGGTGGACTTTAGTCGTTTACCAAGCGTGATGGGAACCAGGGATGCTTTGTAGCCAAAGTATGCTGAAGTTTTCCAACTCCACAAGCTAACCAATGTTGTCGATACTCGGTAAAGGGTTTCCTCCGATCCTGAATTAAAGGCTCTAGGACATCGAGTAGTATTTCGTGGACTCAGAAGGGCTTTAGCCTGACCCAGTTGTGCAGCACATATTGCGCGTGAAAATATTGTACCTCGAGCCTCAATGCTTAAAATGATACTCGCACTTCTCAGGAAATCTGTAACTAGAGTTGAGAGCTATATCAGCCATATCCTGGACTGTCCCTGAATCCAATCGAGCTCGGAGAGTGTGGTAACAGATAATTCTCGTGTGACTAGCCTATGACTTTTATCCCACGAAATGTAGGCGCCAGCAATAGTAAGATAGGTCAGATGCGTACCAGCATCAAGGGGGAGGGGATGTTTTGGGCATTAAAGTTGGTTTGTGGAGGCCTAAGAATGTGCAAGATATCAAGTTCAAATAGGCTAAGGCACATAACATTGATTGCAATAATAACTTCGATACCATGGTCCTCAGTTGGTATTTCTTGACTCGTTCGTTACATTTGAGTAGAAAACATCATATTGAAACGAGGACTATGGTGCTTCTTTTCAACTCTTTAAAATAATTCTCGGTTGCACTTTTAATACGGAAGCTGATGGCGCACTTATGGCTTATGCACTGGCTCCTGTGCCCTTTTTGGCGATTTTGAAGTAGATTATGAAATACATACAAACAGAACATCAATATATCGAGGCAAAATGCTTACACATGACGATGCTACATGATGTTGACATCAAGCAACCCTGCTTTGAGAGTTCGAGTCACATTGTACGGTCTTATCTCAGCTCCGAGGACTTATATTTAACGAAAAGTTTGACGATACTTGAACAGTAGACGTATTTATATTGCATCTGCTAAATCCGCTGGTTTAGTGGTCAGCGGCCGCTCGATTAAGTCTGGTTCCTGCTCTGAAAACTTCTAAGATGCCATTAGAGGGAGAAAATTCTCTTCTAAAGAAGAGAGACTCTCAAAATGTCCATTACATGTCGATTCCAATTCAAAGAAATGCCGACGACTATTCATCTGAATACCAAGTTCAACCTGGAAGTCACCCCAAGAGACACCTGCTGGACCAACCCATAGGATCTTTCAAGGGAGTCAACTCATTAGGGCGTTTTGCGTCTTCTTTTAGAAGGGCCAACTCGTTCATGAACATTGAGGTTGGGACTGACAAAGAACGAACGTATTTCAAAGACGGACAAGATGCGCTTTTTGACCCACATACTCTTGCACCGGCTTCAGACGGTAGGAGGCTTTCTCTCGCTGTTACTACCCGTGGTGGGGTTTCAGTTAGGCCTTCTGTGGACGAATTCCATATTTCGCCCGCCAATAGGTTGGACGGTAGTGCGCTGTATGATGATGTGGAGAGCCTCTCTGCAATTGTAAGCCCTACATCCTTTGATCAAGGAATTTATCGAAGCCCCACACTGTGCTTCCAGGATCCAACACATGCGGCGGACCCTGATACACCATCCGTCACTCTAAAACAAGTTGAAACCAAAGAAGGTAAAGTTGTCACAATGTTAGCTGGCCAGTCCACTGCCCCCCAAACTGTCTTCAATTCGGTCAACGTTTTGATTGGTATCGGCTTGTTCGCGTTGCCGTTGGGCCTTAGATATGCGGGGTGCATCTTTGGTATTGCCTTGTTAGCGACTTTCGCGGCGGTCACCTTTTGCAGTGCTGAACTTCTATCCCGTTGCCAAGACACGGATCCTACATTAATCTCTTATGGTGATTTGGGGTATGCTACTTTTGGCTCAAAAGGTAGAGCTTTAATCTCATTTCTTTTCACCTTGGACCTGCTGGGTAGTGGTGTTGCCCTATTGATTATTTTTGGTGATTCATTGAACGTGTTGTTCCCCAAATATTCGGTCACTTTCTTCAAAATTATTGCATTTTTCGTTATCACTCCCCAAGCGTTTGTTCCTTTGAGTGTGCTTTCAAATTTGTCCTTATTAGGCATTATATGCACATTAGGAACAGTTGTCTGTATCACATTTTGTGGTCTTGTGAAGAGTACGTCTCCTGGTTCTTTAGTGGATCCCATAGTTCCTCCTTTATGGCCAGAGAATATGACAAACTTCTGCTTGTCTATTGGACTACTCAGTGCTTGTTGGGGTGGGCATGCCGTCTTCCCTAATTTGAAAAGTGACATGAGACATCCCAGAAAGTTCAAGAGTTGCTTGGTTACCACATATTCCATAACGGCAACAGCTGATATCTCGACGGCCGTGATTGGAATTCTCATGTTTGGAATGTCTGTAAAAGATGAAGTCACCAAAAGTCTCTTGTTAACGGAGGGATATCCCCGCTTCATTTACGTGCTAATATCTGTTCTCATGTCATTAATCCCTATTTCTAAGGCACCTTTGTGTGCTCGGCCTGTCACCTCCGTAGTTGATGTCATGACTGGCGTTGGTCCCCTCGAAGATGACTACAACACAGACACGGTATCTCGTTCAAAGCCAATAATTAAAGCTTTCAATAAGCTTGTTGTCAATGTCTTCATGGTTGGCATAAGTATTCTATTCCCTGAATTTGACAAATTCATTGCTTTCCTAGGTGCTGGATTGTGCTTCCTTTTGTGTCTGATTTTACCCTGCTTGTTTTATATGCGCATTTGCTCGGATACTATCAAGCGCTGGGAAAACATAGTATGTGTGGTCACAATTGTCGTTAGCGTGTTCCTCTCTGTTATTGGAGTTGGCGCTGCTATTATTTCATAATTTTTACGGCCATACAGAAGGTATATCGGTTGTCAGAGTGCTCTTTTTTCCTCAAGATGATTTTGAAATTGAGTAGTTGCTTCTAGTCGTGATAAGAATTCTAGCTCGCATGGACATGAAGAGTTCAGTCAAGGCGCAATTGTTTTTTTTTAGTAGGGTGAAAATGCCTTATTCTGATTTATCAAACCATTGCTTTTTGCCCTAGGAGAAAATTCCTTATTCAAGGTAACAATGTATGTACGACATGCACCTCCCTGAAGGACCTCAAGGGTTTACATAGCGCAAAGTGAGCGTTGAGCGCTATACGAGGTGGGTAAACATAGCTTACATACGGATTTATGACAATTTTATTGATGCCCTTGTGAATAAAGAGCTCTTCAAATGTAAGAGAGTGCTTTCTCTGTGTTGAACATTTGTGGGTCCCAACGAATTCAAATCGTGAACCTAATTTAAACAATTTGATCAGGAAGGAAGATTAAGCGTAATGGAAGTAACTAAAAACTGAAACCTTACGCCATCTTTGTGGCGGTTTCTCATATGTTGTGGAACACCTGAACGTTGCTAGTCGAATTTAGTCGTATTTAGTCGTAGCTCACGTTCTTGTAAGGGCTTCATGACGAACTACTAAAGCACCTTTGTCGAAACTTTGTCACTTTATACCTCATGCTAAAGTATAAAAAATTTTGACGCATTGAACAGATCAATTAATGCGATGAGCTGCGTGAGGAGCCTAGCTATACTAACAAGACCTCGATTGACATGAGCTTCGATTTCAGAAAAACGATTTGTGCCAACCCTATTGGCATCATAGATGATGCGCCAAATTTCTCGGTCACTTCCTTATCCTTAGTGAAAGATTATATGGATGATGTTATTCGTAGTCAAAAGAATAGCGAAGTAGAGAAATCCCCATTAGACGAAATTTTTATCGAGGGTCTGGATGCAAATCAGGTCTGGCAGCAGGTTAGACTAGTTTTAGAAAGCAGCGGGTCTAATTTGTTAGCGAAAATCGGATCTTTGCATACAGAAAGTGAAAATTTGAGCGGCAGTGACATTGGGGCCGAAGAGAGTGAACAAGACTATAATACGTTCTCTAATGAAAATGGAGAAGAAGTTCTTGATGAGTTTGAACAAGATGTCCGAGATGATGATGATGAAATTGAAGACGACGATGATGATGTAGAAGTCGAGGATGATGATGAAGAAGTCGAATATGACGATGAGGTTCGCGTGGATTATAATGGTCATGAGGGCCAAGAAAAAGTGGAGCCGGATGGGAGAAGGGATGACACTACTTTGAGAAATGCTGACTTAGATTCATCCAAGATATTTGAAAGAAATGGTGATCAGTTTGGGTTGAACGACGATTTCTTTGACCTTGATACTTTTAACAAGCAAACTGCCGAAGCCGAAAACGAAGTTGATGGAGAGGATTCAATCAACTTTTTTGAAGATGTATCATCTGAAGAGGACGAGGAAGCAGAATACTATGAGGATTTCTTTGATCCTCCCACTTTTTCAAAAGAAGGACATCATTCAAACGAGAATTTTATTGGGAGCAACGACAAAGAACAGTATTCGGATGATGTTAGTGTAAACTCCGATGCTGAATACGACCGCGCTATGGAATCTGCTAAGATGGATCTATTTGCTGATGCTGATGAAGATGCTACTGAACAAAACGACAACGACAACGAGAAACTGTCTACATTCCAACGTCAACAGCTCGACATTCAGAGGCAGATTGCTCAACTTGAAAAGGAAGCCATAGCCGAAAAAAAATGGGCCCTCAAGGGTGAAGTGAAGGCCAACGATAGACCTGATGATGCTTTACTCACGGAGGAAATTGACTTTGAGAGAACCTCCAAGCCTGTACCCGTCATAACCGCGGAGATGACTGAATCTCTCGAAGACATGATACGCAGAAGAGTTCTCCAGAACGAATTTGACGACCTTGCTAGAAGGGTTATGACAAATGCCACCTTTTCGAAAAACAGGCCCCAATTTGAGCTCAGTGATGCGAAATCTACCAAATCTCTTGCAGAGCTCTATGAAGCTGACTACGAAGGCGCTCCACAGGTGGCAGATCTGTCGGAAGAGCTCAAGCACGCTCATGATGAGATTTCAGAGCTCTATAAAGATCTTGTTTACAAGTTGGATGCTCTTTCGTCTGCGCACTTTGTCCCCAAGCCAGCCCAAAAGCAACTTGAGGTGAAAGTCCAAAGTGCGGCCATCAACATGGAAGATTCTCAGCCGCTCACCATGTCCACAGCTCCTACATTGGCGCCCCAGGAAGTTTACAACCCAGGCGCCTCCCGAGGGAACAGTGAAATTTCCTTAAAGAATGGGGTGGTGATGTCGAGAGAGGAGCTATCGAGAGAGGATAAAAATAGACTAAGACGTGCTTTGAAGAGAAAGAGATCCAAACATCTGGCTTCTAAAAAGAGTGGGCCACAGAAAAAGAGCAAGAAGAGTGACGTTATAGATACACTATCACAAGCGAGAAATGTGACGATCATAGACAAGAAGGGTAAGCAGGTGGATGTCAAAGGTAATGTTAAAAAGTTTAGTACGCCAGAAAGTCAAAATTTCAAACTTTAGGAGAACATGGAGTATGAATGAAAGCATCTACAGAAGGACGCTGCAGAATTTTACAATTCGCTAGGAGTATATAAGTACAGCATAAAATTAAACAATTATCTTTGCATGAACGAATTTCAGAAAGGGTTTCTTCTAAATCGACCAAAGCCCACACCGCCAACCCTATACATTGGGTCCCGTCCGTCGTAATAGGTTTACTTGCTTGCACGTTGAATGCACTCTTGGTAATATTAAGCTTGTGAGTGTTTATAGACTAGCCTAAATACATACTTTGCCAGCAAACAACGCTAGGCGCCAAAACCCCTACAAAGTGGAGCTATATAAGAGGATCAGAATTTTGGGCCAGTTGCTCCATTTGAATTTGTCATCAGGATTCTCAAATTAGAGCGCTGCTATCACCCGCCAAAAAGCCGAGTATTTTAGTACCACTCGGCCTGGTGATCAAAGACCTTCGAATCTGGCAACAATTTTACTTGAGAGAATCTCTTGACTTTTCTAGTATGCCCTTTGTTCCCTTCACAACAAGTGGGCTGTAATGTTTTAGCAAGAGAAAGTTTTCCCATATGGTCGCTGCCTCCGCGTTGCTTCTTGATGGCGTTTGAGCTTCTAACTGAAAAGACCCATTTCCAATCCGATCTTCTGTAGAATAAAGACCTCCAACCTCGGGGTATCTGCTCATGAGCTTATCCATAAATTTGAGTACAGCAACACCAGTCTTTTCAGGGGTGTTGGCCATTGCAGTATAGAGTCTTTTGGTGAATGCCGCTGCGCGGACTTTAGAGCCCGATTTGGATCTGAAAAAGACGTAATCCAACGCTCTTAATAAAAGTTCAGCCTTAGTTGAAACATTAACAGAAGGTTTGATAAACTCGCTATTCAAAGGATCGGCCATTCTTAAAGATTTATGAGAGTATTCGAGATCGGCATCGAGCGAAATGTTGGGTATTATCGCGTACAGAGCGTCGACGAATGAAGAGAGATCCATTGTGACTTTCATGGCACTGTGACGCGATACAAGGGAAAACGCTGTGACGATGCAAAGTAAGACCTTACGGGTTTCAGTCGAAGACAAGCTATCTAACTCGCTTGTAGTAATCAGTTCTCTCAAAACTTCCAAAAAATCACCTAGGAGATCAAAATTAGACATGTGGCCAAACTTTGCAAGACCCTCGAGCACCGCACCGATCAGTTGAGAATTATTTTGCCTCAAAATATTCAAGTATAAGGCTAGCGCCAATTTCAGAATTTCTGCCTGATTTCTTTCCCGCTCCTCGGCAAAAACTGTCTGCTGGGCTCTATGCATTTCTTCCTCTACTTTTTTCAGCTCTTTCCTAGCTTTCCTTTGTTTTTTAGAAATGTGAACTCTATCTTTTTTTTTCAGCTTCGGTTTCCGATGCTCATCCGTCTTGGTGTTAGGATCGTAGCCTTGGAGAATTTCCAATGAAAGTAGAATATTTAAAGCTGATTCGTCAACCAGAAAAGACCTGGTTTTGAGGGTTTTTGAAAAGATTCGAACAACATCTAGGGAGATGCTACCTTCGTCGTCCTCACTCAATAAATTCTCCAGAGCCTTTATGATCTTCGTATAGACCGGATCAGCTTTGGGATTGGGTTTGCAGATTCTGCGAATAAGTAACGATAAAACTTCCGTACTGAAGTTAAATCGAGAAGCAGTGGGTAAAAGTTCCACAGCAGCGCTGGCCGCTAGGTTTCCCAGAGCGACCTGTATCGTGTTGCCACTGTTGGGAGTCTTCGCGAGTGTGGCTAGCAACTCTATGTATTCTTTATAGTTGTGAACCAAGACCTCTTCAAAGTTGCGAAGCTTAGCAACCTCTTTTGACACTTTTTCCCTCTTTTCCAAGTCCGAAAGTGGCCTAATTTTGTAACCGGGGATGATGCTTTTGAACACAGGCACAAGCGCCAGCATTGAAAACTTACAGGTATTTGTATTTTTCGACTGAGCCATCTTTCGTAGACGAGTTAGGGATGCAATATGTTCCTCAGAGTCTTCCATTAAATTCTCGACTGCTTCAGCAATTTCTTCTTTCAGCTTTAGAACGCGCTCAGCAGTGTCCACCGTTGCCCCTTCGTCTTCTTCTTCCGGCTCTGGCCCTGATTCTGCCTCGTGCGGTTCTTCACTCTGTGTGCTCTCTTTACTCTGTGTGCTCTCCTTGGCCACTTCGGTTGACTTAGCCGGTCTAGCGTCGATGATTCTTCGTTCTACCTTGCCCTTCACTTTAATAGGTAATCCTTCGACCTGGTCTTCAATATACCCCAACTTCCTCGGTTGCAATTCGTAATCCTGTTCTTGATCATCCCAGGATTTCTTGCTGGGCACTAAGTCCTCTATATTTTCGAAATCTTCGCGTGTGAATAGCCCGCCTTCCAACAATGCATCTTGTTCTTTGCGTCTTTTAACGTTTCTCTCGTGAGCTGCCTTTTGAGATCTTTTCTGTGAGACCATGCTCAATACAAACTTTGAAGAATCCCAAGAGGTTTGTCTATCGGCTTGTATCTCAGCGACTGTTCGAAAGATGAAGTATGATGCGATGAGATGAGCTTTTATGAAATAATATAAAAATTTTTTAATTTCTTACGTTTAGAGCTCAAACGAAATCTGAGTATTCTCCCTTTCGTTGAGAGGATGGCATAACTGCTGAGCTCGGAACCGAAAAGAGGGAAAAAGATTGCGTCGGTAATCTAATTTTGACCCGACAATGGAGCTGAGACTTGTTATGGTTGACCCTCGTCCCTCTGCGAAGTTGAGCAGCGTTACATCAAAAGACAGCAACTGTTACAAACGCCAAAGTCAAGAAGTTCAAGATAAGAAAACGTCACCGGTAATTATACACACATTCAACAATACTGCAGCTCTAAAATCATCTGGTATGGAATGCAGGAGAGCTGGGGGGTCAAGAAACATGGTCACTAAACCCAAAAACGGCATCAAAGGCGAAAGACAACCTCAGTGCATAGGGAAAAAATCGGCGTTTGAGTCGCTACCGCCGGTTCCGAGAGCTAGAAAGGCCAACGGTAACTTTGAAAAGACTTTGACGTTCGTGAGTTCTGTTGTGGGTGACTTCAATCTGGAATATGCAAATGCATGGCAGTCGTCGCTAAATTTTGACGGAAATAAGCCTCAACGACCTTTGTTCCGCATAGCCAATAGAAAGTTTCGAAGGCCGTCTATCAAAAAGGACGGATCTCTGGGAACATCAAATGTAATTGATCCTAATTTCTCTTTTTCATACAACTCACTCAATCTTAGGGAGGGCAAGAATTCAAAGCCGCGGACAACGTCGTTCGACACAAGTCCGCTGTTCAGAGTCAGCTATAATAATCGGTGACATCCGTATCTGAGCCTACTCCTTTCTGCATGAAATCCGTTCGGGAGCTAGCTCCAACCTGCCCTTCCACGTAGCTGATTTTCCTTTTCAGCCACAGGCATTATTTCAGTTTCAGGAAATCGCTGAAGGTGGTTTCAGATTCTCTTTTCAAAGGTTGCCTCTTAAAATTCGTTGAATATTAGCTGGGCATGGATGGCTTGTGGAATATTTACATGAATGCCTCCCCTCCCTAGAGAAAGAGAAGCCTCTGCCTTCCTAGTCTGATATTTACATCTTTTGGTAATCTTGAAAGTCCTCAAGACTAGTCTAAATCGCGGAAATTTGCCATCATAGTTTCAATATGTATTGGAGAGTAATGGCTTTCAATCGCTCCACGAAGTCAGGTTCCTCAATGATGGTTCCATACGCCGAAAAATGACTTTTAATTTGCTTCACGATTGAGGGACCTGAAACTATTTTTTGCGCAGTCGCTGCCTCGAGAATAACGTGGGCAAAATCCCTATCCTTGACTCCGAGGTATGCGACAATGAGTGATTCCGTAAGTAATGCAGCGTCTGTGAAAGAATTCTCTGCTGATGGATTCTGCCTTAGTTGATGGATGTTCTTGTTGAAAATATCTAGAGACTTGTTAATGTCAAAGTTGGAATAAGCCACAACTAGAGCTCTTTTTGTTGACAGAAAAAGCCTTTCCTGAGAAAAGTGAGATGTCATTTTCACGGCGTCTTGGAATTGGTGCTTGTCATTATTTTTTATACTGTTGTAAATTGTTGCCAAAAAAATCTCATACTTTAAAAGCTCATCTGGCTCCTTTATTGCCGCTAAAAAGCGCTCAGCTCTAGAAAGCTGACCTCTGTGGATCCCCAAACAGCGGAGTGTGATGCGACGTAAACTGTTTGTTTCTGTGGAGAGATCGCACAAGCTTGTAACAGCAGCAATGTATTTCTCGAATGTTGCGTCTGTGACCAACTCTGAAGGGGAAGTAATCATAATGGGCCGGTGGCAATGCTTGCTTATTTGCTCTAGATTCCATTGAATCTTGCTATTGGCCTCTATCTCATCCTCTGTCAAGCGTATTAATTTATTCTCGCCAACACACTTGAAGACGCGATTGAACGAGGAGAAGTCCGCCTTGAGAAGCACTTGTGGATGCTTGTGAAATAATTGATAAATTTGGTAGTCTGTGAGGTCAAGCTTGGCCCTTAAGATCTTCGAAGATGGGACGTAGTATTGGACAATATATTCAAGTAAGGTAGAGGCTTTGGCAGCCACGCAGGCCTCGAGAAGTGTTTGCCATGTTGCTTCCGGCACCCCGTTGGCATCCTTAAGACAATTTATGACAAAAAAGCATCTTGAAATGTCGTTGAGGTTTAAGCTGCTTTTCCCGTCAGCAATATCAGCAAGGTCAAAGCTTAAGAGCTTGTCAAGGACTGCCCGTAAAGCTTCCTTTGAATCCTTGACAATTTTATAATTGTTCAGGAAAATTTCCCATGAGCTTTGGACTCTTCCAGGATTACTCCTAATAATTTGAATAAAGCTATTGGGGGTTAATTGGCCGCCAATTTTACTCAGCTCTCTAGCATGTATGGCGCCAACAGCGTGGTCATGCACAGTTAATGACTCAATTATTCGATTATGAATTAAACTGCAACTTTCCAAAGGCACTTTTGTCGATTTCAGTCCACTCAGAATTGTCTTTGAGAAGGTATACGGCGTCAGCTCCTTGGGAAGTAGCTGCTCTTTGTCCAACTGGTGGACTGGTAGACTCTTCATTAGTGAGAGATAAAGCTCTTGCGTATTTCTAGACTTGCTGGTCAAAGATCGCAAGTGAGCCGAGAAATGCCATTTGAGGTTCTTTTTCTGCATGCCCAGCAGCTTTGGCCCTTGAATGGTTCTAGAATTAACTTACCTAACTGTTTGTTAAGATAATTCTCTCTAACTTTTTCTAAAACCATTCTTTCTTCGTATACTTTACAATTACCATCTGGCAGGCGAGAGTAAAAACAACGCGGACACGGAAGCATGTGCACAATTTGGCCAGCGAACTTGGTCAATCCATGTAAATGAGATCATAGACTATCAAAAAAATTGCCTAAGCTATTACCAACTTTCTTTCTGTTTGGTATTGCTTTCAAGTCCCTGTTTTCAATCTTCTGTAAAACCTTGATTGAATGAATAGGAAAGGCACCACAGTAGTGGTCACGCAAGTAAACTAAAGCGTAAGATATTGCAGATACCTCATCTGGCAGCATTGACATCAGAAGCAGATCAATGGCCTTGGTATACGATATTTTCACTAGGTCGTTCAAATAGCAGTCTAAAAATGTCCCTTCTGATAATATAAATAATGTAAAAGTATCGGACTAATGAACTATTTGATGTGACAATCGAAGTGGTCTTCGTCTATCTGTGAGTTGTTAAGGTAAGGGGGGGGGGAGGGGTAAAAAATTCAAAGCTGGGGGCTCAAAAAAGCGCAAAGTGCAAAGTGCAAGTTTGACGAAGTTCTTTAGTGTTTCTTCAACTCAATCTCTTTTCCTAAACGTAAGCGTCTTATCATAAGTAGATAAAAATGAAAGCTTGTCAATTAACATTATATGGACTGCGCAATTTCGAACAAAAGGAAACCCTGTGAAGTCGGGGATTAGCATGGTAACGAATTGCGATTCTGTAGTGCACCTCGGCGAGCTTAGATTGATGATGTTCCTGTTGACAGATGGGCTAATCATCAAAAATTGATTCAAAAATTATCAAGGTGTGCAAAGGAAATACCTCTAACAAGAAATGAGAGCCAGTGGCATGGAGAAGTATAGGTGATCATTCTTGCGCTAGAAGGATAAGCATCAAATGATACTTTGGGCTTGGCAGCAGGCTCATGTGAAAAAGCGCATGAACTGCTGCACACAGTTTTCCTACCATGGTTTTCAAAAACCGAAAGATGTGAAAATGATTACGCTAGCCAGCAGGGAAATCGCATCCAGGAGATGACGCTGATTGCCCGCTCCCTCAAAAGTCACCATATATCGTGTGGAAGTGGCAGAAGAGGTGGATGATAAGTTCTGGGCATCTGTTGAGTTAGAGGAGCCTGACAGTGAAGAACCTGTCCTTGGTGGATGTAGAAGTGGATATTCCGAGGCTGCAATAGTCCCTGCGTAGTTTGAAATTCTTGAATGGGTTGCAATCGTAGTCTTCTCAGGGGTCGCATGAGTTTTGATACTGCCCTTCTTTGAGATGGTAGGTTTTGCTGTAGTGTTCCCTAGGTGTGGAAGTCGGGTTACTGAGCTATGTGGCACACTTCCATTCTCGGTTCGGGCTTCACCTTGAGAGAAATGAAAAGTTTCGCCGCCACTATTGGAATTGGCAATCGAATTCACCCAGACCGAGAATGCTACCGGCTGCGAAGCAGATGTTGCCTCCCACGACAAACTACTATCATTTGGAGGTATAAAGTCCGACGTTGGTATACCAACTCTCGACACAGAGGCGAGAGTGCTCATCTCAAAATAGCTGGAGGATATGTCTGACTTTCTGGAGGTGAGTGAAAGCGTTTGAATTGTTGTGGGGTTCACCGTTTCCGATGGTGCACTGGGAGCTGAATCTAGAGCAGAGCTCATACCAAATGACTTAAATTTAGATGTTGAAGAATTAACACTGGCTTTTTGCTCACATGTGCTACACAGTGGGGTCGTGATTTCTGAAGTCAATATTGTGCTTCGGGAGATTATAGCGCTTGATAGCACAGTCTCGCTAAGCTTACTCTCTGATCTCGCTGACGAAGTGCCCGATAGCAAGAATGATGTTTCTAAACCCAAGCTGAGGGCCGATGCGGAGGTCGAGGTAGAACTGAAAGATCTTTCCTCCCCCGAAGAGGATTTTGAAGTATTAAACCTTTCAGAGAAGAATGTTGTTTCGATTGAGGCGTATGAGGTCCGAAGGCTCACCGAACTGATTGACGTTGAACACGGCATATAGTCACAGAGGGCTGATGTTGACAAAGTAGAGGCGTTTCTTCCGTATTCACTACTCAAGGAGCTTGATGAAAAATATTCTGAAGTTTCCGAACAATTATGGTGAGAGCAATTGATTAACGTTGATGTTGTTTTGGTAGGGGTGGTTCGCAGAGTTGAGTCTGCCGTTGAGTTGGGTAGCAATAAAGAAGTCAAGCTGGTAAGGAAACTTGAAGACTCTGAAGCATCACCCTTGGTTACTGAAGTTGAGTGGCTGGCTGTTGCTGAAGAGCTAGTCAATTTTGACACGCTTGAAGTGCAAGAGCAGGGAGTGTCTACATGGACCGTCATCTCGGTTGCACCGGAGGAAGCAGGTTCTGTAGTAGTGGTTCCGTAGGTCTCTGACCATAGACTTGTAGTTGTGGTGGTTGTTGTCGATTTTGCGATGGTCTGACCGGTGGCAACTGCGGTTCCAGTGAAGGTCCCATCTTTTATGATAAATACCGGGGACTGACTCACTGTCGTAGTATAAGACTTACCATCTTCGGTATTGGTACATGTGTAATCAAATGAAATACTGTGAGCCACAGAGGAGGCAGCTGCATCGAGCTTTTGTAAATTATTGACCCAGACACGATAATCAGGTTTAAGCTTCTCGAAAGAAAGTGATAGCGTAGCCCCATTACAAGTATAGTCGCCTTCAAAATCCTCGTAATCAGTGGGAAAATACCACTCATTGTAATTCTTGGAAAGTTGAACTTGGGCAGTCGCACACTCATAGCCGGTCCCCTTGCCATCGGGATGGTAATCGATTACCTGACTTCCACCCAAAATATAACCATTAGGACATGTAAAGCCTAAGTAGTAGGATTCCATCGTTCCATAGGTGGTTGTGTGACCTTCGTAGTAATATTCTTCAAAATCAGAAGCAGGGTCAAATCTCGTAGACGCACTCATCCCATCTCCGAAATCAATAGTTTTCAGGCCCGAATCAAAATAGTTGGCATTCTTCAGTTCGTACTGATAGGCTGAGCCACCGTTGCTGAAAACAATACCTATCGCAAGAGTTCCTGTCAAAGATGAAAAAGAAGACAGACTCTTCATGGCATCGCATCTAAGGGCTGAGCTTTCGAATTTGTAGGCAGCTTGTTGGGTAGCGTAACATCTGAAAAGTCGATTGCCATCATTGGTTGAAATATATTGGTAGTCAGTACCATCTGAAAATTTGATGCGGTATACGTGAGGCAGATTAAGCAAGAAATAGTCCTCTTGTGAAATGGTAGCGGGATTGCTCAGTTCAAAATCAAAGGTAAGTTTCCAGATTTTGTGCGGAAGTTTTTGGTTACTCAGTGCTTCAAGGGATAAATCATTAAAGGCTATCTGGGAGATTTGAGCTCCCAAAACACAACTGATCATTGACATGAGTGTTAGCACCATGGTGGTAAGGAGAGAGATACAAAAAAGGACCATAATCAGTAGAACATATACGTGTCTTTTATCGAAACCAAAAACTTTTGTTCATAAAACAAGTTCGATACACACTGATTTTATAGGTCGCTAGGATAGAGCCGCCTGGAATCTTTGAGGTTCCCAAAACCACCATTTTTGTGTTTGCATGGGAGGCTTGAACGGAACATGTTTCGAAACCATATTTATCATCCATCCACCTTCACCAATCAGTAGTTTGGACAGTACTCAGATGCCAAACTTGGAACAATTAATTGCATTGCATACTTGCCCTAAATGATCCAATATCAAAGCATAACAAGAGCATCAAGAAGCACAGTCATTTGCCTTGCTTGCTTCAGTTCAAACACATTCAAAGCCAAAACCGGCAAAAGTTGGCAGTGGTAAACTCAAACACCCTGTTTACTGCAATGGGATGTGTTTTGTTGTGGAGAAAACAGTTTCCCCTTACAGGTGTCAATAAAAAACAAGCTCAGATAGTAAACATGCTGAAAAGCCTCAAGTGAACGAGGTAGGACATCTGCTGTGCGCTAATGGTAGACCTAAGAGAGATGCCACCTTGGCCACCTTCAGGTACAGGTATAGGTTAGCTTGTTTAAATTATCTTCAGAAACACTTACATTTAAGTGTAAGGACAAGGTGGGCTCAACCTAATTTTTTCTCGGTATGAAAAATTTGGAATCGGAGGGCCAAACGTTCTTTGACTTCCTCCCAGCCAAGCCAGCTTGATCTTTTAGCCATTACACAGATTTTTAAAATGCACAATTCGAACCCGCTCCATGACACAACAATAGCGAGTGAAGTTTTTAAAAACAAGCCCTGTAGGGGGCTCGAACCCCTAACCTTATGATTAAGAGTCATACGCGCTACCGATTGCGCCAACAAGGCTGCTCTCCTTGGCTGATTTAAACAAACTCTTTTGTATCCGCTCCTAATAATCATGTGCTCAATGTAATGACCGTGAAAGGAATGCTGTTTACTTAACTTGATCAGTAAGTGATCTCATGTGAATTTAATGTTTTAAATTAACAAGAGACATTAATTACTGTTCGATCTCCCAAACGCTAGCTTATCAACACAATAAGTTCTGGTAGGTTAGCTCTCAAAACGTAGTCAAAACATATTAGTCTTAGAATTACAGATATACAACTGGATAAATAAGGTTTCGTAGGAGCCAAACTTTCTTTGCTCAACTATACACCATCCCTGAACGCGATAGAAGCGATGTACCACTTTTTGGTGGCCACTCTGATTCTTTTACCCCAAATGTACATGGGAACGGCAAGAAGAGTGATACCAAAATTGATGACTGCTAGCGCGATGTACGTATTTTCAGTTCCTGACGCGTCTAACCAATATGAGCAGACAAATGTGAAAATGCATGACGTCGTGTTATTAATGATGGCAGTGCACACCATACCTTCCAGAACCATATCGGGATAGCAGTCCATCAAATATGCCATTGCGATATCTCCGGAGCAGCCCCAGCTAAATCCAATAAAGCCAAGACCAACGTAAACTACTTGCCAAGGCAACGCACGGGCCGAGCCAATTCCGAACATCAATAGACCGGCAGGGCCGATGATAGCAGTTGCAAAAGAGAAGTACAACCGGTATTCTGCCTCCAAGATCCCATTGTTTCTGCGGGCCATCCAAAGCACAAAATAGTCGCTGATGATACCGGCGTAAATACACCCTATAACGGCACCGATCAGGGTTGGGACATTCATAATAGCGACAGCATAATCACCATAGTTCCAAGGGGGATCGTAGTAGAGCGTGTCCTCGGTGGTCAGATAGAAACTTAGAAAAACGTCTTGAATACCCCAAAAAAAACCAGACAACCAGACTGGAGGAAACAAAAACATTCTCATGTTCAAACCAAGATACTGAAAGTACTGCTTAAATCCCCACCCGCGCAAATTGGTTGCCTTCGTGATAATAGCCATTCTCTTATGCCAAGGTTTCATTTTCTCTTCCGATCCATCTAGCAGTTTAAAATCCTCCACGGAGGCATTCATGCTGCTGTGGTTGACCTCGGCCACCTTGTCAACTTTGTGTGTTGATAAATCTTGCTTTTCATGTGGAGGATCGGAATCATCGCTATTTTCGCTGTTACCTGAATTCTGATGGGTTTGAGTCTCGTAGTTACCCCGGTGGTCTGAGTTTTTGTTGGAAACCGGTGTCACATATCTGTTGCGGTCGAAGTATGTTTCCTCACAACCGAAAATTATAACTACCAATAAGGCACCGGAGATAATAGCAGCCGACCAGCCCACCCAGCGGAAACTTGCTAGAGAGGATATGTAACCTGCTATCAAAGGGCCCAGAAAGGTCCCCACACTGGTGGCCAAGATATAGACCGTTAGAACAGACCCCAACTGATGTTGAAAGTAAATATCACTCAGAGAAAGTTGAACTTGGGCCTCGGCACATGACTCACTGATTCCAACTAGAAGCTGTGACCAAATAGTATCACTGGTTTTGCTTGCACACGCAAACCAAATTGCACCTCCCAGACCTAGAACTGTACAAATGATGTAGGTAATCTTACGCCCGTACAAGTTGGCGAAAGGGGCTAAAAACAACGTCCCCCAACCAATACCCAAAAACAGAACGCCTGCACCAGTGTTCATTGCATCGTAAGAGATACCGTATATCTCGTTCAGCGAGTCTTGGGCCGCACCAGCATCGTTACTAGTTGCCGCAGTAAAAGCAGTTATGAAGGCCATCAAAGCAAAGTGAGAAAACTTACGCAGTTTGGACCAGTTGAGAGGATCGTTGGGCGATTCGGACGGTTGCGGGATCAAAACTACACCGTCTTCGGTCTTCCGCAACGTAGAGTCGTAAATGACACCATTTTCCAGGCTTTTGGACGAGTAAATGTTGAAAGTACCCGGCACATAGTCAGGATGATGGATATTAGTGTACCTGTCCATCGAGAGATTACACTTACGGATAAATGGATGAGCTTGAGCGCAAAAAACTTTCTCAGGTGGTATCCAGTTCGCTGTTTAACAACAAGCTCGTCGTTGGAATGAGGACGAGGCGAACCACTTGAAATAGTATATCAGCCCTGATGGTATATCAAGAACCCAGTTCTTTTTAATAAGTCCTGTTCGGCTATCTTATCGTATTTCTAGGTTCAGTTTAACTTCATCGCTTGTATTATCAAAATTTTTTTTAGATAGCGCTCGAAAAAGTTCCGTGCTTGGCAAAATAATGTAGACGCGGCAAGCGCCCGAAGTCCTCACGGAGTGATACCTGAATTTTTGATGAATGTTTTCTCGATTTGTTTGCCGTGTGATTGAGCTGGTTGTGTATCTATCACATAAAAGTTCCTTACGTAAAGCAGATTTCCGTGCTCTTATTACATGTGTCACTAAAAAATGAAAACTAAGGGCCGTGAAATTCGCTCTGAAGCGGCAGTATCAAGCTGAAGTTTTGAAGTCCTAGCGTCCAGCATTAGGAGTGCGGTATGAAAATTTAGCGGGGTTTTGTTGGTTAAAATTAAATGTCTGGTTGGGATTCACAACCAGGACAATTGTGAAGTGTTTCATGTATAAAAACATCACAATCGATGCAAAAATGGTGACCACAGTCAACGCAATTATACCGAGAGCTGGTAAGAAGTTCTTGTGTCTTCTGATTTTTGAGTCTCGGAAATTTCTTTTGGCAACTGTAGCAGTGCGCAGTGGGAAATATTTCTGAGACTTCGACCTCCTGAAAGGTCTTTAGAGGCATCAGATGGTGGTATGAGCGCGCAAGGTGTGTCGACAAGATAAGCATCAAGTCGCAACAAGGGCAAACTGTGGGTAAAGAACATACCTTACTTTTGCAATTAGGGCAAATGTAACCACCAAAGATCAACTTCGAATGACACACACAGAAAGATGGCGTTTCTTCGTAGACTCTTGTTGGAAAACCCATTTTAACAAGAGTAAAACCTTTGTTGATCTTATTGATTGGAAGGGGTGTTACAGCCTCTGCAAACAGATCCTTGAAATGCACTTCGTTGAGAATAACACCGTAGTAAGAATTATCACCGTAGTTTGTCTGCCTACAAAGCTCCTTGCAAATTGCCACCTGTGCAGAGAGTCCTATTACTCGTACTCGGATCCGTTCCTGCGCTAGTGATCCTATCGTCTGATGAATGTCTCCTGGATCAGTGCTCGAGAGCGACCCAAAGACGATGAGCACCTCACGAGTGCAGTGCGCAGGCACATGCAAGAGCAATCCGCGCGCCATTTCCAGCGCATTTTGTAAGGAGCAATTTCCAGCAGGTTCTTGCTTACGGATCGCCTTCAGAGCATCGATGTGGTCTTGAGGGTTTCCGCTGACTTGGCTAACTAATTGGGCCAAATCGTTTCTCATGCATACGATGCCCATCTGAGATATCGGGTTTTGATCAAAAAATTCATGAACAAAACTGAGCGCGTATTGAATGGTCATGGCATATCGGTTTGGCCTCAGGTCTTTCTCCATCATGGCATCACTGCAGTCAACGACCAATACCATTGTTCTGATAATTCCTCGCTGGAAAGGTGTCAAACTATTGTTACTTGCACGTTTCTTACGCGCTTCAATTATGCTCGACACCAAGGCAGCCATGTTCCCTTCATCATCAACTTTAACTAAGTCCCAACTTCTTTGAATATCTTCCTCCCAAGCGTATCCTCCATTTGCCCCTTGAAGGTTTTTATTGGTAAGCTTCTTCTTTCTCTTGCTGCTGGACGGATGCGATTCACCTTCATCCTCGCTTGACAAATTCGCATCCTCCTCGCTCCTAGAGTTTCCATCATCGTTGTAGTCGTCTTCTATGCGGACATGCTTTTTGACCTTTCCATCACTAGTCCTCGTGGGATTCTTAGATCTCTTCAGTGGGCCCTCATCCGAATCTGAGTCAATGATAGGAGGCATGGGTGACGCTTCTGTAGTCCTGAGCTTTTGTCGAAGGATCGGTCGGCGTAATTTTTGTTATGGATTATCGGACAGCTTACAGGAAAAAGTTAATTAAAAGAGTGCCGATCCGAAGTACAGTAGAGCCATATCAACCATAATCAATGCAGATTTGAAATGCACGGTCGCCAAACTTTGATTTGAGATCTGCAAACAAAGGCTCAATAGTATTTGTAGGAGCTCGGATACGGATTCAAGCTTGTCGTAACCAATTTGATGGTTGCCAACAAAATCATTCCGCAAAGGCGGTAATTATAACTATTATGCGTCGTCTAATGACCTCACTTGAACAGCTCTTTTTGGATTTCTTCTTTAATTTAGTGCTTAGCGTTGGAACGAACATGAACAAGGATGGAAACCAAAACTACATTAGCCCTTTACCTCAATTACGAACCAAATGCTAGGACGTCATGAGTCTGTTCTTCATAAGTCTTTTGTACTTCTCCTTTTGACTGTCAGAAAAGTCGTGGAAGCCACCTGCTTATACTCAGCCTGCGATGCTGGTGTAAGCCTCAAGAAGCTAAGTAGCCACAATTCGAACTATGTTACAAGCGTGAGAACCACTGCTAAATTCTTGATTGCGATTTACCCAAACCATAAACCAATTGAGTACCGAAGGGTACTTTCTTCGTATACAATAAGTGAATGCCAACTTTCAGTTACAGTGAGCTTCAAACGTCAGCGAAATATAGTCAACCATAGGCTGAAAGCATCGACAATGTATTCTCGCGAAAAATAAAAGCCTCACGAAATATGGAAGGGTCATGTACACTTTTTGGAGTAAATTTCCCCATGGCACGCAAGTTAGATTACAAAGCCAACTTGATATAAACTTGAAGGACTTAAATTTATAGGTGTTCGAGTTTTGACCGCCTCCCATAGCAGCATACCCAACTCGTTGCATAGCTCTATAATGGCCTTACTCTTACTAATGCTATTCAAGGTATAATGAACTAATTAAATTCAGTCTACAGAGACTCCAATTCCTGATATCAATACAGTTTCCGATCATCTAGAAGCCACCATAGTTAGTTGCGTTTTAACATCCCATTTGTTGATACGTAGAGGTAAGACAGCGGGTATCAAGCACTACAGCATACCCACATCGCGCGGGAGATCACATCAGCCCGAAGTGATATGACGGCTGGATTCCGCCATCCACCCTCCACTGGTAGGAGATCTGTACCACCTTGATAACAACAGCTTCAAAGTTTGTACTCCAGTGAGCACCAGAAGCCGTACGCAAATTAACCTATGTTCGAGAGTACGTCTTGCCGTGGCACATAATGATCCCAACATGTTTCTTTAAGGAGAGGTCGAGCTCATCGCTGTTCATAGCACGCTGACGAGTTCATACTGGCCTATAGTATTGACAGAGTCAGATAATTTTCGAAGCTTTCCGCAGGTACTAGGATAGTCTTCAGCTCATTTTAATAGCGGGAAGAGTTTAGATTGAATTCTACTACAGAAAGTATCATACGTTACCACTGTGTCGTGGCTCTCTGTTGTCTTAATCTTACTCAACTCAAAAAATATTCAGAACATTTTTTCAGTCAAGAAACACCAAGAGCACCTTTTAGGAATCTGTTGCGAAACTCTCGTCTTCGATTTTGTGTCATCTTGCCTGTGCTACCCTGCATAATTACATAATGTTCATTTTATGCCGGGTATCGCTAAAAAGGCAATTGGATTTCCTCATTGGGCTCAACTCGATGGGAAAACCATGTGCAAAGATAAATTCCAAAACTTAGCTGCTCAAGAATCTTCCATCCATTGTTTTTTCAAATGCTTAAGAAACGGCCAATGTCAGTTCTGATCTCACCATTTACTAGACATTCCTTCTGACAGCTCTTCTCTTTTTACACTTTTAAGACATACTGTGACTTTCTCAAAATTCGCATCAAGCCTGTTTCGGTCGAGAAGTTTTTTTGCCCCCCATTGTTGTACTGAGGCCAATTTTTCTAAGCTGCTAATGATTTCCCAACATTAGGAAGATGATCAGACCAGAGGGAGTTCTGCAAATAAACTGGTGCGAAGATAATGGTTTAAAAAACATGAAAGCTGGCATATAAGTAGCTAAAGATGTAGCAGTCATGTCCATACGCTTGCAGAAAGATCTTCATCTGTCTAAAATATATTTCCAAAGAGGCGCGCGAGTCATGTCATCGTCCATCGAATCCATCAGTAAGGACCCGAAAGTGATCTCTGTTGAAGGTGGTGAAATTTCCAGTGACGCGGATGTGGATGTTGCTCTTAAATACTTGAAGAAAGTGCATGCCGAGGACGTGGCTGCCAGCGAGAGGCCAGGTGAAGATGAAGTCTTGACGAACGAGAAACTGGCGTACTATGGTTCCCACGATCTCGACCCTCGTATTCTGCGCAAAGTAGACTGCTACATCCTTCCATTTCTGTGCTGTACTTATCTCTTTATGTTTCTGGATAAAGCTTTACTCAATTACGCTGCCGCAATGGGTATCAAGCAGCACCTGAAAGGTAATGAGTTTTCGGACCTCGGTACCATCTTTTCGGCTGCTTACATATTTGCAGAGCCGTTTGTTACTTACTGTATTCAGCGCTGGCCGATCTCCAAAGTAATGGGGACTTTCATCACGCTGTGGGGAGTCGTTTTAGCGTGCCATGCGGCCTGCAAATCTTATGCTTCTTTAATGATTGTCAGAGTACTGCTTGGTATGTTTGAATCCAGTAGTGCGGTTGGCTGCATCGCTATAAGTGGGATGTACTACACTAAATCTGAACAGTCAGCAAGAATAGGATTTTGGGCCACTCAAGCGGGAACCGGTTACATCGTAGGAGGCTTGATTTCTTTTGGATTTCTTCACTATCGCGGTACCACATTCGCTTCGTGGCAAATCATGTTTTTAGTGGTGGGGTTGGTAACAGTGCTTTTTGGTGTTGTTACGTATCTATATCTTCCCGACAACGTCACGAACGCTTGGTTCTTGGACGAGTCGGAGAAGGTGGAGGTTCTTCGTCACATAAAAGCCAACCAAACAGGTCATGAAAACAAAAAGTTCAAGAAACATCAACTAAAAGAGCTTTTCTTGCACGATAAGCTTACATACCCTATGCTTCTCATCACCGCCTGCTCTCAAATTTCCACTGGGGCCATTGGAACTTTTTCCGTAACTATCACTGGAACATTTGGGTTTGATAAATACCAGTCTGCTTTGTTACAATTACCTATTGGTGCAATCACAGCCATTATCATTCTGATCACTACCCAAATGCTCTCGCATTTCGGCAACTTCACCTTGATTACCACATCCATGTACATACCCGCCATAATTGGATGCATCGTGATGCTCACCCTACCGCTATCTCACAAAATCGGCAACCTATTTGCTCTTTATTTGCTATACAGTGGGTCTTGTGTGATCACAAACATTTACATTTGGAATTCTTGCAATACTTCTGGATATTCGAAGAGAGTCTTTAGAAACGCCACTACCATGGTCGTTTACAGTGTTGCCTGTATCGTTGCTCCACAGATGTTCAGAGCTAGCTCATACCCAGAGTATACTCCTGCCAAGATCACGCTGCTTGTCACTCAATGCGTATGTGTACCTTTACAACTCTACGTTGGCTACCTATGCCGCAAGGAAAATAGAGCGAGAAACAAAGAGCAAGAAGGTGAAGACAAGATCGCATATCAGTTTTTGGATTTGACTGATATCGAAAACAGGAGCTTTAGATATCTTTATTGAAAGTTCTGTGTACTATGTTTACCGATGTAATAAATAAATAATATACGAAATTTTACGCATGCGATGAGCTTGAAAACTTTACCGAACCTGTAAAATAGAAGACATATTACTATAATATAATGTCAGGAGATGACTTGGACGATGGATTGGATTACGAACTGCAGGTAAGCGATTCTGAGAGCTTGCCTGAAAGTACAGAACTTACCGACAATGAAGTGGAAACTGAATCATCTAAAAGAACACGCACCAGCAGCCAACTAGACCACGTTGAGCCAGACCAAATAGTGAGCAAACGCCAGAAGAAACTTGCGAAATCCAAAGTGCACCAAAAGAAGTTGGAGAAAGTTGAGGACGACAAGAACCAGAAGAAGGCCCTTCCAAAGTCAAGCCCAGAGCGCATCGCAGATTACCTTGCAACCTTGATCCGACAGAAATTTCCCGACTTGAGCGCACTTGAGCTCGAGGAGCATTACTTTAAAAGGACAGACTTTATTTCTACTGAAGCTTATGAGAAGGAGAGAAATTTACACAATTTTCAAGAGTTTGTCAACAAATTTTCGAAATCTCCTAGAGCTGTGATACTTTCGCCTTCCAATATCAGAGTTGCCGATGTCTTCAGGAGTCTTGGAGGCTCTCAAAGTGCGGTTAAATTGTTTACAAAATCTAAATTGAAGGACGATGTTGCGAGGGTCGACCTACTATTGAAGAGTCCAAAACCGAAGGGTGTCAAAACCAAAAAGGCACAGAAAGATAAGAAGGGGGCGCTGGTCAAATATTTCATCTCAACACCGACCAGATTAGAGAAAATAGCAAGCTCGACGGATTCCTTTTTCGAAGGAAAAGACAAACTTGACATTTTTCTAGATGCAAGCTACTTGGATCCTAAAGCGAACACGCTATTCACGAGTGAGGACTCCGGCGCCCTTTTTGCGGTCCTAAAGGAATTCTTGAATAAGAAAAGCTCTGTAAAAATACTATTATTTTAAATACCATATAGATGTAATGCGTCGTGAAACGCTCAGGGCGCCGTCCTAAGGAAAAGGCCTTCGAATAGAAAGCCTCCTAGCCAATAACGAGGGCTTTCTGGACAAGCTGAGTGCGGGACTGCTGCTCTTTCTCTTACTCTTCAATTGATTTATGGTTTCGGCAGGTCTATCATAATCGTTCATTTTTTTTACGGGGGAGCTTGAGTCTCTACGGTTCAATGACTGGTGAATTAATCCTGTCGAAGCAGGAGAGTTCGTCAGAGAGCTGTCGCTGATAATGTCTAATTTTTCTCGGTGACAGTTGAAGGCGGCAGTTCTCGCCAAGCGTCGGGTCTTGTTCAGTCTAAATACCTGTGCCACTGGCTTCAAATATATCGAGGCTATCGTCCCTATATTCAGCTCTAATTCTTCAACAATTTGAGGATCTAGACTCGAATTGAGAGCAATGGCAGGTAGGGTACCATCGATAATCTCTCGGATTGCTTCCATGTCTATCGAGCTCCTTTGCTGCTGTTGAGAGATAGACAGAAGCCTCCAGTACATGAAAGCCCTATCTCGCAAATCAGGGCTGTCGAGCTTTTCAGTTGAAGCTTTTAGAACATCAATACAGATTTTCTCTGTAGCTGGCATTGGAATTTTGGTGAAAAGTTTGACCACAGAGCTTAGTATAATAAACTGAACTTCCAGGGCTTCATCTGGAAAGCTGTCCGTGAAGTTCTTGATCAGTTCAAGATAATTGGGCAGATGTTCCAAATATTGGTTTATTATCCATATCATTGCGCCTCTTGATTCGGGCTCCTGTAGCGAATCAATGAAGCAAACCAGTTTAGAAACACAATGTGCATATTTTCCCGGATACCTTCTAAGAACGTTTTTGAAAACAGAAACAATTTCTTGAATAATGTATTCAACCTCAAAATCTAAAAGGTCAAGCAGTAGGCTAACACAATCGTCTGCCGACTGTTCAAGCTTGACAGCAAGATTCCCTACGGCCCTGATCGCCTTCCGAGACATTTGTATATCTATATCGGTGGCGTACTCCTTTAATTCTTGTAAAATTTGGGGAAGGTTGTCGTCTTTGGCCAACAAGTAAAGAACTTCTAACTTGGTGTCCTTGATGTAGATGGGGTCAGCAAACTCGACAAAAAAGTACGAGACGTCTACATTAATAATCGGTTTCTCCCTACCTAGCAGTAGCAAAATAATATTCCGTAGTACCAAAAATTCAAGCTCGGGTGGCTTGTTGAGCAAGGACATAACTGACCCTGAAAGTTGTTTAATGAGCCCATCTTTTAGAAAATCGACGTAATTCGTCAAATAGATAACAAATTTGAATGCGTTCAAAACAACCGAAGTATTAACGTGCTGTAACTGGGGAAGGGTCTTTTCTATTAAAAGGTGAGCATCCGAGTGGGCGACAGGTAAATAATTTCCGGTAAGACAATCTAAAAGTCGCGCGCTATCCCATTCATTTAGTTGAGGCAATAGCTCCAACAATTCGATGCACGTTTCAATCGATAGAAAAGATGAGTGAGGGTCCGCGTTTCTCTCCTGGGCCTGGTCCAGGGCGTACAGGGCGTTCGCACGAACGCTAGGACGCTCCTTGTAATTGTTCAAAATTTGAAAAAATAATTGTGTTACCATGAAGGCATTCTTACTATCCATCTGTATGACATTGAGCACAGCATAGATAGCGGTTTTCTTCAATTGTTCTGATTCTGAGTTTGAATGCAGTAACGCGTAGGAAGACTTGAGACATTCGTCAAGATACGAAGTTATGGGAACCGAAGACAGCGTTCGAAGTGCCAGCACTTGAAGAGGCTCGGATCCCGATTTAAAGTCGCCTATAATCAATGGCAATGCCTCTTCGAGGTGTGACGATTTTGTAGCGGCCATTGCAGCAACAAAATTGTGGCATATTCGCTTTACCTCGAAATCATCTTCGATTGGCCAAAATTGCAGTATCTCTGGGAATAGAAGAGCCATCTCCGAGGAGTATCCCAAGGTGATGTTGGCTACGATCTTTTTCAATGCGTTCTTTCGCTTAGTGGCAGAAGCTCGATGTTTTTTTGAATGGCTCTGCTGAAGTTCATTTCGAATCTCGTACGCTCTATACTTTGAAAATATTCGTTGATCGGACATTGAGTCGTCCAGTATAACAGAGCCCTTTCTGAAGGCCTTCAACGTGCACGTTTATGTCAAACCGTTAACGATTTGGTATTACTACCTAGGAATTATACTCAAGGCCGGAACGTGAGCAGTGATAGACGAGCCAGAGATTGGCCAATGGAACAAAACATTACGTTGACTACGTTATGGATGGATTTAGCTCTCCCTACCGACTAGTTTAATGATACGATTCTTACTCTAAACTGCTCCTTTGAATATCGTGATGTACTTTCTCGAAAACTTATATCTAGTTGTATGTATAGAGCGATGTTATTACTGCTTAAACTGTGAATTGGTCGCTCAGTTTAGAAGGCACTTGAGGGGCAGCGGCCCTCTGTACAGACAGCGGTGAATTTCCGGAAACTTGAGCTGATGTTCCATCTTTTTCTGCCAATAATTTCTCATGGCCCTCTTTCCACTCGTTGAAATCGATGAGAGCTTGCATGCATCCCCATTCAGTGATCTTTCGAGTTAGCCAGTCCAGGTTCACGGGTTTAGTAAGATAATCGTTGCAACCGGCCAATATGGCCTCGGCTTTGTCTGTTACTGAGTTTGAAGCCGTAAGAGCCACAATAATCACCGGCGCCTTTCTTCGGCGAATGCTGAAAGGCTCTATAGGTATATCTCTTTGCAATCCATCTACAACAACGCGCCCGGATTCAAGAGCATGTGGACTAGCTCCATTCTGTTTTTCGAGCAATCGAATCTCTTTAGCTGCTTCTATTCCGGATAGAAGCGGTAACCCTAAATCCATCAAAATCAAATGAATGCCCCCTTCTTTCCACTTTTCCACCGCCTCGACACCATTTTTGGCGGCCTTATAAGATATTTTATGCTTGCGCAGGAACGATAACAGTATCGTTTGGTTGATCATGTTATCCTCAACCACCAAGACGTTAAGTTTAGGAAACACTTTTTCTCTGGTAATAGCTTCAGTTGTAACTGGCTCCATTGCGAGATGGAACGGTGATGCTTCTCTTTGAACGATTGGGTCCCGCGACAGTACCACCCCGATTTCTCCCTCAACAAGTGCGGAATGTGGAGGCACAGAGGTTGGGAGTAATGAAGGCACGTTACTGCTGGTTGTCAGCGTTGGCGATGTCACATTTGGGGACGGTAAATTGACGTCACCTTCGAAGCCACGCGGCAACAGAAGTATCGCCTGTTTATGCTCCGCATTTTCTTCGTCATTAGTTAAGCTCAATTTTCGCAGTTGCTCTTCATCTACTATCAGTTTGTAATCCGCTAATTCTTCCATGAAAGGTATTGGTTCCTCCACCTGCTGATCAATAGGATCATCTAGTTGGTCATCAACGTCGTTAAAAACAGCGATGTCATCTGTGTGTGAGAACACAATCAGAGCTTCAGCAGCTTTCTGTGTGCTGGTCCCGCCAAAAAGTACCTTGCACACGTCTATCACCATTTCATCTGGTGAGAGTAGCGATTGGTGTACCTGTGGCCGGGGTAAATCGTCCTGGCTAGGCTCTATAAGGATGGGGCCTGAGTTGAGGTTACACGAAAATCTCCGGGAAACGCCGAGTCTAACAGGAGAAAAAGAGCACGGCTCCGTAAGATGAGACTCTTTGTTAATTGCTCGCAGTGGTGCCATCGGAGTTGAACTAGACGTGCATCCAACAGTATTGCGAGCGCGGGGCGGCAGCGGAGAATCCACGTTGGATGATTTCGGGCTACATTCTCTCGAGGCTTGCCAGGATTTCGCCCCATGATCAATGTCCATCGGTATCGACTTCGCTGGCATAGGATGTAACAGCTGGTCTCTTGTCAGCTCCAGCCTGGCCGTGTCTTTTATGGGTTGCTGGTCCCCGAGAGGTTTACTCCCCATCCCACAGTTACACAAGCAGCCAATGGCTATCCCAAAATTATCATTTTCCATGGCCCATCGGGTACTACTGAACTTAGCAAAAATGCGATCCTTCAAGTCGTCAATCGTATCTGTCTTGACGTATTCTATTGCTGTAGCCTGACCTGTCATATTAGGCGATGAACTCGACGCTTCCAGGCGTACCCAAACCTTTAAAACACCTTCATTCGTACTTACCAGCCCCTTTAGGTTCGATGGACTCGCAACAGAGTTCCTGAACCCGGAGTACGTGCTCATGGGGGTTTGTTCCTTTTAAGTTGCAGTGAATTCTTACAGTTTATAGGTTGTCGAAATTTCCCATATTTGATATCATCACTTTACATAGTCAGAATATATAAAAACTCGTCCGCTCCACAACAATGGAAGGGGACCCCCCTGAGGTGTCAAAAAATTGCAAAGTATTGAGTGAGGATGATAAGAATAAGTACTTGCTACAATATCTCCTTTTACATCGAGGATCTTGCGAAGAGTATCAGCTTTTAGAGGCGCTGAAAACGTTAGATGATTCCAATGATTCTGGAGTGGAAAGCTGGGAAGTGAACCTCAAAAATCGGATAACGAATATTAACATTAGTTTGAGACGGTTAGACTACAAAGTCATCAGACAAATGGGCCGTCTTGGGGCTTGGAGTTACGTATACGTGGATTTAGCTCCAGGTGACGATACGAAACTTGCTACTGCTTTCAAACCAGATGATCTCAAGTTCGTGCAATGGGCCATTAACAAGTTTTTGGGCGAAGATACTGAACCACAGGTAGTACGAGGTGTGAAATCCAAGGTGGAGAACGCTGTGGATCAAGTTTTAAGCGAAAGGTTTGGAGAGTCTCATTTTGCAGGTTTGAATAAAAGGGTATTCTATACGTGCGGCTCGTCTGAGCTCTGCCAATGCGAGATAATAAATGCCCTGCAAGCTGAAAAAGTCCTTTCAAGACTATGTCAATTGCGGTGGTTTTACGAGTCAAGCCAGGGGCGTTTTGGTCTCGACGTTAGAGCATTGGCGGAGCTTCAGGAATATATAAAGGGCCGGTTCGATATTCCAAATTGCGTTGTCTGCAATGATCTAACATTGGAAGGAGCTATGTGCCAGTGCAGCGAGAGTGCGTGGCATGTTACTTGCTTACGACATTTTCTAACTCACGTAGGGGATACGTGCCAGAATTGTGGGGGAAGCATGAAGGATGCGATATACATGGCATAATGCAAGTGCAAAAACTCTATTCGCGGTGATAACGATGGTGTTTACAAGCGTTGTCGAAAGCCGCGCATTAAAAAGTGTTAATATCTACATGTATAATTTACAGAGCGCCAGAAAAAAAAAATACTATCTACTGCCATCATTCCGCGAGCTATACTCAAAATTCACTTCTTCAGGCCTCTTTTCTCCAAGAAGTCCTTAGCTTCATTAATCTTGGTCGCCAAGTAAGGGCTTCCGCCTTTATCCGGGTGGTTAGCGAGCATGATACGTCTGTGAACCTCTTTCAGTTTTTTGCGATTAAGGCTGGCCTCGTTAAGATTTAAAATCTGCAATGCTTCCTTGACGTTCATTTTGTTGTCGAAACCACCTTTCGCGAACTGCACCGCAGCCTTACCACCGCCCACAGCTTTCGATATGCTTTTATAAGCCCCGGCAGCAAAATAAAGTCCTAAGAAGCCTCCAACGCTACTTAGTACTGGGTGTTGGCCCATAAAATGTAAGCAATCGTCGAAAACTTGGTCCATCTTTGGCCTTTGTTGTATCTTTTGCTGTGGCGCCATTTCTGTCTCATTTTGGCCCAAAAACAGCTCGTTTGGACGTTCCGAAGCCCCTGGGTTGCCCGATCCCGGGATTGCAAGCTGTGGAGCTTCTAGAGGCGCCATTTAACCTTCTAATATTTGATTGATAGTTTGTTCGAGGATGAAGTACTCAAGTTCAAGAAATACCAAATTTGTTCATAGCTTATTTTCACAGTATAAAAAATATAAAGTGAAAAATTTTTGATTAAATAGTAGACCTCATCTCATCTCATCTCATCTCATCATATCAAGCTCATCGAGTTTAACACTGACGCTTTTCTGAAGGAAGGGCTCCAGCCAGCTGTAAAGAAAAGGAGGTAATAGTGTGCTTGATAATCGCTTTTATTGAATACCACTTAGAGTAAATCGGAACAATGAGAGTCTACAGTTGCCATTTTTGTTCGTCCCCTGTGTACCCAGGCCATGGTATCATGTTTGTGAGGAATGACGCCAAAGAGTTCAGATTTTGTAGGTCCAAATGCCACAAGAATTTCAAACAACGCAGAAACCCTAGGAAGCTGCGCTGGACCAAGGCTTTCCGGAAGGCCGCGGGAAAAGAGCTGGCTGTCGACAGTACGCTGGCGTTTGCTCAACGCAGAAACGTCCCTGTGCGTTACAACCGTGAACTGGTTGCGACAACTTTAAGAGCGATGGCAAGAGTCGAGGAGATTAGACAAAAGAGAGAACGTGCATTCTACAAAAACCGTATGCGTGGAAACCAAGAACGCGATTTCCTCAGAGACAAGAAACTTGTCGAGTCGCATCCAGAACTTCTTAAGGTCAGGGATGTGGAGCTTGCCCGTGCGGAGGCCAAGCAAGCTGCCAAGGAGGGAGATGTCGGCGAAGAAAGCGAGGAAATGGACGTGGACAGCGAAATGGAAAGCGAAGAAGAAGACGAAGAGGAAGAAGAGGCCCAGAAACAAAAAGTTCTGCTCACCAACAAGCGCAAGAACAACAAGAAAATTGCTTTCTAAGATGGTGGGTCCACGACATCCAACTACTGGTAAATTATTCAAATTTTGTATATTAGACTTCGGAGGTTTTAGTGTACTTCCAACTTAAGCATTAGTTGTGTACGCGGCGCAAGCACGGTCCTACAAGCGGAATCCATATCAAAGACTAGCGGTTATAAAAACTGCCTTGGTTAGTCTGTAGTCCGTACGGGTACCTCTCAAGGTAGAGGCTTAAGCAAGCGGGAAGCCGACTATAAGGCAAATGAAAGTACGATGTGTAGGGCTAAAGGATCATACTTATCCCAGATTCAATTTTTTGCCACATGTGAAATTTGAGAGCACGGTTTCATGATGAGCTCCTTGGTATAGCACCACAAATTTGCGCTCTCCCTCATTTCGCAATGACCCTTCTAAGGTGTTGTCTGATATGCATTTCGGTATCGTACAACTCGCTTAACAATATAAAGCTAGCTCCTCCCACACATATACATACACCAACACTTGACCATGTTTATAAAAACATGTGGACCGTCTGGGCGCGAGATGACATGGAGCGGGGGGGTGGACAAAATGGACAGTCTTCCGCTTGGGTACTCCTGTCTTTCACCAAACTGACTCACTAGGCTAGTAAAAATAAAGCGCATAAGGAGTCTGCGACACAAATTCTCCGTTGCACTGCTTAAATTTTCTTAAGGCGGGAACACTTCCGACTCTATTTCAGGAAAGGCCACAAAGTTGTCTTCGTCGCACACGGCTGGCCATTCGACCTACGTGCTAATCTTTGAGCTCTTCAGGATGTGTATCCTGCGCTAACTTCTCTCCACATAGTTCCGGCTTCACTATGCCAAAAAAGCCTGAAGGCCTTCAGGTCTGTGAGGGACCAAACTTTCAAATCCATGACCTCGATCACCCCATTCAAAGTGCAACACATCATGTCGCAGATACTTCCTTCCAATAGTCTTTTCCCACCTATGCATTTTTCGTAGCACGTTTCTCCCACTGCTACTTTCAATTCACCTAAGTAATTATTACAGCTCAATTCCCTCAAGTTCCGTAGCACCAATTGCAGCTTGGCTGCATCATGCGCTTCTGATTGCAGCCCAACACATTGCCCTATGATTCGTAGCCTCTCCATTCCTCCATCTGCACATTTTGTCGCGGCCCAAACACCAGCCTCTTCCACATCAGTAAATATCAAACTCATTCCCACACCTTTTCACCTTACTAGGGATCTCGGTGCCGGGGTTTGAGAGGGACATGAAGCTGTTGGTTTCCTTAATTCACCTGTCATTTGTTAAAAGTTACCTTCGATTATTTAGCTTGTAAAATTAATGCATGCTAGGCTATCCTTCACATCGCATAATTTGAACAACAACTAGATCAATTACCCAAAGGGCCAAAACTTTTCGATGAGGATCGAAATGAGACCATATTGTTCAATCACCAAGATGCGGTTTGTAGGCAAGTGTTTGGATGGTTTGAACTGGTGGCTTTAATGGGCAAAGTATCAACCCTTAGAGCGGACGACATGGATCAGCATATGCTAAAAAATCTATATAAGGAGTGCCAACATGCTATAATGATTGTAAGGTCTTCCTTTTGCTATTTTCAATAACCATCATCCCATCAGATATCTGCTACTGAAGTAAAACAATGTCTTCCAACAAGATCACATTTTTATTGAACTGGCAACCAGCTCCATACCACATTCCCATCTTTCTGGCTAGCCAGAGGGGCCTTTTCAAAGAACAAGGTTTGGATGTTGCTCTCTTGGAACCTACCAATCCATCGGACGTTACCGAATTGATAGGTTCCGGTAAAGTCGACATGGGCTTGAAAGCTATGATTCATACCCTGGCTGCTAAAGCGAGAGGCTTTCCAGTCACTTCGGTTGCCTCTTTGTTGGACGAACCCTTCACTGGTTTATTGTACATGGCTGGCCGCGGCATCACCGACGACTTCCAATCCCTCAGAGGTAAGAAAATTGGGTACGTTGGTGAATTCGGCAAAATTCAGTTGGACGAACTTACCAAGCACTATGGTATGAGCCCCTCGGACTACACTGCCGTCAGGTGTGGTATGAATGTTGCCAAATACATCATCGAAGGCAAGATTGACGCTGGTATCGGTATTGAATGCATGCAGCAAGTCGAACTGGAGGAATACTTGAAGAGAGAGGGTAAACCTGTTACTGATGCCAAAATGTTGAGGATTGACAAGCTGGCTTGTCTCGGCTGTTGCTGTTTCTGCACGATTCTCTACATCTGCAACGATAAGTTCTTGGCTGCCAACCCAGAGAAGGTTAGAAAGTTCTTGACAGCTGTTAAAAAGGCTACTGACTATGTTTTGGCAAGCCCAATTGACGCGTGGAAAGAATATGTCGATTTTAAACCGGAATTGGATACCGACATGAGTTTCAAGCAATACCAAAGATGCTACGCTTACTTCTCTTCGTCCTTGTTCAATGTCCACCGCGACTGGAACAAGGTTACCGGCTACGGTAAGAGACTAGAAATATTGCCAATTGATTACAAGGCTAACTACACCAATGAATACCTATCCTGGGAGGAGCCTAATGAAGCCGAAGATCCTTTAGAGGCTCAAAGACTTATGACCGTTCATCAAGAAAGCTGCAGAGACAACGGCGGGTTCAAGAGATTAAATGTTCCGCTCAAGACTTAGATGCTAGTAAAGCTTTGGTAGAATTTTTTATTGAGACAAATACAGCGTTTTGCAAAACTTATGTAATGGTAACTTTTCTAGCAGCCAGATCAGCTATACAACCAAGACTAAACTCGAATAAGATATACGCACTTGTGCTCCGCGCAGGAATTACAGAGAGTTCAGCCCAATCCACAATTTAAGCAAAAAAAAGGAAATAACGACAACTGCAGGATTCGAACCTGCGCGGGCAGAGCCCAAAAGATTTCTAATCTTACGCCTTAACCACTCGGCCAAATTGCCATATTTCAAAATTCAGTGCTGCTAAAAATGCTATATAATGAATGCTAAATACGGGACTTGGGCCAGAGGCTATTCAGCGAGTCCATGTAGCCATGAGGCACCGATAAGAAAATATAAGGGGCACTCAGTTGGCCTCGGTCGAGATAGCATGATGTTTTGAGATCGTACGTTAGAATGCTTTCCTGAGAGTTGAGCCAGAGCACTGGAAAACATATGAAAAAAGACCGATCGATCAAAACAAATACAAAGATCAGATATGGAGGAAGCAAGTCAATAGTGAATACCCAGAAGGTCTATTGGGTACCATAGTCCGTCAGTAGCCTAAATTCTTCAAGTTGAATTTGTGATAAAATACCAATGTCACGAAAACAAGACCATCGCATAAATTACAAAATTCAATTAGCTCTTCTTCGAAAAATACCTTCAGACCCTAGTTATGAAATCTTGTCTATTTAGTGAAGAGACTTACCACATCTTCGTCTCGGATTTTATGCGTTAAACCGCATTTTTGTGGGGAGTGCTTTGCGGAGGAACCCCAAACCAATGCATATTTGAATTTGTCTTTAAAGTCCCTATGGATTGAATGACATAGTTCGCCGATCGAAGAATTATTTCTCACCACAAGGGGATCTGAGAAGTCCGGCTTAATACCTCTCTTTTTTGTGTAGACTCGACTCAAATTCAGTTGATACCAGATTTCGTCGACTACGTCGTCCAATCCCAGATCACTCTCGCACGACATCACTACAGTGTTGGGTTCACGAGCTAAGCGGTCAACCTCTTCCAAAGAAACCGCGTCGATCTTGTTATAGGCGTACAAGCATTTGATGTAGTTGCAGTGCTGATCATTCAAAATATCTATGAAATCGTCAATGGTGCATTTGTCGTCACGAACCAGAACATCAGCATTGTGAATTCGATAATCCTTCAATATACCCTTGATCGCTTCTTCTGTGAGGTTGGCTATCGACGGGGACGTAAATGTCACTTTGACACCGCCGGTTTCTTTCTTCTTGTAGTAAATATTCGGTTTCTCCTTATTCAAACGAATTCCTACTGCCTCAAGTTCCTTCTCGAGAGACTCGCGTTGATGTGCACCTTTAGTGGCATCCAGAACCATCAAAACCAGATCCGCAGTTCTGGCGGTAGATACGACCTGTCTGCCTCTACCTTTACCCTGGGAAGCGCCATATATGATACCAGGAAGGTCGACAATTTGTACTTCGGCACCTTGGTACTTCAAGACACCAGGAACAGAAGTCAGAGTGGTAAATGCATAGTGTGCAATTTCCGCTTTAGTCGTCGTAATTTTCCCCAAAAGTGAAGATTTTCCGACCGACGGATATCCGATCAACACAACGCGCGCATCACCAGATTTAGCAACTTCAAATCCAACGCCACCACCACCGCTAGGCGCTGTTTCTTCAGCTAAAAGCTGTTGCCTCAATCGAGCTAATTTACCTTTGAGAAGACCTAAATGGTACTCGGTCGCCTTATTTTTCTGCGTCCGAGCCATCTCTTCCTCGATGGCCTTCATCTTTTCAACTACCCCCATCTTGTAGTAGTTTGGGGAGCTGAATGCCTAGTGGAATGGTTCTTAGTTTGTTGAAGACTTGGTTATGTGATAAGTTTTCATATATACATTAATTATAATGAATTTTTAGCATCAACCAAATCGATCATATACGGAAACCTTTCATAGACTTTTACAGATTGGGACTTGTATTTGAACAGCTGGGGCTCGTTCTATCGTGACGTAAGAGCTATAATCGAATAGCACGAATACTTGGGAATCCACATAAGTTTGTTGAAGGATTGAATCGAGAGCGACTGTTCAGAACTCAAAGTTTGTTCGTTCGCCGCGTAAAAATCGTTAACTATCATCAATACCTTTATTCCTATCGATGTCGTTTTACAATGCAGGAATAGCTGACTCACAGTCAGCTTTCTTCCAACCCTCTTCTCAATTTCAAGTACCTCAGGGTTCGATGTCGTTTACTCAACAACCAGCTACCGGACAGGCCTTTTCTCAAGATCCGCTTCCTACCGGTCTACTGAACGCGCTGTCCACCAAAGGCTATCCACATGAATTACCGCTACTACAGGAAATAGGCATCAATTTTGGCCATATTGTGACCAAGACTAAATCGGTGTTGCAGCCTTTTCAAAGAGCTGATTCGCTACCTCTCGAGGCGATAACCGATTGCGATCTTGCAGGCCCTGTTATATTCTGCTTGTTATTTGGCACTTTGTTACTCGCAGCGGGCAAAGTTCATTTCGGGTATATTTACGGAGTGGCTCTGTTTGGTACCATCTCGTTACACACGCTGCTGCGACTAATGGGTGACAGTGCGGCTACTAACAGTAATGAAGAGACCAAGCGCCAATCAGAACAGCTCTTTCTCAGAACTGCGTCAATTTTGGGCTATAGCTTTTTGCCTCTTTGCCTTCTCTCGTTTATCGGCGTTTTTGTCCCACTAAACAACGTCCTGGGCTACGCGTTGGCTCTGACTTCTGTGTGCTGGTGCACATGGTCTTCTTCAGGCTTCTTCACAGCTGCATTGCATTTACACAACACGAGGGTTCTCATTGCATACCCTCTTTCTATATTTTATAGTGTCTTTGCCCTGATGGCCATATTTGCGTAGGATATTGTGTACACAGAGAAATACAGCAAGCAGATCAAGACTCGATCAGATCGATAAAATAATAACTACCACCATCTCGGTGATAATCATGTATGATAATGCTGTCAAGTTTTTTGTTCTTTAGCGTCCAGCATGTACTAAAAAATGCGTGTGACATTGAAGGCTAACTGTTGAGCATTCCTGACGTTCAGAGGTCACTATGAATTAGGGATGAAAGGAGCCCTTCCCAAAGCGCTCAGTGGGCTTGTAAAGGGTCAATTGTACCACATTACCACGCCAATCTTTTATCCCAATGCGAAACCCCATCTTGGCCACTTGTACTCGAGCTTGCTGTGCGATGTGAGTGCAAGATGGCATGCGATGCTCGGTGATAAAACACTTTTCACCACAGGTACTGACGAGCATGGCTTGAAAATTCAAACGGCAAGTGAGGCAAAAGGTTATCGTTCTCCTAAAGAGTTTGTAGATATACTTCACCAAGAATTTGTTAAACTGGATGAGTTGGCAAATGTCGATTTCAGTCGATTCATCAGAACGACGGACGAAGACCACAACAACTCCGTCAGAGAGCTATGGAACAGATGCTGGCGTCATGGATATATCTACAAGGGCGAGCATTCAGGCTGGTACTCAGTTTCTGATGAGTGCTTTTATCCAGATTCGAAAGTGGTGCGTATAAAGAAAGACAGTCCTGGGGCCATAGACAGTAAGGACGGAAAGTTCATCAATACTGAAACTGGAAACGAGGTTGTCTTTCAATCAGAGACGAACTATTTCTTCAAGCTGTCAGCGTTGCAAGATAAACTAATAGACCTCTTGGAGAATGAGAAACCAGAATTTATCAGCCCCCCCAGTAGACGAGATCAAATACTTAATGATCTGAAAACCTCACAACTGCGCGATATATCTGTTTCGAGGCCAAGTTCAAGAATCAGATGGGGTATTGACGTTCCACAAGACTCGACTCAAAAAATATACGTCTGGTTTGATGCCTTATGCAATTACCTGGCTTCCATTGGTGGCACAGGGGCCGTTGCTACAAACAAGCCCGTATTTGTGAGGCACAAAGGCTGCGACCATTTGAAAAATCCCGGTGACTGGTTCGCCAAGACCACTCACTTGATCGGCAAAGATATCGCAAAATTTCATACTATTTACTGGCCAAGTTTTTTACTCGCAGCTGAACTCCCTTTACCTCGTGAGGTAGTCATTCATGGCCACTGGCTTTCGGGTGGGATCAAGATGAGTAAATCACTGGGTAATGTGGTCGACCCCATTGCTATGATATCTTACTATGGATGCGACACAATGAGATGGTATATTCTAGAGAATTCTCACATTGAGGCGGATGGAGACTTCCGCGAAGAACGCTTGCATGCGACAAGAGAACAATTAGTTTCAAAATGGGGCAATTTACTCAATAGGTGTTGCGGTAAAAAGTTCAATGTTCACAGAGCTGTAAAAACATTTGCCAAGCCAGAGGCACTTGACGAAGACCTTTCACGTTATTTGGAGAATCCTGCGACTAAAGATGGTTACTCAAAAATAGTTAAGCAACTGGAAAGATTACCAGGAGCATTTAATGAGGCTATGTTGAAGTTGGATACAAGGTCAGCCCTGAAGCTCTTATGGGAGGTAATTGGCGAAGCGAACGCTTTCGTACAGAGCGGAACCCCATGGCTTAAGTCAAATTCGGAACAGGATATCATTATCTTTGTAGCAATGGAAACTGTGAGAATAACTGCCATTCTCTCTCAGCCTATCATCCCAAGCTTATCCAATGAATTCTTGGATCGTATTGATATCGACACATCTCGAAGATCACTTAAATATGCGGAATTTGGACTTGATTCAGACTATGGCAAAAATTCAAACGAGGGAGGGCGATCTGTGGTGATCACAAGGAAACCTCTAAGAATTGAGTAGTTCTATTGTCTATAATTTATGCTTGTAAATAATTTCAAATTTGAATGGTCACGACGTCTGTCTTCAAAGTCTGAAGATCTAAGATGACTATCTGTCCTGTGCTGCTGAAATCAGGCACAGCGACAACTTTCACCTCAGTATCTCCTTCAAGGGTTACACTTTTGGAGGCAAATGCGGGTTGATTGCCGACGAAATAAACATGCGGTAATTTCGAAAGGATGAAGGGGTCGTCACTTTTATAGGGGTAGCACCATAGTGTGTCAGGGGCCGTGGGTGCGATGTTTTGCCACTTAAGACATCCTTCCATCATATTTAATCGAGTTACCATATCCTCGTTCTGATCCGGGTCTAACTTGGGATCCGGACAATTAGCAATGACATATTTGCATATGTCATCGATATTTTGCCCACTGGTACCTAGTAGTTCAATACCATTAAACTTCAACCACGCTGGATTTGTTGTTGGTGATAGAAGCTCGCAATCCTTATTGTTGAAGAACGGCCTCACAGCATCTGCAAATAAAGCTTTGTGCAAGGGCTGTTGAGGTAAGCATTGATCACTGGGATCATGCGGCCCCGGCATTAGATCAATTGGAATGGACTGTAGTATGTTACCCATGAAGGTGCCAAACTCTGCCAAACAGCCGGATAGTTGGGAGGGCTCCGAGGGGCGTAGGGAGTTTCCACATATTACCAGCCTACCGATCTTGCTTATGGCCGACGCATCTACCAAGTTTCCAGTAAGGTACTCTTGAAGGAGTTGTATTCGTAGCGCGTTATTTGCGTTGGAAGGATCAGAATTCAACCCTGATACAAAAGCAACTTTGCCAGGGCTTGAACTCTTTGGCAAACATTCTTGCGGAAGGGCAGCTGGGTAACATATATCAAGGACTTGAAAAGCCCCCGCGTCGGCCTCCATACCCAATATACCGACAACGGTGCCACTCACGAATGGCTTATTCTTCACGAAATCTCCAACAAGGAGAACTCGACCACTCTCATCTTCTAACATGATTTCATCACTACCTTCTGCATCTGCATAACTCCTGACTAGGTCGGGCGCTCCATAAACATCATTGACAACTTCTTCTAGGACATTAGGTTTATATTTCATCTCACAGTAAATGGTGCCCACGCACCAGCAGGGTTCATTCGATTGGATATCTAATACTTTATTCTTCTTGACCACCCTGCGATGGTTCAATTCGAAATTTGAATCCCATTTCTTCTCACAACTCCTGGTCACTCTTTCTCCTAAAACTTGTAGTCGATGCTGGTAAAGGTGAAAATACTGTTCATCGTAGTTCCTTTCTTCTAATGTTAGCAAAAATGGATTGCTTGGAGATTCAGTTTTCAATTTATCTCGCTGAAGCGATCGTTCAACACTTTCAGCGTCGTTTCTCGTTTCACTTGTGATAGGGATAATAGTTAGTACATTAAATTAGGGCCCAATGCAACAAAGTTTAAGTACAGGTTTATAAACGTACTTGAATAGCTGTAAAATGGGGTCCATCACCACTAGCTTGACTCAAAACTCATGCTCTTCGCTTTTCAATCTTGGCTAGTAATGACTTTCTTAGAAAGCCTTGATGTCAACAAACGTTAATAGTGACTTTGATACTAGATGGAAATAATGCTGGACAGGTCGAGATCGTTGACGGCGTCAGTAGGATCAGTCAGTTCTTCTACATCATCAGAGTTTTGCCGGCTCTCGCAGCTCCTTTGCAATTCGCGGAATTCCCAGCTTACATTTTTTAGCTGGTCAGCAGCATTATCCGACACTGAAATCGTTCGTTTGATTCTGTCAATATCTTCTTGCTTTGATGGTAAATGCTTTTCACGTTTATGTTCTTTCACAGAAGGGGTATGTCCGATGCTCATACCAACCTTAACCAAGGTTTCAATACGCTCACTAGAGTTCAGCAACAAATCTGTGTCGAATTGGACATTTTGTGAGGGAATGACCAGCAAAATGGTAGAGCCGCCAAATTTGAAGTAGCCAAGCTCTTGCCCTCTCTCTATCGAATCGCCTTCTCCGCAGGTCAGAAGAATCGAGCCAACCATCATTGCTCCAACTGCTATAAATAAAACAGTCCCGAACTCTTTGGAGTGGATTGGAAGCACCAGCCTTACGTTCTCGCCAAAAACGTCCAGCTCTGTTCTTACAGCCATTGGATTGACTGTGTAATATTCTCCTGATATTTCCATTGGTTTACCGATCAAACCGTTGCACGGAGAATGGAAGCGATGATAATCCTGAGGAGCAAGACGAAAAATACCAATGCTACAAGAAGCGTCATTAAAAATCTCCGGATGATACCCCCCGGTAAGTTTTCCGAGTGAGAAGTTTCTTCCCTTAATCCAAATTTCCGTTGATGTTTTTATGCTGGAAAACACCGTGCTTCTACAGTCTGCTGGAGACAACAGTATCTCAGGCTCCGCGACTTCCGGAGCACGGCTGCCAGGTTTGAGCTTTCTGTAAAAAAACTCGTTAAAAGTTTGATAAACCGTCTCTTCACATTCAGAGATATCTAATGAATGAAACTTGATAAAGGGCACAATTTGTCTTACCGAGGCAGGGCTATCAAACTTTTTACCTTGCTTTACCGACAAATTTTTGAGTAAATTTTTGAATTTCTTTGACTCCTTTCCCTTGGCATTGTAGATGACCCGAATCCCTAGCCTCACATGTGCACTGATCTTTTCCTCCAAAACAATTCCTGAATCTCTATCTTGAACCAAAATATTAGCGTTATTGGAGCCCAAAGCATATTTCCCATAGGTGAGCTTGATTAGAAATTTAGAAAACCACCTTTTAGTTGCAAAAGCGGACGACACATATGAAGGCTTGAGCATCCTTTTCTTACTACCCTTTGAGGAGCAAATGGACAAATGCGTGATTAAGTCATTCTCTAGGATCAGCTTAGAATTGGTAGTATTTCTTGTGCTCTTACAGCGGCGAGCGCATAGTGGACATCTCTTTAATGCCTTGAAGCCTGTAAAGGTATTTGCAGACCGCAAATAGGTCACTACTTGCTCCCTGCTTAGTTTGTCCTGCGACCAAGGTGATTTTTTGAAGAAGTGGAAAAATTCATCAATATCATCATTGGAAAACGTACCCAGCTTCTCCATTAAAAGATTCACATCTACAACATCAAATGACTCCAGATTGGATAGCTTTTGAAGTGCTCTCTCCCAAAAATGTTTCTTTAGTTCTGAGTATGTGATGAACTTGAATTTGATATTTAGCACGGGATTAGAATCTGTGGAGTCGATCGATTCACTGAAATGCAATGGAACCCTGACTGGGGTCCATTCCTCTTCACTGTCATTTTCTTGTTTCAGCACAATATCTCTCCAGGAAATATCGGCACTGGCAACATTGTCATGGTATGAAAAAGAGTCCTTATCAATGACTCGAAAATGGAAATCAAAGTTGGACTCATTAGAAAACATCTCAAAGGCCAGCCGTTCATTGTAGACTGGATTTAATGTATGTTTCTTCCATGATGTTTTGAATACTCTGCGACCGAATGTTATTACAACAAATGGATCCATCAGATAGGTTTTGGAAAACTTGTTTTTCAGGGTTGGAAGGTCTTCAATATTTTCAATATCCATGAATGCCACACCATCGGCATGGCCTTCCTTCGAAAGCTCAAAGTTTGTGGGTGCCACTTTGCGCTGGCGAGCACGATGTGGCCTTCTCCTTGGGGCTTTGATCAGAGAAAGATATTTGCTGTGATTCCCATCACTTGAATATGTATCCTCCTCTTTCTTAACATCGATAGATTCTACAATAGCTGGAGAATTCTCCAGTTGAGAATGCTCGGAGGGGAAATCATTGTCAGATTGAAGCATTGTCACATCGTATTCGTCTAGAGCGGTCGCCATCTTTGCCAAATTCAGCTGGGAGGTTCCATCTAACTCATCTTCTGTGGAGCTTATGTCCTCGATCTCGTCGTCTTCACCAAACTCTTCGACAAGATGTCTCAAAGAAATAAAATCGCTATCAGGATCTGGTTGCTCTAGATCTTGATCATGTTCGGGTTCCTCTTGTACAATTTCTTCAAAATCGGTGACATCGTCATCATCTTCCCCATTTACATAATTACCATAAGAACCTTCATCGCTAGATTTGACGGTAGCCGAGCTCGAAGGTAGCTCTGAGAAACTCCCCTTAGATGCATTAATGTTGTGTTTAACTTTTGTCGAAGAGTCCTCTGATATCACCAAAGCAGTTTGCCAATCATTAAATGCCTTAATCAAACTTGTCCCTCGCATGCACGTTAAAGAAATGGCCAGCTGGATCTCACCAATTGCTAAAGATGGTGGAGCATTGCGCATGTCATAGTGATGAAACTTTAGCGTGTTTCTATTGAACAGTGGATACCAAGCAGTCGTGCTACTAAATTTGTAGCTGGTGGGTTGGTCTTTGCGACGAAAGAGGTCTCGCAGCGAAAGACTGATTTCCCCTAAGTATAGATACCTGCTCGAAACGTCAAAATTGTGCGATTCTTCATATTGCACCTGGATATTCTCAGATGCTGATTTATCCACAGCATTGTTAAGAACGTCGTAGACCACCACCCTCAGATATTGGGACGTGGGCTTCTGTGGCAGCTTCAATTTCAGTACTTGGTTCCATGTCGGAGAACTTGTGTTTTTCTGCTTAGCAGTTCGGCTGAAGGCGCCATTACTCAGTGCCAGACATATCGGATTACACCCGGATTTCTCAATTGTTACATTGTGGGCCTGAATTGCGTGTACTTTCAAAGTGAGTCGAGAGTTTTTAGACCTGCGGCGAATGATACCCATAGTTGGTGATCTGACGGTCCGTTCTCAATGGAGCTTGCGAGAGTATTTTTTGTGATGGATAGCGTGGCCTTTTAGTAGATCTGATGGAGAAACTCCATGCCATACCATGAGGTCGAGGCTGGGAGTCCCGGCTGTTATTTGTGTGCATTACGTTTTAATCCACAACCTAGCGAGTTATCATTCGTAGTCAATGATTTATATAGCTTAACGGAGGTGGGAGCCTTTGTACTGCCAATTTCGAAGTGGTAATCCGTGATAAGTAGGTGTATAGAGACCTGCTACTCTGAGAACCGTATTCTATACTCAAGTCGGCAATTCGCGTCTACCGGCATAAGCGGTTTCTCTTTTCTAGAGCCGGATGCCACACACGTATAGAGTGACTACAATCAATTGCCCTGGGTCGGGGTTCCTTGAGCTGTTGAGAGCTCAGTGTATACTCCTTCCGTACATTGCTGGGGCGATTTTTAGGTCTTCCTGCTACAGGGACTGGGTATCGGTTTTATCTCTGCAACTATCCATTGAACCTTTCCATGAGTATTTGTTGTGCTCCGAACTTTCAACAAAATGGCGCTGTTTCCCCAGAATATAAAAAAGAGGTGAGTAGAAAAATAACAGCTTCATCCACAGCGTATTAAGATTCGTACATTGCACCCGTTAATTTTCGTCACAGCTACTGGAGTTTTCTTCATTATTTGCTGTCGAGGATGTCATATGAAGCTAAAGCACCTACCTAACGTATATAAATTACGAAAAATTTCGATGAAAAACGGCTAGCATTATCCCATGAGGGAGGCAGCTTCAAAATCGCCAGACTGCACAGCAAGCCCACTGAGCTTTGTAAAACATTAGTGGTTTATTAGATAGAGTGTTCAGATAGTATACTGCGAGTTTTGCGAGAAATTTCTGATTTAATAGAGTAATTTCTGCCCAGATTAGTGTACACCCCCAGCTATTGGACTTGTAATAATGGGTAAAAGATTCAGTGAATCTGCTGCTAAGAAAGCTGCTGGTAACCAGCGCAAGAAAGAACAGGCGCAAGCCAAGGATAGAGCACACAGAGAGGTGTTGGAAGCAGAGGAAGCTTCAAAATGGGACCAAGGCTCTAGAAAGGATAACCCTAAAAAATTGTTGGAAGAACAGAAGAAACAGGAGAAGCTTCAGGCCAAGAAGGAACGTGAAGCGCTTCTCGCAGCCGAAGAATCGGCTCTTGGGAAGGGCGGAAAGGGCAAATGAGTGAACGTCGCGAGGTTCTTCTCGGAGACACAGCAGAGGGCCCAGGCGCAAGTCGGCATGTGTCTGCGCTGACCGCTCGAAATCAGGTCAGATATCCCAGCAGTGCCCTTGCAATGGTTCTCACTCCAGCTGGCACGTCTCCACCTCAAGATGCAGGGGGGGTTGCGAACAAGAAAACCGTTTTGTGCCCACAGGCCATCACAGTTCTGATAGAATCGTACCACTAAATTTTGTAATATGTCTAGCTTTAAAGACACACCATACTAATGAGAGACCAAATCATCTATGATTTGACTTTTCTCAATATTCGAGGCACTTGGTCGTGAGCCAAGTATGAGTTCAGAATAGGCAATCGTACTCTGTCGTTCGCCTCTTGCACCCAGTTTTTTGCCTTGGCTTTGCCCAGCGTATATTGATCCCAGTCCAAATTTGCGACGGCTTGTACGCTGCGTGCAACGTGTCTCTCAAATTCTGTTTCTGTTGTAGAATCCGGGAACTTGAGAACCTGGAATAAGTAGAATCCATCCTTCGCGATGCCAACCCTGCTGCGACCCTTAGGATCCAGATAATTACAGGTCGTACTACTTGCGCGAGTGTCATCTTGGCCAATTTGTTCTTTCACGGCCACTGCGCCTTGTAGCTCTAGCCATTTTTTGATGAAACATTTGTTCACAAATGCGCGTAGCGAACGTCTCAAGTATGCATAGTTGCGAGGGATATTGGAGCCGTCGTTACCCAGCATTGCTTGTAACTGTCGAATGTTCCCAATTTCCTGAATTTTTGGTTTCTGCAAGCTGTGCGTTTCCTTTCTAGAGTTACTGGCCGTGCTAGCGTCCCGAGTGCTTAGCGGGTAGTTGCCATTTAAATAGACCTCACCAACACTCCGGACATTTACTGCGGGTTTACTCTTGCGAAACAAAGACAAAAAGTGTTCCGGAGGAAAATACAACAGACGAAAAAAATCGCAGGAATAAACCTTACTCTGTGCTGAAAAGATTCGAAACGTGCTCTGATACACTTGTGCAATGCTGTTGGTACCTCTAAGCTGAGATCGTGCTCGCAAAAGCGACCTCTGGCCTTCCGCAGATTTTGGGAGAGCCTTGTTAGGCTTATAATACCCATTTTTTTTACGCAACGATTCAATTGTGGTCAGGTCACCATAGTCAAGTATCTGCCCGTTAGATTTGGACACCGGTCCACTTCTTTTAGTCACTGGAAATTTATTCCCAGTTTTCCACCCCACCTTTAATTCTTGCAAAATTAGTCGTCCTGACATTACAGTGGCTGAGGTCGCTTAATGCAAAGCTCAATGTTCGATTCCTAAACTAGCAGCACATCGCATCAACCGATGTGATACCTATGTCGTCAAAGCTTTTCGGAAGAAAGCTTTACAGAATTTAATGGTACTTGGGCTTAACTGCCTCATCGCTCTGAAATTTTTCAGCGAGTATTATATGCATGAAGTATTCGCCCAGGGCGATGAGATAGATAAATCTTATGATGAATGAATTTGTGGAGACCATTGAGTCCTCAGATATGGGAATCGAGGTTTACTTTGCGAATGGGCTGCGGAAGATCAAGCCTTACTATCATTCTCGAACCTCTTTCGCTAAGGGACGATGGTTAAATCGGAAATTACTCGAGGTCTTGAGCTCTGAGTTTAGATCGCAATCCAGTGAAGAATATGCCAAGGCCATCATCCGGCAGGAGTTTCAAATTATCCGCGAGAACATTGCTCTTAGTGCAGAAGAAACGCTACAGACAACCATTCAAAATAAAGATCTTATCAAAACCACCTCTCATAAACATGAACCTCCAGTAAAACAATGGAACAGCGAAGAGATAAGCAAGAAGGGTTCAACCATTGCAGGGATCGAGATCATCCACGAATGTGATGAAATGCTAGTTCTCAACAAACCTAGCGGAGTTCCAATCCATCCTACGGGCCAATACTATCAAAATACGTTGGTGGAAATTTTAAACACACATGGCAGGAGCGTGCTCCCTAGCCACAGGCTCGACAAGGTCACTTCTGGGGTTTTAATACTGGCCAAAAACTCTATCATGGCAAATAAAATCCAGCGGAATATCAGGGAGCACCGTATGCAAAAAGTGTACTTGGTACGGGTTGATGGGCAATTTCCTAAAGTGGATACCCTAGGTGATTCAGATGCCACTAAAATTACAATGTTCTCCAAGTTATTTAGCAACCCAAGCAAATTTACCACTGAAAAATCTGCAATGTTCACTGTCGAGATGAAGAAACAATTTCCAGCAGCATTTTCTGTTGCCCGTGAAGCAACCACGATTTTCTATCCAGTGAAGTACTTTCCGGATACGAATGAGACTCTAGTAGCTTGCCAACCGCTCACTGGCCGTACACACCAGATAAGAATCCATCTAGCAAGGTTGGGTCATCCGATATCAAACGATTCTTTCTACAACTATAAAATAACTAAATTCCCGCGAAGGTTGAGTTTTATCCTGGGTGTAAATGACTGGAACGACGGAAAGCATGCTACGGCGGATCTGGAAATCCACTTTGACGAATTTGTTCGAGAGTCGGAGAAAGTTCAGCTTAACAGTTGTTCTTCGAGCAACAAAACATGTCCTGAATGTGGAGGTAAACTATACTCTGACCCAGAGCTTAGAGATTTAGAGCTGTATTTACACGCTTGGAAATATTCAGATGTGGAGGGTGAAATGAGTTTCGAAACAAGCCTACCCGCTTGGGCCTTCAACAACGACCCTTATCATGAAAATCGTTCGTTTACCAGCCGACCAAACTTTTCCCTACCACCCTGAACACCTTCAACTTGCCACTTTTCATATCATGCAATCTGTAGCTGGCTTGTCTTGCTTTACCGTCGTGCTCTTCAACGACCCTAAATTTGTTTTTAGAGAAGTCATACTCTGTGATGATAGCCGCAAAAGGCACGGCATCCATTCCTAGTGAATGCGTACTTTTCTGTAAGAGCTTTCCGTGCGATTGAAACTTTCCCCTTCTCACAACTAATATGTCCCCCGGTCTTACAGCTTTTAATGCCACCTCATCAAACTCAACGTCGGGCGTGTATGCGAGAACTGGTACACCGTACGTTCTTGAGGCAATGGGGGGTACTACAGACTCCCCAATTTCAGCTATCAAGCCGCTAACAAAATTCCGACATGGCGAATTAACAGAACGACTTGCTAGCTCGAATATTTTGTATCCAATACGCGATGAGTATTCATCCAATCCCGAGGGTGACGTGGGATTAGATATATGGTTCTGCCAGAATTGAACTGTTTTATGAGGATCCGTGACTTTAAATGTTACTGTGGCGTGTAATTGAGAGTAATCTTCAAACAAAATGTAAAAGTCTCTCATGGACCATTCCACCCCGCCTCGTTTCTGTATTGCATGGTCATCCACCTCACAAATGTATTTTAAACGATTATGGTTGATGATGTTCGCAGGTACAGTTTTCTTCAACCACCAATCGTCGGTACCAACGAAATTAATGCTAGGGTTTTGGCTCTCGTAGTTGCTTTCAAATGTTTGTGTTCTATTGATTGTCTTCTTAGCTTTCTCGCCTTGCGAAGAGTTGGGGGAAGACATGCCAGTTGGCTTCGAGTGCACAGGGACTGCAGGAATTGGAGGTACGGCCCTTCCTATCTCATCCGTGCGCTCTAGTAAAATATCATCCGTTTCTTTTGTCTCTTCAGTGAAGGTTGATTTGGGCGGTGGGGGTGGGGGTGACTTAGGTCCATGAGTAGAGCCACTTTGCGCTGTTTTCATACGAGGGGTTGTTAAGGGGGGGCTCTCCTTATCAGCCTTGAAGTGCTGCTGGTGTTGTTGATGAAATGGGTTTGATGTAGGTGGGGAAAAGCTAGGCGCCTGTGCCAGAGTATCACCACCTTGTAGCTCTGAAGGATTAGTGGAAGCATTAGCAATTCCAGAAGAATAATGACTTGGTTCATGGGCCTCCTCTGAGGAAAGAGGATGAGGAGCTGAGGGGGTAGGTGGGATCGGCGGCTTTTTCACATTAGGCAAACTGGATGAAGGTGGCACTGGTGGGGCAGCCACGACTGGAGGAGTAGGTGGCGCAGGTTTTGACGACGGGATTGGAGGAATTGCAGACACAGCACTTTTCAGCGATGTGCTATGTAAAATGGGTTGATCGGTATCTGCCTCTGGATAGGCTATTTTGCCTCCTTCTACATCTTCATGACTATCAATGCCCTTCTCGATTACATCACCTTCTCTCGTTTCGGTTACAGCAGATATGCCGTTCCCAGAATGTTGTTGTTCCCCGGGGGATTCACCTCTATCTAGCTTGTGGGATGACGGCTCTAACTTTGGCGAACTTGCAGCGAGCGCGTTCTGTTTGATAACATGTTTGGACAACGAAGGAATCTCCTTAGCTGATCTGTTTCCTGCTTCAGTAGTTTCTTCAGCTGAAGATTCGTAGCCAGTCGAGTCAGAAAATTGCCCGCTCCGCGAATTACGTCTGTCAATCTCCACCGGAGTGTCTGGGCTCAAAGAATTTTGTCTTTTGATTGAATGCACCTCACTCTTTTCAGAAGAGATATCAGGTTGCTCTGTCCCTCTACTGAAATAATTATCTTCAAGCCGCTCAGCTTCTTCCTCTCCATCAGCTAACATTCCAGGAGTATCCAGAGGATCACCCGATTGTGACAATTTGGTTTGCGCCCGAGACAGTTCAAAGGCTTTAACTTGTGAGTTATTTGACACCTGTTGGTTATGCTCCTCGGTGACAGCATGCTTTGATGGTTGGTCGATGCGGCTTTCTTCGTCTTTGGCATGCCCCGGAAGGCCTGCCTGTGCTTTTTCCAAAGCCTGAGGGTCCGCAAAAGGTAGGATAGGAATTGCACGAGGGAGCTCAGAAGTGTCATCTGTGCGATCGTTTGTTTTGTGATTGGGAATAGAAGTTCTGGGTGAGCTAGTAGGAATCCCAAAAGGGTTGAAAGATCCAGGCATCCCCATCCTACCAGCTCCTGCGAGCTTGGCCATACGTTCTCTAAGAGCAGCACGGCGAACCTCTTCGTCGTCTTCGTCTTCTTCTTCTTCTTCTTCTTCTTCTCCTTCTTTATCTTCTTCCGCCTCCTCCTCCTCTTCGTCCACCTCTTCAAATTCTTCGGCCTCAGGCTCACAAATTTCCTCGGATTGTTGACTTTCATGGACCGGACGATTGTCATCAAACCCACCAGGTATGGCGGAAGGTTCATCCTTTAAAGTTTGAGCCGTTGGGCCCTCGACTGCATTGACAGCTTTGATATATGACTTCTCCTCCGGGCTAGTTACCTTGGATCTCGTTGTTTGGGTAACGGGCGAATCCCCAGTAGGATTGGCAGGTGGATCAGAGGTCACAGGGCTATCCTCGATAACAACCGCTTCATGGCGCTCATGCTTCTTCTTTTTCTGTATTCTCTTCTGCATTTCTTCTTCTCGCTCTTGGTTCAACCTTTGTTGCTCTTGTAGCAAGGCAATACGTTCCTTGAGGCTCATTTTCGGAGATTCTGTGGTCTCAACCTGCCCATCCCTTCGATCGATTGTGGTGGGGCCATCAGATTCAGCAGACCCAATATGGTGTTCTGTCATAATGGCAGATGTGGGATTTTCTTCCCCTCCCATAATGCTTGGCTGTGCTTCGACAGCGGGTAAAACAACGTTGTGGGTTTGGGGAGCTCTGATGTCAACGTGGTCTGGGCCAGAAGCAGAAACTGGCACCGAAGAAGGCACCGAAATCGAAAAGGCTGGCTTGGCAATTTCACTGTCCTCGACTGTCCCTTTCACTCCTTTCGATAGGCTCGACTGGGGCTCGCTGGGAGCAGGTTTTTCTGAGAGTTCATGATTATCACCAGCGGCAGGCTGTTCTAATGGCTCGCCAACAGTAGGCGCGCTACCTGGTGGCAGAGAAGCTTCATTTTGGAAGGGAGTTACAAAAGTCTTGGGGAAAATGCCCTCACTCCAGGTCCCCCCATCCTCATACTCACCGAAGTACCATTCTTCGTCTTCGATGGATTGTACAGTGATTACGGTTCCTTTCTCGAAATTCAAGTCGTCTTCATGTTCCGAAGTATAGGGAAACTGAGCAACTACCTTAAAAGGAGGCTCCAGCTCACCCATATTCTGTGCTTGTGCTATCGAAGTATCGATGGATCGTTAGTTTACCATGAGTTCGATCCGACTATGTGTGTCGCCCCTTTTACCCTTTAGGAATTGATGAGGCATTACGCACGAATATATTGGGCCATTAAGTCAGATGCTATGCATGTGACAGTCTTTGGACAGGCTGGTGAGACTGGTACATTCACTCTACCACGTAGGTGCATGTCTGACCATTGCTGTACTAGTCTTTAGTAGGCAACTTCAATCCAAGATCGCCTAGTGGTCATTCGATCATTGTGTCTGTTCAATAATGTATGAGATTGCACTTTCATGAAAAAGAATTAGCCACTTACCACTATCGCCGAAATGGTTTACTGTGTGTTGTAAGAGCTTGGACCCCCGAGTTTTTATTTTGCTAGATCAATAGGTTTCATTCACTGATGCATGTCGGTGTTCATTTTTAGTTTTCAACCGACTAATGAGCCGCCATTGCGTTAAAGCTGCCTGACATCTGAGGTCTTCAAAAGAAAAATAAGCCTGATCACTTCGCTCACAAGAATATCTACTAGGTGCCAATTCGATGGCTATGATTTCTCTAAAGTGTAAAGTTATTGATCAAAAGCCCCATGTTTATTTTGCCATCGGTGTCGTTCAGGAATAGTTTTTTATTAAGCGGTAGCGACCAATATATAGGAACCTAACCCGAATACCCATAATTGAAGGCGTCGGTAGACACGGTAAGAGTCTACGGTTTACAGAAATTGTAAGTACACACAAAATAATGGCAGCACCCTAATTAAGTCCGTTAATTAGGTTCTGAATTTCGTTATTTGATCATAATAATGTCAGTTTGTTCCCCGTGACCTACGATCTCGTGATCACTGGTGCGAGACCTAGCCAACATCCCGAGGGCTCACGATGGACACAGCTATCACGCAGCTTTCAGATTGGTAAAGATTGAGTCAAAGGCGACGGTTCTAGTCTGGGGATAGTACTGGTGTTAGTACTTGAACGCAGGGATTGGAGTAAACACCCAAAGTTTTGAATACGACTTGTTTTTCATCAACTGACAATACTTGTTTGGGATACCTATCCCTCTCATGCGTGTAGTTAAGACCAGATCTTATACTTCGGTCTATTCATGAACAAAACGATATCGAGGTGTCTAGATGTTATCGCCGCAGATCATATTACCCTTAAGCAATTACTAAGACGGATCCTGGCAATTTACGGGATTGTTGGTGCCGCGACATTGCCGAAACTGAAGCGTCATAATGCGTTGAATGGACATACAAGACTGCAACTGCTGCTTCGGAACGCGAAGATTGCTTCTCTAGTATGCTGTCTGGTCAATATTCATCCATTGCTGTACAAACTGTTGCGAACCCGGTGGCTGTCATTCAATGCTCTTATCGTGGCAGCTACCAAGTTGCAAATACCCCCATGGATCTCAACGTATATATTGTTTGAGTCACTGGTAGACCGCATATATTCCTCCGATGTGATAAGAGGGATAACACCACACTTTAGCAATGGCACTTGGAACACACTAAGGCAAGCTCTTCTCTCTCTGCTGATACCGCTGTTGCGAGACACTCGTCCGTCAAGGGCCAAGACTATAATATTCGAGCGGAAGAGCTTGTGGAAAAACTTCGGCTCTCTTTTCTTGCTGTGGAACGTCATTTCAGTGTACCAGTTCTCGAAATCCCTATTATACCGGAGAAAGGGCCAGGAAAAGCGGCAAAATGGTGACAAAAGGAGTTCGCAAGGCTTTTACACACTAAAGGACAATCTGAAGGAAATAAACGAGCTTTCTACATCAAGAAGTGTCCGGGAGAAAATTATCAGTTGCAGTCTTCGACAAAACCTCCCGACTACCATCAAATGGGCACTATGGAGGCAGCTTCTTTGGTCTATCCTAGGTCCCAATCACACACTGCGCTCGCACTTACACATATCTACGGTATTGATGATTGGTTTTTATGTCTTAGACAACGGAACTAATCAAATGTACATTCGAGCTGGAGTTCTCAAGTACTTGGTTCGACTGCTAATTACAGACAGATTGCTTGGCAACCCTCACTGGCAGACGGTCGCTCTTTGGTTGGGATCAAACTTGGCACTGCGAAACTATACTCGTGAGCGACGTCTCATCACCAGTTAGCTGGACTTAATTTGCAGTACAAAACCTGGTTGTGCATACGCTCCGGCCCATACATTTTGTCATTTTCATACAAGTGCTGAAAAAAAAGTAAAATCGTAGTTGAAGGATGAACTATACAGTATATCAGGCACCAGGTGCACTTGTGTTACCCTTTAGTTTTATCAATAATTCTTTGAATTTTGATCTGTCCCTGCCATTCACGAGATCTGCATCATCCACATTTATCAGTTGTAAAACGCGATCCCAGGTGGTGTTGCTTTGACTAAAAAAGCCGTCTTTCTCTTTTGTGAATTTCTCGGCCTCATCTCTGCTAGACTTCAATTGCTGCTCCTTTTTCCTATTGTAAGTATCGTAGAAATCATCCATGTGTTTGGCTGCTTCTTCTTGCAGCTTTGTCTTCGCATTTTTTTGAGCGGCATCTTTCTCGTCAATCTCTCTCACGCGATTTTCTTTCCAATGGGATACTGCCTCGGATTCCGAGGACGGATGGGCGTTACGCTCCTCTGGTAGGTCATTTACGAGCATATCTGCCTGACCACTTCCGGCTGGAGCTCCCTCAGAAGGAGCGGGGACCTCTTCGAAATTGCCAAAGTCATCGTCACCATTACTTTCATCTTGCAGAAACTCGGAATCCTGTTCAGTCTTAAATTCGTCCCCTAACAACTCAGCTTCTCTCTTCAGAAAGTCGGTTTCCTCTTGCTCAGGAGCCAACTCTGAGTCGAAATTTTCGTTTTCTAGCGGTGGAAACTTTTCAGCCATGTTTTTAAGTCTCTTAAATGGCTGCTGGATGTGACGTTGGGGTCGGTTCAATTCTCCTGCTCCTACGATCTGTACTTACGATAATCGCTCTAAGTTTTCTTTCAATACAAACTACATTCCCCTATACACAGATTCATTTCAAGAGCACGTGATTTAAATGTCTGATGTTCCGACTTAAACGGAGCCTTGATTGAATGCACATGCCTAAATCTCAACGGTATACACCTTTACAGCCTTCTATCATTCTATAAGTAATTTAATTCCATTTCCAACGCTAGCAGTCTCTTGAGAGGTTAAATCTAGTATTTTGAGCCCTGAAATGCCGTGGTAATATCCTGGGAGCAAGGCGAAAAATTCAACATCCGCAGATAAAGTTTCGGTAGGAGGAACTGTTGGTAATTTGAGGTCATTGGACAGTAAAACAATGGCATCCGTGTTTTTCACCCACTGTTTGTGCAACAAATATTCCTTCTCGACCGGATATTGGCCCTGGGGAGCTACGGCATTCTTGGAGCTGTAGACCACGCAATCTATCGGTGCTTGGGAGTTGTTGACAATTTGCAAGGATAGCGAGAACTTTGTCCCTCGAGAAAAGGTTCTCTGAGGAGTGAGAAAATTGAATTTCACGTTGCTGAGTTTGCTTGGAGAAACGAGGGAATGGAAAGAGGAATTAAACTTCATGGACGGTGTGAGCATGGGCGTCGACATCACCGATGTAGGTTGGGATGGATATCCAGCCATGCCTTGTTGTTTTCGCAGTGTTACGTCTGTTTCCCATTTTGTTTCAATAGCAAACTCAAACGGATGTGCATGTACAATGTATCGCACGGAGACCTTCACCCTATGAGATTCTAGGTTTTTCGTTTGCGGTAACTGAAAGTTCACACTGTAGCCTTCAGACAGTCCAAGCTTCAGACTTGAACTCAAGGGGCATAGAGGCTTGACGGCCACATTGGAGTAATTTCGGATCAAGCGGTAATCGACGCTTTCTATCGATATGTGGAAGTTAGAGAGCTCATATTGATGGAGGAGATTATAACATGCTCTGGAAGTTTGTAGGTCCAAGCACGAGTAAATGCACTGCTTGATAGGAACAGCCACATTTCGTAGCCTAACATTCAACAGCGTGTGTATGGGATACACTACCTCTGTGGTTGTGAGTGTTTGCTGCAGAGAGGGGTCAAAGACTTTTTCCACGGGGATTGCGGAGCCCAGCGGCTCGAAGCTGGGTAGTAGCATCTCGTCACTCCTTGAACACTCTTCGCCGTTTTCGTTTGGTTTAGAATCCACGTCCTGTGCTGTTTCTACCTTTATGCGCCATAGGTTTTTATGGCCATTATTCATCACGATGGTTGAATGGAAGATATACTCACTCGCAATAGACCTTTTCAGCTCCAGTAGACCATTGTCGCTTGTTTCTAAACACTCTTCGGTTTTATCGCAGTTGTAAACGCATGCTTCATTGATGTACACCCGTACTGTCTCAATTACCGTGTTGGGTTCTGGGTGAAAGAATATTCTCAAGTCCTCATCGAAAACAATGAACTTCCTTTCTAGATGCGATCTCCTGAGGGTTTCCACATCGCTGGACGATGTCTTATCCAGTGGTATCAGTATCTTCATCCTCAGAGTTGAGTATCGTCTAAGACAGACTTGATGGGTCCAAAGGGTCCACCAAAACATATCAGCTAAAATCGTATCATAGCGTACGTTTGAAACCGAGTTTGGTACCTCACTAGAGTTTGAATAGCCAGTCAACCACTGTAGCGTCCTGCTTTGGTGCTACGCAAATAGAGCAAGTGGGTATATTGCTGAATCATAGCCTTTCATTGTTATAGTGATAGATTATAGTTAAAAATTAGTGTTCTGTAGCTGAACAAGACCATTTTTTACTTCAAAAAGTTACCGTCATGGTACACCGGGCGGCCTGAACGAACATTTCCTTCTGCTCCACATCGAGGGCCTCATCTTTTTATAAGGTGTTGCCTCGATTCCAGCCAGAAAATTCCTTTCCGCTCAACGCATGTTTACGCTCAAAATAACCTTAGACCTCACCCACTGTTGTTCATCAAAGACCAGCGTCCTAGTACTGGCTCTTGCTCTCCACCGGCCATGCAGAATTTGGACCTTTCTTTCGTCGTCATATGCGAGATTTTGGGTTCGTCTGGCGAGTCAAATTTGGAATGACATCAGATTGGGACATTTGAGCTATAAGCATTGAGCGGTCGACGTAACTACCCCATTATGGACTGGTGTCAACCAAAATCAAAGGGTGCTGCCAATCGCTGCTGCACATTTGAATATACTAGTAAAAAATATCAATTTGGTGTATTTACAAGGTCATGCACTAATGTATTCTGTTGTTACAGGTATACCATCTTGCCGAGTTTATTGAAACCGATCTTGCGATCCTTTTTGCTGTCGCGATTGCCAGAACCGTAACGATACCCGACGTCACCCACACGAGCACTTTCAAACTTGAACAACGATCTTTCTCCTGTTTTCATTTCCCCATAGGTCACTTTTTTAGTGTGCCCAGATGCAGATGTAGTTGAGTGGCCGGTGGAATGCTCCCCCAAAGTGGCTAGCTTTTCCAGAGTTTCGGCAGCGGGCTCCAGTTCCAAGACCTTAGCCGCATCAACGGGCCCAAAAGGTTGCGATTCGGCTATTGTCATGAAACGAGACTGCAAAGCCTTGGCAGGAACAGGAATTTCTGATAGATTTTCCCTTGAGGAGTCTATTTTCGGCACAAACAGAGGGAACATTTTATACATGGTAGAAGCCATGGTTTTCAGATCCGGAGCTATGCGATTCTGTGTAATCAAAATATTGTTAGTAAGTTGTACGCCTCGGCATGACATAAACACATCTTTTGCGCGCAAACCGTAATGAACATTTGACGATTACCACTCCTCTATTGTCAGATATCGTATGAATTTTTAACCATGCATTATTGTCTTCAAGACTAATCGAATATATTTCATTTTAACTCATCATCAAAGGGGGAATCGTCAACTGGGCACTGGAAAACGAGAGCAAGAGAAGAATGTGATTCTTGGGGCGACTGTTAGTAACATACGTATTTTTGCCATTTCTGTTCAACGTCCATAAGCTTGACAACAGCTTCAACGCGTGGGATTTTGAGTCCGTACCTCTGGGACACGTCTTGTCCGGATAAGTGTTGGTTTTCAATGTCATCGTGGATTTGAAGTTTCAGTTCATCGCTGATGATGCGGTTTGTTATGCAATGCTTGTTTCCCGGGAAAGGCTGAAGCTTGCGGGCATTATGCCCCGTGCTGCGACCACCCCGCTGATCTCGGTCGCGACCCCCTGCACGAGCCACCGTGACCGAGCCATCCGGCTGCAATGTTAAAGGTTCACCCGTGATGTGGTCTTGCAGGGCCTGACCTCTTTCCACATCGGGCGTTACGTAGTTGGGTTCATGGTTCTGAGGAACATTAAAGTACTTGTTCGACACGTATTCACCCTTGAAGTTCTTGGGACCGAGAAATTGACGCATAGCGTACTTCAAATTACTGTCATGCTTCTTCGGGTGTTGCTTGCCCAGTCTTTTGAAAGGATAGAACGGGTACGCAATTCTCCTCCTAGAGATAAAACGCACCTGTTGAGTCTGAAGCTGATTGACAGCTGGACTCGAGCGAACGGAGCTGAACATTGTATCGGAAGCGGGCAAGCGAGCTGCTAGAACGTTGCAGGTACAATTGGTGAAAGGATGTGTATAAGTTTTTGAACATAGAAAAACTTTTTCAGATATTCTATTGAGTGCCGGTAGCATGGCCGAAAAAAGTGGTGAGCCGAGGACAAACTGCTCAGAGAATATTAACAACTTGAACGCCAGAAGACTAAAACGTGTGCTTCTGGAAACATTCAGGATCGCCAAGAGAGGCTAATTAAGCAAAAATTCTTGTTTTACTAGTTCCGATTTGTAGCGAGCCTCGGGTGCGAAATGGCGACCTGGAAGAATATATAAGCTTCCATTGCCTTTGGTGTGGAGCTCAACGCCGAGCTGAGAAAAGTGGTAACACACGCTATTGAATAGTGACCGTGGTCTGGTTTTAGCACTATATAGACTAATCTTTTGGACCATGATTTAAAGGCGCGTCGCACGGAGAAAAAGTGATATGAGAGTGCCGCGAGTGTTTTGCCGTTTAACCACTCTTTCGAGTGTCCAGCTTGTAGCCTTTCTGATGCCATTCTGGCTTCTTCGTAAGATTCAAGCGGAGTCTAAAGCAGCACCCTCTTGCAGTATCCCAAGGTTGTGAAGCAAATTTAATGACACTCTGGTACAAAGTGATCAATCGGAAAACGCTGCGTACGGCTTGGCCCGTTATATAGGCGCCTCCTATGCAACAGCGAGGTTGGAGAGTGTCGCAGATGGTACCAAGCTTTTGGGTACGGCTGTGTGTGGCCGCCAGTCGCATTAGCACTTTCTCAAGGTTTGTCAATAGCAAGCGGAGTTTAGCCCTGAGTGCACGGTTTCTTTTCGTCGAGGTGTAATACACCGGTGACCCATCACTGCCTGAGATGCTGATACGCCAACGTGCTTTCCCGAAGCTAGCGTTTTGAATAACGGTCTTGATACTTTGAGTGTGTCACTATTCACGTAATATGGCAATCACTTAACGAAGTCATCGGTGTAACGCGTCTCATGGCAAGCCATCAATAGCGGCTAAAGCATCCGGGATCGTCACCACAGAGCGCGCTTTACAATGGAACGCCACGAGGGCTCCCGAAATTTGTACAATGCTAGATTACAGGATGCATATAGCCACTTGCTCTCTGAACGGAATGAGGATAATTCGTTGCACCTCGGCGTTCCAGAAAGCGAAGTGAGCAGTGATGAGTTTAGCGACGAGGTCAGCGAGGACTTTTCAAGAGGATTCGTGGACCGCAGTGAGCGCTCGAGTAATGGGAGGTCCGAACTCGACGATGACTACGAGCAATTCAAAACGTCCTTGATGCGTGATGAGTGGGCCGGGCTGGACGATGGAGACGACGGTGATGACGACGATGACAAAGACTACACAGAAGAGGCAGATCGGAGCTTTCTGGTGGAAACAGACGAGGAAACAGACGGGGAAACAAGCGGCGTCAATGCGTGGGATCCCAGCTCGGATACGTTGCAGACAAACACACCTAAGATTCGCAACCTCAAGACTTGGGCTATTGTTCTCATGGTGCTCGTCTTAGGCTTTCTCTGGAGAAACGATAACACATTCATCTCTGACTCGCAGTCGGCAGTGGTGGGCCGCCCGTCTAGTGGCTCAAGCAACGCCCAATTGCGCGCGCAATTGAATAGCTTGTATCACGAAATGCAAGACGATCGAAAGACAGCCAAAAAGGAACTCGAGAACGCAATCAGACTCGTTATCTTACAGGTGGAAAAGAATCTAAAAAAGGTTTTGCCAAAAGATCAGCGATCTGTGCAGGCGCAGATTGACCAGCTTGAAAGTAAAGTGCAAGATTTGTCTCGTACTTTCAACTTGAATAACGTTACAGAGTGGCAGGAGTCGCTAATTTCCGAGCTACACGATTTGCTTCCAGAGCAAATTCCGGTGGTACTGAACAACTCCACACGCGCCTTGATGGTAATTCCGGAACTGCATCAATACCTCGCCCACTTGATCCCGCAGGTAGTGGATAAAACCGTTTCGCAAGAAGCTGTCAAACCTTTTCACTACGATGCAGGCCAGTATGTCCGAGAGATTCTTAGAGACGAGTACCAATACGTGGACAAGGCCTTCTTTCTGGATGAGCTAGAGCTAGCGCTGCGATCAAGCAAAGAAGATATCCTGCGCGAGATGGAATCTCGCATTTCTACTCTTGAAAATGTGCCCCAACAATATTCCAACGTACTCCAGCATAAACTCATACACAGAATCTACAATGCCAATCAGCACCAGTGGCAAGACGACGTTGATTTTGCCACCGCGGCACAAGGTACTCGTCTACTGAAGCACTTGTGTTCCGGTACCTTTCAAGGACAAGCCGGAATACCTGCCAACGGCGTCTCGCCCTTAGACCTCTTGGCCGACGGCCAGCCAGGCAGCTCTACCTACTGGTTGTGCAGCGATAAAAACCCTAACGAATGTTCCTGGGCTGTCAGGTTCGCACAGCCGCTATATTTGACTCGCCTATCCTATGTCCATGGTCGTTTCACCAACAATCTCCACCTTATGAACTCCGCTCCCAACTCCATATCGGTGTACGTCAAACTGCAGTCCTCTGCAAACTCAGAGTTTCGCCGCAATGCTATGCAGAATGGCTATGGAACAACATGGAGCTCGGATGCATCATTTATAGAAATTGGAACCTGGAACTACGACAACAGCGATCCGCGCATTCGTCAGAGTTTTCCTCTGCCTCCATGGTTTATCCAGTGCAAACCCCAAGTTCGCAGTGTAGCATTGGTTGTGCGGTCGAACTACGGCAACGCCCACTACACTGCGTTGCGTAAGTTCGTAATAAACGCTGTCACAATGCAGGACTTACAGCTGAGCTCTTCCTACGTTCAGCAGCGCCATTTTGAGATTCCCGAATATTCATCACCGCTGGAGGATGCAGAGAAGTTAAGAGCCTCCCAAGTTGCTGCCTGGCAGCAGGGCTCTAATGAATTCAACGAGGCGTTCGCCAAATCCCCCGGCGTAATTTCTTTCGGCCAAGACGAGTTCGACGAATTCGGTGAGAGTGGCGCATGAAATCATTGTCTCAGCCTACCTAAAGCGCTCGGGTAATGAGAGGGCACGTATTTTTTTTGCAGTGGTGGCAGATCGTTTGTTGCGTAGCGTACAACGGTTTTAGCAAAACGCTAAAAAAAAATCTAATCGAATTCCCTCCCCTCGCCGCGTAGAAACATCTTTGATACGCGCGTGAGACCTCTAGGCTTGATTGTTCTGTGTCAGTGCAAAGCACCAGCTACCTACGATATCTACATTGTGGGAGTTTTGAGCCATTTCGGCAGCGCAATGCCACACAGGTTTTACGCTGGTAAAATTGGCTGCATTTTTTCCAAAGTTGCCATGGTCAGAGAGAGCTATAAAATAAACGCATTTCCGTCATTAAGGGCGCAACCGCAGTCCAGGCTAGTGTACCGTTAACAAATTTGGCAAGTTGACTTGGTAATATCGACTGTTCGAAGTGTAAATTAGAGCTAAAGATGAAATCTTTGTTTGGAATAAAATATCCCGCGCTCTCCAAAGACACGGGCAAAAGTGAAGACTTGTTCGAGCATGTCAAAACAGGGGTGGATTCTGTCGAGGGCCAAGATTGCGAGTCCTTGAAACCGCTGTTGATTCTGCTTGACTGTCAAAAGCGTAAATCATATCTCTCTTGGACCGACGGTAATGACATGCTATTGCAGACCGGGAACCAGACGGAAGTTTCTCCTATTTCCAGAGTTGCTCTTCAAGGAACGTTGCTGAAAGTTGTAGTGAAGCCAGAGGCCAATGAATACGACAACGTTATGGTGTTAGACGTTGCGAACGGTGTTTCTCCGATGAGTTGGAAACTGGGACACACCTCGTTGGACCTCAACGGAGGTGCCGTTACGCTTTTGTGCCGGTCAGTCGAGGCTCAATCCCAACTTCGGCTGTTGTACGATATGTGCATGCTGGCAAGGTTTGAGTACATGTCGCTACGCAAGGCGCTGACTGCCACGGTCATCTCAACGCACGGAAGTCGAATCTCCGACATATCCACAGTGTTGCTAGCGCAGCATAGTTACAAGGATTGGTGTTACATCAGCATAGATGGAGAATGGGTCAAGGCGTGGTGCCATGTTGATCGTAGCCCTCGAAATGCGGGAACCCACAAGGGCCGCCGCCAAATAAAGTTTTTCAAGGACGATAGGTCACTCACAGCCAAGAACCTTTTGTGCTTCATTCCGGCCTGCGACGAGGACAAGGACCTATTCTTGGTGGAGGATCAAGACCCGAACCTTTCAGAAAGTAGCCCCACGGACGGGTTTGCTGACTTGCGCTTCCGCGATCACCTAAAGGCGGCACATGTAGACGGTGCCTCGCTAGAGAGCTCAATGGAAGCTCTGTTATCCAGGCTCAACACTCTACGCTTTGTAGGCGACATTTATTGGCCTGGGTCGACTGCATCCGCGCCTAATGGCAGTAAGTCCCCGCCAATTTCGTTCTCTGCCGGTAGTCTATCGCCACGGAAGAAGCGTCGCAGTGCTGTGGAAGCACCTTCAAACGAGCCAAGTGGGGCTTCGTCGCATAAGCGCTCCAAGTCGGGGGTCTCAATGTCCTCCGTCCACCACCCTGACGAGGGAGACTATGAGTTCAAAACATCGGAGATTCTAATCAAGCCAATACCTCACAGCGGCGTGCACCACCTGGAGTCCCTCATCCGTTGTGCCCTGCCTATGATGGGTTGTCTCAGCTTGTACGGCAGGCCCGTGCATTTCAACAATTCTCGGATGGATCCAGAGTCGATGCTCTTTGGTCTTCCGCGGCTCCCAGTGATTGACTTCTTCGCAGCTGAGGAAATACCGTCTTTGTTTGAGTATACGTCCACCATTGCGGGTGGTTCTGAGCATCTCAACAGGACAATTGCCGCTTTCAAGCAGTTTCTTGCTCAAAGAATCGCGGACAAGGGCCGGCAAAAACTCACTTTTACTACTCTTTCCGATATGATGCAGACAGGATCTGACTTCTCTGTGTTCACAAGCTCCTCGCGGTCAACCAGCAACTCACCTTTGATATAACGTCCGCACTGACAGCACCGAATATATAAAATTTTGGAGAACCAGGTTTAAAAGAAAATAGCTAAATAACGGCTCTTAACGAAGTATGGTCGATACACAAGAAGAAGAGACCACATGGATCGCCAGTGTAGCGTGCCATCGATGGATATGTTAGAGCCTGAGCTTTAAAAGTTGCCTTTCGCGAGTGCTGGCGGATACTTTTGTACTCGTATGATGTGACCTGTCTTATAGAATATAGCTAACTTTGAAAAATTGCCACTCACACTGGTGTGAGATCGTTGAACTTTGATCCCATTGCAACTAACACAAGCTTGTTCCAGCGATCTGCTTCAATAGGTACACCATGCAAGCACCCGTTGTGTTTATGAATACCTCCCAGGAGCGCACCACCGGTCGCGAAGCTCAAATTTCCAACATCACCGCGGCCAAAGCTGTGGCGGATGTGATTAGAACATGTTTGGGTCCCAAGGCCATGCTGAAAATGTTGTTGGACCCCATGGGTGGCCTGGTTTTAACCAATGACGGGCATGCAATCCTTCGGGAAATAGATGTGGCCCACCCAGCAGCGAAATCCATGCTGGAATTGTCGCGCACACAAGACGAAGAGGTTGGGGACGGTACTACGACGGTAATTATCCTTGCAGGCGAGATTCTAGCGCAATGCGCCCCATACATTGTGGAAAAGAACATCCACCCTGTAGTCGTGATTCAAGCCCTGAAACGTGCTCTTAGCGATGCGCTAGCGGAGGTAAAGCTTGTCTCTCGTCCCGTAGATGTGGAGAATACACCTGCCATGCTCAAACTCATTGGTGCCGCGATCGGAACCAAGTACGTTGCGCAGTGGAGTGAATTGATGTGCAAATTGGCCTTGGATGCTGTCCGCGCAGTTCGTGTGGGCGGTTCTCTTTCCGAAGGCTCTGAACAGGCCGTGGAGGGCGTCTCTCAGCCTCCTTTGGAAATTGACACGAAGCGTTATGTTCGTATCGAAAAGATCCCTGGTGGAGACGTGACTGATTCTCGTGTCTTGCGCGGTGTCATGCTAAATAAAGATGTGGTTCATCCCAAGATGTCGCGCTACATCGAAAATCCTCGTGTCGTTCTTTTAGACTGCCCATTGGAGTACAAGAAAGGCGAGTCACAAACTAACATCGAAATAACCCGCGAAGAAGACTGGAACCGTATTTTACAGATAGAAGAGGAGCAGGTCCGTCTTCTCTGTGAGCAGATTCTCGCTGTCAAGCCAACCTTGGTGATTACTGAGAAGGGTGTTTCTGACCTTGCCCAGCATTACTTATTGAAGGGTGGATGTAGTGTTTTGAGGCGAACAAAAAAATCCGATAACAACCGTATCGCGCGTGTGACAGGTGCTGTGGTTGTTAACAGGGTAGAGGACTTGAAGGAGTCCGATGTAGGTACTCAGTGTGGTATTTTCAAAGTCGAGTTGATTGGCGATGAATACTTTACTTTCTTGGACAACTGTGCAGACCCCAAGGCGTGCACAGTCATCTTGCGCGGCGCTTCTAAGGATATTTTGAATGAGATTGAGCGTAACCTTCACGATGCCATGGCGGTGACCCGTAACGTCATGCTTTCTCCTTCTTTATCACCAGGTGGAGGTGCCACTGAGATGGCAGTGTCAGTAAAACTTGCTGAGAAGGCGAAGCAACTGGAAGGTATTCAGCAATGGCCTTATCAGGCTGTGGCCGATGCCATGGAATGCATTCCACGTACTTTAATTCAAAATGCAGGTGGAAATCCTATAAGGATTCTTTCGCAACTCAGATCTAAGCATGCCCAGGGCAGTTCCACTACCGGTATCGACGGTGATACCGGGAAAGTTACTGACATGGTTGACTACGGTGTCTGGGAACCTGAGGTTATCAAACAGCAGAGCATTAAGACAGCAATTGAGAGCGCTTGTCTGCTGCTGAGAGTAGACGACATCGTCAGCGGTGTAAGAAAACAAGAATAATGGGGCCGGTGAGTCGTAGCCCTCTCCACATTGTACATAATCTACTATTTTAAGCCTAGAGAAGAAGTCAATAACAGTTGAGATATGAGCTTTACATAACACTCGGGCACATATAATTGATGTCATTCCGCTGAGGGAATGTAAAACTAACCTTTAAACTTATATAGGTCTGTCTGAAGGCTTGATATTTTTACATTAAGTTTGTGGCCTTGTTCCATTAAAATTTCCTCCAATTTCATTCGATGTTCTCTCATGTTGGATGTGATAGGCAGGACTTCGTTTTCGCCACTGTTGAGCAGCATCTTGAATAAAGGCTCCCAAATATCATGCCTCCAGTACCTTTTAAAATTGTTGGCCAATGCATATTGTCTATTCGGCAACGCCCGCGTTTCGATAAACTTGCCAAATAAAATGGCATGAATTATTCCTGCAAGACCATAATAGTCAGCTTCATATGTCCAAGGGCGACCCTCTCGCATTTCGGGACAGTCTTGTTGGTCAGTACTCCAATTTGCCTTGAACTTAGTCCCACTGGGTACTAACGTCAGGTCAAAAGACCTTCCGAAATCTATCAAATACAGACCCTTGCGATACCACCCGTTCTCTCCATTGGCATCATAATCAGAGAGAGGTTGCAAATCATCTTCAAATCGTATCATACAATTGTCTGGTTTGAGATCTCCATGTATGATACCGACATCATGGATGCATTCCAAAACTTTCATGAGTTCGACGGCAAAATACATGCACAAAATTTCGTCCAAAGTCCCGCCACTCCGCTCCCTCTCCAGATTAATCAAATCCAATATTGTTCCCTGACTTGCATAGTTTAGAACCAGATAGCTTTCATCTTGGAAGCAATGCATAGAATCAACATTGATGATTGAATTTAAAACCGGCTGGCCCCCCAGCCGTTTTTGAATCTGCTTCAAAATATAAAACTCCCAAATACTTGCTGGCTTCTCTACTTTGAGTGCTTTCAGTGCTCCAGTGCTGGATTCTGCGAGATATACGGTAGCATATCCACCTTCCCCTAACTGTGACCGTATACAATACAAATCGTTTGTTTTTTTAAAATCAACGATAGGGTTCTTGTTCGCATTCTTTGAAACCGTGTGAATCCTTCTTAGCAAAGAGCTCATTTTAAGACATTGATTATACTGGTAAAACGTTGGATAAGCAGAAAGCGGGGGATTCAATGTCTTCAACTGCGCCATCCGACTCTCGTCACTTAGAGGTTTGGAGATAATCAAAGGTTGCTCGTCCAGACTTTGAGGCTGGGTGAGGAAGGGGGAGCTTTCCGCTGTATAGGAAAGCGCTTGGCCACCTTTTTTATCTTCATTGGTATTTCCGTCCGTCTGAAGCGAATCCACTCTCACATTGAAACTCGCCTCCGTTCTTTCTTGGATGGGCGTCATGTATTCCTGGAGCTTGCTTTTGTAGGAAGGAGTTGTAGAGCCTTTTTGGGGTTTCGAGTTTAAGTCGGACTCCAGCTCCTTGTGCGGAGTTTTGTGGACTTGATCTTGGGAATTTGTAGTTCGTACTTCAGTTAAGTCGTCGCAAGTTTTGCGTGTAAAATCTTGAGTAAAGTTCTCAAACATCGCAAACCTACTGGTGGTATCGTCATTCTCTATCGTTTGTTGAGGTGCTGAGTAATTCTGGTTGAACATGGAATAGACTTCTTCCATCGCGTCTTTAGAAAAAAATGTTACTGTTGGAGAACTGGGCCCGCTTCTTCTGGCTGCAGTATGCTGGCCTGTTGCTTCATCCTTTAATGGTAATACTGATGTCTTTTCAACTTTCTGATAATCTTGTACATCATCATCGTTTTGCGACACATTCGAACTGTTGCTTCTTGGATGGGCCGGACTTGGTAGCGCTGGTAGAGCTATTTCTTGCAAGGCAATTTTTGGTTTTTTTGACAAACTAAGTTCACCCTCTAACCCCAGTCCTTCGTGTCTCTTACGGTGGAGTTTTCTATGGTAAACGTTACGCGAGATCGCGAGTAACTCTTCAATCGAAAACTCTTCACCATTTTCGGGATAAATCAGCTCAAAATTACAGTCTACTTTTTCCGGTTTGCGCCCGGGCATTTCCAATATTTTGTAGATAGGCCCAGTCCTGCCGATAGAGTCTTTGAAAATGGGCACTCTATCGGCAGACTTCCCAATTGGCTCATTTTGTAGTAGGGCTCCGGCGTTTATACCTGCTTCAATTGGGTGCTTCCTAACCTCATTTTCTTTATCTCGATGCAACTTCGAGTCCAGGACGTCCCACCCGAACTTTCGAAGACCATGATCTTCATCTGCCTCACTGCCATCCCTGAAGATCGGATGTTTAAGCGAGGAGGAAGGGAAAAGAAGCGGAGCTTCAGTATTATTATGGATTCGAGAGAGTTCCTGTCCCAAAATCACGCCCTCGTAGATATCTTGTTCAAGAATACTTTCTCCACTTTTCACGGCGAGAATTTCAATATTCGAGTTAGATAAGAACTCATCAAACAGGTTTAACTTTCGTCGCAGTCTACCTAGAGGTCTCGCGTTATTTTCTATTCCCCGTAACAGAACATCCCTTGCCTGTGAGTGCTCTTGCTGCTGTTTAAGCCAATCTGCAAGACTCTCGTAGAACATTGTCAGCCCCTCACCTATCTGCTTTCTCGTCATGTACACATACAAGCTTTCCTTTTCTTGGTTAGACCCCGTGAATAGCTCCAAGTACCACATCCATATTCGAACATAGCGCGGATCGTTCTTGTAACTCTTGAAATCCCGAAAGTACATCAAACATCTCTCAAGTAGTTCCAGCATCCCACTCTGTTTAGTCTGGCCGCCTTGTGGATATGCATTATTGATCCAAGTGAGGTACTCTAGAAAGAGCTCAAGCGGATCATCCAGATCTTCCAACTCTTGTAAGAGCCGTTCCTCAAATTCCAGCCTCTTCGCAGATATATTGCTCACTTTTGATGAATAGTCTCCGGGAGGCGTAGCCTTGTCGATGATTGTTTTAGATAATGCTGACGCTGATCTGCCTAACCGTAACGGTAATATGTTCTCCTTTTCTCCCTCAATGACTTCAAAATTGGTTGCGGTACTTTGCCCGATAGACATTCTACCTTCCACACAGTCTCTCCTCCTTGTATCGGCAGTAGAGACGCCAGATCTTACTTACTTCAGTCTTGTTTAAGAAAGTGCGATGCTTCGTGTTTATGCCAAACTTGTAAACGCAGTGCATCCTATCTCATCATATATGACGGTTGTGTCCAAAAGGACAATCGAACGCACTTGGCTTCGTAATCAACTTGCCAAGTATCAGAATAGGCTGGTTTAGTGATAACTCCAAAGTTATTTCAGCTACTTAGCGGGTGTATCAAGACATTTGGTTTATATAGAACGAGCAGCTAAAACCGCACTGGCTCCCAACAGGTGAGCAAGGCATTCACCTGGCAATCTTTTGATCGGGAATACCATCATATTCACCATAGCCTAGGGCCAGATTGATGTTTTGCAGACACTGAGTGGCGGCACCTTTGAGAAGATTGTCAATTGTGGCACACACGACAACACGGTCTTGATTATCATTGACCTTAAACCCGCCGACCAACACACCGTGCGTTCCCGAAATATTCTTTACTAGAGGAATATCGTCAGCAATGTTGACCAAACGTTCATTAGCATAGAATTTTTCGTAAAGGGCCTTGATATCTTCTGAAGTCAAAACGCCCTTTTTGATGGGGATCGATATAGTGTGAGAAATACCTTGGAACCATTGTGCTACGTGGGGCACGAAAGCTACATCACGGCCCATACGAGTGGAAATTTCACGTTCGTGTATGTGATTCGTCAAACTGTATGGGATTAAGTTGTTGTTAAGGAAAGCAGGGTCGTTTTTAGGAGAAGGCTTGGTACCCGCACCCGAATATCCCGAAACACCGAATACCGTGGGTAGGCCAGTAATGAACTCGAGCAATGGAGCGATTGCAACCTGTGCACCAGTGGCATAACAACCTGGGTTTGCAATTTTTTTGGCGGCTGCGATCTTTTCTCTGTCATTTAACTCGGGTAGTCCATAAGCCCATTCGGTCTCCGGAACAAACCTGTAATCGGCTCCCAAATCAATGATTTTAGAGTTTCCGTTTACGCTTTCAATTGCTTCTACAAATGGCTTGCAAACTCCGTTGGGCAATGCCATTACCCACATGTCGACTTTGCCTTCCGATTCGAGTCTTTTCAAATCGTCGAAGCCCAAGTTTTCGTAAATTATTTCAGATTTGGTGTATCCATCGAGCTTCTTTCCTTTAAGTTCACGAGAAGAGACATGAGCCAACTCTAGGTAAGGGTGTTTGTCGATCAATGAAATCAAATTTTGGCCGGTAAAACCTCTGGCACCAATCAGAGCCACGCGAGCTTTTCTCGTGTTGCTACCCTCAGCTTTGGGGGTGCTTCTCGTGGAGTAGGATCTTGTGGACTGTCCAGAGGCAAAAACGTTGGATTGGTGACCAGACTGAACAGGAGGGGCCGTGACAGAAGCCACAAAGTCCTTGACCAATTGTGAAATGGTGTTTACATCCTGAATACCATACCAAAAGACAACCTTGCCATTTTTTAAGTATGAGCCTTCTGACTTGTTGAAATGCCAGGCAATGTTCTCATCATCCTCTCTGACAACCCACTGTAGGGCAGAGAAGTCACGTCTCAAAGAACTGAACACATTGTCGGCCACATTGTTCAACCAGCCAATCTTAGAACACAAAAATTTATCCAATTGTGGTATAACCTTATTTTCTTTGACAATTGCCAAGACTTCCAGGGGTTCATCGCAGTAAGAAACGAATTCCGAGGATTCCAAGTCGCGCAAATAGGTGGCGGCTGACTGAGCTCCCGATGAGATGTCCAAATCTCTTTGCAAAGCAGTTCTCAAGGCATCTGGAGACGGAAACTCTCCTAAGTTAGATCTCTTGACAAGTTTATAGCCTCTTCTAATCATAGTACCAGCACCTGAGTCGGTAAACAATTCCTTTTGTAAGTCCTGGACATTGATGATGGCGACAGAAGACGAGCGTGGAAGAAAGTACAGAAGCTCCTTAATTTCTTTGATCTTCAACTTAGTGCCGTACTTCACCCAGCTTTGCTTCATCAATTCTTCGTACTCTTCATCCAAGTTTATCATGGAGATCTTCTCCTTGGTATCACCGTTGATGATACCACCTTTTTCATTCAAGTACACGATTTTCAGTGGCTCGAATATACGGGCCAGTTCTCCCGCAGCAATATCGGCGTTCACATTCAAGGTCTGGCCGGACGCAGTCTCGGCCAAAGACGTCAAGATTGGCAAAGCGCCCGCCTTAATCGAGGCTTCAATGGGGTCTTTGCTGACACTGGTTATATCTCCCACAAGCTTGTATTTATCCTTATCAAGGTAATCGGCGGTGAAAACACCACTCGTGATGGGCCGGGCGCGAACTCCAAGCTGCTCCAGAGCGGTCACCAACTTCAGGTTCTGTTCCAGGAAACATTGTCTCACAACAGCCATGGTGCGTTCATCCGTAATTCTAATTCCATCAATGTAGTCTGGTTCCACGCCCTGGGCCTCAAGTCTGCCGTTAACTTGGGGTCCCGTTCCATGTAAGACGATAGGATAGAGCCCTACGTGGTACAGGAAAGCTAGACATGACGCCAACTCTTCTAGGTTATCGCTAATTATCGCACCACCCACTTTGATGACTGCAAACTGCTGTTGCGAGACAGACGTAAAATACTTCAGGTACTGCTCAACCTCGCGTTTGGAACCAATGTTGTTCAGTAGCTGGACAACCGTCGACCTGGTTCCTTCCGTACCCACACCACTGACGCTAGACACATACCTCCTGGAGTACCCAACTTTTTTTATTCCAGAGGGAGACACTCTGGCAGCATTTCCACTGGTGCTCAGCATAGACGACAACGCCTGCAGACGGGCAGGCTTCAAGCCTTTCAAAGACACCAATAGCTTGGAAGACATGGCCACAATTTGCTACTGGATTGGCGTTGTAGTAGAGGAAATTGGGAAAATGCTGGAAAGGTGAGCTTTTTTCAATGATTCAAATTATCTTGACTCCTCGCTGCGGCCAATCTTGTCCACAGGGGAGATGAGTCCTCATCAGTCACTTTTACCATCGCTGTCGCTATTGGTTCATAAAATTTTTCAAATCAATAGGTCATCCTTGTTATCAATATCGGCATCAAATTCACAACTTATCGACGTCGCTATCCCACAACTACGGACTACAGTTCGTCAACCAATTCGTGGGTCACAGGCCGTCTGACGCGAGTAGATTAATCCGGTGGTATTTCAACGCACATGTGCCACTTTTCGTGGTCTGGGAGCCTGTTGCCGTAGGTTTGTGCCACGGAAAACCGTGACAAGACGGGTTTGAGTGATGAGCCAGGGACTTGAGATTAGGCAATGAAAATTAGTCAAGTGATGGACATAGTGCGTGACCTCTCGGTAAGGTAGTTAACTGTTGTCAGCTCTTCGAGGTAGCATGAGCGTTCGGTTTCAGGTGAAGTCATTTGAGGAGCTCTCTGTTCAAGAGCTCTATCAAGTATTGCAACTGCGCAGTGAAGTGTTTGTGGTGGAACAAACCTGCGCTTACCAGGATGTGGACGGTAAGGACGTTGAGGCATTGCACCTACTCGGAATTTTTGAAGGTGCCATTGTGGCTTACGCACGCCTGTTCGCCCCTGGATATTCCTTCGACAACGCCTCTTTAGGTCGAGTGGTAATCAGTGCCAATTACCGTGATCGGAAGTGGGGGCACGATTTGATTAATTCAGCCATTTCCAGTATCAAAGAACTTTATGGTGAGGATAAAATAACCATTTCCGCACAATTGTACTTGAAAAAGTTTTACGAGGGCCACGGTTTTGTTCAGGATGGCGATGGATATCTCGAAGACGACATTCCGCACATCAAGATGGTCAGAGAGTAGAAGCTACCCAGACAAAACTATCTAGGATTCCAATATCATTAATCCATTGGTTCTTTTCGGCGGTATTTCCTCAAATCTATGTCGTTGGTAGAAACGTTTCAACAATAACGTCTGCCTGTAAATAATCAATTCGCTCAGATGTAAAGTTGTAAGGAAGTGGCGCGCGCGGTCCAAAGTGAGTACCTTTAGTACTCGGGGTGGGCACCGGAACTGAATCTATTAATATTATTAGTTCTTGTGCTTCGAGATCTGTAAGATGTAGTTTTCTCCCACTGATTGGAACCTGGGCTATAGGATGCGTTAGGTCCCGTCGTATTTTTGTAGCCAGAAAACCTGCTTCGTGGAGGGACACTTCTAGGGAATCCGCCTGCTTTGGGTCCCTCTCGGGCGTCTCTGCTCTGTTCTCTAGACTCTAAAGCCGCCGAAAGCTCTAGCTTGGCTAACTTGTTCCTCTTCATGTAGCCACGGCCACCAAGACCACCGCCTAACCGCCTAGGAGTGAAATATCTAACAGTTCTTCCCCTCTCAATATCTACAATAACTTGTCGGCCCTCTATGTCCATGCCTCGATGTACACCAATTTCTCGACAAGCAGTTCGTGCTGAAGTTTCTTCTAGGAAGGTGATGAAACCATAGCCTCGGCTCTTGCCCGAGGTTTTATCCCGAACAACTCGAACTTTCTCAATCTCACCAAATCGGATGAAATGTTTCTGTAATTCCACCTCCGTTACACTGTACGGCAGTCTGCCAATAAATATAGTCCTGTAAGGATCACTGTCGGCCACATTAGCGTCCTCCTGCGCGTTCCAATGTGAGAGTTTATTTTGCAATTCTTCCGTTTCACTTTGCCGCTTGAGTTCGGCTGCATCGTACGCATCCAGGTGGCGATTTTCTGAGCCATGAGCATGCTGTGACGAATAATCACTTAGCTGTGATAAATAGTCTTTTAGTCCTTGGATCTTATTGGCTGTCTTACGTTGTTCTATTGGGTAATCCACTGGCTTTTTGTATTGTATAGGTGCACCAGCTTGAAAGAGTTTCACAACATGGCTGGGATACTTCATGGCCATCTTTGTCACTTGAGGTGCGAAAGCTTGATTAGGCGCTGGAACTGGAGTTTGCCTTCCCTGTCTGGTTGGCGGCCTTGCTTCAATAATTTTTGTAACGTTATTTCTCTGATAAATCAAATGGGCAGAAACGTCAATTAAAGCCAAACGATAAACGGATTAGTTAATAAACAAGAGAACGAATAGCTCATAGGAGCTAACGCTAAATGCTGAGATATATATAGTATATATAGGAGATTTGATAAGCTATACCTGGGGTTTCTTCCCTTAGTTCGTGGTGATTCGCTTTCCATTAATTAGCTGGTTTAGCAAATCTGAGGAATTACTGCCAGTGATGGGAGCCTGGGCCTGAGCCACTGATGGATTTCCTGGGGAGAAGATTCCCGGAGGAGGTGGGGTATTGACACTCCTTTGCTGTTGTTGTTGCAATTGAGCATGCAAAAGTTGTGGTGTCATGCTGGGCACGGAAGAATTCTGGCCTTGTAAATGAGCCTGTTGTTGTTGTTGTTGTTGTTGTTGTTGTTGTTGTTGTTGTTGTTGTTGTTGTTGTTGTTGCTGCTGCTGCTGCTGCTGCTGCTGCTGCTGTTGCTGTTGCTGTTGCTGTTGCTGTAATAGTTGTAATTGTTGTTGCTGTTGGAATTGTGTCTGCTGTTGCTGCTGTAACTGCTGCGATACAAAGTTACCAGGCTGTTGAGTGGTCTGCAAATAAGGCATCACAGTCGGCGTGTGGTCGACCGGCTTAATGGCAAGCATGTCAACTAGTTTGCGACCCAAAGTGTTGTCAGACGTCTCTGATACAGGAATATTCTCAAATGAAAACAAGGAAGGATATGAGTTGTAAGTGACATCATCGACAACACTTGATCTCAACTTGAAGTAACAATTTTTGTAGTCAGATAGCGACTTCAGCGTTTCGTCGATCAATCTCACTGCGCTTGACAGGGGGTCGTATGGATCCACGTACGTTTTGTCATTGCTACCGTTCTTCTTATTAGATTTATTCTGGCCGGTAGCAATGTTGCTGTTAGGGGCGTTCGCGGACGATGAGGCAATTGACTGGGCCAATGTTGCCTCTCCCAAAGTGGGAAACGCAGACGAGGTGGCGAATTTGTTAGTTGGTGTGGAGAACAACGGCATAGCGGTAGGGTTGACGCCCCAAGGGTTGGACCCGCTTGGGACTGGCGCCGGGGTCAAAACAGGTGTTTGGGCAGCAGATGTGGAAGACGAGGACGAAAGATTACCGCTAGTAGAATCGTCTTGGTTATTGTGCAGGTTTGCTCTGATGGGCAAAGGAGAAGGAACTGGTGAAGCAGACGACCCGGCAGCATGATTCTTGAGAGGAGCCTGATTCGCCATATTTCCGTTCACGCTTCCAACCTGCTTGAAAGGTGGCAGATGATCGTTCTGCTTGTTTGTAAGTTCACGTCGGTTGAAAGAGTCTGCCTCTTCACCAGGTTCATGCAAGAACATGCAGTTAGGGTTAGGACAACCTTGAGCTCTCAAGTATGACGAACAGTATTTGGTGGTCCCGTAGGCCGCTTTGACAATTCGACCATCCATGTAGGTACCGTCCACAGCAGCAATACACCGGGCAGCATCATCCTTTCTGGCGAAAGTGACATATATGCCGTACCCTGAATGGTGATGGCTGTGGCTGTGGCTGGTTGGACCTCCATGGTGCTCGCCATGCGTGGTTTTCCGATTCACCACGATCTTGTTGATCTTACCATATTGGCCAAAGTAGCGGTCGGTTCTGAGCAAAGGTGCCACGTCCTCGTAGGCCACTGGCGGATTAAGCCCAACAACATACACGAGATTCTTTTGGATCACGCGCATTCCGGCAAGGTGCTTGCGGTTTGCAAACTCGTGTTCCTTGCGTTCCTTGTCGCGCAGCTTACGGTCTTTCTCCTTGCGCGCCTGTTTGGCCTGTTCCAGTTTCATTTCCTCCGTCGTTAGCACGATGTACTCGACGCTTTCATCGTCATACTTGCGACGACAAGCCGGACACCGACCGTTCAATTCTGGATTTTGACGAATGTTGTTGTAGCAGAATTGACATATCTGGTAGCCACAGGGACAAGGTTTGAAGTTTTTATCTGTTATATCCAGCGTTTCAATACACAACGGACAATAGTCTTCCTCGTCGTCCGAAAGAAACGAAGTGTCGTAATTCGCCAACGCATTTTGGATGGCATGCATGTTAGCCGTTGTGGTAGATTTGTTCATGATTCTGTATTAGCAGTGGGAGTGATGCTTGGGGTCGAAGCTGTATGTATCAAACTGATAAAGTACTGGCAAAGTATTTGGTAGGTGCTTTCGGTCAATTTCCACTAACATTAATTTTTAGCCGGCAATAATCCCGAGTACTAGTACGAGTACAAGCACAAGAACTTTGGGTTTCCACCACCAGGCGTCGAACGCTACTCGTCCCGGGCCTGTCTCTTTCACGATTCGTCAATTCATACATTCGTACATATATAAAGGAAAGCGGGAACCTTACTTAGCCCCTATTTACCCCAGTCTATGCTGCTGCCACGGGAGCGCGCACGGGTTCGGTCAAGTAATCTACGTCGACCAGCGCACTGTCGTGATGACACTCCACAGTAACATGGATATCGAATTCGCGGCTATGGTATTCGGCTCGCTCGTTGTACTTCCAGACTATGTTATGGTCCGGAGTCTCCAATTTCGACTTGTCCTTGAATTTCAGCAGAGGTAACTGAAGTCTCTCGCTGATATCCTTGAGAAGATGTTTTTCCACATGCTGGTGCAAATGGCGCACAAACTTCTTGCTATGGGAATTTACCGTTTCTTTGATTTTCTCTGGGTCATCGTGAGATTCATGCAGTACAAAAGGTGGGTAGTACTTCAAATGGCACCGCACATGGTCGAAATCCTCGTCCTCCGTCTCGTTTTTGATGAACAGCTCGAAAGTTTCAAGATCTTCAAACACCTTGATGCTCTCACCCTCTTTTGTCAAGACGGTGGTGAACTTTGGCTTCTTATCTTTCTTGGTCATGGTTGGTTTAGAGTGGTTATTAGGGCTGGAGAGGGTAGAAAGGATTCATTTCTGAACCCCTCCTGGGACTCCATGGCTCACGACTGAGAGCCTTTTATATGACTGCTGGTGCAGGGGGTGTCAATCCAACTAGACCCGTGGGGTAACAAGATTGGTCAGTATGTCACCCCACGCCGTGTATTTGTTGTACGAAGGAAGCGCACCACACTTATTGGTGACGGCGAATATGGAGAAGGGGACGACGCAAATGGTATGAAGTGATGCAAGCGGCCAGCGTATCAAAGCGTACAAGGTCGCCCTCTCCTTTTGGGCACAGCAGCTGCCATAGAGAGGGATGTGCAGTGGTTACGAATTATGGTTGATCATGGACGAAGACGATTGTATCGCTGCAGGGACAATGTTGGTGCATTCGGTCTGTCTGGTGGTGTATCACTTTCTACGGGAGTGGTGATGGCCATAAAGAAGGTCAACTCCGATCGTGAGCCCAGGTACGGCGTCGTCCTTATGTGGTCGCAGCGAGCGTTGAGCGCTGCGGAAGGCGATGGGCCCGACGCCTGTGGGAGGTTAGCATCTTGTGTCACGAGTGCTTTGGCCCTTTTTTTGTTGTCAAAGTGCTTTTCTGTTGGGCAGTGTGAGTGTTTTTGACGCACGGGACCTGAAGCACACTCAGTGCATCTGTTCAAACCGACTGCCGGTCTCCCTTGGTGTGGCCCGTGAGCTGGGCGAAACGTTGCCGTTTTTACCACGCCCTGGCATGACATGGCTAGGATGTTTCAACCAACATCTCAACAGCACCGGTCTCTGGTGCGGTGGTGAGAAATCACCAAGTGTTGGTAGTTCGAAACCCCTGGGTGGCGATTACAAAACCATGTGACAACATCAGTTTGGCCGAGTGGTTAAGGCGATAGACTTGAATTGACTATCAGTTTAAGATATCTATTGGGCTCTGCCCGCGTCGGTTCAAATCCGGCAGCTGATGAACACTACAATTTTTTGGTGTCTGGCGTATAAGACTCCAGACAACTACCTAAACCTTGCTCAGGAGCTTGCTTGACAGGGCTGGCCTGGGTATGTGTTTGAAACAAGAGGAAACTACATGCTGGAAGCGCTACCAGTCCACCGCTGTCGTCGAGAGTTCCACGCTTCGCCGTCGATTTTGTAATCGCTAACATGCTCGGACGTGCACGAACGGAGGCGAAAAGCGATGGTGGTGGTCAACGCGAAGTGAGGAGTGAGCGTCGCTCTCGCTGATGGCGAAAAGCGATGTTAGCCGCGCAGGTGGCGAATGCCATTGCACGTGATGACATCTTTCGGCTTTTCTGACCCAGCCGAGATTCGATCCCCGGTCAAAAAAAAAAGTTTGTGTCCAGTCACGTGCTGTTCTCTCCAAGCGCTCGGTTCGCCCGGACCTTTAAACCGAGATACTTGGCGCGGATAAGTACCACCGACGATGACTGCTGGGCAACCAGTCAACCATATTGCAAGATTGGCGGTTTGGAAAGGACGCATGTATGGACAACTGTAAGTGTTTCTCAGTATTCTTGTCACGGGCCGCATCTTTGCGTGGTTTTCCCATCGCATTGCACGCCCATTGGGCCCTTGAAGCACTGAGCTACGAGGTATAAATATCTGATGGATTGGACCACGTTTCCAGCGTCTAGGGCTGTGTTGTCTGCCAGAGTTCTCAAAGCGCAACTTGGCCTTTGTTCTAGACCTGTGAGTGCAAGAAGTGTGGGCGAATTTGCTCTTCTGGTAGGCTATCCAACGAGCAGAGCGTGGAGACGATATAAGATATTGGCGAGGCCAAGTAACGCTTGCTTGGAGCTTTGTGTGCGATTGTGTTTCCTTGCATTTGACTATGAGCGAGTCTTTTCGTCAGCTACAGTCCGAATTGGAGCGCCAAACGCGCGATATCGAAGAATGGTGGTCCCAGCCACGCTGGCGGAGGACGAAACGAATCTATTCTGCTCGTGATATCGCCGCCAGACGTGGCACGCTTGCCCTGGAGACCAACAATGTGTCTTCCCTCATGGCCCAGAAACTGTACCGGCTGCTGGCGGCCCACCACGAACGCCGGACCGCCAGCAGGACGTTTGGGGCCTTGGACCCGGTTCACGTCACCCAGATGGCGCGATTTTTGGAAACTGTGTACGTGTCCGGCTGGCAGTGCTCGTCCACGGCTTCCACCAGCAACGAGCCGGGTCCGGACTTGGCGGACTATCCCATGGATACGGTGCCTCACAAGGTGGACCACTTGTTGAAGGCCCAAATCTTCCATGATCGCAAGCAGTGGGAAGAAAGGAGCCGGTGCCGGTCAGCTCGAGAACTAGAGAGCCTGGGGCCCGCCGTAGACTACCTGCGGCCCATCGTGGCAGACGCGGACGCAGGGCACGGCGGTATCACCGCAGTGTTCAAACTGACCAAGATGTTCATTGAGTCCGGAGCCGCAGGAATCCACATCGAAGATCAAACGTCAACCAACAAGAAATGTGGGCACATGGCTGGTCGGTGCGTTATTCCGGTCCAAGAACATGTCAGTCGACTGGTCACCGTAAGAATGTGCGCGGACATCATGCATTCGGATCTGGTGGTGGTGGCTCGCACGGACTCCGAGGAGGCTACGTTGATCAGCTCGACCATTGATCCCAGGGATCATTACTTTATCGTAGGCGCGACAAACCCACATTTACAAACGTCCTTGTCCGAGAGCATGGATGCCGCTATCTTGAAAGGGCACAATGGGCAGCAGTTGCAAGATCTGGAGTCTCGCTGGTGCAAAAAAGCTGATTTGAAGCTGTTTCACGAAGCATTTGCAGATAACGCCCGTAAACACAAGCCGGCCCATTGTGAGCAGCTGATCAAAGAATTCAATGGCCAAGTGGGACCTCTGAGTGGTGTATCCAAACGACAAATGCAATCCATTGCTCGCGAACTGCTTGGCTTTGATATTTTCTTTGACTGGGAGTTGCCCCGCGTCAGAGAAGGCCTGTACCGTTATAAGGGCGGCACGCAAAGTAGCATAATGAGGGCCCGCGCCTTTGCTCCTTATGCTGACTTAGTTTGGATGGAATGCAACTCCCCTGACTACAATCAGGCCAAAGCGTTTGCCGAAGGCGTCAAGGCAAAATTCCCCGATCAATGGCTAGCCTACAATTTATCGCCCTCGTTCAATTGGAACAAGGCTATGGCCCCCGATGAATTGTCAACTTTCATCGACCGACTCGCGAAGTTGGGTTACAGCTGGCAATTCATCACCTTGGCAGGGCTTCACACCAGTGCGCTAGCGGTAAGTGTCTTTGCTCGGGACTTCGCAGAGAGGGGAATGTTGTCTTATGCGGAAACTGTACAGCAGCAAGAAATCGATCAAAAGGTGGACATTGTCAAACATCAAAAGTGGTCTGGTGCTGAGTATATCGATAGTTTGCTCAAACTCGCACAAGGTGGTGTTAGTGCTACCGCTGCAATGGGCGTAGGTGTGACCGAAGAACAGTTCCGGGAAAATGTCAAGCTGTAAAGGAGCCGGAAAGTTTTGTTTATTCTTCTATAGTAGTTTTCTGTTACATATAAATATATGGGTATTGGGAGCTCCCAGGCTGAGGCCTGATCATTTTCGTTTTTCCATTACTGATGACTTTCCAAAGCTCCGTCTGCTTACCTGCCGTTGAGAAATATGTCAAATTTATTTATTAGTGAGTCATGGTATGGCTCACAAGGAATATTCCTCGAAGATTCATCGCCTTGGGGCCCTAGCAGACAGAGGACGGCACTCAATAGTTTCTACTGCATAAACGCAAGAATTTTGGAAGGGTTTTGATTTCCCAGGTAGGGCCTTCTTTTCTCTGAAGACCAAACAACTATATTGATTCCATACATGATTCAATATCCAGGTGTTCAAAAGCCTGGAGGGTCTGGCACAACTCGGAAGATACGAGAACAACTAAACTTTACAGATGAACGACGGTGGAAACAATTTTCTAGTCGCAGACTGGAGCTCATTGAGCGCTTCCGGCTGAGTGAGCGGAAAGCCAGTGAACAAGATCAAAATGTATCACAGATCGCCACGATCTTAAGAACGGAATTTGGATATCCTTTGAGCTCTTATAGCGAGTTCGAGAAGCTTGTTACAGCTGCAGTCCAGTCAGTTCGACGGAATAGGAAGCGATCCTCCAAAAACAAGCCTGTTCTGGAGTCGACTACAAATTCACCAGCCAGCTCGCCTAACGTCTCTAATGGTCCACAAAGCACAGAGGCAATTCCGGAACAGTACCACGTCAAGAGCTTATCTAGTTCGAACTCTCCATTACCCCAAGAGAATTTCTCTCAACCGCAGCAGCAGCGACAACTACAAACACGACCGCAATCACAATTACTGCGGCACTCAACACAGAGTTTATTTACACATTCATTACCAGGTAGTCACGATAATGGCCTGGTGAATGGCCCACACCAACCACCTGTACTTCCTGCGATACATCCGAAGCCCCAGTGCATCCCTTCAATTCCGTCAAGAACCACGTCCCTGCCTCCAGTAATGGCATCGCAATCTCATCATTATGACGAACTGACTAAAACGATAATAGCTGATTTGGTTCATAATCGGGTGTCTCTGCATGAGCAGTCGCGACATGATGACTTTAGTCCAAATTTAACAGATTTCGCCCTATCGAGCAACGACGGAAATCTACTAAACCTTGCATTTCAATCCCCTGCAACGGGCAGACTCTCTAATACGGTTGCTTGCCCAAAATCAAAGTCTCCCATTGAAAGCGATAAAATCCCTTTTTTCCTAAGAAAGAAGATACTACTGCATGTTCAGCGATCTAGAACATGCTTAGAGTTGAGCTCTGCCCAGGGGTCTCTCGAAATTTATTCGAATTTAGCCATTCTGGGTCAATCAGCGATCAGGGCTTCTATTGGGTTCGTCATGGAGCGATTTTTCTCCAATCTGTCTAGCTCCTCGGTGGACTATATCACATCAAAGATGAGCTCAACGTCGGAGTTGGCAGCTGTGGCTGTCAAAATTTTCAAACCAGCTACAGAACGCCACTTTGAGCAAATGCCCCATGAAGCACAACTTAAACTACTCGGTCTGATAATGGGCGCCATAATAAAGGACTTTGGATTTGATCCTTGCATCTACCCATTGAGTGAAATCATGCACGATGTCATTTTAAAACAATATCCACTAGCGAGTCAACCAAACAGAGACGGTGAAAGGGCGGCCATCATGTCGACGCTGTCAATGATACCAGCATCGGCTAACAAGGATATATATCGAAAGGTGCTCCTAAAGTTCAAGGATAAAGAGCAGAGTTTTACATTTCATCTGTTGAGTAATGGTCCACCATCTATTGCTGAAATATTAGATAATTGTCGACAACTGTTTCAAATAGTGTCCCAGACTAAGAGCCTGCATTTATTTCACAACGGAAGTGTTGTGAAAGATGACGCGGAGTTGGCAAAGATCTTTAATAAGTTCACTTCTGAAGAAATCTTGATCGAAATCTGTGAGGTCAAAGCTGACCCATTCGATGGACTTGCAATACTGAGCAGTGTATCAGCTTCGGCCAGGCCAACCAAAGATTATCAGGATTTGCAAAAGTTGCCCAAAATCGGAGAAAAATCTCCAAGTGCTTCTGCTGCTGGTGCTGTAAACCATTCGCACAACTTCAGTGCTCTGAATAGCGAACGCAGTGCATCGTCGACGACATATCCTGCACCTAGCGCACATTTAGCTAAAAATACGTTGGAGAAACCCAAGGGAGGGGAAACAACTCTGGCTACAGCAGAAGATAGCCAGCAAGGGTCCCCTCTTGTTTTCCAGCCCTTACTATAAAATGAGAAAAGAATGTTGATATTTTGTTAAGTGCTTATTTTACTATGTGCTTTGTAGAGAAAGATATTTTCACCGTAGGTTGGAGTCTCTCTGTCTCTCTGTCTCTCTCCTTCTCCCAGTAAAATTTCCCACAACCAGCTGGGCGGCCCACTTTTCACCATTAAACTGTTTGATGCATCAATTACCTTGGCCAACGCAATCTCAATACTCCAGTGGGGAGAGTTCGTTAACTTTCAACCTATACCCTAATGAATACTCCTGATTCTGTAAACTCTCCGCGCAAGCGTCACAAAGCTCTCGCGCATGGAACCCAACAATGGCTTTGTATACGGTGGCCGATACCACACGGTGGCCCGTATTCAAATCGAGGTTCTCAAGATCTTCACTTACTTTGCTTATCTCGTCGCTTGGCTCTGTGCTATCCTTTTGCTGCATATCAATCTCATTCTTGGGATCTGTGTTTTGTGGAGTGGATTTTTTCTCTTCTTGCGCTTCCACGATCTCAACATCGACCTCTATTTCGGCGTCCTCGTACACTCCCACATAAAACTCTCTGGTATTAGCTGCGGTGGCGCTACTCTCCATTTCTAAAAGCTTTCGGCATTTGAGCTTGATAAAATCTTTCAGTACCGTCCATTTGAGCTTTCCGTAGCTCTCGGGATGACTGGTCCTTATCTGAACTGCTGTGCTATTTTGTGAAGCACTTGTGTCTTTAGGATGCAAACCGTATGCGCCATTGACATCCCAATGTAGACACGGCGGAAAGCCTTCTAGCAACAATTGGTGCATGCCTCTGGAACTCATTTGTCTGCGGAAGCTTTCCTCGCTGAAAACTTGGCGCATTTTCCGACCATGCTGTTGGTTAGGCTGTCTTATGTAGTTCTCCTGGGAGATTGACTGTGGTGGTGGTGGCCCTGAGAAATACATTGAAGGGATGGGAGGCATGGGCGCAAAGGGCATCATCATATGTGCGGATGCAGTCGCCACGTCGCCGCCATGACTTGCCATTCCGATAGAGCCCGGTGGACTCATGGGGTCCAACATCGCAGCAGCACTTCTACCGGGAGGCCCCGCAAGGAATCCAGCGCCGTCTGAGACGTGCAATGGAGGCACAGCATACGCCATGAGCCTGTAATACTCCCAGGTATACCCGTTGAGCTCCATCAACAACCGGTTCAACTGCGTTTCCGACTTTTTCAGCGACACTATGCAGCTCTGGAACGGCATGAACGGCGGAACGATCGACTGTACTGGAGGCAGCATTTTCACTTGGAGAATACAAGAGTGGTGAATCATGCCCCCGACCATATACTTGACCTGGCGCCAGTTTTTGCCTGGAGGCAAGTTGTCCACCCTCACGTACGCTACCCGAGTGTTGAAATGATCCATTTGATTACTCAAAGCGACATGAATTGCAAACTGATAGAAGGGCCAAAATGGTGGTCAGCGGAATCGATGGTGTTTGCGCTGCGATTCCAAACCTGGGTGCAAAATTTCAACTAAGAGTGCGGAAGCTGCCCACTAGTTGCCGAAGAAAATCCCCTTTTCCTTGGAGAAACCACAAATAGCTTCTCTCTGGTGATCGAAAGACAGTCCTTCTAGTGCTACCGTCGCAGAGCAGTGAGTAAAGTAACCGAGACAATAAGCCTGATCACAATCTTGAAAAGTACCGTTCACCACCTGGTCAGGGTATCGCTTTTTTGTGAATTAAATGAGGAATCTAGCCTTATATGTTGGAATATAGGGTCAATTGCAGCGCTTCGAACACAAATCTGCTACCTTTTCAAGTGTAAAGTCCTTCTCATCCAGTACCCGAGTTATGAGAAGAGCTACCCAGGCTTATTTTCCTTCGTACTTTGCGCTCCGCTGAGATGCGATGGACACACTTGCACAATGGCTAGGAACAATTCTAGGCCCTTGAAAGACAGCAAAAGGGGCGGGGAGAAGATTCGGGCACGTGAGTATTGGTCATGTGATTTGTGCCCTGGTTCGATTCTCGATGGAAGCGGTTCCAAGGTCGAGCTAAAATTCAGTGGCGCTGAGGACGAGGCCACCAGTAGTCGGACCGTCAACAAGGTAGGGCCACAAGGTTGTGAGGAAACTCACAATGATGATGGTATTAAAAGAAAAAAAAAGAAACCGACACAACGGAGTATTACACCGCGTCTAAGAAGCGCGTAGAGTTATTGTCTCTGACGCTTGGGATTTTTGTTGCGGTGCGACTTTTTTTTGCCACTATGGCGAGGTACCGTGGATTCGGGGCCCTTGCCCAGTCCCAGTTCGCGTGCGAGTTGGGTAGTCTGGTCGAGGCCGAACTTTTGGATCCGGGCGATCTGGCGTTCTAGGAAGTCGATGGAAGATTGGTCGTTGCCAAACTTCTGGGCGCGACGCAGCTTGACCTGCAGGTGGTCCAGAGCCTGGGTCTTTGCCTCCTCTGGGGAGAATGCCTTGGGTTTGGACTCTGCTTCGGAAACGCGACTAACAGGGGCATCTTGTGGCGCTGACACTTCCGCAGGCTTTTTCTGGGCAGCCGCGTCACTTTCGGATTCCTCCTTAGCAGGCTGCTGTACATCGTCAGCGGCGGGAGTGTCCAGTGAAGGCTGCGCGGGTTGTGGGGCATCAGAGGCGTCTTGTTCGGTTTCAGCGGGGTTTTCGCTTGCAGCTTCAGCTTTTTCAGCATCGTCGGCCTCCAATCGGGCGATCAGGTCTTTTTTGATCCCATTGGTGGCCAATTGCCTCGATTCAAGCTCCTTGTGAAGCTGTTTGACCGTCTTTTGTGTGTAGGCCGTCATTGCAGTTGTGTGTTTACGAGATTATCAGGGCCTTTATTGGGTCAAGATTTTTTGGTAGTAGTGTCACGAACAAAGATGTACGTGAAGCCCAGGTGAAGAAATAAAATAATGTAGAGTAGGATGCGATGATAGGTCACAGCTGTGCGATTCAAAACTTTCTAGTGGCTTGTCGGTGGGATTTTAGAGGCTAAGGTCACCGAAAATTGAGAGGGAACTGAATCGAGAGACTTCGTCGCTGTCACTTCTAAAAATTCTGCTTTTAACTTGAACTAGTACCTCAGGGTGTTATTGGTTCGTTTGCCCTTCCGCCAGCAATATTTCGGCCATGGGGACTCCGGCAGCGGTCGTTCTTTTTTTTTCGATGCCAGATTCTCATCATTGGGTCTTCGACGTCTGAGAAAAGTCTGATCGTTGCATTTCATGATGAATCGCTGCAAAAGAAGATGGATACACTTCTTCAAGTCCCAAATGCTGGTGCTCCTTTCCTGCGTTCAGGATTCAACGACCGCAAGGTGTCAGGATAATCTAAAAAGACAAAAAATGGAGCAGGGAACTACGAGCTAGGTTACCATTCAATAGTCAATCGTGGGCCTTGGTAGATATACGGGCGACCTGCAGGCTATTTCAGCATTATTGTGGGGAGCGTGACGGTCGCTTATCAGCCATACTTGTTTACGAACTAATTTTTAGAGGACTGTTTATTGTTTTAAGCATTGTAGGAGGTATTCAAAAGTAAAGTCACAACTCCGAGCCTTGGTGAAGTGATGAAGTGAATAACACTACCTTTGTAAACCACGTTAGACTTGTTAAAATGGTAAATTTACGAAATGTAGCTCCTTCTCGGCCTCGATGTCGAACCACGCTGGAAAACCTTTTTGCTTTTCCAGCAACATAAGAACTGTGGAGACTAAATTATGATAAACTTATTCCCCGTAGCTTTGGTGCTTTGATAATGGAATGAGAGCAGATATATAAAATACTGTGATTCAGAGGATGCTGCAAAAGTCCTTTTTCGAATTTGAATGGAGAGTGCCATTTGAAAGGAGTGTATATATTATCTCAGACATTCTTATGGTGATTTTGAGAGAAAAAAGCCATGCAATCAAAAATAACCTAGTTCACTGTCATGGCTGAGGCTTGACCAAGGATGGTAAATTTTTGTTAAGACTTCTGGATGGTATTGATCTAGTACTGTTTGAATAACATTAGGTTGCATAATAGTTATCATGGAAAGAGTGTCACTGTAGTACGACGTCAGTAGAATAGAGGTGGACAAGGCAACGGACAAAAAGCTATCACACTGAAATATCCTGGCCAGCCATTTCAACTAATCAGATGGCCTAATATCCAATTACCGCAGCTGCACTAAAGATATTCCAGCCAGAACTTTGCAAAAATACCTGCTGTACGTCATGCTATGGATCACACTTATTGTCCAAGTAATCACGGAAACACAACTAGCAGTCGCTTTATATGCCTCAAACTTAACCCCCCAGTACTCAGCATAATATTCACAAATGTCTATCAACAAATTAAACAAGTAGTTCAGCAAGTCAACTACTGCCGACGATGACCTGCTTCAAGATAAGAATAGCAAGAAAATAAGAACGGATGACTGTGTCCCCAATATATGCATTCATCCATTCTCCATGTGAGCAGGTGTGAAACGGTAAGTAGTCACCACTGCTGGTAGCAAAGTTTTGGAACGAGGAAGTTAGAATCTATTCAAGTTGTCTCAAGATACTGACGTACAGTAACCGAAGTTTGAGTGGGAATGAACAAGGTGCTATGATTTTTGAATTGACACAAATTGGGAAGGTAGAGAACCCGAAAGAAGAAATAATACCTACTGAACTTTTCTGGCGCTATCTGGGAAATTGTAGCACATGAATAACTTTGTACAAGCAACAGAGAAGCTCGCACAATAGACCTCTCAGTTTTTCCCACCACATTGTGTGAGTGCTTTACTACCTTGAATGCTAAATCAATATGTTGTCATTTTGAATTTTGGGACCGCCTTGTGGGTCATATCACTTAAGAAACTCATCGTACGCTTTGGCGAGAAGCTCCAACGCCTTGATCAGCTGTGCTTTAGAATTACCATACCCAATCCGAATAGTGCCAGGTACATCAAAACATTCGCCAGGTGCACACAAAACTTTGTACTGCGTGGCAAGTACACCTGTAAAACTTTCAGTGTCCTTCACACCATTGACCTGTAACAAACAAACTGAGCCGCCCTGGGGTTCATGGACAAAAGAAACCCTTCCTTCTGAGTTTAATAATTCTGATAAGATCGCCAAATTCTCTTTGCACAGGGCCAAGTTGCGATCAAGCAGAGGTTTGCGGTCTTTCAAAATGTAGCAAGCAACTGCGTCGTCTATCATGGATACTGATATCGTATTGTAGTCTCTTCTGGAAGCTGCTGTTTCCAGGAAGCTCAAATCTTGAGAAACGATCCATCCAAGCCTGACACCGGCTGCTGAATACGCCTTGGACATGGACCCCGTGCTGACACCCGATGCATTTATTTGACAGAACGATTTAGGCTGCTCGCAAGAATGGAACAGAGGACTATAAACCTCATCGCTGAGAACTCTAATTCCATTCTCCTCGGCAAACGCAGTGATTTGCTTCAACAGCTCCATTGGAATGACGCTGCCCAGTGGGTTGTTAGGGTTGTTGATTACTATAAGTTTTGTGTTGGACTTAATCATGTTTTTGAGCTCAGCCAAGTTAGGGAGAAAACTATCTTTGGCTTTCAACGGTAATAGATCAACCTCAGCGCCGAACATCTTTAGAACACTGCTCAACTGCTGATACGTTGGAGCAACACAGATAACACGGTTTCCGGGCCCTGCCACAGCGTAATGAACCAGAAAGTTAGCTCCGATAGCTCCATAGGTGATCAAAACGTTGTCCTCGGTGAATTGTACGTGCTCATCGGAATGTATTTCCGCAATTAACGAACGTAGTTGCGGAGACCCCCGAATAGACCATAAGTAAGTCTCTTGATGTTATCAAATTCGAACTTTTCCCCCGTGAGATTTTTCAACTCTTCGAAGCTCAATGAGTAGCAGCAAGTTTCACCAACGTTGTACTCGACATGTTCCTCATATTAGTCCATAAATTGTTCCACTGAAAAGTCCTCTTGAGCTGGCATGGTCGGTTGACCACTTATATTCCGAGACCAGAGACAGCCATATTTTGGGACCCACGGCCTTTTATATTCGTCGAGCAGTTCCTGGAGCTTTTGGCTATACTGCTCTGATCCATGTAAGACGACTAGTTTAATATCACTGCGAAGGGTAGGTAGTTGGACCCGAGATTAAGTGACAGAGCCCAAATATACATTCACGTGATCTGTGTCGAGGTGCTTTCATTAGAAATATGCTCGTTCTCAGCCAACTTTAAGGCTTCTGAAGTCGCAGAAAACGTCCTTGGGGCTTTCGAATTGTCAGCTTTATTCAAGGTTTTGTACGTCTCGAAACCGGGTTCAAGGCTGATGCATTGAACCGATAATGCTTCGGCTTTAGTTTCCAGTTGGGACCGAATCACCAATAGGTAGCGCACTGGCACGCTAAACTAACGAACACTTCCGCCGGTGTAGCAGCTATATAGTTGTGTTTTCCTCGGTTTGACGTATGGAACTTCTCATTAGGATATTCCATTAAGATGCTTGTTATACAACACTTCATGGCAGGTAAAAAAGTTTCACCAGAGTTTACAGAGTGATCTATCATCCATCGTAGGAGCAGTTAGACGATACATGAGACAATACCTGGAGCATTATCCTCTACATCTGACTACTAGTTATAAATCTTTTAGGCTCATTTTTATCATTTATTTCGCTGACATTTGATCATGCCTGTCACAATCACTACTTAATCACGCAACCGAGCGCTATAATATAGCATAGGTAGTGTCCCGTTGGCCCATTCTAATATTATTGTAACTAATTGGCACATTTCAACTACCCGCGGGTTTGAATCAGAGCACGAGGCTGATCTACTTGTGGTATTTGTCTGTTGGGTGGGATTCGTACGTCGGCAAATTAATAACGTAAGACGGGCTGCCGGAATGTAGTGCTGAGTAAAATAGGTGAGATTGTGGTACAGTGCGGCTTTGGACCGTTGGATTCCCCTTGCAAGCTGAGCTCTCAACTTGTCAAAAACAACATTAGAAGTGGTTTCCACTTATATCTCATCATTGAATTACTAATCCTGAACCGGAGTTCCATGATCTTCTATCCAAGCACAGCTGAACTTCTCCAACAGACCTGGGATATAAGAATCATGAGAATTGATTCTAGACAGAAACGAATTTCCGCTAATACATACGTCAGGCTGATAGTTCCCCTAGCTTTGGTGTATACCCGCCATTTCCGTCATGACCTTCACAAAGCTAGTAATAGCTGGGAGTACTGGCCTCTTGGCTGACGAAATCTTACCTGTCATAATTAATTCTACTAAACCCAAATTTGACGTAACTCTACTGACACACAGCAATGGTGGGAGGAACACTGCGTTCCCTGACGTCAAGACCGTTTCCGTTGACTATAACGACCACAAATCCCTTGTACGTGCTGTGGCTGGTGCCGACGCTATTATATCACTTGTATCTGTTAAATTCAATAAGATAGTTGATTTACAACTACTCAGGGCTGCTCAGGACGCAGGGGTCCGTCGAATTTTTCCATCAGAGTACACGATAGATGTCCTTCATCCTGCGGCTGAACCTCTTTTGAAATCCGACAACGAAGAATGGAGGGATATTCCATCGCCCGCAAATGTTGCTCGTGAATTTTTAGCCCTTGCTGAGGAAGAAGGGCCTACGAGCTTCACGACGCTTGTCCCATCCACGTTTATTGATCACTGGCTAAGAGGATCATTTGGAATGTTCGAGCCGAAAGCTAAGAAGATTGCGGTTCGTGATGGTGGGAATCATTATTTTACTGGTTGTTCATTGCCTTTCATCGCGGCTAGTCTTCTGGCCGTGCTGCAAATGGATGAAGAATCGACAAAGAACAAACGCATTCACATTAGTGAGGTGCGTGCGTCGCTAAATGAAATTACTGATGCATTTGAAGAAGTAACGGGGGACAAGTTTGAGAGAATCCCTGTCAGTTCTGAATCTATGTTTGAGCAACGAAAGAAGATTTTTGCAGCTGGGGACATTGCTACAGCTCTCTACTTCGGTGTTTACATTACTGCATTCAACGGTTGTGGTGCGGGAGACCTGAAGGATGGCTTGCTTTTCGATGGAGATGGTTACCTCCGTCTGGAGAGAAGAACTCTCAAGGATATTGTGTCTGAGGCCGTTCAGAAAGCTTAACTTTCCCAAAGTAGCTGGCAGATCAAGTTGTGAAAAACAACAGTAAGGTAGAAGCCTCTCGGTTTTTTCATGAAGTTTTTTAGTCTACAGTATGACCTTTTATACCCTCTATAGCAGATAACTTCGCAAGTTGCAGTCTGTTCATCAACAAATCAGATAGGGCGCTGATCGCTCGCGACAACGGTGGTATGATGTCAAATTTTAATGCTAGAATATCCAATATATATTTTATCCCTTTATTAGTTGCTGGAGGAGCTAAGCTTCAGGTAAGCCGATTTTAGTTTATCTGCAGTTAGGATTTTTAAAAATCGTGCATGCTCAAGGTGTATCGAGTAAGGTTCTGAACTATCCTGTTAAATTCCCAGTGTCGACATTAGTATTTATTGAGGCGAATCGGGCTCATTAGTAGAAAGCTTACTAAATTTGTTTGAAAGTCGTTGATAGTAATTGTAAGATGAGTAACTTGGATCTAGGGAATTCTATTTATCTTTCTGTACTTATTTTTGGCACTAGAGCTGGCTCAGTTACTTTAACGAATGCCTGGTATTTATACAATTCTCGCTCGGTGACTCTGAATAAGACCATTGTTAATCATCCGTTCTAGATCATCCTTTTATCAATAAATTGCGGCTCAATGTCAATCGCCAACCCCATTGGACAGTAGATCTTCTTTTCGACTTGTCATAGTGGTAGGCCGATTCGCATGGCCTCTGTTATGTGCTATCATTCTGTACCACTGTGTCACGTATTTCCTGACGCTGATTAGGCGGCTAGGCGCACATCACCATCAGTTTCCTCACATTATTCCCTGTGTTAAGGAAGCGGGCATTTCGCCATTTTTCACCCCCAAGACGATACTCAAACCATCTCACACTTCTCTACAGGGTAGTAAGTAGCTATCAACTCGGCCCCCCATTTTTGGTATTGATACAAGTGATACAGTCCCGCAAATAGATACTGAATAAAGAACGCCTGGGTGAAGATGCCACAGCCAGAATTGTGAGGACTACAGCTTTTCATGCAGTAGAAAACCACGAGACTACCCGTACACATGGTCATGAACAAGAGAGTACAATCGCGGCTAACAAGTCTGGCAAATTGGATGTTCTCTTGACAAATTGGCTCAGGGTTGTTGCATGGTTCATCTCCATGGGTATGCTCAGTATTTAGGGCTATCTCAAGGAAACTACCCTTAGCCAGGATAGTTGGCAAGAGGAATGTCATCGAGACTATGAGCATTGCTATTCTTATTCCAGGTTCAGGGCCGTTCATTGTGAACTGTGATATTGTAGCTTCAGAGCTTGTCAGAAGTTGGGTGAGGTGCCGTTGGATGAGTGCGTTCTATTTATCCTGCTTTGCAGATGGTGGAACTTGCAGGGCGTTTTTGCCGTCAAATGGTGCCAAGTTACAACAAGTTGCAGGTGAAACTTTCGAGACCAACGACTTGGCTTCCTGTATCCACATATAGAGGTAAAGAAAAATAGTACAAAGTTATAGTAAATAGCTCGAGCCATGCTCACCCGAATAGGGAGGAGCTACCAGGTATTTTTCCACCAAGTGTACTTTTTTACTCGCACTGTGGCATGTCGCTCTGCGTCCGCCGACGTTATTGTAGAGAGTGATAAGAAATTCGGGCGGCCGCCGAGACAACAATCGAATGTATCACGCGGAAGTCACATGGGAAGCTACCTCCTCCTCCAGAGCACGCACGGCTCCCACGTGACCCAGAACCACGGTTGCATCCCTGTGTGTGAGTCGAGTCGACCCATAAGGCACAAGTTTCGAAGCACGTGTGGCAGGACAAACACCCCACATCACGTGCCCTGTATCTCCACTCAAGTTCGGATCAAATTCGGGTTGCTCGCGCGGATGCCGTTCAGATACTCCTCTTCCCCAAACCGGGTCGCAACCAGATACCTGGCGATGAGATATCGGGTCGTTTGCCCCCTGTGCCGACGCTCTGAACGGGTACCAAATGGAGCCCGCGTTTCTTGTTCCTTGTGCCTCCGACGCCTTTCTTTTTCACATTTTGACCCTAAGGGCCTTGACCCTGGGTCAAACATCCAATTGACCCATTTGACCCATGTCGTGACCCACTTGACCCACTTGACCCATCTTCTGACCCACTGCACCATCACCTCTGACGTGGGCCACGCCCTTCCGTCGTGGTATGATCTCGCATACAGGTCCATCTCACCACCACCACCACCACTTACACTACCACAACCGATCATCATCTGACCTGTAAGCGTTGCTCTCGGTTGGGTCGGCGACGTCGACAACGTTGATCACGTCGGCCAGGACGGGTGCGTCAACCGTGGGTATATAAACGACCCAGGGTCCCGGGCCAGTACCTTCCTCGGTTGAACTACTTGATCTCTCAACCATCAAGGAAGAAGAACTTCAGCCTTTCCTATACAGACACACACACACATACCTAGCATGTCTCTATCCAAACCAGTCTCTTTGAAAGTCAACGCCGCCCTTTTCGACGTGGACGGCACCATCATCATCTCCCAGCCGGCCATCGCCGCGTTCTGGAGAGACTTCGGTAAGGACAAGCCTTACTTCGACGCTGAACACGTTATCCACGAGTCGCACGGATGGAGAACCTACGATGCGATCGCCAAGTTCGCTCCAGACCACGCCGACGAGGACTACGCCACACAACTAGAGGCTGAGATCCCCGGCAAGTACGGCGAGCACTCCATCGAGGTGCCAGGCGCCGTCAAGCTGTGCAAGAGCCTGAACGGGCTGCCCAAGGAGAAGTGGGCCGTGGCCACTTCGGGCACCCGTCCTATGGCCTCCAAGTGGTTCGAGCTGCTTGGCATCACCAAGCCCGAGTACTTCATCACCGCCAATGACGTGAAGCAGGGCAAGCCTTTCCCAGAGCCATACATCAAGGGCAGAAACGGGCTTGGGTTCCCAGTCAACGAGAAAGACCCTTCCAAGTCCAAGGTGATCGTCTTTGAGGACGCCCCTGCCGGTATCGCTGCCGGTAAGGCCGCCGGGTGCAAGATCGTCGGTATCGCCACGACTTTTGACCTGGCTTTCCTCAAGGAGAAGGGCTGCGACATCATCGTGAAGAACCACGAATCCATCAGACTCGGTGAGTACAACGCCGAGACCGACGAGGTCGAGTTTATCTTCGACGACTACTTGTACGCCAAGGACGACTTGTTGCAGTGGTAAGTGCCCGCGCACGCGCGTGCCGGCGCTCCACACTACGCCCTGTGTATCATATAGCATGTAATGAATGAAAATTGAATAGATAGCGAGCTCGCGAGCGAGCCCAGGCCTTACGGGAAACGGAACCTTGGGCCCGTCCACCGTTGATCCCGGTGGTGCCTTCTTCCCGTTCTGTGGGCATCTCTCTTTCATAAACCAATTAAAGCGACAACTTACTCGCTTTACCACTTATCATCCTCACCATCTTACCACGAACTTCAATTTGTTTCTTGTCTCATCTCACATCTCTCCGTCATGCGCAGAGTCGTGGTCACCGGGCTTGGCGCGCTCACGCCCTTGGGTCCCTCCGTATCCCAATCATGGTCGCGCCTGCTCCAAGGCGCCTCTGGTATCCGCCCCATCCTCCAGCTTCCTAATTATAAGGACTACGAACCGCACTGTCCTCCGGAGACCGCGGTCGCGCAGGTCGCTGGGTTCGCTGCCACCAACCACCCAGACCTGTTCACCGCGCAAGACCTTCGCAGAATGAGTCTATTCACCCAGTTCGCCGTTGTCGCGGCCCAAGAGGCTCTAATAGACTCCCAATTGCTTGACCTCCTACACCGCGAGTCCAGTTTAAACGACCGGTTCGGTTGCGTCTTGGGCTCCGGAATCGCCTCCATCCACGACTTCTACGATTCCATCCTCAGTTTTGATGGTGGTAAAAAGCTGTCACCGACCTTCGTGCCCCGGATCCTCGCTAACATGGCCTGCGGCAACGTTTCCATCAAGTTCCAACTACGAGGCGTCTCCCATTGTGCATCCACGGCCTGCGCAACGGGGAACAATGCTGTTGGTGATGCTTACAACTTTATCAAGCTCGGGTACAACGATGTGTGCCTTGCGGGCGCCAGCGAGGCCAGTGTACACCCGCTGGCGCTGGCTGGGTTTTTGCGTGCGAAGAGTATCTCTCCAGATGGCGTCTCCAGGCCGTTTGACGGCCGTCGTAATGGATTTGTGCTAGGCGAGGGCGCCGGAGTGCTGGTTTTGGAGTCACTCGACCACGCTCGTGCTCGCAATGCCAAGATCTACGCCGAAATCGAAGGTTACGGTCTCACTAGCGATGCCCACCACATCACATCGCCTTTAGAGTCCGGTGACGGTGCCAGACGTGCTATGCAAATGGCGCTTGGTAGTTACAATCCCAGCCAGGTCGACTACGTCAATGCACATGCTACTTCCACGGTGCTTGGCGACAGAGCAGAACTGCGCGCTATCCAAAATGTTTTCCAAGGCTCTCTCAATGCCCCACTGAAAGTCTCCAGCAATAAAGGTGCCATTGGCCATTTGCTGGGGGCCGCAGGCGCAGTTGAAAGCATATTCACCATCAAGTCTCTACAGGAAGGAGTAGTGCCACCTACCCTGAACTTGGAAACGGTAGGTGGCTCGCAAGGCGACGATATTTTCACAGATATGGGACCGATTGACCTGGTCAAAGGTGCCCCGGAGCGACGCGAGCTCCGCTACGCTCTCAACAATAGCTTTGGGTTTGGAGGTATCAATTCATCAATTTTATTCAAGAGATGGGATGCTTCAAACTAACTAACTATACTACACACTGCGAAATAGCTCGCGACCCCTCCGGATCGCTCCTATTTTCCCCTAATGCTCGGCCAGGTCTCTCTATAGCACCCACGGGATAATAGCATAGCTAGGAGCAGTAGCTGGGAACTTTCGCCGATACCAGTACCTTGTTTCCAGCGCTGAGATTGTCAAGTTGACCATCACCCACACCACACACAACCACATTTTGAAGGAGTTAGTGTACATGGCCAAGGCCAAGTAGATGCCAACTTCGTCTAAGTAGTGTGGACTCCCCACAACCCTAAAAAGTCCATACGTGGGGAGGGTGTATTTCCGCAATTGGGCCAAGTGACAGTGGTTTTGGTGCTGATCCCACGAGGCCATCGCGAACATTAATAAGGAAAAAAGTCTTAGCCATAGCGACACAGAGTGCTCACCGTCCTGGTACGTGAAAACTGTATAATTAACAGTAGAATAAAACCATAGGCCTACCAAATAGTGCGACACATGAATGAAGGAATTCTGTCCGAATTTGTTGACCAAAAGCGTTTCCCACAGCCTTCGGATAGAATGAAGGAATACTAAAATGGCAAGAACAGTGTTGGATTGCCTTAGATTGAGTGCTGCTATGAATGTAGAATAAAAGTAGAAATGCTGGAAGCAGCGTTTGGGCACTCTAAGAGTTTGCAGATAACCTGAAAATCCTTTTGACGATGTCTTGACGTCCTGCAGTGTCTTCCCATATTTCAGAAGTAAAGGCGCCTGTAATTTGGCCAACAGAATGGACCCTAACCCAATGATAAAAGTACTGTAAAACACCACATCGAGCACCACCAACAAGGTTTCCATTTACCGCACAATCTATGATGGCAGTGGTGATGGTGAAAACTGGTATTCTTCTGGATTCCCGAGGTTAACCAAAAAGTTGAAGTAAATCAAATCAATATCAAATATACAATTAAACCTATTAAAGATGGTGATGATGATAATGCGTAAACTACATATACAATTGTGTTTGAGTGTGAGCGCCCCGCTCAGATTAGCGACCCATGTATTTCAACTCAACCGGCCTCAAGACAAGGTAAGTGATAACCGAGAAGGCAAAGCCTAACTCAAAACCGATGTCACCACCATAGAAACCAATCAAACGGCCAATTTCACCAGTCCAGTAGGTCTGAGCCATACCCAGAGCGACACCAAAGCATCCGACAAACAGGGCAGTGCACCCGGCAATACCTATGGGGAGGGCACTCCAGTTGTCCCAGTCCTCAACATGGTAGTTGGAAAACTTGTTCTTTCTGAAGACAAAGTGCTCGGTCAACGAGATACCAATGTAAATGGCTAAGTAGTAGGCAATGGCATCCATGAAGTTGGACATAAAAGAGGAAAACTTGTAGTAAGCTGGAATGGCAATGGCCAAAGTAACCAAGTTACCGGCAATGGTCCAGAAAACTCTTGGAATCTTGGCCAAAGGCTCCCACAATGCTTGAGTACCCAAGGCAATGGAGTACATGTTAGGAATGTTGTTAGCCACAGTAGACATGGCCAACAAAACACAGCAGAATTGACCAAAACCTCCGACAGAGTTTGGAACAAGAATGGCAAACACCAAACCACCAACACTCCCACCTTCCTGGTCGTAGTATTGCATGTATGTAGCGTTGTTGAGGGCGGCGCAACCGGCGGCAGCACCTAGGATGATGGCGAAACATAGTGGGAACATCAATCCAGCCATGACGGCAGCGAACACCTTAATACGGTTAGTGTTGCGGGGCATGTAGACAGTGTAATCAGCGGCGTAAGTGGTCCATCCGGCAGCAAAACCGAACACGACACCTCCCATGGACAAAATACCACCTGCAGTGTCCTTGCCAGGGTACCAAGGGCCAGCGGTGAAGGAGCCGTCAATGGCCAATCTGGCAATGATAACTAGGAAAACTGCGAAGTTTGGAATCCATGAATACTTCTCGTAAGCGTGGATCACACGGTACCCGAAGAAAGTGACCAGGATGGTGGAAACCACGATGATCAAGCATCCGGCCCAGGGAGGACACTGCGCTCCGCTTGGGTTGACCATGTGCAGAAGTTGAGCCGAGGCAATGGTGTTCACAGCACCCCAACCGACACACGCCACGATGTTAATCAGGGCAAACACACGGGCCGTGACATTACCCAGTAGGAAACGCGACAACACCATTTGTCTGAGACCAAGCTCAAGACCGAACACCGAGTAAAAAGCCACGGGCAACACCCCGAGGAAGGAAAACAGCACAATGGCCAAAAGAGTACCCCAAAAGTTGATTCCGAAAATCAAAGGACCCAGCGTTCCCAGAGAGAACGCCGCGATCACCATGTTCGCCGAAAACCACATCGAGGCCGCATTCAAAATCGAGTCGTCGTCCTTTTCCGCGTCCGTGATGGGCTCGATACCCTTGGTTTCCGCACGCATCTTGGCCGCTACACGGTCCACAAACGACAGCTTCGTGGCCTCCGACGACTCCACAATCGGCTGCGAGTCGTCATCCGACACCTCGAACCGCGAGGCGCCGCGTTTTTCCAAATCTTGGATTTCGTACTCTTGCTTGGACGACATTTTCTTGTTACAACGCCTGAGATAACTGTGCTAAGAGCCTTCTTCAAACTATCAAAAATCCGGGACGAATGACGCCTGAGCTGAGCAGCTAAACTAACGAACTATCGCTTCCACCGTGCTAAACCTCCAGGCCTGTCGCTGCCAAACCCTGTCTCTGCCGGTTGTCTTATATAGACCATGCGATGAGCAGTGAAAAATTGTCAATTGTACTAATCGCATGATAAGCCGAGAGAAACACAGAGCCTTGGCCCCAGAATGGCCAGCGCAAGAGCCTATCGAGTGGCCCACCAGTATCCGTCAGATGTCAGTCTACAAATTTTCCTGGGTTTCGACGGACCGGATGTGCCGTTCCCTCACAGGGATTAGGCGGGAAGACAAACTACCTTTGACCGGGATACACACTGGAATTCGCTGAAAAAAACCAGTGAGCAGATAAGACAGCGTTGCAGATGATGCGCTTGGTTGCCAGTCCCGGGGCGGAAGAGCCGCACGTCGTATGCGGAGCACCCTGGGAAGCCTGGCAGAACAATCCTTTTGAGTTTGACAGCTAATGACAGGAGGCAGAAAGATTTTTGTATGAAATTTTTCGCTGGGCGAGTTCTATGCGCGAGAGATGCATGAGGGCGCAGGACAGCCGCATATGGAAGGAAAAAGAAAAAAGGCCACAAAACAAACTCAGTCACTGTTCACGGAAGTGTTATCTTGGCAAGTCCGATAACGACTTGTGCGGACGCTAGGGTTGGCCCATCTGAGCGTTCGGATCAGTCCCGGCACGACCGTGCGGGACGGGATAGCTAGTGGCAGCGGCCGGTGGGCGATAAGACATAGGACGGTTCAGGGTGTCTACGATTGGCGTGGCGTTTGGTCAGGACCGGGACGACGTGGGGACGAGGTTCGAAAATCGCGAGTTTCCAGGACGTCGTCGATCTCCGTCGTCGATCTCCACCGTCTCCCTTACACACGAGAATGAATATCTTGGTTTTATTAATTAAGTACCATGCACAGTCTATAATACAAGCCGCCTGGTCTAGGACTCTGACGCAGGGTCTTCGGATTCGCCCTCCGGGCCGCCCATCTCGCGCTGCCAGAAATCCCGTAGTAATACTCCGTATTTTTGCAATTCTTCCACCGTTATTATTAGTTGGAAATCGCACAAGATCAAAAACTGCAACTCCAAATGATTCAGCTCCTTTAGCGATATGCCGCCAACACGAGCATACCTGGAATTGCTGTAGAAAAAATCACTGAAGAATTTAGTGCTTACCGTCACCGCCGAGATGATGAGTCGATGGATGTTGTAGGAGTCCATCACAAACATTTGATCTTTCCCCGTGTTGCATGCCTTTGCTATTCTATCAAAATACACCAACAGAGACAGAAAAACATCATTCGTGGTCGGGCAGTACTTCTGTATTCGTTGGAAATACTGCTGCAGAGTGATGGCCGGCACGTGTTTGCCGCGGAAACTTAGTATCTCGGGCGCCATGCCCATCCCCATGCTATAGGTGTGCGGCGAAGCTTTTGCCTCGCCCGCGTCACCGGTCTCCCCAGTAGGGGCTGTCCAGGCTGCCTCCTCTGTGAAGGCATCGTCCACGGGCGTACGGTCCCTATGCAATTGATCGTTCGAACTCACGATCTTATCTAGCAGCGCAGTCAACATGTCGAGGAGTTGCGCCGTTGGGAAATTCGCGATCTCCACCAGTGCGGGTCTTTCAGAAACCTTCGGCTCACGCTCGATTTCTGCCATTCGCCTCTTCATCAACACTTCCTTCATCTTGCCGGTGGATCCGTAGGAGCCTGTCACCGACGTTGGCGAGTTGTGGAATGGGGCATAGTCTTGCAAGACGTCGTTTTCACGGGCGGATTCCTGGAAAAACCGAGAAGACTTGGTTTTTGGATCCTTCGCCACGTCTATCGGCAAGGTGCGAGCCGGCAGGACGCTATTGCCATCATTTTCGTTACCGCTAGATTCATTGTGTTCGGTCGCTGGACGAGCGTGAGGGTCATTGTCGCCGTGGCCCTGGTTGTCATGCTCGCCAAAGGTGACATCGGGGTCCAACAAATCTTCTTCTTCCTCTTCTGACTCATTGGTTGAGCTCAGCTTTGTGGTGGTGACGGGGTCATAGCTTGAGTGAGCACGCCCTTCAGGTGTACTGCTAAGATCATCTCCTAACGAGGTGGAGATAAAACTACCATTTTTGCCCAGGAAGGAGCCTCTCGAATACGAACTGCTTCGACGAGCAGAGGGTGGGCGTTTGCCATTGGAAATGGCATACGCAGAGCCAACTTCATATCCAGATGAGTGAGAAAAATGGGAGCCCACTCTTGGTCCAGTGTCAGAATCTCCGGGCAATTTTTCGTTCATGGGCGTGGTTTGATGTGATAAAGGATGCCCTTCGTATGGCGCATAAGTTTCCGACGAGTGCGAGCTGCTGAGGGCTTCCTCTGTGATACTGGTCGGACCATCTGCGTGCAGAGCAGAAACCTGCGTAGACACTTGGCGAGGAATCATCATCGGTCTCGTTCGTTGAGCTGCATGGCTATGATCAGAGACGTGCTCTAGAAACAGTGGTCTTTGAGCCATCAAATATGCAGTCCAGTATTTAACAAAGCGGCTTGAATAGTGATTGCGTCAAAGATCCCGGATACCACGCTGTCGTTTGGTGGCGTTTCCCGAGCATGGGACGTTTTGTTTATGATCGTAGCCCTTCACGTCCCTTGGAAATTATATTAAAAATCAAATCTTAGTACGAAGCGATAACTAAATATTGCCTAAGCGTTCGACCGAACGACAGAAACGGTGCTCTGATCACCGTGCAAATCATACCACAATCGGAAGAGTAGTTGCTCTTCGCTGCTTCACAATATTGGGCAATTGAGGTCCATACGGTTGTCCTTGATACGAATCACATCGCCATGTACATCACTATATACGAATAAAGTTTTACTCAATGGCTTGACACCGGCCACTCTCTCTTTTATGCACTAGTTGCTGGCATCAACTGGGGAGATTTGTCACTTAGCTCGCCGATTAATTTGTCCCATGTTCTTTTTCATTAGCATGGATTTGTTAGTGACATTTACTTCCAATACTTTGACAGAAAGAGGGACCAAAGAACGACTGTCCGACTGGTGCTACTTATAGGCAGCAGCATTAACGAATCCTTCAAAACCCCTACTATCTCAACTCTCCACGTTTTCATTCGTAAGGTTTTCTTTTCACCAGCATTCGGCCCAGAGACGTCTATTTACAAGTTACTCCGTCCTATTTTTCTTAAGTTAACACTCCGCTCTTATTTAACCCTCTCGCCATCTTTTGTCAAAACTTCTCCTGACAGCGGTTGCATGGCCTCATATTTCTTGCGAAGTTCTATCTGCTGTTCGTATTCACTCTGGTTGAAAAGCTTCTTCTTCTCCTTTACAGCATCCAAACTGGCTTTTTTCTCCGCCTGCCGCTTGGCATCCTTGATGGGACCCTGGTGTAAAGTGTCTCGTTCCAGCTCTTGCACGTAGTGCACGCCAATGACTGTGGCAGTAGTGGCCACGCACGATAAAGCCAGTGTAATCTTGCTTGCTCGACTCATGATAAAGCAGATATTGAAGCAGTATATGGCAGTAGGCCGCAAGGTCCTAAATGGTACTGCTCTTTGATACAGATGCTATTACTTGATCTTCTCAAATTCTACATTATCTAATGAGCCGCACATGACAATTCACCGCTACCGCCAAAGCACGGGACCGGCTGTATATCTGCTTATTGATCTTAAACCTAGATGACTTTTAAAACTTAACACTTACAAGCTATTTAGATTAGTTCTTCTTGGCGTTCTTGGTCTTCTTGTTGCCAGTTTGCTTGGCAGACTCAGCTTGTTCCTTAACAACCTTCTTAACAATCTTTTGTTCCTCAATCAAGAAAGCTCTGACGATTCTTTCCTTGACGGCGTTGGCGCAAAGAACACCACCGTAAGGTCTGGAGACGGTCTTGTGGGTCTTGGAGACGGAAGCGTATTGTCTTGGTCTCAAGGTAGAGACACCCTGCAAAGGAACACCGGTGTCACCACACTTTGGTCTGGTAGCCAACTTCTTGATGTGTTGAGCACGCAAGACACCACCTGGGGTCTTGACGACCTTGATCTTGTTAGAACGGGTGTTGTCTGTCAAAGAGTTAGTAAAAGGGTCTTATGGGGGGTCATACCAGTACATGAGGTTCAGTGGCGGCAGAATACATCTTCGACGGAAAAAGTGCAGTCACCTCAGCTTGGTGGGTCGTACCCCCAAGGTTGTACTGCACAATTCACCAACTCATCGGCTTAAGGCTAGCGTCAACCGATATGTCATCAATAAACACAGCTTATTGATGAACACAGCCTAACCATCCCATGCCAAATTTGTCGCTAATTTTTTCCAACAGAGCGATCGAAGCTTGCCATTATTGTGAAGGAATATCTGTCACACTTCAAAGCCCATCACAAATCACCGCTGTGGACCGAACCTTCATCCTTTCTGATATTGAATTGCATCTTGTACCATCCTAAACATACATGGATTTCTTCTTCTGAAAGTAACACGTTGAGCCATCTTTGGTTTCTGAGAGTTATCCTACTGCTACTGTTAGAAGTTCGCTAACAATGTGTATTATGATCATGGAATTGTACCAGGTCTCAAATTTTTTCACAGTATCCAGAGGATCACCACCGTGTGAGTGTACCTACCAGTAGCTTTTTACCACCTCGTCCAAAAGTATATAGGTATGCTATTGGCGTGTTTAGCGATATGCACCGATGACTCGACATTTCCACAAATCAGGTGACCGTAGGCGGGAGGCTCTAGGCAGGCTCCTTCCAAGCCAGCAGGGGAACTGCCGGGGTTCCGGAAGGAAGCGCGGCTCGCCCCGTCCCCCAGCCAGGCCGACGTAGGGGAGCGCTAGGCAGCCTGCCCAGAGGGGAATTGCCTCCCAAGAGTTGCGTGGGTGTCATCTGAGTGGCACGCAATCGCAGTCTAATTGTTTACCAAAACTTGGAAAAAATATATGACTCCCAAAATATTGGAAACCCATACATTGTTGAAAAGCAGTCACAGGTAAATGATGACAGCGCCCGTGCACATGACCAAACTGTTTCTACAAGATCAGGATATCCAAAACTTGGTTGTCGAGAAAGATCATTATTCGGCCAGACACAAAAATATGTACTCTATAATCTTCGAAGTCAGGTCAGGTCAGGCCACTTAGGCAGTGACCAAATTCAGGAAGTGGTAGCTTCTTTACTCTTGCTTTTCAGTAGCGATGACCTCCATTTCCAAATCCACGTTCAACGGCAACGACTTGACGGCCACACACGACCTAGCAGGCTTGTGCTCGTTGAAATACTTGGCGTAGACCTTGTTGAACTCGGCAAAATCATTGATATCAGCCAAAAAAATGTTGACCTTGACGATGTTGTGTAAACCAGAATTGGCCTCCTGCAAGATGTTACTAACGTTTTGAATAACCTGCTCAGCCTTGTCGCTGATAGAGCCTTCGACTGGCTTGTTTTCGGCGGTGTATGGAATTTGGCCCGACACGAAGATCAAGTTGTTGACCTTCATGGCTTGCGAGTACGAGGCCGCTGGTGGAGGCGACAGTTTCGTGAAGACTGGTGTTAGGTTAGACATGGACCTGATGGATTGTTTAGCGACGTTTCTCAAAAACATTTAAGCCTTGTAGACCAAAATTGCACTTCAGGGTTCGTGAGTTCCAAGTGCCCCATTTTAGAGCATGTCTATACTGTGGATAATGTTAATTTAGCGGGTCTCGGTGATCATCGTAAACGAGCCATCGGACTCTCAAGTCCAAGCACTTTGCACTTACACAGACAGTTTTAAAGCATACCCCATGCTATCCAGCGGCGCTGGGTGGCTATGTCTACTCAGTGGCCTTTAGGGTATCCCGAGAAGACAGACCGCCCTTCATGCGGTTCCGGAAAACGACCACCGCCAAGTTACCACCTGACATCCCCTGAGTATATGGGGTGCACTAAAGGCCTTGATAGAACTGGTCAAGAAATGGCCCGTCCGATCTGCAGATCTACACTAAGCGGAGTTATGGCCTTCGATATGACCGTCGTGTCACTAAAACAAAACTCTAAAAAACACACTATTATAGTCTCCGAATAGCTCTCGGCGCATTCTTCTCCGGTTTCTCGTCAACCATGAAGCAACACAATGATCATCTACGCCTAATAAACTAGCCGGGGCCACTCTGGATTAAGCTTTCTTTCCTAAATCGAGCATCGACAAGTACTTAATTCGCACCTTATCTTCTTTACAGGAAAATAAAGACAGCGGGGACGTGAAAATATCAGATACGCTAATTCTCAACGAAGGCGCTGAGTTGGATAATTTCCTTACTAAACACGTCAAACTGTCGGGTGTCCAGCATTGCAGGTGTCAGGAGCCTTACTGTAAGATTTTAGCACCATGTCTGAAGAATCCTCAGCTCCGCACTTGATCGATGAAGATGTGCCTGTTCAGGACCCTATCCGGGTTCTCAAAGATCTAACCGCAGGAACTGCAGGAGGAATTGCCCAGGTGCTTGTCGGACAGCCATTTGATACCATGAAGGTGCGTTTGCAAACATCACGAACGCCGACAACTGTGGCAACCGTGGTCAAGAACTTGGTGAAAAATGAAGGCCCTCGAGGCTTCTACAAGGGAACTTTGACTCCGCTGATTGGTGTTGGGGCATGTGTGTCGTGCCAATTCGGCGTGAATGAAGCCATGAAGCGGTTTTTTAGCGGTCCCAAGTCCAACGCCACTACAACGCTAACTCTTCCGCAATACTACGTGTGTGGATTTGCAGGAGGTGTGGCGAACTCTTTTTTGGCGTCCCCCATTGAGCATGTCCGGATTCGCCTGCAAACGCAGGTGGTATCTGGTACGGCAGCTGAGTTCAAAGGTCCTCTTGACTGCATCAAGAAGTTGGCCCAGGCGAAAGTACTGATGCGTGGACTGGTACCGACGATCATGCGCGAATCTCATGGGTGCGGAACTTATTTCTTGACATATGAAGCGCTAGTCTCAGACCAAATCAAGAAAGGTGTTGCGCGGGCTGATATTCCTGCTTGGAAATTATGTTTGTTTGGTGCTCTTTCCGGTACAGCGCTGTGGCTCATGGTGTACCCAATGGACGTTGTAAAGTCAATAATGCAAACTGACAAAATAACATGTCCAACTTACGGCACGAACGTATATCAAGTCGCGAGGACCGTGTATACTAAAAATGGGATGAAAGCATTCTTCAAAGGATTTGGTCCCACCATGATGAGGGCTGCTCCTGCGAATGCAGCAACATTTGCATCATTCGAAATGGCAATGCGTCTAATGGGTTAGAGTTTTGAGCACCCAGCCCGAAAATTACAAATTTATAACTTATCAGCAGCACACGATGCACCTTTTGTTACGATATCAAGGGGAGCGGCATCATTGGGCTTACAATATATTAATATTCTATCATAATGAGCGTAAAGGCTAAATTCTTTCATCATTTCTTCGGCTCTCCGCTTACTCACATTCTAATCTGCGCAACAAGTAATCTACCTCGACTTTCTTGGTTAATGGAATTACCAACTTCTTGTAGATATCCACAAGGTATGCAGGAGTGATCTTCCGATAGCCAGCCTTGTTTGTAGGATCAACTCCGTATACCTCCGCCTTCACGCGCAGTCTTTCAAGGATTTTCTCCTCAACTGCACTATTCGTAATGTTCCTATAAATGCCGTCGATGTCCTTCTCCTGGATCATTTTGATATACAATGGGCGGTCAGCTTGAAATTTGGCCTCCGCTACAAACTTTCCAAAATGAATTCTCCTGCTGAGACTTTGTAGGCATTGGATATCTATCGTAGCTACTGAGCCAAAATTTTCCCAACTCTCGCCATCGTACCTAGAAATCAGGTGAGTTATTTGATTGATGTACACTTCTTTGATTTCGTTATTAAAATTCACCTCCGGAGAATACGACGCCAGGACTCTGGGATACTGAATGCTAGGGAGAATGGGCTTCAAGATCTTATCTGGGAAGAAAGGCGTCTCATCTGGGGACTCAAAACGTCTAATCTGTGAATCAGTCATTTCCGAGTGCATCAGAGCCCAATCAAGAAAGCTGCCTTCGAAGTCAGGAATGGGTAAATGAGGGTCGTTTTCTTTGTAAACTGTGGGGCATGTTGGGAAATGAGACCTCTCGATGAACTTGAAAATGATGGTATCTTCCATCTTTACCAACTCATCGCGGATATTCTTCAGGTCGAGAACAGTAGCAGGCTTTAGAAAGTCCATTGCAGCCTAGAGAGTATGTGGTTGAAAGTATGTGCGACTTCGTTATTAGAGGAGATGAACTAAGGTATTGGTTTTAAGTAAATTGGCGCTAATGCGTAAAAAGTGATACAGATAAAGCTTATAGCTTATTGACACTACCGTTATCTCGACTACTTACTTACCCTTGAACACATGCAGACAAATCCGGTTCGCTGAAATGGTTTAAGAAAACAATCAAGTGGAGAGCAGACCAACTTGGAGCCTCAAAGCACCAAGCTTCACTCACGAACTGCGCGTTCCCCCCTTATCCTTCAATTCCTGAACTATCCTTTCATTCTTGTGAGCCTCTCTGTCGAGATCAGATTTGGCTCGATACATTCCGTAGGTCCTGAACCACAAAAATCGCCGCAGTCTTGACCATTTATCTGTATCTAGGCCATAATTAACATACGCCATCACTAGATCCTTTTCCGTTTCGTCGTGCGTGAAATGATTTTGGGTCAAAGAAGCCTCGATCCGAGTCAGGAGAGCGGTGCATTGCACGCATACAGCTAGCCCGCATATCCAAGCCACTGCAGTCCAAAGAGAGAATCTTTTACCGGGATCACTACGATGCATCTTGTTGACTTCTTCCCATGTTCCAGCATTCCAGTATTCGTAATTGGGGCTGCTGTGGTAGCCATGAGCAGTCGCCGCAGCAGAATACGGGGAATTTCGAAAGTTTGCAGGTGAATAGCTCCATCCCGAACGAAATCGATCGTAGGTACTTTTCTTGTGCGAATCACTCAACAGTTCGTAAGCTTCATTCATAACCTGAAATCTACTTTGCTTGTCCTTACTGGATAATAGGGCCGATTCGTCTATTATATAGGAGTGGTGAGACATCTCTGTGCTACTCTTCAAAATTCGCACGCCATTCGACATGTCGGGATGATACAACTTCGCCATGGCGTGGTATCTCTTCTTCAGTTTTCGCCGGTCAATTTGGCCCTGAGGAATGCCGAAAACTTCATACGGAGTTGGGTTACTATTCTTGGGCCACGAAGGATCGTGAATGGGTTCTGGGGCAGAGTTAGATACTGCATAGCTCCTTGTCAGCAAGCTCTTGCCGGACAATACTTTAGGGAAACGATAGGGCATCTTTGCGGCGAACTAATAGGTTAGGCAAGAGAGTTTTTAAAGGAATATTATCGAGATGATAATTTTTAATGGGGCCCCAAGTAATTCCCTTTTACTCAGAATCCACGTCCTGGACGTTTTTGATTTTCTTGATGGTCCTTGAATGGGTGTGGAGTGAATCATTAAATTGATGTACTCCACCGATAACATTTAATTAATTTGGAAGGGCGCCGGCATTTAAAGTTTACAAACTTGGAACGTTTTTATGCCCCTGGTTCTATAGTAGGCATATAACCGGAAGTACTACACGCTTTGAAGTGATATCGGGGCCACTGGCGCGTTTAAGCTTAACTGTTTATAACCTGTTATATATTTATTTGTGGTGAAAGATGGACAAGAGATTGACTTACGTAACGTATTATATCAAGATTCATCCTTCATTTCTTCATGTGTCTGCATACCTTCGCGTGAAACTAGACGCTTTTTATTCCACAAAGAGTTGGAGCAGGGCGAGGCAACTGGACACCTCACACCTGTATTACGGGCCCATGACAACAATTCTATGCCTTTTTACCGATAGGAGCTGCGGTTGGTTGAGGAAAGATCAAATTCATGTAGCAAACTGCGAGTGAGACCGCAGACAAAAGGAGTTTGAGAATTGGAGATTGATCAGGGCTCGATTGGTCCGCCTCCGCAGTCAGGCTATAGTGAACAGTAGTCAGCAGCGCAAACCAGGCCAGAAACTTGTTTTTCATAAACATGGCGGCCATAGGCATGGACTGGGCTAGTACGCCCTGACTAGCAGCACTTGTGCTGGCCTTTGGTGGCACCTTATGTGTGTAGCTGAAAGCTGTTAGTACACAATTTGCAAGCACGAAGCTTCATTATGTGAACATACGAAACAATCAAATCTGCTCTTTTGCAATTGTTCATGTTGAAATCCAAAGGTAAAGCGTCTTGGAGCTGTAACTGTGGAGGGAAGCTACGTGCTTTCTTTAACAGTCAAGCACATAAAAGATACTATTTGGAAATTAATATACGGAAGTACTCGAGGTACTCATGGCACTGGACCACAGGCGCATGGCCTACAAGAAAAGTCCACTGTATGCTTCACTGTATGCCTATTCATTAAAGGGTTACCTAAGTGTCTACGTTAGTTCACAGACATGTTCTATAAAACCTGGAATAGGAGAGAGAAAACCTGATCGCCATGCGCCCCATGCGCCTGCGAGACGTACTAGTTAAACTCAAAGTCACAACTTCCTGAGCCGAGATGATTGGTTGGGGCCAGCTCCAGCTCCTGAAACTTTTCTGCATCCTTGTGATAGTAGAAACCCAAGATATTGCCCGTGAATTGGTCGTGCACGATGTAGTAGTACCCTTCGTAGGAGGCACCTTCCACGGAGCCCAGCTCTGCGTCAGGAACCAAAAAGCGTTCTTTCCACCGCATGAAGATGAACCGCTGGTGCAGATAGTCGGAATGCCTATGCGCTCCGTCCACTACCGCAGATAGGACTCCATTTTGCGAGCACATCTCTTTGAAGGCGGGAAAACTTAGCCAGTGCTCAAGATCAATCCCATCTGTGGCAGTGAGATCTGCGAGATGCGCAGGCACGCTGCTGGATAGAAAACCCAGGTTTTCCGTCACGGCGAAACCTTCGAAAAAAGTGGTAATCTCGGGTTGATGAGCGGTGAGTCCGTATATGCTGAAAAAACCGGTTATATGGGGCACGCCAGGGTTGCTGGAGCCGTGGCCGGGGAGGGATACAGTTTTCAACACAACGTTGACGTGGTTTTTCTTGTATCCAGAGGTTTGGAATCCCGTGAATTCCATGCGTGGTCTGAGAAACGAGGTAGAGCATGCACGAGGCCTAGCGCAGAGCGGTGTTTGCGCGCGACTTCCGTAAGGCGAGGTGTCTTGATTTATGTACTTTTTCGTCACATTTCTCGCTGTTCCAGAGCTAGCGATCGCCGCAGCTGGCTCCGTCGCGATGGGCTCGGGACTTGATTGTAGTGAATCCAGGGACTCCGTTGAAACACAGCGATACAGCGAGTCCCTTTCCTTGCACGACTGCACTAGTCTATGGGCCAAACTACCCAGCGGGGGAGTTAGCGGCCGGGGCGTCGTCGACAGCTGCCGTTGGACCTTCAACGAGTTCCCCGCGGGGTGTTCCGGTGCAACGAGCTCATTAATCATCCGGAGCTAAAGAGAGGAAAGGTGTGGTGGTAGTTGATCTTCTTCTGAAGTCGCACAGCACCCTGAGAACTCCGGGTGGAAGATGCGGCCTGACGATGCTTTATATTCGATGCGATCCCATCACCATCCCACCTCATCACCAGAGAAATGTGAAAACGAAAAAGGAATCTCCGTCTCTCGTGGTGACGCAGGAGACCGAAAAGAAAAAACAGGGCGAGAAGAATGATCACACGACTTAGGCGTGAAAAGCACGTGTCTTGAAGACAACGACAGACGATCGCCACCTCAGGGCAGCTGACAACGGCTCGCGGTTTACATAGGGAAGCAAGCGCCTTGAGAAGGGCCCCCCACGCTGAGCCAAATAGACAGTGACAAAGCTCCTCACGCTGAGCCAAATAGACAGTGACGTCCTCGATCAACAGAGCGTGCTTTCCGCAGAACGCACTGCTCGTACTGCGATGAGCGCGCAAACACTAAGCCAGATAGATGCTCGCATAGCCTTCTCGTTGATAGGTCAGCCAACAAACGACGCAGGTGCTATGACCGCAGGCCCGCCCTGAGGTTGGCAGGCCCGCACGTGACCAGAATCGAGTGCCGGGGCGGTCTATTTCGGCGTTGGCCGCTGGGTGGCCGGGTGGCTGGGTTGTAACCGCCGCCCACGCAGCGTCCCGTGACGTGCGTGTGTGCGCAGGAATGCACCGCACGTGAGCGAGCATCTAGCTCCGTCGGCTTTCCGCTTTCCGCTTTCCGATTTTTCGTCCTCCCACGATCACCACAGACGAACGTCTCGGTCACATGAGACCCGATCGCCAAATACGAAATAGCATTATGACGTATGCGGGGCGGTGTCCGTGGTTTTCGCGTCAGAGCTCTTCGGCCAAGAATGGAAGCTCTTCTATACGTATCTAAAAGGTCACATATATATATATATATTAATGATCCGAAGCAAGGATCAAGACCTTTCAGTGCGTTTTAGCCAAGCAAGACTCGAGCAGAGAGAGGTTTCTTCGCTGAATAGCCAGTGCCAAACTTTTGCGACGCCAGCCGGCAACAGACAGTGTGCGTGTGTATCCCGTGTGCGTGTGTATCCCGTGTGAAACCCATAGACGCAGCGTTTTGCGGTTGAATTTTTACATTCTCTTAGCGACATCGGCGATTACTCTGAGACCAGAGTAGCTGTCCTTTTTCGAAAAGTATACGTGTGTCAGCGTAGCTCAAGAACTTCTGTTCAGAGCGTCCAGTTTCTAAAACTGGCGGTTTTCTACTTTTTTTTTTTTTGGCCTGGGTCCAAGTGCATACCGCACCCAGGAAAAAAGAGTGTGAGGAGTGTATCCAACTCCCGACTAGCAAGTCTTTTGGAGTCCTTGAGAGCGCAAGAGGCGACCACCAAAGATGTCCGACCCAGCGCGCCCCAAGCTCGGCGCCAGAAAGTCCAACAGAGGCTCCAGCGAGCGTTTCCAGTTTCTACGGCCTCGCTCGCCTCTGTCGACACAACCTCCATCTCGGAACCGCCACGGCGGCAATGGGGCCTCCCAGGCAGACTCAGAGTCCGACTCGGACGACCAGGAGCCCGTTGAGGGCCCCGTGGCCGCACGTCCCTCGGGAAACCGGTCCCTGCCCTCGTTCGCCCGCGCATCTCACCCCGACTATTCGTCTAGGCAGCGGGACATAGAAGAAGATGCTATAGATACCATCCGAGTCAATAGCGGCAACACCATGGAACCAGACGAAGAAGAAGAAGAAGAGGAAGAAAAAGAGGCAACAGAAAAGGAGCAAGAGCCAGCACTCGAGCAGGCTCATCAGGATTACGATGACACCCTAGATGCCACCAAGGAGGATGCTGGACCGGGCTCACGCGAAAGCCCCACGCAGTCGGGCCTTCCTCGCGATGCTCCTGAGGCCGGCAGCCAATCGTCGGACGACGACGAAAAAGGTGACCCCAAGAGCTCGGGGCAGAACTCGTACACCCACGTCGACTCGCACCCTGACCCGTTCAATAGCGCTTCGTCCATCCGCGATGAGGACAAGGATGCCGATAACTTGTCGTCGGATGAGGACAAAGTCGACAATTTCAGGCGTTTCTTCCGCCGCCGGTCAACGGTTCGGCGTTCGTCGCACGATTCCAGGCCTAGTGGTATGCGCTCGCTGAAAGAAGAGGACGAAGATGAAGAAAGTCAGGGTTTTTTTGACAAATTTCTGCAGTATACAGGCGGTGGCTTAACTCCAGGCCTGGCCAGAACAAGTACCCAGAAGTCTCGCCCCGACCAGGAACACGTTTCGGGCCAGGAAAATTTGGACGCTCCGGTCGATGCCGTTGATGTGACTGACGCTGCCTACCAAATTCTACAACAGCATGGGGCATCCAGCACTCGTCATCCAGAGCTACTTGCTCATGGTGCGTTGGGTAACAGCGACTTAGGTAATGGTGGAAATGAACTTCGTGAACCATATTTAGAGGCTGCCAGCAGCAGTAATAACATCTCCGATGGTGAAACCATGGTCCAATCTGGCAAGGACATGTTCTTTGCGCCGACGGTAGGCCATTACGACGATATTGATGGTGACGATGGCTTTAATCCTTTGATGGAAGACGAAGCCTATATTGCACCACCTACTAGGGTTCGAGGGGGTGTTTTGGGCTCACTACTTAAACTATATCAGAACGAAGAGGACGCTGCGACTAGATCCCAAGTGTCCCTTGAAACTACTCCGGAACCTGTGGATTATTACGATAATGAGTCTATTCCACTAACGGGGATTACCGATGTTGGCTCAACTGCTCCATCAGGCAAAAAGTCCAAAAAGATTTCCTTTAACACTCCGTCATTCTCGGGTATGAAGGGTAAGGCCTCTAGCTTTTTGAGCTCTGAAAATTTGCCAAATAATGGCAAAATGCCAAATTTCAAAGCTACAAGGCCTAAAATGAAAAATGTTAAAAGCGTTGCCAAACAGGCTAACAGATTGCGCCGCAAACAAAATGCGGAAGCTAGAATTACGGTTCATATTGCTGCTTTGCTTCAAAGACAAAGATTTATACTGCGTATGTGCAGAGCTTTGATGCTTTACGGTGCCCCCACACATCGTCTGGAGGAGTACATGGTAATGACCTCCAGGGTCTTGGAAATTGATGGACAATTTTTGTATGTCCCTGGATGCATGGTGGTCTCATTTGGCGATGCTACTACCAGGACTTCGGAAGTGCAGCTGGTAAGGTGCGCACAAGGTCTCAATCTGTGGAAGCTTCATCAAGTCCACGCTGTCTACAAGCGAGTAATCCACGATTTGATGAGTGCTGAAGAGGCGAACGTAGCAATTGATCGGATCATGGCCGACGCCAATCTGTACCCAGTGTGGGTTTGTGTGTTCCTGTACGGCTTTTGCTCTGCTATGGTAACTCCTTTTGCCTTTGGTGGTGATTGGATCAACCTAGCAGTCTCATTTATCATTGGCTCCTGCGTCGGCTGTCTGCAGTTTGTGGTGTCGCAAAGATCCAGCTTGTATTCCAATGTCTTTGAGGTCACCGCCTCCATTGTTGTCAGCTTCTGCAGCAGGGCGCTAGGTTCAATTCCCAACAGTAATATATGTTTTGGTGCAGCAGCTCAAGGATCATTAGCCTTGATTTTACCAGGTTACATTATTCTCAGTGGGTCCCTTGAATTGCAAAGCAGGAATTTGGTGGCAGGCTCCGTGAGGATGTTTTACGCTATCATCTATTCCCTATTTCTGGGGTTTGGGATCACTCTAGGAGCTGCTCTTTTCGGCTGGATCTTTGAGTCTGTCATCGCCGCTTCTAATGAAACTACTTGTGCGAAAAGCATTGATCCAATCTATAGGATAATCTTTGTGCCGGCGTTTTCAATTGGTTTGGCGCTGATCAACCAAGCTAGATGGTCACAGATACCTGTCATGACCTTTATTTCGTGCTGTGGGTACGGCGTAACATACGCTTGTGGTTTGCATTTCAAGAGTTCTACCGAATTCAACGCTGCAATCAGTGCTTTTGCTATTGGAATTCTTGGAAATCTGTACTCGAGAATCTGGAAGGGACTTGCTGTATCAGCTATGCTACCTGCGATTTTCGTTCAGGTACCTTCTGGTGTTGCCTCGCAAAGCTCGTTGCTCGCTGGTATTCAAAGTGCCAATGCCATTGTTAATAAGGACAATTCAACCACCGAGACCTCTGATATTTCAGGTTCCATGTCTTTCGGGGTCACTATGATTCAGGTGTCCATTGGTATTTCCGTCGGTTTGTTTGCCTCGACAATTTTTGTTTATCCATTTGGCAAGAAGAAGACCTCCTTGTTTACCCTCTAAACTAAACTACTGGAACTTAGCCAGTTCCAGTCAGATTCACGTCTGAATCTGAACTGCATATGGTTATTAGATAGATACCGACGGGTAGATCGCAAACCTTTGATACAAACGATCTGCTCTAGAAGATAGACTCAGCTTATATGCCATAAATACTTTCGATCGTCAAAACGGTCCAGGAACAATTCATGGCACGCCGCGGAACGCTTAAGGTGCCAGACAGATCGATACATTTTCAACTTTTTTTTGAGTTACATGAGCGAGTAACCTGTACGCTTAGTGCAGAAGCGTATCTTACACTTTCCGTCTAACTAAAATTCCTCACATATCCTCGCTATTTTTGTAGAACTGATTGACCGTTGATCACTTCTTTGGTTGTCTGTCACTGTCTTCAATTTTTAACAAAAAATTTTCTATCTTAGCGATGAGCATCGTTGTTTTCAAGAAGCGCTGAATCTTAAAAGACCCATACTGAAGTTTATAGTCTTTAGCCAATGTCGTTGAGCGATCAATTAGCACAAGTAGCTGCTAACAATGCTACGGTTGCCTTCGATCGCAAAAAGAGACAGAAACTACACTCGGCGTCGCTAATTTATAATCCAAAAACTGCGGCTACTCAAGACTTTGATTTCATTCACGAAAATGCCATGAACTCATTAGAAGAGCTCATGGCTTTAGACACAAGATTTTCGGTTTTCCAAAAGTCTTTATTCGGAACTTCTTCGGTTGTTATCGATAGAAATACCCAGACAAAGGAACAAGTGCAGGACCTGGACAACGCGGTGAACTTGTATCTTATGCTAATTTCATCTAAGTGGCACTTGGCTCCAACTCTGCATGCGACAGAATGGTTAGTGCGTCGTTTTCAGATTCACGTTCACAATGCCGAATGCCTGCTGCTATCCACGCTTGATTACTACCAGAGTCCTGTGTTCAAGCGTATTCTCAATATCGTGCGCCTGCCACCGTTGTTCCATCCTCTCAGTAATTTCGTCAGAAGCGAAAACTCTCCTTCAAGTGTCACAATCATAAAGCTTTTCAACGATGCGGATTTTTTGAAACTTTACACGCAATACTTGAGCAAGGTCATCAAACAACAAGTGACCTACACAAACCAACTCCTCTTCACCAGTTGTGCATTCATCAACCTGATTGCCTATAAATCTAATGATATAGAAGGATTGGGGAATTTGTTACCTACACTTTTAGAGATTGCTGCCAAGCTGCTGGGCTCTGATTCTGCCGATTGCCAAATAGCCGCTCATACGATTCTCGTTGTCTTCGGCAGTGCGCTGCCCTTAAAGAAGGAGATCATCCTGGCTGCTGCGGAGACCATATTGGCCAACCTAAAGGATGATAAGGCAAAAAGGTCGGCTTTCATTTCGATCGCTAAGCTGTTTCAAACGATGATGTCCAACGGAAACGTAGATCAAATGCCACTGTCCCTCTATAAGCTTTTCGATTCTAAGTTTAACTTGGATTGTCTGGTGGAATATTTACGCGCCGGTGACAAAATTTTAGCAGATAAGTTTTTGACTGCGTACATTCGCTCTGTTTTAAGATACGATCACCAAAAACTTACCGCGTTAGTGAAGTTGCTAAAGAGCATTTCTTTGGAGGCATTTGAAATGAGGCATATAATTGCTGATCTAATACACCTCTCAGAGGTGTATGAAGAGAAGGCAGCACTCGTGGAGATTTTCGAATATTTTATATCTATTGACGAGGACCGTGTGGTTCAGTCGTTAAGCTCTTTGAATTTGACTCCAGAACTGTTTGAGTTAAGGTTAGCCACGTCGCTTTTTTCAACACAAGAAGATACTGATACAACCTTCAACAACATAGGCGCGTCTAAAATAATGGGAGCAAACTCAACCATCGAGCCTTTCAAAGACTTCCTCAATAAGAATTCACAATACATCACCACAAAGGCCACATCGATTATGGTAGAAGAGGATGAGAGGTTTGCAAAGCTATTATCGCTATTTGTTGAAGCAGTTGCTAAGAAATTCAAGGCCGGATTGTTTCTGTCTTCTTTCTTTACTACGGTAGAGGGGAGATTGACGTTTCTACTTAGAGTCATAATATCTCCCGCAACACCAGCCACACTTCGCATGGAATCCTTGGCGAATTTCTCAAAGGCTATCAACCAGATAGGCCAAGACTCTAACCTATTTAGCCTGGTTCCTATCTTAATTGCAGGATTAAACGATTCTTCTAAGAATGTCAAAATTGCAATCAGGAAGGTCTTAGTGCAAATTTCAAAGAGGCCCTTTACAAAACATTATTTCCTTGTCAATAAGCTTTACGGAGATGTTGAAATACCTATGGTGAATCCAAAGGATGCAGAAGCTTGGCTCAAGAAATTTTTGGATGCTTTTGTGGTTGAAAATCATGACATTGCCAACTTGATGTTCCCAAAGAAAATGGAAAAGGTCTTCATGGTGTTTTGGGTTAACCAAGCCATACATATGCCACTGCCACAAGCCAAAGCTACTTTTATTCGATATGTCACCGCACACAAACTTTACACCTCCTCCTACTCCGCTTTATTCGAGGGCTTCCTAAAGAACTACCTCGAAGAACGCGGTATTTGGGAAATGAGATGCAACGTCAACAAATACAGCTTTGAAAAATTTGAAACTTCTGTTGTTTCCATGATCGCTGCAAGAGAAAAAAATGCGGCTGTCTTGGAATTCGCTGAAATTGCTTTGAATTGTGAACATGAGCAACTGGCTTCATTAGTTTCTCATCGCCTCCAGGGTATATTTTCGAATCTGAAGATCACACAGCAGCAACAAATTGCGAAAAAAGTTGTCGATTGTACTGCAGAACGAGATCTTTTTTATGATTCTATTGGCTTTCTCCAGTCTCTGAAATTGTCCGCCGACGTTTTTGTCTCGCTTCTCTCTCACTATTGTTTGAATACTGAAGGGGAGGAGGGCGATTTCACCAAGAAAAGAAGGAGAAGGTCATCCACAACTAATAAAGCCGTACTGCAAAGAGAAGATGTTTCACAAATTGCAGAAATGCATTTAAGAAAAATTACCATCACCTTAGAAGCGTTAGATCATATCAGACCGGAAGGTTCTGAGCCATTGCTTTCTGCCTTATTCAATGTTCTCTCTGATCTAGAAACTTTAGATCAAGATGGTGGACTCCCTGTTCTTTATGCTCAAGAAACCCTCTCTTCTTGCATGATTTTGACCATAAACTCCATGCCCAGCGACTCTAAGGCCAATCTAGGTTCCTTAAGAGCCGACATTTTGGTTTCGGCTATAAGCGCCTCCCAATCTCCCCAAGTACAGAATAAACTTCTGTTGGTAATTGGTGAATTGGCTAAATTGAGCCCCGAGACTGTCTTACAATCTGTGATGCCTGTTTTCATTTTCATGGGCGCTCAAACGATTCGTCAGGATGATGAGTACTCTAGCTATGTCGTAGAAAAAACGATACAACGTGTTGTACCAGCTCTGGTGAACTCAAAGCAGTCTGAAAGTAGAGAAGAAATCGACTTCTTGTTGATGAGTTTCGGAACTGCTTTTGTTCATGTTCCGAGACATAGACGGGTAAAGCTTTTTACCACGCTTGTCCAGACTCTGGGCCCTGCAACTGCCCTCGGCCCCTTTATGTTTTTGATCGCTCAGCAATATTCTACGTTGGTGAACAGGTTTAAGGTGGCCGAGAGCAAGGGAGTGCTTGAGTTCATGAGAGTTTTTCTCAGCAAGTTCAACGTGCTAGAACAGTTGAAAGGGATCCAAAGTTATTTTTCATTGATCGACACTTTGGCTGAAGGTTACTCGGAAGAGGTTTTAGCTCAGCTCTCAGCACGGACTTTATTCTCTAATGGCGTATTAAACTTTTCAGCATCCGAAACTTTGGCTCTAAAAAACAACGGATTGTCATTACTCAACAAAGTTATACACGATGAGACTGATTACCAGACCTCTGGGAGCCTGAAAGTTAGAGTCGTGGGCGCCCTATGGGACAGCGCTAACGACAAGCAACTTCGCGATGAGGTAAAAGCTAGGTTTGGTGATGTTTTGAAGTGTACTCTACACTCGTTGGATGTCGTGGATTCTGCCCTCAAGGTTGCTTTTAAAAGTGATGGGTCATTTTCAAATGGTGAACTTGAGGAGGAGCGTTCTTCCATCCGCAAAAACCTATACCAACTACTGGGCCATGTGCTGGACCTGTTACCTATTAAAGAATTTACTTCGGCCACGCTCCCCCTCATTTCGGCAGATGACGGCAACGAGGCAACAAAGCGCCATTTGATCTTGGTACTGTCCTCAAAATTCGAGGTCGAGCCAACCGAATCTGCTCCTTATGCCAGCAATGTCATCAATGCACTTTTGTCACTAGCTGAGCCAGAAATCAAGCGCGATGACATCGTCCAAGTCTCTTTGAATACCGTGAGCACTTTGATCTCCAAGTTTGGCGAGAAGCTGGACTCTGGCCTCATCACAAAATCTATGAATGCTGCTTGTAGATTACTTCTATCTCAAAAGATGGAAATCGAAATTTCATCGTTAGCAGTCCTCACAAGTGCTGTGCAGGTGCTAGGCGTTAAATCAATTGCTTTCTATCCGAAGATCATGGCACCTTCATTGCAAATTTTTAAGGCGTTAGAAAACAGTGAAGCAGAGGTAAAGGCGCAATTGCAACTATCAATTGTTTTGGTTTTTGCAGCCATGATAAAGCGTATACCGGCATTTTTGTTATCAAATCTAGTCGATGTCTTCAGAGTCATTTTGTTTGCAGATGAGGTTCAAGATTCTATTCGCCTTTCTGTGATATCGTTAGTGGCCCAACACATTGACTTGAGAGAAATAATGAGAGCACTCCACAAGGTTTGGGTTTCTGATGTTAGTGCTACTAGCGATTCTGTGGCCATATCCCTATTTTTGAGTGCACTAGAGTCCACGGTCGAGGCTATCGACAAGAAAGTGGCCACTGCCGAATCTCCTGTGTTTTTCCGCCTTCTGCTGTCTTTGTTTGAATATAGGGCTACTAGCGAATTTGACCATAATACGATCAGTCGCATAGAGGCGTCCGTTCATGGTGTCGCCAATGCGTACGTTCTGAAATTGAACGACAAAGTGTTCAGACCTCTGTTCGCACTTGTGGTTAGATGGGCATTTGACGGTGAGGGTGTTATCAACAATGCGATGACGAAAGTTGAAAGACTTACTGCCTTCTTCAAGTTTTTCAACCGACTACAGGACAACCTGAAGGCTATCCTCACCACTTATTTCACTTATCTTCTAGACCCTTCCATTGAGCTGCTGAAGGCTTTCAGCCAGGGTGAAATTGCCCACCCTAACCTGCGCCGCTTGGTACTCCATTCCTTAACTTCATGTTTTAAGTACGACAGGGAGGAGTATTGGAAATCCACCTCTCGTTTTGAGCTGGCGTCTGAGGCGCTCATTGCCCAGTTGAAAACCATCGAAGATCCTGTTGGACGTTACTTGGTCAAGGCCATCAGTTCTTTGGCGATGAATAATGCTGGCGCTGATGACCATAATAAGGCTATGAACACATTGCTGATATCGCATATGAAACCAAGTTGCTCTAGTTCGGAGAAACTATGGGCCGTTAGAACAGTCAAGGCCATATACTCCAAGGTGGGTGAGGGTTGGCTCACTCTTTTACCGCAGTTGGTGCCCATTATTGCCGAGCTACTCGAGGACGACGATGATGACGTCGAATACGAAGTACGGACGGGTTTGGTGAAGGTTGTTGAAAACGTTCTTGGTGAACCATTTGACAGATATTTAGATTGAACTATAGAATGCTGTTAAAAGAAAACGCACAGTGTTTAAATGTAATATAATATTGTTCTCGAACAGAATACAATTATTACCAGAGTTTTTGTGAAGCCTTGTTGGCTACCAGTGTACTTTAATAGCGCTAATATATCCCAACTACCTGATTAAAATAATAATAGGCGAACCTAAAAAAAAATCCTACCCAAAGAACGAAACGACAGCGGTAGCAACATGGCGGAGCTTCCTGTCACATTGCAAGATGTAGAATCTAGGTACATCAAGCCAGAGCTGCCAACAGTCTTAAAAAGGCTATTTAAATCTCATAAGAACTTGGATTTCGAATCTGCTATTTGGGAGATGGTCAATCTCGTATTCCGACCTCGCAAAGCGCACCGGACTCTGTATTACCAAAGGCAAACAAGGAATAGATGGTCCAGGGATGATCCTTCGTTTTTCATATTGCAAATTGGGTTGCTTTCGGCGAGTTCACTAGTCTGGTCCATCGTTTATGGTCAATCTTTCCTTGGATTTCTCAAGATGATGATCAATATGATCTTACTGGATTTTTTTGCAATTGGATTCACCGTCGCCACAGTGTTCTGGTCGCTTTTGAACCGCAGTTTCTTCAAGTTTAGATCCGCTCAACATTCCCAAGTTGAATGGGCATTTTGTTTTGACGTACACTGCAATGCATTTCTAGTGGTATGGTGTTTACTCTACCTTTTGCAATTCATTCTTCTCCCTGTTATCCATCTTCATCGCTGGATTGGTCTCTTCGTCGGAAATACACTGTATTGTGTAGCTTTTGGGCAATATTTTGTCCTTTCATTTTACGGATACAGCCAACTACCAATCTTAAAAAACGTCAACTTCATTCTTTTACCGACTCTCATATTTGCAGGTATCTACTTTGTGAGCTTGTTCGGTTTAGATCTCTCAAGGGTGTTTCAATTTCACTCCTATTAGGGAGCACAACTAGGCGGGGGTTGTCTACCACCAATCATTACCAATTATTCACAAGCCAGCCTGCTAACCCAAGCAACAAGTGGTCCGCGATATTGAAGGACGAAGGCGTGAAGCTTGCTCATCAAACCTTTTATATTCTTCCGCCGTGCTGCCTATATCTTACTGCGACCTTAGTTCTGGCTTGACGATGGAAGGTTGCTTGCTAAGAAATATCGCCAAAAACAGTCTCGATTCCGCTGCAGGCTACGCCTGCAAAGTGAATACTCAAGCTTCAAGGTGGTAAAACCACACCGTGGGAACTTTTAATTTATTCTTGCATAAAGACGATGTGCCTCCCAAAATGTTCTGAAGATTTTGAGCTGGTGAAGTATCGTTCAGTGATCCCAGTCAATCTGGTAAACCCGCGTCCAGCAACTTAGGATACAGTATTTGTGAATCACTACTCGAGGATTTTATTCAAAATATTCAGCGTCTTATGCCAAGTTTGATTCAACCAACGTTCTTAGTGAAAACTCTGAAATATTTAGATCATGTACATACGGCTGGTTGAAATCGAGCTCTCATGGATCCTCTCTGCTTACCTGTGGCCCTTAGGCCCGAGTAGGAGAATCAATGTTTGGCGTCAAGTAAAAAGGAGGAACATCGAATTTAATTATACGTGCAATGCATTATTTACTAAACATATCTTTTGATTAAGCTACCGAAAGCTATTATTAATCTTTGCCCGGAAATCATATCCTGGATGTGAGCTATCGTTAGCGATAGTCCTCAGGAGAAACTGCGAACGCAGCACCATCGCTTGATCCGTGATCAGATATAGTATTTCGTTTCGGCACACTGAGCTGGTCATCCATGGGCAATTGAGGAAGACCAGGACCAACATTTGTTAGCGATAAGAGTTCATAGTGTTCTGAATCGCGCCATAAATCTTCAAAGATCGTCTTCCCGATGCCCATTTTATCTCTCAACTGTTCCAATTCAGCATCGTTAACTGTGGGCGTACTTCTTGGAACATAGTTTTTAGTACTTTCGAATAACTGCTCGAATTCTTGATCCTTCTGGTCATTTCTCATCACAACAACGGGCTTCTCTATAACCGGCCTTTTGTCTGTTCGCTGCTGTAATATGTGTTCAAAATTTTTGATAATATCTTTCTCGCCAGCGAAGTGCTTTATCCTAGAAATCATTATCTTTTCCCCCACCACATTTGACGAAGGAAATCGTTCGATCATTTTGAGTTGATTGTTTAGTTTCTCGGTCAGAAGTTTTGTTTTCAAGTCATAACGGAGCCAAAACTTTGATACAGGCGCCTTTCCATCGCCAGCAACGGAATCAGGATGAACATCGAGTTCTGGCTCTAGCGACTTACGAAAATTGGAAGCTATTAGGGGCAGAGATTGCTCACTTCCATGAGAGCCTTTTTCCCCCTTTAGCACGGAAAGGCAGTTGTCTGAACCACTGGATAAATCCTGATCTGCAGTAAAACTATCGAAGCGACTTTTCATAATGTCCAGTTTCATCTGCAATCGAGATGTATGAGATGCAGCCTGAGATCCTGCGCTGGATCTACTTGAGATATCGTTTTGAAAATTTTCGAGAAAATTGGATTCGGTTTTGGATAGCTTTCGACCTGGCACCTTAGTGAGAGGCGACTGGTTGGAGCTTGTAATACTCGGGGCATTTTCGTTATCTTTTCCTTTTGAAATGTGTATAACGTCGTCGAATTTATTATCAAATGCGTAATCGCTAGAGAACACTTCATCGTTGATGGCAGTTTCGATTTGACTTTCTAAAATTTTGATTTCATTGTCCTCTCTATTTGAGAGAGCCTCAGTTGTTGCAATGCTATCAACATGGGGGTCTAAAAATCGACCATTTTGATTGAAGTCAACGCCCCCGCTGGGCCTATCGGCCACCAAAGTTGTATCTGCACCAGAAATGTCGCTTTTGCTATTTCGCACTTTGAGGTTGATGGAACTTCCCGGGTGGTTAGATTCAGTGCGCCTCAAGTTAGCCATTGTCGGCAGAAGTGTTGTGCTCGAGCTTTTAGGCTTAATACCCATATTTCGACCAAACTGGTAATGGTGGATGGGGTTGTTGCCCAAATCTTGACTTGGCTCATTGTCGTATTTTGTCTCATGGAAGTACAGGTTCACCGGAAGACGTTGACTTTTGATGCTGGAGGAAGCTGAATTGCAGCTATTATTACCATTACTGCTTTTGCGCACGTCCTTGAGCGAAATGTTGCTGCTGTTTCGCTTGTTCTTTAAATTGTTGTATAAGGCCATGGCGGCCGAACTGCGATGGTGGTTCGCCATTAGTTTAAGGGCGTGGTTGTGCCCGCTAACTTTGGGAATCGCAGACTCCTCGTGGCTGTTTTCAGAAACGGTGTAGAGTTGCTTATCCGGTAACTTGAGCGAGGAGGTTCGCTGTAATGAGGCCCTCTTAGCTTTGTGGTGGCTGCCACCGTTGAGCATAGTTGACAATCCACTGGAATTTCCATCGGCACTCCCATTGCCTTCTCTGTTATTCCTGTACCCTGATCGTCCGCGCATCTGAAATCCCGTCACAGTAATTGTTGAAGGGGGGCCAACCAGGAGTGCTGTAGGCTATGCAGTAAGCTGAGCAGTGTTTGAAAAGCCGTTAGGTTTCCGTCTTGCCTTCTAGATTCTACCAGGCGGACAAGACGTTTCACGTCCAACTTGCTATCCAATGGGACTATCACCCCCACTCTACAGTGGGTATTTAAAAGGATCATCAATCATCGGGTATTCATGTTTTATTCAAACTTTCCTCGATGTTCTCATCCAACGTTAACTGCCTCGATTGCTTATCAGCTATGTGATAAGAACTGGTGTGGTTAAGTATTAGCCGTAGAAAAACAGCTGAACTTAGCTTATCATCGTTGAAAAAAATGTATCGTGGTACGATGTGCCGTTTAACAACTTGAATAATCAAAGAAGCGCAACGCCGTTCTTGCTACGGATGATGAACCCAAACGAGATTAGCAAACTCCGCTGATAATCGGGTCTTGGCCGTTGTCGAAAGAGATCAGTCGTAGATGTCAATAGGAGGCAGTCTGTCAGCACTGTAAAACCAGTTTTTAGACTCCACCTCTCTGGCGAGCCACTCGGTTGGGAATATAACCAAATGCCCGTGAATTCTCTCCAAGATGCGAGAGGCGGTGTACTTGTCGAAAATACGTTGGTTGGCACCGTAGAGTACACTGCTGGAGAGCTTCATCTTCAGGGCACGTGACCTGCTTTTGTAGTCTGGCTTGCCGGTGGAGTGTCGTGCGGCGCCAGTACCGTTGTGAGCGGTATGGGTGGAAGAAGGCAGCTCATCCTTGCGAGACGCCTCGGGAGTTGGCGAGTGCTCTGGATGGCGCTCGAGGTCGATCACAGTTTCCTGGCCCCGAGCAAATTCCTCTTGCATTCGAGTGAAGTCCTTGTAATCATGCCAGGTTTGTACTGAGTTGTCCGGCTGACAGTGAAAAACCAGACGAAATAACATGGTGTTGCGCAACGCAACGGCAAACCACATATCTTCGTAAAATCTGTCACAGAGCGGGTCCTCGAATGCATACGGGTCAATAAACTTCAGCTTTGAGAACGCTTGCTGCTGGGAGCCGTGAGCGGTGTTACTGCCAATTGGTGGCAACAGCTGTACAAGCATGTCATCAATAATCTCGTCGTCCAGCTCGTGGTCTTCCACAGCCTCTACGCGGTGGTGATTGTCACTCTCTCTGTCGTCGGCTAGGCTAGAAGGGCCTGACGTGCTGCTTACTGAAGACTTGGCCATAGTCTCGCCTTGAGAATGAGTACCATGATTCTCCTTTTTGTGTGCCAAATATTGTAGATAACAAACACGTTTCAACATGTCCCATTTCTCGTCCACTGAAACCGCAGCATCATTCAAATATGTCTCCACATCATCTCGATCCGGTAGAAAGCTGTGATCACCCTTGGACTTATGACGATCTGCAGTATTCGGGACAAGCATTTTTTCGGCCCATGACCGTAGTTTTTCGGTCACATTTTGCTTAAATTTGTGAGATATATTCTTCCATCCATCTTGGCCCAAACCGTCTACGTCAGCAGAGTGGGCCTCATTATTGAGCAGTCGCGAATCTGTACTTATTGGCTTTTTCTCTCTGATTCCTATGTTTTCTTCGCCAGCTCTATTATTGAACGAATGGTAATGCTTCAGACAGTAATCTGAGTTTGCCAAACTGCGCGAAGTTGTTTCTGGTAGACAGACTTTCATCGCATTATCATCGACAGCTTGTGAAAACGATTCTCCAGCACCTTTCGAGCTAACCGTCGTGTGTATACCATAATTCTCAGAATTGCCGTATTTTGCCCTCCATAACTCGCTTGCTTCTGTAAGCATCACCTCTCGGTATCCAAGTTCGATAAGTGCAGATTTGACTTTAGCTCTTTTGTCTACATCATCATTCAGCACATGCAGGGTGTTGTAGTTCAACTTTGCAAGGTCTTCAAGGGTTCCAAATTTTCGCTCAGTAAGCTCGACAATGTCAACATCACAGCCCATATGTTCACGCATCAGCCTTTGTCTTAGCTCCCATGCAAATCTTCCCGCAAGGTAGGGTTGATCACCCATTTTTGTTTCCACAAGGTCGGTATCCCTCACCAGTGCAGCAACTTCACTATCTCTGTTGCCCAACATGGATCTTTCGTTCACATTGGCACTACCAATGATGCATGCTCTGTCATCCACTATGAGAACCTTCCCATGAATGTACAATTGTTCTGTGACTAACCGATCATTTGGACCCACAGTGGACCATTTTCTCAAGGAGTAAAACTGAATGTACTGCAGTGGATCAATGTTCAATTTTCGGAGCCGGGCAAAAATGGACGTCTCACCTCTCGAAATAGATTGGTATTGGCATTGCATGATTACTCTGACACTGGAACCTTCGGCCTTATCAATTGGGGAGTCAAATCCGGGCATCAATGGAATCATAACAAAAGCTTTCCAAACCTTCCCCTCTGTATTAGCTCTAATAATCCTATCAACAAGCGCGTCACCGATCTTATTCTCAACAACAACTCCATCCCAACTAGAGCTAGTTACAAAAAATTGATTTTCCATGTAAACGTAATGTGTGGAAGTTTCTATGAGTTTCAAGTAAGCATTCTGAATAGAGTGTTCCGTTTTTTTGAGCCCTAGGGACCAGTTACCAGCACTTCTTAAAACTTGTACCTCACATGTGGAACGACTAGCCAACTTCTGAAAAAGAGGTGACTCTTTAATTTCCTGATCTACGAAGTCGCTTGGAGGCGTCAACAAAGGAGTTGGCCTACTGGGGCGCTTCTGACGAATCAAATAATTCCACCTCTGTACAAAATGTCTAGACATATCGCGCGCGGCCTCGCCAATGGTCATCATATGAACATCATGCCAAGGCATCCTAGGAGTAACGGTACGGTCGTACATCGACTCAAATGGTTTGTCCAAATCATAAAAATCGCATACACGAGCATTTGAATAATCTTTACCAGGGAAAATTTGATTTTGTAAATCAGGATCATCATCTTTTAAGACGTGCTCAGGCGTATCATATCTACCGTAGCACAAATCGATACCCCCCATAAAAGCAATACTATGATCTATGACAGTCAACTTCTCATGATGAGCCCAGAAATACGTATTTTGTAACCACTGGTTTGGCGATCTTATTAGGTGGATGTTAGGATGAAGACTGAGCATAGAGTGCTTGGTCCAGGAAGAATCAGTACCAACGGTGGTCCCAACATTCCTGTAGACCACAATAAAGATCTTTACTCCCTTTTCAGCTCGATCCCTCAAAATTCGATCAATACGATGTTCTTGGTTACCTTTGACTGGCCGGCGCATATATAGCTCAGGCGATAGCCACCAATCATGGATGAAAATCACATCTTGGGCCATCGAAAGCGCTTCACTTAACGCCCAAAAATAATCTCTTCCATCGACCAGGTATTTGCAGAAACAATTTTTTCTCACTGGTGCAAAGCTATCAAACCTCTTCTTGTGAGCCCAAATTGTTGACTCTACCATCTTGGAGATCGAAGCAGTCCATAGTCTTAGTTGAAATTCCGACTTAAGTAGCACTTGTAATTTTCGTTCGCTGTTCTCCAATGTTATCATCAGTTTGGTTGAAAGTTTTTTGGTGTCATGTCCCAGTGGATCAAAATCCTTGTAATCTGCAGCAAGAACATCAGTTTGTCCCGGAACACTGATTTTAAAACTAGAATCAACTAAAAAAACCTCCAGAGGAGTGGTCGAATGAAGGTCCGAAACGTAAAGAATGTAAGAGTGTCTTACCAGGAACCATTTGTTGGTGTGCCTTTCAACCATTGCTCTCAAATCTCTAAACCTAAAATGGGAAACTCGCCATCCCTGCGTACTCGCAGTAGACCTTACCACCATATAGCCTTGTTTTCCTTGAAATCCGTTTTCGTAACTGAGCAAGTTACCGATGGGCGATAACTCATAAAATTGGAAGAGGCGGTTTGATTGGGGTCTCAGACAAAGTGCCAAATTCAAGATCTTCAAATAGCGCTCCAATCTTTGGTGCATCGGATGTGCGCTATCATCTTGCTCGGCCAATAGGTCCTCTAGATGCCTCATATGAAACTTTTTTATTTCGAACTGGTTTGTTCGGTCTGAACTTATGGAACCACTTTCTTCTTGACCATGTCCATTTGAAACAGATGCACCATTATCTGCCCGCTCACTAGTACCTCCTTCAAGATCGTTCGTCGTGGCAGTGCGCTCTCGCCTAGCATAGTCATTGAAGCGCGGGAAGTGGGGCAAGTGTAGTTGTTGAAATCCGTGGTGTTCAATGTGGAGCCTGTTTATCGCATTTTGTTGGAAAGACAAGAGCTTTATATTATTATGCAGAGTGGCTAGGTCCTTGTATGACTTGACAACCGACCATTTCACCCTATTGTAACCAACACCATACTCAAGTTCCAATTTGTATTTGATATCGTTGTTTTGAGGTTCATGAGCACCGCGACGTTCTAACTTACTTGGATCATGAGTTTTCGAATTTAGGCCGTCCTGAGGACTAGAGGGATGCACTTTCACACCCAGCATGGCTAAGAGCATAGGGGCGCGTCTAACACCATGTTCATCGCGTAAGAACAGACAGCTTGCAAATAGTGCCGCCGGGCAGCCTGCAATCATAGTGTCGATCAAATCTGAAGCCAAGCTTTGCGTATAGACATCTTCGGGGCTCGGCTTCGGGACCCCCAAATTCTTTGCAGATCTCCCAATCTCCGTTTTAGTGTTTCGCCGCCCGGTAAGCTTGGAAAATCGACGCAGTGCTTGACTCATTTCTTTACGCCAGCCATAGAATGACTCTTGGGGGTTCATTTTTTGGAACCAATTGGATTGGTCCTCGGCTCCCGCTTCTGCCATTTTCTGTGACGAACCTTCCAGGGCTGAATTGGGGACTCCTTGAAACACAAGGTTCTTGAAATGCGCTTCTGCGTCATTAGACATATCAGACGCCAGGGGGTCTTCGTTATCCTGCTCAGATTCTTCATTGTTGTTGTCCAGCTCACTGGCCTCAGACAAACCTGGAACTACCCCGCCATTCGAGCTGGAATGCACTGGCTGTTCGAAGGCATCGTGGAATTGATCACTATCTGAGGGCATGAGTCTTACTGGGGCGATTATACAGCGAATTCAGGCTTATTATTTTCAGAAGCAAGTGGTAGTTGCGATTTACTTAAAGGTCAATTTCCAAATTAAACTAGCGAGTACGCAAAAGCCATCTACAGATAGCAAGTGAAAGAATTTAGCACCCAAAAGACGTCTAAAGCTGCGAATAATGGTCGATAATAGCTTGGGAGCTTAGAAAGATCCATAACACAAGATAACTAACGCGTCTGACGCGTCAATCTCATCGAAATAACTAGCCCTCGAACTACATTAGCGCCGTGGCCAATAGAGCTATGCTCAGAGGACCAACAGATAAAAGATGCTTGAAGATTTTTGAATGGGGTCTCCAGCTGTTTTAGAAAACCCGAGCGGAACGGACTGAGCCAGAAAAATGAGACTGGTGAGTAGAAGCGTCACAAGCTGATGTCGCTGAGATGCCACCATTGGGATCGCGTAACTTACGATCTTCACGGCCCAACTCTACAGACGCCTATCCACAGCACCCTACTGCCTTGGACTCACGATGGCACCGCACAATGTTTTAGTTTTCCTCGAGCATGCTCGACTGTGCCAGCAAAAAGCCACGTTTTGGTGATAAGTAATTTAACGCATAGAAACGTGCCAATCCCAGGAGCGATTCCACCGCTGTGACAATGAACTTGGGGCCGCTGAGGCAACTTGCGTGATTCGTTGCGCACCCAAGTCGCGAGCCTGAGCGTAAGTTCGGGGTTCTGGTACATTCCACACATATGCGTGTCTTCGTGTACCTTTTGCCATCACCACAGTTTCCCGTATCAGCATGCGTGCTCTCTGTTATCTATCGCTGTCCGATGGTGGCCCTCTTCTCAAGTGGGAATGGGCGATGAGCACACTAGCTTCTAGGGCACGCCCGCTTTTTTCCCGCATTGCTGCAAGTCTACACTCCTCTTATCACTATCATGGACTGGCCACCAATCAAACCTGACAGACCGCTAATCAGAGACAAGGCCCGATATCGCATTTTTTTTAGCAAGTTAGCCCACCATCAAAGACCTCCACTTGCAGGTACGGGGACATCCTTAGGGTTACTGGAGGGCCTTGAACTTATCCCTATTGGACCGATACAGCTATTCGATCATCCACCCTGAATCCATTCACTTGCCACCACCAGATAAGCCGGAAATGATGATCTGAAGATAAGATTACGAAGAAATGAAAAATTATATCGATAAAGAGGATTCTGAATAAAAGACTGCAGTTCCAAAGCTCAACACAAAGAGCAAAAGGGACTTGCAAGAAGGTTTCGACAGTAGCGGTGAAAGAAGAGCGTACTAGGATTGGTTTGTGAGTGCTAGTGCTGGTCAAGAAGCTTTCAGCAAGGTGTAATTTATTTTTTTTTCATCTGCGTGAGCAAACAACGGTAAACATTGGACATCGGACGAGAAAAAACTGAAACCGCTTGATCTACTTTGTTTGAACTATTAAACCCACCATCAAGAGAGAGCCGTGCCTTGAAAACCGAATCTGTTCAACTATCTAAGTACAGAAGGGTGTTTTGTCTGTTTCCATTCCACTCATCATGACAAAAGCCAGTGTAGCTGTGATGCCAAGAGCAGAACCGGAGGTACACCAGCCCGAGGAGCAGAAACCGCACGATGGTCCCATGTGCAAGAACTGCCATACTTTAACAACACCGCTCTGGCGCAGAAACGAGCAAGGAGCAGTTCTTTGCAATGCATGCGGCCTGTTTTTGAAACTGCATGGCCGTCCCAGACCCATCAGCCTCAAAACGGATGTGATCAAGTCGCGTAACCGGAAAAGCGCACATTCGTCTTCCAATCCGAATTCTACCATGCTAAATCAATCGCCCGGAGACATGCGGAAGAAAGAAAACAAGAAACGTAAAATCCAAGACCTTCGCGAAATAAGCGCAGCAGAGACTTTGGAAACAATCTTGAAGTTTGAAAATGGTCCCCGGTCCGTAAATAAAAACCAAGATCAATTGCAGCAGCATAACGAAAGCACACCATCGAACAGAAGTACGCCAGGAGTCACCGGCATGATGGCCCCATCTCAGAATATTTTGTCTGCGTCTAATGATAGGTTGTCTCCTCGACCTCCTCCAGCTACCTCTGCGCTTCCCAGTGCCCAAAACTCTGGCTCGCTGCCGCATTTGTCGATTTTGCTAGAGTCCATGAAAAGCGCCGAAGATCGTAGCCGAGAACAGCAAAAGCACAAAGAGGTTTCAGCCTCCTCCCTAGATCCCGAACTCCTGAGGGACCAAGCTCGGTACCACCAGCAACATAACGTAGAATCCCCTAGGCTGACCGCAGCTGTCAAAATGCCACTGCCCTTAAGACAGCAATCGGACAGCAATCAGCGCACAGAATCCAATCGCTCCCTACAGCCCGTCGGTTCCAACTCTCCTCCTGGCAATGAGAGCCAGGACCACGCCTACACAACCTATATGCAGCGCAGCCCAAGCTCGCGACATTTCTTACCAGGTCGATCGTTGGCAGACCACGGGCAAGTGCCTCACGTTCATATGGCATCTATCAACGAAATTCTTGGCAATCAAAGATCGAACATCGAATCTCCATCTTCCTTTGTGGTACCCATGGGAACTCATAACTCTGGTCAGCCGCCAATTCCTCAAGCTCAATCGCCAAGGCTCAAGAATGTTACTTCCACTACAAGCACCTACAGCACTCAAAGATTACGGCGCAACAGCTCAGAGGTTGAAAGTGAATCTTATCCCCGCGCAGATTCGCAAGTTTCAGACTCCCCGCCACCAATAGACATTCAGACTAGTTTGCCAATTGAACCGGGCACGGAAAGCAGGTCTGCTATGAATCATTCAGCATCCACAAAACACCACCGTCAAAAGATAGCTTCGCTATCCAACGGCCATCGCCAAGAAAGTGAAAAACATTTTTACGGCAATGGACACGGCGGAGGGGCTCAGGCCAGCATTCGCACGTTGACACCACACGACAGTCGGCACAGTTCTGGTGAAGTCATAATGCCCGCAAGTGCCTCCCTCATGAGTTTGCTGCAAAGTCAAGAAGAGGTGATCAAGTTGAAGACTCGCATTAGTGAGTTGGAACTTGTCACCGATTTGTACAAAAGACACATAGTCGAGCTGGATACAAAATGTAGGTCTCTGGAAGAGAGGCTGGGGAACAGGAATTAGACGGAATGCGGCATCTTTTCTGATTATTGTTTGAAGCTACATCGGCCAAATGCGGCCCGTCGTTGCTATATCGGGATACCTTAACCACAATTAGACCATCATCAAAAGGAAAATTATCATGAATAACAAATAGCTTTTTCTATAGCTAAATTATGTTCAGGGCTTTATGCCGTTGAGTGTGTCTTCCTTGTACTTTCTTATCTCTTAGGTCTAGACTAATTAGCTGGTGTGAAATGAATATTTATTAAAGCTATTACCAAAAACACGTTGACGGATAAAACAAGTATTCCACGCCATGATGTCCCGCAATCCGGCTGCGGGTCTCGAGAATACGCTATTCCAACTAAAATTCACTTCTAAACAGCTTAATAAGCAGGCCCAAAAAGCAGCTAAGGAGGAAAAACAGGAGGCTAACAAGTTGAAAAAGGCCCTTAATGAAAGCGAGGAAATTGCAAGACTTTACGCTTCCAACTCAGTTCGGAAGCGCAACGAGCGGCTCCAGCTACTAAAACTTGCATCTAGAGTAGATTCTGTTGCTTCAAGAGTTCAAACAGCGGTGACAATGCGCCAAGTTTCAGGCAGCATGGCCCAAGTGTGTCGTGGTATGGATAAAGCGCTGCAGAGCATGAACTTGCAACAGATTACAATGATCATGGACAAATTCGAGCAACAGTTTGAAGATTTGGATACTAGCGTTAATGTTTATGAGGATATGGGCGCAAATTCGGATGCTGTGGTTGTCGATAACGATAGGGTTGACGAACTGATGAACAAAGTGGCAGATGAGAATGGGCTGGAACTCAAACAAAGTGCGGCTTTGCAAGAGGTACCAGAAGTGCCCCCGGCTACTGAATCTAGTACAGATGAGAAGGAGTTAAAGTTGGCGCAAAGACTTAAAGCGCTTCGTGGTTAGTCTTACGATCGATAGCCATTACCAAAGTATGTAACGCATTTGAAGTGCATTTTTTTAATAAGGATATGTTTGACGTGGGAAGGCCGGTTTCAACCCGCTTATGTTGCCTTGACAAGGACGATCTTTATATATCTACATGTTATACAGAGCTTAGCGCATAGGTACTCCTCTACCTCTAGCACCACCTGGGGGAGGCATCATTCCAGCATTCGCGGGTTGGCTTTCCTTGTTTTTGATAGTTTCGTCGACGGACAAAATCAAATTTGTGGCTTCGGTAGCACTGCTCAAAGCATTTATCTTGACCAAAGCAGGTTCCCATACGAACTTGGCAAAATTGTCACCAACACTTTCAGTTTCAAAATCAACCCCAAACCATTTTTCACCTTTGCTGTGGGCCATTCTTAAGCGATTCAAGATATCGGTTGCGTCGAGACCTGCGTTCTCACAAAGCTGTCTGGGAATGACCTCTAGAGCCTTGGCGAAGGCATTGATTATCAGCTGTTGCTTTCCAGCGATCTTCTTTGATTCATCCCTTAGGTACTTGGAAATTTCCATCTCAATAGCACCACCACCAGCAACAACAAGCTTACTTTTGATGGCACGCTTTACAACCATTATAGCATCGTGAAGGGAACGTTCTACCTCGGCTATGACTTGTTCAGCACCACCACGTAGTAGCAAAGTGCATGTTTTGGCTTGCGGACAACCCTTGAAAATGTTATAACGCTCTGAGCCCACCTGAACCTCTTCGAAAAACTCGCAAGTACCTAAGTGTTCCGGTTTTATGTCAGAAGTGGTCGATTGAATGGCACCACCGACTGCTAAAATTGCACGGTCCAAATCGTCAGCCACTACTCTACCAGCGCAGAAAATGTTTCTGTCGGCAAAATACTGGGTCGCCAGATCACCAATAGGAAGTTTGGATAGAACAATGTTGGCACCAGATTCTTCAATTTGACGAAGCTTATCCAATATGATTTGCCATTCTGCGTCTACCACGGCGTTATAGTCCTCTACGTGTTCAACCCTTACCTCGGCGTTATCCTTTTCAGCCTTTAATTCTAGCTCGACATTCAAACTCAGCACCTTGGGGTTTGAAAACTTTTTAGGTTGTTGTTCGAACCCAGCATACGAGAATGTCTTTTGGAACGCAACCCCATTTACGAAAATCGAGTCTTCCATGGCACCTCCGGGAATTTTCTTGATCCCAATCAGTTTGTCGTCCAATTCTTCTTGATCTAAGGAAAGTACCGAGTCCACACACATCTTCACGAAGAAGTCAGCGTTACTGCTGATTAACTTCGAAGACATTGCGGTCCTGGCACACCGCTCCAGCAGCTCACGGTTGGTGCCATTTTCTGTTGAGACCGAAGAAGCCAATTCTTTGATCTTGTTCACCGCCAAGTTTGAGGCCTTTCTGTAGCCCTTGACAATGACATGCGACGAAATTCCTTCTTCCAAAAATGGTTTGGCCTCCTTCATGAGCTCACCTGCTAGAATAGTCACACTCGTGGTACCGTCTCCAACTTCGGCGTCTTGCGCTCTGGATATGTCCACTAGCGTTTTGGCAGCAGGATGCACCACGTCCAGAAGCTTCAAAATCGTTGCCCCATCGTTGGAAATCGTGGTCTTGCCATTAGAAGACACAATCAGAATATCCGAGCCTAAAGGTCCCAAAGTGGGCCTTAGCGAGTCTTGGATCGCCATGCATGCATTGATATTTGAAATGATTTGGCCACGGCCCTGAGATGCATCAGTTCCCTCTTTTAAAACCACAATTGTGGGAGTTTGACTTCCAAAATTCATAACTGATCTTAGATTATACCTGTAGCCCTGTCAATCAGCCGTTAAGGATCGATCTTACTGCCGAAGTTCTTGGTGTTGGTGATGTTAACCATGTCAATTGCCACTTGCATTTTTTTTTCATACTAAACATACATAGAAAATCATGTGCAAAGGAGATTGAAACTGTCACCCAGTTGGCATTTGGTGGTAAACTGGCGACGTCCAGCTAAACGAGCGTTCAGCTCAGCAATTTCAAATGATTGGGCCGATTTACCAAAGGTTGAGCTTCCTAATGGTGGTACTATTGAAGTATGTTCACGTTTTTGTGAGGTGCGAAAATTCCGAATGTTCATACCCCTCTTCAGGCAATGGAAACTTCGCATAGTTCAGAAAATCAAAAAATTGATGTACATGTAGACTACGTTTACGAAGCTCTGGTGCGCATTCTGCTGTTCAGAATTTATCAGCAAAGGTCGTCTTGCAGTGTGATGAATATTTTCATGAAAATACTATTTACAAATAATATTTGCGAATGGGCCCATGCCGTCCGCTATATAGCCCACGTATGCACATCCCCATTGGTGCGACCTTCTACGAGGTATCCATGCTTGTATCGTATGAAATCAACGACATTGTTGTCGGTATCTGCAGGTTCCGCCTCGCCGCAGATCCAGTGGCGACTCTCTTTCCGATCGTAAACCTTGACACTGTTTTCGTTATTGGCGGCGACAATTTTGTCTAGATCAAATTGCAAACTGCTAACAGGGCTGTTGTACGCAAATACATCAGCTAGTAGTCCAGTTCGTAGATCCCAAATCCGTATGCTGCGGTCCAGGGACCCTGTCACCAAGTTGATCGAGTCGAACTGCAGACCTGTGACTGCATCAGTGTGGCCCTCGAGGGTGCGAATGACCTGTCCTGACCTGAGGTCCCATAGTCGGACCACGCCGTCCTTCGTCCCGGTAGCCATTGCCGCGTCGTAGCATTGTAACGCGCCAATAACTGGCGGGTCGTTGTGGGTAAGAAGCACACTGCTGCGCGGGTTGTGGGAGCGGACGGACGAAAAGCCATCAGACGTGCCCCTGTTTGTAAAGTTAAGATCAATAGTCTGTAGACACTTACCAGTGGTCAAATCCCACTGGCGAATCGTACGATCTTGAGAACCCGAAACGAGGGAGTCTCCTTCGAAATGCAAAGCGGTGATTTCGTCGACGTGGGCGTCGAACGTGTGCATACAAAGCTCATCCTCTTCAGCATCTACGCCACCTTCCTGATATATATCTTCAGCCTTTTCCACGTCCCAAAGTTTCAATAAGGCGTCACGGCCGCCAGTGATCAATGTGTATGACTCGTCCATTTGCATACAGCTTACGGAAGCCAGGTGGCCCGGCAGGCAAGCGATCTGTGTTTGCTTACTCAAGTTCCAGATTTTGACGGAGTGATCCATTTTTCCCGCGGTACACATGGTACCGAACGGCATGTCGAAGTCCAGACACGTTATGCTATCGTCGTGCGCTTTAGGGAAAGATGCTATGCTGGCTCCAGGTTCGTAAAACTGTTGTAATGTTGGGTACGTCTTTCGTTTGCGGTGGTTAACGTGGAGAACATTTTGATTCGTGCGCTTTTGATTCTGGGAAGCCTTGAGTGAGGCTGCTTTTGAACTGGGCGGGCTCTTTTTTATTTTCTGATAAATAGACTTGCTCATCAAAGCAGATGTTTCGTCATCATCACTCTCAGGTGCGTTGTTGTTGGCCAGTTCCTGTGCTGTTGTGCTACTTTGGATGGTTCTTTTGGTACTGCTTTCTGCCGATGCGCCCTTCATGTCGGAGCGATTCTCGCTTTCGGCATCTTCGTCCAGGCCATGTTCCTGAATCAAATCAATTCTGTCTTTGACAAGAGCGAGATGCTTTTCTAGAAAAATCTCATTTTGCTCCACTCTGGCCACTCGTTTGAAAACAAAGTTACGAACCATCTTTAGCTTTTCCAACTTAGCGTCAATCTCTTTGATCTCACTAGCTGCCAAGTTTTTTTGAATCTCTAACAAGTCCAAGTTATCAGTGATGCTTTGTGATGCAGTTTTCAGAGTATGCAGTGAATATGTCTCGCTCAGCTCATCCCAATCGAGTTTCCCTGGCAAGGAAAATGCCTCTTCCCCAGTACTCTCCTCTGAATTCGTAAGAGTACGAGATTCCTCATGGTTGCCATGCGAACTGATTGTCTCGTTGATGGTAGGCAGCGAAGAGTGGAAGCCCTGAAATAGAGATGGCTCTTCTCCAGTTGATCTGCTATGGGACGTGGCATCGCCGTTTTCGGTCAAGAGACGCCGCGAGCTTTTCTTACTGCGATTTGAATTCTTAGAATTCGGTATATCATACAGCAGTTCTTCACTGAGATAGCTAAGCACGCGAAAACTGGTCTTGGTGTTGCTAAATTGATTCTCAAAAAATGATTTTCCGTTCGGAGCAGAGTATATGTCTTGAAAGGACTTGTTATCTTCCTTCCGAAATGGATTTGCCGTGGTCCTTAACTTTGTTAAAGCGCTACTGGAGCCCGAGTGGGTGATTGTCTGGTGTAGCAATTTCTTGTAAGGACTGCTATATGATAATATAGTGTCTTCCATTGACTGTGATCCAAAAATTGCCGAGGCTGTAGTTGACACAGCCCTTCCAAATTGAGCCAATTGGTCGGAGTTGGTTGAATTGGATCCCATGCTCCCTTAGAAGGATCTTCAAGGCCCTTAACACCTTTGTGGAGAGTTTTTGGTTTTAAGCTTTACCGATCTTGAATTTTTTGCCGTAAGATTGCCCGCAGATTTGGTCACTATTTAACATTCTGACAGACATGTCCAAGATAGAGAAAACAAGCAATGTTCTTGTCGCCTTTGGCCTACTAGCTTTGGATATAGCACCTATCGAGTGCTAAGGACTCGATGAAAGACCAAAGTTGCCCAGAATATGTGGAGCATCTTCCTCACAAGCCTCTCACATTACTCCTACCAACAGCTAGTAGCATTATAGCATTTGATTCACTTCCTTATCTCTCCTGTAGCTCATTGAGTCTTTTCTGTAAATCAGAGAGCTCTTCCTGTTCCTTTTGCAGCAACCTAGCAACTCCTGAACTCATTTTCATATCTTGCAACTGGGTCTCTTGTTCCTGTATCTGGGCCCTGAGCTGTTGTATCTCGGTTCCTATTTCATTGTAGTGCTGCAGAAGATCGGAATAGCCCTTTTGATACTCGGAGATTGGCCAACGGGTGACGATTTCGTTGAAAACTCTGAAAACTAGCTCCACGGGAAAGTCTTCGACAAAAAGGGTCTTTCTGCGGCTTTCTTGCTCATCGTCGCCTTTTCCGTTGCTTTCTGTAACCACAGTCCCATTCTGTAATGCAACGAGCAGATTTTGTATCTGCTCATCGCCTTCAAATTTCTTGAGTAGCACTTCGAAAACCCCTTCCGCATTCAGTCCATCGAATACGTACATTTGTTGTTTGCGACCACGGGCAGCGTCTTGCTCATGCTGCTTAAGGTAGAAGCTCTTGGGAACGTGAATAATTGGCGTTTGTTCAACATCCCCCAAACGGCGGTTGCGTTTCAAGTTCTGCTCGTGTTCTGTCAGAAAATCGAAAACTCCTATTTTGTCGTCCTTCCGCCGAGGTAACCCGTTTTGATCGATTTTGTAAAGTGATACCTCTTCCCGGGCATCCCCATCACGGATTATGTTTGTGATTACGTCGGCATAAGATACCGACGAGTCTGACACGATAGCGTTGTGAAAGATGCCAGGAGGTTTGAAATATAAGGTGGATATGGATTCCCCAGATTGTTTGATCTGATTCAGACACTCGCTTAGATCTCGAGACATGCCTTTTGTGGTTTAATCTTCGTTGTTTACATGTTTATACTTTTGAGCATATCGGATTATTAGGCGTTTTCTTACCAGAAATCCTAGGTGCGATGAAGTTTAAAGGCATAACAAATTAAATACCTTCTATAGAGCTCATTTCTGACTATGACGATGTGGAAAGTACTTTACTATCTGTGTCTATTACTCTCTCCACGCTACATAAACTTCGTCAGTTCTGAACTTTTGAGTAACAACCGTCTCCGACATATCTTTGACTATATTGCCCATTCTAAATTGTAGAAGCCCGGCCTGTGCAATCATGACACCATTGTCAATACAGAAACGCTCGTCTGTCGCGTGGACTTGGCCGTTGGATCTGTCACGACACATGGAAGCCATCATCTCTTGCAATCGGACGTTACAGCCCACACCCCCGACGATTAACACCTGATTTGAGTTGACGTGAGCCATGGCACGCTCGGTGATTTCAACCAGCATGGCAAACAGGTTCTCTTGTAGAGAGTAGCACAGGTCTTCGACGGTAACGAGCTGCTCTCCCGTATGTGGGTCAAATAAAAGCTTGTTCTTGATGTTCTTGTTGAATAAGTCTTTGGCCAGGGAGTCTACGTATCCCAAAATACCGCTCATAGACAAGTCCATGCCCTTGACGGTGTAAGGGAGTTCGACCAGCCGTTCTTTGTTAGTACATTTGAGAGCCAATTGCTCGATGTTGTACCCCGGAGAAGGCTCGTTGGGTATCTTTAAGGTTCTTGCGAAGCGGTCCAGGCAATTTCCGATCGCGATATCGAGCGTTTCGCCGAATATGCGATAGCAGTTCTCAGAGTATGCAATGACCTGGGTGTTTCCTCCACTTACGTAAAGCACCACAGGATTTTCGGCCTTGGTGATCTCCCGGCCCATTTCGATGTGGCCCACGCAGTGGTTTACGCCCACCAACGGCACATTCCACATGAGGGAGAGCGTTCTGGCCATGACCACGACCGAGTGTAGAGGGGCACCCATTCCGGGGCCCTTGGTGAAACAAATGGTGTCGAGTTCGCTGGGATCGTTGATGCCGGCTTCCTGGAGTGCGGAACGCACTAGCCGCACGGCCCAGTTGCGGTGGTGTCTGGCGGTGTCTCTTGGGAGGAAACCTTCGCCCGGCGGAGTCACGTACGTGTCTCTGATGTTTGAGAGAATCTGCATATCACAATGGTGGGAAAGATCGCTATCATAATGTTTTTCCAGCAACGGGTGTTTGATGACCCCGACGCCGAGCTTATTGGCGGAGCCCTCGAGCCCCAGGGCCAAGTAGTAGTCTCTGCCGTTTCGAGGCGGGATCTGGTTGAGGTTGACCATGGTTGAGAGATAAGAGCAGCTTGGATGTGCTGTTTTCTTGATTTGCTAGGCTTTAGGATGGTGTCAATAGCTTTCCAGTTATTGGTAGACGAGGATTAAAAGGTCCCGATGCGTGCCAGTTTTGTAGTTTTGGTCCAACATTGAAACTTTCAGATGCAATGACATGTGCATAGGTTTACGAGCTTTTAAAGCGAGCACAGCAACCGAGAGCCTCCTGTACACTACAAAAAAGAGCAGAACCGTCGAGTACATCGCGCTATTGCGGATAAGCTCAGTTTATTCGGACGATCCTCATACTACTTGCACAACGCAAAGCTCCAGACGGAAGCTTGTATTTGCTCTGCGTAGGACACTAGGCCGGAGTAAACAGTGTAAAATTACAATGCGCTCGGCGTTACTAAAGTAAACACAACTAGTTATATCTCAATACACAGCTCTCCTGGATTATCTGTCACCTTAAAACAGCTCCTGACCTGTCATCGCACGCGGGGCCCATCATATCCCCGTGATGATGTGACAAATTTGGCGTTGTTATTGTGATGATAGACCCGACCAGCTGCTCTTGTTGTCGTGCTCGTCGCGCCCTTCCTAATCACTATGGCTGCCCCAGCTCGGCTGAGAGATGGATGAATCCGGCAGCCAACAATCACAGTCGATACAAAGATGGGATATGTTTCAGATACATCAAGTGAAATTGTCGGTTGCATTTAAAGCATCCGACAGACAGGACTGGAGCTTGGTCAAGTTCAATCCACCTATACGCTGTACTGTACACGTCATAGCTACTGAGGTTCCTGCATTCGTTCTTTAGGTTGCAGCTGGTGGAAGAGGGATCTTTTCGCTATGGAAGCCCTTCTCATCTTTTTAAGACTTTGTAGCTGGTGGAAATGTTTGTATCTTGACACCCTTTTCCAAGATAATCAGTGTCGGTAGGAGCTGAAATTTATCAGGACTACCAGGTGGGGTGATTTAGTACTTATCAGAATGGTGTCTAGTTGCCCGATAGTTAAACGTTGTGTCAGAATAGTACGACGCGATATTAAGACGTCAGGACTGTAAGGACGTGAATGGTCAACCGTTGGAATCTGGGGGAATAGCGGTTGCAGAGAAACGACTTGGTCACTCTGCTCCATTTTACACAGAAATCTAACCTGCCAGGTTCAAATTTAGAGTCCTAAGTGACCAGAATTTTACCTTAATGCAGTAGGCCATGCGTCTCAGATTTATGGTTCAATTCGATAATCACAGAGGGACAAGTCGAAGTCGCTCTAAAAAGCTTCCGATCTCTCATCAGAAAATGAGACTTGATGCACGATGTTTATCTGAAGTTTACACGAAAAGATTGCATGCCGTTTGCGGCTGACGCGAAGTCGGTAGAACCAAATTATCATCAGTGACTGATTGGTCTTCCTTGATGTTTTTCCGTAAGCTTATGGGAGAACATTTTGATACGCAAAAGGTTGGCAAGTGCTCACTATTTGATTAAGCTTCGCATTATGTAAAGTACCAATCACTATTGGTATGGCATAAAACTCAACAATGTGTCAAGCCTCAAAAAACGAGGTTTGAATGAACGGAAAAAGAGGTTGATAGCTGACCATGGGCGAAGGAAATCACTCAGCTTCACTTCTCACAGTGCAAGCGTAACACTTATACAGAATATTCACCATTTTCCACTACAAAATATTTTTCAAGCAGTCTCACACTCCTCTGTGCGTTCCACTTATCCTGTATGAGCGTATAGGCTTTGACACGCCGGTGTCGAGTTGAAGCTTTTGATGAGGGTGAAACTCCTGAACACAGAAAGACGAAAATGCCATCCCTCCATGGCTGGCGCCGTTACCTATATACACTTACTACTCCTACAGAGGCCCTTCCAGGCGCTTTAGCGTCTTCACCCAACATCTGCCTGAATTACTTACCCAAGCTGTCTACCAGACCACCTTGCGAACACCATTAGAATCCTCACGCTACTTGCTTCCATACTCATCTCACCTCTTGGCTCATCTCGTTGTAGAACTACGTCTGGGGAAGATCACGAGCCCACGAATATAATGACGATCAGAAACTGGGTAGATTCAAGATTAGGACTCGTACGCTAGGATCTTATATTGTAGGCCAGCGGGAAGCATGAGAATGGCCTACCGAACCATCACACCTGACACCAATTAGACCGATGTTCCGGGTTTGAACCCCATCACCCAAGCTGCTACAGCTGTTACATTGCCAGCGTTGACTACAGCGTGAGTTTGGTCAACAAAAGCTCGCCGAAGCTGCTCGCTGGTGTTGCTCGTGGCATAAGGGAAAACCCAGGTAGAATGAAGGGTGTCTTCACCATTCTACTCATGGCTCAGGTGTCTACTCGAAGCGACGCACCCAGCCCTGCACTAATGCTACAGCACGTGCACCGGTAGACCCTAGCGATAGCGCGGCCGCCCAAAGTACCACGAACGCGTATATCCAGGTAGCAGTGGACACAGGCTTCAGATACTTTTCAGGTAGCGCAGACCACCTGGCCGGATAGAAACCAGGTGACACGTGACACATGTCACGTGTCACCTGGTTGCGGGAAAAACAGTACCCGTCGTACCCGTCGTACCCAGTCTACTCGTTTTCCAGTCCCGCCACCACCTGCACCACCCTCACGGCGCTCGTCGCTTTTCGTCGCTCGTTCTCATCGTTCGGTGGCCGTCCTATCAGTGTCTTCCGGCTGTTGCTGGTGGTCCTGCCATGCTTATCTCCCGTGGTTGTGTCTGGTCTGTCACCTGCCACTCAGATAAGATCTGCCTAGCACGGTAGCTACGGCACGAAAATCCATCCCAAGAGCGGAACATAGACACGCGGACCATATTTTTTTCCCAGCACAGTGTGCAGGAGCTAAGCTACCGCTCCTGCATTCGCATAAGCGATCGATACAGCTGGAATCGCCTTCTCTGCTGGCGTCGAATCCTGAGAGCACCTTTCGTTAAACCAAGCAGAACGCTCCGCCAGTGACGCCGTGGTAGTTGTGCCAGCAGCTTATCTGTTTTCCATATACGACAGCCAGTATCTCTGTGGTAACGTGCTCACTTGACCAGCAGTCTCCCTCAGTGTCCATCTCAGTGTCTTATCAACTGTCCAAAAAGTTTTCACCACAGCAACAGGCCATCGAGTACGACTCCAACGATGGCGAGGGTGGGTTGATTTTTTGCCAGTAATAGTGCCTTGGTTTTTCTGTTTGTTATCACAGCGTTCATATTGGGTGGACTGATAGAAGAAATTGATAACCGGTTTACGATACAACGACAGATAGGCAGAAGAAAGGCGAAAGTGTAAGGTAAGTGAGATAACAGTGGGTAAAGTACTGGCCTCACGTCCCCCGCACATGCGTATATAAAGAGACGAGAGTTCAGCATTCCTCGAAGTAGAGAGTTTAGAGTTGTTCTTTTCGCTGTCAACCAATACTAGACATCTTCTCGTTCTCTAGCTTGTTATCATGAGCGAAGATAAGAATTTCGTCTATGCTAAGGAAGAGCCCGTTCCGGGCGCTCAGGACTCCTACGAGATGTCGTCGGAGTCCAACAAGGACCATTCCAGCCCCAAATCGGTGTCTGCGTGGCAGGACTTCAAAGACAGCTTCAAGAGAGTGAAGTTGGAGGAAATGGACCCCAACTTGACGGAGGCTGAGAAGATCGCGATGGCCACTGCGCGCTCGCCTCTGCAACGTCACTTGAAGAACAGACACTTGCAGATGATTGCGATCGGTGGTGCGATCGGTACGGGTCTGTTCGTGGGATCCGGTACTGCGTTGAGAACCGCTGGTCCAGCTGGTATTTTGATCGGCTGGGGTCTGATGGGTACTATGATTTACTGTGTTGTTATGGCGGTGGGAGAGATGGCTGTTGCCTATCCTGTTTCCGGTGGGTTCACCACCTTCGCTGTTCGTTTCTTGGATGAGTCTCTTGGTTTTGCTTTGAACTACAACTATATGTTGCAGTGGTTAGTTGTTATCCCTCTGGAACTAGTTGCCGCGTCTATCACAGTCAACTTCTGGGGCACGCCGCCAAGGTACAGAGACGGTTTTGTTGCCTTGTTTTACGTTGTGGTGGTGGTCATCAACTTCTTCGGTGCCAAAGGGTACGGTGAAGCCGAGTTTGTTTTCTCTTTGATCAAAGTCGTTACCGTCACCGGATTCATCATCCTGGGTATTGTATTGGTGTGTGGCGGTGGCCCTGAAGGTGGATACATCGGCGGTGCTCTATGGAACAACCCAGGTGCCATCCCAGGTGCCAATGCTGGACAACGCTTCAAAGGTGTTTGCACGGTATTTGTCACTGCTGCTTTCTCCTTTTCTGGTTCCGAATTGGTGGGGCTGGCCTCTGCCGAAACTGAAAACCCAAGAAAGGTGCTACCAGGTGCTGCCAAGCAAGTGTTCTGGAGAATCTGTCTGTTCTACATCATTTCGCTATGTTTGGTTGGGTTGTTGGTCCCATACAACGACGAGAACTTGATCGGTGCCTCCTCCGTTGATGCTGCTGCTTCTCCTTTCGTCATCGCCATCAAGACTCACGGTATCCGCGGTTTGCCTCACGTCATCAACGTTGTCATCTTGATTTCTGTGTTGTCTGTTGGTAACTCCGGTGTTTTCGCCTGTTCCAGAACTTTGACTGCCCTTGCTGAGCAAGGCTACTTGCCAAAGATCTTCGCCTACATTGACAGAAAGGGTAGACCTTTGGTGGCCACTGTCTTCACCTGTGTTTTCGCTTTGCTATCTTTCATTGCTGCCTCTGACAAGGAAGGTGACGTGTTCAGCTGGTTGTTGGCCCTATCCGGGTTGTCGGCTTTGTTCACCTGGTTGGGTATCTGTTTGTGTCACATTAGATTCAGAAGAGCTTTGGCTGCCCAAGGTAGATCCACCGACGAATTGGCCTTCACTTCTCCTGCTGGTTACTGGGGTTCAGTTTACGGTGCTGTCATGCTTTTCTTGATTCTCATTGCTCAATTCTGGATCGCCGTCTGGCCTTTGGGTGGTGGTGGAAGTGCTGAAGCTTTCTTCAACGCTTACTTGTCCTTCCCAGTTTTGATTGCCTTTTACGTCTTCCACAAGATCTGGAAGAGAAACTGGACTTGGTTCATCAGAGCCAAGGACATGGACATTGACACTGGTAGAAGAGTCGTCGACATCGATGTTCTAAGAGAGGAAGTTGCTGAAGAAAAGTCCGTCTTAGCCAGCAAGCCATTTTATTACAGAGTTTGGAAATTCTGGTGTTAAGGCATTAATTGCCTGAATTTATCGAGCATAGTGCTCTTGTGTAATAAAGAATATGGATCAAATAGTATTTAAAACCATGAAAAATTGACGTAATTCTAATAATTTCAACGATATCGAACTGCAGATTGCTCAAGCAGTTTGTTTGCCCTGACAGGGTCTGTCTGTACTCCAGTTACAAACATCTCTTTCCAGTGAGTGCCAGCTACCCATTTATCTTCTCTGTCGCCAAGCGACTGGAGAAAAAACATCTAGTCGCATGATCCGTCTGCAATGACCACTCATTTTTTTTCCACTTTCCATCTGAAAAATTTTCCACGATATATAAAGATCAAGCTCATCGCTTGAAGCTTTGCACTGTTTAGAATGTTTTATAGCTTTCATCACCATCGCACTTTTCATTAAGTAACCAAACATGTCCTCTCGTCCTCAGGTCTCTGTCCAAAAGCTCTCCGGTGAAGCTTCCGGTAGCTCCCTACCTTTGCCAGCTGTCTTCTCGGCTCCAATCCGTCCAGACCTTGTCCACGCCGTCTTCACCAGCGTGAACAAGAACAAGAGACAAGCTTACGCTGTCTCTGACAAGGCTGGTCACCAAACCTCTGCCGAATCCTGGGGTACTGGTCGTGCTGTTGCCCGTATTCCTCGTGTCGGTGGTGGTGGTACCCACAGATCCGGCCAAGCTGCTTTCGGTAACATGTGCCGTGGTGGTCGTATGTTCGCTCCTACCAAGACCTGGAGAAAGTGGAACGTTAAGGTCAACCACAACGAAAAGAGATACGCCACTGCGTCTGCGATCGCCGCTTCCGCCGTTGCCTCCTTGGTTTTGGCCAGAGGTCACCGTGTCGAGAAGATCCCAGAGATTCCTCTAGTCGTTTCCTCCGACCTAGAATCCGTCACCAAGACCAAGGATGCTGTTGCCGCTCTAAAGGCTGTCGGTGCCCACTCTGACCTCGTCAAGGTTATCAAGTCCAAGAAGTTGAGAGCCGGTCAAGGTAAGTACAGAAACAGAAGATTCACCCAAAGACTAGGTCCTTTGGTTGTCTACGCCAACGACAACGGTATTGTCAAGGCCTTCAGAAACCTGCCAGGTGTCCAAACCTGCAACGTTGCCTCTTTGAACCTATTGCAGTTGGCTCCAGGTGCTCACTTGGGTAGATTCGTCATCTGGACCGAAGGTGCCTTTGCTCAATTGGACCAAGTCTGGGGTTCCGAGACTGTTGCTTCTTCTGTCAAGTCTAACTACACCTTGCCATCTAACATCATCACCAACACCGATGTTACCAGAATCATCAACTCTTCCGAAATCCAATCTGTTGTTAGACCAGCTGGCCAACCAAGCCAAAAGCGTACCCACGTTTTGAAGAAGAACCCATTGAAGAACAAGCAAGTCTTGTTGAGATTGAACCCATACGCCAAGGTCTTCGCCGCCGAAAAGTTGGGTTCCAAGAAGGCCGACAAGAAGAAGGGCTCTGTTTCTCAAGTTTTCGCCGAAACTTTGAAGCACGAGTAAGTTCAAAACTAGTTTGTGCTAGCTTTTCTCTTCACGAGCTTAACTGAGAAATGTCGGGATGTTTATAGATCAACTACTCTAGGTTAGGTTAAATGAATTTCTTGTACTTTCTTGAGAACTTACTTATGGACCTCGATTGTCGCTACAAGCGTGATTGGGGTGGAGTCAACAGTTGTCGAAGGCCGCATAAATGTGAACTTTCAAGTGAGATTGGGCGTCCGAACTATCTCAACATATGGAAAGTGCCTTTTACCTTAAGTGTTCGCGCGTCTTATGATTATATCTAATGTACAAAATTTTACCGACTTCTTGTTAATGCATCAAATAAAAGTTTTGATTTTTTCTGGACCTTTGATTAGCGTCCAATCCTTGAGCTTTGAATTCGTATTCAATCTTGATATCGAGGTCTCTGTTATTAGCCTTGTTTGGATTGCAGACAATTTCACCCTCCAATACTTCATCTTTCTCGCACTCCAAATCATCCTCTAGATAAAATACGGTTTGCTTCCAGTGAGTATATGGGGCATGGGCACCAGTCGAGAACGTTACAGGCTTTTTGCCTTTTGCAGCGGGAAATTCAATATCAAACCAACTGATCAGCCCATTGATGAAGTCTTGGTTCTTAGCTTGTAGCTTGAATTTGGCCTTAAACGCAAGGTCAGCCACCGTAATTGTGTTAAGGTCAAACTCAATCAACTTGACCCTTGTGGTGTTGACTGCACTGTGTTGCACAGTGTCAACAAGCGGTTCTTTCTTCACTAGGGGAATGAAAGGTGAGTAATCAAACCCATAGACATTTTGCCAGTAGTTCAACTTTTCATTCTTGTATTGGGAATCCTCAATGCCGGCCAGGTGAATGGAGCACTTGTCCGGAAAGATCAAGCCACCTTCCACCAAATACCGGTCACGAGCCCACAAAACGGTGTCCATCATAGACTCGTACAATAAGAAGTAACCCATCCATTCCGAGATGATAATGTCAACCTTGGGATATGGCAGCACGACATCTTCCAACTTACCGCGCAACAAAGTGATCTTATCGGAAAACCCGTTCAGTTCCACTATTTCCCGGGCCATCTCAATGATGCTAGACATATCAACACCAATCACATGCTTCGCGCCATTCTTGGCAGCAAACATCGACAAGATACCTGTCCCACAGCCAACATCTAACACCACCTTGTCTTTAAACAGATCCTTGTTCTGAACGATCGCATTCCTGTAGGATAGCGTCCGAACTGTGTCCTGCAACATCTCTTCGTGAATGCCATAGTGATCGTAAGATGTGAAATAGTGTTGCTCATGCTCATTCAAATCTTCCTTCAAAGTAGCCGAATCACCAACTTCGGTCTTGCTCATCTTGCCAACACGATTCAAGCCGTTAATTGACTTTCCTGTGAAGACTGGTCTTGTTATGCAAAAGTGGTGATGAGCTTGACAATAGCCTTACCCTCGAAAAATTTTCTTAAATAAGTAGAAATGATTATCGCGATGAGCTGGAGGACATTAAGGTAACGTATGGAAAAGGATTCTTGCAGGGTTAGTTGATTCTTTTGAGCCCACTTCCCGGCATAATTGTATCTTTATTGTTCTGCTGAGAGTTCTGCTGAGAGTTCTGATTGAGTCGTTCTCAGCAGGGTGATGTCCGATTCATCACAACTTGGGCTGTCGACTCAGGAACCAGTGCAACGCGTGATCATCGTGTAGCGTCCTGGATGTTAATTCTGCCCATATAGCGTCTAATATCTCTCCTTTTTTTGAATGGCACAACTTGGCTAGCTCTATGCAGTTTTCTAGCCAGTCCACCATGTATTTTTTGTTGACGTGCGGCAATTGCTTCACCAAGCAGAGGATTAGCGTGGAAGTTTCTTCGAGAGACTTGGATCCAGAATTAACAACTTGACGGTAGGTGAAATGAAGAATCTGTCGAGAAATATCATTGTTTGTCCTAAGCAGTGTTGGAACCTCATGTGCAATCGCCTCATATATGCGAATCAAGTGGCTTGAAGATAAGATGCCTGTCAAGAACTGTTTGATGGATATATCAAGCAACTCCAAGCAGTGGTTTGATTTCCATTCTTGTAAAAAACGGTTAGAAGAATTGTGATTAGCGTAGAGGGCAAGATAGGCTGCCAGTGCCGCCTCACATATCACAGTATCCGGGGATGCCGCGTAACGTCGTAAAACTGGAGAGACAAAGGACTCTAAAAATTCTGCTGAAATTTTGGTTTGTACTAGTGTCGATTCCATGAAATCAAGCATGAACAGTATTCTGCTATTGTTGACAGAATTGCTTGCCGACAGAGTCCATATGTTACCACGCATGATCTCAAGGCACCTGTAATAGCGGGAAGGAATCGCCATTATTCCCGTTGCGCTAACATCATACACATACTGGTAGGATTCAAAGCCAATTTTGCCGAAGTCCTGGATGATATAGTTGAGATAATAAAATGCAATGATGACCTGATGGTAGCACTCTTCGGGGAATGCTGGATGAGCTATACACCCACGCAAAATCAGGACGAAAGTAAGCAGTTGGTTTGAGTGTGTCGGAGACGAGTAATTGGCTCGTGGTGCCTGCAGCGCACTAGAAGACTGCTCGAAAGAAACACAGCAGATCGAATCGAGTGCATAGGCAACTATATTGATATCCACTTTGGGCAGAACGACTTCCATAGCTTTGGCAAGATTGCTAAGGTTGTTTAGAACTGCTCTAGAGCCCGATTGCGGATCATTAGCAAACGTCATGGTTGCGTTGAGGATAACATGAGCGAACAAGTCAGTAGAAACTAGATTAGCGTCCTCTGCTTGAAAAATGCGCGCAAGAAAGATTGCCAACAGCTCCGTGCTTTTGGAATCTCTTGTACTTTTCATGAACAATTCTCGCCAGATGGGGATAAACAACTGATATTTCCACCTCCTGTAGAGGGTGATGACATCGCCGCTATCGTCAACAAAGAATTTAGCTTGTATATCTTCAAATCTTGTTCTAGTGCTCAAAATACCGCAAAGAATAGCTATTCTAGCAGCGGTCCAGCGTCGGCAGTTTCTGATTGCCGCTTCCCACACAAGGTAAAACTCACTGATGCCTATGACGGGCTCTGATATTTCAAGTTTCCAAGCGAAAATAGACTCAAAAGCTTCCTGTAACGCAAAAAGGTCACCATTCAGTTTATGCTGCCAGAAGCTCGTCTCAAGGATCTCCCTAGTAAGTTGTTCTAATCTTTTTTTGTTTCGCAGCCTCGGAGTATAGTACACTAAATGTGTTAGTATATCATGCGCACTTCCTTCATAATCCGACCTTCTAAGAATGTTGATGATGGAGGTAACGGCACTATCTGAGCCTGTCCGCTTGATGACGGGAGCCATTGGTTTTTTATTTACCCGTCAATAAATGGCTCTGTCAAGAAGGTTTCACCTAGTATTAATTTACTCATTTGTATTAGAGTACTTGCTTAAGGTTAAACAAAAACTCAGAATCACAGCTCAAAATGCCAACTGAGACCCCCCAGGGACTGGTGAACTTTCCAGTGACAAAGCTTTGTGCGTTGCTCACGCTGGGAATACCGATACTTGCCTCAGTCGCGGGCGTCAAACATTGGTTTCTGCTCTATGACGAACCTTTCATTTCTGAAGACAAGCAGTACTATCGTTATCTCTCCTTTCAAATTGCAGCGGTGAACGAAACAGATGTTGCTCTTATCACATTCATATGGTATCAATTAAGACATCTAGAGCGACTTTTTGGGAGCAGGAAGTACCTGAGCGTGATTTCGCTCTCATGGGTGTACACCTCGATGATCGTAATAACGACCGTATGGCTGTTCAATCTGAACCCTATTGTCAAGTGGAATCGCTTCACAAGCGGAGCACTACCACTAATTTTATCGCTTTTCCACTTCTACAAAGAATACACGCCCCAGATATACCAATTCGATGTCAAGCTAATAAAGCCGTTTGGGGCGCGCTCCAAACAGCTCAAATGGTCTTTCAATGATCAGTTTGTGATTAACGCGCTGATAGCACTTCTCTTGTTGAATCAAGGTTCAGTCGGTATTGCAACTGGATTTGTCAGCTGGTTATGTGGTATCTTCATCGATAAGGGACTGCTACCTGGTTTTGAGTTCTTTAGGTTACCTCTTTTCAAGCAAACGCTTGGCTCGGAACCCAGGCGCACAGCTACAGTGAACTCGTCTAGAACAGCTGCTCCTAGCGTACAAGAACAGGAATCGATGGCCGCGGATGGCGAAGCAGATGAGGAACAAGGTGACGAGCCAGCGCGTCCACTCGGGGTTCAGTTTTTGGATACTTTTCGGATGTAAGGTATCAGGGGAATTCTATCTGGCATGGTCTTAGTATACTAGCTAATTAATCAACTAAACTACGTGATGCTTATCTCCACATCGTGGAGTCGCTTAAGGTAAGTTCTATATTTTCAGGTTTTCGGTGGCCTGCTGAGCTCCCTTAAGCTGCTGGCGTTTTTCGACATCCCAATTGTACAGTCTAGCGCAATTGACTTCCATCGTAGTTATGTTTTCTCGCAAAAATTCCACGTCCTCCTGGTTGATATCCAGGTTTTTCTTCGCTTCCGCCAGTTTTGCGGTCAGTAGCTCAATGGCTTCATCAATCGGATACTCTAACATGACGTCAGCACCGAGCCACAACCCAACTTTTAGTTCATCAGTTGTGTCTATCTCTGCAGTGGTGTATAATGTTTCGTTCAATTGGTAGTTGGTCTCCAAATTTGAGCCGCTGTTTTTCTTGGCCTCCAGACAACGACACATACCCAGCGTGTTCTCAATGTCAGGTATCTTTTGCTTCAGTTGCTTAACTGAAACCAGCTTTGACTCCTGCATGTACTTATACTTTGACAGTCTTTCTTGGAATTTGTTGAAGCATAGGTCAAAGTCGTTAGGATCCTTGATGAAATCTTCCACTTTCTCCACAAATGGGGCCTCAGGAATACCACGGGAATTGGTCTTAGTAGAGTTGAATAAAGTATCCATTTGACTATACTGGTAGGTTTCTTTCGTGTGTCTGCTTTTAAAAGTTGAATACAGAAGTTGACTGAAGTATAATTAAGTATTTCAAGTACTACATTTATTTAGTATACAATAAGGTACAAGTATGCCCATCTCTTAAGCGTACAGAGTACAAGACCGCTGTTAAAGCTTCTTCTTTTGCTCACATAGCCAGCTTCATGAACACTGATCTGGTTGAAAATGAGCTCTCATTTCCTTCGGCTACGAGGGTCTCTTTGAAAGTTGATAATCTCTCAGTTTTGGCATCCAACCAAACAGCTCTCGTTCGCGATGTCTGCATGGAAATACCCAGTGGTTCAATTATGGCTATCATCGGAGGCTCGGGGTCTGGTAAGACTACGTTGCTGAACGCTCTGGCCTCTAAAATGCCTCGCAGCTTGAAGTGTGCTGGCTCAGTTTACTTCATTCCAGAACAGCAGGAGAAAGGAAGCGAAAAGATTACAACAGCATACCTTACGCAGCAGGACATACTGTCTCCAAGACTTACGTGCCGTGAAACATTGCAGTACGCATCCGATTTGAAATTAGAATTAAACAAAGAAGAAAGGCAACAGCTTGTTGAAGAGTTGATTGCAGAACTAGGCTTACGAGACTGTTCCGAAACACTTGTTGGGAGTCCACATCGTCCAGGACTCTCTGGTGGTGAGAAACGAAGACTGAGTATTGGCGTGCAAATGATATCGAACCCATCTTTATTGTTTCTAGACGAACCCACCACTGGGCTAGATGCATATTCAGCCTATTTGGTGATAAAAACTTTGAGGAAACTTAGTCATAAAGGTGGAAGAACTTTTGTAATGAGCATACATCAGCCGCGTGCTGATATTCTTTTCCTGCTTGACCAAGTCTGCATATTGTCAAAGGGGCACAATGTCTACTGCGACGACGTTACCAAGATGGTGAGCTACTTCGAAAAACTTGGGTACGATGTTCCTCATCACGTTAATCCCGCGGACTACTTCATCGACATTTGTAGCGTTGATACGAGATCGCCGCTATTGATACAAAAAACAGAGGAAAGACTTCAGTCCCTCTTAGAGAACTGGAGGAACCATCAAAAACTACTCAAAAATTCTTCAGCTGCTGGATCTATTAAGGTAAAGCCATCAAGGCCTAGAGTTTCGTTGATTAAGCAGGTTAGGGTGTTAACAAAAAGGTCTATAAAACTGAATCTGAGAGATCCAGAGACTATGCTCGTGCTGTTACTTGAGCCCATACTGATTGGTATAATCACTGGATGGATTTTCTTCAAGCCAGATAGCACTTCCCTAAAGGGCGTACGAACAATAACGGCGGCTTTATACTCCGCAGGAGCTCTACAAGGTTATTTATTTTTGTTGTTCGAAACTTATAGGCTGTGCGAGCAAGATATCAAAGTCTATGACAGAGAACGAGCTGAAGGGTGCGTGACTCCATTGTCGTTCTTAATTTCTCGGCGGATAGCCAATTTTGTTTCTGAGGACTTGGCAATTCCATTAATTTTTTCCGTTATTACCTTCTTCATGTATGGGCTCAGTTTGAACGCTAGATCATTTTTCGTTTACTTTGCGGTTGTGTTCCTTTTACACCAAACATCTGCATCGTTTGCTTTGCTATCGGTGGCTATTTCTAGGGATTTTTCACAATCGTCTTTGGTTGGTAATCTTAATTATACTTTGCAATCGATGGCATGTGGATTCTTCGCTAATGCCAAGACGTTACCGGTTTATGTCAGGTGGACAAAATACATTACTTATCTTTGGTATGGCTTTGGTGCTTTGATGTCCAATCAGTTTACAAATTTTGCGTGTGACGTGGAAGGCCAGAATGGGTGCTTTGGGGACACGGTGCTGCAAACTCTAGGTTATCCTCGTTTTTGGAGAACTACTCCCATAATTATAGTCTTTTGCTGGTCTATCGCATTTTACTCCTGTGCTCTTCTTATTCTACAGGTGAAAAAGGTTGACGTTAGTTTGGCCAAACAAGTGATCACTAAAAAAGACTCTCATAAGAAGTCTAACAATTCTGAGACGGATTTAGAAGCAAATGCATCCACGATCTCTTCGTCTTGTGACAATGCAATTACGATAGGTATCAAAGACATCAGTTTGACACTAAGAAAAAGGAACATTTTGGGAAGTATCAAACACACAGAAGGAAAAATCGGTGATTTGACTTCTATCTTGAGTGAGATCAATGCTATATTTGAAGCTAATTCACTAAACGCCATTATGGGCCCTTCTGGGTCAGGCAAGTCATCTTTATTGAACCTTCTGTCAGGAAAAGTCAAGAACACATTCATGACCTCAGTTGAGATGGAAGGCTCGATCTACTTCAATGGAACCGAAGTTTCTATTCCGGTCTTCAAGGATATTTGCTCCTTTGTACCACAAGACGATGACCATCTCTTGGCTCAGCTGACGGTTAGGGAAACACTCTCCTTTGCAGCTGAACTGAGGCTGCATGAATTAAGTGCGCCTGAGCGTGAATTGCGCGTAGAAGAAACCATAGCGGAACTTGGGCTGAAGCATTGCGAGAATACGCTGGTGGGCAATGAATTGGTAAAGGGAATCAGTGGTGGTGAAAAAAGAAGAGTCTCCATGGGAATCCATCTTCTAACGGATCCATCCATTTTGCTGCTTGATGAACCCACTTCAGGATTAGACAGCTTCACGTCATTTAAAATCTTGGAAGTATTATCCAACATTAGCAAGAAGCCGGGAAAGACCGTCATTTTGACTATTCACCAGCCAAGGGCAGAGCTGTTCCAGCAACTAGGGAATATACTATTGTTGGCCAAAGGTGGTCGTGTGGCTTATAACGGACCACCTTCCGCAATGGTCGACTATTTCGCCAAGCTTGGCTTTGTGTGCCCTCCACTGACTAACGTTGCAGATTACTTTTTGGACATTATCTCTGTGAATACCCAGAATGATATAAATAGATTCAATTCACGGGAGCGGGTCTCCTCTTTGCTGCTTAATTGGACGCGGGCTAGGAAGGACCTAGACAATGGGTTGAATGATTTACGTGGCGATTCTAAGCAAATCGAATTTGTGGAGAAAAACTACGTGAGGAAGGACGTCCCGTTCAGAATAGCCTACTTTGTCTGTATCAGACGTCAATTCAAAACAATTACGCGAAATATGGGCTCGCTGAGCGCTAGACTCGCACAAGTTCCTGGTGTTGGCATCATCTTAGCGCTTTTCTTCGCTCCTATTAAAAAGAATTACGAGAGTGTCTCCAATCGCTTGGGAATCACTCAACAATCCACAGCACTATACTTCACCGGCATGCTTACCAACTTAGCATGCTATCCGGGAGAGAGAAACTATTTTTATCAGGAATTTGATGATAATGTCTATGGTATTACACCATTTCTCCTCGCTTACATGACCCTGGAATTACCAATGGCTGCATTTGCGGCCTCCATGTACGCCATTTTCACAGTGTTAGTAAGCGGGCTAAACCGTTCTGCAGGGAACTTCTTCGTCACCATGTACTGTAGCATGATAATATCGACCTGTGGAGAAGCACTTGGCATCATCACAAACACACTTTTCACAACCCCAGGCTTTGTGGTGAACATTGTATCGATTGTTCTGACCATAGGTTGTGTAATGTCAGGTCTCATGTCTCTGCAGATGTCACGAGTCTTACAGGGATTCAACTACTTAAGTCCGTTGAATTATACCGCCATGATTATGATAAATTATGCCTTCCCTGATAGCTTACATTTAACGTGCTCGGATGGAGGAAGGAACGCAGATGGATCGTGTATTTTTTCATCTGGAGCGGAGGTGCTGGAAAGTTACGGCTTAAAACGCAACACAAGAAACTACCTCGGAATAATTATCTGTGTTTGGTTCATTTACAGGTTTCTGGCTTTTCTAATCTTGAAAGCTAAACTTGAATGGATTAAGTGGTAAACTGTTGACACGGGCGTCAGTGATAGGGCTTCATTATGCGTGAGCGAGGAAAAGCCATTTTAAGGCACAATTTCGATGCATTCGTAGCTGTGCCCTCTAGCTGGGCCACCTTAAGTCCACTTTTGGACTTCTAGCAAACGCCATCATATGACCGATCCATCAAACTAGAACAGCTCCAGTAAAATCCAAATGAAACGGAGGAGTATTTCGGAGGTTTCCCGTTCCGGATTTGCCGGATAAGCGGTCATCGTTGATTAAGAGCCCTGTCATCAGTTGCCAGTGTACATCATTATAAACGTAAGGCTCGAGTTTGCTGACCCTTTAGTTTACATATTTAATGTGTCAGTGCACTCTGGGGTATGTTCAGTCTTGATCACTGCTTCAAGGGCACAAATGTTTACTTTAAGCCAAGAACTTGTCAAATCACTCCCTAAAAAATCTCTAGACGAATTGAAGTCGTTTGAACAGCAGAGCTGTCTTCCTACATTCGATTACAATACTGCATTCAATTTAGGGTGCCAGTTAAGGCAATGGGGCGTCGAGAATTTTCCCACGAAAGCGATGGTAATTGACATCTCACTCCCATCGGGTCAGTGTGTTTTCCATACAACCACCAACTCTGGGACGGCCCTTGATAACGACATCTGGGTGGCAAGAAAGAAGAAGACTGTGGTGAGATTTGGATGCTCAAGCTATTTTATGGGTCAAAAGCTCAAGTCTAAGAAGCTGGATAGGGTGGAAGATGCATTTTACATTGATTCTAAGGAGTATGCTGTCCATGGCGGTTCAATTCCTGTATTTGTACAAGGAATCGACTCGGCTGTGGCCATTTTGACCGTCAGTGGACTGAAACAAGAAGAAGACCACGCCTTTGCGGTCTCTGCGATCATCGAGTATGCGCAACAACTCAAAAGTGCAGAAATGGAGGATTCTAACTTAGATTTAGATTAACCCACGCGATTTCTTCATAGTTACATCCACGCCTCGTGGACATTTCAAATAAAAACCTATCTAATGTATGTTCTATGCATATCCTCTGCCAGGATGAAACTGAGGCAATAGTCCACTTACCCGCCATTTCCACCTAAGCTTCTTCTTGGCTTCGAGGAACCATATCATGGTTTTCGAGTCCACGGTGTTATTGGTAGCTTCTGTTTCACTTTGTAATTGTAATTGTAAATGCAGTCTGTTTATGAGGTGAGGTGAGAATTGATTGCTCGTCTTATGCCTCTTGGCCGGAACGACCACCTGTTCTGTTTCCTCCATTAAATCCTCGCTCTCTATGCTCATATTTCGCGAATCCACAGATTCCGAAATGGTGTCAGTTGAAGTCTCAAACTCGTAGTCCTCTAAAAGTTTTGCCGTCTCTTCGTATTTGCGGGTGCAACTAGAGCACACAATTTCTCGAAAATGGCGACCTTCTAGTAGCGAGCTGATTTCGTAAAGCGGTTTTTCGCAGATAACGCAGCCCCTGATCTTATGCTCCAGATTAAGCGTTTGGAGATATTCGTCACGGTCGTCTTTATGCTTGATAACATCCCCCAATATATGCTCCATGTTTGTTACCACAGTGTTGTCTGATTTAGTGGAGTACCCATCACCCTGCAACCGGCAGGGAGCCTCGTCAATCATTCCCATGTTTGCGAATGAGTCGTCGTCCTTAATGTGCGGTGTTAATGTAAGTGAAGAGGTTGTCGAGAGTGTACGATGGGTTTTGAGTTTGAGTGGAAGCCTGGATGACTGGTTCTTGGTAACTTTACTTTTCAAATCAGAGATGGAAACTCTGCTCCGGGCAAATTTGAGCCTTTTGGGATCTTCAGGAATATAGTCTTCTACCAAAACTATCGGTTGGCAGCTATTGTGGTCTCCATTATTATGTCTCGGATCCACACTGAATCGCCTGTTATCAGCATGAATGCGAATTTGTACTTCGTTAGTGGTATTTGTGGGTATTTTGTGATGCAGGTTTTCTTCGATTGGGGGAGGAATAGGGAAACTGGTAAACTTGTTTTCGTCGAGCAAATCTAGTTTGGTAGTGCTTTCGTGCAAGGCAGAGCGTAGTCTGGGTTTGGCTCCACTTAAGTTATTTCTTGTAACGCGACGCTTTCTCAGCAGTTTTCTAGCTGGGTCTTCAACGGTGTCGCCCAAATTAGGTTTCGAGGGCGTACTATTGCTGTCAAACTGAAATTCTCTTTGGACTGTTTGCCATTTCATAGGTGTATTACCAGGGAGTGGTGCAAACGAAGCATCTGCATGGCTCTTGTTGACAAACAGTACTGAAGAGGAGCTTCTGTTATCTTGTGAGAAAAACGACAGCGACGAAGGCGAGGAAATACCGTCGTGCTCCATGGATGGATATCTGGTCGTGAAGGAAGCAGAGCAGGAGCTACACTACCACTGCACTAGGCTTTCCCGAGGGTATCTTGCAAATGGTTTGACTTACTTTGACTTTGAAATTTCATATCTATTCTTTATCCTTGAGCCACTGGCCCATTCATGTTTTTGTTTATAGATTTCCCATTGCGGAAGTGGAACCCAGCGACACATTCATGCACGATGTGATGATCGTTCAGAGGGTACTACCCGAAGACTTATAGGCATTCAATTCTCCAATAGTCTAGCAGACCGCTTTCTGGGGGCCCACAGCATAAGTTCTTCTATTTAGCTACATCACTAAACTGGTAGTCATTTCCCCGCCAAAATTTGACGTGGTATACTGTGTTTCGCTCCTCCAAGGCAACATCACCTTAGCAATATTCAAAAAGTAGCAACCCTATTATAAGAAGTCGAGTGCATCAAATGTAGACTGCTCTCGGCCAACTGTTGTAAATCCCAAAGTTTCCGGAGTTTGACTACTAATAAACAGTTTCAGAGCCCGACTTTCGTCACAAGTGCTATCAACACTTTATGCCTAAGCCCTGATGGAACATGAGCCCATATGCATACCATTATATATATATATTATATATATAGATGAAGTAAAGAGATTGGAAGGTGAAATTAAGTTTAAGCTCGCCACAACTCACTAATACAAGCGTACTGCTAATTAGGAATATCGTTAAATCTCGTTTGACATAGTCAAAACCTGGAAACAATCATGTCAGCAGCCGAATACTACAACGGAAGTTCTAACACCAACAAACAACAAGTAAGTTACAATATGCTTCATGGAGGTGCGACTTGGGGTCACTAAGCTGGTAACTTGTCATAATATGTTCGTGTGTCTAAGGATGTGTTTTTTTTTAATTGTTGTCAAAACAGCAGCTACTATGAACTACATTCTTAGTCCAAATATCAGCACTAACGTGATTATGTCTGTCATTTTGAGCTTTGGGGCCTAAGTTCGCTTCCAATCATGAATATGTCCACCATTACTCACATTCTTCTTTTCTTAGTACTCGAGTCCCATGGGCCCTCCACCAGGTCACCAAACCGACAACAGGGGCGTCTTCAGCTCCCACCAGCAGCAGCCTCCTCAGCAGGCATACTACGGTCACCAACAACAGCAATATTATGCCAACGCTCCGCCAAACTATAATCAACAGCAACACTTTCAACAGCCTGGTTACTACCAGCAGCAGCAGCCTGGCTACTACAACCAACAGCAACCAGTCTACGTTCAGCAGAGGCCCGCTACCCACAACAACAGCGATTGTTTAACGGCATGTTTAGCTGGTATGTGTCTGTGCTGCACCTTAGACTTGCTATTTTGAATCACAAGTGCAAGACTCATATAATACTTAATAATACATAATCCCACTTGCCAAAACCTGCATATAAGTCTACCCGCTTAGAGAAATTCATTCATTTCTCTACTTCTTTGTACCAAGGCATTTGAAACTAAAATCTTTCGATCTCTTCGTCGATAGTATTGATGAGGCGCTCATGTTCCTCTTTCTTGTCCGATAGTAAAAATTTTGGCAGATACTGGCTAGGTATTTCAATCGCATCATTGAATACCAACGTGCCAAAAGCCAGCAAAATGAAACCGGTCAGTTGCATAAATTTGAAAGGCTCCCAGCCTAAAGTTAAAGATACTAGCCATACCAGCATAGTCCTACAGGTATCGATGGTGCTTCTGGAAGTAGCACTTACATTTTTGGTAATGGAGATTCCAAAGTAGTTGAAGGCCGCAATGGAAATCATGATGGCCAAGGACGATAACAAAATTTTTTTTTCTGAAAACATGTCAATAAGAGCCTGCCTTAGGTTGAGACCAGACTCAATATCATTGTGGCCGACCACAATGTGACCAATAACTAGCAAGCCCGTAGTAATTACAGTGCCAAATAGACCTTCGAATCCAACAAGTCTTATAGGGGAAACGCTCCAACGCGACATTATGTGCTCTTCGGCTATAAACTGCATGGCCATAAACCCCAGTCCCATAACTATCAGCGAAATACCCAATATTAGAGACTCTGCATCATCAACGTAATGCTCCGGATCTATGAAATTTACTGCTTCTTGGCCGCTGTACCCAACAATAGCCACACCCATAACAATCACAGCAAGCGAGGCCCACTCTAGACGGCTAACTTTACGTTTCAAAAAAACGACACTGAAGAGTGCAACGAAGAATACAATGCCACCTCTGGTCATCTGATAAATGGATACTGGGGTCAAAATTAATGCAAGATTCATAAATGTACTGGCAATGATGTCGCAAATCGCTGGGATAGACAATATAAGATGCTGCCTTCCATTAATCATGGGCTTGCTTCCAACCGTTGGATCTAGAGGAGTACTGCTCTGACTTTGGTACCGCACAGCCAGTAAAACTGTCATTTCGCCGAGAAACATCTGCAGCGTTTGCAGTACTGGCTGATTGAAAAACACTGGTGAGAGTGTGTCGCAGTTCCTGACACATTGATTATCCTGATACTTAGTAAATAGCGAATTGATTGCCCCTGTCACTACCAGGCCCACGCACAAAAATGAAATGTATACGGCTCTACCATCTTTCATCTGTTCGGGTAGTTGGCTTTTTTTTATATCAGCTTTGAATTAACCTGAAGGATTTCAGGTTGTATAATTAATCAACTGGGGAATGGTCAACCGCCACTTTCAAAAATATTCATGGTCAAGTAGTACGGCGAGCACATGCAAATTAACATTGGCTCACTCACTCTTCAGAAGAATATCTCTCTCATCCGGTACTTGGCTCGTAGGAGATAATTGCAATGTTCAGCAGGACAACGCTTTGGTGCAAAATTATCCGGATGTGAGGGCCCACTTACACCTTTGAAATCCCTCTTAGCTGACCGGGTTTGACCAACCATCGAACTTAATCTATAGAAACATCGACCACAAAACATATGACCGCAGTTAGCAACGTAAGTTCGTCGCGACAAGTCTCTGTCAGCGTCCGTTATGCTCAAAAGTGTTCGATACGGACAAGAAAAATGATACTTCGCAACCAGTGCTTCGAACGACACACCTCTGTCTTCTGAAGAAAGCCCTTTATAGTCCTCAGGTATACCAACACCAAGTTCAACGCCGCATAGTGTGCATGCGGGAACCTCCATAAAGTCATTGGATTCTTCCTCGTCGACAACGCTGATGATCTCGTCTTTTCCCCGGCCAGGAATAGAGATGCCGAGACTTGGTTTAGTGTCAAAGGAGGAGCTATATCCTTTCGGCAACTTTGTGGCTCGAGCAATGAATTCATTTTGCTGGAGTTTGGACGATTCCATAAACTTGCGTTTCCTATTATCATTTTCTAATTCTTCGCGCGCTTGGATCATTTCGATAATACTCTGCGTCTCGCGCGCTTCGTCCATATCACGACCTAGATAATGACCGAAATTCGGAAGCATCCTAGTTCGCATCGAGATAGGCTGATACAAAGTGGGATCTGGAAAGCGTTCGGAAGGCGGGGGCAAGTCTGATCTGTGTGCATTGGTCCTCTCGAAATGTCTTGTCTGTGCATTTGGGCGCGCCGTTCCTCGCTCGTTCCTACGAGAGGGTAGTTGTCTCCGATATAAGAGGTATAGTTGTGTAAGCTCGTGTGCCCCTGGCCCCTCGCTACCATCGGCAGCCATCAAAAGGGCATGAGCCTCATCTTCAGGAATCTCGTTTTCAAACACCGAAAGGACGTTGGGAGGTAGCGCCGATATCCGCGCAGCTAGATCGGATTGACTAATCGGAAAAGTACTACGTGCTGCAGATGGTGAGCTTCTCAAGCGTTGCCGTATCCGATTTGCCCTCTCATGATTATGAATATTTCCCCCGCTCGTATGAGACTGATTCCCGGGGCTATCACTATCATGCACAAAAAGGCGCTGCGCCCTTCGCGCCGTACGTGAAAGTAATCTTGAAGTAGTGCGACCAGAGTTGAAATATCGAGGTTGGTGATTTTGAAACGACCTTCTCCATGGCTGCTCCAGTGGAGAAGCGGAGGTCATAATCCGTTCATTACCGGGCAGTTGTAGCATTATCCCTGGTGCAGAAGAAGCATTGTTTTGTCCTACAAAAATGATATCCTGATCTTCCTCTGTAGCTGATGGTGGACGAGGCCTTATTTGAGCCACCCTTATCGGAACCTCTCTATCAAGATCCACGAACTCTGAATATGGGTTCAACGGCCCACCGTCCTCCAGTATCCTTTCATCAACCACTTCTATTTCATCGTCATCGCTGGTGTGGGTATTGTGGTGGGTCCTCGTATCTGTAGATGAGCGAAGCGCATTTGGCTCTCGAGTCGTGAAATGACCCAGGGGATTTCTTCTTTCACGAAAATCACTGTGCCGCAGCTCTGCAGCCTGTTGTAGTTCAACTTCATCCTCTGCACAGCTTTCGATCTCTATAACATCATCGTTCTGGGAATGTGAATCATCATCGCGGATTCTAGCATGTTCATCACACTCATTTGAATCCATACTAGAGCACGGACTTCTCTCAAAACCTGCTCAGAAGGTGAGCTGAGGGTTTTAAGCTGAGTAAAGTTATTCAGGATCGCTAAAATGCCTAAGAACTAACGTTTGACTAATGTTGATACCAGTTCGGTGTTTTTGCCAATTCGTAGAGGTTGATACATCTATGAGTTTATTAGCCGGTCAGGTATTCCATCAGTGCATAGACACAGGACTGAAAGAACTATCACCAGCGAATATAGGACATCTCAAATCTGTTGTGAAGTCTTTAAAATACTGTTACACAGACCTCTAGATAGTTTTTATTTAAACCCGTTTAAAAATGGAAGTTTTGAAGGTTTTCACTATTGAATTCACTAATTTACAAGCATGGCGGTTGGATGAATGAATGAGCACGCCGTTTACTTAGGTCAAACGGGAGCCTTTTTTATAGATATTGTGATGGCTCTTACAACCCGCTTCTCATGTATCTACCAATTACAACACAGTGGTCTCTTTCGTAAGGTTCCAAAGTCAATTGCTCCATAGGCTTAATACGTTCTTCACGCAACTTTTGCACTTCTCTGGCAAAAACAGTTTCAGCATCCACGGTGGAGTCGATACAGTTGGCCTTGATGGAAATAACCACACCACCTTGATCCTTTAGGAACATGTGGGAGTTCAAAGCGATAATACGAGCTTGATCGGGTTGAGCAACGTCCGCGAAGACTGCGTCGACCATACCAATCAACATTCTGTATTTTTGAGGGTGTCTGGCATCCTCAATGATTGGGATGACATTAGGTCTCTTCTTGGCCATGGAGATCAATTCTCTGCCGGGTCTGTGAGAAAACTCAACGGCATACACCAACCCTTCTGGGCCGACAACATCGGCAACGTGAGAGACAGAAGTACCGGAAGCGGCACCCAAGTACAGCACCTTCTTACCTGGAGCAATGAATAGCTCGTCTAGACCACCCATAATACCGGCAGCCAACTTGGATCTGAAAGGGTTCCACACACGGTACTCCACCTTGGTTGGAGGGACACCATCTTCCTTGGAAGGCTCCTCAACAGAAACCCTTTTTTCCCCGTACACGGACTCACCAGGAGCGATGTTCTTGGTGACCAGCAAATCTTCCTTACCTCTGGCAATGAAAACACCCGCGTGTTTGTGAGGCTCAATTACAACCTTGGCACCACCCCTGGCACCGCCTCTGGCGCCACCTCTGGCACCACCACGGGGACCACCTCTGGCACCGCCACGAGGACCACCACGGCCACCTCCGAAACCGCCTCTGGCACCACCACGAGCACCACCGCGGCCACCTCCGAAACCACCTCTGGCGCCACCACGGCCACCACGGCCGCCGAAACCACCTCTGGCACCTCCTCTAGAGCCTGAAATTCAAAATTGTTAGTATCCCGCTAAAACGACAGAGCCCTCCTCCCAACAAATGCCATGCGTCTTGTCGATCAAAACCCTCCTGGACGACAAAACCTTACCATTACAGGAATGGCATCCGATAACCAAGTATTCTCTACTTCGCGAGAGCAGCCAAAACACCAGCCAAAGCTCCCCGTCCGTTCCAGAAACTGATCTCTTCGCATTTTCGTTGGTCGGTAGCCTCTTCGACTCTTCAAAACATACCACCACGGCCACCTCTGCTTCCAGCTTGGAAAACCATTATAATACTATCTCAAATAATGTAGAATGAAAGGATAACACTACTTCTAGTATCGAGACTCGATGTACCTAGTGTGTATAACTCTGTTAAGTTGTTAAGATGTATTCAAGATTATTTTTCCAGATGAGATGAGCATCTCTAAAAATTTTTCACTATATTTCAGAGTGCTTAAAAAGGAAAGCGTACGAGTTGACGACGGGAAAATACATTAACGATTTGTTAAAAAAGGCCCCGTTGAGATGGGAAGAAAGACACGAATCTAGTCGAAGAGAAGCTGGACTGACGCAGATGTTGAAAGAAATCATGAGGGCCCTGTGAAGTTTTGGAGATTGCTCGTTTTCTTTGGGATTTAGCTTGCGCGACCCTGCGAGGATCCGTTATTTCGGGCGCTCTCAAAATAAAACACACAGCTACGATGCTGTTTTGCCACAGGACAAGGTTTGGAGCTGCTTCTTTGAGTTGTCAAGTGCAGTGCCACTAAGTATGGATCTCGGCGTCAGTGTAGTAAAAAGTGATCTACATGGAACCGGAATATTTGGTGCTGGGTGTGGTGTATATAGCCCGAACGATACACTTCTCATGCCAGAGCACGGGGTTTAGAAGGTTGCGGATAATACCGCTCCCTTAGTTATGTGCCTCTGCCTTTCTTGTTTTTCATCCTAAGTCGACAGGCATGATTGCTCGAAAAATCAGCACACTCTTGGATTTAGCAATCGGGCATTTACGAAAGAAGAATTGGGCGACCCACCACTCATGGTTGATATCGGCCAACTCTCGAGGCGAGCATTTTTTTTGCAAAAAAGTGTTGATTGTGTGCCCTTCCATGCTGTGGAGTAGCGAGTTCGCCGACACGAGTGTATTAATGCTTTAGCTGGGATCTAGGTCTTCTTGGAAGGTCAACGCCCTCATTTAACGTCTGTCCGTGCGGCTTTCGCTGCTACCAACGATCCAAGTCTCTTTGGACGAATGAATTTTACTCTCACGCCTTACCTTAATTGACGATACCAACATACTGTGTGATATCCAGATATACCTTTCACACTCTTCACAGACCAATTGTTCACAATGGGTGTACTAGTCAAATCCAGATCGAAGTCACTGCAGGACGTGGAGCTTCCAGCCGGTGTCAAGTCCTTGAGCTCTGCTCTAAAAGAGATTTCCATCAAAAACAAGAATATCAACACCAATCGCATCAGGTTAACCATCCTCAAAGAGGACAAACAGATTCCTGTCACTTCTGACCACGCGTTTGAAAACCTTACAGATGCCAAACTTTTTGCTAAAGACATTGGCCCTCAAATAGGATGGAGACTGGTGTTTTTCGTTGAATATTTGGGCCCCATCCTTTTGCATTCAGTGATGTACTACTTGTCCACCCGACCAGAACTGGCCAGTTTTCACTGCAAATCCCGCAACTACAACCCGTTCACCAACAGAGTGGCCTATACATTGGTGATGGTCCACTATGTCAAGAGAGAATTGGAGTCTTTGTTCTTGCATCAATTTTCGCAGTCTACCATGCCCCTGTTCAATTTGTTTAAGAACTCTTTTCACTACTGGATTCTCAATGGTGCAATTTCATTGGGTTATTTTGGGTATGGGTTCTTGTTGAAGGATATCACTGTTTTCAAATTATACTCGAAGCTAAAACTGGACAATTTCAACCTCTTGTTGGGTATTTTCGTGCTCTCCGAGTTTTGGAATTTCTACACGCATGTACAATTGCGTCGTTGGGGTAACTCTCAAAGGGCCAAGGGCATCACCCAGCGTATTCCCCTGGAGGATGGAATCTTCAAGCTTTTTGTCGCTCCGAATTACACTTTCGAAGTATTTGCTTGGATCGCTTTCACCATGATCTTCAAGCTCAACTTTTTTGCGGTAATTTTCCTGTTTGTGTCGACTGCCCAACTGTATTTGTGGGCTTTGAAGAAAAACAAAAGATATGGCACCAAGAGGGCTTTCTTGATTCCATTCGTCTTTTAATGTACTTGTTCAAAATCTATATAGAGAAGTTCATTTGAAACAAAAATGCAAATGGGATATTGCTTTGTGCTAAGCTATGCTACTTTATGAAATTTATTTAACCTTCCCTTAGTTAGTTTTCAATTATGAGAACATCGTCTTCATCATCATTTTCCTCAGTGCAATCCGAATCCACGAGTTCGTTAAAAAAGGTAGACGAGAGTAACTCGTCTGCCGTACTCCTCTTGTGAGGATCAAGCGTTAAGCATTGATCCAAAACCTCCAAACACCAATAGTGATCACTCCAAACTTCATCATGATACTTTTTCAGGTCGTGCTGGGAATAATTATAAGCAACCTGAAACTCGACCGAAGGGGCTATGCTCTCTCCAGTGGATCGATTGACTAGAAATTCATAGGTTTCAAATGCAATAGAGTAGCTGGGAAATGTCCCGGCTTCGACTTCTCCGTGAAGAAGCTGTTGTATAAATTCGGCTAACCCACCTTTGTAACCATCTTCACTGATACCTTCGAGTCCGCTGACGTCAAAACCAAGCCCATGCAAAGACGCACATTTCCTCATTTTTTTAGTTCCAAAGACGCAACATAGTTCTAGTAGTGAATCTGTATCGTCGAGACTTTGAAACATCGGGAAACGTCTCGCCAAAAAGCTCAGCAGTATAACCCCCACAGACCAGATATCAATTTTAGTGGATTGATTGGAACATTTCATGAGAACTTCTGGAGCTCGAAACCCCCGAGTGCCAGCCCGATTGGCCCGCTTGTTGCGACGGGTTTCATGCTTTGGATAACCCTTAGTTAAATCCACAATAGAATGAGCAGCGCTGGGCATGGCACTCGTCTGTTTCCCCTTGTGGTGAGGGTGATTTCCCGGGTACACTTGAGTTTGACCTTGGCTTGACTGTTCCCCCTTACATGGGCAATAGTTCTCTGATGTACGCATTTCTTTGCCATGCCGTGTTTCTGATTTGCTGTCGCTCTCCATTTCAGCCAGCCCAAAGTCCACCAGAACGCCGCGACCAAACTGAGGATTATAAAGAAAGTTCGTGGGCTTTATATCCCGATGAATGATTCCTTTAGAGTGTACGAAGCTCAGTGCCTGCAAGAGCTCTGACAAGTACTTCTTGATGCCTTTGATGGGTAGATCACGATAGAAATTTCGAAACTCCTCGTGCCGGTACCAGGGTAAGACTGCTATGACTTGATCATGATGTCGCAGGGCATCACACAATGGAGCCACGCGAGTAGAACCACAGAGCATGTACAGGAGATTGAGTTCGTTGTATATTCTGTTTGGCGACGAGGTCACGTATATCCTCTTGAGCGCCACGTATCGCCGCTCCTGCCGGTTTCCTGAATCCCAAAAATGGCGCGAAAAGCTTTTGATAACCGATCCAGTAAGGTCCTCAGCTTTATACACCGATGAGAAAGTTCCCTCGCCGATCTTGTCTAATAATTTGTACCGCGTTTTCAAGCCTGGAACAGCCGTGGCTAGCTCCTGCATTTCTTCCACAACTTCAGGAGGGACTTCACCCATCTTGCATATGGTTAAGACTGTCTAGGGGCTAACTACTAGCTGTTGTTGTCCAGTAGAGGAACGCATGGGCCAGACATGTATAACGTATCATTATATAGCGATACGCGCCCACAGGTATGTCGTCGTGTGTCATGAGCTCTTAGTTATAACTACGCTCGTCACATGCCACTTTGTGTACCAACGGCCAGACCAGCGAAGTGACACTACACAATTGAAAACCCGTAACGTAGTTTAGTGTATTCTTTACTCTCTAGACCTAGTAGAGATAATGACTCTTGAATTCTATATATTAGGAATATTTTTATTGTTTCAGCAGTGTGCTGTACTGGCTTTTCCAGTCACTTTCGACCTTAGCACTGGGTGCAAGGAATGTTTGTACGTTGAATCGGCAAGCGGTAGCGTAATATCGTACTATTTTGCTGTTCAACAGGGTTCTGACCACAAGTTGGATATAAACTATGAGATTTTCAGCCCTGACAATGGAAGAAAGCCGGCAGTCTCACGGCACGGTGAAGTACAAGGAGAATGGTCGTTTAAGGCAAAAGTGGATGGAGAATACGGCATTTGTTTTGTTGCATTGGAAGCTAATCGGGTGGTAGACGCAGAAATTGTGGTTAATTCGGAAAGAAGGCGTCTCGCAGATATTCGCAGACCTCAGGAGAGACAGGGCCCCAGTCCGCTTGAACACAAAGTGGATAGCACGCTCGACTTGCTCGAACAGCAAATCACAGTTTTCGAATCAAACATTCAGCGATTTGGAGCCCGATGTTTGAGAAACCATGCAACTATGGCGTCAATAGACTCTCAAATTAAGATGTATGCGCTTGGTGGGTCTCTGCTGACCTTCGGTATTTTGTTAACCCAAACTCGGCATCTAAGGAGGCATCTGGCCATGAGAACACGCGGATCAGAAAGCCATGTTTCGGTTAGTAGTTATGTTCATCAAGCTTGCTGAAAAAAAACAGCACTATGCTTTTAAGTTCCTGAACTATTCACACGGAGATTGATCGAGAGCTAACAGAGTTGATTTTATCAAATTCTCCTAGGTTCGAGCAGTGTGCAACCTAGTGGAATGGTAGAGTGCCCGGACTCCACATCAAACACTATGTTGCCTCTCAAATAAGTGGCCACAACTTGGCCCCTCAACTCGCGCCCGTCATATGCCGTTAATTTGTTCTTGTAGAAAATGTTGCCATCCGAAATAATCCGTTTCCTATGCTGATCGAGGACAACAAAGTCTGCATCATAGCCAACACGCAAAAATCCTTTGACATCATGGAGGCCAACTTGTTTCGCGGTGTTTTCACAGCACCATTTTATTATTTCGATTAGACTAACAGGTGGATTCATTTCTGCACCTTCAGTAATCATGATGGAGAGGCCAAGGCCGACTGAACTGATACCTCCCCAAGCGGTGAGAAAGTCCCCTTCCGCCAGGTTTTTTAGCTCTGGTGTACAGGGCGAGTGATCACTGACCACCGTTTTAATAGTACCATCACGCAAAGCATTCCATAATGCTATTCTATTATCCTCATTACGAATAGGAGGACAGCATTTGTACTGGGTTGCTTTAGCGGGGATATTTTCGGCAGCAAATGTCAAGTAGTGAAAGCAGGTTTCCGCAGAAATGGGAAGTCCCAAATCAATTTGTGCATGCTTAAGGATAGGTAAAGCCTCTTGTGTCGACAAATGCGCTATATGAACGTCAGGGATTCTCTTGTAGCTTCTGATTGATTTTGTCATGCAGGAAATCAATAACTGTATGGCGCTTGTTTCAAACTCATCAGGCCTAGACGCAAGAAACGGTGCGTATGTGGTCGGGTCAATGCGATCTAGACCCTCCACTTCGGATTCCTTTGCTATGGTCTTCAAAGCACTTTCGCAAGGGTTATGGCTGTGTACAAAGTGGGAAGGTTCACCGGCTCTTGGCTCTACAGATGCCGAAACTTTGGATGCCGCCAATGCACTCACCTGACTAGGCGCAAGATGCTCACCGCCCTCAAGAGCTCTGACGTGATCGAAATTATAATCTGTATGTGATGGGTCTGTAAGTCCATGGTCGGGAGATGGCGGACACTGTTCCGCATGGAACAAAAGCATAGTTTTCTCCTTTTGAAGTACATCTAAGGCATTCATGATATAATTCTCATCAATTTGAGGAAATTCATCTACTCCAGAGTCCATTAAGAACCCTTTAAAACCACGAACACCTCTCCTTACTAAAGGTAGAAGTTGGTCCAGGTTAGTAGGAACAAGACCACCCCAAAAGGCAACATCACACCACAATTGATCCCGAGCCGCAGCCAATTTCACATCGAGGTGTTCCACAGTCGTAGTCGGGGGAATTGCGTTTAAAGGCATATCAACCAGCGTTGTGACACCGCCACTTGCAGCTGCTCTAGTGCCGGTGGCGAATCCTTCCCACTCTGTTCTCCCTGGCTCGTTCAAATGTACATGTGAATCTACGAGCCCCGGCATAATGACATGTGGAGATACAATCTCATATTGTGTAACGTTTAAGCGCTGTAACCGAGGGTCGCCAACTGAATGTACTACCTCATTCTCGAAGATCTCCACGATTTTTCCAGAAGCTGTAGAATAAACGATCGTTGCCGCTATCAACCTGCCGTTAATGGCTACACGGCTAGAAGCGATGGCTTTCACAGGCATAATATTATTGTTGGCCGTGCTTCTGTTAGTGAAATAAAATAGGTTCAGATATCAATCTCGTCCTGGGAACCCTGAGGGATATATTCTGAGCTAAACAAGAATTTTCTGAGGGTCCCAAGGACGACGTTGTGTTCCGCTTCCTTTATCTATCTCTGTTTCGGAAATTGAATCATTCAAACAATGGAAGAAAATCGGTCACGTGTATGTCGGGTTTGGCCGAGCGGTATGAGCCATCCTCGAACGTGGTCCAGGGCTAGTCAACTTACTTGGTTTCCAGGCTCAGCAGTCATTTCGTCTTAAGAAAGCCGCTGGAGGAATGGGAGTCAATTGGGTCCAACATTTAGTCTAAGACAACCCATCTCAACCCACGTCTAGCTTTATTTTAGAACAACTTCACACGCTGGCACGATGCACCCCGCTTCTATTCAGTGTCCAGCCATCAGGAAAACTGCCTCAAAAAGTAGACTTCTTCTGGGGAGAACTTAATTAAATGTAGACTATCGGATAAGGTCATCAACAAGGCGTAAAGATCCTCGGCAAATTCTGAAATTTCCACATTTTGAGACAATCCCTTGATCATCTTGTGGATGGTGGACGACGACATATTGGTAGTATTACTGGTAAGATTTAATATCTTGACGAAGCCATGGTATGCCGCGGTCTTCTCTTCTGCGTCTGACAATTTCATAGCAAGCTCGCACCATCGAGACCAATTTGCGTCTTGGGCAAAGGGTTCGGTCGTGAAAACTTCAGGATGCATTCGGGCCATCCTACCAATGGATACAGCTAGATTTTCAAGTACCGAACTGTGGATGACTCTCGTCGAGTTGCAAAACTTATCTAATACCACACGCGATATTTCGATCACATAATTGGCGATATTAATTCGTTCGCTCATCAAGCCAAGAGCCCATACTGCATTGTTCACAGAAGGAGTGGCATCCATATCGTCATTGTGTATGAGCTCTGTGCTAATGTGTTTTAAGAATTCCACACACACATCATCGTCAAATAGTGCTGGATCATATGAATAGGCAATGTCACCTAAAAGAGCAAACGCACTTTGCCTCACCTCATGAACAGGGTCTTGCAAGCACTGGCTGAGTACTTGAAATGCAGCTTTGTTGCCCTGTGGAAATAGCAATTCTTGGCTAGCGGATCCCAATCCCTGTACTAAACCATCGATCAAGTCTAGTGATGTTACAGTGAAGTCCTTCTCTGGAACTTCAACTCTGGGGTCATGCTGCGATCTTGTCTCGAGCTCCACACAATGGACCAAAATCCTCCAAGCTCGTTGATACACCTCTGGGGCCATGGGTGCAAATTTTTCCCCCAAAGAGGCGGCTACGTATGATAAGCATTCCAGCAACGGCCAAAGCTCTTTGTCTGTATCAGACAAAGAGCTCCACTTATTTATCAAGTGAGGCAGTATAGGATTCATAGCAGCCTCGTCAAATTCACACTTTTCAGCAAGTCTGCCCACGGCGTCGTAAAGGATAATTAAGTTCTTCTTTTGATACAATTGGAAGCACTGGTTGAACTTTATTAGGAGATCGTTGTAGAGTAAAGTTTCAACTAATTCAGCATCGCAGTTTTCTATAAATACAGCCACGCTGCTAATTGCAGCTTCCTGAACCATTTTCTTCTTATCCATCAACACCTCCATGATCGAACCCATTACCGGCAGTAAAAACTGTGTGTTATCCGCTAAGATCCACATAGAAAATCTGCTCAGAGTCCAACATGTTATTGTTCTTACTGGAGCCCAATGATCGTGCAGTTTTTCAAGCAAAAATGGAATTAACGCTGGAAGTTGATCAGCAAAATAACGCATACCACCTTCAGCCATAGCACCCAAGGCCAAAATCGTAGCTTCGCGGACGTACCACTGATCTGCAGACAAATGTTCTCTCAAAATCGGAAATCCAACAGACAGAACCTGCCTGGGTAATGTATTCGTGAGAATGTCCAAAGTTGCTGCACAACACTTTCTCAAGTTCCAGACGGTGTCAAATTCGTCATCGTCATCTACTCCTTCGTCGTCGTCAAGGTTCGCTTCTTCCCTTTTCTTACTTATTTTAGCAGTTGCGGGTTTGATGTCTTCGTCTTTATCTTCCAACTCCGCATCATCGTCATTCGAAGCCTCAAGCATAAGTAACTCATCTTCCCCATGAACCATATTTGAGAGCAACGTAGGGACCATTTCGTTTACAAACGGTTCCACTGCGCTCTCCGGGATATAAGAATTGGAAGCAAATGCTAGTAAAAATTCGCCGGCCTGTAGTGCCACTGTCTCGTTCCTAGAGGTACTTAGTACATGCAACACGAAGCTTATTATACCTCTCAGGTGGTCTATCAGTTTGTCAGGTCTAAATTCCAACAATTCAACTAGTGAAGCGCAAATCTGGACAGTTACAGAATCACTCGGATCGCTTTCTGCCAACCGGAAAATGTTTGATAAAAACTCGTCTAACTTAACGATGAAGCTTTGAGTCTGCAGTGGTATTACTTGATTCAGGCATTTAATAGACTCAGCCCTGATAAGTGGGCTAGCTGCTGAAAGCATGAATGTCAGAAACTTGACCACTAGTGTATCCATAGGTTTCACCTGGCCTGACCACTCCAACAGCAGGAATTGGGCATTATCCTCCATGATCTTCGAAAGAGCCTTTGCACTTGCCTCGTTTCCGTTCGCCATCAACTCGAGAAGTTGTGATAGCAGTTCCACGCCGGAGGAGTCGTGGCGATTTTTTCGATAATAAGAAGAGAATAAAGCAGTTATGACAATACCAGTAACGTTAGATACCAGTGGCTGGTCTGAGAGTAGGCCTCTGACTATATGGTGTTTAACATAATCGAGATCATAGTCCTTGCAACCCTCGAGAACGGAGTTTTTCAAAATCATCCCGGCAGCCGCGCGGCTATTTTGAATGTCCTGAAGAGATAATTGAGAACCCAAGGCTGCTGAGAGATCTGGAGATGTTAGCATATAGCATAGATAATTCCAAAATTCGGTCTGGGACTTGAAGCTGTTTAGAAGATCCATCGCATGAGTTCTCTTCTCCTGCATAGGTGACATGGAGTCTAAGACCACAGATACAATCTGCAACAAAGAGGTTTCATCTGGATTCCAATTTGGCATCTTCAGTTATCAGTGCGTTTCCAGAGGAGATGACTTCTTCAGTGCTTAAGTACTTCCGATGAGATGAGCTTAAAATTTTGAAATTATTATTACCTTGCAACATTATCTCGATCATATGAATAGAGAAAGATTGATGACGATCATCTTTTGAGAAACCAAAAGCCAACGAGCATTTAACTGTATGAAAGTATCTAATGTACATATTTATTTTATTTCCCCCCAAGATGCAGATATATGGTAGCTAACGCTAGCTCTCTTCAATCATGAAATTGTCGAGCTTTTGGAGAAGAGTGTCTATCTTCCCAAATAATGGATTGTATAATTCGTAGACGGTTGGATGATGGCTAAATTTAGATTCACCAAATGAAAGGGTGCTGTTGATTGTTGTGGCGGAGGTAGCGCGTCCCTCGCCTATGCAGGAATCGTCTGAAGACGCGGAGGTGCTTTCTCGATGCGAAGCCGAATAGTCTACAGACGACTGTGAAGCCCCGTGAGCGCTGCGCAACTGACCCCGGTCCTGGTTGGAAATAGTTTTGTGTGCTCCAAGCAGTCCATACCGCACTTTAGCTTGTTGGCTGTTGTCCTCGGGCTCGTCATTTGCTAGATAACTTGGGACTTGAACTCGCTTGGGGGTTTGGCTCGAGCCAAGATTAACAGCTAAATCGTTCGCAGGACTGTCCTCGGTCGAGGTGTTCATGTCGGCACTATTAACGTGCTCCATAGCATAGCTAGGGTCGTGATTTTCGTTCGTGGACGAGCTCACAAGTTTTGAGATATCTTTGATTGCCTTAGTAGAAGGTATTCCTTCCACTGTGTTATCACTTGCTTCGAAAACTCCAACGTTGACTTGGGGGGAGTCGTTGGTCCACTCCGATGATGACGGCGAGTAGTCTCCGATAGTGGATATAGAGTAATTAGAATTGGAATTCTGCATTTCTTTATGATCGGCAAATGGAATGCTTGGTGCCTTAAAAATTTGATAGAGCTCGTCATCCCCCACTTTCAGATAATCTGAGTGCACGCTGGTGGATTGTGAGTCACCAGTTTTCGTGAGTTGTGTATCGGTCGAATCTGCCTTTGGGTCTTGATATTTGCGACTCGCTGCCGATTCTGGAACTACTTTTCTAACCTTGCTCACTTGCAGAGGCAATGTGCTACCCTGGTTGGATGAAACATCACTCACAACCTCGCTAGCATCATCCTCGTTCAACAAAGCTGCCTCGTATATTCTTCCGACCAAGGCGCCACCCGTACCTTCCATGCGTTCATCCTTATCAGTCGCATCCAAATCTTCAGAACCGGACGCATTATCTTCGCTATCTTCATCCCTACTGTAGCGTTCCGCGTAGCTGACTACATCGTTAAAACTCACAGACTTATTGCCCTTTTTGTACAAGTCCTTAGAGTGCTCTGGGTGGTCAGAGGGCGTGGAACCTTCCCCTTTCGCAGAGTTCGCGCTGCCCACAGAATGCCCTGACATATTTTCGTTTTTCCAGCAGTTCAGCCGTGCGAGGCGTTCCGGATACGTCTCTAATATTTCCGCCGGGGCAAACCCGATCTTTCCGTCGCTACAGCGCTTGACCAGCCACCAGTACGCGTCCTGGTCGTTGAGCAATATGCACCCTTCGTCTTGGTACAGCTGACAGTGCGAAGGATCCGGGCCCTGGAAAGGATAGAGCGCATATAGTTTCCCCGGGTCAATTTCCTCCGGTGGCGCGAGCGGCTGGAAGTCTTCATCTATCTCGTCTTCTTGGTCGTTGTTCTCGTCACTGGCCTCCATGTTCGCGAACTGCTCTTGACTAGCGGCAATTGGGCGCGACGTAGTGAGGTCGTCTTCATCTGAGATGCTGTCGCTGTCGCTGAAGCGTTCCACCCGTGAACTTGGCTCCAAATCCTCAGCCGGGCTTGCCTTACTTTCCAGCAGTTCCATCCCGGAGTTCCGTTGGGAGCCCGAAGTCAGATCTTGCAGCCTGTTCTCCATATCCTCCTCAAATTCGGAGTCGGAATACTCATATTCGCTGTTGGACGCCTCGTCTCTCGTGGAGCCCAAGTTGCTCCGCTGTTGTCCAGACTGCGTTCCCGACCGCTGCGTGGATTCCTCGTCGATTGCTGTTTTCGAAGGTCGCGCCGTCCATTTTTTTTCCGGGGATCCTGGCGCGCTTCCTGGGCTCATCACGACACTTCCGTTTACACTGCTGTTCTCTTCGTCCTGTCGCAACTTCATCGGCATAGTCTTCAACACATCACTGTAATCTTCCACCAAGTCGGGATCACACAGCAAGTCCGTGTGCAAGCTTGACGGAGCAGACCCAGTCTGAGCATACTTGTCGTACGCCTTGTTCAAGATGTCCTGCATCGACTAAAGGCCCTCTGCTGCTGCGTTTGAAAGAGAAGCCCTGATAGTTTTTGTTGTTTGAAGTTTTGGCGCCTTGATAGTCTCATCGGAATTTTCATGGTCAGGAGCCCAGTCTAGTGCCTGGCCGAGTACCTGGCCGAGTACCTGGCGCAAGCCAAACGACGCGAAAGAGTAAGCCATCAACCAGAGCTCGGCACTGGAAGCATCCCACTCTTCAACGTCCACTCGGTTCTATGCTGTCATGGGACAGCGGACGCCGAGGTAGAGGGAAGCTTTCGCGCCGTAGAATATTCATTTATAAATACTGTGGCGCCCGGTTGAAACGATGGGTGGACGATCCGGTCTTAGACGGTCCATCTAGAGTGGCGCCAAGCCGGGCTTCTATCAGCTGTGCTGTGCAAGTTCTACGTGAGCTGACTTTGGTGTTTGCTTCGCCAGACACTTATTGAAAGGTTATTTAGCGTCACTAAATAATAATAATAACATTAATAATTTTAAAAGACAGCCTCGATAGTTGAAGCATGAATTCAAAGGTTTCACAGAGCTACAACACTTGCTGTTACAATACTCTCCGTAAAATCGGGTGGTGGCTTTCAACTCTTCCATCTAAACAACATTATGGATCTTGAGCAGGACAAGGTAACTAGCTTAGTTTTCTGCGACTGAGGAGATTCGAACTGCGGGAACAAGTCTTGAGAATATGACTCTGGTGGGTTAATTACAACTAATATACCTTCAATTTCGTCGAGATGAGCTACCACATGATGTTGTTCCCGCTTTAAGAAGCGATATATATATATATATACCCGCACTCATTTGTTCCCCCTTCGTTGACGCATTTGCGGGAGTCTTAGTAAATTCAAGCTTTCTAGCTAGGGCGCAGATTTCGGTTATTGCCAGCTACTACCGTGTTTTTTTAGTTGTTAACAGCAGACGCCAGTCGTGAAGTATGTCCCTACGTGAAACCAACCTGGATGGAATTCTGCCTCTGGTGGCCAGAGGTAAGGTAAGAGATATCTACGAGGTGGACGCTAAAACGCTGCTCTTCGTGGCCACCGACCGTATTTCCGCGTACGATGTTATCATGGAGAATACGGTGCCGGAAAAGGGAGTTCTGCTCACCAAGCTTTCGGATTTTTGGTTCGAGTTCCTCGACGCGGACGTGCGTAACCACTTGGTGAAAATCCCGCAAGGCAAAACCGCTTTCGACCTGCTACCTTCTCAGCTGTCAGAACCCAAGTATAAAGCGCAGCTTGCAGGCAGGTGTCTGCTGATCAACAAATTCAAGCTGATTCCACTGGAGGTGATTGTACGTGGGTTCATCACCGGGTCTGCCTGGAAGGAATACAAAAAGTTTGGCACCGTTCATGGCCAGACGGCCCCAGAGGGCTTGCAAGAATGTCAAGAGTTTCCCACTCCTATTTTCACACCTTCCACCAAGGCTGAGCAAGGCGAACACGACGAAAACATATCGAAGGAACAGGCTGCGGCTCTCGTCGGACAGGAACTTTGCGACAGAGTGGCCGAGCTCGCTATCAAGCTATACGGCAAGGCCAAGGACTACGCCAAGACTAAGGGAATTATCATTGCAGACACAAAATTCGAGTTCGGAATCGACGAGTCAACTGACGAAATCATTTTGGTGGATGAGGTTCTCACCCCGGATTCATCTCGTTTCTGGAACGGACAAAACTTCAAATTGGGCCAATCCCAGGACTCCTATGATAAGCAGTTTTTACGCAATTGGTTGACTAGCAACAAATTGGACGGTGTCGATGGCGTCAAAATGCCTGATGACATTGTCGCGCGCACTAGGTCCAAATATGTAGAGGCCTATGAAACGTTGACGGGGAACAAATTTTAGGCGGTGTAGTCATTATTTGTATGCGCTTCATTATATGCAGAATATTATAGATGGTAGTACTCTTGTCTTCCTAGGTTGTGGCGTGACAGACAGCTGGTTTACCGCCCCTTGACCCGCCAGTGGTAGTCTGGTCTATGGAGGTGAGGTTTTGCGGTCATCAAGTCCGGTGTCCCACTTACTTTCTTCCCATTCAGGATTTCTCTTACTCGCTGTTCTACGGTGAACTCAAATTCTTTCCGGTATTGGTGTTTGATGTTGTTCATTTCTGCTTCATATTCACCAGCCTGTCGCTCTAATATGTTACCAATATTCATAAGTTCTTTCTCATAGTCCATCAAGTTGTCCTCGAACCTTTCTAACTGGAAAGCTTTTCTTGCAATGCGAAGCTGCATGTTTTGAAGTAGTGAAAAAGCCGAAGCACGCGATTGAATGTCAGGATTTATGCAGGAATCGATGACCTGCTGAAGTTCGTTGGAGTAGTAGTCTGGAATGCGATCAAATTTGCCAGCTTGAATTCTCCTCTGCAAATCGATGTAAGTTTTGGCTTGAAATGGCGGACGCAATGTGCACATCTCATAGATGATACAACCCAGGGACCATATATCACTCAGGGGTGAATACGGCTGGTCCATAAGCACCTCAGGAGACATATAATAAGGGGTACCCACATAAGTCGTTGCAAACTCGACACTGGAACCTAGAGATTTGGCAAGACCGAAATCACCGAGCTTAACAGAGACCTTGTTATAATCCAAAACTTGGGAGGTTTTTGGATGATCAGAAGGTTTACCTGTACTTAAGAATATGTTTCCTGGTTTCAAATCTCTATGGATAACGACATTGGAACCTTTAACAGGAAATTTCATCTTGTCATAAATTGTTTCCAAGGGAGCAAGGTCAGAGTCATAGTGGCACCGGTATAATGCCGTCAAAATCTGAGCGGTTATGCTCCATACGACTTTCTCAGGAATGTATTTACATTCTTTTTTAAAATTGCTTATCATTTGAGAAAGGTCGCCATTGCTGCAGTACTCCATGTAGAAGTATAAGACATTTTTGTCGGAATCCCACTCATAAAACTCAACAATATTTTCATGTTTCAATCGACTAAGGATGGCGCACTCAGAGATAAGTTGTTGTCTTTCCTTTGAGTTCATATGGCCATACTGGATTTCCTTGCGTACCATGATCTTGCCGGTAGACAACTGCAACACTTTGCGAACACACCCAAAGGAGCCTCTGCCGATCTCCTCCTGCACCTCATACTCGCTTATGCGAGGACCACTCCGTTCGCGAGTTTCTGCTCTTCTGTTGTACATCACTATACCTCGCGGTCCCGCTGTATCTCAGTGGTCCGGCTTCTCTGAATGAACATCTTTATTGGCCGCTCACACCTGTCAAATGGCTAAACATTAATGTGTCTTGTTTGCAATTATCTAGATTGGGACAGCCTGACACCTTGCAAAGTAGACGTCACTGAGAACGAAGTCGATCAGATCGACTGTAGCGTCGGTATTACGAAGCTATGCCCATTGGATCGCTTCGATAGAGAGCGCGGCTTTGTTGTTACCAGCAGCTCAATATCATGACATAGCTGCTTTATCAACACAGAATCCGATCCAACTTGATTTGGACGCAAATTGTTGGGACTCCAATTTGACAAAAGGAAATCTACTACAGCACGAAGGACCTCGGTGCCAGTAGGAAAAGTTACTGGTTGTTTTATCGCAGAGGTAATTAGTGCTTCTGTGGGAATATTTTTGTTGGTTGGCTGAAGGGGTGTAAACTCGACATAGCGAGTGAGAATTAATTTTAGGAATTTTAGAAAGTCGATCTGTATGATCAAACTACCGCGATAGACATCGAAAAGTGACTGGGTCTTCTTCATGAATTGCGGGTGAGAAACGATATCACAGGCTAGGGATTTACAGGGCGGTAATGCACATAGTTTTGCAAACTTCGTGATATAATTACCAAACTTGGGCTCCTCCGAGTAAAAGGTATGCAAGAGAGCCGCTCGAGGTACCTGAATTACACTGGTATTGCAATGAATCAGAATGCTTTCGGAGTTCTCCGTAATGTTGTAATTTTCCCGCATAGCGAATAGAAAGCAATGCAGCAAGACTTCGGTTCCTCCGGTAACGAAATCTGAGATTCGCAGAAATCTCAGAGAAATGTCAATCGCAATTGGTAGGTAGCTTGCGATAAGTTCTTGAGATAACTCCGTGCATAGGTTCAATGCAATGGACAATATTGATCGTGTGTATTTTGATCGCCAATCGCGTCCTAGTTGCTGGATTAGTTGCTGAGACAGCCGTAAAAATCCGCCGTGCTCTACAATCTCACCGAGGACAACGCGGTCGAGGTGACCTACGTTGAAACAGAGCTCAACGAAATTTTTGACTAGTCTTGGATCATCGATGGACTCAGGCGTGAATTTGAGGAGCCAATCTACAAACCCGTTGGGAAAGAATGTACGCTCCACGTACACAGGAACATTAGCAAGTTGTATACTTGACGGACGAGATGATAATTGAGGTGTAGAATGAAACTCGCCTTCTGCGTATCCCATGTCTGAGTTGGCGATACTTTTTCTTTCCAGAAAAATATTGAGACTCTTGAAAACAGTATATCTCAATCTGCTGTTGCTTCTTAAGGGCAAGCTCATCAAGGCCCTAATCAATTCCTTTCCAATTTCAAAGCTATCTGCTCCTGAAAGGGAAATTAACATTTCATGTGCTAATTTGTTATCCGCCGCCAGACCCCTCAGTATAGCATCCTCAATATTGACCAACTTTGAACACCAGTTACACCAATCCTTATGATCCAAAATCTTCCCATACCCTATAGCCAATGAAATAAGCAGCTTATAGTCAGTAATAGAATCACAGTACTGAAGTATCCCGCACTTTATGAGGTCGCTAGTATGATCTAGAAAGTATTGGCTGATTAAGGATTCGCTAGGACCAATATGACACAGCAACGCGGAAATGCCACCTATACGAATGAACAATTCTTTGCACTCACCTGCCCTAGATTGGGCGTCATACGCAAACATATCGCCAATATGTTGCAATTGACCGTGCCTGCACAGATCAACCAAACACGACGCTATGCTGTACATATCACATTCTCCGTATATCAAATAGGGATTGCAGATTTCACTATTTTGCCGTAGCTGCAGAAGGCTGTGATGGCCACTTTTTGTGTCATGGCCCTTGAAGGGAGAAACGTCGACCTCCAGGAACTCGTGCCGCCAGTCCTCTCCTTCTTCTTCTTCTTTGAATTTTTCCAGAGCTGGCTTTTGAGTTTCACTTATCCATTCATGGGTCAGCAATTCCTGGGCGGTTGCTCTTTGGAAAACGTTTTTTTGAAAGCACGTTCGTATGAACTTTCGGCATCTGGAAGATAGATATTTTGGTGGTAGATACTCATCATGCACTATGGCATAACAGGCTGCTTCATTGAGCAAATTGTGAAATGGCGGGTTACCAGTTAATATCTCCACCACCGTAGCACCCAAAGACCAAATGTCACTTACTGTGGAGGCACCCTGCCCCATCATCACTTCAGGGGCCATCCAATTAGGGGAGCCAGCATAAGTCATCGCCATACTGTTGACTCTTGTTGACACACCAAAGTCCGCTAGTTTGACGACATTGTGGCCATCCAGCAACAAGTTGGCAGCCTTGATATCTCTATGAATGACACCCTGCTCGTGCAGATATTGCAGGCCACAAAGAGTTTGCTTGATGTAGGTTTTGCATTCCATTTCTTCCACTGGGCCTCTTTTGATCAAATCTCTCAGGGAGCCCTGAGAGCAGTACGCAAGTAAAATGAACAGTTGATGGGACTTTTGAATAAATCCGTGATATTTAACAATGTTCTCATGCTTCAGATTCTTAAGCAAATCTATCTCTAACATATGTTCATTCAGCTCCTCCTCTTCTTCATATTCTATGACTTTTATAGCGACCTGCTTACCAGTTTGTCTGTTCATCGCGCGATATACTATCCCGTAGGCACCCTTTCCGATAACCTGTTTCAGTGCATAGTGATGTGTATTCCCCGAGGACGAGGCGAGTTTTTGAGCCGGCGTAAGATTTACTCTTGTAGCCATACTACGCGTCACCTTTGGCTTGAACTGTAAACACCTAGTAGCCATGCCATTGCGACACTAACCGCTATAAATCATAAGCGCTTGCGTATAAAGTGAGCATAAGTTGTATATATTTGGGAGCCATTAGCTTGACACGATGAGAGAACTTAGTTTGTGAGTCTCGAGCAATTGGAACGCTTTCCTTCAAGGAGAGCTACATATAAGGGAGGTAATCATGTGAAATGGAGGCATTGCTAACTAAGAGGCATATCGTATTTTTTATTACCTCTCAGTCCTCAAAATCGCGGGAGAACCATTAGACTGGTAACATCTGAATAGTATTCCACGATAATTTGAATAGATGGAGGCCGGTCCTAAAGTTCCATCTGCCGCTAAGCTGACTGTCAAAAAAGGGCAGCACTCTTGTCTGTGACAATATAGTATAAAGTGATCGAAGAAATGTCAGAAATTTCCGGCTCGAACAGAATGTCTAGAGGTCTAGCATACCTGGCCGGTAGGTTTGAAATGCCGCGACATAGTTGGTAGCTCCACTTTGTATTATATCTAGGAATTTCACCCCTCTGAGAGATATTCTTTGTGCTATAATTTTGCGATGGTTCAGCACGAAGTGATGAATTCTATGAAGCAATATATCGCAGCGCGATGAACTGACCTGACCTTTTGTCGAAGCAATTGTGAATGCTGATGGCTGAATGTCATTAGGGAAGATAAAAATTGTAGGAAGATGTTGCCCTGCCAATTCTGTATCATCGTTCAATCATATAACTTTTGAACGGTGCATGGGTTACGCTTAAAGAGTTCCCGTCGCCACTAGTTGACTAAACACTAATACACATCCCAAACTAGGATTTGTTTTGCTGTCTTTGGAGCGCGCTTGTTGACTGCTTAAACAGCAATGACCTTGGAGAAGAGGAGGAGAGAAGTTGCCTTGCATTGAGCATTAAAAAATATGAACTACAATACTAATGTACTTTAAAAGACATCAATATGCTTGTCTTTACAAAGGTTAACACATTATCGCATCAAGAGCACGGGTTGAAGCAACGTATATCGGATTGCTTCTCCTTTTCAGTTCAAGCGTGACACATACCTCAAGTCCGCATTTCTGACTATACAATTTACACAACAACGGCGTACAAAATCAAAGATTTAACAGCTGAGTTAATCATACCATTGGAAATGCTTTCCTTAGATCTGAAAGAAATGCGGAAGTGCATTTAGGCAGACTTTAATGTCATAGCTTCTTGTGTGATTATCATAACATCATGCATTGGTAATTTGCAAAAGCCACCAGTCCACCATTTGGACCTGAGAGAGACGACGGAATACAGAACAATTTTGGAACACGCACCACTGAACTGAACGGCTCCCTGCCGAATCCTTGGTAGGCTTTCTATAATCCGACCCGCTTGCAAATGAGAAATTAAGGTTGAACTGAATCTAAGGCTAATACTAAGACTCCAAAACTAATTCCTTTTCCCCTGCTATTGGCCATTGTATCAATTTGTTAGATTATGCGTAAGACCACTGGCGGGCGATGCCAAGAAGTTGTCAAACACCATGTGGAACTTTTAAAAAATCACTCTTTAAGCGGAACAGTTCAAGAGTCCGTTATTTATCACTTCTAGACCTAACTGTAGAGCTAGTAGGGAGGCAGCTTCAACTGTGAGCTTTTTTTCGTTTAGGTGGCCCCTAGCATCTCTTTATTTACCTACCACCCGAAACATGTATGATGGATGGTATTCAAATGAGCCTGTGATGCAAATAGTACTTTTGAATAGACAGGAAAGGTTAAACCTCGAAAGTTAGCATGTGCTCAATAGTGGCAGGCAGTTGCTCCTCATGCGGGAAATGAGAGAGACTCGGCTACTCATGAAAGCTACGATAATATTTATCCAATGAAAGCGACACTATTCCATCCACATGATGACATCGGGCTATGATAATATTTTGCTTTAACGTATACTGGTGATATGAACGGAGTCTGTCCGCCAGGGCCAAGCTTACCTTCAAAAACTAGCTAGGAAAATATTGGAAAAGAAAAAGAACCAAACAAACGCTTTTTTTTGGCATTGAAGACAATTTTTAGATCTACCAAATCGTCATGAGAAGCTCACGAACTCAACGATAAGAAAGCTCCCACCAAATGCTGACATTAGATTTGTCACTCTATACTAAAGATTCACTTTCATCAAAACAAAGCACGTATTCTTCAATCGCCTGTAGCGCAGAACAAGTACAAGACGAAGACATTTCCATAGCCATTTTATGCTTTAATGACCGAACGCAGTTTGAGACAAGGATCTCCCTCTAATGTGCCGCTGAGTGAGTCTCCTTTGCCCGGGGATTCTGCTGAGTCGGCCCTGCCTTCCAATGCCCTATCCTCAGTAGTCCCAGAGCCCATTTATGTGTCGAGAGAACAATCCAGTGGGGTTTTGGCCAAAAGCGGTCTAAGTGCACTGCAGCATACTCTAACCAGCTTGAACGTGTTTCAACATCTTCCCAGGGATTCTGTTATAGGCGTGGACGACCTCACTCGCATGAAGATGGCATTGCTCAGCGGTATACCCGAGGAAGTCAATTGGGCTCTACGGAAGTACCTTTCCTACAGTAACAAGGCACCATATATGATTAGTTTGAGAGAGAAGAAGTATCTTTTACCACTGTTAACCCAGCTGATCACAGGGGCGAAACCGCTATTGCAGAAATTAGATATGCCCTTGAACGCAAATCGCGACATTCCTCACATACAGAGATGTCTCAACACGATTCTGATACTACGAAATATGGCACAGGATGCCGAATCTACTCAGATCTTGGCCCTGGATACTATAGTTAAAGACTTTATTCTTACAGTGCTGTTAATGGCAGACTCTGTGAACAAGGGCTCCTTTTTGCTTTATTCGCAAAATGCTCCGTTTTTCAACGAGCTACTCCACTACGTGATTGACTTAATGGAAGCTATTTCGTCGTACATTGCACCTGCGAGAAAAGACGACTTATATTTCCAGAATATGGTATCCATTCTGACTGACACGAACGACCGCTATATGGTGATTTCAATTCTACGGTGTCTATCTAGACTGCTGGTTAGATCTAAAGCCGACGAGGAAAGTGCTGCTGATAATCTTCATGATGATATACTTGATCTAATTGCTTCTTATCTGTTGGTAGGTTGCGATAGCGAGTTGATTATGGCATCCTTGGATTTTCTCTACCAGTATGTCCTACCTGGTAATGAGAGAATAACGACGCTTTTAAAAAGTGAACGAAGGTTCGCCATTCTGTCAGCTGCTTTGCCTAATCTGCTGACATTTGGGGTTCCGTTACCAGACTATGAGAGGTTCAACAAATCCAGCATTAGATTGATCCCAAGAGTAAGACCTGCAGCACCAACTGAACCTCCAAAGTTAGATAAAAGGCTATTCTATGAGGTGCTCGAATTGAACGAACCCATGAGATCCACTGCCTGGTTGAGATCATGTTTCGAACCAGTTCAAGACGCAGAAGTTACACAAATAAGTCTTTGGAGAGGTTACGAATCTGAATTTTCTCAAGCTGTTAAAGATTCTGGAAGAAAACTTCTCCCGGCTGTTGAATTCATCAAAAACGTCTCGAATACTTTTGAAAATGCATCCGCGATGGTTATCACAGACCAGGTTACAAACAAGAAAAGATTTGTGATAAAGGGCATCCAGCCTCGAAGTTATGCTGTGTCAATTGCCGAAGGGGATGCTGCGGCCCATACTTCTGGAAAACAAGCCGTTACATTTCTAAGTCCGACAGATGGCAGCATACACGAGGCAACTCAAAGTGCTCTTCCTAGCATTCAATTTCCCACAAAGTTGTCTGACGTTTCGAAGGCCAGCGCGACCTTCCTTTGCCTAATATCTAATGACAATGAAGGCTTTGGGTTTAGTTTCTGTAAAAGAGTGAAACCAATTATTCTTCATACCTTGGCTGATGTTCCACCACTTAACACAGCCCTAGCTGAATACATGGACAACATTCCTGTCAATTAAAAACCTTGTGGAATATGTCTACAAATGGCGTTTGTCAAACATTAGATAATCATAATTCATAAATTAAAGTAAAATGCTGATATTAAAAAAGGTGAGATAGATCATTGTGGCCTTGAACTTGCGATACCGTTGAAAATCTGGGACAAGTGGCTATGCTTCAACCTTCGTTAAATATCTTAAGGGCCAACCGCACTTACATAGTTGCCCCTTCAAGTTTGTAAAGCTTTTTGAGGGTAGCCTCGAACTTCTGAGCCTTCGCCGCGCTTTCCTCATTGATTTCGTGGTGATAAAACTTCCCTATTGATTCTATAAGCCTCAAAAGCTGCTTAGGTTGGAAAGAAAACTTAAGGTCGTTCTGGAGGTAAATCACTCTAGTGTTTGAATTGAGGTAAATAGTTTCAACCACGTTGTTGAAAAGCGTATCTATGGCAGATGGTTTGACCTTCTCATAAATATCCAACAGCTTGTGCACATCTTCCTCATTCATTTCTGGGAGCTTTAGAAAAGACTTGAACCTGAAATAATTGGTTAGTTTTTGTAGCATGGAGCTACTAGCCTGCAGTCCGGCGAAATCAACAAATTGTAAAGATGCATGCAGATTATTCAACAGCTGATCAGCGATCTCGATGTTAACTGCTCTCTTGACGTCGGGTTCCAGCTTTTGAGTCATCTCTTCAGTAAGCGTTTGATACAAGGCCACCATAGAGCTAAAGGTCTCTTGCGTCGAAAGTACATTGGCCAACTGCAGTGTGTTTTCAACTTCATCCAGCTGTATCATCCGTTTTTCAAAACTACGCAGAAATACCGCAAATGAAAGCAAGTCGTTATCCTTGTGACCAGTCGTGCGGCTCGAAGTTCTTAAAAGCTTTATTGCCTCTTCAACTTTCAAATTGTTGATTAAGTACTCAGCATGAATTGCAGTAGCGTCACTTGCCAAACCCTTCTTGAATTGTTGAAAAAGCGTTTTGTACTGCAAGAAATTTCCTGATCGAACACAAGCCTTCAACAGGATCGCAACATCCAGCACGGGGCAGCTGGAGTTCAAAGCAACAATTTCAGAATACAGCTTATTCCGGTAGAGCTCATGGTATATGTATGCAATACTCGCTTTGAATTCTGCCTGCTCTGCAATACCCTTGAAGCGCTTGGGAAAATCAATTCGCTCAATCAAAAAGCATATATCAGAAGTGTTTTTGGCCAAGCGTAGAATGGAAGCATCCTTCAAATGAGGCAAAATTTTGGAAAAGAGTGGATGCTTCAGCACTTTATCATTCAAATCCTTGCCGAAGGTTTTGACCACCAAACAATTGGAAAAAAATTTGATTTCTTGGTCATCAGGGCATAGCTCCAATCCTTTGGTAACTGTTTCGGTATCATTAACTCGCATAGTGACAAGCTGCTTGTACGTGTCGTAATCGAAACAATAATCTTCCTTTCGTAACCTATCGTATGTCTTAAAACCGGTGCTGAAAGAATTTCTCAGCATAGGACCAAGGCACAGAGGGTACGACTTGTCCCAATCGCCGGGATGAGCAAAATGGTCGACAATATCTTCCGATAAACCAATCACTTTAGCAGCCTGAACAGCGGTACCGCTTATCATATTAGGATCCAAACTCAACCTCTTGTAGTTAATCATTAGCTTTTCAAACCTTGTGTTAAGATTGTCTCTGAACTGTGCTAAAAATTCGTTCTCCATGGTGGAGTAGTAGCCTTCTAAATCATGGAGGCGGCAAATTACCAAGGCATGAAGCTCTATATTTTTGCTGTATTTTTCGATTGTTTGTGGAGAGCTCCACAAACTTTGAAAACATGCGATGAGACCGCTGTAATTGACCAGTCGACTCTCTGATATATCGAAGGCTTTACAACAGTTCACGAAAAAAGTTGTGGCCGCGACCTTACTCAAAATGACCTGAGATTGGTAACTATCGATGAGGCCATTTAAAAACTCGAATTTATCTTGCCCTTTAACAAGCAGTCGACCGTGACAATCAATAAATCGTATGAGATAATCATCTGGACACCGAATACTCTTCAGAAATTGGAACACATACGGGTACACGCCCGGCTCAAATACGAACTCTTTTACCATTGACTCTTCAAGTAAATTCATAATTGCTTCAGTGTCCTTTAATTGCAAGGCGTAGTCAAGAAAAGAACTCAAAGTAAGCTTTGTGTCGGTAGCAAAAAGCAATTGTTCGCTCAAAGTAGGTTTGTCTGTTCTCGACTCCCTCATCATTGGGAGCATGTATGCGTATATTTTCTTGGCTAATGGCCAGTTTCCCAAACTGTTCGAGAGCATGCTCAAATAGAAGTCGTAGGAAAATTCTGGTATCCATGGAAGTGATTTAAACTCGTACCAAAGATCATAAGCACGCTGAGAATCCATCTTACTGACAGACGTCAAGAAACATGAAAGGATTAATGACACATTCGAAGCTAGTCCCACTTTGTCTTTGGCCTCCGACAATACCGTACCCAGAAGTTTTATGGCGAGAGCGGTATTTCCGGTTTCCACTAAAGCAGACAGCACTGAGGCGTACACTTCAAATCGATGCCTTTGTAGATTAGTATCCGCAACACAAGCGTTTCTGAACTCCTCATACAAATTCTTTACCGCAGCACTGTTATTTGTGAACTTAGCATATGAAAGTAAAGCCACATAATAGAAGGAGTCCTTGAAATAGAGCTTAGACTTGTGCAAAAAGTTTTGAATATAGTCAAGTGTAACGTAACCAGGATATAAATTCATAGCCAATAGTGAGCAATCCAGTACCTCTTTAGAGAAATCACTAGTCTTGTTGGTGTTAGAAGCCTTCAAAAGGTCAATGGCAATTTTGTAGAAATCACCTCCGTTGGTATTTCCTAAATCATGGGCTAGGATCGACCCTTTCAGCAACGTTCCAATCACTGCATTATAAATTTGTTCCGAGGGCTTCATCTTATTGTTTATCAAATCCTGGTAGCAGTTCAGCAGCTGGAACATACGATTATCCACGTTGTCATTGTCTAGGTCACGTCTGCTCACAGACTCGATAACAATCTCATAGATCTCTACTGTTGGTATAATACTGTTTCTCTGCAAAGCTTGATAGTGCGCATTGATACTGTTATAGTCACCACAGTCAAAAGCTTTTTTGATCTGCTTAGTTTGGGTATCCAGAAACGTTTGAGGGTTCAATGATTCTTCGGTATCGGGTTCCCATGGAGAAACACGCGGGTCTGTTCGGGAATCAAAAGCAACATCGTGGACTGGAAGTACACCCGGCGCATCATGAGTCAGTTGATCTTGGATCCCAGTATCCAGGGTCTCAATGCTTTTCTGACCAGCGTTAATGTCTGTGGCGGCACTTGTAACACCTGGAACAACATCCTGACTGCGTTGACTAGTACTATCAATAGCACTACTAGAGAAGTAGCTCCTAGACAGCCTTTCATTGATTTCCATTTGTCTGTTATGCGGATAATGAGTATACGAGTCATTGCTATTGTGGGATCGGAACCGACTCAGCGAGTGGGCCCTTGGTGCCGTAGAGGAGCTTGGAGTCGCTCCGAGACTTGCTCTGCGAGATTCGCGACCCCTCTTATACTCACGCGGCAACAGGGATCCATCATGCCTCCCATGAGCTGGTGTCTGGCTTTCTTCCGTTTTTTCTTTCTCCAGCGCGAGTTCCACATTGTTGTAGTTCACGTTGGCACCCACTACTGGGTTCAGACCAACGGTAACATTGTGCGACGATGGGATGCAACTTTCTTGACTTACCAGACCCTGGTTACGGCGCAAATACTGGTACGAGCTTTCAAAGAAGGCCGTGGTTTGCTTCTGCGCCGAAGAATGGTAGCCTTTGGAGTAGAACTTACACTTAAACGGCTTAAATACCATGACGGCTATTCGGGTGGGGCTAGTATCTATAACGCTTAAAACAGTGTGCCTCCTCCTCCCGTTCTATAATATCTTGAAAGCTTTACAACTGTAACCTTCGAACCAAGCGAATATGACTGATAGATAGATTAATTGATCTTTTTTCAATAATTTTCTTAAGAATGATGAGATGATTACATACGAGAGTATATTTGATTCTATAAGCTTGACAACTAAACTTACTCAGGGAATTCGACCAGCAGACCATTACAAGCCTTCCATAACACTTTTATTAGCAAATGAGAATTCCGATTAGCTGACTCGTATATATCCTGATGAATTTCATACAATTGCGCCGCTCATGTAAGTATTCGATTCTAACACATACATCTTGCAATTGTAGAGAACTTATGTACATAGGAGCCCACAGATCCTATCCGGTTTGTCAATGGCGAGTTACGAGGATAAAAGCGGGAAAAAAGCCACATGTTAAAACAACTCAAAGCCTCGCGACAACCGAGACAGAGCAACTCGAACGCACAATCATGGAGTGACAGCGTACTCTCTTCTGAATCTGTCATCAACACTGGTTAAGTAGTATACACCAGATTGCAAATGATCAATGGAGCCTTTTGGTTGGAAGCCCTTTTGGAGGTGGGCGTCTTCTCTAAGCTTAATGGCCTCCTCGTAACCCTCTGGAGACTCTGTGGTTCTGGATTGCAGCCTTTTGTCGAAGTTTAGCACGTCGGTGATATACTTGATATCACCAACAACGCGGCAAGAGAACATGGAAGACGCCAAGCCTGAGCCGTATGAGTAGAGACCCACGCGCTTATTCTGCAGCGCGTCCGATCCGACGAAAAAGAGCAAAGACGCTAAGGCGGCGTAAACGGAACCGGTGTACATGTTACCAGTGTTAGTGGGGACAACCAAAGAAGGTGCGACCTTTTCCTTTTGCTGGGCCTTGGCCACGCCCACGAATGTTTTCTCAACGGTCTTGTCAGTCAAGCTGGCAGCGTAATCTAGGGAAGCCAACGACGCATCAACATCAGGGTATAGGGCTGGGTTGGCTCTAAAGTCATTGTACAACAGTCTAGCGTAGGATTTGGCAACCAGCTTGCAAGTTGGGACGTGGAAAACGTTGTAATCGAAGAATTCGGAGGCGTTCACAGCGTTTGCGCCAGCGGCCTCCTGGGAAAGGCCCTTGGCAATGGCCTTCTTGGAGTAGGACTGGTAGCACTTGTCCAAAGCGCTCACGTAACAGCTCAAAGAAAAATGGCCATCCACGTAAGGGTACTCGCTTGTGAAATCGGGCTTGTAGAAATCGTAAACGTGCTCCATGTGAGAGCCTCTCACGGAGTCAAACACGATAGGGGCGTCTGGACCAATCAACATGGCTACCGTACCAGCACCTCCAGTGGGTCTGGCCGCGCCCTTGTCATATATGGCAATGTCACCACACACCACCACGGCGTCGCGGCCGTCCCACGCAGAAGATTCGATCCACGACAAACTGTTGAACAGGGCGTTGGTACCACCGTAGCAAGCGTTGACGTTGTCAATACCTTCCAGATCGCTGTTTTCACCAAATAGCTGCATCAACACTGACTTGACGGACTTAGATTTGTCGAGCAGCGTTTCGGTTCCGACTTCCAATCTTCCGATAGACTGTGGGTCCACGTTGTAGTTTTTCAGTAGCTTCGATAGCACCGTCAGACTCATGGAATAAATATCTTCTCTGTCGTTAACAAATGACATGTTTGTCTGACCCAAGCCAATGGTGTACTTGCCCTGCGAGACACCGTCAAACTTTTCCAGATCGGCTTGGTTGACGCACTGTGGAGAGATTTCATGTTAGTATTGGAAGAAATGACAAGCATTCCCACGCTATTGCGTTGTGGGTGCTTTACCGCGTTTGTGTATGGAACATACCTGCGAGGGAATGTACACCTCGAAGCCCTTGATACCGATGTTCTGCGGTCTAGGAGGCTGATCGGCAGTCTTTTGCTTTTTCAATTGATTTTGCTCGGTCATCTTAGAACGATCTATAATGGTGATAATTGGCCTTTAGCGCTTGTAAGCTAATCAAGTATCAGTCTTGGGATGATAACAAAGAGAAATGGCCTGCTTGTTTTCTTTTTTGGGAGAAGTTGGACTATAATTTCTGCGATAATGAAATTAGTCGACTTTCTGACAATTGTGCTAAACTTTGCTGGATTTTGCTGATCTTTCGATGGTGTTTTCCGGCTTCTGTTACTGTTCAACCAACCTATTTTCGTTGAACTTTCTCTGTTGTCTTTATAGCGCCAGTTAGCCCTGGCACGAAAAAAAATTGTTAAACGACGAGATACGCGAATACGAGGATGGCAAGTACAGGACTCGTAACGACAGCGCATGAGCCTGAAACTAAAAGCAAGCATTGGACGCCAGTAGGCCATCAGACACGATGCTAGCTAGAGCTTCTAAGTTCCAGAGGGACAAGAATGTTGTTGGCAGTATTGGCTGACCTTGCTGGACTGCTCGTTTGAAATTTTGATAGATATCGAAAAGGATCTTCTGAGTGAGTGATAACGGGGTTTAGAAATGAGTTTTGAGTTGTCTCTATCGGGTCTGCATATATGGTGTGTATTTATGGGCCATCGCTGCTATCGATACATATTTTTGTTCAGGAAAATCTTGGTGTAACCGGGTCTTGAAAATCCCCCAACCTCACCCACCTTTGGACTCTCGAGTTATTTTTAAAGGTCGAAATGGCGGGAAGTGTCGCTGCTACGCCGCCATAGCATTCTTCTTTTTGCTGGCGTTACCAATATCACTTCATTCCACTCTGACACTACGCTGATGTTCATAAAAATGCTACCCGATTCTATTCGCCCAGCACTAAACCGTCCTTCTCGTAGGTCTAGCAGACGGATGGTTTATAGGACTCCGCTATGATTTTAATACTTTCGCTCGCAGCTAACAACTGTTGCTTGTGAGGCTCCCCGGATGCCGTGGAACTTTGATATTCTTGACGACAAGTATTAATTATGACTCTCCCTATTCGTGGAAATCGAGGCTTCAGCAGACCCCTACACACGGTAATAGTACTTGTCTATTTATGCCAGTATAAATCTGCTGCAATGCGCGACTTCTAAATCCTGGAAGGGTCCCCAACCTCCATCTGACAATTGGCAACTGGTCTTCAAACATTGCTAGCCTTGACTATACAAACCGTGAGCTTCTTATAATCAATTCCGCACGGATTGCTACAGAGTCGGGCACCGGCCATGCGGTTTGCTCTACTTCACAAGTAATATATGTTGGTAAGCACGAAGATGCTTCCACCAAGTGGAAAGTGTCACAATTTTTTAACGACACACAAGTATGAAGTGACTGTGTAAACAATGTGAGAGTAGTTTCACCAATAGCTGCTGGTGAGGCAGGTGGATTAAATGCATTTTCAGTCATACATTTGCATCTTCATCCACCACTCCGCATCTTAGAAGCGGAAAGGTTTGGTATTGGTGTCCCATTGCTATTTTACAGTAATACGATTATTTTCATATCCATGAAAGCTTGTCGAGTACCAGCAATTGCAGAGTGACAAGCAGTTGAAACACAATTGGACGGAGTTCACGGAGTTCATAAGGAAAATCGCCTTTTTATGGAAAGGAGTCGGGTGAGCAAATTTCAGAAACCGTTAGAGAAGATCAGTCCAACCACCAGCAAGGTTGAGTATCTTTTCTCTGGAGCAACAAAATCTGTTTCAACAGAGGATTCCTGCATTCGTGAGTCATTTGACAGCGATGGGACGCTACTTATGGGTGCCATCCACGAGGTGAAGCTCGGGATACTTTGGAAGTCGGCCTCTGTAATCAATCTTATTAGGTCGCTGTGGCATCATCGTGCTGACTTTTGACAGCGCCCAAGCGACTTGGTTTAGGAGCCACACGGCCGGCCTCGAAGACACGAACATCAAAGATAGAACTGCCTTAGGCAACTGCTGATACTCCTGAATGAAGGGCGTCATCTTGTCCTCGTAATTTCTCAAAGCTTTACCGATGTCGTCACCATGTTGGGCCAGCTCGCCCGTCAGCGTGTACGCCCCAAGGAGACCCAGGGTTGTACCCAACCCAGTGAAAGGACTCGGGCCATATCCCGAGTCCCCAACAAGAACAGTTCGGTCTTTGAAAAGCGTTTTGAGCTTGATCTGGCCCAATTTAGTAGCATGGAAGTCGTCCGTACTCACAATGCCTTTCTGAAATCGATCCTGCTGCCATTCAAAGCCGTCAAGAGTCGCAGCAAAGGCGGCTTTTTGAGCAGCAATGGATTGATAATAACACTCGTCCAGCTGGGCACCGTCACCCCTCAAAAAAGAAAAGAACTCCGGTGGTTGGGCGATCACTGGGTCTGGTAACCATCATTTTCTTCCCCGTGCTGAAAAACACTTTGGCAAGGCTGCCTTCTTCTTTGATTCTTGGGATGCTGAAGTACGCACCATGTAGACCCATAGGATGAAAAGAGGCAGCACTGGCTTCTTCCCCGAACATCATCCGCCTGGTGCGCGAGGCCTGGCCGTCTGCGCCAATTACTAGATCGTAACGGCCACTGTGTTTGCTGGATGAAAACGTGACGTCGACGGGACCCTGAGGAGTTTGGTTTAGTTTCTCGACAGTTTCCTCGAACTTGTACTGCAAGCCGTGTCTGTAACCCTCGAGGCACTTCAGCTTTGCATCCTGCTGGATGCTTGCATCGTACAAAATTCTGACCAAATCTCCACGCATCAATTCAAACTCGCTCGTCAAAGTGAGTCGGCGCTCGTCGGAGGGGCTGACCCCAAAGAAAGCCATTTGACCATCGTTGGCGTCCACAACCTCAAGCCCCGTTTCGTTAACACAGCAGGCCTTGACTTTATCCAGCAGACCCATCTTTTCGAGAATGAAAGGCGCCTCATTTTTAAGGTCGATTTGCTGTCCAGCGGAACGTAGTGCGCATCCACGTTCTACGATTGTGATGTTGTGCCTGTAGTTCGCTTTTTGAAGGAGGAAAGCTATAGCTGGTCCGCAAACGCCTGCACCAACGATTAATATGTTGAGAGGTCTTTGGACGCCAGTTGCGAGCGTCGTAGACTGCACCATTTGCGACGATAGAGTAAGAATCGGAATTCGTCAAAACAAAGCCGACCTCGGGCTTGAAAGAAGAGTAAGAAAGACCCTGTTTCCTGACACGCCTATCGATAGCCTCAATTACTGTCCCCCACTACTGTCGATATAAAAGTTTTGAAGACGTGGGCTCAAAAAAAACCTTTGAAGCATAAGTGGGTGCAGTCTGTCTGCCAGTTGACCGATACTGGCGTCGAGGAATGTCTCCGGCCTCAGAGTTGGACTATTGTCGTATCGTTTCTTTCTTTGTGATGGCCGGCTCTCTCTGAAAAGTCGCCAATTGCCTTTATCATGTGACCAGAAAATGAAAGATTGGATAAATCAAGTCACGTGCTGATTAGAGGGGATCATGGTGATGATGCTCTTAAATGGAACGAGAAGCTTGCGCGTAAAGACGTTTGCAGTGTTAGTATAGGCCGCTTCCAAGAACACAAGCCGTTCTCATCTTCTAAATCATAGGTGGTGTCCAGACGCTGGACCTGGAGGGCTTGAAAAGGGGTATGATCAGTTTTCGGTCCTCATCACGTGACACATGAAGTCCGAATGAATGGAGCCGCGAGGACACACAACATTCAGTGGTACCCTAGCCAGCTGCAGAGCCGTGCCTCAGCTCCCCAGGATCTCATTAAAGCACACCAGAGGCACTGGGACTTGATTTCTCCAATAACCTTTATGGGTATGGTTAGAAACTCTGATTTTAATCACAACACACGCTACCAGAGGGTGTCACATGCCAAAATATACTCTACTCAACACAAGGATTTAATGTGTAGATCAAACCACGCTTGTATTCTGACTGCCCATGGCTAGCTAGTACGCGATGAGTAATTTCCGTCAGTCCTACTAATACTTGAACTCCATCTGGGGGCTGAGCCTCAGCTGTTGCTGAAACGCCATCTTAAACCGATTGTTGACATTATCGTGTTACCTTTGGTTGCTTATGAAGATCTGCACGCCATCAAGCTTAAGAATGAAAGCTAGTTACAGGCTACTTATCCAGTTGGTATCGTTAGCATTCTTCAATTTTGACCTACTTCCTTGGATATCGAGCTCACTTTTGTTCTGGTCTACCCGGCCCCTGTTTTTGTATAGGCACGTCATATTAACGCACGGGTTTCGCATTGTTTTGTTCTCTTTAGCTAGGCTAAGACGGATTCACTCAAGCCATATTACCGGTGTCTCGCGGTTACGTTGAATTTCCTTTGACAATGTGAGAGCTTGTCATTCTTGTTATTACTCAGTCATTGTCTCTAGTCCTGCCATTCCAGGACCGTGAATTAGGTACGGTGATAATTAGCATGACGACTTGACGCCACTAAACATTCGTGGTCTCTTGGCCCAGTTGGTTAAGGCACCGTGCTAATAACGCGGGGATCAGCGGTTCGATCCCGCTAGAGACCATTTTATATTTTTAATACCTAATGCACCGATGCTATTTGCATTCTATTTTTTCAGATGCCTGGCATACGCGCCCGGTTGCTTCCTCGTAAAATGATTCCAAAACTATACTATGTGCGATACTACTTTCATAATTTAAAAAATGTCAGGAAGACCTTCGAAGTTTCTTCCTTTCCTCACCTTCCAGTATTCCTCGTTGAATTTCCAATACTTCTTTTTGGTCACGGGGTGCTCAGTGTTGACGAACCACTTAGGCTTGTATTCAACATGCTCTTTGTCTCTTCTCTTTCTGGCTGCTCTCTGCTTCTGCTCAACACGATCTTTTTCTTTGGCGGCATCATCATACCTTCCTTCCTCCATCGCTCGTTGGTCAGGGCGCAACCGAGTATCGGTAGTCGGAATCCATTCCAATAGTTTTGGCTGAGGAGCATTTAAAGACACTGCATATTGGGTGAGATTGAAAGGCATATCGGGTCTATCGTGCACATGCCATACTAAGAATTTGGATCCATTAGTATTAGGTCCGTCATTTGAGTGTGAGAAAGAGCTTTTCGACTTTTCCACTGACATTTCTTCAGATGAATTGGGCTTTAGCACCTTTTTGGCATATAGATACTCGTTCCAGTGGCCACCAAAGACCCATTCTTTACCTCCATCCTTATTGTACACCTCCCCTTTAACCTCATACGCGTTAGACGACCTCCAGCCACGTGCCTTGAAGTGGATCATACAACGGTCCCCCGTCTTATGGTTCGTTATTTCAACATCGCCGTGGTTGTCAACTTGTGGGTTCCCAACGAGAATCCCAACAACCGTATTGTTAGGCTTCTTCCAAGTGTACAGCTCTTCTTCACCCTCCGAATCCGGTCTCATGTTTAAGTACCAGAGGCCTAAGTGCTCAACCTCAAAAGACCTACCGTTAAAGTTGGAGTCCACGCGAGATTCACCCCAGAAATCCCACTTGGCAGATTCCGACCAAGTTGCTGAAATAGGTGGATGATGCGATACTTGTTCAGTAAAAAATCTGAAGTTTTCGTCAGGTCTCGAATATTCGAAAGTCTCACCTAAGATCGGATTGAAGGGTTTGGCCACACGCTTTGTGGTTGAAGAGTATGAAGATACAGAGAATACCGCAACGTAGAGCATCCTCAACGTAGAATCTTCAAACCCTGCAGCTTTCGTCAAGAGTGTCGAGTATTCCAGATCTTCTGCAACTCTTTGAAGAAGAGATGTGGGCTCATTGAAAGTGACAGGTAAAGTCATTCTAGTCATATCCTTACCAATCATTGACTTCAACACAGACCACAGACTTAACTTAGGGCGATCATCTTGGCTCAGGGCCAGCTTTTTTCTTAGCCCATCCTCGTAGCCTAAAAAGGAACCTTCTTGGTTGATATTTTCTTGCTTCTCTTCCTGAGGTTTGGAGTAAGCTTTGTGCATGAGCTTCTTGCTTCCATCCTTACTCGACTTCGATGTAGATTTTTCGTTACTCGTATCGCCGTAAGGTTCACTGGCTTTTACAGTGTCACTTGCTGAGTGTTCAGTGAGGCCAGAATGGGTGACACCTTGCTCAAAGTTACTGGGAACGTCGGTCTTTTGCTCAGAGGGAACATCAGAGGGGGCGCCAGACAGAACATCAGATGATTGTTCGTGATTACTCATCTTCTTCGAACGCTCTTTCTTGACACTAGAATTTTTTTCTACTGTCTCATCCCCCTTTCTGGCACCTGAGTCCCGAAGCGATTCACTTTCTTCAGCGTCAAAGAATTCATCGGTCTCTGACTCTTCTCCATCTTCTTTATTTGAGTTAATGAAGTCGGCAATTTCTTCTAACGGCTTGGTATTTTCCGAAGCTGGGACATTCGAGTCATCATCTTGCCTACCACTGGTATCTGTTGCTTCTTGACCCGCTTCAGTTATCTCTAACAACTTTTTTTGCAGCAGTTTTTTGAGATTTTTTCTTTCTACATCAAGCGAAGCCAAGCGTTCCGACTTTTCGTACAGCTCCAGCTCCAGCTCTTTTACCGAACGTATCCATAATTGATTCACATCCTGTTGTTTCTGAACAAGCTTGATCAACTTTCTATCTCTCATGGAAGTCATCGAGCTGTAAGAAGTGAAATTTTTGGATAGGGAGTTCAACGACTTTTTAATGATATCCATTTCACTAACATCTGGTACTCTGCCATTGAATAACTCCGCTAAAAAGGCAACTTCCATCGTGATTGACCTCTGGATCATAGAGAGTTCCTGATGATGTAATCCAGTGTCTAATTTCAATTCCTCATTCTCGAGGTCCTCAGTGGTTTCGTCCTTTAGGTAATCCTGCCCGCTTTCTACCTCAGCCATATCGTCAAAGTTATTTCCCGAAGCCAAACTCTCCGCTCTAGAATCATTGTAGTTGTTGAGTGAGATGTCTAACGAAGTTCGGTTGGATTTGACCTTGGAAACATATTCTTTTCCTCTAGCGGTGAGATTTTCGTTGATATCCATATCTCCTGATGACATAGATGAAATGGAGCTGACAGAGGGCTGAGGATGATGGGTCCGAGGCTTGCGAGCAGCATTCGAGTGAAGACTTTGTACGCTGGGGGCGTTCAAGTGATTAGCCGACTCTTTAACTTTGGACTCCGCACTGGCACCAGTGGTTTCGCTGGCGTTCTTGTTACCACCTCCCGACTTCATCAGCCTTTCGCGATCTTTAGCAAACCTGATCGCACCTTGCACAGCCCATACCCATCTGTTTGTTTCAACCGGATGATTTCCCTTCAGGTGCCACCTTACTGTACCATTAAATCCACCTATGATCTCAAATTTGAGCTTTTCAGAAGAATCTAGATGTAAATAGCATGTTGACATGTTAAGAGAGCCACGACAAGCATTCTTTGTATCGTCTTGATCTTTATAATAAGAAAGCGTGCCATCAGGACTCAAAATGAACCAACGTAAGCGGTAGCCTTGAGCGAAGTTTGTCCATTTGCGCAAATACCCCTTATAAGTTGGGGGTTCATTTAAGTTGTTTGCTACCTCGATCACGCTCTGTTCTCGAGCGGCTTTTTCTAGCATGCTTTTCAATTGCTGTTCAGCCGTTAAGTTTGCATTTGAAGCTTCGTTCACCGGGGGGACCTTACCCAGTAGGTCCACGGGTAACTTGCCTCTGCGGTCCCTTTTGAAGGGATCACCACCATGGTTGAGAATCCATTTACACATCACCAAATCTTTCTTCTTCACAAACTCATGCAAAACAGTATCACCGGTTTGCGGGTCAGTGCCATTGATGTCCAAGAGCTCCGAGTTTCTTGGTTTTGCTAAAATCGCTTCCAAATGTTCACAGTCACGATTGACAAATGCACGTCTAAACTCCTGAGCAACCTCGCCCAGATATTCAGAGCGCTTCATTTGCATCATCTGGGCAATGTTGAGGTTCTTGCACATCTCAATTGGTTGAAGCCCAGAATTGTTGAAGATGCAGTCATCGATTTGTGGGAGGTCCATGAGCAAGTTCACCACATCTCCGCGAGATTGGTATGCACCCAAGTGTAGCGCAGTGTTTCCATCGGGATCTTGGTGGTTCACATTCAACTTTATTTTCTCGTCGGTCAGCCAATTAGCTAGAATGTCCTTGATCAGTTGCAAAGGGGCCACCTGCACAGCATAATGAAGAATCAACTGGGCTACCTCCCTCACACTCGCATCTTCAATAGGATGGAAGTAAGTTTTCAAGAGCTTGTCAAGAGCTGAGAAGTCACCCTCGCGCAAGGCTTCCAATAGCTTTAGCTTAAGCAAAGGCTTGCTAACCGGATGGTGATCTGCCATCTTAACCACCGAACAGAGTTGCCACTCTTTGTTATTCCAGTTCCAGCTGACTTGTTTTGAATAGCAGTAAACAAGTAGACTCTTATTATCTCACCGAGCGCCCTTGTATAGAATGGTACCTTTTGACAACGTTTGCTAAAGTCGGGCTTTCTTCGTAATTGCTCTAATTTCCTTCAAAATACCTACAAACGAGCTGTGGACAGAGTAATTGACACTATTGCAAAACGTACGTACTTAGAAGCCGGGAGTTTGATCCCACATGATCAATTCTATCTTGAGGTTGCGAATTGTGCAGAGATGGCCTTTAGCTTTCATTCGTTGTTGGAAGTCTCATAAAGTTGCCGGATGTCACGAAAAAACTGCTCAAGCAGATAGGCAAGTCTAGCCGTTTGTCGGTGCTTCGAGGTAAGCACTATGGTGATGGTCTTATCTCTCATAATATAGCCTATCCCGAAGCCATTGGCACAAACGGGGCCAAAGCCAAAGCTTTGAAGGCTTGGATTGCCACAATTGGACGTGCTGATGACGCTGGTATTCAGTAAGGACCACCCGCCGTCTTTGAATATACTGGGTTTCGGTAGTGCGGCTTGTAGGCGCTCGTTCCAAATGCAGTAAAGAGCATACAGGTGACGATCTTGTCCCATTCCAGAAGCACATTGCTTAGTGACGGAAGAATGCTTTGCACATGCAGCAGAAAACAGACGCCTCAGTTCATCCTTAGGGGCGTTTTGGCGATCAAAAGTTTCCACAAAGAGTTTGGACTGTGGAGATACTGTTCGGATTGCCTCCGTGCGTCCGTTTTGAAATGCTTTCGTCATTGCAGGCTCGTATGTTACTTCAAATTTCCGGTATAGGGCATAGTACGCAGCTTGTATTGCCATTTGCACAAACGCATCGGGGGAGACCTTGAACTCGGACTTAATCTTGAAAGTGCCATAGTCACTAAAATCAAGCCTCGCAAAATCGAATTGGGCGATTAAATCCGAAAGTCGAATTTCCGCGAAATGTAGAGAAGAGATGAGGTAGGTATCCACCTGCCATTCTAGCTTGCGAGGGACCTTGACTGTGGATTGATCAGATGAGCTAGACAAAGGTGGCGGAACCTCATCAGAGCGCGAGCGCCTTATACTGCGGGCAAAGCTAAGCACGGATTCGGTATAGATATGCGTGGCCAAGCGTAATATCGTATGGCCATCCACTCCAGTGTGTTCGAAATTGATCCCGGCCTTGCCATTTTGGGTCACAATCAACTGCAGCTTGTCATACCACCTGTTGAGACACGTCCCACGCTGCACACCGATCGGGACCTCTGATTTGATCGCGTCTTGCGAGTTTTCATAATCTATGTCAGAAGTACCACAAAGCATCTCTTGAACTAATTCCAAGGGCCCCTCAATAAGCACGTCGTCCAGGCATAGAACGAATAATGCGCTGTCGATTATCTGCAAATTGTTTCTGTTTGTTGGCAGAGGGCCCTTCATCATATAGTCTCTAATGTTCGACCATATCGAGCGCTTTTCTGTAGTGACGACTCCCCAAGGAAGTCTGGCATGCGTTTCGTCGATGGGCTGCGCTGCATCTTGGAGAATGGAATACAAGGCACGCTCCAGCTCCTCGCCGCTGAAAACGAGATTGTGCTGCGAATCCAAAACGTCGAACCAATAAAAGTTGGACTTGCAGAGAACTACGATGTGGGTTGAAAAAACGCTGGTTTGCAAGCGGCAAGACTGACTGGTAGCGTCTGGAGGTATTCGGGCTGAGCCGAAAAGAACGCTGTACTGGTCCATGGAAAGCGAAGTACCCCGTACTGTATCGGGTTTCAACGCCTTACACCGAATTTGCTGGACAAAAGTTAGGGTAGACTGCACAATCCTAGCAGATCTTTTGACCAGCCGGGAAGAGCTACGATAGGGCCCATAATCGTCGATCTGCCGAAGCGTGGGGTCGTCTTGGAGCTCGAAAAACGGATTAACGTTCAGTACTACAGACTCATCGTACTGCAGGTACGCGTCGTACCAGAACTGCTCTATGTACGAGGATGTAGGGTTTTCGGTTTGCAGTTCTTCGTCATATTTCAGTAATTCTTGGTTCAACTGGGAGAGGACACGTAGATTATCCGCCTCGAATACCGCATTTCGAGTCTTGACGTGATTTTGTGGGCTTTGAAGGGGTTCCAAGCGGTCCAAATACCGCTGCAAGCTGTCCTGAAGCCTGGGAATGGGCAGCCTGGGGAGAGCCGGGGCAGAAACCTGGCTGGCCCGCTCTGGAGACACACTATGGGGCATCTTTGCGTGAAACGGAGGGTTGCTGGCGAACATTCAAGACATTAGAGACACCACCGTTGGTGTGAAGTCTTGCATCACCTAGACGCCGGCCAGCCCCACCTGGCACCTCGAATCCGGGGAAGAGCACCACGCGACAGCTGCGTGACCCGTCACTCATGAGAGCAGGTGCTCCGAGCCAAGCGGATAGTGAAGGGCCCGTGGGTTTCGTCACGATACTGCCCTGACTGGTCGAGGGAGTGAAGCACCTGGACTGGACGTGTCTGCGCTGGTTTCCGGCCCAGCGTCGCTCTTCTACACCCAGCATGTCATTATTGTACATAGTGATGTCTGCAAGTACTGGCGTCGGACGCGATTCCAGGGCCTCAGAGCAAGGGACGTGCGGTCCTCTGAAACACACTCCTGTGCAGAGTGCGGCGTATCAACACACAGCTCCTCCATAAACCCGTGTCCGCCGAGCTGCTGTGCCCACATGAACAAACCGCCTCCGCCAGATGCGAACCGGTTACCTCTACCCAGAGCCGTTCAACGGGTACCAAAAACACGGTTTACGTACCATATGATATATATTTCAAGGCCAAAAAAATATCCGTTTGATTCGTCTCCCAGTATCTTCTTTTACCTGTTTTGAAAGAGTAAGGTACCCATTTGAAACCCATAGAAATCAGCTAAATTACCCAAATAGTACTGACGCGTAAGAACTTAATCGCGTAAATTAAAATGAGATTATATTTAAAGCGGCTATTTTACAGTTCACCTTCCTTTGAAAAGAACCGCAAGCCTTCAAGGTATGGAGAACTCTGATACACTTGGTCAAGCAGACCAAATGATTGTAGACCTGGAAGGAGAAACTTTACCTGAGAGCGAATTTCCACAGAGCGACGCAACAGCGGTCGCATCAAGCTCAACTCGCTGGATGGAGCGGTCAAAACTTCGCAAGCACTTCCAAATTAAAGAAACCAAAGGCTCGAGAACGGCTTCTTGTATATACTGCTCTAGAGTTTTCTATGAAAGTAAATCGACTGGAAATCTTTCAAAACATGTGAAGAATAAGCACCCACAAGAGTTCAAGCACCAAATCGCCTTGCAAGCAAACTCCAATGGTCTAGATTCCCTTCTCGCAATGACCCGATCACTACCTTTACCGTCCTCTATTGTTGCAGCGTGGAAGCATAGTCCTGGAGACTTTGCTGTGATAGCTCTCTTGACCGAGAAGCTTTTACCATTTTCAATTGTCGAAGCCGCGGCCTGGCAATGGATGGGCAAAGCATTTTCAGACTTATCTCTCGTTCAATCTCGTAACAGCATTAGCCAAAGGCTTGAAATGTATACAAAAAGCTTTGACAATGTCATAAGGACTGCTATGCAAAAATCTGACTTCATTAACCTTGAACTTGATATTTGGTCCGGAGGGAATGGAAAGTCATACTTGGCAATTGCCGCTTCTTTCGCCCCGAACCTTTTGAATGAAAAGAGATTACACCTAGTGGGAAATGTTAGCTCACTCTTGAACAACAATCAAAAGTTGCAAAATAGTCACTTGTTAGACTTCGTTGATATTAGTGATATAAGGCATACTGGAGAAAACTTGTTCAATACCCTGATTCCTATTTTAAACCATTTTGAGATTTTCGACAAAGTGGCTTCCATAACTTCTGACAATGCCACCAATAATATCTGTATGCACTCGTTTCTTGTGAATGACTCTTTGAAGGTCCAACGGCCTGAGGCTTACGAAAAACTGAGGAACTGTCATTTGATCCGGTGCTGCAATCATATCCTGAACATTCTTTTTCAGGCTATCGTGAAGGCACTAAAATCTGATCAAGAGCTCGAAAACGCCCTAATTGATATCACAAAACTTGGCAAAAAGATAAGAAGAAGCGCTTATTTGAGATCCTCGGTTAAAAACGCGGGTCTTCCATTGATTCCGATTGCACCAGAAACTCGTTGGCTATACTTATGGGAGCAGGTCTCTTTTTATTTGAAATATCGAGGAAGGTATCTTGCATGGCTAGAATCGGTGAAAAGGTCGGAAACCTATGGGCATCTGGCAGAAAAAATTGAAAGCCACATGAAGCTGAGCCCGCGAGTCAAACATATCTTGGAGTACTTTGTAAGCTGTTGCTCCATCTACAAGTTTTTTAATGACTCAATGCAAGACGAAACACTCAATCGTTTACGCCACGCCCCATCCTTCTACTATACAATGGAGCTTTTTTATGACTTGTGCCAGACATCCAAAGATGGAACACACGTAGAAGAAGAACAGGATGGTAGCTTTGACTTTTCATTCCTTAACGGTGACACTGAGCTTCCCCCCAGTGCAAAAACATTTGTTTTGGATGCAGTGCTTTCCACGAAGAAGAAGTTCGATGAATATATGTCACATTTCAATAAGACTGACATATATTTTGTGGCAGCGTTCCTTGACCCTTCATCTAAATTCACATGCTTTGACGAATGTATGTCAGACGATGAGAAAGGTGTACAAGTCAGTAAGGTAGAAACTTATCTGAGAAATTACTTAGGGAAGTGTAAAGCAAGTGGCTATATTCCAGTGGTTTCCTCGAGTGTACCCCAAAACACTGGTAGGCCTAAAAAGATTGGTAAATACCCTAGGGTTTCTCGAAAGAATAAGGGTGTATTTAAAACGGCTACGTTCCTCCAAAAACCAACGGTGCCTGAGTGGAGCTTGTATTGCGAGGAACGATTGATCGAAGCGGAAACTGATATAGACGTGGTCAAGTGGTGGTATGATAGGCGTCACATATACCCAAATCTGTACAGACTGGCGGTTCCGCTACTCTACACTAAGATAAGCACATGCGGCATTGAGCGAACCTTTTCAATATCCGGCAGATTAATGCGTCAGGATAGGAGAAGTTTGGGGAGCTCAAATACAAAAAATTTGATGCTCTTAAGGAACCGGTTCACCAATTTCGGCCTTTATGATAAAGAAATAGAATTAGTACCCTCGTCTAACAGTGACGACACGCTGATCGTTTTGTCTGACGACGACGACAGCTCTATATCTACAAGTACACCTTAGAGTCAGTTTATATAGCCAATATAACCATTTAAGTGTGATTTTGTTGCCTAATGAGACATATATCAGCTTGCAAGTGATGTTAGACAGCATGCTTAGAACAAACAACTGTTAGCTACCCTGTTGAACGGCACTGCCTCTACCAGATACGTCACTATACACGAACCCCACCACCGCCACCACCGTCTTGGCTGGGCATGCCGAGCTGCCGTCTGCCCCGACGCGGCATGCGCACGCCAGCGTTCCGATCTGCGCATCCATGCTGCTGTCCCGCTCTATTGTCCCTCGCTATAGTCGTATGACGGGCCCTGTTTTCCAGGCGTCGACCAATCGGCTGGGAAACCAAAGCCAACGAACGGCCTGAGCGCAATAACCACTGCTCTGCTTGGAAAAACTCATCAACAACCCAGTGAATTCCTATGGACAAGAGCTTGAGTTAAGAGCAGAATGACACAGTCGTTTCAAACGAGCATCTAGATTTTCCCATAAAGCAAAATAAATTGAAGCAGAAGCAATATGTGCGGTTTTAAGGGCGGAGGTGTGGAACCAGCGGCAGACCTGGAAGATGAGTATATAAGGAGGCAGCAGAGGGACGTTCGGTGAATGACAATGGTAGTGGAAAGCTGGCTTGAAGATAGCGAAAACTCTTTTGGCAAGAAAATTAGTTCAGGAGTGTAACGAATTCGAGGTTTGCGAGGAAAAAGCAGTTTCGCAGAAATTGCATATTGACCCAGCGCCAGAGCTCTCGAAAACTCTGCAATTCACGATACAGGTACACCAAACTCAGCACAGCTGAATCTGGCGGTTACCTAGCCTTTTCTACAAAGTAGTGTGCATCCTTGATTTGTCGACAGCATGAAAATCGCAGGTTTGGTGTTGCTGGCATCGCTAGCTGCCGCAGACGTGCAAGGCTTGTACGAGAAATGGACTAGCAACGATCTGGAGCAGTATCTGCACGACCAGAAACAAACGCTGCAGAAGGCGGGCAGCGAAAACGTGGAAGTGCTCCGCAAACATGCTGCGGACGCGTGGAACAAACAGACGCAGCCCACGCCGTGGTGGAAGTTTTGGGCGTCGCGCACCAGGCTCGCGGATTTCGCCAACAACCAGGATCCCATCTCCGAGTGGTTTTTCGATACCTGGACGGCCAAAGATCTGCGCAAGTTGCTGTCCAAGAGCAAAGTCAAGTACAACTCTGACCTGTCGCGCGACGCGCTGGTGAGCAAGGCCAAGGAAAACTTCCAGAAGATATCCGACTCCAACCAGCTGTCGGGCCTGTATCCCTCGCAGCAGTACTTTGCGAACTGGGACGAGTACGACCTGAAGGCCTGGCTCGACGAGTACCGCATTCCGTACGAAAAGTCCAAGGCCAAGAAGGACGAGCTTCTCGCCAAGGTGCGGGAGAACATCTACGCGGCTTCTCGCTTTGCGGACGACGAGAGGCTCAATCTGTTGGACACCCTGGATTTTGCCGACCAGGAGCTGGTCGACAAGGCGGGCAAGGTTAAGGAGCAGGTGTTCAACTCCTGGTCGACCCGCGAAATTGAAGATTGGTTGCGTAGCCATAAAGTTAAGCTTGAGGACAGCGCTGCCCATGATCGGAAGTATGTTTTGGGCCTTGCCAACAAAAACAAAAAGCTGTTGCAAGACGACGCTGCATGGTACCTCGAGGCTTCGAAAAAGAAGGCATCACCATTTTTCTCCAAGTCCGAGGCTGCCGTGGCCTCTGTGTGGGATCAAACCTTGTACAAATGGCAGAACATCAAGGACTATTTCTACCAAAGTGACAATGTGGTAAACCATACCTTTCTTCTAGGTGTTGAAACCTGGCCCAAAAAACGCCTGCGTGCGTTTTTGGACGCTCGTGGCGTGTCGTATCCCATTTTGAGCACCCGTGCAGACTTATTGGAGCTTGTGAAACAATACCGCAACCGCCCACTAACCAACTTGGCGTCCTCCCCAGCTGTTGCGGAGTTCTTCGACGGATGGTCGTTTGAGAATTTGAAGGGGTGGATCAAAGCCCAGAGCGACGATATCACCTCCACGGATGTTTACAAGGCTGCAAGCAGCAAGGTAAGCGATCTCGCAGCGGAAGCACAAAAGCAAGGAGAAAACGCCTGGCTGTTCGCCCAGAGAAAGGGTGAAGAGGCGGCCGATTATGCTCAGGAAAAAGGCTCTGAAGCTGCCCATGCGGCGGCTGATTATGCCGCTAAGAAAGGAGCGGATGCCAAGACGTACGCTGGAGATGTGAGCGCTGATGCTGCGACCTACGCCAAGGAGAAGGGATCTGATGCAGCTGCGTATGCTCAGGACAAGGGCGCTGATGCCGCTGCTTATGCTCAGGAAAAGGGCGCCGATGCCGCTATATACGCTCAAGAAAAGGGCTCTGACGCTGCAGCCTACGCCGCGGCTTATGCCAAAGAAAAATCCGGGGACGCTGCCGAGTATATTAAGGAAAAAGGCTCCGACGCAATGGACCTTGCTCAGGAAAAGACTGCTGATGCGGCCAGCGCTGTTCGCGAAAAGGGCTCTGAGTTGTACGATGCTGCCAACACTAAAGTTGACGAGTGGACAGCTCTATTCAGCTCTTGGTCCACTGATGACTTGCGTAACTACGCGAAGTCGTTTGGAATAAAAACCGCCCCAACGACTACCCGCGAAAGGTTGGTTGAACAAGCCAAAGAAAACACGCAGTGGTTCTTTGGATATTACCAAGATCCACTATACAAACGCGTACCTAAAAAGATCAGCAAGGCTGTCGCAAACGGTTACCAACACGTTGTACACCATTAACGGTGCGGCTTTTGGTGATCGGTGAGCATTTAATTGTTAGACGATGCCATGATGTTACGACCTAACGACTTCTTCATTTTGATGAGTGCTCTAGTATCCGTCTGTAAACTAAAAGTGAGTTTGACACGAAGCACATTTTTATAACTCATACGTATTGCTATAGTAAGTTAGACAGACTCTTACGTTTGTTAGTTCTGTGCCGGCTGTTTTTAGTTGGTGGTGTCCGATGTTAATTTGAAAAATATCATCCATCTCTCTAAAATCTGCTTCACGCAAAAGAGGTACGAAACGCAACTTCTTCACCAACCTTTCTATACAATGTCTAAATACGCCTGGTACACAAGAGTGACAGACGCTGCTCATCGTTTGACGGTTCTATCTCTCGTAGGCGGAACCATGTACATGGCTGGTGGTTTAGTGTACACCATGTATACCAATGGGACAAAATACGAGCAACAGGTCACCCAAAAGACTTCCGAAACGGAGACTAAAAGCCTTCAGTGATAAGTGGGAAGAGTAAACATAGCTGGTGACCTCAGTCGCGGGGGCCTGTGATGCCTTGTATATAGTATGCCTTTTAAGTAGTCGAATGTATTGTTAATGGACGAATCATGGACTTGACGACACCAACATGAGCACCAAGAGCACTCTCAGGTTGCTCGCCGTTTCACGATGTGCACTTCATTTTCGCCCTTCTTTGCTCGCCTCTTCTTCGTTTTCAACGGCTTACCGCTGTGCGTGAGACCCTTCTGCCTCAATTCGCGCATGCGACTTTCTAAGGTCGATAGCTGGTCGGGCTTAGGGTTGAGAACAATTATGTTTGAGTCGCTGCACTTCACGTTACAGACAGGACAGTCCTGTCGCAGCATGCGCAGAGGTAGAACATGCCCACAATCTGTTACATATGCGAAACTCCCAGAGCTCTTGCCCCATATCTCGTCGCCTACATCGCACCGCAAAGCGGCTTTCCCACCGTCCGGTGCCTCTGGTATCATGTTGTGCAGCTCTACCACGTCTTTCAACGACTTAATGTGGGCAAAGAGTCTAATCTGATCTGCAGTATAGTCTTCTCTGTCGGGTGTCAAAAGCCACTCCAAAACCGATTCCTTATTGAAAATATTTCCCTGGTAGTCGCTCACGAGTGGTAGCTGCAGTGGCAGGCTGGTCAGCCTGCAAACGCTCCACTTAGATGCCGTGTCGAATCTTTGAGACTCAGAGTTTTGTAATTTGTCGTGAGAATCTGCCTTGGCTATCTGCAACGCCTTGACTCTGGAAATTGACCCACCGTCATTCTGCACTCTGTGTTAATAGACATTCGATCTAGAGACGTACCCTGCTTCTTCTTTACTTACTCCCATCCTCGGCTTTTCCACACTGTCACCACGAATTCGGTCGACTTTTCACAGGAAATTGATGAGATGAGCTACCTATAAACTCAACATATCACTATTAGAGAACCACTAACATTGCTTGCAGTCTCCCCAACGAGCCCCCAAGAGATCAATTACAATGTCTAGCTACGAGGATAGAGACAAGTGGTAAGTAATAGAATCTGCTTTCCTTCTTAGCGGCCTCATACTAACTTTTTTTACTAATGGTTTAGCCACTTCTACTACAAGATAGGTGCCTGTCGACATGGCGATCGCTGCTCCAAAAAACACATACGTCCTGCTATCTCCGCGACCATCATAGTGCCCAACATGTATCGTAAGACTGACGCAGACAATCCTCAAATGGTACAGGAAAACTTTGATGCCTTTTACGAAGACGTCTTTACAGAGGCAGCTCGCTTTGGAGAGCTCCAGGCGGTGGTGGTTTGCGAGAACAAAAACGACCATTTGAGTGGTAACGTGTATTTCAAATTCGCAAGCCCTCGGGACGCCCACGCAGCCAAAGATAGTTTCAACACCCGGTGGTACAACGAGAGACCGGTGTACTGCGAATTTTCGCACGTCACAGACTTCCGAGATGCTGTATGTCGGAAGCACGATGCGAATACGTGCGAGCGGGGTGACGAATGCAATTTCATGCACCTGAGACGACCCACCTCGAAGCTATTGGTAGAGTTGGAAAAGGCACAATGGCGTCAAAACCACGTCCAGTAAAGGACAAAAGCGACGCGGAACAACTCGACTGCCCAATGATACTCTACTAGGGCCCGGGCAGACCTTGAGCGAGCTCAGTGCTGTCCTTTGACATCTCATCGATCTTCGAGCTCATCGCGGATCACTATACACGTAGCTCGCTCTACTAAATTATATCAAGATCCTACTGCACTGTCTTCGGTGGCAAACCCTTTCGATGAGTAGACCATCAAAACTCGTGGCAGAATCAGAGTTGGAGCCGTGTTCTTGGCGCTTTCCTTATCACTAGTGAACTACCGGACCTCAATTACCTATCATGACAGACAGATACTCGTTTTCGCTGACGACGTTTTCACCAAGGTACGTTTTTTGTTGATTGGGCAAGATTACGGGCACCATTGGCGGGAGGTGTAGCCTCAGGGGCTTTTGTTTGATTTGCGAATGTCATGCGACCCTTGGGGGCCCTTTTCTTGTGCCTGAGTCTTTCGTCCTTCGCCGCAACTAGTTACTAACAACCACTTTTTCATATAGCGGTAAACTGGGCCAAATAGACTACGCTTTAGCGGCTGTCAAACAAGGTGTTACTTCTCTGGGGATTAGAGCCACTAATGGTGTGATTATCGCGACCGAGAAGAAGGCTACCTCCTCTCTGGCATTGTCGGATAGTCTCTCGAAAATAGCACACATCACCCCGGACATCGGAGCAGCGTACTCGGGTATGGGCCCTGATTTCAGAGTGCTGATTGACAAGTCCCGTAAAGTGGCGCATACACATTACCATCGTATTTATAACGAGTACCCTCCCACTAAAATTTTGGTGTCAGAAGTGGCCAAGATTATGCAAGAGGCAACACAGTCAGGCGGGGTCAGACCGTTCGGCGTTTCACTTCTAGTAGCAGGTCATGACGAACATAATGGTTTTGCTTTGTACCAGGTGGATCCTTCCGGCTCCTACTTCCCCTGGAAAGCCACCGCAATTGGGAAAGGTTCAACAGCTGCCAAGACCTTTTTGGAGAAAAGGTGGAACGATGAGCTGGAACTAGAAGATGCCATTCACATTGCCCTCCTGACTTTAAAAGAGTCGGTAGAAGGTGAGTTCAATGGGGACACTATAGAGATTGCCGTTATCGGCGAAGAAAATCAGCAGCTACTAGGTTTCACAGGGGATTCTTCTGTAAAGGGACCAAGATTCCGCAAACTGTCAGCACAAGAAATCAATGATAGGCTAGAGGCTCTATAATGTAAGTATGAACTCTCAATAAAAAATCAGTTTCCAACATTTACTATATATAAGTGTAAATATGAGAGAAGCCAAAGCAGCGCGGTCGCTCGTCGGCCTCATGCAAAAAATAAACAGTGGGTACAAAGTAGCTTTCACCCGGACCTAATTTTCTCTTCACCTGAATGGCGCTTTGAGAGGGTCTATTACAGTTCCTGGCTTGGTCAATATTCTTGGCTTGATCATACGTTGATGAGAAGAGCGAGAAGTCCACTCCTGGCCCAGTGGCATTCGTAGTGATCTCTCGTACTGTTCCTTGTTTTCGAAAGGAAAGGGTACTGCTGAAGACTGATATTTGAGATTTTTCTTGTTAACCTTCTCATTGATAATCACATTTTTCAAATTTTTGTCTCTACGTTTGTCTTTTTCGACAGTACCCTTGACCTTCTTGAATTTCCGCTTCTTCGTTGGAGCAGCACCGGCACCTGCCCAGTCACCCCACCCTGGAAGTGTGACATCTTCAACTTTGTCATCCTCATCAATGGCAACGCGCTTTTTCTCTTGTGTAAACTTGTCCTCCACATCGTCACCAGCAAATGCTTCTGCTATGACATCTTGTTGCTTGAACATAAAACCGTCAATGTCTTCATCCCCTTGGGAGTATGGGTCAACAAGCTGCATTTTGTTAGCGGTATCGACGTCCAACAAAGGATCGCCAACACTGGCAGCTTTCCCCAAAGTTTTACTGTCTTGTTTGGCTCTCTCTTTAGCAATTTTGTTGGCACTCTTCGTAAGTTTGGAGCTATTCTCATCTACAACTTTGACTTTAGTTGACTTTTTCGTCCGCTGCTCATCGTCGCTGTTATCGAGCCAAGGATTGCTTTCCTCAAGATCATCGGAGTCACTTGGTTTTTTACCAGAGTCCGTTTGATCCTTCTTTTTCTTCAGTTTACTCGTGCGCTTACCTTTTTTCATTCTCTCGGATAAGGAATTGGCGTTGTCCTCCTCCAACTCTTGCTTCATATTTTCATCCGAATCTTTCACTTCTGACTTATTGTCCTCGACTCCAGGTGCGTATATTCTTCTTCCAGCATTCAAAGTGACGTTCACACCATTAGTTTCAGTGTCATTCAAAGAAAGATCCTCACCTGGTTCTAATGCCCTCAAATGAGCTATGGCCTGCTTGTTTTCTTCTGCACGCCGTGATTCAGCGTTTTTCATAAAAGCCATATTCAAAATTCCAGTCTTACCTAGTTTGTCACGCATTTGTGACTCATCCTCATTGGGTTGGAATTTAGAGTCATCTTCAATGTCGCTAACGGCACTATCACTCTCACTTCCGGACTGATGGCCCACAATTTTCGCACGTAAACGCTCTCCTTGTCTTAACATTTCTTCCATTTCTTCTCTAGTCTGCTTGTCTTTGGTCATACCGTGTTTAACCATGTCCTTAGCCCATTTCGAACTGGTCTTATGCTTCAATGACATGCGTTCACGAGCTCTTGCGGCATCATGATCCTCGGTGTTCTCATCTTCCGACTCTTCGAGCAATTCTTTGTTTTTTAGCATCTCCTTCTTCTTTATGCGGCGGTAGGCCTTCGACTTAATTTTCTTAATCCTCTTCGCCTTTCTTTCTTCTCGGAACATGAGTTCACGCATGAGTCGAAGCTCTGCCGTCCTTTTGCGCATCTCATCAGGGGACATCTTAGCCGTAGCGATTTCTTCAAATGTTGATTCCTTTTGTACGTTTCCCAAATTACTACTTTCGAGTAGAGACTCAACTTTCTTTTCAAGCTCCGTACCTACCGCCTTTTCAGATGGAGTGAACATTGATCCTTCATTGTGTTGTACCTGGGGGTTCAGAGGAAACGAAAGGTGTTCGGCTTGCCTATTTTGTTGAACAACATCTCTCCATTTGTTTACCTCATCTTTCGATATCTCATAAGCGGCGCGGCGATCGTGTCTTTGTTGAATTCGCTGAGGTAGGGGTACATTGAGTGTTTGTGTTTTACTTTTGATCAATCCCGCTTTGTCAACTGCTTCTTTGTCGTCGATAGCAGCCACCATGTCCGCTAAGTTCAGCTTTTGACCGGTGCTTCCAGCTGAAGGAAGAGCAAACTCATTTTCTTCGCCCACGGCCGCATTGTTGAGCTTGCGGTATTGGGCTTTTTCGGTATCCTTGCGTAGCTTAGCGGTGACGTTGCTGAGCTCGACGTCTTCGTCATCATCGGAAACTTCATCAAAAGGATCTTCTTCATCTTCTTCATCCTCTTCTTCGTCCTCACTCTCGCTAGCCTCTTCGCTAGAAGCGTCGACTCCCATGTCGTCTTCATGGTCGTTGTCATCCAACTTTAGCGAATCATGCGGAGCGCCATCTTTGTCTTTGGTGTCAAGATCCCAAACAGCTGACAAAGGCATCAATTCATCTTCGTCAATCGATGTGTAGCCCTCGTCTTCGCTGTCTGAATGACTTTTCCCTAGCTTCTTTCGGTCTCTGAGGGTTTGGGAAAATTTTGAATTCAAAACGTCCAGTTCATCTCCAGAGCCCAGAGCCTCATCCGAATCAATTTCATCGTCTTGAAATTCTTCTTCTTCGTCGTCAGAGCTCTTTCTATGAGGGTTTACGACAGTCCCGTTGCGACGAAGATCTTGCGAAAAGCCGTGTTCCTGATCACCAGAGCTGTCTATTTCCCGTTGGGCGATTTCCAAAGCATTTTGCGCCCTTCTTCCCGAAGGCTTCGATTTAAATTTGCGACCCATCACAACGCCTGCTTTTTGGATGCCTATCTTACTTGCTCTTTACCACCGGTTAGCTAGCTCATCGCACCTCATCAGCCTAAAATTTTCAACCAGCTGGAACCTAGCTGGTGGAGTCACTCCATACGCAGTGCTGAACAACTCGGTTCTCGTGGCTTTCAATCGGCTAAGATAGAGAGTGGCAAGCTTGATCAGGCAGACGTGGGCTTGCCAGCTTGCGCTTGTGCATTTTGTTCGTGAAGCTTGATAGCCGCTTGACGGATGTGGCCCTCAATTGCCAACGCAGACTGACTTTTTTCTTTGATGATATTCTGGATCTGTACAGATTCCTGATTCAACTTGGCGATCTTCTTGTCATAGAACTCGATAGCATCTTTGGCACTCTTTTCAACATAGTAGCCTGTACCCACGTCGACCGTGAACTTTTGCGCATCTTTGACACGGCCCTTCACGTAAAGTGAAGCTGACAAGGGCACCAGAATTTCTTGCTTTTGATCCTCCAGTTTAGAGACGGATTCTATGTCCTCCTTGCACTCTCTGAACTTGTTTCTGGCAACGTTTAGAGCTTGTAGCGACTGTGAAAAGTGTTGTAATTCCTGATCAAATTGTTGTTTGACCATGGTTAATTGTTCAGGGTTCAACTTTGTGAGGTCAACTGTGATGGGAGTTAGTTAACTATTCCTTTACATGCATCGTTTACAGTTTTACACATACTCTTCTGGGCGGACATTGTGACAATTGTTTGCTTGGTTCAAGTTTTCTTATTGTGGTGGTTAGCAGTGAAAAGTTGTAGATTCTATAATGTTGTATAAAATAATATCTAATATAGTGACAACCAAGGGTAGGAACCGATGAGCGGAAACCCAGCTTCTTTTAAGAGCATTCTCGCGGGCGTTCAAAGACTTCGGGAAGCGCACGGTGCTGATGAAAATCGGTCCGGCGTCCCAAAGGCTCCAACACTATCAAGGGAACCCGCACAACAAAAGTCACCTCAGCAACATGGGCCACCAATTACCAGTAAGGAACCGGTAATAAACGCTTTCAACCAGCAAAAAGATGAGGTTGGAAACGGGCAGGAGCTAACGCATTTGGAAGATCGCAAACGAAAATGGGGCAACCAGTTTGGTGGAACTCCCACGGGCTCAACACAGGGTAAAACGGTACTGGTGAGCGCCTCACAACGGGGCAATCCGTTACTTGGGAGTTTAACAAATACCAGCTGGCGATACGTGTCTCCTTCAGGCGGTAACAAAGTGTACTACGATTACTGTATACATGGCCGCAACGTGGTATTTCTTTCGTTGAAATATCACAAACTGCATCCTGAGTATATCTCGAAAAAAATCCAACCTCTCGTTAAGAACAGCAACAACGTCCTTATTTGTGTGGTTGACGTAGATAACTCGGAAAACATCTTAAAAGATCTTAATAAAGCTTGCATGTTTAACGGCTTTGCACTATTGCTAGCATTCAACTTCGAACAAGCTGCGAAATACATCATGTTCATGAACAGATAGCAGATCGTCTTGGTCACTCAGCGACCACATCGGTGCCATGTTTGTTTCCGTTTTTCGTCATTTTGGCGCTTTTAGCGCCGAATTGAATGGCTCTCTTTGGCTCTTCACTGATGGAGGACATGAACAGCCTTTCCTGTGCTAGTTTCCTCAAAATCATCTTGTTGACTTTATAAGTGATTGGCAATCCAGTGGAAAACTCAACGACTGCTTCATCCAGAAAAGGATACCGAACCTCCACCCCATTGGACGCCACAACTTTATCGTCTCGGCTCAAATTTCTGTCGTGGATGTTATTTATTTGTCTCTCTAATTCCCCGACAAGCTCTTGTTTTGACTTATTGGCAAATTTGTGATATCCACCATACAATTCATCGGCCCCCAACCCACTGAAAAGTACCACCCCGTTTCTATTGTACGAAATTCTGGCCCCAGAATCGTCTTTAATAAATCCCCGACCTCTCGCGGCAAAATAGAATGCAGCTGCTATCGATAGGTCCATTTCGGTTTGCTTGGGATAAATCAAGTTCATTATACTGCCCTTATGGTCAAGAAAGTCTTGGAAGCTTACGTCAACCTCAAGGAATCGGATAGTCACTTCCGGGAAAAGTTTCTTCAAAGTAAGATAGCTTTTGAGCCCGAGGATTCTATCAGGAACGTCGCCTGGCATTAATCCCGTTCTGGGGTTTTCAAATCCGACGTTTAGCAACTCAAGAATTGTGTTCTGATTGGAGTTTTTTATATATTGACACACCAAAGCAGCGATGACCGAGCAATCCAATCCGCCCGAAAACAGTACTGATACAGGACTGTTCTCGATATGCAGCGGATGTATTGTGTCGATTCTTCTCTGGACGGCTTCTTTGAGAAGATCGTAGAGCTGGCTCACGTAATCATCCAACCCCACGAGTTCCCTGTCTTCCTCATTCGAGACTCTGAATGCATCTGGCCTGATTTTCAGGTCGGCCCTTACCTCATTCTGGGCAACGTCATAGACATAGATTACTCCAGCGACACAATTTTCGAACCCCTCAATCTTTCCTGTTACACTAGCAATACTGCATTCCTTATCCTTAGGATCCCATCGATAACTCAAACTTCTTTTCCCGATTGCATCTCTGCCGAAAAACACTTGTCGCATGTGCTTGTCGTAGATCGTGTAAGCAAACTCTCCATCCAGCGACCTAAGTACAGCAGGAACATCTTCACAGATGGTTAGCTGATCAACAATCCACTGTGTATCGTTATTTTTAATCGACTTATTGTAACACTCGCCATTATATTGTAAGACAAACCTGGTTCCAACGGAAATGCTCTGTTTCGTCAGCGGCTCTCTCAGAGACAGCACTGACGAAAACCAGCAAATATGATCTTCTTTAGAGTATTTCAAGGACGCATAGTTTGGTCCTCTATCAGCTATAAGTGGCAGTAATGACCCTTCATTACCCAATATTTTCCCAGCAATGATGTCAGGCCCATGGCCACTAGCTAGTTCGTCAAACTCAAAAAAAAGATCATCATTGTTATCAGACGTATTCCCACTATATTGTAGAAATATACCACACATAACTCTTCAATATCTGGCTGGCTGGCTCCACCTCTTTTTTACATCTTAAGCGACGCCCTCTAAACTGCAGGCATATATTGAATTTTTGACCGACACTAAGATGGAATGAGTCGTGTGTAGACGAAAGAAAAGTGATGATGGGAGAGCAACGACAGGCCATGAAGGACACACCAACCACATCACCAAGCTCATATTGTGACTACAGTAACTACTCGAGCGGCTTTCCGGCACACAACGAAGAAGAGGAGGCGGTTTACGACTTCCAAGCATTTGTGACCCAATTAAAGGACCCAAGGGCGGATCCAATTTTGAGGTATACAAGGTCGTTTTTGACCAATTTCACTACCAAGCGTGATCTTTGGACGTGTGATGAGCAACGAAAGCTAGTGGACGATTTCAAAGTGTTTGCATTCGACAAATTGAGGCTTTACGAGCCTTTTAAGTCATTGGACAGTGGTAGATTGAAAAATGCCCAAGAAGGTATTGAAAAGCTCATTATGGGCAAGCTGTACAATCAGTGCTTCTCGCCCAGTCTAAAGCAGCGTTTCAACGAAAAGCTAGACGAAGGCCACAACCGGGACCTGCTGCAAGATGCGCTATTGGAAGAGAAGCGGGCCGAGTATCGTTTTATTGACCCGGAGTTTCTGGAGTTTCCTCAACCGCTCTCAAACCGCTTGCAAAAATTCTCGCAACTTGCGGGCAAAGAGCTGTCGCGCGTTAATGAGTACAAGGCGCCACGAGATAAAATGGTGTGCATATTAAACGCTTGCAGGGTTCTTTTCGGATTTTTGAAACATTCTGGTCTAGCAAATGGGGGTGCCGATGAGTTCGTGCCTGTGTTGGTGTATACGCTGCTTAAGAGTGACGTAAAGAATTTGGTTTCGAATCTCAACTACATTGAACGATTCCGGTTTGCTGAGTTTCTACAAGGCGAGAGCTCGTACTATCTGAGTAGTGTCCAAGGTGCTTCTAATTTTGTAGCCACCCTTGGGCGCGAATCTCTTCAAATAACGGACCCGGCCGGTTTTGAAGCCCGATACCGAGAAAATCAAGAAGCATTGGAAGTGGAAAGGGCTCGCATTGGGACCTCCAATCCCACGCCCGAGATCAAAACCGATGCAGCGGATACCCCAGCTCGTACGACCTCCCCGGGCTCCGTTCCTTCTGAATACATCCGACGCCCGCTTGATGAGGCCACGTCTGCTATTATTTCCAAATTCTCCGAGCTGTTCGCATCTAATGGACCCACAGCCGACATGCCACAACAGATTCAAGACACAAGTGCTGCTGCTGACGAAGATGCTGAGTCGACTCGTCTTGTACAAGAATTACAAAACCAGGAAAACAAACGAGTTTTGCGTGAACTGCATTCAATGTTTCCCGACATGGATGAAGAATTGATTTTCGACGTATGTGAAGCAAAGAAATACAGAATAGGCGTTTGCGTTGATACTTTACTGACGCTGTCGTCGTGAACTTCCAACCACTACCCAAACTGCACATCGATTAGCTTGCCTCTCGTACGTCAAACTGTCATCGAGAGTGTCCTTTTCTACGGAAAAGATTTAGCTTACCAAGAATATATGGCATGGAAATTCCATTAGATCAAGCCAGCCTGTCCCTGCACAGCTCTGCTAAACGAAGCCGATTATAAAAGCTGACTGGTGTGTGCATTTCAAGTCCATTGTAATTTGCCGATCCTTAGCTAACAACGGCATTATCAGCGAGTTTTGTAAGATAAATGAAATCAGAATACCTAGCTGCCGCTGGGCTTGCGGGCGGCCGAGTTCTCGCTAACTCAGAGATACCACAGCCTGAGATGCAAGAAATCACAAACTTTTGTAAGATGGACAAGGACTCACTGGTAGGATCGAGCTGTGATGTAACGTTTAAAGAAATTAATGATATCAACCACAAGATACGGCCTGACCTGCTTTCTTTAGTTCACAGCGATTTCTTCAAGTACTTCAAACTGGACTTGTACAAAGAATGTCCATTTTGGAATGACAATAATGGATACTGTGTGAATCGCGCATGTGCTGTTGACGTTGTTGAGGATTGGGACCAGCTGCCTGCGTACTGGCAACCGGAGGTTTTGGGTAGCCTGACGAACGAAAGTTTAAGCGCCGATCAAGCGCGCGACGACGAATGTTCATTTCTGGATCAATTGTGTGATAATTCCCGAGCTAAACTAAGTCGGCAAGGCCCTGACATTGAGTACTGCGACATCGAAGATTTCCATAACGATCAGTCAGTGCTAGTGGACCTCACTGCCAACCCAGAACGTTTTACTGGATATGGTGGTGAGCAGTCCTCTCAGATTTGGTCGAGTATCTACCGCGAAAATTGCTTTACATTGAACGAAACTGGTCAATGCCTAGCCAAAGATGCCTTCTACAGATTGGTGTCAGGATTGCATGCTTCTATTGGAACTCATCTTTCAAACGACCATTTGAATACAGAGACTGCAAAATGGGGCCCTAACCTGGAACTTTTCATGGCTCGTGTGGGAAACTTCCCGGAGCGCGTTGCTAATATATACTTCAACTATGCCGTCGTCGCAAAAGCGCTATGGAAAATTCAGCCTTATTTGTCACATTTGGAGTTCTGCAATGCCTACCACGAGGACGTAAAGTCCATGATTACCAGTGTAGTCTCCAACTTGGATTCGAAGATTTTCAACGAGGACGTTTTATTCCACGACGATATCAGCTCAAAGTTAAAGAACGACTTCAGATCAAGATTTAAGAATGTGACAAAGATCATGGATTGTGTTCATTGTGATAGATGCAGACTATGGGGCAAAGTGCAAACGACTGGTTATGCCACAAGTTTAAAGATTCTCTTTGAGATCGATACTGATGATGAAGAAGCCAAGCAAACTGTTGTTGATAAGCTAACAAAATATGAGCTCATCGCATTGTTCAACACTTTTGACAGACTCTCCAAAAGTATAGAGTCTATTAACAATTTCGAGAAAATGTACAACGATAAACTTTTAACCGCTGGAGATAGAATTTTGGCTCTATTCAAAGCTAACAATTTTTTTAGAATCTTAGGGAATGCTGGAAAGAGCATCAGTTCTTCGTTCATCAATAGGTCAAATGATTCGTCGGCACCTAACATCGACGTATTGGAAGGACTGAAAGATATGAATATATCTGAAGCGATTGGCTTGAATGATGAGATGAACGTCTCTGAAGCTATGGGCTTGAATGATGAGAAGAACGTTTCTGAAACAGGTGATGTAAACGAAGTTTCTGATGCTTCAAATATAGAATCCATCCAAGCCCCCGAAACTAAGGCACCTGAGCCCAAGTTCCAGGATGTTAAATTGCCACCACCCAAAAAGGTGCCCACTAAACCTGTTGAGAACGAAAATAGCATAAGCAAGGCGTGGCACACCGAGATCGACAATGTGAAATCTGCCCTTGTGTTTATTTTCAAAAGCTACTTCGGTCTACCAAGGAATTTGGCAAGAATGGCTTTGTACAAGTTAAACAGCTTGTGGAATTCTTTTGTGGGGGTGCCAAGCTACGTCAACGACCAAGACCACAGTCCCGCAACGTATCAGTTGACTATTCAGTGAGGGTCTACTTACGGCTTATTTTGAAGAGTTTTATACGCCCAGGTTCATAATCCTATTTAGTCAAGCACGATGCCCTCAAACTGGAAGTGCTGCGATGTAAGTCTTTCGCCCCGCGAAATGTAGATGGGCCAATTGTGAGAAACGAGAATTCTATTTCGGCTAGTGCATTTTTTGGAAACGCTTTAAATATTGTCAGTACGCCGTTTGTCTAGCTCACGACAAGGTTTCAACGTGAGTTACTTGAGTCACTTAAATAACGCCGCCCACTTTAAAATGCCTCCGTCCTGTTCGTCAGCACCGAACGATCTCAAGTTTCTTGGTTCTTCTTCTTAGTTTTTCTCTTTTTCCGCCCTGTTTCCTTCTTCTCGATGCGTTCAGCCACTTTCTCTGTTTCCTGATCCTGGTCATCTTCTACATCTTCATCACCCTCGTCATCATTAAACTCGCCCATATCTCGAGCACGCTTTACCGTTTTGCCCTCAGACGAATTAAACAGTTTTTTGGCGTCCGTTATAATTTTACTGAGTTTGATCAATTCCTCCGCTCTGCCGAGCTTCACTTCGTCTTTACGCAGAGCAAACTTGAAGTCTTCCACTTTAATTTTGTTCCTGTGTACTGTTTGCGCTGTTCTATATGCTGACATACAGATATCTACCAGATATCCCGACACCAGCTCGTCCAGGCATTGTACAGATTCCGGTAGTGGTTGAGCCACGTCACCATATGCATACATCAAGGCAGCCACATCCTTGCTGAATAAATGCGTTTTCTTAAGCCTTCTTGACATTTTGAAGGCTTGTTGTTGTCTGACCGATAACTTTGAAGACCAAGACAGCTTAAAGATTTAATATATGCATGTCATCTTTAATAACAAATTATCTATCGATGAGCTAAAATTTTGATAGAGGGACCATACAAAATTATAAGTATCTGTCAAACTTTGCCTGTGAGAAGGCTTCTCTTCTGTGACTCTGGACTTCTGAGGCTTCATGAAAGCGCAGAAGGTAGATAAACCCAAGGATCAACGCCGAGCCAAAACCTTCACAGGGTGTTGGACTTGTCGAGCCCGAAAAATCAAATGCGATCTCAGGAAACCAACGTGTTTGAGATGTGAGAAATCAGGGTTCGAGTGTGGGGGATACGATATAAAGCTGCAATGGTCTCAGCCAATTCAATTTAATCGCTTTGGTCAGGTTGCTCCTGTTTCGCACACCTCGACAGGTAGCTCATCGGATGAACCTTCTTCGCAAAGACGAGACATCGCATTTGTCAAGTACAAAGAGGAATACGAATACTATGAGGATATGGATGATGAGCTTTCTTCCTTGCACTCGCCACCCTTGGATCGGATAGCTGACAATAAGACGTGGATGATAAAGAAATTCGCAGTGTTTCGGGGTACAGACAAAAGCAAGATCCAACATGTACCTCGGCGCAAGCGGCGTAAGCTTGTCCACTCTGTCAGTCAGGCAGGATCCAGTCCGGCCTCCCAGGGTAAAAGCCGGCAACGTAGTGTGTCTTCATTAGCGGAATCACGCACAGATGGTGTAAATGTGCCGCGAAGGGATTCTGCGAAACTTGATACTCATAATAACACGGATCTACCCAGTGCATCAAGCGTTGCCGAACTTTTTAACTTCGACTTTTCGTCCATCAATTTCAAGGGCCACGAATGGATTTCGAACGAGCTGCGAGACGACGCGCTGCTTTCCGCATTTGCAATCCAAAAATTGAATTCAAACACCCCGGTCGGTACACCACGGGAAACTTCTAAGACTCTCATAACAGATGAGTCGCTCAGGCCGAGCCTGGCCGACCAGGCTGAGCAGTTTCAACTCTGTAGTTCCAACGACAACGAGGATCTTTCTCAAATTTACAGAATTCTATTTCATCGAAACGATGACCGACCGCGCTCGAAGGCGCAGTCTTCTGTCTCGAAATTGATAGAGTCAACTTCCAGGCCCTCCGTGGTGCCACTTGAAAATATGATACTCATAGATTCGTCAAGCGCAGAGGGCCACATGCCCAAGGAAGTGCTAGAAGTGGTCAATTCTGCAATCCCTGAACCCTCCATTTTCAATTTGCCCGGTAACGATAATTTGCTTCTCAACTTGCCAACAACAGGTCTGACAGTCAAAGGCTTGACCCGATTTCTTTTGAATTACTATTTGAAAAATGTGGTTGATCTCATGACTGTCGTAGCGCTTCCGACCAACCCATGGCGAACCATATATTTTCCGCGTGCCTTGCAGGCTATTGGGGATCTTGCAGGAATAGGTTACACGTCCAACTCAAGAAATTCGTTGTTAAACGCGATTTTAGCAATTTCATGCTTCAACCTGCAAAGCAAATTTCCAAAGAATTCGCCCGCCATGAAATATTATCTTCAACTAGGTATTGAACTTCGCGGACAGGCATCTTCTTTCCTCAAGTGCTGTCTCGAGTCGGGTACAAAACAAGAGAGATACAAAGATATCGTTACCGCAATTTTATCGATGAACTCCATAGATGTGGTTTGGGGCACAATGGCAGACTGTCAGTATCATCTGGGCTTATGCGAGGATTTAATAGAGGAGCGCATGAAGTCAAGGCCAAAAATATCGGAGAAAGCGAGATCTTTGCACCGCATATTTTCCTTCTTGAAGTTGATACAAGATAGCACAGCACTGGACAAGGTGACGGAGAAAGAAATTGTTGTGTTGGCCCCTGCGCCGAACGGAGACCAAACTCATCTATTCTCAGAGATGCAAGAACAACCTGATGGTGCAGAGAATTTTGGGAGCCCTCGCGAAGGTGAATTTAAAGAATCGCTAGACAAGGATAACGGTAAGATTCGCATAGAATATGTTAGGCAATCGAATTTTGGCGCCAGTACTCCAATCTTCTCGAATATTGCTAGCCAGTCATATAGCCACGCGAAGAATACCAAGAGAAGCAGCAATTTTTTAAGCACGGATGCGTTGTATGGCCTTCCGAATTCACTAATACTGCTGTTTTCAGATTGCGTGCGACTGGCCAGGCATCGTGAGTTCTATCGCATGAAGTCAATAGAAGTGCCTTCAAGCTTCATTAAGCTTTGTGCTGCCTTTGAGGTGAAATTGTTTAATTGGAAGTCAGAATGGGAGTTTTTCGAACCTTACACAGAGAAATTTGTCAATGACACCGTCGAAGGCGTGTACCATCACTCTATGAGTTTTTACCACAGTTTGATCATATACTACCAAACAATGGTCCGATCCACAAATCATGAGGAAGTTCAGGTTAACGTACTCGAGGTGCTGGTCCACCTCAACACACTCACAGATCTAATCCAGCACAAAGGCATAAAAATCGTCCCACTTATCTGGCAGGGCTTCATGGCCGGATGCGCCGCGATAAGCACTAATTTACAGATACAGTTCAAGGAATGGGCTGCCAAGCATGCTCGTTCGGGGATCGGCTCCTACTGGGGTGCAAGACAAATAATGTTTGAAGTCTGGAGGCGTCGACTGAACGGGGAAAATTGTGACAATTGGTTTGATGTTTACAAGGATTGGGAAATGAATTTGATGTTGTCATAAATCAGCTTCTGCGGGACATTCCTAATAGGTCACGGAGGGCATCACTACTCATGTTCTAGGTGACAGATGCTCGAATGTACAGTTGATTGCTGAATCCTTTGGGTCACGGTCATTGACACTACCAGCACGTGAGTATTGCGTGTGCTCCCAAAGCGGTAATTGCCGAGCTCTTGTCCCCCAGGCAAGCAACGTGAACAATCGAACGGTTAAGGGCTAACGAATATATAAACTGGTGACGAGCTGATCACATCCATTGGCTCTGTATCAGTCTTGATCCTCTTTATAATAATCAAAACTAAGCAATTACATCTTATTACAAACAAAATATTGAGTTATGAGCTCCCAATTGACCGTTGGAATTGTTGGAACCGGTCTTTTCGCAAAAGGATCGCATCTTCCTGCTTATCAGGCCATGTCTGATAAGTTTAAACCTGCTGCAGCCTTCAACAGGACCAAGAGCAAAGCTGAAGCTTTTGCCGAGGATGCCGGTATCCCTAAGGACAAAGTATACGATAATCTAGACGAGATTTTGGCTGATGACTCTATTGACTTCATTGACGCTTTGCTGCCGGTACAGTTCAATGCCCAAACAGTTGAAAAGTGTGTGGCAGCCAACAAACCAGTAATTTTGGAAAAGCCAATCTCTGCCACAATTGCAGGGGCCAGGGAGCTGGTAAAAATTGCCGAATCAACAGATGTGCCCGTGGCCATCGCAGAAAACTGGCTGTACTTGAACTCGGCAATCGAACTCAAGAAACATCTAGCAGACATTGGGCCGGTGACAGCTTTCACTTACAATTCGACCGGACCCTTTATAACGAATAACAAATACTTGGCCACTACCTGGAGGCAGAAGCCAGAACATATTGGAGGCTTTTTGTCTGATGGTGGAGTTCATCAACTTGCGCTTTTGACTGAGGTTTTGGGTGAGATAGGATCTGTAAGTGCGCTCACAAAACAAGTACGCAAAGAGTCGGGCACTGATGACGTCGTATTTTCCACAGTTAAGATGAAAGAGGACGATGTAATTGGTACCTTTACTTACGGCTCTGCATTTGGATCTTGTGAGAAGTGGACATACTTCAAATTGTATGGTTTGAATGGTTCTGTAACTCTAAATCTCTCTGACAAGAAAAAGCCATCCATCACCAAAATCGTGGGTGATTCTGCTGAGACCTCTGGAGAACCCCAAACGATTCCTATCGGTGAACTAGACTCCTTCGGAGTTAATGAGGAGTTCTTGAATTTTTACGAGGCAGTAGTGAAGAAAGACAAGACCCTCATTAAGGGAACTCCAAGAATTGCTTTCCATCACCTTGCGTGTGTCGCAGCGTTCCTTGAATCTTCATCCAAGAAAGGTGACAATGTTACTGTCGAGCAACCATGAATATAATGAAAATACAACTTTTGAGACACATAGATATATAGCCAGCTTTTGTTCACTAATTCGAGCATTGTGATACTTTGTGGCATATTTTCAAATAGGGAAACTCAAGAAGGTCGCCAAATATTCCCACTGCGATCTCTAGGAATGTTTTCGTTATTGTGGGTTCCTTTACGTTGAAAACTTTCGAGGACGTTTTGAAATCACTCGGGTCTTGATAGATTAAAAAAGCCACTTCGCTGTTATGTAGGCAGGGATTGTGGAAAAGCCTTTGGGCAAGGGTTCTTCAGTGAACTTTCAAGTTCTTCAACTGGGGTAAAATTACTCAATTAGGGACTTCAAATACAATAGGGAAATGTTTGTGAGAGTACCTATAGGAATTTGATGCTCTTCTCATTGTGTAGAGTGGAAACTAAACTTTAAGCGACAAGATCATGTATCCCATACAAACATCATTTAGGTTTTCTTTTTCGAGGCCACCCCGTGGGCCTGTGAACTATTGTTATTTCACGCAACCCAAGGCAATTGGTAGCTTGAGCCATCTTCTCTACAAATCTGGGTGTCAAAATAGTCTATACAGACTGAGCTCTAAGAACAAACCCTAGCGTCTGAGGCAAGGAACTGGACCCTCTTCCTAATTGGCCCAAAATTGAAGCGTGCAAGCAAGCGATGGCAGCTTGCCAAAAATTCTTTGGAATAGTTGATAAACAGTGCGGTGAGTACTGTGTGTTAGAACTATCGCGTGGCCATAACTAACAGACTTCCAACAGCGTTCATTTTCATTTAGGTAGACATCATTGAAGTGTCATTATAGTACAAAGCGATAACAACTTCAAGATTCTCGACCACCTATAGACAATGAAACTACACTTATTGAGGCGAATCTGATTCATCAGTAGAAAGCTTACTAAATTTGTCTTGTAAGTCGGACATAGTCATTATAAGATGAGTAACTCCGTGATTATTGTAGGCATTAGAGCTGGTTCAGTTACCTGAACAAAAGCCTGGTATTTATACAATTCTCACTCGGTGACTCTGGTCAACATATTTATTAATCACCAATTCTAGATCATTCTATTGCCCAAGGATTACGGCTTCAATGCCGTACACTACCGATAACTTATCAATGGCCAATCCCATTGGACAATAGTTGTTCTCTTCGGTTTGTCTTAGCTTGTAGCTCTATTTGTATGGCCTCGGTTGTGTACTATCATTCTGTACCACTGTGTCACATATTTACTGACGCTGATTATGCGATTAGACGCACATCACCATCAGTTTATTCACATTATTCCCAACAACAATGTCTACCAAATTTTAAACGAGCTGTTGAGCAACTTGACTACTGCAGGTGCCGACTCCCCCCAATACCAAATGGTTGGAGTTTTATACTGATTGAGAAGATGTTCTGCATGTGTGAGTGCATACCGTGGGCATATCATCTGTAACTTTCATACAGTAGCCAGCACACGATTTCAAAATGCTGCGTGTATCGTAATTAATCCAAGATAGGTGACTTGTCGTGATTGCTAGATAATTTATCATACAACACAGGATAGAAGACTCTGTCTCAAATTTGTGAAGTGCAGTGTAAACACCATCGCAGCCTTCTTACAGTTGATCGCCATACCAGGCCAACGTGAAAGCCCAGACTCATTCAGTCACTTGGAGCTAGAGTGCTAGCAGCATTGTACTCCACTGGTGACGAGGGCTTGCTGTCAAAGGATCTATGATAGACTTTCGCCCTTACTTCAGCCCATATCATTTTGTACAGCTTTGTCATACCATTAGTTTTCTGGCCCGAGGACTCTGACAAATGTTGTAGTTGTAAGTGATCGTCAGGACAGGTAACCAATAGCAGAAGGTTTGATAACGCACCAAGGCTCAGACGTTCGCGAACAATTTTTAAAATAGAGAGTGAACCAGTAGCACAATGCCATTGTTCGGCTAGCGGATTATTTAGACCATATGGCTCCTATCATTCTGCTCGAGAGCCCAACTAGTATTTCATGAACTTATCGGTGCTGCCCAGATTTACAGGCGAAACGTATGCGATAACCGCACGAGTAATTTACGTCACAGGGCTCGCGGTATTTTAAGAGGCTTCCACATTAGTCAAAGACAACAAAGTACTCGTGCACCAGAGGTGTTAGGTCATGTAAACACAGAGGAAAAAGATTGTAGTTGTGAGCAAACAAGCGAGATTCTCTAGTTCCGCTGGACTGGTTATTACTCTTGTTAATTTAAAATCGCACACGCAGTGGGCGTCTACTGCGCGGCCAAGGTTTGATGCGATGATGATGCTGGGTAATGTCTCTCACCACGTTTCACATGGTAGCTAGACAACTAATCCTAAGACTCTCGCTTGTTTACTTGGTCCCTGAGCAATATACAACTTTCTGCATATCGCTGCAGGCAAGACGTGGAATTGTTAGACCGAGCATTAGTAATTGTCCGCATATCAGTTAGTTTTGCCAAGAACGCACAACACCGGAGCATTGGTAACGAGGTCTACAACCCTCGAGGAAGCGGCAAAGTTTACGAAGTTAAGAGCGGGTAGCTTACTTTTGCCCACAATACCGAGGTGCAAACCATAGAAATCATTAGTAACACAAAAGGGCTTAGAGACTCTAGAAGCCAAGAAGCAACCCTTGGATATCACTATAAGAATGAAGACATTTGAGTCAGTGTTGTAGAGTCTAGAGTTTATAATATACTTTTAAAAGAGCATCTAACAACTCGAACAACTCGAACAACATATCTGTCGATATCAATAATGCTAGGTGGAATTAAGAACATGAAGATTGCCTTGGCTCTGGGGCTTGGATTAATGAAAGTCGCCGAAGCCCTGCCCGCATTTCCGGGTCTGTCTTCCTCCGACTGGACGAGCACAGGAAGAGCTCTATACTTCCAAACCAATGAAGACTCTAATGCTATTGTCTCTGTGAAAATCCATGATAACGGCACCTTGTCTGAAGGTCAATTGACCTACACGAACGGTACCGGTGCGAGAGAAATCAGTGCTGCCACAAACCAAACTGCTAGTCCCGATGGTTTGAGCAGTCAAGGGTCGGTTACTGTCGTGGGCAATAGCCTCTTTGCAATCAACTCTGGAGACAACACAGTTTCAATGTTTGCCATCAGCGAAGATGATCCTACAAACATCACTCTAGTTGGTGCGCCTGCCTCCGTTCCCGGCGACTTTCCTGTCACTGTGGCTGCCTCTGAATTGAACAATTTGGTTTGTGTTGGGACCAGCGGCGCCAGATCTGGTGTTTCATGTGCCCCATACGCAGCTAACGTCGGAATTGGTAAGATGGACTTTTTGAGAACTTTTGACCTTGAACAATCTAAAACTCCTGCCGGACCTCTTGATACTGTTTCTCAAGTTCTTTTCTCCGCTGATGAATCAGAGTTGATTGTGACCGTGAAGGGAGATCCAACCTCGAACAAAACCGGCTTTGTTAGCGTCTTTTCAGTGACGGGCGCGTGGTTGACTGAACAACCAAGACTATCTGCCTCTCGTATTGACAGCAAGCTAAATGGTACCGTTGCGCTATTCGGATTTCAACAAATTCCTCACTCTAGCAAGTACTTTTCCACTGACGCTGGCTTTGGTGCTGTCATTTTCTCAGTTGATGCCGCAAGAGAGACTTCTACCCTTCTACACAAACAGGTCATTGCCGACCAGATGGCCACCTGCTGGGCTGCGATTTCACCTGTAACAAAATCAGCCTTCGTCTCTGACCCTCTTGTCAACCACATTGTGGAAATGAGCTTGGATGACGCCTCTATTATTTCTGTGGTTAACTCAACTTCTTCGAATGACGCCTCCGGGTACATTGACTTGGCAGCTGCGGGTGCTTATGTTTATGCTCTATCTCCAGGTGCCACTGAAGGCTCTGGAGCTGAGGTTGCAGTTCTTTCGGTTAGCCCTGGAAAAGAGAAGTCTATCACCCAATCGTTTAACGTGGGTTCATGGGCCGGTACCAGCGCCCAAGGCCTCGCTGTGTTTCCATAAGTATATGACCAATGGACCTCCCTCTTCATCATACCCACCATATTTCGTTCGTCATCACGACAACAACTCAATTTTATACAAAATGACCCACTTGTTAGTCTGAATAATTTGCGGCTCTCTCAAGAGTCTAAAAGGAATATAATAAAACTTCGACGATTTTTCATTTACACGTAGTTTTCCTATCATTGAACGTTCAAGCTGGTATTTTTGCTTAACATGTCACCAAAACACAATTAACGTATGTTTCTGTCTTAGTTTCATCTGTAAACGTTTCCGCGTTGTCCTTGGGTTCATAACGTCTCTCGAGATTATCTGTCTTAAACTTGAACAGGCAGTATCATGCCAATCGGCTAAAATTACACTATCTTATTGCGACACCTGAAGCGAGGAAGTGGCAGTAATTTACAAAGTGTGTTGTCAGTGAATAATGGCCAGATCAGTTTGAAGGCATCACGAAATGAGACCCGTGAGCTCCGGTTCCCCACGAATGATCTAAATATCCATCCAAAGTTTTTCAGATGCACCTCGCACCGTTCTGGGGTCTGGCGAGACATGAACCGCATCGTGCTTAAATCTTGTATAAACACCGACAATTGGATAAACTAGATAGATCAAAAGAAAAGGATTTAGACCGGCCTGTTTCTCCTGTGGTGGAAAGAAGTTCAGTTAATGGTAATGGTAATCAATTGACCTGGAGTGGTCGCATGCTGGTCAATTGGTTAGGGATTGTCAACCACAAATCAGGTTCATGATTGATTTTTTTTTCAGTCGCTTATAAGATTTTAACATTCATTTGGTCTTTAGATGATTTTTACATTATTTTCGTCTAGGCCAACTTTTGGCATTAAATTAGGTAGACATAGTTGATTGAAGCACTGCAAATGCCATTCCAGCTTGAAGAAACCAACGAGAGTTGGCCTTATATGTGGAAAGAAGACACGGGCCCTCTTTGATTAAATCAACAATCAATAGAGCATTCTTGCGTTGCGCGAGTTGAGAGGAGAAGTGTGACGAATTCAGCGCAAATAGTGTGTTTCTTCATTTCCACATCTGGAATGCTTAATCAAAGAGCCCGGTCCTCTACCTGTGTCTATTTCCTCGTTAAATGGTCGTAGCCAATAATTGGGCGAGCAGAATCTGCACAAACCCACTTCGCGAGCCGATTACTCGCTGCTTTCAGATAGAGCGCTGCTTGGTTTTTTACAAAGCACAGAACAGGCTCAAAAATTGCATTAGGAACTGGCCAAATCAAGTCTAATTGCGACGACGACGTCGTGTTGACTTTGATAGGCCCGTTCATGTTCATATCACGTGAATAACTATCGTTTCACTGGTTGCCAAAATCACTGAAGTGGAAGATCCTCAAGCATCTCTAACTTTCCTCGGATGTTGGATAGGCCCCACTTATCTCAGCTATTCCGACCTTCTGGTCAAATTCGGTGAACAATTTACTTTCCGAGGTAGATACTAACAACTTTGTCTAACCGGCGAAATGCGGGCAAGCGTAAACCACACGTAGAACAACTTGTTAAATATCGAGAAAGGCTATTCTATACTGTATGTCACAACTCCGCCGCCACTATGCTCCTTTCAATTCTCAAATGAAACATACCAGGAGAAGCGGCAGAGGGAGCGAGCATGGTTGAACTCTGTGGCTGACTACAGATTGGAGCCGTTTCATAGTGTCCTTACTAGAGTCTACCTCATACAACCTTTGCTAAGAATCCTGGTAATTCTGTGTCACTACCCAAATTCCTACACTGTAATGACAACACTGACGGGATCGAATTGTTTAAAGCTCTCATTCTTCGTTACTCTGAACGGCCTGATTTTTGACTATATTCCAAAGATCTCTATATCCACAGTAGCATCAGTCGTATAACAGCGCCCTTGTTGTTGTAACCACCAAACATTAAACTTTCGTGCGGTGAAAAAAGTGGAGCATACCGCTTCGGTCCGTTCGATCCGTTCGATAGCAATGGTTGGTGCAACGGACTCTTAATTTAAACGTTAGGTTATTAAAATAAAACTAGTATTCTACATATTACATATTTCCTTGTATCATTTGACATTTATCTGGCATCTCTCGGACGCAATGCTTAACCCACAGGTGAAGTGCAGGTGAAAGGTTGGGCCAAGTTGGTCTGGTAAGATTCGATGGCGCCCTCAATAGCCGAATAGGAACATAGACCGCAAGTTGCAAGAGAGGCCAGACACAGCAGAAGAAGGGATAGCTTAACTGCAAAGCGCTTGAAACCACCATGTCCGAGAGCACGCTTCCAACGCGAGACGTTCAAGTAAGAGTCAGCTTTCTCGACCGTTAGTGTCAATGGATCAAAGCGATCGGTCAAACCCGCATCCTGGCGGCACAGCAGGCAAAAGGCGAAGAGGAATGGGAATGTGTAAGAAAAGTTGAAAATGCAGAAGGCACCGATAATACCAACCAGGGCACTAATAGATGGAATGGCAGTACCAAGGATATAAGCGATAGACCAGTAGAGAACCACAAAACCCCCCCATGCGAAGGTACCCTTGCGGGTCATCAGGTTTGGAAATCTAAAGTAAGGAACCATGAAACCCTGGTAGAAAACCTTGATACCGACGTTACCGTAAAGCACAGCAGCGATTAGACCGGTGATAATGTTCAAAACATTACCGGCGTTTTGCAGACCGGTGGAACCGATACCTTGGTTGGCAGTAACATAACTGAATTGACCGTTGTAACCGTAGACGAATAGACCGTAGAAGAGGTAAACAATCATGATGAGTGATTGAGCGCAGATCATACCCTTCCAGAAATCCATGGGTCTTCTCATTTCAGCCATAACCTCACAGAAAATGGTAGCACCACCCCATGCGAAAACCATGTTGTTCATACCGCCAATTTTGTCGCTGATACTTCCTGGGGCAACAGCGTGGTGTTGGATAGGCAAAGGAATCCAGGAGTTGTCTTGGAAGTAAGGCGCGCCCATACCGTATTGCTTGAAAATACCATAGTAAGGGCCACCAACGGCAACACCCACCATGGTGATGATGCAAATGGCGATGTTCATCCACACGGCAGAGTTGGCGATGTGGGCAAACCTACCCAACGATTTGATTTGACCAACGATCATACATAGCAGACCCCAAATCAAAATGTCCACTGTGAAACACAGACCGTCGGTACCTTTGGTGACAATCTGCATCTGCGACACAGCTTGGGCAGTACCAAGCAACAGCACACCACAGTTCAAAATCATCTGGATGAATTGCAAGATAGCAAATGGAAACTTGAACCAAGGGGCCACAGTACGGCCCGCTAGGTCAGAAAAGGTACGGATAGGGTAGTTGTTGGAGTCGACCTTGCAGTAGCAGCGGTTCAGCAACCAACCACCAAACGCAGCGAAGATACCAAACAGAACGTAAAGGACGATACCGGGAGCCCATCCCATCTGAGCAACAGCGTATGGAGCGTTCGAAGGGCCCAGGATATCCGTGGTGATCAAAAAGAAAACCGAGTACGCCTTAGCGATACGCAACGATCTCTGTGCGTCCAGCTTCACCAAAGACAGGTTACTGTGGGGGTCAGCCGTGATCTGCTCCTGCTGCGCAGCGTACAAACCGTCCATGTCGTCAACTCTTTCGTAGTCACGTTGGATGTCGGCGTAGTGCATGTAAGCTTGCAAAGGCAAGTTCTTGTTCGCGCCTTGAAACTCGCTGGTCACCGCTTCCACGCCCGACATGGGTGCGTCCTTTTCTCTTAGACCTTCATCGTCACTGAAATGAAGGCCGGGACTGGCAATAGGAACCAATTTGGTAGCCATTTTTCGATGTGTAGTTTACTTGACTGTTGTGGTTCTACCCAAACACCAATACCTATGTCCCACTTCTCTGGCAGAAGCTCTCTATTATATATGTCTTCCATCCTGCCAACTTGGCCCATCTCCGACTTTGATAGCTTATCTGAAGAAGTAACGACCATTCCGGCCTCGGGCCACAGCTGGTGGAGCCATACGCACAGTTGGCCATCCCATCATCAAGGCACCATCCACTTCGAGCTGTAATGGCCGCGGCGAACGTTCAACATCCGCACAGCTTACGCAGAGCTTTTTTGTTTTTCTTTTTCTGTTTTTTTTCCATTTCCTTTGAGCATTGTGTTAATCGATGATAAGGCGAGCAGTACAAGGCGTGCACCGACAGACTGGAGATGTTGCAGGCCATCGACCAAATTCGCCAAGACAACAACTCGATACATGATTGTGTCTGCGGCATCACAGCAGAAATGAGAAAATTTTTCAGTTTGCCCTTTCAACGGAAGGAGGCAATTGAGGATGAAGAGACGCACTCTAAGGCACATTTGACACACACCACGCAAGCAGTAGGAGAGCTTCACGGGGAGCTAGCTTAGCAAGCGTTTTGATAACGGTCGCTATCATGGGATGACCACAATCGAGAAATGCTTTCTTGGTCGCAATTCGGTGTTGATATTGACGTTGATATCGGTATCAAGCCGAGTGCGGTAGTGGTGGACAAAAGAGATATTTTCTGCCAAGCGTTTGGTCGCTGGTGTTGGTTTCCGGGTTGAGCTGCCGCAGCGCAGCGTAAAAAAAGAAAAACACCAGGCGCACATGTACAACAACCGGAAAATCAAAGTCCTGTGAGCGCGCGCCGAAGCTTCCCCGGCATTTTGGTGCCGGGGCCGGCTTTCAACACAGGTCATCGCGGCCCAGTAACAACGGATTAGCGGGCTCCGCTGCCCAAGCTTCTGAACACAACAGCGGGCCAACGGGCCCTGAGACCGGCTGTCCCTGGCATTCGCAAGCTTCCTGGGCACAAAGTCACACCTGCAGCTTAAGTTGCCGGAGACAGACACAAACGCTTGCTCGCTTGGCACAGATGAGCTTTGCCTCGTGCCACACATGTGACGAGAAAGATGTAATGGCACCTGATGACGACGCGCTGGATCCGGCATAAGAAGTGTCATTTTGCCGTGCTTGGGCGAGGCCAATCCCGACATAGGACGCGAACCCGGGGATTTCCCCCTTTGTTTTCGATAGTGGATTAGTGTTTGATACTTGATAGCGCGGCGCGTTTTACCTTGTGTTGTCGATACCAGATAATGGATGGATGGTTTTTTGACACTTCCCATCGAGCGGCCGCTGCATTGTCGCCTGGATGCCAAGACTCAACCAGCCAAATTGAGTGCCAAGACCACGTCTACAGGCTTTGAGCTTCAAGCCTTGCCCAGTTGCGTCATGCATGGTGGTAGTATCGCGACTTATCGACGTTTACGCCAGATACAGATAACAAGAGACATGTCACGTGACGACGCTCTGCTCCCAACGAGTGTCATTGTCACAGAGGGACTAATGGGCGCTGTTGGATGTGGGTGCAGCCGGCTTTTCCGGCTTTATTCAGGATCTAGCCGGACTCTACGACTCGTCTTGGAGAGCCTGCCACGCACAAGTCAAGATATTCGCATTGTTCAATCGTTACTTACTGCCTATGCATGCGGGGAATAGCTCAATTATAATAGTCGGTTTTGGATATTTACTACACAAGAACTAGCCTTCATTTTATGCTTCGATACCGGAGGTGTCTTGAACTCGCACACTGGGTAGCTTCTTGTGATTAGTTCGTTATTCGGCATACCTGCAGCGAGTTTCTCCAGCGGTTTTGGCTATGCCCTATCACTAGTATTTTTGATGGTGCCTCTAAATTCCGTTTGCTGGATGTGTCCTGTTCCAAAGCCTCCTGGTGCCGATGACTGCAAAAAATTACGAATACTGCCCAAACTATCCACAATCGGCATATTCTAAACGTACATTGCTGCTCACAGCCGGGGCTTCGAATGCCCTGTAAGATACTCAAACCCTAGAGTGAGATCGCGCTTAAGGTCACTCAGATCTTCCAGTCCAACTTGCAGTCTCATTGTAAAACCTTTGTGACCCCAAGTTGTAGCACTTCTATATTCCACAGGGTTTACGGGGGTTATCAGTGATTCGTAACCGCCCCATGAGAAACCTAGCCGAAATATTTTTGTTCCTTCAAGCATGTGTACAAAGCTCTCTTTGGTATATCCATCTTGCAAAACTACGGAAAACACCCCAGAGGAACCTTCGTAGTTTTTTACCCAATGGTCATGCCCGGGACAATCTTTCAAAGCCGGATGAAGTACTTTCAATACTTCAGGTCTCTCCTGCAACCATTTTGCCAGAGCTAATGCCTTCTTTTCAGCTTCCTTTAACCGAAGGTGCAAAGTGCGCAACCCTTTCAGGGCCCCTAAGCAATCTTCTGCGCTAGGAACCATCGAAATTGCGTCGTAGGTTGCCCGGAGTAAAGGAAAACATTCAGCGGTGGCAGATGCCAACCCGATCAGCAGGTCAGAATGGCCGCCAAGATACTTTGTGCCTGATTCAATTGAAACGTCGATTCCATGAGCATGTGCCTTGAAAAATAACGGGGTTGCCCAAGTGTTATCAAGAACTGTTTTCACACCCCGCTTTCGAGCTACTTTGGTAATAGCCGGGATATCCTGCAATTCCATAGTCTGAGAGCCGGGGCTCTCGAGGAAAATGACCGACGTGCTAGATTTTATCAATTTTTCAATATTAGAGCCAATCGACGGATCGTAATACTCGGTAACAACATTAAATTTGGCAAGCAAACCGTCGCACAGCTCTCTGGTAGGTTGATAAACGCTATCAGAAATCAGTATGTGATCACCAGCTCTTACCAGGCTCATCAGCACTAAGGCGATGGAACCAAGCCCTGAAGGCGACAATACAGTCCCCGATGCCCCTGTTAACTGTGTCCAGGCCTTTTCAAGATTTTCAATGGTGGGTGTACCTATTGTTCCGTAAATATACCTTCCTCCATTGTTTTCAAGTTCGTGAACTGTCTTTTGTATGACGGTCGAACCTTTGTATAGTGGCGGATTGACAAATCCATATTGTTCGTCGGTATCACGACCCAACAAGGTTAGTTGTGTAGTTATTCCTAGTGAAGAAATATCCTCACCACCCATCATCAATTACAAGTATCTGAGGATTTAACACTAATGTGTGGAAAAAGCGTTCCCAGGAAGTGTAAGAAAATCATATATCTCGACACTCAATTGGGTCCTCCTTGATAATTGCTAGAACACAGGGTGCAAAAAGAGTCCTTTGAAATTATATCACAAATGTCACTTCTGCTTGGCAATTCCCTCCTATCTCTTATCGTAGATTGATTGCGAAACCTCAGTAACTCAAAGTTCCTGCTGGAATCACATGATCTAGCTTGATTCAAACACACTCGCCATAGCCTTCTTTGCTCAATTCCACAATAATAATAATATTAACATCTCCTTGCCCTAGGACCGGCGTTACAAGAGAGAGTTAACCTCGAGAGTAGTTATGTTGATGAAACTTTCGTTCAATTGAGAAACGTTGTGAATGATTTTCTGAATACTTGAAATCAAATCTGAAGCTTACAAGGCCACTTCTGGTTGTCTCTCCATTATTATTCGGGCCATAATTCTGGTTCATATTTGTAACATATAACCGGCCCATACAATATTCTGATGCGAATAATCTGAATGCAGTGAAGGCTGGATAATCCAAAATATTTACCCAACAGATGGATGATTGAGTAACTGGCTTGTTGAATAACTGGCTTCACTGACTGGTGCAGTTCTATATGATCACTGCTCTTCTGGATCCCGTTGGTTGATTGTTCAACTTGTACTTATTTTACTGGACTCGCTAATATCATTGTGTATTATATTAACACTAAGTCGATGATTGTCATATGAAGATAGAAAACCTCAAGATGTCAGGATAATGTCATAGTCGATTTTAGTGTGTATCAAGTACGATTGAGCTTTAACTACATGGAGCTCAAGTATAAGTAGAACTAATCGAAACTACCGAATAATTGCTAGGTAGTCATAGAAAGAGGGGGAACTAAGCGCGATTTGACCTATTTACCGTATTTATATATAAAACCTTATCATATACGACATACTGTAATACAGCAAAATGCTATCCAAGCAGTAATAGACTCTCATCATTCGATAATTCTGTCATATGTCATGCAAGCAGATTTTCATATGGAATACGCTATTTTTCGGAATAAAGTTAAAGGCTTACGCACCTTCTTTCCCGAGAGAAAAACAACCTTACTGAGTTGGTTTCGGAATAATCGGGAAAACGATAAGCTTTGTAAAACTTCGGAAAAGAAAAAGCATTGAGTATCAGACATTAAAGTAAACCACAGATCTTATAAATTGTATTCAATACCTACAAGACCAGTGCTTTTAGTGTGGCAATAGACTAAACTTGTCTTCAATATGATATCTCAATAATATTCCCATATCCTGACTCATTGAGACAGGTAACTTAGTTGGGTACTAATTACACAGTAGAGAGGTACACCTGTAATGGCGATAAATACGATATGCGCTAGATACCTGAACGCGCTTAATCAGGGGAACTTAGACGAGGTTCGCAGCTTATTTAGTGCAGAAGCAAAGGTTGTTTCTCCCCTTTACGGTGAACGCTTGGCTTTTGATTTTTACGCTAACCTTTTCAAAGACACAGCAAGATCAGAAACTAAACTGCTGAACGTGTTTGATGCATGCGAAACAACGAACTCAATAGCTCTGCATTTTCGTTACCTTTGGACATTGGCCAATAAACAATCAGTAGAGTTTGAATGTGTTGACGTTTTTGAGCTAAATGATAGTCACGATAAGTTCACCAAACTGACCATAATTTATGATACCGCACCGCTGCGTCAAGATTTCAATAATTCAAGATTAAGTTGAAGATTTATCTAAAAGGTAATCATCAATTGCCACAAGTGTGCCGAAATCTATATGCCTTTCGGATATGGTCATTTCACAGTACGGCCCGGTCTACTGTTTATAATTATTCTATGTACAAATGGATAGTTTCACGTTTGAGAATAGTCAAGGGTCCACAAACCCTTAAACATATAATCGGTCTGCCAAGTATATGAAACCACTTTCAGAGGCGAGGTCATTTTTCAGGCTTCCCAGGAATTTTGTCAGCATGAGAGCTAGGGTTAGCGAAGTGTTTATCAACATCGACATTCTGCTGTCTAGTCGATCTATTCTAGTAATGAATGATGTTCATCTATGACTTGACTACAGTCATTTGTTAAAGGGACCCCAAAAATCAGTGTATTTAAAGAAACGGGGCTGTGTAGAGTCTATAAAATAAATAGAACATACGCCAATGGCTCTTCGGGCTCTACTTCAGTCATATCCGCAATTGAAAACTTTAGATCCCTTCGCCATCAATAGCGCCCGCCAAGAATTACGGATGTTCGAGAGGCACCAATGTTTGATTTAGTCATTGATGCCAAGCAGCCGTGATTTCGTTAACGTCCATTGATGGTTGCATTTGATGAGCGAAAGCAGGCAGACCTTAACTCTTTAGTTAGCTACAGCGGCAAGTGGCTAACCCATACCTCGCGACATTGGTGAAAACCGGATAAATCTCTACCTAGCCGCGCGGGAAACCAAAATGTGTAGCTAATGGAGCTCCATTAACTTGATTTCTCACATGAATTGCCCAATTACAAGGGCATAAGTGCAATATTTCATCGGTTTAAATATCGGACACAAATAGGTTTCTTGGTTCTTACTAATTGAAATTCTGGCGTCTGTACTCTCTTGCATTCATATACATGTGCTAAACCAAGATTTTTACACTTGAACATGTCATTTGCAAGTTGTATCGCATACTCGATTAAGAAAGACATTAAAGTTGAACTGGTGAGGCTTAATGACTGGGGACAAGTTGTAGGCGACGACCTCCCCAATTGGAACGAGCGCAACCTCCCCGAAAAAAAGGTGCTCAAGGGTAGGTACTGTCATTTGGAGCCCTTGACAATCGAAAAGCACGGAAGACATCTTTTTGAAGCTTTTTCAAAAGTGAATAACGATAGCTTGTGGACTTATCTTCCCTTGGAACCTTTCTGTGATTATGCGGTCTTCTCCGAGGTCTTCGGCAAGAAATCCAACGCCAACGACGAAATACATTATGCCATCATAAACCCGGAGTCTGGGCTGCCTATTGGCACAATAGCCTTGATAAGGACCGATAATAGGAATGGAAGCACAGAAATTGGTTACGTAATCTATTCTCCACAGTTGCAACGAACTGTCATGTCGTCTGAGGCTCAGTTCTTGTTGATGAGATATGTCTTCAATGATTTGAAATACCGAAGATTGGAGTGGAAGTGCGACAGCTTGAATGAGCCATCCAAAAGGGCGGCAGAGCGGCTAGGATTCCATTTCGAGGGGACCTTCAGAAATGCTTTAGTTTATCAGGGGCGCACCAGGGACACAGATTGGTATTCGATCACAGATTATGAATGGCCCACTATGTGCTCTGGTTTCGAAGAATGGCTAAGCAGTGAAAATATTGTTGAAGGTAAGCAGATAAAGGGTTTGCGTGATATTAGGGAAACCCTTGCGAAAATGAGGGAAAAGAAGTTGTGAGGTATTCGTCTTTTACTTAATTCTTTTTTCAACACCTACTGATGGTGCATTACTTCGTAGGGAATTCTCCAGGTGGTGTAGGTGTGGTCCATGCACAAGAGAACTTACAGAAAGATCTAATCCAAGATTCAGGCCCTACCAAGTGAAGATATCAGTGTTATATGAGCTATAGTTAAGATATCTAACTCAGCAGCAATGTTTTGAAATCCTGTGTGTTGTGCTGTGAAAATATACAGTTCAGATATATTAGAATTATTTAACCTCGAACGCTCGTCTGAATAGAGTCGGGGCATGATGTAAACGCCTAATGATCAAAATCTGAACCGTTGTTCGCAAACAAGATTCAAAACTTTTCCTGTATGGATACCCGCATAAATATTGTCCACAACACACTCTTCCATTTTCTTCACAGTTTGGATAGCTTGTGTGCCCATATGTGGAAGGGCGAGAACATTAGGAAGCTCTAATAGCTCATTACTAACGTGAGGCTCATTCTCGAAGACGTCCAGGCCAACTCTAGCAACTTTTCCAGTTTTCAAGCACCTTAGGAGAGCTTGTTCTTCAATCACACTTCCGCGAGCAGTGTTAATTATTATGACGCCATCTTTCATAAGATGAAACCGATCTTTGTTGAGCAGATGTTTGGTAGATTCATTCAAAGGGCAGTGAATAGATACAACATCCGCGCATTTCAAAAGCTCCTCCAAAGGGAGATATTGGCAACCTAACTCTAGCGCTTCGGATAATGGTGATCTGTTATAGTAAACGATCTTCTTGAAGCCCAGGGGCCGAACCCGTTTGCAGAGTGTTCTTCCAATGCCTCCCATTCCGATGATTCCAAGCACTTTGTCATCAGGAGTAAACCCTGGCTGGGCGCCGGCTGCGAAGCCTTTTGTTGGCCACTCGTCATTTCGAAGATTTCTTCTCCCCTCCTCGAAATTTCTCATAGCTCCGAGTAAGAGAAACAAAGCAGTGTCAGCTGTAGCGTTATTAACAATATCTGGAGCATTCGCAAGCTGAATACCGCGTTTTGTTAATTCCGTTACGTCTATCTGATCGTATCCGGCACCTTGATGAGCAATGAATTTCAACGTGTTAGGAAAATGGCCGATCAGATCTCGATCAAAGCGTCCTACTTGTTTTCCAGTAAGATACCCTCTACCGATGGCGACGATATCAGAGTACTCGCCGTGCAATAATTCGATCAACTCTTGACGAGAGGCTACTGTCACGGGAATTATTTCAGCAACTTCTGAGAGTTTTTCCCAAGCATCGTCGGCATAGCGGATAGGAGGGAATTGAAGGACCTTGGGTTTTGGAATCATTTCAAAACGATTTGTAGAATGATTTGCTGAATGTTAATGCTCTCATGTAGCTTCCGAACAAATATAAGGGGTTGTCCACTGCAAGAGTATGGGCATAGATGTATTGGCATAGATATATTAAAAATTGTAGAGTTGTAACAGCCGCAAATCTGATATAGAAAGCTGAAGGTACGAGGACGGATCTATTCTCTCCTCATTTTCAAGAATCATCCGTTGGAGCTCCATCATCGACCATTGGGAGCTCCCGTGCCAGTTCTTCGTAAATCTCCAAAAATATAATGTATGTATCTCATATATATTAAAAACGAGCCTCTTCTCAGAAAACTGTTGCATATAGTTATAAAACGTATCTCATTTTTAGTTGCTGGAAATCAGTCAGATCAAGAAATTCCGCATTTTCGGGAAACTCTGGAATCTTGCCCTCCGCTTCAAGCTTATCTCTGCGGCGGTTTTCGTAAATGTTTATTAGCCTTATCGCAAGCAGAGTCAACAGCGCTAGACCGTAAAATATGGCTACCAGCCGCTTACCAGTAGGGTACTCGGGTGCTTGTGAAGACCTAAAAGTCTGAGGTCCAATCCAATTTCCTGCAGCATAGGCCAAAATTTGTAATCCGTTAACAACTGATTTCTTAGTTGAACCCACCGTGTTACAGGCAATCATGGACATCACCAAACCCCACGAAGAACCTGCAGCACTAATGAAGTAATAACCAATTAATAGGGGCACTTTGTTAGAAACGTCAATTGTACTCATCATTATGCCCCCCACCATTGGGAAAGCGATTGCGATCATGGCTGGGAAAGATCTATCCATCAGCCAATCTGATAAGAATGGCATCGCTAATTTGAACGCAATGTCTACCCCACCACCTGGCATTGATAGTAAAAGTGCCCGCTGGTTCTTGTATCCAAATGACTTTATAATGATGCTACCGAAAGACGTAACGCCGCCATTTGGGATGTTCATGAGGAGCGAAAACAAAACATACAAATAAGTTCGAGGGTCCTGAAATGCTTCCCAGACTTGTGACATTTTCCACTTTTGGGAGCCAATACCTTGAAAGTTACCACGGATCCGCTCGATTGCAATCTCCTTCTCTCTCTCGGTTAGGAACCTCGCATTCAAAGCACTGTCAGGCAATAAGAAGAAATACAATGTCCCGGTAAGAATAGTCAACAGACCGAACAATAGAAAGAGAATCTTCCAGGCCGAAATGCTAGCATTGGTCACATACGAAAGGCCATATGCCACGGGTGACGTCACTAGGGTGGCCAATCCATTTGCAGCCAGCCAAAACCCCATGCGTTTTGCCTGCTCGGATCGCTTGTACCACATAGCAGTGATCAAAACGAAGCCTGGGGTTACAGAAGATTCAAACATACCCAAGAACCATCTTAGGGCCAACAGACCTCCGTAGTTTTGAGCTACCGATGTCAGAGTCAATACCACGCCCCACAGAAAAATATTGATACTCAAGTATTTCCCGATAGGAAACTTTGTAAGAAAAAAGGTTGTAGGAAACTCCCAGAAAATGTACCCTGCGTAAAATATTGACGACACCCATGCGTATTGTTGAGAGCTTGCCGCCAAATTGGTATCTTCTCGAATACCCATCAAGGCTGCGTAGCTCAAAGAAACCTTGTCTGCGAACTGAATACAATAGATCCAAAACAGTATTGGCAAAATATTCCTGTCAATCTTGCGTAAAACCTGGTTACCTTCTTCCTCACTGTATTCAATTTCTCGGCCCGCGAGAAATTGAAATGCCTTATCGGTGGGGATGTTTTGTTGTGGGAACACTTCAACATCTTGGAAACTACCTAGTTCGATCTCCGCACTAACTACTTTAGTATTTTTCTTATCGTTTGAATACATGTCTCTACTGGACGCGTTATCGGAGGTGTCCATTCAGCCTGTTTTGATTCGTTAAACCTTTTAACTGGATTCGATTAAGATTTAGTGGAGGTTGTGATCAGAAATCACTGCTATTAAATGCTTTAAGCATTTGCCTGTTCGCAATCAAAGAGTGATAAGATTGTGCCCGAACTGTTGTCCAAAGGCACTGAACATCTCTTTGCGATTTAACTATGCTGGAGCTCAAGTTCAATTTGGACTCAACCGTAGACTGTTTCCTATTTTTTTTTTTTTTGGCGATTTTTTCCCTTGGTAATGAGATCTATCTCTATGAGATAAACACTTCCTTATCGGATAACTAAGTGGTGCATAAGAATCTATCAAAAGAGTGGTGGTGCTCCATCATTATTTTTCACAAGTCCATCTCAAGGAATTAAATCCAGCTGAAAAGAGGATCAAGGGCAGAGATTGCCCATCAGCTTCGCATGCACTCCAATGTTACTCCAATGTTTTTTGGGCTGAAGCTTCTAAACATTTGGTTCACCCAAAGGGTTAACTTCCATGTTAGACGTGAAGTTTCTTATGAGTAAACAAAATCTGGCCTGCCTAGATCAAGCTCCTGTAAATTTTGTGACGTCTCGCTCGAGTTGCAAGATTTCCGTCAAAATAGAGTATAAGGAAGTAAATTTCTGAAAGCATGGTCACAAGAGCAACGTTGGAGCAACTCAGCGGCAGCAGTGGAAACTATTTTATACCCCCGGACCAGATGCTGATAGACACTGCAGACAAAGTTATTAGCATCGTAGTATATATGTCAGGGCATTATAGCAACTTATATGTGCCTCCCTGTGACCAAACGGCATTTTACAACAAACCACTTGGTAAACTTCAATTTGTTTTATAAAATATTAAACCAACTAATGACTTTTTTTTGGTGGCTGGTAATAAGACTAGCTACAATTTCCAGGGCAGCTTTAGGACACGGATAGTTGCGTGGTGTCAATAGATGTGGACTTCAGGGCTGCCCATCGAGTTTTTTAATCAGTTGTTCATGAGGCTGCGTCTAAATCTCATCCACAAGATATGACAGAAATTATAAAGACTTCCAGAAAAAGTATAGTTCGTCCTCAGCCTGGGGTTCGTCACTTAATTGGAAAATGAAATATAATAAAAGTGTTGGGAATAATATGAGTAAACACATGGTGACGTGCGCCTAATCGCATAATCAGCGTCAGTAAATATGTGACACAGTGGTACAGAATGATAGTACACAACAGAGGCCATACAAATCGAGTTACAAGCTAAGACAAACCGAAGAGAACAACTGTTGCCCAATGGGATTGGCAATCGATAAGTTATCGGCAGCGTACGGAACTGAAGCCGTAAACCATGGACAATAGAATGATCTAGAACGTGTGATTAATAATTGTGTTGGCCAGAGTCACTGAACGAGAATTATATAATTACCAGGCTTTTGTTCAGGTAACTGAACCAACTCTAATCCGTAAAATAATCACGGAGAGATAAATAGAATTCCCTAGGTCCAAGTTACCCATCTTACCATGTCTATCAACGACTTACAAAATATATTTAGTAGGCTTTCTACTAATGAATCAGATTCGCCTCAATAGTTTTAACAGTTGCAAGTGAGTAATTAATTTCAAGAAACAGAATAAGCAGCGAGGAAACGTAACTTGAAAAGCGCATTGATCATTCAAACACTGTCGCACATACGATTACTATAAAAACCTATCCGGATGTACATTTGGAGGATATTTACATATTGAAACCGCCACTAAAATCTAATCGGACTTTCTGTAGAATTAGAGAGAGCCAATGGAGGACAAGTACCATCTGATTAGGCTCTCATATTTTCCAGACTAACTCGCACCGCTTATTGAAAATGTTCAGAAAAAGACAACTCAGAAAGTACAGACTCAAACTGTTACAGACTCCCACCCTGCTTGATGGGCAACAAACTAAAGCTTTCAAGCGGTTTTTGAGGGAGAATGCGCCAGCCAGGGTACTATAAAGACTTGTTACAACTTAACCAGTCATCAAAAACTCCTTGATATCATCGTCTGTGTATTGTGGCTGAATGTCGGAATCGTTCAAAGTCCCTAAATACCAGCTCAAATCTCGGCCATCAGTTTCCCGTAAATGGAAGCCATTACCAAAGTATTCAAATCTATTACCTTGACTAAAAGTCAAGTTATAATCTTCCCATCTAGGTGTACCCATGGTCTCAAAGAAATGAATACGAGATCCCGGCCACATCATCAATTCACCATCATAGGTCCCTTGTTTGAACCATGACCTACAAGGATCATTCCAAACAGTGCGGTCCAAAAACTTTCTTCTATGGATAATGAAGTCATTGACTGCATCCTGTTTTGGTTCGAAGGAAGTAACAGACTCACAGCTGAGTTTCTTAACAACTTTAACAAAATATTTAGCAATAGCCTCCACCATTGGAAGCACAGATCCGTGAGCATAGGGTGCATGCGGACCCATGAAGATAAGATAGTTAGGAAAGTCTGGAACAGCAATCGATAGGTAAGTCTCTGGCTTCTGCTTCCACACTTCCCTCAAGTCTTGTCCGTTGCGTCCAATCAGTGGAAAGTGAGGGATCCAGGAAACGTCAAACCCTGTAGCGCATATTAGCACATCAAACTTGTGCTCGATGCCGTCAACGGTCCTCAGACCATTTTCAGTGACTTCCTCTATATTATTGTAGACTAGAGTAGTCTTCGGATCACACAATGCTTCCAAGAATCCATTACCAGGCGTGGGCCGGCGGCAACCAACCCCAAAATCTTCAGGTATAACCTTTTCGGCTACTTCCGGTTTCTTTGCCAACTTCTGGGCCATTTCATTTTTGGCAAAATCAGTGGCCGCAAGCTGTTCAGGACTCCCCTTTATCACAGAGCGGAACCTAGCATTCAGATCGGATTCAATGTTTTTACGGTATCTGAGATACTTCTCCGGGTTACTTTTCAATAATTCTCTCTGTTCTTCGCTGTACTCAAAGTTGGCGCCATTTTTACCAGCAAACTTTTGAGCAAAACCAGCAGTTATCCAAAACCTGCTTCTAACAAATTGGGTTATACTTTCAACATCATCAAGAATGTTAGGAACTATTTGAACTGCCGAAGATCCTGAACCAATTACACCCACCGACTTCCCTTTCAAAGACAAGGAGGTGTCCCAGTTGGCACTATGCAACCGTGGTCCCTTGAAATTATCCAAACCTTTAATGTTAGGCCATTTCCACTTATTCAAAATACCAGTTGCATTAATAAGGATCTCACCGCAGTCTTCAACAATATTTTTAGGATCTCCATTGACCTCTGCCCTGACATACCACATCTTTTCAGCTTCATTCCACTTTGCGAATATGATTTTATGGTTCAAGTGAACATCCCTATCCAATTTATGTTGCTTGGTGACGCTCTTAAAGTACTGCAGAATTTCCGGCCCAGTAGAATAGTAGGAGCTCCAGTCGGTACTCGGAGCCCAGGTGTATTGATAATTGATTGACGGAATATCACAGGCGCATCCGGGATACCGATTCTCATACCATGTGCCACCAATAGAAGGGTTCTTTTCATAAATTGCGAGCTCAGCGTCTGGGACGTTGTTGTACAACTCGTGTGCAAAGTTCAAGCCGCTAGCCCCTGCGCCAATCACAAGGACTTTGATTTTCCGGGGTGCCGTAGAAGGCTTCTCTAAAATTTTGTAAGGCGTCTCAATTGTCATTGATAATCTTTGACCTACGTTAGTTTAGGAGGAGATGATGTGAAAAGCATTCAAGTCATCCATCCAAACCATCTCTGTCTTTCCTCTTAAATAGTTACTTGAGCCAAATGAAGCATTGGTCTGCAACATGAATAGATTCTATTGAGGTTAATGGATCAAATTTTACCAATGCTGAATAGCAGTGTTAAAAGCGCTTTATAGGAGCTCCTCTGGAGGTTATACAACTATGGTTTTGATGGTGCTCCATCAATTGTAATTTGCCATCATTCCGTCCTACGGGCTGTTTTCATTCGTCAAATGATATACTCCTTTGGTAAGTTATGATAAGATAACGTTGGAGCACCATTACCTAATTTCAAAAATTTATCTAATTTCGGGTTCGAGACGCTAAGGACAGAGATGTGCAAGTATTATCTGCTCCATCAGTCAAATATCACCTCTGCACCCTAGTACCGCTTCATGGGCTCAAGTATTTCACTGCTCCAAGAGAAGAATTGCTGAAAAGTATTTAAATGCCATACCTGCGTTAGACTCAGGTACGACAGACAAGATGCTATTTCAAAACTTCTAAAATTTACATCGATAACACCAGGCTCAACGAACAGAATGACAATTAATGGTAAATTGCGTATTTCGATTGATCGCGGTGGAACATTTACGGATTGTATTGCCGTAAGTCCAGGCCGTGAAGACATCGTCATCAAAATTCTTTCCGTAGACCCCCAGAATTATCCGGATGCACCCTCTGAAGCCATTAGAAGAGTACTCGAAATCTTCAGACGCCAAGAAATACAACGAGGAACTAAGCTTAATTTGGACGATGTTGGTATGTATTACTAGGTGTTCACCCAAACAAGGGCCTTGACTGACACATTTATCACAGACCAGATTAGAATGGGGACAACTGTGGCAACTAATGCGCTACTGGAAAGAAATGGCGAGAAATGCGCATTAATTGTTACCAAAGGTTTGAAAGATCTTCTGCTGATAGGGAATCAATCTCGCCCTGATATGTTTGATGCGGCGATCAATAGGCCCGATGTCTTATACAAAGGAGTTTATGAAGTCGACGAAAGAGTGACTCTAGAGGATTGGTCCGAGTCCAAAGTACCCTCTGGGGCTAAGCCAAATGGCACTGACATGGTTAGAGGCGTGTCAGGCGAGCTTGTCAGAATTATAAAACCTCTTGATATGGAGAAAACACGGGCAACTTTGTTATCTGCATTTGAGGCTGGCTTCAAATCAATTGCTATCTGTCTGATGCATTCGTATACATTTCCTGACCACGAGATGTTGATTGGTAAAATGGCGAAGGAACTAGGCTTCACTCAAATATCACAGTCATCAGTTCTTTCCCCTAAAATAGGAATTACTGGCCGTGGGTTTTCTGCAACTGCAGACTCCTATCTCACGCCTGTAATCAAAACCTATATTGCAACCTTTAAAGAAGCTTTTGAAGATGACGCCTTTAATTCTACTCGTTGTCAATTTATGCAGTCTGACGGCGGTATAGTTGAATTCGATAATCTCTCTGGACTATGTGCTATTCTCTCAGGACCTGCTGGTGGAGTTGTTGGTTACTCGGAAACCACGTATGATGATCAATTGAAGACACCAGTAATTGGTTTTGACATGGGTGGAACTTCAACTGACGTTTCGAGGTTTGGCGGGCAATATGAGCACGTGTTTGAAACCACTACTGCTGGCGTCTCCATCCAATCACCCCAACTAGATATTAATACTGTTGCTGCTGGTGGGGGGAGTATACTTCACTGGAAAAGTGGTTTGTTCACAGTGGGTCCCGATAGTGCTAGTGCACACCCCGGACCTGCATGTTACAGAAAAGGTGGCCCACTTACCATAACAGATGCCAATTTGATTCTTGGAAGGCTAATTTTAGATAAGTTCCCCAAAATATTTGGGCCCAATGAAGACGAACCCTTGGACACAGAGATATCTTACCTGAAATTTGCCGATATAACCCGCAAAATCAACAAGGATACAGGCAAAAGCCTATCACCTTTTGAAGTGGCAGAGGGCTTTCTTAAAGTTGCCAATGAATCGATGTGCCGCCCGATCCGGACCTTGACCGAAGCCCGAGGATTCGATGCGGCGTCACATGTTCTTGCTTCCTTTGGAGGGGCGGGTGGACAACATGCCTGTCTAATTGCTAAAAATTTAGGAATATCAACTGTTGTCATCCACAAATATTCTTCTCTGCTTTCGGCTTACGGTATTTACTTGGCGGATATTGTAAATGAGGAGCAAGTTCCCTGTGCCCGTGAGCTCAGTCAGGAATCCTTGACTTACTTCAAAACGGTTCTCAGTGAGCTCGCTGTGGTTTCAGAATCAAAACTTGAAAAAAATGGTATAGATGGCACGTTCATATATTCAGAACTCTTCCTTAATATGAGATACAAGGGATCTTCCTCCCCGATAATGGTACAAAAGCCAAAAAGTTCTTGGGATTTTGAAGCAAGCTTCGGGCTGGCACATGAGAGAGAGTACGGTTTTAAAGCAGATAGGCCAATTATTATTGACGATATAAGGGTTCGCTCAATTGGAAAGCCTAGAAATTTGAAGCCTCTATCGCCTTTACGAGAAATGGAAAATATTAGTTTCAAGTACACGGCAGATGCAAGGTCAATAAATGAAGTGTTTTTTGAGACATCATTTATGCCTACTCCCGTTTTTTCATTGAAGAACTTATCGGTTGGCGATAAGGTCAAAGGGCCCGCACTATTGGCTGACGAGACTCAAACTATAGTTGTGACACCAGGATCAACTGCATTTGTCTTAAGTTCATCAATAGTAATATCTGTTTCCACTTCTGATGCTGTAGATTTGAGAGACAATGCAGTTGATCCAATCCAACTTTCAATATTTAACCACAGATTTATGGGAGTGGCAGAACAGATGGGCAGAGCTCTCCAAAGAACTAGCATAAGTACCAATATTAAGGAACGACTTGATTTTACGTGTTCCGTCTTTTCGCCAGCAGGCGGCCTGGTAGCAAATGCTCCTCACGTTCCTGCGATGATCGGTTCTATGGCATTTGCTGTAAAGTGGCAAATTGATTTTTGGAAGAACGACATACGAGATGGTGACGTTATCCTTTCAAATGCGCCAGAAGCCGGGGGTACTCATTTACCAGATCTTACGGTAATCACCCCTGTTTTTGATTCAGAGGGTAAGGAGATTATTTTCTGGACCGCATCCCGTGGCCATCATGCGGATATTGGCGGGATTTTACCTGGATCGATGCCTCCTTCCTCAAGAGAGTTATGGGAGGAAGGCGCTTTCTTTAAAGCGTTCAAAATTGTTGAAAATGGCAATTTCAAAGAGAAAGAACTAATTGATCTTCTGTGCGTCAAACCGACCTTGCGAGAGGGAGGGATTGGTACGCGCTGTCTCAAGGATAATATTGCGGATCTGAAGGCTCAAATTGCAGCCAATCATAAGGGAGTCCTATTGATAAGATCCCTGATGCATGAATATGGACAGAATGTTGTTCAACTGTATATGGACGAAATTCAAAAGTCTTCAGACCTTGCTATCAGAGGGCTCCTCAAAAAGGTTTACCACGAATACGGTCCTGAGCCGTTAGAAGGTGAAGACTACATGGATGATGGTACGCCCTTACATCTCAAGGTGACTATCACACCCGATGATTGGTCTGCAACTTTCGATTTCAGTGGTACAGGTCCTGAAGTGTACGCCAACTGGAATGCACCAATTGCAATTACACATTCCTCAATAATTTTTAGTTTGCGTTGCATGGTAAATGCCGAGATTCCTCTCAATCAGGGTTGCATCAACCCAATAAATGTTATCGTTCCGGAGGGCTGTCTCTTGAAACCAGGATCAAACGCGGCATGCTGTGCTGGTAATGTTTTAACTTCCCAACGCCTGACGGACACCATCTTTAAGGTCTTTAGATTTTCAGGAGCAAGTCAAGGTTGTATGAATAATTTCACATTTGGTATTGATGGCGAAAACGGATTTGGATACTACGAAACAATTTGCGGAGGTAGTGGTGCAGGACCAACGTGGGACGGCACGAGTGGTGTACATACTAATATGACAAACACAAGAATCACTGATCCAGAAATAATGGAGAGAAGATATCCTATCCTCGTGAAACAGTTCTCTATACGAGATGGCACTGGAGGGGCAGGCAAATTCAATGGAGGCAGCGGGGTAGTTCGGGATATTGAGTTCACATTGCCGATGATCGCGTCCATTCTATCTGAAAGAAGAACATTTCAGCCGTACGGCATGAATGGAGGTGAGCCAGGGGCACGCGGTCTGAACTTGTGGTACAGAAAAAACGGTCAAGTCGTGAACATAGGCAGTAAAGGAAGTGTTGCAGTTCAAAAGGGCGACAGGATTCAAATAATGACTCCAGGAGGTGGTGGCTACGGTTGCAAAGAGGACAGGTGCAGTACAACTGAAGAGCGGCAGAATGGGGGAAATTCTAGTCGCGCATTTTTCCCAAGAGCGAATGGTACAGTTGGTATTATGAGGTCTCTTGGTGAGTCGAACTAATAAACGTGTGTGTAGTTATAATGAATAGTTTTACGTAGCCAATGCAATACCAAACTTCATAAAAACAAACATAAGTGATCGTGCACGTTTGATATGTACAATATCTTCAGTCATTCTATCGAACAAAAGGGCCAAGACTATCAAATCGGATACTGGGTACTATTGCAGACATGATTGATGGGGAGATTGAGGATGCTTCCTATGTCATTTGCAATCATGAAACAGAATTCTATTCGATTGTCCAATAAAAAAAGATTATCACGAGCTCTTCCGATGGAGCTCCATACATTGATAGACAAAGAACAGCGGGAATACTCCTTGGAAATCTGCTTCACATTGAGTTGACAAGTGTTCGAATGAAAGTATAAAGGAAAATCAGTTTTCGCACAAGTCGAATTTTTACAATGCTTTCTCTACAGTCTAACTACTGAAGCGACAATCGTTACACGATGATATCATTTCTCTCTCAAATTCCGTACGCACAACCAGATCCCATCTTTGAATTGACTGCTGAATACAACAGGGATGGCTCAACGAAAAAAGTCAATCTGGGCCAAGGCGCATACCGGGATGAAAATGGGATGCCTTGGGTACTTAAATCTGTGATTCAAGCCAAGAGGGCTATCGAAGGTAGCGGTCATGAATACCTACCAATCCTTGGACTTGAGGATTTCAGGAAAGGGTGTACAAAGCTTCTGTTTGGTGAAGAATCACCCATTGTTTTAGAAAATAGAGTCGGCTCATCACAATCTATCTCGGGAACAGGATCGTTGCATTTGGTAGCTATCTTTCTTGCAAATTACTATTCAACAACCCACAAGGTATTTATTCCAGATCCTACTTGGAATAATCACAGAGCAATTTTTGAAGGCGCTGGGTTTGATGTACAGTTATACTCCTATTTTGACAGCCATCATATGGCTCTTTACTTCGAGCGACTCCAAGAAGATTTATTAAGATGCCCTGAGGGATCTATCGTCGTCCTCCACGCTTGTGCTCACAACCCAACGGGGATTGATCCCTCTTTTGAGCAATGGAAGAAAATTGGGAAGATCGTGAAGGACAAGCATCTTTTTCCTATATTCGACGCAGCTTACTTAGGCTTTAACAGTGGCAGCATCGACACCGATTGTTGGGCAATTAGATACTTTTTTCACGACTTGAACCTGACGGGAGCTGTGTGTATGTCTTTCTCCAAGAATATGGGATTGTATGGGGAGCGTGTGGGATGTGTTCAGATAATAACCAACACTTTCGATGAGGCCAAAAATGTTGAGTCTATCCTTAGCAAGTTGCAGCGGTCAGAGGTATCCAACCCCCCAGCATACGGGGCTCGTTTAGCAACTGCCATCTTCTCCTCGAAAGAGTACATGCAGCAGTGGAAAATAGATTTGAGAACGATGTCTTGCAGAATCAATACAATGAGAAAATTGTTAGTTGACAATTTGCGGAAACACAATGCGCCGGGTTCATGGGTTCACGTTATTGACCAAAATGGAATGTTTGGCTTTCTGGGACTTACGGAGACTGAAGTCAAGGATCTCAGATTAGATCATCATATCTATATGGCGGCAAATTCCAGAATTTCGATTGCTGGCCTAAATGAAGCAAACGTTGAATATGTTGCACAATGTATCACGTCAGTGGTGTCGAAAAGGTGATATTATGTCTGAAAGAAGTCTTTTAGATTACTGGTATGGCAGGTCCCTGGTGCAATGACAAGAAAGTCTGGGAAATGATATTAGAAATAACATATGTATCACCTGCAATATTATGCTTGAACTAGAAGAAAAAAGATGCACTAGCGCCGGCACCAACTGACCAAGTGTCAGCAGTAACAAGTACTGTCCTCATCCACTTTTCAAATACTTTCAATTCATCGGAATCATGTACTTCACTCGGGTCATCAACTTCCACAAAAGACATGATGTCGTCCACCAACCGTCTCATAATATATTCTTCATCCACTGGCTTGGTACCATCTTGAGTGCTCTCTAGTTTTCTGCCACTCAAGCCGATGTGTAAAATTTGCCATGCAACCAGGCCCGCTTTGTAAAACATAAATGTAAACACGGGTGATCGCTCTTGTCCCCCATCGGCCTTCAAGAAGTCCGCAAACTTCAGAAAATAGCAGATATGACTGACCATCACAGAAAGACTATGACTGGAAATTAGATGCATGTTGTTACTTGATACAGAAGTTCCGCCGGGAGGATACCACTCGCTAGGTTTTGCAAGTACTGCAGCCGTAGCAATGGTTGCCCTCAAAGTGACTTCGACGATGCCAGATGTAATGATTGGATCCGGGACATGGAGATGAATATATGCAAGGTTCCAGGTTGCAACAAACATATCCCACATATCGTGGGATTTCTTGGGACCTTTTCTTAGTCCTCTTTTAGGAATCAAAGATCGCAGTGCATTCAAAGCAGTCCCCAACTGGGATTTTCTCGAGAAAGGATCGTTGGCCTTAATTTTCGGAACTTCCAGCACGCCAGCGTACTGCTCCATGTTTCTAATCATTATATGAATGGGAAGGAGAATTGAGAGAGATCCAAAAGAAGATATGTTTTTAGGTGTCTTTCCGAATATCAAGGCCTGTTGCAAAGCATCCAAGAAAGAAGTGCGCTCACCGTTGGAAAGCTCTAGGGTATGCTTTTCTTTCCAAAGAAGCGCATTTTCAAGCTGCCACAAAGTGTCGGAGCAAGGAAGTGGATGTTTGATTTCATAGTGTGAAAGTGAAGGCGGATAATTGAGCAAGGTCGCCATTTGACTGTCAATCATGTACAGGCAGAAAGATACCCTTTTTCTTTCCTCTGACACTATAAATGACTTCCACTCATCATCACATTGGTCCCTAGGATTAGTTTGAAAGATTCCAGTCTCTCTCGCTACAGCCACAATCTGAGAATGTAGGGCTCTGCACCTTTGATACCAAACTTTATCTGTAAATGTTCCGTAAAATACCAATATGAGAGCCGCCTGAACAGTCTGTATTGAAGCATTTGCACAAAATAAAGGTTCGTTGATCGCATTTAGTGTGTTTTCACAAAGGATACCAGAGAAATTCTTCAGGTCACTTCTGTACAACATCGCGACAGTGCACATTGCACTAACTAAAGTACAGGATGCTGACTTGTAATTAAAAGTAGGTTTATGGATAAGAGGGAAAACGGGATCAAATATGTTCCAGTATTGATTTAATAAGCTTTCAATCTCGTCATCCTTTAATTGAGAATGCAAGTACGAGAATAGAAAATTATTATCTATGGCCTTTGTATCAGCGTGGTCTTGTGGGGAGACATATGATTCAGAGAAACTCTTTAGCATTGGTTGGTCACTTGTCGCGGCTGTGAATGCAATGTGTTCCTTAATAGGAGCTGAATTCCTCAGGGAACCATTCAGAAGTTCATATTCTCGAGGATGTTTTTTGCGCCTGTGGGTTTTAAGCGTGTCATTTCGCGAGAAGGTCTTGTGGCATATATGGCAACTGTACTTTTCAGTGCGTAGATCTCAAACTGACAGTTAATATGGTGGCATTCGGCTGTTGAAGTTAATTAAAATGGGACATACGTTTCTTGACATGACGTTTTAGGTTCTCGGACCTTGTGAAAGATGCTTTACATGTACTGCAAACAAAAGGCCTTAGATCATTTCTATCAAGTCTTAAGTCGTTGGCATGAGTGGGAGGCTCAAGTACTTCGGCGTTATTAATTTGCCTAGAAGGTAATGCGGCTGGGGGGTTCGATGGCGTAGCCGCTTCAGCTGCAAGAGGGTCCATTCTGAAAACGTTGTAGAGTGTTATACAACTTAGTTCATGGAATGTGTTAATGTTTGAGAAGACAGAGGCGCTTGTCTCTATGCTTTCAAAGATAGGTTTGTAGAGTCCACTTTTGAATCTCGAAAAATTATGTGACTTATGCTAATCATATGATTGAGTTGGCGGAGCTCCATATGGGAGATAAGAGCTTACCGGCAGGACACCCAAAGTAACAACCGCCACCAACAACCCGAAACAAAAATTATCGCGCTGTTTGCACTTATAAGATGGATTGAAAATGAGTGAAAACAAGTGTGTCGCCAGGTCTTCGTCTCTTGAAGGGCCGCAAAAATTAGGGTGGAACAAGATGTCTGCTTTTAGGTTGAAAAACAAAATCATTTTGATTACCGGAGCTTCCTCAGGTATAGGTTTTGCTATCGCCGAACAGTTTGCCAAACAATCAGATGGAGAAATCAAACTGATTTTAGGCGCTAGAAGGGTGGAGAAGCTTGATCTCCTCAAGGAAAAACTAGTGCAGAAATACAAGAACATTGATATTCTGATTAAGTTCTTAGATGTTTCAAATTCAGAACATATAGATTCGTTCTGGGAGAGCTTGCCAGATAGGTGGGCAGATGTTGATATTTTGGTAAACAACGCTGGTAAAGCACTTGGTCAAAATTTTGTTGGCGAAATTTCCGAAGAGGACATAAACGAGTGCTTCCAGACCAATGTAGTAGGAATGATATCTATGACCCAACATGCATTGAAAGGAATGCAAATGAGAAATAAGGGGGATATTGTACAAGTTGGGTCTATCGCTGGTAGGGAAACATATCCTTCAGGCAGCATTTATTGTAGCACAAAGTTTGCCTTGAATGCGTTCACCTCTTCACTCAGAAAGGAACTCACGGCTACGAAAATTAGAGTGATTGAAGTTGCTCCCGGAAACACGAAAACCGAGTTTGCCCAGGTACGCTTCGGCGGCGACCTGGAAAAGTCAAGTAAGGTGTATGAAGGCACAGTTCCTTTAGACCCCACTGACGTTGCAGAGATTGCTGTCTTCGCGTGTTCAAGACCCGAAAATGTAGTCCTTTCTGAAGCTGTTATAATGGCAACGAATCAGGCAGGTCCAAGTCATATTCACCGCTGTTTGTAGTACATAATAATTTAAGAATGTGTAGGGGTAGAATTATCCAAGCCATAATGACGGACGTCAATCAACTTGCTCTTCAATGGTGATCTTTTGCATGCATCACCCACTGGAGTGACATTTGTAGGGGTTTTGTAAATACTAAACCACGTGATAAGATTGCTGATCTATTCAAGATCTACTATCATCGGCGATAGGCTTCCTCAATGGGTACAGATAAGGGAAATCGTACAATATTAAATGTTGGAGCTCCTTCGCAGCACACAAATGGCAGGTTTGGAAGAATCACAGATGTGTGCATACATTGATTGCTGTTATGGATATATATAAAGTCCTCGCTCTTGGGTCAAACGCTAGGGTCAACTATCGAAATACGACATTCCTATCTTGAAGAAAGAAAGAGCAATTATATGGATGAACGACGCCCTATAGACCATGCTTCCGAAGAAAGCCCGAATTCTATAGGTCCCGAATTGACTACAATTGAAATTAAGAGAGCCAAATTCTTTTCCAACAATTCGAACGACAGTCGTGAAAATGTTAAAACTTCTGAGGGGGGTGAGACTGTTGAAGATGAGTTGTTATGCGACACTATGCCTCACCTAAAAAAGAAACTCATAGTATTTTTAGTAGCGCTGTCGTGCTTTTTATCACCCTCCAGCAACGTAGCCTTCCTGCCGGCTGTTCCCATCCTTGCAAAAAGGTTCGACACAACAAGTAATATAATTAATCTATCCAACGCCATTTATGCCGTGGTAATGGCTATTTCCCCATGTCTCATGAGTCCATTTAGTGACGTTTACGGTAGACGAATCACTTTTCTAATATGCTCTATGGGATTTACAATCTGTACAATACTAGTTGCTGTCTCCGTCAATCTGGGCATGTTCTTCTTTTTTAGATGTGCAACCGCGTTGTTTGGTACCGCGTTTTTTGCAGTTGGTGGAAGCATTATTTCAGATATTTATCGGCCACATGAGAGAGGAAACGCAATGGGATGGATTCTATCAGGATCGCAGATAGGGCCAGCGATCGCTCCTTGTCTGGGCGGCATAATCGTAACATATACCTCTTGGAGGGTGATATTTTGGGTTTTAGTGGGGTTGGGTTGTTTAAGCTTCTGCATGTCCTGGCTATTTCTACCCGAAACCGCGCAGGCCACCATTGCCCAAATAATTAGAGAGGAAAGCCCTAACAAAAGATTTGTGTGGGTGTCATACAATCCACTAACGGTGGTGGGAGCACTGAGGTACCCTAATCTCGTATTAGCCGGACTTGTGAGCGGATCTCTACTCTACAACATGTATGCCTTATTAACACCAATTCGACACGTTGTTGATCCTCGCTTCAATTTAACGACACCAATTTATGGTTCATTATTCTATTTACCACCAGGTTTGGGATACCTCTGCGGCTCTTTCGTGGGAGGAAAGTGGGCCGATTACCATGTTAAGAAATATCAAATTATCAAAGGCGAGAGGATCCCAGAGGATAGATTAAGATCGATGCTGGTGACCTTTGGAGTAATCTTACCGGGTACCATATTGGTGTACGGCTGGGCACTGGAAAAAGAAAGAGGGGGAATAGCTCTTCCTATCGTTGCAATGTTCATAGGCGGGATAGGACAAACCATTTGTTTCCCAAGTATCAACGCTTATTGCGTAGATGCTATGCCAGAGCTCAAAGGGGATGCGATAGCAAGCAACTATTTTACGCGATATATAGCTGGTGCAGTTGGGACTGCAACTTGCCTCATACAGATCGACAGTATTGGAATTGGATGGACATGCACTATTTCTTGTTTTGTATTACTGGGAGGCTTCATAGCTTCAGTGGCCTTAGTATATTGGGGAGCTCGTATGAGGACCATCAGGGTTTCTGATAGCAGGAAATAGAAATGGTAGGATGAAGAATTTCAAATACTCTATATTCACTATTCTTGAGCAACAAGAAGACTTTTACTACAGACAAATCACAATACGTGTATATCCTCTCACTGGTTCGAAGAGCCAGAGTGTCTAAAGCATTGGGATCATAAAGTATCCTCCACATAATTTTTAATTCTCAAATTCATACTACCAGTGAGTCAAATCCCGAAGTCTTGGTTTATTGGTCCGGTCGAGTACTTTGAGGTGACCAGCAATATATGAATGGGTCGCGTGATGCTGTGTACACAGGTCAATTTGTAGTATAGAAGGAGCCTTCAAGGACGTCGTCTACCCATGGCTACGTAGGAACACAATCCACGTCTTGAACAAATCACGTTGTGTTTTTGCAAGCGGATGTAAGGAAAGGAAGAGTGCAATTATTGTCGTACATTCCAAACGATTCCCCAGATCAAAATACTCTTTTATTAAAATAACAAGTCAACCATAGCAACGATTGCAGCTAATTCCATTGTTCACTTTGAAGAATTTCCACATTTCATACCTCTGCTTACCTACACGATCGTATCGCCGCGAACAATCTGTCTGGACCGACGCATTATAGAATGCCTGCTTTGCTGAAATACTTTCACTTCATTTCCACGAAATTACCGAAGTACATAGAACTCACCCTCTGATCCCGTCCTTTGGGGAGCTGCTAGATATATGGGGAATGTCAGACGACACCTTGGGTCGCAAAGTACACAAAATTGAAGTTTACCTTCGACAGCTCTAAATTACGAGAATACTAATTTTTTACGACCTCTTACAAACCTTACGCGAAAACCACGCTTGGTATTCTTACTACGCCAATCTTGGTACGGGCAGACCTCTATAGAATCGCCTCAACACAGCCCAGTATATTGAGATTTGAGGCAACCTTCAGTGCTTAGTATCGTCGTGTAAGGCAGAAGTAACTGTTTTATCTTTTTTTCATCAAGCTTCGTCAAATCTGGTCGGTTGAGATTGTACTCTCATAAGCTCGACTTTTCTCAGCACTCAACTCACTGATGAGCACTGGGGCTTGACGGCTGTGTTATCAAGCAGAGGCTTGGCCCATTCATGACGATAACTTTTTCGAGAGATCCGCGGGAAGATTAAATCACGTGCACTAAAGCGTAGTCATTTACGCATTATCCGCGGCAACCGAGCTGATGACGATAACTTTTTCGAGAGATCCGCGGGAAGATTAAATCACGTGCACTAAAGCGTAGTCATTTACGCATTATCCGCGGCAACCGAGCTTTGATGATCTTGAGAGACCATATATATAAGGGCGGCTCTAAAGAAACCAGCCAGATCTAGATCAGAAGCCTTTAACTTTTAGATATTATCTAGAGGCTAGCTAGAGTCCTTACCTCACAATTGTCCTCAATAACTCTCTCCATAGGGATCAAAAAATGAACTCCAGCGATACCACAGGAAATACCTACCAGCTTTACCAGTATACTCCTAATATTGGAGCAGCAGTGTTTTTCGCAGTTGTTTTTATATTTGCTACTGCTGTTCTAATTGTTGAAATTTGCATATCAAGCAAAAAGGTGAAAACAGTCATGAGGTCGTTCCAGTCCGATGATGAGGAAGCCAATGCTGGTACATATAGATTCGGCGTTCTTCCTCCTAAAAAGATTAGCGCGAAATACATTTGTCTGATTATTGGCTGTGTACTAGAAGCAATTGGCTACATTGGCCGGGCAGTTTCAGCTAGAAATTTAGATAGCTTGGGGCCATTCATAATCCAGTCTGTTCTTTTATTGGTTTCCCCAGCTTTGATGGCTGCCTCAATTTACATGATTTTTGGGCGTATTTTAGTCCTCACAGACGCTACTGCAGCATCTATTGTCCCTGCGCGCTACAGCACAACAATTTTTGTTTGTGGCGACATACTCAGTTTTTTGATGCAGGCTAGTGGAGGTGGTTTGGAGGCCAGTGAAAGTAGCCGGGATATGGGTGAGAAAATAATTGTGGGTGGTTTGATTATCCAAATTATTTTTTTTGGCCTTTTCCTTGTGACAGAAATTAGATACATTTATGTTATGTCAAGGAGAGTAAGCATGGGCAAACGCTTCAAGTGTGCGAACTTGGTTCTTCTTACAGCTAGTATTTTGATAATGATCCGTTCCATTGTTAGGACCATTGAATTTGCTCAAGGCTACGATGGATATCTGATTTCCCACGAATGGACCATTTTTGTTTTCGACGCAATTCCAATGTCGTTCGTCGCAGTATTGTTCCTTGCAACATTGCCACATTCGGGCTTGTTTCGTTTGGAGATCAAAAAGGCTGGAAGGTTTTTGGTCAAAGAACTGGATCCCATGGATTGTCCAGCGAAATATTAAGAAAGGAATCTCCAATAGGATCTTGCCATGCATCAAGATTTTCTTAAATCCTTAAACAGTAATTTAAGTAAGCTGCTTGATTGACTAATAACTTTTGACTTGTTTAAAGGCTTAAATATAGCATACAACTTTATTTTTCCATAATGGACGCTAGAGGTAATCCTCCAAGTGCAGTTTATACAATTATTCCGGGCGTAAAAACAGTTGGAGCACGGCCCAAAAAAAAAACAATCAAACATACAGATTTACACACCTCCATTTCTGGGTAAGACTGTTAAAGATTGCATCTACTGCGACAACTAGTTAGAGCTTTTGTTCAAACAACGCCCGCCTTCCAAGCTAGTGATGGATTTACTTGTGATATCAAAATAAAGTTCAGAATCAATTTTCGGTTCATATTCATGGGAGCTTTAGTAACTGATTTTCGGGCTGCCACTTTTTGAACATATAAGCCCTTTCATTTCTATCACATCTGTTAGACCGGCAACCGGAGTCGTGAATCTATTTCTTGCTCAAATTCCGGAGGAAAAAAGGTTCTTTTTTTATGCCATCGGACTTAATGCAATGCATGCAAGAACCGTTGAACTCCGATAATACAGCGTCTTTGTAATTTCAACAACTTTTATTCCAAATACTCAGATATATGCCTTTCAAGCCTCTCCCAAGGGAAGTTCATGAATTTGATGATCCATGATTCTTCATAGTGGAGAGTGTTCGTACCACTCAATGGATTAATAGTGGACTGCACAGAATTTCCCTAAGTTTTAAATCTGAATGTGGGCAACTTGGCAACGCAGATGCCTTTTTAAAAGAAAGCAGACATTCGACTACAAGACGACTGTTATGAAAATGAGGTGCAAGAAATAATAGGCCGACTATGTTCTACTTTTCCTCGTTGTATATCAGATTTACTTTCACTAGCCTCACATGAAGAGGACTTCTAAGGGTCTCGTTCATCCGTAAGCAGCACGGTGCTCTCAAGTTTTGCAGATATGAATGGAAAACCCACTCAAACTCGGTTCTAGATCATCACGCAATGTCAGTGCAGGGACATTATAGTCACCATAATTTTGTTTACGGTAGAGAATAGGATCCATAACTCTATTTGGCGAAGGTGCTCTTTCAAGCTTTCAGCAACCTTGTTAAATCTCTTTTCTCCCATCTTGCCAGTCCGGTATATAACAAATGGGGGTAACACGGTGAAACCAGGATAGCAAAGTACGCCATGATTTATCGGAAAGAGTATGTCGTCGATGGGCCCGTTGATTCCACAATCCTCATAATGCTGTTCTCACCCGCCAGCTGTCACCATAATCATTGCGCGCTTTCCAGTGAAGCGGCCTTCGCCGTACCGGTCTCCTCACTTTTGGTCACTGTGCTCACCAACACCATAGACAAGCCCACAAGAGAAAACGCGAACAATCCATCCTTTCAGAATTGCTAGCATGGAAAACCACCACAAGGGAAAGCTCAATATCACAGTATTAGCGCACATAAGCTTCTTGTGCTCCAACTTGACGTCGTCGGTCAATTTGTCTTGGGAATATGCTGTACTAGATGCGCTTGTAAAATTAAGTCTATCACCATCCCGCAACTGAGTGAAGTCCGCGCGTTCAATTGCCGCTTTCCAGTTTTGAGCGTAAATATCTGTTCCTTCAACCTCGTGACTCAGATGCTTCAGCTCTTTGGCCGCGATGTCCTTCAATAATGAGGTCAGCAAACCGGGTTAAGAATGTGGATATATAATGAGAACCTTCACGACGGGTTGCTTTTGGTTTCTTATATTTCAGAGGATACACAATTTCATCAATTCGAGACGATTTAATACCCAGCCTTGGGCCTTGGAGCTGCGCAATTATTGCTAAGCTGTCCCTAATTTTAACGTCGGGTTAGTGAGCTACTATGTTGGTTAGGATTTGTAAGCTGAGTTTTGATTATTACACGCAGAACCAATAGCATTTAACGAAGCTATTAAGAAGCGGCATTACTGTTTTCGGGGTTTCTACCGGTGTTACATTTATAAGTGTTTATACTAAAAAACTTGTGAATGTATTCTCGCGCTACAGTCGGCGGAAGTATCTTGTAGTTCGTTTCCTAACGCAACGATCGTTTCTACTAGTCCCGTCAAAATATTATTTGCAATATAATTACATAACGTGATGTCTCTAAGAGCAGTAGAGACGATTTTTAAACGCACTTGACGGCTGTACGACAACGAGGACTGCGCTAATGCTTGAAAATCAACGCAACTACTGAATAAACCCTATATGAATGATGGCCCACCCGATGATTAAACTGAGCATATAAGCAAGTGGGTAAAATCTTCGAGTGCATTGTAATTCTAAAATCTTAGCGAACTCGAAGCTGAATTTCTGAAAACAGGGCTTCACAAAAGCTCCTTTATCTGAAGTGTTGACAGCCGATGAACCTACTCTTTAATTTTTTCTTAGCGCCGAGAAGCGTTTAGCAAGCCAAATCGAAATGGGATCGTCATTTTCCTTAATATACTCACCTTCTTTCAATTTCTGTCCGTAATCATTAGTCAACAGAGGATCTCTCAAGAAGAAGGTTAATATAAACATAGGGGCGACGAATACAAGACCCACTAATACTTCATACTTTTGAACATAGCGATAGGCCTCCACAGTAGCCGTTCTGACTGGTGTACCCCATTCATATTCAGTAATGAAACTCAAAGGCGAGTCGTAGGCTGCTTCAGCTATATCAGCGTCACCTAAAGCCTTTAATAAACGAGGATACAAGATCTGAGTCCAAATAGCTCCAGAAACAGCAGCCCCAACGGCACCACCAATACCAAATACAGCTTGGTTCAATGCTGCTACTGTTGCCAAAAGTTCATGTGACGTGACCGTTTGGATGATGACACTAATTGGATAGTCATACAAACAGCTCGTAATTCCCCAAACGACCATGGCTCCAATCATACCTTTACCACTATTATCACCTCCTCTATAATGATAGAATAGTGCCATGGTCACGAAGTAGAGGGAGCAACCCACGATAGTGTATGTTTTCATTCTCGATGATCTTGCGACGGCAATCCCAACCAAAGGCGAGCAGATAGCTGCGGAAAAACTGTACAAGCTTGATATTCTTGTTGCTGACAGATCTGTTTCATTTGAGGCCACAACTAGAATATTGTAGAGGTAACCTGCGGCCATCTCGTAAACGAAAGCAATCAAAAAATAAATGGAAAGAGGCGCCCAAATACCTCTGTCTTTTAAGAGCTTAAAAGGTGCCAACGGCTTCGCGGCTAATTTACTCTCCCAGTAGATGAAAACAGGAACCAACACGAAGCCTAAAACAAATGGAGCAATTACTTTAGCGCTGCGCCAACTTGTAGTGACGCCTCCAGCAATTGTCAGAGGCACAAGGATACATCCTGTGCAAACCGTTAATAGTAAAACACCGATAACGTCTAATGCCCAAAACAATTGTACAATGAATTTTACAAATCCGTGGGACTGAAAGAATGTCTTTTCTTCTTGCAGCTTCTTCCATTCGGGATTATTTCTCACCTTCCACCTCATGTGAAGCATGCAACCTATCAAGGGAACACAGCTAGCGGGAAAGATGAATGCCCACATAGCAATTCCCCACGACCAGTGTTCTAGAGGATTTGCAACAGAAATGACGTTTCCGGATATCCACACCGTTATCAGAGCTGGCCATGCTGGTACAAAATTGTAAAACAGTCTCCATCTCAATGATGAGCAGTCTGACAAGATAATGGCAACCTGGAACAACACGCCAACAAGCCCTATATTGTAGAAGATTGACCCTGCGGCATATCTCTTGACATCATAAGCCTGAGATTGAATGACTGTACCAACGACATATAGGACAATGGACACAACAAATAGGGACAGTCTGCCAAATATGTCTGATAAACTTGCAAAGAAAATCTGCCCTACGGCAGAAATCACTGAACTGACAACATCAACTGTCGAGACCAGAGCTTGTGTTTCGTAGTCATTCAATGCGTAGGACATATATATGTCTCTTATAATACTGTCGAGTGAATAAGCAAAGGAGCAGAAGAATGCCGAGAACACAAAGGCAGATTTCAACCACCAAGTATTGTACTCATTTGCCATTAGTTCAGCTTTACGGATGACAATGCTTTTAGTAGCAGCAAGTTTATCATGCGAGTAGCTTTGCATACCAAAATCATCACTAAATTGTCGCTCGAGCACCACATTTTTCTCATCAACTTTGGCAGAACTGTCATTAAGACCCGCAGAGAAAGTACCGAGATGACTGTCGCTCATCCTTTAAATTTGATAAGTTTATGCTGCAGTTTTCTGGCGATTGAGGGGATTCAAAAAACAAAAACCGCTTGTTTTGTAAGAATGGACGGTGCGTTAGCGATATACTTATACTAGCCATTTTACTCGATATGTATTTACCTGTATTGCACCCAATAGAAGCTTTTACCAACTCACAAACCACCCAAGATCCCAAAGTATACATGCCGAGTTACGCCAAATTGGGGATGTTGTTGTTTGGTGACTGATCTTATCGGCAGCCCCATCAAAACATGGGTGCTGTTACTCAAAAAAATGGGTGCCGTTGTAAGCAGTGCATACCTAACACACTCCCCCCATACAAAAAATTAATGCTCGAGATGACTAGGAAATGAATTAACGCTCCCATGACTTCCAACGACTTAAAATTCGCAGTTAACAGGTACCAAAAAGGCGTTGTGAATTTTGTGAGTTCTCAAGTTTGATCACCCGTGGCAATATTAGAGTTTTTGAGTTGGCTAGCGGGCGCTTGAGCCGGTCCAAGGTCGTAAGAGCAGAATGACAGTAGCCTCCATTGTGGTCACGTGGCATCTACCAGGGCTTGTCTCTTCTTGTTTTTGTATAGGGCATGCCTGGGGAGCTAGCTGCTTTTGGTTTCAGTCGTCGAGTCAAACCATCTTGTCGTAACCATTCTCATGACTTTGCCAAGCGCCAAGATGTTTGAACAAATTTTGATTTTTACAGGTGTAAAATAATTAAAGATCGTAGATGACGCAAGCAAGCATGCCGAGTAGTCCTGCAAGAGAAAAAAGAGGCTAACTCTCGCTTAAATCAGGTGGAGGCGCGGACTTGGTACAAATAGTGTGAATAAAGTACTGAAATACCTTGAGAGGCAAGCTATTCGTGCGCAGGGAAATAAACTTGGTGAATGCTCAAGTCAAAACTATTTCGTTCATTAGTTACAGCGGGCTGCTTGCTCCTAGTGCTGCTGTACTGTGTCGCGAAAGCCATAAACAGTGATGCGAACACTTGGATGTTCAATTCGCTGAAAATTCAAAGCACAGACGCTAATACTCCATACGCTACCCCTATACGGTGGGACAACTACAGAGAAAGCATCCGGGAGCTTGACTTTGATAATAGCACAGCATTGTTCAATTCGATTCGTGCTGCACTGAGGCAGGCTGCGTCAGATATCCATCCCGTTGGGGTCAGCTACTTTCCAGCAGTAATACCTGAAGGAACATTAATGTATCATGCGGGCTCTGAGGTGCCAACTTCATTTGAATGGTTAGCGATGGATCACGAGTTCAGCTATAGCTTCGGCTTGAGAACTCCGTCTTACGGTAGAAAATCCCTAAGGAGACATGGACCACCCCCACCAAATCCTCTTATGGACATGGCATTGGGGCCCAATAGTAATCTAACGAATTTTCCCGGAGAGCCAGATCGAAAACAATCAATGATGCTGACATTTCGGGCAACTAGGGATTTGAATAGACTACTATACCTGGATGGTGCTTCAGCGGCCAAAACGGACGGCACGGGCGAAATGGATACCCAGGAACTGCTATCGGACGTCATTAAGGTCAAGCTAAATTTAACTGACGATGGCGACGACACAAGAATGAAGGAGAGGTTATTTGCCTCAAGGATTTGCAAGTGGGGAAAGCCTTTTGGTCTATCGGGCATAGTAAGAGTAGAGGTTGGATTTGAAATAATATTATGCGATTTTTCTTCAGATGACGTTGAGCTAGTTTCTAAACTGGATATGGTTTTTCCTAGCGATTACCTTGACCTACCACCTCCGACAGTACTTACCCAGGAGAATGGATGGCCAATAGATCAAAATGACAACTTGATAGAAGACGATCTGACGGCTGAACAAAGAGATATACTCGCTCGCGAAGACTCGTGGGAGGACACACTCTCCAGATTCGATGCTACCAAAGGGTTTAACTGGCTACTTGCAGGTGCAATCCATGACAAAGGTGATAAAAGAATAAGTTTAGACTATAGACACACAGTGACTGGAATCAATAGGACCTATATCCATCCTGACGCAAATAACAGAAGACTTCTGAATAGCGGAATGACGTGGGCAAAGCAACTGAAAATCGTCGAAGATTTGGAGCAAGCGCTGTGTACAGGATTTGATGCATCCGCAAGTACTGATTGGCAGCAAGTATTCGATGAAACTGTTGATAAGTTTGCTCCGATGTTGAAAGTCATGAGCAACATTTTAAATCGCAACGCTTCCATCGAAAGCAGAGCAATCAACGCGACATCTATTACACTTAACTTCGTCTTGAGATTTATGAGTATCGATGAAGGTAAGGAGCAATTTGGCGCAGGAAAGCAATTCGCAGTTTATCAGTACACAAGGCCTCTCAAACAATTGCAAACTGACTCAGATTATTTGATTTGGTCAGCCGCAGTCAATATCGTCACTAGAATAGTTGATGCTATTTATGATGTCAACGACCTTCTGACACCATTGGTGCGTTTTTCTCTGCAACACCAGCAAAATTCAAATGCATCTCTACATGCAACGGAAAGTGTTGATGCTGCTCGAACTATTTTAGACAAATTAATCAAACTTCTCGGATGGATCGAGTTTGATTACAGTTGTAACACCGTATGCGGCTGGAATGAGGTATGTTATACGCCGTCTTGGGGTCCCTCTCCTATGGGAATGGAGGTTCCTAGCTCGAATAGGCCAAAAAAAGGAACACATTTTGATGAAGCACGCCAACGACTGGTGATTGACAAAGATCTTCAGTGTGTAAGTGTAGAGGACATCTTATACAGATCTCGATAGTTTGAATCATGTAACAATATCTGAAGGAGAGGGATAGTGATAGTGCGGCAGAAGGAGCGCGACCTTTATTGGGGGACTTAAGTGGCTATAGATCTTTTTAATAACCAGGAGGGGTACTTCATAATTTTTTGGCTAGAAAGAAGGTTCCTATTAGAAAGAATACTAAAGTATTGCATTTACGACTTCACGAAGCTGTTTAGTCCTAAAACTATAAAAGACGACGACACCTTTTTTTTTTAAGGTATTTGCAAGTCCAGTGAGGTTTATATAGCTGAGAGAATTGAAATTGATAATTTTGATCGGAAGGCTTCCTTCCTTCTTTGCTCGGAACACTTTCAAGTCCATGTTCCCAACCCATAATCTACTTTGTTATATCATTCGTTTATTGAAGACTATTCAATATAGATAAATCTGCGTTGTATAGAATGTTACCAAGTTTTCGTTACTCACTGGTGTTCGCCGGTCAATAATTCATACCAAATCTTCCATTGGGCTATTCGCAACTCATATGAATCCTTGAAGGCAAAATAGCTAACTTGGGAAAGGCAATGAAAAACCTGGTTAGGCTGAATAGAAGACAATCATCAATCCGACTATCGTTGAGTTCGATTGGGCGATTAACTTCTTTTTTTTCTTGACCTTGAATACCCCCAATAGAGTTTAACGAATTAATGGCCATGCATATAATGATATGGATCACGATACTTAAGTGATTTCATATGTGAGTACTTTATAATGCTTGGCAAAGTCGCAGTTACTCCGTGAGTTGACCTTTCCGAAAATGCGCATCAAGAGACGGCTTTACACCAATTTGCCAAAGGGGCCAGTTCCGGGAAGTTTGACTTTTTGCAAGATAAAATAGTTGTAACAGTGGTCCCGAAAATTTGACGGCAATCATGTTCATCAAAGAAAAAGCCCGCCTTGAAAAAAGGGCTAATTACACAACTCTGTACATTATTATTCATTGCTTTTGCGATGGTGTCCCAAGTTGCGGAGCCCTCACCTGGCTTCTGGTTTGCTACTATTTCCAAAAATTGCAACGTAACATGAATATCGAGCAGATTAGTGCGACTTGGAATGGCTGAACCTATAATGACCCCTACCATGAGAAAGGCATAAATGTAAAGAGTCCAGAATGAGACAGAGTATAGACACAAAGCAACAACAAAATACAGAGCGTAACTCCAGTGCCCCACTTTTTTCATTATGTTCGCCATTCTCCAAGTAAGCTTGGACCGGTAAACATCCTTAGGTAGTATTTCTGTCCGGGCTGCATCGTACGAAGTCTTACTTTCCACGTTGCAGCTCCACTGTTCTTTTATAGAGTCTTCATAGACTAATATGGAGTTTTTCACATTTTTCGCCACCACATCACTGAGATCATCCCTTTTGAATGGTAAATATATGAGAGATCTGAAGCATTCATCGCAGTCAGCACCGTCCCACAAACACACAGCGGAATGCCAGCTCTCATCCTTCGCAAACGTAGAATTCAGTTCCAAGGCAATCGAGTCCCACATGTGCAGATCAGTTCCTGGTCTTTGAGCACTGATGGGTTTGGCCACCTCTTCGTATGCCTTCAGAAACGCTTGCCTTCTTTTCCGCAGTGCCAGAATGGCCACCACAGCGAATACAACATCGAGAAGTAGAAACCAGAGAGTTAGAGAAAGAAAATGGATCCTGGATTTCCGCTCCATGGGGAAATGTAATTGGTGGAAATAGCCCAAATGGCGTGGGCTACAAGCAGAGACACATATGTAGGTGTGAATTTGCTCCAGTCATGCATAAGCCAGGTTAAAGTATTTCTAAAAATCCTCTAGGGAACAAGATTCTTCTCCTCCGCCGGAAGAATTAGGCTTTCCCTTTCCATTGCTTGATGTGTGCTTCAAGGATATTGAGCCGAAAATTGGTTCTCCTTAGTAGCCTACATAATCTTATATGCTAAGCGATGTCAATCACAGTTGACGTCATTCATCAAGGTGCACCGGAGTTTGGGTGACTCCGGAGAAGAATGCTTGATAAAAACATTTACCAGATTTCTACATGTAGGATCGGCACTCACTGGCCTACAAATATCTATCATTTAGTTGGAGGAAGTGAAATGGTAGTCTCTACAAACGTTGAAGTGTCAACTTTGCCCTTCAACACTGGGTGCTGCAACACCTTGGAGAGCCATTCACTGAGCTTGGAAAAGCCACCAAACTTATCCTTTCCAAGCGCAAATCCATACAGAGTTGCGCATATAGTGGCAGTGAACAAATCGGCAATAGTGATTTGGTCATTCACGAGAAACTCGTGTTCCGTCAAGCGCTTCTCCAGGTACCCGAAGCATGCAAGGCACTGGGAGAGCTTTTCATCATAATGCTCTTGCGCCGCATTGGATCTAGCTGCTGTAACTATTGCAATTGTGCTTTGGGTAATTTCATGGTTTGTATAAGACAAAAATCTGAGCACTTGAGAACGTTCCTCGAGCGTGGTTCCGTAAAATGTCTTCTCTAACTCTGCATCACCCTTCAAGTTGACCAGGTAGTACAGAACTGCGATAACTTCGGTCAATTGAAAGCCATCGCGGCCCTGATAGGCGGGATTCTTTCCCAAGGGAAATAAACTTTTAAACTCCTCAGCTTTGTCACTAGGGTTGACGAGCTCGATGTCCAGTTCGAGCCACTCAACTAGAGCACGGGGCAGCATCCCCCTTGCATTCTTAATAGCGTATAGTGTTCCAGCGGTCATTTTCGTGATGAGGTGTGTGGAAAAGGAGGAAGGTTCAGGTTGAAAAAGTCCAAGGAGGTGCATTTTATACTCGAAGTGTCCGTTGAGCATGGCATTGGCTTGGATAAAGTTCATTACTAAGGACGGTAGATAATCGTACGTGTTAAATGTGTTTTGCCTGTGTACATCGTGGTCTTAGTAATTGTTTAATTCATTTCGCGTCACTACAAGCGATTACGGAAAGAACGTTAAACATTGAATAGTTTGTGTTACGAGTGGCAACTAGCAGCTTTCGAGGCGTACGGCAAACCTTGGCATGGGATTGTAGAAATATGGATTGATTTCAAAATTATGCTTATTAATATTTTTACGGTGCTGATAGCTAGCAAATTATTATGGAAGAATGATGATCAGCGCGGCTCCAGAAGTTCGAGCAATGAAAATTTCGAGAGCTGAATTATGTGAAAGGATGGAATGTAAATGCATACATAGTGCTGTCAGTGTTTTCATTGATTGTCATAGCATGCAAAATGGGGGCTTGTACAAAGGAATGGAGTACTTACTGAACGAAAATTTCACGGCTGGGAATACAAACGCAGCACAGGCTCCCTGAGTTTAGTGATATCAATATCCCATCAAAGCCGCCAGCTTCTTGGTTGTCTTTACAATTGATTTTCTAGATCACTGGAGGATCTCCCGCTTTTTTCCAGAATAGGGCTCTCTATCAACATATACTTATAGTTTTAGATAGGAGTCCCTTCTAGGATACACATATATGTCATTACAGTTCCTTGGTGAATGCAAATCCTTCTCTTAGATCGTCTTCGGCAAAAGCGCAGTTGCTCATATCTTTCTTCACCACCTCCCCTTCTGGGGAGATGTCAAAGTCAAAGATATCCATAGGCAGCCCGATGGTAGTACAACTGTTCGGAACATCGACAATGCCCGCTATATGACCCTCAATTGGTGCGGTGGACAACAGTAGATAAATCTGGTAATCGTTGTAACCATATCTACGCAGGTACTCGATCACACGAAGACATGTCTGACGGTAGGCCACGGTAGTATCTAGGCAAAGCTGATTACCCTCTTCATCAACACTGAAGCCTTCGAATGTCAAGTAACGGTCGGGTCCAAAACGTGGAGCGACTGGTGACGGCAAGTACATTGGAGATTTCATCGCGAGTTTCCTCATGCCGTTCTTTATTACGGAGACGCTAAACGTAATGCAGCCGGCCATTTCGATGGCACCACAGAAGCTAATTTCACCATCCCCTTGAGAAAAGTGAAGATCACCAAGTGAGAGCATACCACCTGGCAAATAGGTGGGCAGATAAACCGTCGAGCCCCGGGTGAGGGCTTTAATGTCACAGTTACCCCCATTTTCTGGACGGCCCGGAATGGTACGCGCACCGTAGCTAGCTACTGCTTTTTGCTGTTCCTCAGTGGCGTTGATTCCAGCGTAGGCGCCGTGTTCGTTCGGCAAATTGGCCATGACGAAATCGGCGTGAGGGTGGGCCTGAACGAGAGTCGTTTCACGAGAGTTCCATTCTGCTAGCACTTCATGACTTGGCAGAACGCCTATAATGCCCGGGTGGCAGATACCTGGGAACTTCACACCGGGAATGTGACGAGAAGTGGCATAAATACCTTCAAAGTCAAATACGGCCTTTGCTGCCTTTGGGTAATGTTTGTCAAGAAATCCACCACCATTTTCCTTGGCGAAGACACCACAATAACCCCAAGGCTGACGTTCGAGAGGTTGGACATCCTGGATACTAACTTTCAGCACGTCGCCCGGCTCGCAGTCTTCCACAAAAAATGGTCCAGACAAATAGTGTATTCTGCTCAAATCGCAGTACTTGATATCATCAGCAGAGTCATTGTTGCCGACTTGACCGCCTGTCCAGTCGAAACATTCGGCCTTGTACGATTTGTTCTGTTTAATACTGGCATTAGCCGGTACGTCTGGATGCCAACGGTTGTGTACGCCAGCCTGTTCGTAAGCGGGCTTGTCTAAATCGATTTTAACAATGTACTCGGACATGATTGGGGGAAGTCACACGTCTCTAGTACTTGAATCTAAACAGACGCCCTTATTCAATTGAGCACTATATGCCGCATAGATACTTTATATACTACTTGTTTTCTGCGGCTGGTCTTCTTAATAACCTCGATTCTGACTGTAGCTTTAATTTATCAACAGTCGAAATACTTATCAATCGAGATAAGGGTTCCCCTCATCGCTGATCAACGTAAATTAGAGAGCCGTGCCTATGGACAAATACCTCGAACTGTGAGAAGCGCCACGATAAGAACCCCCTAGAGCGGACGCTCGAAGGATATATCGGTCGGTTGGCAGGCATCGTGAATGCCATAACCAAGAAAGCTTTTGCCCCAAAAGGCCAAATTGCGCTCTACACTTGTAGCAAGCATGCGATACAGATGTAATAACAAACTGATACCGAGCTAAGGGCTAGCCACATCAGTCGACTGCTTCCAACACCCCCCTGATTAGTGCTGCACCTGCTGCAGCGTCAACTGATCACAATGTCTGCATAGTGGTCGGGTGTCTCTCGGAGCCTTATCCGAGTGCGATAGCGCTGATGCCAAGTACGCAACAACCGGAATATCGCTGGATAACCGTTTCAAAAAACCAATAAGGTTATGTAGGCAAGATAGGTAGATGATGGATATCTTTCACAGGAAACCACAAAGCAGAGAATGATAAAACTGATAAACGCGAGACAATATACCCCTATCTCATCTCGTCTTCTTGTGCGTTGCTCTGTCTTTCGGGCAATAATAGCTGTATTTAGCCATGCGAGAATGCGACGGCCTTGCCAATACGAATCCTCGCTATCCTGACTGTATAAAACGAGCGATAGAAGTCACCAGCCAGCACTTTCAACACAGCATCATAGCGGGAACATAAACTAGCAGCACTTTTCGCAATGGTTGAGCCAATTCTAGAACAAGCTTATGGTTACTGCTATATACTTGTGCTAGCTGCCGGGTTTGCAGCACTGATGATCTTCATCACAAGGATTCTGTCGAGTCTACTCGACGAGAAACAGAACTCGGAACGATTCACCACCTCTGGTCGCAACACCTCGTCCGGTCTGATCGCATCTGCCGTGGTATCATCATGGACCTGGCCCGGCACGCTACTGACATCAAGTGGGATGGCGTATTCGTATGGTATTTGTGGAGGTGCCTGGTATGCATTTGCGTTCACAATCCAAATTACCTTCTTTTCTGTGCTGGCGTTGGAAATAAAACGGAAGGCTCCTGGTGCCCACACAATTCTTGAGATTGTCAAAGCCAGATTTGGCAGGGTCGCTCACTGGGTGATGCTCTTTTACGCTTTGGGTACCAATGTTATTATTTCTGCGATGCTGCTGCTGGGAGGTTGCCAGGCCATTCATGTCATCACCGGCATGCATTTAGTCGCTGCTGCCATGCTCTTGCCAATTGGTGTGTTTGTGTTTACCGTCATCGGTGGGCTTAAGAGTACCTTTATTTCAGACTGGTTCCATACCATCATCATTTACCTTGTGATCATCATCAGCATCTTCAACACCTACACGAGATCGGAAAAAATTGGTTCTATCGACAAGATGTACGATATGCTCACCGAGGTTGCTAAAGAACATCCATCGGCATGCTACAAGGGGTCTTACCTGACTTGGACCAACAAGACTGCCTTGCTGAACGGTTGGAACATCGTCATCGGCGGTTTCTCCACTGTGTTTTGCGACCCATCTTACTCTCAAAAGGCGATTGCTGCTAAGCCAAAGTCTAGTATGTTTGGCTACTTTCTAGGTGGTCTATGTTGGCTAGTTATTCCATTGGCTCTTTCCTTGGCTTCTTCCTTGGCAAACCTGGCTTTGGTCAACGACCCTGCATCCCTGACTTATCCAAATTTGGTCCCAACCACCCTTGTCAATGAGGGTATTCCTATGCTCTACGGGCTGTTTCTGACTTTGGGAAAGAGTGGATGCGCTGCAGGTCTACTTATGATCTGGCTAGCGGCCACTTCTGCCACTTCTGCTGAACTGATCGGTTTCTCTTCTGTTGTCACCTACGATGTCTACCGGGCCTACATTAATCCAAGAGCTAGTGGTAAGCAGCTTGTCAGCGTCACCCACATCTGTGTCACCCTCTTTGCGTTGGCTATGGGTGGTTTGACAGTCGTGTTCAATTATATTGGCATCACCATCAGTTGGATTATCAGTTTCATTGGTGTCATTCTGGGGCCTGGTGTATTTGCTTTCACTTTGAGTCTCTTCTGGAGTAGAATGACCAAGCTTTCTATTGTTGTTGGTCCACCTTTGGCTTCAATTGTCGCACTTATTAGCTGGTGCGGTTCTGCCAAGGCCTTCTACGGCAGTGTCAACAAAGACACGCTTGGCCAACAATATTCATGTGCGGTTGGTAACTTCATCGGTCTTTTTGGCTCCCTGATCTTCATTGTCATCATTTCTTTAGTGAAACCTGACGAAACTCCTTACGACTTTGACAGTCTAGATGAAAATTTCGTTGCTGCCGATGATGCTACCGTCGAAGAAGCCACAGCTATGAAAATCACTGATCCTAAAGAGAAACAAGAACTAAGAAAATACTCCTTATACTCCCAGATCATTGCATGGTCACTATTCTTTATTTTGATCTTTTTGATACCAATGCCAATGTACGGTCAAAATTACATCTATTCGAGGAGGTTCTTCCGTGGCTGGGTAATTATTGTCATGATTTGGCTTCTACTTGCCGCCACAATTATCATTGTATTGCCAGTTTACCAGAGCAGAGAAACACTACGCAAACTATGGAACATTTCCACTGGAAAGCAACAAAAGGAAGAAAAAGAGTTGCTATCAGCTCAACCCTCCTGTGTTATTGAAGGAATTGAGAAGGTTATCGATGTCAGCATTGAGACGGATGCTAAAGCGCGCGACATCTAAAGTTTTGGCGAAAAGTATTATTGAGGCAAATCTGATTCATTAGTAGAAAGCTTACTGAATTTGTCTTGTACGTTGTTCATAGACATTGTAAGATGAGTGACTTGGATAGGGAATTCTATTTATTGAGGCGAATGTGATTCATTAGTAGAAAGCTTGCTAAATTTATCTTGTAATTCGTTGATAGACATGGTAAGATGAGTTACTTGGATCTATGGAATTCTATTTATCTCCGTGATTATTTTAGGCATTAGAGTTGGCTCTGTTACATGAACAAAGGCCTGGTATTTATACAATTCTGACGAGATGACGGTGGCAGCCGCACCCAAGACTACAGCGCCGCGCGAAAGACTCAACTTTCGCCAGATGAGACACGGGATGATTGCAGTCACGCGGCGGTATCTCCGCGACGAGCTAGGCGATACGGAGCCCATGCGGATTGCTGCATCAGAGCTTCTGGCAGGACACTCGGTGCAAACAGGGATGCAAGTGTACGGCGTGGACAAGTTCACGTTTGAGGGAGTGGACCACTCAACGGCATATTCCATGCAGGAGGAGATCTCCAAGCGGTGGATACGGTGGTTGGGGCTTGAGAGCGATCCGGAGGTGGTGTTGGCAGATGCTCAGAAGCGGACGTTCAATGGAGCGTATGTCCACGACGAGCGCAGCGCAGAGGACCTGGTCATGGCCGGCAAAGAGCTGTACGGTAGCGACTTTGTCTTTAAGAGCATTGAGCAGAGTATGGCGTGTGTGGATGT